TCCGTCATGGTGTTGGTGGCCAAGCCGTCTATGCCATAGAGTCAGATCCAAAGGCAGAGTGGACGCAACATGAACAAATTCATTTGTGTCTATTGTACTACCATCTAAATAGCCTATACCAGCATCATTGATTGTAGCACAGAACAAAAGAACATCATTACGAACAAACTCCATTTTATCCTTTGTGATATGAACATTAAAGCCTTTATTTCGAGTCAAGTACAAAACAGCAAGCAGATTATTGCACAATGCAGGAACATAGAGTACTCTAGTGATCTCCACATCTCTAACTTGTCTACCATTAACTACAGGTCTGAAGAGCACATTTCCGACACCCTCACTATATACAATGGTGTGATCCGCTAGCCTGATTGGCACTCTATATGTGGTATAATTGCGAATCCATTCTTTGTGAGGTGTCATATGAGAAGTGGCCCCTGTATCTGTATTCCAATGGGTATCATTAGAAAATGCAGCACAAGCTTCATTCATAGAACGAGCACTTGCCTGACCAGCAAACTCCGTCGCAGCATCTGCCTTTTCCACTGCCACTTTGGCATTGCTCCCCCCAGATCCACTTTCTTTGTTGCTAGCAATGACCTTCTTCAATGCTTCGCAATCCTTCTTCCAATGACCCTTGCCCTTGCAGAATGAGCAGGTGTCTGCATCAACTGTGGGGTGACCTCTGCCCTTTCCATTGTATGCCCCACCCTTCTTTCCATAACCCTTGTGACTGGCTCTATTCGCTTGCTCAGTCTGGCGCTGACGATTTAGCTCTTCACTTCGGAATGCTTGGAGTATAGTATCCTTGTCCAGCTTTTCCATTAGCAACAAAGAAGCTGACAGATGCTTGTATTCATCAGGCAGAGCCCGAATCAATGCCATGCACTGCAACTCTTCGTCTAACTGCTCAATGGTAAAGCCTGTTGGACGCAGATTTTGGATATTAGCCATGGCTTTGCTAATCCTGACTCCCAAATCGATGAGACCTTCATTGTCCTCCTTGTGGATTGAGAACAGGTCGTCATATGCATTGAAGCGTGCGCCGGGCTTCTTGGACAGGTGTGCCTTTTCTATGGCAGCCCACATTCCCACTGGATCATCCTCTAGACCTCGGAAATGAATCCTTTGGTCCGCCTCAACCAACAGGTAAATCTCCCCAGCAGCCTTTTCAGCTTTTGCCTCCCATTTGGTCAGCTCAGCCTTGTCTGAAGGTTTAGATTCCCTCCCAGACACTAGCCTCCACAGCCCCAGTCGCATCAGATAGGCCTTGGCTTCACCACACCACTCCTGATAGTTGGAGTTGGTCAGTGGCTTCACCTTGACCCCATTATCTGAGCTAGAACTAGTAGACATAGTGCAACAATACAATTTATAGTCTTGTTTGACTGACAGTTAACAGCTTAGAGTCCTGTGATGACTATGAATGACAGCTTAGAGTCCTGTGATGACTATCAATAACAGCTTAGAGTCCTGTAGTGACTATCAATAACAATGTTATAGTCTTGTTGTGACTTTCAATAAGCTCCAATAGGCCAAAATGCGAGATCAGTACTCAATGAGTCACTAGATCAATCACAATAAACCCCCAGTATAACAATAGGCAGCAATTCAATAATGCAGGAACAATCAATCAGTGTTGTCAAGTTAGAGCTCAGGGCCCATAACCTGTTAAACTATAGGCTATTATAGTTTGATCAGAAGCTTGTAGAAGCGTCCTAATGCACTCTAATTGCCTTGGTAACAATCACTAATGATGTGTTGATGCAATCAATCAATAATATGTAATGATTTGCGCTCTATTGACTCTTTGTGTCTATTACTCTAGACATGTATGGAAAATGACCATCCCAGGTTCCCACAGGTACTGTTCTGCGCGAGGCGTGAATATAGGTGTCCACTAAATCGCGTCCGAATTTGATTAGCTCCGGAGCAGCTTGGGAACATGCCAGACATCATTCTAATGATGGCTCCATGTTTCATTTTCGCTCCTTTTGCTTCCCTGCTGAGACCGAGGCGTTCCGGTGCCTGTTCCGGCTGTCACAATAGAGGTCAACAGACCTACTAATGGGGCGCTGAACGTGGGAACGTTGCATTGACCGTGGGAGTCGTGCGCTTATAAAGTATGTACAGATTGCTAAACAGTGCTTGCGCACTTTTAGCAATCCTGTCAACACCAGTCATCCCATGATGACCTGGGTTGTCCCAATGGGTGTTGGCAGTGTCTATGGGTGGTCCCCAATGCGTGGGAACCGGGCGCTTGGTATAGCGCAACTTTGTTATACATTTGTACAACAAGTGTGCACATCACTTCAACAGATCCTCCAGCGGAACAAGCTCTTCCTCCGAGCGGACAAGTGCGATTTCGAGCAGACCAAGGTGGAGTATCTCGGAGTCGTCATCTCCGAGGGTAAGATCGAGATGGACCCTGTGAAGGTCTCCGGAGTTGCGGACTGGCCAACCCCTCGGACTCGGACTGAACTCCAATCCTTCCTTGGGTTTGTCAACTTCTACCGCCCCTTCATCAAGGACTACTCGCATATCGCCCGGCCTCTCTTTGACCTCACTTGCGCGAAGGAATGGCAGTGAAACAACTCCGCTCAATCCGCATTTCTTCGGATCAAGGAGCTGATCACTTCGGAACCTGTTCTTGTCTTTCCAAAGGAGGATCGGCCGTACCGGGTTGAAGCGGACTCGTCGGACTACGCTACGGGTGCAGTCTTGTCGCAGCTCAATCCGGATGATGGTAAATGGCATCCTGTTGCATTCTACTCTAAAAGTCTACAGGCTGCGGAGTGGAACTACGAAATACACGACAAGGAGATGCTTTCAATCATCCAGGCACTCGAAGAATGGCGGTGTCATACCAGAACATAGGTTCGGTATAAAGACATTAGGAACTAGGATGTACCCCTGAACCCCTAGGAGCGAAGCCCCTAGGATATTATCCATTGCCGGGTTATTGTTCTATCTTTCCATTGACGTTCATTTGTCATGGAAATCCGTCATAGAGACCTGTAACAATGGATTCTATTGTTCCACGTCTCCATATAATTCGCCGTGGACAATCACTAATAATGGTGTCCATTGTCCCTCTATTATTCCATTGTATACATATATTTATTCTATTGTTCCAACAAGGCATTGTTCATCTTGTCCATTGTCCTACCTCTATTATACTACTGTGTACTATTATTTGTCCCATTATTCCTGTAGGTCTTTGTTTCTTAAAGACCATTGTTCCCCGTATTTATTTGTATTTACCTCACTATTCCTACCATTGTTCTTAGGTACAAATAGTTTAGGTATAAAAGGGAGCTAGTCTCTCTGCCAATAAATATACAAGTTATCACCCACATTCTAGTTCTTGAGTTCGGCTGTATCTGAAACGAGTAGGATACCAGCATTACCGTTTGTAGAGACCTGAAAAGTAAGTATGGTCTATTTCTTTTGCTAAGTCTGCACCGAAACGAGTAGGTGACAGTAACACACTAACAGCTAAGTCTGCACTGAAAACGAGTAGGTGTCAGTAACACTATTTTGACAGTTTGACTATCCTGAAACGAGTAGGGAAACCCTTTACAAGTCCAGATCTGAAACAAGTAGGATTCTGGCATACTAACTTCAGTTATTAGCGTATATCTGGCAGTTCACCACGTCTACAAGTGAACACCAACTGAATCCAGTTGGTCTGGTTCAACCAGTTGGACACCAACTCTGTTGAAGTGATGTGCACACTTGTTGTACAAATGTATAACAAAGTTGCGCTGTGCGGTCGCACGCTAAGCGCCCGGTTCCCACGCATTGGGGACCACCCATAGACACTGCCAACACCCATTGGGACAACCCAGGTCATCATGGGATGACTGGTGTTGACAGGATTGCTAAAAGTGCGCAAGCACTGTTTAGCAATCTGTACATACTTTACAAGCGCACGACTCCCACGGTCAATGCAACGTTCCCACGTTCAGCGCCCCATTAGTAGGTCTGTTGACCTCTATTGTGACGGCCGGAACAGGCACCGGAACGCCTCGGTCTCAGCAGGGAAGCAAAAGGAGCAAAAATAAAACATGGAGCCATCATTAGAATGATGTCTGGCATGTTCCCAAGCTGCTCCGGAGCTAATCAAATTCGGACACGATTTAGTGGGCACCTATATTCACGCCTCGCGCAGAACAGTACCTGTGGGAACCTGGGATGGTCATTTTCCTTACATGTCTAGAGTAATAGACACAAAGAGTCAATAGAGCGCAAATCATTACATATTATTGATTGATTGCATCAACATCATTAGTGATTGTTACCAAGGCAATTAGAGTGCATTAGGACGCTTCTACAAGCTTCTGATCAAACTATAATAGCCTAAAGTTTAACAAACTCAAGTCAACTGAACTACCAACTGAACACCAACTTGACCAAGTAAGTTCACTTACATTCAGTTCCGTTCAGTTCAACACCAAGTGACTACCACTTGAACACCACTTTATATAGTTGGAAAAGTTTCAGTTGGTGTCCAATTGATATCCAAGTGGTGTCCATGTGAACTGCACACAATAGAGTCAGTAGAAGCGGATGAGATTGGTAACTGGTGTTCAGTTGGTATCCAGTTGATATTCAGATGGATTTTAAGTGGACTTTGGACTTTACAGAATTTACACAAGTCCAAATGGTGTTCAAGTGAACCTCACTTGGTGGTCAATTGGGGTCAAGTGGTATGAGTTGGAGTACAGACATAGTTACAAGTGATATTGGGGAGTGTTCAGTTGACTCCCAGTTGGTGTTCAAGTGGCCACCAACTGAATACCAGCTGAGTGTTTATCTCTACAGATACAAGTCCAATAATACATTATAGTTAATACTCAAGTGGTGGCCAAGTGGTGGCCAAGTGATACTCAAGTGGTGTTCAAGTGTCGTTCAAATGGTGTTCAAGTAGTGTTCAAGTGATGTTCAACTGGTATACAAGCAAATGCGAAGTGAACTACAAGTGAACTTGCTCATATTCAATCATCATCATCTTGCATCTCTTGCTGCCCATATCTCACTCCATTCTCATCCTCTTCATCCTCACTTTCATCACCTGCTTCTTCTTCCCTCCCCTGCTGCCTGGCAATAACACACTGGGTGTGCAAGAACAGTAACACATGCATGGTGAAGTCAAAGTTGCTGACAGTCATCCAGTTGAGAACTGTCTGGAACCCACCCAACCATGCATTGAGCTGTTCACAAGCCTAAGTACAAATCAGACAAGTACAAGTAACTGAGGAGTAGAACCACTTACCTGAGTATTGAAGGCCCTCTTGTAGTATGGATTGCCTTGTTTGTCTTCATCAACCACCACCAAGTTGGGGGCATCTCCATTGAGAGGTGCAGGGTTGCACCAAGTCCGACAGAGGTGGTCAGTCACCTGGTGATTGATATAGTGGTAGGAGTCAACAATGATCTGAGTGGTGGGTTCCCAAGCAGGCCAGTGCCCTTGCCTGACAATAATATGCTTGAGTAAGGCACACCCTTTGTCAATAGCAATGTAGCTAGGGCGTGAGGATAGACATCTTCAAGGAACCAAAGAATCTTGGCCACCCCTTCTGACTTGGCAAACTTGCGCCAGGCAAGGACCACACCACATGGAGCACAGATGGTCTCCACACAGTAGAACCTAGGAGCAGAGAAGTAGTTGTTATACTTGCTGCCACTGACCTGTTCAACCTCCTGCTCTGCAAGGTCGTCATGCTCTGGCAACTCTGCTCCTCCACCAACAGGCAACCACTCCTGCCTCTCCTCCTGAGCCCTCCTCAACATCCTCTGAACTCCTAAGAGTGAGGAGTTGGCATAGCGAGCCCGGTAGACCCTCCACTGCTCCTGGTGATTGACACATGCCTGAGTCCCAGCCACCTTGACTCTGACACAGTCTTTCATGCGACAACGGACCCCCATCTCGTCCTGATGTGCCTTGCAAAACACTCCAGTCTGAGCATTAAGCAATCCCACCTCGCACCCTGGCATGGCACAGTGACGAGGCCCCATGACAATGCCATCAATAACAATCATGCGAACGTCAGCAGGATTGCTAAGGGCAGCCCCCCCAGCAGGTTCAGATGCATCACTGGCTGGGACATCATCAACATCCATGGCCTCAGCATCTTCCACAGCAGGGCCTGCATACTCTGGGACAGCATGATTTTCATCATGGCCAGCAAGAGCAGCAGGATTGTCAGGCTGATTAGGGATCACGTCAGCCACATCCTTGAATGCATGACAACACTCATCGCAAGAATGCCCCTCTGCACTGCGGATGATTCCCCCATCTCCCAGATACTCATAGGCAGCAGTCACGAGGTCCTTGACAGCCATGTTGTCCACAAAGAGGAGCTCAGCACCACTAGGCTCAGCAAGCAACCGGATGGACTCCAAGACAAAAGCCTTCCAGGTATGCCTGCGAGTGAGTTTGAATGTGGTGCCACTGGGCTGGACAAAGGAGTAGTTCCAGAACTCAGTTACTGCAGCTGTCGAGGCATGACAATAGCCCTGGAGACCAGGCGGTCAACCCAGACCTGAGTTCCGACTTTGAGGTATTTGGCGTCTGGAAGGTGAATCGCAAGGTGGCGGTTGTTAGAAGGGTTGTTGAGCTCTCATGGTCAGCCCAGAACATGGAGGAACATGCAGGACATTTCCCTGCAAGTACTGGAACCTTCTCAAAGCACTCGCTCCCCCTAAGCAAGGTGGCTTTGGAGACATCACGGTACCGCTGGTACTGAGTCAGAGCACGACCAGGACATGTAGCATCAGAGCATTGAATGACAGTGGGAGTGATGATGAGGACAGGGCAAATATCGGCGGTGGAGATGGGAAGGAGCTTGCCATGCAAAGTACCTCTTTTGTTATGAGAGTAAAGATTGAGGGAGCGACAAAAGAAGTCAAGCTTTTTACCCAGAATAGTGGTCTGTTGCTTTGGAGACTGGTCTTCATGGCGATCGGTGGGGAGGAATAGGGTGTCGTAGGTAGTTCTGGCATCAGAAGAGACAGAGGTGTTGGTGCTAGAACTAGATGCAGAGCCAGAGTCAGAGCCAGAGTCAGAGTCAGTGTTCATTTCAGTATCCGAGTCATCATCAGCGACAAGGGAGTCAAGCTGAAGCCTGTCTTTGATAGCACGGACAAAGGCAGCCATCCAGCTAGTCACGACCTGAGTGTTGGTAGGGACAGCTTGTTGTTGACCATGGAGGTTGAGAAGGTTGGTGTTGTTGGTGATGCTGAAGAGGAGCATCAAGACGGTGGCAAGAGTGATGTCGGCACCAAAGCTGGACTTGATCACTTTGGCAAAGTCTGCAAAAAGGATGCCTGGGAAGGGATCCTCCAGTGGTGCTGCAGAGACACATGGAAGGAGTCCGAGGAGCAGCCAGAAAGAGAGCAGCATGAGCAGGGCCTGTAAAGAAAAACTGCTGAAGTCAGTACAAGTTGAAATGCAAGGTGAGATTCAAACAAGAAATGGCAACACGAAATCATTTGAATTACATCTATGATTCACAAACAGACTACCTACTTTGAAGTTGAGGCCTTCTTGGACTTCTTTTCCTTGGCCAGCCTGGCCTTCTCCTTGGCCCTCTTCTCCTTGTCCTCCTTGTCCTTCAACTCCTTTGTGACAACTGCCAAGTTCTCCTTCGTAAGCTTGCAAGTTCCCCAGACAGCTCTGTGTTCCTCTGAGCTCTGATTGTAAGTGGGGTCGTTCAACAGAGCATGGAGGATGGGGAACTGCTCAGCGTTGTCGAACATCTTGGAGTAGGTGTTGTAGTTGGTCTTGCAGATGTAGAGTGAGCAAAGTTCGTTGATGGAAAGATCACAACCAGTCCACTTCCCTGCATTCTTCAGTTCCAACCACTTTGCTGGGACTTGGGCAGCTGCCTTCATCCAAGCATAGATCTGCAGGATCTCACCCTTCTGAGATGCCTTGGGTGTCATGCTGTAGAGCACCTTCAGCATGATGGCAAGCTGAAGAAGGGCGGGGTCGGAGAAGGCGGTGGTGAGCTGCTGGGAAATGGTAAGCGAGGCGGTGTCGGCACCAGCAGTGGAGACAGAGGCAGAGGGGGCAAGAGATGAGATGGTTGAGGGAGTGTCGACAGAGGTGACAGAGGGGGAAGGAGGGGGGTGGAAGCCAGAGCCTTGGGTTGAGCGTTCCTGAGTGAGATAGAGTCAGATTTTTTTTCAAGTCAAGTCGGAATTTGCTTACCATTAACAACTCCATTTCCTTGTTGTTGTCCCACTCAACAGGCTCATCCCCCTCAATAGCCACAGCAAATGGGCCCTTCATCTCCCAGTCATTGTTGACCCACAACGAGATGTCAGAGTCTAAATGGCAACAAATAGTAAGCAAAAAACGCGAAGTCAAAATGTGTGACATACCTGCAAGAGCGGTCATTTTCTTGACCATAGCCTTAAGGACAGGCCCCAAGGTGTAAGCCAAAGGGATCCTTACAGCACGGGGCTTAGCGATGGTGCGGTCCTCATGCTTGTACACCAAGACCCTGCCCTCATTGCGAATGGGGACAAGGTCTGCTTGCTGGGTATCTAAGAAAGAAGTCAGTAAGTGAGCCAAGTATGAAAAGCACAAACTCACTGAAGTCAGCCATGTTGGGGGCTACCCCATGTCCTTTGGCCCTTGCAACTCCACCCATGGTACGGGAGGCGCCTTGCAAATCATTGAAGTCGTCAGCGATGGGAGAGGAAGGCATATCGTTGAACCCAGCAAAGACAGGAGCAGGCAAAGGTGTATTGTTGGCATGGTCAGCCTTGCTGCGCTGAGCTACATGGCGATGGGCAATGGGAGAGGCACTAGCCTGACGCTTGGAGGCAGGCAGGTTGCGAGGGGTGATGTTGGAGTCGAGGTCCATGGCATCGTCACCTGTGTCAGAACTCTTGTCGTCACCTGCATTGGACACCTCATCACTCAACATCTTTTCCTTCTCCTCCTCGCTCGACGTCTTCTCCTTCTCTTCATCGTCATCCACTTCTCCTGGCCCTTCATCACTCAACTTCTTTTCCTCCTCCTGATCCTCCTCTTCTTCGTCATTATCCTCTGGCTCGTCCTCTGCGTCAGATGAGCCGAGATTGGTCAAGTCGCGACCTTTCCCCTTGTCTACGACTTGGGGAACATCACCCGGATCAGCACGGCAAACACGGGTGGAGACAATCCTCGGAGCGACTGGGGGTAGGAGAACCCCAGTCCCAGCTCGACGAGGTGGCGGAGCAAGAGCAGCCCCACTCTCACTGAGAATTCTAGATGTACTGGTGCGGACAGTCAGTTTGTGGACACAAGCAAGAGCAAGTAAAAACATACACAGTCATCTTCTGCACGGTAGGCTCCTCAGCCTCTTCATCTTCTTCATCACGGTCAGCGGAGGTCCTACAAACAACCAGCATGAAGAGAGGATGAGTAAATAGACAACGGAGGACTTACTTGGTTTTCTTGTTGGTCTTGGAAGTCTTCTTGACTTGTTTAACTTGCAAAGGGAGGTCCTCACTGTCAGACAATGTGTTGTCAATTCATTGTCAATTCATTTGAATTTAAATGGAATTTATTTATATTTATTACTAGACTATGTACTACTACTACTAACTACTACTAATGAGAACGAGGGGGGGGCTGACTCACCTGAGGGCCTCTTGAAGGGCCTTGGTTGCTGACCTAGTTGACCTGGGCTTGTTGGGAGTGCTGGTGGTGGCGTGACAGAAGGCGTTGGGGGAATGGCGGGGGCCATTGTGTTGGAATGATGTAATCCGGCACATGATCACCATTTGAATGGACTGGAAAGGGGCATTGCCCGGCCAGTAATGAATAAATGGTTGGGTGGTCATGTGATGGGGAATACATAATTGTTGGTTGTGCAGTCATTGAACAAGGCCAGATAGCTCAGATGGTTAGAGCGTCTGGAAAGCATCCAGGAGGTCCTTGGTTCAAACCCTAGTCTGGCCATCTTTTCTTGCCCCTGATTTTAACACATTGGAGGGCGATGGGGGGCGGGCGTCGTTGTCGACGGCAATGGGGGGACAACGGGGGGCAACGGAGGCCATTGGGGGGGCGTCAATGGCGATGGGGGCGTTGGGGGACGTTGGGGGCCGTGCAGCGTCGTCAATGGCGTTGAGGGGACGACGGGGGGTGCGCGTCGTTGTCGACGACGTTGGGGGGCGTTGGGGGCATGTTGGGGGGCGTTGGGGGGTGTCAACGGGGAAGGGGGGACGACGGGGGATGTTGACGGCGTTGGGGGGGCGTAGGGGGACAACGGGGTGCGTTGGAGGCCGTGCGGCGTTGTCAACGGCGTTGAGGGGACGACGGGGGGGCGTCGACGGTGAAGGGGGGACGACGGGGGATGTTGATGGCGTTGGGGGGGCATTAGGGGGGCGTTGGGGGACAACGGGGGGTGTTGGTGGACGTTGGAGAGTGGTGGGAGAGGCAGGGCGGCGGTCAGTTGTATAAAAAGGAGGCGGGTGGGCAGCTTACCTTGGCCTGCCCTCCTCGTTGTTCCTGGCGGCTCCTCCACGTCCTCGCAACATTGGCTTGTGTGGGGGCATTGCGACGTTGGAGGGGGGTTTGGTGAAAGCGAGGGGATGGTGGTGGTTGAGGGGAGAGAGGCGGCAGTGCCAGCGTGGCACGCCACTGTCACATGCGCGTGGCGTTGCGGCGATTGCCAGATAGGCACGCGCCGAAATAAAAAAAGAAAAGTAAAATAAAATAAAAAGAATATTAATATTCGTGGTAAAGCACCCAATAAGCGCCCGTCCGGAAAAAAATGAATTATCATCGGATAACCCTTGCTAACTCATTTTTGGACGTCCCAAAGCGGAAATTGCCTCAGAAAAACACCAATAAATTGTAGAAAATTCAAATAAATTCACAGAAATTGTCTAAAAATTGTTAAAAATATATATGTATATACAATTGCATTATTATCAATTGGTGTTCAAGTGACATTCACTTGGTGTTCAATTGCTGACCACTTGGCATTCTACTGAATTTTCAGTTGGACACCAAATAAACACTAATTATTCACTTGGTTCACTTGGTGTTCAACTGGTGTCCAACTGAACTGAACTGAACTGAACTGGTGTTCAACTGAACTTTCGTAGCCATTTCCCAGCCAAATAAAAAATGTCAAAAATTCAGTTGAACACCAACTGAACACCAATTGGACACCAGTTGCCAACTGGATCCAGTTGGTATCCAACTGAAGATGTGGTGAACTGTTAGGTGCTCTTATTAGCTATCTAGTTCATTCCCTAGGTTTATTATATAGACCAAAAACCCCGTATATACTTGCTACTTATCGTACAAGTAAATACACCACCACACCCCTATCTACTTAGGAGTAGTATTGTTGATTGACATACTATTCCTATTAACCGACCTCACCCTATCCATACCCTTCTGAGAGTATTTCCTCTATTCCAATAATCCCGAAATCAATGAACGACCAGGTGCAACTCAACGCAGTAGTCCACGACCATCTGGGCACTAATTCATTAACCTGACTTAGTGTGACAGTGGCACTACCTTGAAGGCACAGAGACTCCATTTGAGATCTGGACGGACCACAAGAACCTAGAGTACTTCATCAAGGCCCAGAAGCTCAACCGTCGTCAAGCCCGCTGGTCCCTATACCTTTCCCGCTTCAACTTCACTCTCCAGCATCGTCCTGGTGGGACTATGGGTAAACCGGACGCTCTCTCGCGATGCTCAGATCACTCGGATGGTAAGGACAACAACAAGGATGTAGTGATGCTCAAGCCATCCTACTTTGCTGTCCGTGCCACAGGTGTCACTCTTGAAGGGGAGGAGAAGGATATCCTCACAGCTATCCGGACTGGAGTGCGAGATGCGAAGTTCGAAGACGCAGTGGCAAAGGCGGCAGAGGAGCTGAAGAAGGCCCAGGGCAGTCGCAAGACAGTCCGGAGCCCGGAATGGTCTCAATCGGACGGACTCCTGATGTTCTGGGGTAAGATCTACGTTCCGGACTCACCGGACTTGCGCTGGACTATTGTAGCTCAGCACCACGACACCAAGGTCGCAGGACACGCTGGCAGATGGAAGACCCTAGAGCTCGTTTTGCGCAGCTACTGGTGGCCCAACATGTCCCGGTATGTCGGATCCTACACCCGCCATTGCGACCTCTGTCTCCGGACGAAGGCCCAAAGGCATCCGCCCATGGGTGAACTCCATCCGCTTCCCATTCCGGATGAACACTGGGATCGTCTGAGTGTCGACTTCATCGTTGAGCTTCCGGAGTCCGATGGATTTGACGCTGTCATGAATGTGGTCGACTCCGTAAGCAAACGCGCCCACTTCATTCCGACTCACACCACAGTGTCTGCCCTCGGATCCGCAAACTTGTACCTGCAGAACATCTGGAAGCTGCATGGACTCCCTCGGTCTGTTGTGTCTGACCGGGGTCCGCAATTTGTTGCAGAGTTCACCCAGGAAGTCTACCGGATGCTCGGAATCAAGCTGGCTGCCTCCACTGCGTACCACCCTCAGTCCGACGGACAAACGGAACGGACTAACCAGGAACTCGAGTCCTATCTCCGGATCTTCGTCGGAGAGTGCCAGGACGACTGGGCTCGCCTCCTACCTATGGCGGAGTTTGCGTACAACAACCGGGTCCATGCGTCCACTCAGCAGTCACCTTTCCTCCTAGATACTGGCCAACATCCTCGCCTCGGGTTTGAACCTCATCAGCCACCATCTTGGATGGAGTCTGCAAACGAGTTTGTACACCGAATGAAGTCCGCAGTTGATGAAGCTCAGTCTGCATTGGTCAAGGCTCAGGATGACATGAAGCACTACTACAATCAGCGTCGGACCCCTGCTCCGGAGTACCAACCGGGTGACAAGGTTTGGCTGGACTTGTCGGACATCAACCTTGCCTGACCCTCCCGGAAACTCGGACACGCATGACTCAGTCCTTACAAGGTCGTCTGGAAGGTTGGCAAGGCAGCGTACCGACTCCAGCTCCCTCTGGGCTTATCCCGCCTCCACCCTGTCTTCCCCGTGGTCAAACTCTTTCCCTTCGTTCCAGACCCCATTCCAGGTAGACGCCCTGTTGCTCCGCCCCCTCCGCAGCTTGTTGATGGAGAAGAAGAGCATGAGGTAGAAGAGGTCCAGAATAGCAGACGGTTTGGTCGGGTCCTGAAGTATCTGGTACGCTGGCGAGGCTATGGCATCAAGCACAACTCCTGGGAGCCCGCGAGCAACCTCCAGCATGCTGCCCAGAAGGTCAAGGACTTCCATGATCGTCATCCGGACGCAGTGCGCTTACTCCGGACGAGTCCGATGAGTCCGACGACTCCCGCACCGCTCCGGATGACTCCTACAGCACTGGACCAGTCCTGGGAGCGTTGGTGCAGTCGGAAGGCTCCGGGCTCTGTGCAGTCGTACTTTGACATCTTCTCGCAGCAGTCCGGAGTTTCGGGGTTGGTGAATTTGTGGCGTGGCAGGCAGGAATCTTCACGTCGGGTCGCCGCAACCTTGAAGGGGGGGTGATGTAAGGGGACACTCCTATTTTCTCTCCTTTCCTTCATCCCATGGACTCTTACCTACATTCCCTTCATTCCCCTTCGTTCCTTTTCGCTCCCTTTCCTTTCCACTTCCTTTCCACCCACTCCTTTGCATCCGAGCCGCGTCCGGTGACTCCGGAGTCTTCCCACACTTCGGACACTCCGGACTCGCTCGGACTCGTTTTGGACACTTCGGACTCGCTCGGACTTGTCTATACTCTTTGGGGCTTGTCCGGGTTACCTCTATCCTTTTCCCCCACTTCATTACTCTTTGCCCTTACTTTCCCAAGTCGCTGGCACGACTCCTGTGCATTTACTCTTTACTTCATTATCACATGTTTCCTCGTACCTTGTGATATTCATTTGGACTTGTGGCTGGTGTACTGTACAGTTATCCTGCATTCCTCTCACGCTACTACAGTATATACTTTGCTTCCCAGCATGGAGAATCCTTATCCCATTCTCTTTGGATTCTCCCTCTGCTAGGCCTGCGCTGTCGGCCATCTTGAGGTTGCCCTTACAGAACATGCCAGACATCATTCTAATGATGGCTTCATGTTTTATTTTTGCTCCTTTTGCTTCCCTGCGGAGACTGAGGTGTTCCGGCACCTGTTCCGGCCGTCACAATAGAGGTCAATAGACCTATGTACTAATGGGGTGCTGAATGTGGGAACATTGCATTGACTGTGGAAGTCATGTGCTTGTAATGTAGGTACAGATTGCTAAACAGTGCTTGTGCACTTTTAGCAATACTGTCAACACCAGTCATCCCATGATGACCTGGGTTGTCCCAATGGGTGTTGGCAGTCTATGGGTGGTGTGGTCCCCAATGCATGGGAACCGGGTGCTTAGCGTGCGACCACACAGCACAACTTTGTTATACATTTGTACAACAAGTGTGCACATCACTTCAACAGCTTCATGGTTCCTGTTGAGGAGTGCAGTGCACAGATCCCGCAAGTGCAAGAATAGGTTGTGGAGGGGTGAACCAGTATAGTATTTAGATCAGGAGAGAAAATGAAGAAGATATGTCAATATTGAGTGCGGCAATGATGAAACTGCTTTGCAAAAAGCATCAAAACCCTCTAGAGGTGGTGGTTGGCGAGGCATATAGGAAATACACGAAAAGCCTCTGATCAGGCGCGTCATATTCAAGTCCGACGGTCACAGTCACTGTGGCACGCGTTGTTGACAAATGTTTTGTGCCAGGCTCTCTGGAGTGGTTGAGCAAAATAAAGTTGTCGGTATAATCTCGGATCAGTCTAGTCGGTAACTGCCGACTGTACAAGAATACTCTTCAAGTCCAACATTCTCGCGCAAAGCTCAACCACGAAAGAGAGCCTGGGTAGGAGGCTGGGAGCCTGGTACCCAAGCAACGATATATATTAAAGCGCCGCCAGACGATCCCTAGTACAAATATATGCCCTCAAACTTCTAAAACAACCTCACAAAATTACTTGGGAAAACATGCTTTCCCCTCCGTCTTCGGCCCTCATCTAACAACTCTCCGCTCCACCACCCATCCTCCGGAGTCGCCGTAACCGCAATAATATCCCCTGCCTGAAAATCAAACTCTTCATCAATGGTTCCTGTATAATCATACAGCGCTTGCACTAATCAATCATAGGGACAATGAGTCTACCTACATCCACACTTTAAGAAAGTAGGACGGACCGTAGCACAGGATGGGTTTCCCTTCTTCAGTGACCTGGCCTGCCATTTGGGACTGGGGCTGGGATGCCGACTGTGGCACCATGGCGGGACTAGGTTCGCGATATGGTTGCTGCTGTGGTTGTCGCAGTCCTTGCTGCTGGGGGATCCCGTTCATCGGCGCACCATTAGGATAGTACCCACCTGTACCCATTGACACATTCCTCCCAACACTCCCCAAGCTCCCGCTCCCATACCCTGACATCGCAGGCTGTCCGTACACGTTCTGCTGCTGCTGTACTGGAGGCTGATACGGCGCTGGGGTGTAGGTAGGCTGGGGCGGGATGTGCTGCATGCCGTAAGGTGCCTGATGCTGTACCGGCTGCTGTTGAGGGTAGCTCATCTGGGGAGGTGGCGGAGCGTATTGCTGCTGCTGTTGTGGCGGTTGATGATGATGCTGTTGTGGCGATGGATCACGGTACAACACTTGCTGGGGTGGAGGTGCCATCCCGGTGTTCGTCGGAGCCATATAGCTTGTCCTGCGTTGGTTGTTGCCATACGAAGGTTGTTGTTGCTGCGGTTGTTGTTGTTGTTGTTGTTGTTGTTGTTGTTGCTGCTGCTGCGACGGTTGGCGAGGTTGTTGATATCGTGCAGCCATCTCGTCGTGCAGAACACGTCCGCTCGGGTCAAGGGCAATACCGACGTTATTTGGACTCACTGCTCGATTGTGAGGGGCAGCGGGATGGCCGATACCAAGGCCCTGATGGGGAGGCATGAAGTTGTTATGACTCATGCTTGGTGCCGGACTGGGTCCTTGCGCCATCGGTTGCGGACTGGGACTGCGAGACCCGTGTGCACCAATCCCCGCGTGTCCAACTTGGCTAGGAGGTCGAGTGAGGCTCTGCCCGTGGCTAGAGTTACTCGCATGATATGTCGATGGCTGCTGCTGACCGGGAGGAAGACCAACGTAACTCCCGCGCCGACTGACGGTCTTTCGTTCGCCTGGAAGAGATTGCTGGTAATCAGCAACGACGTTTTCGATCGGATCGGGCCCGATGGATGAGCCCGTGCTCTGAGGCCGCATCATCACTGCTGTTGGAGGATTCGGAGAGGTAGCGCGAGAACTTGGGGGGTATGAGCCCACGACCATGTCAGCGGAGGTGCGATAATCGCGTTTCTGAGCTCCATCACCGCCGCCAGCGGCGGGTGAAGGCGTCTGCATCTGCCTCGTTAACCCAGGTGCAGACAGAGACGAAGGTCCGGGAGTCGACGTGCTCTTCTGAGGTGATGAATGGGCAACAGACTTCCGCCGAATACTTCCGGAGTTCGAGACGGCACGCTTGAGTTCTTCCATCTGTTTAGCAAGGGGATCCACAGTGTCTTGAGGCTTCTGGAGCGTTGGTGATGGCCCGTTCACCTCGTCGGAGCCGAGGTCACGATGATGAACTGCATTTTGACCTTGTGAACCTTGTTGAGAAGTAGACTGAGCTCTCGCTCGACTCCGAGTTGGCTGTCGACTTAGGGTTGATTCTTCTTTTTCTGACTGTCGACCGGGCTCTTCTCGTTCAGATTCTGGTCCCCAGCCTCCTCCCCCACCCGCACCGATACCAGCTGTATTCGTTGCTGGCTCCGGGTCATCGTCCATTGGTACGCTACTGAGCTTGGCAGGTCGGTTCGTATTCCTGGAAAAGCGGGCGGGTCGTGAAGTAGGTCGGGTTGCGGCCGAGGGGATGGCATCGGGGGCGGCGTAGTTTATGAATGGTGGAGGATCGGGGATTTGGCTTCCAGTACCGTAGTCCCTAACAAAATTTTCCATCTCCTTCTCGGGGTCCATCTGTTCCAACGACACTCTGATCTTCTCGCAGGACTATCCAATCATTTCGCCATGTGAGTCAACCCTAGACACCAGAGGAGCTGCTTAGGGCTCACCTCGTCGTCAGCAACACAGACAGTAGATATTGAGTTCGCGTACGCCCACATGTTGTCCTTCGAGAATTCCATGCGATCATCTTCAAGGTCCTGACACATATCACAAAACACCTTCCAATCTTGCTCCCACTTGTGCGTCGTATCGGCCAGAGCCTTGGCGAAATTAGCAAAGTCCCGCTCGTTTGTTTGGACGGTCTGCTGGGCACGTTCAAGCTTGAGACGAATTTTCTCCAAGTCCTTCCCTTGCATCAGAGTCGACTGAGCAGTAAACGAGTTAATCCGCAAACAATCTGCCTCGTATTTCTCGCGGGCCTTGGTCACATACGCTTCCTGTGTTTGCTTGGCTTTGAAGGCCTTCTCGATCGATGTTTGATAGACTTTTTTGTGGTGAACTTGTTTGTTCAAGAAGGTTGCAGCTTGGCCTTCGAGTTCCCTGATCTGGTTGGCGAGCTGGAGATGCGAGGATGCTTGCTTATCTGTTTCTAACCGCACAGTGTCAAAGGAGTTTCGTAGTTCTCTAGCAATCAAGTATTAGAAACATCCAGGCGACTGGTGTAGCCCAATATACCAGCGCCAGGGCGTCTGAAATCACGACGACGACCTTCCAGCTGGCCACAAAGCAGACGCGTCGTCCAATACATGGGCCGAGCCTAGCAGACCAGCCTCGTATTCTCTATATGAAGGGTATCAGACTTACCCAATCTCGTCTCTGCCCAAATTCACCTTCGCCAGCTTGGACAGCCGTTTGGCGTAGTCCTCTTCTACAAGGGCTCTGGTGAGACAAACGTACTTAGCTCGGTATGTCGGTATCGCAGGGTGACTGACGACGCACCGTTCCTTCCAGTAGTTTCGTAGCTCATCCATAGACCTCTGCGCGCCGCGCATTCGAGCAAAGAGAACGTCCACTCCTCCATCCCCCATGCCCCAGAAAGCATTACAGAAATCCGTTGACTTTTGCTGGATGGGGGAGTTGCTGCGTGCATATCGTGATAGCGATGTTGTCGAGGGCTGCCTCCGCGCCGCCATATTCTGATAAATCGAATGCGGACAGAGCTCTGTCGGTTGCAGGCAAAGTGCAGGCAGCGTTCAAGTAGTGTTGGAGTTGAAACTTGAAACCACCGCGCACTTACCTCGTGACCGGCTCAAGATGTTTTTGGCGATGGTGGCGCTGGCGCCCGTTACCCAAAGAGTATTCTACCAAGTTGGGAAGATCGGCTCAAGCTGCAATATAGCGACCATCATTCCAGTACTTGCAAAGGACTACGTAAACAGATATCGGTACTCTACAATCGAAACCGTTTTCTAATGATGTCTGCGGCTAAATGTTTCAAACGTAGTTCAGCACATGCAGTGTGCTACACTAGTGGATGGATAACACACCTTGCTCAGCAATCGCGTACACAGTCGCTAGATGAGAAACTAGGTTTAAATCACGAATAAGTTGTATACCAAAGCCCACCTTGAGAATGGGAAGCAAAGTGTAGCGGCACAATAGACAGATCTACGACTCGAACATTCTTTGTACCATACACCCTGAGTTGAGGATCAACGACACCACCCTTTTCACGAGGCAACATTGAGCAACTTCCGGCTGGATCTAGTAGAAATACAGTTAGCAATGGGTGGGCCGCTCCTCGAAGGACTTACGGAACGTGCTATTGAGAACTTGCTTAATCCACGCTAATAAAGAGTTGAAGCAATAATTATAGCCAGTATATCCGCAAACGAACATACCAGCAATTTGCTCATCGGTCTGGACTTGAGGTCCTGGGTTTATTTCGACTGGCGAATCGCCTATATCACAGCATATATATCAGCGGCTTGAATGGCAGACGTAGTAGTGGCACTCACCAACGACTTGGGTGAAAGGGTGGACAGTGGATAATTTACGGACAAATTTAACCATTTCCACAATCGTCTGGATATCTATAAGGATGCCAATTACACCCATGAGACCAATACCTTCTGGTAGGCCTACCGAGCTCCTCTTCAAAGTAACGAGGGTCAATCACTGGGTCCACTTTGGGGTCGGATGTCGCACAATGCTAAATCCGTGTGCCATAAGTTGCGCATCAAGGTGAATTTTGTTGCAAGACGTACAACAGAGCCTCGAGAAAAGTTGTAGTTGGTCGCTGCAGCGAAAGTGACGTACCGTTTGCCTGGTGCAGGAAGATCTGCTACCGAGTCAAAATCAGTGAATAACGTGGGGCGAGAGGAGACAAACTTGGGCGTGACAGAAACTTTGGAATGGTGATGATTTCACAACCGGGCATGCGCCTATCAAATCGCTCCAGCATGATTTTGTGTTGCTCCAGGATGCCTGGAGGGTATGTATCAGCATTTTGCAGGACTTTCTTCTTCATCGCATTTTTCATTTCTTCAGCCTTATCAGTGAGGAAGTCCAGAGGAGCAAAGGCTACAGCAGAGATTCCTGCAGTGAAAAGACCTGAGCCTGTGGCACTTAAGTTAGGTCAGTAGCAGTATTGGAAAGTGCTTATCTACAAATATTGCTTACTGTAAAGCTATGTGCTTTGATAACTGGGTGGAATCTTGCAAGATATCCCAGGTTTCGGCTTCAACATCGTCCTGGATTTCTGATGAAAAGACATGAAATGAGACGCGGCAGCAAGTGGGGAAGAGTATCAACTAACCAAATGAAACACAGGCATTAACATGCTCTATATATAATTCGGGCACTGAGGCGAGTCAATGACACGAAGAATGGATACGTACGCACCTTGAAGATTCTCGCCGACCCCAGGGAGATCAACTTTGACTGGGACATTAATCCTCTCCAATACATCACGCCTTCCAATCCCCGAAAGCTCGAGTATCTGAGGGGACTTGACAGTGGTAGCAGCGAGAATAACCTCCTTCACTGCAGTCGCGAGGAACACCCCTCCGCCATACATAAACTCCACACCTAATGCTACTAAATCTTCATTTACATCTGAGGACTCCTCAAAAAGGATTTTATCAACGTGCGCTAGCACGAGGATGGAGAGGTTTGTGCGGTCGGCGCTGGGGAGATAGTAGGCATTCGTGGAATAGGTCCTGGTGAATGTCGCAGGGTCTATGTTATTAGGAATCAGAAAGGTGCCAATCGGCTAGAGTCCTGGTCAGAAAGAAGTTAAGAGGGGTGAACGTCATGCGTACGTCGCCGTGTAACTAGGTGTCATCATTAAACCAAATGTACTATGTGTGGATTAGCAACGTACGGGTGCTTTTGCTATGGGTATCCCAAGGTGATTCATTGCCTGTAGGTCAACATCAGGAAAACTGAAATAAGAGAGGTTTCAAATCAGGAAAGTACCTTGTGGGCCTTCAACTCTATATCTAAAATAGATCCCGTATGCGCAATCTTCAACAACCCTAGAATAATATAATGGTAGGCCATTTGCTGCGGCTAAGCGAACAAGAATCTGTCGTTGCATACCTTCTTGGCTGCACTTCCATTTATTGAGGTCTAGGCCTCTAGCCGCTTGCACATCGGGCGGGACGTGGATGAAACTGAAGAACGCGACTGACAGCTGAACAGACAAGTCCAACTTGACGACTTGAACTACGTACTTTTCAACTTTGTCCAAATATTTTTCATGATTCTTCCAATTCCATCCCGGGTTTCCCTAACCAGAAATCAGGCATACACGTCGTACGGGGTATAAGTGACAATCACCAAACGCTCGAAATCTGTACCAGATTAGTCGACAATCCAATGAATTCGAGTGACTTACCGTCTATATCTTCTACGGGAGGTTTTGTCCAGCACAGATAATTGGTAGCTGAGCTTCCGCCTAAGCCCCTACCTCTGATTCGTCGGAGTGTGAGCCGGGCCGTTGACGCTCAGAAGGAGCTGGCGGGACTCACAAGTGCCACTTTACCTCGGTCCCCTCCTGCCCACGCCGGAGAGAGGTAAGCTAACAGAATGGAATCAGCATGCTGCTATTCCCTTACAGTTGGGAAATTCCAATCATAGTCCGTATGGCCGAAATGAGCACCGAATTGCGCGGGCCTGACTATCAGAACAGAAGCAGAGACAGGATGTTAGTATCGAGCTATTGTCGCTTCGTCACGTAGAGCCGTTGGATAACGTACGTATAAGGTCGTCATCCAGGTTGGCGGGACCAGCTTCAAGAACCAGAACGGTCGCTATTTCATCCTTAGCCAGTGATTGACCGTCGGATCCAGTCCAAGAAAAGCGTACTATCGTCGTCTTCCGTCAGTCTTGCTGCGAGAACCAGCCCGGCCGTCTATGATTCGTACAGTATTAGATACTGTGACCCGCACTCAAGTTATACGAGACCTACACCCCCACCTGACGCGCGATAAGCCAAGTCACACGATTGCCAATTAAGAGCCACCAGTCGACATACCAACAACGATATAGTCAAATTTCCTGTTTACAACGTCGTCCAGAGACACAAGCGGCATCTTGAGGCACTACCAGGTGACAGTACGTGGAAGAAGTAAAGGAACGAAGACCCCGGCTTTAAATCGCCCGAAGAGGTTGCGGTGAATGGTTAACTCCATCGCCACCAAGTGAGTCTAGAGCGAAATCTGGAGCTCCATTGTGCATATGCCAACGAACAAGGATCAAGTTCCTGATGATCGATGAGTCGAGATTACAAGATTAGAGCAAGGAACTCACTACAGAAGACCGACTACTCCACGTAGAAGACCTTTACTCGCTTCATACGAAGAATCTAGGGATCTTACTACATAGTCAAATGGCACTGAGGCGACCAAAACGTCCGGCAAATATTCACCCCTTTAGGGACTCTATTTCTTTCGAACTTGTCTCCAGATACTCTTCATAAGAATCGTGATAAGCAGCTATATGGTAGACATCTCAGCGCATTCCTGGCGCCAAAATATACAATGCCTTACCTGGAGTTTTAGCAAGTGCCCTGTACCGTGCAATCGCCTTCCGATTGTGCTCGACAGCAGCCAACTGAGCATGCTTTATTGTTCCTTGACACTCCAGGATGAGTAACAGCTTTCCCGACGCGACGAGATACACCCTTACCCGACAAATGAACAACGTTCGGTATGTATCTTGAAGTACCTACAGCTGTCACGAGCGTAAGGGCTGCCCATGCCAAATTGTGATGGTCTCTCGCAACTCGTATAATGCATATGTTCGTTACAGGTGAGAAGTATGTCACTGTCGTCAGCATATGAGTGCACCGTAGCGATGCGGCTGCTTGGAGAAACTCGCCGTTTAGAGACATCCCTACTGCTCCCCAGCCCGTATCTCCAAAGTTAGCCACAATGCTCTGCTTCAAAGCATTGAATATCTGTTGACCATTGAGAGTATTGTTGGTCGCTTCGTGGAGAGGAATAAATTCAACAAGGAGCCATCGATTCTGGTGGGTACAGCCTCAGCCCATCCTCTATGAGAGACTTGGATGGCCTCAACGCATACCTTGAACCTGACCATCACCGCCCGCTTGTGATCGCGACTGGCCAAGAGACGATAGACGCCCATTTTCCTTTCTCAGCGCCGCCATGTCGTCGCTGCTCACCGGCCCCGCCCTCCGAGCCCAGTGCAGGCGTCGGGCATTCCACACAACGTTCTTCAGGTCGCAAAAGCACCCTTCCCCACCCCAAAAGCCTTCGACGCGTGCTTATTCACAATTTAGCCGTGACCGCGCCGCCGTAGGGGTAAGTCCTGATCTTTATACAGGAGCAAGAGCCTAAACATCTCTGCTATGTAGGTATTCACACCAAAGTCTGCTGCGCTCTTCGTGGCGGTGGGTGTCGGCTTATTCTTCTACTTCCGCCATGAGAAGGCCAAACTTCTCGAGCAACGAGGTGGGTTATAGAGTTCCCCCGTGCTTCGGACGCTGAATCAATATCCAAAACAGAGCAAGAGCGCGCAGCCAAGCAATATGGGCGACCCAAAGTCGGGGGACCATTCACCCTAGCCACACCCACCGGGGAACCATTCACCGAGAAAGATCTGTTGGGGAAATGGTCTCTCGTTTACTTTGGCTTTACGAACTGTCCCGACATCTGCCCGGCAGAGTTGGACAAAATGACAGAAGTCATGAACGTAGTCGGTGAGTCCCAATAGCACCATCGCGCTCACGCCGTTCCTCTCATTGTATATCTCAGAGAAGAAACACGGTTCTATATTCCAACCAGTCTTCATCTCCGTTGACCCTGCTAGAGACATCCCCTCTCGAATTGGTCAATACCTGACCGACTTCCACAAATCCTTCATCGGCTTGGTTGGATCGTACGAGTCCACGAAGGCCGTCTGTAAAGCCTATCGTGTATATTTCTCTACGCCGCCGAATGCCGACCCAAACGGTGACTACCTCGTCGACCACTCTATATTCGTCTACTTGATGGATCCGGAGGGTCAATTTATCGAGGCATTTGGACAGGCAGTTGATACGCCAGAGGTTATCTCTAAGATTCACGACGCCGTAGCGGAGTGGACGAAGGAACACGGCAAGAAAACGTAGAGCTACTGTATAGTTACTTGTCTTTAACCCCTACTTTGATTGAATTAAAACATAAGCAACAAAGGGGAGGGTGCGTCTATTCTGCCTCCTCCGCTGCTGCAAGCTTCTGTTTCGACAAGGCCTTCATGCGGCGGACATAGCTGGTAGTCCTGGTCAGCAAGGTTCATAGGCCTAGTGTGAAGATGCCCTCACTCGTCGTATTGGCACCTGGCGAAAGAAAATGTTGTCATTTCCCTACCCCATCAACATAGTGAACAAATAACTCACTTCTCATAAACATGTCGCTCGTCTTCGCATTTCCATGGCAGGTACATGGTATCCCTTCTACAGGCGTTCAATGGAATCAAAAGGCTATTCCACCACCAGTGAGCCCATGTTCGCGCGCAGGAAAGTCATAGGTGAAGCATCGTGGAATTAGAAAAGCATGGTACCAAGGCTAGTCGACGTAGACGTACGCGGAGCACTTGTCTCGCCACCCGAGAGGCACTTTGTTGGCCTTCAGCTCGGTCTGCGACGCTGTCGTCGAGGAAGCCATGGTGGTTGCTGAATGTGAGTTATGTCCGAGTTGCTCGTGTTGCCCGCTCATTCCGGTTGTATTTGGCTGTGGGATGGGAACCAAACACTCGCCTCCCAAATACGCGCACCTTTGAGACGCGTCAGCGACCGAAGTGTATTTCACCGTCGTCGTCGTCGCCGTCGCCGTCGAGCTCACTGTCTGCACGCCATGCCGCTCGAAGCCACCATGATGATTATCGACAACTCAGAGTACATGCGCAACGGGGACTACCAACCCACCCGCTTCGAAGCCCAGGCCGATGCGGTCAACGTCGTATTTCAAACCAAGACCGACTCCAATCCGGAGAACACAGTTGGCGTGATGACCATGGCGAACAAAGGGTAAGAGTCTCATGCAGTATATCATCACTGCGAACTCAGTCACCATATGTTAGCCCAGAGGTCCTCGTGACACATTCGAAAGACCTGGGGCAGATCTTGCAGGCAATACACGCCACTTCGTCCAAGATTGGCGGACAAATCGACATTCCTACAGCCATTGCTATCGCCCAACTTGCCTTGAAGCATCGAGAGAATAAGAATCTGCGACAACGTATTATTGTCTTTGTTGGATCACCACTAGAAGGTCAAGCTGCAGATGAAAAGGCCATGATCAAGCTCGCAAAGAAATTGAAAAAGAATAACATCGCGGTCGATGTTGTGTGCTTCGGTGATGGCATTGAGGAACCCACAGAAGATGGGAAGAGTGTCCTGAAGTCCTTCGTCGAGAGTACAAGTAGTGGTGATAACTCGTAAGTTCATTGTTTGCTATGACATTAGCACAATCATTAAATGACCGTTCCTAGACATCTGCTCCTTGTTGCCCCCGGTGCACACTTGCTATCTGATGCCCTTATCTCCTCTCCAATATTATCTGCTGACCGTGCCGGCGCCATACCCGCTGAACTCGGTGGTACTGGTGATGCAGGTGGTCCCGCTGCTACCGCTGCTGGTGATCAATTCGAATTCGGCGTAGACCCAAGTTTAGACCCCGAACTTGCCATGGTAATAAGACTGCATCTCATATCATATCGAGTCAACAACCTAAATAATCTATTCTAGGCTTTACGGATGTCAATGGAGGAGGCTCAAGCACGGGAAGCTGCAGAACGCGCTGCATCAACCTCAAATCAAAACGCATCAACACCTTCAGCCCCGCCTCCTGCTGCCGCCCCGGTAGCTGCGGATTCCACGGATGACGAGGAGGCGGCACTGCTGGAACAGGCGATAGCCATGTCACAGGATGTCGAGATGGACGCCTCACGACCAACTGGCACGACCGACGATGCGGACATGGACGAAGATGAGGATGAAGAGGCAGCTATTGCAAGAGCGATTGAGATGAGTATGAAGGGTGAAGAGGATGATTCTACTCCTAAGAAGTAAAATGAACTCTTGTTAGTGTACATGCTCCCTCGATTCATTCATTCTCTTCTCCATTTGCTTGTTACGCCTCATTGACTCAGCCTCTTGTACATGTGCGAATAATGCGTTCAACGTCGCCGACTGCGCATTGCCGGATTGATGCCACCTTGGCAGTGTAGCTTGCCCATTGTTCTCGGAGACGGCCGTATGGCAGAGATTCCTGTTTAGGCAAGTCCCGACGTGGCTTCAATGCGACGATATCCAAATAAGGGAATATACACCGCCAACGGGCTGACTCATCCACACGCGCCCTCCCTTATAAGAGCGCCCCCTCGTTCTCTGCTTTGACCTCTTCCCTTTGTCTGAAACCCCATAACTTGAGGCGTGAGTGGGCCGCGTCAAAGGAAACCCAGCGATTGTGGTCCAAATACCGATTGTCTCTGTAGTAGCCACTTGCCACTCGCCACAAAGGCTCCGGGCTTAAATAGAGTCTGAGTCTGCGCTGGCAAATCCCCACAAATCCATAACTCTTTACCTCATCCCTTTGAACACCGCTACAAATGACAGTAGTAACGCGCAGCGCGGCAAAGAAGAAGCTCTCGGGAACGACCCCTTCATCGCCGCCTAGGAGAAGCACAAATACCCCTAAGCCCAAGGCTAGGACCATCGCCAGACCCCCTCCAAACCGCGCCCGCAACGAAAACCCCTCCTCCACCAACACAGGCTTTCGCACCACCTTGATTGACAGCTCTGGAGCTGTCGTCACTGTAGCGCCATCCGCTACAGGCCAAGGTGTGCACACGAGATGGGCGTACGACCCCACTCCCTACGAACGCACCTCTCAAGACACCCAGATGAACGAGGAAACAGGACCAACAACCCACTCTGCCTTACCGAGCCCCTCGAGCACACCTCCCTCAATCAATGCCCGCTACGTGACTCCTGCTCCACGAGAATCGTTTTACCCATCCACAGCCCTTTGCACCCCCCAGAAGGGTGTGCGCGCCAAAGTCGTGCGACGCAGCCCTCGTCGAGTCAATGCCTTAGCTCCCGAGGTCATTATAGGCAACCAACGCTACCACCACGCCATGGAGAAGGCGCTTAACCGCACCAATGATGGCGAGTCCAGCAACCTGAACGTCCTCCCGACTCCTTCGAAGCAAAATAAAAGAGATGTATTCAGCAACCGAGCGCAAACAGCAGCGGCGGAGGCACCGAGACTTGGACAGCCGGTCTCGTTGCAAAGGGCACCCTTGGGAAGATATGATACTATCCAGTGGGATGCAGGCTGTGGAGAGACGCCTGTTGCTTCGCCGAAAACGTGTGCGGAATCTCCCAAACGGCGATCTCCCCTGGTACGCAGCTTGGACAGTGGACCAGGACCCCTACTCGGCCCAATGGGCACCCAGATCATTGGTCCAAATGGAACGCACCTTCTCCTCGGCGCCACCGCCGGTCCAATTTTAGATACTCAAATCATCAACGAGAACGATAGCATGATGGATATCACGATGGACGAGGGTGGGCATCTGAAAGGTCCTATCGGGCCCCATGGAGAGAAGTTGGGTCGTGATGGGAAGCAGTTGCTCGGCCCGTCGGGGACACTCTTGCACTATGATATGAATCGACTTGCGGACAAGATGCGGGATGGAAGAGTTGAAGCGAAGGGATTCTTAGGGGGCTCACCCAGTCGAGCCAGGAGGTTGGGTCCTAGTGGAAATGCTCTCCTCGAGTGAGTGAGGATGGGAATGGAAGATTTTATCACGATTCATAAGGAACATACATGTCTGTCGCCTCTTCATTTACTACTCATATATGCCTTTTATCAATGTACATTACTGCATGGACGATGTATCGTAGAATCTGTAGCACACAATTCCGTTCGTTCTGCGTCGAACAGTTAACGATGTCAATGTTGGCTGTGAGGCTCCCTCACCTGTCGCATACATAGCCTTCCACCATCTCGATATATTGACTTCTGCCTCGCATAGGCCGATTCAAGATGCAATACTCTTCGATGCCACAGACGATATCACGATCTCGTTGATTAGTACTTTCTCTCTGGCTGAATCGCCTTTTGCCTCCAAAATAGCGGTATCTTGGCCAAGTTTATAGTGCTTTCAAGCCGAAGTGTTAGTAGTAAGTTACAACATAGAGACGCAACGGCCAACCTTCTTGACAGTATTCCATTCTGTTATATCCTGAAGCTTGTCCAGTGGCACAGTCTCGCCAGATATAATAGCATCCATATCTTTCTTGGCTCGCTCGGCTGGGAGATCAGGTCCGTCGATGCGAACGACCAAGAGCGACCTGGTCGTGTCCGACACGCCATAACGCCTGAGAGCTTCCGTGATCTGCAGAAGAGGCGCGATCATTGTTCGTGGTCCGCGCTTTAGCCGGAGAGTTTATACATTATTTGTCGGGTTCAGTATCCAGACAATCTCTGAATGGACCTTCTTCGTTCGCAGTGCACCCTGAGCTTCAGCCATGACAGCCTGGTATATGGCAGTCTGAAGATGCAGCCTGCTTGTAATCTTTATGTCCATCAGTCGCGCAGAGGCAGCGCAGCCAGCATTGACTGACCAGGCGGGCATCTATGAACGCAAAGTTGACTGCCTGGCGTTCTTGTTCTCCTTCGTCGCCATCGAGCGTCGCGGCCTTGATGATCCTGCTCCTGAGGTCCTTCGCGTTATTCACCGGGGCGAATAGCGCGACGTGCGCGACAGACAGATTTCTGGGAAAGTGTGGATTGGTAAAGGTCTCCATCATGGAGCCAGTCAGCTTTAGCGCCCAGTGCCTTCTTCTTCCCCTTCCACGTCGACGTCTGCGACGTTTCTCTCGACCTCCACAATGCAGTGGTCGTTCCTCAAGGACCTCCCGCTCTCGGTCCTCATTGCGACGCTCGCATTCACCGCTGCGCTCCCCATAAAAGCTGCCCTTCTGACGCCGGATAACTTCAATGACACTGTAGCCAAAGGTGTCTGGCTCATCGAACACTTTTCTCCGTATTGCCATCACTGCAGGGACTTTGCACCAACATGGGAACGCTTAGCGAAGGATGTGGAAAGCAATCCCAACCCCGGCATACACCTTGCGCAGGTCGATTGTGCTGCCTACGGAGGCGAGTGGTGACCCTTCGCTTCATTTCCGCAGTCGACTTGTGCTCATACCTCATACAGATTTGTGTGACGAACATAATGTAAAGGGATACCCTCAGATGAACATATACCAAGATGGCGAATACAAAGAATATTACAAGGGTGTTCGAGATTACGACCTCCTTACCGCGTACATCGCAAAACACGCGAAGCCCAGCACATCTGCTGGACCACAGACACACGTTGCTGCGCCCGTAGAACCCGAAGAGCCCGTTAAACTCCTGGGCACGACTGGACGCGTCATTGAGCTCAACGAACAGAACTTTGAATCCGTTGTGAGCGAGGGGCCTACTTTCATCAAATTCTTCGCTCCTTGGTAAATACATCCCGCCCTTCTGCGCAACATTGATAGTGGCTGATGTTCTCATCAGGTGTGGTCACTGCAAGAAGCTTGCACCATCATGGACACAATTAGCCAAGCATATGCAGGACAAGATCAACATCGCAGAAGTCAACTGCGACGAACATGGCGCTCTCTGCAAGTCTCAAGGCGTCGAGGGATACCCGATGCTCGCTTTCTACCCAACTGGTGTAGCCTCCAAGGCAGAATACAGCCAAGGTCGCAAGCTGGATCAGTTGAAGGCTTTCGCTGAGAAGGCCTCCGCACCGTATGGGATATACATTTGATCGTGAATTTGCTGTTCTGACACCCGTACAGCGCACTACAACCCATTCATGCAACGGCATTGGCCGACAAGGTAGCAGATAATTCTGTTATCTACCTCTTACTCCTCCATGACTCGAACCCCGAGCTCCTTGTACGTCTAATGAACATGCTTCCGTCGCACTCGTCCTAACGTTACCCATTTCGTAGAAAACCATGGGTAACACCGCTCAAGTCCTTCTTGGTTCACCTCCTGTATACTCGACCACTGCTCCTGAACTGTATGAGAAATACAAAGTACCATCATGGGCCCCCTGGGCGATACTCGCATTCAAGGATCACGACGCTTCCTGGCCCACATCACAATTCCTCGGCCCTCCTTCTCACGATGCTAACTCCATTAAAACCAGTGTAACACCTTGGCTCCTCTCGAATCGTCTTCCAACGACCGCAGAGCTTACACAAGACAGTTTCCAAGGTATCATGAATGCGCCTCACAGTCCCCTCGTTGTCATTGCTGCAGTAAACAAGGCCAACTCGGCGAAAGTGGCTGAGAAGCTGCGAAACATTGGAAGTAAATGGCGGGTGAAGTTGAGAGCGCACGATACGGCCTCAGCGGGTAACAGGGACGTAGTCTTTGCTTCGATGGACGCTGAGAGATGGAAGGACTGGATGAAGAGCATGTATTCTATCAAAGCTAGTGATGATGGTGAAGTCCCCGTCGTCATAGCAGACCACAAGGTTAGTGTCTATCCAACGTCTTTACCGTACAATGCCTCATGGAATACGTTTAGAACCTTATTTACTACGACGTTGACGAGAACAGTCAACCTCTGAAGCTAACTTCTGCAAGCCTATTTACCGCTATCGACAGCGTCCATAAGAACAAGCTTGCGTACAAGCATTCTGAAAACGCTGTTGAGAGAATTGCCCGCGTACGTTCTCCCACTCACATGTCAACGCAATCGTGACTAAAGCCTTGCACAGTACTTGAACGGCAAGATGATGTCCCTCGAGCACTTTGTCAAAACCCATCCCTACTACACCATCACCATTGTGGTCGGCTCTATGGTCGCTCTGTTCCTCTGGTTGAAGCGACTCGTAGCAGACGATGTGTATGATATCCGGGAGCAAGGGCAACTGAGAAAGGGAGACCGTCTTGATTAATATCACGTACTATAGGCGTAATGTACTCATCTACATATTTACATTATACGGACTATTGGATGGCACGCAGATGCTGAATGACCTTTGGAAGCAAACATGGGCAAGCAAGTGATCGGACACGCGATGCGCCACGTCCGTGACCCCAGTCCCCAACATATTTCCTCCAACATCCAGCGCGCTGTCCAAGGCCTGACTCCGAACCACCACCACCACCACCACCACACAGGCCTCCTCAAGAATCCCCTACATCCTTCCTCAGTGCACTCTACTCGCCGGTGGCGTGCTCATCACCCAAATCCTCAAAGTGAAGTGAAATCTCGATGTTTTCGGACGAGTTGAAGGCGTTTAGGAGACTGGGGTTCAGACATGTAAGCGAGGAGGAATCAGAGCATGTGCTCTAGTGTATCTGACACGGCTTCTGCGCTAGGTTTTGTTACAGGTGCTGAATTTTGCAAGCGTAATTGCTTCGGGCCTTATGCTTTGGAAAGGCATGAGCTTGGTTACCAACTCAGAGTCACCCATTGTCGTGGTACTGAGGTATGCTCCCCCCTCTAATGACCATGCCAGTTGGTTCTTACAGTAAGTGTCCTAGTGGGTCTATGGAGCCTGCGTTCTACCGAGGAGACCTACTCTTCCTCACCAATCCAGTGTCGGAACTGTACAAGACAGGCGACATAACGGTATATAAAATACCCGGAGCTGACATCCCAATCGTCCATCGCGTCTTAGAGACCAGAAACTTCCCCATCAAAGAGTACAGCCATCCCTATCGAGATCTCTGACGTCCTGCTGATTACATGCGTAACGATCGCAGCTGGGACCCTTCAACATCCTCCTCCCCTCACCCCGTAGAGCAGAAGATGCTAACGAAGGGAGATAACAACCACGTTGACGATTTGGCGCTATACGAAGGCCTGGACTGGCTAGAGCGGAAACACATCGTTGGCAAAGTTCGCGGGTGAGTTAATCACACTGGCGCAATCAAACCGTGCAGGGCGTTATCCAATATTCGTCTCTCTTCAGGTTTATGCCGTACATTGGCTATGTCACAATAGCGATGGCAAGTACTGTCCCTTCTTTCTGACCCTGTTCGTAGCATCTGACAATCCTTCTGCAGAACGACTTCCCACAACTCAAGTACGCTCTGCTCGGCGGGCTTGCGCTCCTTGCATTATTGCAGCGAGAATAGTTTCGTGGTGTATTTAGTATTTGAATTGGGAAAACTATCACATCCCTAACTTGTGCTGCGTACTGCGCTCAATCAAATTGCCCCGGCCTCCGTCACTGTATGAGTCCCAGCACGCCTGCCGTGAACCTCCACGCACGGCCTTTTGACACTCGTTGCATCTTTGCCTTCATTCGAATGGCTTTCGAAGAAAAACTTGCTGCAAGGTGATTTTAGACTCCGCGAATATCGTCGCCAATTGCAACTCCGTCTGTCTACGTCTCCCTACAGCTACATTGCTACATTCTGCGCATCCATTTCGCTGCAGCAATTTAAGAAAGAGTATTCGACCGTGTAAACATAACTCTCAGCACTCCTTAATGAATGCAACATGTCTGCAGGTCTAGAACTGGAACCGACGTCACTCTCCTGCTTCTTGGAATCTCGACTCTTCGAGGGCTTGCAAACCCTATCCGCTTCTCACTTATCATGTCCAATCGTTTGTCAAATCGCACCCTCCTTGTGATGTGCATTCCTGATGCTGACGTGTAGGATTTTTTAACCAGGCCCGTTCGAGCCGAAATCTAACAATATTAGAATGCCATGTTGCAAGAGGATCGGAGACCGTGGACTCTAGTTGGGCCTTCCTCGTGAGGGGAGGGAAAATATAAAATCGTCACTGTACTGAGCGTTCCTTCTGCCCGTACGTTCAACGGAAACTTTGGGGATGGAAGACGTATTCGTCTGCAAACGTTCGATCTCACGACACCTCCTTGATCACCTCGGTAGACCACCACTTGCTAGGACATTCGGTGCTGTATGAACGGAATACGCCGTGCTCATTGTCTACCAACTTCTACTACCTTCAACTGAATAGCTTTGCGGCCCACTCGAAACATATAGTTGGTCAAGTTCAACGCTCGATACTCAATTCACTCCTGGCTTTACCGCTCATTATACAGTACATTGCGACGATACTGAACTCTCGTTTTATGAATATGTAAGTACGAACAACGGGGCACAACGAGCAGAGCAAGATGTATTAAACGATAGGAGCAGGCTTTCGAAGGATAGCCATCCTTACAATTCCTCCCTTCTCAACCGGAACTTAGAAGCAACAAGATGGTGGGTGATGCTCGGCGCGGTATTCGCTCGCCAACATTGTTCCGCCCGTCAGTTGAACCGAACGGACATAAATGAATAGATGAGTATGAATAGATGAGTACACTACAACAAGTAACCAAGAAGTAATACAATAAATATCAGGTGTATATGTAGATATTATGGCCGAGATATAAATGCAAACAGTCACGATTCAACATACCCAGAGAAAGAAAGAATCGCATAGTTGTATTTCAGCGGCAGACCGCTAACATCACTTGATCCATAAGGAAGACAAGACACAGACGGCTGCATTCATTTCATCTGTAGCCGATGTCTTCTTGCTGACACCGGGCTCAGTCACTTTGTTCGGTTCAAACCTCCTACATCATCTTCACCGGTGAGTCTCAAGTTGTAAGCACCTCGGAAATTCGATCTCAGCTCTCGCCACGTAGCATGGCGATACTTGCTAGGTTGTGGAAGATACGATGCGTCGTACGCTTCGTCTACTGAGTTAGATAAGTACATTATATACATGGCGCCCTAGAGGCATCCTTTTCGCGCCGTCAAGTAGACTCACCGGTGGAGAATGGAGCCTTACGATTCTCATCATCCTCCAAGGTTTCTGCCTCACTATCCGACGACGGGCTGCGACGCCTTTTCCCGATAAGTCTCGGTCCACCCGAGTCGTCTAGGTACACTGCATTGGAACCAGTCGGATCTCTGGCTTCGGAGGTAGGGCGACTTTCGATAAGGACTTCCCGCCGCGATGAGTTGTCGCTTGGGCTAGTAGGTGGGATAGAGGGCGAAAAAACGACTCTCGCGGTGTCGCAGGTCGCGCTCTCCCTAACCTCCGTCGATCGGGAGGCCGGCGACGTGACATCGGGCGTCGTAGCCGTTGAGTCGAGTCCTTTCGCCTTTTTCTTGGGCGGCGACTGTACGGCTGACGACGATTCTGACTTCTAAGAGGCAGTCAGTTATTTGTCACGAATCAGTTGCAACTAAGAATACACTTACATCGCCTTGTTCTTGTTCGATCGCTTCTAAGCGCTTGATCTCCATGCATTTCTCTCGATGTTTCAGCCACAATCCGGGGTAGAATCTTGACCGTTTGTCAAGGCTGACCAAACGTGTACATGCCCCGCATCGCACGCTAATAGGTGTTACCTCCAACGCCCACGGATCATCCTCAAGTTTCTTTTTACGCTCGCTCTCGTCCATCATGTTCTTCTTTCGGTTACGTTTGCTATTAGGATCGCCGTCATTCTCATCATTCGACGAGCTGCCCTCCCTATTATCCTGCCTCGCGCCAGCAAATGGTGGGGGGTACCTAGGATCGGTTGCTACATGGCGAGACTTTGCCACACTCGCACTACATCATCAGAATGCATGTCAGTTAATGGAATCGCTTTGGAGGAAAGTGTGCTACCTAATGCTTCCAGGACAGACATTCCAATGTCCGTTTACCATGTCGTTTACAATATTCCAAGGCGTGCCTTCCGGGTAGTAGAACAGAAAGCTGCATCTCCCGCAGGGGACGGTTATTACGCCACGACCATGAAGGGCGGCTTCATGATGGAGGTCTCTGTCTGACGGGGACATCATCTTTGTCTGGTAGGCGTCCGACTATGCGAACTTTCGAGATGGTGGCGAGAAGTAAGAGCGTAGGAGGTAAGTCGACTCGTGGTACAAGCATTCATCGGTGGATCACGTGATTGACAAGCCGAGAGAAGCCAAGCACCTGGCGCTTCTTTTTGCCTAATTACGTTTGCAACCAGGAATGCGCCAACTGGCAACGGTGGCTACACCAGCTCAGAATCAACCACATGCCCCGCTGGACGAGTTGCACTCCGCCAGATGGGCCAGCCTTCATCCGACAATCCCCTCTTGGCGGTCTCCAGCTCGAATCACATAATCAATGATACGGTACGGTACATGCCGAGTACCCCAGGAGAATCAAGAAGTAACAATGTCAGGCCTACGTGTGAAATATCACCTACTTACTGGATTGGAAGCGTCCCTGGTGAATTCCGTCCCCATTATCACTGTGCGGCGGCACTTTTCCCAGTTGCGTTTCGATCCGATGATCACATGGCCCTTTGTATGATTTTAGTGGCCTCAGGATAGGCCCAACATAGGACTCTGGTCCGAGTTTACCTAAGGTAAATGAGGCATGTGAGGCCCCGTGTCTTGGTTTCTCGGAATGCTGGGCAGCCTTTCATCCGAACCACCCGGTTCATTCTAAATTTTGTAGACGGCTGCAGATAAACGCAGCGATGTTGTGTATCTATCCCTCGAGTTCTGGACGAGAACCGAGTTGCTGTGGAGCCTTGAGAAATAGGCCGCCGCTACAGCAAAAATGTCCCACTTATTTTGGCCGTCTATGCGCCGTCGAATTTTGCTGATATTGCGCTGTCTGTTGCCCACTTCAACCAGGAAGTACCTTGATTTGTGGTTGTTTGCATTTGCGACCCACACGCATCACGTCTAAGCAACGTCCAAGTGCCTGATACATAGTGGTTGTAACTGCCGTGGATTTACAGCTCGCAAGGGGCTATGTTAGCTGCGGTCAGATGATGGAAGTCTACTAGGTACCTGGGTTTGGGTTTGCTGTGTGTGAATCCACGACGCAATGTGTGCACAAAGCATCGAGGGCGCTCTATATCAGTATTGAGAATGTCCGGGCCGTCATCTCATATGTATGATAGAAACATCTTGAGCTTCAGGTATGGCTCCCCCTGTTGTTTCATCTGGGTACCCAGATACTGGGATTGGTGAAGTAGCAACAGAAGTGTATATCAGGGGCTTCCTTTTCTCACAGTCACATACATATTCTCACGCTCACACTGATAACAGCTTGCGTTGGTATGACTAGGTTGTACGAGACGAGCAAGATGTATTTGACTAGTTGCTTATACGCAGAGCCTCGAATGATGATTAATTTGCGAGATCTACCTGTCGAGATATGTGAAGGCCACTACGGAAAACTGACGGAAAGTCGGGAGGGTGAGGCTTTTAGTTACCGGGATCGCCCGGAGTATTTTCACATCTATAACAGCCGTGCAGTGTGCCGAGTCAGCACGTCAGCTAAGCCTCAAACTTTTTGGATGTCCCCAGGACACTCATTTCTCAGCGACCACCACCACCACTGCTGAAATTCTGATTTTCACCACGGCCGGGCTTTGCGACAATGCTGCCCAAGGTCGCGAACCACATCCTGCACCAGACGACTAGGGCTGCGGCCGTCGTCCAGTCGCATTCGACACACACTATTAGAAATGTCCTGCGCACGGACACCACGACAAACTTGCCCCCCTGGAATGGTTCCAGCTCCAGCTCGAACTGGGGTAACAACGGCACAGGTCCGGGGTCGGCCAAGTACAACGCTGGGAGTCGTTTCCAAAACGGCTACACTGTACGCTCATTTCTCTTATTTCTGTACCTGTTCTAACGTGTTTGTAGGGTGCGGGACGGGCTGTCACTCACGCAAATGCAATCACCTCACAAGACCAGACATTTGGTCGGGACGACGACAGCGAAGAGTTCCAAGTGAAGCGCGTTTCGCTCATACGTCGACCGAAGCCCAAAAGCCCGAGGTTGCGTAGCCATAGCTTGTCCGTAAACGCGCAGGAACGCAATGAACGTGGTGAGAACCTGGGCGTCCTCGAAAGTGTACAGATTCACGCTCGGTCGCGTCATGCGTTTGCGCAGGCTCCCTCGTCGAATGTCGATCACATGCTCCTCGCATCAGGTCCCATCCCCTCGGTCACAACTGCTCCTACGCCCGTCTTGGTTCGTCGCAACTCTACATCGGTCACTCGTGAACAGACTTCGTCTTCGGAGCCACCACTCTCCCCTCCAGCGAACGCCGCTTCTTCATCACCGTCAACCGATCCTGCAGCGCCCCAGAGCGTCGCTCCACCACAGCCTGCTTCATCTGTTACAGACGATGCAACATACATGGCCTTATGCGCTGCTCTCGAGTCTCAGGATCCCGCTCAGGTCGTTACCACAGTTGCCAACTTTGTTGAATCTGACCAAAACCCGTCTGTCGCCCAATTCAACAAGGCCTTGGAAGCTTTGCACGAGACGCGTCGTGCTGGCGAACCTTTGACGCTCATTTTGGACACTTACAATGCCATGCTTGCTCGCTCACTGATACCTAACTTCAGGACGTACTTCATCCTCATGTTAGCATTGACCGACCGTGATCATGAAGTCCACCGCATGACCCATTCCCTCAGTGTTCGTAGCGATAAACGTATGATCTCCGGCACGACGCCCCCAAGCTCTCCTCAGATTGGCATAGATCAAACACGCGTTGAACAGCTCAAGCGGGAAAATAACTTTGGTTCTGCGTTGTCGTTGTTTGAAGCAACAATTGCGATCGACGGGAATAGCAAGCTCCCAGGGATGGCGTACAACCAATTGCTTCGCGCATGTTCCTACCATGCTTCCGTCGACAGCGCCATACACGTATTCGCTCAGCTTGAAGCTCGCAAGGATATTCGACCTTCTGCCCTTACTTATCTCTACATGATGTCGACATACACCAATGCCAATGATGCCAACGGCGCTCGTGCTGTCTTTGACGAATTCCTTTCTGCTGCCAAGGAAGGTCGGGTCGTCTGGAATGTCGCCCCGTGCAAACCCGAGAAGCAGATCTACGATCCATCGAAGCCTTTGCAGCGGTCGACCGCTTCTCGCAATATCCAACTTCAAATCTGGAACAAGATGATCGAAGCGTCCTTCCGTTCGAACCCACCCGTCCCGGTCGATGCAATCAGCCTCTTCGAAACCATGCTCAACTCCCCTGCGCCTCCCTTGTTCGGTCCTTCTGATGTCCCTCCTCCAGCGTCTTCGACCTACACAACCATCATCAACGGATTCGTCAGCACCGGTGATTTGGATAGCGCACTGTCTTGGTTCGACAACCTTCTGAAACAGGCAGACCCACCACGCAATCCCTTCGAGTCCACGAAACGTCCCGTCAGACCTGATGTCGTTGCTTGGATGACCATCCTCGATGCGCTCGCCTTCGCTTCCAACAAGGATTTCAACCGTGTCGACGATCTCAATCGCCTTTTCAGAGCTTTCTGTGCAAACGCCAACCGGGACGGTCTCGAAGTTCGAATAGTCGATCGTCTGATTACCTTCCAGGCCAACATGAACCACATGAGGGATATCCCACGTCGGTCGTTCTCCCCTTCCCAAAGGGACACGCTCAAGGCTCGCTTAGACTTCTTGGTCCAGTACGTCTTATCTGAGAAGTTCAAGCGTCCTCAGGCCCAGAATATGATCCACGAAGTCGTGACTGCGTACCTCCAACTTGGACATCTCCCTTCCGCTATCAACCTTTTGGAACTACAGATTGCGGATGAGATGAATACGCTTGACCAGCAACGCACTGAGGGTATCATTACTCCCGAAGTCGCGGGAAACGCGCAAACCGCTATTCAGAATCTTGCCGTCCAACGTGTGCAAGAAATTTACGACATTCAACGACAGTCCGACCAGGACCTTCCATTCGGCGCTGCTATCCAGCTTGCGAGGATCTGCGACAAGATCGGCGTCCTTCCTAGCTTGAATGCGCAGGCAGCTGAGCTCTTGCATTCTTACGGCGTTGCCAAAAGGGATGGTCAAATTGTAAACGATCTAGCCTCGAGAGACTGGGAATTGTTGGCCTACGCTGCTGCAGAAATGGAGCTACCCCAGCAGGACGGAAGCCTCCCTTCGAAGTCAACCATCAAAGACTACGCATTTGCAGGAGGCGTCGTGGAATTGCTCGAAGACATGGCGAAGAACAACGTCAATCTTCAGCAACTTCAACAGGTGCTCGTGCAGAGGATGGTTCAGGCAATATTCCTCAACAAAGGTGTTGATGTGCTCAAGGCCACCTTCAAGCGTATGGGCCCCGCCTACGAACAGTTCTTGGCTAATCCACAGAGGGAACTCGATGCCTTAGCTGAAGCAGTCGCAACGTCCCCAGTATCGGAAAGTGATAACGGATCAGTCGAGACTGACAGCTCTACCCTCGTCGCGGACCTTCGAATTAATCCCTACACCACCCAATTTATCGACGAGCTCTTGCAGGTCACCAAAGAGAACCGCAAACCGGATCCCCTCACGGCGTACGCTCGCTTTGAGGCTGAACTCCAAAAGGGAATCACTGCAGGCCCTGCTGTACTAGGGCGCTTGATTCAAGGATTGGGTCGTCTCGGTGAAGTCGACAAAGTTCGCGAAGTCTACACGGTGGCGCAGTCCGTTCTCATGTCACTCGAGTATAACAAGAAGTGGCAGTCACAAGCATGGTTCATGATCGAGGACAGTATGATCATTGCTCTCGCCCATGCTGGTGATATCGACTCTGCTCATGTTCATCGTATTCGTATCCTTGACCAAGGCGGCGCACCTACTGCCGATGCTTACGGTGCCTTGATTTTGTATGTTAAGGATACAACCGACGATACGTCGAACGCCATGGCCTTGTTCCAAGAAGCTCAATCGCAGAACGTCGCGCCCAATCTCTACCTTTACAACAACATCATCTCGAAGCTGGCCAAGGCTCGCAAGGCTGACTACGCGTTGGAGTTGTTCCAAGAGATGAAGGCTGCGCACATCCGACCCTCTTCTATCACTTATGGCGCTCTCATTGGTGCTTGTGCGAGAGTTGGCGACGTTCATTCAGCGGAGATCTTATTTGACGAAATGACCAAACAAACCAACTTCAAACCTAGGATCCCCCCCTACAACACGATGATGCAGTTGTACACGACGACGAAGCCAAATCGCGACCGTGCTCTGTTCTACTACAACGCGCTTCTCCGTGCGGGTATCAGGCCAACCGCTCATACTTACAAGGTTTGTCAGCGGTTACTCGTGTGTTTGCCCCACTGACATCGTCGTTCATTAGCTTCTCCTTGATACTTATGGGACCATCGAGCCAGTTGATATCAATGCCATGGAGGACGTGTTTAAGCACCTTGAAGAAGACTCGAATGTTGCCATTCAAGGCGCGCACTGGGCGGCTGTCATCAATGCTTGGGGTTGTGTTGTCAAGGACCTCGATAAAGCTATTGAAACCTTCGATGCCATCGCTACTCACCCTAGCACACTCAAGTCATCTACTCCCCTTCCCGATGCTGTCGTATTTGAAGCTATGATCAACGTCCTGGTTGCTCATCATCGCACCGACCTGATTCCCCATTTCTTGGAGAAACTCAATGCGGCCGGTATACATATGACAGCGTACATTGCCAATTGCCTCATTAAAGGCTACGCGCTGAACGGAGAGCTTGATCACGCGAGGAGCATCTTTGAGTCCCTCCAAGACCCTCCCGAGGGAGTTGCCGCGCCTCATAACCACGCACCACACCAACCTACCCAGTCTACGAAGGTTGAAGTCATGGCGCCTGTCTATCGTGAGGTCAGTACTCAATGATCACACTGTTTGTATATGATTCTAACACTACGTTTAGCCTTCAACGTGGGAAGTCATGGTACGAGCGGAATTAGGTGCCGGTAATCGCGACAACGCTCTATTCCTCCTTGAACGTCTGCAGGCACGGTACGTCCAGCCGTGTACCTTTCATAAGATTATCATACTCACCTTACTTCGTCAGACAATACCCGGACGCAGTCTATAACCGTATTAGCGGCATTATGCTAGACTACACAACGCCATCTCCATGAACAAATTAACAACTTTATAGTTGCGGTCCCACCTTCATTTCATCACGAATATATACCTCGAACGAACTCAAGATGTATATTAACTTTGCTTCATCTGTGTATTTTGTACCATTATTATTTATGTAGATAGAGCCATGGCATGGATACAGTATTTATCCGTCACATAATGGTTAAAAAGTAATATATACTACGCAATAGATGCCACAGTTCACCCTCCAACGAGATTCCGGCTGATGCATAGTTGATGCGCAATAACCGAGTGCGTTCTTGTGAGAGGGCACCGTGGCAAGGCAGGCCCTTTTCCAGATACATGTTACGGTAAAGGGATCAAGAACTAGTCTTAACTAGCGATCGTTCGGCGAAGTCATACTTAAGCCCGACCATACAAGTACATCCATCAGAGTGTAATAATGATACATACATCATGCATAGTCCGTCTCTCCGTCCGCCTTGGAGACTGTTCCATTCCCAAACCACGACCCATCGTCCAGGTCCCAAGGTCTACCTCTCGGGTGACTAGCTTGAGGCTCCGTAGAGATCCCTGTGCTTTCCTCGGCATGCGATGTTTGCGACTGGGCGAAGACCAGTTGCCCTACGGGACCGATTTCCGTCGGTGCGTCGGGTACGTTCCTCGTTCGTTCGGATTCTTGGCGCAAGCGGAGAAGGATGCGCGCTGAGAGGATAGAGTGCAGAGCACGTTGTATCCTAGAAACATGTAATGCAATAGAGAAAATGAGCCAGAATTATGAAGCAGGAGCGGTGAATCTTACGATGTTAACATGTTCGCGTATTCGTTCTATTTGAATACATCATCAGAATGCGGGGCGACAGTGAAAAGATAAGCATACCGGTTCAGTCAAGAGGATGATCACATTGGCAAAGGATACCACTACATGATCCTAAGATGAGGTCTTCAGGAGGATCATAAAGGCGACAAACCAAGTAATGCGGCGAAGTACACGATCCCTGAAGACTGAACCATTCAGTTATGGGAAATAAAGGGTCACGCTCTCGTGGAACACACCGTCCTGAAAGAATGTTGTGACGAAGGAATTACTACCATGGCGGACTGTTGTCATGTTATGAAAATGGTTAGTCTCGGGGGAAAGGCAGAAGGCGGTGAGAGCCAAGGGAGAACTACGGCTTACAGTGCTGAATTGCTTTTATGAGTGTGAGGATGAATATTACTAGGAGCAAGGTAAGTAGAGGCTCAGGCTCTCGGGTAATGAGGTCATGCACCACTTTCGTAGCCCATTAGCACAGTGAAACTAACGAAGACGACATTATTCCCATCGTCGGGGAAACACCCGGGAATGACGGGATTTATATCGTCCATGGCAATGACTGTGGGGAAAGTTCCATGCGTGAGTCGCAAGTTGAAAAGAGTCATTAGCGGTATGAAGACTCACACGACTGAGAGCTGTGGAACTTGAAAAATGCGACCCCGCCTCCCGCAATGGTTGCGACGCTGAGGATGGAGAGGAAGATGCCAAAGTTCCTCGTGCGGCCCCAGAGTGCCCACACGCGTAACGTCATGATTACTGGCAATGCGGGGTAAATGAGGAGGTCTCAGGGCAACTACCCAAATACAAACCTTCCGCGATGACAATACCAATTATGATCATCCCTGCAGTATATTCGTTACAGCTTGCGACTATCGGAAGGCAACGAAGGTTGTACGTACATCCGGTGATTTTGAATAATGTTATACATTCTTGGACAGAAAGTGAATAGCCCACTTGATCTGCAAACTGGGGTCAGTAACTGGCGTGCACTACAGGAGGCTTTCCTTGCTTACGATGCAGTGTGAGGGCAGTATCTACGAACACCGGGTACCGCGTGAGGTAGAAGAGTAATCTCCCGAGAGTCCACGGTGCCCCATATACGTAGCGCACTTCGTCTGCAAAGGTCAAGAGATAGTCGTACACCTGATATATACGCGTGCGTATTAGATAGTCAGCGGTGAGTATCTGAATATAACACTCACGAGAAGGCTGTTGCATGACACTGTCAAGCAATAATAATTACTCAAGGACGAGTGATGAATAGCGGGTCACCTACGATGCAGGTACTAGATGGGTGGTCAGCTTCAAGATTGTTGAAACAAGAATATTGACCTGCCGTTACGATCTGAAATCGTCCTAGAGACTGGATGATCTTCGTGGGATCAGAGAACATTGTACATGGGAAGGATTCACGATGGCACTAATTTATATCGTATCAATACGTCCTCAAAACCAAAGGAGATAGCGCATTGAAGTTCCACCCCTTGGGAAGTAATTGGCACCATTTAGCCTTGGCCCAGCGAGTAATTGAATCATGTCGCCAGGGTCGAACACTCCCGTCCGTGTGCATCACGAAGTGCACTGCGGTGATCTGTTATGCATTTGGGTTTAATCTAGCCACGATGGCCGTCGATTCACCGCATCGGACCAGAGCCTTGCTGTAAATCAGAAATTCTGTCAGACTCTAAGCGAATCAAAACGACTGATGAATCGCTTGCGTTTCAGTGTTGCGCGTGAGGCCGTATGTCTCCTGTAATAGTCGACCAGACCTTGCTTCTTGATTCTGGGCCAACCATGATGGTGGTCAGCAACAAAGTGTCAGCGGCGCTCAATAGACCATCACGTGCAGCATTACATCCTACTACACTCGGGAATCAGCTGCAACCTGACTGGTAACTTCTACGTCTCCTCGAATGGCCTCACCATCTGACGACCTCCCAACCGCGTTCGAGAACGATTATCTGGTCAGGAAGGGTCTTTGCCCTGTAACTCAAATACGGCACCAAGCGGAACCACTCGAAAGCCATTCGCTATACTTTGAGCAACATGGATGGGGCACCGAATATAAAATCATATTCATAATGGGCTTGAACTCGAGCGGATTCGCCTGGGGACCTCAGGTCAAGCACTTTGCTCCTTCGGACTCACATACAATCCTTGTATACGATAACCGCGGCGTCGGAAACTCGGGATACCCACGAGGACCATATACGTGAGTTGCAGTATTGTGCTGACAGCGCTGACCGAGCTGAGGATTTACGTGACCCCAGAACAGCGGGCATGGCAGAGGATGCGATAGTCCTCCTCGACTACATTGGCTGGACCGAGAAGCGTGGCGTTCACGTTGTCGGTGTCAGCTTGGGGGGAATGATCGCACAGGGTGAGTCCACTAATTGACTGCTGAGTCGCGATAGAATTTGTGTTTGAATTGTGATTTCAAAGAATTGGCGTCTCGAATCCCTGAACGTATTGCTTCGCTCTCACTTATCGTCACGACGCCAGGTGGTCATTTCTGGCAAAACCTCCCTCCTGTGAGTATCTTTATCCCTGTGCTGTCTCGTCATATTCCAACATTATCGTAGTGGAAAGGCGTGCGTTCGCTCGCAACGTAAGCTGAATACCTTGATTATCCCCCGTTACACCGTAATGATATACTGTCTAGGCTAATGTTCACCCCCGACATTGCCAAGAAGACACCCATTGTAATGGAAATGCTCTTCACATCCAACTGGTTGAAGGAGAAGGCCAAGGATGACCCACAGGGCCGGACGAATTTCCAGGTCCAGACTGAGGTTCGTACTCACCCCAAAACAATAATCCACATCCTCCCTAAGTTGCTGTACATATAGGAATATATCCGTCGTATGAGCATCACTAAGCCCCAGCAATTCATGGGCCATATTTCGCAGATGTGTGCTGCTGTTATGCACAGAGTCACTCCTGACAGACTACGCGCGATATCACGCTCGATCCCGAAGGTAATGTCTCTATAGTGTTGTGTGCGACTACGACCTTGACTGGAATTGATCATTCCATTGTCCCAGGTCACAATAGTTACAGGCGATGTAGACAATCTGGTGCTTCCATACCACTCCCACGACATCAAGGCGAGCATGCCGGAAGCCGAGTTTGTGCAATGGGAAGATACCGGTCACGGAATTCACGTTCAACGAGCGGATCTGTTGAATGCATTGTTGGAGCGTACTTTCAAGGAAGGGAAGGAGCGCAGCGCAGCGGAGTCTGCCTAAGATTTGCGTTATTATTCTACTTTACTCCAAGTAGGACTTCAGCTCTGTTAACTTATTTCCGTTCGTTTCTCCATATTGTTAGCTCTGAATAGAACCTTGTTGTGCCATTCCTTTCCTTCGCACAAGTGCGCCTATCGCTGGCTAGATGGCACGCACGCACCTACCCTAGCCCGTGGAGCTCAACTGCACAATGTATTCGCCCGCATTTGTGAGGTGCTAACCTATTCCAGATGTACCGTCTCTAGGTACGCCCAGTTACCAGAGTTCGGAGCCAATCAACTTATCAAGCACAGAGGTGATAATGCAAGGGATAGATATGAAGGATACATTGTTTTTGCTTTTACCCTGTTTTTGCGACTTTACAATATTTGCATAGATCGTGTTCCTTTCAGCGCCTCAAACAACATCCCTCGACCATTGGTATCCCCTGCGAAATGGAGCAGGGGTTGACAGCGTGTTCTTATCGAAGTCTCCGTAATCATGGAGAACAATCCCGCGCTTGCCAATGCTGATCGTCATCGGCGTAGTTGGAAAGAACCCACTCCTGGAGGCCGCCCCCGTTTGTTCGAATTCCTCGTACCAGGGGCCTGGGGAGAACATTGGTGATGCACAGTCTGGCGACGCCGGTCCAACCGGGAATCGGAACACTTGGAACTTCTCGAAGGCCTCGTATGACGACGAGGTAGGCAACGGAGAATCGGTGGCTGCCGACTCAGTAGTGGAAGGCGAGGAAGGGCAAGAGATATCCACGAGGACGATGTCTTCCAAGGCGGGTTCGACCTGGCATAAGGAAAGGGCTGCATCGTGGAATTGACCTGGCTCTGGGGACGGTTTCTTCGTTGTCAATGACGAGAAGAAGTAGAGGTCATCTGGATAGATCATCATCAACATAGCTCTCAAGATTAGCGGGGTGAAACTCGCACCATCCTCATCAGAAGAATTCGGCCCAGATCCTTGCTTCAGCAACTTGCTCCATTCGCTCTTCATAGCTTCGATATCATCGTTTCGCGTTCCAAGTTCCTTGACATCGAGCCCTTCGCCAGAATCATCGAAAAAAGCCCGCAGTCCGTTATTCATCCGGGCCTCGACCGATGTAGCTCCATAGGTGTGTGTAGATGCTGTAATGCCTCCAGCCGCCCCGGGGTTTATTTGGTTGACTCTCCCTCCATACTGTGCGACGACAGGAAGCTCTGCCTTAAAGGGCGAGTGAGCGCATCTTCCGGTAAGACAGGCGACCATGCCGAGAATGAAAGCCCAGAGAGCGCCAAGAACCTGAGTGAGGGCAGCGAGCATGCTTCGCAAAATTACTGAAGACGACAGAGTGCCCGAGGTGATGGTATTGGAGAGAGACTGGTTGGTTGAGGCTGACGATCTGCCATCCTATTTGATGACTCCGTTGTCAACCAACGGTCAGTTTTGAAATGGGACCAGGGAGTCATGGAATTGTTCAGCCGGCGTGTTGTCGGAATTCTGCATAATATTGCCAAAAGCTGCGAGTAAATGGTTGGTGGCTTACCGTAGCCGAAGATCTACAACGCCGTAAGTACCAACTTGTGTAACTTGGAAGTAAAGCGAAGACCGCTAGGTTCGGAGTCATTCATGTGACCGTTTCCCCTCTTTTCACTGAACTTCAACTCGTCGCATCAATGCGTATTAAAATTCAAACCAACAATCCTTTACCTCCACTTAAAGCCTGGTATGCAACAAACTCGCTTGAAGGACCCAATCCAACTATTGCCGACTTGAAAAAGCAGATCTGCACGAATGTCGAAGGCATTCGAGCGGCCATGAAAGGCAAAACGGCTCAGTTAGCTCTTACCCTTGATGACTTTGAGCTTTTGGATGCATCGCCTCTGGATGTTCTGCGAGACGGTGACTTGATTGTAATTGGATTCAACTTGGCTGAGGAACAAGGTGCGTTGCATCCGCTCGCTCTTGGCTTCATCTACTGAACGCGTAGTGTAGCTGCTTCGAGCCATCTGGGCAAGCGAAAGCGCTCTTCGTCAGTGAAGACTCCCTTGAAATCTGCGAGCAAGCGGAAACCGCCACCGTCACCCAGCACCAGCTCGAGTTCCTCGGATTCGTCGGATTCCGACTCTGAAAGCACGAAAACTGAATCCGACAGCGACTCCAGCGACTCTGATTCTGATTCGTCCGTTGACGAGCCTCCATCAATCAGGAAAAATGCTAAACCTACACCTCCCCCGCAACCGGCAACCTCTAGGGGACCGCTCACCGCGAAACTGGCGCCCACGAAGTGAGCATAGCTCTAACACTCTCACTGCCTGGTCAGTGGTTCATTACCAGATAGCAACGTCCCGCCGGGACAGGGCCTTCCAAGGACACAGAATCGTAACAAACGACGGAGAGTCAAGCGTCAGGCCGAACGCCAGTCAACATCTGCACCGCCGCCACCACCTGGTGCATCCTCGGTGAATACCTTACCTATACCCACAAAAAGGCCGGTAGCCGATGTAGTCTACGCCCTCAACAATGCGTTTTCCACTAATGACCAGAGTGGAACACTGCAACCAGGGGACCTTGCAGCAATCTCTTCGGATCAGGCAACTGGGCATCAAATAGCCATCACGATGAGCTCTCTCAAAAACAAAAACAAGAAAAAGGGCTTTAAAAACGCGTCGAATCGACCTATTCCTCAGAAAATTGTTTTTAGCGATGTCGCGAATTCGAAGGACGACGTGGAGATGGCAATTGTGGATAATATCTTGCACACGGAAAAGAGACCTTTGCCGAGGGTCATCCCTCCCTCGGAGAAGCAGGCTCGTGGAGAACTACCGCCAAACATGTTCGTAACAAGCGTGGATGTTGAAGCAGAGGAATGGGCGCGAGATGACAAGCCGCGGCCACACCACGAGGAGCTGCAAGAGCTGCCCTACGGTGACCCGGATCCCCCAGCCGCTCAACCTCAACCTCGAGGTCGTTTCGACTGGGCAGCAGCAGAAATCAAGTTAAGTCAGGGGAAGAGTATCACATCACATGAAGATCTGTGTATTGGTATGCACATCGGGAAAACGGTAAGTCGGCCACTCTCCCGACTTCTGCTCGGCGCCTTGACATACTTATCGTAATAGGACCTCGGTATAAATCCTGTGACTTTCACACCCGAATTCCTCTTGACCGTCGCGCGGATAACCGCCACAATACCAAACGTTCTAGCGAAGCTACTTATACGACCGGGGACGGCCGATATATCGTTCTCAAAGGCTGCGAAATTCGCCGTTGACGAAGTTGAAGAAGTCGTCGAAGAAATAGACGAAGAAGGGGAAGAATTGACATTTACTTCGGGAGAGATGTCGGAGTGGAGAATCCTGGATATTTGACGTGTTCCGATCTTCTTGCTAGCTCGAACACCGAACACACATAGTAGATAGCTGTTGGTACACATGGTGATACAATACTACAATACTCAAGGTTGAATCAAACGGAGGACGAAGCGTCGTCCACGCTATCAGGGTGCTTTTGTTCGATCGAACGGCGCCGATCCATGGGAGTTGGGCCTGAGCTGATGACGAAAGTAGAGAGCTCGACGCTGACAGCTGGTGGTATACGCGGAGTGCGTATGTGAGGCCCTGTGCTTCTGCTAACGCCCGAAGTGCCAACGGTCTCGCCATGATCCCCTGCGCTTACGCCCAACCCCACTCTAACGATGATGAGAGTGGAGACGATGCCCTAAAGTATGCTCTAAGTCGTCAGAAAATTAGAAACAAGGGTAAAGCTCACCATAATCTGTGCCAGTGCCACATATAGGATGTACTACGGAGGTTGAAGAAGTCAGACCAGCGTACTTCCAGCGAAGCTGAAGGGCAGGCGTACACTTGCTGGGAAGAAGAAAGGAAAGGTAGTGATTGGCTGCGTTTGGCCGGGGTATGTTTTGGACGGCCCAGCGTCACTTCCTGGTCCATCAATATAAACCACAAGGAAGATAATCAAGGATATCGAGTACATCAACCCCGATTCAACGCTATAACACTCAATCAGTCACCGAGTCCTTAATTGTAGAAATGGAGAGACGAGGGTTACACGACTTGAAAGGCCATATTGTACCGCTCGGCAAATTGCTTTCCTAGGTGTTTCTTAGTCTGATACGAGATCCACATAATTCGCCCGGCTGGAATGACGAGTTAACGGTACATGCAGGCCATGCAAGAGCTGTGATCATACCAGTAAGACTTGTGGCAACGATACTTGTGACGAGCGACAGCGCCACTAGCTGGATCGTAATCCTAAAAGTATATCCCAAAACTGAATGGCGCAGACAAGTCAGCCCCATTCACTCCTCTCGAAGAAGAGTTGGCATGCCTGCGGTTGCGAGAAGCAAAATGCATGGGAGGATGACAATCCTTTTCTTCGAACCCCATACGATATAGCACCGATAGACCTAAAGCCGCCAGGCTACATTTGATCGAAGAAGACGAGCTAGTAGTGGCGACACGCACGATGATTCCATCTGCGACTATACTGTGGGCAACGTCAACCACCAGAATTTATTGCAATCTGAGCACTTACTTGTTCGTGATGTAAATGTGTCCGGCAGCCAAAGCGAAGTGGTCAGGCGCCAGTCCCCTTTCCGGGTTCAGTACTGCGTAGAACGTAGAGAGGAACGTCATGATAATATGCGCCGTCGACAAGGCGAACATGATGAAGGCGGTGACTACGAGGACGATGTTTTGAGATTGCTTCCGGCCCCGGAATATATAGAGGCATATTCCAAAGAGGACGAGAAAGACTCCTACAAAGCTCGGGATTAGTAAAGAGAGAAGAAAACCAAGTTAATGAATGGAGGACCATAAAGAAGCGTGCCGACCTATGGAAGCGTCGGCGGGCCGCCGTTAGTACGGCATACAGAGCGCCATTATTCAGAGGGATAACCTACCCAAAGCGCAACCAGCGACGACTAAGCGAGCACCGGTCAGTCAACCTTGCATTCTCGGAGTAAATCTCAGCATACCTTGCGATAAGTGTCTAGTGTTCTTGGCAGAAACGACATGGCTTACTGGAGCAGAAGGGGAAGCCGCATGTAGATAATCTCTAACGCCAATGCTGAGCAGTACATATTGCATTACACAAATCAGCGGAGCGGGAAGTGGATGTACAGCGAAGACGATAGGCGCGAGCTTATGGTGTCTTCTCTGCCAAGATTCCTTCTGATTCGCATTGGGAACAGCGGCGGGGGAATGGGTCCCGGCAAGATGGACTTCGGAGTTAGGTGCGCGCGCACTTGGGGGCGACTATCAATATGATTCGAACACTTCGCTGCCGTCACTGTAGCTGATGAGAACATCACGCGCCCAACAGGTCCAGTAGGTCGCCAGGGCGCTGACGCCCGTAGATGCATGTTGAGGCAGCCCGTGCATCCTTAGTACTTCATTTAGCGGACCAGGGTTGAACACTTGGGGATCACCGAAGGAGACGGGCGTCACCTCTACCTATGGACGAGCATGATTCTCACCATTTGGCCTCTGCACTCATCCTTGTCAGTTGTACGCCACTGCGGTCGATTGCGGGCGACTTTAGATGGACGGTGACATGAGCAACTCAATCAAGGAAACCCCGATCAACGAGTTGTGAACACGTATGTCTGCTTCATTTCTAGAGACTCGGACCAGTGTGTGGGACGGTCAATCCGGAGTTCCATAACACTGTTTGTCCGTTCCAATATAAGATCCTTGTACACGGTGCTCGTTATAATTGACTCACCCAGCGACATCATCTCTTGCAACCACATGCATCGCGCCGCAAGTATTTCAGTGGAACGTATCAAAATGATTCACAACATTGCGATAGACTTCGAAGGTGGGTTACAAGCTTCAGTCATGGGGGACCATATCACAAGCCAGATGGTGGGTGTTCCTACATCGTCCGACACCCTTGCTTTCATCAAGGCTGCGACCCACAGCGTAAGAGTGATCTTGGGTCTATCACCTCCAAGAAGGGGTGGAGATTTTGGCGTCGGTGTAGAAGCGGTGCCATTGGTTCGGTCGGTGCACGATTTTTGTCTCTTCTGCGATCGAAGTACTGGTGAATATTCCCGAGCAATATGTAGCATATTGTGTTGGAATGAAAGCTTAATTCAATGGGCGATCGTAGCTCCTGTGTGTCACGTGCATGGATACGTTGCAATTCTGTGCCAGCGTCGAAGTTGGCCAACACGCCTTACTTTTAAACCTTCCTCTCCTCCTGGGTCTTCACCCATCCACTTGCCTTCATGGCCAACTACAACTACGATGAAGGGGGCCATATGGCTGCCTACTTTATAATATCGTTCCTTGCTCTAATTCTTGTACCTCTCACCGTTTCCTCGGTCTCCAAATCATCAGGTAACCCAATTGTACTCGTATGGGTGCGAATGCTGGCTCACTGTCTGCGAACAGGGAGGAAAATAACAGGGGGCTGTCGCTGTAAATCATGCTTGGAGCAACGTGCTCGAATATCGAAACGCGAACGGGGTTCATTGCTGAATCCAAAGCTAAGCCGAAAGTACGTCTAGGAATAAAGCCAACACGTATGCTTCTGTCTGACTTGGTACAATAAATAACAGAACTATATTCCTTATCCTTGGATGGTCACTCTTTGCCTACCTGTCATTCAAAGTCGGCAACGCCAAATTGGACAACAAGATATATGACCCTTTCGAAATCTTGGGTATTAAGAGGGTGTGTATCTAGTAGAACGATACCAAGGGTACTTGACTTATGGATTGTCTCGAAGGGAACGACAGAGAAGGAGATCAAGTCACATTTCAAGAAACTATCTCGCAAATTGTCAGTCCCGTCACCGTTCATAGTCTGATACGTGTCTTCTCACTTTCTGTGCAGCCACCCAGACAAGGTCAAGCCATCTGGTAATGACACCATCGAAACCATTGCAAACCACTTCGTCGACCTCACCAAGGCCTATAAATCGTTAGCTACCCACTTCGTGTCCTTGAAGCCCGCCTTATTCTTTGTCGTATAGGTTGACCGACGCGACAATCCGTCAGAACTGGGAACTCTATGGACATCCTGATGGAAGGCAGGAGATGTCTATGGGTATTGCATTGCCAAAGTGGATCGTCGAGGGAAAGAACAACATATACGTCCTTGGTTTCTACGCACTCGCCATTGGCTTGGGTCTCCCATTGCTGGTCGTGAGTACCGTCCCTCCGCAACCTCCCCCTCGTCATGTATTGAACCGTATATACAGGGTCGTTGGTGGTTTGGTAGTCGTCAGCGCACCAAAGACGGTGTCAACGCAAAATCCGCCGCAGCCTTCTTCAAGACACTGAAAGAGGAATCGGCCATGGCAGACGTTGTCGGCTCCCTTGGCAAAGCTTATGAATATGAGAACCCATCCCCCATCACCAGCGCAGCGGAACGAGAGGAATTGAAGGCCCTGGAGAAGGAGATTGCCTTGTTGGCGGACAAGAAATGGACGGACGTCAAGAAACTAATCGAGACGGACGATGGAAAGGGCCCAGCTTTCGAAACCCGGTGGAAAGCCCTCGTTCTGATATATGCTCACTTACTCAGATTACCAGTCAAAGCTCCATCCCTGCAGCAATGTATGTCTTCCAAATCCTCTTTCTGTCTACTCACTAATATGCCATATATATCACACTAGACCAAACCCGTGTCCTTCTACAAACACCTCTCCTCCTAAACGCTCTCCTCCAAATCGCTACCGCACGAAACTGGCTCCGCCCCACCATAGCTGTTATGCGTCTCCACGCTTTCCTCGCCCAAGCTATCTTCCCCGCATTCACCCACAACGACAACATCAAGCGTATAAAATTCACGCAGCTGACAGATATCAAGGAGCCCGAAGCCGTCTCAATATCCCCCGAGGCCACGAAGTTGGAGGAACTGGTTTCCACCCTAGAAAAGAAGGGCGATCCACGAGCGGCTGACGCCAAGAAGGTCATCGAGAAGTGGGGTCGGCTGGAACTTGTCGACGCTGCTTTCCAAGGTACGCCTGCTACCCTTGGATCTAGCTTCATGGTGACCAACCCCCGTTTACAGTCATTGGTGAACGCATCGTCACCCCTGGGTCTATTGTATTTTTGGTCGTCAAACTGAGGGTCTCGCCGCCGGGTTCACAACCATCCGAGGAGAAAGACCTTGGTGTAGATGAGACCAAACGGTTGATCAAGCTCAACGAAGACAAAGACAACGAATTCTTGTTGAGTCGGAACAATGTCGAAGAGCGCCCTGACGAAGATTCCCTCGGCGAATACGCACACACACCTCTCTGGCCTGGCGTGAGTATCATTTCCCTGTATCAAATGTTCGTAGATATCTGATATGCGGTAACCGTAGAATCGCAAGCCTTCATGGTGGGTCGTCATCGCTGATGATAAGACTAGCCGAGTCGTCGTTCCTCCCATGAAAGTCACCGATGTACCCTACTCTCAAGTCGACTCCGACCGCAACTTCCGCTCATACAAAATGCAGTTCCAAGCCCCCCAATCTGTCGGCCTCTTCACATGGAAGCTTTATATCGTCAGCGACACGTTCGTCGACGAAGAAGTAACTAAAAGCATTACCGTAAGCCATCTATCTTCTCATGTCTGACGATAGTTAACAGGTTGTCTGTCTAATAGCTGAAAATCGAGGATGTCTCAGCTCTAAACGCGGATGAAAAGGAGTCAGAGGATGACATCTCCGATCCGGACGAAGACACTCTTGCTGGCCAGATGGCGGCCATGCGCGGGCACAAAGTCAAGAAGAGAGGCGACGAAGAGGAGGATGAGGATGACAGTGATGACGAGAGTGGTACCGATGATGATGAGAAGAATGCTGATAGTAGTGATAGCGATAGTGATTAGTGGCGCTTCCTTGATGAGAGTTCGTATACTATTGTGTTCAGTTGGAGAAGACGACTCGCTCCGTGTAAGCTGTTAGATCCTTCCTCTACATGGCGAGATGGCCGAGCGGTCTAAGGCGCTAGAATCAGGATGTCCTATCTAGTCTCTTCGGGGGCGCGAGTTCGAATCTCGCTCTCGTCATATGTTTTTGTTGAATGGCCGAAAAACACCCATTGATATAGATAGGTAGGTACCATTTTCTCCGTTAATCGTTGCTCTCAGCATGGCTCCAAGCACGTTGCTGCCAGCAGTACATATTGCTGGAAGCAAGTCGTTCCAATACCGGATACTCATACATACAGTTGCATCAGAAATCCACTATACTTATTATACGAAGCCCTCCGTGGTACAAACCTGCCCAGAGTGCTTAAGAACATTCTGGATTGAGCAAGAACCGCGTCAATCGACGAACCCATCACAACGGCTGTGAGGAACACCAAACCACTCAGATGTCTCCGTTTGTGACGGCCGTACCATCACGCACGATTCCGCAAATATGGAATCCCCGAAGGGCATACTCTCGAGAAGCATTGCCTTGCGTTTGACGGCATCTGCTCGAAGTCGAAGCATAATTCGGGCTGAGAGGATGGAGTGAAGGATACGCTGTGGCCTATTCCGAATCAATCCTACTGTGGGGTCTGTTGCGAAATACCTTACATGACCAGTGCCGTGGCAAGCTCACGCTGAAAAGAGTATTTCGAATTTGAGACTCGCAAGAAATCGTTGAAATGCGGACAGTGCGCACCGGTGCTCTTCCCATCATGGAGGCATTCAAGGCAGATGAAACTAGGGTTGTTATGTCTTAGGATGTAGCAAACATTCAAGAGACAGGAGAAGCAGCTTACTCGCCAAAATAACATAATACAAAATGCCTAGGATAGACAAACATTGAGATTGAGGCACCATGATTGCAATTGCAACTACTCGCCGTCTCGGTAGGCGCGGCGGATGGCTGACGAATATCGCAAGCGGTCTAAACAAAGCTATTATGAATTGCACATGCAAGAAGGCAAGATGTACTGACCACCACGCAAGCCCCTCGTCATGATTAAAATCAGCATCGCTGTGAAGGACATCGATTTTAAGCACCAACTTGCATGGAATTTCGATCGAAACTCACATATCTCCACGGCAGTGACCAAGATATAAATCACGCCGTCCGTCCTTGAGTTGTCAACCGCTCGACACCCAAGGTTGAGGATGGGTGGTTCATCTATCGTCCAGCTTTAGAAAAGGATATCCAAGTGCAATTTCATGGCTTACAAGTTCGCGCTTGATGATACTTGACATACGCAATTGCCACACCGACAAAGGTGCCACTCGATAGGACAGCCAAAGCAGCACCGAGTATCCGGGACCGCGCCCAAAGTGCCCACACCCGCAGTATCATGATGACTTCGTTCTGATATGAGGATGCAGCAAAGATGAGCAGAACTCTACTCGCCTTCAGCGATCAGGACGCCAATAATGAGTGTCCCTACGAAGTTGAGTGCAAATGCACACGTGGATTAGCAGAGGGACTCACATCCAGTGATATTATCCAATGTACCACAAACGCTCAGGGAATGACGAGTACCCAAGTCGCCTGAACGACGGGGGAAACGATGTAGCCTGAATAATGAACGCAAAAATCCGGACTTACGGTACAACCATAGGGGAGTATCGATGAAGGACAAGTATCTGTTCAATAAAAACAAACCCTTTCCAGCGCCCCACGGTGCGAACCAGATGAGCTCAATTTCGTCGGCAACCGTTATCGAGTAATCATAAAACTAGAGACAGAGCATCAGCCAAAGAACACGTAGTGGGCATTTCAACTCACCAACAAAGCCGCGCTGACAGCTTGGGAAACATCAGCGAATGTGTGAGGGGCTTGTGATAGACGATCTCACCTGCAGAATACTAGAGACAACGCAGCCGGTGTGACCATGTCGGAATGAGCGGAACACACAAGAAGACGAGGATAAGCTCACCGAGCACAGCTGAAAAAGCGTCAAAGAGTGAAGCCCAACGTCGTCGAGGAACATGGCTGCAGACCCCTCCATTTCACGTCGAACGTGTACTTATCGGAGAATCTTGGGCTGTATCTAGTTATTGTTGCACGTACATCAGTCACTTATAGCAGCTTGCGTCCATCAAATGATAATTGAAAATGCCACGCCCATGCACCACGGATGGCCCTTAGAGGGAACCAGAATAAAGAAGTAATCTGGTTTGGTCCATGGGAGAAATCACACACTATACGATGCAATCAAAGCATGCCGAATACTGATGCTGATTTTCAGGACGAAGGCGTTTGGTGAGCTGCAGAGCCGCGTTACGCCCCTTAGCAGTATGTAAGTCGTTCAAGGAGCGCTTCAAAGTGTTCAACGACGACTGTCGGGTTTCCGACGTTCATCCCCATCATTCTGCGCTGAACACGACGATTTACGTCATCGCCGACGCCGATGGTTGCGAGACTAAAGCCATCACCGTCAGCCATCAGCGGGTAAGGTCAATCAATCTGGGCATCTAGTATGTGTTACAAGGATTAGGGCGCATTGCTTCTGAAGGCAGAGTGATGACTTGCATTGTTGAGCAGCAGATCGATCGCATCAGGTGTAAATATGTTCAGGGACTCTGCATACGCCGTCAGCTGCGAAACGACGATGCTACGGATCACTGCCTAGTCACGACAGGCAGTCGGAACTAGGCAGATGATTTGTGTTCGCACGGACTTTAGTCCCATAGCGCGATGGTATGTATGGAAGCTGTTGAAGACGGAAATGGAAATATTCAAGGCGGCACTGGATACCGGTTAGTACAAATCGCTGGTAACGAGATAATGTTCACCTGAAAGCTTATCTAGTAGCGTAACACTGCTACCCGATAAACCCGGCGCAAAGATGATAATCACTCATAGAATAGAGGGCGATGCATCTTCATCAATAAAAAGGCAGATCAGCATCGACGTGAAGAATCAATGACAACCAGGGAAGATTGCAGCGATATAGAGTTCCATAGATGATGAGGGATGAGGATGCCTAGTCACTGCTTGACGCAGAACGATCGTCAGAGGGGTCGTTACAGAATTCCTTGATTCCGATTCCTGAATAACGCCGGTCCCATGCAGATAAATTTGATAGAACAAGCATTGAGCAAACGAACTCAGTTGGTTGAGGTTGGATTATGCTGCTTGTTACAAGAACGGAGTCCTTCAAGCACACCAATCTATCGGCACTGCAGGTCACCTATTAGATTTATTTCAATAGATCTACAATATTCAAATTGTACGTTACCAATGCGACATAGCAATTCATTTTTCACACCAAAGCTCGGTATCAAAGTCTTGTCCTGCTACTTGCACTCGGAGAACGTAGAGAACACATCGGGCCATCTCGTGACAGCGACCGCGGAACAGTGACCCAGGGGCAATCACACCCAAGTACGCGACGATCATAACAACAACAGACCGGCAAAACTCAGGAAGAACTGCACCGTACGGTAGAAATCCTCGAAATGTCAGCCCGAGACGTTCAGGTTGTCCCTCGGTTGCATACGTTGGCTGCAACGAATGTCCCATACGTTTGCACCACCAATGAGGACGCTATACACGTCTGATATCGATACACATGGAATGGAATGTGCTCTGCCCAGCATGATTGTCCGTTTCGAACACGCTGTCGGTAGGCTTTCGTCTGGTCCAGTCCTCAAGCTACTGGATTTCGGATTTATCGATCAATCCTGGCAAGCATGGTAATCCAAGGCGTTCACTGACTTCACTGGAGCGATCCTCCGAGTTAGCGCTTACGTTCCTCGAGCTGCGTCCTAAAATTGAATCAGGTAAAACTCGACATTTGGCAGCGCCGCCTTTCAGCGCTGTCCCGCAGTTCTTCACAACGCTCTTTTCCTGGACTGGCGACAGTTGTGAGAAGCCGTAGACAGTAACGCCGATGCATCCTTGGTTGAAACACCTTGGGGATAAAGAAAACTCTCTCACCCAAGACATCACCGCATTACGGTGGTTCTTCCGAACTCGTGCCCTCTCTCAGCGATGCTGCCGTGCATGTATGATGAGGGCCAAGCTTGGGTGGCAGACACTCATCGACCCTCCGTCCCCCGTCTGCCCGAGCCAACGACTCCGAGACGCACGACTCGGCTATCAGCCACCAGCTGGACTGCATCTTTCAACGTTCATGATCCCGAATAGCCACGGAGACATCCAAATCTCACCATCACGGATGCATGGGGTAACATCAATCTCTTGACATTGAGTGAAACCGCGCTTATTATAAGCCGTACTCAAAGCATAAGTATTTCCGGTACGAGGCGACCCAAGTTAACGTAAACCACCACCATGCCCATCGATGGCATGTCTCCCGAAGACATGCAATCGATAATTCATTCGCTGCAGCTGATGCGACAAAGCTCGGTAGGCCCACAAATTCTATATTCAATCGTAATCGCCTTATCTAACCGACGAATTCCTTGCAGTACATCCCGAGTTAGCAGCTTCATACTTTTCTTTGCACTGAGAATCTGATAATACCTTCATTCGGAAGTTGCCAGCGGTGCCTTGTTGGTGGGCGAACGTGCTCACTACCACACTGCTTCACAATGTTAACAATAACACTAGGGTTATGACTATATACTCACAGTATATGACGAGCGAAATCTGGTTTGGCAAGCCAAATGGAGTGTAGGCAAAGTTCTATTTCTCCTGACCCGTTACCCTACATTCGTTGATGTTGGAATGGCGATATACCGTGCGCACTTACTCCGCGTTATCTACGTCTCAAATGCTGACATAGTCAACAGACAATATCGCTCCTTCCATACCACCGGAGACATGTGTACTTCTCTACAATGTCTCTGGATGTCAGTAGTCTCCTCGAACCCAGTCCTGCACCGCCGCTTATTTATCCACACCTTAGGGATGGTGATTATTGGCATGATCATCGCCGAAAGTCTGTAATAAATTCCCCACTCCCTCCTCCTTCCGGACGCTAAACTTGCTGGTCCAGTCATCATGGTAATCCGTGTCTGGGCACTTTGGGGGAACTCAAAAATCGTAGGAGCCATCTTGGTAGTGCTGTCCATCATCGGGGTAGTGGTCACCGCTATTTCCTACGCCTTGTTCAGCGGGTCCCTAGAATGTGAGTGGTCTCAGATCCATCTTAACATGACTATTTGTTTTAACATGCTCATTATCTATATTGAAGTTATCGCAACGGATACTATCGCGCCGGGTCTCATCGGCTGTCTGCCCGGTCGCGGAACGAACATCGTATTCATAGGCTACTTGGTCCTCATGGCGTACGAAGCTTGTGAGCCCGAAGCTTGTACGGCCCAAGCATGTTACTCATCGTTTCAAGTGGTCATGATTCTGCTCCTATTGAAGGGTGTCCAGCATTGTGAGCTCCACACTACTAGCTAGTCGATGCTAGTCGTTGTTGACACGGACTCGTCCAGTTCGCCATGTCTCCACCCGCTTCCTGTACGCATTTTACCAAGATGGTAAGCGTACTCAACGTGATGTATAGATCGTATCTCGTTCTTAATTACTTCCTCGTTCGCAGGAATTGTGTACTACGGGGTTCTTTTGTGTGCGCATGATCAACAGCATCGTCAGAGCGTGACATTGATCCCAATCATTGTTTTCAGTGATATCCGTCCTGAATGTCATCGTTCTGTTAACTGGACCGGTGAGCCTCTCAGCTTCTTCGTTCCTCACCACGCAATTCACAGTATAACCCTATCCCCTCATCAGCGGGAGAACGCCAACTTACTCACAACGTATGCACCGCCATCTACATTCATTTACTTGCCCCCTAACACCCACCCAGGCTCCAAAGAACATTTCACTCCATCCTCTCCGCCCGTATGCTCCTCCAACTCCGTAAAAGTGCCCAAAGGAGACAGTTCTTCGCGGAAACATTTATGTCCGTGGACGGCGGGGTAAGCACGATGATGTTCGTCGACGGGCCAGGCCAAGTTACTACGACAACGAGACGGAGGAATACTGAAATCGCGACGTGGTTTGGGGATGACGGAAGAGACCGTGCGCCGTAACGATAGCATGGACACCTCTTACGAAATTGTATCAGTAGTATTATTTATTTCTACATCAAGGAATCTACATCAATCTCACCTGCAGCCATCCTAACTGAGTATTCAGACGTCTATGCCGGTCTTCTCTTCGGGCTTGATTATAGTCCGTTGCGAGGTGGGTAATCACCCCGGGGATGACCAACTGGAACATGGTCATTGCATGACATCGTGGCACGACTCATGTGTTGACAGTGATGTAGCATGCCCACTCACTGTCGATAATCCATTCAGAAGCCCATTATCTCAGCAGTCGCTTCGTTTTACGCATCGGTCCCTCAAATAACATTCGCCAAAGCCCAAGTCCACATCGTAAGATTTCAAAGCCATCACAGACACGTACAGACGCTGCTGACATGATCTGTCTCGACACACCGGCGTTCGAGCTCGCGACTTGTTGAAGCTTACTGAGCTCGGTGGGGACGGTGAAAAGAAAGTCAGCGAGTTGAATAAGCGACGCCTCCCTTACGTTTTTATCGCCGCGAATGCTCAGGGTTGCTTACAGCTAAGTCCGTTGAATGCGCAGACAAATTGATGAGGCATTTATATTATGCAAAGGGAAAGAGCGTCGTGATTTCATGAGATGAGAAGATAGGCTGTATTTGTAGGTACATTTTTTGGGGTCGGTTACTCGTGGAGTGGTTACATTTTTGCAAGGCGGAAAGAGGAGGGAGTGCGGTTTGAGGTGTTCGTGAGGTATTCACAGGGTCGTCATTCGGTGGGTACGCGAGTGAGGAGGAGCACAGGTCCAGTAACAGGAGAAAGCTTTGGGTTCGACCAGATATCGCTCGCAGCAGTCGTACCAGTAAGCGTCGAATTAGCCGCCGTAGAAGTAGAAGACTGAGAATCTCGGAACGCGTTCGGAGGTGGGCTCAGAGGAGGAGGGTGCACCCTGATGTGCGGAACGTCTTGTAAATGAGCGGGTGCAGGCCGGGTGAGAGTAGTGCGGCCATCTTTGCCAAGGGGCACTTCAGCGGTTTCCTGCGCCGATAATTTGTCCTCCTAAGCAGGGACCCGCCATGGAATCAATTGCATGTATTTTCCGATATCCGCTATGGCAGCGTACCTGTACTTTTCGGTGTCGCCTCAAAAAAGCTAGCCATGGTCGTCTTTTGGGTTCCTTGTCGCGGTGTTCGGGTGGATAAACGAACCCGGTTTCCCCAATAACAATGGCGTTTCCGTCGCGGAGAGGTTGATAGCAGCTGTATATCGCGTAGCAGAGAACGGACGAGGTGATCACGACGATGACTCCAATGGCGATGTACGCCCAGACAGTCAAGTGAGTAAACGATTGTGGTGTGAAACGAGTGTGTTCGGTCGAAGAAGAAGCGGGCTTGAAGAAACTTGAGTCGTCGCTGTCGCCGTTGGTGAGCATGGTGACCGACGCAGAGAAAGAGGGGGCGGGAGCGGGATGGCGGGGCGCGAAAGATATAGGCGCAGCCCCTATCTCCCCTATTAACTCAAATCCTTCCTTGTGGCCCTGCGGAAGGCAAGCCAAATGCAGCTCTCTTCTTTCCCCTCATCTCCTCCTCGAATCGGCTGCACGGACGGCACGACGGTAAAGCAGTTCCCCGACGCGAACTTGGCGAGACATCACCTGAGAGCGTAAGTTAGCTACCGTCGGTGTTCCCGATACGCTAGTACATTTGCCCTATATAGTCTGCCACTTCTCCTGCTGTCTGGAAACCAAGATGGATGTGCCACCAATAATACCCTACGCGTTACATCGCCTACCGCGCCTGGCGACCCCCATCGTCGTCGTCTACATCGCCAGCAAGGTACTCGAGATTCAGTACCGAATCCTAACCCCCACTTGGCTTTTGATCATCCTTTATGCTTTATCACTGCCCGCGACATTGACTCTGCATGTCAAATACAAATCTTGGAAGGATCGAAGAGACGCAGCAGCTTTGGGCGCCGAACTGCCGCCCTTGGTTCATGACAGATGGACGGGGGGCTTTGGCGCGTTGAAGTTGATGGTTTCCAACTTCAAGTCAGGATACATCGGTGCGTCAGGATACATATTCGGTCGCCTTATATTGACATCTCTATCAAGCTGAAATGATGACCGACTGGTCCAAGAAATACGGCACCACCTTCAATGTTCGGATTCTCTTTGAGGACAGGATCATTACCGTCGATCCCGATCACATCAAACTTGTCCTCGCCTCTGGCTTCGATGGGTATGAAAAGGGCCCTGTTTTCGAAGCGCAGATGGACTCTCTGCTAGGGACAGGCGTGTTCAACTCTGATGGTACGTACACGTACTGGAACTCTCGCAACACTTCAACTCACGAATCTCTTCAATCCAGGCGACATGTGGAAGTGAGCTGCGCCTCCTTCCTCTTCTACTCCCACTAACGGGCATCATTAGATTCCACCGTTCGATGACGCGTCCGTTCTTCAGTAAGGACCGCATCAGCCATTTTGAACTCTTCGGACGCATGGCAGACGATGCACTTACCCAGCTCAAAGCACGTCTCAGAGAAGGGTTCCCTGTCGACGTCCAAGACCTGGCATCGCGCTTCACCCTCGACTCCGCCACCGAATTCCTCTTCGGGCAAAACGTCCGCTCACTCTCCGCGGGGTTGCCTTACCCGCACTACGACCCGCGCTCTAACGACCCTGTATTCAAAAACCACCCGGCGAATCTGTTTGCGGTGGCATTCGGCGAGGCGCAGAGCAACGTTGCGCTGAGATCGAGGTATGGGATTAACTGGCCGTTGGCGGAGCCGTGGGTAGACAAGACTGCAAAACAGATGAAGGTGGTGAAGAGGTTTATTGAACCAATCCTAAAGGAAGCAGTAGAGAGAAAGAAAGCTATGGGCGACATAGAGAAGAATAATGCGGCGGACAGAGAGGTTAAAGAAGGCGAGACCCTGCTCGATCATTTGGTCAATTATACAGATGGTGAGTGCTTAGAGAACCACTCTTTCGTATCTCTAATACATCGGCCAAAAGATAGGAAAGTTCTTCTGGACGAGATTCTTAATATTATGATTGCTGGAAGGGACACCGTTAGTATCCAAATCACTATTCTATTCCGCCTACACCCTGATCTCATCAATAATCCCTCGACATATAGACAGCCAACTCCATCACATTCACCCTCTACTTACTTGCTCAGCATCCCGATGTCCTTCAACGTCTCCGCGAAGAAATCATCTCCAAACTCGGCCCTACACAAGGACCAACATACGACGACGTACGCGACATGAAATACCTTCGCGCGGTTATCAACGGTGAGTATCACGATGCATCGACCAGCTACCCTCTCACAGATTTCTGATTCGTGTAACAGAGGTGCTGCGTCTGTATCCAGCGGTGTAAGTCTATCTCATTTCTATCTTTACACCTCTCTTACCGCAGCGACAGCCCTTCGAATGTTAGGTACGCCGGCTATGTGCGATGATCATAGAGTGCCCTTCTCACCGTGCGTTTGCGTAGGACGAGTCGTCAGGCAGCGGTATGGCCATCCAAGACTGGAGGCAAGCCTCTGTACATCCCAGCTGGCACGAAGTACGTTCCTTCCTTTACAATGGATTCATCCTAGACAAACCGCCCCTCTCACGCGCCTCAGGATACCGTATAGCGTATTCGTGATGCAACGCCGAACAGATCTATGGGGGCCTGATGGTAAATTTAGCCCGTATCTGTTGTTGTGGGTTATCATCAGACTGATGCATGATGGGTGAATCGTGATTTAGCGGAAGTCTTCGACCCGGATCGCTTCTTGGACGAACGACTCCACAAATACCTCACCCCCAATCCATTCATCTTCCTCCCATTCAACGCTGGTCCCCGAATTTGCCTGGGTCAGCAAGTGAGTTTGACGTCCCATCTTTCGTCTTCACTTCTCCGTCCTTCCCCATTTACCTTTATATATATCAATTCATCTCCTTATTAGGGGCGTAACTGATAATGCTTCCCGTCGCAACGTGTAGTTTGCCTACCAGGAAACCTCGTTCTTTATCATCAGATTCCTCCAGACGTTCTCGTCAATAACTTTGGCACCTGATGCCCAGGCACCCGAACACAGACCTCCTGCGAGTTGGGCCGGTGCACCTGGGACGAAGGGCACCGAAAAGGTGAGATTTCTGTCCACCCTTTGGCAATGAGAACCTGACGGATACCTTTGCAACGCCGGATAGATCGTGCCCAGGGCACATTTGACTATGTATGCGTCGGTACGTTGGTGATCAATCCTGCCCAAGGCTCGTTTGATAAGATTCATTGGTTTAGGGCGGTGTATGGGCTACAATGGAAGAAGCGACATATCTATGAGGGCAATAGAAACAATATCTAACACTATTATGGAACGGTAGTATATTCAATGAATATTTGGATCAAGACCAGTGATTGTTGGTAAGAGAGAAAGCTAGACCCAGTATCCGACCCCTGTGAAAAAAGGAGTTAGGGTTACCACGACTGGGAAGGAAGTGACTAGTGACTAGTGAACAGGTAACTCTACAAATAGTGGCTGTTATTCGAGGTGTCTGTACATCATCATGGCGCCAGAAAAATGGTGGAAGAGACATAATGTTATGACACGGCTCCCTATTAATAGGGCTGATAACTAAGACTCGCTTTTTGTACACGACGAAAAGGATGACAAGCAGGAAATACCATCCATTAGTCCAGTGTCAGTCAGAATTTCCAGTCAGAATTTCCTGATAGACTATTGCACTACTGAACCCAATATTTGAGCGATGCGCGCCGTGACATCGTCGTTACGATCTGTCTCTCCCGTCATCCCCAAACCACGTTGCGATTTCTGTGTTCCTTCGTCTCGTGTTTGTGGTAGGTCCAGGTCCGTCGACGAACATCAATGTACTGAATGGTGTGTCGACAACTACAGATGTTTCGGAGAAGAACTGACGTTTTAGGGCACTCTTGCGAAGCTGGAGAAGCATACGCGCAGAAAGGATCGAGTGGAATGTTCTTTGAAGTCTGTGGGCACCAAATACATGATAAATGAACGTGTAGCTGTTGACAGAATCAGGTCCGTACATACGTTGTGAGTAGGTTGGTGTTCTCCGGCTGATGCAGGCAGTATGTTGTTAGATCCATGAGAGACATCAAAGATGTCGCAAAGCTCACTGATCCAGTAAAGAGAAAGGCGACATTCAAGGTGGACACCACTAGGGAACAGATTGGGGATTCGGAATCAGCACCATGATCTCAGCCCCGTCAGGTAGTATACGCACGCAAGAGGACACCATAGTACACAATCCCTATGAATTAAGATGGGGGGTCTTAGGAGCAAGATAATGAACAAACAAAGCTAAAACTCACCGTCGCGGTAAAATGCATACATGAAATGATTGGTGACATGTCGACCTGACGTCTCTCTAGGGATAATTCCCCAAAACTGGCATGAAACTCACGATGCTGTACTCCCTTCAGAAGTAATAAGATCAGAAGCGCTTGGAAAGGTGAGTATTTGCTCAAATTTGTAGTGGAAAGTATTTGCACTCACAAGCTTCGTACGCCATGAGAACCACGAAGTCTATAAATACAATGTTCGTCCCAGGGCCGGGCAAACAACCGATTAAGCCAGGCGCAATCGTATCCGTAGCGATAACTTCAATATAAGGAGTCAGCATGTCGACACAAACTGTCCAAAGCAGAGGTCTGAGGGACCCAAGCCCACCCACATTTCAGGGTCCCAGTGAACGTTATGAAGTAAACCACGCTAACAACTATCGCGACGATGGAAAAAACCATCAAGATAGCTCCGATGATTTTGGAGCTCCCCCAAAGTGCCCAGACACGGACCACCATGATAACTAGTTCAACAAGTTCAGTGGTAGAGAAGTAAACAATGACAACTGACAAACATTCAGCGATGATCATACCAAAGACGACCATCCCTAAAGTGCGGATCAATAGAGCTACTTGAGGTATAACACACACACTTACAACCGGATGTGGTATAGAGGAGTTCACATGTTTCCGGTCTTATAGAAGGGGCAAGGTTATCTGTAAAGCACATCAATGTTTGAGAGAGCATGCAAAGGGAGTACATACGGTATACTGCCATGCCTACGTCGGCGAAGGCGGGGTACCGGGTGAGTAGAAACAAGACTTTCCCAAGGCTCCATGGGGTTTTCCATACTAAACACCTTTCATCGCCCACAGTGAGTAGATAGTCGTAAACCTGATACCATTGGTTTCAGTATTCCAAGGGCATTGTGGGATGATTATCTAAACCAGTAAAGCACCGCTAGCAACTTCGGAATCAAGCTGTTGTCAGCACCCATGTGCAGTGCGAAATCACTAACTTGGAATGTACTACAAATCATCGGTCCGTTAGTGATGGTTATGTTGATTAGTGCGAAACTGCATGAGAGGGCTTACCGAGCCCTGTCGCATCAGCGACAACGAGTGAACTGTTGTCTGTGTGTCTCCCATAGGCACGGTGCCGGCGAGCATGGTGAGGTTGGAGCTAGATGAGTGTGTAAGTAGGAGACTGCTTTCATATAGGCAGGTTGACAATCCCACTGTCAGACTGCTGACCGACGGTTTGATGCCTTGTGTCTTTCCTGGCGATCCGATCAAGCCCAGGTACAGAGTTTGATCAGGATTGGGACTTCTCCCGACGAATACTGCTGAGGAAACGATTGACATAGCTGGTGCATGCCTGTTGCCTCAGCTCATTGTATCCTCGGATGATATGACATATCACAAACTAGTATGATACTCCCACAGCAAGGACATATGAAGTAGGAGTCGTTCACACAGCGCTGTCTTCTCATGGAGAAGTAACGTTCTGATGCAAAGGCGTACATATAGATGCTTAGTGATGGACATCTGGCAACAGAAGGCTAGACTCACTTATAGTGAGACATCCCATAGCTGATAAGCCTTTCGTGTACGCAACCATTGGATTTGTTGATAGGTAAATGTGACTTATGACTCACACTCACATATAGCGAGGCTTGCTGATTTACCGTTGTATTGTCTGTATTGTCTTGTCTGTATTGCATCGTTTTTGGGTCCTGGAGCAGCTAAAGAGAGAACGTTGAGCACGTGCATCCCTCGACTTCGAAGCCACGAATAAGCTCGTTATACTTAAGTTATGAGTACGGTTCTATGATCAAGGAAGGGGGGTCGAACAGAACCCAGCAGAAATGCGAGGCAGCCAACCAGGCGGTGGTTGTGGTAGAAGAACATTGAAGATTGAATATTGAATATTTGAATCTCCGTTTTACAACTTGGTTCAATTTCCCCTGAGCTCCCCTGACAACTCTCCTTAAGGCTGCGGACCATGTATCTACCAGGAGAGCTGCGTTCGGACGATGCAATGATTACGCCCACTTTGACAAGCGATTAGAACCGGAATATGGTATGTAATTACTATACAATAAGTAACGCTAGATATGAATGTTATCATGTCCTCCTGAACCTAACCAACTCGGTTTCATCATCATCATTGTTTCTAGCCACCGATTGGCTTCCATGCCCAAACCACTCCCTACCGCTATGCTGAAACCTGATGCTGGAAGCAGATACCGTGGCCGCTCCATTAGCTGCTCGGTGTAGTCCGCTGAGGTCTAGTGAACCGGTGAATGTGTTCGTGCTGCCTCGCATGCTTTCCGATCGGTGGCGAAGGTTAAGGAGAATCCTTGTCGAAAGCATAGAGTGAAGGGCTGCTTGTGTCCTTTAGGATGAAATCGTGAGCTGCTATAGCGAACGCCTGCGAGGACATTGTGATTGGGCTTACGATATGAGTAAATTGGTGAACTCAGGCTTCGGAAGACCAAGGCAGATCAATGAGGTGCAGATAGCTGTGACGAGAGATGAGGATACTTACAGGCTGAGTGAGAATTATGACTAAATTGATGACAGAGATTCCTAGAACATGATTGCATAAGTGGGAAATATGACACGGATAAATCGAAACCGGTTACCAAGCAGGGAGGCAAAATATAGAAATCCTACGGGGTTTGTGGGGCGTGAGGGTGATGCGATGGTCTAGGCTATAGTGGTGCGCACCATCTTTGTAGAAAACGTACATCATTGACGAAGTGGGTACGCGGAGGTCTGTTTTGTTATTAATTAACGGAATAAGCTAACAGCGCCATTGAGGACTCACGGCCCTTTATCCCATTGATTACCATCAATAAGAATATTCCTATATCCAAGGATAGAATCAGTTTCCTTAGATACCTCATCGTACAGGAAGCGCACCTAATTCATAAACCATTAATACGACATATGAAGCCAGTGTAGAGTTGTTTGAATCTGCAACGCCTATGCAGCCAGGATATGAAAGTGACACTACTGTGCCTCTTGGAACAACTTGATAGAGCTTGAGTTACTTGCCATCCAAGAATTAACAATACTCACAGAATTGCCCTCCCTCCAACTTAAAGACAGCCGTCAGCCCGATCGCAAGTCCTGCGACGGTCATCACAGCGAGAGTCACCGCTATCCGTTTACTTCGCTGCCATAGAGCCCATACTCGTAACACTAAAATTGCTGTAATTTATTTCAGCGTTGGGTTGACATCGCCTTAGTGGATGGCACACCTTCTGCGGCAAGTACACCAAAGAGATACATGTCTGTGTTTGGATGGTTAGCGTCGATTATAACAACAGGTGGCAACAAGTACCCACAGCCGGTCAAAGCGAATAATGTATGGCATTCCGAGTCGGAAACGTCGTGTCCAGCATTTCCTTAAAGACAGAAGAAGTAAGAGGACTTACGAATCGTGCAAAATAGGTATGGAGGGCATACGGTGTAGTTGTACAATCAGGTTGAATAGGAGTGGGTAGCGGGCAAGGAGGTATAATGCCTTGCCAACGCTCCATTTCGACCCCCATACGTACCTTATTTCGTCGGCAAAGGTGAGTAAGAAATCGTACGCCTAGACGTCATATATGTCAATGAAAGGTGACATATTACGGTTAGGGTGTGCCATACGAGTAGCGATGCACTAGAAACTGTCAAACGAAGGTATTGATCAATTCCATCCAGTATTCCGTAATAGGACAACTCACCTGGGATGTACTGCCCAACGTTCAGCGTCAGCCCCAAGGAGAAAAATACGACATGAGGTTACCGTCGATGTCTTGAAGCGTATCAGGAACTCTACATCGATGCTGGACGGGGACATGAGGGGAGATGCGTGGCAGTGGGATATCAGCGCTGCATAGAATGGTATATGTATCTCAGTACGTTTGGTGTTTGATGATTGGACACAACACTCGGCATCGGGAGTTCCTTAGAGTTCCGTGGTTGTGCGATTCGATGCCTGTGCTATTTCAACACGACGCTGCGACAAGCAGAGAGTTCCATAGAGATAAGGCGAGTAAATTGATCGAGTCCCACTGGACATGATGGTCGCCAAAATTACTGTGCTATGCTTGTATTGCGTCCGTGGGGTGAATAGCCAAACAAGTTCTGGATCAGAACATTGTCCCTACGTAGAAGGAATCAGTGCTCTCACCGTTTGATGACTCTCACCGTTTGACATGTATAAATCAATACCTGGTGATGAGATTAGTGGCGCTCAATGCCGAAGTAGCATGATCGCAATGGTAGTGGGTTTTATGGCACACGCCTGGTGGTCCTGATGTTCATGTTGTCGAACATAGTGGTTCAGAGCAAAAAGTGCATCGGTAATCGTACCAAACATAGCCCACCGCGAGGGTCGAACTCGCAGCCTTCAGATCCCGCCATCAGTAGTAAGAGTCTGACGCTCTATCCGATTGAGCTAGGCGGGCGCTTATCACTTCTTCTGTTATCTCCTCTATGCTGCTGAATTGGTGCATGGAAGATTATTGCCGATCTGATGGTTTCGATACCTGAATCGCCCAGGACGGTCATGCACGGTGATCAAGACTTGCTGAAACTCTCTCTACTGAAACTCAGCAGGGCACCTTATCACCTCTATATGAGCGGTCTCCGTTACCTTCTATCTTAGTACAACAGCACTTTTCAGGGCGACACGTTAGTGTATCAAACCCTGGCTGGTGTGTGGCGTGAGGCCGTCAAGGCAATGAAATCACGGAGGGTAGCGGCAACGCGCGCTCAGCACTCTAAAAGTGATTCAATAAATCGGGAGACGAAGGTCCGTCGTGAAACCCTTTCCCCTCAATTCGCCCAATGATTTTCGGCATAGGACAGACTCGATACGAACAACTTCCTACGAGCGTAGTGTCTTCGGAGAATCTTCGAGGCAAAGGTTCTCGGTTGCGCCTGCCACGGATTGGCATCGCCTTATCTCTATCAGCTGCATTCATTTGTCTGTTTATTTTTGTCTCTTCTCAGAAGAGGTCGCTCGTTTATAATGCTCTGGATCACTTTCAATCCCTGTGCGTGATTCGTTGATGATCAATGTCTTGTATTTACATTCTCTTGACTGTAGCAACATCGCACCGACTGTGGACAATGGCACGGCGACTCGACGGCGCGCGGTCGCCACTACCCTCTATTCCAGCAATTATGCGATCGCTGCGGCTGTACTTGCCCATTCCTTGCGTCGCGCGAATGTCTCGAGTCGGCTGCTCTTGATTTACATCGAAGGCCGGATTTCCGAGGAGGCCCTCTGCATTAGTCGGGCTGCCGGATGGGAGCCCCTTCCCGTCCCCTTCATTCCTCCTCCCCATCACGGAAATGGCATCCTGGAGTGGTATCAAGACCAATATACGAAACTCAATATATGGGGCCTCGATCAACACGGTGTTGATCGCTTGGTTTATCTCGACGCCGACACACTGGTCTTCAGAAACATCGACGAACTATTTGATATCCCTTTCAACTTCGCTGCCGTCCCCGATGTCTTCGCCCCAGATGATCCTCGAGGGTTCTCCCTCTCGTTCAATGCCGGAGTCCTAGCACTTCGGCCCTCTTCTAAAATTCTAGCGGACATGATCAAGAAAACTGAAACGGCAACCTTTCCACTTGAACAAGCTGAACAGTCCTTCCTCAACGCGTACTTCGCCTCGAAACGTGCATTGCTGCCGTACATCTACAACGCCGGTATTGTGATCAAACGGCAAAGCTCTGATTTATGGGAAGAGCTTAAGCGTGAGATGAAGATCATGCATTTTACGAATGTGAAGCCGTTCTTGGAGGAGAATCAAGCTGCGGACAAGATTCTGTCAGAGCTCGAGCTCGAAGATGCGATACGCCGGGCGTGCGAGAGGAAAGGCCTGTACAGCGAGGAGATCGAAGCGTGGCGAGATGCCTATAGAAGAATGATGCGGAACAAGGGCGACAGTATCTCTCGATGCCGCGCGATCTAGTTGCGGCGCCTTCTTTCAACTTCCGAGCCCAGGAGCAAATTATCACCTGTATAATCGCCGGACAGGTAGACATGGCATAACACGCCAATTCTCGACCCGTTGAGAGCCCGGGAAGTCTGCGAAGTTGGGCACTACCGAATACGCAAAACAGATGAAACACCTATGTTTAAGTGTCAACAAGTTCGCAAGGTGCTGTACCCTTCTTGGGACTTCTACCCCGTTCCTTCCGTGTTCAATTACACGTAGCGACAAAAGTGGTATACCCTAATATTACACCTATCTGTGTACTAACTTCTTAAGTTGTACGTTCTATTCATTGCGCTCCTCTCCAAACCAAGTAACAAGTTGGGTATTTTGCTGTTGTGTGGAAATTACTGGGCATGGTTGATCCCGATCGTCGAATACAAGGGTTTCAATACTAAGAGACGATGCCGAGGAATAATGTTGGCGTCGAGTGTAGTCTTTTCGGAGATTGAGTAGAATTCGGGCAGAGAGTATAGAGTGGAGTGCCCTTTGAGGTCTATGTGGTAAGTGTCAGTGAGTCTACGCGAAGAATATCTGTGCAGTCTTACACAATGAAGATATCTGCTAGTCCAGGCTGATTTATTGACGTTCTTCAGAATGTATGGCGGGGAAGGGAGTAGAAGACGCACATTGCCAGACAATAGGATGCCAACATTCATCGCGGAAACCGCTTGAAAATTGCCATAGGTCGGGGCACTCCCCTATGGAACTACAACACTCACTGAGCAGTGCGGCATAGTACACAACGCCTAGTTATAGATGCTGTCAATATTCACGTATGCACGAGGCTGGCAGGTCCATACATACCATCTTTGTAGAATCTAGTGATGTAGGATGATGATCCATGCCGTACTACATATTTCCGATTGGCGAAACGATCAAGAACGCCAAAGAATGCTCACAATAAAAGGCCCCCTTCGCTAACATCAAGCCAGCAATTACTGCGTAGAGCAGATTAGGGGAGTCATAAGACAGGGATCAGGGGAGGTTCACTTACGCGTCTCGTAAGCCATGAGCAACAAGTAGCCCTGATAGTACACAGGTGTTTGCCGAATCGTAAAACAGCCATGGAGATTAGATGCGAGTGTGTTCAGCTGTAAAACTACACAATCAAGGTTCATCAGTTTTGCGTATGCAGCACGAGGTTCGTCAATGACTTACATAGACGCTTGTCGATGAATTTAGAGAAAATGACGGCGGCGATAATTATGCTGACCACGAAAGCCACTATTAGAATCGCCCCGACTGTTCTTGATCTTCGCCATAATGCCCAAACACGGATTAACATTATGACTGAATTCTACCCGGGTCAGGGCGATAATACGGAGGAGGGTTCGGGACAAAGTTAACGCACGTTCTGCAATAACGACTCCGACGAGTATCATCCCTTAAATGCCATCGAGTAAGTGTGATGGAATCGTTTCCTGAAGGAACGGATGATTACAGTTGGTGATTTTGAAAAGTAAATGGCAGGTATCTTTCGATCCATTGCCAACGTCATCTGCAGCGTCCGTTCAACAAACTGATTATGGGATGACACAGGCTCACCTTACAGTATAGCATTAGGGATATGTCGATGAAGGCGGGATACCGTGTAAGAAGGAAGATAATCTTGCCGAAACTCCACGGAGCCGCCCACACCAAATCGCATTCGTCGTTTATAGTGAGGAGATAATCATAAAACTTGCATGTAGATTAGTTCAGGAAGATCACTGGAATTGTGAGATCCTACAAAGAGAGCGACACAAGCGACTTCGTTGCAGGTTCGTGAGCACTAGGTAAATGACATATAGAAGGGTGGACATGAGTTCGTACCTGGGGCATACTATCCAAAATCAAACGTCAGTTATATCTAGAAAGGGTGAGAGTGCGTTGAGCTCACAGAAGTCGTTCGACGAAGGACAAGCGAATGGATATCTATCTGCCTGTCTCCCAGAGACATTTTTTGGAGGGAAGAAAGGAGGCTGGGTAAGTTACCGGCCCAATTATTTATTGGGGTTGCTAGTGTTCCATTAGCAGATATATATTCACATCGCGCGTCGCGTCGCTCTATGTATAACTCCAGCTTCATGACATGATCATTCGGTCACCAGGCGTTCTGACCGCAGGCTGTCATGCATGGGCGCGACGAAGCACCTGCATACAGTAATTAGTTCCAGAAGGAGGCTGACGCGGATTGATTGCATCAGAGTTATTGTTCAAGATCACTCACGATCGTCAACGGAGGCTATGCAAATTGATGCCGAGCCTCCTCATCCAGCCAGTGTGTGTGGCGGCTCAGAAACTTGGAACCGATAAATGGCGTAGGGCGTACGAGAAAGGACGAGGTGCATAGTGTGTGGTGTGGCGCGTAGCTGAGCAAGAAGGTGACTACGGCTGACATGCCGAAGGAAATAATTCTGATGGTGGTTGGGAACAAAGGTCTGTTCATGAGCCTGGGCGACTAACACCGATGGCAGAAGTTGGAGCCTCACAAGCCGGTCAATATTCCACAAATAATAATAAATAGGCCTTGTTTCTTCAAGTAGGATGGAAAGAATCCCGAGCAGGTGGGGTCTGTACGTCAACAACATGACAATAGCTATAGGCGTCCCCAAACCAATTGGTTGTTTCTTTCCCTTGTTGCCTTGCCCCAGGCTCATGTACGCCGTCGAAAAATGATTCCCCGAGTGATTGAGTATAAGTGACGAGGTGTTGGCGTTGTGAAGCATCCTCTCTGAGGCGGAGGAGTATTCGGGCTGAGAGGATAGAGTGAAAGGAACGTTGGGCCCTGAGGAAATTTCAGTTTCGAATGAACGAATCGGAAGGTTGCTGTCGCCGTACATAGACAGTGCGTTCGTAAATTCAGTCTGAGTCAAAAGACAAAATCAGGAAGGCTGAGGAGGGGAGAGTACAAATGACTGACTGGTCCAGCGAGTATGAGAACAGTATTGGCAATAGATGACCCTGAGGACCAGTATAAGAGTTACGAACACCCCCGACATAATTCCATTTCCTACCAGAGAGCACGACGTAATATAGAATACCTAAGCGGTGGGCCCAGTGTCAGCATCAGTTGAAAGTGTACACGGATCTAAACTCGCCATCTTGATATACATTATACAGCATTGATGATGGACGACGGCGGACTGCTGTAAGAACTGTGAGTATTTCCATGCTAATGCGCATTGCAGATGGGGTACTAACAGTCCCGCAGCCCCTTCACAATCATGAGAATAACCATTACTAGAATAAAACCGGTCGGATACCATGCTCGGAAAATAAAGGATAATAACTTACAAATCTCGAAAGCCGTAGCAATCATGTAAATGATGAAAACAACTTTTGTGCCCACAGTTCCATAGCACCCCTGGAGATTAGGTGAGATCGTGTAAAGTTCTATGACTGTCTCCCCGAGTCGGATGAGGGATTTGCGAGTGAGTTCGTGTGAAAAATAGAGCTGGGATGTCACATACATTCTTGCTTTTCGTGGAACTTGACGAATGAAAAGAAAGCGCCGATCATGCTCGCGATGATCAGTGTAGCCAAGATTATCCCCACTGTTCGTGTTTGATTCCAAATTGCCCACACTCGCATGAGCATGATGACTGCGCGTCGACGGATGTTTGAGCATGCTCGAGAAAGTGCATAATGACTAGAACATACTTTCAGCGATGGCTATTCCGATTATTGTAGTCCCTGGAGAAAGTAGATTCAACACCAAACACGCCAAGGGAAGATGGAGAGCACGCACAACCAGAGATATTATACAATAGGCTGCATGTGCTTGACGTCAGGTTGTATCCCAAATTTCCTACGGGAAAGGGCAAAGATGAAGTCGTTGGGTCTTGCGGCCAAAGAGTCTGGGTGCTCACGATACAATGCCAGAGCAACGTCGACGAATGTCGGATATCGTGTAAGGAGGAAGAGAATCTTTCCAAGACTCCATGGAGCGGTCCAAACGTAACGGGCTTCGTCGCCGAGAGTCAGCACATAGTCATAAATCTGAAAATAAGGTCAAGTTCGGATCAGGAAGCATCAGAATAGTGACACACAAATAGACCAGTGCCAGCGACTTGGAAGAAGCAGAACTTATGAGCAATGTTGCTTTGCATGAATAAACGCAACTCTGGCTTACTTGGAAGATACTGCAATATCGAGAGTCAAAGAGTTAATCGGCCACATCTGATAATACTGTTCTACTCACGGTGCTTTGTTGATTCCAGGAGAGAGAAGCAATAAGCTCTGGGGGAAAGTCCATGGGCGTGGTAGTGATGATGGAATCAGTGAAGCATACTGATTGAAGCCTGGCCCGATCGTGGCCTATATGTACCTACATATCATTTTGGGGACCCTCTGCGTTCCACCATCAATCACTGGTTGCTTGACATTTGCTCGTCCAAGGGCAGGATGCTGACGGGCGATGCCGGTGATCCCTGCAAAGGTCAGGAACTGAGTCCTTCTTGCCTCAGTTCAGCCAGGCTCAGGCTCAGCTTAAGATGGGCCATCGACTGGCAACTCTTATCTGAAGCCAAAGACGCCCATGGCCATCGCTTCTCAGAAGTAGCATGGTCAGTCGAAGTAATTCTAACGAAGAACATACGCGGTGTCACCTCTCAGTTTCAATACAATCTTCAAACGCGTGCATACTCCCATCCATCACGGAAGAGTGATACCAGGGAACGCTAGACTTAAATGAGTTTGGTGAGTAGATGTGGCAAAAAAGCTTGAAGCGTGTCACTGGGCAAACGTTCAGGGTTCGATCATCTGTTGGCCGCCCTCTTGCTATACTGGGAAGGGGCGGGACTTTCGCGCGATCACGGGATCGGCGGGTCTCTTCAGGGTTGCGACGCATGAACTGAAGCTGCACCTGAAATCTACCTTGCGGCACCTTGCAAGGGAACTGATCATTATCTTCAACCACAATGTCCTCCAAAGTTCCTACGTCGCAAGGACCGTCGTCTCTGCCACCATCGGTGTTCACGCTACCGCAAACCGCTCAGCTTGAAGCGCTTTATACGATAATCAGAGACAAGAACACTAGGAGAGGAGACTTCTTGTTCTACTCAGATCGCATCATCAGGTTGCTTGTCGAAGAAGGGCTGAACCATCTTCCTGTAGTGCCCAAGACGATTGAGACACCCACTGTAAAGCTTTCATCCACGGATAGAGGATATTTCTGTGCTGAGCGCTATGTAAGGGATGCTCATATGAAGGTGTGGGATTCGAAGGCAAGATTTGCGGCGTTTCGATTCTACGTGCCGGCGAGGTAAGCCTGTTTCCTCTGTAACGCTGCATTTGACTGAGCCTCTGTTCTAACATTAGGCTATGGAAGCTGGTCTCCGTGAGGTGTGCCGTAGTGTCAGGATCGGAAAGATCCTGATCCAGAGGGATGAGGAGACCGCTCAACCGAAGCTCTTCTACTCTAAAGTCAGTACTGTCTCCACCCCATGTCCAACGGGACGTCAACGCGGCTATAGTTTCCCCCCGACATAGCGCAACGTTACGTCCTGTTGCTCGACCCTATGCTCGGTACGTTCTGGGGGATTGCCGTTTTACTTTGTACTGATTTCATTTCAATCAAGCGACTGGAGGTTCTGCCATGAAGGCTATCGAAGTCCTCATGGAGCACGGTGTTCCCGAGGACAGAATCATCTTCATCAACCTCGTTAGTTCCGTTCTTCTCATTCGGTCCACAAAGCACTTATATTTACATCAACTCAGATCTCTTCTCCGGAGGGACTTAATACGTTCTGCAAGAAGTATCCGTTGGTCCGCGTGGTAAGTCCTCCGCAGAAGGACATCCCTTGCATATTGCTCACGCAACGCCCACCCTGAACACATGCAAACATTGCATGTACACCTCATTGCATTTCCACATCGCAGATCACTGGATGGATTGACCAAGGGTTGAACGAGAAGGCGTATATTATCCCAGGTTTAGGCGACTTCGGAGAAAGGAGGCAAGCATCATTATTATGTCCTTATTTGTAGATGACGACTCACCTGTGTGTCCAGATATTGCTCTTAAAAGTTACTTGAAAGCGCGAAAACTATGTGATCAAGTTCACAAAAGGCGATCGGACTCATTACTTTCAGAATCATAGCATCATCAGCATTGTGTCAATGAACTTGTATCTAATCGGACGCAGAACACGGAGGTATCAACTGAGATGGATAATCCTCCTGTCTGATTGTTGATCTCAAGAACGCAACCATCCGACGCATGCGGCTACTATAGGTTTGGCGACCTCACTTATGTTCAAACTTCTACTCCCGGTTACTCTTTGCCATGAGCGACGCCACCGAGTGACCCGTAAACGAAGGGACTGGGTAGTGCTATTCCCCTTGGGAGGGAGATAAGCCCCGGTTCTGGGTGCAAGAAGCCATACTTTATCAGGACCTCTGCAAGACCAGGGTTTGGTTTGGGTTCTAATTGACATTTCGCTGTTGCCGCGCATCCGATTGTTGTCCGAGCCACTGCGGAAAGATTCACTCACCAATTATATATATTTTCCGAAATCGTGTGTGTGCAGTGGTCACGGTCAGTGTTTTTGATCTCACAGTCCAAATCTGGTCCCTGGATTCAGCCTGCAAACTTGGCTTGCTCTCTTAAACTATAAAAACGGCCATAGTGTGGTTGCGCCCGTTCCCACTTGCCTCATCACCGCTCACCTCGTAATTATCAAACAAATGGCCATGGATACCGTTCGTCGAAGGAGACATTCAGGTTCGGGTGCCGCCATTGCTGCGCCACGTCCCGTAGTGCGGACGGCCGGCCCAACTGTCAATAGTCGTCTCGCTCCCCCACGTCCAAAGTCTACGCCAGCCCACCACAGACCCCATCAACGAAGGCGGCAAAAAGGCCCCGGCGACAGCGACGACGAAGGGGCTGCCAACAACGCTGATAGCGACGGGGACGAAAACATGGCTAATACGAATGAAGACCCAGAAACTAAGGAATTTGATCGATTATCTCAAGCTGGGTCCGATGCTGATTCCTGGGACGACGCCTCTTCTTCTGCATCCACCACGTCCTCACTACCACGAAAAATTTCCGTCGTGAAAAAGGACGAAGAAATCCAAGAATCGCCAATAGGAGGACCTAGCCAGAGACCGACAAAACCGCTTCCTGCCTCGAAAGTCAGAAACTTGGACAACAAAATGCCACCGAACGTCGTTCCCCCCATTGTCCATCCGGCAAACCCTTCGATGTTGCCGGTACAAGCGCACGTTCCTCGCAATTCAGTCGTTTCGCCGCAGCGCCGTCTTTTTGTGATTCTGGAGCAAGCCTGCTTGGAGGCTTATCGAGTATCTTCCGGGGGCGGCAAGGGCCGGTACTCGAAAGGTGGTGAAGAACAGGTGAAATACACCCTCCTCAATTGTGATGATCACCAGGGCATTCTGGCAAAAACGGGGCGAGATATCGCAGATGCTAGACCAGATATAACGCACCAGGTGAGAATCAAAGATCGCAGCTTCTCCTCATCCTTAGGCACCTCCCCTTGTCTTCGGTTCTTCCCATTATCGATGAAATTGGAGGGCCCTCCCCGTGGTCATACTTGGGGGACCATCTATCGATGTTCCTATCTAGCCGACCTGGACTCCACGTTCCTCTGGGCTGCCTACCTCCGCGATTCTTTACGTCTCACACACGTTCACCCCTTGTTTTGCACGTATGCTGGGGTCGCAGCTGCCGTTTACCCCACACTCCAAGCTATAAGCCCATGACCTTCCATTTTCGTTCATCTGATTCTAGTGACTGCAAGCGACCGGTACTAATATCATTTGGACCCCCCAATTTAGTGCCTTCTTACCCTTCTCGATTCACCGCTCAACAAAGCAGGACTTCTGCAAGTTTACATACACACGGCGAAGGGCGTCCTCATTGAAGTTAACCCACATGTGCGCATTCCACGGACGTTCAAACGGTTTAGTGGACTTATGGGTGAGTTGGCACCTCCAATCCGTTTCATTCCACTGCGCCCTCTGTTGTGCATTGCCCTCACGGGCTCTGCGCGATCGTTATGCGCTGGAGTATTGAAATCTTGCCCTCCTGGGCTAATCACGTCTCTCGGCAGTCCAATTGCTAGACAAGCTATCCATTCGTGGAGTCAACGGGCCCGAGAAACTCCTCAAAGTAATCAGAGTCCGTCTTCCTGCCATTTTCCTCCCTTCTCCGTTCCTCAACGATTTATAGAACCCAATCTCCGATCATCTTCCCGCCAATACATTCAAAATCAGTAAGCCGGGCTTGGCAATATTATACAAAACCGCGCACTTACGATATCGCCTTGTCAGCATTGTCGGGCGACGCTCCGACTGTGCGCTTGTCCAACTACCTATCATCGGTACCACAAACACACTCGATCGCTGTCTTCGTCGGTGCAATGGCGAGAGGCAAGGATGATTTTGCTGACGCCTATGTCGACGAGAAAATCAGCATCAGCGAGTACTCGCTAAGTGCTAGTGTAGCTTGTGGCAAGGTACGTCTCGATCGACTCCCCGTGGTCTTATCGTTAACCACGAACTTCTTCAGTTCTGTTGCGCCTTGGAAGAACTCTGGGACATTGTGTAATGCAGCGAGAGTTCGTTTCCGCTTCCCCTTTGGATATCGAATTAGAGACGGCGTCCTGGTAATCTAATGCTTCAACCATTCCTACTATCTATCTATCTATCTCCATGCTTTCGAACTTGGCCCCTGTATCGTTACGACCCCATTGCATGCCCCGATCTGCTATTCAACCTGCAGACTTCAATTGTAATCTCCAGCAATCCATTCCCCATCTACTCTCCACCTAGTCTCTTCCTGCTTCTCAGCACGCGGCGATCCAACTCGCTGTGCCGCTCCACCTCCTTTTTACCCAGTCGTAACGTACATTGTATTTCTCTATATATATTGAATATGGTCAATCCTTAGTAGTGTTGTAAAAAAAGTATACAAGCTGTAGATAAATAGCCATATGGGTCCAGCGATGCTGCGCCAGGAACATCACGCTCATCGCCATTGAAACTGCGTGTAAAGGCAGCCCGTGTTTGCGTCCAGTTTGTGATCGTCATTTTGTGATCATTTCATCTTTACTCCCTGCCACATCATCTGCATCACTGCCATAAACCAAGAACTCTCTTTTCCCTTCGCTTTCCTACTGTCACGACGCACGCATAACGCCTAATTATTCCCCATCGACAAGCCAAATCCGATTAGAAGAACAAGCTACCGTCACTCTCAATCAGGTCATCATGTCGACACAGATTCCGCAAGCTGCAAGCGCATCGCCCATGCCAGAGGGCGTCACAGACCCCAATTACAAGCCAGAGCCCGGCAGGCTAGGAAATCTCACTGTGATACAGCTGAACACGCTGGAGAAATTCAGGACGGAGCTAAAGAACGATGGTATCTTCGTCGAGGGGCGCATGGATGACGCTTTCTTGCTGCGGTGCGTCCCTTCGAGCTGTCGTGCTCGATGAACAGCTGATTCATTGCGATGCGACTCTATGTTAGATATCTACGAGCTCGCAAGTTTGATCTTGTGAAGGCAAAGGAGATGCTTGTCAATGCTGAGAAGTGGAGGAAAGAGTTTGGAGTCGATGATATCGCTGAGTGCGTTTGGATTCTCTTCGATGAAACGGTGTACTGATAGTGATATCCAGGAACTTTGACTTTAAGGAGGGCAGTGAGGTGAACAAGTATTACCCGCAGTACTATCATAAGACAGACAAGGCAGGTCTACTTGCAACACCCTCATTCTGATGAACACGCTCTTATTGTTTCCCGCAGGATGGCAGGCCAGTCTATGTCGAACAGTTGGGCAAGCTCGATATCAAGGCACTCTACGCAATTACGACTCCTGAACGGCTACTCAAGCGGTTAGTCCACGAATACGAGAAGAACGAGCACGACCGTTTTCCTGCATGCACTAAGCAAATTGGACACCCCATCGAAACCTCTTGCACGATTCTTGATCTCAAGGGTGTTAGCCTCACCAGCTTTTACTCAGTCAAGGACTACGTGATGCAGGCCTCATCCGTAGGGCAGGACAGATACCCTGAAACGATGGGCAGATTCTATCTCATCAACGCACCCTGGGGATTCACCACCGTATGGTCATTCATCAAACCGTGGCTCGATGAAGTCACCGTCGCGAAGATCAGTATTCTTGGGTCGAGTTACTCGTCCGAACTGCTTAAGCAGATACCGGCGGAGAATCTTCCCAAAGAATTTGGTGGTTTATGCACTTGCTCTGGCGGCTGTTCGTCCAGCGATGCAGGGCCTTGGAACCCCACTCCGTAGGTACATATAGAGTTGGATCAGACTTGTAACTCCGTAATACCCAGCTCGGGGTAGTGTCACATATGTACTACCCCCACCGTCAACCGATATCATGAAGCTGTGTGGCACTTTTTGAGAATTGCTTCGCTCGGCCTGGGTTATATCTTCATGCTTGAACGCAGACATTTCCATCTTGCGTTGTATGCAAGATGGATGTTTGAAGACTTCGCGCTCGTCCGCGCACTGCGACTTGACTAGAAGGACATTGTAGGGACTCGCAGAAGTCTCGAGCTGTGAATTTCTCAAATATAGATCCCTTGCATTCTCCTGTCTCCCCTATCACTTCCATAAGAGCTTCGGTCTCCGGTAACCAAACAAGTGCTAGGCTGCTCTCTTCGCCGTTCCTTGTCTCACCTTCTTTTGTTCAAACCTATGAACCGCCCACAGAGGACTACATAGCTTTCTCGAGTCTCCAATCTCAATGGGGGGCTATGATAGAACGTTAGGTGCGATTCACCCCAAGCACGCGGTTGAAGTTGAAGCTTATGCAAACCGACCCTGGGCGTCGTATTGGTCTAGGTGGATTGCTTCTGGGGGCATATTGTGAGTGAAAACAGCAATTTTAGTGGTGGCGGGTGCGTCGGATTGACGGAGAGGAATGGCGCAGTGAATACCCATTTCTTTGGTCTCGTTTCCTACCAATACGCCTCATACCATACTTCAAGTGCGTATAACTATCGATCCTGCTACTTCTTGGGTTGTCTGACTTTCTTGAAAATTGCTTCCAGAATTTCGGGATCCTGTTTGGATAAAGTGCGTTCGCAGCATGCCAAAGATAACGCGCCGACACTCACATAAACAACCACAGAATCATCGTTTTATGTCTTTTCTGTTTGGACGCATTTCATACTATAGAGTATGTTCTAATTTTCTGCGCGCTGCAATGCCTTTGATCTCGGGATCCCGACGACAGACTAATTTACATGATCTGGATCTACTGGTGACTCAATTCGGTTCTTCCGTGCTGTCCTGGCGGCTAACGGTCCCGGCCGTCGCAGTGTCACCCACTTCGCTGAGCCAGAGAAGCTCTTTGGTGAGTGCTAGTGCGTCGCATTTTACACCTACCGTAATGCTGTCTTTCAGACTCTGTATGGCCGTTTACAATTGCACCCATCGTCATCGCGTTGAGCGGCATCATCGTTCACACTTTCCTTGGTTATTGGTTAGTCCGAGTCCACACAGTATACTTCAATCGCATAAACATGTTTACAGTGCCTACCGCTCCACCGCCAAGCTGTATCTTTTTATAATCATCCTTGTTCCCAGTCTAGCATCCTTTGGCGTAGGGCTGAGTTACGGGATCAAAACAATATCTGCTCGAATGTGCGTTGATTCTCGACCCCCAATCCCTAGTGGCCGATTTTCATCACATTAGACTCCCCGGCTCTTCATCGTCCCCGTTCCACACCTTCCATACTGCGTACCATGCGACTGAATTCTGCACGAATGCACTCGTCTCAGGTACGGTCTTCTTCGGCTTCGTGACAATAACCAACGATTCTCGTCTCCCAGGTGTCCTAGCCTATGTTATCTTCACAGCACCGAACGGCTTCCGCCCGCTCGAGCACGTAGTGAAACGCGTCATCCACGGAACCATCCAAATCGGGCTTCTCAGCTCCCTCTTTTCGTTTCTCTGCCTCGTGACTTACGCGGCACTTGGGTCCTCCTCTACGTATTACGCGATCTTCCTCCTGCCTTTGGGACGGATATATTCAAATGTTCGCATTTCTTCCTTCTCTTGCAGCTCAGCATTTCTCACTAACATTGTTCCCGTTACGGCTGATGATCATGATCATTGACATTGCCGACTCTGTAGTCACTCCTGGAAACTCTACTTTCTCGGGAAGTTCCTGTATTCCCAGACAGCTTGCCCCCCGAGGCGCTCACTGGTGATAACGTCCAATTCCGGGTGAGTGGTGTCTCGCAAAGGATGCCTCCAGAGTCCTGATGTCTTGATCATCGACATTGATATTACAGCGCTACTCGAGCGTATACTCAGCGGAGAACGCAGAGCACGACTTGGGCTTAGGATTTACGACACGCAGGCGGGCTAGCCTCGAGCTTGACGGTGCCGAGGGGTTGGAACCGGGGGATGGTGGCAGTGGATTGGTGAAAGCCCCCAACGGAAAGGGAAAGCAACGTCTGTCTATCCATTGAGCGTTGATCAATACCTCATTGAATGTTGATATGTTACTCCTCTGTGGTCCTACAAGCACCGCTTAATGCCTAATCACCCATCGGACAGCCACCCGCATATCTTCACCTGCGTAGCTTTGATCTCGAGTGCGACGCCATGGTAGATCCAATTGGGACCGTCTGAGTCTCTGAAATCTGCAATCTATCTAGGAGAACGAACGGCTTGGGAACAAACGACTCGGATATTAGGTCGGAAATGAAGAGGGAGTTAAGGGGAGGGGGCAGACGCCCGTTGTGCCCGACTTGTTTGATCGTGATGCGTGGGCATCCATCCGTATCTTACAGCGAAGAGAGGTGATGGTTACTCTTCATTGCTCTTTACTCGTGATGGTGTCTTTCACCAGTCTATTGGAAGACGCTCCCGCTTTGTTTCGGGATGCACATGTCGGACTCTGCTCCTACTTCATGAGTGTGACTGTTCATCGACATCATCGAAGACCATCAGATCTCAAACGGGTACGCCATGCTGCACGCCATCTTCGCGATGATACTGATGATCAGGTATCTGTTATTTATACATCTACCAGAACGCGATTCCTATATTGATGTCGTCACGTAACCATAGAGGTCCTGATACTGGGATAGTTTAAGAATGTCACCTCTCGAGATGACATGCCAGCTGCAGCCTTCGTCGCATCGTCCGTCATGCCGCCCAGTGGTACGTCCGTCCACCCTTTGGTTTTATTACGACAGGCATCGGTGAGCTGCGCCTCTTCACCCTGACTATTGAATATTGAATATCAAAACGCGGATTCTCGTCCCAGTATACATCAGGTGAGTACGATAACTGTTCGCTGTTTTCCACGTACTTGACGTCTGGAAAGTTACCAGCGTCGCCTTGCTGGTGGGTAGCCCGAATTTCTGCCTTAAGCGATAACATTGGTACTAATTGCTGCATATTGCGCGCGCACAGCTGTATGACTACTCGCTGACGGTCGACGCCGAGCCTACCCTCATCTGGTCCGCGCCCTGGAGCCTCGGGAAGGCATTGTTCCTCCTAACCCGCTATCTACCTTTTCTCGACAGTTCGCTGTCGTTGTACCGTACGTCGAGCATTCTTCCCCTCGCAGTCTGTTTTTGCTTCTCTAAGTAATACTCATATATGACAGGCGATTTCGGCCCCAAAACGCAACGTTGCAGCCTTCACGACAGCATTATTGGTTGTACGTCGGCCCTCCATCCTCCGGGAATTCAAACTTAGGGGCACATCTTCCAATTTTCGTAGGGTCACTCATTCTCGGCACGACGATTGCTGAACGTGAGTCTACCAACATGACCGCCCTAACGCGTATCATGTAACGTACATGGCATTCGAAAGTCATCATGGTCCTGCGCGTGTGGGCACTGTGGACGCGGTCGCGGTGGGTCGGCGTTGGCCTGGCTCTCCTCAGTGCTGCCACCTTAGTGGGCGCTGGAATAGCCTACATTAAGTTTAGCCAACAACGCACATGTGAGCATGAACCTACCAGTAGTTCGTTCATCTCATCGATCGTCTCCCCGATTTCCCGTATTGTGGGACCTGAACAGTTCCTGCTATTGACACACTCAACCAGTTTGGATGCCGCCCCTTGGATGGGTCCAATACTGAACGCGTGATCTTCATCATAGTCACCGTGTTCGAGATTTGTGAGTAGTCACACTCGCTCGGGGATTATCTGGTTACTCATACTCATATTCGTTGTTACGTAGTGATGCTAATATTGACTGTAACAAGAGTCCTACTGGATCGTCAGTTTACGTCTTCGCGTGCTTTGGTATCAGTTCTGACCAAATCCATTAGAAACCCTACGAGCGTCTTCGGTCATACGCGGTGCCTACCGAGACGGCGAGTAACTCATTGTTTCACGGCGCCTTCATCTAACGTATCCTTTGATGCCAGGCGTCATGTATTATGCCCTTCTAGCCAGTGCGTCGCATATCTTCGTCCAGAAGTCGATCTCACCGACATAAAATCAGTTTCATCGGCCGTCAACGCCGTGATGATCTCAAAAACACAGGTACGCATTATCTCGTTCTGATACTTGGAAAACAACTCAGCACGTTGCAACGATAACGATATCTAGTCACCAATAGCCACCATGCTCGTCTTGTGAGTGAGGCTCTATCTCTCTTAATACTGATCGCCACACTAAATGCCACATGCGGAGACAGGCCTCAGCGCATCCTCCACTCTATCCTCTCAGCGCGGATAATCCTCCGCGTTCGCGGCGATGCGCTGAACCGCAAAGCAATGCTCGTTGAGAGCATGCCCATCAGCGATTCTGTATTCGCAGGGTCGTGCGTGATAATACAAGCATCGCAAGGTAGGACAGCGGAGTGGTTCGGTGATCCGTATAGTCGGTTCGACGAACTATAATATATGAGGAATCAAGTATGACTAGATCGATCAGAGTCGCTGGAGTACTAATATTGCAACTATGATATATGTAGAGTCCAATGGTATGCCACCACTGACAATGCTTATGCTCGTCTCATTGCAAGAGAGACGCGTCGCATGGTAACATAATGGGTAGCAATTCCTTCAGACTCCTGTTGGAGACTTGATTTCACCATATTTCTACCGAGCGACCCAAGACATGTCTGAGATTGCGCCGCCACTAACGCCCCATCGAGTGGCTTCTCAAAGGTTGTGGGCTCAAAGTAGTCTCCTGAGTGTCTCGTGATACCCCTGATCGAAAATCCAATTCCCTAAAGTTAAAGTCCAAAATCAAAGCTCAAACACTCAGTGGCTATTCGAGGAGATGGCTGCCCAATTGCTGGAAGCTGCTGATCTGGACGAAATCACGAATCCTATAAACTCAACGTCGCTCTCTTCGGAGGCCTATGTCCTTGCTTTAGCAAATTTGCCTTCATCGTACGCGGCCGCGGCCTCTGCGCCGTCGAATCGAATCGACATCTACGATAAAGAGTCTCTGCGAGGGATCCAGACACTCGCTGGTCATGAAGTCGCCGTGACCTCGCTTTCCACCGTCGACCTCTTCGTCGGATCGAACCAGCCCTGTCTTATATCTTCTGGGAAGGACGGCCTGGTGAGTATATGGGACCAGCGATCTGGTGCCCCTTCCGTGCAGAGTAAGTAGGATTCAGTCACCTTCACACCGCGATGGGATGCTGGCGGTTCCCTAAACAAATTGACGAATTAATCGCAAGGCACTCGTGTATTTTTCGCTTTCTAGTGACGACGTACGAAGGAGGTAACAGACCATTACTTTGCTGCGACGTCTCGATGGATGGGACATTGGTTGCTGCTGGAACGGACTTGCAAGGGGACGATGCTATCATTCTATACTGGTTCGTGATGCATTACCTACTTTGAAGAATACATTTCCCCATTTAACACAGGGACGTCCGGAAGCCCAACGTACCGCTTCGAAAGCACACATACGTGCACTCAGATGATATTACCGCCGTACACTTCTTGAAAAATCCTTACGGGGCCGTTACTGCCCTACCACAAGATCTCCTGCTTTCAGCGTCATCAGATGGCCTGATAAGTATATCAAACGCCCATGAAGATGACGAAGACGAATCCGTTTTGCATGTCGGCAATTTTGGATGCAGTGTCGCACAAGCCGGTTGGATATACGACCCAGACTCTCCTAGAATATGGGCTTCTAGCGACATGGAAACATTCAGCGTGTGGTCGCAAGAGGTCGATTTCGCCCTTTGCTGATATGTGTATTCTTCTCATGCTCCTTTGGCATAGCTTGATCAACTACAAAATCTGGACATACGGGGCCCTTCGGTTCATACCCAGAAACGGACTTGGGTTACAGACTATCTCATCACCAGTCTCAGCAACAAACAGCCTTGGAATGACCATTCGAATCTCATGGTATACGTGGGGTCTAATGAGTTCGTTCACCGACCCTTCCGCAGATGTTCGCTTATTGTACGTCTAGAGGCGATGTCGCGTTGTTATCGTGCTCCGATCATTCTGATTCTGACGCACCGTGGACCTTACACCGGGTTTGGACCCACGGACATGAAGGAATTATCCGGTCATTGTTATATGACGAGGAGGTAAGCGTTTAGCGCTAAGAAATTGTACCCTTGACCGTCGATCTGCATTTTCTAGAACCATGTCCTCCTTACTGGCGGTGAAGACGGTAGACTTAACCTTTGGTCGTCCCCTTCCATGGCTGGCGACAGCTCCATGAATGTAGACGAAAGCATCCCCTCCACCTCGAGCGCAAGACCAGCCGTGGGCCGATCGTTGAGCCGATCGTTGAAAAGAGAACTAGAAGATGGTGATATGGATATAGATGATGAGATGCAGGTGGGTTAGAGGCTGCTGATTCTTCAAACGGCTCATGAAAGTCGTGAGAACAGGGCAAAAAGGCTCGCAAAGGGTGAACCTTGAGCAGAAAAGCATCGTGTAGATGTGATTATGGAAATCGAGCTATGGCATTTTCTTGCTCTGTACGACGAAGGCAGTACTAGGCGGCACTAGGCATACACAACGACCAGAGAAGGACTAACTATAGCCTACTCCACGTGACTTCTTCATGTTCACATCGCAACGATAATCATCTTATCCTCCTTCTAGTCCAGCCTGTATTCGTCGAACTGAAGCCTCGCTGACTCCCGCTTTGAATTCCTAGCGCTGTATTCTTCATTACTGCAGGTTTTAAGGTAGAGGATATCAACACTTTGACGCCACTCGACGCATCATCATTTTGGAGGGTCACTACCAGCTCTTCCCACCGATGTGTGGTTGTCGTCTAGATCAGAATGTGCAAAGGTACAGGCCATGATGCATGATATGTGAATGATTGATCTAATCGTGTCTTCCGTTAGTTCACATTGCAACCCGACAAGTCCATTGTACTATGGTGATAGCCTCAAGTGATGCAGCCTGTTATGTTATTAACAACCTGGGATTGGAAAGTTGAGATCCTTCTTTCGTCACCCCCGTCTAGTCTTGGAGCTCGAAGTCCGACTCCTCACTTGCGCTGAAATGGGCTGCGCCCAAGAGTTTCCATACTATACTATCCGATATACTGACCCTGCGACCACGTCGGGTTCGTTATCTCGACGGAGTTTCAGTCCCAGAGACTTTCGTCGCAAGCAGCGCGAGAGCCATCGTGGGGTCGACGACGACGACGACGACGACGACGACGACGATGATGGAGATGAAGATGAAGATGAAGATGACGACGACAGGGAGGGTGGGGATAATAAGGGCGGGGATAATAAGGGTAGTGGGAACAACAATGTCAGCGGGAAGGACAGTGTCAGCGGGAGCCAGCCACCTCAAATGCAGCCAGTGCCTCCCCCTCCCCTTCTTACCATCGCCCCTGCCCCTCTGACCATCGCCCCTGCCCCTTCTACCGACATCGCTCAACCCATCGTCACCACTGCACTTCCCCCCGTCCTTCCCGTTGCACCTTCCGGTACGCAATCTCCGCCGGGGTCTCCCTCCCTGCCACCTGCGCAAACAACTTCAACATCGTCAACCGTACTAGCGACTACCCTGCCGATAACGGCCACCGCCCTTTCACCCAGCCCTGACAATGCAGTAGCTAGCTTAACTTCTCTAACTGATACCTCGCCCTCCGCGTCGAGCACATCGCAGGGCTCGGCTATTACTACCCTCTCTACTTCCCCCATTGGTCCGGCGTCAACTGCTACGAGTACTGACCGAGCACTGCAACCTCAGTGAGTTTGTTGCGTTCTGACTCCTCCAACGTGAATGTTGATTCTTTTTCTCTTCAGACCTAGTCGACTACCGATTGTTCTCGGCACCATTACTGGAGTGTTAGGCTTGTTGGCCATCTGCTTAGTGATTTGGTTCTTCTACGCTAAACGTAGAAGGAGAAACCAAAAAGTCGAATCTCATAGCTCCTCTAGCCAATCCTCTCAGGACCTCGAAGCATGTAAAGAAAAGATATCCGAGGATGAGCAGTTCAGTCGCTTGGGTGGGTTTCGGGGAAGCTGGTCTCCCTCTCAGCGCCATCTGTCGCTCATTCGATCCAAATCAAAGAGTTCTAGCACGCAGACCAAGACCAAGAAAGATCGCATTGTTTCGATGGGCGGGGTCACCCATAGCACTGGCACGACTTCGAATACCGTCTTTGTGATTGCTGCACCACCGACACTGCATCCCGGTAGTCAGAGCAATCCGTCAGCGGAACAACTATCTTCCCACCAGTTCTATAATCCCCTGCGGCCTACACCGCCCCCCATGCATACCGCCGACAACATTTTGCATCAAGGCGCCGCCCAAAATGCTCAACTTTTATTTGGACATCGGAATGGGTAATAGTGCACCTATTGTAGAGTCGATATTCGGAGATGGAGAGATGGGGGCGGGTACGGATGATCAGACACTTGTGAGTCTTGAGTCTTAACGGCCTTCGTTTGTTGAATGACACATGAATACCTCATAATGCAACAGGCTGGCAAAGGACATCAATTTGAACACATCAGACATTGGGTGACCACTATTGTGACATTCTCTATCCTCATATAATATCACTTGTGCTCTTGTCGGCCATGACGCCGGAACGCAGAGTTCAGAATGCGTATGCTCGCTTGCAGCGGCAATGGCGATTGCAACTAGCTCATTCTTGTGAGCGAAGGTCAGCCCATAGGCCAGAGTACCAATACTCCACGCCACTGGATATGCATCATGCAACGGCTGAACTCGTATGTCGGAGCGTTGCTACCACGGCCTCGCTGCTGGATGGAGCCTGGATCTGAATTGCGATGGATACAGGCAATTCATAATTGATCTAATGATGCTTTCTGTTAGATCACATTGTCACCACAACCCTCGAGTAACAAGCCAATTATATTGAAGCAATGTGAAGGAACGAGGGTTCTCGCGATGTTATTAGGATGCTGGAGTGGGTAGATCGAGTACCTTTCTCAGGTCGCCCCCTGTTCCTCCCCAAGTCTTCATCACAGCGAAATGGGCTGCGCCCCATATCCCGCTACTCGATGTAGCGGCGGTACTTCGATCGAGCCATTTCGGAGGAGACGTCGTGTCCAGTTATCGAATCGATTTCGGAAGAGGGACAGGCACGGTGTTGGCGGCGGCGATAAGTCCGACGAGGACAGCAGTGACGACGAGGACAGTGGCGACAAGGACAGTGGCGACGAGGACAGCGACGAGGACAGCGGCAACGGACGTAAATCCAAGATCAAATCGAAGACCACTACTTCCCAAACGTCGAAGCCTCCCCCTGTTCCCCCCCCTGCCGGTCCTCTCCCTCCGCCCGTAGCTCCGGCTCCCACTGCACCCTCTCTCTCTCCCTCGTCCACGCCACCCGCCACATTGACTCCTACCCCACCTCCTGCTCCCTTACCAACACCCATGGCGGCAACGTTAACGACACCGACAACTCCTACGGTGGCAATAACGCCAACTCCACCGTCCTCTGGGTTTGTTCCGGGCGAACAATCGAGTAGCACCACTTCACCAAGCGTTTTGAGCGTGCAGACCACTATCATTACAAGCAGCCAATCGCAGGCCGTCATCATTACTTCTGATAGCGGAATACCCTACACATCGAGCATGACAAGTTCAGAACCCAGTAAACTAACTCCTACAAACAATGTCGAACCCCAGCGGCGTAGGTGAGTACATTTCCCCGCGAACGCACGGATTACATCCTGATCGTTCCAGATCCGACCGACTGCCCATTATTCTTGGTTCTGTCTCTGGAGCGTTAGGCTTATTCGTCGTCTGTTTGCTCGGTTGGTTGATCTATGCGAGGCGCAGAAGACGAAAGAGGCGAAGATCACTCCAAGTGAATTGGGATCACTTCTACGAGTGGAAGAGCCGCTACTCGAGCGGGTCCATCGTCAAGGTTGAGGAGCTGGAAGAAGAAACATTGGAAGAGGGAAAGACTCCGCGCTGGCCTGAGCCTCAGGAAGGCCGGCCTATCTCCGCACGATTCTCTTCGCTGCGCCATTCAATACCCAGACGCTCTAGTAGGGAACCTAGCCCCAGGAGAAAATCCGCAGTGTCGGCCGTGGGTATCGATGACGACACGAGCGCGACAAAGACCAACTTTGCGGTCACCGCACCATCAGCCCCGCTTCCAGTGTACCACCCACTTGGTAGTCAGAACATTCCATCAGCCCAGGAACTATCTGTGCCCCAATACTATCACTCGCATCAACCCGCATCGCCGCTCTTTGCACCTAATACTTTTGATGACATCTTGCGCGGAGTCGTCTCCCATAATATACAGGCCGTATCCAAACATCAGGATCGACAGTAGCTCACCTTGATTCGCATCGGACAGACGTGGCAGGACTATCATTTGTACAGTATGTCATCTCGGACAATCATATCATTACGATCATGTCTAGATGGGCAGTTGCAAACGGAAACGTTACGTTATGCCTTTCAATAACCAGACTACGTACTCAAAGATCAGAAGACGACTTGCATCGTTGCATCAAATGTCACAACTTTACGACGTTATGGACAAGCCGTGGTGAACTGATGACTCGACAACATTGGTTACACTGATCATGATGACGCCGCATTGCGCTCTCCACACACAGCCACGGTCAAACAGCGGGCTCAGGTAAGAATTCTAGCCGTGCTTGTTACCTCGACTGATGCATTCCGTGTCGGTGCGGAAGCAACAGCGGTGATCGCAATGTTGCCTGGCCTATGGTGATGGTAGCAATACGGTGCATTAATCAACTATAAGTACAACATCCGCCTTACAACTTGTGTGGATGGCTTGATGCCCTTTTCCTGTTCGCCCTCATCGACATGCCGTAGGACACGGTCTAGCTCTCTATTCCAACATGAGCTCGGTCGAACGTAGCAAGAAATTCGGGCATTGCTTCGCGTGCTTCTTTCAGCTAGAAACCGACGATTGTCAATCTTGTAAGCATAAACCGCAGAACGGAACATCAGCGAAAAAGGCCCCAAACCTCTCGAAGGACCCCCCTCCTCAGAACACCGGCAATCCCCCTACTCAGGATAAACCCCTTCCTCACAATACCTCTCCTGCTCCAAGCGATCCATCTACTCCGACGCAACCATTCACCACAGTGCCAAAGCCATCCGACGTAGCATCTTCTAATTCACCGTCATCCCATTCCTCCCCAAGTTCATCGCCGGTTGAGGGTGTATTCGGTACCTCCAAGGCACCAATCCCCACGGGCAGCGAATCTCATCCAATCACCAACATAACAGGCTCAGCCCCTGTCACACAAAGTCCAAGTACGCAGACAAGTGCATCCACCAATGCGACGTGCGTTTGTTCGCAAATGTTATCAAGTTTTGTATATTGACTCAACTAGGCCAAGCTCCGTCAAGGCAAACGAGCATCTCGCTACAATATTAGGAGTCGTGTGCGGAGTCCTATCTTTCCTGCTGCTTTGTCTTGCCTTTTGGTTCTTCCTCAGACAACGTAGCCGAAGAAGACAGCGTCGTGACTCTGCAAATAATTGGCAGTGGTTCCAGGGCTACGATAAGTGGAAGGACGTATACAGTCCTTCTGTGAAAGGCAGTGATCTACCTGACTACGGTCGAGTCGAGTCAGGAGAACATCGTCGGTCTCCGGAGATGTGGGGGGAATCAAATCGAAGGCTCACGCAGGACAATTTGGAGATCCTGGAAAGACACTCCTCGCGAACTTCGTCTGTAAAGTCCCACAACATGGTTGGCAGTGGCCAATCCTCGAATTCGCAGCACACGCTGCCCACGTCGTCGAAAAGACGCGATCTGAAGCGTGTCTTCTCCATGGGTGCGCTAACCCACACCACCGGTACTACATCAAAGTCGGCACTCGTTATTGCCCTTCCCCCGGAGTCACATCCCAAGGAAACACAGGGCTCCTCCCCATCTTCAAAGATACTGCAATTGCTCAGAACGTACGATCCTGTACAAAGCCGAACAGGATCACGCTCCCCCGGTCAAATACGCAATACATTTTGACACGGACCCGCGGTTTCTCGCATCTGCATCAGCGCCCGCGTTGGTGAACAGTTTGGCCATTCAATCATATCATTATCAGTATATACCACTTTAACAAATTACAACCATAGTACGTTCTCGAAATTCTCTCCTTCTTTCACACCGCACTCTGTATTAGTTACACTGTCTGTAAACGTGCCGTCTAGAATATACTTCGCACTTAACTTCCAGAAGACTGTCGTACAAAGTTTACTCAAGACCCCGGTCAAAATTACGGCCGTGGCATCACCGCGACGACCATGGGCTGTTCCTCGCGGGCCTGAGCCGTCTCATCTTACTTGATCATCACCCTCGGGCAGTTCAACAGTCTGCATCAGGTGTTTTGGTAATGCTCTAGACTTGATATTGAGTGATTGTTATCTCGGTAAGCCAACATCGGCGGCATCATACTAACAGATCTGTGGGTTCAACTAGCTTGCCTGCCTTGAACTACAACAATTAAAGCTAGTGATACAGCTAACCCGAGCAGCGCAGTCAAAACTTTACCGCCACCCGCGAGTCAGTGCAGGAGCTGGAGGCCATCACCCCAAGTCGGACGCCACTGCACGAGGTTGCAGTGCATCGTGGAGACGAACGAACCTAGATGGACCCTGATTGGATGATGCCTATCACGTGGTTCCAGAATAGGCGAAAATTGGATTCGCGTCTTCTCATTCTGCATCCACCACCATCTCCCCATCAAATCAACAAAGATTATCCAGCGTACCTCGCCCCTTATGCGGTGCTTGAGGCTCACTCTGGACGGCTTCCTAGGGAAAGTACCTCGGGACAGATAGTTGATGCTGATTATCCAGACGCTACCAACCAATCACGGTCGCACCTCAGCGACGACGAAACAGTAATCTGCCCTGCATTGGGGCGACGTCTGACAGGGCGTTAATGATGAAGGAACCATCCCGGTTGCGCACTTTGTGTGGCACATCATCCACACGCGATCTCTTCTTAATCTGAACGCATATAATACCAATGCCTGGCAGTGTGGGGTGTTTCCCTCTGATACGCAGTTCGATACCCTTTTCTTAGGCTTACCTCAAGCCCCCTTTGGGACGCGGAATGCCCGGGGTTTATGGAAGTCACTTTCGTTTAGACCATGTTACAAGGGGCCTGGGGTCCCTCGTTGGCGGCGTCGCAGGTACAGTGGGGGATGTCGGCGGCCAGCTAGCTGACGGCGTCGGGAGCGCCTCTGGGCAGGCTAACAGCAGCGGAGGTGCTTCAGGCAAGGCAGACTCGAAGGGCAGCGGCATTCACACCCAGGCATCCGAAGCACAAAGCGACCCCATCCCCACAAAAAGCGCCACTGCGACTACTGCTTCAGCTTCTACATCTCGTGACGGAAATGGACATGGGCTTGGTTTAGGGAATATAGTAGGAGAGGTTGTTGGTGAGGTTGCGTCTTCTGGTGGTAAAGTTCTAGAGGGCGTTGCATCAGGAGCTGTTCACGCTGTCGACGATCTCACCTCGGTCGCAGGCGATGCGATTGCTGCTGCAACTGCTGTTGTTGGTGGCGCCGCCAGCTTTGCTACTTCTCTGGCTGGCGACGCTGTAGGCGATGTCACTTCCTTGGCCGGCGTCGCAACATCGTTGGTCGGACATGAGGTTGGGGAGGCCGTTACATTGGCGGGCGACGTTGTAGGGGCTGCTGCTTCCATAGCCAACAACGTCGTAGCTGTTGGTACTTCCCTCGTCGGCGATGCAACCTCACTCGCAGGCGCCGTCATCACTTCCGCCCCATCTCTCCTTCGTGATCCCATCGGTGTCGTGAAGACCATCGCAGGCGACGCCGTTTCTATCGTCGGAGATGCTGGAGGCGCTGCGCTCTCCCTGGTTGGTGATGTTGAGAGCGTCGCTACCTCTCTTGTCCATCATGTTGTTAGCGATGTGGCTGGGGTCGTATCCGATGCAACATCCATTGTTGGCGATGTCGTTCACGATGGGACCTCAATCATCGGCGCGATCACCTCGGAAGTCGTTCCCATTCTGACATCCGTCGCTGGAGACGTATTCCCTCCAGTCACTCGCATCATTGGTGCCCAGCCTCCAGTCTTGACGAGCATTGCGTCGACCGTCCTTGGTGACATCACTCGCGATGTGCCTTTACCGTCCCCGACGATCATACTGCCGGGGAACACTCTTTCTTCGACAACCACGTTTGCAATAGAAACTAATGAGCCGAATAGCACCCCATCCAACGATCCCCCTCAATCTCCTCCATTAACTTCCTCTCCGTCTCTACCTCTTTCGACGACTCTCTCGCCACCTCTGCCTCCTGCCTTTACAGATACGCCGCCAGCTCCAGCGTCGAGTGATCAGCCCATTTCCCAGGTCTCCAGTTCGACTTCAGCATCTTCAATAGATATCCAATCACCTTCTTCCATCCTTGCGACTCCAAGCAGTGCGACCTCTACACCAGTTTTTCCAATGTACGTAGCATACCTTTACCCATAGGACGTAATTCTGACGCCAGTTTTCAGCTCCCGTGGAGGCAACAACTTCGTTAAAGCCCAAAGTAACGGCGACGACGGGTCTGAAAACGGTCTGGGCTTCAGTGGTACCGTCACAAGTACAGATTCAGCGAGCTATCCCGGAGTCTCGGGTGGGCCTAGGGGAAACGGCGGTGATAAACCAAGGTCTGACTACACATGTTGCTTCAGTCACGTTAATCTCATGGCACACTACCATCAGCAACCCCAACCCCCACCTCCCTCCAATACTTGGCGCAGTAGCGGGATCTAGCATTGTTATCCTTATCTTCGTTGTCTTCATGATCGTCTTGTGCAGAAGACGCAGGGAGGCAGCAAGGAGACGGCATCGATCAAGTCTGCAGCACCTCATCAACGATGAAGAGTCAGTTCGTTCCGCATCGCCGCAGACCGTCGCAGAAGATGACGCCAGCATGCGCGAGAGTTGGTATACTGCACCGTCTCGACCATCGGTTGTCGAACCTATGGCATATGATGGTCTATCAAGGAGTAACAGCACAACCTCTCACTCTGAGAATCCGTTCTGGGATCCGTCCGAATCATCGTCTCGCAGATCATCACCCTCTGATTCTGATTCCAATTCAGTGCAGACTAGGAGCGACAGGATGGTTACCCGAATCCCTTCATTCATATCAGAACGAAGCACATCCACCTCGACGAGTTCCATTGCATTCGCCACTCCCAGGGACAACAACAAGAAGGAATCGATTGGTCCCGGTCCTTGGATCGCTGCTCTTTTCGGTATCTTCGGTGCTTCGGGGCACTATGATCCCAAGAGACAGTCGAAGATGTCGCGGCGCAGCCATGTGAAGCCAGACCTGCCTCCGCTGCAAGAAAAGTCTGAGGACCAGAAAGACGACGATGTCGCAAGAAATGATCTTCTCAATGCCCGCTGGGGGAGTCCTCTATTGACGGCGTTGCTGAATAGTAGCCCTCCTCCGCGCCAGGCCCATGCCACAACCTGAATAGACATTAATTATTACCACCATCTTTAGCTCATGTCACTCATTGTTTACTTATCTGCATCGCGTATCTAAGCCATGGACCTCTGCATGTGTTGTACTTTATCTATTTAGCAGTATGTAGTCTTATGCATTAATTATTCCCCTGTGTCCCCTATACCAGATTTGGACTTGTTCGTTTGCAATCTTGTAGGTGCTTCGACGCTGATATTTATCACAGAATCACAGAACCACTTGTTGAACGTCGACATATTCCAGGTGCTGATATCGAAGCTAGATTCTACGTAGAAGTGATGACTGCTGTCGCTTCCGTAACATTAATGACGAGAATCAGTCATTTTCTCCGATGGCGACACCAAAGGACTGTTATGCCCTCGTCTCAGCCCCAGGGCATAATAAGGACGATGGGAAAGTAGAACAATTCCATCAGGCGGGCAGGAGCTGCGGTCCAGTCAGTGTGATCGACTTCAGCTGTACCGGAGTCCTAGAACTCCCCGCACTAAAGAACATACTTGAATAAAACCCTTACAAGGTAGTCGCAGTTGAAGAGAAGCCGGAACAAGCAAATATATTCATCCACCCAACATCAGGGCATACGGGTATTCCCAGAAGATACAAATCTAATGCGAGGTCGTTACAAATCCAAAGCCAAATCCAGAGGCAGAGACAGAGGCAGCGGCAGAGAGGCAAGGGCAAAGAACCGATCCGAGAATGAAGTCCGCCTGCGGACAATAATGATATGATAAAAGGCTCGCAAGGGAGACATCGTTGTGTGGTATGGGAGGTATGAGAGCCGGTCGAGACTCAAGTGAGGGTAGGCTGATGGGATAGTGATGGGATAGTACCAATAGTAATGTACGATCATAGTTCGCGTCGCGTCGGTAATCGGGTATATTGAGTGTTTAGTGATAAGACCGAGTGGCGAAGTCGAAGTTGACCGTGCATAGTGCGACGCGCGGCCCGTGGTATGTGTGCTGATTGCGTGGTGAAGCTAACAGGCCCAGTGCATCGGGGAAGTGGTGGCCAATCACCGCCTCGACACAAGGGACCGTTAGACTCCAAGTCGCTCGATACAAGATGTGGAGTAGGGGGCCGTGGCGTCGAAATAATATGCTTAGTATGGCTCGAGGGCGATTAGTATCCGTAGGGAGAGGTAGTCGGCTCGAATAGTGTGTGGTGTTGACGCGCGAATGAAATGTGGGGGCATCGCTCAGCAGTGCCGACGACCTTCATGTTTCGGAGAAGTGATGGCCAGTCACTTATCCAATTCACAAAGACCGTCGAGCTCTACGTTGCTTAGCATATGCGGTGCTTGAGTGCTCGCGGCGTCGGGAATCGGGGCTGGGAGGGTGTCGGACCCTTGGGATAACGAATAGTATGTGTTCGACCGAGAATAGAAGATGCACTGTAAAGGAAGGATAAGGATATGATTCCGAAGGTTTGTGAATACACTCACGTATGCACCAGGTAATCGGGCCTGGAGGAAGTACGGCAACGCTTCGAAGCCATGGGAGTATGGCCAGTACTCCCAAGGCTGCTCTGCGAGACCGCACCTCTCCCTTTATGCAGCAAGACGGATTCTGGGGGTAGAAGAAATGTCGTCTTTGGACGGAAAGACGAACGGAGATGAAGAAGAGACGGGAAGAGATAGTGAGATGGCGAGGGAGAGATGTGTGAAATTATGGGGAGATGCTGAGGAGATCATGTCTGGAGATGTTCTGGGAGATATGGGCGTAATTACGGGAAGATGATGGGGAAATAGTTTGAGATGAAGTAATATTCGATAAGCGCAAGTTGGTGTCGATCATTGATTTCAACAAGTGTCCACGAGCATGTTGTGGTCGTGATATGGGTCCTCCCAGGAGGGCGCAAGGCTGAGTCCAGTGAACCGATACCGAAGCGACGGAGCGTAGCTGTTGCCTAGGAAGGGGCTCTCCACAGGGGGGTGGTGCCATGCATCCATATCAACGTCAACCTCCCTCAGCACAGGGTCCACGTCCATGGGGGAGTAGCTATCCATAGAGTCAGAGTCGCTGAAGTCGGAGTCATCGATATCCATAGAGTCGTCGCTGGAGTCAGAGTATTCGTCACATTCCGCTGCCAGTTCGCTGAAGGCAACGGCTAGTCCTGCGTCGCGCGTGTTATGATCGATGATGGGCGACGCCATTTTAACAAGGCGAGGCGAAGGTGGCAGAGAGTTGATGGACAAGAGCTCAAGACGATGGGTGATTACCAGCGATTCGTCATGTTCAACTTCGACCTATGAATCGAACGCATTAGAAAGGAAGAAGTATGCATAGGGTAAGATAGCTTACAATCATTGGAGAATAAGCATGTTGGGTAGAGTGAAATGGCGAAGGAAGAGCTTCCGGTAGACCAGAGGTAGAGAGGGCCAGTGGGCGGGATGTCTTATTCGACCAGCGGGCTAGACGATTTGAAGGTCGTTGATGAGGAGTAGATGATTGTCCCTCTTGCGAGGTCCGTCGTGGTTTATCAAGCGGCGCGAAGAGTGGGATGCTATACTCCGGGACTCGCGGACCAGCTAGTGTGGGAGGGGGAGGCGGTAGGTGAGGAGGAGTGTCCTTGGGAGCAGCCGGTACAGGGACCAGTTCCAGGCGTTCCAGCACAGGCGAACTGCTGATAGGTAAGGAAGAATCCTTCGAGGATTGTCGACGAACTTGAACATAGCCGCTCATCGCAGAACGGGTCCTGAAGGTAGACGAGGCAGCCTTGCAGCTGTGAAACCAACGTTTACCATAGTAGAAGGAGTTGTCCGAGGTGATGGGGGGGACTAGCGGTTGTCCATATCCGTGTCCATATCCCGGAGAGTCGCCGTTACTTTTGAAGGTCCCATTAGAGCTCCTCGCCGAAGAAGTACCGGCTCCAGTTGTAGGCGGGGCAGTGGTTGACCTCCCGCCTTTCGAAGAGTCATGCCGTTTGGACTTTCTGTGTCTACGGCGATGGGTGGGGATGGGCTCGGGAAGTGGGTCGTAATCAAGGTCTTCTTCCAAGTCGGGGATGGGGGTGCCAGGACTTTCCTCAAAGTCGTCCTCTAGAGTCTCGGGGTGCTGTTGCTGATGTCCCTGATGAGCCTTCGAATCGCCAGAAGTCGCGGTATTCAGATAGAACCAGAAAGGCCAGATGGATACCGCCAGAGCGAGCACGGCGTTGACAGTGCCGAAGGCGTTGATGAGAAGACCGAAGACCCAGACCAGGATATAAACGACGTAGCACGTTGACTTAGACATAAAGGCGAATGCTCCGTTGACCAGGAAGAAGGCGGGGAGGGCGAGGCGTAGACAGAGGATGAACAGAGAGACAAAGTACCAGCGGAAAGAGGTTGCAGATATCATAATAATAAGCGGTGGGCGGGTTGTGTTCAGCTGGTATTCGGTGTAGATGGTGAACGTTATGAAGAGAGAGAGCCTTGGTGGGGTTGAAGGATTTTATACCCGCTTGATCGGGTCGGGGTTCGCCGTCCAGAGTCCAATAGACGATCGGTGGACGCGTCGCGTCGCGGTCACGCGCTCCCTGGGTGTGGGTAGAGAGATTTATTTACCTCTCTGAAGTTAACCCACAGGTGAGTAGTGACACTCGGATGCAAATAGTAGAATTAGCTAGAGCCGACCACGCCATGGCAGAACGAGAATAAATAGCCGTCCGATTTTGAAGTTTTTCCGTCCAGGGTGCAATGGCGGGAACCTTATCGCTTAGTTTCTCCCTTATCATGTACGCGTACGCCTGAAGGTCAGGACTAGCCAGCCATACGATGATTGTTGGAAGTAGCAGTAGCGCGAACGGCCTCCGGGATCAGCCGGAATGATCCCCTGTGACCCCTATCACAGATTCGGACTTCGTCGTTTGCAGCATCAAACCAAAACCTTGGAGGCGCTGGTCTTGCCGACGCTGATATATCACAAAATCACCCTTCAACCGTTGAGATATCAAAGGGGCTGACATGATGCTTAATATTGGGTGGAAGCTGCTGGTAAGTGATGATCGTTGTCCTCTGATATCTTCCATCGCCTGATGCCTTGAAGCCTCTTCTAGTCGACCGATGAACCAGCCATTGTCTCCTAGAGCAGCGCCCCGGAGGCCATTCACCATATTATGCCCATCTTGCACCGTCAGCAAGGGGGCGAATCGTCCAGTCGCACAGCGAGCGCCTTTGTCACCTTGACGCTCCCAGCTATTCCGCAGTCAACCAGGCCAACGGAATCGAGCAACGTTGCCCAACTGTCGGCCAGTTTACGCCTCAGTTCCCATTCCATAGAGGAGCCTACGACCCAGCTCCCGCCATCTTCTTTCACCAGCGAAACTGTGCCAGTCTCTTCCGTCCGATTTCATTCATCTTCGACAGACATCGCCAGCTTCACCAAAACCTCTTTATTCGTATCATCAAGTAACCCTGAGAGACCAGAAGCAACCTCTTCACTGTCCCCAACTATCTCAGGTGGTTCTAGTCCTCATGCCGTAGGCGACGCAGCTGCACCTGCACCTCCGGGGCCGTCCATTGCGTCGGCCTTTCAAGGGGACAAGGGACCACCTAGTATGCCCAACACGGAGGAAATGTCGCCATCGAGCAGGTAAAGTCATCGATCCCTCGACCCTTTTCATAAAGTAACCTAGGTACATTCTCTTGAAATTCCAGCACCCAATTGTCTACTGCAAAGCCTCTCGCTCGTATTTTGAGTTCCTCCACTAGAACGGCAAGCGACACTGCTGGCACCATAACTAGCGCAACTCACACCTCCCAAATTCCCTCTACACTCGCTGCACCCTCGGCCACGAAGGACCCTATGAAGGGTCCTCCTTTCGTTGAAACTGCCCAGTAAGTTGCTTCGTTCCCTTCGCGAATATCCAGGTCCTGACTATTTCTAGATCGACTTCTTCGAAAAACACTCTTGTGGTGGTGTTTGCAGTTCTATTCAGCGTCGTCTGTTTCGCCGTTGCCGTATATTTCCTTTACAGACGCCTACGGCGCCGACGAGGCAGTAGCTATGTTCGCAACTATCGACCAGCCAGAGGCATTGAAGTGCGTATTGATGCAAGCATCCCCGAAGAGAAGGTGGATGTCGTCAGGCCAAGTGTCCGAGTCCAAGAGGACCCGTTTCTCTTGTCCCCGCATAATACCAGCAGTACAAATCTATCTATGGCATCCACTCTGCAGTCGCAGTCGCAGTCTACTGACCTCTACGAACCACGCGCCATTTCAACTGACGACGCGGTCCACATCCATCACGTTCATGGCGAATCTACCGACTCAACGAAAAGTTCAAGTCACGAATCAGCGATGTCCAGTCCCTACTCCGGGATGGCCTTATTCGCATCCCCTGCCACTACTTTCACATCCGTAAGCGCCGCGAGCCCACAGACTCGAAGGAACAGGTTCGCGCCCTCGTGGCATTACTCGCCTCGGGCCCCTCCCCGAAGTGCTTCTCGCACGTCAAACAAGCTACAGGACACGAGAGACGCCCTCCTCGGTGCTACATGGAAAGGGCATATGTTATCGTCCTTGCTGACAGGCGATGCGTCGCAAAGGCGGACAAGATGAATGGGAAGTCACGGTCCTGGACAGTGTGCCTGGTTGATTTATAAATATATCTTCAATATGCCCGCAAGACGATCAGATATCGTAACATTCGTGTTCGAGTCGTGCGGGCGTACCTCATGCAAGCGGGGATCTGTCGAGGCGGTGTTACGGGACGTTGCTTAGTTCGAATTCCGTCCTGTTTCCGTCGACCATTCCGGACCTTGCATCCATTGTATTGATAAGAACATCTTTTCTTCCTTCAGGACATGAATAACGTTACTTCATCAATGATATTAGGGATTTAAGCAGAGTCGCCCAAGCACGAGAGGACCAGATGTTGCCATGCACCTACCGTCGTACCACAGTCATCTCCATGGCTGTTGCCTTGAGTGCTCCGAATTAATCCTTTTGTTGCAGCACCGCATTGATCTGATCCAGGTCAGGACCCTACATGGCATCTGAATCACCTCTTGGCCCTGCGCGCCTAATCTGCTCATCAGCGTCAGGGTGTTCACCATAAAATGAACAACGCCGAAAATTTGACCCATATCGTCCTTCTCCCGCACCAACAGCCATGTCGAACGTACTACCGCTTGTCCGCCTGGTCAGCTTCGGTGGGCCCTTTTTGTATTTTTCATCCCCCCAGTACTCATACACGAAATCTCCTTGGCAGGCGTGGTTATTGTGTTCTCTATCATCGTGCTGGGGTTATGCGCGCACATAACCAACTTGACGACGAACTCGTTCATTCCTTTCTACTTCACGTTCGCGGCCATGGGCATCGCGACGGTCATCCTGACCTGGGCTGGTTTGGGCACGCTGTAAGTGCTCAGCACATACTTTGCAATGTTGCAACCAACACCCTTGGGACTACCTCCAGCTTAATCGTCGACCGTCTTCGCAAAGGCGCGATTGCCTCGTGGATCGTCACAGAACTCAGTGTCATGGGTAAGCCCTCACCCTGGTTTCATCCATCGACCTATTAGCTGACGGATAAACTTAGGCTTCCTCTGGATCTTCTGGTTAACAACCGGCGCACTTGTCTCCGAAGAAAACGCCTTCAGATTCTCCCCGGGATGCTCCAACACCCGTGGAACGGTCTGCGGTGAATTTGCCGCCACCGTCGCCTTTTCATGGCTCAACTGGTTGATCAGTGCGTGCTCCATAATTAAGTGTTCCCCATGCGGATCGCCTAATTATTTCTGTGATTTGCAGTCTTCGGTTATGGAGGCACGCTTTTGGTGTTCTCGATCATTGCTGCTACGAGGGGAAATTCGGTGTGGTTCAAATCCGTTAGCGAGGCCGATTTCTTGGCTCCCGCAGTACAGAAAGCCGCTCCCCCCACCGTGTACCAGCCGCAGCCGGTCCAACCCCAAATGCAACAACAACCCATCCAAGGACAATACCCTCCCGCTGGCTACCAACAACCACAGCAGCAACCTGCATTTGTCCCCTCCCCCACCCCCCAATCACCACAAGTCTAATTCACACCGTCAATTCCGAAATGATCGGATGTCAGTGAATTGTCGACAATGGAGCAGTTGGCGTGAAACGCCTCACGAACTCTTTTCACTTTTGTTCCCCTCGATTCTTGACGTCCTAATGCCATGCCACCCTCAGTATGTACACCCCTCTTCAACGTACTTTGAAAGCCTTAAAACTTCGTACTATATTTCTATACCCAGTGTTGTGTCAGACGAATATCATTGAAACAATTCGATCGTATCCAAGCAGTAGCTCATCCCTCCGGCATAGACTTTTCTTCTCGTAAGTGGGACGATGGAGACCAGCTGGATAACGTTATCTCACCGTACCTGCGTCCATAACTCTTTGGACAATAGACGTAACGTATCCTCTGAGGTACATGAACCTTTGGTAGCCCTTTGTCCGCCGAAAAACTCTGTCAAACCAAACAGGCGCGATAGACAAACAAACTTGCAATTCTGGATATCCAAAGCAGCCCAATTGATTAGCAAGACGGGCAGGGTTGGGCTGAATCCCGAGTGTGAACGAAACCTTGTTCTTTTGAATCTGCGTAACAACACCGCACATTTACCCACCAAATATCGAACCCCTGGCTGTCAGTTTATCTCTCCATACCATTTAGTGCAGTTCATTCGACAGCTTGAATTCCTGAAGTAGGTATATACCAATTCATTTCATGAATATCTCGTAACATCTTGAAACGATTTTCAACAAACGTCGAATCAGTTGATGGAGTGTTGATGGCCTTCAATCGTTCTCAGCAACGTCACTTGAGATGGTTGGTTACCCACTGCCATACATGTCACCGAGCCGTGCAATTCCTAAGGACGTTCTCCCCTCTGGGAGCCCCTGGATGCAGAGGAGGTACATAAACCCCATACTCGACATGGAGCCCACTGGAAGGTCCCTTTGGTACTGAATCTCTGCTCGGCAGGCGTAAGCGCAAGCCCCGAGGCCTGAAAGCTTATCTAGTGCTAGTGAACCGTTCACGTTTTCACACCCAAGCCTCATTATAACCGTGGAATTCGGGCATCCCGAACTTGTCAGTGCCTTCATCGTTACCGAAATCAGACCTATTGAATGGCGTTCAAGGATATGTGGAGACTACCTGACGGCTCAGTCCACTGCCTCCACCACCAGCCCGCCGTCAGGCTTTTTTCCAAAACGGAGGCCAGTATGGGAAGGTAAGCGTTGTGGCGAATACCAACGATCGGAGACCAATTTTGGTCTCAACTCAACGATCTAATATAGGGTCTTCTACAAGTGCAGTAAACCGCGGGGCGATGTCAGGAATTGTGGTGGATTCGGTGCGTTGTAGATTCCTGATTGTGGTAGACTTACATGAGACGATCGCTCCGGATAGTTTGGGAGGACGATGTGCAGTTCTTACAATTATGGACTGGGGATTCATCTACCGGCGCGCATTCTCCAGACGATAGCACATCACCAGGATCCACTGTGACTTTGGCCTCTCAACCCTCAACCCCCAACAGGCTGCCCCGGACCACGGAGGTCCAACGCGATACTCAAGTCGCCGAGGGGTCCACCTCGAAAGCGAAACCAACTATCATCGACCTCCTCCTTACGCCCCCTCCAAGCAACCTGAAAGGCAAGGGGAAGGGGAAACGCAAGTTCGATGAATCTGAAGATGCGCCAGGTGAAGGTAGTCCGACTCCGGCCAAAAGAACTCGGGGCGATCACGACAATGAATTGGAACAAGCTGAAAGTGCTCTTAGTCCCTTGGCTCTGAATGTTCCTCCAACTCCACGAGAAGGCGGGGACGTCAGGATGCGACCGTCTGCACCAGAAGACCATCGCATGGGAACTCAAGAGGGTGCCGGAAGTAACAATACAAATACAGGCGTTCCCATTGCTGATCCTGAGGTTCGTCCACCAAGTCACTTGACATCACTCGTATGAGTTACTTATGCCACCGTGATTATCACTAGGACAATCCATTTTTCGTCCCTCCGACTAGGGCCGCCTCCTTATTGCCCCAAGAGCAGTTCGGATTCCTAGACGAGAAATCCACCGAGATCTCCGCCGCATCACAAGCCCTCACCGTACAACTCTCCTCACTGACGGGCAAACTCAAACGTGAGGTCGCCCTAGTACGGGGAATTAGTGCTGCGAAGGATCAACAGATTGCGGAATTAGAGCAGGAGAATGAACGGTGAGTTCTTGATTTCCCCGCTTCGAGTTTATTGACTGAACTGACATCGTGATACCCTAGTTTATCGCTCAAAGTACAATGCCTTACTTCAGAACTCACTCTCCTCAAGGCTCAGTTACTCGACTAATAGCCCGTCCGACATACCCTTCCCCCGACATACCCATGGTCGGCATGAATTCGAAATTACATCGCGCTGGTAGCTGCTCCCGCAGCTATCGTTAGTCGCTTCAATTGCTTTGACTAGTTGAATGTACTACGTCGGACAATGTACAAGTAGACGACCGACCAACAACCGACTGTATTTTATATCTAATAGAGTACCTATACAAGATGTTTTGGTACCTATCTGTTTGAAGGTGTTCTCTCTAGCCATATGTTGAACTACCTCAAGTGGCCGGACCTCTGTGCTTTATTGTATTGATTGAATCAAAACGATTAAATATTCGGCGACTCACCTAACGCGCAATTGAACTTTGCTTATGCATTTTCTCCGTAGCGGGCGGGACTCAGAGTCATCTGATTCACCTGAATGATACATACCCGCGAGTTATCATCTGGACTTGAGCTTGAAACCTGGAGTCTTGATCCTCACAGATCATGCGCCATCGAGGCTATGCACCCTTGTACCATCGTACCAGCTGCATGTCGGAGCCTCGCGTTGGAGGCAGTTCAATGAATGATGCAAGTGACAGTCTCCTGATGCGTCCCTGAACGAGACCCTGTAGGATGATAGTATCGTGTTCTTGGCGCTGTTGTCTCGAATACAAAATGCCGAATAAATTGAAAGTGCAGCTGTACCCCGCCGCGTGCGCTCGCTTCCCCAAAACCTTCACCTTCGCGACTTCGGGCGTACGACCACCTCCGAAAGCGCGACGAAATGGCCTTCTCACTGGGTAAAATCGTGTTCATTCTGCGCTATATGATCTTTGGTCCGCCCCCTTCCATTATCTCACAAAAGTAATGAATTAACGACCAGATTTCATTTGTATAGCGATCCTGATCGTAACATCCCTAATCGCGTTCGCCGTGAGCGCGCACTTCCTCAACCTCACCAGGACCAACTTCGGAGGATATTTCTATTTTTCGCCCCTCGTAATTGCAGTTGGAGCCTTTTCGTTTGTGTCGTTGATTGCATGGTGAGTGGCCGAAAACTTCCTGAGCTTTCGAGCAGGTCATAGAAGGTGGCAAACCTGCTAGTTTCTTGTTGGACTTGATCACGAGGAGTAAAATCTTTACCTCGAAGATTGCGTTCGAAGTCGGATTTCTGGGTACGCCACCTTCACTCCTTAAGTTTCCTTCAATAGGCTCTGTCAATAATAACTCTGGCACAATGTTACCTGTATCATAGGCTTTCTGTTTTGCGCGTGGATGGGCGCAGCTGGATATTCTGCATGGACGAATGAACAGGCGTTCGGCAGCAGCAACGAGTGCAATTTCCGAGACGGTACGCGTCAATACTCTTTCTCCTTACTTGATACTGTCCTTTAGCTCATGATATGGCAGACGTGTTGCGATCGATGTGTTTCGAATTGCCAGTGGTCGTCGCATTCTCTTTCGTCTCCGCTTTCGTCTGTATGTCCCTCTCCTCCTCGTACCTCATGACACGCGTTGATTTATGTTTGACGGCGGCAGGCCTCTTTTACTGTGGTTTGCTCGTCCTCTTCGGCGTGCTTCGTCGTCAGCACAACATCTTTGGCAAGTCGGTGCGCGAAGCTTCTTTGATCGACACGACTCCAGCCAGCGCTACCTATACGGCGAAGCAAGACCACTACAATGGGGCGCAACCGGTGGCGTACGGCCAACAATCTCCAGTGATGCAAGGGTATTACACTCACGCCATACCCCCCATGCAATATCCTGGGGGTATACAAGCTGCTCCTAGTCCGTATCAGACTTCGACACCCAGCAGTGGCCCGATGTCGATGTATCCCCAGCCACAAGGACCACAGCAACCATCTCCTGCTGTGGGGTACCCCGCCCAGGCTCAGCAACCATATTATCCTTCCCAGTAAATTCTCATTCTTGAATTACTCCAAGTTACTGAACTTCGTGATGACATCTATACATCCTTCCTACATATGTTACCCTAGTCTACGATTCGATGAACGGACATTATCATGAGTTGTGTACTTATCACCAATGGCCACGTTGAAGTAAATTACTGCAAAGATATTCTGCTTCCATATCCTGGTGAAAGTGTCGCTAATGGTTATCGATCATCCTTCGCTGCCAAATGAACGCGCTAGGAAGGCTCAGAGACATATCCTCGTTGGTCTCTGTCACAATTAAAGTTAAAGTATCTACAATATTAAACGAATGAACGACCAGGCCAAATCCGTTGGGGCAAGCTCAGCCGTGCGAAAATCCAAACGTACATATATTTTTGGCTGCTTGTCGCGCCTTTGCTTCTCTTCGTTCATAATGGACGCACTGTTTGTGCCTCTGGCCTCGCTGGTGGGCGCGTCGGTCGATCAGGTTAAAGTGAGTGTACATCGACATCACCACATACACCACTGGCTGACATTCGAAAAGCTTATTTTATGTCTATTAAGTGCCTACCCATTGGGTAGCGTATTCATTCGCATTCGTTCAAAACCGGCGAAACATGCCTTCAACATTGCCATCACACTGTTCTACTTGTTCCCAGTCCTTCATTTGTACTGGGGCTTTGTCCAGTTGCTGGGGGACATCCTGGCGACGTATTTCGTGGCGCGCAATGTTCGAGGACCTATGATGCCGTGGATTGTTTTTACGTGCGTGTTCCTCGGTGGAAATTCCCCGTCAACGCGTAGCTAATGGCTGAAAATGTGTGCAGTCTCGTAATGGGACATCTCTTGATTAAGTACGTGGAGTCATTGCTTTCCTAGGTCGACGGGCTCACGGCTTTCGTGAAGCCACATTATCCGCGCAATGAATGGCATGAGCTACGAGACAGTCGAAATCAGTGGTGCCCAGATGGTCCTAACCATGAAACTTACGACGTTTGCGTGGAATGTTTGGGATGGTAATCGACCGACAGAGGTACGTTCGTCTTCGATTTGTAGCGGGATTGGCTGAGAAGGCATCTGTGCATCCCCAGGATCTGGACAAATGGCAATTAGCTAACCGTGTCTCCAAATTCCCCAATCTCCTCGAGTTCTTTGGTTATGCGTGAGTTCGATACCCTTTCAATCCACAAATCCTTATATTAAGCCGACTGTGCTAGTTTCTACTTCCCCGGTTTCCTTGTCGGACCGTACTTAGTCTTCACTGACTACATGGCATTGATTGACGAGTCCCTCTTCAAAGACGCTCAGGGCAAGACCAAGCCTGGTCTTCCGGTCCCAGAAGGGCGCAAGCGCGTCGCCTATCGCAAGATGGTGACAGGCCTAGCATTCTTAGGACTTTTCGTCTTCTTCAGCGGGAAATACAACTTCGCTATCTCACTCGAACCATGGTTTGTTGAGCAAAGTCTTCCTTACCGGTACGTCCCTTCCAATCATGTGTTTCCCCGAAACTATGTTCCAAGCACGTATCAATGCTCCCAGAATCGCTTTCTACCAAATCTGCGGCTTCTTTGAAAGATCAAAGTACTACGCTCTATGGATTCTTACCGAGGTAAGTTTATATTTATCTTCCTTTCCAGCCCCACTAACAATCTACAGGGTGCCAGCATTCTTACTGGTCTAGGCTTCAGTGGCTTCAGCGCGTCAGGAAGCTCGCTATGGGAGGGTGCTGCGAATGTCGACGTGCTCTCCATTGAGTTCGCCCCCAGTATCAAGGTCCTTCTGGATTCGTGGAACATGAAGACGAACGTTTGGCTTCGTGAATGCCTGTACAAGCGCGTTACGCCCAAGGGCAAGAAAGCGGGATTCCGTAGCAGTATGCTCACCTTCCTCACCAGCGCTGTTTGGGTATGTCTTTATTCCATCTCGTACTCTCCTGAAACTAACGCGATGGTCCTCCTAGCACGGTGTTTCAGGCGGTTATTATTTGGCCTTCGTTTACGCTGGTTTCGTTACTACTGCATCCCGGCTCGCGCGCTCAAACATCAGAACGCTCCTTCTTTCGCCTGAAGGCCAGCCACCTACTCTTGCCAAGCGTTTGTACGATCTCGGAGGCATCTTCCTGTCCATGCTCATCATCAACTACGCCGCAACACCCTTCATGTTGCTCGATGTCAGGAAGTCTCTCGCTGCTTGGAGCAACTTGGGTTGGTATGGCCATGTCATTGTCGGAGGCGCCTTGCTGTTCTTTTACGGTGGTGGAACACACTTCCTCAGACGCTTCCAACCACCGAAGCCCAAGGCGAAGCCAAGCAGCTCAGGAACGGCCACTCCGTTGGAGAACTTCACGACACCACCCAGCTTCGACAAGCTCATCCCTCCCCAAAATTAGATTATGCCTCCGCTTTGCAAGTACTTATATATCGTAGCATTTATCAATCACCTGCTGTGCTGAGAGGAGGGAAGGATTTAATATCATTTAACCTTATACACGATAGTCTTCCTGAATGGGCTCAAAACCATGCCACCCAATCCCAGCAATAGCTCAGTCTGCAGCAAGTTGCTTGTTTGAATGATAGATGCATTGGTCGGGAGCATAGCGTAATATATGTAACAGCATGGAGTGTACCCATATCGCATACATAGAATTGCCTGCGCAGTCTCGTCCCGCGCCGACAACACTGCAATATTTTCGTCCATCGATTAGACCTTGAAACCACGGGACTTTCGGCGACCACGACCTTGCTCGAACTGCAGACAGTTGAGGAGCCGCCACCAGCCTAATAAGCATGATGCTCACCTTGCGACCCTTGGAGATGGTGTATGGCTTGACAGCCTTGTGTGGGCCCATACCGAAATGCTTGACGGCCTCACGGGTGTTCCTCTTGCCACGGAGCAAGACGGTGTTGGCGCCAGTTGGGGCGCGGGTGGCCAACTGGTCGAGGGTGATTGCCTCACCGCCGGCGTTCAGGATGCGCTCCTTGGCAGCACGCGTGAATCGGAGGGCGGCAATTGTGAGCTTGGGAACCTCCAACAAGCGGATGTCATCAGTCACAGTCCCGACGGTGACAATGATCTTCGAGTCGCGATCGGGTGTGCTTGACGTCTCTTTTACGATGCGGGAAAGGGAAATGGGAGGTCGGTTGATTTTTGAGAGGAAGAGTCGGTGGAGGATGACCTAATTTAGCGATACAAGTTTAGCTACTAGAAAACTTGGATTTATGGCAAGGTTGTAGACCTTGTTGAATGATGAATCCGTGCGGCGGGCCAAGAAGCGGTACAGCTACTGCAGGTTAAGCAAACCGCAATCTGCAAGAGTACTGAGGACATACCTTGACGAGGAGGAGGAGATACGGATCCTCGCTCTTGGGGGCGGTACGGTTCCCCTTCTTGACGTGGTGGCGGGCGATGTCGATACCCTAGAGAACATGTCCTGATGAGTACAACGTTGTCTTGCCACCGCCAGCGACGACGAGCTCACCATCTTCTTGGTGTTGCCGATAAATGTATTTGGACCTGTTGATACGGACGACGGAGGCTTGGACAACCTGTACAGTAGATGATTTAAGGTTCAGTCTCCGATTGATCACCCGCTCTCCTCCCTATTGATTCCCTATTATCGACGCCCTTGTCCTCCCCATTTTTTGCTGGACGCTAGGCTATTGCATATCAGATATTGAGGAATCGGAAACATACACTCAGTCGAGATCTACAGAGCAGAATGTGTCCTCCAATGCAGTCTAGTATCCATAGAATTCAAGATTCCAAGTCCGGCTAGCGCTAGGATCGCGGGACTTTGATAAGAACAGATGGGCCAAACACAGCACAACACTTCCTTGACCTGAACCACCATGGTGCGTGTCCCTACCCTGTTGGAACGATTTTCTTTTTTTCCTAAGTTGTTTCCCGTTCTAGTACGGCGACCCAACTCCTCCTGTAGATCCATACGCCGATGCTTACAATGCGCCTCCATCGGCGGCACCAGCAGCATCAGAGCCTAGGGAAAACGGTACCGCGACGCGTGGTCGTTCTCGGTCGCGCAGCCCGGCACGCAGTGGGGGATACCGAAGCCCGTATCGTCGTCGGTCGCCTCCCCCACCGGCGGCAACAAAACGTCCTTCGCAGGCTCCTGTTGTACGTGGGCCTTGGCCCCATATCTTTCTTTTCTCCATGATGCTTACTGGACTAGCAGGCCCCAAATCCCTCCAGTGTTCTTGGAGTCTTTGGTCTTAGCATTCGTACCCAGGAGCGCGACCTGGATGAAGAGTTCAGCCGCTTTGGTCGTGTAGAAAAGGTCACCATCGTTTATGACCAAAGGGTGAGAACGTGTGCAGCTACTGAGCTTCGTATCTCTAATTTATTGATTGATAGTCCGATCGTTCAAGAGGCTTCGGCTTCATAAGAATGTCGACTGTCGACGAGGCCGCACGCTGCATCCAAGAGCTCAATGGCGTCGTGAGTGTCTAATTACCATACTGTGCATAACCGCTAATATAATAAGACAGGAGCTCAATGGGCGACGCATCCGTGTCGATTACTCTGTTACTGACAGACCCCACAACCCAACGCCTGGTCAATACATGGGGCACCGTCGTTCAGGCCGTGATTCGTATTATGGTGGCCGCGATTCTAGGGATTCCCGCGACTCTCATCGGGACCGCGATTCTCGTCGCGGCGGCGACCGTGACAAAGATCGTGACCCATACGGACGCGACAGCCGTGACTGGCGTGATCGTCGCAGCCCTCCTCCCTCCCGAAGTGGTCGCCACTCTCCCGATTACAGGAGAAGACGCAGTTACTCAAGAAGCCCAGCGAGGAGTCCCCCGCCCCGTTCCAGCGGATATGATGCCCCTGCCGGTGGCGACGCTGGACGCTACTAAAGTGGTTCGTTTACACAGGACTTTCATTGCCCTCCGGGCTCTCTACGCCTCCTTTGTCATGAGAAGTTGAAGCATGTCCAAGTCCGAAGAGCGTGGTTTCAAGTCCAAGTGCTCAAAAGATGTCCCCAAGTGATGAACGTTTTGCCTTCTTTCGAATCTTGGTCAAGTTAGGCTTCAATTTGTTTCTCTGTTGTCAAGTCCATGAAGATCTCCGGATTGGACCGTATACGATATAGCCACAAAACCAACCACAAGTTCCGTCCTTCCCCGCTGTTTTATAATCGTCGTTGTTCTCGCTGTCCATTCAAGTACTGTGATATTTGCAAGTACAAGAATCTTCAATACTTCCTATAGCGCTAGGCTGCTATTCAATGCTACAATGTGGTCCCTGCGTCAAGCATTTCTGAAGACCGACATTGCAAACTCTGCATGTCTTGAAGCTGGGCAAGTCGTTGGGCAAGTCAGCAAATCGTTACGAAATAAGGACTCCCGCGAAGGTCAATATCACTCGCGATGTGCAAGTGGTGAAACCGATCTTTCGGAGCTCTTGGTGTTCGTGATTGGGTGCGTGCTTCCTTATGACACTGACGCCTTTCTCCATTCTAGGTGGCGTGAACACTCTTTGGTCCAGTATCCAAGCCGCGATTTTCCCGTGCTGTATTCCACATCCATGTATTGTATGGCTACGTGCGTATCTGCATTCAATAAAACTCGTTGCTACGCATATCTTTTTATGAGTGTTTGCCAGTGAAAGATTTCCAGCCCCTATGACCTTGGCGTGGAGTACTTATGAGAAGCCATCGACTAATCCACGTAATGCAGTACTTCCATCTCAGACTTGACTTACGTGGTTGATGCTGAGAATTCATAGAGAATGAACTCTTTTTGATTCATAGTGAGCTTGTGCGCCATAGCTGCGTCGGCACTCACTCATTCTCTTACTGCAGACCTTTGGGTGGTGCACGATATACTGCGAAGAGTCAGAAGATCTACTAGGTGACGATGCTCACCCAGTGGCACCGCTTCTCCCGTTCCACTGTACTCGATCCAGGGATCCCATCACTATGATGGGCTGCTTCCTAGCCCTAGGTTCGACTTGGCCTGAGACTGCTCCCCCGACCGGCGCAGCCGCTTGCGCCCCTGTGGTTGGACTACACTACTCCTGACGTGCGCCCCATGCTTCTGCTTTTTGCTACCGAAAATGACCTCAGTTGTAGCTAGACCCCATTCCCACCGTTGGCCCTACAGGACGATAGATCTCCTACTTGGGCATGTGTAGGCTTCTCAAGAATAGCCGAAGAATGGTCCAGGAAGGCGTCAAGAAATACAACAACCCCGTCTTCGGGTTTCCTTTCATGCATAAATGGATAGTCGTCACTGGCGGTCCGAAGCTGATAAACGATGTTCGACAAGCTCGAGACGAGTTGACCTTCTACAAAGCGGTAGATGAGGTGTATTCCATGTCTCCCGGCGAGTAGCGCAATCTTTGCCGCCGAAGTGACATGTCTACGCAGAACATGCAGACTTGGGGTAGAGGTCATGATCGGCGAAGAGGGATGGTCCAAGGCAGCTATGGGCGAGATGCTGAGGGTTGATAGCTTCGTCCGCGAGACTGTTCTGTATTCGCGATCAGTGCATGTGCGCATTTGTCTCCTTCATTCACCTCCGTCCGTATTTTTAGCGGCTATGTCGCGTATCGTTCCTGGCAACCCGTCTGGATCACGTTTTCCACACATCCCAAAAGGAACGTTCCTATCGTGTGCTGGGTGGGCGTTGCACCACGATGCCAGCGGCTACCCAAATACAATGGGCTTTGATGGCTTTCGCTTCTCGAACATGCAGGAGGACGAGCCTACGTAGCTACGAAGCACCACCACGGAAAAAGTATATTGCCATGGAAGGCACGTGTGTCCCGGAAGGTCAGTCTATGCTAGCCCATATTGTGTTGACATACGATGTCAAGCTCGAGGATGATGCATATCCCCCAAGCCGTTGGAGCGGGACATTAGCTATTCATTATAAGGGTGCCGGCATGATCAGGAAGAGGGTTGGGCATGAAATACGTAGCACATATACCGTTATTCGAGGCTACTAGTACCGGACTAGAGTAGTACATTAAACCATTTAACCAACCCAAAGGCTTTGGAGATGCCGATTAAAGCCGCTGTTGTTTCACCACCTAGTTGCTGTATGTCGAACCGATGTCACCGTACTTGATGTTAGAGAAGATGACTTGCGCATTCGGGCTCTGCGACTCCACATCCTTGGGCTCCCCGGACGTAGTCGCGCACGTTCCGCGGGCGACACCTGGAGCGGACGCAGATTTGTCGAGAGGGTAGTTACTGTCGAGCCACAGCATCTTCGCCTCGTGATCGTCCCAGATACTCAAAACCAACACCATGCCCTTGTCAAACGCATTCCCCATCGCCCTGAGCCCGCCCTTGCTCGCGAACGAGTTCGTATCCCCAAACACAGTCTTCTGCGTCGAGCAGAACGACTCGGTGATCGAGTCCAGCGTCGACGCCATGCCTGGGATGTTCACCTTCGAATTCTGGATCACCCGCCCATTCTGCACGTATAGTCGCCGGATCTCGGAGAGCGTCCCCGAGGTCGTGTTGTCGCTCGTGAGGAACTGCGTGACGACGGTGAACTTGGAGTTGGTGTTCACGGTCTTGCCCGGGCCAAGGAAGTTCTTGTCGCCCATGCGGAAAGAGTTGAAGTCGCAGCCGTCCTTGTCGCAGACGCCGCCGTAGCGGTTGTCGCCGTCGCCGCAGTCATTGCCCTGGCAGCGCGTGGGCGTGGTGACGGTGCACGGGTGAGGCGTGTACGCGCTTGCCATAGAGTTTGCCTCCCAGATATCCATTTCTGCGCAGCAGGAGCCGTATTGCCCCTTGCCTGCATTCGAATCGTTTGGGGATGGTTGCCACCCTTGTACGTTGGCCTATAGAGTGCATCAGTACCAAATAGTGAGTAGCATCAATCAACCTAAGCCCACCTCGCCGTTAATGAATTTGATATCATGAGGGCACTGAGAGTCGCAGTATCCGGTACCGTACTTCGCGCCAGCCTGAAGTGGTTGTATTAGGAATGATATACAGAAGCTGGCGCGATATTCAAACCTTGTTGTTGGGGAACCTTCCCGTGCCACCATCGGCGTCCATCTGGGAGAAGTAGAGTGCACCATTGAGGCCACAAGGCAGCTGGGAGACATCGACATCGAAGGTGAACTCCTTGTTCTTTAAGTTGAACATCTGGTAGTGGCTGTCGTCGGCGAGGAGGTACACGCGCGAGCCAATATTGGTCGAGTACGGTCCGTGGGTGACGAACTTGAGCGTCAGCGCATTGCCTGAGCTAGTGATACCGTATGTCCCGGAGTAATCTGCACCGTCGAGCGCGCAGTTCCTCGAGCAGGTCGCGGCGTCCGGGCACAAAGACGTGTCCCAAGTGTTTCCAGTGTAGCAATTCTACAAAATTGACAGAGAGTGAGCGATGTGGTTGTGTACATTGAAACAGACGACCTACGTTGCTGCCGCTGGTCGAGTGCAGCCAACGCCAATTGCCATCAAGCACAACAGACCGCTGCTGCGTCGTGCAGCTGCCGCCGCGCGTGCATTGCTGGACAGTGAGTTGCGGGTGGGTTTCCGCCGTCAACGTGCCCACTTGCTGCGCAAGCACAACAGACAGAAAACTGAATGAAACAAGGGCGATGTAGGGGAACATTGCTGCTAGTGTTGATGTTGATTTCAAAGTTCATTCGGTATTTTATACACCGTGAGGCGGGAAATGCTTGGAGGTTTGCAAGTAGCCAAGCTTGTTCTCCAACCTAGAAAGTCTGAACCGCTACCGAGATGGGCCCGTGGGATGTCATACATCCATTCATTCGGACGACAAGTGGAAAATATGAGGAAGAATTTCAAGTTTCAATTAGACACCTGATATAGACAGTGACTACCTTGAATACCATAGCCGCAGCGGTCACAGAGCGGTACCATGGTAAGACCACATCCACGCGCTGCGGTCATATGGTTCCGATTTCATGGGAACACGAGATGTTCTGAATCAATGAGAAGAAGTCGTCAGTTTAAGGCCAGTAGGAAGGACTGTAATGACTTCGATTTTGATGTTCAACCATTCTTGGTTAATTCAGCCTTGCCGCCAGGACCGAGAAGACACCGATCGACATATGTGTTAACGGCCCAGCGGGCCCCACAGGTACATTGAATACCTTGCATAGAAAACAATATCAACCAGCGGTTGAAACTACGGCGGATTAGGGCCCGGGTGTGGCGGGGCAAAGTTCAACGTTAGCATATTGGCCAAATATGGCAAGTGATCGACTCTTTAGCGCCCATAAGTTTTGACCACACTCAGACATAGGATCTTTCGCTGCACCCACTATGCCGAGAATACGGAAAAGTATGGATTATTCGATGTCCTAGACGGGTTGTATCTGAGCTCTTCCCTGCAGAAACCTCAAACCGAAGCACAACCAATGATCGAAAGAAAATTACGCAGAAGGTGAGGGAGACCAAGAAAAAGAAAGCAAAAGCTGCGAAGAAGAATCCACAATGGAAATCAAGTTCGTACCTTGTCCTATGGGCAATTCACCAACTCAACTCAACGTTCAGAACATAAGAAGGATCCTGGAATACCGAACAACTTCCCTTACAAGGACCAGATTTTGGCTGAAGTCGCGGAACAACGGCGCCAGGTATTTTGATCCTATGATAGGTTGCCCTTTCTTTTTATTGATGGCCTTGTCACTCAGGCAGAAGAGGAGAAACAAAAGCGCAAGGAAGAGAAGCGCGCTGCCAAAACAGTCGAGGAGGCCGACGGTGATGCGGAGGATGGGATTGCAAGTCTCGCTGCTAGGCATCTGTTCAAGGCCACAGCGGCAAAAAAGCGACCAGAACCGGAGTTGGTGGAGGAGGAGAGTGATGAGGACGAATCCCCCTTGCTTGCCAGCCCAGATCTGCCTGACCTAAAGTCTGCTTTGGAGTGCGCCGATGTTGTGGTGAGCCTGTTGGATGCTCGGGATCCCCTTGCCTATCGTAGCAGCTTCCTAGAAAGCTGGGTAAGCGATAAACCAGAGAAGCGACTTCTGTTTATTCTTAACAAAATTGGTACGCACCTCGGTCTTCATTGCTCGTCCGACGCTAACTCGCGCCACAGACGTTTGTCCTCGTGAAGCGATATCTGCGTGGCTGAACGCCCTCCGTGCCGAGAATCATACACTACCTTTTCGCTCAGCATCGGCATTCCTTCCAAGCGAACCAAGCTTGGACCCCAAAACGAAAGGCAAAGCTGTCCCTAAACAGACAGTAGATGCTATAGGCCGCGATGCAGTTCTATCTTGTCTCCAGCAGTGGGGGAGGGAAGGACATATTACCGTTGCTGTCGTTGGTCCCACAAATGTGAGCACGTTACAATTGCTACGAGTTTCCCCTCTAACCCGGCGCAGAGCGGGAAAAGTTCCTTCATCAACTCTCTACTCGGAAAATCAACTTTCCCGACTTGCACCTCTCCATTATTATCGGACGCGCGCCCTTCAACAACAACACAAGCACTTGAGGCTACGCTGGAAGTCGGCTCAACGTCCATTCGCATTATTGACACTCCTGGATTCTTATGGAAGCAGGACGAGTCCAGCAAGAACGAGATAACAAGAGCTCGTGATATATTGCTACGAAGCAAAGGAAGAATTGACAGGCTAAAAGACCCAATACCAGTAGGTTCGTGTTCGTATTGCCTGAGAACCCATTGGATTGCTCGCTTAAACAATATCGATTAGTCTCCCAAATTGTTGAGCGGTCTACACCCGAGGATCTGATGTTGCTTTACAATCTCCCTGCCTTTTCAAGGGGCAACTCATCCTCGTTTCTATCAGGCCTCGCACGCGCTCAACAGCTGGTAATGAAGGTCAGCCAACCGCCTTTTGACACATTGCTTGCCCGCGCTGATCGACTGTATAGCATGGAAAACTGGATTTGACTGGAGCCAGCCGTATCGTTCTTCGGGATTGGAGTACAGGCAAATTCCCGCGGTACACGCTGCCCGACGCCGCCAAGGAGATATCGTCTCCTGCTTCTGAGTTGGCGGAACTCTACGCGAAGGAAGCGGATATACTCCAATTGCTGCCAACTCACAAGGAGATGAGGAAGGGAAGAGGGCTAGTCAAGATGAGTCCTGGTGAAGTTGACGCAAGAGAGGTTCAGATAGACATCTCGTGGTTGCAAGATGATCAAAGTGGATCGGAGCAAGATGAAGACGTAGATGAGGAGATGGCAGACGAGGACGCCGAAGCCATTGACGCCGATCCTCTGGACTCGGACTCGGACTCGGACTTGAACGAGGAGGAGGACGAGGATGAAATCCCCGCGCCAGCGCCTTCTTCGAAGCGTAAGCGCTCAGGTGCTTCATCCACACAGCCCAACAAACGGGTATCTTTCGCTGCTGGTACTGCAACTAAAGAACCCAAATCCTCACGTATCAAGACATCCAAACCAAAATCATCCCCGAAAGGATTTCCGAAGCGGCATAGCAAAGCTAAGAAAGTCTAGTCGCAGCCGCCGCAGTCGAACGAGAAGCATAGCGTCGCTGATCTAAGGTCTCAAGTGGGTTCTCATCAAATGTTCGGTCCCATTTCTGCAGCTCATCAGCTACACAAGTGGTATATAGCATGTTGTATTCAAGCCTAGTCTGGCTACCCCCACGTTGTCCAACATAGATCGAATTCGTCAAAGCAGTCGTTTGCACACGTGTTTTACCTTCATTTTGGCTCTTTAATGATGTTAAACCACGACGCTGAGCTTCCATTAGTGATGTATCCGCTCAAAAACAGCTTCCTGCCCTTGACTAACGCCTGACACATTCACAGTCCCTCATTTTGGGCGGCGTTGGCCTGTTAATAAGTCATGATCGAGTTTGAACTTCTGGTCGTATTTGCTGAACCTTAGGCTTTGTAGCTGTCTCGGATAGCAATGGAGGCCCTGTCAACATCAACATGTGGCACATATAAGATGGCTGCAGCTACCAAAGGCTTCTCATCTCCCTTTCCCTGGCAGAGGTGAGCACCAAACGCACAGGAGTCCATTTCACTACTAATTACTTGTCTAGAGGCTTGATTTCTTCACGTGGTCGATGGCTGGCCCCCGCAGAGATACCCCTTTCACAAGCGCAATCCTTGAGGTACCGAGGCTCCCCAGCCTTCCCACAGAGCTGTGGACGAGGATATTCACAGAATGTCAGCCAACGGACGACTATCCATCGCTTCATCGAACCATGCTCACAACTGCGATCATCCACGTGTCTAAACAATGGAGGGCCATGGCTCTGGGCTGTGGTGCGTTATGGGCGTCATTTGAAATAGCTGTCGAAGAATACCCTTGCGCCGGGCGGCACGAGGAGTTGCAGCAGCGACTATCACTTTGGCTCCAGAGATCGCGCAGCTACCCTCTTAGCATTGCTGTACGCTACACGCCAAAGACATTGTCTTTCCCGACAATCTCCGGGCAGCGTGGAGAACAGATCAAGGCCGTAGTCCGTCTGTTGGCGATGCTGTTAGAGCACAAACATCGCTTCCGATCCCTTCGTCTACGTTTACCAAGCCGAAGCCTTTCAGCACTACAGGCATTGCAGAATGGACCTCTCAACTTACTCGGATCATTGGATATTGAGACAGTAGGCACCGATGTGTCGCCGCCGCTCGACCTGGCATCTGTTAATGTCAACTGGACACGTTTCACGACGTTGCGGCTTGATGTATATCCCCGCATACCTGTCGACGACTGCTACCGTGTCCTATCAAAGGCGAATAACATGAAGTCTTGCGTTATGACAGTTGAAGGCTCACACACGCCTCGGGTAGAACCCTACGCGCCCATAACGCTCGCCGATCTACAAACCCTCCAACTTCGCTTGACGAACTCTTCGCTGGGCTTTTCTAGTCACTCCTTCTCCGAATTGCTCGACTCCCTCCATTTGCCCAGAATCACCAACTTAGACGTGGCCTGCTTGTTTGATTATGACAGCTACTCCGAGTCCAATTTCCTTCGGGAGCTTAAGTCTCTCCTCCTAAGGAGTTCCCAGTCGCTTAAGACACTCTCCTTGACGAACGCTCACTACAGCGACCAGGAACTTCTATCAATACTCCGCGAGACCCCCCGCATCAGTGACTTATCACTCAAATTCCCTCTACGGGCAGGCGAGGACCCCATATCCGAGGAATTCATCCGCGCTTTCATTTCGGCATCCAAGGGCCAGCCCTTCTGTCCCCACCTCGCGAATTTCCGTCTACAGTGTCACGGCGCACGATTCACGGAGGTATCACTCGTTAAGATGATCTCCTCAAGGGTCTCGCAAACCGGCGTGGTGGAGGCGCTCCGTTCTTTCGACTTATTCTCTGCAAGAGGAGCAACTACCTTGCTGACGACAGCGTCTGCGGCTTGGGTAGACAACGGGTTTCGACTGACGACAAGTTCGATGACCATTCTATGAACTATATCATTGCACATGCCTTTTGGCCTTGGGATATTTGGGCCATTCTTGGTACTACCTGTAACTATGATTACGATTTACGTATGAATACCATTTAGATATGATTCCTGTTCGTACAGTTACAATGGCCTATGGAAGATACAGTTACGATTGTTTGATATATTTTATTTAATGCAGTGTTCTTCGCCTGGTCTTCGGACCTGGGAAACATAAATAGATGATGGACATGCAGTGAAATGGTCTAAGCGCTGGCTAGCTAAATTATTGATGAGATACTGGTATTATATTACGTTGCGGGTATCATGTAGCGTACTACATATGCTCAGTGGCTTGCTCAAAGGAGAGCTCACCCTCAGCCTCGCGCAGAGACGTGTACAACGCCTCGCACTTTTTGACCAACTCGCCGGCTTCTTGCTCGTGTTCGTCCCATTCCAGCACTGGTGCGACACCAACCCGCTCGTGTCCCCACCAATCCGTTTCGGACCCGATTTTGATTGGCGTTGGGCCTTTGGGCATTGTATTCCCCTTCACTCCAGCTGTAGAGAAGGAGAGGGCGGTAGGCAAGAAAGCAAGAGCAACAAGGGATACATGGACTGCTGAGATTGCGGCCTTGTACGGGTGGATCGGGTGGTTGGGGGATCCCAGGAAACGCGCCTTGCAATCGTCGTATGTTTAGATGCCCTGAGTTGAACCGCGAGAAGTTACTCACAAGATAGAAGCTGATAACCTTCAGAAAGTCCGTTATTCCCGACGCCAAAGCGTGTGAGACGTTGGTATGGGTCACAGCGGGGTGTATGATCAGATGTCTAGGTGTGTTCGAGCCGTCCGATCCCTTCAGAACGCGTCGATCGAGGATGGTCGCAATGAGGTCCATTTGGTATTTGGATGCTTGATACGAATGCTGTGTCTTGAGCAATTGCCAATCCTCAGCTTCGTAGTAACCCGGGCGGCCCTCCAGCGATGACATCCACAATACACGAGGGCGTTCCGGAGACTTTTGTAGAGCGGGCTCCAGCTCGCGAAACTGAAAACAAGGAACATGGTCAAATGATCAAGGGGGACTATTTGATCGACTCACTAGGCAATAATGACCAAACACATTGCATTGCCAAACCCACCCAAGTCCATCTACGCTCCGCTCGCCCCAATTTTGCAGGTTATAATCCGGGTTGGTGACCGCATCAACAAGGTTGGTCAATACTCGGCGGATGGCAAGTGCCCAGTCAATACCGATGAAGCTTGCAAGCCCAGCGTTGCATATTATATGTGATATATACGGGTACCTGTTTGACTAAATTCAATCGTGTTGGGAAAGGGAGAGGGGGTCTCCTACTTTTGTCGCAGCTCTGCACCAAGTCGGAGAATAGTGCTCACAGAGGCCAGGTCCGAATAATGCAGATCAATGCGAACATTCTTTCGAAATCGCTTCGCGTACGCGATATCCTCCGGCGACTGCTGCACCTTGGCCAGGTGCTCGTCCAATAGTCGAAAGAGTTGTGCACGAGCAGCTTCCCCCCGCTTTACACTCCTGCAGGCCATGATTAACGTCAAACTCTCGCAAGGCTCTATACCATCCTCGACGTCTTTGTTTCCCAAGGCAGGCGCAGGCTTGGCATCACTAGGACACGGCTGGCAAAGCTGAATGAGCAGCCGGTGACATATACCGAAGCCTACACCTCTGTTTTCGTTAGTTAGATGATTGGGAAGGAGCAAAGTCTCAAATTCATACCCATTCGCGCCAGTGACCACTATAATGGGACTTCGCCGCGACATTTGCTCGTTGAGGATGGGTTGAGCTCGACATCGTACCATTGTCAAGAACGCGTGACAGTAGGACTCAAGACACGATCACGTGCAATTTATAGTGTCACGGTCACAGCCCGACATCGACTCGAGTCACGACTGCAACGCCCATTTAATATGGATCCGCGGGACGCGCGCCAGCGGTAGCTCGCTTCGAAGTGCTAGGGCAAACGTTCAGTGTAAATTCACATATATTCACAAGGTAATTAGAGTGTTTATGATCCGAGTTTCGAAGTATTTTCTCTTCTTGGTACGATGGCAGCTGCTACAAAGTTCCCGCTTCTGACAACGAGTGCAGCATGCATATACAGTCGCCAACAGAATTCAAGAATGAGGGCTTGGAAAGCAATCTGTGCACAGCTCACAAGCCTTGAGAAAAGCTGGTACATGTCTATTCAGACGACGCTGACGGTCTTGTCGAGCTGTTTCTCGTTTGATGCGTTGTTTGGAGCAATCATGGCACAAACCGCGGATTGAGTCCCAATAACTCGGCGTACAATGCCATACTGTAACGTAATTCACACAGACAACAGAGATACCTCCAGAGGCACGGGGCATGATGGGAGGGGGAAAGAAAGGTGTATTGGGGGGACATAGAGCATAAATTGAAGTACTTGCACATACCGCAAAACACGTCCACCAGACCGAATTCCCTTGATCAATCCCATTTTTTTGCACAAATCGTAAGCCAGAGGCTTCTACCACCCAAACGAACAGAGAACACAAAAGGAAAGACAGGGAAGTGTCCGAAAAAGCAGGAAAAAGAGACGGGCGAGCAGCCCAAGGTTTCGCATTTACTATTTGTTCGTATTTGTATGGGCATATCAACCCTTTTAGAGCCAAAATTGCGAGCTATGCTTGCAATCACCACCACCACCACCACCATTGTTGCCGTGGCCACAACGCAGGACGGTGCACATTAGGACTCTGGTGTGGTGGGTCTTATGCTCTACTGTAGCTGTTGTACTCTACTAATGCGCGTTGTAGAATTCCATCCATCATGGTGTCCATGGAATCATTGTCATCTTTTTTCAGCAATTCACCAACCATAGAGAGCGTGGACTCGAAAATGCGATCTTTTCAGCTTCAACTTTCTCAAATACACGACCAGATGCGCCAACTCGAAGAATACAGGAACACTCGGTTGCTCATAGTATCCAAACTTCCCCCTGAAGTCTTATCAATCATCCTTGAATTTCTGGCACTGGGCAGTGTTACATTATCATATCCCAGGAGATGGTACAGCAACATTCTTTTGGCAACGCAGGTCTGTCGTCTATGGTGTTAGGTTGCGCTTGATTCACCCCGCATCTGGAGCTACATATATAGCTCGGCTGTAAGGGCAACCTCAAGATGGCCGCACAGTGCAAGCCTAGCAGAGGGAGAATCTAGCAGAGGGAGAATCCAAAGTAATGAATAAGACTAACTACAATACATGAGAGAGCTGCTCACCTAGCAGAGGGAGAATCCAAAGAGAACAGGATAAGGATTCTCCATGCTAGGAAGCGAAGTATATACTGTAGTAGCGTGGGAGGAATGAAGGGTAACTGTACAGTACACCAGCCACAGGTCCGAATGAATATCACAAGGTACGAGGAAACATGTGATAATGAAGTGGAGGGTAAATGCACAGGAGTCGTGCCAGCGACTTGGGGAAGTAAGGGCAAAGGGTAATGAAGTGGGGAAAGAGGATAGAGGTAACCCGGACAAGCCCCAAAGAGTATAGACGAGTCCGAGCGAGTCCGAAGTGCGGGAAGACGCCGGAGTCACCGGACATGGCTCGGATGTGAAAGGAGTGGGGGGAAAGGAAGTGGAGAGGAGAGGGAGCAAAAAGGAACGAAGGGGAACGAAGGGAATGTAGGTAAGAGTCCATGGGATGAAGGAAAGGAGAGAAAATAGGAGTGTCCCCTTACAGTCAGATGAAACTAAAATCAACAGATTTGGGTCAGATGGTAGGAAATGGGTGTCGAAACAGAAAGGGGCACCTTTGCAGGACCGGGAGATTGAAGGAACTATCAAGCATGGGGGTGGAAATATTATGGTCTGGGGGGTGATGGGATGGAATGGGGTAGGGAGAATAGTTGAGGTTGAGGGGAGGATGGATGCCCAGCAATATGTGGACATTCTAGCTGATGGTCTCCTTCCCACCATTGAGGAGTGCGACATTCCTGCAGAGGATGTGATCTTTCAGCAGGATAACAACCCCAAGCACACCTCAAAATTGGCACAGAAGTGGTTTGAGGATCAAGGGATTGTGGTCATGGACTGGCCTGCCCAGTCTTCTGATATTAATCCCATTGAACACCTCTGGGAGCACATCAAACGCCAACTCAACACCTACAGTACACCATCTAGAGGAGTACATGAATTATGGGAGAGGGTTGCAGAGGTATGGGATGGGATTGATGTGGAGGTATGCCAGAACCTTATATCAAGCCTTCCCAGGAGGATTGAGGCCGTTATCAAGGCCAAAGGGGGGAATACCAAGTATTAGATAGTACACTCAAAAAACCCTTTCAATCCATCCCTTGATTAGAAATTATGTAGAATATTCTAGACTTATCCGATTGACTTGAATCAAGATATGTCACTTAGCTGAGAGGGGCACTACAAACACTACACTGACCCTGAGCTACCATTTTCAGTAGTTCTTCCGTTATTCAGTGTTTTGTGCAAAAGTGACCAACATAGAAAGGGTTTTTTGAGTCACTGTATACCACAGTGTGCAGGATAACATATTGTTGCTAACATTACATATCCAATATGTGGAGTAAATGTGCAATAATCCTTCAATATAGAGTCGTGTAATATGTGATAAATATTTACTCACAATGAGAGGTTTAAGTCAGTTGAGGATAGATATTACTGCCGTTGCTATCTCATACTCATTACATATTGGTCACACTCGAGATAACTGGGTATGACATGCTTAACTGAGATATTCTTCAGATAGCAATCAAAATAATACCGCAGATGATATCTGATCCTGCACCCAGTGTACCCTCTCGAAGCCTTTCGAAGTCCGCGGCAGCACGTGATCACTGGCAATATTGAACCACCCACAACAGCCCACAACGTAAATGGACGACTTTGGGTTTGGATGCTGTACTATACCCTCCGCAGGGTGGTAGATTCGAGTGAGTCACAGATTTGATTTCCAGAACACAACGTAGATTCTTTTTCTATCACATTATCGATGGCGCACTCTGATGTTCTTGAAACAACAGCGCCTGGTCATGAATTCGAATTCATTATCTTCAGCCTCGTTGAATTCATCGAAATCCAGCGAGGATGAGGATATAAAAAGGGTGCCCTCTTCACTCTCCTCAATAACAAGTAAAGAAATGACTGACAGTTCCCAGCGCAAGATCACAACCGGAAACGGTAGTTTTATCACCGTACAAACGATGACTGCAGATGCAGTTCGTGGCCTTCTTCGCAATCGGCTTCGGGAAGACGGCAAGATTACCAGCGTCCCACAAATGGTGGCTCAAAGACTTCGCCTCAGCTCTGTCAATGAAGCATTTGTTCACTCTTGTCGAGATGCCTGTGTTGTCGAGTGCGCCAAGAAACTTGACGAATTAGAGACGCTGGCAAGTAAAGCCGATCTAAAAAAAGGCATGGATAGACAACGAGACGAGAAGATGTATCCTGCCTTGGTATGTTTAGATCCAACCCAAAAGACATGTTTTTTACGCTTCAGTATGTGCAGAACAAGCTATTCGAGTTCATAGCCACCTATCGTCACGACTCGCAAGATAGCTCTAGCAGAGGGACGTTTCGTTGCTCGGCAAAGGCAGGCATCAAGGGCGAAGAGCATACCGCAGGCTTTCCTCTAACTTACCCCGATGGCGCGGCTCTTACAAGGGGCTGCACTCCTGACTCATTCTACTGGCGCGACGTACGCGCGTTTGTGGAGTGTAAAGCGAGCACACTTCAAGGGGAACCTAGCAGAACAACGACGGTGCCTGAAACAGTGGTCCAAGGCGCCGATTATGCGCGTCTTCATTTGTCTGCCGATCCTTTCCGCGTGTTCTCGGTGGGACTGCTGATCTACGGCTTTCGCTTCATGGTTGCCATATTCGATCAAGACGGCGTCTGCCTTTCAGATCCCTACCACCTTCGCAATGACCTGGATGTCTTCATTCGAGTTGTATACCAACTAGGTCATGGCCTATCAGATGTCGAGCTGGGTCGTGATCCGACCGTTGAACAATTGCATTTGCCAGAGGACTCCCAGCTTCGCAAGACCCTCGACGAGCTGTCGGAGAAACAAGGCATGCCAACCGCTTCAAAAAAATTCCCGTCGTACAAGATTACACTCAAGACTAATGATACTTACTTGATGGACGGTGCTACGAAACTTCAGGAGACTGACGCAACCACATGGGTGACGATAGGCCCACCGATATGGAGTTCACTATCGTACTTGGGACGAGGTACCACAGTGTGGCGAGTGGTAGCCATGGATGGCAACGATATTCCTCGTCCATGGGAGGTCCTCATCCTCAAGAATGCGTGGCGACGCAGTCACCGTGACTCCGAATCCAACATCTATGTGACTTTGGGGCGTGCGATGGCAGCTGATCCGCTTCGTACCCATCGTAAAGGAATTGCTGAGTTCAGGGTTGGAGCGGATGTCACCTTTCCAGGACGCGGTGAAGCTATCAGCGTCAACAACCTACGCTACCTCTTCCTAGGCGGTTCAATCATCCCTCCGCCTGCGCCGCAGACACCTATTCTACACCGACTCGTACTTGCGACGCAGGGTCGAGCTTTATGGTATTGCGAGAACCTGAAGGAACTTCTTCGGGGTATGGGAGCGGCACTACAAGGTGTGTCGCACCTTGGCTCAACTAAGTATCGAGGACGCTCATTTTGTAGGCCACAAATTCTTGGTTTCGAAGGGCATTCTACATCGCGATATCAGCGCGGGTAACATTATGCTATCGTCGTTGGACAACCCACCCAATGGAATGGAAGGGTTTTTGATGGACCTAGAGTACGCCAGGCTCAGTACAATTACGGAAATCCACTCGATGAAGATTGCGCCAGACGCCACCACAAGCGCGACACACACTGTTTTCAAAGACGCAAAGCGTGGTGCTGAAATGACTGTGAGTTCGCTTCCTTCGTGTGATACTGAGAATGACATTCTTTCCGCAGGGCACCCTTCAGTTTATGGCGGCTGAACTCTTAGAGACGTTAGGGAAGGGGAAAGTAGTTCGTCATGAAGTCCACCACGACCTGGAATCATTTGTATGGGTCCTGGCATACGCCGTCAGCCGACACCTACAACGTCAGTCGGGCCTCACTGAAGCAGTGAAGGCAGAATTAAGGGAGCACTTTGTGCGATCCTATGGGCGTTTCCTTTTCACGGACATAAGCGATGCTCGTCTCAGCCTCCGACCACTTAGGCCGCCGCCTGTCTACGAAGAGATGCTGCCTCAAGGAATGAACGACTTATATGTAGGTCTTCAGACCGCACTGATCGCACAGTTCGCCTATATCTATGGACGGGAGCCCAAGCCTTTGACGCATGACATGCTCCTCGAGCTTTTCGATACCGCATATCACTCTTTCTAAATCAAAATTGACGGAGAAGGGATCTGGAAATATAGATGCCTCCTGCGTTACGCACCACGTACGTCGTACACATGCGTTGCTTCAGAATGTCTAGAATAAAGATTTGAACTGTCAGCCTGCTTTGGGCTAAAGTCAGGCAAACTGCCTTGTAGAACTACATGGTTGGGTTCCCCCGGTGCCAGTTGCTGCTCTGGACGTCACTACTACTAGTAACAATATACGGGTTCGTATATACATTAAGATTGAGAGATACAGATATCTATGCCCATAAATCGAGAGCTTAGATAGTCGACATGATATGGAGGCCGGTTTCTATGCCTCCGACTTCTTTTTCTTTTTCTTGGGAGAGTCAGTACCTGCCAGGGCTTCAGCCTTCATCTTTTCCTTCGCCTCTTTGGCCTCCTTCTTGGCCTTCTTCCTTGCCTTCCGCTCAGCCTCTGTTTCCTCCTCCTATTGTACACGTACATTAGCGACACACCATAACACAACCACGTCAAGTTTGGAGAATATACCTTCACTTCTTCCAGCTCTGCGGGACCAGGCTCACTTTCTCTCCGTTTCCGCTTCTTCTCCTTCGCAGCCTTCGAGTCTTCCCCATCGACGTCCATATCATCGTCCTCAGGTTCAACAGATTCGCTCTCGGCCTTCACCTTCTCCTCCCGCTTCTTCGCCCGCCTCAGCTCCTTCGCCTTCCTCTTCTCCTCCTTCACATCCAGCGCCGCCTTCACGGCCGCCTCCATCGGGTCGCGCTGCGTCGACACAAGGTCCACAGCATCCGCCGCGCTATTATACGTCTTCGTCTCCCCCTTCATTTCGAATCGCGGCTGCTTCTTCCCCCCATCGCCGAACCTCCGCACCCCAGCAAGATCATTCCCATGCTCGAGGCTCCGCAGCCGTGATTCGAGCTTCGCGCGGTTTTCGAGGCCTATTGAGGGCGCCGACGGTTCTGATTTACCGTTATCGTCTGTTAGTGCGTCTACGCGAATTGAAAGGGCGGCCTTCGTGGCAACCATACGGGCCATCTATTTATTGGTTATTGATCGTCAGCTTCAGGAAATACGCAGTTAGACTCACTTTGCCTTTTAGTTTTGGTGGAGCCTGACCAACAAGCGAAGCCTGCAACGATGTTTAGACAACAGGTAACATTGGAGGGTTTCTCTTACATGGTATATCAGACCGTATTTTGGGGTATCGTGTTTCGTTTTCAGGGCCCGGAATAGCGCCTTCTCGGCACCGAGGATCTGGACTGTACTTGCAGGCTGTTTAGCCAGACTCAACAAACTACCAGCATGGCTTATTAGCCGTGCGCCGACCAAGTCACCGACCAATGCAGTGAGATTAGGGGCGATGGCGTTCATACGATTGCGAAGGTATTCGGCGAGCTGCGTGCGGTAGGCGGATATCGAAATGACCTGGTCACATAGCGCGAAGATGTTGGCGATGTCGGAGTCGGAGATCTCAGTGCCCATCGATATTTCGGCCGCTGCTTTTAGGACGGCTTCGAGGTCCTCGGGGAGCAGGGTTTCAAAGTTCGTCGATGATGCGTTCGTGCGGAAGCCTAAAATCAATCTTGAGTAACTGGCACATATTGAGACGCGATGCTTTTGGTTTACCCATATGACGAACGACTTTTGCGTACGCTAGGTTGTCCGAGATGATCTTGGCCATTTCGGGGAAATGCCAGCCGTACCATTCCTGTCAGGCATGAGCACAAGTTCTTCGCAGTCAACTAAGTAACATACCTTGACACGCATGGAATATATGTTAATCTCCTTGTCCAGATCGTCTAGGAGTGCGATCGCTTGCACAATCATCGTGTCGACCTTGTCCGGGGAGAATTTGAGTTTGAATCTGTAAACAATTGTTGAGAACTCGCGCTACAGAAAAAATCTAGCATCGGCTCACCTCGACAGTGAATGACTCAAACCAAGGCTCATCGTCGCGAGATCCTTCGGGTCGAGTCCATCGAGCAGTGCTGCAATCTGACTTCGTATACCTCGCCATAAGTCTGTGGTAGAGTTTTCTGTCAGGGCTTGCACGTCGATGCTTAGTTTTTTTGATATTGAGTGGGCTGTAGATCCAAGCCATGAGTTTAAGTATTGTAACGCGGCCAAAGATACATACCTAGATGCTGATCCACAACGACCAAAGACTCTTTGCCCTTCCCCTTCCCGACTACTTCGTCTGTGAGGAACTGCTTCAGTCCCTTACCGAGCTTCCCCTTCTGCAAGGCGGTGATATCTTCAACAGCAGTCGCCGTCGACGTAAACCGATGTAAAGCCTTCAATTTGAGCCTGATTTATGGTCAAATACTTGGATTCGTGCGATCTGTACATCAACTCACAATTTACTTGCTTTTTCCGGGCTATCGAATTCTTTCCACAGATCCTCGCTCTCTAATTTTGAAGAGTCGGCCACTTTGAATAGGCAGTAGCCCATCGCGGTTTCGTATAAAACCAGCATTGTGAGGAGCCCCAACAACGATACGACCTGGGCGAAGGAAATGAAATGTGTGATGATGATCGAATTTTTTGAGGACTAAGTTCAGGAACCTACTGACCGTGGGAATAGTATGTTGTATAGAGTACTAGCCGTTGACCCGTGCTTTGCACGCAGTGAAGGCACCTCATCGCCCGGCCTGCGGCCGGGCTCATTCGGTGCCCATTTTGGACGCAACCAATCAGATGGCTAGGTCCTTCGGCCCGTGAGAAAGTGCGCAGATGATTTCTATTGTAGATCAAGCCCGAGATGACCGGTTTGTCTTTGTCTTTATCCCGTGGGAAAAAAGGCCGTCTTTTATAATATAGATATAGATTGCCAACATATGCAGGCGTGACTCTCGTGGAGATATCGTGAGGAGGATGAGAACCAAACGCGAACTTCAAATCTCACGAAACGACGTTGGTCTTATCTTCAGAGTACTATGCGATTCTTGAGGAACAACTTTCTGTACTCTGCCTTACTCGCCGCGGCACTTCTCAGCACTGCTCGCGAATTCATAGTCCAAGATGAAGGCGGCTTCGCACAAGTTTGTGACAGCGACGATCTGCTGTTCAGCGCGCAAAGTGCAGAAATCGGGCGATACAGTACTTCTACGTTGTCTGGGGGCGAAAACCTCCACCTGAACCACATTTCTTCGACGAACGACTTCGTGACTGTGTCGAGTGCCCGTTTCCCGAATCACAGCGTCCGTATCAAGAAGACTGACTTCTGCGATCCCACCGTAAAGTGCGTATTTTATATTGATGCCCGGAAATGATTGACGTAGTCGGCGAACAGTGTATATACAGGATACTTGGATGTTGATGCCGGAGCCAAGCATATGTTCTTCTATTTCTTCGAAAGTAGGAGGAACCCAGCCGAAGGTACGTGACTATAACACCCGCTACCGCCTCAGCTTCATCTCTATGCTAACGCAGACGATGTTATGATGTGGATCAACGGAGGTAACAGCGCAGAAACTCCGTGCCATTGGCATAGCTCACTAGATGCTAGGTCCTGGGTGTTCGTCTGCGATGGGGCTCCTCATGGAACTAGGTAAGGATCATGAATCACCTTTGAACTTCAGCAGCCCAGATATTGATCCCCTCGTTCATTAGGACCATGTAGCATTGACATGGAGGATCACTCCCCGAACGGCACGATCTACAACCCGTACTCTTGGAACGAAGTTGCCAACATCTTCTTCCTCGACCAGCCGTTAGTAAGGATTACAAGTATACTGGAACGTGCAACTGATGCCGTATCGTAGAGTCGGTGTAGGTTTTTCCTACGCAGACTTTGGAGAAACCGTCGAGACAACCGAGGAAGCCGCGAAGAATGTCCACGCCTTTATATCTATCTTCTTTGAAACATTCAAACAATTCCAAGGCCGACCGCTTCATCTCTCGGGAGAAAGTTACGGGGTAAAGATAGACTGTCTCGAGGTGACCTGACGATAGACTCATTGCAGTTATATATAGGGTCGGTATCTCCCCGTCTTCGCCAGCGAGATACATGATCAAAACGCGATTGCGGTCAAGGAGGGGCGTTCCACCATCAACCTTCAAAGTGTGATCATTGGGAACGGGATCACGGATATATCAACGTCCGTTTGGCTTGGTTACGAAAATATTCATCCTCGTCTGACAGATTCCACACTGTAGCCTATACGCCGGCCGATTCGAGATCGAATGTGGTGTGTCCGCATTGGAGACGCCATTCCAATCTATCAATGCCTGCGTACGGATGAAGATGGCAGTAAGTGTCTCGGCCCTTGCTCCTCTGCTCCTTCTGGATCATTGAATATCGATGCCCCATCATCGGTCTTTCAGCTCCCCAGGTGCCAACAAATGATGCAAGCTAATTGCATTGATAGCTTCGACAGTATAGACTGCCAAGCCACCGTCAATTTTTGTGATAATGAACTATCAGCCAATATGTGGGCAAGCGGTGCGTATATTAATAACATTTCTCACCATCGAATCACCCATTATTTTTACCTCCACAGGCCGAAATGTCTATGATATCTCCAAGGCAAGTTAACAATATCATCAAACGAAACACTGATCGATGTAAAACCAAAAATACTTTTGATGCAGCCATGCGTGGGTGACCTCTGCTATTTGGAGAATACAGCCATCATGGACTACATGAACCTCAATACGACGCGCAAACTCCTTGGAGCTGAGACTCCGGGGGAATTTTCGTCATGTTCATCAGCCGTCAGCGCTGGCTTCGCTGCACACATGGACAAATGGCGTTCACCCACCCAAGTCTACGTCGCCCAATTGTTGGAAAGGGGCATACGGGTGCTCATCTACGCAGGGACCTATGACTGGCAGTGCAACTGGGTAGCCAATAAGCTCTGGCTGGAAAAATTAGAGTGGAGTGGCAAACGCGACTACAACCTCGCGCAATTCTCCGACTGGACCGTCGATGGCAACAAGGTAGGGGAACTCAAGCACGCTGGGCTACTGAGTTTCGCTACTATCAGAGGCGCAGGACATATGATGAGTCTACGCGATTTTGATGGCATTGCGCAAGAGCCTGATGGGATCCGTTCTTTCGTTTTTAGGTCCCTCATGATAAGCCGAAAGAGGCACTCGCTATGTTGGAGAGGTGGTTGGCCAATCAGCTACTGTGATCTGATGGAGGATGTGCTTGATCAAATTTCGCGGCAGGAAAATATGGAACACAGGCATCACGATAGGTCCCAGTTCACGACCGTTGCTGAATTTATTTCCTACCCAAGCGTAGGCGTGCTCGGTTACCGTACTTCTATGAAAGTCGACCACGGAGTAAGAAAGGTGAAGGTTGAAAGCTTCCGAAACAGAGCCAACCCAAGCAATGGTACAGACATGTGTGGTCCCTCGATACAGAAATTGGCATCACAGCATCTTTTCGTCTCAAACACGAGTGACTGGGGCGGAAAAAGGAATCCAAAGTCATGAGAAAGGATGCCGGGGAGAGGACCTTGGTAAGCTGAAATTCGGATGCCGTTGACCTTCGAGTACTACACTACGTGATTCTGTTGGAATGATATGACTGGCGAGGAGATGCAACTTCAAAACCTCAGCTTCCTGTAGTCGTCAAGGCGATGACCAGCATTTCCGGGCTGACCGACAGGGCCCACTGTCCTGGTTTTCCCCACGCACCAGTATCATTCAAATAGCCCGGGTGGACACCATCACTGTACCTCCCTTTCAAGCCCTTTCCTCTCCCTTTTCCCTCTGTGAGTACCGAATTTCAGGTTCGGGTTCCTTTTCTGACGTTCCCTCTGCAGTCGTTCTTCTTTGGGTCGCCCGGCAGCACCCCCATTCCTTGCGATCTGCACTTGATTCTTCACACTCTTTGAAGCAGGCTTTTATTTCAGTTAACTAGTAGATATCATGCGTTACTCCTCCTCCATCGTTGCATTGGCTGCTTCAGCCCTGGTTTCTGCGGCCCCAGCCCGCTTCGCGAAACGTGCAGATGCGGACATCTTGGTTTTCAGTGAGTTATTCTAAACTCAACCCGTGAGGGGATTGGCGAGCTAATGTGAACTTGTAGAATTCGCCGACGTCCTTGAACAGCTTGAATCGCAATTCTACTCTCAAGCCCTTGCTAAGTTCCAGGATTCAGACTTCACGTCCGCCGGGTTTGCTTCGAGCCAAGTCCCGATCGAACAATTCAAGAAGATCCAAGCTGATGAGGCCACCCACTCGGTTGTGTTACAGGTGCGCCAGGTCGATTACGGGCTATATATTGAATGATCCACTAACATGTATAATGCTTTCAGAGTGCTCTCAGAGGATTTGGAGCGGAGCCAGTGACCAGTTGCACGTTCGACTTCTCGTCTGTCCTCACAGATGTTGCTACCATGGCCGCAACTGCTCGTGTTGTTGAGAACGTCGGCGTCAGCGCATACCTTGGTGGTGCTACTCTCCTCACCGACCCCGTTCTTTTGACCGCTGCCGGTTCTATCTTGACCGTTGAGGCTCGCCACCAGACCATCTTGAACGTTTTGTCAGGTAGCGGCACAGCTATCCCTTCGGCGTTCGACATCCCCATGACTCCTAGTGAGATCTTGGCCATTGCCGGACCTTTCATTTCGGGATGTGACCTTGGTATTCCTGGTATGTCTTCACTGCTTCTCATACGAAACACTGGTATTGATTCGACCGTTATCTTAGCTAACGCAGGCCTTTCGATCACCAACACCGGTACCGCAGCTCCCGGAACTCTGTTGACATTCTCTTCTTCAGCGATCAACGGCTCTACTGATGTGCGAACCTCTCATAATATGTCCCTTGACCGTCAACTGACATTCGGCTTCACATTAGGGTCTCTTCTGCCAAATGATGATTGGTGGAGCGGAGTCCTCCATTTCGCTTCCTCTCAGCCAATGTGTTGTTCCACCAGGCATTAACGGTCCTGTTGCCATCTGGGTCACTTCGGACGGACAACCCCTCCTCAACAATGTTCGCGACCGTGCAACAACCCAACTCGTCGCAGGCCCCACCTACGCTTTCATCGACACGGAGCCCCAATTGATTGGCCAAATGTTCCGCGGCTCCAGCGGAAGCGCAGGCTCACCCGTTGTGTCGGCCCAGTCAACCTCTACGCAAACCATCTCCCCCGAAGCTGCCTCATCCATCATCGCCGGAGCATCTTCCACCGCAGCTGCGTCAGCGAGCGACTCTGCTGCCACTGCGGCTGCGACTGACTCTGCTGCCGCCGCCCCATCTGCTGCGAATGCCGCTGCTGCTGCCGCGCCCGCCGCCTCGAGTGGACCTAACACAGCTACCGGCCCATCTGGCGATGGATCCATCACCGTCAACGGCTGGACGAACATCTAATTGATTTAGATTTCCCTTCTCGCCCAGCTCCTTCTCCTGGTTTCCATGCAATTACGATGGGGAAGTAGGTGTTTCTGTGTCTTACGGACAATTTCGGACAATAGATCATGCATTTCTAAAGGCGCTAACGCATTTGATACCTTGTTACTTGTTACTGTTATTCTGGCCGCATGCACTTCGCAAGTGAAGTTGTTAATCCTACTTTTCTTGTATTATTTTATCGGGCTTTGAAAGGGTACATACATAATTCCACCCGAATCCAAGGCAGTGGAACCACATCTTCGTCGTTGACAATCACTTGTCTATCAGTGTCCGAAACCGATCAATTGGTTGCCCTCTTCCCAGCATGGAACCCTCCAATCACATTATGGTATATCATACAATGTCTCCAGTAAGTTATAAGTAACACACACTGCTAATCATCATCGCTGTCGTCGCTAGATGTGTAATCATCGGCATCATCATCTTGCAGATACCCTGGGTATACAGCGCTGCCATTGGCTTCAGCAAATTGCTGAAGAGACATGGGCGCTCCCGTTGCCCGTTGCGGTTCAGGTTCTGGCGACATTTCATCGTCAGACGCTCCTCCGAGCTCTGCGTCCATCTGAGCTTGAAGGTCGTTCAAGTCAATATCTACCCCTTCAGTCTCCTCGGGGGCTTCTATTGGTTGAAGGGGAGAAACCGCAGGTACCTCGTCCCATTCTTCATCTTCTGAATCGGCTGCTGGTGGGATCGGAGGGTCGAATGACACCGCAGGAGGCGGTACAAATAATGATGAACTGTTGCTTCCCGGAAATGCAAGCCCTTCCGACGGAGCAGATGTTTGAGGTTTATGTTTCACGGGAACGGAAGGAAGGCCGAACTCGAATACTTCTTCTTCAACATCTAGATGTGTTGTGGATGACTGAGGAGGCGGCGCTTTACTCTGAGGAACTTGTTTGGCTTTCGGTTGCGGCCTAGGTTTGATTGTAGGCGTTGGTATGGGTGCGGGTGTTGGAATGGGTGGTGCAGGTGTGGGTGCAGGTGGGGCGGCTTCCTTCCGCATTTTCCCATTTGCTTTTGAGGTCTTTGGAGGCGCGCGTTTCGAAGGCGCTGGTGCTGTAGACCGCGGGGGTGGGATGAGTACTTTTGGTTCTTCTTGGGGCTTTGGAGGTAGAATCGTTGGCAGTATTTCCTCCAGCTGTTCGTCGAGTTCACCGTCAGCGTCCTTGTCCTGGAGTATATCTTCTAGCTGGGCCTCGAGGTCTAAGTCATCAGAGGAGGGCTTTGGGGTAGAATAAGGGACTGGTGTCCGCGGCATTGCTTCATGACCATCAGCATTATTTTCAATATAAAGTGCAGCGACACCACGTACGGGAAGCGGACGGTCGTGGTCGACTGCTTGAAGCCGTCTTCTTGTCATACTTCAACGCGACGAACGATTCAACTCTTTCTAGCGTAAATGTCTGCAGATAAGACGTAGGATGATGAGACGGACGATGCACCAGCATGATCTGCACTTACCCCGGTCTCCTCGTCGTATATAAGAACGCAGTCGAGCTCCTTCGCTGGTTCCTCAGGTCCCTTGAAGATGAAGCTTTCCCCTTCCTATACAGATTCAAATGAGCACGGTGACTTCGCCTCCTAACGAGAAATCATCGAACTTGGGTACTGGGATGTTCTACCATTACGCTGGTGCTTTCCTTGCCCGCCGTCATTTCCGCTGTACCAGGCTTCATATTATCTACAGAAGGAGGCTTGAAAGTATCTGTGCAACCATTTCGTCAGACCTCTTCTCAGGACATCCGCCTGGATTGAACTCACATCGAAACGAGTAGAAGTCGCGACTGGGCAGGTTCGACCGCTTGGTTGGCGCGGCCCCACCCTTGCGCGCCTTCAGCGCGCGCCCCAACGATGAGCCAATGTCGACTCTGTGCCGTCCCGTCGTGGGCATACGGGAATTGTTTGCGCTCGCCATGGTGGTATGAAAGAAAGAGGCGATCGGTTACCAGAGGACCAAGGGCCACAGGAGTTATGACGGAAATTGGCAATCCGCCACAATTCGATCACCCGCTATTGTTTGCTTCCGTGCCACTCTGATAAACACAAGGAAATGTCTCAAATTCCCAATAATAATAATATTCTGCAACAAAGCCCGTCAATTGTCCCGGCGAGATGAAACCTAAACTACCTAAACTACATATCTGAACCGAATGTCGCCTAATCTCTGTTCGATTTCACGCAGTTCCATGTTTTTCTCCAGCCCGGCGCGTTGGATATCGGCCGCGATTTCTCCGCCTTGGAAGGCCGCCAGCCACGAGTATACATGGAATCCTCGTCGTGGTACCCCCAATGGTAGTTTCGGGACGAACAACCCAGCGATGAGACCGATCGCCATCACAATAACCACGAAGCCAACCATCAGAGGCCAGTCGATGTGGGCACTGGAGAGGACCAGATCTTCAAACGAGCGGCCGACGATATCCCCCGTGCCGGCGAAATATGACAGGACGTTTGACGCATCTGCGAGAGCTCGTGCTTGACCGAAGAGGTCGGCGGAGAGTTCAGTATAGCCCCGACTCGGGCGGCCTCCTTCGATGCTGCTCTGGGAGAAAGATACCACCTGCAAGAGATAATCTTGAATTAGAACTAGGCACTATTAGCGGAGAAAAGAATCTACCGTGGGTGATGGCACGTAGAACGAGTCGCGTCCATTGTCCTGCAGAGATGCATAAGTCTAACGCACAAAGACCAGCCAATGTCCATTGTACCTTGATAATTTGATTCACCGAATTACCATGCGCGACTTCGTATATGGAACCCATGCGAGTTGAGTTCAGCTGACGGACCATGTTCTTGATCTTGTCCCCCTTTCTCGTCTCCTTGTCCATATTGTCAATGACTTGGTTGGTCTTGCTGACGATCTTCATTGAGCTGGGGGACCCATAGGTTGAGTTGTACGTTTCAACAACCCAAGGCTCGTATAACTCTAGACACATGGCACCATCGAATCCGATTTTCGTCTCCGCCCCAGTCGCATCAGGTATCCCAGGACCTTGACTGTAATAAAGAAACTTTCCTTCGGGCGTGTAGCTCGTATTCAGCCTGACGAGAACGGCCTCGAGGGTCACAAACCCAGTACCATCCGCACCCATGCCAAAGAGTGGTTGGCTCTTCATGCTGTGCCCGACACCATTATTGTAGAAAGCGGCTGTAGTAGGCATGTTACATATTGATCAGCATTCCCCTTCGTGCGCCAATCACTATAGAGTGCTCACCTCCAAGAGCAGCCTCGTCGAGGTTTACACCAGTAACATTGTCACCTGGGGCCAAATTCCTCGTCAAGTTGATGGGCTTCTCGAAGAGGTCGGGAAGAGGCATTTGAAAAGATGAAAACAGCTCCCGAAGGGTTTCGCGAGGGGTGAAGAGGTAGGACAGATTCAGTGCAGAACGCTCTACTCTGTGGTCAAGCGTTAGGAAGTCACTTAAAGTATAACATAGGCTACGAACATATTGGATGGGTCGGTAGCCTTGAGACAGTGAATACGGATGCCCCATCTCGGGTACCTATTGACGCATGGTAAAGCAGTCCAAGCCGACAGAGTATATTCAACAAACCTTATGAGGGCCCCGGAATCGACCGTTGTAGCAGCCGCACGTTGCATTTCTTCAGTAGAATTTGCCACCGCGACCAAAGGCAGCGATATATTGCTGTCTAAGCGTCCGAAGCCGCTTCCGTTAGGCAGGAACTGCGCGCGTATGCTCTCCGAAAAATAGACCGTGTCACCCTCCCACGGAAACGATACCGTGGAAGGCATCCCTCCATGTTCAGAAAACGGGGAGATCGTCCAGGTGATGGAATAATCCTGCGTGAAATAGACTGCGGTCCATGACCAGCCTTCATCAAGTGGACGAGAACGTACATTGAATTCCGCCTGCAACACATCTGCGCGTGCCAAATCTGCATCGGACAGATCCCCCTTGACCGGAACTTCTCGATAATTGATGTATTGATGCTTTGGAGCATAAAAATAAGCACGGTCGTGGTCACACGAGGCTGATCACTGATCACGTACAGAAACGGAAGTGGAGATCCCAACGATTCTGCCAAGTACGAAGGACAGACTAGCAGCCGCGAGGACGAGGAAGAGGAAGTAGACAATGTACAGAGACCAGAATCGCGAACTAGTCGACAGTGAGCGGGCGACGAAGAACCGAAAGGTAGGAAGCGTACTCGTATCCTGAGCGCTGTCTTCGAGAAGTACCACTATATGACCACCTAGTACGCAGGACACGGAACGCAGTCAACGCACTCGCTGAGTCTTCCGATGTAGCTGCGAGATCCCGTAGCCGCACACCAGGCTGATTCAAATCGCGACTTTGATGGATAAGCGTTGCCCAAGCTGATAGCTGACACTCAGCACCGTAAAACGAGATCAAACAGTAAAACGCACATGCAGCTTCCAACAACGCCCTCCCAAGATTGAGCAAGCTAAGCCCTAGCGACACCCCTACCAAACCACACCCAAAACCAACCACCAAACGCGTCCAGAACAGGGTCCTGTCGCGAGCGAGGAGTACGAAAATCATCATGACCGGATACGCAAGTAAGCATAGAACGACATGGATGATGATGATCTTCCAATTCGGCGCTTCGAAAGAGGAGGAAAATGGGTGTTTTCTGGTGTGTCGATAATTTGGTCGGTTGGGAAAATATGAATCGGAAGGGGTATTGAGAAACGAGGTGTCCGTCAACGCAGAAGAAGGTGGCTTGAGTTTGTCGTCAATTGGTGCGTCATAGTGGGAATCTCGCAAGGGTATATACTGAGGTCGGTTGCCAGGATTTTGGCGGAATGGGCGAGGTCCTCCCGGAGCGGGTATCGAAGTCGTTTGGCGTCGTTGATTCAGTAATGGAACACTCGCGGGATGGGCCCCTTCGGTCGCCAGCGGAGAATACGGGTCGAAGGCCTCAGCCTGCGGCCATCCACGCGGACTGGGGATGGCAGGACTAACAGGAGCATAGAAGATGGTGTTGCTCGTCGGCCTGGGCGAGTAGGGGGGCATCCAGGCGATTGGGGGAAGTCACAGAGATGTCGGAAGCGGAAGAAGGGGCTAAACAGCGCTAATAAACCTGGTTGCACAGCGGAAGCAACATGAGCAAGCAACATGGAACATTGCCAGCGCTACTTTATCTATAGTTTGCTGATGGGGGATCGCCCTAGGGCATTCTCCTGTCTGCCCCTGCACGACTTGGCCAATCTAGATCATTTCCGTTACCCCTGAAGCCTGATTGGTTGAGTCACCGCATCGGTGAACACTTACTAGGCAGGCACATTTTGAAGTACCACCTTCTCCTTTGATTTTGTTTGAATGCGCGTATGCCTTGGAATGCTGCATTTTGCAGAGTCCCCGACAATGGAACATCAAGCGAGCAAGAAGGTTTGTGTCATCGCTAAGAGAACGTAACATCTTACAGTGATTAACGCCCATGTTTGATGGAACCTATTCCGCCGTTCTCGTTACTGGGTGCAAGGGGAATCCTTCTGGGGGAAAATACGTCAATGCCATATATAGTTGTTCATATCTTCACTCGCCGTCTTTGGGGGCATGAGGCCATTACCTTCTGCGAATGCATTATCCAGCAAAGGGACAGCGGAATTCAGGAACATGAGCGCGCCGCCCAAGAACATCCGCGCTGCATAAGTGACAACGCTCGATGACATCCGCAACGCCAAGGACCGCAAGGGATGCGAACACTGGTCTACACTGGTGTGCGGAACTTTATGCAACTATCCAACCCCTGTATCCCTCGATGAGCTGCCTTGACCTGCTCAACTCGACTGAAGCTCTCCCACTCCCGCCCAGTTCGGAGCCAACCACGAAAAGGACCCGTCTCACCCTGCAAGCGTTCCTTCGTCGCCTGGTAATTCACATGAGCCATCTTCACGTCAAAGTACGTTGCTTCCTCGCTTCTCCACCATTCAAATCTATCGTCACACACGATTGGGTCAAGGGCTCACCTATCGGCATCTATATTCCCTGACAACAATGCCTGTTCATACAGAACAAATACGGCCAGTTTCGACAACATCGGTCTGTTGTGAGAATCCATAGTACCCTTGATACAACCTAGAAGGAGTGTCTGACAACACACCTTGATTTCTCTCGATGGCGATGCTTCGGCGCAACGCCCCGCTTCAAGCCGTTGATCAAGAACTCGCAGCCCCTTACAGTATCTGCGGACCAGCAAAGCGCTGTAATTTCAAAGAAAGGATCAGTCGGGGCGGTGGGTAATTTGTGAGTAATTCGACATACACTCATTGCAAGACCCCTTCGAATTCGGCTTTGAAGCATGTACAAATGAGATGGGCGTGAAAAACACCGCCGGGCGCGAGATTCTGAAAGGGGCGGCAACTTCTGACATTCATTATCATCAAACAGACAATGAGGCGTTGGCACGAAACGAGCACGAACCTTGTATATCCTTCAGCCTGCCCCAAAACGCTCTGTCACAATCCGCTCTAATTCCCGCTTGCAGTTCATTGGGTACATCTCCGATGATAATCTCAGAGACATAAAGAGGGTTAAAGAGCCTCGACGCAAGGGCCCCTTGAAAGCCCAGGACATTCCACCGCGCAATCTTATCGCTGCATGACATGGCTGTTGATGGAGGGGAATCTGCCCTCCCTGGTTTAGTGCGGAGGACGCCGTATAGAGAGTAGTTGTCTCGGCCCCGAGCTGCTGCATTACTGTCCGTAGTGGGGCGCTCGGATGAGTCTTTCAAAGTAGCCATCGCCTCGTCTTGCGTCAGCGCCAGGTACCGAGTGGAAGCATCCCCGCCTAGCACCAGATAAGTAACCGAACGGCGAAATGGTGGCGCACTCACAAGGCAGAGTAGAGACATAAAACCGGACTACGACCTCGTCCTTTAATTGAAATACACCGCCCTCCGATCGAACGATCCATCTCGATTCGGTGCCTTTATACAACCTAATCGCCTCTTCCAGGAACCAGCGCACAGCGCCACGTCGAGCGAGTACTTCGGCGTGGCTGTCGTGCAAGGCATCACCGGTGTGCGGTAGTCTGTCGTCCGGAAGACATTTTGTGCCAGTGGCCAGGGAGATCACTTTGTGTTCGTCCCCACGGGTCAGGATGAAAGCAGCCAAGACAGTAAATTGCCCATCTGGTGGACAAAAATTCAAAGTTGAGTATAGCTTGAGCACACAAGATACGGCATGATCAGCCATGCATAATCGGTGCGGATGTCAAGAATCAGATAACCCCAGATAACGCGATCATCAATTGATGTGGCTGTGATAAGCATTTGCTTCCGTCTCAACTCGATGGAGGTTGCTGCAGCCTGGGGTAAGGCGCCTGGACTTGGCCTATGATAACATCACTTTGCGGGGTCTGAAGACTCCATACTCCAATGTAGGTCATCTCGTCATTTGGTGCAGCACACTCCAAGTGCGCGCTGCGACACCACAAAAGCATCTATAAAGGTTAGCGGTGGGGTGAATGAAGAAGCATCAACCCGACCATTCACAGTAACACCAACCACTTACTTTAATCACAATGCCACTCTTCGGTACACGCCGCGCACACACTTCCACCGTCCACACCACCCGGCGGCATTCTCTCTTCCATCGCAAGGACCGTAACCATGTAGCTGCTGGGTACAGTGAGTTGATACGTTCTAGGCGAATGTAATCGGCGCTCAGTGATCTATCGATAAATAGAGTCAGCACTTTCCAATCCTCATACAACGAGGGCTGGTCGGAAGCAAGCTAAACGTGAGCTACGAGCAATGGTGCGTACTCTGGTTTATTGGGGGATTGCGATTGTTGACGATGAACTTTCAGGGAAGAGGCAGCGAAACCCATGTTCCGTTCATGACCAAAGTCAAGCGAGCACTCGGAATTCGCTCCACCCCACGCCGGACGGCCGTAGCCCACAGCACACATTACTGATGACACCACGCCTGCGAGAACCCCGTATCGATACCAGAGAGATTGATACCAATATCTATACAACTTCAGCAGTACGTCCAGCGTCCCAAACATAAACGAGTATCTGTGTACCTATTAATGTAGCGCGAAATATTGCTTAATCTGAGACTCACTTGGGAAAATCACTATACATACAACTAGATTCGTTAGAAATGTGGGTGGAATACTTCAACACTCGTACAAGTATAGAAAAAAAGCGGGCTTCCGCGGCTCCTTCAACGATGCGCAGCTCAGAGGGAGCGAACCACTCACAATACATCATATCACCATATGCGCCTCGATGACTGCAAGTAAGATGGGCCGGTCGTCATACCAGCTGGCTGCGTTGGCAAAGGCAAACTTGACCGCTGGTGTAGCCAATTTCCACTCCCACTCCCCACAACTGGGGGAGGAGCAACAACCGAAGCCCTTCCGCCCTGTATCTGTTCGATCTCATTTGATTTCATCTCTTTCCCGGAAAGCATGAAGGAAATACGGTGTTCCTTCAACGAAGTTAATCAAAATAGTAGTCAATAGAATTGTTAAAGGTGTTGCTTACCTCAGGGCTATGTTCCTCGTACCCCGGCCATGTGGAGATGTTCTCGTATCTCTCTCTCGGGTCAATGACAGGCTTCGGCGATGCGACGCTGCCAATGGCGGACTGAGAGCGAACCAGCGGCGCCATAGGTGTGGCGCATACCGGTGGCGTTGGTGTCGCCGAAGTCGTTGGTGGAATATATAAATGCCCACTCCCCTTCAAGCATGCTTGCACTCTCAGCTCCTATACCATCCCCAACAACCCAATTGGCACCAAACCAGAGGTATATGCAATGTCAGCGTACGGGTTCGAGTTCGCGAAGGGGTGAATGGGTGGCAACTGGGAGACGAACCTCAAACGACCACTTCGCGTACTTCTTCTGCATCGTCAAACTGTAGTACGTCTCTCCATCATTTACCACAGGCGTCAACACCTGCGGATGTGGTGCTTCGCTGACATTCTCCTCCTCTTCCTCCGAGCCTCTCTCGACCCTGTACGGTTTGAACAGTGGCGGCAGGCCCATAGCTGCGCGCGCTGCTTCGTCTTTCGGCTCCTGGGGACACGGCGCGGGCGGTCGTCCAGTCGTCGAATAAGATAGAAGGTAATCTTGGACGCGAACTTCCTGCATACATGGGGAGCGACAAAACGTAATTGTCAGATTTCCTTGCTGTGATCCGACGTGTCCAAGGCACTCACCTCAAAACTGGCCCGCACAGTGGCATGATTCCACGGGATATTCTCGTATGTAAGGACGGGGGTGGTCATGCTGTTGGCCATCCGTGATCAACCTTTATCACATCCACCGAAATGCGGTCTTTGTGCAGGCTTCAACGTAGCTCCTTCGAAAGCTGCCGATTATCTCGTTGAGTCGAGTGATGGTACAAGTTACAAGTGCATCAGTTGCTGCTTCCTTGGTTTCCATTTCGAGAGGCAACCTCCTATCCCCTGAGACACATAGGAGACCTAGTAAAGGGAAATGCCAATTCTTGTGTTATATCTACAGAAATATGTATGGGTGTGTTATGCTATCCAATAGGACCTCTATATATCGACCGTCTAAGATGAAAGCAAAATAAAAAGCAGAGTAAATATGTCCGTCCATGAGCCTTTTGTTAGTGAAAACGAGAACATAAGTCGAATCTCCCAGCCGCCGCCCCCAGCGGTTCGAATGCCAATGCAGACCAAATCCTTCTAATAATCACCTCTCATCATAGCCTTCTTGCTCTTGCTCTTCCTGGCCCTCAGATGGCTCGTCCTCGCCGACTCCGGCGGCAGGAATCCTAGCGTCGGCTTCATCTTCTCGTGGCTCTCCGAGGCCCGCGACGGAGGCACCCCCATAGCTTCCTCGTACCCTCTCCTCTCTTCAAACACACCACTCTCGTCCTCCCGTCCTTCTCCTGCTGGCCGTCCTCCGCCAGCGGGACTCGCACCTTCGTCCGGATACTGTCCGTTCTCGTCGCCGGCACCCGTGTGCATGTCACTAAACGAAATCGGCAGAGGAGAGGCATGGCACACGATCCCGAGCTGCTTGCAATAGTAGTTCACCGCAGCATGGAACGCAGTCTTTCTCGCATTGCGCAGGCCCCAATCCTGCCATGTCCTAATAATCCACAGTTTGTAAGTCCAAAAGTATGGCGCGGCGGGGCCAGGATGCACATACCCGTTGTGTCCAATACCGATAGTCACCTCCAAGAAGCGCTGATACTCGATGTGCTGCAGCACGACGCTAGTACTAGGTTCGAACCACCTATTTTCTTCCGTTGCCAGCCATTCGTTCAAGCTCTTCTCCAGTGCATCAAGTTTGACCAGAGGCGTCCGCCACTCGAGTTGCATCGTCAAATTCTCAAACGTTTTCTGAGAATGGTGGATGAGTAAGGGGATCATACAGAGAGGATAACACCTATCCTCACCCCGCTGCGCCGAACATTGGTGATGAACTGGCTGAACAACTGGCTGTTGAAATAATAGGTTTCCGTCCCATCCGAGCGAGCGAAGACAGTCTAAGGAAATAAGCAATCAACTCGCGCCCCCTGATATACTTGGGCATGCACATACAGCAAAGAGGCCCATCTTCTTGACGACCAAGTTTTCCTCTGCGATGGACTAAGTCAACACCTATCCAAATGAAATATAACCCTGGAAGCTCACCGCCAATGAACACCCTATCGCCCGTATCGTACGGACTACACAGCATCAGCACTCACTCCACCAATCCACAAAACCAGCACTCACTGCGTCACAAACAAGAACATGATCGCATCAAATGCCTCGCTCGCCGCATTCTTGAACACAAAGCTCGCCGCAATCGCCAGCGAGTACAAGCTCGTCAGCGAATCGCCCACCTCCACGCCAAACACACTGAGACTGATGAACAGTAGCACCACCATCGCGAAGAACAGCAAGATGTGATCGAGCGTCTTCAGCGCCGCGCCGACATCGCGCATCGACCGCGAGAGGAAGCGACGCTCCTTGTAGACCTTGACGAGCGTAGACTTGATCTCGGCGCGGGAGATATCGCCGTTGTTGTCCTTGTCGAAGACGCGGAAGGCGGCTTCGGCTTCGGCGCTGGTAGGGAATGCGGGGTAGAAGTCCTCTGGAAGGAGGTAATTCCTGCGCCGGTCCTTGAAACGTAAGTAGATAGCGCGGGCGAGACGCTAAGTATCCATCAGCATCAGCGCCTTTCAAAAACATATGAAGGACCGACCTTGGCCTCTTTCGTATTCGCCGCGTACCAGGCTAACGTATCCGCCTCGTCTTCCGCGCCCTCCTTCCCTCTAATATTTCTCGCATCATGTAATACCGCAGATTTAATCACCTTCGCCGTCCTCTCGACCGCCTCGGTCACAGCCTCCACAGCTCCAGCCACATTCCGCCCAGAATCCACGCTCTCCCTCGGTGAGCCAATCCCAACATTCATCGGAACAGGCATACCCAGAGGCGTCGGCGGATAGCGATGCGGCGAGTCGCCCCCATCAGGCGCCGAAGCGAAATACGAGTTCAAAGCCGCTTGCGAGGTTTCCCTGGACGGAATCGTCGAGTTTCTCAGCCCCGAAGGTGTACCAGGCCGCGAAGCTTGCTCAGAAACAACGCCGGGCGATTCGACCAAAGGGACACTTCCAAGACGGAATTTGCCTTTCCCATACGTGCTTTTGCCGTTGGTACCAACGACTGTACCGTCATTGTCGCCCCACTCTTCTGTGTCTCCGTCGTATTGAGTCGCATCGCCTGCAGTGCTCCTTCGCTTCGAAGCCTTGGTGTTGTATTGTTCTTGTACGTCGTCCGTATCCCTTCGTGATTTGCGTCCGAAGCCTAGTGCGCCGAACCCAAGCGTTGACATGCCCAGGGCACCGAGCACAGGCGTGCGCGTGCCAGAGCGGGGTGCAGACGAGGAGGGTGTCGGTTTCGGACGATAGTTTCGCAGAGTCTCGACGACAGAGAGCGCGGTTTGGACTGCGTCAAGACGATCCTGATAGGCAGTACGGTGGAAGGAAAAGGCTGGGGGAAGTATGACTACGCAGAACGGTAAGAATTGATGGGAAACTCACCGATAGCGTGCGATAGCATCCTCTGGATGCAGACCATCAGAGTGAAGAAGAATCCAAATGCCACGACCTGCGAGACCCTGTATGTGTACGATGCCCTGCTATTCCTTGGGTCGTCCTGGCTATAGAGCTTGTATATCCCCCCGAATATGATCACCCAGCTTGCCCAAGCACTAGCTGCGTAGAACAAAGGTTTTACCGTGTTTTTCACCGAATTGTACAGCTCGACTTTGCTCTTGACCTTCTCCGACACATGTCCCCATGCGCCAGAGATGAGTGCAGTGGATATCGAAGGTAGGATATCTATCAGGAGCGCGAGATACCACGAAATGAGGAGGTTCGCCGCCGCCCAGAATAACCATGCCTGGATGTTCTGATTGATGTACTGTCGCCGTTCCGACCGCGATGGCAAGTACCAGTAGAAATGTACGAGCAGGGCAGGTGCAACAAGCACACCGGCCAGCAATGTCGAGCCGATAAGGGAAGAGAATAAGAAGGTGATGATTCTGCGCGTATCAGCGCTTGCTGGATGACAGCTGAGATGCGCACTTACCTCTTGAATCCCCACCCCTTCGTTTTAGGCTTATTCCCTATCCGTCGCTGGTAGTCTTCTTGCTGGTCACGAAGGTCCTCGTCGCCGCTCCAGTCGAACTCGTCCTCGTCAAATTCGTCGTCGGTAGTGGCTATCGATGCAGGCCTGGAGCTCAGCATGGCTATCGACTCCTCGCGGAAGTATACCGGAGCCTGCGCTCTGACATCCTCTGGGTAATGGACCGAGGGCTTCAGAGGTGGCTCATCGTTCACAAAGTGGGACTTTTCGTTCACCATGACGGTGGATCGCGAGGCATAGGCGGGGCTTTCCTGGTCGTGGATGGCGTACGGCGAAAGGCCGGGGATGTTGTGCAAGTGTAGATTCGAGGAGCTCGGATCCCGTCGATACGGAGGAGAAGGCAGAGCAGCGTTGTTGAGGTCGTCTGCTGAGGGTGAGAAATGCAGATACTGATCCTGGGGATCAGACTCCCGGGATTTGTCCAGCGAAGGCATAGTTTGCCTCAGGATCAACCTCGCTGTGGTGGTGCTCACGGCTCAGCCGAAAGAAACAGAACTTGGTGTTTTCTCTCCTCACCGGGCCCCTCTTTTATTGATTCCCCATATGAAATTTTTGCCCAGGGAATCAAGACTCCACTTGAATCGTCACATCATGGCAACGCGTCTCGCCGCATCACTGATAACATCGCCGCTAGCTGGTCTCCCGGCCATGAACGTAACGCGGCCCACAGCGAGCTCGTCGAGTAGATGGTACGGCGGAGCGTCGGGCACCGTGTCGGCCAGCTGGCGGCAGTTATATTTGCCCAACCGTGATGTCACTACTATGATTACCGTAAAGGGAAGCTACTAGAACAACCCTGAACAGTGATCACGACTGATGGGAATTGGAGATGCCATGCGTAACAGGAGTGGTCGAAGAGGTCAAGGAGTAACTTGTGAGTCAAGGTCTTGTCTCCTGCCATGACGGACAAAGAATGAAATGTACAACTAAAAGTCCAGGATATGACTTCTACATCCTGCTGGTATCAGGCTGCAAGTAGCGGTCGGAATGCCTGCAGACCCATTCCATGCTAATGTTCGCGGGAGGGGGGCGTCGAATGATTGGTCGAAATGGTGTTGCACTTGTTGCTTCTGGGTCGACGGGATGTCCGGGAGATTTGGTAAAGATGCGGACGAGGAACTTGGTCACTCTCGAGGCCTTACCATAAATTATATCGGTGGCTCACTCCTACGCGCCGATACTGGACCGAGAGCCAGAGGTATCATACCGAATGGCATCGCTCGGTCATCACACGGAAAGGACCGGACTAGGATGCAGGGGGCAGAAAGCAGGTAGCGGTATTAAAGGTTCCTTGGTATCCCTCAGACTACAGCGGGCATGGACGACAAGGAATAGCATGCAGTATCCAAGAGATTAAGGAGAATATCGTGGGTCAAGACATGTACCGGGTCTTCTTATTCTTCAACCCACTGCGATGGTGGCGGAGCGAAGTGGGCATGTACGGCTTTTTTAAGCCTAACTAATAAAGCGACCATCGGTTGTGGCAGCAGATCTCCGTAGACGTCCTCAGCGAGGGGTTCGCAGCTGCGTCGCGAGATATGGATGAATTTAACACTTTGATGCCCAAAGGACTCCACGAAGTGCTCTTTGATCCATGTATGCTGTTCTGTCAGAAGACCCTTTCGTTCATTGCTGGTCCGGCTGATCACGTACATCAGGACCCATACAAAGGATTCCAAGTCGTGGTGGGCTTCGTGCTTGACCTTGCGGTTTTTATGTACAATAGCCCCCAAGAGTTCTGCCGCCATAAATTGAAGGGTGCCCTGGGAGAAAGTTAGTGACGGCCTGACGAAGATCTCGCCCACTCACAGTCATTTCAGCACCACGTTTTGCATCATTGAAGACAGTTTGAGTGGCTCCTTTCACATCTGGTGCACTCTTCATTGTGTAGATATCCGGTATCTCATTGAGCCTCACACCAGTGTGTGGCCTGTTTATAGACTTCCGCCTAACTCTATCAACTCAATGCTCCTGGTACATAGGTCGATTTAGGACGACTACCCAGCCCCGTCTTCATACAACACATTTAAGATCTCCAAGCATACCAATCCACGAAAACACTCACCTCCTTGTAGACCTTCTCAATCCACTCAATGTTGCTTACAGCATCCTCTTTGTCCAACCAAGTCTGAGGCGTACGCCCCTTCAGCTTGTCAATGAACGCCTCCAACTGGTACCTATACGTCGTCCACCACACCTCGCCCTTCGGTGTCGCGCCCTCACTCCCACTCCCACTCCCAAACGTATACACCTTCTCCACCCTCTTCTCCACCCTCCCCCCAGCCCCCCGCTTCCGCACCGTCAAAGAATGATATAAAGTTGGCAGAGGAAAATTATACAGCTCAACTTCCCCGCCCTCGCACACCACCTTCGCGCTTACCTGCGGCATCTTCGGGATGACGCCGAACGTCGGGGGCATGGAGAGGTCGCAGAAGATCGTGGCGGTGATGTCGGATGAGCCAGACGGTGCTGGAATTGCGAACGTGGCGGTTGTGGAGCGGTCAACATTTACCGCAGCAGTTCGAAGAGAAGCATCGTTAGAGGATGGGACGTGCTGCTCCGCGGAAGCGTGGATGACCGAAGTCGGATTGGCCCCAGATAGATAGCGGATGCAATTCATCGTGTAGCCTGAGTACGGCGTAGTCGCTCATGGTCAGCGGCTGGTGAATACCGTGCCACGGGCGATCCACTTACACCCCATATCCATAAGCGCACCACCTCCCAACGACAAATCGAAACGAATATCGTCATCCTTCATCGCACCTCTGGGGATCGCCAGTCTAGCTTCCAAGCCCTTGATAGCACCAAGCTCTCCACTGTCCAAGATAGCTTTGACGCGTTGAATCGCAGGGTGAAACCTCCACATCGCAGAAGAACCACCATAAACTCATCGGTCTCTCGAGGGAGAGTCGAGACGAACCCACCTGTAATGGAAGGCCTCAAGTAGCACGAGACCCTTCTTTTCGGCGTACTCATACATCTGCCGCGTTTCGTCGGCGGTATCAGCGGAAGGTTTCTCAAGCAAGACATGTTTCCCCGCAGCGAGCGCCTTCATAGTCCATTCGAAATGAAGACCATTGGGGAGCTATAGCAGGGCGGTCGGATTCACGCTCCACGACGCGTATCGCTCTCCATTGATGGAACTCACCGGATTGTACACCGCGTCGATCTCGGGGTCATTCAGCATATCTACCCGCAACCGACGCCCGTTGAACTCAACGCCGCTGGGCACATACGACCCTGAGATACCACGTACCTTGATACCCATCCTTCCCCCCATACGCCTTTGGAATCCCGTACTTCTTCGCAAAGACCTCCGCTCTACCCTTATCTCGTGCAGCCACAGCAAGGACTACAGCCTCGGCATGGTTCTTCGCCGGGCTGATAAACGCTATGGGAGCGATAGCAGCAGCCCCCAGCACCCCGAATCTGACCGGCTTGCTGGACGGTAGAGGTGGCACATACGGCGGGTTGAACGTCTGGCGCGTATGTCGGTCGTTGGTTAGAGATGATTTATGAATTAACTGGAAAGGGCATACCTTGTAGAGCCTGTATGGCGTCGAGAAGAAAGAGCCCATGGTGACGGCTGTGAATAGAGATGCTGGCACTGAGAAGCCGCAGAGTCCTCATGACTGCGTGGGACAAAACTTGAGTGATGGGCTTTGAAGTTTGCGTTACTTGACAAAAAATCTCCACTAGGACGGGATGGCCAACGTGGGGATCGAACCCAAGACCTTCGCGTTATTAGCACGACGCTCTAACCAGCTGAGCTAGTCGGCCGACAACGCTATGCCCACCAAGAGATGATCCAATGTGCGATCAAGTACGCTATCATCATCACGAGTCGGGAATGTACAGCATGATACATTTCTTCGAGCGCCTCACCAAGCAACAGTATGGAAGCTAGCATTAACATAAATTATGTGGTCGTAGCATTTTGTAGCCAAATTTTGGCAAGGAGTGGTCTTAGTCAATTACACCGAGATGGTCTTCCTTTATCGTACCAATAGCAAACTGTGCAGGAGGAGTCGTATAGAAGATATCGAAGAAAACGACGGTAACTCACAATCTCTGTTGCATCCACACGCGTACCGACAATCTTCAGGCGCACACGAGTGTTCTTCTCGATGATCTACGCCACGGATTCGATAAGTTCAGCGCGCCGTACAAGGCCAATGCACGCACCTGTTCATCCGAAGCAAACGAAGGTGGGTTGGACGTAGGATCGAACTTCATATCTGGATGAATGAGCTAGAGGTAGCTAGCGTCAAGCATGATGTGCATGTTGATGGATATGAGGGTCACTGTACTTGATGTGAAACGAACACTGTCAATGGCCCGACGTCTGCGAAGAAACCCATCTACGTGGTAGCCAAAGGTAAGCTCCTGTACTGTCCCCATCATAAGGAACAACAACGCACCTTGTTTACATTGTTCACGACCCCGTCGACCACTTCACCCTTGAACGGCTTGAACACAATCGCGCGATACCTCGTGATGAACTCTGCCTGCCCGCTCCCGCTCAACACCATCCCCTTGCCAATATCCAGGATCGAAACCACGGCGATGATATAGCCAAATGAACCTGAGCATGTGCCTTCTACATCGGAATATAGTTTTGTTTCAAGGAAGTTGAGCATGCGGGGGCCGAAATACGAAGGGTGCAAAAGAATAGTGTGAGTCAGTTCTTTCTATTGCGATGGATGCCGATTTATGAGAAGCAGAGGGTCAGTCTGGGTGCATGTGGTATTATGGACGCCTTACGATGAAGAACATGGTGGTTGGTGTGAGACACGAACAAGCGCCCGTGCTCGAAGAAGCGCGTTTACTTACCACGGACCGCTTCCGCACAATGCAGCGTCGAGGAGGGCGACGAACCAGTACGGACACTTCAACTTTGTTCAATATGAAAAAGACAACATATACCAAACCTAAATGGCCAACGTGGGGATCGAACCCAAGACCTTCGCGTTATTAGCACGACGCTCTAACCAGCTGAGCTAGTCGGCCGATGTGAACGCTGTTTCATGAAGGATCCTTGGCCACCGTCGTGCAAATCCAATGCGCCCCGCTCATGCCGGATAATTGCACAATCGGAGCCATTATGCGGCTGATGGTTGCGCAGTAGCAGTACCGTCCATATCAACTCCGATCTCAACCGTCCACCCGTACATACCTGCAAAGTTCGTACAGCATCGCGACTACGCATGGGGCATGCGCACTGATCTCAGTCGCGTATATAATGGCTTCGATTCGCGAGACATAGGGGCATTAACCCTCTAACTTCCTCTTCAGCGCTCCTTGAATCACTACCAGCCATGTCGTCGAATATTATTGTTATCGGGGGTTCGAGAAACATTGGGTATTTCTCCGCTTTGCGGTTCCTTGGTGAGTGCTTCACGCTTCACGCAACACAATGAGAGGCTGACGGGACCCGTTGTATTTCAATAGCCAAGGGGTCGACGGTCACCTTTCTCCTCCGAACACCGTCTGTCTTCGACAAGGACACGACGATCCAGGAATACGTCAAATCCGGGAAAGCATACCTCGTCAAAGGGGACTGTCAGATCGAAGCGGACGTCCAACGCGTCTGGGATGAAGCCGGCAGCAAAGGACCAGTCGACCTCCTACTATCCACCGTCGGTACGTGTTCCCCTTGCCTTCATCATACCTAATCACAAAATAACTTTGCATTGCAGGCACATATCCCAACTTCACCCTCACTAAAGGGTTTGTCCAAAACCCTGTCGGGCTCGTAACGCAATCCTTCTTCAATGTCCTGTGCACTTTCCCTATCAATCAGTCGCCCCAGCCCAAAGTGATCACACTCTCCTCCATTGGTCTCTCGCGTACCTCCCACGACTCCCTCCCACTCGCCTTGAAGCCTCTTTACGGCTGGATGCTCGCCGCGCCGCACAAAGACAAGCTGGGCATGGAAGTCCTGGCGGCACACGCCGCGGGCTGGTCATGGGACTACAAGAACGACGGGGAGCCGGGAGACGACGTCATGAGGGGCGAGCCATGGGGAACGGCGTGGAGGACACGGAAGGGCCTCCCCGCCGAGGGAACCATTAAGAGAATGTTGGTGATACGCCCTGCGCTACTGACAGACGGGGACTGCAAGGCTGATAAGGCTGGGCGAAAGGGGGAACCGTATCGGGTATCTGAGAAGGAGCTTGGGGGATACACTGTGTCCCGCAAAGACGTCGCCCACTTTATTACTGAAGCTGTGACGGAGAAGTGGGACCAGTACGAAGGAAAGCGGGTGAACATAGCCTACTGAGTGCTCAGTCTTATGGTTATTATCCTTCCTTCCCCTGCATTGCCCGATCATTCTGCATCTTTCTCCGCCCGACCGGACTCTCATTTTATCTCGTCGTATTTTAGGCTCTTACTGTAATAGGCCCGCACATACTATGTATTCTTTGCTACATATATACGTCAGTTCCATCCCCATTGATATGCACTTACTTTATTCTTCTACTCCTTTCATACTCGATCAATCCTCGAAATCAGAGCTCACTTCTTTTCCCCCCAAGTTAGTTCGACCACCGCGCTCCACCTACTCTTACGTCCCTCATATTGCACGTACCAAGGGAACACTCCTCGTCTTTCCCGCCGAGGTCCCTTTCTTGGATCCAACAATCCACTTGGCAGATGATCCACTCGTCAATGAATCTGCGTCACCTCGAAGTCACTTCGACTTCTCCACATCCAAACCTAGTCCAAATTTAGCAACTCACTTGCCAAAAGAAGTAGCCTATTATTCCTTCATATGGCTACGCCGTGACGTCAATGGAAGACATGCACCCCTTGGATCCCTCCCCGCGAGTACAAATTGGAATTGGCCTCGCTCGATTCTCCCAACTCTTGCACCACCACCACCACCACCACCACCCTCGACTTCACAACAAATCATAATGAGTAACCCAACGGGGCCAACACCATCCTACACCTCGCCGGATGTTCTCAAGCACATGGAGAAAGACCTCGTCAAAGCGGGGAAGACAGAGGAGAGCAGCGTCAAGCACACCATGAAAGATCTGAAGTCCCTGGAGAAATCGACGAGCAAGGCAGCCAAGGTGAGCCAAATCACCATTATGTTCGCATTTCGTGCATGGAATTCTACTTACACGACCGTGTAGTCGGCTGACAAGGCAGAGCACCATGTGGCGAAGAACCAGGACAAGGAGCTGAAAACCGCTAAGGCGGTCAGTAAGGCCACTCACAATCACGACGTGGCGAGGGATAACTTGCAGAAGGCTGATCGAGATCTGCAGGTATGTATTCACGTTGGCTGATTTCACCGCCAGAGCTGACCACCTGTTATGGTACAGCTCAAGCAACAGCACGCGCTGAAGCTAGAGCAGGAATTAGAAGCGAGAAAAATTCGCGTTGAGGCAGCCGTCAAATCCCAGGAAATCCACAACGTACGTCGCAATTATTGAAATGTGATGCCTGTGCTGAGTATCTTCACAGCAAGAGCGCGAGGAGAAGCTCGCTAATGTCAAGGCTCAACTTGCGGCGACAACATCGACAAAGGTGTAGTTAGTCTTATGAATAAGACGTCATAATAATACAATATTTATCGCATCTTCCCCTCATCTCTACGAGTATGTTCCGTAACGTGTTGCCTGTATGATACAAATACATATAATGTCCAATACCACAACCCCGAGAAATGCTAAGAAATTGCAAACGTTGAATCGAAGGCGACATGGAAAGCGGAAGAGCAACTGGAAAAATTGGCTATCGACTATCTGAAAAACCTGGATGTGTGTAAGTCGCGTATACACCCAAAAGACTGCGGACGGAGGGCGTTGTCTTGTTTCTCTCCATGTTCTACATGCTGAAGGGGCACAAACACATCTTGAGCGAGGTTCTGCTTCAAACGATAATGGAAAACGTACCGCCTCACTTGAAACGGTCCTGCCGAATGACTTGCCTCTAGTAGGGCAGCTTAGCCCTCTCTGAGGCTGATGATGTTAGTTTAGCACACGGATAGCCACCGCAGTGTTCCTCACTTTATGTTCCTTCTTACTTCCAAGTATCCACCAAGCACCTTCTTTCATCTGTTTCTCGTTATCTTGACTGGCAGTCTGGCTATTCTGCTGTTGAACAGCATACGAATGACGCTGACCGATGTTCCTTTGCTTTTCTCTTTGTTCGTGCTGCTCGAGGAACTTGTGCCACTGGCGCCAATGGTAGAACTCTTCTTCAATCATAGCAGGATGAGTGACTTCCTGGTGGAGCATAGCCCAGGATGCACGACTCTACAAGTGAACGGTAGATAAATTGGGGTGTGACAACTGTGGAGTGCATTCATACGCACCTTAGAATGCTCGCCCTCGATGGCGGGTTGTTGGCTTTGTGTGCGATGGCGTTCTCGTGTACTCAGTTCTATTGTATACTTGAGACCAACCCACTCTTCGCCGTCAACGATATCAGCTGTATCGCGGGCATTGTGGGCAGTTTCAGGTCTGCCGTTCATATCCTCGGTTAGGTATAATGGCCTCTTCCCTTGCTGTACTGAACGTGATAAAGCAGGCGCATATATTCCATCTTCTTGGGCAAAATCAGCCCGCCGGTGGTGGTTTTCAGCGTTCTGGATTCTATAGCTGTGTTCGAAGTCGACTAGATCGGCGTTGTCCTCGAATGCAAGTCCTAGTCCTTCCTCATCGAATGCACTTTGGAATCGAAGACGCGGAGTAACAGACGGAAGGGAGCCACCAGAATCGTGGAAGGAGTCTGGCGTCAGAGGAGGCGTCCTATCAGATAGTACGGGAGACGGGTCCAGGGAGGGCACGTTCACGTAGTCAGGCTTAATCGCAGAGGGCCGCGTATGATCGTCAAACGCCTGAGAAGGTTCGTAGAAGCTCGACAGAAGCCGCTTGACGTGCGTCGGCGAGACTTGCTGAGCTCTGCGACTCCGACGAGGATGTGAGTTCAAGAGCTTCGTAGTAGCGTACTCTGAATGAGGTATATGCGTCGGATCTGGCAGGGAAGCGGCTGTTTGGAGAAATTCCTCATCGTGTTCAGTCGCTTGCGTATCCACATTAAGCAAGGTGTTTGTTGGGGTCCGTCGTCGATTAGGATGAGGAGATCCAGCCCAAATCGCGTACGTTTGGCTCTCATTCTCTTCCATGACATAAGAAATCGATCCTGGGTGTTCGCTGTGCATACGCGTATGGACGTCCACGTTGATATTGATTCTTGTAGGAGATCCACCCAGCACGGTATTCACATCGCTCGTAGAAGGTGTAGGCAGGGGAGAAATCTGAGGCGCATTGAAAGGCAAGAGCGAGCTCAGGGATGATATTGTATTGGCTGCAGTCCGAAGATTCTGAATGCGCGCAAAAAGCCCCGACGGTTGTGGTATGGGCTTGTCGGTACGCTGGGAAGCGTGATTCGAGCCAGTAGACGATGCAGAACGTCGGTGGCGACGGTGTTGCTCTTTTATGTCGCCGTGCATAGTGGAATCGATGATGGTGGTTAGAAAGCAAGGTTGTTTCTTGTCACGTGTTCGCGACACAGGCAAAGTCAATGAAGTTGATGCGAGATGTCTACGGCAGCATAATGCCACATAAGTATGTGCAGCAAACGAGAACCAACGGTCTGATAGAAGTACTGAGTGGGGGTTACTCCGTATACATGTACACAATGTCAAAAACAAAAATTACACTTATCGAATAATCAATACGCCCGACGCCATAATTACTTCCCACTTAGAAACGCGTCGAGTTCATCGTCAAGTTCTTGTTGACTCTTCTTCGGCCGTGCCCGGTGGTCTCCACCTCGGGACTTTTGTTCGCCACCGCGTTGACGTCCACCGCGAGGCCGACGTTCGCGTTCTCTTCCCCACTCTAAGTCGGTCCCGTTCGTCTCCCAAGCGCCTTCATTATTCTTCCATCTTTTGGGTCCAGGCGAAGTTAGACGGGAGGCAAGGGAATCGGGTTGAATTCGCATCACGGATGTCCGTTCGAGCAGCGTTCGGCCATCGGTGGCAATGTAGTCTGATCGCATTTTGGACGGCGGCTCGTCATCCGGAAGCTCGTCAGCGGCCATCGTATCATCCTCGTGGTCGGAGTCAGCTGCGAGGAAATTGTCCAAGTCTTCATCAAGCCTGGCTCGCTCCGTAGCTTCGTCAAGACCTCCGTTCGCAGTAGTCCCTCGCCTCCGCTTGGATTCTGCATCCAGGGGGGCTTTGACGCCGTGAAGCTCCTTCCCCGCAGTCGCCCCATGCTTACGGTAGAACTCGCTCTCCTTCTTTGCACCCTTCTTCTTTACATCTTGATGTCTCGCCCACCGCATTCGTATGATGCCGCGCAACCCTTCCGCCTTTCCAAGACTCTTGTTGATGCGCTCCTCTGGTGGCCAGATCTCTACCGGGATAGGTTTCGCTGTGACGTAACCTTCTTCGTCCTCTTCTTCCGTTGCGGATTTGAGCAAGTATCCGTGGGCGCTCTGTGCCGCAGTCTTGGACGTGAAGACGAACACACAGGTAGTATCGTCAATCCACTCCAACCCCATAGGATGTGCATCGAATTGTGTAGCGTATGCAAAAAGTCGACTGGTGGGCAAATGTGATATAGGTGTTCCTTGGAACAATAGCGCGTTTGTTCGATATGGTGAATCTGCGTAAGGTTTGTGATTCGCTAAAGAGGCAAGCCCGGGATAGCTCACCTTCTTCCATAGAGGGCTCCTCTTCTAACTCTTCCCTAGCGTCTTCACTCCCGTCTCGCTTGCGCTGAAGCCACCGGGCAGGCGAACGGGTTCAATGATTGCAGACCCCCAAATCAACGTCACTATCTAATCCCAAACTGTCTGCGTACCTTACCGCCCACCGAACGCGATTCGGAGAGCAAGTACACTTTGGTACGACCTATTCTGTTTGCTAACGCGCGACTCGTCTCAGCTGTAGAGTTTGCAGGTAGCTGTTCTTCATATGCAGTAGTGTCGTCGTAAGAGAGGCCATTAGTTTCATCGTAGACCTCTGGAGCGTATGCGTCGTCGATGTCCATTGTGTAGTGTGAGGATTGTTAGAGGGAAGATCGGAATGTGGAAAGTGAAGGTGACCCTGACAATAGAACGAACGGCAAGAGTTATTGACCGTGGGAATATCGAAAGTGTAACTTGGTTTGGGAAGTTTTGTTAGATCGCAGTAAGTAACGGTCATGTCAGAAGACGGTCAAGCATCCACCAGCAGGCACAAGAACCACAGAAAAGAAAAACGTATGTCACAATATGCTTCTATGTATTCTGGGATGCTCATAGCTTGTTCTCAGCATGGGATACCGACGATATTGACCAGTGAGTTCATGTTTATGCTTCGAGATCCCAATAATCTAACATCAGACTAGCGTAGGTAATCTAAATATTGAATATATACCCCAGAATAAACCCTATTTCTAGTGGAAAGTCGACCCATTTCAACCAGAGGATAACAAAGCCGGTCCATTCACCGAGGAATCGTCGTTTGCGACGCTATTTCCAAAGTACAGAGAAAGGTACTTGCGGGAGGTATGGAGTGCGGTAACAAAGGCCTTGGATGCCCAAGTACGTGTAAAATATACTTCTCTTTCACTTTCTGCTCATTCTATCAAGGGCATAGCATGTACACTTGATCTTGTCCATGGTTCGATGTCGGTACGGACTACGAGGAAGACATACGATCCGTATATCATTCTGAAAGCTCGGGACATGATCAAGCTGCTTGCTAGAGGCGTTGCCGTCAATCAGGCTATCAAAATCATGGATGACGGTGTAGCATGCGACATCATAAAAATCGGGAATCTTGTGCGGAATAAGGAGCGGTTCGTGAAGCGACGGCAGAGAATAATAGGGCCAGATGGGAGTACGCTGAAGGTATGTAATCTGTGCGTGCCTTGCTCACACTCATCAACGTCGTGTCAGGCAATTGAGCTGCTCACACAATGCTATGTACTTGTGCAAGGAAGTACAGTCAGTGTCATGGGACCTTATAAGTCCCTGAAGGAGGTTCGGCGGATCGTCCTAGATTGCATGAAGAATATCCACCCGATATACCGCATAAAGGTCAGTATCAGCCTCTCCAAGCGCTCTTGGTCGCTAAACAGTCACTTACGTTCCGAATAGGAACTAATGATTCGTCGTGAGCTCGCAAAGGATCCAAAATTGGCAACAGAATCCTGGGATAGGTTCCTTCCCCAATTCCGCAAGCGTCACCTCAAAACATCGGAGAAAACAGCGAAGAAGAATGACAAGCTCTCAGCGAAAGACGAAGCCCGAAAAGCTGCTGGATTGGAAGGAGCATCTTCGAAACCTGCTAAAAAGGTCTACACGCCCTTCCCACCAGCGCAGCAGCCTCGGAAGGTTCGTCTTATGTTGCGAATTCACCGAGCAAGAATAACATGCACTGTATAGGTCGACCTCCAATTAGAATCTGGCGAGTATTTCCTCAAATCTCACGAAAAGGAAGCGCGAGAAAAAGAGCGAAGACAACAAAAGGTGCGTTGTTGATGACTTTTCATTGACTCTGGACTAAAATGAAGCCACAGCAAGCAGAAACTACTGCTAAGCGCCGTGCTGAACGCGCTGAGGCGTTTGTGGCGCCAGCTGAGGACGCGGCCCCCACAGTGAAAGAGAAGCGCAAACGACGACCTTCAGCAGCAGATTTGGAAGCCGAAATGGACGGAGAGGAACAAGAGGGCAAGGAGAAAGAGAAAAAGAGGAAGAAAAAGCATCGTGTACCCGAATCCATGGAGTCTTCATAGCATTTTAACCTCTTCTTTTTTGGTGAGCCAGCACATTTGTGTAGTATCTAGTTATTACGAGACTACCACTCGTTCCCAGCCCAAAATCTTTCATTTATGAAGGCTCAGATTCCGGAATCCATAGCTGGTAACTTCTAAAACAATCGACCCTGCGCCGCCCATAACGATTGAGACGCCCAGGGCCAACACTCGAAACAGTCCTATGTGCTTACCCGTGCGCTTTTGTAGGGCGGTCTCGGTTAGCCAAGTCCAGTTCAATGCACACTCGTTTGCAGCCGTTTGTATGTTTTCCTCAACCTCGACCTCAAGGCAGTAGGAGTTCCTGTCTCTTGCCCCCACTTTCTCGTTCAAGGCAGCCATCATGCCTAACCCAGTCATTCGTTCTTCCGATGCGACTGACGGAGCAGGTTTCTGGCAGGACGACCCGCCCACTCCGTCAAGCGCAATTTTCTCGCACCACACTTCCACTTATTCGCGTCGCAGCTCAATTCGCCCACTTCCTGTTCCACCAGCACCCGCTCCCAACTCAACGCCAGAAATCGATGCATCGCCAGGCACGGACCGATCGAGTGTCGAATCCATAGCGCCCGTTGGTATATCTGCTGTTGCATCTCCTCCAGACTACAGAGACCCGGACCCCACAGAGGAGATATCTCACAATGGCACCCAACCCAACTCCTCCGCATCCTCCACGATAGAAAAAGACGAGTCTCCATTCAATCAACCAATTGCATCCTCGCCACAAAACCCATTCTCTAGCGCATACGAGGCACCAAATTGGGCATTGATTGTCCTTCACGTTGGACTATGCTTGATCGCATATCCTGTCCTCATGATATTTGTTCTGATCGCAAAAGATAGAACCATCTTTTGGACGCGTTTTGCAGTAAGCTGTGGCTGTGGGGTCGTGGGGTTCTGTCTAGGTTTGAGTCTGTTGGGCCTTGCTCGAGCATTTCTTGAAGCAGCAAGTATGTTATATCTTTTAGACCCATGTTCGTGGTGCTAATCGGTTCTGTTCAAGCTTGGGCCACTTTGATCCATCAAAGCCGTCTACCTGAAGCACCTGGTTTAACTCTTCGAGAATTTGCGGCGGCGTCTCAAGGAACGAGTGCTTTGGTCGCGGCCCGCGTGCTTCTCAACAGAATCATGTTCCAGGGTACCGCTCGTAAGCAACGAAAGGCATACGAGTGCGTAGCAATTACTAGTCACCTTGATTCGGTGTTAATCTTCTATCGTGGCATCAAGCTCTCGTCCTTGGTGGGTACTTGTGGGTTTATGGCGCTCGATGAAGTTGACGTGTACGCCAGGTCACTGTATGTTGTATACTTCCTCCTTCTCGTACTTCTGGCCGCATCCCTCCCTTTCATACTCGGACGTTTAGTGGAGATTAGTACGCGAATCACAGTAAGATACACTCTCACTCATCCAGCCTGTATCCCTGATCAAGTACTTGAAACAGAACCAACATACCGACTATCGAGAAGTTGCACTTAAAGGGGACCTGTCGGCTATTGACTTAACTCGAGCAATTGAATTATTACCAGTCTTCGAGGTAGATATCCATATTCCATGTGTTGGCCGTCAATGAAATGGGTCGCGAAATAGCATCCTATCCTTGGCTGGACCCTCTCTCACTACGAGCATGGTCAACCCCCTCAAGCCTTTTCATACCCTTGGGGCACGGATATGGTTTATTTCGCTGAAACCACACCATCCCAACTCCTACCAGATGGCTCAGGCTTTGGCGTCTTTGTACACACCCCAAAGAACCACACAAACATCGATGTACCAGGTACTCCCACCTCATCCAGTGGCATTGATGCCGGTACGACGTTACGGTAAGTAACTAGTCTCTACACCACACTAGGGCCTAATCAAGCATCAGATATCCCCGATGGGGAGCCCGGATGCATTGTCGGAAAGTCCCAAACGCAGAGAGAAATCTGTGAGCTTTGCGTACTCTCACCTTCTTCCATAAGTTAAATGCTCCTATTAGCATTCCGAAGTCCAGCTTGAATGTGACATATTTGTTTGCGCCTCGGGAGACCATGGTGGATCTATTCACATCGTTCAGCCTTCAATTTCCAAAAATCCTAGACAAGCCCTTGAACTTGACTACCGCCATCAAACCTAACGATACTCTCCCATTCGAGATCGATCCCAATCCTTTGACCCTTGGAGGTGAGGATCTACTTTTAACTGTATCATCATGGTAAACTCATTGCGTGCAGTTGGTTTCAATGACAACGGGGTCTCGCACAGTTACTATAGTTCGCCACTTTCAATGGGAGAAGATGGAGGAGGCTTTGTCAGTTTGGAATTCGTTTTGGTGAGGCTGAACACGGAGTTCACACCTGAAGGCAAATTCCCCGTCCTCGGCAACGACATCATTTCCAACGCAGACGGCACCGAATCACGCATCGGTTACGACGCTGCACTGTGCTTGGAACTATTCGAACCGTGGATCGTTGAGACGTACAACAGCTCCACAGGCATAACCACTTCGACGAGGATAATCAACAAGGCCAGCACCACCACGGATAGCTTGAGTGGTGAATCGAACATTGGTACGACGATTTCGGGTGTTAAGCGCCAGCTCAACTCTTCTGCATTGTGGCCTGCGTACGTTGTTGCGCATCAAAACTCAGTGAATAAGTTGGTGAAAGTGCGCCGTCTATTGAGAGAGCTTTGCTGCACTCAATCTAACACACGAAATAGGACAACTCCCGAGACGCCCCATATATGCCTTCGCCAATGGTGAGTCGTCCATTTTGATTTGTGTATTGCCGAGGGTCACAGGCGTACTCATTGGCAACCAGGTCGTCTCTTATTCCACTGGCGTAGGTGCCAATGGCTTCACTGAACTTGCGGAACGCGCATTTATACAGACACGATTGCAAATGGACGCGACTAATCTCCTGCCCTATTTAGCGGGCACTGGCGACATCGTGGGGCGTTCCTATCCCGATTCTGTGCTATCAAATGCTCGTATCCTCACGGTGCCAATGGTTGTTGTCTTGGTCCTCGTATTGGCTTTCGGCGTGCTTGCAGGCATTTTTGTGCCAAAGCTTCCGTTAGGAGTCCCACGCCGTGACTTCGAACTATACTCTTGGGTTGCCGCCTTCCATGGAGACGAAGTGACGACCGAGATGCAGCGCGCTGGGGTCGAGCGAAACATGGAGCTGAGAGAAATTGAGAAGAGGTTGGGGAATATGAAATTCCGCTATGTTTTCTGAAATCTAGAAATACTAGTCACATTCATTAGGTAGATCCTGATATACCCGCAATGGCGTCCTTTCGAATTCTGCGAGATTCGTTGTAGTCGCCACACAAGAATGTTGCGAACCGGGAGGGAAGGAGGCTGCAACACAAGCAAACAAAGGCAGCGAGTCTTCTAGCTCCTTCATTTTGTCCTAGTGTCCTAGTGTTCACTACTATTTCATTGACAACTCACAGAAAGTTTGTAATCCAGAATTTTTCGTACATTCAATTAGATTGCTACAGTCCACCAACTCGTTATGTTGCTACAACCTGCCTTGATTTTGACGTTCATCTTCCTCACCAAGGTACCAGATAGCGGCGTCCTTAATTTCCTTCAACCATTCGTCGACGGTGCTTTCCTCATAAGCATTCCCGTCGAAGAAGACATACATGTGGAGCATGTTTCGAGCGGTCGCAGAGCCTAAATAGAGCTCACCAGGTCGACAGCGAAGGTACGTTTCAGTTGCGATGATTCGAAGTAACGGTGTTTGAGGCACAGAGTCCTTCCCTTTTCGGGAAGGATACTCATACTGTTCTATGTTTTCAACCTATTGAGATCCCATCAGGTGGCAAGACAGCAAGCTAGGCCGTGAAGACTTACATTCCCCATGCTCGATCCGGCGAAAGAAAGGACGAACGGCGTTTTGGAGGAGGCTGCCTCCCCTCCTGATGCTTTCACAGCCTCGAAATTCTGCAGCACCTGGACGACCCTCTGGATTCTATCCCGGGCCTGCTGCTTTACGATGCTGCCAAACAGTGGGTGCCGGAAAATATGGCTGGATTGCCTCTTGACGAGGTTCGTTCTCAGGAAGAACCGATCTCGGCTCAATAGTTCAGCGAAGGACGGCATGTGGCCTCCAACGCTGAGATTTGCAGCCGAGCCGAGAGGCATGAATGGGAGCGTGTACCAGAAGAACCCGATGGCACAGCCCACAGTGGCATGACCTCCCTTCGCCAACCATTCCTTGTCCAAATATGGCCGTAGATTTAGCGGGCCACCGGTATGCATGGGCTGCCTCCGCCTCATATCCCATTCCTCCTGGCTAATACGACCTTCGATATATCGGCGGCAGAGAATCCGGGTTATCGCTATTTGCGCTAACACAGCGTACGCATGCCCAAACGTGAGGGAATGCCTTCGACAAGTAGCAATGATTTTCTTCGTCATGTCTTCTGGTAGACTGAGTCTTGCCAGATATGATTTTGGAGGCGCGACCGAACTGGAAGGGTCCTGAATCTGTGGCAAAGTGTGACCTCCCTGATACGAGGTGAGTAATATACATATTTACTGAGAGGGGAGGTAGCTTACTTTAAGTTTATCCCAGCGAATGGACCTGATGACTTCGCTGATAGCTCGAATCCATCTTTGACGCGGAAGACTCAGACGAAGGCATGGATCCAACTCTTCCGAAGCCAATGCCATGCCCAACCTCTCCTCCAAGTTGGGCTTTGGCCTGACGGTGCACAGAGAGTCCATGAAGTACTTCAAGAGAGCGATGTTAGACATCCCGTCTGTGATGGCATGCGCCACCTGGATCATGACATGGTAGTGAGACGGTAAGTCAACTCTTCGGAGAATATGGACTTGAGCAAGGGTTTGGCTATTCAGCCGCCGTTCGCCATGACGAAGGTCAAGAAGCAATTCCTCCGCATCGCGCGCAGAGTCGATGGTCAAAAAGTGCACCTCTGACGATTTGTAGGACCAAAGATCTTCTTCATTTACGATGAATTGACCACTGGCTCCCCCTAGGCCAACCAGCATCTGCGAGCCCAGAAGAGGGAAATATTGCTTCGTATCAACCCATGCCCTAGCTACATTCAGCTCGGAAAAGAGCGAAGGCTCTTGGTATTCCTTCTCTTGGACGAGGACATGCCTTGTTGTATCTGACGTGCCACTGAGCAGACTGTCGTGGTAGAAACTGAGTTCTGTGTGACCAAGTGGCCGCTCGTAGACACGGTATGGTGCATAGGTTGCGGGGCGCTGGGTCCAAGATGATGGTGCCATTCTGAGTGAAGATGGCCGCTAACTTTCCGCATGTTGCAGAATTTTGATCCTGTGTGACCCGCATAATAAATTGTCAGTTCAGGGACTGGTCACTACGATCTCAAGCGATCGTGATCAGTCATCAATCGTGATCGACGGGAACTGAGATCACATGACTTACAGAAGTCAGTTCCTTCGCTTCTACTACGAAGTTCAACTTGAATGTAACTTTCAAGTGGGTCCAAGCTCGGAAAGTAAAGCGACAGTTGCAAGTCTCTTCGTCGACTATGAAGCGGTGAATGCGTACTGGCGAGTGAGGCTGTAACGCTTGTAATATAATATATGAACGGTATGTTGTATTCTTTAGTCGATTGAATCAATATAATTCAACACAGGTATAGACGCAGACTTTAGGGAGATCACACACCAGCAGATTCCGCGACATTCATCAACGTTCCTTCCCATCGCCAAATGACCAGGACTTTGGCAGTGAGGCTGCTTTCCTATTATTCCGTGTATCATGGACATTACATCCCCGCAACCGTTTCCCTGAGTAAGTGGCATTAATCTTACTTCTGATCACTAGACTGCCTGAAATTATTCTGCCGCAAGTCATCACAGCTTGCCGGTCCCACGTTGAAGGTTTGAAACATCAAGGTTGAGAGTAAATAGACGCCCTAGTCCTCCTATCAACCCAATTGAGGTGCTAATACTCAATAGTCAATGAATTGATTCCGGGCCTGTCAAGAGGGTGTGTCGCAAATGTGTTGTATGTTGCAAGTTGTTGACATGTACAGCTATACCTGCGCGGCACGCCTGGAGGCTGGACACCACAACCGATGATTCCCATTTGCTATGCTCAAACGTCAGGGTCGCGTCGTCTTTTTCATGCACGCCTCAGAGCGGCGGCGCGTTACCCGTTCTAACCAATCCTGCCAAGCCTCCCAACAATGAGCGCGTTAGAAATGCGGCTTGGGTTAAATTCCTCCTGATCGTCATACTACACCACCTCCCCCCTCTCTCTAAGGTTCGTTCATGTCGGGCAACACACAATACGATCCTTGGAGTCCTTACGTGAATGCTCCGACACGAACATCCTATGTTCCTGCGACCCAGTACCTTCCCCAAGGCGCCCAATTTCCGCGCCAGCCCCACGGATCGATGGACCTTGGGATGGACTACTCAACACACCCTAATCCACACCGGAGGACGGTTTCGGATGCCTCATCGTCCGATGAATCGTTGACAACAACGCCCCGTATCCCATCCCAGCCAACAGCTTATGTAGCACTACTCCCCCACACTTACGACAAACCACCAACGGCTTTTCCTCCGCCTCCGCCTCCCAGAAGTAGCAGACGAAATCCGTTTTCGAAGTCCTTTGAAGCACCCGATTGGAGGCTCCTTGCTCTTCATACCGTCCTATGTTTGCTAGCGTTCCCAACGCTGCTGGTGTTCACAATCATCGCGCGTAACAGAACCCTGTTCTGGACTCGGTTCATTGTCAGCATCGGGTGTGGTTTAGTGGGTTTCTTCCTGGCCATTAGTTTGATTAACTTGGGGAAGGCATTCCTTGAAGCAGCCAGTAAGCATTGATCGTCGACCTCACCTCGTAGCCTACTAATCTCACGTCTAGCGTGGGCGACTTTGATACATCAAAGTCAGCTGGACGGGGCATCTGGCATAAAGCTAAGGGATTTTGCCGCACTTTCGGACGATTCTACTAGCGCATGGTCGGCGTTACGAATATTGTGGGATAGAACGATGTATACGGGCACAGCGCGTTCAAAGCGTAAACGCTACGAGTAAGTCGGCCTTTCTCATTCCGAATGCACTTTACTGATGTTTGGTGTTTTGTCGCGTAGCTCACGGTGTGTTTAATCATCTAGATGTGTTTATCCGTGGCTGAACCATGGTGACAGTATTTGGACATTATTTATTGTGTTCTTCCTGTTTCTGATCACCGCCGCGGCTGCATTGCCCTTCATTCTGGGCCGTATTGTTGACATTACTACGAGGGTGGAGGTAAGCACTTAACTGCCTGATTATTGTATACGCTGACATATCGAACCTTTTCCAGCACCAGCACCTTGAATATACTGAAGTACCTGTGAAGGGGGACTTGACCGACAACGATATTACTCAAGCTGCAGCGTTGCAACCTGCCTTCAATGTAAAGTCACCAGAGCCATAGCTATGATATCAATAACACTAACTCGTATGACAGAATTTCAACCTCACTTGGACTCTTTCTGGGTTCGCAACGGAGGATAACACTGCATCGGCGGTTTCTTTTCCTTGGGAAGCTGACAACGACAACGTGTATTTCGCTGAAGTGACTCGTTCGCAATTGCGACCTAATGGGCATGGCCTAGGCACATTCGACACGTCCCACACGCGCGACGAGAGCCATACTTCTCCAGTCGAAATTGGCACCGCAGACGCATCTAAGCCTGTAGATCCTGGACAGGTCTTGAGGTGATTGTGGCTTAATGCAGGACTCCAAGGGTATATACTTATGATCGGGTATAGATTTCCACGATGGGGCATACGAATGCACTGTCGGAGAATTCCAAACCCTACGCAGAACATGTAAGCACTAGAATCGTCCTATTCATCCATATGGCGGCTCAGTTTCTCTCAGTATCCCGGCTTCCACCCTTGGGCGATCTTATGTCTTTACGCCACGAGACACACTCCGTGATCTGTTTTCCTCCTTCAAACTTGATCTCCCTGAAAGGCTCAACAGTCCTGTAAACCTAACGGACGTTTTAAAGGGGGATTCGCTCCCGGCTTCAATTGATACGGCGAACACAGCTCTGGGTGGTGCGCCCTCTCCTCCTAAATTTGAAGCTGTACCACTGACACCCTTGACAGCCGTATTCTTCGATAATGGCATCTCTCACAGCTTCAAGAGTGATCCAGTCTCCATGGGTCGTGACGGAAAAGGGTTTACTTCCTTGGAAGTGCTGTTGGTGCGAGTCGACACGAGCTTTACACCCAAGGGTGTGTATCCCGTCACAAGAACCGCCACAACCCCGCCCCAGACAATCGGGTATGACGGGGCCATCTGCTTGGAGTTGTTTGAACCTTGGGTGCTGGAAACATACAATTCTACGGTTGGATCCCCGACTTCGACACGAATTGTTAGCAAGGGGAATGAAATCGCGAATGTGGGCGCCGAGCTGAACACCGGTGCTCGTTTGAACGGCGTGAAGCGCCAACTTGTTTCTTCGAATCTGAGCTCGGTCTACGATGTGGCTCATGGAAACTCCGTGAATCAATTGTTGAAGGTAAAGATTGCGCCCACACCTAGATCGACCTATTCTGATGTGCTATATTTATAGGACAACGGTCACGGCTCGCCCTACGCTCCTAACCCTACAGTGAGTTGTCTCCTCTGTTTGCTAACGAAACATTCCGATCTATTGTTCCCATAGGTGATCAGCTACACAAATGGCCAAGGACCAGAGGGCTACACAGAGCTCTCTGAAAATTTCTTTGCGGACTCCCGCGCTCGAGCGGATGCCACTCACATACTGGCCTACCTGGCAGGAAACGGCGATGTCGTCGCAAGGTCGTATCCAGACCTCGTCCTCTCCAGCGCATCATTAAACTACATGTACATGGGGATCTTCGTAGGCGCCACTCTTGTTTTAGGGTTGGCCGCAGGGCTGTTCGTTCCCAAGCTTCCCTTGGGCATTCCGAGGCGAGGATTTGAAGTCTACTCGTGGATCGCAGCGTTCTACGGCGATGACATAGCAAAGGAGATAAAGCAAGCTGGGGTGGACAAGCACATGGAGTTGTCAGAGCTTGAAAAGAAGCTCGGCCATCTCAAATTCCATTTTGCTGTTTGAATCTTCTGAACCACGGACAAAATACACACACTCATTCATTCACACATATTTATGGACAACGCAATGTTTAAGCATACCATACTTCATCGTTCCATACTTCATCGTACCTGTATTCGCTATCTTGCTGTTTTACGCATTGTTGTTCGCTACCCCTAGCTATGCCCTATTCCGAACTACTACCGGACCGGATACTGCTTGTATCGTCGAGGGATTCCATGAGCTCATTGCTTTGACTAGCGAATAGATTGGCGCCGTCAGTTTTCACCATCCTTATCGTGCAGCGTATCCAAATTTCCAAGACCAATCTCTAAGCTCGAACTCGGCCTCGGCGACTTGCTTCGTGAGACGTCTTAGGCTTTCAAATGTTCACGAATGTTCGTGCTGACATTCCGCTGACACCAATCTGGTCCTCCATTCGCCTTCATTCGTCTGATTCGTCTGAACCAACAGCACCCATGTGATCGCAACACAGGATTACAAAGCGCACTACACGCTATGACGCAACCTATAAAAGGAGGGATTATCAGCACCAGTACCCGATTCACTCGATAACACCAAGTAGAAGGCCATGTCACAGAAACGCGTCCTCTTCGTCTTTACCTCTGCCAGCAAGACTCTCCTCGGTGAGGGCACCGTAAGTGGCATTGTCGCATGTTCACAGTTTCCTGGAAGTAACGGGCTGCGACAAATAGGGATGGTACCTCCCTGAAGCTGCTCACCCGTACTACATCATCGCTCCCCAGCACATCGTCGACTTCGCCGCACCGGAGGGCCCAAACCCACCGATTGACGAGGGTAGTGTCGCCGTACGTCCCCCTTTCATCTTCACCACACCTTGCACTGACCCTCATCCTCGATTGGCAGGCCTGGAAAGAAGACAAAGAATGCGCCAAGTTCCTCAACGACCCCGCCGTCCAGAACAAACTAGCCACAGCCAAGAAGCTCAGCGAGGTGTCCGTGGGCGACTATGATGCGATATTCTATGTTGGTGGGCACGGTCCGGTAATCGACTTGGCCACTGATCCGGTGAATGCGAAGCTTGCGTCTGGAGTGAGTCGTTTTTGATCGTTTTGTGCGTGGGGTCGAGTTTGCTTAATCCGTGTTCCCAAGTTCTGGCAAGCGGATAAGATCGTTGGTGCAGTGTGCCATGGTACTGCGTGAGTGTCCGTTTCCTCCTGTGGTGAGGGAGGGAGGCTGACAACAATCGTGAATCGAATACAGTGCACTAGTCGGCGCAGTCGACGCCTCTGGAAAGTCGATCTTCGTGGGCAAGAAATTCACCGGCTTCTCCAACAAGGAAGAACAAATTGTGAACAAAGTAGCAGCAATTCCCTTCCTCCTAGAAACGAAAATCACGGAGCTTGGTGGAATATACGAGAAAGCTAGTGAACCTTGGGGCGTAAGTGCTCCTGTTGATTAACTCAGAGAAGTGCTTGCTGAGACGATATGATCGATAATAGGTGCAAGTCAGCGTGGATGGCAAGCTGCTCACCGGACAGAACCCAGCGTCTGCGGGTCCTCTTGGAGAGGAGTTGCTTAAAGTCCTCAGCGCGTGAAGTCAGGCGATCCACGCCATAGGCAATGAATAGTGTAACCGCCCCGTAGTGATGTTAATGGGAACTTGTAATAACACATATCGCAGCTACATGAGCTACGAGTGATGAGCATCAGACTTGAAAGATTTCAGAATTCGTCCACGTACCAAAAATGACAACAGACAATCCAAAAAATCTAGTAATACATGACGTTCATGACCCAACCCTTCTTCAGTGCGAACCCGTTGAGAGCTTCTTTCGCTACTGTAGCGAACTCGGGGGACTTAAATATGACTTGAGCAAATTTCACGCGTGCGCCCTCTGCGTTTGGCGTCGGAGACTGGGCAACGAGGCAGGTCATGTAGCCCTGGTATCTATGTCGCATATATGCTCAATAAGTATTCTGACTAGGATCAAAGTGTATGCGTACTGTTGGAATAAAACCGAAAGCACGTCGTTCGTGACCTCCATAGGTAGATTTGTGCACACCAGTCTTGATGAGGGCTGTTGGACACTTTGAGGCACCGCCGTAGCTTTTCGTTCATTTCATGAAGCAAACACGATGAATATATTCCGAGCGAATGTATATCGACATACCATTCTCAATGACCGTATTACTCTTCGACTTTGCAGCAGCATTCTCATCGTCGTCGTCGTCAATTTCCATCTCTTCGTCATCGGAGTCATCGTCGTTTTTCTCGCGTTTGACAGAGTCTTGCGCGCCGTCTTCGCGTGATCGCTTCTGAGAAGCGGCGTTCCTGACGAGTGCACTGGCGTTCGCAGCCGTCGGTGGAACGAAATTGGGGTCTTCGCGCTTCAGTGTCGCGTACGACTTGCCTTTCGCGTAATCGATATGCTAGCATTAAATGGATCACAAAGCGCACTTACTGGCGTTCCAAGGAGATAACTCACAAGAGGCTTATCGTAGAACACCATCCCCTCGCACGCCCTCATCGCCGACGTCGCTGCTGCGAGATCGGTGAACACCAGGAACGCCTGCCCCCTCATTTTTGGGCTTTTGGATGCGATAACATCGATTATTTTCCCATATGTCGTGAACAGCGCATATAGTTGTATTCTCAGTTCTTCTTTGTTAATTTTGTCGTTGAGGTTGTTGAGGTAGAGCGTCGTATTCGGTTGGTTCGAAGATGATGAGGAATTCATGACTGTTGCGTTGCTCACAGAGCTTGGGTCGAAATCCAAGTTCAGGCATACCGTGGGAAGAAGTAGTGGCCCCTGTCCTCCTGAGTCGCTCGTTCAGGGGGATAATATTCAGCTGAACTGTGCACTACTTCCCAGTTCAACCTCTCTTTCTTTCCGACCGCCATCTCCGAAGGCTTGAAATGCTACGCGTCGCTTTACCCTCCAGGCCATGAACGACGCGCCCCGAAGCCCTACCTGTCTGCGCTGTCACGGAAGTGGCAACCGTATGTAAAGCGCCCACGTGCGGGGTCCGGTTGGCTCAATTTTTGAGGCTAGGGGCCTGGGGCACCGCGAGTATTTGGTACCTGCCGCAACATACAAAATCCCACTTGGCCCGCAAACAGGTTGTCTGTCGCCTTCGCTGTCGTTTTCTTCTCCCACCACATTCTTTTTCTCCATTAGAAACCAGGCGAGTAAATATTTACTTCAAACAAAAATGGTGTCATATTGTATTTCTGACATCCATTAATTCATTATCTGCGTTGTTGGTGTCGACGTGCAGGGAGACGACGCGCACCACGATTTCATGCGTTGGTAACGACCGCAGCAGCACGAAAAAACGATGATGACTACTATACCTGCCATGCTAGACATGCTGCCTGCGTTCATGGTTCCCTTCTTTACCCTCCAATACCCCATCGATACCCCAGAGGTAGACTTCTGGCCGAATGCCTCGTATTACGGGACAGGGCCCAAGGACATCTACATTGTCATAACGTGTATTGCCGTCATGGCTATTTTCAGGGACTTTTCGCGAGTGTGTGTGCTGGAGCCGTTCGCGCGGTGGAAGTTGACGAGGGATCTGGACAGGCGGATAGCGAAGAGGGAGGCCAATGGGAACGGCAATGGCAATGGTAGTGCGTTGAATGGGAGTGCAATGGGCAATGGGAAGGTGAACGGGATGGCGAACGGCAATGGGAACGGACACGCGATTCATGCCAATGGGCACGCGTTGGCGACGCCCCATTCCCCCAAACAAACGAAACGAATTCATCGAAGTGTACTCAGATTCGCGGAGCAAGGATACCAGTTCATATATTATACCCTCCAATGGTGTTACGGTTTTGTGCGTTCTCTGTTCCTATCCCCCTCCCCTTCAACTAATGCGACTCTGATAGTATGTCCACCGCAATCTCCCAACACGCGTCCTAGACCCCACAGATGTCTGGCTGGGATACCCCCACTTGCCTCTCGCAGGTCCCCTCAAATTCTACTATCTCACTCAGACCGCCTTCTACACGCATCAAATCCTGGTTCTCAACGCCGAAGCACGTAGAAAGGACCACTACCAGATGCTCGCCCACCACATCATCACCGTCGCTCTCATGGGCGCGAGCTACTTCCTCAACTTCACGCGTGTTGGGTGTCTGATCATGGTCATTATGGACTGGTGCGATATCTTCTTCCCAGTAAGTCACGAACTCCTCCCTGTTGTCCTATCTGGGGTCACGGACTCACTCCCCCGTGTCTCCCCTAGCTCGCCAAAATGACCTCCTACCTCTCGATCTCCCAAACTCTCACCGACATCATCTTCGGCTTCTGGGTCCTCTCGTGGGCAGTGACACGGCACGTCCTCTTCATCTTCGTTATGCTCTCCACATACAACGACCCGCCCCGCTTCATCAAATACGAGTGGGCTCCAGAACGCGGGTGGTTTGTTACCACGAACACCATGAGGATGTTTAATGTGATGTTGTTCGCATTGCAGGTTAGTCCTTCTACTTCTATCTCTATATACATTTGGGGAAAGACGCTAATGCGTGGACACTCGTGTGTTTGTAATTGGTGTGAGTAGATTCTGCAAATCATCTGGGGGACGATGATTGCTCGGATCGCATGGCGAGTTATCGTAGGTACCTCCGGTGCATCGGACGATAGAAGCGACGACGAAGAGTAAGTGTATCTTCTCGACATCCCTCTTCCTCCTTACAACTTACTTACTCCCACGTTCTCGCAGCGACGGCTCGGCAGAGAAGAAGGAGGAATAAATGGGTTATTCGAGTTGCCTTACTCCCTCTTCGTCTCAGAGGCCCATCGCCCACTCGATCCCCGATGCACCTTTGCTCCCATGTACCGAAATATATCTTTCTAATACTCACCTACTAGACTTGTTTATATTCTCCATCTTATTCTTGGAATTCGAAGTCGATTGACTATTGTTTTGCGGTCTTGTCCTGGGCCTTGAGCTTCTCTGCGCTTCAATATTCGATGACCCAGCTCATTCGGAGGACTGACTGGAAGTGTGAATCCTTTCGGAGGCGGATGTACTCAACGCTGGACCACTGGGTGAGCCGGCCGATTTACTGCCTAGATCGTAACCTTAATTATTGATTCACATTTCAATATTGTTTCCTCAGCTGGCCTCGCTCTCTTGCATCTCCAGTCCTTACCGCCACGTTATAACGACATCAGGGCTACATGTTCAATTAATCACCAAAAATGCTAGGATCGCAAACGACTCCAGATGGCCAACGTGGGGATCGAACCCAAGACCTTCGCGTTATTAGCACGACGCTCTAACCAGCTGAGCTAGTCGGCCGACATTGTCAACCAGCGTATGTGAGATTATACTCCGCTGAAAACAACGACCAATTGTTGTCACTGCAGATACTTGCTCGACAAATGCAGATGCGGTGGTAAATATATCGCGCCCACATCGTGTATGTATGTCACAGTCCACTGGCCATTCCAGCGCCGCAATATCCTGAGCCCAATCCGTTCCATCCAACATGTCTTATCATCGTACCCGCACCGTGACACCCAAATGTCAAATGCCGCCTACTCTAGGTCGCAGATCTACAAATACCAGCGCCGCAATTCGTCCCCAATTCGCAATGATCATGCGGGCTCCCCGCATGACGAAACTGGACCCTCTCGACCACCAAACCCCGCGACCACGAGCCGTAGATAACAGATTGCACGGTTGCTGCGCGGTGACGAGAGGCACATTGCAGAATCACCAGGTCAAGATTACCGGTACCAGGAGGCCGGTGCAAGTACACCGGTGATGGCCTGGGTTGATAGGTCGTGTTGCGTCGCCCGCAGAGCTACTGCCACACCCATGGGGCATCAGATGCATAGGCCATCATCAGACCTCAGTGCGATGTAGATATGATATATGATCAGTCGTTCACAGCCTGAGATCAAGCCAGGAGTCAGATCAGGATCCGGTAGAAAGGTAGGAAGGTGTATTACCAGAATGTACATATGATACTGCCGCAGACCAATCCAATCCAATGATTGGATGGTGATTTATCCCACCGTCAACAATAAATCAGCGAATCACCAAATCAATCACCGAATCACAACACTGCGTCTCGAGTAAATCAGCATTCGTGTTCGCGTTCTTGCCTTCGCGAATTCTGAAACCCACAATCACTGTTCCCTAATGATCATATCAAGACATGATAACAACATGATAATCCAATCAACGACTCATCAGTTCATCTCATCTGACCAAGTTCGAGGTTCAAACGTTCAAGAATCAAGGCAACAACCCTGGCCGGGGGTCACCAGTCACCTACTATACCAGTTATACAGCACACCCTTTCTTACGCGCACCCTTCCTTTTAAATTTCCACACCCTGTAACACACCACGCCCTACGATCCACCCTATCCTGCGCAGTCTATACTTACAAATCTGGGGTTGTTCCACCCAGATCTATCCATCAACGATCCTACGATGCGACGCAGACCCCCACGTCCCTGCAGAGGGTGCATCGCCTGGAGCCATAACACCAAGGGAATGGGATTACACCATAGATCCTCACCCCGGCGATCTCACCTTGGGCTGCTCGCTGGTTTTATAAATTTATAACATTCGGAATCGATAGTATCTGCTACACATATTACACAGCATCTGCACATATACGACATATACGTACCGTACCGTACGCGTGAGCGATGGAGCGATCTCTTGCAAGTTCTTCCTTCAAAGTGACTGTCGCTGAGTCGCTGAGTAGATCCTCCGAGCTTCAAGGTTCCGAATTCGAGCTCCAGGATACCTAACGAATGAATGAGTACGATCTATTAGCCATATCACAAGAAGAGAATTCTATGAGATGCACAGTATACAATGTTTTGTGATTTATTCCCAGATACAAAAGAGCTCGACAAGGTTTTCGTAATGTAGGCTGATGATGTATATGGATGATACTAAGTAAACGTATACGCGAGTAAACGGAAATCGTAAGTAGAGGGACGGCGCTGGGGCATTGTTCTTATATCGCTACAATACAGAGCATAAACAGGAGCCAGGCGAACGAGACGAGAAGCGGAGCCGGAGCCAGAGACTATAGGTAGACGAGGGAGAGTGAGCGGTCGTGTTTATATGCCCCGAGCAAAAAAGACAGCGTCAAATGAATGAAAGAGAAATCATCGAACCAAAACAATCAGCGTCATTCCAGAATGACATAGCACTCGCAGCCATAACCAAGGCTGCATGCTGCCCTATCCCAAGCCTAATACCCGTATCCCGATCGCGCGCCGACGCTCTGCTGCTGCTTCGCCGGCAGCGCAACGTTCATGCTTACCGGCTGCACTGCGCCGCCGCCCCCTCCTCCACCGCCACCATTGACGCCTACATGCGAAGCGACGACGCCGAGGGGCATACCGACAACGCCTCCACCCCCAACCAGAGACGACAGCCGCGATATTTCCTCACGCGACGTCACCAGAGCCGACGTCAGGCGATCGTTCTCCTGCGTGAGATACTCAACCTTCGCTTGCAGCTGCGCTAACCACGCCTTCTTGCGCTGGCGGCATTTCAGTGCGGCTATAGTACGACGCGGCGCGTAAGCATAGGCGCAAGGGATATAAACGGGAGGAAAGACGACAACGCACCTTGTCGATTTCTCTCCAAGAAGTTCTTCCGCTTCTCCTCCTCCGTCTCAGGCTTCTTGTTGCCTCTCCTACCTCCACCGCCGCCGCCTCCACCCTGGTTGCTTTGCATTGACTCTAGTTCATCGCCTCCATTACCACTATCGCCGTCATCATCCATGTCGTCCATGTCGTCCATATCATCCATGCCCATGTCCTCAGGTGACATCCTGCGTCTATTCGTGCTGTTCGTTCGCCCACGTTTACTCTTGGAAGTTGTATTTGATACAGGTGCTTGTTGCGCACTTTGCGAATCGACCGATCTTCTGTCGTAAGACTTGCGTTTCTGTCCTCGTCTCGTTGAGCCACCGTTCGTAGCATTGTTTCCGTTCGCACTTCCGTTGGAGTTGGAGGAGCTGTTATTCTGCGGGCTGGCATTGCTGGCTCGTTGGGCTTCTTCCCGCTTCGTCAGCTCCTGATGAGCTTGTGATAACAAAAATAGGCCGTTTGCCGCTGCACTAGCCGCCTGGTTTGCGGACGAGATGTAGTCACCTCCTGACATGCCGTTGACATTTCCCGCGGGTGGCGCGTGCAGAGCTCCTGTATACCCTCCTCCGGCACCGTTGAGCGCTCCCGTTAGCGCATTCAAAGTATTGGGAGTGATGGTAGGTCCGCTAGCCCCTGTCCCGTTCATCATCGACGAATAGCCGCTGGGTGTGTTGGGAAATGCGACAGGCCCTCCTACTAGTGGTGTCAGTCCTGTCCCTGGGGTCAGGCCCGTCCTTGGTGTGAGGCCCGTGCGAGGAGTGAGCCCAGTGCGGAACGAGGACGGATCAAACTGGAGCGACGACGACTGTGTATGCGGCTGAGACCCCTGCGCTTGCGATTGCTGATCTGTGGGTGCGGTCAACATTGCGGGTGACAGAGGACCCGCGCGTAGCGACGAGAAGGACCAGTACGACGAGGAGGGGTCGGCGGGAGAGGAGATGGCGGCGACGGGCGGGAGAAGCGGGCGGGGCGAGGAGGATGAAGCGCCTCGGGAGCGCGACGACGTTGACGTCTGTTGGTGGGAATGGCCGTCGCTTGCGCGCGATCGGGGCCTGGCGCCGTTGGCGGCGGCGGCGGCGTCGTTGTGTGAGTGGCCGTCGTCGCTGCCCGACGCCGAGGACGACGCATCGTCTCGTGAGGGCGACGTTTTTGTCGGTGGGCGGGAGAAGGACTGTTCAAAGGGGTTCGGCTCTAGGTCAAAGTCTGAGCGCTTCTGGGCATTGTTGGGGCGGATTTCGGGGGAGGAGGGCGCCTGTTTGTGGGCACCGTGCTTTTTGTCGAGTTTTGCGGTCGTCGTCGTCGTCATCGCGGGAGACAGGCGCGGCGCTGGCGTTGCTGGGGGAAAATCGATGACGACGATGGGTTTGGGGGCAAAAGTGTGACGAGGTCTGACGTAGTTATCTCTGGCGTTATATCACCTCGGACTTTGAATTAATTCACCCTTTCACACACTATATAATGTCACACTTTCTTCTGTCACGCAGGCTTCTACATGGAAATCACTAAAAGGGGCAATCGAGATACGCCAGCAGCGCTTCCTTGTACAACACGCTGCCCTTGTACCTATAATCATATTACCCGTGAGTCCAATCCATACAGCTGTGCACCGAGCCACTCACTGGTCAATGTCTTCGCTCCAGCCCCGTACCGCACCCGCAAGTCTCTCGCCGACGCCCTCCTCGACCAACCTTCCGACAGGCGTCATGTACGTGCGGATTCCAAATACAATCACGCCACTCTTGGGCAGTCGGCGGAGCGTCTGACGTTCAGATCGCAGACGCAGCGTCCGGGCCTCGACAATCGGCTTCGGCGCATTTGCTAGCACACTCTCAGTGAGAAATGATCACAGAATGAATGTACTAGTCTTACCGTCACGTTGATATCGCTTGCTCTTCGCACCAAGCCCACCTTCTCTCTTCACATCCTCTTCACCGTTCTGGTTCTTACCCCAGGCCAGTTCTTCCGGATCCACGGCATCCAGCGGCTCAGGGGGCACCACCTGGATGAAATAGTTGTTCCTCGACACGGGTTTATCGACGCTCATTTTCTGAAAGAATCGCTGCATACTAGCCTGCAGCTTAGACGCATCTAGAGGTTGGCGAGCCGACGGAACCGATTGAACGGAAATGAGTGCGCGATCGCGAAAGCGGGAAAGGGGAGGAGACAGGAGGTCAACAGGGCCAGGGCATATTTCGGGGGAGTCGGGGAGGGCATAACCGGGCAGATAATGAAAATGCAAACATAAAATAGGTTGACCATGGCGTTAACCGAACGTCGTAAGACAAGACACACATTCATGTCGCGACGTCGTGTGCGTCAATACGAAGGGTTAACGTAAGAGGTTTACATCACACCCAGACGATAAAGATGACAGCCGGCGGCCCAGCGACCAAACAGCGAGCAATTTGACATTGTCGGCGCACATGATGTATCCGCATATTCAAGGGTTTCGAAGTCCACATCCAGGTGCGAATCGCATAGGAGAAACCACGATCCAGGCGCGCGACGGCCAGGTGAGCATTGAGATATTTGATATTCGCATCGGTGACAGGGAGGATGCGTGGCCGGCATTGATATGTTGTTGTGTTGAGGATGTGGGTCGACGTAGCGTCATTCCCAGGTCATTGTGTTAGCCGAGGGATCGATATCGAGAGGAGGCGTAGGGTCGAGGAGGTCCAGGAAGGGTCCATGTAGATCGGGGCAATGGTGTAACATCGTCAAGACACGGGAGACATGGGAAGATATAGAGAAGTGGGGATGGTTAGCGAGACGTCCTTGAACATTGAGTGGGAGTCAAACAAAGGAAGAAAAGAAAAGAAGGAAGAGGAAAGGAGAAGAAGCGATGGAGATAGAGGACGGACGAGGAGGGGGTAGTGAGGATGAATTCGAAGCCCCGAGTCCAAGTCCAAAGCCCCGACAGTGACCAACCAGCGCAACCCCCACTACTCACCACCCCCACACCATTCAATCAGCCCCGCCTCGACATCCTACCCACACTACCCCCACGGCCCGCCCTGCCCCTTGCTACTTCCACGGAGGACGATCGCCCGTCGTGCGTTGCTGCCCATCATGCATCATGCCGGCGGTATCAATTAAAATAATAAAGATAAGAATTAGAATAAGAATAAGAATTTAAGCCATAAGGATAAACGATGCGACTCGGCATCGCGGTGGGAAACGCGAAACGCGCCAACAAATCATATCATATCTCGGATGAGTATGAGTATGAGTATGAGAAAACGGACAAAGGAATGAGGGAAGGGAAGGGAAGGGGGAAGGGAGGATGGCTCGGATGGCAGATGATAGAATGTGTTAGAACGATGTGACGATATATGTAGCGGGCGGTGATTCAAGAGTCAGGAATGTCGGCCCTTGGCAGAAGAGAAGCGCAAAAGAAGCGGGCGAGCATTGGATAGCGAGTGGGAGGAAGGGGGGAGGGAAGGGTAGGCTGAGAAGACGGAAAGACGGGCAGAAGGAAGACAGACGGAAGAAGGGCAAAGAGGAAGGTGCAAAGGGTTGAGTAGCCGTGTTAACGACGTCAGCCAAATCCCCCAGAATGCATGAGGTAGATGACTGATGGCGAATGATGAATGATGAATATCAGAAGTAAGAAGTGCAGTCGGACTGAAGTCCGAATACGCAGCAGAAACTGAAAGGAGGCATCGAGAAAATAAAGAGAATAAGAAATAAGGGATTGGGTGGCATGTCGGCATACAGAGCACACGCACAATGAAAGCAAAGGATCTGCGCGCTCAGCCGTGTAAACCAAAACCTTCCCGTAGAAAGGTCTGTTGACATTCCGCAGCAACGTCAAGGACACGATCCCGGGGGTAGGCATTGCACCCCAATAGCTACTGGCCCTGCTCGCGAACAAGCCCTAAGACAAAGATCTTAGGGCAAGCATCCAGTCAACAGCAACGAACAGAGATAGGGTTGAGCGGAGGGAGAGCCAGACTGAGGTCCGGCATCAACGCGCTCACCCAGCCATCCAGCCAGCCCATATGTCCGAGGACCCGTCCACCGGTCGTGCATTAGAAAGCAGCGCCAACCGTAACAGAGACAGGGACAACAGCGAGGAAGGCGTGCCAATAATACGACGCGTCTTGTGTTGTGTATCCGTATGGGTGCTGCCACGCACGGGGTCGTATGCAGGGTTGCATTGAGGGCGCAAGGTTTGTGTACATCTCGATGCAGATGCACAGATAGATGCGAGGGTAGATCCATCCACATCGCAGGATGGGAGGTCGTACGAGCAGGTGTGGGCAACGTCACTCCGATTAGATCACCCACATGGGAAAGGCGTGAGGACGAATCGGGGCGCATAGAGCCTCCCAAGCAAAGAAAAGAGAATTTACATAGTAGATAAATGCGCCCAATCAGCGAAAAGCCGGTGTCCCTCCAAATCTAATTGGAAGCGGGAAGTAACCTTGGCTCGCCACATACGGTTACGCCAGGACCGCATAGCATAAGAGGAAGACAATCATAGAAGGTGCAGGGGAAATCGAAGAAAGCCAGAGCACACATAACACAACGAACTCGGTGCCAATGCGCCACAACACCGAAGAAAAGGTGTACGCGACTATGTGACTTGGCCTGCACACTCGGGTCACAGAGACGCCTCCAATGAATGGATGACGCTCCGAGGACATAACATCTACTCGTCTGCATGAACAACGAACAAGGAAAGAAAAGGCGCAACGCAGGACGCAAAGTCACCCTTGCGGTAGAAAGCTCCTTGGAGAAGCAAACAGGTCGGAGGGTGTCATGACCCTTCAAACTTCTGGACATCGCCAACCACAAACCACGAGTGTGTGTCACAAGCCGAATGAGTATTGAATGCGTGAATGAATTAACTTGAATTAATCCGTCACTGGTCACAGCGGAAAAGAAAGAACGAGACCCAGCGATTCCAGGCGGTGGTCCGCTCAGTCAGACTAGTGCAGGACCGACCTAGGCCTCGTGTAGAGAATAGAACATAGAACAAACAAGTAAAGCATAGCCCGGACCAATAATCAATCAATCAATGCTTACGCAAAGTTAAAAAGAACGGCCGGAGGGAATGGGCTGATTGTCGAGAGTGTGCGAAGTTGAAAGTGCAAAGAAAGTGTAACGGAAGGCAAACGCCGTATGTGCTTGCACAGCGGTGGATGGGAACTGATAAGAAAGATCATACCCCAAAGTGCGGAGATAGAGCGATGGGCATGATAGGGGTAAAAGGGGAGGAGAGAGGAGTGAAATTAAAAGAGGGCCAACACGACGAGATGCGATGGGCGACAGGTGGGAGTAGCAGAGGCATATGGCGGTGACATGAAGGATAACGGGAGCGGACATCGGCAGAAGCTAGGTGGATATACCCGTAGAGGTGCACTAGGCATTATTTCGCAAATGAATGAGAAGCGAAAAGAGCTTGTGAAGACAAGGCACAGTTCAGCAATGCAAGACGCCGCATTGCGACATCGATAATCCTGAAGGACAAGAAAGCAGCCCAAACGCCAGGTGCTGTAGATGCAGCAAGCCAAAGGAGAAAGTAAGATAGCCTAATCATGATGATCCAAAAGATAATCGCCCGAGAAGCAATGGAGAAGAGCGAAGAGGGTTAAGACCCCATGAAGGAGGAATAACCGTTTGTCCCTCGCTCCACCGGACCTGAATCCAAGCCACGGATTGATTGATGGAACTTCGTCCCAAATCTATGGGTAAGTAATGAAAGTCCTCAATCCATGATGTGATGGGCCATCGGAATGCATGTGTCACGGAGGTGAGACACTTCTCAACAATCGACAGGCCAGCCGAGCCGTCGTATCGCCATGCATCCCATATGCGCAAGTGAAGAGGCGCGCTCTGATGTTCTACCGATGGCAAGTCTTTGGTATTGCCTATTGGCCCCGAAGAAAGCATGTCAAACAGGACAGTGCTTCTCCGAAAGCATCCGGCCATCCATCCAAGCTCGGCAGCCTGATGCAGAGTACCACAGGCACGAATGGTAGCCGGTGTGCCCAGAGCGATACATGCAACTCCAGAAACATTTGGAGAAGAATGTGGAGTGGGCGTGTAATCACCATTCACATTGGAGAACCACGGGATGGTTGCCGAGTAATCAAGGCGTGATCACTCTGCACATCAATAGAACTATAAAAGGCCACTGTGCATGTTACCCCAACATGAGGCGAGCAGAAGCAATAGAAATAGAAATGGGAAGTTCCCGAGAAACGAAGGGATGGCGAAGAGATCAAGTGGACAAAAGTGAGACGCACATTGAGGGACGCTGCCTGAGAGGTGAATTTCCTCTAGAGGCATACCCAGCTTATCTTCCATACGCCAGAAGCCTACTCATTGTTAGATCGTGGATGTAAGGAAGTAAATCAAAGCCATGCCTGGGATACAGATTGCTCCGCCTTGAAGGTAGTAGCGTCCATCTTGACCTAAACGTAAGAATTAATCGCCGTGACACTTTGCATAGAGATACGAATCCTACCTTCGACCATCAAGGCAAAATCATCCTGAACCCTGTTTGGATATATGTGATGTGACATATCCTTTTCGGAAAATATACCACTTACAAGAGAGCCGCCACCTTCATCGCACGTTCTGCGATTCCCTTCCAGAACACATCACAAGTACTTCCGGGATCAGATGTATGATCGCCGGCGTCACTTTGGAGAGGCTTGTCCACGAACGCCGATTCGTCATCTACGGGGAGAGGAAGATCGTAAGTCACTCCGAGAGGAACGACGGTAATCTCCTTGATGGCTGGCGCGCCGTCCCAACCGTAGTCCAGCCTTCCCTTCTTGCGCGGCGAATCGGATAAACTAGCTATGTAGCTGGAAGTATGCCGAGTCACACGAAACGTGGCTGGGTAACGGCGAATGAGGTATTCCGCAAGCTCGTGAACCAATTCAATAGCTAACGTAAGAGAGAGACTATCAGATACCTCGGTGTATACAAACGTGGAACTTACCCGCTTCGTAGGCCGAGTTAACTACCCCCACTTTGGCAGGCAGAAAGGCAAGGGCCTTGGGACCTCGTGTGTGGAGCCTGTGCGAACGAATGCGATGATAGGCCGCGTACTCATTATCAAGCTACGAGACGTATTCAGAAGGGAAGGAAGTCTATTTCTGTAGAGACGCTCACTTCGATCCACTCGTTCCAAGGCATAGGACGGATGCCCATGGTAACGCTGTCCGGTGAAAACAAGGCGTAGGTAATCTGGTCACTCTGAGGGTGTATAGATAGACGCACTGGTATGAACCTGGCTTGAATGGTCTGTACGGAATGGGCTGGGTGTCTTCTAGGTCCTTGTCGTGTCGACTTATTTCAGGATAGCTGAAATCAATCGGGGTCCATTCTGCATGATCCCCCTGAGGCCTAGCTAATGGAGCATGTTCGATTCCGCTCACCTCCAAACTTCCTATGCTTGTTCAACACAGCTTGTCTTTTCGTGTTTGCTGCAGTGTTCCGAGACCGGGACCCTCGCAGATACGGTGACAGAAAGTAGATACTGATGAGAACAACCACCAATAATGGTAGAGCAAGTACGGTGTCTGCTATGCGCAGGCCGTCAATATCAATAGGCCAGTTGGCTGGCCACAGCGGCATCTTCAAGTATTGGTTAGAATATGAGGATAAGAGATAACAGTGTAAAGACAGACCATCGTGTGCATGGAAGCATACTAGTATCTCTCTCAGCGCTTAGCCTATGAGAAGAGCAGGGTTCGTCATGCGCGTGAGCTGGGAAATAGCTCCAATGTGTCATTAGTTGAGATCCGTAGAAGATGCCAGTTCTCCTGCCAGTACAACCAATCGACACGCTTTAACCCACGCAGGTGAACGCGCTTGTTGGACATCATTATCACATAAACGAAGACACAGCGCAATCCGAGCCGTTTCGGAGGCACGATGATTATCAGATAACAGTTCCCCGTTGAGGGAACGCTGCAGCACTCCGGGCCTAGATTTGTGTTGAATGTTGAACAGAAGCAGAGCCTGAAAAGATTATTACCACGACCTAACGAGAAGATAAGCTTCGGGCGAAGTCTACGAGGCGAATAGCTCACTTTGCAATGTTTAGGTGTAGACGAAGAATATGATATGGCTGTAGTCGCGAGAGACGGCAACCTTCGAGGTCCAAGTGTAAAACGCGCGGGGGCTGGCAAGTTGGTGGGAGAAGAGTGGTGATTGTGGCGTAGTCTTGTCAAGTTTTCATCGGCCTTATGGTCTAGTAGTATGATTCCTCGTTTGGGCTTGTGTCGAATCGAGGAGGTCCTGGGTTCAACTCCCAGTGAGGCCCCTTTTTACACCGGTTTCTACTCGTTTCTACGCAGGAGGATACGGAAGATGATCGATGAGTACCTGAGTGGCCGCCCGCGCTGATCAGACTCGCCGCTAAATATCCATCCAAGAAAATTTGTATTCGTAATTTTTGGTGCTAATCAGACAAGTATTTCCAAGAGGCTGCAGAATATATATAATATATATCGACAGCGAAGACATATATAGAGAGGGAGAAATTTCTGCTATACAGTGGAGGGGGAGAAGACGTAGCATGTCACTCCCCAGGCTACTAGAACACAGTGTTGTAGAGAAACAAGGGGTGCAAATATGTAACGGTATCGACGTGAATGGTTGAGAAATCGATGCAAGCTAGATGCAAGTAAAATAATGTGACCGATGCTCACAGATGATGCAGGTCGACAAAGTTTGGGTCATAGGGATACAGAAACAAGGCGATGCTTGTTTTAAAGAATGTCTCGGAGACTCATAGGAACTTCAGGCTATAGTAAATGAGTTAAGCATCAAAATAAGGTCAAGGTGTCACTAGGAACTCACGCATTTGATCCTAGGATGCAGACATTGAGTAAAGGTTTATTCTGGCCATGTAAGTTAAACTCACTTGTAAAAACACTCTATAGAACGTAACATTTCCACGTCACCGCCAGTAGCGGTAACAAAATTTATGACGACGCCAGCTCGGGCGTAATTTGATGCAATAGCGGGGGCAACGCTGTAATAGACAATTCAGCAATATTGTCGCAGATCAGTGTTTCTGACGAACCGGTGGGCATACTCCTCCACTGCCTTTGGAAGATCTTGAAAGGAAGATGATTCAGATGGGTATAGACAGCAAGCGAGTGAATGGATGAATGAACACACCGTAGTTAATAATGAGAGGAACATGAGAAACTTCAGGCGCTTTAACTTGGACGTCGTAAACGACCAGGACCTTGGTGGTCGGCTGCCTCATGATGATGGACGACGAGTTTCGGAATTTATTCAAGGCCGCTAATTTTGTGCCTGCATTCATGTCCCCATGCTAAGGTGGGCGGAGCAATCGGTCCGTTAGTTTATATCGAGTAAGATAACTAAGTTGGGACTTACCAAAGGAACTGCCTCCAGCCCACGACTTGCCAACTTGTAGACAACAGAATCGAGTGCAGTCATACCACCAACATGTACGATTGCCTGAGAGACATCGAGGTCGTCAAACAAGTCCGCCAGCGCATCCAATTTCCATTCACGAGCCTGGGCCGTTTCAGCGCTTGATGTCCCTCCTCTGCCAGAACCGATGATACCTAGGCCACCAGCTGGATTGCTAGGGTCCGCCCTACCACCACCTGCCGTGAACGCAAGATATAGATAGTATTGTCGAAGTCCGCGAGAGCCTTGGCTTCCTTCGGACTGGCTGACATTGCCGTCGCGGCGAACAAGGACTCGGACGGGCTCTCGAAGCTGGATGGCCGTCGCGAGATTAAGGACATCTTGCGGTACGGTGTTCGAAAACAACGCGGTCTGACGCTCGATAGGCTGAGGAGTTGTGCTTTGACCATTATCTGGATTAGGGGAAGGTGCCAAAGAGAATCTGCGGCCTTGGGGCTGGAATGGGGAGCCGATGGGAGGCGAGACACTGCTCGCAGAGTCGAACGATGAGGACAACGATGGCTGTTGGGAAATCGATGGTGTTGCAGAACCCGTGCTCAAAGGGCGCGTCCGTGGAGGTGGCAAGAGCTTCACAATATTGAACACAAATTCATGCAAGTTGCGCGCTATAAGCTGATCCACTTCATCTAACACCAAGAAGCGAACATCTGAGCCGACAAGTCCACCTTGAACCGTAAACAAGGCATGCAACTTCTGGGGCGTTCCGCAGATGATGTGCGGCATGTTTTGCTGCAGCAGTCGCAATTCCTGGGTGAGGTCACTTTGATTCGCCGAAGTTGCTCCTACACCCAAAGCAGACCGTACTCCAATTGGCCCGCCCAGGTCCCTTATCATGCGTTGAGCCTGTGTGGCTTGATCGACGGTGGTCGAGATCATAATGACGAGAGGGCCGCGGTTCGAGGGACGAGTGTTGGCTACAGCGATCTGAATGGCAGGTATCACATAGGCGGCGATCCGCTCCTGGGTGGGAGGTGCTTGTGCAATGATGTCAGCACCTTTCAAAAGGAATGGCAATGCTCGTTGCTGGATTTTATTCGGGGGTCCCACGCTGCAGATCCTTCAGTTCGCGGGACTCAAAACGAGGAAGAAAAACCCCCACCCAAACTTGCTCAATGAACGTAAAAGCTCAGGCGCCAGTGCCAATTGGTCCCACTTCGTAATCTGCGGTCCTGTATCCCTTTGTAATCCTGACGCGAAGTTATCGTCCAGAACCTGCATCGCCGAAGGTTACGTCAGTCATAATACCGCGCGCATGGGGTAAAATCGGTCACTTACCCCCGATGAGTCCCTGCGGACAAGACCTGAAACTGAGCGCCGCTTATCTCTAAGAATGGCATCCTGTCTGCTGATGATGTTGGGATCGGAAGGCCGCATGGGAAGGTCAAGATTCCCAGCCGACCATGTACGCATGGGCGCGCTGGGCACGCGTGGTGAAGGCCGCATATCAGGCCGACTAGGCAGTCCATGTCCCAAGATGTTCGGGGAATGGATTTGATTAGGGGCAAGGTCTGCTGGAGAGTAGCTGGCGGAGCCCAAGATACGTTCATTAATCGAGTTTGCATTCTGTAATTGTTGGGTTTGTAGCGCCAGGAGCTGGCCGACAGACGAAGTGAGCGTGTTGAGGCGTTGGGAAATGGATGTAACATCATCCACAGGGGGCGACTGATTGGGTGCGATATTGCCAATTGATGGACGATGTCTGCCAAGCGAAGGGGTGAATGTTCCGTTAGTCGGAGCGAACGGGTCTTTGAATTCTGGTTCACTGGACGACGCAAGAGTACGCTCAACCAACAAGCTAACTTTGCGATTGACATCACTCAAGTCCCGTTGAATGGCACTGGTGGCGTACTCGCATCGTTGAAGCCTTTCGAGGATACCCCGGATGACGGGCGATGACCGTAGCTGTGCCTCCAAACCAAGGTGATCGCTACCCGCGAATTGGCTGCCTGAGTCCAGTGATGATACCGGGGAAGAAGATGGGAAAACGCCAGCCGGCGCGCCGTGTGATGAACTGCTTCTATTGATGGCGACGGGGGGTGTAGAGAACTGACCTCTGGCTTCCTGTTGCATGGATGAGAACGGCGAAGGTGACGCTTGGTGTCCGTTCGTAGGAAAAGGTCCGGGTGTGATTTGCGTGTCCTCGCCCTCTGGCAACGACTCTAAGCTCCCCAACATGCTCGGTTCCCTCACCCGCGTCTCGATACCAGGATACGGCCTGCTGGCATCGACCTGACGGAATGTGGGAGATCGACGCACGATATCCACCGAGACGGGCGACTGGCGATGGTTAATATTGGGTTCGTTGGTGCCACCCTGGTCGCTCCTGGGCGGACTGGGCGACGACCTAGCCGAACGGTACTCTGAAGGCGAGAAAGAAGACATAGAGCTACGATCTTGGTCCCGGGTTTGAATCTGAGGACCCAGTGCCAAACCACTGCCGCCTTCTTCACTGGATCGAATGCCTCCAGGGAAGAAAGGCATAGAGGCAGGGTTCAGAGCAGCACTGCGTGCCATTGCTCACAGAAGCTGAGAGGTGGCAACTGTTGCTGAAATAATCAAACGGTAGGATAGACTGGTGTTTCGTTAGTAAGCGTTGATTGCAACATACGGCAACGAAAGTGGCTGATCCCACCTCTGACAGTCGTGAGGGTGGTCGTACTAGACAGATTCCATGCAGCACTACTCTGGGAGGAGGCCAACAGTGGCTGTTGGAGAAAGAAAGGTGAAGAAGTTGTGGGTGGCTGTCGCGGTCCGTGTTCAAGTTGCGAATTGTTTGGAATTAGCCGAACGATTTGCCAACGGCACCTTAACCTTACCGGCCACCAATATTCGAAATTCGCAGCTACCACGAGATTTCAGCATTTCTACACTAGTACAGATTCGTAGGTAGGTACACAAAGGAAATAATAACGAGAGTGTGATTCGTGGGTTACAAAACGACAGTGATAGTGACAGCAGCTAGAGCTACAGATAATGCAGATGTAATCAAAACAGTTCTGACAGAAAAGAAATTCACAAGACGGTCTTGGGGAAGGAAAATCCAAGCATAACATGCCGATCCTTCTTTGGCACCGGAGATGGAGAAGGTGGACGATCAAGTCGGTGACTGCCAGCAGTACTTCCAATGACAAGTTCGGTCGGTTGGTGAAGGGAGCGTTTGGAACGGGCAGGGCTGCGTAGACGTTTTCATGAGATGCTTGCAAGACATAAGCGTTTAGGGCACCGACTTTTTGGCAGTGTAGGCGTCGCCTCCCGATTTCTTGCGTTTCGCGAGCTCTGCTTGACGTGCTAGGGGTAACATAATCAGCCTTTACTGGTTGTGCCTCACACGAGATGCCATACCGTCAAGGATTTCTTGAACTTCCGGGAGATCTGCAGGTGATACCGTCACCTGTTTCAAGATGGTGAGCACGTCGAAGATATGCTATCCCGATTCGAAACTCACAACAAGCTTGCACCCGTTGAGGGAAGTTCCGTCTAATTTCAATGCTTTACGGGCGGAGGAAGAACGGGCAAATTCAACGGTGGCATACTGCCGATTTCTTGAGTTGCGCAGATCTGGCTTGACTGCCCGGCCTATGGTCACAGCCTGACCGCGGCTGCAGCGTAGCTGGATGCGCGTTACGGTCCCGCACGGTTCGAAGAGCTTCCTGAGCTGGTCGTATGTCGCGGCGGGATTGATCTATACAAACGATTGCTCAAAAACGAAATCCCCCTCAGATTACACCCATACTCACGTTGCCGACATACACAAAGTCCCAGATAACTCCCGCAACTGTGAGCCTCTTATCAGCAGCACCCTTCTTCTTGGACCTCCTTGCAGCCATTTGAATTTCGATGTCCTTCTCTAGCTGGAGACTACCCGACCTTGATCGCCGGGATTGTAATTGTCCCTTGCGATGGCCAAGGTTCTTCTTTGGGGCTGGCGGTGGTGGCGGGGCATTCCGACGGTCTTGAGCCCCAATGTCGGCAATGTTGGATGTTCGCTATATCATTCCCTTGAATCAGACATCATCGAACCAAGTACACGGTTAGGAAAGCATACCTGCAATGTAGCCACCGGAGTAGCGGGCGCACGCGCCGCACGGGCGTCGACAGCAAAAGTTATCCTTTGCTTCTGGTACTGCCTGGCTCGGGACCTGGTGTTGATGACCATATCTTCGTCGGTTGGATTTCGCGTAGAGCGTAAATTTCGTAGTGAATAGCACAAATATGCAAGATTCTGGGGAGAAGCAGTTCGAGAGTAGAGTTCTAGTTCAAGGATGATGTTGCTGGTGGTTGAATAATTGTCCTCGGTTTATATGCCCTCAAAGTTGGCCTTTCCGGCGGGTCAATGCAACGGGCCAAGAGCTCGAAGCCACATATAATCCCTTTGAAGGAATTGTGGCCGTTCGCGGAGCACAAGTGAGGGCCGTTCGTATCCAAGCGGCAGGAGCCCTCACGAAGTGGCCTGCTAAAATTAGAGAACAATAGACTCCTGCGAGCAGGAGAATTGGCCGTCGTAGAGGTGATCATTGTAGTCGCGGCGAGTAGTCGACCTTATAGTTGGCACAGCCACATACATTTGAATTCTCTGTGCGTGGGCGCTTAATTCTCAGTCCCCGCCACGATGAACGTGAAGACAACTTACCGCAGCGTCCTTCGGGAACTCTATAAATCGGTGAGCTCGTGCCATTGCACCTTCACCAGCCGCTGACCTTAGTTCCAGACAATAACACCTGGTAAAGTCAACCCAGAGCTGAAGTCGAGCTTCCGTTCAATATTTGACAAGTATCGAACGACCAAGGATACTGCAGTCCTCGACCGGGACCTGGAAAATGCTGTTACCTTCATGCGAGCGAAGAGGGAGCACAAGGTCACTTGTTTTCTTCGAGGCAGAGGTGACTGCGCGCTGACACCATTCACCACAGCGACTACTAGACCGGTATAACCCACTCCATGACCTCACGGAAGAGGAGAGGATAGAGGCGACAGCCCATAGAGTCGGATTCAACATGCCCAAAACCCATGCGCCATCATAGCCTGCTGGCCCGGCAAAAACCATCTTGCGAGCGCGCAACCACATCTCTTCCACATATATCAGCAATACGGGGACATTCATTTAACCTATTTGAACGTCATATCCATATGTACCCAGACTGCGCGGTTTTGGCTTCCTTGGAAACATGATAACGCGTTAAAGTCAATCTTCTAAACGGTATACTCGGTTGCGACGCGTTCTACACCCTCACGAAGGCATCTGATGACCGCTGGAATGGAAAATTCATTTCTGTGAACCAGCCCAGGATTTGACCTAGAAGCAGAAGACGCTCCCCCTGCGCGCTTCTCCAACCTACCATCTAAGAATATACTGTCTGCTCATATCTCATCTCGCACACCATCGGAACCTTGCCACCAACTAATTCTATTGTACATCTGGTTTCAAAACGTGGAAAACGAAATATCAATGCATGCACTATAAGCAGATAGGTGCTGTTAGCAAAACTAGGCAATGACTAGGAGTGGTCGGTATTTGCGTATTGGTGGTATATATATTCACTTGAGCCGTGTCGTGCGTAGGCGTAGGCCAAGGTGAATGAGGATGGTCGATTAAGTTAATGATGATGACGATGTATAGCTTTAGGTTCGATTGTCCACTATCGACCGAGGGGATGACAACGAAGGTTACTATGATGAGAGCCCAAGAGACGATGCGCTAGTGATATAGTCTATGTACAGTGGATGCCAATGCTTGGGATACCTATAAGTGATTAGAGTCGAGGGAAGGAAGTGGGTTGTGGGGACTTCGAGGAACGAGGGTTACGAAGCGAACGAAACGCCCCCGGCTGTCCGGAGACTCAGTACGCGTCGGACGTCATTCGTGAACCGTAATGAATCCAGTACGGGCAGCAAATCCAATAACGCCTCATCCGCGGGGTCATTTGTCCAACCTTCTATAGGAATTCCGTTCGCTACAGAGATTGCAATCAGTAATCAGTAATCAGTCCAATTTCACGTAAAAGACGGGAAAACGAGGGTGATGACGAACACACCTTCGTTGATACGATAACTGATAGGCGAATTATCGATTAGGCATACATTAGATAAGTCTTGCTCGACGACGGCGAGGTCCTTCGTGTAGGTGCCGCTGGGGAGTTGTGTACATGACTGGGGATGAGGCCGTCAGAAGGGATGTAAACAAGGACCGCGGGTGAAACGCACGTCGCGAAATAGGCGTCGGCCCAGTATACCTCGGCCCGCATCTAGCCAGTCAATGACAGGATCTGCATACTCTTGCATGGATGCCGTGAAGATGACCAATGTGTACCAACTTGATACCTGCGCAGAACGTTATAGCTTATTGACAATCATAGAAGGTATAGGCATACCGTGCGCAGGAAGAAGTCTGCAAAAGGTCGTTTATAGACATGATACACCGTGCGCTTGCCCCCCAAGATAACCTCTACTGTGTGTCCTGGTCCGTTGTTCCGTCTGCCAAATCCAAAGAACCCGCTGCTTCCGCTCATGGGCATCGGGCGGGACGTAGAGTGTATGAGGGTTTCGTCGAGATCAAGAACCAGCGTCTTCCTAGGTACTCGTTGGGGTTTGCGTGTAAGCATGGGCGTCTGGGATCGCGATGAGGAACCAGAGTCATTTGGGGGATTATTATTACTTGAGGGATGAACTTGGGAAGACAGTGGGCTCCCAACGTGTGGTGGGTCTGTATGGTGTCGGCCGAGGCTCGGATGCTCTTCGACGACAATGTCTCTGGCGACCTCCTTCCCCTTTTCACTGATCTCAAAGTGGATTGAGCCTTCCGAGGTGGGCCACCAGCGCAGTCGTGTCGTGAACGAAACCCATGTCGAGCACAGTGCATCCCATGCGGCTACAAATACACGAATGAACCGCACCACCGCCTGTACGCGTGTCTGGCTCAGCTTGGGGGCTGCCGACGCTGTCTTGGACGACGATGCGCGGGGCCGTAACGACGCAAGGGTAGGGAATTCCGATGGTGACGAATGCGAACGTGGAGGCGGCGACGCCCTCCCCGGCTTGCGGGGCGGTGGAAAGAAGAAGGACCTCGTCGACCACGACCGCTTCAGCGCTCCCTCGCCCGCTGCATGCTCCAGGAAAGCAGATTTCGCGGCCGTCGGCGTAGATGGTGGGGTCTTTGCTGAAGCCAGGACATCGAATTGACGTGACAGATAAGTCAGGGAATTCATTCGCTGAGTGTAGAGAACGGTCGCAGCCGCACGCCGTGCCTGCAAAGGAGAATTATGAAGCCAGGTGGGTGCAACGAGGAGAGAAAGAGTGGGTGGGAGCGTTGTGCGGTGGCGCAGCGGAACCAACTTCAGTGGATGAGTGCAGTCTATATTCAGGAATTGATCACTGCCACCCCAGTGATCTACCTCTCCCCAATAATCGACTACTTTTGATCACAGGGCCTCGGCTACAGTACTCAATGGTCCGGTGCCTTCAGTATCGATTCCGCTTCCTCAAAACGAACGTTTATTGGCTACAAACGTGAGCGCTGTATTCAAGCTTTCGCTCTGCATCGTCTCCACTCGCCAATCAAGGCAACAGCACAACGCATGCTCTGCTCTGTCAGGGAACTACGGTACGTGAAGGCTGATGCGAGTTTATGGTACGATTATCGTCCCCATTGGAAACTCCCCACATTTTCCACTAGTCAGGGGGTCACTATGCCGTTGATGAAGATCCGACGACACCGAACGTGTAGGTTAGGTACGAGTGGAAGACGGTGGCGACCCGTGTCACCTAAATGGTGTTAACGGTACCAGGGGAGGGGGTTTTCTTCAGAATCAAGGCAGATGTAATAGTCAGATAATGCACAAAATTATATCATACAAATTCTTTCAGTTTGTTGTATATAATACGACTCCGAATCGTCGACTGCGGGGAGCGCGTTGAGTGCCTTGCGTACGTGGGGAATTGGGGAAATGATGTAAACGTACCCAATAGAATAGCGGTTTCATTATCTTCGCCGGCGGGTCCTTCGATAACTCCATGATTATGTCGGATGTGCGAAGGCACACGCCGTTGAGGCTATCAACGACTGCAAATATCCAACGGCGTCCGTTGGTTAAGCAGAAGGATGCGTGCGTAGACCTACATTCCTCTCATTAAGTTGAAGGTCAAGCTTTGTTCATACGTGGTACATACGATTTTTGTTCTTCAGTGCAGTGAATTCTACATCGCAATAGGTATATTTAGTTAGGCAGATTATGTAGAATCAGTCTTTGGAGAGCTCACAAGACAAGACAACGTGCGACGGCTTGTGGTATGTACTTCTGCAGGTCGATCTTCTGTCCGAGAGCCTCCAGGACCATGAACGTTTCTTGCGACGAGTCCGAGTAGCATCGCTGAATACCTATCGTCCTCAGCTCGCCTTTCTTGTAAGCTGCTCTTGATTGATCTCGTCAGCGTACTGATGCATCTCAATCGCACGCAACAACGCCAGGTAGAGTGGCTCCTACCTTCCAAGCGTTCATCAGGGTGCTCCGAGCCGTAGTCCGCGTGGTGGGTCAGCAGGGTGGTGTATTCCTTGTAGTCAATCCGCGCTGGGTTGGTGATCTCGCAGAATCGTGGATCCAACTGGAGAAACAGACAGATGTGAAGCTGGTCACAGATGTCTGATAGCTCGAGGATCCACCGGTTCACGAGAACACGGCTCCCAATCTCTTCCTACCATCAGAGTTTCAGGTCAGCCTGTAAAGCTAAAGTAGTAAACGTATGCCTCACTAGAGTTTCGATGTGGCTGTTAGCGTTGATCAAGTATTGGCGTAGCTTGGGGCGCTCCACTAATCGCTCTAGCACTGTTTTGAACGAAGGCGGCATCATAGCTTCGAACGCCTCCGCTAAGATGGGGCCGAGTTCCTCTCCTGGGATGATATGATCGGTCTGCACGCCGAGATTCTTCATATCGACATCGTTCACAGAGGTGAACGTAGCGTGCTGTCAGCGTTCGTTCCGTCAGCACTGGATCGTATGAGCAATTGGTTGGGCGCAAACGCACCCTAATAACCCGTCCAGGATTCTCATCGCGGAACTCCTCGATATCCTCGACCTTCCTAGTGGTCTGTTCCACAATCTGCGAGAGCTGGTCAAACTCGCGATACCCCGCAAGTTCCGGCTCGTTCGCTATGAGGGTGCGGATGTCGTTGAGCTTGTCCTTCAGCTCCCGTATCGTGTCTGTGTCGGCTTGGTCGAGACTACGGGTCGTCCCCGTCCCCGTTCCATTGCCCTTGCTTCCACCCTGGGCTTTGCCCATGTCGTGCTGTGGATGGTCTCGTGGCTTGACCGCAAGCTGTATAAGATGTCAGATTGAGGCATTGAGCGCCCTCCCCATGCCTGATGGACATGGTGTCTGTTATCGGGGTTGAAAATCAAGGTTATCAATCATCTGCGAGTCCAATTCCGCGGTCCGTACTCACACACCGTAGCTAAATCCTTCTAAAAAGCGGACTTGCAGAGTACGTAGGGAGAAGATACACTTGTGAGTAGCTAATGTGATGAAATCATCTGAATTAATGGGTCGCAAAGGGAAGATGATGGGGCAATAACATAATAGATGTACAAAGGAAGGAAGAATGCTGATAGGCCAAAGGTATGAGTGTGGATATACGGTTACATGGCGAGTGAGGCTTGCAGCTCCCGAAGCTGGGCATCTTCGTCGTCTTCGACTGCGGCGCGTTGTGGTGCTATGGGAAGTTAATCACACTGTGGGAGTGTACGATGATAGAACCGCTTACGCTGAGTAGTCTTGACCGCGCCTGGTGGGGTATGTACGGGGACATGGTCGGCCCCCATCAATCTCTCGTTCAACTGGTCCTGTTCTAGTTCTTCTAGCTCTGCCTTCAAGTCGGCCTAGAGTGATAGCGGCGTCGATGAGCAAGGGGTGGCACACGTAGGAAGTACTCACGTCGTCCAGTTCCATGCCTCCGTATATAGGATTCGATATCGCCTCTCCGATTTCGTTCGCCAACTCCCGCTGTTCGGCCATCGATTGCATCTGCGAGTCCACATCACCCATCGTCCTGAGTCATATCGCAAGTCCGCAGTCAGCACCGCCAGCTCAAAGACTACACCAGAGGTATAGCAGTATACGTACATTTTGCCGTGTATGACCTTGAGTGCGTCTGAAGCCTTCTTCATTGCGGCCATAGTCTCAGCATTCAGGTTGGCGGACTCTAGTGTGTTGACTTGCATCTCAAGCTGCAACCGTGTGCCCTGTAGTCGATCCATTTCTTGCTCGCTGGCCTTCTTCCGCCGTAGAGCAGCAGTCGCAGCTAGATTACATTGATTTAGGTGCAAGTCAGCACTGTGTTACTCGCTCGAGCAGAGGCTGCGGGGCCATTCCATTGCTCGAAGTGTCTTGTAGTACGAAAGAACGCACCAGCCTTATTCGTGACTGCATTCGCCCGCGCGGCCTTGAGCTCGGTATCGATCTTCTTCTGCAAGTACTCCTCCTTCTTCTCTATCATCTGCAGCTGTTGCCGCAGCGTCACTATAGCATCCCGTGCAGACTGCTTCGGGTCTCGACGGCCGCCAAAGTAGCTCATAAAGCCCATCATGGTAGAGTGGTCGTGTGGTATGTGGTGGAGACTGACTTGTCGAACGCAAGTAAATGAGTCGAGTGTTGTGTTGGTAGAGAACAGAGGCGCCGGTGCTGCAGCGGAGCTGCCAAGATGTTCCCGATTAGGAAACATAAGTACAGGGGTAGTCAGGGGTACACTGTGGGTAGTCCCATCGCGAAGCTTCTGACCAAAGCTGCAACGAATCCTTCAGCGAGAAGATACTGGACCTTACCCAGGGAGCCCCAGCTGCCACAAAAAGTAAGTGTAGCTCAACTTATGGCACCCAAATAAGGCGGCAGGACACAGGGGTAGTCAGATATCTTGAAATACGGTTCAAATACGGTTCTCCGAGTTCAAGTGCACCAGCGCATACGACGGTATTTGCTATTCATGGAACTTTACAAAAGCCTCCGGGCCATCGGTATGAACCCCGAGTGCCGACGCCCAGAAGTCCGAATTTCAACCGTTGCCTTGAAGGCATACTCGCCTCCTTCCAATCATGAGCCATCCTGAAAGTATCACGACGACGACGGCCATTCGAGGCGTTGGCGAGAAAGTTTGGGCATGAATTGCCAAAGCGGTAATGATCCTGATTAAAATGGTAATCAAGTGACGTAAATAGATAAATAAACATGATAATCAAGGCGCGTCCGCCCAATTACCCCAGACACCAAGCCCTTTCCTCAACCACCACCATCTCCGTCCTTCCCCGTCCCCGACGCCTGCGCGACATCGCACACGACGATGGCCTCCACCTCTGCACTGTTCTCGCATGATGCCCAGCGCGTATTCGACGACATCGACCGTCATTTCCAGCTGAGCAAGGAGACGCTCGTCGAGCTCACGCAAGCCTTCATCGACGAGTATAGACTCGGACTTGGGAGCTATGGGAAGCCAATGGCAATGATGTGCGTCTCAAGTGTTTGCGTGAAGATCATCTAATATTTACACTGTGTAGCCCGACATTCGTCACGGGCGTCCCCGATGGTACGGAGACTGGGCAAGTCTTATTCGTTCAGTATCATGGAGACAGGATTGCTGAGCGTGCTGTGTTTACAGTACATTTCTTGCCCTCGACTTGGGGGGCACCAATCTGTGAGTTATACTACATCAAACTCAACGACGACCTCCGATCGTGTGCCCCATTAGGCGCGTCTGCGAGGTGGTACTGAACGGCGACAAGACATTCTCGCTGCGGCAGCAGAAATATAAGGTCTCTGAGGAGCTCAAGACCGGCGAAGCAACCGCCCTCTTCGGTTCGTCGTTGCCTATCTCGTCCCGCACCATTGCCCTTCTAACTCCACATCACCCCCTCCGCTCGCCCTGGCATGCGCAGATTATCTCGCGGACTCTGTCGATGCCTTCTTGACGGAGAACACGCCGTCGGAACCCATTCCACCCATGCGTGTACCCACCATGCCCATGCCCGGATCACAAGATGTCGTGCATCTAGGCCTGACATTCTCATTCCCCGTGGAACAGACCGCCCTCGGTGCGGGCAAGATTCTCACCTGGACGAAGGGCTTCGCCGCCAAAAACGCCATCGGGCACGACGTCGTTCAACTCCTCCAAGATGCTTTCGATCGCAAGCACCTGCACGTTAAGTGCGTTGCGCTGGTAAATGACGTACGTATTCGCATTCCGAGGGGCGAAAGATTCGAAGTGTTGCTCTAGTGCTTATCGATGTTCGTTATCTTCCTATTGTAGACGGTCGGCGCATTGCTTTCCCGAGCATACACCGCAGGCGGATGCATTCTGGGTGCAATCTTCGGCACAGGAACGAACGGAGCGTTCGTAGAGCAAGTTGGTAGGTGCAATACTTCCTCAACGAAATATCGAATGTAACACTTGAAAGATAGCCAATATCACCAAGCTAGGCAACTCAGACGCTGCTGCCAAGGGCGGGCTGATGGTAGTCAACACCGAATGGGGGGCCTTCAATAACTCAGTGAGCAATATTCATACTCAACAGAACAATCCAAACGTCCTGACTAAACACCTTCCTTCCTTCTACGTAGCGATCACATCTGCCATCGACACCGTTTGATAATGCTCTGGACCGCCGAAGCATCAACCCTCGCTTCCAAGCCTTCGAGAAATTCGTATCCGGAATGTACCTCGGAGAAATCGCTCGCAACATCATCATGGCCTTGATCGACGCCGCGCCGAAACCGCTCCTTCTTAGCGGGAAGTTCACGCCACTATTGAATACGCAATGGGGACTGGACACCAGTGTCATGAGCGATATCGAGAATGCATGGGAGGGGGAGAAGCGCACGGAGCCGTCGCCGGAGGATCATATGCCCCCGTTTACGGAATTCGAGAGCAAGCTTTCTGAGAATGTGAAGGCGAGGTTGCAGCGGGTACGGAAGACGATGGTGCAGCGCCTTGGCTACGAGGATGAAGATGTTACTCTGAGAGATGCAGCTGTGAGTCGCTTGGACAAGCAGAAGGAAAACTAGCTAAACGGCAACTTTTGGTATAGATAGTCAAGTGGGCGTGTGGCCTTGTCGCGCGTCGGGCAGCGTTGCTGAGCGGTGTCGCGGTTGCCGCTACTTTGATACAAACTGGACGCGCCTCCTTGCCCGCCGGCCACGACAACATAACCAGCTCTGAAGGTGCGGAGGATGAAGAAAAGATCGGAGTTGGCGTCGACGGCAGGTAGGCATCACCCCCCCCCCCCCCCCCCCTAATCCCTGGGCATACTCTGATTACCGCAGCTTGATCGAACACTATCCTCACTTCGAGCGCATGATGCGGGAATCACTAAAAATATTGGTCGGGGAGCACATCGAGAAGCGGGTGGACATTGGTATGGCAAAGGACGGCAGTGGTGTCGGCGGTGAGTCCTCCTTCTATCTTGCTCAATTCTTGCGTTGTTGATATTGACTGACCTTGCTGTATAGCTGCGTTGTGTGCACTAATGGCGTCCAAAGAAATGCAATGAAAGGTGGTTGTGGTTGTGGTTGCGACAATAGAGGGATTTACGACCGCAGATTGATATAGCAATAGCGTTATTATGTATATGTAAAACCGGCTGGATGCAATGTATATCAAGGTAATCGGTACCGTGGACTACGACACTCCCAAATATAAGTAAGATGTTACGCACTTAGTCGTGCCGAATCTAAACGTTTCGCATCTTGGTCCAGTGCTTCTCGTACATCTGGCTGACCTTCCCCCAGTCCAACACCGTCCAGAACTCCTTCAGCCACTGCTCCTTGCCCCACACACCGTACCCAGCGCTCAACCACGCATGCTCGTGCAGCGACACGCAGAACAGGGGGAGGAGCTTCTCGCCGACGTTGATGAGCTCGACTTTCGAGGGCGAAACGTACGTGGAGGGGTCGTAGTACGACGGGGTGTTGGCTACGGCCGACGACGAGTGCAAGTACCGTGCTAGCGGCTGGTTGGGCATCTGCGCAGACGGCGAGCCACTCGCGCCGGACAAGGGCGACGAGGGGAAGACACCCGGCGGCGTGCTTTTCTGCAACGGCGCCGGCGTAGGGGCATCGAAATCGTCCGCCCCATCCCACTCCTGCTGCATGCTCTCACCCGCGATCAGGCCTTGGTCCGGGTTGATATACGAACGCGAGCGTATCAGGAGTGTTCCTGAGCCGAGGGTGGGGAGGATAGCGGTGTTGCCGCGCGTGTCGCAGACGAACCACAGGAATCCCGCGGACGACATCCCCGAGGCGGCGTTGACGAACGTGTCGACGAAGTTTGGGAAGCTGCCCCAGTCGTCGCGGATGCGGTTCAGGAGCGCGTTGGATATTTCACCCTCGTGCGTGCGATGTGGGGGTTTTGGTGGGGGTTTCTGTGGAGATGGTCAGTTGTCTGGTTCATTGTAGTTACGGCGAAACGCACCAGCTGGTCCAGGAAAAAACTGTTATTTAGCGCAAGACTTGCGTAGTTGAAGATGAGAGCCTGGGGGCGGTAAGCAGCCGTCTGAATGACTATGTCTGATATGCGTTTGCCCGCAAGGTCGGTTCCTGGTCGAAATTCATGTCACTGGCGCATCCGGGCATTTTAAGTGCTACTCACTGGCTATCTGCTCATTGAGCCTCTCCAGCAGCCCCTCCTGGTAATCCTCCGCGACAACCTTCAAAGCCTGAGGCGGCAGAAAGTTTCCGAGGCCCTCCTCGATGGAATACGGAAGGGGCCGTCTCCGGTGGATGCTACGCGTCCCCCACGCCCGAGAGGGTAGCGAGAAGACTGCAGCTCGTCGCGTGCATTTTGAGGTGGCCAAACGGAGGCCATTCATCGTCGAAATTGTCGCGTTGAGACGCTCCGAGTCCGCGCGGAAACAACTTTTTCTGCGTGAGAGAACCTGGGCGCCTACGATCAGCCGCTGAGACCACGTCGGCCAGCTCACTTCTGAATTGCGTTCTGCATACAGAATCTCGCCGTATAATGGCCAAATCACCATCGTCGTCGCCAGCGCAAGTGACAGTCGTCCAGACGCTGTGGAAGGCGTACAACGAGCAGACACCGGACCGCCTCAAGTTCGTTGATGCGTTCCTGTTCTTCCTCATGCTCTCGGGCATTGTGCAATTCACATACTGTGTGCTGGTCACCAATTTCCCCTTCAACGCGTTCTTAGCGGGGTGCGTGTTTGATGTCTTTGCGGGCATGCGATGGCTTACATGGTGGCTCCTTAGCTTCTCTAGCACTGTTGGTCAATTTGTGCTGACCGCTTCGCTGCGGTCCCAAGTCAACCCCGAGAATAAAGATGAATTCAAAGAAGTATCCCCCGAACGGTGCGTCACTATAGTTATCCAGATGAACCAACAGGGATAATAACATTACGGACAATTCAGCGCCTTCGCCGACTACGTGCTGGGCTCTATAGTACTCCATTTCTTCGTCTTCAACTTCCTTGGATAAACGCTGCACCCTGTATACCTGTGAAATAATAATCACAAACCAAAAGCTTCATTGCAGTCCGTTATGTTGGATTCCAACTATACACATAGATAAAGAGTAAGGCGCGAAGAAGTACGTGCGATGCTATGAGAATGGTGTGATCAACGTGGTCAACAACTGGGGAGACCTGCCCATACTATGGTACAAGGATTGACTGAGACAAGATGATGGTTCAGGTCTAACGTTTCCGTTCGAAGGACTCCGACCTCTGCATTGAAGGTAATTAGCATTGAAGGTGATTAGCCATGTGGGAAATATACAGCAGGACAGCACGGACCCCGAATATCACCACGGCGAAGTCAAACACATATTCTCCTGGTGATCCATGGGCGTGAGCTGGGTCAAATCGAACGGTATCATAGCACTCACCGAATTCTAGATAAGAACGTAGAAGCTCTTCGACCATATTTTAGTTTACAGCCGTATCACCGTGTGACCGAACAAGCCAAACTCACGACGAATGTCCTTGTTAGGGACTTGAGAGAGTGCAGGGCTACATCAAAGAGACAGTCAGTGCCAAGAACAGCAGGTCGCACCCAGTGGCACACATACGTTAAGCCCGTCGTTCGCCGGATGCCTGCAAGGAAGGCGCTAATTAAGAGGGCATCGAAGCCTATATGAACAAGCTTTCCCAGCATCGTCTTCTCCTACGGTGAGTGTGCTGCAGTTGGGCGGTGCAAGGGCTGAGCTCGATGTGCTGAACGATGAGGACGACGGCTGAGGCAGATGGCGGTAAGGTTGAGAGAGTGCGCCGGCCTCTGTGTGGTTCGCCGAAAGAGGCAATTGCCTTTTTGGCGTGCCAGTGGCAGCGTCATAATTTTGGCCACCTTGCTGGTTACGCCTTGCCACGACAGCCTCACGTCCCCGCGCGCTTTGACCACCCCCGCACCGCTTTTTGACCAGCAACCACCACCATCTCGACACAATGGCCTCCTCCAGGCCACCGTCCCCTACTTCAAGAACGGAGTCGCCGTTTGGCCTTGGCTATTTTTCAGTCCCGTTCGAGCGGTTTGCACGCGAGGAATCAGATTGGGCTGGTGCATTTACACTACTAGGTGCGTATGATAGGCTGGCGGCCCACGAGGTTATCTTGCTCAAGTCCCTTTGTGCTTAGACACGATGGAGACATTCTTCGACTCACATATCGACCTTTTTCAGCGGACGCTGCAGAAGCAGCTTCAAAAGCACAGCGATAGGCTCAAGCTGAAGGCAGAAGAGGCCTTGAAGCTTAGGGAACTGTCGGGGGACGCGTTGGTGGAGAATATGGAACGTGAAGTGAAGAACTTCAAGCTCAAGGTGAGGGATATTCAGTGGCTAGCCAAGGTCTCGCGATGGCTCATCAGTTTTCATAGGTTTCGACGCGCATGACGGTTCTGGCGGCTTCCTGGCAGTCTGCTAAGGTCGTGAGGACAAGAGAGAAGCTTTCTTTCTTCTTTGGAGTCATGACACTGCTTTTCTCCGCTCTGGTACGCCTCCTTCCCTTGGGCGTATATTTGATGTGCTGACGGCCCCATGTGTCTCCGATAGATGTTCGGAACGGACCCCCAGTATGCCCTCAGTCGCTTCTTGATGGTCTCCTATACTGATAAACCACTAGATGGATTCACGTCGCGTATACTGTCCTTGGGTTATACCTTCTTCCGCTACGAGCCTACACGTACAAGAAACGCGCATGGCATTACTTCCTCTTCGACCTCTGCTACTACGTGACAATCCTCAACTTCATCTTCCTATGGGTATTCCCCTCGAGCCCGACGCTATTCATCGCCTGCTACTGCCTCTCCCATGGCTCCCTGGCTAGTGCGGTCATAACATGGCGGAATAGTCTGGTGTTCCACGATTCCGATAAGGTCACGTCATTATTCGTCCATATCTATGCCCCATTTACCTTTACGACGATCCGGTATGTGAACAAGTCCACGATTGGTATGCCATCGATTGACCTAAATACAGCCACTTCTACCCTGATGCTGAAACTCGTTTCCCCGCGTTGCGAGAGGTACCCCATCTAAATCCCGGCAAGGCCCTGCTCCTCAGTGGTGTTATCTGTATGCCGTCCCCCGCTAGTTATGTCGATCCGCACTAATAATCACCGCTCATAGATGTGATCTGGCAAACATTGTACTGGAAGGTACGCGTGAACCTTGTTTCTAATCAGTGCTGCGCTCACTCAAGTACCTACTAGTTTGTATTGATTGACCGCCGCGCTAAAATTCGGTCGGGACAGCGGACGACGTCGTTCTCGTTCCTCCTGAATGACAAACGCGGCGTAATCGGTAGATCACTCTCGTCGGTCCCAGAGGCCTACAGAGAACTCGCTTTCATGGCCGGCCAATTGGGTCAGCAACCTCTCTTTGCCTTCCTTCAAAAACTTACTGAATGTCACTGACAGTATACGCCATCCTGACCGAACTCCCTGCCGTGTTCCTGCTGTACAAGAGCCCCTTCTGGAGCGGGGTCTTCCTCATCGCGATATTCGCTGTCAGCGTGTGGAATGGCGGCGGCTTCTATATCGAAGTCTTCGGACGCAAGTAAGCTTTCTAACTTTAATACTCTATTTTATTTGGCTTGGTGTCTGATGTATGACGTGATTGCCTTTCAGGTTTGAGCGCGAGATGGAGGCTCTGAGGAAAGAGCTGGCTGAGGCGTCCGCTCGGTCGTCTGGTCAATCGAGCCCAGCAGGCATGGATACCCCGCGCACGAAGAGCACCGACGACCTCTCCGACGGTGTATCGCCGCTCATGATCTCGACGCCGTTACCCATGGACTCCCAGGACTCGTTCTCATCGCTGGACACCACCGAAGCGAAGAAGGATCAATGATCGTTTTGGCTTCTTACCATTGGTACTTTTGTTTTTACGATGCCTGCAACGATTTATGTTTATAGAGGATTGGAGTATAGTATGCGACTAATGTCCTCGAGGATTGTACCTTATGTATTGACTAGTTGGGGCTTTGTATTTATTGTGTCTGCAAAGCCCATGCTCGGCGTGGTTGAACGTCGTATTCAAACTTGCTGGACCGTATCGATACCCATGTACTGCGCTCGATGCTAGTGTTCAACCGCTTCCTTTGATGAGGCCTGGAGAAGTCTTTCAGAGTCCGACTGCCCAGATCGCAGGTCCTAGATTTCAGGAGCTCCTACGATGCGACCAATCCTTACTATTCGTGCCAAAGTCGTGCACAGAAGTGGAGCCCAAGGCCGATGTTGTATTCAAGCGGACTGAAGCAAAGCAATATCCCCTGGATTAATTCTCGTGTACCTCCAGGAACTACCTTGGGACAGGAGAAGAGATAGGAGTGTCCCGTGACTGCCAATAAACTTCGAAGCATCAGTGCATCAATGATCCTGACAGCGACAGTACTCAGTACTACGTTCATCGCAGTGATGAACTTGATTGAACCTCAAGTATCGAGGACATTCTGAGTGTGACGGTTTGCAGGATATATATCGTTTTCGCTCGTGGCTAACTACTTCATTTTGTAGATGTTGGAATGTCGGTATGCTAAAGTCGGACCGACCACTCGCTTCGGCCAACAAGCCAATTGATACCTGATTCGACGACGGGTGCAGACCTGCTGTCGAGCTATAGGATCTGTCCTAATACTGTGTGCTTCCACTTTCGGCTACCGAGGCCAAAAATGATACTTTACCTCGCGATTTGGGCAAGATACCGACTCACAGAAATACGGCACAACCCGAAATCAATTTTGACCTGTCAAGACTTGGGTAGATGCACATCCCTCCCTGCATCATAGAAGTAATTCTTGGGTCACAAACTGCTCAAAATAGCCCAAGACGCTTTCACCATTCCTCGCAAAAGCTCCAAGGGTGGATTACGGAACCACGGGGGTCCATGCTTGTCGCCGTCTTTGACGATGTAGCGTAGGCCATATCGAGTTTGAAAACTGGTCAACTATCAACAAAATGGCTGATAATAGATAATAGCCTATTGATCTGTGCACACCAGACATGGTCTTTCGAACTGTGGGGCCCCGGAAGTTGCCCGGAAGTAAACAGACCAAGACTGGCACAGTGAGCCGTCCACATGGAAATGTCGCTTAATGTTTCTCATGTGTTCTTTAGCCCGTCGGCATGGCTCTCTTCTTCTAAATGATGAGAGTTGGTATAGAAGCAGTACAAGTCTTCGAGCCGACGGATTCACTGGCGGGAAACCTACCCATTGTACGTGTAAACCGTGTTTCCTCGAGGAGCTATTCTGACAGTATTTTTACCGCACCTTCTCCACTTTTGCCTGGATGTGGGAAATGCATCTCCGGGCCCCGTTTAGTGATCGTTCTGACACTCGCTTAGCTGCCAGTGTGACCCAACTATAAAAGCAATCCGTTGGAAACTAGGCTTCCATAGCTATTCGAAATTCGATGCTCGAAGACACTCCTTACCTGTATCTCGCTGGCGCTGGTGTTTGCATCCTCTTGACCAACCTATGGCTTGACTACACTACTCCCAACGTACCCTTATTTCCACTGACTCTCGAAATATCACTGTCTCACATTTCTCTTTGCAGCTCAAATCTATCCCCACCGTTGGTCCATCGGGACGTTTGACTTCCTTTCTGGGTGTCTACAGATACCTCAAGAATGGACAGGCTGTTATACAAGAGGGCGTCGAGAAATACAAATCTGCCATCTTCAGAATTCCGATGGTGGACAAATGGGCTGTTATTGTTAGTGACAGCAAGTCCATAGATGATATTCGACAAGCTCGAGATGAGGATCTATCGTTCTACGATGCCGTCAATGATGTATGTCCCCGATTTCCTTATGTTTTGGCCTATTACTGAAGACGACTTCAATCTACTACAACAGGGTCTGCAAACTGAATATATCGTGGGACGTGATGTCACCGATAATCACTACCACGTTGAGGTTGTGAGGTCAGCTCTCACCCGAAGCCTAGTCGCCCGATTTGGGGATATACGGGATGAAATTGTGGCGGCCTTTAACGACAACATTCCTTCAAAACCCGGCGGTAGGGTCGCTTAGTGATATGCGAAGCGCCTTGCTAACCATCTCCTCAGAATGGGTTTCAGTATCCGCATTGGAGACAGTCATGCAAGTCGTTTGCCGAACAAGTAATCGCCTCTTTGTTGGCCTGCCATTATGTGAGTTCAAGAGCGCTACTCATTCTCATCGATGTCGACTGACTGTCCGCCACCATAGGTCGCGATCCCGACTACTGTGATCTTAACATCACCTTTACCATGGATGTATTCATTCGCGGGGCACTGCTCAGTTCAATGCCGGCATTCATTCGCCCGTGAGTACCATCAAATCACACTCTAATACATCTCCTAATCTCCTCTCTTAGGCTTATAGGCCCTCTAATGTCGCCTATGTCTTCAACGTTCAAGCGGACGGAAAAGCATCTCCAGCCGCTGCTTGTACAACGCATCGAAGAAGAAGAAATTCTTGGCAAGGACAGACCCGATAGACCTGTGAGTGCACTATCTATTTCAATCGTACTAGACACATAAATTGATAATATACAATTCAGAATGATCTGATATCCTGGTTAATCGATACCGCTCCAGAGGACGAGAGAAACATGAGCTCGTACATCAAGCGTATTTTGGTCGTCAATTTCGCTGCCATCCACACATCGTCCAACGTCAGATCCATTTCCTGAACAAGTGTTATCTATCACTCATGACGCCGCTGTGCAGAGTTTTACTCAAGCCCTCTTCCAGCTTGCTGCCCACCCTGAGTATCTTTTGCCTCTAAGAGAAGAGGTCGAAGCCATCATAAGCGAAGAAGGATGGACTAAGGCCGCAATGGGAAAGATGCTCAAAATCGACAGCTTTATCCGTGAATCGATTCGATTCGAAGGTTTAGGTGCTCGTGCGTACTTCCTTCCGGTTCTCCCTCGTCTAGTACACGCTGACATTCACACGCAGTTGTCATGACACGCCGCGTCGCCAAACCTGCTGGCTTTACCTTCTCTAACGGTACACATCTTCCTCAAGGAACTTTCCTCGCGTGCGCCGGGTGGTCTGTTCACCACGAAGCTAACATATACCCAAATCCGATGGAATTCGATGGCTTCCGTTTCTCCAACATGCGTGAAGATGGGGCGGCGACAAAGCATCAGATCGTAAATACAACGACAGAGCATCTCGCGTTTGGCCATGGGAGACACGAGTGTCCGGGACGGTAAGTACATAATGATTCGTCTCTGATACTTAATTGATCATTGCGGCGGCAGGTTCTTCGCAGCTAACGAACTCAAAGCCATGCTTGCCCACGTTGTGCTGACCTACGATGTCCGGCTCGAAGGTGATCTACCTGGCAATCGGTGGTTCGGCTCTGCCGCCTTGCTCAATAAGGATGCTCAGGTCATGTTCAGAAAGAGGCAGGTCTAACTTTGTCAGTAAGACGTCCTCTGGTGCGTAAACGACGTTGTACATATATTTTCGACACGCGCGTTATCTATCACAGTAGCTTTCGTTCGCAGTGAGAGGCAGTATGTCCGTGTTATGTTGAGTTGGGTCTAGATAATGTAAGATACATCGACAAAGTTGCTCTATAAGTTGATGATTAGTGAACTGAACGATGCGGCGCCTTGATGACTTGACATCCATAGTAGCAGTGTATCGCCCGAAGTTAACCATTGCACAACTTGGAGAGGTATTCGTCGTTGTTGATGTTGGGTGCATTGTTCGCTGACTTTGGTGACCTATAGTGAGGAACTTCAATATTGTATCCGAAGATGATAGAAGCGACTGTTTAGTTGGCTGGCACTATGGAATCATTCTTGCCGGAGCTCAGGCCAGCGCATTCCAGCCTTGGGCCTTCATGCCTGTTCGTTCGTGCTTGCCGTCTCCGAAAGTTGCGGTCCGCTGTAAGGATTCAGTGGCTGTAGTTTGATTCTACCCTGATCATACCCATTGGCGCCGCCTCAAGATGGTCTTCGTATTCCTTTACTGACATCTATTACCCTAAATGGACCGTACTCGGACCGTACATCTCCCAAGAACGGCTTGATATCAGGATCTGCGCCTCTGCTGATCCTTCCTAGTACCAGTCGGGCTCTCAATGAAAGTGTCTGCGGGAAGCTCGTTCTTACTGCCAGCACAACTCAAGCTCTCGAGCGCGTCGAGTACTTGCATTGTTCCGATCAATAGAGTGAGAGTCAATCGAGAGCATAGTTTCGAATAGTCGGGGCGTTCAATATGACCGTAGCCAGGTTGGTAAGTGACGAGTAACTTCTCTTTCTTCTCTGCTAACCCGGTATCCAGTCAAGCAATCGACCATAGATTGAAGGGAGCGTCGATCGACCTGCCTAGTTCTACTGTGGCTCCGTTTACGGACGTTTTCCTGGAGACAGAACTTCGTTACCTGTGATGCCCCAGGCCACCTGGCGACCATCGAGGGATTCCTGCCCTCCGTTTCCTATAAAACCCTGTGCTCTCTGGCCTGATACAAGCAGCCTCACTCTCTGAAGCACTCCCAGACAAGATGGTCTCAACAGGCGAGTACATCTGCTCCTCTTCCCGTCACGTCATACTTATGCACATCTGCTTGCGATCAGCAATTTTCTTGCCTTTCGTGAGTCTCGTTGTAGCACTTGTTGCTTTGGCGGCCCCCGACGCCCAGCGTAAGTGCTAGGAAAGACGGACACGTTTGTCATGCTGACCCATTACACAGTGTGCGCCCGCGGACAGAACATTGCAGACACCACGCCGACGTGCAAGGTCACTGCTACCCCGAGGGCGTTCCAACCGGCCTTGTTTAACGTCTCCAAGTGGATCTGGACTGGTGAGAATCCGGTTCCAGGCGGTAACAATATCGTCAGCACTCGCCCTTTGAGGAAGAATATTACGACTCCTTGCAACAAGTGCGCCGTCTGTGCCACCATCGTGATAGCTTCGTAAGTTCCCCTGATATGGAATCTATTGAATAACACGCTTAACGAGATACTAGTGATGATGCATCCACAGTCTACGTCAACGGCGTTCGTATTGGCTCTGGCGGGACCCCGAATCAGGGCCAGGCCTTGTTCGTGGCATTGCAACCTTCCTGGAACCTCTTTGCCATTGCTGGTCAGAATCTGTTCGCCAACACTCCAGCAGGTATTATGGCCACGATCTTGGTCCACTTCTCTGACGGTACAACCGAAAGCTTCATTACTGATGAGTCGTGGAGAACCCTGCCCGCTGCGCCTCCCGCGAATTTCCAACTCCCATCGATCGACGACAGTAATTGGGCCTTCGCCTCTGTGCAAGGGACGTATCAGAAGTCAGTTTGGGGGCCACTAGCCCTACCACCCGTCCTTCCCCTCCGTGGCTCAAATTGGATTTGGACGACCGACAATGTGAATGGCGTTGCCCCTGTAGGATCCCGAGCTTTCAGAAAGACAATTAATGAATGCGCCAAAGTCGCGGTTTGCGCCACTGTCCTGATCGCCGCGTAAGTTCTACACTTCGTCCTGGAGCTTGAGCTAGTGGCACTCAACTCGAGTATTCTACGACGAAGTGACAATCACTATACATTGTACATCAATGGAGGCGTAGTTGGATCCGGGTCCAGCTACACCGTCGCCGATGCCTACACGATTCCTAACCTTCACCCCACTTTCAACACCTTCGCCATCAACGCCACAAACGATGGCGGTCCCGCAGGTGTCATTGCAACTATTCTCATCACGTACCGGGATGGTTCGAACGAAACACTCGTCACTGATGGCAGCTGGAAGGGCATCCAGAAGATCCCTCAAGGATTCGAGCTGCCCATGACCGATGACTCTGGTTGGGAGAATGCGAAGGTTGTTGGTGCTTATGGGATTGCACTGTGGGGTACTGGTATGGCTATCCCTAGCGCTTAGGGTGTTAAAGGCGTATTAAAGGCGTGGTCTACAATGTGGCAAGTATGGAGGTCGGCATATGTAGTATTCGGCGCTTCATCACAATACACATTTGACGAGACCCTACCCTTGTTGCGTACTGGAGGTAAATTGGAAGCGATTGAAATAAAATCAATGGTGTGGTATATTACGGTAGCAACAAGCTGGGTAGCGCAGACAGAAACGTTCGCATACCACAAGTCACATCTTGTTTAAGGAAGACATTGAAGGATGATTACATCCCCAAATCAGCTCCCATTGCACCCCAATCCACAAACTGCTCAAAAAGGGTATCTTGGGAAAGCGACAGGTCCAGCGGATCGGAGGCGGAGAAAGCAGTATTTGTGTGAGTGTTTTGCGCCAAGAGTAGCTGGGCGTAATTTTCCGCGAAGGCCATATTTTCTCTAGAGGCCCGTATAGAGCTCCGGACTTGTCTGTTATCCGTCGACCCCATGTTCACGTCAGAAATCTCATTGAGCGTATTTGGGATACCACTGGGCTCGTATCGCCCAGCAGCCAGTTGTTGATCTAACGGCGGGGACTCGGGCGAGGCATGATTCCAGAGCGGCGGCAGAGGACCTGTCCAAGTATGAAGGGAGGTCGGCCAGGTTGTGCTTGACAGAAGTAATGAGGAGCCTGAGTAATTCAAGGGCGGTGGACTGCCAAATGGCTCGACCAAGGGAGCTACGGAGTCGTCAATAAGTGCTTGAAGAGATGGAGACAACACCAATGCATCGAAGCTGTCTCTGCGACGTGGGATGGCGTGTGGCGGCGAAGCACGGCGCGTAGCAACTGGATCGATAGCCAGAGGAGCGGTCGTGGAGGGGTCAAAGCCTATTTCGTGCGTCGAATAACTTAGTGTATGGGCAGCTTCATTTGACGAAATCCCCAGAATCTCATCGTCTGTTTCTCGCGTTTCCTCAGAGTGTTTTCGACGCTTCTCCCGACGACCGAGCTTGCAATAAGCACGAATGATGTCCGACGCCATATACCATGGTTTCTTCTCTTCCCACGTCATCGTCGCCCAGGCTGCCTTGCATCCGGTGTAAGTATTCCTACGGAATATGGTGTAGGCAGTTGCGCTCGGGCGTCTTTTGCCCTTGAAATCTGATGCGGATGCATTGATGACACGGTTGATGAGTTGCTTTGTCTCGGGTAGTGATAGGATGCCAATGGCCTGTTCGTGATAATCTGGCACATGCGCATTCGGTTGGCGAGGGTGAGGAGAGGAAGGAGGAGACTGATTCTGCATAGTTAAGAAATTGTCGGTGGAATTGTAAGTAAGGCGCCACTATCCTCAGAGTATTTATGGCCCATCAACAAGCTGAATATTGCGGCAGTGAGTTTGGCGAGTGTTCTGTACGCTTATCGATGCGCGCAGTAGTGCGCCATATTTCAGGCTGTTCACCGAACGACGCAGATTCCTAAGAGAGACCGTCAACGCCACTGGCGCCACGATTGAGGGTGGACCCAAGGAGAGGCGGCATACGCCTTGCTTCCGAGCGTGTTATGTGCTGTGTATAGCAGTATCAGTAATCCGTATGCAGATTCTTACTTGGCCATGCCATGTGCTGGATAGTAGAGAGTCAAGTACGAGCGGGAGGTCTCAGGCCACACGGCCTTCATACTTAAACATAGCTCCTAGGTTGGCCGCTACTCACTACCGCGACTCTGTGGATAGGTTCTGGCAAAAGAAGGGAGCAACGACCTCGTCCCGCTTTGTGGAACGAAACGAATGCCAGATCTCGTCCTTCCCAAAGTTCGTTCCTATAGCTATCAGAAAAGTCAGCCTTTTGTAGCAATGGTGGTCGTACCTGCGTCGCGCTGTCCGATGTTTGAATCCAAGTGAATTTCATTCAAGCGGAGTCACAATGCTGTGTAGTGGCGCCAGTCGGCCCATTGTGCTCCTAGCTGTCTCTTGCTGCACAACCACCATGTCAAGAACAATCACCACCTTTGCGGAAGAATCGCACACATCATTGAATCTCAAAGTGCTTGCTACTTCCTCCCCCGAGGCTCTCGTAGATCAAGCCACCAAAAAGTTATTGGCTGCAGGAATACAGCTCATCGAATTCAGGTACCAACTATATCGTCGCATGGGTGTTCCTGCCGTCGTAATGGTGAGTCTGGTTGATGTAAGGTCACGAACTGCTCATTATCATCTCAATAGAACCCTTGCTATCTGGTAGACGATGACCGGCTGGACGAAGCCAGCAACATCGTCGCAGATTTAGGCCTCCCACTTACTTCCCCTTTATTGACGAATGCAAATACCGAAGGCAAATTCGTAACGCTGAGCCGGCTGCACCGCATCACAACCAGCACCGCACCAGGCTCACAACAATTCCTGCAGCTCCTACCCGCCTCATTTACAGGCTTCGCGCCCTCCGATCTCATCCCTTCCCCGTCCTCCGAAGCAAGAATCCGCATACCGAGGGAATCGGCCGTCTACGCCTGTCTTCTCCGCATCCTAGCTCTCTCTCCAAGACATGATCCGACACGGCGACAGGCGTTGAGCGATTTGTCGATGCTAACGATGTACCATATGTATGGTATGGAGGGGTACTCTGAAGATGACGACAACCTCGCTCCTGAGGATGACCCAGCGATACAGGGAGCCCTGGCGAGAGTGCGCGAGTGGAGCTGGAATAGGGAGTGGCGTGCAGGCGAGGAGTGGATAGGCGACCTGTTGTACGCCTTCGTCCAGGGTGATTATCAGGACGCCTATATTCCATGGTCTGATTGATGATTGTCTGCACACTGGGCGAAAGTATGTGGATGGAAATGTGTTCGCCAGCGATCACCCATCGCCTCATGATGGATTACTTCCATTGATACAAAAATGTACGGACACGGCAAATATGGGGCTCGTCGCCGCATTCTTGCCAAGGCATCTAGGTTGAGCGGCGGAATTCCTATGTTTCAGTTGCGCATCTCGCTGCCATCGTTGTCGCTGAGGGTGGAGATAGTTGATATGATCGGATAGCTGGTAAAGGTCAAAGTCGATGAACATTTTCTTGTGGACGAGCCATCAGAGAGGAACATGATGTCTACGACAACGGACTCTGCTTCCTTCCATGATTTGGGGCGGCTCGATGCGAAAATGCACGTCCAACGTCTGGGCTTGGTCAAGATCAAGACAGAAGGGGGAAGCTAGTCACCAATAGCGCTTGGATCGACAGCATTTTGGGATGTACATAGTAGTGTTGTCATTGAAAGTAGCAACAAGTCATTCATAGGCTCTTGTACATCGTAATTGAAGCCTCCGAGACGGAAGTGTTCGCATACTGAGAGAAAATTTGAGAGAATCCTAGTGATACAGAAAAATCACACTTCTAAATCCATTTCCATTGGATCGCAGTCTATGAACTGCTCAAATAAGCTATCTTCAACTTGGGAAGGCGACAAGTCCAGCGGATTGGAGGCGCGGAAAGTGGTATCAGAATGGCCTTCAGGTGGAGGGGTTTGTGTAAAGAGTAATTGGATAAAATCTTCCACGAAGGCCAAATCTGCTCTTGACGCACCTATAGAACCTGGTACATTGACCATTGTTCCCGTGTCCGGCGTGGAAATCTTGACAATATCGCCAGCTGAACCTGGGATATCGCGGTACTCAGACCGTGCGGTCTCCAGTTCTGAATTCGACGACGAGAAATCGGGGAAATCTATACTGCGAAGCGGCGACAAAGGATCCGTCCATGTGTCGAGGGAGGCCGGCCACGTTGCGCTGGACATAAGCAAAGAGGATCCAGAGTAATCAAAGTATGGTGGACTGCTAGATGGATGAACAGAGGTGGCGTCCGAGTCCAAAAGCTCTCGAAGAGGTGGAGATAACACCATTGGAGAACAGCTGTCTCTGCGGGGCGAAAGTGCGTGCGGTAGAGACGCGTCATTCGTAGCTGAATCACCGGCCGAATCAATGGCCGAAGGAGGTGTCGGAGAGGCGCCATGACCTATTTCGTGTCTCGGAGACCCTTGGACGTGCGCCGAAGTCTCCACATCGCCAACCCCCATTTCTCGAGGAGATTCCCTAGATTTGTTTCTCTGTTTCTTCGCTGGAAGCGGTTCATCGAGCTTGCAATAGGCACGGATGGTGTCCGACGCCATATACCACGGCTTCCTCTCGTCCCACGTCATCTTCGACCAGCCTGCCCTGCATCCAAGGCGACGCACCCTACAGAAAAGGGTGAAGGCAGTCACGTTTGGGCGCCTTCGTCCATTGAAATCCAATTCAGATAGATCGATGACGCGGTTGACGAGTTCCTGGATCTCGGGCAAAAGTAGAATTTCAATGGCCCGTTCGTCGTAGTCTGGTACATTCGCCGCCAGTTGCGCGACATTATGATAGGAAGGAAAAGGCGAATTCTGCATGCTTTGAAAAAATCGTTGAGGCACGGCATAACCTCCAGAGTTTTTATGGTCTTATCAATCTTGCGGCGGTGACTTTGGAGGTGGCAGGTAGCATCTGGCAGCCTGTCGAGAGCGCAGCAGGTTGCGCCATATCCCAGGCTGTTCGCCGTACGACTCACATTCCCAAGAGGGATGAAAATGAGTCTCGAGACTCGCAGCGTGGGGCGCGCCCCCGTTGCTATCCGAATCAAAATTTGCCTGAGGTTGGGCGACATTTATGTTGACTCAGCATGATGCACAGCAATCCTAGATGTGAGTAGACCCTCGGGCATAATGCACTTACCTTGTGGTGGCGTCCAGAGAGAGGCAAGTACGAGCGGGAGGTTGGTCGTGGTCACGAATACGACTTACATAAGCGTAGCCCCTGATCTCAACGAGCGCTTAGATGCCACTGCTCGTCGCGAAGCGGCGAAGGAGATCTTGCTGCCGTACTCCTTCCGTTGGTTCCCCGCCATTTAGGTGGAGACACTCGAAGGTACTATAATCCACACCGCTCAGCAATGTCTTCCTTCTTTGGCCTGTAAGTGCATCGATATTTCAGTATAGTAACGCCGATCTCAGAACCCGCTGCCTCGCCGCGCCATCTCACCTTTATCCCACTGCCGATTCGTGAACTACACGTTGCACATACGATCAGAGGGAAAACGCGAACTTTCAAGCCGCGTAAAGATGTCCCCGAGGGTACGAAGCAATATCAGTTGAGAAAGTACGCCGAGGCAACTTTGGTGAGTTGTAGCCGTTTACTCGAGCGATAGATAATTGATCACCTCCCCGGAACTAAACTTACCGTTCGCAACGTTTCCTACTTCGTTTAATCGCGTGTAGGGATCGGGAAACCTCAGGCTAGCCGTACAGCTTCCGGAAGGCGAAGATCTGAATGAATGGTTAGCTGTGCACGGTGCGTTCTCTACCTTTCGCTGGATCCTGGGTTCTTAGTGACTGCAACAACGCTACAGCCGTTGATTTCTTCAACCACTTAAACATGCTTTACGGGACCGTCACCGAATTCTGCACTCCACAAGAGGTACTATTAATTCATCATCATTGTCCATCTGGTCCTTGACTGAGGCTTGGGCCTGCAGTGTCCAATTATGTCCGCTGGCCCAAGGTGAATCGCTCAGCTATTTGCCTCCCACAAGAATATTCTAAATATCCAACGGTAGATACGAATACCTCTGGGAAGATGGTGTGAAGTATAAACGGCCAACCAAGCTAGCGGCTCCAGAATATGTCGACGCGTTGATGAACTGGGCTCAGGGCTTGCTTGACGATCCCAACGTATTCCCGAACAGAATCGGCAAGTATCCTCCAATTTCGCGTCAACGCTGGTGTTAAAGGGCTTGTAGGTGTACCGTTTCCAAGGAACTTCAGAGATACAGTGCGAACGATTGTGAGGAGATTGTTCAGGGTGTACGCCCATATATACAGCAACCACTTTGACCATATATGTGCTTTGGGCATCGAAGGTACACTTTTTGGCTTGTTTCGATAATTCGGGCCGGCTAACATCTCCTGACTGTTCAGCCCATTTAAACACCAGCTACCGACACTTCTTCCTGTTTGTCAACGAGTTCGACTTGGTCGACAAAAAGGAGCTAGCCCCTCTGGATGAATTGAACGACGCGATTTTAGCTGAGGACAAGGCTAGGTAACGTAGATGTTGGTAGAGCGTCACATCGGTATTAGGAGCTGTAATTATATACCACGAGGCCATGAAGGAGTCTGTAGTCCGCAATCAGTTGGTCCTTTCTGTCAGGGGGCATAAATTCGTTCCCCCTTGTATGTCTTTCCGTTCTCGTCAAGCAACTTCTTCAACCGTGTTGCCACCTCCTTCACGCAATCTCTTGCTTCTTCGAGACCCTTCCAGCATCCTCCAATGCTCCAGCATTCGGAGCAGGCTTTACTGGCAATATTCATCGTCTCCAACTCCAGTTCGCCCCGTGCGTGCAGGGCACAGACAATGTCCATTAACCGGTTAAATCCGGTGAACCAGGTAGAGATGCCCCGTTCGGGGTTCAGTGTAACGTCCGTCACCAGGTAGGACGACGAGAGGTTTATGCAATGTCGCAGGACTTTCTGGTCAATAATATTTTGCGATGTGGAAGTGGAAGTGGAAGGTGTGCCGGTGGTATCATTAGATGGGGCAGCTGCGTCGGTCGTGGCTACGCGGTGCATGCGGGGTATCACTTTGATCACGAACTTGCTGTAGTCTGTAGGGGTGTTTTGGACGGCCTGCCAGCGAAACATGAGGCGCATGGTTAATGGTTGACGGAGAGTCTTAAAAGCTACACGCACCGGCAACTCCATTGGTCCCGCGAGGTCTTGGCTAGCCTAGAACATCCCAATTGTAAACAAAGGGGCTAGCCATCGATTGCGTCCCACTCACATCCAAGAACACAACGATACAAAACGACGATCGTTGGGCGGATCGTCGGGGCGGGGCACTAGAAGCGTTAAACGCCGGCCGACATGATCAGGGGCAGGGGTAGATATTCGGCCGTTGCCGAGCGCGTCTGATTTCCGCGTCGCCCAAGTTCAACTTCACCAGACACCACGACACTACCGACGCCCAAAAAATGTCGCAAGTGCTGAAGACTCTCCTTGAGGGACTCACGCCGCCGCCGTTCTACAATCCTGTGGAATACGACGGTTGGGAGTATCGGTGGAGGGTATTTACCTTCCGTCCAGCCTGTGCGTATTGTATCCACCCTCCACGTACCCCGTTTACCGAGAATTTCTTCTAGATTTCAAAACGGAAGTGGGGCTCCTTGCGGGATTGCTGCTTGTAGTTGTCTTCTTCCTATGGGGGAAGTCCCAAAATTCCCGGAGAGCAAAGAAGTGGTACGTGTCGTGCAGGAGCTGTACGTTTCGTATCATCTAACGGGCGGCGAACTTTAGGATGGACGCGCACCTGCCGCTGCTCACGTCTCAGTTCTCCAAGCCTTCGGTAGATGGCTTGAAATCTGACGGGTACAGCGACTTCTTCAACTTTTCGACTGGGCGTCGCGCTGTTACCTCGCTACATACCATCTTTACCTTCAGACCGCGTCACGACTTGCTTCAGATGGTATACCAGATTGTCTGGGGCTTGGTTGAAGTACAAACCACCTACCCTGACGACCTGCAGTTGGATTTCAAACTGAACGAAGGTACCTTGGAAAGCGGCTTCGTATGGGCGGTCGTCAAGAAGGATGAACTCAGGACGATCAGAGATGCCAGATGGGATTTGGTGCGTTGGCCACTATACATTCACTTCACTTTCTATATGTCTTACTTGCGTAATCGTAGACCTTCACCAAGACGACTGAGAATCCGGCCCTTCCAGCACAGTTCTCCATCATGGCTGGTGGGTTCGACAGTGCTTGATACCCGTCCGCGAAGAATAACATCCCCCTAGAACAAGCGGATATTACGGAGACCATCCTTAAGACAACTAGCCTTGTACAACTCCTCAAAGACCCCGCCATCTTACCTTATTTCCGATCACTGACCGTACGTCGTTTACTATGGCCATCCTCATGTGTTCTGTGCCTACGTTTGTTTTCAGATCACTGACCAACCACGCGAGCGCCCTGTACTCCCTTCAGAGTCTGTCCCTCTACCGCCAACCGAAAAACATCTAATTCTATCCCTTAACTGCCCTCCACCATCATCTGCTGACGTCACAGTTCCCTTCATCACGTCTCTCTTCCCATTCATCGACTCGCTCCCCAAGGTCTCTCTGCGCCCAGACACAAAGACTAAGCTGAAGAAGATTAGGGAGGAAGTCGATAAGGCAATCAGGGAAGAAGCGGGTAGAGAGAAGAAAGAGGAGTTGGAGCAACAGCTTGAGGAGAAGAAGGCTGAGAAGAAGAGGCAGGAGCAGGAGAGAATATCGAAGCTGAGCGCAGCGGAGCAACAAAAGGTAAGTTGGAAAGTTCTTGCGAGATCTATGTTTGTTGAAATGCGCTGGAATCATAGATTTTGGACCGTGAACGAAAGCGCTCGCTGAGGAAGCAGCAGGGAAAAGTATCTGTCCGAAAGTAATGGTATATCTTTGTTTATTATTTAATACCTATACTTTTCTCGATGTTGTGATACCCTACTCTCCCTCGCCCTTGTCTTCACTCGTCAGATCTCTCCACGCTGTCAAGATGGCGCTAAATGGCGATAGACCCTGTAGGTCTCTCGTCAAGCAAGGCTCCATGGACTAAGTAATTCGTGACTGACTACAACTTTGGGGAATTTGGGGGACATAACTATCACCCTGTACCCAGTTGGCTCAGTATGAATGAGAATGATCATAAGCTGAATGGGATAACATCATAACAATAATACAATTTTGTTGTTTATTGTATTTTTTGTGCTCATTCCTCCTCGATCCCTGCACGCCTTCATACCAGCTGTTCAGAAACACTGAGAATAGACTAGACAAAGACAAAGAAGTGATTAGCGAGAGGTAACGGTGGAACTTGATGATCGACTTACAGTCGTTAATAACATGGCAGGTGAATGGAGAAACACAGGCGGTGGGGCCGGTGTAGTTGATACCTATGCGATGAGGCAAAATCAGTGACGAAGGTTGCTTTAGTGTCATTAATACACTTACCGCCGCACTGAGCCCATTGGGGGACTGTGCCAGAAGGAGCAGTCGGGGTTGTGCCGCTGGAGGTCGTGCTGGGAGTAGACGATGTAACTGGGGTAGACGACGTAGGAGGGGTAGAGCCGCCGCTGAAGGTCGAACCAATGGGGCCGTACTTGATGTTCGAGTACGTAACCGAAGCATTCGGGTGTTGTGCCTCAACGTCGGCGGGGACACCAGATGTGGTAGCGCAAGCGCCACGGGAGACACCCGGGAGGGACGGGTCCTTGTCGGTGGGGAAGTCCGAGTCGAGCCAGAGCATGTTGACGGCGTGGTCATCCCAGACACTGAGGACCAACACCATGCCGTTGTCGAAGGACTTGCCCATCTGTCTGAGTCCGCCCTTGGTGGCGAAGTAGTTGTTGTCGCCGAAGGCAGACTTCTGGGCCGCGCAGAAGTCACCGGTGATGGAATCGTAGGGGTCGAGTCCTGGGACGCTGGTTACTGAGTTCTGGATAACAACGCCGTCCTGAACGTAGACTCTGCGGATTTCGACGAGGTCTCCGCTGGAGGTGTTGTCGGCGGTGATGAATCTAGCGCGGTTCAGTATACCATTTAATAGATTGCACCAATATCGACTCACTGAGTTACGACAGTGATCTTCTTGCTGGTGTCAACAGTCTTGCCCAAGCCAAGGAAGGAGCGGTCTCCCATACGGTAGGAGTTGAAGTCACATCCATCCTTGTCACAGACGCCAGCATATCTGTTGTCGCCGTCACCGCAATCGGTGCCAGTGCAACGGAAGAGGCCGTCGGTGCTGCAAGGGTGGGGAGTGTAGGCGGCAGCCATCGAGTTGGCTTCCCAGATATCCATCTCACCGCAGCAGGCACCGAAGTTTCCGGCTCCCGAGTTGGGATCGCTCGACGAGCCAGTCCAGCCGACGTTGTTGGCCTAGGCATATCATGATTACAAGATGTTATGCATCGATGGTTCAAAGACACTTACCACTCCTCCAATGAACTTGAGATCGTGGGGGCACTGGGAGTCACAGTAGCCAGTACCGAATCTCGCACCAGCCTAGCGAATAACTATTATTAGCATATTGAGACCGAAGACGTTCGCCACTGGCACATACCGCGTTGGTAGAGGAAACACCACCGTCTGCTGGCATCTCTGAGAAGTAGAGGGCACCGTTCAAGCCACAGGGAAGGTTGGACATGTCGACGTCGAAGGTGAATTCTTGGTTCTTCAAGTTGAAGGTCTTGTAGTGGGTGTTGTCCTCCATGAGGTACACTCGGGAACCGATGTTCTTGTTGGCGCCAGTGGTGACAAATTTGAGGGTAAGGGCATTGCCAGAGGTGGTAATACCGTATGTGCCGCTGTAGTCAGCACCGTCGAGGGCGCAGTTGGCGGCACAGGCGGCGCCGTCATTGGGCGGGCACAGAGTCGCGTCGAAGGTGTTGCCGGTGTAGCAGTTCTATATGGGGCTTTGAATTAGCTTTGAGCATCCAAAGTGGAGACGAGTGGAGCTTACAGTCGCGCCGCTGGTAGAGTGCAACCAACGCCAGTTGGAATCAAGGGTAACAGCGCGGTTCAGGCTGGTGCAGCCGCTCGCGGTACATTGCTGAACAGTGAGAGGAGGGTGGGTCTCCGTCGTCAACGTGCCGATTTGTTGACCAAAGGCCATGGCGCAGAATGCGAGAGCGGTAAGAGCGATTTTGTTGAACATAGCGAGTTACTGTGTAGCCGAAAGACCTTGAGAGTTGCTGAGAACCGTACCGATGCAGAAGTGGAGTAAGAACCATCGAGTTTATATAGTAAGATGCTATTCCGACTCAAGTTCCTATCAGGCATCGGCAAAGGATAGTTATGTCCACTGTACTGCTGGGGCCGAAGTGTGCCCGGTAGATAATGAGATAATGGTTAATTAACGCGAGGAGTGGTTGAAGAGTTGATCCGTCGCGGGTGATAGGACGAAGGCGGCGGTAGGTGCACTGCGTGGTACATATAGAGTCCTTCCCGACAGGTGACACCCATGATCCAGCGCTTCGTCGTAGTAGAACGGTAACACACGGCTGCAGGGGCCGAGAAGGGGCCGATTGTACTTCTACCGTGGATGTACTATGTAGTGTAGCCAAGGAAAGCATACGTGATCACGGCAACATCGTGGGCGTAGTGATATGTTCACGTACGCACAAATGGTATGTCGGATTATCCTCGCTTCGCCTAGATGAATGTCCCAGGAAGTGACGAAGTTGAGAAAACATTGCCGCTTCAGCACAGAATAACAGGTGCCGTTGTTCTAGTGAATATTATTTAGTAAGGCGCGGGTGTGAACGATCTTTCTAATGCGTCTCTCTTGTTGATAAACTGAGAGCACGTTGACCTTATGAGTATGTCTGCACGTCACCTAGGCTATTGGCTGAGTAGGGTACGCGTTGCTGGTCGACAGACTGTTTGCTGGTTGATAAGGGCACGGATGCTTCCTTAAGTCCGTGGCCACCTGACAGACTGGCGATGTGTGAGGTTGTGCTTCAATAGTGAGGCCGTGAATTTGATAGGTGGGCATAACGAATATACAACTAGTTGCTGGGTATTGATATTAACAGGGTATAGGACCTTCGTTGAGTCATGTCGAAGTTGGGGGACTTTCATCTACGGCATCGGCATTCTCCTTCGACGGAGCTGCCGTACCATTTGCTGATGTTGACTGTTCAGGCGCTGTGGCAGAAACTGCAGCACCCCACCTGGCGCCCCAGTTTGTGAAGAACTGTAGCAGCCACATGGGCTTAATCGTCGGATTATCCACCACATCCCTTTCATCCTCGCCAAGCTTGAGACCTTCTTCGCCAACGTCTTCATCTCCTTCCGTGCCGACATCCTCCCTGTGGATAATCTTTTCCCTCTCAACGATACTCTCTTCTTCGGCCTCACTCTCTGTCCTGCCCAGCGAATCGACCAACCTCTCTCTCCCGTCTAAAGTCCACTGCACCCTATCAAACTTTCCGTGTGCGCCGTACACGCCCTGTTTGACCCTGCGTCTTCCCCCCGAACCAAATACCTTCTCTCTTAACGCAAGAACTTTGTGCCGAGGCATACTGGCCATTCTCCACAGATCATGCAGTCTGAACTGATCCGATTCGTATAATAGAGTGTTGGTTTCCTGAGTGGATACAGCTGCCTGAGCACGAGAAGCTTCCAGGGCGGCCAGAATTTTGGTATGCGACTCGAGCTCAGTGAGAAAGGCAAGGTGCGATTGGTAGTCCGAACGGAGGGAAGCGTTTGTCGCCGACAGCTGGTTGGCAAAGATCTAGGCAAGAAAAATACATCCGAGTTAGAAAAGGTCAATCGAGCAAACGAGTAACGTATCCAAACCCACCTCAAGGCACTGCATCACATTAACCAAATGCTCTTCTCTGCGTGACAGAACGAGATAATGCCCGCATAGTTCCACATCGATCTTCATCTGGTCTGGGGTTAGCACTCGGATATCTCGGAACGCCGCCAGGTCATGAAAGCTACGCCGCCTGCTCGACAAACATCAGTAAGCCCCCGATCATCCCCTCCCCCTTCGTACAAGTTACGATTACATACCTTTTAGCCTCGCGACGAAGCCTTCTCTGCCTCGGCGTCTGGCCAAAGAAGTCGTCCATGCCTTCGTCCGCACTTCCAGTTGCTCCAGAGTCTTGTACGGGCAGAGTCTCTCCCCGCCGCACATTCCGCTTCTTCCTTACCATACGCTTCACAATATCTTGAGACTGGTTGACACCATCCGTCTCTTCGACGTCGCTTTCAGAGCCGCTTCCATGGCCCTGAGAATCGCCTTCAGCATCAACGATACCTCGGGCACTCAATGGGTCCGACCAGCTTAACACCCTATTCTGCACGATACGTTTACCCCAAGGTCGCTTCCTCGTCTGAACATCGAAGGCCTCGACTTTGCGCTTGTAGTCACTGATTTCGGCCCCACCCTCGCCATTCAACGCAACCAAAGACGAACCGTAGTTGTTCGCAAATAGGTTGAGCGTAGAGTTCGCGGCAGAGGGCTCATTCGAAGTCTGCTTGAGTTTGCTTGGTGTCCCAAAGGTATGGAAAGGATTAGACTCAATACGGTCGGCTAGGATCAACAATAAATACATGGGGTGAATACAAAAAAGCTCAATACTCACAAATCGGCGAGACCTGTCCACTGCTTAACAGGTCTTCATCATCCCTAAGCAGATCATACCTTAGTGAGGTCACACAAGGAAGTCAAACCAATACCAACCCACTATAGAATGGATGCAACGTCGGACTCTGTGTTGACCCGTGCCCTGCGCCGAGCCTCGGGGGTGTCAGAAACCCAGTATCAATCAAATTGAGTCGGGCCTTCGCATCCGCGCTCGTTCGTGGCGCATCTCCAAAAGGATTAACATCGTCCTTTTTGCGTTTGTTGCGATTATCAGCCAAGTGCCGCCTATGGACCTCCAATCAGCCCACGTATCCCGTACGAACATAAATTACCCCGGCTTGAACGCACCATGACCCAATCTTATCGCGCACCCCGCTCCACCCAGAGAATCCACTGCCAATGGAAGTAGGTCGATCTCTCCGCCTGATTGGGGCCTGACTATTGTCGCTTTCGTCCTCCGTCGAGCGATACCCATCCCTGAACCTCCCGTTTCTCTGCAACACCGGGCTCCCTTGTCGAGTATCCACATCTCCATCGCTAGCTACACCATTATTACCTAGCGCCCATTGGTCGGGCCATCTGACCTTATCTCCCTCTCCCTTCTTCCGCTGTTCCTCGGCGGCGACAGGTCCACTAACAACCTCTTTCTTCGGGCATTGCATCTCCTCGATCAACTCCCTCAGCTTCACGATCTCTAACACATGCCCACTCCACAGCGCCCTCACCGTGCCGCCTACACCCCTCACATTTCCGTCATCCTTCACCCCATCCTTATCCCTCTCCTTCCTATGCCGCCTCCCAACACGCCCTCTTAGCCCCCCGCTCTTCGGGCTCTCCCCAAAACTATCCCGACTATTCTTCCTATCCCTCTCATCATCCGACCTCTCCCTCTCGTGCTTCCTCAACTTCAGCTGCTCCTTCTCCCTCTTCTTATCCCTAATCCTCCCCTCCCGCTCTCCCACCCCAGCAACCATCTCCACAAACGTACTCAAATCCAACAACGGCTCCGACACAACCGCGGCACCGCCCGCCCCCGCACCCCCACTTCCCGGTAACCCTAGCCCTAGCCCAATCCCACTCGCCAGATTCCCGATCCCACTCCCCAAACTCCCAAGCCCACTAAACAATTGGTTGGATGCGATCCCAGCAAACCCGCGGTCGGACCTATCCTTGAAATCTCCCCGCTCGAGCACCGAGCCACCCTCACCCTCGCTCATTGCACCCCGAGCGTCATTGTCGCTATCCCTGTCCTTATCCTTGTCGCCCACCCCTACCGCATTTCCTATATCTCCTAGTTTGCCTTTTATCGCCCGACGCACCCGTCCCCCATCGCCACTGAGCGCTCTCCTAGCTTTCCCACTCGACTCGCCACCTCCCGAGCCGACTTTCGATACATACATCGCATTGATCGACTGAATGATTGCACGGGTAAGTGTGGAGGTAGGCATGTTCATCGGGGTCGAAGCGAGGTTCTTCTTGCTCGCACTAGCGGAACCAGGCGCAAACACAATATCACCTGGCCCGAGCGAGTGCATAAGCGTCGTGGTCGACGTGCCGCCAGGGCCACCGAACACGCTATTAGGTAAAGTGAGATTCGAGAGTGAGCGGTGGTGCCCAGGTCGAGGCGGGGGCAATGAAATAGGGAAGTGCGCTGATGCGAAATGAGATTGGGAATAGTTGGGGGAGTGGAAGGTTAGTGTCGATGCTGATGCTGATGCTGGAGAGGTCGTGGATCCCGATCCGCTGCCGAGGACGTAGATGTTCAGCGTGACGAGGAATTGATGAGGGTGGAGGAACGGATCCTTCGGGACCTAATCATTCGATGAAAAGCGCAGTCAGTGCCATGCCTAAAGATACGGATAAGAGTAGTACGTGACTGGGCGCTGCCAATCAGAGAAGGTAGCTAGCAAGTAATGCCAAGACAGCAATATACAAGAGCATGTCAACAAGCCGCAGAAGCATGCGAAGAAATATGCCCAATAGAAGGGCGACGCAGATGTAAGTCAAAGTGTTCATGTTCGGAGGAAAGGAAAGGAAATCGAGATGATTTTTAAGAGGAGGGGAACGTGGTGATCATACATAATGATGGGTGCGTGTTCGACACGAGGTCGACAAGCATTAATGTACCATGTAGCGGTTTGATACGAGGGGGAACAACCAGCACTCACATGGACGTATCCTAGTGTGACGAGTTTATTACGGGTGGCTAGCACGAGGCTGAGGAGGGCGGAAACGATGCTTGGGTCCGCAACGCGTTCCATCGGCTATACACACAGTCAAGGGCTGATCACGAGCAACATCAAACAGTGACACTAACCTCCACCCCGACGCATGGTTCGCCAATCTCGCTGGTCCACCGCTGTATCCCCTCCACCGTCACATCACACAGCAGCCCGTCGATCACAAACTTCCCGTCCTTGTCTACCATCTTCGGTTTGATAGCCCCGTATCGCGTGTCATACATACCAAAGATCACCAATGCAGCTTGAATCAGCTTCACCAGCTCTAGAACGGTCTTGTTGAACACCGGTTTGTCCTTCGTCTTCACCATGACCACCGCCCCTCCAGCGACACGACCGGGCGACAACGGGGTAGAGTGTTGCGGATTAAGTGTTTTGTAGACTTCTAGAACATTGACGGGCGTCCGCTGAGGTTTCTGCTTCGATTTATGTTGATTCGAAGTCGGCACTGGTGTCGAGCCATCTCCGAACGAGACGTCCGGCAAGTGATACATTGAGATGAACCGGTCTTTCGTTGTATCACTGTCAGAACCACTATGAGAATACACCACTTGTCAAGCAAACCGCCCACATACCTCGGCTCTTCCAAAGTCAGCGCGCTCCTCCCAGAGCACCCCATTCGGAGCAAGTTGATATTCGTATACAGCTGGTCTTTGATCGCGCCAAAGTCCCCGTTCGGTATGTACACGATCGTGAAGTCACTTCGGAATCCCGCCAGAGATGTGTTCATAATGACTCCATGCGGGGTCTGCTTGGGGCGTGCGCCATCGCGCCGAAGGTGGTGAATGGCCTTCTCCCACTCCTCATCGCTTTCCGGGGCCAAAGACAGGACCGGTATGGTGTGGTCCGGGTGTCCTGTATAGACCGTAAGCACAGGCAGACTCCGCTTCCTGTCAACAATCCATTTCTCCACTGCGTACAGCTGGTACCCGTCAATGCGTATATCATTGCGAATGGTGCGAAAGTTGAACGGAATCAAGCACGAGTGGTCCGAGCTGTCGATGATAGGAATCAGGAGGATGTTGTTCATTTCAGTGCCATCGGACGTTAGTGCGTTCACTGGTGGCGCCTGGTGGCGTTGTGGCAAGGTGGCTGTGCCCAGAGGTCACGTGATAGTACATTTACGTCCAAGTCTAGCTATCCGATTGAACTCCTTCAAGTCAGTAGTAGGTGCGGCAGTTGCCAAAGCAATGTGTAGCATTATTTATAGTACCTATAAGCCTCTACCCGCGAGGAATACAGATTCGATCGATGAATAGCCTCGTCTGCTGATAGAATTCGGCGCGGCGACGTACGGGAGAGATATGTATGTGTAGGGATGGGTGCAGCTTTGGAGGGGGGGGATAATCGGCTGTGCATTCTTTGTGAGCCTATGTGAGGCAGAACACTACACTCACCGATTGCCTAGCGCACTCGATGGACACGGACACGATATCGTCCTGCATCCACTACATCGTATGTACTTACTACGTAAACGTTATGCAGAGTTTAACGGACGTGTTGACTCGGTATCGGGGGTAACGTGTTCGCAGCGGATGCGCGCAAATTTGCTTTTGGAAGAGTGTGGATGCGTTCAAGAAGGCTTTTTGCCCCGATTCGAGGCGTGTTCCGTTCGGACTCAGTATCCCTCGTGAACATTCCATTTCCTGGGCATGGTATGTCAATAACCAACGGTCAGACGTCGCAGTGAAGGCATACTTGACTGCATACGGCATCCTGCCAAGTTACGGCCGATACGCTGCTCCTCCACCCATAATCCGTGATGGTTTGCAGAAGTGATTTCTCTCGTAAGATTGATCCCCTATGTGCGACAGCACCTGATCGCAGACGCTGGCAGTACAGGACCCCGGACAATTGCGACGACACCCAAGTGTGGCAGCAGACAGCAGACACCGGAGGACCTCGCCAGGCCGTCAGGTATGGCCGAAAACGGACATTTAACACCCAAAAATACGGCTCAGTATTCGAAGGAGTAAATACAGTTAAATAAAATAAAGGGATTCCAAAAAAGGAAGGAAGAGAAGGCTCACCTACGTCTCGGAAGAATGAGAGAATTCCGTAGCATGCTGGGGCTACAGTATGCAAGAATGATGACAGACTAATTGTACATGACTCAAAAGCTCCCCGAGCTTTGCCCGGACCCTTAATCAAGCATGAAAACGCTGTGCTGCCACTGTAAACCCATTTAAAGTTAAGATCACACATTTGGGTGAGTTTCGCTGGTCAAAACAGTGCATTATATTGCAATAGATATTCAGTGGCGTATATTTTGCAACATATGTGATGCCAAACACACGGTAAGATAATTCTAAATCATGATTTGGAAGATATCAATCAATACCCGGTCACCTGTGACCAGGAGCACCAGGATAGTACTAGATTATATGTAGAGAAGTAAAATTGAAAGTAAAAACATAATGGCAAAGCGCCCCGAGTGAACAATTTCTTCAGCTCGATTACCGAAACCACGGTCACACGGCAGACCAACTATATTGTGTCTTCGCTCTACCCCTCAAGCTCCGACTCCTCTACAATGAGCCTCTTGTCTCCAGTGCTACGGCCCCAGGAGGCCTGCCCCCCGACGAAATGCTGCCACCCCTTACAACCTGGCTAAGAGTTTGCAAGTACAATATGCGAGGCGGGCTTGTTCGTCTTCCCAGAGGACGCCTTCGACGGTGAAAGCCTTGGCGTCAGCCGACCTGGAAGTCCAGCAGACGACATTGTTCAGCTCAGGCGGCTACATTGGTGTCTCAAGGGTAAATGCTGGCATTTCGAAGGTGATTCCCCGAAGACTGTTGTCCCAGTGCGTTTCCGCAAGAGATCGAGGGCCTCATCCAAGACGCCGCGATGAGTGTCTGATATTTCACGATCCGGGACCAGATGCGAATTACAGGAGGACCACCCTGAAATGGAAAGTCCACTCTTCTCTCCACCCCATCCATCCGTCCATCGATGTCTCCATCCACTGTCACAAGGGATAGTGCTACATACTAAAGTACTAAAGGCCGCACATATCACTGTAGTCTATCTCATGATGTAGGACGTGCAACCCTGTACAGGTTTATTTGGTATCAATTTCTAAATCAGTTCCTCGTTGAATTGGATTAATAGCCATCCTCCCAGGGCAAAAACAAACGTACCTGTCTCAACCGTCTGCACGCTGGCGGGATGGCCGCTCTATTCATTAATGACACGTTCGAGTCGAACTTGGGTAGAAACATCGATTAACGTTGTAACACGCCTATGCGCTAACAAGGCGGGTATTCCGGGGGTTCGTAGTCTTTGCGGCAACCTTTTTTTCCCTGGCCAAGAGAAACGGCGATGATATTGTACACCGCCCGTCCATTTCATCGAGGCGACTCAGACGGTGACCACAGAGGGGAGGATACGGCACTTCCCGCCGTTCGAGTCTGAGGTGTTTCTGAATTACAGATACTCGATTGAGTGTTCATTGGCGTCCATTCGCTTTCTACACTTCGTTTAAACCTTTGGTAGATTACTCAGTCTACATCTCGTACGCAACCGCCGCGGCCAGTCCGATGCTCGTGCAATGCCTACAGAGCCTGTCAAAGGCCTACAGACCTTTTATGAGCTATCCACAGGCCTACTCTGCCGCCCGGGCAAGTTCAGGAGGTCTGTTTGCTATTTTAGACGGTATTCGGGGCTTGTTTGGGGCCCGTTTTGCGGACATTTCTACCAAAAATAGAACTCCAATACGCCGAAAGCGCTTGGAGAAAATAGCATCAGCCCGGACGTGCCTTCGCACAAGGACCCGGGGTCCTGCCTGGACATTTTTGATGTACTCGTCGTCGGACCAACGCAGCAAGCCGCTGAGGTATTTCATTTCCTCGGTCTACCGCCGGATGATGCGATCCAAGTGATTTTTCGCAAGGGGATAATTCGGGACGATGGAACCTAGGTCAGGCGCCGGCGATGCATCAAGCTCAAGTGATATCGCGGTCAGACGGATGCGGATTTATCACGATTGCGGCCGGGATCAAGGCTGCAACAGCGCCAGAACCGTTGGTTTTACTTCATCGTCTCGGGCTGAGCTGAGCTGGTCGTCCTGGGCTGCTGTGACGATAACGAGCTGTGGGGACGGTCACAGTGGAAGAACTCGAGAGTTATGTAATTCGGGAAGAGGTGTGACATAGCGAATTGATGAAATAGCCTTTTGGACTGAGTTTGGAATTACATAAGCAGAAGCCTCGACCTCTGTCAACCACCGATGGTGAGCCAGCGATCTGGGAGTTCGAAACCTACAAATACCCATCTGCCGACTTTTGGCCTCCAGTAATGAATCCCGACGCCCTTGCAGCTCTTCTCGTCTGCTCGCTGTGTCGCTCGACGTTGAAGCACCCGACGACGCTGCGATGTGGTCACACTCTCTGTGGCGGTCACGTGAAGTACCGCAATGTCTGCCCCTTGGAATCCTGTTCAAACGATTCTTCTTCTTCACGTCCGAATATCCCAAGTACGTCTCGCGTAGCTTATCACCCGCCGCCGGAGTCGTCGCAGCAGCGGGAGCAGCCCCCCGCCCTCAGCTCGGAACGAAAGGTCGATGTCGTAGTTAATAAGCTACTAGCTTTGGCGCGCCGTGGTTTGTCACCGACAGAAACGAACGAGCGGACGCCGACGCCGGACCACAACGACAGCGATTCCGACGATGGGCAGTCCTCGACACGTCCTCGAAAACGACGGCGAAGGCATCTAAGGTCCCCCTCACCGCCTTCGCAGCCGTCGGCATCGACTTCTAACGCCCGCCATGATTCGCCTGAATCCGAATTCGACCTACTTTCGCATCTACGACATAGCAGTGCGCTGCATCGCTCGATACGACCAAACGAACCCTTACCCGATATACCGTCGCAACCCGAGACCCCCACACCCGACGACACGCGTTTCGATAAGGAGCTATTGACTGAATTGACCTGCGAGATATGTTTTCAGCTCCTTTACGAGCCATTGACCACACCATGCCAACATGTGCGCCTCGTTCATCGATTTTGGTTTCTTCACATTAAACTCCACCCTTAGACGTATTGCACAAAATGCCTACATCGTTCACTCGATCATAGTCCATCATGCCCCTTGTGCCGCCAGGACCTCCCTGATTATGCCTATTTCCAAGAACATCCAGAGAATACAATGATACGAACAATCAGTACGTGCTCTATCTCCTTTCACCACCCCTTCATAAGCTCGCGATCTGCGCCAGTTTGTGTCCACTCGTGGCCCGGTGACGTTATCAGCCTATAGTCTTCTTCTGACTCCGATACACACCTGAGTCGTGAAGACACCTGATTCGTGCAGCTGTCACCTCTGCCTATCCCCTGAGTGCGACCTTCCGAGCACTCTAATCCTCCACTCCGTTCTTCAAGGACTCCACCATTTCTAACACTTTCTCCAGTATTACAGGCGTTTCCAGAAATCTATGAGGAGCGAAAGGCGACTATTGAGGCCGAGGAACGCGATGCAAGACTCGATACTCCCATCTTCGTATGTCAACTCAGCTTTCCAGGGATACCCACTTTTCTCCACTTTTTCGAGCCAAGGTCAGTCTCTCCGTCGGATCAGCGATTTAAAGGCGGTGCTAACTGACCGCAGGTACCGACTTATGCTTCGTCGATGCCTCGAGTCACCTCACCCTTGTTTCGGCATGGTCATGCCACCGCGATCTGGCTTCAGCAACGCTCCAAATTCTGCCAATGCTGGCATCACCATCGAGTATGGTACAATGCTGGAGATCCGCAGCGTGCAGATGTTAAATGACGGAAGAAGCATGGTAGAGACCTTCGGCACGCATCGGTTTCGGATATTGGAAAAGGGTTTGCTTGATGGGTATGTTGTGGGCAGGGTGGAACGTATAGACGATGAGGAGAGCGACTTCGGGGAGGAGGAGGAGAGCGACTTTGAAGACGATAATGAAGACGAAGGAACGATAGACGAATTGATCCACGCAGTTGGGACAGGGCTTGAGCCACTGTCGCATGCAAGGGATCCATCCAGCACCGTTTCCACAGTCTCCACTTCCGCCGATAGCTCTTCCCCCGGGCGACTACTGCGCAGAATAGCTTCTTCTTTCTCAGCACCACCCCCCACTCGTTCATACCGCCCCTCCTTCGATGGTCCCTCTACCCTGGAACTCATGGACACCTGCAAAACTTTCCTGCAAGAATTGGAACGAGGGACAGCTCCCTGGGTTGTTCAGCGGTTGAATAATGCGTATGGTTTGCCGCCGACGGACCCTGCACCATTCAGCTTTTGGGTTGCTTTGGTCCTTCCCATAGAGGAATCCGAAAAGGCAAAGCTCCTACCCATCCGGAGTGCTAGGCTTCGCCTACGCGTCGTTGTGGGCTGGATCGAGCAGTTGAGAGGCAATTGGTAAGTATCTTGATCTTCTTAGACGAAGTAGCATAATTTTGACCATTGTCTTTTCACCAGGTGGTTCACCAGCGGCTGTACAATTCTCTGACGCCATGCCCTTTCCGCAACGCTTGTAAACGTCATGTGAGGTGGCTTTGATCCTGTTCATATCTTCTCTTCATTACTTAACATCTACGTAATCGCATCCGTGCTTTCGTATGCGGCTCCGTGCTGCGGATACTTCTCCATTTTCCTTGTTGTAGTATTGCATGTTCCTTTTGCTCGTCTTGCATTCTATGTATCGATCGAGATTAAGTTATCATATCATTCTTTGTCTGTTGCTCTTGTTACTTTTGACGTTATCATTCAATGCTCCTTCCCTCCACCATCAACACTTTCACTCCACGATCCTGCAATATTTAGAACAAGCATTCTTTTCTTCGGAGCTTCATTGTTACCGGATACCTCGTTCCCAGCGCTCATCGATATCGATCATCACATACCATTATCATTTATCCCGTCACCCAATTCATAACATAGAACATTAATCGTACTGGAGAATTGATTACGCGCAGTGCAACGCAGTTCCTCGCCAGAGGCATACCAGGAAGTAAAGCCTCGATCGATTGAAACTCAGAACCTTCACGTCTGCCACCACCGATGGAACGCACATCCGAGTCCCTATCCTGGCTCTCGGAAGAGTACTTTGGTTCGTGCGCGCGATCGACTCCCCCGGCGTATTTTTGGCCGATAGACATCTCTAGATTTGAATGGTTCGTACTACGAGACGCTGCGCGCGCCGCCGACCGCTCTGGAATTTTCTCGATTGGTTCATATATCAAAGCCGGTTGTCATCGAAGGTAAGACATCCCGCGCGATGCCCACCCGCGATCGATAAATCTCACCTCTGTCCCTCGCTCAAGGGTTCAAACTTCCGGCGCTGCATCAGTGGTCCGATGATTACCTGATTCGGAAGATGGGGAGCCGAACGTTCTCTGTCGCCGTCACGCCTAACGGGTCTGCGTCGCCTAGACCTGAATTACATTATGCTCGCTGACACTTGGGTTCTCTGTCAGTCGCGCCGACGCCGTCACCAGGGGCCCAGATGGCCGACTTTATTTCGTGGAACCGTATGCGCGTGACATGACCATGGAGGCATTTCTGTCTACGATCCACGATAGCAAGTCAACTAAACATGCTCTGCTGATACCGTGCTCATCGCATGGCCCTTTAGGCACGCGCGGAGGAGAGGGAAATATCCATTACCTTCAATCACAGAATGGCAACCTGTTTACTAACGAATACTTCGAGGGCTCGTCGGAGGATCCGTCTGAATTTGAACCCCTTAGAGCGGATGTTCTGGCTGAAGTACCTTGGTGTACGGAAGCGTTGGGTCGGTCTACGCAATGTGTTCTAGAAGGTGGCAACCGTAACTCAGTGCGGCTATCTAGGAAGGCCGCCGGATGCAGTCAACCTCTGGATCGGTGACAGTATGAGTGTAACGAGCATACACAATGGTGAGAGGTTATTATATATGTATACAATACCATTTGGCTCAGTTGCTAAATAAACTCTAGATCCATATGAGAATATATATACCGTCATCCGAGGTGCAAAGCACTTTACACTATTGCCGCCCACGGACAGTTGTTACTTAAAAGGTGCGCCTATGAATAATACGTTCATTTCCTCGTCAATTCGAGGAATTTAACATTTTGTAGAGCGTAGTTATCCGCACGCAACATACACTCGCCCGAACCCATCCTCTCAGGAGTTGGTCTTGACCCCCTCTCTGTTGGCCCCCACCGTCCGATGGTCCTCCATCCAAGATCCAGGCGCACCGGGTGCCTTGGATGAACGCGCCCACCCGATCAATATCACCCTTACTGCTGGGCAAACTCTATATCTGCCTCCGGGGTGGTGGCACCATGTCCGGCAGTCGGAAGAGCTCACGATCGCCATCAACTGGTGGTATGATATAGAGAGCCAGGGTATGAGCTGGGTAGTGCTTAGATTCTTGAGGGGTCCTCCTGAGGTCCCTTCCGGGAACGGTTCTGACGACGAAAATTCTGAATGAAGTGTAGCCCCTATTCAGCAGTAGCGAGTAATATTCTATTCATTCGATGGACATTGCTGTCGGCCATCCTATGCATCAGTTCGTCCTGGAGTCCTGGAGCTACTAGTATCTTCACTTTGTATATGGCCGTCTTACTCAAAGTGGCATAGGTAAGTAGTCATAGTTGAGCCACATCCTCCACTACATGTTTTCCGTTTCACGGGAATACATCGTTACCATAATGACTCGACTTTCAAACTACTTGCAAGAGAATTTGGAGCACCCACTCTCACCTACTTGACTCTATTCTGCTGGCCCAGGGGAAACCAAGAAGTAAATGATCGGTCACGTGGTCTGCCCATACTAAGCGCCCGTTTCGATCTCGGCGAGAATTTTGAAGATTCCGCCCAAGTCCAGCCCAAGTCGCTGTATACGTCCCCGTCATGCCCTCCGAAAAGTCAGAGAAGAAGGAGAAGAGGAAGGCCGCAGAGGAGAATGCCGATGATGTTGAGATGATGGATCCTGACGCTAAGGTGTGTGTTCAACTTATGTTACTTGCAGACTGAATTGTCGTGACAACTGGCGTATGCAGTCTCCCAAAAAATCCAAGAAGGAGAAGGAGACGATAACTGTTCCCCTGGAAGACCTCTCACCTCTTGCCCAGCCGTTGGCCGAGAAAAAGCTGGGCAAGAAGCTGCATAAGACTATCAAGAAGGGTCAGTTGTCTGTGTTTCTGTGCAAGCGTTTCGTTGAAGACCATCGCAGCGTCCAAGAATCGCCAGGTCAAAAGAGGTGTCAAGGAGGTCGTGAAAGGCATACGGAAAGGGGAGAAGGGGTGCGCATAATCCCTTATCCCTTACGCAAAGATGCTTACATTCCTTCTCTACTTCGTTTCGCAGATTGTTGATTCTAGCAGCAGACATCAACCCAATAGACATCATCTCGCATCTGCCGGTGCTCAGTGAAGAGGCTCAGATCCCCTACATATTTGTCACATCGAAGGAAGAGCTCGGCCACGCGAGCTCGACAAAACGACCGACGAGCTGCGTGATGGTGTGCCCGAACCAGAAGCGCAAGGTCAAGCAAAAAGACGGCGAAAAGGAGGACAAGGACGACGACTACAAGGAGCTCTACGACGAATGCTACAAGGCCGTCGAGAAGCTGAATTCACAAATAGTGTTCTGATATTCTCCTTCCGTTCTTCCTCTCATCTACTGCACATCTGTATAAATTAGCTATTGATCAGTGAATTTGTATTGGGGTGTATATGATTTTCGGTGCCCCTGGCTGGTATATCAATAATTCACGATCATCCACGTAAATTCGCACGATTTTCTCTCCTCCACCACTCACTTCCTCGCCGTAAGTTATTACCTTGCTCTAATCCAAATGGCTCCAAAAATGAAGGCAACCTCGTCTGCGAACGGCTCAGCAAAAGGGAGAGCGACTTCCATAACCCCCATTCCATCCACCAACGGAACAACCACGCCAGTCGACAAGAAGGACACGTCAGAAGCCTTAGCAGCTTTGCTCGGAGGCGGAGGCAAGCCCGACAAGAAGCTCTACGATGCGGAGCAGGACAGGATAAAGGCTGAGATAGACGCAGTGAACGTGACACTGGTGAGGGCACATGCGGGTTAGTTCATCGTGTGCAGCCTCTAACCCCCATCGGTAGTCTGCTCTCCGTGACAAAATCAGCCTCTCCTCCAAAGGCGCAGGAAATGACCGCCGCAGTGCACTCATTGCCGAGCTCGATAGTATCCGCACCCAGCAGGCCGGCAGCAAAGCCTCTAGGTCGGAGATACTAGCGCAAAACAAGGCTCTGAACGAGCAAATTCAGAAAAAGGTACGGATGACTATTACAGTAATGTACATGGGAGTTAACAACGAACTGTGTTTAGCTGAAAGACCTGAATGCCAGCAGGTCCAAGGTTCCCTTCAAGACGGTCGCGGAGGTAGATGCCCACATTAAGTATGTACTTACAGGTTATTACCTGGCATACCGTGCTTACTCTTTGGTTTAGGCAACTGGAGAAGCAAGTTGACTCTGGTACCCTGCGACTTGTCGATGAGAAACGCGCCCTATCCGACATCTCACAATGCAAGCGTCAACGGAAGACCGTCGAGGCTTTCGCGGCTGAAGAAGAGGTCATCAACGAGCTGCGCCAAAAGTACGAAGAGTCCAAGAAAGAGCTCAACGATCCCGCGGCAAAGGCTCTCTCCGACAAGTACGAGTCCATACAGGCCGAACTCGACGAGCTGAAGAAGGAGGCGAACGAAGCATACCAGAATCGGTCAAAGCTCTTCGCTGAACGCGAGGTCATCCAAGCGCAACTCGACGTCCTGCACACGGAACGACGCGAGCTGACGCGCCAATTCAAAGAAGCTAATGACCGTCACTGGAATAAGATCCACGAGGATCGGGCCCGGAGGGCAGAGCGCGCCAAGGCACAGCGAGCAGCGGAGGAGGCTGAGAAGAAGAAAGAGATCGCGGACCGTTTGCTCGAGGAGGCCCAAATACCCGCCTTCCAAGTGCAGATCGAGGACTGTCAGACCCTCATCGACTCCTTCTCCGGCAAGAACACGGACAACACAACTCTCAAGAGCGTACCGTCAGAGAAGGCCGAGGTAGTTGGTGTGCCAAAGCTTGATATACGGAAAGTCGAGGCTCCCTCAGAAGGCCTTGTCGCTCGAAAGAAAAAGGGTGATGACGAAGAATCGTACTTTGTTGGAAAAGGCAAATCTAAAGGCGGCAAGAAAGGCAAGACCAACGGTTCTTCGGAGCCTGCCACGCCAACCAGCAATTCATTGAACGTCCCCCTCGCCACACTCTCAGCTCTCCTTGCCCTATCCATCCCTCCCCCAACGTCATCATCAGATGTGCCTCGTGTCATCGAAGACCTCAAGACCAAGAAGGCATGGTTCGAAGCCAACCAGAAGCGTGTGACTGCCGAAAACATTGCGAAGGCCGAAGCAGAAATCCAGCGCCTGACTAACGGGTCGTCGAAATCAGCGAGGGTTGACGAATCTTCTTCACCCGCACAAGACACGATACCACCGAATGGTACAGGCGAAGCTCCTCCCGAACCCACTCCCACACCCGCGGTAGGTGACGCAGAAACCACCGCTGTATCGAGCGAAGAGGTCGTCGATAAGTTGGAGATTGTCCAAGAGCAGGAAGCTTCATGAGGACCACTAGAACGACGGGATTTGGGCATCTCTGGATTTAGACTCTCTACTCAGTACTTCAATAGTTCTGCCGTGTTTTCAAACCTCGCATTCCATTTCGATATAATAATGCATATCTCAATATAGGTTTATCCTTTACAGAAAGAGTGAGACTACTACGCTAAAGCGAGAAGCGAAAACTAAGAATTGATACAGATGGAGATGGATGCAATATAAGTAAAGGAGAGATCACTTCAGCAAGAGACAAGACAGGCTGGCAACATCGGGAGCTCGGGAACGAAAATATATAATAAGGTAGTATAGGGAGTAGGGTACGAACTACACCGGTCCAAGTTTGCGACAGCAAGAAAACAGAAGAGCGTCAATTCATTAAACAGATAAAGCTACGAGGTCCTTTATGCCGCTGTCTGTGGATGCTGATCGGTTTTGCCCGGCTCTGGTTCGAGTTGCGCCGGTTCGCTGGCAGGTGTTGAGTGGGTTGTGCCAATGCCCAAATCTTGTGGAGTGAAAGTAGTGACGTCGAAGGACGTCTGCCCGCCCGAGAAATCGGGGAAAGAAAGACCCTGCTGGTGAACAGAAGGTATAGAATCGTCCTGCGGTGCGACAGGATCCATGTACGACGACAAAGAGCCATATCCTGAATCGAAGCCGGAGCCTGTTGCGTCTAGGGATCCGGGGAAAGAGTCGCTTTGAAGGGCGGCCAGCATGCTTGATGTCGTGGGTGTCATGATGCTCGGTCTGACATCCATCGATCCAAAGCTTTCTTGGCCAGCCATTGGCGACATGGAGAAGTATTGCTGTTGCATGACCGGCTCCACGGACGCTGCGACCACGTTGGTGGAAAGTGCCACACTTCGAAGCACGCTGACGGCGATCCAATCGCTGCGAACCACCCACAACTGTCAGCAATCATACTACACCGAATTAAGCTTTGCAACTTACTCCAAAAATAGTTTGAAGATTTGGAAGGCGCCAAAGGCTGGGTCGCTTCTAATGGTCTGTATTGATAGTGATCGTCAGACAAGCCATCAATGGTGGATGGTTGAGAAGGAAACGCACCAAGTCTCGCATGATTTGGCTTGTCACATATCCCCAACGAATGAGGACACTGCGGGAGCTCATCGTACCTCGCTCTTCAGGGCTTCCCCTATTCCCACCCATCAATCTATCACAGCACTTATCCGCCCACAACATGACTTCTTTCACCGGTTCAGGACTCTTCGATAGGAGATCCAGCAGTGAAACGAATTCGACCTCCAGCAGTTGAACGAGATCTTCGTGCCGGCAGTTACACACCAGGGCTGATTGATTGCGGACGGACTCGAAATCAATTTTGGTCCAAGAGCGTCGCATCTCTGTTAGTTGCTTCTGGGTAGTGAGAACCGTCGTGAGGGCTTGAATGACTTGATAGATGTCCAAGTAGCGCACTGATCGGACGCAGAGGTTAGTGAATGGAAGCCGCACAGGAATCGCAAATAGAACATACAAACGAGGTGACCGAATCGTGCCCCAAGTTCAATCTTAGGCTCAACAAAGGTGTTGCCGTAATTCTGGAGGGCGGCAAGCAGGATCTTTTCCATCTTGTTCGCGAGCTGACGGAGGCTCTGCATAGACGCCGAGGAGATGGATGAAAGCATCTGAGACCTCAAGAACTCCAAAATTTCCTGTATCACAACATTGAGCGACATGTTCGAGGCATCATCTGGAATGTTGACTCACGTCGTAGACAATCGCATCTGCCTTGGCCATCAGACCCGCGATGGCAGGTGCGTGAACTACCTCCCGATGGCTACCTTCCAAGCTCGACCAGAAAGTCCTGATGTGCATCTCAAACTGATCGCATCTGTATGTCCGAATACTATCCAGGAGGGCATCGAGATGGTCCTGAAACCAGTTCCAGACCTCCCTAGCCGCCATACTATGATGTGATGTGGAGTTTGAACCGATGGCTTCATCAATGGAAGGGAAAGTCGGGAGTTGGCGGACAGATAGATGCTGAGACGATGACAGATATGTGACCGGGTGGCTGGGAGCTGAAGGACCTTGAGCAGAAAGCCCACCATCCTGTGTTGGTAACCTACGGATAGATGCTTGAGGAGGGTACGAAGACGGGGGTCGTTGAGTGGCTTGCTGCGAAAGTATCGTTCCGGCAGTCGGGGTCTTGTCGCTTAGGTCGTTCGGGAAAACAGGTTTCACATCTCCATTTATGATCAATGAATTCCGCTTGGAGGGCATTGATGACGAAGCACCTTCTGAATCTTCATCGTCGTCGTCTTCGCTCTTGTTTGCTGTTTCACCTTGGTCCTGGGCAGAACGGGCGGCATTGATAGATGCTTGACCAGCGTTGTTGTTTGACTTTTGGATATAGTCTTGCAGCCATTCGGCTTCCGCCGCTGTAGCGGGACGAATACCACAATCTGTCCATCAAGGCGCTAATCAAGACTTCGGATCATAAAGTAAAACAGACGGCATCACTCACAATGATATTTGCTATTCCCTCTGACACCTAGCCTTCGTGTTTTGATCGTTGGAAAACACAAACGGATGGCCTTTCCCAGGGTAGCGGTGTTGATGTGTGGAATCGAGTACTGGTCGCAAATTCTCCTGTACGAGAAGTACAGGCCCTGGCGGGGGACGTTTCCATCAGGGTAAGGAGCGTAGTTCGCCGTGAGCCTGGATGGGAATGAAAAAATGTGATGGAATGGAAGCGAAAAAGAGAACACACCATGCTTGTACAAAAATTTGCTTCGCCCTGTCCGACGCACTAGTGGTGGTAGCAGCTCTAACGTTGGCTGCCAGCTTTTCGAGAGCGGCATCCGAGTTGATCGACATCCTCCCGAAGGCCCCAGCGGCGTTCATGGCCTCTTGGCTGGGTGCCATCGTGTGAGCCCCAATATACATGTTGTTGTGATAATCGGAGCCAGGATTGGCTCCTAGATACATCGAGATGTCTTCAGTCTCGCTGGACGATGAGTGCACGCTGTCGGTGTCCCTTGGGTACGGCGAAGCCGCCACGCGAGCACGCTGGTGCGAGTGGCGCTGGAGGCCCTTCAGAGCTGGATTTGAGATATTGTGATTTGGGGGGGACTGGTCGGAGAAATCGATGTCACCCGATGCGAAGCTGGTCGGAAAGTTGTGTCGTACGTGGTCGCTGTGGATGGCTGAGTTGTGGTGGGGTGCGCCGAGATGGTAGGAAGAACGATAGAGGTCTTCTGTGGGCAGCGCCTGCATGCGTGTGAGCCCCCCCTGGGAAGATTGGGGTCGTGAGTTGGATGAGTGGGTCGAGGAGGATGAGACCGAATTAGAGCGGGAATGAGAGGTATGCACCGGTAAAAAGTCAAGGGGGATATTAGATGACATGACCTGCATATTGACTGCAGCCATACGAGTCTCGAAACAGGCTGGAGGAGAGGTACGAGGAGGAGAAGGCAAGGATTGTGGTGTGCTTTACTTGGAAGCGAAACGGGCCAGCCGACAGGGAGAACGAAGAGTAAAAGGGGGCTAAGGTAATAAATTTACAAGAAAAAGAGAAGAAATAAAGATATGGGGACCACCGGGGGAGGGGGGTGAGGAGGAGAGGGAACCCTTTGGGCGGTAGAAGAGAGCGAAGAAATACGGGGACAATAAGGCCCAAATGTGCAAATGCAGCGCGATTGCGGCTGTCGAGCTTGAGAGTCGGTGGAAAAGAAAGTGGATGGTTACCAGATCCCAAAGCTGCGCAGGCCACGACTGTATCCAAGACAACAAATAGTCACACGCTCGCATATTCCCTTCCCACGCTCACATGCTCTACCTAATACTCGAGATACATCAGCTTCTTGAACCGCTTCCTCAGCTTGCTCTCCTTGGAGTTACCCAGCCGTCGTGCCAGTTCCACCCACGACCCTATCGTCAAGTCATCCAGCTCGTACGGCGCGTATCGAGATGTCGAAACATTGTTGGCCTGCAGCGATCGAGGCAAGTGATGCACCGGAACAGGGTAGTCAAACTTCTGCTTGACCGTATCGCCGTCCGGATGCAGTTTGCTCAGCGGAAATGTTAAATACTCCAGCTTGAATTTCGGCTTATGCGACTTGTTTGCATTCTCCAAGTTTGGCAAGTAGTACTGATGAGAAACGCTGATCAGCCAACCGATGATGATATGATATGATGGTTTCAACACGCCTCACCTGGGCATAGCCAAGGGGCGTCCATCGTTGATTGCGACGCGACGGCGAGTCTGGATCGGAGTGCCAGGGCTCGTTCAGATGACACTTCCAGCTGTTCTTGTATGGCTCCTTCTTGCACTCGCTCCCTTTGTCCCCGTGTTTCCCCCGGTTGTGCCGATGCTTCCTCTTCTTCCCTTGGATCTCCCCATGCTCGCTGACGTTGTATGAGAACACTCGAAACGTGGGCACGTAGGGATTTGGCACGACCGGCGGCGAAACATTAATAACACTGTAGTTATCATAGTTCACCTCCTTCGCTTTCTTGGGCAACGCGGAAAATTCCTCGATAAGGTCTTTGTACAGCTCTGCTTTCCCCGAAACTTGGCTAGGCGCAACGAGCTGCAGATCCACCGCTTCGACAAAGGTAAACTGCAACCAAATCAGCGTTCCCTAACCATCCGTTGCAACTATGCAGGGAACATACATGGTCGGCATTCATGTGCTGATCACTTCGGCGTCAGAACCCCGGTATACGATCGACAGCGTATCACTCACTCCGTACACATGCCCCACAATCGTATCCTGGAATCGCAGCGCCAGTTCCGTATATCTCACATACTAAACTCCGTCAATGATTAATATTCAACCATCCTCCCGAATCCTGTAGAACCACTCACGCATTCGGGGAAATAGTTCCCAGGCGATGGTGGGACATGACCTAGAAGTCGTCAATCATGATCAACACCCCACCATCAGAACATAGCTGTCGACACGTACCTGACAACCACACCTCGGTAACCGCAAAACAGACATACGCAAACGGAAAGACAAAAGGGCGAGCGAGGGAGAGGAAGCATAATTAATTATCCCCGCATAGTGCCATGTGTCTTAACGACTCACCTGCATCTTCCGTTCCCGAAACATCGTCAACTGCACCTCCAGCCAGTCGAATTGCAGGTTCCCTGGATCGTCCCGGTCCGTATACTCACACCCTCCCACAGCTTGCGAGGATTGAACGGCGCAGTGTTGTCAAGGATCCCAGTATCGCGCGGTCAGCACCGTCAGATGATGAGAACGACTGTGGTGATCGCGGCGTACCTTTGTTAGAATCGTAGAAATACATCGTATTCAGACTGATAACAGCCAGTGCGTTGGGCACAACTTCTACATGGAAATAACCACCCCGTTGGAAGACTTGATACATCGGAAATGGTATGAAGGATTTCCATATTCTATTAATCGTTATCAGCACGTAACGAGGGTGGCTAGTGAGGCGGTGCTGTAGACGCTCACGATGAGAATTCGCTGGTGATGCCGTTCGGACCTACGTGAGCGGATGCAGAAGGTAAGCCATAGTCTGATGGGGGCGTCTCAAATAATGATGAACGAACTGACCCGCTTCCATAATGTTCTGCCAACGAAAAGCGATGTCGGATTCAACGGATGAGCATGCGAACAGATATCACTCACATGGGCTACAAATTAAAATATCAATACAGGAATCAGACACAGCTTTATGTTTATACGCTTCGCGACTTACGCCATACGTCGTTGTTGCCTATAATCATTTCATATTGATATAGCTCGCGACAGTATTGAATGTAATTTAAGATGCAGCTCACCTAGAGATGGGATGACCGGTATACCCTTGCTTCCAAATATCTTCTCCATCTTGGACGCCACGGCTCGGTTTAGTTCGTAGATCTCGCTTGGAGTACGTGGTAGTTTCCGGTCGTTATCATGTCTGCAATAGAATGTGTATTGTGAGGATGACAACACTTACACTGGAGCAACGGATCATGATGACAATGAACTAGGGCCGTCAGCGGTGACGTGACGGAACGCTCTCGGAAGGAACGCGCCCAGTACAAGGATCTACGAAAGGAGGATAGCGCCTGCGACTTACCTCGCATTATCCCCAGTCCCTGCAAGATAACGGAGAAAGTCAGCGTCAACTCTCAGCAGACCATGCTCATGTGAGCGCGTCTGCAAGGTGCCAGGCAACTCCGTCCCAGGGACGCGTCGCACCAGTGGCAGCCCCACAGCAAAGCAAGCAGTACTGGTAATACAAACTCACAGATGACAAAGTCGAGCTCAGACGCCCAGTGCTTATCCAGAAAATCCAACGTGAAGTTGGTGAGGATCAGCGGCGAATCACATTCGCTGGAACCAACACATGCGTCGGAATGCCAATCGCAGAGAATGATGTATGAATAGCAGACATACCTGAAGGGAGTTCCATAAAGGTTGGAACGTTGCTTCTCCTTCTTTGGCTTTCGCCTGTGGCACGCAGAAGATTGCGATGCGTGGTTGGTGTAGTATGGATCCGGATGAAGATCGGTTATCTGCAGGAATCGTCCTCGTAGCTTTCGCGGCTCTTTTTGACGCAGGAATTCAGCACACGACCGTCCATACAGAAGAAGCAAGTCAAAACGCACTAGTCACTTCTACTTGCAAAGGCACCTGTGGTGGCGCCGACTGCACCACGGTCGTCGCGAAGACACTCAGCAGCAGAATCAGCTCGAAAGTCAACCACCTCGCCATGGTCCTAGCAGTGCGCCGCATACATGTATCCCTGGCTGCTGGTGCGACTATGATATAAATACTGACAGGCGCGCTGATCAGGCTCCAGAGATGTCGCACGTTCGTCCTACTAGGCCAGAGCTTCACATTTTGGAGATCAGCCTTCTTTCTCGGTAATACGCTATCATTTAATCTCACCAGCTAAGATTGGCCGTAAGATGGGAATGGGGGGACGAGAGCAAGTGGGGTTTGGGAAACGTTCGTGAACCTCACAGGACTCGATGTGAGGACAGTGAAGGTTGCATAGCTGATGTAATCCCCCTGAAGTTTCTCTCCAGCTGGAGCTGCCTTCACCGCAAAAGCACCGAGTGGGGTACCCCCGAACGTCAACAACGGGATATCTGATGAAGCGAGTGACGATCTGGATCGATGAAACCTTGAGCATGTCCAGCTGTACAGTCAGACGATGAATATCATTTGCGCTCGCAGACCACGCGTCTGGACGTTGAAGTGGATCAGGAGTTAGGAGAGATCGGCCGAATTTTTCTCTGACTGACTCAACTCCGCGACGGTGTAGGAGGGAGGCAAAAAAAAACATTGGCTAGGAACATACAAGTAGTGGCAGGATAATGAACAATAGTATATGTGGGTGGTAGTACAATGTCGTCGGAGCGCAAGAAACCCGTCAAAAAAGGAGCTGTTACAGGGAACATCGCCATCAGCTCACTTCAACCTGATGGATGTGCTAGGTGTACATTCGAGGTGTACATCTTCGCCCTCCGCACGCTTCGGGAGATGGAGGGCGAGAAGGCTGCCGACGTTGTCGCCTGTGTTCAACACGGCACGGATAGAATCTTCGGCAAGATGACAGACCTAGATTGTTATTGGTGTTAGCAATCTTGCGAGTAAAAATGTGATAACTCCGTAGTGACTCACCCTGCTGTATCCCCCAGGCTGGAGTGGGGAACGCGAAACCGAGATGGTGTTATGGATCGCATCGACAGCGTATCTCCGTCTAACAAGAGGGATGAGCCTGAGTCAATCCGACGTGTCAGAAACAAGGCACTTACAGAATGCTCTCCAGTTCAGTCCTGGTCCTGGGCAGGATGAAAAGGTCCGCGCCACTGAGATAGCGATTGAATGCACGATAAGAGGCACAGCCAGCAACTAGCGTCTCGTCCAGAGAAGGGTGCTCGACGTCCCAGCCGAACCAATTTTCTCTGCAACGGATGAATGAGCCACCGACGCCAAAATAATGTGCATATACTGGACGTACGACAGGTGAAAGTGGGCTTTAGCCTCCTGGGTGTGGGGAGCGAGGTACTGGTCCATTTGTTGTGCACGTCGTGGTTGCAGAGAGAGAGGATTGTGGGTGAGTCAGAGGGAACAGTCGAAACAAGGGGCAGGGCTTTTATAGAATTGTGGCGTGACGCGGTGGTGGCTGGATTAGGGAAATTCGAATGTGGTTTGGTTTAGAAATCGGTTGTGCGAGTTGTTGGATAGACTCCGCCAAGGACTTCGGAGGTGGATGAATGAACGCCAAGCCAAAGATAGAAGGTTTTTGCGCCTTTGTCATCGCACGTGTGTAATCTCGATGTCACAGTCACGCTCTCCCACGGCACTCAGCCGCAGTCTGCCGCTCAACCTCCGCGCTCTGATTGGTCGACGGCTCCCATAGGCGCCCCTGTACGTCCGTTGATTCCGTCCACCGAGAAATAATCAGCTCATTATTTGTGGACAGCCCACCCATTGGCCACCATGCTGCACGACGGTCACGACGCAACCGCCCCCCTCTACCAGCCATCGGACGCGGAATCATCTGCCACTTTTCGCCTCAGAGATCTCATCAATGCTAAATACGGCTTGCATCTCAAGACATACGCTGATCTGCATCAGTGGTCAATAAGCCATGTCGCCGAATTTTGGAGTTTTGTCTGGGATGAGACGGGCGTAATTGGAGAAAAAGGCAGTCATGTAGTTGACAGCAAGGCAGTGCCCTCTAACAATCCACCGTGGTTCTTGGAGGCTAAGATGAATTGGGCGGAGAACATGCTTCGTGAGCGTTCTGCAGACAAAATTGCCCTCATCCAAGCTAGTGCGTGCGCCAAGCAGATACAGCATTTCAACCTTTGACCGAGGACCTTTAAATCAGCCGAGCCTACTCAAGAATCGCCACACCCTGAATTACGAAACGTCTCATACGCAGCGTTGCACGATATCGTCGCCGACCTCGTATCAGCATTGCTGTTGCACGGATTCAAGCCCGGAGACAGAGTGGGCTCCTACTGCTCCAACTGTATTGTATGTATCCGCGCGCATATAGCCGTGTGCATCTATCAGATATGCATTCTCACCCTGAAGCAACCTCCATGCTGCATATGAATTCTTAGTGGTGCAGTCAAGTTACTAAGAGACCTTGCATATCTAGGAAAACGTTGCTGCCTGTCTCGCAACCACTGCACTTGGCGGAATATGGGTCAGCGCGGCCGCCGATTTTGGTGCAGAAGGGGTGCTAGAGCGGTCAGTATCTCACTCGCTGTGTATCCGCATTTCACGCGACTCAAGTTGTCACGCCGGTATATAGATTCGAACAAGTTCAACCGAACTTCATTTTTGCGGTTGATGCGGTCGTGTCAGTAAACGATTCGCTTCTTTGACGGCGTTTCGTTACCAAAGACTCATCTAGATACAACGCGAAGGTTCACCCACACCTCCCCAAGTTGGAGCAGCTTCTATCGGGTCTCGCAAAGAAAGGCTTGGCTCCCAAGGTTATCATTATCCACACTATACCCCAGACTGTTGATCACACGGCGTGGGCAGATGATTGGACTTCATGGGAGAAGTACTTACTGGAAGGACGCACCTCTCAGCTAGGACGTGACAGCTCGGGGGAGATAGAGTGGCACCGGGCTACCTTTGACTGGCCTCTGTGGATACTCTTTAGCTCTGGGACCACTGGTGTGTGCATTCACGGGTTACGGCCTTATGGTTTCACTGACATTCACTTCTCGGCAAAAGGCCCTCCCAAGTAAGCACACCATTCACCGGCATGTTCCTGTGTGTGTGATACGCGTTTCATCCTAGGCCAATCGTACACCGTGCAGGCGGTATGTTACTGCAACTAAAGAAAGAACTGATGATATGCGGTAACTTACGTCCTGAGGATGTGTTCTTCTATTACACGACCACGTTCGTGATGCTTCCCTCAGGAGTCGTACTCTGTAAGCTGTAGGCGCTAACAATCATCTAGGGGTTGGATGATGTGGAACTTCCTTATCAGCGGGCTTACCGTGGGATGTACGCTGGTCTTATACGATGGGAGTCCACTTCGCGACCCGGCGTATCTGTGGAACTTGACTGACCAACTGGGAATCACCATCTTCGGGACCAGTGCCAAGTACATCGACCAGCTCTCGGTAATGAATCACACCCTCTATCCGAGCATCAGGCAGGTGGGCTGAAATGCGTCTCTCCCTTAGAAAGGGTACATCCCACGCGAGAAACATAGTCTGCGGACTCTCCGGCACATATATTCTACTGGGTCCCCTCTTTCTCCGGCCCTCTTCGACTATGTCTACGAAAGCATACACCCCAAGGTCCTGCTGGCTTCTATCACCGGTAAATGGGGTACCCCGCAGAACCTGTCAAACTCCATGCTCATCACTTATAATTAGGTGGGACGGATATATGTTCTCTCTTCGCAGGGGTGTGCACTGCGCTTCCAGTGTACCGAGGAGAGATTCAATGCCGTATGCTAGGTATGGCAATTGAGAGCTTCTCGCCCTCGGGTACACCGAATCCCCCTGGTGAAAACGGCGAATTGGTCTGTGTCAAACCGTTCCCATGTATGCCTCTCGGATTTTGGCCCTTGCCAGGTTATGGTCCGGCGGCTGCCGTGGAGGCGGGGAAAGCACGATTCCAACAGTCCTACTTCTCCGAGTTTAAGGATGTTTGGTGTAAGTCGTGTTCCTCAAACTTATATCAAGCATATCTGTGCTAATCCGGCCGTATCATGAAGATCACGGAGACCATGTTATTGTCACCGAGTCCAAGGGTGGAAATGGTGGCGGTGTGGTCATGCTGGGACGCTCAGATGGGGTGTTGAATCCTGGGGGCGTCCGATTTGGGTCAGCAGAACTCTACGACGTGATCGAAACGTGTTTCTCAAGCTCGACGACTTCCGACCCCACAAAGGTTATCGTCGACTCGGTGGCTGTCGGTCAACTTATCGATGGGGGGACTGATGAACGAGTCGTCCTCTTTGTCAAACTTCTCGATGGACATGATCTGTCGGCCGAGTTGGTACAGGACATGAAAGCTGCGGTGAGGTCTAGACGGTCCCCGCGACATGTGCCAGCGAGGGTGAGGATCAACGTCTGCTCCACGACCACCTCTTTCCAGGCGGTTCTAATTCGTTTTTGATCGGTCAGATACTCCAAGTGGGAGATATCCCATACACTTTGAATGGAAAGCGTGTAGAGGTGCCGGTCAAGAAGGTATGTCCGCGCTCGGGCAACGTGTACTATGCACTCTAAACGAGTTATCAGATCATCAATGGGTCCCCTGCCTCTATCATCAATCCAGCAACCCTTCGCAACCCTGAATGTCTTGCTGAATATACCCGCTTGGGGGAAATGCTCAGATCAGAAGTCGATGCTCGTGGCCAAAAGTAATCGCAGCAAGCACAAAAGAAATCAATGCAGTAATTGTACATCTACAAGACACCTAATGATGCGCTGTAAGCGGCAGTAGTCCAATGGTTAAGCACGAACTTGGTATCAATTCCTTGAGTTGGGATTTCGGCGCGGAGGGCGGTTTATTGATCGAACCCCTCCTATGTGGCGGTGCAGCAGCCTCGAGGCATCGGGAGTTGAAATTCATCCACAAATTTAGCTATGCCCGGCCTCCTTGGCCTATCGGGAGTGGAGGGATGTTCGAAAAATTCTCTCAGCAGAGGGATTCCCTCGCCTTCGCCCTCAGCTCACGACGACCAGCACAGCGCTGTGCGACCCAAAAAGGCTCGCTGGCAACACCGGTGCTGTCTCAGCCACGTATCTGCAACGTGCAGCCCTTCATCTGAGCTTGCAGCAGTGAAGAAAAGCGGACACGAGCCCGGAGGTACGTTGTGCCTTCCCTGCGTCCCCGAGAAAAGCTTCATGGTAGCCTCGTGTCCTTAATCCTTGCAGGTTTATTATGATGAGGTCCGAAAATCAGCATGCCCACTCTTATCCAAACCCCCCATCTCACCCGTTACGAAGAGTGCTAGCGGCTTTCAAGTCCAGAGCTCCTGGGATGACTTTGTTCAATACCTTGCGGTCTTGCATTTATGGTGAGTTTTTGTTTGGACTTGCGCGTACACCAACTTGGTGCTAAATTCATGCAAAGGCGCTGTTTTGCTCTTCACCATAATATGTCTGGCCATGGCAGGCCATTTCCAGCAAATTCTTGCTTCCTCAGATCTGAGTGAGTGCTCTAATTTCTCGTTGCAAATACACAAATGCTGATTCTTCCAAAGCTCGCTTTGTTCCCTTTGCTATATTTGTTTGCACTGCGAGCTTGATCATTGTTTTGTGTCTGTACGTTTACGACGCTTCGACTACGCTGGACGTGTCATTAACCCGCTTTCTAGACTGGGATTCAGTTTCATGTTCAAGGAGAGAAATCCGATTTCGACGAGGATAGAATTGGCTTGCTTGGGACTGGCAGGGACATTGTGGCTAGGTGCGTAACTCCGTACATTAGGGATTCATTCCCCCGACTGATCAATGGCGCTGCAGTTCTGGGGGTGTACTTGACAACATCAGAATCGCAAGATGCTGACGTGGAATGCTTTGCATCGGAGTCGGACGTCGTCCCCATGGACGAATCCATTGCAGCTTGTGGGTTCCATTGTTCTTAAGCGCCCAATTATACTTACCACGATTGCCAGTCCAAACGGATCAGTATCAAGCGATGTATAGAGTCCTCATGACCTTCGCATTGCTCAATGCCATTCTTTGTACGTCTCACGCCTCGTTCAGTTCATTTACGTGAATGACTTATTGCCTTCGCCTCGTGCAGTGCTCTTTTCGTTCTTCACCTTGCTTGCCCTGGCAGTGATGCGACACCGGTCCGGAGAGTAAGTACACGGTCACTTTCATATCACTCGTTTCTCTAATACAAACATCCTTTAGCGAGCACATGTGGTATGGACCCGTCACATCCTGTGCATGGTTCAACCGCTACAACAAGTCATCCGGTCTGCCTGGTCCCGGCGGTAAACCTGGAACCAGAGCCGTGGCGTACACCGAGAAGCCCAGACGGACTCGTTCGCGATCGCAGGCTTCGCCACGTCAACCCACGGCTGCTGTTCACAACGATCGCGGGCGCACACAGAGAACAGTAAGACACGATGCATACGCAAGAGGCGCCTCCCCACGAAGATAAAGACGAGATGTATTATTTAACGAACAGTCATGAGATGGCTAGGCCACAACACCTGTACGACCACTTACTTATTTACGGGCTTGTTACGAATAGATGTGTGTACTATATTTTGTTTGAACCATAGTGTTTCGAATTTATGCCTTGTGTGCATTAGCACTGTGTACCCACGTGATCGTTTGCCTCGAGGTTCATTTCTTCGGAACGGCGGTGCTGAGTCCTGACTAGGACGCTCTTCGTTCCCCCGCTTCCTTGATTGAACTCTTCACGCCGCAGCGCTACCGTACTCCAGACCAGCCCACGACAATATAACGAATCTGATATGACTGTGCGATTCGCAAACCATAGGCTTGCATTTTATGGTGAGCGCGCTCGATCATCCCATTCAACAGAGTCCGACGGCTAACGGGGTCATTCAATCATAGTTGCTGTATTTGTGTTGTCGGGAACAGTTCTAGGTGTATCGGCTTACTTTGCAAGCATATTTCTCCCGGGCCTACATGGTGAGCCCTTTGCACGCCGCCCGCTTCGCATTGATTCAAGGACCCCGTTCAGCCGATTTCACCATTTTCTCATTGATCATTTCGGCGTTGACGATATTCTCATTACTACTCACGTTCGTTCATCTACCTGGCTATCAGACGCGAGGGGATCGATTTACAATATATTAGGCTGCAATGGGCACAACCGCGCACCGAGGTTCCGCTTGTATTCATCTTGGGTGCTCTATGGCTTGGTGAGCAGTCCGGTTGTTCCCCTTCGCTGATACTGACGTATGCCCTCAAAGCTATGGGCGCATGGTCGACGTAAGCAGTTTATCCCTCTTGGTCTTCATTTTTGTCCAACCAGGACCTCTAGAGATGTTATTGGCAACACGCAATGTGATACACTCGGTGGTGCACGAACCCCCACTAAAAACGGCGATAGTGCGTTGTGCTTCTAGTTATCTACCCCGTTCCAGTGCTTAACTTCTTTTCAAGTATCCGCACAAGCCTACTGTCGAGAGGTTAAAGTCGTTCAGGCCTTCTCATGGATGGTCTTCGTCCTATGTGAGTAAATCCATGATCGACTTTCCCTCTTCGTCCTCAACATTTGCATTCCTAGTCGTCTTCTGGTTCATCATCATGATCCAGCTCATCAACCAAGCCCAACGATTTGGTCGCTGGAGAATCTGGGAAGAACCTATCCGTGAATTGGGGTGGTTTGGCGAGATGCCCGGCTACTATAACCAACACAATGGCGCAGCTGCATACCCCCAAGCCGGATACATTCCCTACGGGTACGGATATGGGTACCCTATGGTTCAGCAACCCCAAGGTGGCCAGTCCATTATCATCCAACCAGGCTCTAACGGCCAGCCTGCCACCGTCACCACAGTGCCGATGAGCAGTGTCTGATGAAACACCCCCCGAAATGAAAGACTCATGCTCCACGATCTATAGCCTCAAGCTGGATAAGATCTCACGAAAATACGAAACACGCTTTGCACAAACTATGGAGATGGAAAATTCGGCCTCACGCATCAAATTCTACAACTCTGATGTACATATTATTTACCTATTAGATGTAGCCCCCTCGTACATGTGTACTTGTTTGGGTTTTGCAGCATGCAACTAACGTGTTCATTGTGATGCACGATGTACCTGGACTCGTGTTGGCCTCAAGGCGCGGTGTACACGAGGTTATCAATATATATGTTCATAATCTCAGCAGGGTAATCATCATACCTTTTCCCTCCAACTCACCACAGAACATCCATAATGCCTCTGTTTACAGATCGCCCCCTTCGTTCCACCGCTGGCGGTAGGTTAACATTCGAGATCGATGTGCCTGTTGACTGACGTAGGAATATTGGACTCTGTGTGTAGTTGCTGCGGCATTGACTGTTGCCTACGTTATCTCGTCTATGACATCTAGCATGCGTAGGTCCTATGTCGAAGATCATCTAAATCACCATTCTGATAGATGGTTCCAGAGGCTTTCCACTTGACGCAGACATCGGTAGCCATATTGGCCATATCATCACTACTCTTTTTGTCAGTCACTTGGCCTTCACTTGGCAAAGCGGTGCTCAACGTTGTTCAGGGTTACAATGCACCATAGGCGGGAGGGTCATCTGTTGACACAGAGCCAAGAGGAAATGGTCCTCATCGGGGGCTTTGGTCTATTCTTCATGGGTGAGTGCTTGGAATGCTTAGCCTTCCATTTACGCTTGCAACGCCAGTACTCACTGCCTGTTTCGTCGTCGTATCCTTTCACAAAGCTGCGATGCTGGCTTGGCGCGGGTCGCAAACAAGAAGTATCGCTCCAGGCGCCGCTGGAGAGGTCGGGCTGTCTGCAGCCTCGGGGAGCAGCCGACGAGATCCTGGCTTCACAAGTGGAGCGCGACCGTATCCCTGTTCTCCTGACGATGTTTACTGTGTGGTCGAAGAGTGGACGTTCTGGTGAAAGTGCTACATCCCATTCAGCATCGCTGCCGATGCGACTCTACCCGAGATCGGACTTTGTCGCCAAAAGCCACGATGCTGTCTCTGGGGTCTTTGGGGAAGACATGAGAAGTGGGGGATAAGGTAGGCTAGTTTTCCTACCAGGATGTGTACCCGCATCCGACGTGTCCGTAAACATATTTTTGGTAAACGAACAAAGTCGCTTCAGCAATTTGTCCGAAGTAATTCACTGTGTGTCAACTGACCTACCACACTCGGAGATGTGCTTTAGCACCGTGTCGGATAAGATGCCATCCAGGGATTCTGTCTTCAGCTGCAAGTCCGTTGTTGGGAGGAAAAAAGTCGGAGCGGGCGCGTACGTGATGGAATCTCTGCCGGGTCGCTAATTCTATTCAGTCGACTCGGAGCATCTGACTTCCTCCTTGCTTCTGCCGCAACGAACTAGTATGTGGTCTGTGAACTCTAACGTTCTTGGATGGAAGTGATGCTGGGCCTTGCGATTGAATTGTATGTACCTTGCAGCCCCTGGTGGTGCCTGAACATCCCGACGCCGTACCTCATTGTGGTTGACGGGGTGGAAGTCAGACGTCGAGTCCGTTGTTCAAACTTTTGGAAAGAACCCGACCCAACTGACCATTGGCCGTGTGCAGCGGTTATCGGCACCCATATGGGCGTTATCTTGTTCACTATAGTCTCCGTGGCTGGCTGGCATGCATAGCCTATACGTGCCGAATTGACTGCCAAGGTAACCACTGCGCACGGAGAATTTTGCAGGTCGTAGCTAAAGCGGGGTACTGATCCCCTACTTACTACACACTACCAGGTGCGAAGAGTGGCATAAGGCTGCTGTACTGTCTCGCAGCCTACCTCAAAATATCGGGGCGAAATTTGTTGTCCATTTGGCCGGCCCCAAGGCCCAGGGACCAAAGGTGAACATTCTTCCTTGTGAACTCACTATTGACTTGTATCTGAGGTCAGACAATCAGTCAGGCAGAGCGAAGATAATCCGACGAGGGATTTGGGTCGCTACGCCTGTGCTGATGCCGCGTTCGGATATGTTATCCTTGGCCAGGTGCACACTGGAGGTAGGATTCTCTCGGCACCTCCTCGGTCCCTTCAACCGTATGTACGTCCCATCGCACTGGCCCCTTCAGTGCAACACTGGATTACAGGTGCCAGCAATAACGAAGGACTGTGTGCGCGTCTTAGGTTACCGCTACCGCCGCCTCTTCACGTTATCTCCCGTAACGGATCAACTATTCTATTCTCGCATGAACCAACGAGAATCGTATCGTCTCCCGGACACACTTCGGCCCTAGCAGATCACATACTGTCCTTTGCCGATTCATGGACTTGACAATACATCACCTAGTACGGCAGCTGATTTTGGGTATATAAACTCGATGGTTCTTACTCCACTTCTGCATCGGTTCTACGGTTCTCAGCAACTCTCAAGGTCTTTCGGCTCCACAGTAACTCGCTATGTTCAACAAAATCGCTCTCACTGCACTCGCCTTCGGCGCCATGGCCTTTGGTCAACAAATCGGCACGTTGACGACGGAGACCCACCCTCCTCTCACTGTTCAGCAATGTACCGCGAGCGGCTGCACCAGCTTGAACCGCGCTGTTACCCTTGATTCCAACTGGCGTTGGTTGCACTCTACCAGCGGCGCGACTGTAAGCTCCACTCGTCTCCACTTTGGATGCTCAAAGCTAATTCAAAGCCCCATATAGAACTGCTACACCGGCAACACCTTCGACGCGACTCTGTGCCCGCCCAATGACGGCGCCGCCTGTGCCGCCAACTGCGCCCTCGACGGTGCTGACTACAGCGGCACATATGGTATCACCACCTCCGGCAACGCTCTTACCCTCAAGTTCGTTACCACCGGCGCCAACAAGAACATCGGTTCCCGAGTGTACCTCATGGAGGACAACACCCACTACAAGACCTTCAACCTGAAGAACCAAGAATTCACCTTCGATGTCGACATGTCCAACCTTCCCTGTGGCTTGAACGGTGCCCTCTACTTCTCAGAGATGCCAGCAGACGGTGGTGTTTCCTCTACCAACGCGGTATGTGCCACAAAAGTCTTCGGTCTCAATATGCTAATAATAGTTATTCGCCAGGCTGGTGCGAGATTCGGTACTGGCTACTGTGACTCCCAGTGCCCCCACGATCTCAAGTTCATTGGAGGAGTGGTAAGTGCCTTTGAACCATCGTTGCACAACATGTCCTAACCATGAGATGCTGACCTAGGCCAACAACGTCGGCTGGACTGGCTCGTCGAGCGATCCCAACTCGGGAGCCGGTAACTTCGGTGCCTGCTGCGGTGAGATGGATATTTGGGAAGCCAACTCGATGGCTGCCGCCTACACTCCCCACCCTTGCAGCACCGACGGCCTCTTCCGTTGCACTGGCACCGATTGCGGTGACGGCGACAACAGATATGCTGGTGTCTGTGACAAGGATGGATGTGACTTCAACTCCTACCGTATGGGAGACCGCTCCTTCCTTGGCTTGGGCAAGACTGTTGACACCAGCAAGAAGATCACTGTCGTAACTCAGTGAGTTGATATCGGTGCAATCTATTAAATGTTATACTGAACCGCGCTAGATTCATCACCGCCGACAACACCTCAAGCGGAGACCTCGTCGAAATCCGCAGAGTCTACGTTCAGGACGGCGTTGTTATCCAGAACTCAGTAACCAGCGTCCCAGGACTCGACCCCTACGATTCCATCACCGGTGACTTCTGCGCGGCCCAGAAGTCTGCCTTCGGCGACAACAACTACTTCGCCACCAAGGGCGGACTCAGACAGATGGGCAAGTCCTTCGACAACGGCATGGTGTTGGTCCTCAGTGTCTGGGATGACCACGCCGTCAACATGCTCTGGCTCGACTCGGACTTCCCCACCGACAAGGACCCGTCCCTCCCGGGTGTCTCCCGTGGCGCTTGCGCTACCACGTCTGGTGTCCCCGCTGATGTTGAGGCACAACACCCGAATGCTTCGGTTACGTACTCGAACATCAAGTACGGCCCCATTGGTTCGACCTTCAGCGGCGGCTCTACCCCTCCTACCTCGTCTACCCCAGTTACATCGTCTACTCCCAGCACGACCTCCAGCGGCACAACCCCGACTGCTCCTTCTGGCACAGTCCCCCAATGGGCTCAGTGCGGCGGTAAGTGTATTAATGACACTAAAGCAACCTTCGTCACTGATTTTGCCTCATCGCATAGGCATCAACTACACCGGCCCCACCGCCTGTGTTTCTCCATTCACCTGCCATGTTATTAACGACTGTAAGTCGAACATCAAGTTCCACCGTTACCTCTCGCTAAACACTTCTTTGTCTTTGTCTAGTCTATTCTCAGTGTTTCTGAACAGCTGGTAGTTAATTTAATTTGGGATATACACAAAAGTTCCGTCTGATACGCACTGGATTGCTAGTATTGTTTCATGTAATTATTCCAATAGTTCAACAAATGTCCTTTGAACTCGTGCACACGATCGACTTCTGAAAGCGCCGAACTGATTAGGAACAGTAAAGATATGGGTCGTGGTTCAACTACCATCGGACGCTCCTGATTTCGCTATGGGCTAGGGAGATCGCTCTTCCCTTCTCTCGTACCTTTGTAGAGAGTGACATATCCAGGAGGCCTAGGGGTGACAGGGGGAGCCATCTTCATGTCATCAGGAGGTCACCCTGTACCTGCAGCAAGGACATCTTCGATCAGATCGATAACAATAGACTATGTGCACGAGCTGTAGTATACTTAGCGTTGTCCGCCTTATAAATACATAAGGTGTGGGAGGAATTCACTGTCTGGATCTACTGCAGCGCCCAGATCCGAGAGCTGACTTGGCACAAGACGGTATATGGTCAATCTGTCGTTAATTGTAATCACCTTGATCCAGGATATCCTGCAACAGTATATAGTTTGTGATTTGAGGGCGTTATTTTCGGCGGGCGGCTAGTACGAACGGCAAGTACGAGCGGGAGCAGTGTCGGTGGAAACTGCTTACGTTATCGCTGCTCCGTACGGCCGGTGATGTCGGCAGACGGACCGTGAGCCTATATTGGGCTTCACAGCAACTCCGAGTCTCTCTCCTTATCCTCCTCCCCCACCAGACAATATGATGAGTCGTCCGCTACTTCAACGTCTTGGACACCCAAACTAACTCCCGAATGCACTCATCCAGCAAACGCCGCATTGAGACCGATGTAATGAAGATGTGAGTTCTGTTCTCTGGTCTCCTTACCGATGCTCACGTTCGTACTGCTCGTGAATCAGGTTGATGTCCGACCATGAAGTGTCGCTCGTAAACGACAACATGCAAGAGTTCTACGTTCGCTTCCATGGTCCGACGGAGAGTGCGTCTTGCGTATCAATGCCTAACAACAACCCCACTGACCGACGGTGTTCCCCAAATCATTGTGCACAGCACCCTTCGCCGGTGGGGTTTGGAAGATTCACGTCGAGCTACCCGATCAATACCCCTACAAGTCCCCCAGCATCGGATTCATGAACAAGATATTCCACCCCAATATCGATGAGCTGTACACGCCCTCTCTCGCTCCGTGTTCCATACATGAGGTACTCACCCACGGATTGTGATTGCCACAGCAGCGGTTCTGTTTGTCTCGATGTTATCAATCAAACGTGGTCCCCCATGTTCGGTGAGTTCCGTCCGTCCAATGAGTATCTCAACATATGCAGATGCATATGTCGGAGCCAGTTGATGACTTGATGCTAATTTGCTAATTAATATGTTCTATGATTCTATGATGCTCGCAGAACTGATAAATATATTCGAGACATTCCTCCCGCAACTCCTCCGTTATCCCAACCCCAACGACCCACTGAACGGCGAGGCAGCCGCGCTGCTGATGAGACATCCGAAGGAGTACGAAGCGAAGGTCAAAGGTCCGTACCTCCGTTCACTTGTCCGCGGGCATCCGCTTGCATGTTAATTTAACGATGTCATATGATGCAGACTACGTACAACGCTTCGCGACGAAAGAAGCGGCTGATCTCGCCGGTGATACGAACGAAGACGACGAAGACGCAGAAATGAGTGATATGGGTAGCATCACCGATGACGACGACGACCGTGCTGCTTGAGCATCTCCGCCACGCGATTACACACATTTCTCCACTCCGTTTCCCAGCTACACTGGCATAATCTCGCGCTACGTTTGTATATCATGTGTTTTGAATAGGATTGTTGTATATAGGTATAATGACTGGGATCTGGAAGCTCTTCAATGCTGCTTGATGGGACGCCAGTAAGGAGGATATCGCCTTGCAGTGGGAGATTTGGTGAGATGTCGATGAGAGCGTCACACCATCTGCACAGGTGGTGGATGGTTTTAGTTCATGATTCCAGTAACAAGTAGAAAGCATGGGGACGCAGATTCCGAGGCGGAGGCCACCAACGATACGCTTCACGGAGTGGAACCATTTGATCAACGTCACTGCGCCGAAGATTGATTTGAAATTATATCAGTGCATTGAGTGCACGGTTTGGCTCTTATTCAGTTGAAGAAGACGGGTATCAACTCGATGGGTTGGCCTTGGTATCCTCTGGTAACGGCTTGACAAGTTCGTCTACCTTCTTCTGAATCTCGGCAGCCGTCTAACAGTAACGTGAGCACACAAGCATTAACCGGGTAAGCGATGCTGACCTTGACAAGGGCGTCAATCTGCGCTTTGACGTTATCCATCGTGGAAACCTGTGTCTTGCTTTGCTTAAGCAGGTGTTCCTTTTGTTGTAAAAGCTCCTTCTTTTTCGTATCGAGCCTGGGGACACGGGGGTAAGATCTAGACACATGTGATTAGCGTGAGGCTTACCTCTGGCGTTCCGCAAGTTCAAAGGCTAGACGATTGAGCATGAGCTGATGCTGGTCATCTGTTTGTGCTTCCGGCGGAGCGAGACTCTTGAATTCCTCGAGGCTATATAACGGGATGTCTTGGTAGATAGACCTGTACCCATATTACCTCCCCGATGAATTCTCTGCGCGCACGCGCGACTGATCACTGGCACTCACGCGAATTGTCGGCACTTCTCTATCTCGCGCTCTAAATGCCTCTTCTCGTACTGGAGATTCTGCAGGCCAAGATGCGACTGATCCATCTCCAGCCTCGCTGCTGCGGTGGCCTCCTTGTGGGCGCGAGTGGCATTGTTCGCTGCGCGATTCAGAGACTTGAGGCGACCGATGAGGGCCGTAGCCCGGATCTGCAGAGCTGAGACGTCCTGGAAGAGGTACGATGGGGACACGAGCTTCGCGAGCTCGTCGATAACGTCGTCCGGGGACGGGGGCATGCCCTGGCCATTTGGCTGCTGTTCGGTCGTTTCCATGGTCGTGGTAGATACCCAACGAGCGCCAATGGAATGGCCGGACGGCGAATAGAGTTGCCGGGCGTCTCCGCCACCGGGCCGAGGTATGACGAAGCCGCTACCCTCAGTCAGTGCGATTAGATGGAGTAGTCAGCTACACCAGGCCGGTCACTCTCACACTTGCCGTTTAAAGCCCATCGTCAAAACCCACATATCGCCCACTCCCTCCCCCGACACTGCTTGATCTTCAACCACCACGACGACCACGATGGCGCGACAACGCTCAGACTCTGGCACAATCCCCTCCATGGAGACCTCCCACGATGAGCTCAAAGATAACACTATCATCATCGGTCAGTGCACGGCAGTCTGACATCGCTGTCACATTGTGCTCATTGTCAAAATCGGAGATCTTAGTCCTGGGGGCGTCGGGAGATCTGGCGAAGAAGAAGGTGAGCAAGCGACCCAATCCATCCCCATCCATGCGTGCACTGGGTGTTCACACAATAATTAGACTTTCCCCGCACTATTCGCGCTTTATCGCCAGCAATTCCTGCCGCGAGATGTCAAGATCGTCGGCTATGCGCGTACCAAGATGGACGAGGCCGAATTCCATAAACGCGCGACATCATACATAAAAAACCAGGAGGATCCTGAGGTTGCGCAAGCCGTCACAGAGTTTAAGAATTTCTCCACTTACGTTGCGGGCGATTACGAAGATGGCGCCGCATTCGATAATCTCGAAAAGCATCTCGAAGAGATTGAATCTCACTATCAATCGAAGGAGTGCAACCGTCTCTTCTACCTTGCTCTGCCCCCAAGTGTCTTCATCCCAGTCGCCAGGAATCTCAAGGAGCATTGCTATGCAGGCAAAGGAGGCATCAACCGTATCATCGTCGAGAAGCCGTTCGGTAAAGATCTCGAGTCATCGCGCGAACTACTGTCGTCACTCAAACAATATTGGACGGAGGACGAGACGTTCCGTATTGACCACTACCTTGGCAAGGAGATGGTCAAGAACCTGCTCGTGTTGCGTTTCGCCAATGTCGCGTTGGGTGCTGCTTGGGACAAGAACTCGATCAGCAATGTGCAAATCACGTTCAAGGAACCGTTTGGCACTGAGGGACGAGGTGGTTATTTCGATGAATTCGGTATCATTCGTGACATCCTCCAGAACCGTAAGTCAGATTTGTACTTGTAAGAAGATAGTAAACTAATAGCGATCCAAGATTTGCTGCAGGTTCTTACTGTCCTTGCCATGGAACGGCCAGTGTCTTTCGCCGCTGAAGACATTCGTGATGAGAAGGTTAAAGTCCTTCGTGCGATACCACCCATTGAGCAAGTAGATACCCTTCTGGGGCAATATGTCGCCGCAAATGGCAAGCCTGGGTATCTCGACGATGAGACAGTTCCACGCAACTCGGTGTGCCCTACCTACGCCGCCACAACCCTCTGGATCAACAACCCTCGATGGGAGGGTGTCCCATTCATCCTCAAAGCTGGTAAAGGTAAGTATCTGTATCTCCTTCTCATGCAATAAACCAGCGTAACTAAACCATCTGATACGCAGCCTTGAACGAGGCCAAGGTCGAGATCCGCATTCAGTTCAAGGATGTGACGCAAGGTATCTTCAAAGATATCTCGCGCAACGAGCTCGTCATGCGCATCCAGCCTTCTGAGGCCGTCTACCTCAAGCTGAACACGAAAACGCCGGGTCTCTACACGCGTGCCATGCCGACTGAGATGGACCTCACGTACAAGAGACGATTCACGGACACGAAGATACCCGAGGCATACGAGGCGCTCATTCTTGACTGCTTGAAGGGAGACCATTCAAACTTCGTGCGAAATGACGAGCTGGACTGTGCTTGGAAGGTGAGCATGGTGATTTTCCTTGTAGAATGTTGTTTGTTGAATGCGCGTTTAGATCTTCACACCGATATTGCATTGGATTGATGGCAAGAACGGGCAACGTCCTCGCCCCGTGAACTACCCCTACGGAGCCCGGGGCCCCAAAGAGCTAGATGCCTTCATACAGAAATACGGATACAAGAGGGCGGAAGCTGGCTAGTGAGTCTTCCCTGCCCCTCTTTACCCCGTTACCCCGTTACCCCTCCATCTTCCTCGTTAATCTTATATGTTCACTCACTCCACTTTTTTCATAGCGCATGGCCGATCACGAGTCTGGCGTTGTTATAAAGTAAACGTGATAAGATAGTGTACACTGTGACTTGAGCAGAACCCGACATTTGTACTTTGTAGAAAGCAAGTAGTCGTTTCACGATTCGCAGCCTCCGTTACAAGTGTCGCGAAAAGTGTCGCGAGTTTTGCAGTCGAACCAGATTGAAGGTGGGGGATTCTCGCCGTGTAACTTCCTACTTCTGAGTGGGGTGATGGGTAAATGAGGTTGCAGGAAAGGTTGCATCTGGTGAATTAGCTCAGGAAGCCTTGCTAAGAGAGGTATGGCATTAGAGTAGTGAACTAATTGATATATAATCCAATCTGGGTTTGCGCCGTGAGTTATTTATGTATGACGGCGCCTGCCAAACCTTCTTGTGTCTTAATTAAACGGTAACATTGCGCCAGGCCAACATAATTTGGGGCCCCGTTTTTCATCGGAGACTGTCGCAACCTCGTTCTGATCGCCTAAAGATATGTTGGACAAAGGCAAAGGAGCGAGGGCAAACAGTACACGCTCAAGACTTCCCATGTCATTAAGCGGATTGAATCCCGTAGCGTTCGACGGTACGGCAGATCGAACTGCTCATAGAATCAGGGGCAATAGAGTTTCAATTGTGCCTAGATAACTAGCACTAAAGCCTCAGTATGTAGTACAGCCCACTGATACCTTGTTGTTGTAGAACTGACCTGGACGCAGTCACTTGTCTAGCACGGCATCAAGTTCTACCGGGACAGATGGGATTAGTCGCAGTGGATTTGGTTGCAGTTACAGCCGCTATCCCGGCTGCAACGGCAGCTTGTTGGACGGTGTGGGGTTGGTGTGTGGGTTTGGTGCACGGTGCCAGAGGTAATAAGTTGGGATCGGGTCAGGATAGTTCTGGCAAGTCCCCCTCTTCCGCAGAGTCATAACGAGATTTGGATAGAGGGTTCTGAGATAACTTACGCGCTAGCAAGTATTGTTGGATACGGTTGTCCTGTTTCCGCGTCAGCGGCGACTCAGCGCTACCTTTAGCCTAAAGAGGAGCCAGAATTCGAAGCCCGCTCGCACATTTCGTTCCTTTTTCGTACACAACAGCTTCAGGTTGTAGGCGCTTATCGGCGTGGAAGTTGGCCCGAGTATTTCACGTAGTCCCAGCTATCATGTTGAGCGAGGAACGTTTCTTGTTTCCTGCGGTGACTGATCTTTGTTCGATTCCAGGTCACTCTTGCTGGCGCTGACGCTGCTGCGGCAGCTCAGCACGCCCGCCGTCCGTATTGCTGCCCGTATTGCCGGTGTGTGCCGTCAATGGCGCAAAATCTCCCTCGCACCGTCTCAGATCTCGACAAAGGATTGTCGATGGTGTCATGTCAGTTTTGCTCGAACGGTCTAAATCTGCACCTCTTAAAATCAGCTGCGACCATCCATGGGCACAACCCCAGATTGCTCTAAACATCATGCATCAACTCTATCGTATCCAAGAACTCAACGTCACGGTTGCTTTCTTTACTCCATAACTCCTCGAAGTTGGAGCCTGGAGGTGGTATATGTTGATGGCCTTACTTCTGATAGTCCCATAGACTCGGCAATACTTCCCATTAACCATCGCATCCTCTTGCGTTGAATGCTTCGCGGTTCTGACCAACCTTGAATACCCTCCTGACGCGTGTGTCACATTCCGCAGCAACGGAAAGTCAACCTCAGCAGTACCAAACTTATCGAACCTTACCAGAATATGCAAACGTGGCGCTCACCGTCGATGAAGCCCGATTATACGGAGGGGACCAATTCCGAATGACTGTCCTGAGTCGAGGGAATCCCAGACTTTCCCTGGCGCTGCAAGGAGAGGACTATCAGTACTACTTAACATTAGCCATGGTCATACCCTTCGAACTCATCCTTGCCTTAGGCATTGAAGGTTTCAAGGGCGTGGTAAAGGCAGTATGGGCGAGTTTATTCCGGCGTTGCGCGGGAGTGCGAGACCTCACCTTGAAAAGTGTCGACACTCGTACTTTCCAAGCTCTGATAAGCTTCCATTCGAGGAGGTTCCCTTGCCTAATCTACAGATGCTCCGTCTATTTGAATGCACCTTTATTACACTCTTGAAAGATGCATCGCGATTCCAAGCTCTGAAGGATTTCCTCAAAGAGCGCAAAGATCTTGGCATACCTATCGAGAGGGTCGTGGTCGGCACATGCCCCATTACCGAGGTGGCTGTCGAGGAACTGAAACAGTTTACAGAAGTAAACTGGGATGGAGAAGAGGTCGTCAGGAGAAGGAATTTGTAGTTGTAGCCAATTTTGTATCCATGTGTGCACACTAACGTGTATAGCAGCATGACTGTTTCGTTGGCCCGTTACGTCTTTCAGAAAAGTACTATACATCTTCAATCCACAAACTGTGATTGGGGAAAGCCTTCAAGGATATTATACCTGAAGGCAGCGGGAAGTAAGTATAGGAGCGGCTGAGAGGCCGCCGATCACAGAGTTCTAAAAATAGCAATACCATCGACACGTATCCTCCGACCGCCAACTCTCCCAAAACTCGCCACAAAATGCTGCGACTCACGGGCAGCTTATCGCTCGTTTTTCTCACCCTGCTTTCGTCAACGCATGCACACCATTCGTATTCCTTCGAAAATACTGCTATCGTCCGCCAGGTCGAACTTGCAGGGTCCCTCGTGCAGGTGGTCACCACGTATGCCGTGAAGGCGCTCGAGAAGAACGCGAAAGCGTACACTATTGCTTTGAGCTCGAATGACAAGGAAAAGACCAGCTGGCTGGAGGCAAAGGTGAAGGGACAGCAGCAGGCACTTCCGGTGCGTGATCATGGCAAGGAACCTACCAAGTGAGTGTGAATCACTTCTCGTGAGCTTTCGGGTTGACTCTGGCTCAGTGGGTACCATCTCATCGACGTGGAGCTACCCAAGCCACTGGGGCTCAACGAAACGTTGAATATTGTGCTGGAAACCATACAAACCCACGCAGCAAAGCCGTGGCCAGCATCTGCTTCCCAGAACGATGAACAGTCCCTTCTGTTCAAGACAGACTTGTTTGTCATCAGCCCATATCAGACACTAGTTCAAAGAAGCAAGTTGAGGTTCGTTGGTTCTCTGGGAACCGATGGTTCAAGTTAATTTAACGACTACATTCGTGTAGGTCACCGACACCCCGCATCGTAGAGTTCACGGAGCCAAAAGACCTTGAAGCGTTCACCCTAGACACTCCTGCAACCAAGTCAGGCGCGACCATTACATATGGGCCATTCAACAATATTCCTCCGTCAGCGGATGAGGACTTCCTGTCTAAAACCCAGCAACCCATCTCGGTGCAGTATATGTATGACCACCCAGTTTTGGAGGTCTCGTCATTGAAGCGTGCGGCCGAAATCAGCCACTGGGGCTCCAACTTGAACATTCAAGACGAGATTCGTCTACGCAACGGGGGACCTGAGTGAGTGTCCATTATTCATTCACAGCTGCGGACGAGGGATTTACTACTCGTATCTTGTGCCAGGTTGAAGGGACACTTCTCGCGACTTGATCACCAAGCGCAGGCATTCTACAAACGCCCTTCACCCCATGTTCTTCCCGCTCTTTCACTGCATCTACCCGCTGGCATTCGCAACACCTATTTCTACGATATCATCGGGAACGTTTCAACCTCTCACCTCCGTGTGGCGCCCGCTCCACCAAAGTCACTAAAGTCGCGTACCCCACAGTACAGCGTCCTGGACCTCCGCCCGCGTTATCCCCTCCTTGGCGGCTGGAACTACACATTCACCCTTGGTTGGGACTCTGACCTCAGTGACTCGGCTGTATATGACAGCAAGTCCGGAAAGTATATTGTCAAGGTCCCGGTTATGACATTGATCCCTGGTGCGGTGGTTAACCAGGCAGAAGTTACAGTTATTTTGCCCGAAGGTGCAACGTAAGCGAGCTGCCTCCAATTATCGGTTCGTTGTCTGAGGTCTCTTTGTGTCCCCTTTACAGGGATGTCGATTTTTCCCTGCCTTGGCCAGCTGTTTCGACCTCGTCGTCCACAGTCACAACATACCTCGACACGACCGGACGACCAGCGTTGACATTCGTGTACGAAAGACTAACAACCAGGCACGACGGAGATATCTACGTAAGTCGTCCTTCCCAAGCCCAACTCCCTGGTGAACACACGAGTGAACATGTTACTGAACTCTCGTAACACCCACAGGTTTCGTACAAAGTTCCATTATCCGCTCATCTGAAAAAGCCGACCGCCGTCGCCACAGCCTTCATGGGTCTCTTCGTCCTCACTCTCATTGGGCGACGCATCAATCTCAGCCTCCATCCGTCTAAAACAGCTTAGGATACACTGTGTTGATATATAGAATCGTGATTGTATCTTAATTGTTCTGAACTGGGCAGTTTGAGAACGTGATAAACTGATGGTAGATACTGATGACGATACATTGGGATATGATGACATGCAAAAATCAATAAATTTACAGCAATGATATTTGATAAATGATAGTTGAGGTGGGGTGGTGTTAACGCCATCCATTTCTGCGAGTGAATGTGTGTAGGGTGAGAACACTGCATCCCGCTGGAGGCGCCGCGCTAGTAATATAGAATTAGGTTGGCGTAAATTGACAGCGTAAAACGGGCACTTACTTCTTTAAGAACATGAAGATCCCAGTGTTGTCGCCCGCCGGGCAGCTGTAGAACAGCCCTTGACTATCCCCACTCGGTTGATCGTAATACAACATCGTGCCGCGCCATCTCCACGATCCTGTCTTGATCCCCTCCGCTTTCGTTCCCAGCTTCAGCTGCAATGGCATCTCAGCCACACCCGTCGTGTTCACCACATTGACGCGGAAGATGGAAGTTTCATTGTTGATCTGCCACAGCCAGTTCTGGTTGATGAAATACATCGGTGGCTGGGTGTTCTGGATCAATGTCAGATTTCCCGGCGTACCTGGTCAGTGAAGTCAGTCGCGCCGTCGATATGTGATCGTAGATCGCAATTGTTTACCAGGCATCGCTGTCGACAGATGCCCTTTGTACATCTGGGTATCCCTCGCCGGGCCTAAGGCCTCGATAAACGAAGAACCAGGGACCAATGAGCTGATGCTTTGTTGACGATTCCACCCATCCCAAGTCGGTACACCGAGGACCGTGGAGAAGACGAATAGCAGCAAGTAGGGTAGGAGCCGTGCTATGAACATCCTGTCGATCGGGGTCGTCTGAGAACAAGGGCTGATGTCGAGGTCGCGTACTGAGCCTTTATTTGTATGTATAAAGCTCGGGCGTACGTGGCGCTTTCCACCTCGGTGTTGATTCGGAAGGTCCGAGAATCATGGCAACATTGAGTAACCACGACCATCGGCGAAATAGACGAAGAGCATGGTCGAATCCTACGTCACTGCATTGGGATCGAAGTAGTCTGAGAGTTCTAGGTAGCTTGCGAGACATATTATAGGGAAAACAAAGTCCCTGAGTCTATGGCAGAAGAAGCTGCTGGGTGATCCTGGGGGAAACGGAGGCATGTCAGATTATGGTAAGTCTGGAAAAACCTTGGATGATATCCACCCCAGGTGACTTCGCACTGATAGTTGATCGGCTGTCGTGTAGCGCTTCGGCTGAACTAGCGTCGCAACTCATCGACAACACCTGTGCCCGAGCCCATCGAATTGTCCGAATGTCAAGGCCCTCAGAAAAGCGGGGATGGTGATCAAGTGAAGGAGAACCTAGATAAGATAAGATGCTAGATGATGTTAGGCGCTTATGGGCTACTCAAGCAGGTAAGTACTCCGCAACAGGCTAGCAATTATTTTGTTTGTTCCATCATATTTCATACATTTCACCTCGTCTAGTACTCAAGTGAGTTCTCGATAATCCTGGTGAGGTGCTGTCGCCCGTCTTCACCAACGACATCCCCAATTCCAGGCGCCAGGTCCAACACTCTCCGCTGCGGCATCGTCCCTTCTACTAGCATGTCCACATCACTCTACAACCCCGAACGTGGATATGATCAGCACAACATATCATCAACGGCTTAAGAATCATACGCACCCTCTTATAACCGACACTCTTCAGCCCTCTCGGAACACCAAGTCCATCAAGGAATCTCGCAATGGACTCATAGAGATGTGCTCCGAGCTCGGAGTCCGGTATTTTTGTGATCGAAGAGTCGAGTACGGACGTGGAGTTAAAGATGGCTAGTGCTTGACGATGGCGGTCTGGCGCCGAAGGAGCGGTGAACTGGAACACTAAATTCCATGTATGAGATGAGTGAAGACAGGGACAAGAAACTTGCACAAACCAGCAGGACCGGTCAAAGCCACACTAGAGGCGGGAGTAAGTGTGTATACCAGAATAAAAATGTCAAGGAGTCTGCGAACCTTATTCCGTGAGGTATTATCGGCGAATCAACGAGATACTCTGGGTGCTTGTATTTCGGCCCTTTTTTGTTCAATCCAGAAATCTGAGTCCAAGCGTAAGGGCGGTTAGAATTAAGAAAATATGCAACTTACAGGATAGCTGATACCATGGCAGAGATGGACGCCAGCGTTACCGAACCCAATACCTGCGAAAGAAGAGGCAAGCCTGGAAAGGAAGGTGATGAACCCCGGAGACGGGAGTAGTAATATTATATGGACGACATACAGCATCTGCCTGCGGGCTTCACTATCACCCCGATCCTTAGCAATTCTTGGAAGGTATTTCACCGCTGTTTGTAACGCCCAAAGTGAGAATATATCAGCGACCGGATTGCTTCCTTGATACGCAGGCCGGAGAATTGGATTGCTGGGTCTTGGCGTACGCTCAGTGTATCTACACCTCGTGTCAGCTGCCATAAATTGTCAAGGACGCGCATGGCGTGACATACGGAATCGCAGTGTAGCTCTCCATGCTGTGGAAGAGCACATCAAGTCCTGAACTAATGTGCACCTGCGTTGGACACGTTTCGGTGTTCATTGTATCGACGATACCCAGCACGGGCTTCATAGCACGGCTGGCTATTCCAGTCTTGAAGGATCTGGACGTTATGTCCAAGATTGCGGTTCCTGTGGTTTCGGAGCCGGTACCAGCCGTCGTAGGGACTGTGATACAACATATCAGCACAGTTAGTTGCTAGCACTAGGGGATGTGACGAACTTGCGATCAAGGGGAAGAGGGTTTGGGCTATAGGAAGACCTTTGCCAATCGGGGCGTTGATGAAATCCATGAGGTCGGCGTCCTTGTAAACAGAGAACCTGGGAGTCAGAAATTAGTAGGATGTAAGTCAAGCGGGTAAAGTGACCCACAAGTTCGCGGCCTTGGCGGTATCAATAACGCTGCCTCCTCCGATACTGTTAGAGTGTAAGTCGAGGTTCAACATAACTCAGGCTGAGTTCACGCACGCTAAGAAGTGACTGAAGTCGTGTGTGCGTGCCCAAGTAATCGCGTCGCGCCAGCTGTCTTCCGTTGGCTCGGCCACTACCTTATCATACACCTCAAAAGGTAGATCCGGCTGCGATTCAAGTGCGGTAATAGCCTACACCGCTAATTGAAGAGTGCTCCTGATCCTGGACGAAGTAGCTCACCGTCTTCATGGGTCGGAGCTTTGCAATATTGGGGTCTGTGAAGACACCAACCTAGCCATGGAATGTGAGAAATCCGCGAATGCTCCAGTTGGATGGCAGTACCTTGCGTGCTTTCATGTTCTTTAGGTCCATGCCCACCTCTGCGGTGACACCGTCGCCGAATCGCAGGTTCGACGCAGCAACCTATTAACCCACATGAGATCAGCACAATGGTCCCCGCAAGCCACTCACCTCAAAGGCATACTCCTTCTCTACCGTGTTCACAGGAGTCGCGAACTGGCGTAGTGTACCAAGCGCGTGAGCTTGGTGGGCATGCGAGACCGCAGCTCGGCCACCATGGCATGGACATGCCGTATGCTGCGAAGCATTGATCAAACGAAATATGCTGCTGCGAGAGGCCGCCATGGTGGAAATATCGACAGTGCGAAACAAACTCCCAACCCTGTCACGGTGCGGATTGTGGGGAAGCCGACATAACCGTCAACGCGCGTGGAAGCCACGTGGGCGGGGAGAGCCAAATATAGCAGAAAAATTGACTAAAAGGGGATTCCACGCCTGAAGGGATCTGCCGCCAGTGTGTGAGCCAAGAGCTGATGCCAAACAAGAAGGTTGTAATCAGAAGGACTTGTGTTGTGGCTGCTTTCCCACTGGCAGCTGCCATTGCTTCCTCTCCTCCTCGTTCCTTCACCCCTCCTCCTCGTTCCCAGTCGTTCTTTATTTGACTCCGTTCTCTCACCCCCGTTTCCCAGTCCTGGCGCTATCATGAAGTTCGGCCTTCTCGCCCTCGCGCTGGCTCATGCCCACATTTCTTCTGCCCTTATCCTACCTTTCAAACAGGCCAGACGGTCAGCACCCGTCAGGCGAAGTGGGCTCACCTCGGTACACACTGTTCAGCCTCCGAAGGGCATCAAGAACATCAAAGTCTTTGCTGCGTCGGGCCAATCATCAGGTAGCAATCTGGACCTTGAGTGAGTGGCTGCATGCAATTGGTTCGCATTTTCGTTGACAAGAATCGTGCAGCACCGTACATGACCTCCTTTATATGGCCAACGTAAGTCTCCTTACGAATCTGGTCTAGTACTTCTTATCGACAACCTAAAAGGTTACAGTTGGCGGCCGTGGTGAGTGTTCTGCGACTTAGACTTTTTTGTGCGCCAAAGTCTAAACCGGATTAAGATTATCCCATACAGCTGGACACTGGCTCTTCGGACTTGTGGATAAAGGGCCCATCATCTCCACTACCTAACGCTGAAGTGACCGTAAGTCGACACATTTCTAGCATGGTTATATTTTGTTAATTGTTATGATCCAGACAATTGACTACAACCTCACGGTAAGCTTGCATCACTAGGCTATTGTCATGCGTTTGCTGAACCTTTCCGCAGTATGGCATCGGCTGGGCATATGGTCATGTAGCTTATGCTGATGTTGAGTTTGCCAAGTAAGCCAACCCATTCTGATTGCCTCTTTATTGCTCAACGTCGTTTTCCTTAGCATTGGAGTGAAGAAACAAGCCTACTTGGACGTGTCATCGGCGCAAAACCCTGCACTGTCATACGGTGCTGTTGGCATCCTTGGCCTTGGGTTCACTTCACTATCAACAGTAGATGCACTGGTCAATAGGTCTGGAGCGGACACCGGACGGAGTCTTCTCTACAATCTCTTCGAGGACAATCCTTCGGAACCTAACTTTATTGCATTTGCTCTTCAACGGAGCACACATGCAGATAACGAGGTCGAGGGAAGCTTTTCCATTGGTGCGTCCTTCCTCGTTGTGTCGCGTGCCAATTTACGACAGTTTACTAGGCGAATACGAACCTGACTACGCCCATGTCGCGGAGAACCCGGCGATCCCTACGTTCCCGCCCACCTCTCCCAAACGATGGAACATCTTGTTAGACGCTCTTCTCTTCCCTGATCGTTCCGTCATCCCCAACACCACGGTCTCAGGAGCGCCAGGCGGCAGAGCAGTTATTCTCCTTGACAGTGGAACATCTTACACTTACGCCCCCAAGGAAATCTGCGATGAAATTTACGCCAACGTTCCCGGTGCGAAATATGATCCCTCTATGGGCCAGTGGGTTGTTCCTTGTTCCGCAGAAATCAGCATCGCGCTACAAATAAAGTGAGAATTTGATCATCAAATCATACCACGGCCTAGAATAACGCTTTCTCAGCGGACAAGTCTTCCCCATTCACCCTCTTGATGTCACGCCCGCCGGCCTTGTTGATCCCTCGCAGTGTGTTGGCTCTTTCGTCCCTCAAACAGTTTCAGTCGGCTCCGGCGAGTTGTACGTGAAGATCTATTACTCATCGGTCCCATAAATTCATGCGTGCTGTCAACAGTGACTGGCTTGTTGGCGATAACATCCTCCGTTCTATCTACTCAGTCTACGACTTTGGTGACTTCGACGACTCCGGAAAGATGGGCAACCCCTACGTCAAACTGTTGTCTCTCACCGACGCTAACAAAGCCTCCGTCGAATTCCACAAAGTCCGTGGCGGCGCAGCAAGGAACGACATCTCATTCACCGCCGCCAATGTTGGTGCCTCTGATGGATCAACTACTATCACACTCTCTGCAAAACTCGCTGACACCCTCGACAAAGTCGGCAAATACTTCCCCGCTATGTTGGGTGTTGTTGCATTGAATGCCCTCGTCCTGCTCGGACTCATTGTACTCGGGATCGTTTTCCTTTGCAAGAAGAAGAAACGCCGCTCTGCCGCACCCGCTCGCACACCCCTCGGACGTTTGACACCTATGCCGATGGACGGACAACAACTCAGCGATAGAGGCTCATCACGACATATGTACGAGCCCGTGTCGATGGCACTGACCGAAGACACTATGATGGTTACATCCCCTGGTTTCAAAGTATTTGACGGGGATGTCATACGACCGGCAGATCGTCCCATGTCCATGATGCCTTCCAACTCTCAATCTAGTACCCAACCATTCCCCGTCTCATCGTCAGGAGCCGACGCTGTTGACGATAACATCTTCCTCCCACCATCTCCCGCGTTCAAAAGCCGACCGCGATCAGTAGCGTAACCTCCCCCACTCTTCTTCCCCCACTGACGGTGGCTGTTTGACGCAATCACGCCAACTGCCACTGGCCGTGCTTATCTGCTGACGTTGCTTCTGCCTTTGATGCTACACGATGTTGGACGTTTTTGACGTATTCTGACATGAACTCAGGGTACCTTCCCCTTCTCTTCATATCACATCTTGCTGTCGTTGCTTGGGACTCTACGTATGGGCTTATTCTATAATGATGTCCAATCTATTATTACCAACCCCTTTGCCTTTCGCACTACCACTTGCTATCAAATTTCCGATATGAAGGTATTATGTATCTAGTGCGCTGCGGGCATGGGGTTGCCGTGTTGCTAATCTATGTGTTGATCACTGCGGATAAGAATGGGCTTCTCTGCCGATTAGTGGTGGTGCACTTTCTACTACTGTTGATTGTTTTTAATCTTCCGTATGGCAGTTTGCCAAGTATCTCAACTGCTTGATGTGCTAATGCTCGCCGATAGCCTTGCTTTTACCAAGCACATTCGATGACCGGGTCGCCGCAGCCTGCACAGAGTTCTCCCAGCCGTGGTGGATGCACTGGAGCGTCTGAAGGTGGAGGCGAAGGGACAAAATGGCATCTATCACTTGTGGACCTGACGGAGAAACTCTATTTAATTCAATCCAAAGGTTGTTCGGGTCGACGACAAAGCCACTAGAAGCATGCAATCATCTCTGCCTTTAAATCCCCTACCCTTGAGGACCAAGAACTTGGAATCGCTGACGCCGTCGCGGAATACCATCGTTGGCAATATGGGAACCTCGCATCGACGGGTTGGCGACTTAGGGGACTACGCAGACCTAGCACGTAGCTTTGCGTCGATGGGTCGTACTGTCAGGGACCTTCGCGTCCGGACGTTATATTCTCCTCGTGTGCTCCTCATGTCCCGAGGGGAATTGAGGCCCCTCATAAGGCTCCCTCATGCATTTCGCTCATCATTGTAGGAAGACCACCGTGCTCACCCAGTACTCCAATAGCAGGTGAGTAAAAGACTGGGGGTGGTGCCACCAACACAGACTAATACTAATGAACCCTAGCACGAGAGTATGCACTGGATACTGGATGCCATACGATCCTTTATATCGTACCTTCTCACTACAATCATGAGCAAGTTCACCGGCCAGTCTATCGATATTCCACCACTCTGCGAACGCTGTCGAATTCTCCAGCTCGATGACCGAGCGCAAGGGGGCAAAATTACAGCAGAATCCTATGTTACATTCGGAGAGCCTGGTTGGGGATCTCGGAACAAACTACTCTTTGACTATAACTTCGAAGACGAGTATCCTTTACTCCCTGGTTTATCGGACTCCGCCAACCGAGGATGCGCGTTTTGCGGTCTATTAAAGGAGGGAATACTCGAAGTAGAGCGCCTCAAGAATCCCTCTGATCCCAAGATCGTATTCTACAAGGCGTGCTACCATTTGGTAGAGCCTCGCATGGCATCGAGGGAGTCAAAGCTTTTGGACAGTTTGTCTATTATCTTTAAACTTCATTCATCTGAAGGTAAAGAGGAGTCGCATGCACTCCGTTTCGACATTCAGGCCGAAGGTGGTGGTAAGTCTTCATGCATACGGCCATAAAACTGCGACTGATATTCCGACTTACCTTGGTCTAGACCCATGCACAAGGTGGCTAAACATTCAACGGAGGCCCCTCGCATCCGATCCTCTATCCGAGTCTGGGATCCAACGAATGAAGGAATTAATCAAGCAGTCATTAGACCATTTTCCCTACACGTACACGTACCTTCCTACGCGACTTATCGACGTAGGTAGCCAACACGAAGTCCCTCGCCTCATTGTTTCCAGCAAGCATCCTCCACTCCTCGATTCCAATGCCCATCCAGAAAGCAAGCGATACATCGCATTGAGCTATTGCTGGGGTCCTCTGGAGGAAGCGAAGCTTCAGCTGAAGACCGAGAGGAATTCATTAGACGAGAGGATGCAGGGAATTGAATTGGCCACGCTTCCGCAAACACTGCTGGACGCGGTCCTTGTATGCCGAGCACTCGGGGTACGATATGTTTGGATCGACTCCCTCTGTATCATACAAGGCGACGTCCAAGACTGGGAACGGGAATCGGGGAAGATGGCAAGCGTATACAGAAACGCTTTCTTGACCATTTGTGCTGTGCAGGGACAATCTTGCCTCAGTGGCTTTCTAAACCGCAAGTTACCCCGTCAAGTTCTCATCCCCTTCAAGTCTACTCTCAATCCTTCCATCACCGGGAAATTCACTGTCTTTTCGGCGCCGACATCCTATATTCAAAGATTCGACACTGACTCGGGATGGAGTACGTCGGATTGGATTTCAAGCTTAGCAGAATCTGCCGGTATAACATCACACCCTAAGGCTGATCCCGAAGAAAAGCAGTATGAATTTACCAAGCCAGCAGTGCAAAGCCCGTTCGATAATGACCTCAGCGATTCGGCATGGATGGAGCGCGCGTGGACATTTCAGGAAGCTGTTTTGAGTCCCAGGATGATCATCTTTGGGGCATGGATGGTGCATCTGTCCCATGGCCGTCATGTCGACTCTGAAGACGGGACCTCCGATACCCACGCCGAGTGGGGCAAGTCGTGGGCAACTATACAACTTCGCGGCCAACCGGCTCAGTATGCGAAGGAGTCATGGGTTCCTAGCCATGGCGACTGGTATCTGTCGGTATCAAGATATTCCTCTCGACTCCTTTCCTATCCGACCGACAAGCTACCAGCTATATCGGCGTTAGCATCAACGATGTCAGAAAGCTTGGGCGGAGAGTTTCTGGCTGGTTTGTGGACGAGAGACCTTCATCGTGGCTTACTGTGGGCACATTTCGGCGTAACGACACCAGAGAAATACCTCGCCGAAGTCTCGCAGTACATCGCCCCATCATGGAGCTGGGCCTGTCAGCCAAATATGGTTGGCTGGGTTTGGGGCGTCGACACGCTCAACTACAACCAGGAATTCGAGTATCTTGGCAACGATTTTGTCGTTAATCCCGAGGGCCCCTTCGGACGAGTGAATCCGGGGAAATTGATCCTCTCTGCGCAGATTCGCAAAATGCCATCAGTCGAGATCCATCGAGCCTCTGAATTTCTGGGGTTTATCTTCCCGTACGTACTCACCTCGAATGGAGAGTACATAGCGCATCTCTTATTTGACTGGAGGCACTCCTCTTCCTCGGCACCCAAGGATCCGGAAACGGGGGAAGAGAGGGAGGATGGGCCCATTGATCGTCTTTCGATGGTGTTCATATCGAGTAGGTCATTAAACACTGCTGAATGGAGAAGTAGGAAGTTGAGCAATCCGCAAATCATGCTGGGTCTCCTTCTGCTGCCTACCACCCCAATCGGGAAGGAGACTGGGACGGACGTGGAGTATAGGAGGGTTGGGATTTGGTATTCGGAAACAAAGGAACTAGGAGGAAGACAGTTCTGGGACGATGTTGGGTTTAGTAGAGTTGTAATCGTGTAGATTCCGTTGGCAGTCTCTGCCTCTTCTAATCCTACATCTAACCGCTCTATGTTTGATAGGCTCATCCATGCCATACCGACTAATAGGCATCCGTTAGTCGTATATATGGGCAGATATCCGACAAAACTCACAGGCCCTGGAGCAACATAGGTAGTGGGCTAGTAGAAAGATCAGCAAAGGGACCAGTATTACAGAGTGCAGAGCTTCACTTACCACAGGCCAATAAATGTCTAGAGTCCAAGTGAGTGTGAGCGACTAGTATTTGTAGTAAGGACGTACTGAGCAAAATGCCTGGTTCATTGCCTGTATAAACTCCAGGTATAGGTACCTTCGGACCAGGATTACCATTACCACCGTTGGTGACGTTGATTTGAGCGCAAGAGATGTAGAATTGAGCACCGCCAAACTGCGAAGCACCCTAAATAATCAAGCAAAGAGCATCAGATCGCTGAATTCAAGTGTGTTTGCGAGGACTTACGTGAAGAGCAATGTGTTCGACGCGGACGAGATATTGACCACTGGGGAGGGAGCTCGGAAGGTTGAATGTGAATTGCGTGAGGCCTTGATTAATTTGTTCGGCGCAGACCATATTAGATTGAGATCGAAGCTGCTTACCATCTGCTGGATAGGTGATACTGCTACCACCATCGGTCACAGGGTTGAGTTCCTGTGCTAGCTCTTAGTATACCAGGGTATACAAGGTGTTTAGGAGACGAACGTAGACTTTGAACCAAACAGAGCCGGCACCATCCCAGTTCGATGCTTCAACACTGTTGGGTGCCTTGGCCATGTATACTATGTGAGATCAACATTCAACAACACAGTACCGAATGAACATTGCGACGCACCGTACAAAGGACCAGGATGCCCGATAGAGGCATCGAGAGCAAATCCAATCTGGTAGGATTATCGAACGTCAAAATCTGAGAACATATCGCATGATGAATATACGCAGCTTACTGTTGAGCCAGCCGAGACTGTGGCCGTCGAGGTGGAGGGCCCCGAGGCGAGGGCCCCAGCATTGCAGCGGAAGTCAAGGGACGAGACATCCGTCACCTAGTTAAATCATGTTAGCCGTGAAGGTACACGCTAGTAGAAAAAGAACACACAGGCGAGTTGATATTGGTATTCTGCCGCACATACTGATATGGGGACGTTGTTGTCGACCCAGTGATCAGTGAGGTAAATCGATCTGCAGAGATACATTAATGTCTAATCGTCATGGTATGCGCTCCACCCACAATGTGCAGAGACACCTGTAGCTAGAGCGGCCAAGAGCAGAGCGGAGAGTTTCATAATGACTTAGGGACATAGGATGATGCCAGACCTTCTTATACCCGTACGAAAGCCTTTTTCTCGGAATTTTAGAACGACGGACCGTTCGGTAGAGCTGCTCGGGATATTGAGGCTTCCCCGTGGCTCAGAAAAATATGATATAGGCCCTTGGATGTAGATACTGATCATCGGACGCTGTTAGCGCAGAGATATCTCCCAAGAAATGACGTTTGGGTGCATATTTAAGGACGAGGTATGGCTGGCTACGATGGGCTAAGGCGGGGGTTCCCCGGCACCTTCATTCTGAATGTAATATTGTTCGGAAAAACAGAAGGCCCAAAGAACGCCTGTCGGTAAGGTCGGCGATGGCGTCGTAGGAGCTGCCGCGAATAATGCGAGTGTGTGGAGTTGCTTGGGCAAATCACGATAAACTTTGATCACTCGGAATTCTCCTTTGAAGGGCTGTAGGCGCAGGAGAGGTCATAAGACGAGTGAATGTGCATTGCGCATTGTAATGCGTAGATATGTGACATCTCCACGGGCTGAGAAGGCATCTGGCTGTGAAGTTGCGGTCAGCTAGCGGGGAAACAAGTTGGGATGAGAATTCTGACGACAGGCCAAGTCGGGTAAACATAATCTCTCTTATCGACGGAGAAAAGGGTATCAAGAGATCGAGACATTTGACTAGCTGTATCAGTGTTCACGCACCGTGCCAGTGTTATGAGAACGGAAGATGTGTCCGAACGGTTTGTCCCTTCCAGAGCTCCTGTTGCCCGCTCTGATTGACTTCATTCAGGAGTCGATTGAAGAATGCACGTTACCCAGAGTGGAGAATCTTAGATGGCAGTACAAGGAATACGACGAATGTGAGAACAGGAGAGGTACGTTGAGGCGTGAGACTCGTGTGTTGGTAAGAACGAAGCAATAGGTGGGCTTCTCTGCCGATTAATGAGTGGTGGAGCACTATGACTATTGTGTGATTTTATCCTTGGTTTGGCAGCTTGCCAAGTACCTCAGCCGCCTGGAGAGCCAAAGCTCGCCATCGTTGTGCCTCCTCCATATTCCAGGACTCTTTTTGCTCTTCTCCGGGTTTGCCTACGTTGATCGCCTTGCTTTTACCAAGCACAAAGTCAACCGACGACACGATAACCTCGGCAAGCTTGGTCTGGTAGAATGACCCGCGCTTGACTTGTTTGCGACTTGGCACATCGTTGCCATTGAACCCGAAGAGTTTGTCTCCGCCGAAATGATCCACAATTCGCAGAGCCTGGCGTACGTGTGCGCGATTCCTCGTAGAGTGCGCCGTTCGCACAATAGTCGAGAGCGTTTCGGCATCGGGTATTAAGTTCCTTCCGGCGCTCCTCTTCTCGACTTTGGGAAAGAGATCAGGACTTCCGTGCGCCAGGACGGCCTTGTCGGAGAAGTCGGCGACATGGTACCCAGTCATCAGCTGGAAGGCACTCATGGAGGATTCCCAGTCCGAGCTGTGCCAACAAGCGGAGAGGACGAGGTTGAATGTCGAAGCTGCTGGCCGGACTTTGATGCCTTCGCCACGCGGTGCGGTGTATTCTCGCTTGAGCATCCACTCCAGAAGCTTCAGCGCATCATAGGCATATGGGCTCGCAGACCCAGCGCTAGCGAGCGATATGTACGCCCTCATCACCTCCTCGACATGCAGACGATCTATCACGCTGACACCCCCATGGCGTTCCGGACGTTCTTGCACTTGGCGGAAGAAATGGAGCGCAAGCTGGTGATCCCCCGAAACATTGCATAGGTGCAACGCCGCTGCAAGTGCAGGGGGCGTCAGCTGGATCATGCCTATGGGATTTGGAGGGTCGCCGGGTTTAGTGAGCCCGAAGTACTCGCGGATGAGCTTAAGTGCGAATGATTTATCTGTAGCTGGTCCATGGGTGAGAGACGAGATGGCTGCGGTGACAAGGTGGGGGTCGACTTCAAAGCCGGTGGAGGAGCGTTGTGACGCCTTGAGCATCTGCGACCACAGTAGCTTGGCGTCGAAGGTCGCCGTCCCTTGCACTGTCATCTTCTTTCCAGCCAAGGCAGTAAACATCGCTGTGTAGATATACTGGTCGGGCGCCATTGGTCCCTCGCCGTCCAGTGCATAGTAGACGTCGAAGATGGTTTGGTAGTGTCCCGTTTCTCCGAGAAGCTTGATATAGTAGCTGAGGGGGATGGTGGAGAGTTGAGGGGATTGGGGGTCATGCTTTTTCACCGACGAGATATGGCGCTGGAAGTAGTCGTATAAGGCATGCGCGTTCGCGAGTTGTTTTGGGTGACTTGACCAGTTCTCGATACGCGAAAGCCCCGAGAACATGGTTTGGTACGTCCTAGTATTCGGACTATGTCCGCGCCGTTTCATCTACAAATCAATGGTGTTCAGTTAAGTCATACGGCAAGTTATCATAAGAGGTCGTCGCAATAACCGGCGTACGTACGTCTGTGAACAATTTATACGCCAAGGTGTATTTTTTGGCCTTCATGCACTCCCAGATCAAAGTGTTCCAAACGGGTACATTTTGCGCACCGAGGGGAACATTTTTCAGAACGGTCACCGCATCGTCGATTTTGCCTGCGTCGCACAACTTCTTCAGACGCGCCGAAAGGACATGCGGTTCCAAAAGTTTCGGCACGCGACCTTCGTCAATCGCGGACCCATCTTTTTCGGTAGACCCCTTCCCCTTCTGTACCCCAATACGCGTGGCATACGCGTCCGCGAGGGCTTGCCGTCGAATGTACCGTGGAATTTGTCGAGAAGTGCCCGAGTCGGCGCTGGGGGATCTCTGTCTCAGCTTCACGACGGCAGTGGAGGCGTATCGCGGTGTTATCGACTGGTAGCCCACAAGTAACAATTCCTTTGGACAGAGGTTCGTGATCCGTAACATGGTAAATCTCTCGGTGACGGAAGACAGAGGGTGAAAACTCTTAAGCGCCGCTCGTCCTGGATGGCCAGCAACATCTTATCTTATCTCGTCTTCTATGGCCACTCGGTTTCGGCCTTGTATCGACCTTCACGATGGAAAGGTCAAGCAGATAGTAGGGGGCACTCTCACGGATCATGAATCTGAAGGACTGAAGACGAACTTCGTCTCGACGTACGTTCTAAGCCCCTAAGCACCGCAAGAAACTCACCGACATTCATTCATACCGTCCCTCGTGCCAATCTAGCAAGTCCCCCGGCGAGTTCGCGCGACTATATCACGACAATGGATTAGAAGGTGGTCATGTCATAATGCTTGGTAAGGGGAACGAAGAGGCTGCTATGGATGCTCTCAAAGCTTGGCCTGGTATGCTGCAAGGCGGTTCTCGTCCCATGCAATGCACTGATGAGTGACAGGGGGTTTGCAGGTCGGGGGAGGCATAAACGAGGCAAACGCGTCGAAATGGATCGAAGCTGGTGCAAGCAAGGTACAGTCCAACAACACTAGTACTCGGCTTCTGCCCACTCGTCCGGCGTAGGTTATCATCACATCGTACCTATTCCCGAATGGCAAATTCTCTCTGGATCATCTCAAAGCCATATCGACATTGGTCGGCAAAGAACGACTAGTGGTAGACGTGAGGTTCGTGGTGATCGCTGTATTATATATACTGAGCTAACTAGGTTGTAATACTAGTTGTCGGCGGCGGGATGACAAGTGGATAGTAGCCATGAATAAATGGCAGGACCCAACAGACATGGAAGTCAACGAGGGTACGTGTTCAGGAAATATCATGGCTATCTGACTTATTTAGGCCTCTAGAGTCTCTATCGCTGCTCAGCGAGTATTGCAGGTATGTCCGCCGTGTGTTCCTGAATAGAGACGAAGAATTCATTAGCCCCATAGCGAGTTCTTAATACATGCTGCAGATGTTGAGGGTTTGTGCCAGGGCATAGACGAAGAACTAGTACAAAGTGGGTCGGGTTCTGGCAATGACGGCGCGAGGAATATTGATCTCGTCAACAGAGCTGGGTCAGTGGGTTCGGATACCTACAACATATGCAGGGGGCGCGAAAGGCGAGTTTTGCGGCTTCACAGTAACGCAGACACTCAACAACGCTTCAGACATCAGCGATATGGATCTTGTAGATAAACTCTCCGAGGGACGTGTGGATTTGACCTTCGGCAGGTGAGTCTTATGTGGTGGAACTGTGACACGAATGTTGAACACGAGGTCGTCAGTGCGCTCGACATCTTTGGGGGCACATTGGTCAAATTTGAGGAGCTGGTACGAAGGAACTTCCGAGCGTAGTTTGGTGGTATGGATATGAAGTAGGACCTTAATCTAGGGTTAAGGTTGTCGGACTGAGTGGCGTGTGAATCAACTTTACAGTTGCAAATTAAGGTTTGCGTTGTGACCAGTGGATAGAATACTCTCGACCTCGCTGAAGACAACGCGCTCCTCAAGGTGAGTATGCTAGTTCGTTGCACGACGACGTTTCCAACTTCGAGAGGGGATTTCACTGCTCCTTCGATCCCCGCATCGATCCATCTCCCCTTGTTCTACTCTGTCCCGAAGGTCACCATACTCAACATGATATTTACTATCTAGATATCGACAAAATGCCCGGAAAAGTCAAGGCCTACGAACTCCAGTCAAAGTGCGATTTCTCTCAATTGATCTCCTGCTGGAACTTGTGGCTGACGTGGTGGCTGGATCAGGTCCAAGAACGACTTGACCAAACAACTTACGGAGTTGAAGAATGAGCTCTTGACGCTGCGGGTGCAGAAGATTGCTGGCGGGTCAGCATCGAAGTTGACGAAGATGTGCGTCCCATTCCAATCAAAATCGCTGCCACATTGAACTGATCTGTGATGTCGCTACTTAAAGCAACACCGTCCGCAAGTCCATCGCTCGGGTTCTGACTGTCATCAACCACAAGTCACGGCAGAACCTGCGAGAGTACTACAAGGACAAGAAGTTCTTGCCTCTCGACCTCCGCCCAAAGAAGACCCGTGCTATCAGACGGAGATTGACCAAGGTGCGTTACCCCGTTATCCGTGTTTGTGGCCTCAAATTTAGCACAATGTTTCTCTCATTAGCACGAGGAGTCGCTCAAGACCTTGAAGCAAAAGAAGAAGGACCAAAACTTCCCCATCCGTAAATATGCTGTCAAGGCTGCATAAATATTCGGGATGTATTATCGAGAGCGCTTCTCACATTATTTGTCTGTCATACATGCCACTTCTGTATGCCCCTCCCACATCCAATAACCCGCTATGACCATGCCATGCACTAAGCAATCGTCCATTTTTTGCGAGACAATGTTTCATATGCAAGAATGAAGAAATGGAGATGAGCTGAGCGAAAAAAATTGAATTATTTCCATATCAGGCTTCTAACGCCGAAGGGCGGCGTCGATCCTCTCTTTCCCCCTCCACCGTCGACATTCGTCCTGGAACGCCTTGGAATTGCGAAAGCCTGGCCAACGAGGGTGCGACTTGCAGCGTGTCCTTTCCCTGCACGCCCTAGAACCGCAGCTCAGTCATACCGTGGCAGTGCCGAGTTCTTATAGCGCTTTGCACATCCTGTGCTCTCCCCGAGTTTGAGAGTGGTTTCTGAAGTCGTTCCTAGTCTAAGCAAGAATCTCGGTGCTCGTTATCGACGTTATAAAGTACTTCCGTCCCAGACGAATAGCCTACCCTTTTGCCACCTCTTTGCGCAAACGAACGGGCGTTTCTTGGTTTCGGCTACATCACAAAGCGACGAGAAAGCGATCATCACATCTAGCGACCGGCGGCACGCCCTAATTTCGGATCTGAATCATGGTGAGTCTTTGTCAACTGATACTGCGCCAAAAAGCTTGGGAGTCTGTCGGGTGGTGGACCGGGAGGTGATATGATGAGGAAGCCACGTGTGGGCATATCTCCATGTTTGGAAGAAATCAGACATGAGGTCAGAGGCGGCATAGCTAGCCTGCTTCTGAGACACGGGTCGTCTTCGCTCCATCACCATGCCCCCCGGTTCCCGCCTCAGGCGACAGAGCACTGACGAGTCGCTCTCGAAGCCACGCGTGCTGACTCGTTCTCCTCCCCCTTCTCCTCAGGCCGACAAACCACGTCCCAGGGAGCCCTACCCAGTCCCCAGCAACAACCCGGCCAGTCAGTACACTCTGTTAGAGAAGCTGGGAACGGGGAGCTTCGGTACAGTGTACAAGGCCATACACAATGAGACGAAGCAGATAGTAGCAATCAAGCAAATAGGTGAGCATTGTCCGATTCTCACACCTAACAGCTTAGGCAAACCCTTTTTGCGCAGATCTGGAAGATTCAGATGATGATATTTCTGAAATCCAGCAAGAGATTGCCAGCCTTGCTCAGTGCGACTCTGAGTACGTCACGCGCTACTATGGATCCTTCGTAGTAGCGTACAAACTTTGGATCGTGATGGAATACCTTGCCGGCGGTTCTTGTCTCGATCTACTCAAGGCAGGGATATTTTCAGAAGCCCACATCGCTGTGATATGTCGGGAGTTGCTACTAGGATTAGATTACCTTCACACTGAAGGAACGATACATCGCGACATCAAGGCCGCGAACGTTTTGCTCTCGTCGTCGGGCAAAGTCAAACTCGCAGATTTTGGCGTCGCCGCGCAACTCACGAACACCCTTCGCCACACCTTCGTTGGCACTCCCTTCTGGATGGCCCCAGAAGTCATCCGACAGGCGGGCTATGACTCGAAAGCAGATCTCTGGAGTCTCGGAATCACCGCCATCGAGATGGCAAAAGGCGAACCCCCGCTTGCAGAGTATCATCCAATGAGGGTGCTGTTCCTGATTCCTAAAGCAAAACCCCCGGTGCTTGAAGGCGCGTTCACCGCGACATTCAAAGACTTTGTGGCTCAGTGTCTCACCAAAGACCCTAAACTAGTAAGCCGAATTTGGTCAAATAGTTAGACATGACGCTGACACATTCTCCTTCCCTCTAGCGACCTACGGCCAATGAATTACTCCAGCACAAGTTCATTCGGGGTGCACGTAAGACGTCGTACCTTACTGAGCTCATCGAAAGGTACCAGGATTTCCGCACGCGATCGCCCCCGAAAGGCAACCAGATGTATCAGGCTTCAGTGCGGAATAGCGTCGCCTGGGACGCGAACAACACCATGCGTAGCGAATGGAACTTCACAACGGTCAAGTCTGTTTCAGCGATGGGCACCTTCCGTAGCATGGCGAAAGATTTGACTATGCCACCGGGTATGATCCCGGACGAGGAAGACGAAGACGCGTATGCAGCCGAGGACGATCGTAACACGATAGATACTGGAGGCGCGACCAAAGGCAGTGACCCATTGGTAAACGGCGGACTTGGTATGAACCATGACGCTGCACATTCGACCGTCATCATCAAGCCACCGCCTGCGCCCATAGAGAAGGATCTACCCGCCCTTCTCGCCGAAGCGTCGACCAACCCATCGGACGACGTGCCACAAGGCGCACCGCCAGCGTACACTGGTTCAATAAGATCGACAAACAGGCGAGCTTCTTATGCGGCGCGCACCAACGTTGATGGACCAGGAGCGTTGGTAGGAGAAGCTGATTTAGGGACTGGTGTGGATACGATTCGGCCTGTGAAGAAGGTGGACGCCGCTGGCTCTCTGAGACTATCCGCGGATTACGTTGGGCAGGTCAGGAGAGAGGCTAGCAACGGTTCTGCTCCGCCATCGCCCGTTGCGTCTTCACACAAACGGCGGGCCAGTGAGATGGGGAAAGCTGGTAGATCAATAGTGGACGAAATCGTAATCCCAATAATCAACAATGTGGGTTTGCCGTTCTTGCTCTTTTGTGCTTTGGGTTTGACCTTGACGTGACTAGGCCACTAGAGATGACATGGACGCCCGGGAGATTGAGTCGCTCAGTATGCTGTCACGGGGGTTCGCCGAGCTCAGAGACGCGAACCCAGAACTGGCCTACAGCGTCGTACTCGACATCCTGTCGGGGATCAATGAGTGAGCATTGCATTTTCTGTTATGGCTCAAGTACTGCAGCTAATTCCCTCGCAGGAGCAATTCTGTCAAGCAACATATTCAGACTTCTCGCGGCTTGTTCCCCCACAAGCGTATCATACGCAAGAGTGAGATGACGTCGAAGGGTCTCGTTGTGACCGAAGTTCAGGAAGAAGTCTCGGGTCTACCTTCGACTTCAGGACCTCCATCCCCGGACGCCGTAGCGTCATCGGCTGCATCGACGAAGAGTGACGGTTCCTCTGGCGCTCGTAAATCACCGATAGCCGAATTATTATATATGCGATGGTTAGAAGGTCTCAAGCTTAAGTGGCCCAGTCTCATGTAACTTATCGTCGATACCCCTTCTTGCCCTCCTCTCTTCGACTTCATCTTCCGTCCGGTCACCATATTGGGCGCGAAGTTGCATTTGGCATTGTCACCGACCTCGCGCACGCGTCTTCATTCCACAATTGCCCTACCGTTGCATATTTACTTAGCTCTGCATGCTCCCAGCTAGTGTGTTTATAGTACATATTCTGCTGCTCCCTTGGTTTCTGCGTTGCTCTTCTCTTTCTCATACGGTACATACACTGACCCCGATGACACCTCACGAACAAACATTATTACGATGCTACACCTTTTGCTCTAGCGAAGTAGGTATGAAATTGTAATTTTAGCCGATATAATGCTGGTAAAAGCGTAACGGCTTTTCAGCTGACGAGAAAAACAAAGTGCTCAATTCCGTGGGCGTGTGCCTTTGATCAGTGTACGGTGATCATCGCGGTAAAGGGACCAACTGTATTGTGAAGATTCAACATGTTTATGACATCGAACGCCGACCTCTATCACACTTGCCACAATGTAGACCACGCCCCCAACGCTTGCCCAACACCCTAAGCGCTAGGGATAACCATACCAGTGCCCCACGGCGCAACCCCAAAAGCACCAATAATCTTCGCGCTTTCCCAACCAAATTCATCAATGAGAGGCAGCTGGAATCCTTGAGGGATCGTCTGGATGGCTTTCCAGCTAGCATCGGTGACGACCGTTTCATTCGAACCATCTGAGTATGTAATGATAATAGTTGCGATGACCCCCGCTGGGCCACCACCGTTCGTCGCGTTGATGGCAAAGGTGTTGAAGGTGGGATGGAGGTTGGGAATGGTATAGGCATCGGCGACGGTGTAGCTAGACCCCGATCCAACTGTAGCTCCGTTGACGTATAACGCATACCGATCGTCGCTGCCCGTGAAGATTTGTTGAGCATGACACTCGCTCCAAGCACAGAGAAGAGTGCGAAACTTACGCGGCGATCAAGACAGTAGCGCAGACCGCGACTTTCGTGCACTGGTTGACAGTCTTTCTGAAGGCGCGAGAGCCTACAGGGGCAGCGCCATTTACATTGTCGGACGTCCAGATCCAATTTGAGCCGCGGAGGGGGAGGACAGGAGGTAGGACTGGTGGTCCCCAAACTGAGTTCTGATACGCCCCTTGCACGGCGGCGGAGGACCAGTTGCTGTCATTGGTCGATGGGAGCTGGAAATTCTCGGGAGGCGCAGCGCGAAGGGTTTTCCACGACTCGTCGGTAACGAAAGTCTCGCTGGTACCATCCGAGAAGTGGACCAAGATCGAGGCCATAATACCTGCTGGACTATTGGCGACAAGATTCTGACCAGCAATGGCAAAGAGGTTCCAGGTAGGCTGCAATGCCACGAACAAGGCCTGGCCTTGTCTGAAGCCTGCGCCAGTGCCAATACGAACACCATTAACATAGAATGTGTGCGCATCATCGCTATCAAGGTGTGATTGCTTCAGCTCATCGTCCAAGATATAAGTTATCAGGGACTTACGAAGCTACCACAATGGTTGCACAAACGGCGCATTTACCGCAAGGTGCCGTGATGTTCTTTCTAAAAGGCCGAGTACTGATGATGTTGCTACCTCCTGGGATCGGGTTCTCGCCGCTCCAAATCCACTTGGAGGCGTTCAACAAGGCGGGCTGAAATTGCCTCGGGGTAGCAGTGATCTTGCACGTCGCCGTGCTACCCACATCGCACACTATGCAGCGATCAGCATATTTATACAATTGCACCGGAACTTGCCCAAACTTACCCTGACTGTCGGGGGCTGCTGCAGCAATGAGTGCCACGACGAGACTCACTAAAGGCAAGCCAATTACTAGCCAAAGAAACAGATGTATAAGTAAGAGTGTAGTGGGGAAGAAGAGCAGCCTACTCGCCTAGTAAAACCATTTTGTTTGGGAACGATGCTTGCTTCTGCTACACAGAGTGAGGCTGCTCATCTCATGCCCAGATAAAGCAGAGCTTTATAGAAACGAGCACTCAGCAATGACGTCTCGACGAGCATCAGATGGCCACTCGCTGAGGCATCACAGGTAACTCGTGCATCCTGAAGAACAACCATGACCTAAATTACGCCCAAGATTAGGCCAGCTGAGCGACGCTCCCTTCCATCACCAGTAGTATGCACCTGTCAGAGAAAGATGGAAGTGAATGCAGAAGTCACTTACCGAGTCTTCTTGGGGTCTCGACGTTCCAACTACTCCAACCCCTGCTTTCAAATTGCCCCGCATTGGTTGTTGCAAGGCTTCTGTCCCCGCTGCTCACCGGTTCTGATTCTCTGAGCTTTCCTTCATCACCTGCATGGCACCTTCAGGTTTACTTTGTTGGCCCATATGCTACACCATCTGGTATGGTCACTAAGGACGTTCATCCGCAACCCCGGCCTTCGTTTCTCCGAAACCTGTCAATCGAAGCAAGTAGTAAAGGTGTGTTTCGAACTCCGAGGCAGTCAGTCAGTCAACTTCGACAGCAAGGCATTGCCAATAACCTAGGATACGGTGACTGATGCTGTTTCATTATTGGAGAGCAATGCATCTATACATCCGAACGTCAAACCGGCGCATGAATATAGCAATTTTCTCCGTGCCTGTACTTGAGTCAGCCACTGCTTTCATCTTGAGAACTTGTTGTCCGTGGATATCGAACTAATAACGGCCTCTGAGAACAATTATCGAGCCATCGGAAAGTTCCCTGCTGCGCGATGGCGGTTCATATCCAGCCAGGTTACTAATATTGGCTTGATGGATTTGTACTTAGGTACACCAACACATATTTAAGGCTGCTCCTCACTGAACCTATTCGCTCTCTTATGGTGAGTGAAGTCAGTAAAAGATCGATCTCGGGGTCATCGGTTTTTCCTGGCGATTCATGGAGTCAGATTTCAATGTCCTACGAGATACATTGCAACTTTACCTCTGTCGCCTCGAAGCCATCTTCCCGATCTCGCCACCATTCTTCGTCTCGGCAATACGAGATGCAATGGAAAAGCCGTGCCTGTAGCCAAGGGACATATCGTTTCTTGCGAACCGAGACCCCCGTCCTATAAAAGTAGTCCCATTGTGTAGACTTTCCAGACTCGAACGGTAATTGATCGATAACACATTCCAAAGAAGGAATCAAGGTGAATAATGCAAGGATGATGGCGGGAGTGATAGCTTTGGTAGATCGAGAGAAGTGGATGTTGCGTAGTTTATGAAGTGGAAAGTCCCCGAGCATCTGTATATCCTCTCTTGCGATTTGGAGCCGCAAGCTCTCAAGATTGACCATCCCCGCTGTAAAAGGGAATACAGATGATCTCTCGATGTCATAGGATGATATGTCAAGGAGTTCGAGTTTGCTGATCATCTCTGACGAGATGGCGGTCGGCCTCTTGTGGAAGGGTTTGAGAGATATATTCTCTAATCGCAAGTGTGTGACGGGCCGCATTGAGAGAACGCTCGCTGCGAACTCTACAGTGGCCCATAGGACACGAAGGCGTGGTAAGGCTTGTTCGGATAATTTAATTGGAGATTTGAGGCATGGAAGCAGAAGTACTTCGAGGCATGGCTGGTGTTCGAGGAAGTCGACTAGCCCGTCTAGATCGAGCCCTGAAACCCGGCAGTCCCAGTGGAGTTTTGTGAGTCGAAAGGGACAGTCGATGGCGCCAGTGAGTATATAGAGGTCAACATTGTGGGAAGGTTGATCACGTTTGAAAATTGTGGTTGGCATTGATAGAAGGTAGAGCTCTTGCAGTTGATGGGACGACCGAAGAAGACTTTGAAAGGGAGCACATTGCTCTGCATCCACGGTGTAGAATACGAGCCTACGAATTAAATGATGTCTGGTGTGCCGGGGAACGAGATTGTTCAATTCTTTGCTGTCATCTGGATGGTGTAGTCGCAAAATGACATTTTCATAGAGGAGGGATTCGACTACGTCGTCGAAGAAACGACAGACACAGCAGACCGAGACGAGGTCGTGTAGTTTCAATGTGAAATCCGCGAATATCTTGTAGAGAAGTTCCACAGGGAGGCGCAACATGGTTTCGCGCTTGGTGTGAGTGAGAGGATCAGTTTTAGATCAGTTCAAGATAAGTGTAAAAAAACATACTATCGAAACTTTAGCCGCTGAGTATGATTATTACAGATTATTACGTACAATGGATTGAAAATGTTAGACATGGATCGTGTTTGCTTTGCTTCCGACCAAGAGGATTCCATAGTGGCCGCCAGCTCGAAACAGTACGTGAACTCAACTCAGAGTCGCCGTGACATTCTATAGCCTTCGCTCCCAGTATTGAAGTTCCTCGTTTGCCGGCAAGCGACCTAGGAAAAGCAAGTAGCAATGGAGCCCGAGATAACAGCACTGGCCATGGCGCAAAATTCGTCGTACCTGAAGGATGGAAGTTGTGCATCCACCCTCAAGGGATGATCTACTTTTACAATTCGGCGCTCAGAATAGTCGTTGATGAAGATGTACGGGATGCAGCCATATATCGCAGCACAATGCAGAAATTCGAGGATCTAGTCTCTCTCGGCGCCGTCATGGAGGAGGACGAGCTGGAACTATGCCTTCAGCCTGATACTCCGGATGAAACCGCTGGGCAGTTCGACATGTTTGTCAACCACGTCGACTGTATTGCTTCGTATAACATTCAGGACGTACGCCCTGGTACGGCGGCTCAACTTGATCCTCGAACTTGTGAGTATCTTGCCTATGACCGGTAGCGAAAGACCACTCATCAGCATACGGAATTAGTAAATAGGCGACGAAGTATGTACTGGAATCACATCCGCGTGCACCCCTCCCACGTACCTCTAGCAGGGAGAGCATTGCCAGATGCCGCTGATGCACTGGCTTGGTTCTATGTGATTTATTTATTCTGTTGCGAAGAGCCTATCACTCATATTAATTTAGACAGATAACCTCATCTCTGGTAACAGTAGCTTTGTTCCTTTTTCTCGGGATGAGTGCGACAATATCAGCAAGACCATACACACAATGTCTCGTAGGTCATACTATACCCATCTAAGAGCATCGCGGCTTACAACAAATGTCGGCGAAGAGCCCTGCTATGAGGCCTCCCCGGCTAAATCTGTGTTTCTAGCCTGGTTACTTTCCGAAGTTTGTGCGTGCGGGTCTCCGTTGAGGTCTTAAGTGTGTAGCTCAATACACCTTTGTATAGGTCGCTTCAGGCATTCTGAACATTACGGCCAGCACACCGTGAATCAATCCAAAATATTTCGCGCCAGAAATCGTGGGCCCCAACCTCCACCCCAGCTCGATAAACGGTTTCAACCAGCTGTGGATCTACTCATACGACTTCTGTTTTTCGGCATACCTCATACCTATCTGGCTCATATAAAGAATTCAGGCGACTACCGCGGCAGGCTCTCCAGTATTCATGCAAATTGGGTGGCTTATATTGATCGCCTTGTACGGGAGTACTCCCACTTTCTACTCATAGTAAGTCGCGACATATGTATTGTACTGCATAGACTTAACGTCGTATTACTACCTGTAGGGCACTGTATTACTTTCGTGAGTTATTTAGTATTGCCTTCCTGAACATTCCCTCAAGTCGTATAAATAGAGCAACAGTTGGCTTGCTGGCCGTTCCGGGCATAAGTAACGCAGTCCTCGTCACCGCCTTGGTTTCAGCATTTGCATCTTTAGGAAGTATCATCCTCAGTGTCGTCTCAATCTGGCGCCACCAGATCAACACCCAACCTCGCAATTCCGTAAGCTTCCCTTATAAACTCGTAAGGACCATCTGTTGACCCGATTACGCTAGTTCATGTACATGCATAATATCAATCAAGGTCCACTGGGCTTACACGGCCATGCCATGTTCCTCAGCTTACCGCCAGTCCTTCTCATATGGGGCATTGTCGCATTCACCACTTCCTTAATTGTCTACACTCTCCAGGGACTCATTGGGCCTTTGAGGGAAGAGATGAATGACGGCAACGGTGCAACCCAAATAACGTCGATATCCGGGTGGATAGTCCTTGCTATCCTAGTCGTTATCTTAGTCACAGTCCTGGGCGGTCTTTACACCTTCAGCGTCATCTGGAAATTTAGATCTCCAAAGTCCCGGCTTCGAGCTCTCCGAGCAACGTTGTTTCCAAAAAGCCGCACCTCGATAACGATAACGCCAGCTGATTCCACCCCAGTTTGACGCGAGGATCGTTGTCGGAGTTGATGGTTCTATGATATATATAAGCATCATGTCTACAGTATAATATCATTGTTGACGGAGTTGTCCAATGAATGACTGGAACAAGGGGCAGGAGTGAGCTATCTATAAGTATCAACAGGTGAAGTGGGTTACAAGTAATGAACAAATGAGCGTATGTAGCATGTGTACGGGAGGTTGACGTTTCTCAGTGTCCGACTCTCAAGGAGCCAATAAAACATATAGTAGAGTAACAACATGGCATGTGAGTCCGATGGCGAATCATGAGGTCCTTCGGTGGAAGCAAAGACGGGAATTGGAGCGCATGAACGTGAATCCTCGTCGAGGTCATGTCAGAAGTGAGGCAAGTAAAAGCAATGGCGAACAGAGAACGAACGCCAGGGAATGCGACACACTGGGTGGAGACCCGTTATTCGATTCGGCGTTGGTCGAGCCTGTTGGGAGATTTCCGGCAACACTCGTACCAGAGCCGGCCGATGACGAAGGCGAGGGCGATGAGGACGAAGGCGACGAATTAGTCCTATGGAAGGAAGACCACGTATATCAGAACTGTATTTCAAAGCATGAAGGGATTGACAACGAACCCGGACGAAGCAGGTGCGGGCTGAGGATTTGGTGACGATGGAACGACAACATCTGCAGCAACGGCTTTAAAGGTCACCTTGCCCTGAGCGTCTACATTCTGGTACGTGGACCCATGGCCATTGGAGAGCTGGGCCTGTGAAACGAGTTGCCAGCCGTTGGCCTTGATGGCGGGATATGCGCTAATGAACGCATCTACAGCTGCTTCGGAGGTATCGTGTTCCAAAATGATCAGGCCAGGTGATTTGGGTCCTGCAGACGCAGCACAAGCGGTAACGTAAGTGACTACCAACTAGGAAAATAATCAAATGACGAACCAGTCAGCCATTGGGTGAGCGACGCGTTGATGGCAGCTGGGGTAGTTCCTCCAGTAATCAGAGACCAGTCCATGGTACTGTCGTTATACATGAGCAAATCATCGTCGTCATAGTTTGTTTGCCACATACTCATGATTCCAGAGGATGACCTCAAGGCCGAACACCTCCCGAGCAATGGCTCTAACCCGCATATCATAGTCACCATAAGGAGGCCTCCAGTACCTTGGGAGACGTCCACCTGTCGAATTGTGGATAATCTCCATAGTCCAGCCCAGCTGGCCAAGGATCTCCTCGTTGGACAACGCTGTCATTGCTGGATGCGTGTAAGTGTGAACGGCGATGTCACTTCCATGGTTGTGAATATCCAAGAAAATATCCGGATTCTGTCGAATATTTACACCAATCATGAAATGAGTAGTCCGCTCGTTGTTGTCTTTGAGGAACTGGTTGAGCTTGATTGACGGCTATGAGAAGTGTGAGCGGGGAGAACACCTTTGCATAGACGTATACGAACCTGTGTCGGAGTGTCGTCAAACCCAGTACCAAAGACACCATCCGGGGCGTCCCACATATCACCTGGAATTCTGCATCGATATGTAGCCGAGCAGATGTTAGGATCCATCGGGTCGACTCCAGGCGGGTATGCTGGAGCCACGTCCACAGAAGGGGCTCTTGTGGGAGGTATATTAGGAATTTTTCCGTCAGCGACAGCCTTTCGGAGCGCGTCGGTCCAGGCCTGTGGTAGCTGGGCAACATCGGGAGTAGACTGGGGAAAGCTACTAGCCCAAGCTGGAAAAGCATTCGAACATGAGATAAGCCATGAGCAGAGGTACGAGTGCTTACTTGGTGAGCCTACAGTCGCGTATTCAATGCCATCCGTGTCTTCCGGTCCGCGTTTGAATAATTTGTGAACAGGGTGTTCGGCTGCATGATACCATGTTGATGGGAGCTGGGTCGATACGTCGTGGTGATCATTATGACGAGAATTAATAGACGTAGCGATAACGAATGGCGCTGCGAAAAGAATGAGCGCGGAGAACATCGTTCTCGAAACCGGTGACATGCTCGCAAGGACCGGGGAGAGGGAATACCTGAGGACCGAGTGTCTCAGCGAACAACGATTCTGCGAAGGGGGGAAGAATCACAAACCGAAGTGAGTTCTCTCTGATTTTGTTTGTTCACGCCACCCGCTATCGACAGGTTAGGTTCTCCTTGGCCTTGGCGTTCCTCAGGGCAGTCGACGTCGGACGGTCGAGGCTCGCCGTTAGACTATCATAACAGATGAACTGCATGGCCCAAGGCCATTGCGTTGCGTCGAGGGACACCATATATGTGGAGGTACGTGAATAACCCCAGTGAGTGTCACTTTTCACGATTTCAATACATAAGAAGTTCAAGTTGAAGTTGGAAGTAGCCAAAGTTCTCACGTGATGATCCGCATGGTCTGTTTTCTTTGAAATCTTCGTAACTCAGGGTTGGGGTTTACCAACCGTTCAGCCGTTCCGGCGTGGACGGACACTGCATTAAATCTGCCGGTATTTGTCCGTTGGTGGAAAAAAGTTCTGTCGAGTTGAGATACGGGATCTCTATGCAATGCTAAGTACGAAGTATCAACAGTCAAGTCCGTGTACAGACAACGAGCGTGGAGGATGAGCAAATATATGTTACCAAGGCTTTGGACAACAATGTAATATAGTGTAGCATCAAATGCAAAGTCCGGTAGTATAGCATGGGTTGGTTCTATCTAGGCGGTAGTTGACAAACGATTTTGAATGATCACCTATCATGCGAGTAGGGAGAGCAGTAGTAGCATTGGTGAATAAAGGACGACCTTCAATGGTTGAGCCAAGTCGGACGAGCCACCATTATTCACGTTAACCGAGCCCGTTGGGACACTGTCAGCCGCGCTTGTCGCAGAGATGGGTTTCGAGGACGAGGATGAAGACGATGTCGGGATGGCCCTACATGACCCCGTCAGTAAGGTTGAATCAACGAGACAATAGGCTCGGGCTCACTTCAAGGTCAATGGAGGCTGGGAAGTCGCCGAACTTGTTGGCGAGGATGGAAGCTCAACTTTCGCGGCGACGGCATTCGGCGTCACATTTCCTTGGTCATCTTCGTTCTGGTATACAGCACCGGCGCCATTGGGGAGTTCTGCTTGGGAAACGAACTGCCAACCGTTCGCTTTAATGTGGGGGTACGCGCTAATGAACGCGTCAACGGCCGCGTCAGACGTGTCGTGCTCCAAGATGATGAGACCAGGTGACTTGGATCCTATGAAACAGACAACTGAGCTTCGAGAACTGTGTACGAGCGGAAGTACAAACCAGTCAACCATTCTGTCATGGAAGCATTAATAGCCGCCGGGGTAGTGCCTCCCGTGTTTACCAGCGACCAATCCATGGTGCTAAATTATACACATGAGCCGGTGGTCGTGACCTCGGATTATACACTACGTACTCGTGATTCCAGAGGATGACCTCAAGGCCGAATACCTCTCGAGCAATAGCACGAACACGCATATCGTAGTCTCCGTAAGGAGGCCGCCAGTACCTTGGAAGGCGCCCTCCAGTCGAATTATGGATTATCTCCATGGTCCAGCCCAGCTGACCCAGGATCTCCTCATTCGACAAAGACGTCATGGCCGGGTGGGTGTAAGTATGAACGGCGAGATCGCTCCCGTGGTTATAAATATCCAAGAAGATCTCTGGGTTCTGCAGAATATTTACACCGATCATAAAATGGGTGGTTCGCTCGTTGTTGTCCTTTAGGAACTGGTTGAGTCTGATCGACGGCTGGAATATTACTTTGACTGAGCACGACGCGAAAACAGAAATGCAATACGTATACAAACCTGGGTAGGCGTGTCGTCGAATCCAGTACCAAAAACACCATCAGGTGCATCCCAAGTATCCCCAGGTATCCTGCATTTGTAAGTGGACGAGCAAATGTTAGGATCCATTGGGTCTATTCCTGCCGGGTAGGTAGGATCGGTGTCGGGCACCGCAGATGTACGGGGGATGTCTGGAATCTTCCCGTCGTCAATGGCCTTTCGGAGGGCATCTGTCCACGCCTGGGGAAGCTGTGCGACATCAGGTGATGATTGGGGGAAAGCACTGGCCCAAGCTATATAAAATTTTGATCATCAGATGGCCGGAATCGGGAGACTGAGAAACGCATTTGCATACTCGGTGAGCCAACAGGGGCGTATTCGACACCATCTGTCGGTCCACGCTTGAACAGGTTGTGGACAGGATGCTCAGCCGTATGATACCAAGCTGATGGAAGGGGGGTCGATGATGCGTCGTGATGATCATTATGACGAGAGCCGATAGAAGTAGCTGAAACGAGCGTCGCTGCAAAAAGAATGAATGTGGTGAACATCGTTCGGGAAACAGGTGACATGGTCGCGGGGAACGGAGGAAACGGAAGGGAACACCTAAAGGGAACAGGTGTCTCAGCAAACAAAAAACGCAACCGATAAAAGAGGGGAAATTCTTGCAAATCATTATCCAGAGAAGCTCGTTATTTGTACTGCATGCGGCCAACTTGAGCCGTTTTTCAACAAAACCCATTGGAGCCTGAGTTCGTCTTGGCGCAACGGTGGCTAGCTGGGGCCGGTGGCGGAGTCCAAACCGATGCACATATACATCTTACAGCCTAGTTCAATGAGACACAGTTTGCCAAGAACGTATCTCTTTCACCTATATATATCGTGAGACACGACCCAGGTCCTTCAGAACCGCGACTTCACTGTCGACTGACAGACGAGTTCTACATCCTTTCCCCTTGAAGTCGTGTGCAAAGCCACTTGATATTGCTTCCATGGCAGCCACCGGCGCGTTGTTGGACTACGAGGAATATTGTCTGTTATTGTTTGCGAAACCTCGACCAAAAGTACTCCTGACAATGCCATAGACACCAAGGACACTCACCGATTCTTTTAGTTGTTTGAACACTTTGCCATTCACCACAGCAAGTATCACCGGTCATGATCTTCGCAGTGCATGCTGTAATCGCGTGAGAGCAAGCGCGGTGATCGGGCGATGCATGATCACCTGTGGTGAAGTTTGATAGCTTCTGTCGCCTATGTAACCGCGGGGTGAATGGTTAAACAAAATCAGAAAGACTGGGGGAACACGGACCGCTGAACGTCCCCCTTCTTTTTAAGTTTGAAAATTCAACTACCGACGAATAGGTATGTTACCAGAAGCCAACAGTGATATATAATGTCCCGGTCGAGTGACACACACCTTGAAATGCGACTTAATGCAAGAGGGATGATAAGCGATCTAATTACATCGTGAAGGTCGTAGACAGAGCGTGAATAACCACTAAATAGTACCTCAGGTACAACATGGGTACAGAGGAAGCTATGCCAAATATTAACGCATGTAAGGAGGATAGGGGGTGGGAGGGGGTGGGATATACAGTTATTTTGGGTATGTAAAATAAACACACGAATGTCCAAACGTCAGTGACAGTCAGCAATGTATACGTCCATGAGGTGGTATTCTAGTTGGAATGCGTGGGCGGCGCTGGCAAGGCCGAATGGGAGAAGTAAAAATGTCTGTCAAAGCAGAAAGCGAGGTGTGCTGGGGTAAAGCAGGAAGAACGAAATCCCATAGTCCTGGTAAAGCCAAATGGGGGGAGCGAATTATCGATGATCGAACCTTATACAAGGACAAAGAGCGCCGGAATGATTGCAACAAGGATGGTCGTCAATGAGTGAACAATGTCAGATGGAGCACCATTGTTCGCTGCAGCACTGGTAGGGCTACCAGTTGCTGTTGTACTCGTCGTAGAGCTGGAGGCTGACGTGGAGCCTGAGGTTGATGTGGTCGATGAACCGGAGCTACCTCTGCACGTGGAGCAATCAGAATGAAATGAAATGAGAGTAGACAAAAATAGCAACTAACGTTGTTGAAGCGGACGAGGAAGATGTCGAACTTGATGATGATGGAGCGATCGAGACCTGTGCGCCGACGAGGTTGGGGGTCACATTGCCGTCATCATCTTCATTCTGGTACACCGAGCCACCAGGTATCTCCGCTTGGGACAGTGTTCGCCATCCGTTCGCCTTGATTTCCGGGTAAGCACTGATGAAGGCTTGCACTGATTGGTCCGAAAGTTCATGCTCAAGGATGATGAGGCCCGGTGACTTGGGTCCTGAAACAGATGGAGGTAAGTATAAGTTCGGACAGAAGGGGAGCATGGTGAACACAGACCAGTCAGCCACCTATGCATGGACGCATTAACAGCGCCCATCGATGTGCCACCTGTCGTGAGACTCCAGTCTTCGGTGCTAAGTAACATGCGTAAGTGTCATGTCGTTGACATATGAAGTTGCCGGTACTCACTCTTGGTTCCATAGAATGACCTCGAGGCCGAAGACTTCGCGAGCTACGGCCCTGACGCGTTGATCGTAATCCCCATAGGGGGGCCTCCAGTACCGTGGAAGGCGACCCCCCGTTGAGTTGTGAATGATTTCCATGGTCCACCCCAGCTGACCGACAATTTCTTCGTTGGTCAGTGTGGTCATATAGGGATGGGTCCATGTATGAACAGCGATATCATTCTCGAGTTCTTCAAAAGCCTCCGTGAATAGACCAGCGTTGTTCAAGATGTTGACGCCAATCATATAATGTGTCGCACGTTCATTATTAGCTTTGAGGAACTTATTAAGTGTGGCAGAAGCCTAATTGAACGGATAATGAGAACAATGAACCGCAGAGAAATAGTGGCACCGACCGGTTGCGGACCATCATCAAATCCTGTACCAAATACACCGTTCGGCGCATCCCATGTGTCACCAGGTATCCTGCATTTGTATGTCGACGAACAGACACTGGGGTCCATGGGGTTCGTGCCAGAAGGGTAGGAGGGGTTGGTTTGAGGAGTATTAGTAGTTTTTGGGATATCGGGTATTTTTCCTGCTTGAACTGCTTGACTGAGCGCGTTCGTCCATGCCTGGGGTAGTTGGGAGATATCAGGCGAGGAGCGGGGGTAGGCACTAGCCCAAGCTATCGGTAGAAAAATCATGAATTAAACGCGTCGTGGTATGGTCAGCTACTACTCACTGGGAGAGCCGACAGCGGCGTAATTAATGCCATCTGTGGCTGGTCCGCGCTTGAAGAGCTTGTGTACCGGGTGTTCGTCGGTGTGGTACCAAGTGGTTGGTAGCTGGCCGGGGGACACGTCGTGATGGGCGTCATGACGAGCGACGATACCGGCAGAAACGAACGGTGCCGCGAGGAGGAGGAGGGCGGACAGCATGATGCGCGACGTCGGGGGCGTTGAGCGCGGGGGGCGGGGGCGGGGAGGTAACGGGGACCTCTGGATGACACGGAGCAGAGCAAGGAAGGGGTAGCGGAATTGAGAACGTTATCATTTCGGGCTTCGTTATTTGTACTACAGCTGCTAGCGGCCTGCTCTAGCCGCATTCAAAAATTTGGGACTAAACTTCAAACCCCTATGACTTCCTCTTTGGGCGAGATAACAGATCGAACAACGAGCAGTTCCTCGACCTTACGTAAGAACACGAGGCTGTGTAGTGGCAATCAAACTTCTTTTAATTGGTTTGTGGAGTTGGCCAAGGACGGAGAGTCTTCTGCGTTCAAGTTAAAAAGTATCATTTCAGTGTCAAACAAATCCACAACGGTCTCCGTTACTCACCGAAAACTGAAGGCTGGGCTCGTATGTTATTTGGGATCGGGTCCGGGCACAGCACAGCAAATCGATATGTCCTTGAAACACGGAATGCCGGCACATCCTTCAGGCAAGTGGAATCCGATAAAGTCAAGCGCCTATACGAGACATGCGGAACCGGTCGTGCAGCGAACAATCATGATAACGACCATTCCAGTAACAATGTTAATGGCCGGAGGCAACAAAAGAAATATGCCAGACGAAACAAGATCATTCATAGTTAACAAGGTCCAGTCGCAATGGCATTGGAAGTAAACCAACCACTGTCCCTCGAGCTTACCATGATGCCCCGCACAAGATCGTGTACAGCAAGCGTACTTAGGAGTCATGGGTACCATCAGGCCAAAGCGTGTCGTTGCGTTCATGCGTAGCGCGTCCATCTAATGACAGGCCTGTGATCTTGTCTGATGTTGATATATTTCCCTGATTTCCAGCAATCCAAGCCGAGTGGCCGACCACGGCGAAACTTCGCAGCGCATTATCCCCTGCACTGTGAAGCTGGCCGCAGAATATCTCTCTGAGCCGCCAGACCAAAATGTCTCTCGGCAACGGTTGAGATCGATCCACATGGGACGCTTAACGGATGGTTCTAGTCATCACGGACCCCCTAGCCCGCCACAAGAAACTAGCAACGATCGCGCAACCTCCTCTTCGTAACTACTCTCTGAATATCATGATCAACCACTATTCCGCACCGAGAGCTAAGAATAGCTGGTTGGAATCCGACTCACTTCTGAAGTTCTAGAAATGCAACATTCGTGCCTGGTAACTTTGCTAGCCTAAAGCATACTTTGGTTATGTGTCCAATCGCGTAAATCAGCATGGGCGTCGGCGCTTGCACCGATGAACACAAGAGTTGCAAGGTGCCCTATTCAATTCCAAGGATTCGGTTTCTCGAGAAATAGATCAGGCTGTTGCCAGCGTCACTTATACCTCCTAGGATATCGGTACGCTGATGAGCTCAAGGAGGTGCGAGCAAGTGAGATGCATGAACACATTTCCCGTGCCGCCGACAGGCCAGCGAGATGCGGAGGTCGCTGCCAGTGAATATCGCCGGCGACCCTTGCACATTATGATCGTCTATGATTAGCGACCTCACCGTAGGGGGATGTCGATGTAAGTTAGGGTTGAACTCTGATCCGAAGGAGTGCAAATTCACTCGACGATCAGCGAAAACATCCACATGCAAGGGAAAAATCGGTATAGGTTTGAAATGGTGGAGAGAAGCCGCGATGCAGCGGAACAGAGCGCAACCCAAGGAGACGTAAGTGGGCGCCGTGAACGCTTTGACGACGGCCTTGTCGGCGTGACGGTATCGCGTTTCTTGTTATAGATCGCTTGTTGTTATACCTTCAAGGTCCCCCACAAATCTCCTTTTTGGGCGAAATGTCTGCAGTCATGTGAGGCTTTCAAACTTAGGGGACTCGTGGCTAGAAGGTGCGAAGTGGGTCTGGCAGCATCAATGTAACCTACAAACTCAACTTGGGGCATAACATATCTAACGGCAACAAAGCAAGGTCTGAAGTGCCAAAGGCACTCCTTAATGGTATGGACAAACATATTTTCCCCGCTGAAGAACGGCTGGCGATACATACCATGAGGCTATTTAGATCGTGGCAGGGAGCGCCCATTTCACATAGTTGCTATAAGGTCCTCTTCCCATTGCGCAGCTTATGCAGCTCATAATCAGCAGCGGGCCCAGTCATTGAAGTATGTCAATTGGCAAGGGTAGTTGCTGATGGGTGCTTTTAGCCGTGTCGATCAGCTCCAACGCCGCGAGGCCGCTAAGAATCATTGATGAAGAAGAAGCAGAAGATCATAGGGTCGTGCCAGGAGCATGGATGTCTATGGCCGTAAAAGTCGGATGACGAGCATCGTCCTTTCTACCAAAGCGGTGTTATTTATCTACGCTGTCCGAGTGAAAGAGACCCGACAGGAATGAGAACTAGAATCATTGCCGAAATTAGTAGGCCGACATGCATACCTACTTGCTACAATGCTACAATACCTTCGGCGCGGGGGAGATTTGGGTTCGAGATAACACGCTCGGCGTCTTCACAGTGCCTCACGTCACCATGATGCACGTTGCCGTACAAGGGAGCTGGAGGATATAGAACCGTGAATGAATCAGTTTCGCCGCTGATTTCTCTTCATCTTAAAGAGCGCAATCGGCCCTTCGACCTACGGCGAGGATACATATATGGACCATTTAAGACAAATAGGGTTGGTGGCTCCGCGACGTATCGTAAGTGTGTACCAATGCAACGGTGGATAAGCAGAGTTGAGCGAGGTGATGCAGAGGCTGAATCCGTCTGGGGCGAGGATGTATTGTACACCCTCCTAGGCAAACTCTCGGAGAAGTCGGGTACGCGGTCAACGGGCTCCAGAAAGTATAACGTTCTCATACCTGAGTCATAAGCGACCAAGTCCATCGGAGGGGCAATTTAGTGTCCTCGACGATTCTTTGGGTGCGACTACCAACTTCAATCGGCGGGAGCACCGAATAATATGACAGGCACTGTCAAGAGGCGAGAGCTTCGAGGGTTAAAAGATATCCTGCAAAGGAAAGAAAAAGATGGGGTAGTTCAGGGAGTCGGCGGAAAGTACATACTCTCCAGCGCAAGAAGAAATTCATTGTTGAAGTTGACCTTGCAGCCCTTGCCGGTACTTGACCTCTTCTAGGAGAGCTAGATTGCTAAGGTACTATAAGCGTGTAGTAGGACATGCAGCGGTTACTTCCAAAGTGAGTTCGCTGAGAACGGAACCGATACTGCTGTGCCAATACCAACAGTAACCACCTGTGAAGATACAAGCGCAAAAAGGGCAAAGAGCGCCAAAACTTCAGTTTCGTGATGATGGATGGGAAGCTAAGACACTCACTCACTTGTTCAGCCCGTGCGTTCATTTGGCTTGAAATCCTACAATGTCACCAGAAAATCATGCTTCGGTGCCTTGTCCGTATGATATCTTCTGCTTCGTCCCAAACTTCGGGGTTTATCGCCGTATTGCACTGGCGGGTAGTGGCTTGATGATGTTTATTGGGTCCAGAAGGACGCACAGGAAAGGTGGTGGTTCCTTTGGGAGAGGTAATCAAACTATCCCGACCCAATGCAGCTAATCTCCGTCACAGTTCAATTAGGATTCTCTAGACACTGAAGAACACAAATATAGAGGGACGGAGGTAAGAGAGCGGGTACTTCCGCGATAGCTACCAGAGCGTCGAACAAGCAGAGGTGAGTGAAAGCGTCGAGAGGGCGGAAATTGTTGATCAATGGGTAGCACTACTACTCAGACCTCCCAAAGCAAGACGCCCAGTCGTCATATTCGTGAGGAAATGGTCGTAAGGATTGAGATAAAGGGCCGCAGCGTTGAGTTGCTGTGAATCCGCTGCGCCCTTGCAGGGATGATGTTGACGAGGATGAGCGACTGAATAAGAGAACTGAGTGAGGCGCGTTCTTCGGAGCAGTCGTACGTTTCCTTGGTGTTGTAGGACAACGGAGTTATAGACATAAAGATAAGCCCTGATGGGATGTGTAAAAGATCAGCAAGTATAACCCGCGCGACTCGAGTGTGCGACTGCGTATTCACCAGTTCTTGAATCGCCGACATACGCAGATGATTGAGAGAGCATTGGAATGTGTGCCCAAGTCTCTGTCTGACGGCAGGATGAACAGCGCTTCGACAATAAGACGTTCAACGTCTCATGGAATCAACCCCAAGTCCCGAGCATGGATGGCCCATATTGGTTTTGGACTGAGGGCTAGCTTCGCTGAAAGCAACATGATCCCACCCCTGTACACTATACAGGCGTACGGGATCCATTGACAATCAAAAGCATGAACAACATAGCACGTATAATCACAATAATCCGTGAGTGGAGAAAATATATAAATTACTCAGGCAGTCGGCGCAGGCGATGGCGCGGCCGAACCTGTACGATAAGCATTCCTCAATACCAACACGCCACCCTTCAGCTGAGCGACCTCCTTCACCAGCGCAGTGAACTTCGCCTTCTTCGCCTCTTCGGTTAGATACGGCGTAAAGTGCTGGATGCAATCCCTCGTCGTAGCGTTTGGTGTGTTCCTTAGCCACTCAATAACCATCTTGTCGTCTAGCTCTCCAACAGGAGCGCCACCAGGAGGAAGGGGTTTTCGTTTCTTTAGCTTTGGCGGGCCGCTTGCACCATTCGGATTTGGGGATGTCGGGGATGTTGGACTCGATGGATCGTCCATCGCTTTCCGCTTGTTTGTCGCTACTGGACTGCCAGCACGACTGCCTACGGCTGCAGGAGGACTACCGGGGCGGCTAGCCAGTGGGCTTCCACCACGACTTGCCGAACCCGTCTTAGATTTAGATGCTTTCGGACTAGTAGCCCGCTTGGCAACTATGGAGTGGCCTCCGTGCCCGATATTTGGGACGGGGGAGGTGGCTCGTGACTCTGATTTTACATTTACACTGCCATTTGGTGGTCGAGGAGTGGCCGTCTTCTGGGGCTGGGAACCAGTACTAGGTTCTTCGGCCTTGGGCTGCAAAGCTGGATCGGCCAAGGGAACGGGGACCATATCCTCGTCTTCCTCCTCCTCCTCGACCTAGCACTGTATTAGTAGATGACAATTGTAGCCCAAGTGAGTGAAGCTTACCGAACTAGCGTATGGGTTTTCTTCTTCTTCAGAGTCGTACGCGTCGTTGCCGTCCCGGTTACGGAGCATCTTCTTATACCGTTTGCCGTCCTTCGTTAATGTGCCTCCTTCCTCTTCCTCGTCTGCATCAATATAACCCTCTTGTGTCTTGTTTGCTGCTTTCTGCTCCCTCTTCATCCGTTCCTACACCCAGGCGCGATGGATGGGTCACCAGGTTTACAAACCAGACATGTCAGGACTTACTGCTTGTTCTTTAGCCTCTTCGTCATTATCGTCAACTTCCATCGGTTCCTCATCGTCGGCAAACTCTTCTTCAAAGATGACCTCGTCCAAGTCCCCTTCCTCACCCAGTTCCTTCTCTCTCCGCCGTTTCATACCACCTTCGTCATCATCGTCGTCACCAAAGAGATGGTCCATCCCACTATCAACTGTCTTTAATCTCCTCCCACCCGGACCCAAGCTTTGACCAGCAGTATGCACCAGCGAGTTAGGGCCTCCAGCAACCGATCTCCCCTCAGCTCCGGCCTTGAACGCAGCGGTGGTAGCCGCAGATACGTCCTGCCCTTTACGCTTAGACAACCAGACCTGCGGATCCATGTTCCTTTTGACATTCTTATACTACAAGCAGTCAACTTTGTATTAGCGCACGCAATGATATGATTCCTATGAATACTTGCAATAGCCTCAGCTTCCTCTGCTGACCAGATAACATATTGCGGTTTCTTTTGGAATTTATACCACCGATGAGCTGGCACAAATTTGAACACGTCATTCGCCGCGGGCATGAAGAACGCCCTAGTTTCTGCCTGCGCCACTTCCTCTAGTTTCCCTACCCAAACCTCCTTGCCCGAGGAGTCCTCGATGACCCATGGATACCGCTCCTCTTTCCGCAGCTGCCGCACCTCGTCGGGTACCAGGAACACCTGTTTCGTCTTCTTCTGAAACCTCTTCTTCGCGTTCGCTGGCCCTTTCCCCTTCGCATCCCCACCCTTCGACGAAGATCCCGACTCTGGGTGTATCGGTCGTCCTTCCGCATCCACCATTACCACTCGTCCATCAACGCCAATAACCGGCTTCCCATCTGGCCCCATCATGGGCCCCACCGCCTCCGGACCTGTTGACGTTGCTGTGTCGTCCTCCCGCCTCATTTCCTTCCTATTCAGCTTTATCGGTGGTTGCCAAGTGGATATATCAATGGCTTTCCTCGAATCGAACTTCATGACATCGTATTTCCAACCGTTCAGCGCAGACGACATGAGTCGGAACTCCTGGTATGGGCCGTCGGGAAGTTTGAGCGAGTCATCCTCGGCTTCTGCTACAGGTTTTGGACGAGGAGTAGCAGAGGATTTCCTTGGACCTGTGGGGGCCGGCTTGACTGGTGTTGTCTGTCCGGCTGGCTTCGTAGTTTTCTTCTTGGGATGGAACAACGTCGCCATTGATGCCTTCGGTGCCATTGGTTAAGGGGCTTCCTTACAATGAGGTGCTTGAAAGCTATGAATGAGTTGGAGCGCTGCGAGAGCTAAAGGGGAATTGAAGCCTTGGGGGTCGTAAATACAGAGCGCGGGGAATAATTAGTGGTAGAAGTGATGCATCATGTACAAAGGATCGAGACAGGATGTGGGCGCCTCAAACAAAAGAGGCATCACGTGATACGTTGACTTAAATAAGGATTTTCCACTGGCACAATAAAACGGTCGTGGTACATGTACTACTCGAGTAACTCGGGCACAAAATGTAGAACCCTGATGATTGTATAATGGTTTAGTGATGCACTGGGTCAACATACAACTGATTGTAGGCGATGATGACTTTAAATATATAACAATGCGACTGATATTCAAACAATGTACGTACATGAAATTCGCGGAAATGAGATGTAAAGTCCAAATGGGTCGTCAGCAATGAGATCCTGCCAAAAACTGATACATCATCTAGCTAGCTGGAGCCAGGGAAAATAGCAATACAGTCATCAAGACGGTCCCTCGGGTCTAGAGATGCCATTCTGCCCAGGTTGTGAGGGCGAGCTATACACATTTTGTGATGACCCCGGGCGTGAAATGGGCTGTGAGCCATGCTGCTGCAATGGGGGGTGTTGTTGATTCGGAGGCGGATATGAAGTCGGGGGTGGACCCTGAGCATAAACAACGTGTGTAGGTGCACCTGGTGCGAACGGCGGCATGCCACCTTGTCGCACAGCGTCTAACTCCTGCCTCAACATCTCTATCTCGCGTGCCATGTCTTGGTGACTTTGCTTTAATTGAGTAACAAAGTCGATGGCTATATATAAGAATCAGTCGATCTATCCGATTTACCGATGCTGAACACCTGCTCACCTTTGCTAAGAATCTCCCACTTACTCGCCTTCATACCCCGGTCAGCAGGTAACTGATCTCTAAGTTCGTCGAACAATTCTTTCATCTCCTTCCTTCTCTTCCTCTCTGCAAGTTTATGCGATATTCGGAGCTCAGGCGAGCGTGAGTAGGGTGTAGAGCCTTGATCCTTCTTCCCTGATGAGGAAGGCTGGGGTGAGTGTTGGGCAGCAGAGAAATCGGCGTCTTGGGTGGGTGATGCGGCAGATTGGTTTGGAGAATCGCCATCCGAGCCACGCATGCGTGATGGGGGTCGTGAACGTGAGCGAAGGACTCTAGTCGTCGTTGGGGCAGGGTTCGTGAGAGTGTTTGGCACCGACATCCTTCTGTCTGGCATGTAGGTCATCGGGGGCATCATGGCGAGTTGTGAAGGTGGGTTGCTGGAATCTCCTGGTCTAGGGGGACCACCTATATTTGATTCTCCGTCATTCGACATAGGCATGGGGGGGACATGATCGGTAGGATGGTTGGCATTCCACGAGAATGAAGCAATGCTGGCTGGTGGTCTACCATGAGGCTGGTTATCCCCGGGAAAGCCCGGATGATAGCCACTCATTCCGGGCGGAGGAACATTTTGCAACATGGGAGGGTTGGAATCGCGTCTCTCGTTTGCCCACCACTGTGGCGGCCCTGCCCTCGCATCTGTAGAGTTTCGGCGATCGTTTAGAGACATCTGCGCCATGGCCAACGGGTTTACTGAATTGCGTCGTTTGGGATGGGGTGCATCAGCCTCCATTTCCATGATACTTGGTATTCCAGGCCCTCCCAGCTGAGGATCAATCTCTTCGCCAACTGGAGGGAACGCACCTCGATCGGTTGACATCTTCCGCTTCGTGCCAATTGTGCCCGATTGTGAGTGTGCGTCCTGACCCACTGCGATCGAATGTCTCCTCATGTTATAATCGAAGTGTTGTGGACCTCGCAGGATGTCGCGCGACGAACCCATCTGCTGCTCACCCCCCTGTCTAATCTCATCGACCATCATCCTGTCTGAGTCGTTACTCGTCCGACTTGCTGGTGATAACGGCGATAGATCAAGAAGATGGGTCAGCAAGCAGTGACTTTGTCTAACTGAGACATGAAAGGGCACCTTCTGTAGCAGGACTTGGCAAGCTCCGCGAAGCAGACGCATACGACCCTTGCTGTTCCTCTCTGCCTCGATTATCGCTCGAGTCGCCCGACGGGGAGTGCAGCAACTTTCTTATTTGCTCGCTGTCTGGTCGATGGGGCGTAGCGTCGCCGAAGACAAAGGATGGTGGTGGACGTGAATCTGACTTTGAAAGGAGCGGGTCGTGGTGCTGCTGGTCGTTCTGATGATGGCGGAAGTTTGGCGGACTGGCAGCATGCAGAGAGGGATCTGTAATTGAACCCCTTCGCTGGTTTTGTAAAAGTTCCAGGGGGACGAGGGACTGTTCCTTGTTGCTGGCGCGATCATGGTGCGCCGGGCCCGACGGCGGCCGTGAAAGGGAACTCAACTCAGTCATGAAAGGACCGTGGTCGTTGTGCACGACGGCGTGCTAGCGGTCGTTGCGGTTGTGGACTCTAACACAGTTGACTTCTTTATGTATACCACTCGACCTCCTACTCAAACTCCGACACGTGCGCCCTTACTATACATGGTTAAATTACTCAAGTCCACTCCTCGACAACTGTTCCCTCTCAGACGCTCCCAGTCCAATGTGGCGAACGTACCCGAGACTGTTCCGCGTCGTTCTCCCCCCACGACTCTGAGACAATACAAATGCTTCCTCGGCGTCGTCAGCGGCAACCATCACACGCACCCGGGGCCCATACTCTAGGTGCAAAATACACGGCCGCTGCAATATTGCTTCCGGCAAGACCCCCTCAAGTACCGCCACAACTTGTGAATGATACCCCACGCGAGCTCGGAACAGCTCACGCGGTCGAAACATGCCCTGGTCAACGATCGTCTTCAGCATCCCACGTGCACATCGTATGGCACCCTCTGCTATAAGCGTGTCTCGATCATACATGCCTAAACCGTCATGCACGCTTAAAGGCCGCGAAGGACTGACAAGGACCGTGTGGCCAATCTCGTCATCATGGGACAGCTCCGTCGTATTATGCCACAGAGCCTGGGAGTTGAGCGTACATAAGGGTCTGTGTCGTGTAAAAATATTATTGCTCTCACCTCTACGCTGTCCGTTGGATGGCGGACCAGATGACTGTCCAAATACGACAAGAACTCAGCGTGGAATGGCGCTCGCAGGCTTTGCCTATCCGCGCCCTCTGAAGCTCCAGCTACGTTCCCAGAAAACATCAAATCCTCCAATGACTGATCGCAGTAAATGCCCTGGGCGGACCGAGCCGGATTTCCGCTTCCCGATAACCATAATTGAAGTGAATTGATTGTGCGACGAACATCGAAATGTGGGAATATCGAAGTTGTGCCGGTGACCTTGCTATCGTGGATGTCGACATCATCGATGGGATGTTCGCTCTCGTAGAGCCGGGCCAGAGAGGCCCGGTCCACTAATGTCCCTTCCGCGCAGCACAGTGCTTGAAGATAGGACACTGTTATGTCTGGGTCAGGGTGGACGAACTGCAGAGTTGCCTGCAACGGCAAATCATCCACGGGTACCAGGGAAGGATCTATCCGACGAAGTCAGGCGAAGGATCGAATTAATGACCAAATACACCCACCATTGCATGTACAAATGACCGGCCGCCTGCAATCTTTTATGAAATTCGTAACGACAGGCCAGAAGTTCGTGTCATCTCTGAATAGAATATCCACTTCTTCGAGCAATACAATTGATTGTCGAACCTCGCCACTTCCTAGCGTCTCTCCTGTCGGCGAATCCGTCAAGAAACCAAGGTCATTTGAGGGAGTGCCGTTATTAAACGGAGTTGAGTTGTCTTCTTCCTCAGAATCGATGCTCTTCATCTTCCTACTTTTCTTCCGCAGAAAAAGGTTCGGTGATTTCCCCTCGGCACCCACATTCGTATCGGCATGTCGACGCATAGAGGTCCCCACAAGGTGGCTCTTACCGACCTCTCCAACAAGGTTGTCTAGGTTTGTTCCGCCTCTTTTCCCTATTCCAGGATAGACTTCGAAGACATCCCATCCAAGTTCTTCCGCACATGCATAGACGGCTGCCGTTTTGCCAACGCCGGAAGGACCAGCAAGCAGAATGGTATTAGACAGGCTGTCAAATTTGTAGACGGGTTGCGAGGAAGGTGGCGTATGTTCGATGGGCACGCTTTCCTGCCGATATATTCGCCGCGTAGACAGAAGGTCTTCTTCGTCCGCAGGGAAGAGATCGGCTTCAGGTATATCATCTGCTACTATCCAGTCATTATCATCCTCTTCATCGATCCTTCGCTTCTTCCGACTTTTCTTTTTGTCGACTGCACGAATTACTCTGGGCCTCTTGGTTCCTCTTCTCTCTGTAGGCTTCTTAGATTTCGAGGTTGATTTGAGGCCACTCGCTTGTTTGGAATCACCTCGTGCAGTGGAAGGTAGGATAGAAGTGATCTGTAATTGCAAAGCCGAAAGCCAGTCCCGAAGATAGAGTGCGCTTTGTTCGTTTCCTAGGACTTCGTCTGCATGAGATGGACGCCATCGGTCTGACCACAGCACCTGCGAAGAGGAAGGCGCAGCAGGCCGCAAAGAGGCAGTGTCCTGATTCAACGACGCCACGATACGACCAATAGCAGGATGGGTTTGGACATGAGCTTTAGGAATTGAAGCCAAGAATGCCTCTTGCTCTTCCGGAACGAAGTCGGTTTGTATATGCAGAGTCTTAGACGGCAGTTCGATATGAGAGATGTCCTTGATTAGACTACTGAGCGCAGAGGGAGATGAGGGAGACTGAGACTGAGATCGTGCTTTTGCTGCATCTTTCTTCGGAATACCATGAGGTCGCGGAGAGAAGCCGCTCAAACTGCCTCGAACGTGCTGTGAGTCTGCATCCGGGAAGGGAGCGGGCCGTTGGGCAGTCCTGTCGGGTACGAGTGGTGACGGTTCTCGTAGATTGGCGGGGCGAGGGGCAAACATGGGGTGCACTTTCTGAAGAGGTAGCGATGTTCCTTTGGTTGCCGGAGTTACGCGAAGCGTAGGTTTCGAAGGCAAACTACCAGGAGGGCCAGCCGGTTTTATTGGTGACGAATCTACAAGAATCGGGCTTTCATAGCGGAGACCTTGAGACGATGGGTTGGGAGGAGGCGAGGGACAAGTTATTTCGATGGAGGACTCTCGAAGGGGCACCGAACTCTCGGGAACGACATCATCATCGTCATCTACTACATGTATAAGTTCCGGGGGAGTTTCAGAGGCTTTGGCGGCTTTGCGAGTGAAGAACGGATGGACTCGTGCTGGAGGTGGTAGTGGAGGGGGTTCAGCTTCAAAAATATCAGTTTAGCTGCATATAAGATCCATGACTCTACTCACGAAGGCTCATTAGCACGATTTCCGGAGAGCTCGACACGCTTGTCTGAGGGGACACGGGAAGGGATGATAATGGGCTAGCAGGGTACTGAGCTAATATGTCAGTATCGCTGGCCGTAGTCGACTGAGCATTGAGTTCAGCAAAGTCCCCATCTGATGACTCGGCGTCATGGTGTATATCACTCCTGGTCTCAAGAAGCAATGAGGCGTCTTCATTGTAATCGGAGTCTTGAGTTACAGGAGGTTGCGACGCCGGGTTAGGGTGCATTGCATCTTGTACCATAGGTGCAGGTATATCTGGGTCCTTTTCTAGTGAAGGGGACCGCCGCCTTCGCGTAAAGTGCGCATGGAGGGTCGATTGTCGTCGGGACGGCTGAAGAAACGCGTCTTGTCCCTTCGTAGCTCGCATAAAGTAGATGGTACACACCTCGGGAGCTTTGTTTTTAGTCGCTGAGCGCTTGGCAGCCATTGTGAGACTTTTGTACAATCAAAGGGAGTGGTATGCGTAAAGAAGAGATGTGAGTTCCCAAGACTATTGAACCATGGTGGTGAGGATAAGTGGGTGGACGAGAAACTTCTCAGCCGCGTCTTTCATGCTAGGAGTCACGTGAGTCTTATTGGTCCATATTTATGGTTATTTGGAGCACGCTCACAGAGCATACGTTCAGGGACTAACAGGAAGCTACATGTGAATAGGTACAGCGTGTAGAGTACAAGGTAGCAGCGGTATATAAAGCAGAACAGCAAGCTTATGAATGAATAGGAAGTAATAACAAGCGCAAATTTGTGAGAAAATTGATGGGTAACGATAGTCCAGCTGACATACCTTTAGAAAGTAGACCCAATGGGCCCGAACTTGATGTTGGAGAAGGTGACTTGTGCATTGGGGCTCTGAGATTCGACGTCGGTGGGTTCACCAGAGGTGGTGGCACAAGTTCCTCGTGCAACACCAGGCTCGGATGCGTCCTTGTCGAGGGGGTAGTTGCTGTCGAGCCAGAGCATCTTAGCCTCATGGTCGTCCCAGATACTCATGACCAAAACCATGCCAGCCTGGAAGGCATCACCCATAGCGGCAAGCCCGCCCTTGTCCTGGAAAGAGTTGGTGTCACCAAAGACCGTCTTCTGCGAAGTGCAGAAGTCCTCGGTGATGGAGTCCAAGGATGCGTCCATGCCTGGGATGTTGACCTTCGAGTTCTGAATGACTTGGCCATTTTGGACATAGAGGCGGCGGATTTCAGTTAAAGCACCACTCGTGGAGTTGTCGGCGGTAACGAACTGTAAATATCAATAGCGTCAGTTCAAGCCATCATAGATGTAAACGTAGACGCACCTGAGTGACGACTGTGAACTTCGAGTTGGTGTCGACAGTCTTACCGGGGCCTAAGAAGGTCTGGTCGCCCATGCGGAAGGAGTTGAAGTCACATCCATCCTTGTCGCACACGCCACCATATCTGTTATCGTCATCACCACAGTCATTGCCTTCGCAGCGGGTGGGCTCTTTGACAGTGCACGGGTGGGGGGTAAACGCGGCAGCCATGGAGTTAGCCTCCCAAATATCCATCTCAGCGCAGCATGAGCCGTACTGTCCCTTTCCGGCGTTCTGGTCGTTGGGGGAAGGTTCCCATCCTGCGACGTTTGCCTAATAGAAAGTCAGCGAGAGGGCTAAATGAAGAGGAGGAGCTAGCGTGAACCTCTCCGTTGATGAACTTGATGTCGTGGGGGCACTGAGAGTCACAGTATCCAGTTCCATATTTTGCGCCAGCCTATTGCGCAAGTTAGTCCAAGCGTTCGTTGAAAGAGCACAAATTGCTTACGGCGTTAGTGGAGAACTTGGACATGCCTCCGTCAGCCTCCATCTGGGAGAAGTACAGAGCACCGTTGAGACCGCATGGAAGTTGCGACATGTCGATATCGAACGTGAACTCCTGGTTCTTCAAGTTGAACATCTGGTACGCGCTCTCAGACTCCATCAAGTAGACACGCGAGCCGATGTTGGTCGAGTACGGGCCATTGGTCACGAACTTGAGCGTGAGCGCGTTGCCGGAGGTGGTGATACCGTACGTGCCGGAGTAATCCGCACCGTCGAGCGCGCAGTTGGACGCACAGGTGGCGGGGTCAGGGCAGAGGGAGGCGTCCCACTCGTTGCCGGTGTAGCAGTTGGTGCTGCCGGACGTGGTGTGCAGCCAGCGCCAGTTCGAGTCGAGCACAACTGCGCGAGACTGGGTCTGGCAGCTGCCCGCTCCAGTGCATTGCTGTATGCTGAGCGTGGGGTGTGTCTCAGCTGTGAGCGTGCCGACTTGTTGGCCGTACGAGACGGCTAGGAAGGAGAAAGCGAGGAGAGCAGCGGCGCGGAACATTTCGATTGCCGTTGAAGAGGTAGAAGACCTTGATGAGTAGGTTGGATGATGACTGGCATTGAGCTATGCCAGAGACCTTAAATAGGGCGCATCCGGAAGATTTCTGGCAAGATGACCACCCTCGATGAAGCCTCGAATTGAATTGAATATGTGCATTACACCGATGAAAATCCCGCGCTGAGGAGAGAGAACATCAGGCTCGGCTGGAATATGGGGGATACGGGGGATACGCAGGAGAAACCGATACACTCGGTTTGTTTTTGGCGAGGTTTTCGTTGCATCAACGTGACCAACGCGGTGATCGCACAGCACCTGCCGGATGTGCTGTCCCAGTCGGCCTTGTAGAAGACATTTCCAGAAGTGGGACGGTAGGTTGCCAAGAACAAATAATAGCGCGGTGGTGGAGCTTTTCGAAGTTTAAGAACTGCATGCGAACGATATGTCAGTGTGGGGAAATACGAGTCAAAGGGTCCTACCCAACGCTTAACGGTCTGCTCGATCCCGCTTGCAGTGGCCGGAAGACGCCATAGATGGATGACGCGACCTGCGCCATGGCATACTAAGTTCGTTAGGCCTTTAAGGTCGTCTTCAGAGGGGTGCCTTACCACCTATGAGATCGGTGGGAAAGAAGCGTCGTTTAAGTGGTCCAGAGAGCGAGCCGAGGATTATCAGTGCACCATGTCCATACCAAAGTGTTAACTTCGTCATTATTGTCAGCGCCCAGTGTGTCACGAAATAGAGCTCGCAGCGTCGGAGCACCCCACAAACATTCGCCAGAAAATCGGAAAGCAAGAGGAGCACTTCATAGCGAACGGAATATTCGACTCCAAAGTGCTGCTATTTTTGTTTGTGGCCATCACCAGGTTCTTCGCGAAGTCAGTTTCGGATGGATGCTGTGTAAATAGATCATGCTCACGTTCATAGACTGCTCACGGCTTCATACGGCATGTACTGGCGCATAGCGAGTCCTCGGGTAGAACATAGATCGACGCCACTGTCGGGGGGTTATTATGACCTGGCAGTAAATCGACGTACCACACTGTACTCCATCCACTCGACAGGCATGGACAGCTGACTCGCATAGGTGATAGATATTAAATTCAATCTAGAGCTGAACGCAGCTAAAATGAGTGCCATTGGAGTACTACCAACCCCACATAGGGTTGGGGTTTCGTATAGGGCGGTTCTCCCTGACGATACCCGCAGAGACTATCCTCTTGAGCTTGCGCTCCCTCTCCTCCGCCTTCTGCTCCGCGATGGTCTTCCCCTCCTTCAGCACGACGTGCATCCTCGAGTCGGGGTGCACTCGGACACCATAATGAGCACGGCCGCGAGGCTCCATGCGCTTGAGGGATTTCGGACCTTTGGTCACCCAGGCTTCCGCTAAAACACACAGTCAAACCGCACATGAGGACCATATCCGAAGTAACGTAGAGAGACAAGGAACATACCTACGACGAGCTTAGACTCTTCGAGAGCCTTGTACCGCACGGCGTGCTCCTTGGCCGTTGCCAGCATACTTCGTATACGAGTGCTCGCGCGCTTTTCGCTGAACTGCATTTGCAGGATAGCATAATCAATGGGCTTGCCCGAGATTTGTCGGCCCAGCATGTTCAACTTTCGGTGCGAGATCTTGAAGTTTGCCGTCGAGTATTTGTGCTATGTACACCCAAGTCCAAGAAAAGTCAACACCCCAAACCTGTCTAGTAAAACAACAGTGGTGCTCACGGAGGTAGGCTTAGGCTTCTTAAGTTTCTTCTGCACGACAACACCTTTCGCAGCCTGTTCTGCCCGCGCAGCTTTCTCTGCGCGTTGAGTCGTCTTCCCGGCCGTCTCGAACAGACTGCGTTTCCCCTCCTCAGATGCCTGTTGCTTAGCCGCCTCAACTTCCTGCTGGGTCTCCTTCTTCCGCAAATTAGGACCAAGTCGCTCTCTCAGCCAGTTGATAGGGCTTCCCAAACTCGCACTACGTTGAGGAGGATGTCTTTAGCACCCGTCCTGAGCGAAGTAAAACATTCACGTACTGGCGGCGAGCCTCCCATTGGCCGTGTCTCGACGTGCTTGCTAGCAGACGCGCAGCCGGCCGCACTAGAAAATACTAATTTAGCGAGAATAGGGAACATAGGGATGGTACATACAGCTTTGCAACCCATTCTGCATATTGAGCGAAGATGTTGGTGAAATGCCGAAACGCGGAATGAGATTTCGAATTTGGCGCGTCGCCCGAATAGTGAAAAGGTCACACGCCTAACCTTCGACCACGACTACAACCACGACCGCGACATGGCACTGCTCGGCACAATATTCTATGTAGCGCTCCTACTCATCAACGCCATGGCCGTCCTGAGCGAGGACCGCTTTCTCGCGAGGAGTGCGTAGCCTTTTCGCCTACCAGTTTCCTTGATCCTGACACACTTGTAGTTGGCTGGTCATCCTCGCAAACACGGAACGCTGCATTCCAGCAGCCGTACGATCCTACTGGCTACGGAAGTCCACCGCAGGATATCGGAGTGAAAGCTCGTATCGTAGACTTGATTAGTGCCGTTCGAACGCTCATGCGAAGTATGTCCTCTGCTCTTCTTCACGATCCATTGCAAGTGCTGATAGATATCACTTAGTCCCTCTAATAGGGATAAATATTGTTATTATTGTCTGGGCAATAGTGTTCTGAGCCGACGTTTGTCCTTTATATTGTATGTCTCATCCGGCGCGTAGTGCACGGCCTAATTTCAATTCACTTGGTGCCGCCTTTGATGCTTACTAGGGTTCGTTACCTTGCTCCCATGCCCCCGAAACTGCGAAACAGCTGCGCAGTCTGCACACGGCCTGCAATGTCTGCCTCCAAGTCACCGGCCACTACAAGCTTCAAACTCGCAAAAAAATCCCTCCCAGTACATTAGGTGGAACAAGTTCGTAATTTATTTCGACGTACGCCAGCGACGAAAGCAAGCTGCAGTTGCGAGACTACATAAAGCAGGTGTGCAAGAAGTTGAATTATATTTGGCTTAATTGAGTTCGTTCAGATGCTCGTACTCCTCTTCGATTTGTTTCACGAAGTCATTGACATCGTGTCCCTTCTGCGATTCGAATATCTGTTTAGCAAATATGGCTGTAGAAGGATATGCCAATCACTTACTTCGCAGTCCTTCCATGTCCCGTCGTGGACGCATACGGCCTTCTTGTTAATCAGCACCGTGCAGCTTTTACTAGAATCGAGTGATCCTGATGAATAGAAGAACGAAAGATGGGCTGAATTGGCGTACTTGATATCCAGATTTTGGGCCAGCTGTAGGCTCTCCTTCAGCATTGCTATTCCTTCAGGCGCTTTCCCACTAGCATCATTCCCCGCACACTGACCAACGCCGCTTCCTTCCCAATCAATCTTCGATGCGCCAGCACAGCTCAGCGCCAGGTCTGGGTCCCCCACTGACTCCCGGCCATGGTAGTTCTGGCACTGCACGAACGCCCACCATTCCTGCGCCGTCGTGTACTTGGATACGCATAGTTGTTGAATGTTACCCGCGCACTCCTAAACACGCACATTGTCCCCCATAGATTACAGCAGTATCTCTATACACATACCTGAGCCCCATGCATGCATTTGACGCCGAAATCCTCATCGGCCGGGTCCAAGCTGCAGTGACGTGTGCATGAGGTTCGGAATGCTTGAGGGTGCGCAGCCCGCACTCACTGAGCAATATAGACCAGCGACAGGTCGATCTTGCCTATGACTCTTGGCAGTACCTTATCGAATACACTCTCGCAGAGCACGGCGTCAGGGCAGCGACTCATCACGCCGAGGTGGATTGGGACTTTGACATCGGCGAACATGGTGCCTGCCGCCTTCTGGATGTGCAGTGGGTCTGTCGGATGAGCCAATGCCGACGATGCTGCAAAGGCAGATAATATAAACCAAAGGTGCGGCATGCCAGCAATTGTGGAGCGCAAGAAAGACCAAAGGTGTGAAGATGGACAGAATGCTCGGCGGGCGAGCGAGTACAGTACTAGTGCCAATTCTCACAGGCTATGGCGTCATAAAGTAGCCTTCTGCGGCGCTAACGTCCCCGATTCACAGAGTCCCACCACTTGCTTGCTTCGGCATCAGTCGAAGGCGGCACAAAGTATCGACAGCGTGATTTGAAGGCTGCAGCGAGCGCGTCAGGACAATACGGGGAAGGCGCGGAAGGCGGCGCACCATCAAGGGAACGCTGCCGGATGATCTTCTCGACAGACAGTTCGTTGTGGACTTGGTTTAGCTGGGGCGTGACAGTTGGCGAGGGTGGAGTAATAAGCGTTGTTAGTGACCGACCTTGACCTCCTCCGCGAACAGTTGCGCTTGGGCCTTCCGACGGGCGGCATCGTCTGCTTCCAACCCTGCAATGGTCCTTTTCTTCTCTTCCATTGAACTGTCCACCACAGAAACGCAGTATTCCACTAGTTTCGTTCGTCTACTCCAATTGGCTATACGTGTCTGGGCAGCATGGTATCCCTGCTAGTTGATATGAAAGAAGAGTGCGCACCTATAAGTTCCTTCCATACTTGTGAGCAGGCTTCGTCCTGGAGATTCCCTTTGACGGGATCCAGACGGTCCTTGTCTCGCTGGTGAGCATTAGCCCTATTGATGCGCATGGTGATTAAATCATCGAGTCTGCGGTATTCCCTGAGCAGTTCTAGGGTGCAAATGAAGGGTAAGTCCGTGAATAATGAGGGTGCAATGTACTCACCTTTGAATAGTGAAAGGTCGTGACACGTTGATGGTGAAACATGGACCGTTTGTGGCGTCTGTGAAGGGGCCTGCATCGCCAGACTGCCGAGCAGAGGCTGGTTCGAAGACATTTCTGTTCAGCTTCACTGCAGCTGATCTTTGGTTATGTAGACGTCGACGGCTGGTGTGCCGTTTCACGATCGGCACGGGGACATTTGAGCTCAGCGCACAGGGACACAGGGGCCAGTGGTGAAACAAGGACAAAGTAAATGGAAATACAGAGATTATACTGGAGTATGGCTATGTACATTAGAACAAGAGATATTTATAAGAATTCCATGCAGAACGACAGCAATGTACACAAGATAACAAGAAGCAGAGCAGACAAAGCGGCACTACACCCACAGAGGAATGGAAAAAAAGAATATACTATGATGGCATGCGATATCACGAATCCAATGGGCGCCATGGTTCCAGCGACTCGTATTCTGATTGCTCTTGATTAGGGACGCTTGCTTTATACTTCCGCTTGAACTGCTTCGGTACGTATCCATGTGCTTCAATATGGTGCCGATGCCTTCTCGCCGGGTCTTTGAACGCCTTTCCGCAGTTGTATATACACGCATGAGGTGTGTCACCAGTGCTATAAACAATGAATCAGCGGTCGGTCGTCGGGCGAGGTGCGAATCATGCGTACTGTCCATGCTTGTGTATATCAAGGGATGTCTTCTGGGGGAACGCCTTGTTGCATATCTCGCAAATGAAGCGCCTACAAAGTTGAAATCAGCGACGAGATCGGATGATGTGTGTGAATCGAACTTACTTGACCTTCAAATGGGTCGTCTCAACGTGCCGTTTGACCAATTGCTTTTTGGAGGTATACAGACAAGGGACGGATGCGTCATTATCCTTCGTCGTCCACAGGCACTGGTATGCGAGGCTGCCGTCGGATCGCTTGACTTGCCTCGCATAGATCTCCCAGTTCTCGGCGGCGGGTGGCGATGCCCGGGGTTTGGAAGGAACGCTAGACGGCACAGACTGAGATAATCCGGGACCTATAGAAGGCCCAGCGGTGTCGTCTGTCGAGTTCAAGATGTAGTTGATGTGACCACGGGAATATACGACGCCTTTCGTTGCTCCTTTAGTCTCGTCGTTTGCGTTCATTGCAATGTCTTCAGGGATTTGCCGGTCAGATAAACGCCCGCTCGATACACGAACTTTTCTGAGAGACAATAAGAAGAGTCGGATGAGGCTTAGACCGCAAGCAAGTGAACTCGGTCCGTACCTTAAGGGTTCAATAATCGCAGACCCGAGTTCGGGGCTTCTGCACGTTTGGAAAATTAGATATACCGTATAGTGCAGAATCGATGTGAAGATACGAACGGGATATCCGTAGAAGGTCGTCTCTTGCGGGAACACGAAGCAGAAGTCGAAGGGTAGGCGTATGCGGGTGGAGGTGGTGGAGTGCCTTCTAGCCTGTGCACAAAGATATATGTGAGCAATGAGCTGTGCTGATGACCAACAATGCGGCAAGTACTAACGAAGATTGGATGGAGTGATTATCGGATTCGTTCTCTGACGCCGGGCTCCCCGCATCTTTATAGTCAACTACTTGGAATAATACCGGCGAGTGAGACATTTTGGAAGATGGCTTGAATGATGGCCACATGTATGTTCCGGTGGGAGCCTCGTATACCGACACAGGCGTACCGGATCGAGATGGAGAGTAGAATGATCTATGTTCGTGCCTATCGCTCTGTGAGGTGATGGGGTACCGCAAATGAAATTATGTGACTCACTGTCGTGCGTGCTCCAAGGGTGGCAAGTGCAATCGTGCGTCGTCGTCTTGCGTATCGTAGGCTGGGGGGTGCAAGAAACGCGACCGCCTGGAGTGGCGTTAGAGATGCTCTGATGTTATGTACCATGTTTGAGGCGTACCTCGATGAGGAGGATATCGCGCGCTGCAATACTGCGTCGCGAGAACTTGCGAAGTCAGGTCCAGGCGTCGATGTCTCAGCCGAGCTCTTCCCTGCGTGAATTGACGGTCGACTTGTCGTAGAATCGCCGGTCGCCCCAAGGTCGTAATGGGAATCGCTATCGACTTCGAAAGAGAGTCTAATAAGTATCGGAGAAACAGCATTAGCATGGTGTTAAGAAGTCGCGGTCGACAACGGCAGTCATTGAAACAATGTTTCGCGTCGGAAGCATGAATGGAGAGGCTAGTATTCCGAGCGCTCGGACATTGCTCCTTATGCTAAATGCTTACTTACTGGGAAGAGCGTCTCGTTGGCCGAGTCGAGTTGTAGCGTGCACCGGCAAGTTTGGGGCTACGCGGTGCGTTCATGGTTGGGTGGTGGCGGTATGTGTTCAGCGGTGAAGATGTCATGGCGCGAATTGTTGGACCTGGATATGGGAATATGCTTGGGTCAATGCTTTATGCTTTTAAAACCGGCGAACCGTGGAGGCTCGGCCCATATTAAATATTAATCTGGTAGTACATACCGGCTAAACCACACTGGGGCACTACAATATCTGGATCTCCGCTGATCTTTGTAGGGCCACTGAGCTTCTCGTATGCACAATCAAGTTGACAGCGCTTCTTCGTTACAGGTTACACACATTGATTATGTTGAGATCATTCATGCGAACAGAGTGGTATACACACGAGACAGGATAGTTTCACGTCCCCCGCTTGGGAGCCCCAAGGTGCGAGTTCTAAACTTGAAAACGGTTCGTCAGGGGCGGTTCACAAGAGGTCATTTATGGCGCTAGGGAAATCACGTACATAGAAAAGCCTTACTTTCTGGAAGAGGTGTCTCTTGACAAAAGAGATCTCGGCAATCCAGGGGCCAATCAGAGAGTCTTGTAATTCGCCGCACCTCTCAATTAGGCGACAATACTAGGCTGATCATGCAGGTTCCATGAGGAAGGTACAGGTTAAGTCATGGGAAAATACAACAATAAATTATATATGATATTCACGGCCGGCCAGTTAACAGGTTCTGTTTCGGGTGTCAATATTTAAAATTGCCGTGATTGGATTGGAGAAAGGCGAACACACACACTGGGATAGAAGTGATCTACACCTTGATTCACTCTAGCGACGCAGGCTGAAACGAGGATACACTCGCGGGGTGGAAGTTATCTGTGCTCCAGTCTTCCTCTGTATCTTTCTCACCAATTTCGGTGAGTGGGTTCAGTGGGACCAAGTCGGGTGTTTCCGTCACTGATCCTCCTGAAAATCGAAATACATCAGTGGGCAGCGATTGCGTCTGCATCAGCGCCCTTCGTGTCTTCCTCAGAGGTCTAACGACCCGGCCATCGGTTCTACTGGGGATAAACGAGTCCGTGGGTTCGATATTCATTTCTGTGTCCGAGTCGGATTTCGCATGGCGTTCATCATCCGAATGGCTCTGCCCCGCGTCTGGGCGTGCACGCTTCTTGGAGGACGAGGAGCAAGGAGATTGGTAATGCGCGTTCGAGTACACCTCGCGCAAGGTGTCGTTTGCCGAGCGAAACAGGGCTGTGCCGCTCGAAGTCCTGGCCTTGGCTGGCAAAGACGAGGCCGCTGAGGCTTGAAATCGCGAGGTAGGATAGCCCTCCGTCACGCCTGCACCCGTTAATAGACCGTAATTCAAGGCTTCATGGCAATATCACCCTACTTTTTCGAGCCCGCGCCCCAACGCTCCGGAGGGCAGCAGCCAAGTCAGCCGGAGTGCTATGGCGCTTCGGGTGAGACGGAGTTGACGCGACATCTCAGTTCACTCACGAAGCAGGACATTGGTTACTGGATTCCACGTTTGACTGATATGTTTCGTCCGTTAGGACGCGTTTGTTCATCATGTGTGCGTCGGTGGCGATCTGCGCGCGAATGGCGGGAACAAACTTGGAAAATCCCACGTGAGTAGCTCCCCTTTGCGTAGTTCTTACGTAAGGCGATCGCCAAAAGGGATATCTAATTGCCATTCTGGGGATCTTGAAGGATGCAGGACCCACTGAGGCCCACATTGTTGGGCAGCAATCGTTGTCGGTGAGTAAGAGAACAAGGAGTTCTTGATGAGAACAATGCACACTGTCCTACTTCTTACATCGGAGGAGATTATAATTTAATGAATCCGACCCCAGAGTGGGTCAGGGAGAGTCGCTGTACGTGTGCCGTCCGCAACGGGGTAAGAGGCTGCTGCCGGCGAGCGATCGGGCTGTTCATCCTGGGGGCTCTGACGCCCTTGAAATTGAGGCTTTCCAAATTTACTGGCACCGCGAGCACACAAGAACTGACGGTCAAGCGCTTGGTGGCCGACGGGGGCCCGGGGGATAAGTGATATTACGGATATTGTTCGTTCTTTTGGCATGGAGCCGTCATCCTAGGGCAAGAATTCAATCTTGAAATCACGCCATGAGCCCCGAGAGGGTATATCTTTCGCGGCACTTACTGATGGTTGGTGCTTCATTGAAGAGACACACCGGGTGAAAATACATTCATATCTCCCAAATATTGATGAATACTACAAGCAGTAGTAGACCCGTAAGCCTTAGCCGTTGATGCTCAGAATCCATTAAATTGCTCGAAGATCAGTATGGAGATGCCTACATCAGTAGCTTGCCTCAAACTTACAGATAAGATGGACGCGGCACGAGAGGACGGAGTGTGGGAAAGTTGAACACCGTATACGGAAGCGTCTGAACAACGTTTCGGGAATCGTTCGCGAACCACAACTTCTTCTCCAGCCACTGCCGCTGGCAGAAAGCCATTTCCGTGCTGGCTCTCAAGACATGGGTCGGGCTTACTACGCTGGCTTCCTTTCTGCTTTGATTTTTGCTGGTCTCTCTTCTTCTTTTGCCCAGACTATCTCAACGAATACCCCGATTCCACCACTTCAATGGATAAATCTCACTGACTCGCTTGGAGGTGCAAGGCCACCGCCGCTGAAGGATGCTGTTATGGGGTACGATGAATCGAGGTGCGCGGTTTGATTTGTATTGTCATATTGATCTCATAGGCGCTACATTTCAAGTCGTTCGTTGATCATCTTCGGAGGTGAATCATCTGGTGGATTTCCTCAGAGTCAAACTTACATGTGAGTTACACGGCCGAATCGATGGAAGCAGCATGTACTAATATCTCGAAAGTCTCAATTTGCAAACTTTGCAGTGGTCTACGCCGTCACCACCAGATAACCTCCGTCGGACTCCCTCTGCGCGCAGTAGTGCTATAGGTGGGGTTGACAACGCCGCAAGCAAGTGCGTTCATCTCTATTCGGCTTGCTATACGATTTATGTTGAACTAATTTCCACAGTCGTCATGGATTTGTAGTCATTGGTGGTAAGGATTCGGGCGGACGCGCTTTATCCGACGTATGGGTAAATATGCCCGTTCATTCACACAGCAGGTACCACCACTGACGCGTACCGTGTAGGAATTCGACTTCATCAACCAATTCTGGTCTGAAGTTTCTGTATCTCCCGGAGGTCCTCCGCCCAGATGGGGTTCAGCGGGGGGGATCGACTTACGGACCCCCCCAACTCAAGACCCCGTGGTTCCAGGACCTAATAATACTTTCTATGTCGCAGGCGGGTTCAATGGTGCCACTACGCAGGCTCTAAGTGACGTTTGGATGCTCGACGTTTCCGGAACACTCTCTTCAAATTTGCCTGATAGCGTCGCCGCTAGCTGGCAGAGGGTCTCCATTACCCCCTCGTTATCCTCGCAAGTTAACCAAGGTGGTACAATCATTGGGCATCAAATTGTCGCTGTGGGTGGCTGTAGTACCGCATCTTCAGATCGTTCATGTGCAAACCAAAAATCTTACATCATCGACCCCACTCGAAGCCAGGTCATCTCACCAGATGGGTGTCCAGCGCCGAGATTGAGTCCCACCGTTATTTCGAACACAAACCCATTCTCGACTAGGTTTGCTTCCCAAGCTTTTCTACTTTTGGGTACATTCAATGCATCTCTTTGGGATGATGGCGGCGGTCTTGAGAAGGGCGAAGTAGTAAGTACTTAGCCTCAATATCGAGATTACCTTCTGATATCTAGCCTAGGCGGTACTTGATATCAATACCGGCTCATGGGCTAGAATATTGCCAGCTGGCGACCCTGGAGCTTCTGGAAAGCAAGCTTTCCCTGGGCCCCGCGAGGGCGCATCTGCCTTCTCCTTCCCTCAAGCACTTGTAGGAAGCGACCGCAATATATCCTCCGATACCATTGTAAGTGCCAGGTCCTTGTCGCCGATCTAATCTGAACCTCCCGACAGATTTACGGCGGTCGGGACGTCGAGGGTAGATATCTGTCCGAGGTTTGGTTGCTCAGAGCATACTCAGGGGAGCTTAGTTCGGCTTCTGAGAGATGGTCGGGATACGGTAACGGGCAACTTCAGACAGGAGCCAACGCGAACGGCGCAGGTGTTTCAGTCAGTTACCTATCACAGTGTGCGGTCGCCATTTCACCTACACAATCGTCGACTTCATCTGCTCCGGGCCCCTCGGCCACGCAACCACCACCGGGATCACCAACCTCGCCGCAAGATGGAGATGCTCGATTCTTCCCTTATGACACATCAACCACACACAAACTACTCGCTCCTTTGTCGCTGGCCATCTTCCAGGTGGCCTTTCTCGTTTTACGTCAAGTATCTCCCTGGTTCAACACCTCCTTCGCCTCGGATACCCATCTCGCTTGGACCTACTTGCCTATTCTCGCCGTGATCGTTGCCTACGGCGTTGGTGTTGCAGGAATTGCAACCGCGTTCACTTCGATCTCTGCTACTTCCAGTATCGCCAAACGGGCCGAACCCTCCCTTACGCTCCAAACGTTGCACGGTCAAGTTGGCCTTGCCTTCTTTGTCGGGCTGTTTGGCCTCATGCCTATCCTTCTTGCTCTTAGTCTATTGATCCAGTTCCTACGCCGCCCTGCCGATAGCAGAAGCGAGAAGTCGAAAGCCACTTCAATAGCGCTCAACGAGAAAAATGGCCCACACAGTGAACCTATCAGTCGCCCACAAAGCGAGCAGAATGTGTCACCTCCTTCATCGCCACGTCAACGCGTGCACTCTTGGGGCCCCTCGACTCTTTGGCAGAGAAGCACGGAGGGGCGTCTATCCGACGACTCTGAGTCAATGAGCTCAGGAGGGCCCACTAGAACTTTCGAAGTTCTCAATCGCCCGGCGCGCAACCGGAAGAAAACCGGAGCATCGCTCGCAATTCCAATGAACGAGAGTCCTAGTCATATCCCACGCAATCTCTCTGACGTCGACTGGCTTCAGCGCCGGCGAAGCCTCAATGCTGTGGTAGGCTTAATTTAGTGAAAAGTGTTTCTCACATAATTGACCATTCTGAACCAGGGCGAGCTTGATTATGCACTCACTCAAGCGAGCAGGCCGACTCCATCGACTCCGCACACAATGGATGCTCTCGTACCCCCAGGCAACCACATTTCAAATAGTCAACCGTTTATGCCCTCCCTTTTCGTATCCATTGTGCATATTCTTCTACATGTATTTCTACTCGCACTATCCATCATCACTCTCATTGCCCTATGGAGGCGAGCCCCCCGCGCGGCTTTCGCAGTGTTTCTCGCCTGGACTATAATTTTCTATGTCATTATGTTCGTATCCTCCTGGCGCGGCCGTCCGAATAATTCCCTCCTTTCTTCTCTTTGCTATCGTATACGTATAGACCCTCACCAGACACCCGCCTTGTCAGCATCTCCTACACCACAGTCGATGCCGGCAGACGTTGATCAGTATCCTTTCCCGACCGACAACCGAGGCCCTTACGTCCACCACCAGCCAGCGTATCGTGTTGCCCCCTCTGACTATTCTCATGGACCGCGCAGTGTCGAAACTGACGACGACATTGACGAAGACGATGACGCTCGACAGCGGCAGATGGAGGAAGAAATGAGCCGACGCGACGTTTCAATAGTCACCGTACCGAGACGCAAGTTATGGATAACTAATCCTTCATGATCGCTATTGTACCGCTTCAATCGCTATTTGTTCGTGCACATGCTTTGTCCCATACCCTTGTTTGATACGTACATTTTGGATCCCCATGTTCAATTGTAAATTGCGCAAATATGCAGCTTTCGCATTATCGATGTATTTAATATATGATGATTCGTGATCGGTCTAGTACTTATGGTAAAATGCTAAGGGAGGTATCAATCCTCCAAAAGGTCCGTTGGTTCCGCTGAAAACAAAGAGAAAATTGAACGAATGTAACTAACGGCTACCCTCTACTGCGACATCATGGCGCCAGCGATCGACACGTCCGAATTTCACCGAATCTGGCAAAGGAGGGGGTGATGGTATGGGCATCGGTATCGGTATCGGAGCTGGTGCCATCATGGGCGGCTGCACTGGGGGCCCGAAGAAGCCAGAGGTCATCATTGCTGGATTGAAGAACATATTATTTTGAGCCTGCATCATAAATTGTTGTTGTTGTTGCGCTTGAGCCATCATTTGATACTGTGTCCGGCGCTGCTGATCGGGGTGGAATGCTAGCGGCGTATCATCATCATCACCTCCTGCATCGGTAGACGGCAACACCCTTGAAGCCCGAAGACCTAGAGGTTGATCATCATCATCCTCGTTTACGGCAAGTCGGGTGTTCGAGCGGACCGAGTGCTGAGAACGGGAGGACGACTTGGGTAACAAAGTCGACAAAGGCTTCTCTTCATCAGAATCATCGTCTTGCCCCAACGCTCGAGTCCTCCTCTGCGCTACCTTGTCGATAGCCATGGATAGCGGCAGATCTTCCTCGCTGTCGTCGTTCTGCCGGGCTGCCCGACGTCGTTGTGATTTAGCTGGGTATCGCAGACCTGTACCTGTTGTACGTCTGGGACCCTGGTCAACTTCTTCGTCAGACGAACCCCATCCTTTAGTCTCAATCGTTTCACTGAGCCTGCCAGCGGGGGGCTCATCATCATCCTCGCTCTCCTCGCTCTCCTCGTCGTTGTCCGTGGGTGGGGGAGGGCGACGAACGGCCTTCGGGATATCGGGAAGGATGGGAGGTTCAGCAGAGACTCTTGGGACAGCTTCTTCTTGCCCTATCACAGGAGTGGAGGTCGGCGTCTCGTCCGGCGTTTCCTGTCCCTTGCCTTTCTTCTTTCCTTTCTTCTTGCTCTTCTTGTCTGCCAACTTGTTCTCCTCCAACTCACGAGCTGCTGCCTCGAGCTTTTCTTGTTCTTCGATTTCCTTGAGCTTGGCCATTTCTCTTTCCCAGAGAGTATCGACACCGAACACCGATCGACTGTTCAATGTCTTTGACTCTCTTGGTTGGGCGTCGTCGTCGAAGTTAAGTAACGGTTTCATGCTAGAGTTCCGGCGAGTCAAATTCTGAGGTGAGGTCTCAGGTATGCCAAATGTACTGGCGCGAGCTGGAGGCGCTGCCAGGGTAGCAGGATCTATCAGCGTGCTCGAGCGAGCAAGATTATGAGGGGTGAGGTTCTGAGGGTGAGGCGAAGTAGGAGGCATGCCAAATGCGCTGCTCCGATTTGGAGGTGGTTGCAAAGTAGCAGGGTCTATCAGTGTGCTTGAACGAACTTGACCGCGGGCCATCATGGACGGCCGCTGGTCGCCAGTAAATACCCTAGTGGATTTGCGTTCAGACATGAGTATAAATCGTGGACAGTACTACCTACCGTTGTTTGCTTCGCATTTGTATTTTTCTATTCTCGAGTTCGTCAATGAGACTGGTGCCATACAATTTGCCAGCTGGTCTTCCCTTCTTGGAAGGGTCCTCAAGGGGAAGGGGAAGGTCGGGAGCCTGGTCAGGTAGAGCAGTATTAATCTGCTCTCCCTCCTGTGTCGCGCGCGGGAGGTTACGGTCTAGATCAGCATATGCTACGTCACGTTGACCGCCGACCATGAGCTCGTTGCGGAAAGTTAGTTGTGATAGTGTGAGGCTGCTTCGGGGATTCGGGATAAACGAATTTGAAGGAACGGGAGGGAGGAGAGAAGATGAAGATCCCAACATCGCTATGGAAGCAGGGCGAACAGTGCGAGCGCCAGGAGGCAAAGGTGGACCATCGGTGGAGATTTCGAAACCATCTTGAGCTCGGTTTACAGGAGGTGGTGCAGTACCGTTGTTCGCAGATTGTAGTGGACTAGGCATGACAAGGATTTTGGGACGCAAAAGCTCTACTGTAGAATATGGCCGATCTCTACGTTGCCCAGTGACACCGGTCATGACAGAAGCGCCGTCGTTCTCCAAGAGTATTCTGGAACCCAGAGACGCGTTCGAAACAGTACGTGCATGTAAGGCTGCTTTAGGATCGAACCGAGAAGCATGTTTAGGTGGTTCGAGTGCGAATGGGTTATCCTCTTGCAGTAACGCGGTCGCCATCGTGCCACTGGAGTTGGCTCTGTTTCTACCCCCTTCGCTAAGGACATGGCTAGGCGCCGGGGACGGGGAGCGTACAGATTTACTAGGGAAAGGTATTGGGGCATCGTCGAAGGGTTGTGAAGAGGGCCCGTCTCGTGACGCACCAATAGCATCAAGAGGAGAACTAAAAGATTGCCGCCTATTCTCTTCTGTTAGAACGGCAGGAAATGAGCCATCCTCCGGAACGTCCATGTTCCCTAGGCTCATGGAACGATGACCCAAGGATCTGCGTGAGGTGTGCTCGCTTTCCCCACGGGAGTGTTGTGGTGCTCTGTCATGGGGATTGGGCAATTGGGCAGCTTTGCCCTTTCCCTTTCCCTTCGCACCTTTCTCCTTCGGCATGAAAGCGTCCAGTCCCCAAGATGCGAGATCGACTTCAAGGTTTTCATGCGAGCGATCGTCTTCCTCTGGTGTGTCGTCCCCACCCTGGGCAAAAGGATTCCGGAGCGCATCACTTGAGCCCCGCGAACGTCTCGTCTCCAATGCCGACTCGCGTCCTCCCAAACTACCACTCTCACTGGGTACCGACACCCCGAGATAGTCGCTTTGCCGTCGTTCAGTTGGCGGTCTCATCATGCCATTTTGTCGCAGATGCGCAAAGATGGCAGAGTCATGCGCCGAGCGGTACGGTGCCTCTGGATTGCTGGTATCATTATCATACTCTAGAAGAGCCCGTTAACAATTTCAGCGTCGGTCTTGCAGAACGCCATATACCTATTAGCGCTGCAGCCAACTGCAAGCGAGAAAAGGACGGCGTAGTCATTGTCTTGTCTCGTCGGGGGGTATCAGGATTTCACGGTGGATATCAAAAGCAAAGAATGTGTAAGGTGGTTGTGCATGAGCTTGATAGAGGTTACTGCAGCCGGCGAATCGCTGCCACTTGTTTGCACTAGGGGCTCGTCACAAACAACTTCACCTCAACTAGCGCCACACTTTAAGTTGTTGAACGTGGAGGTAAGTTCTAGATTATCGGCGTGATTAGCCCCTGCAATGGGCAAGAAAAGTAAGGCAATCAAATCGCCCGAAGAGCGATACCTTGTGGTTCAGCATCCATGGGGGATGCGAAAGCCGAGCACTGAGCGAGGGAAAGGTTCCGTGAACAATCTCGATGGCTGGTTCCGTATTATGCTACGGGACCTGGTTGATGAAGATCACTGCAGCATTGTTGTATATATGGTGAGGACGGTGAGTTTACGTTCAAGCTTGAACAGGCAAAACTCTGAACAACACTACTAGCAGGATCATGTAATTGTTGAGATTCCGGAAGGAATCGACATCCAGCCATTATTGGGCATCCATAGATGGGCGAGCATTCTAACCCCAAGTTATGCTGCGCATAACGTCGACAGATTTTCAGTTATCTATGAATATAATTACACTAAGTTCGATCACCCAAAGAAAAGTGAGTCTCGGGTCTAGTACATGGACTTACATATAACGGCTGAATTGTTTTCTTGTTACCAACAGGAGGATGGTCAGAGTCGTTCCCCGACAGCCCACCCCTGCCCCCAAACTTCCCGATCAACTCACCATACCCTCCACCTATACTTCATGGAGCAATGCCACCACAACCATCCCTCGGAGCATTGCCTCTGCCCGCTCCTCCATCCCTGCCCCCACAACCAGTGCCTCGAACGCAGACAAGCCCAACCCCGGACCCACGCAGGAGATTATCCGCGGGCAGCTTGGCAAGGCAGGCTGGTAAGATATATTATTTACCTCAAATTTACGTGCAATATTTCACATTTGAAAGCTTGACTGAATTCTCGCGATATTAGAATCATCCCTGCCTAACTACCCGACACATCGCGATGCGGAGGAATCTGTCCCTTCTGGCAGAGCCTCTTTCGATCATCTCGATACGGGCAGATCAGATTCACGGCGAACGGAAAACTCTGAAGAAGTCAGGGTGAAGCAAGAGGAGCTTCAAGCGGCGGTGCAAGAATACCAGGCCCGACAGACAAGGGATTCTAGCACCCTCACCAATCATGACGGAGCACCACGATCGCAATCCATTGTGAAGGAAGAACTGAATGATTTGGTGGCAGAGTATCTCGCCCGGGTTAAACAGGAGGTCAAGCAGGAGGGATGTGGAGACAGATGGATAAAGGAGGAAAACGACGAGGACGAGAGATCGACCACTGCCGTGACTGGGGGGTCCGAATCGAGGGAGCGCAAGCATGATAGACGCTCTGGCACATTGTCTATGTCGCCCTCGCGTTTTACAGAAGACAGCGAGTCTCATGTGGTCAAGCAGGAAGAGAAGGACTTTTCGTGGCTAAAACAAGAGGAAGAAGACTTGACCGAGAGGTCGAGCATGACCGCGTCCGTTGCGCCCGACCGCGGATGGTTCAAGCGGGGGGGTCGTTACGAGGGAACGATACCCAGGCAACCCAAGCGTCTGGCGGAAGTCCAGGATCCCCGACTGCTCAAGCGAATCAAATCTGAGCCTCAGTAGAAGATATGTATAACAGTTTGTTTTCTATTCGTCAGTCATGTATTTCAACAATATATCACAAATACATCATGTTGTACCGCCGTCCTACAATATACCTTCCTACTGGCGGCGAAGCCTGACACACATCTTGCGGAGCCGCTCCGTTTTCTATGATCACAGAACGTACTTATTGATTTAAACTGTCCTCAGTCCTGCCCCTGCAGCGTTCGAATCCTAAAGATCACTCATAAGTAACTGCAGTGTCTTGTGGTACAACACATAAATATAGGGTTACCCTTCTATTAGGTAGTATGAGCGAATGCTAAAATCATAATGTGGACGGTCTCACTCACAGTTCCGTAGATAATAAGTACTGTATCGAGAAATCTCCAAAGCATAACGAACGAATGTACGCGTAGTAAAGTATAACATGATGAGGGAGTCTACCATGGGAGTGTAAAAATAGGAAGTATGGCAGAAAGTGTCCAGTGATGATGCCAGAGAAAAGCACGAAAGATACGAAGTTTGGGAGAGGACGAGAAACCATAATCATAGCTTGACAAGTGGCTCCGTGCCCGTCATGCACCTCCTCACCCATTCTTCTCGTGCCAGCTTTCGCAGTTCATCCTTCCGTATCTTCCCTGAAGGCGTGTGTTCTATTCAAAGAGCAATCAATACTTCACCAAGAAGAATTTCAGCACGGCATACCAAACGGGTGCTCTTGCACAATAATCATGACGGGCACGGCGAATCGAGGCAGCTTCTTCCGAGCTGTTTGTATCAGTGACTCTTCAGTCACTTGTCCGATATACGATGGCTTGACGGACACCACAGCCGCAACAAGCTCCCCTAGTCGTTTGTCCGGCACGCCAATGGCTGCGGCCTCGGCGACGCCTGGGTCGGCATATAACGCGTTCTCCACGGAAACCGATCCCTACAGAGGCGTCAGTCACCAACCGGCTCTGTGCTCGCATTACGACGCACAATATTTTCACCCCCACGAATGATGATGTCCTTTACTGTCGCACGAACAGAAGAGAGTGAGTAAACTCATGCTTTACGTGCCGATAAATGCAGCTTACTCCGATCTTTGATGTACAGGAACCCTTCCTCATCGAGGTATCCGAGATCGCCAGTCCTAAGCCACCCATCTTTCGTTATGATCTAGAACCCAGGAAGCGTACGAGTTTAGTGTTTCTGGCAGGCGTAACTTTGTTGGAAGGGAGGGGTCATCATCACCTTTTTCGTGGCTTCAGGGTCCCGCCAGTACCCTCGCATCACATTTGGCCCTCGTCTGTCGGTGATGAACAATGGTGAGGACACACAAAGTCAAACCAGGAAGTATGATTTACGCACAGCCAGACTTCTCCGACCTGACCGGCCGCGCAGCTCGTAGTGCCGTCCATGATGATCACGTCGTTGACAGGCGTCGGGCGACCACTATGCAGGGGGTCGAACTCAATCACATTCTGAGACAGAGAAGGAGGGGAACCTACGTCGTAGTAGGGCGAGTGACATAGTCTTCACCTGCGACGGCGACTGCAACTGAGGTTCCGATAATCAGCAAACAGAAGTAGCTAAAAAGATGGTTAGAAATATCGAATATCGACCTACTTGAGTTAGTTTCACTCAAACCGTATCCTTGGCTCCTAGAAGGCACAGGTTAATATTTTTGAGCGTTTGGGTGCCGCATAGGCGTGATCGGACTAACATTATAGCACTTGGGAAAGCACGTCTAGCTTGGGCTGCTAGCTGATCGGGTGCCGGTGCTCCACCAAACAGCAGCGCGTCGAGCGGATATCCAGGCAAAGAACTTTCCGTGAGATCAGAAACCATCGAGGGCACGCTAAAACAGCACTGTTAACTCCTTCATCAAGCAAAGGCAGAGCGACGCGTACCCTCCCGCGACACCAATATTCTCTTCTCTAATCAACCTATCAGCAAGGGGGACGTCCATCAGAGCTATGGCTTCTCCGAAAGACGTTGAGCATAATTACCTAGCAGCTGTTAGACGCAGCAAAGTAGATTTTTCGATACATTAGAAGCGGCCACGGAAGGGCAATTTTGACTGCTTTACCTTCTTCGGGAACCCATTTACGCATAAGTACGATTTTCAAGCCGGTTAAAGAAGCCATCATCTATGGCGGGGGATCAGCGGCGATGAAGTGGCGTTGAGGAAGAGCATACAGATAGGCTAGTTGAACCTGTCACATGGAAAAAGGGGACAGAGACTAGAATGCCCTTTTGCGGACCAGGCGGAGGCGTTGATGAGATGTCCTCCCCCCGTCGGAGTGCTGCTCGCCGCGAGCCAACGAGTACCTGAGGACCTTGATCAGAGACTTGAATACTGAAGTAGGAACGAAAATCACATTCAGAACATTGGTCAGGAATTGTCGCTGAGTACTCAGGACACCCTTCGGTAAGCCGGTCCTGTGTGTAACGGTCCAGTATTAGATTAGGAGCTCGACAACTGGTATCGCGCAACGACTCACGTTCCGGAAGTAAAGATAACGGTCGCGTTGTCCTCTGGAAGGACGCCCGGCGATTGGGATAGTAATTTTGAGCTGTCCCCTTGATATTCTTGCTCAATGGATATCCAGTTTTCCATCCCATCCCAGTAGCCTCTGCCCTCATGACTCTCGAGTACCACGAAGCCTCGGACTCCCTCGTCTTGAGTCATTTTCAGAGCGGATGATTCTAGAACGTCCGCTCGTTCAGGGTCTACGATTATTAGTCGGCATTGAGTATGTATAAGGCAGTGGCGGAGTGCATCAATGGGTAACCAGCTATACAAATTGTGAGGTGATTGAACTGAGAGGGGAAATACGGCACCTACGCGTTGGCGAGAACAGACACGGCACCGATCAAATCTAAAGGGAGAAGTTGAGTGATTGACGCGGACCTCTTATCTATTGACTTACGGCATGCCCAAAATGCCACCAGATATTCCGGGTAGTTTCGAGAACATATGCCCACCCTGTCGCCCTTCCGTATGCTGTACACGTCTTGATAGATACTCGCAGCTTTCAGTGAACGTTGGAATATCTCGCGATATGTGTATCTCTGAGACTCGAATACGACATATGTCTTGTCGGCGTGCTCATTGGATGCCCAGAGCCAGAAGTCGCGCAGAGAGGGCCAGAGATTTTTGTATACACGGTAGAGTCGGCCGTCAATCAAAGATGTCTGCAATTCATGCAAACTTCCCGGCGCAGTCAAAATTTCCTCGGCTAGACAGAGAATCAATCAGCAAATCCAGGAGGACGAGGAGGCCGTCGAAATAACTGACTTTGGGCGAGGGAGCGTCTTGGGGACCAGTTCATGGGGGAGCAAGAGGCGAAGGAGGTGGTGGTGGACGGGGAGAAAGAAAGGCGTCGGATGGTGCTGGTGGTCTTTTTATGTCGCAGATCTCATTTTGACATGGTGCAGAACTCTCATGTATGGTTGTATCACGGGTGACGGTATTTCCGGACGGTGGTGATCTTGGTTAGGGCGGACCCCGCGGGGACGCGGACCAGATTTCGGCTGCAGATATTGGACGCCTGCGACCAACCTGAGACATTGTAATACAGCACAGTCAGCCATATGAACAACTCCAAGGGCTTGGGCAGAATACCTCTCGAATTCTCCACGCACTGCTCATACAGGGACCTCCGGAATACAATCCTACACGACGGAATTCAGTATTTTGTGCATCTTGGAGGATCAACAGAATTCGAAGCGGCATAGATCTAGGAGCGTGGGAACATCTCATTTACTTCCCCGGCACGTCCCAGCCTCTCACGTTAGACTCTCCCTCATTCAAGCTCATTCTTCGCAAATTCGCAAATTCACAAACTTTTTTGCCATAAGAGGTCCTATTAGATTGCCTGCCGAATCTCGCACGTCCACGATCGCTACAGAATGTATTGAACCACAGGGAGCGAGTTGGGCAGATTCTCGAGATCGGATACGGTCGAGGCTGAGTACGGCGTGCTGAGGATTGTTGACAGTATGTGCTTTCAGTGGTGTCCGGGAGCTTGCGAGGAACTCAGGCGTTCCTCTGTCAAAACAGGCACATTCTTATTGTTGTCGATCCCGGTACCCCAAACCCAACGCAGCGGGCCAGACTGAGACCCTAGGGCATCACAACGCACGTTGCCAGCAACTCCGGAGAGTCCAATGGAAAACTCTATGTTCTCAGCAAACAGGGCTTAAAATGGACCACCGCTTGCGAACGCGACCATGCTTCACCTTTACACCACATTTACGTGACTTGCCCACGCACAACTGTGTGTGTGGAAGACTGAATGGCTTCACATCGCGAATTGGCGTGGACTAGTGCCCAGGATCAGGAAGCGGGACGTTGACACCGTGGCATCCTTCCTCCGCCTTCGCTTTTATTTGTGCCACGTCTGGGGATGCGGCAGAGATGAAGACGTTGAAGATATCCAGCAGCGCTGCTGTCGCCTTCCGTCCTTCCACGCGTGTGATTGCTTTGTGTCTTCATGCGTTACGATCCCTGCGTTTGGATGCACGAGCGCGCCAGTGCCACACCGCCAGCAATGTTGCTGAACACCTGGTTCGAATGGTCGACTCGCATGGTGGCATCCTCGCGAGCTAGGGTGCTACGGAACGATTGCCTGCTGCGCGCCTTCGTTTGTACACTACCGCTACCGACCACTGCCTCCAACAACGCCACCACTGTCAATAGCCGAGCACGAGCGTTCGACGCCACTGTAGTCCGCATGGGAGAGGCAGCCAAGTCTCTGTTGTGAACGCTTCCAATAAAGAACGCCGTTTTTGACTAAGTTCGACACGGGGAGCAAATTGCTGCAGCGAAATATAACACTGTGCCCCAAACAGGCATCATATGCGATCGAGGGAGCTCCTTTGTGACAAGTTGATCGGCAGGCATGTCAAAGTACACGTCGACTTTGTACGGCCCCGCGAGGGGGAACATGAGGAACGCGAATATGTAACGATTCAATATGACAAGCATAACGCGTTAGTGACTGTTCCCGTTCTATCTTCCATCGCTGACCTATGTTTCTGTTCAAAACGTCGCTAGGCAATTGATAGAGAAGGGCCTTGCCCCCGCCGTTCGCCATCGACGTGATGCCGAAGCTGGATCACCAGACCTCTATAAGTTGCTGGTTGCTGAACAAGCGTGAGTTTGCAGATGCGTTTCTGACAGCACCCTTGCTCGGCAACCCAACGGAGCTGTAGCGGACACACGCGGTCTAAGGGCATTCTGACACCAACGCAACCATAGAATATCTCGGAGGTAATAATCATCCCCTTTCCCGCTTACTTTGGTCGTCTCTGAAGACCGTGCAGACGGCGACCCGTTCCAACCAATCCCTCAACGGTTTTCAAGCGACTTCGAAAAATACGCGCCATCGTAGAATATGTCGCCCTTGGCTCGCTGGTTCGCGATCCAAGCTTCTTTAATGCACCGACAACCAAACTCTCGCCCTCGTTCTGGGTGATTAGTGCGCTGCTATGATTATGCCCGTTGAATTCGCGCAGGTTACGGACGGTGGCAGGCTTTCTGACTCCTGACGGGGACATTCTGTTGGAGTGCCTACCCAGGTTGAACGCCCTGCATGGATATCCTGCGCCATGACTGGATCGGGCAGCTCACTTGTTTGATTGCGGTGCTGTTTACTTGGTCCTCGTCGTTGAACGTCGCTAGCTCCTCCCATTCGGCAATGGACAGTACAGGCAGGGATTGGGCCATGGCTACGCGGCTTTCAGGGTCAAAATGAAGCGACTCGAAAGCTTCCAATGCTTTCAACGATAGCCTCGCGTCTTTCGGAACTCGGAGAGTAACCCCAGTGCACCAATTCGTCACTATACCTGTCGCCCTTTTCAGCCCACGCGACCACTCAGGCTCACTACTGCGTCTACCCCACGCCAAGTCAGCAAATGAGCAAATGGAGATGACGAAGGAAATGAAAGAAACTGACCCAAAGAGAAAAAAGCAAACAGAGAGCGGGGGTTTAGCTGTGGCCTTGTGGTACCTTTCAGTCACTGAAACTTGATCCTCTGGTAGATGATTCTGTCACTGATGATGGTTGAGTAGACTTCACCGTAGATCTCGGCTAGATAACAGCAATAATTGTTCGCTGCCTGCTGGATGCATGCGAGCCTCATCAATAGACGAAGATGCTGTTTTCATGTATGTGTAGGACTGATCCAAACGTACTCGTCTATATTCACCTTGACCTCGTGTTGATCTATAATCAGACACCCGTTGCCACTTCCTTGTGACACTGACACAACCAAACTCAACTGCATTGCTTAATTATTCCCGGTCCATCCAATTTTCACGATTTCTGAATGGGAAACAAAGGAAAGCTCTCCCATAATACATGAGTGATACATGTGAACTAAATCTTGGGTTCCTTGTATAGTTTGAGTAAGAGTGAGCTGCACACGACTGATACGGAACTAGAGTGACGCGCAGTTAGGACTTTACGGCGGAAACCGATCGAACTAAATGACTTACGACAACGCCATGGCTAATGACGCCCATACAGGATCGAGGCGTGTGTGCCCTGCAGGATAGACAACGCCTGCGGCAATTGGAATTGCTGCAACGTTGTAGATGACGGCCCAGAACTACAATAGGCGTGAACCCCTGGACTCGATGACGAACGACTGTGCAACTCACGAAATTGAAGAGAACGCGGTTGAAGACGTTGCGTGAAAGGTCGTATAGCGTGATCAAGCTACGCAGGTTGGAGGATAGCAGGATGAAGGACGCGCTGGATATGGCGACATCGCCTTCACGAAACGCAGTTAGTTCGCCAGCTCTACAACGAAGGTCGAGATCGACTTACTTCCCGAACCAATGGCGATACCAATATCCGCAGCAGTCAGTGCCTATTGGGATACTGTTCAGCATGACCGCCAGCTGGGACAACGAAAATCCTACCGGTGCATCATTAATTCCATCACCGACCATTGCCACGATGCAACGTTGATTCAAACGCGGCTTCGCGTAGAATCTTCGCAAGGTTGATGGCTGTCGTTTGCTGGCGTGCAATTGAAGCCACTGAACCTTTTCCGCTTTCTCGTGGGGCAGAACACCAGCGATGACATTGCCAGTGGGGATGCCTGCTGCATGCGCCACCGCCGTCGCTGTCGTGGCGTTATCTCCCGAAATGATCCATGTTTGTATACCCTGGGTACGAAGCCATGATATGACCTGCGGCGCTTCTTCTCTGAGTGGATCTGCGACTGCGAAAATGGCAGCAAGATGGAAGCCGGCTTCCGACGTTCCTTCCTCTCGCAAGGCCATCAATACGACACTTTTCGCTTCCGACCTCCATGCACCAAGCTGCTGCGAAACTCCGACGTCAATCGCTGCCTCATGTGCCTCCATCCATGCTTCGTTGCCTATGATGGCAGTGCATTTCATCGACGGAAAGTGCGCTTTCATCCCGCGACCACTGACTTCGTCGAAGTCTTCTCCAGTCATGGTGCGCGCTTTGGCGGCTTTGCAGTACGCGCGAATGGCGAGGGCGAGGGGGTGGGAGCTGGCGAACTCAAGCTCTGATGCAAAGCCCAGGATCGTCTCGCGGCTCCACCGCGTTTCAGCTGCAGGAAGGATATGTGCATCAGAAACCTTGGGCTCGCCACCCTGTGTGAGCGTCCCCGTCTTATCGAAAACCACGAGATCCACTTGGGCCATTTCTTGGAATGCTTCGCCACCACCGCGCGCGAGGATACCGAACTTTGCCGCGAGGCCGGAACCGACCAACAAGGCAGTCGGCGCAGCAAGCCCAATCCCACACGGACACGCGACAACGAAGACGGCGATGGCGAATCCCAAAGACCAGACAGCTATCAAATTAAAAGTCAAGACGTCATTTAAGTAAATTGACTTGCGTGGTACGAAAGAGAAGGGGACTCACGCCAACCTCCGGTTTGGATATCGAGGTAGTCCTCTGGCAGTGATCCCGTTAATCCCAAGGATAGCCATATAATCCAGGTGAGGATGGCTATCAATGTGATGACGGGGACGAAGTATCCTGTGACCATGTCCGCGATGCGCTCGATGGGCGCACGTTTCGTCTGGCCTTCGCGAACGACGTTCACGATGCGGTCCAACCTTCGTACGCATTGGGAATCAATCGCTGAGATGAAACGGATCGACGGTACTCACATCGTCTCTCCACCGATAGAATCGATGCGCACATGCACCATGTTCCCCTTGTTGATCGTTCCAAGGAAGACACGGTCCCCCGCCTGTTTCTTGATCAACTTCGCCTCGCCTGTCAACGAGCTCTCGTCGAACGCTCCCTCACTCCTTGTGGGTAGCATGACCAAAACACCGTCCGCCGGGGGAGTAGCACCATGCGGCACCCTCACAACGTCTCCGATGTCAAGCAGCTCCGCAGAGATTTTCTCGACGCCGAAGCCCTGCGGAGTGTCTTCGGAGCCGCCGCTCGCAGAGACACTGTCGGCCTTTTCCACATCGTCGTCGATCGAGAACCGTTCTTTGGTGTCGCTTCTTCGATTCAGGAGGTAGGCTTCGGACGGGCGGAGAGATCCGAGTGCCGATACTGCATCTGCGGTGCGTGCCTTGCTATAAGCTTCAATAATCCGGCCTGTGTTGCTAGTGTTATAGAAAAAACAAATATGTGGGCTATTCATACGCACCAGCAAGCAGGAACATCGTAAGGAAGACGACGGCATCGAAATAGGTGGTTGTCTCTCCCATGTTGGAATGGGTAGGTGATTGTCTTGCTGCTGTAGCGAGCAGACCGACAGAAGAGAAGTACGCGACAGTCACAGCCGCCGATACGAGCAAGTTCATGCTTCCGAAACGAACGAAGCGCTTCCAGATGGGCACTTTACTTCCCCTTCTCCAGAGCGCGCGTATTTCCTTGATGCTTCGCGTGTGAAAGAGGTTTGCGCAATAGAACATTACAGGTGTCGCGAGGAAGAATAACGACCATTCGATTCGAGAGGCATTCCCAGACCATATTGGTTGCATGAGATATTCCTTCGTGGCGTCTCCATCCTTCACGAGCGTCATATACACGATTCCGATGATGAATGTAGGGATGGCAATGACGATGGAAAGGACGAGACGGAAAAGGAGACGACGCTGTTCCTGCCGTTGTAAGGCTCGGGAGAGCTGTTCGAGGGAAGGGGGATGGTGGATGTATACATTGAAGGGAGGTGACTTGGCGGACGCTAGAGCAGCAATGATGTGCCGGATGGTAAAGTCTGGCACGTCGGGCGTGTATCTTATGGTGATGATGGGGTCCGTATGGTCATTAAGCGGCTTCAAAATCTCGACTCGCGACCCGAAACGCTCGAGGGCCGCAGAGACTTTAGGTGGGCAATTTCTAAGATAGATCGTGTTAGTCTCAATCATCTGGCGTTGATCTAGGCAACTCACTTGCAGAACATTCCGTCGACCTTGAGGGTGACCGTCCGAGTACCCTTCTCGTCTTCTTCTTGGAGGCGAACAGGGTGCACTGAGACCACTTGGGCTTCGAAACCACAGTCATCTATGGTGTCTGCAATCTCCTGCGCTAGCTCTCGGCGGTCGACGACAGCCTTGGCCGACTTTTCGATTAAGCTGACTGAGATGTCGGTCACACCGGGCATCTGCGACATCATCTGCGTGATGCTGTTGGTGCATGACGAGCACGTCATGCCGCCTACGGAGAGAACGACGTTGAATGGCCCATTTGGAGTATCATCGGACGCGGGGGTCATCCTCTGAGCCGAAGAGACATCTTCGCGACACATGGTACATTGGTGGAGGTGCTTCTCGCGCGAGAATAGTCCGGAGGGCTTGGAGGGGCCCGAAACGACGTCGAAACCAGCATTGGCGATGGCGCACTCGATTTGTGCGCTGGAGAGGTCCTTATCGTGGTGGACGGTGACAGCCTGCGAGACGATGGAGACCTCCACCTGACGGGGGCGCGGCGTCAAGGCATGCAGGGCCGACTCAATGGTGTGCACACAGCTGTTAGGTCTGGCGTGAGTCACGGCGAAGCCTAATGCGAACGCTGCTGCTTACCTGCTGCAGTGGAGATTGGAGACGAGGACGGTGGTCACAGAGTCTCCCAGAGGATTGGCGGACATTGGGGGATATCGGTAGGAGGCATTGCGGATGTAGGGAGGCTGATATATGGGTGCAGAGGAAGACATGCTTTTCTCCGAGAACAGATAAACGTACAAAGATCGCTTGCGAGTCGCATCGTTTATATGGTTTTGTCCAATAAATGCCTCAAGTGACGTGATCAAAGTGAGCCATTTCTGCGAATCATGTGATAGTATCCCCGCCCTGATTCGCCGACAAACATTGCTAGATGACTGATATAACCAAGATATAATTTAGTGCTGTACTCAGTAAGCGCACATCTAGGTGTACTGGTTAATCGAAATCAAGGGTAGCATGGATTCATTCTGACTCGCCCATATATCATGACCTGAATCAACTTTTATGTCTTGAGCCAACGTAACTAAATTTGAACCGTCTAGGCCATAAATACAAGCTCCGGAAATTCTTTGGGATGTACAATTGGAGCGCACCGCCTTGGCGATGTACGGGCCGACGAAGGCTGGCGTGAGATATCCCAGGTTAAGTATAGCAAGTTTCATGACGATAGGGGTCCGCTAATAGTCGCTCTAAGACCAAATAATGGATACTTGGGTACGCCTATCATTATGAAACTTGCTGTATCTTGTGAGTGACTTCGCCGCTGATGATTAACTTCACCTTAACTTTACCAAGCCCACGAGGCATCCGCTTCAAGAATAGCATCAGGCTGCGTGGCGTATCGTGAGGTCTTCAGGCGCAGAACAGCTCGTACAGGGCAATGGTGACAGTGGAAATTCATTTCGACGTGCTGACTTGCAGCATGTCGCCAAGCCCAATAGTTACTTGTGCGCGCCGTTATCCAACTGGGTCGATGAAGCTGGCAGTATCATACTGAGCGACGCTTAGTCTCGAAATGAGGTGAGCAAGGAATGCGATTGAGGAAAGAGACTTGGCCGAACTTGGCGCGCAGCGTTGTGATCGGATTATGTAACCGGGAGTGAGGCATTTGTGCGAGTCATGTGACCTCCCATATCCCCGGAGAGCATTTAAAATAACCTTTTGGCCTTTTTCACGGTCGTGTGCCCGACTACAAACAGACATCTCTTCAATTCGGAGGTCGCGGCGCCATGCATTGGGAACGACCAGCTAGAAAGCTCACATCACTGTTTAATTCGCCAGAGCGACCATCTCCTAGATCCAGTTCTGTCATCACCAGGTCGTCGTCGCCTGTGTCAGAGGCCGGTTCAGATTTTCCACTGCCCCTAGAAAATGGAAAGCCTCCTGTCATACTCGGAATATGTGCCATGGACGTCAAAGCCCGATCGAAGGCGATGAGAGAAATCTTGACGCGACTTGTTGAACGAGCACGAGGCATGATTGAAGTCAAAGTCTTTGGAGATAAGGTCATTTTAGACGAAGGTAAGTAAATTCAGCCATGAGTCGATCCACGGCGCTGACGGGACTTACCGTTTACTTTAAACTCATCCGACCTGCTAGATGTCGAAAATTGGCCAAGATGTCACATATTGATCTCCTTCTTTTCGACCGATTTTCCTCTGGATAAAGCCATATCTTATGTGAAACTACGAAATCCGCTCTGCATAAATGAACTTCAGCCCCAAGCGCTGCTATGGGATCGCCGACTTGTCGGTGCTATACTTGATCATATGAAGGTCCCGACTCCCCAGCGCCTAGAAGTTTCTCGCGACGGTGGGCCGAAGCTGGATCCAGAGTTGAAAGATCTAATGAAGCAGCGGCTTGGTATTGTCTTGGAAAGCTTCCAACCGCCCCCAGAGGTACTTCTCAGAGACGACGGCAATGCTATCATAATCGACGGGAAAGTTTTAGAGAAACCGTTCGTCGAGAAGCCCGTCAGTGGAGAAGATCACAACGTATACATTTATTTCCGTGGTGGAGGCGGTCGCCGATTGTTCCGGAAGGTGTGTTTTGCCCGTGTAATTCTTCTGTTTGCCCTCTAAACCTATGGTCGGCGAAAGGTTGGCAATAAATCGAGTGAACTTGATCCTTCGCTCAACCATCCGAGAACGGATGGATCATACATCTATGAACAATTCATAGATGTCGATAACTCTGAGGACATCAAAGTGTATACAGTTGGCAAAGATTACACACACGCGGAAACCCGGAAGTCACCTGTAGTAGATGGCGTTGTACGCCGTAATACAGATGGCAAGGAAATAAGGTAGGACTTCTGCTATCTTCATACTGTTCCATTCATGAGTCATGGAACCAAGGTTCATAACTCATCTAACCGATGAGGAGAAGTCGTGGGCTGCGAAGATATGTGACGGCTTTGGCCAACGAGTGTGTGGATTCGATATGCTTCGTTGCGATAATGGGAAGAGAAGCCAGGTGATCGATGTGAACGGATGGAGCTTCGTCAAGGGAAACGACACCTACTACGGTGCGGCGCCTCCTTTGATAACAGCAGCAACTCGACTCACGAAGCGCTCACAGACCGAGCAGCTGAGATACTCGCAACCCTGTGTATCCAACTCTCCTCTTCACCCGGTCGACCACTGCCCCCCGCAGATGTAGCTGCTCAAGAAGCACCGACATGGCTACTGAAAGCTAACGTCACGGTATTCCGTCACGCAGACCGCACACCCAAACAGAAGCTAAAGTTCAACTTCCCAATCGGCGAGCCGTGGACCCAGCCGTTCGTCTCGCTCCTCAACGGCGAAACCGAGGAGATCATACTCCGTGAAAAGGATCAATTGAAACAGATCGCTTCTGCCGTCGAGGAGGCCAAGAGTCTCGGGGCCAATGGGGAGGATCTTGCCAAGTTGACGCAGCTGAACACGGCATTGTTCAAGAAGATTGACTTTCCTGGCACGAAGGCGCAGTTGAAGCCTGTCTATTCCAAGAAACAGTCTGGACAAGTACGCAGACTCACGAAGCTAACGTTGGTGTTCAAATGGGGTGGAGAGGTATGCTTTCGATCATCAGGCATCCCCCGACTTGAATTAACTAATATATGAACTAGTTCACCCATTCCGCGCGGTATCAATCCAGAGACCTAGGCGAGAACATGAAGAAGGACATCTCCATCATGAGTGAGTTCGGCATAACCCTAATACTCGTGCGTTGTGCCAGGAATTCATGATGTGCTACAGATAAAGAGGTTTTGAATAATGTGAAAGTGCGTTCATTTCTTAACCTTCCTACTACCCCACTAAAGCTATTGTCTAGATCTACACGTCATCGGAACGCAGGGTGACAGCCTCGGCTGAGGTCTTTGCCACTGCGCTCTTCGACTCGCCTCCCACGTCCAACAAAAGCGTTGCATCCTCGTCTTCATCACCGACCCCTCGCTCAGCACGGTCTTCAAGTGATGGCAGTGGCAACAATAGTCATCGAAGCAAGTCACCCATCAGAGCTCCCCCTGCTCTGATTATACGGAAAGACTTGTTGGATGATTCTAATGCCGCTAAGGACTTGATGGACGATGTCAAGAAGCGTTTGAAGATCTTGCTGAGACCAGGCGAGCCCGAGAAGCGCCCCGAACTCACTTGGCCCAAGAGCATGAACAAGGAGCCTGTAGAAGTGGTCAAGGTAAGATCTAGGTCGTTCGAAGTGAGCAGCGCATTGACTCGGTGTTCTGCCTTCCTAGGAAGTTATCGAGTTGCTGAGCTCTTTCCGAGACATAATGAGGAAGAACTACGAGACCCTCGATGTGTATAAGATCCAAGAGCGATGGTGTTGCGGCGACGAGCCATTCCTGTTCAGGGAGCGGTGGGAGAAGCTCTTTGAAGACTTCTGCGACGTCGAACAGAAAAAGTTTGATCCATCGCGAGTACGTTGTTTCTCTTTGTTATCGTACCACCGCCGTTTACATAGCATGATACTTCCCAGGTCTCTGAACTCTACGACACCATCAAGTACTGTGCCCTGCACCATCGCCAGTTCCTCTTTGCCATCTTCGATGAACAAGGCCGCACAGGAGGTCTTCACGATAGAAAGCTACATGAGTTATACGGTCGAGCCAAGGCCCTCTTTGACCTCGTAGCACCACAAGAATATGGCATTGAGCCTGATGAAAAGTACGCTGCGAGGTTTTTCATTAGATCATTCTACTGACGTACCAACTTAGGGAAGAAATCGGAGTGCTGACTTCGCTTCCTCTCTTGCACAAGATCGTTGGTGATCTTGAAACAGCTCGCAACGATGGCGAATGTTCTTTGACTCTGTACTTCACGAAAGAGAGCCACATTCACACTTTGATGAACTTGGTGCTGTTGTCTGGCTTGCCGATAGCGAACCGCCGAATACCAGAACTCGATTACTGTGTACGTGTTCTATGTTCTTCTCACAAACATACTTGTCTGATTCAATGTCCCGCGTTAGTCTTCGATAACGTGAGTTATTTGTCGCATAAGATGGGTTCTGTCTGATTACTGTCACCACTTTTAGATTTGAACTGTACGAACGCAATCATGGGCGGGGCAAGTCAGATAAGGAATACTCCATAAAGATCTCTCTTAGCGAGGGTGCTCACTCGTCTAATGTTCTTGACTCGACGCTCGATGCTCGGCATTCTTTGAACGTGCAGGCTCGCAAGTACGTCTTTCCTCTCGCCGTTCATGCTTGGTGCAAATGCTGACATTTGCCCTTTCCAGAAAACTCAGCCAGCATCTGCCCTATAGTCAAGTTATCGAGAAACTCTCAAAGCATTTCGGAAGGCTAGCAGAGGTTAGCCCCCTGGCGTTCAGCCATGATATACATCCGTGCTGATGTACGGCGCTCTTCTTATAGAATGATGACAGTGGCCCAGATTCACCATACGAGTTCATCCAGCCATCCGTCTTGCTAGCTTCCACTACCACAGAGGACCTCACCGTTATCTCATGAATCCCTTTATGATCTACGCAAGACTATATACATACATGCATTTACATCCTAGAACAAGAGCAACTATCTAATGGACCTTATAGGTTACCTCCGCGCAATACCAATCTACGTAATGATGCCCAAACCAATGGTCTGAGATGTGGGAGATTTCACAGCGACATCGTCGTCTGTCAAAAAATGGGTCCAATCCCGGAGGCCAAATTTCGTCCGGTATTCTTCGAGTTTCTCGGGTTTGAGTTCAGCAAATGGTACTGGTGATGGTTTGTCCATCGCCCGCGCTCTTGTCAGTTTTGCGGATTGGATAGCTTGGTTAGCAAAGCCTTTCGGGTCTTCGCGATACCTATAAAAACGTAAATCGGTCACCAACATACAGGATGAGGAAAATTCATTACATCCTACAATACGATAAGTGATCGGGAACGGACAATGCCAATAAGCCACTGACCTCAAAGCACCCTTCGAGATGGCATCATCCTCGTTTATTTTGTCGAGCGCATGCTTCTTGAACGCGGCTTTAATCCAATGCAGAACGTGAAATATGTGATGTTCTTTCGGTCTACCATGACACAGGGAATCAGCGAGATCGTATGCATGCAGAATTTCAAGAGCACGAACCTCCAAGGTCGAAACAATGGTCCGAGATTGTAGTTACCTGCCTCATCTATCAAGGGATGATACGGCGGGTTCACGAACTTGATCGCAGGGGGACTCTGGGGGTAGTTTGTCGGAAAGGTGAGCGTAAACTTGAATATAGAACCCTCATAGTACCCTAAAGGTTGGGTACAGGCCTTTAATGGAGGATCGTGGTAGTAAACACGAACGTACCCTGATGGACGAAGAACACCGCATTCCATACCATTAGATTCTCTTCCGACGGCGTCACGTACATCCCAAGTGGCGCATGGGCCTCATTTCGGAGAGCAGCGTATTCAAAAGCAACGGCCGCTCGTGCAATGGTGTTATTTGCGGAATCGACGGCTATGTTACTGGACGATGAGCGACTGGGCGGTATGCTGAGGTTGGCTCGCGACATGGCCAAGCCGGTGGCGTTTCGGCAGGCTTCATTCCCACTAATCAACCCCTTTGTGAGCCCCTAGCTACAGGGGTCAGTGTAGGACGGTCAGGACGATTCAGATTAAGGATTGCATCTGGAGATTAAGGTACCTTGGTTGTTGAATAGGTGAATGTGGCCACAGCAAATCATGGCGCTCCTCTGGAACTCAAAAAAGTATATGTGAGGGCAACACAGTTCAATATCAGTTGTATATTTCTTGACAAATAACAAGAGTTGAAACTACAGTAGGTGTTCATATGACATTGGCGACGAGGAAAGGTCAATACCTGGCATCATCATAGAGCATGCAACCAAGTCGGGCCATCTCCACCTCAGCTGCCTGGGGGCCATTCCTTTGTAAAGGTAATTACCATTCCCATGTTAGATTCCCTCATTATGTTATACTTTACTACGTGCACATATTAGTTCACCGTACATCTGAGGTTTCTCAGTACAGTACCTAGTTATCTCATCAGGTCCCCAAGGATTTGCAGCTGAGCTTCGGTACCAAAGATGTGGTAGTTCAATGGTGCCCCTGATCCTTAAGGAGTATCACGTGATCAGCCCAATTTGGGCTTCCTCAGAGGCCATCAACTGCTTGAACCTTCAGTTATACGGTTACTGTTACGCTGTTCACGACATTCATGACCTCTTACGCGACATGGACAACAACTCACCAAAGCTGACGAGGTCCGACTCTACTGGTCCATTCGCGTATCAAACACGTCTTTTGGAACGCACTAGCTCGCGTGCAGGCTCTATATCGCGCAACAACTCGACACCACACAAAGACTTGCTTTCAAATCTCACAGGGTCATCGAACGGCACCCCGACGAATACGAGAAGATGGACGCCTACGCACCGTGTTGGACATAGCCTGGATGCTATACGCAAGTGGGAAGAACGGGCAAAGACTGAGACAACAGACGAGGTTCAACACATACCGCGATCGGCTTCCCCGACGAAGATGGGGTCTGATTATCGGAGCTCGTATACACCGGATACGAACCGTATAGGGTCGGGCTCGAGCTTGAAGCATGATGATGATCGGCCCCCAACGCCGCCCCCCAAGAACCAACCCGACGAAGACGTCTTCCGGACTCCAACGTACATGAAGCGCCGCACAATGCCATCGCCGATTGTAGCTTCTCCCTTGTCGCCCAATAACACGGGTGCTACCGTCGAATCTGGCCCTGGTATCCTGGGAAGGCCAGTACAACAGATACATATCCCGAGTTCGTTTACTTCGTCATTGGCATCATCGTCCAGTTCGGGGTATAGACCCCGAACGACGAGCCAGGTTGCCGTACCCCCTTCACCTGTCACACCTTCATCTATTTCACGCGCAGGTACGGAGAATGTCTTTGGTCTAGGGCTCAAGAAATCATCACCACCCGCTCGGTATCGTCGATCGAATACTGTAGATACACCACCCCCCAGTTGGCAGAGGTCTCCTACCAAAGACTCCGCTGCCCCTCCTAGTGCCTTGGATACACTGCCACCCAGTTGGCAGAGATCTCCCGCCAAAGATACATCCACACCTTCCTCCACAGATACACCTCCACTAAGTTGGCAGAGGCCCGCCACCAAAGATACATTTGCGGCAGCGCTGTCTCCAGCACCTAGCCTTTCGAGGCGCCCTACATCCCTCTATGGGTCACCCTATACAGCCGCACCTCCGTCACCTATTAAAAGCTACTCAAGGCCCTCTTCTAGTGCCGGCTTCTCCTCCGCAACGAGCTCAAAGGTGACGAACGATGAAACACCCCCACCGTCTTCATCGGTCATGTCTCCAACGCCTTACCGTAGTTCGTATGTGGCGAAGAAAGCTTCCTTGTATGGGAGTAACCTCGGTACAGGACGGAAGCTTGGTCGGCATTTGCCCCGTATAGCAAGTGGAGACGGGGACGAACATTGGCTAGAGGAACAGAGGACAACGGAACAGAAGGATGAAGAGGACCGAGCTAGCCGCAGAGAGAAGAGGGAGAGGAGGATGAGGGATTGGGGTCAAGAAGAGGCATCGTCCCCTGTGCGCCGTCAACTAACTGTTGATCCGGCGCCAGTCAGCGCGACCGATGTGGTTGGGATTCCAGGTCGGCGTCGTCTGGCTAAGGATGCGGCTCCGAGTACTCCCACATCGCCCCTCCCATCTGCCAGACTGCTACGAGGGACATGGGCTGATGTTGAGAGGCAACACATTCAGGCTTACGAGTATCTATGCCACGTTGGTGAGGCTCAGCAGTGGATTGAAGGATGTCTTGGCGAAGAGCTTGGATTTGGTGTTGTGGAGATGGAAGAAGGGCTGAGAAATGGTGTCGTGTTGGCGAAGTTGGTGAGGGTGTTCCAAGGGGAGAGCGTGGTTAGGAGGATTTATGAGGCAAGTGAACTTATTTTATTAGGAATAATCGTCGTAACCCATGGTTCAGGCGCCCAAGCTGGATTTCCGGCATTCGGACAACATCAATATATTTTTCAATTTTGTCCGGGAGATTGGACTCCCAGAGGTATGGTGTTTGGTTCCTTGTTCGAAAGATACAACCTGATGAATCTCAAATCGTAGTGCTTTATTTTTGAGCTGACCGATCTTTACGAGAAGAAGAACCTTCCCAAAGTTGTCTACTGCATCCATGCGTTGAGGTATATCTGTTTCCCCTTAGGTCTCAGCCGTATTGAACCATTCCTATAGTCATCTTCTTGCTCGCCGTGGAATGGCAGAACGGATAGGTAACCTGTATGGTCACCTCAAGTTCTCCGATGATCAACTACAGAAGACACAGAAGGGTCTTTCTGATGCGGGTGTGCCCATGCCTAACTTCGGCGACATTCAGCGCGAACTCGCAAAAGAGATCAATGAAGAGCCAGAGGTGGAAGTTGAGACTGAGGAAGAGCGTATGTCACCCTAGTCTAAACGTTGTTGGCAGGGCAATCTCATATCAGTCTCGATAGGACGCGACCGATTACTTATGGAAAACGAAGATTCGATTATTGCCGCACAATCTCTGTTCCGAGGATTCCTCGCTCGCAAAGCTCAAACCAACCTCCAAATGCGCATGCGATTGGCCGACAGATATGTAGTCAAACTCCAAGCCCAATTCCGGGGAACGTTAGCAAGAAGGGCTCGGGCCCAGCACAGACAATCGCAATTGCAGCTACTCCCTTGGATCATATCTGTGCAAGCTACGGCCCGTGGCGGGCTTTTTCGCAAACAATGGTATTTGAAGGTGCGCCGTATCAAGGCCTCGGTCCCGCATGTAGTCAAGGTACAGGCACAACTTCGAGGCATACTCCTACGTAGGCGCTTCGCTAAACTCAAGGCAGCTCTCAGAAAGAGTAATGTCTCGGTCACCAAGTTGCAATCCATCGCACGTGCCCGCATCGCGCAAAAGGCGCACAACGAGATTGCGAAAACGTTCGCGATACCCCTCGTTCATCGTTCAGTCGTAGGTCTACAGGCCCATGCGAGAGGCGCCTTGGCAAGACGAAGAGTAGCTCGACTCCATGCCTTACTCAAGCGTACCGAGCCTAGTGTTGCAAGTGTGCAGGCGCAATGTCGGGCTTTGCTAGCACGAAGGCGCTTCCGCAACCAACTAGCTAAACTTGAAGACGTCACGAATGTCATTATTCGCATCCAAGCCGCCGCCAGAACGTTTTTAGCCAAGAAACGACTCCTGGCGCTGATTCGCGGTCTACGGCGCGCCACTTCTACGCTCGTTGGCCTTCAAGCCCGTGCTCGAGCGAAGTTGGCACACCAGAAACACGTCAACTTACAGAAGGCTCTCGGACAAGCGAAGACTATCGTCGCCGTCAATAGCTTCCAGGCTCGCGCTCGAGCTGCATTGGCGCGGAAGAGACATCAGGAACTACACCGAGAACTGGAATTCCATTATCCAGAAATGGTTGGCCTACAAGCTGCCACACGAGGCGCTCTCGTGCGCCTGGAATATCGTGCTTGGAGAGACCATCTGAGGAGCAGCTACCCAGTTGCGACTATCCTACAAGCAATGCTCAGAGGGACGCTCTTCCGCAAGAAGTTCCGTGCCAAAATGGAGTACTTCCGCGTCAATCTCTCCAAGGTGGTCAAGATCCAATCCCTTTTCCGTGCCAAGGAAACAAGGGAACAATACCGCCAGCTAACAATGGGCACCAATGTTACGACTGGCACAATCAAGAATTTCGTTCACCTTCTTGATGACTCAGAAGCCGACTTCCAAGATGAGATCAAGGTCGAAAGGCTCAGAAAGAGGGTCGTCGAGAGCATAAGGGAGAACCAAGTTTTGGAAACCGATCTGAATGATTTGGACGTGAAGATTGCCCTGGTCGTCGACAACGCCAAAAGTCTGGAAGAAATTCTGAAAGCTAGACGACGTCTTGGCGGAGATTCCGCTGCAGTTCATGCTGCGCGCACATCCCTCTTAGCAGCACATAGCGACCCATTTTCAGGAGCTGCGAGCCTTGACCGGGAGGCGAAAAGGAAACTCGAGCTGTATCAGCAACTTTTCTACCTCCTACAGACCAGGGGCGATTATCTCAGCCGCCTTTTCACAGAGCTGTCTGCCGAAGAAATTTCCGAGGAAAACAGGAAGTTCACCGAGCGCGTTGTTCTGACGTTGTTCGGTTATGGTCAAGATCGGAGAGAGGATTATTTACTTCTCAAAGTGTTCCAGGTTCGCATGCACTCGCTCATATGATCTGTTTGCGAGGTACTTACGCTTCGGGTCTAGCATGCGATTCGAGATGAAGTGAATGCTGCATCATCCATTGAGGATGTTGTTACCGGTCACCCGATGTACATGAACATCGCGGTGCATTACGTGCGGCGGAAGCAAGTGATTTATGTTCGGGATACCCTGCAGGCCGTCATTCGCGAAGTCATCGATACAGAAGACCTTGATCTTGAGGCTGACCCATCTCTTGTAAGGACTCTACATTTGTTTCAGCCTGTCTAGCTAACAGTCAGAAGATTCATCGCACCAGAATCGATGTTGAGGAACTCAAATCAGGAGTGCCGAGCGGCGTCCGCAAAGATTTACCATTTCGAGAAGCCTTGAACGATCCTGCTACAAGAACAGAGTACATCAGGCGTAAGCCAGTTCTCCGCCTTGGGTTGAAAAGTGGCTAAAGTCAACCAGATCTCCAAGTGTTGCAATGGTGGACAGAGGCCTTCGTCACTGCTCTCACCGCTTCGACCAAGAAGATGCCTTATAGCATGCGATATCTTGCGAGGGAGACCTTGAGCGCTGTCCGAGTACGTCTTTGCAATCCAGCGGTCCTTCTTCCTCCAGCTAATGGTTCATTCTAGGAGCGATTCCCTGGTGCTTCAGAGGAGTCTTATGCAGCCTGCGTGGCTCGGTTGATATACTATCGATATATCAATCCTGCGATCATGTATGTGATAAATACTAGCGTACGTATCATTACGCTATATTCATCTACTTTTTCAGCACACCGGAAACCTTCGAGATCGTAGGGAAGACAATCGACATTGGCTCGCGCAAGAACTTAGCCCAGATCTCCAAGATATTGACACAGATAACTCATGGCCGAGAATTTACTGAAGACACACCTAGCTATATTCCTATCAATGGGTATGTCAGTAAGGCGATTGGGCAGATGACCTCCTGGCTATTGGAAGGTTCGTGGTCAGATCGGCTCATCTTGTTCATGACCGACGCATTCAATAGTTGCCGACGTGGCCGACGCCGAATCTACGTTCCATGCTCACGAGTTCCTCGACGTCACTGCACAGCCAAAGCCAATCTACATCTCCCCAAATGAGATATATACGATACATGGACTGCTTTCCCAACACTTGGAACATCTCGTCAGTGATTCCGTCTCTCGTTTGTTGTTTAGCTAATGTCTCGAATAGGCGCCGAGTTCTGATGACACCCTGCGAGTGATCATCAGTGAATTAGATGGCGTCCCCCATCTTAACGATGAACTCAAAGATGCCCGCGATCAAGCTATCACACTGGAACTAACGAACCGGTTTGCTCATGTTGAGGGTAAGCCAACGTCCTTCCAAAGCCTACAGTATTTATCAACATCAACTCAGACTCTGAGGCAAAAGAGAAGGCTCTTTGGGTTCAAGCCAAACGTGGTGTCCTTGCCATTCTCCGTGTCCAGCCAGCTCAAGAGTTAGTCGAGGCTCTTATGCGACCTGTCAACGAGGTGGACGAACAACGCTGGGAAGAGGTTTTGGACCATGAGATGGAGAATGAGCAAGTTCGTAACATTGACCGTCGTATGCCGTCTACCTCTGGGGCAGATGGTACTTACCGTTTGGAGGACATACGCTCGTAAGCTCCCTTTCTGACGCTCTCCCCCCTTTTTTCTCACCCAACCCTAGGTTGAAATTCGCTGCGGTCAAAGCTCTAACAATATCTTTCCTTCTGGACCTGGAGACCCTAGGGAAGATTACACGGAATGACGGATTTCAAGGCATCCTAAATGCGATCGCTGTTGACGTTCGAAGTAAACATCGGAAGCGCTTGCAACGTCAACAGGAAATGGAGAACATGAACCAAGCACTCACAGACTTGTCCGAGCGCAAGCGAAACTATGAAGAGCAGATCAACAGCTATCACAGTTATGTCGAGAGCGCGATAAGCACGATGTCCAAAGGGAAAGCGTAAGTTTGATTTTTCAAGGTTAGTTCTGCTTGTCTAATGTCTTAATCAGCAAGAGCGGTTGGGTTGTCCCTTTCACGAAGCAGTGGTCGCATCTTCGCAATCTCCAGCGGTCAGGGCAAGCTCCCCAATTTGGATCGTATCTGTACACGGCGAAGGATCTTTACGAAAAGGCCATTCTCCTGTCTGTTGACCAGTACTCACCGCGGCAGTTTGATAAGATCCATCTCATCATCTCGTCAAATACTCCCGGTGTCTTCAATCTCCTTCTTGAATCCACCATTCACGGAATCACTTCAAGGCTTGCAGGCGAAGACATTCGGCTGGAGGATCTCCTTCAGGCTCGCTTTGACAATCGATCTTCGTACTCACTATTCAATGGCATCGTCAAAGTCAATCTCAACCAGTTCTTGTATCAGCTTAACAAAAAGTGAGTTCTTCCCTGTTCTCGAGTCGTATGTTTACCATTCCGCTGCGCAGGTTCTACCGTTCGAGTTTCATATTTGGTTGATTGGCGCCACATTCATTTCGCCGCTCGCTGCTGCATACTTTACGATCTACTTGTAACGATAGCTCATATGTATTCGTCACACAACCTAAACATAATCTCCCTACAAGTGTACATCCAAGTTACATCTTCGGTCCAATTATACACACATTTCATAGAGTGAACCGGAATTCAGGATGGCGATCCCCTATCGGCGCCTTAGTCTTTCCTGCATGCCGGAGGGTTTCGTATGCCTCGATGTTACATTGGCGGCGTCCCTCTCTTCGTGCTTTGTTCTCCCACATGCAGTACGATCTATTCAATATTATTAGGGCCATATAACACACTCCCAATATGAGGAAACATACACATTGACCGCAACCAGCAACCATGCTAGGATGAGGAAGCCGAGTGAGATGCTATGACCTCGAATGTATTTGGGCGCTTGATCTTCTCTGCATCAGGCATTTTCAGAGACCGCGAATCAGAAGTCTTGCTTACCGCTCGTGTAGCTAAATGTGGCGACGAATCCGCTACGGGCAGCATCGATTCATTAGTAATTAGTAATGTCTCAATGGACGAAAAGATTATGCAATACCCGGTGTTTGCAATAGCGAGCTGCAGCTGAAGAACGGATACAAATGAGGAGTTGGTCAGTTGATATGTGTAATAGTCTTACCGCAGTGGTCGTTGCCTTCTTATAATGTCCGCTACTATTGTTAGGTAGGATCGATCTGGAATGACAATTTAGGCGGTATTCACGAATTCGAGGTAAGTAAACCCACAAGATACAGGGAGCAGATGGATATCTGCGGATGACGAAATGAGCATCTCCGTCGGCAGAACACCAGAAAAGAGGAAAAAACTCACACTCCGGCAGCCATTAAGAAGACCGCAGCATATCGCCCAGTGTTCGTTTGCGCAGTGATAGCGACAATGTATCCTGTATAAATGTAAACATTAGAACAATCCGACAATCTGAAGGCGTACGCACCAATGATTGCAAGGGGGAGACAAATCAGGATGAAAGGTCCCCTCCACTTGAGCTTATCGCTCATGATAGCTACAATAACTAAAAAAGGGCATTGAACCCAAGCCGCCGACATGCCATGATGGAAGCATACCTGTGAGAACGACGGCAGGAACATATGGTGGGACTGTTACAGGCGGCCAGTAAGGAACCAAACAATTACAGAGAAGCGGCAGCAATCTTCACCGGTATGCAACTGTGCCTGCCCGCCTGAGTATCCGAGTCCTGCGACAATGGTTGGCCTAATAATAAAATCAGCGGTGTGTTGGAAAGATAATATGAATAGAACCTACAAAAATAGGGAGTAGGAATACAGGCTGACAATGAGTCCGAAGTACGCCAGCCCGGTGCACCATGTCTGGATGTCGGTCACTCCTTGATAATTTAGATCACTTGGAGTAACAAGCAAAGGAGAAGTGATCCGTACCTCTCATTACTTCTCGCCACTCAAATTCTTCAACACAGTGTGTTGCAAACACTTCCTTCGGCGAAGACTCTAGTGTTTGAATCGTATCTTCCTTCTCATGAGTATCCCTCTCCACCGGAATGGCGTCAGCCGATATCATGGATTCGTCCATGCGGAACCGCCGTGCTAAATTGGGCGTCAGCTTCGAATATATAATTGGAAGCCTTCGCGCTTGTTAAGGAAGCTGCCCACTTACTTGCGAAAGTTCTTTCTTCTTTGGTGAGGAACTTTGCCGACTCGAGATTAGCAGGAAGGAAAACGGCTGATACGATCGAAAGGATGACAGTAGCAATCCCCTCCAGTATGAATATCCAACGCCAGCCTGATAAGCCACCTACGCCTTCCATCCTAGTGATGGCAGTAGCGAGGAGGCCTGCCGAAGTCCTTTCAAACTTACGGCAACAACTTGATCGGAGGAATAACGCACCACCGAAAGCACCGGATAAAGAGGCTTCGAAATCTCAATGAGTGATTGATTCGTAATTGTCAGCGAACAATGCCCACCAGAGGCGTAGAATATGCCAACCCTAGCCGCATAATCGTGAGCAGAATTTCCAGTAGAGTACAGCACATGACCTCACCGTAACTGAAGTTCATGTCGCTTGTAAATGGTGCTGAGATAAAGGATCTATATTCGATTCACATGAGACCCGGCTCCATGGTACGATCTTAGAATCAACGAACCATCCCCGGCAACAGACCGCCTTCGCATAGACCGAGGCACATCCTTATCGCCACCAAACCGCCGAAGTTCTGTACGAGACCTGTCAAAGTGGTCACGACGCCCCACAGACATACGAGGAGAGGGATCCAGCGATTCGCTCCCACACGTTGGATGACCCAATTAGATGCTAGATGAACCTGAGTCTCGTGAATTGAATGATTCTCCAACTCGGTAGACTTACGGAGTTCTACGATAATGTAGCTAATAAAGCGATGAGTGGTGAGTATGTTTAGGAAAATGTACGCCACATTACGATGCATAGAAGACTGTTGTGAGAGGTAAGTGTCGTACAAAAGACATGCCGATCCGTATACTTACCCGCTAGTATGGTGTTGAACTGGTTGCCGTGTAGCCCAAGATCCCGCTCCAGCCCAGCAATTCTAAACACTAAAGTCAGTGCGGTTTTTTGTAGGGAAGTAAATAGGAGACAACCTAGCATTGCCAATGTTACTTCGGTCGATGAAGTTCGCTAGCCACAACTACCGGTATGTCAGTACGGAGTTCGGTGAGAAAATACATCTGCAGCTCCAACGTACGAGAGCCAAAGGAGGTAATATTCGGCAGTCTAATTTCCACAAGATACGTTTTGTTAGCGCTCTGTGGTCACTTTCTTGGAAGGACATCGAAGTGGTAACGCGGGGGGGAGGAAGGGAAGGGCCTTGCTGGCTGATAGCGTCTTTAACTCAATTTTGTATTTGGTAGCTTTGATGATAAAGGCCCACCCTTTCCCCACATGAATGATCATGGGGTGAGGTCACTTCCGTAGTAGTGCAATGCTGAAGCCGATGCACATTGGATGTACCTCTACGGCTCGCGTTCCACTAGATCCATGAGGATTTCATGAGAAAACAAACGGTTATTATTAGCAGAAGTGCGGGCGGGGTATATTATTCTATTGGCGTACTTCCAGGGATCACGGCATACTGGAGTGCGCTGAAAAGTTGAACTTGAAGGGGTTATCAACGTTGCCTTAAAAAGGAAACTACAGGTCGCCGTATGGGCGCCTAATTGCTGCTCAAATGTCATTACCACCACCACCGTTCACAGGACCACCGGGGCTGCAACCGCTGCCTCCTGGTTGGTCGCAACATTTGGGTATGAGTGCAGTCCAGAGAGATATATGCCACTAATAGACTTATAGCTCCCGGGGGTCAGTCGTATTATTACAATGCTATCACCAAAGAGTCCACGTACGTCCGGCCGTTACCCATTCCTTCGCAAGCCGAGACCTCAAAAAAGCAGAAGAAAGAGAAGCCTCTGGTTAAGACACCAATACCGGGAACCGACTGGATACGTGTGAAGACGACGGAGGGGAACATTTTTTATACTAACAAAACGGATAAAAAGAGCGTATGGACCGTTCCAGATGATATTAAAGATGCCGTGGCTGCGCTTGAATTGGAGGATAAGGAAGGAGAGGAAGGAAGAACTAGAGAAGCAGAATCCGTAGCGAAGACGGAAGAGCAGGAACGGCTGCGGGAGGTTGAAAGGATCAAGTCGGAGGTCGCGGGGATGGTGAAGCGTAAAGCTGAGAGCCCGGAACCTATGGATGAAATTGTCATATCGAAGAAGCCCAGAGTCCAGGATGAGGAAGATGAAGACGAGGACGAAAGTGAGGAAGAGGATTGGCAGAGGGAAGCTGCAGCACAGTTGGCGGCTGAAGCTGAGGAAGAGAGGAAGAGGGCGGAGGAAGAGGCTACTCGTATGAGAGATGAAGCAGAAGCAGAGGCGAAGAAAGCCAAGGAACAACCACAGATCGTTATGCCCGAACGTGTGGATTTATCTCTTGACGAAGCTAAGGCGCTATTCAAGGTGAACATATCCAATCAAGGGCCCCAATATCTATATTGACATTTCTCATAGACACTCCTCCGCGAAAAGAATATAAATCCTTTACACCCTTGGGACACCTGCCTCCCTTTGTTCGTGTCTGACCCTCGATATGTGCTTTTGCCATCAGTTTCGGCGCGTCGGGAAGCCTTCGACGAGTATTGCAGGGATCGCGCGCGCGAACTTCGGCAGTCTCATGTTAGGAAGGAGAAGGAGGATCCCATGGCAGAATTCAACGCGCTTCTTGTCGAAGAGGTGAAGAGCACAAGAACTAGTTGGGGGGAATTCCGCAGAAATTGGAAGAAGGACCGGCGCTTTTATGGATGGGGGAGAGATGACAAGGAAAGGGAGAAGCGGTTTCGTGAATACATCAAGGATCTGGGTGAAAGTGAGTCGTCTGTGATCCTTGTTGCCAGTTTGTTCAACTACGTTAGAGAAGCGTGCCGCTGCACAGAAAGCCGAGGCAGATTTCTTCGTCTTATTGAAGGAACACGGAGGTATTACAGAGCAATCCGTCTGGAAAGAGGTATTTGCTACGTGGTCCTACCTACCTATCATTGCTAACGACATATCTAGGTAAAAAAGAAACTTGTTCAGGATAAAAGATACGACGCTGTTGGGTCTTCGTCCTTGCGAGAGGGACTCTTCAACACATACCTGAAAGCTGGCAAGTGGAACTCGGGTTCGGGAAGCACCACAGGTGACCTAGTTGCGGGGGACGATGACAAACTAGAAGATGAGGTAGACGCTGCAAGAAAGCGGAAAGAGCGAAAGGAGAAAGCGGTGAAAGAACGGGAAGAGAAAGTCAGAACTGAACGAGGGCGCGTAGAAGCTGAGATCGGTCGTTCCAGGATGGGGCTATCGAAGGAAGAAGGCGAACGTGAATACATGTGCGCCCTTTACTTACTTCTCCGTGCCAGACGTTTATGGCGCTCAACGTGATATTCTTCTTTGTCAACAGCTCGATGCTCGTTGACGCTATCAGGGACCCGACGGTACGGCGAATGCTCATCCTTGAACATATATCTCACAACCTTTTGACAGGTTTCTTGGGATTCTGTCCTTCCTCAGCTCAAAACAGACCCTCGCTTCCTTAATTCGCCATTACCTCTAAACCAACAGCTCCTCCTCTTCCATCAGCATATTGAGCGGCTTGCAAGCAAATATACGACCGGTCTACACGACTTATTTCGGACTCACGCGCCAACATTGGCCACAAAATTCACCGCCCTGCCTGTCTCTGAGATACTAACCACCCTCCCAGCGGTAAAATTAGGGCTAAGCATCGATTCCTTAGAGCAGGAGTTCCAAAGGTGGCAACGCGATCGGACGGCAGAAGCGCGGCGGGACTTCGATGAGATGATGGCAGAGAACTCATTCGTCGAGTTTTGGGGCCGCCTAGGAAAAATTGGTGGCGAGGGTGTGGATGGGGGTGTTAAAGCAGATGAAATTGGTGAAGATGAGGGTGAAGCTTTCGGTGGCAAGGTGGATATGAAAGTATTGGCAAAGAACATCGACGTCAGTGACATAGAGAAGGTGTTGCGAGTAAGTGTTCCATGAATTTCCATGTCTTTCCGGTTTTGATCCGACTCACTTGCCAGAACGACAAACGATATATGATGTTTGATCATGTGCCAGAACAGCGTGTGCAGTGGGTCAGGGTAAGAATCATGTTTTATTCCTCCATATACCGTTCTCACCACCGTGTTGCCCTCACAGGAGTACCTAGCAAACTTATCAGCTCCAAAATTATCCGTACACGCAGGTTGACGATTGAAGAATGTTGAAGGACCTCTACTATATACATTGTTTTGTAACGCTATTGCTTTGTTCACGGGCTACGCTGGCAAATATTATCCGTGATCGACGATTTACTTGACTGCTAACTACACCATGCACCAGAGCATCATGGCTTGACACGTCGCTTGCAGAACCGTTAACTTGATTCCCATCTCGGACGTTCCTTCTCAGTGGGAAACACCCCTCCCGGAGATGGGAACCGCTTCGGACATTCCCCCTGTAAAGGGTGACACGCTCTGACACGTCAGTCAGCGTTTATATATCCCGTAAAGCTCACCATTCATCCTTACCTTTCTTAATTGTCGTTGTGTCGAGTCCAGAGTGGAGTTATAGGCTTTGTAGTTCAGCCATTGCAGTATGCGGCTCCTTCGTGCCTTCGTTTTGGCTTTGACCGCCTCTACGCCGTATGTTTTCAGTCAAGAACTGAATACTGAGGCACCAAAAGCGAAACATAATTACCAGGTGAGCGGCCATATTTCTGTGAGGAGAGTCCAAGACTAACCAATGTGTAGAGCGACGTCGCCCGCCTTCGTAAAATTGTCATCAACAGGTGAGGTTTATGTGCTTTCTCCGGCGTGACGGTAAAGCTAACTTGTATACCTAGTTTGTACTCGCACAAGTAGGTTGTCGCTTGCTGGAACCAAAGCGAATGATACGAGTTATGACCAAGGGATATCTTTATTCGGGAACTGATCTCCAACGCAAACGACGCGATCGAGAAACTCCGGCTCACATCACTCAAGGACAAGTCGATATGGGATGGCTCGAACCCATTGAACATCACCCTCAAGCTTGTAAAACCAGAAGGCGACCAGCCTGGCCGTATCATCATCTCGGACACTGGTATTGGCATGACCCCAGAGGAGTTGACAACCAACTTGGTACGCCCACGGCCTTCGTTGTTTTCGAACAATCACTAATATGCATATCCAGGGTACGCTCGCAAAGTCTGGCACGTCTGACTTCCTTGCTCGCGCGGAGAACAGCGACGCGACTGGCACAGGGAATCTCATCGGTGCCTTCGGTCTCGGTTTCTACAGTAGTTTCCTGGTCGCGGATCGAGTCTACGTCGCATCCCTCCCTCCAGCCACAGCGCAAAACCCGAACCCCGTCCAACACGTCTTCAGCTCATCTGCAGACGACAGCTCGTTCGAAATCTACCCCGACCCACGTGGCAACACACTCGGAAGAGGCACTGAAATTACTCTCGTTTTGAAGAACGAAGATTTGGAATACTTGGATGCAGATAGGCTGACTGACCTGATGTACGTGTTTTCGCTGCTACCATAAACGCGATACTCATTTGCTGTTAGTAACAAGCACTCTTCGTACTCGTCTGCATTCCCCATCTATCTCTTCACTCAACGCACGGAAGAAGTTCCCGACGAGGATGCCGTCCAGGACCTCCCACCCGCTGACGCAGCTGAATCGACTCCAGCGGCAGAAGAGACCCCCGAGTCCAAGGATGAGGACGAGGCCACCATCGAGGAAGTCGCGGAAGAAAAGGCAGAAGAGAAAGCTCCGCCCAAGATGAAGACTGTTGTAGTCGATGAGTGGAAGCACTTGAATGAGCAGCCACCCATTTGGATGCGGTAAGCGGCAGACAATATTGACCGCCCTGTCCACTACTGAATTCATTCCATTAGTGATCCCAAGGATGTCAAAGAAGGTACTTCTAACGGATACGTGTCTAGACTCGTCGCTGATGGTTTGTCACAGAGGATTATACCAACTTCTACAAGGCTTTCTTCAAGGAAGTTGAGAGCCCCTTGGCATGGCACCACTTCTCTGGAGATTCCGGATCCGGTGTCTCCTTCCGTGCCATTGTATTTGTTCCTGGTTCCCTGTCAGTCTCCCAATATTCCATGCCTTCCACAGTTGATACTCAAGGACATGAATGATGCTATAGTGACGAGCAATACTGGCAACAACCTTTGGCCAGCAAATCCAAAGATATCAAACTCATGGTCAAGCGCGTCTTCATCACGTCCGACCTCGGCGATGAAGGTTTACCCAAGTGGGCGAGCTGGGTTCGAGTCGTCGTTGATGGTATGCTCCCAATCCCTGCTCTCCTCTATCAGTTAACTTATTCTTCTGTCCGTCTTCAGCGGAGGACCTCCCGTTGAATGTCTCCCGCGAAACTCTTCAATCCACGCGCTTCTTGAAGCAGGTCAAGCAAGTCATCATCAAGCACCTCATCGGCATCTTCAACAGACTGGCAGACGAAGAGCCTGCCAAGTTCGAGAGATTCCAAAAGAATTATGGATCTGTGTTGAAGTTGGGCGCTGTCGAGGATACGAAGAACAGAGAGAAACTCGCTGCTCTCACTCGCTTCCACACCAACCACAAAGACAGCCTGTCGCTTGACCAGGTAAGTAGCCTTCCACACTCCAAGGATGCCCATACCAATGTGTTACCCCAATTTATAGTACTTGGAGAACAAGAAGCAAGGCCAGAAGCAGGTAAGATAACAACCCGGGGTTAGTGCTTAGTGCATTCCTAACAGACGTGTAGATCTTCTACCTCGCTGAGATGGGCAGAGAATTCGACGACCTCAAGAAGAGCGTTTTCATCGAGAAACTTGATGCTCGTGGATACGAAGTCCTCCTTCTCAACGAGCCTCTGGATGAGATCTTGGTGCAGAACATCCGTCAATGGAAGTGAGTAATCGCTTCATACCACTTCTTAATTGTGTTCGTTGATCACCAATTGTACAGGCGAGTTCCCTTCCAGGATGTCGCCAAAGCTGGCCTGAAATTCGGTGACGAAGAGTCGCAGAAGGATGAAAAAGCTGAGATGGAGGCTGCGAAAGAGAAGTTCAAGCCGCTCCTGGATTACTTGAAGAAAGAGGCTGGTGACAAGGTTCGGGAGGGTGAGTACATTGTTCGGGTTACTTTCGTCACAATTGGATACTCACGTGTGTCTACAGTTGTTATCTCCAACAGACTTGTAACGAGTCCATGCGCTATTGTGGCTGATCAACACGGTTACACCGCTAATGTCGAACGCATGATGAGTGAGTGCCACATACTGAACACAGGCCCCGAAACTTGCTGACGACAATACCTCCAACCCAGGCGCTCAGAACGGCAAGAAGGAGACGGACAAATTCATGCTCCACGAGTACGCCAAGAAGCAGAAACTCCTGGAAATCAACCCACGTTCACCACTGATCGAGGGTCTCCTCCGTCGTGTCGAGCAGCTGCCCTCCGAAGAGGAGGAAAGGGACCTTGAAGCCGAGGACGAGCTCAAGGAGGTTACGTCTATCCTTGTCGACGGCGCCCTCGTCCGATCTGGCTTCGAGGTCCCCGACTCCAACTCATTCTTCTCGCGTGTCGACCGAGTTCTGCGACGCTCCTTGGGCGTTTCGGAGACCGCCCCCACCGATACGACAGTCAACCCCGCCCCACCCGTGGATCCTGAGCTCCCTACTGAGGAAGAGATGGCGCCCCCTCCATTCATTCCAGAGGACCCTGAGGAAGATGACGGAAAGGCGAAGATCATCTTACCAGATCACCTCAAAGACAAGGTCTCGATTGAAATGGAGGAAATCGATGAGGACGGAAACCCAGTTCCTCAACATGATGAACTATAAAGTTCATCGCATCTTGTAGCATAATTTATCCGTACCTATCACATCACAATGTTTTTGGCAACAATTTTAAGTTTCTATGCGATGCGCATGGCCAAGAAACGATTCCATGTTGTCTCTGATTTCTTGAAGAGGTTCAGACTGAGAAGTAGCTGGATGCCAAATGAACAGTACGTCGACTATCTATTATAGCCACCTTTGTACCGAGGTCCTGTGGGTGGTTGTCGGTCGTCCCGCGACTTATCCCGACTTCGTGGTCCTCCACCCTTGCTACCTCCTCGGTACGAGTCGCTTTCTCGCCGATGACGGTGGCCTCTGTCGTCCCTCTCCCTGTCGTCTCTGTCCCTATCCCTATCCCTATTCCTCGAACTCTGTCCACGGTCGTTGTTGAATCTAGAGGAGGACGCAGCCTTGGCCTTACCATCGTCATCCATCTGAATGCGATCCAAGAGACTCATCGAAGCGGTAGTAGTCACTTTGCTATCCAAATCCCTCGCGCCGTTCTTGAAGCTGATCTGAGGCATCTTCCCTTTCGGCCGCGCGGTCCCGTTCCCATTACCATTCGCTCCTCTGTTCTCTCCGTCAGCCGACTTGGGTTTCGACCGCGAACCACTAGATCGCTTCCTAGCACCCTTGTTGAACCAATCATCCTCCTCATCCTCGTCGTCGATCTCTCTCGCCCGTTTCTCCAGCTTGGCTCTATCCTTCTTCCGCCCCTCTTTGCCCACGTTGCCAGGTAGTTTGGGATCGACGAAGTCTGGTCTCTCCCAATCTCGGAGCGGTCGCGATCGGGAGGGACCTGACGTTGGTTCGGCGTTAGCGTCGAAGAACGGCCCGGACGAGGTGTTGTATTCGCTGAAGGCAGACGGTTCCTCGTTTTGCTCTGGGCCTCGTAGATCACAATCCTATCTCATCCTTGAGAAACACACAAAGGGTGAGCCCGTGGGTACTCACATCTCCCCAATGCCCAGTCTCCCCGCAATTGTAACACCACAAGTCATTTACAATGTATCCTTCGCCGCCCTCACCAATGTTGAGGTCGCGGCAGGATTCACGGAACTGCATGATCTGCTCACGGGTCCCTTCTGATACATAATCATACATTCGCCAAAGCGTTGGACAATCCTAACCGCTTCATGAGCAAGGATGGGGAACCTGTACCGACGGAAGGGACGAACATTTGATTTGTGGCTAGACCGGCCACATCTGTTACAGTAGTTCTGGTAATCACCACGATTCGGGCAATCCTTCAGTCACTTGAGTGAGGCATCGGCGAATCGTTTGAGTGAGGGAACGCACTGATATTACATGGCCTTTGCGGCCGCAACGAAAGCAGCGTTTGCTAATAGGACAACGGCGTGTTGTGTGCTCATCCCGGGCACCGCACATCAAACACTTGTGACGGGTTGAGGCATCCATAGCATGACCTTAGCCATATGCGACGTACTATGATAACTTTGCACCCCGAGGCGTTATGGTTCCCTCCGCAATTCCTACACACGCGTTTCACAGGTTTCACGGGCTGCGCGTCTTCTTCCTCTGGTTCTTCAAAATACCGTACCAATCCTACCTACGTTACATCAGATAGAAGACAACAATAATGTGTGTGAAGAACGAACTTTGCGATTATCATCATAGTCAAGATATTCGATGAATGTTTCTTCAGCATCTTCCCCCTCTGCATTCGGGGGGTCAAATTGCGAGCCGTCCAATCCAACATGCGAGGGCAGTAGTAGTTGTGACTGGGACCCTTCACCAGATTTCTTCGCCGAAGTCGATTGACTCGATTCCGTGGGCTTAAGAGCGGGCTGCAAGACAATAGGTGTAACGTCGATGAAAAACAACGGGGCTGATTCCGTCTTCGATTCAGTCTGCTGGGAGCTCTCGTTCTCGCGTCGCAAAGCTTTCGGTCCCTTGGGAGTTGGGTGAGTGCGAGCCTCGCCGTTCTGCTGTTTAGCACTCCGTTTCGGTGTTTTGGGTGCGGGTCGTTTAGCGTCTGCAGAAGTGGTGTCCGCAGTCAAGGTGGCAGGGTCGGAGGATGGGCTCGATGAGTAGGTGAGATCTATGATTTCGGCAACCATCTTGACGCGTTGTAGTGAAATTGAAGTGACTGTGACTACGACACGAAAACTGAGGGCTGCTCGGCGCCTAAGCGCACTTCTCAGGGGCTTGGTTCCAGCCCCTATGCATATTAAGGGGGCACAGACTTGAGCTGGAGCTGGATCCATTCCTCAGCATGTACAGTACCAGACCTGAACGTTGCGAACAAAAGAGACGTGTGTAATTTGCTACGTGAAAGAGCCTTGAGCTGCTACAATCTATGCTGAACATGGTGATTGTTCTGTGTATTCGATACAGAAGGATGCTGTACTGATTGAGTTAATGTAGTCCAGTGGTGTTGAACCTTGTGAACAAAAATTTCTACTCCAATGGATACCGGAAGATGGTGTTGAACCTCGTTTGTTGCATTTAGTGAGCATAATCATACCTCATAGAACAATTAGCCATGTGTTACGAGCACGAAGTAAGAAGACCTACTTGCGATAGAATATTTCCGAGTTCGAGGGCACAGCCTGCTCCCTCCTAGCTCCTCTCTTCTTCATGCCCTCTTTCTCAAGCTGACGGCGATGTTCACGGTCTTCGCGAATCCACTCCAAGGCCACGTTGTACAACGCCGAGCTGGTGCCTGGCCGGGTAGGCGTGTCGGCAATGGGCCAAGGCGTGGGCGGCGTCACGAATGACCCGAAGCGCATGTGCGCTATATGCGTGGGGAAACCTCCCAGCCCATCAAATATATGTGTAGCATCTATCACAACAACCATCATTCGGCGAAGGTTCTATGGTTCAACAGTGGTAGAAAATACCCACATAATATCGTTGCACCGCGTTCTTCACTGTCTGATTTCAGAAATTGGAGTAGCTCGTCCCTAACAAGGACATCCAGATCCACGGTGACCTGTATATGTGATGTCAGTGTCGGCAAGCAACGAAGGGCAGAGAACAAAGCGTACCTCATCAAGAAGCAAAACATCCCAATCTATCATCAACCCAAAACACAGTTGAACCCGCCGGCGTTCCCCATCGGATATAGCGTGCATGTGCCAATCGAGGTCAATGTCGAGGATATCCAGCAGGCGGTCGCGTCGTTCCTTATGTCTATAACCACCGACGCTGTCTAGGAAATGCGAGACTACAATGTCGCCTCTGACAACGGGATTCATGGCCCTACGAGGGGACAGTCAGAACAGCATGGTGATGTAGATGCGGTCATATGGGCGTACCACTCGGTCCCAAGGTATGTGACGCCCGGTGGCGAGTCGCGAAATACATCCCTGCCCTTGATCCTGAGATCAGCGCCGTCGATGCTAACCAGCCGTTTCCCAGCGAGGATCTGCAGCAGCGTAGACTTTCCAGCTACATAGCGTACACGTAAGTGGCTTTTAAATCGCGGAGTTATAGACACCGAGTCACCTCCATTGGCACCAACGATTAGTGTTCGCGATCCCCTTGGCAGATTCAAATGGATGTCGAGCAGAGATGGCGGTGATCCTGGGTGGTAGGAATAGGTCAAGTTTGTCACCGAAACTGCTTCGGTGGCCTCCATGGTTTGGCGGTAGTTCGAGAGATCCAACTGTACCCGGAGCCAACTCGGCTCCACCGAGTTACTTCCTTGAAAAGTGTGGGGTCGTATAGGGGCTAGGAGTGCTTGCTCTCTGCCGCATTATCGCGCTGCCGGTTTTGTGCAAGCAATGTGGGCTCGGGGAACAGAAATGCGCCTAAACTGCAGTGAATATTCATCCGATCATCATGGGTTTGCTATAAGGTGCATATCACTGCTGTGTATAGACCTATTCTCCTTGCCGTTTTGCTGTAGATTACCGTCAAACGCGTCAAGAAGTTCGCAGCACATGTACCTGCGCTGAAAAACTTCATAGTCAGTTGATGTTTCATCTCAGTGCCACGGCTGATGACTTGATCACACAAAACATAGATGGTATCATTCACTGCAACTGACCAGTTGCTGTTGTTGTAAACAAACCTCGTGTAGTATGAGACCATGGGCCGCTCGATTCTAGATCCTGTGTGCCCGTGATTCGAAGCCAGCAGAGCACATTATAATTGGGTAGCACTTTGGGCTTGGACAAAAGAGTTTCACGCGAAGTTCTGACTTATTTTGTGCACTACAGCTGGAGGATGGAGCGGTTTCGTATTATAATAGGCCTATTGCACGACTAGATGTAAAACATATACTCATAAGTCCAGTAGTTGGTGCGTTTGAACGGAATCCGAATCCATGTTTAGGATCGTGAGAAAGTGTCAGTGAGAAATCATGCTGTGCGCGGCCGCCAAGGTGCCGTCGTCCACTCTGTCACACAGTTCTCTTCCACACTGTCAGAGTCCTCCTTCACCGTCGTTCACGGTGCCCGCAACGGCGACCAGGCGCTTCAAAACTCCCCCACTTCGACTTTCTATTGATCACCTATTGTCAAGCTCTTTTCCACAATCCTTTATTCGTTCCTCTCATGCATCTTGATCCCCTACTTCTGCCTCGCCAGGCCAACTGTGTTGCCTGCCCCGACACTCCACCCACTTGCAACTGCAATGTGGCAACTCAGGACTGTTTTCTCATCAACAGGTATGTATTCCACGATGCTCCGTCGCTGACTCGGGAAACTCACATCATCACAGAGTTTGCGAAGCTTGCAGCACCTTCAAATGCGTCGATAAGCCAAAGAATACGACGCAGGCAAGCGGGGGGACAAGCAAGGGTGCTTTAGCCGGTGCGGTCATAGGTTCTCTGATTTTTGTCGCCGCAGTGGTTGGCGCTTTCTTCTGGTATCGGCGTCGAAACGCTTCACTAAGGTCGGCAGAAGAGCCCAAAGTCGTTGACAAGCCTGCATCTGCAGCAGATGTCCTCAGTCGACCGGATCCCATTGAAAAGCCCTCGCCGTCGCCCTCCGCCGCAGAGTTCGGCGTCCGCAGAAACCCTTCTGCCAACGCCGTGGATCCCAGTTCACAGAACGATCCAGCCCATTCCCAGTTCCTCCCCCCGCATATCACACACAACCCCTTTGAAGACACCAATTCCATTCAAACGACCGGCACTGAAGGCACTAACGCCATTCCCATTGCTTTCATCGCGCCAGACTCGAATTCTCGCATGTCTGATGGTTCGACATCACCTGTTCGCCCATTACGATCACCCGACTTGAACCTTAATCTCGACCACGTTAACATGTCCCGCGACGAACTCAAGCCAGGAGCCTACGCGAGATCACAAATATCTGGGATATCAGGAATATCAGGTGTCTCGTCCAGAAACTCTTACATGTCGAACGCGAGCTACTCCAGCGACTTCCTTAACGAAGCGCCCATGATCATCACTCCTGCGAAGGCTGCTGTTCGTCAAGTTGTTGGCGTCGTGAAAGCGGAGGTGATTAATGCGCCTGGTTCACACAACAATTCCACAGATGGTTTACGGCCTATCAATTCCCGACCAGCCTTGAGTTCCCCCTTGGCGGCTACGTCGTTTGGACCGTCAGAAGCAATCAAAGAGGCTGACGAAAGCATGGAAAGCAACCCCTTCAGCGACAAACATTCTGCCCCCCCTTCTGCCGCCGCCTCTGTGACTGCTTTTGATGATCACAAATCCGAGAATGGCTCGCTGTGGGTCCCCGACGAGCCTACATTCCCATGGTCGACCAAATCTGGAGACAGTAGGCCCACCAGCATCAGTACCCAGGCTGCTTCTGTCATTGATATAGGGAGTGCTACTCGTGTCAATGTTGGATTGGGCGGTCTCAAGGGACAATACGCTATCGCTAGTCCTCCGATCAGTGCTAACGGTGTTCCAAAGTCACCCTACCGTCAGACAATGGGCCGCCTCGTCACGCCTCCATCCAATGCTACCATGGGTACGCTCGAGGAGCAGCAGCAACGCGCTCTTTTGCATGCTCAAGCACGGGCACAAGCGCAAGATATCGATAAGGCAAAGAGAATCTCAGGCTCCTCCGCCTTGTCTGCGACATCAACCCGCGCTGATTCCATTCTCGAGTCTTTCCCTTTCGTCCCTCCTTCTCCCATCTCTGATAGGCCGCTAAGGTCTCCTCCCGTATCCCCTCGTTCACAACAATTCAGCACTCAGCCGCCGTCTTCGCCGCTTGCCCAGCAATCATTCAATGGCACCCAGGCGAAGGACCACCCGCTGGCGTCTGAATCGAACCTGCCACCGCCACCAGATAGGCGCACATTGGGCTTGTCAACTGGGTCACAACTGTCGACAGCATCATCTGGTTTGGGGTCTTTCCCCTTCCAGATCGACGCTGGCACAGTCCCCCAAATTAATAATAGATCCAACTCCCAAGCTCCCTCGTCGAACGCCCGACAGCGTGCCAGCCTTGATACACTCGCACTCACCAGCGATCTATCATCGTACCCACTAGAGTTCGAAAGTCCCCGACCCCCACTTCCATCGCAGCGTTAAACGGCAAGCGTGCTTGCCCTTGTGTATCAAATTGTCAACCATGTACACTTCATCCCGCATTGATTGTCTCTTCCGATTCTTATATCTATATATACCACTTGCTTGCAAGTTAGTTCGCTCTTTACTTTCTTTCTTTCTTTACTTTTGCTAGGGTTGTTGAATATGTTGACGTATTTATTGGTTGAACGATGTTTGCTGCTGTCTAGTGTGTCGTTTCTTGAATAGTTATACTAGTAGCCGTTCGTCCACTATAGACTCGAGATCAAGATCATCCTCGAGCTGCAAAATCAAGATTGATTGATTTGAAGCTGCACAGCGCGCGGTCCTGAGTTATGAGCGGCTAATTATAACGTACTGGACAGCCTCCTGTCCATTCAGGTAGCACTGTCCATCCCAGTGACCCCCACGACCCTTTGATAGAGAGCAACCCGCAAGATGGACAAAGAAGTTCAGCAGCTGGTGGAGATGGTGTGTACGCGCTCCACTCGCTTTAGCATACAATTGAATGCAGGATCGCACAGGGAGCCACAGTCGCGCAAGCGCGAGCAGCTCTTAAGCAGTACAAAGATGTTATGCAAGCCGCAGAGCGCATCTTTGATGGCCACTTCGACAACGTCGTTGACGACGATGGGGATGTACGCATGGCAGCAGAGCCTACGAGAGTCGTCAGGCCTAATGTACGTCGTTGAAAGTCTCGCGTATACAACGCTAAGTCTGGTTGCAGACGCCCGGATCCGAAGACGATGCTATAGATGTTGACGAAGATGATGATGGCGAACTGGATGATGATGATGAAGGTATGTCCTTTCACTATTTGATGCAAGTCCAGTATACTGACCACCAGCATAAGGGGAGGATTACGCGGACTACGACTCTGATTACGATGCCAAACCTACCAATGGTGGGAAGACAGATGCAGCCGACCCTTACGCAGGTAACATACTGAAATGAGTGCCTGTCGTTTCGCATCTGACGGTCGCAGGTATATTCTTCTCGAAGGACCGTCGCGAAGAAGTCATCGAAGTCGATGAAGATTCGGAAGTCGCGTTCATTCCGGAGGCAAATGAACCCGTCAAATTGATGACGCAGGGTCAATGGATGAAAGGATGCCCAGAGGGAGGAGAGCAGAGTTTCCTCTTCGCCCTCTACACCGAGTTGACCCATGGCCCATGTCGCTGCCCTCAAGATTGTGGATCTTCTGTCACGAGGAAGAAAAGTGACTTCTTCGCCATCTTTGTGAGTGAATGTTATGTCTGCTATTCTGACGCTGGGTGTGACCCTTGTTATCAAGTCCGATTTCTCGACATACATCGAGCATATCCGAAAGATAGTCAGGCAGCAGTGCCCACGCTGTCAGTCGGAATTCTGCTTCGCATGCGGGGAGTCTGTCTCAGCGGACAAAGGGAAGAGGCCGGGTATGGGCTCGGACGAACCACTATTCCACTGCTCTAATCTACAAGGGGTCATTTTGGGTGTTGGCCTCTTCATGTTGGAACAGATGTACTACGAACAGGTGCACGATTCCTCGAGCAGCTCAGATACCCAGCCTCGGAATAACAAACGTAGGAAAGTCGATAGCTCTGGCACCCGCGTATCATCTCATTCGAGCACCCCAGTCGATGACGACGACGACGTCTACTACGCTACTGTTCAGGGAAAGAAAGCTAAAGGCGGAACTGGGTACGCAGGCGATGTAAAGGAAGATGTGAGATTCTCTTCCGTTCCTGTCAATATCCTCAGCTAAATATTCCAAGACGACTGGGCAAATGCAAGCTCTCGCCAACCAGAAAGCTAAAGACGAGAAAATCGGAAATCTACTTACCAGCATTCGGAATTACCTACCTTCGTTGCATCGAGAAGGCGGTGCCCGTACAAGCGATTATCTTGTCCATCCTACGGCTTTGGCTCACCTAAGAAGAAGGTTTAACGCGATATGCAGTTCCCTCTTGAGAAACGACTCTCTTGCGGACATGTCCGATCGCTCTGTATTGTACTTTGAACTTTTGGAATGGCTAGAGGTAGGAGGACGGTTTCAAGGTCATACTGAAGATCGGAATTTGACCGAGTCCCGTTGTAGACTATTAGCAATCACGAAGCACTGGCTAGCATGATGGCCATGCCTATCATGGCCGTTGTCTCCTCGAAGGAGAAAGCACCAGAGGGGAAGTCTACATCCAAGATTCGAGAGAAGATCATTATCTACGAAGGGAGCTCGGGACCACGCGAGTTACTTGAAGGAATTGCCATCCAGGCCCAAGCAGCCCTCAAAGGCCTGGAAGGCATGAAACCAGCAGAAGTGCAGGAACAGGAGATGACCGAGGAACAGAAACGTATGACCAACGATACGAAGGGGAAGTCCAAAGAAACCGCGCAACCTGTTTCCGAAGAGAACATGAAGCTCCTCAGCTTTTGTCGGCGGATTCTTGCTACGACCAACGCCATTGACAGATCTCTGCGCGAAACAAAGGGCGATGCTTTCGTCGACCGACTACATGCATCGCTGCCGAAGGTATATACCTCATCCGCTGAAGAGCTTCCGCGAGTTGATGCGGGTGCAACGGAAGAGAGCGCCAGAAAAGCGTACATGGAGTGGGCAACTCGCGTTCGCTTCGAGTATTGCGACCTCACCATCCCACCGGAGAACGCCAAACCAGACGAGGATCAATCACCGAACTACAAATTCTACTACAACAACGAAGCCCGCATGCTCGCGAATTCCGATATACCGAAGCGGTCTTTGGCCATTGCGAAAGAGGTGACCATATTCACGCCCGATTGCGCGTATTGCACTCAATATCCTACTTACAGCTTGCCATTCTCACCACAAATTTACCTGTGGCATGGGACTCTTCTATATTTCTGCGCGTAGATGAGAGTCGAGTGGATGTGATCAAGGCCCTGATCACCGGCCCAGAGGGCACTCCGTAAGTTCCACCGCATTCTCATTAGAGCTTCTATCTAAAGCGAAGCTATTTGGAGTTATCACAACGGCTGGTATGATGTTCGTTTCTGCTAAACGTACAGCCGTGTTGATCATCATTTTAGCTATCTCTTTGATATCTTCCTTGGGTCTAGCTACAATCAGTCACCACCAAGCGTCAAGTATATGACGGTATGTGCTTTCGTTGTATCATAGTAGACACCGCTGATGTATACCGGAACGTAGACAAATGGGGGGAAGTTCCGTTTCAATCCCAACCTCTATGCTGTAAGCTTCACTCCTTGCCGCGACGTTCTCGTCTATTCATGGTGACCAGGATGGGAAAGTATGTTTGTCATTGCTGGGCACATGGTCGGGTCCAGGTTGGGTTGCTGGCAGGTCAACCCTGCTCCAAGTCAGTAATGTGTATCGTCCATGGCCTTCTTGATCTGAATTCTTTCCCTAGGTTCTCATTTCCATTCAATCCATGATCTTGTGCGACGAACCGTATCTTAATGAGCCTGGATGGGCATCCAGCGGAGGCACGCCTCAGTCCCAAGCCTGTAAGCCACATATACATCTTCGCCGTCTTGGTTGCTAAATATGTTCTAGACTCTGCTAATATTCGTCGGATGGTTGTCAAGACTGCCGTAAGTCATCCCAACCAACAGGCTAGACCTTCAAGCTTCAATATTCAACGTCTTACCCTTGATTCTAGATGCTAGGCAACCTAAAGAACGCGCCCGAACCTTTCGCAGACGTCATTCGTACCCACTTCCGGCTCAAGGCCGAATCGATTAAGAAGCAATTAGACGTCTGGCTCGCGAAAGACGACGGCAAGGTGACCAGCGGAGACGGTGGGTACAACGGCATGGCCAAAGCCGACGCGACGGGCAGCAGCAACGGGTTTCTGAAAGACATAAATGAGATGAAAGCAATGCTAACACAACTGCAAGAGACAAAGTAGTTCTTAATATGTGCCAATACTACATCAAGCTTCAGGCAGGTCGAATTTTGCGGTCGTTTTGCTGTTGCTGGGTTATTTACTCTAACCAAAGGAAATGATATATGCTGGCAGCTGCAGTATGAGGCTCAGGTGTTCAGACTTCATTTACATTTACGCACACTTCCGCTATTCATCTTGGTCCCTGCTGGAAGTCAAGTAGACTTCACTAATATGGTAGGATGTAATGTACAATCTCTACAACTAAGTTCTCTACAGCGCGTCCTTTATTTGTTCAGAACAGGGGTGATCGCCTGTGTTGCACAAGCTTGTAAGTGAAGGGAAGCATGTAGTTCGTATGTTTGTTTTGCGTACCTTCTTGGTGATTTCATAGATGCGACGTTGTGACGCGAACAAGATGGCAGCGGTTAGCACACTTTGGATGAGTTTGCTGCCGATGCCTTTGTATAAGCCCTCTAAGCCCTCTTCGCGGATGATCGTGAGGAGGCCGTCCAAGGAAGATTTGTATTTGAGGGCGCTAGCTTGACCCGCTTGCAAGCGACTCTTCACCACGCTAATTATGATGTCAGAAATCAGAAACCATTCGAAACAAAACTGCAAACATGTATGGGTAAGTCAACGAAGTGGCAACTACAGGCGCGTAAGCCAACTGGACCGTGAAACGAGGGAGTATTTGACTTACTAAGCTTCGACAAGGCTCCCAAGAAGAAGAAATCCATGTCGGTAAGTACGGCAACAGCAACAGCGCCAGCGGCCTTTAACTTAGCCGAGCGTGATTTCACTAGTTGATTCTTCAGCTGCTCGAAGACCGTATATTGAAGGACTGGGTTGATAACGAGGACCAAAGCAGGTCCAATCCCTCTCCAGAAGGCTCTGACATTCATCAATTAGCTTGGTAGAGACGGGGTGCGGAGATCGACGGACTTTATGCCATCCTTCGCAAAGATATTCTTGATGGTCTCCGCGATACCCAACTTTTTAGAGGATGTGCCAGGTAGAGCGGAGTCATTCTCCATGCTCTGCACGGCTTGCGACGTCTGTACCACCCATATAGGGTTGCTAATGATCGTGGTCGCGGAACCTAAATCATCGGCAGATCAGTATCATGCGGGTTGGGTGCAGATTTTGGACGCTAACCGGCGATGACACCAGCGAGCATTGACTCCAAGGTGGTGAGCCCCTTGCTGCCAGTCCGCGAGTTGAGTATGAGACCTCGAGATCGCTCATAGAAGTAATAATACACCCTGAAAGTTGAAGATGAGATATGTTGCATTTGAAGTATTCCAACCACTGACCCATTAGTGACGGCGATGCCCAATAAACTGGAGCTTAGACCACTGTACAAGCCAAAGACACCTTCGCGCTTGACTATGTCCAATACGGCTTGGTACGTCGACTGCAGGGAGTCCGGTCAAATCTTGCTACTTCGAGGAGGATCCTGATAAAAACCTTTGACTCTTTCTTCGTCTCCACTGCCGCCCGCGTTGACAAAAAGATCAATGGGCTGCGAAAACATGTCCAGTGGAGAACGCGCGTGATACGGGGGACTCACTATGTCGCGGTCATTGCAGCGACGCCGCCAGCAGCGCCTGCAGCAGCATGAATGAATGAGTCGCTCATTGTTGTCAGGAATGAAGTTGGGGAAAGGGAGTCGACAGGGGCCGTCACCGGTCAAGTACCTTCGGATTCGGCAAATGGGCACGTTGATATTCACATGCCATTTCAGCAGCGTCTAGTCACGTGCCCGCAAGGGATCTCTTCTCCCAAAACCATTATTACGGCACTCAAGAGCTAGATAACATCACCCCCGGTAGCTCAGTTGGAAGAGCGTGAGACTGTAACGGGTTAACAAGTTTATCTCAAGGCCACTGGTTCGATCCCGGTCTGGGGGAGTGATGAAAACCGCCGTGTTTTTGACGAAAACCAACCCGCCATCTTTCCTTTTGACCGCCATGTCCTCAAAACTGTCCATGCTTCTGGATGCCGGCTCAGTGCTTGTTGAATCACAATCACCTACCCAAAGTGACCTCAAAACTATCCTCCAATCTAGGCTTGTTCGGTACCATGAACGTCGCGGAACCCAAGCCACGACTGATGCCTCGGATTCTCTGGACAAGATCGAACGCGCTACTGCACTCGCATCTCTGGACGTCGTTGAAGGAGTCCAGAATATGATTGGTGCAGAAGGTGATCCAGACGACATCCCAGCCATTGGCACGCGCGATCTTGCACAGCTGCGAACGCTCATTTCCATTACAATCAAATGGGGGATCGACCCATTGCTAGCGAAGCTGAAGTCGTCCTGGCCAGCTAAAGCCTTCCAAGCTTCTGCCCCGTCGCCTAAAATTGTCGAAATATCTGACGTTGCCGAAGACTTTGCTTTGCTCTCGTCAATGACACTTCGTTTCATGGGTTTGCTGTTTCCTAGCGGACCACAGTCACCATTGCCACAGACGTTGGTCACTACGACTATCCTCAGTAGGCATGTGGGGCAGATACTTTCCCCTTGCATTGCTTTGGGCTGGTTGCCGAAATCTTTGAATTCTGGCGAAGCAGTAGCTGTGGATGCCTTACGACCGCTGACCATGCGTTTGCTCGCCGTGTAGGCCTTACTGCCTCATCAAATACACGCACTCTGTCTAATACAATTTATTTTGAAGTCTCCCTCCGTCACAAGCTATCACTGCCCTAGGTGCCGCTCTCTCTTCTCATCGCGAGGTTCCCCATATTCGGAGAAATTGCGTGTACCTTTTAGGACGTCAGATTTTGCGTCCTTTCGGTGTAAGAGGCCTATTTGCAGCAGTGTTGGGAGAAGACGAAGGTTCAGAAGGTGAGATAGGGTTAGAACAACTGGAACACATTGCGCGAGTCCTCGGTACGGTTCCAACAAACATGAAGGACGAGGCAAGTGAATCCGTACCCTGAGCTATGCTCAGTCGCTGATGCTCTGACTTACCGTAGGAATTCTTCAGTGTCACCGTACCCCAGCTTCTTGCGTTGATCCAAGAAGTCAAGTATCCGCATTACCGACAGGCCGCAGCGTTTGCTATATCTCGACTTTGTGACACCCCTGCAGCATCCAAAATCATCCTTTCTGCCATACACACGCCGCTCCTCATCCCCGCTTCAAGAGGTTCGATCAACGAGTTCAGTGCCGAAAAATCCCTATCAACACTCATGACCCTCGTTCTGAACTCGGACCCTTCTCCAACGCTGATATCGACGTTGATATCTCCCATATTTCCGGCACTGTATTCCCTTCTATATCATATGGAGCAAGTCAAGACCTCGGATCCTGAGCTCGTGGAATCGTTACGAGGCCTCGTCACGACCTGGGGCAGGGTAATCGGACAGGAAGAAGGACTGAGTACGTCATGGTATCTGATACACAGCGATAGGCCGGGCTGGCGCGTCGATATCGAGGGTCACATAGAAAGGCTAGAGACGTGAGTGGGGAACAGAAACGCAATGTTAACCGGACTACTGACATCACCGTCGTAAGGACTGACGAACCCACTGGCCTGTCACTATTAACACCAGAAGATCAGGCGAACGTCGAAGAAATGGACGAGACTGCAAATATCCTGAACCTGTTCCCTGATCCTGCGCATTTCGTTCGATTTCTCAAGACTATCGACCGGTCGGATATCACCTCTGATTTATTTGTGAGATTACTGGAGTCTTATCGGGAAGCGAAAGCTAGTGACGAAGATCCCCTCAGGTGAGCTTTCCATTCCATGTCCATACCTTTGTTGCGAGTGGGTTGACAGTGCGTTTCTCCACTAAGGACTCTATTATACTTGCAACTCGTGATGCAGCTTCAGACACAATCGACGACGGGCAATACCTCCACTGGAATCCTCGCAAAACCCTCGCATATCCTGTCCTTCGTCAAGCATGCGTTGGAATCTGCCAACGCTCCGATGCGACCTGCTCCGTCTACGCGTAGGTCCCCTAATATTCTGGAACCAAAAGGACTTGGTTTACATGGGCTACGAATCGTGGACGAGGTAGAGGCGCAGGAGGTGACGTTAGATGGAGACAGCGACGACGAAGATGAAGATACCGTGTCTACTGCCCCGGACGACGAGATAACAGAGACTGCGATAAATCTTCTGCTCTCTATACTTGAAGGTACAGAGTCCCTTGTACATTCTGTGGCGCTTCGTTGTGATCCTGAATCCCAATGGCACAGTGCACGAAGACCTCTCCGCGTGTAACGAACCCTTACTCGACGATATTTTCACCTTACTAGAACCGCTAGCCGCAAATGACAAGTCACCGTCCATCAAAACATTAGCAAGGGAATGTCGAATGGTGATGACTGCACGTCTTGCGTCGACGTCAGCGGCCGGGGCATCACGAGTAAGAAGGGGCGAGGAGGAAGAGGATATGCACGCGACTTACCAAAAAGCCTTGAAACTCCTGCAAGACCCTATATTACCAGTACGAGCCCATGGCTTGCTTCTCCTCCGCCAGTTAGTGACGCCAAAACGATCCTCCTCGACTTCAGTACCACAGCATAAACCACAGTTGGATCCCGCGCTCATGCCTTCGATCCTCTCCATCTTCCTGCAGTCTATCCAAGACGACGACTCGTATATATTTCTGAATGCGGTCCAGGGCTTGTCAGCGATGGTGGAGACAAATGGCAAAGACGTTTTGGGTTCTCTAGTGAAGATCTACTCAACTGGTTTGGACGGGTTGGCAGCGTCCGTCTCGACGAAGCATGATGTAGATACGAGAATACGAGTGGGTGAAGCGCTGGGACAGGTTATACGACGGTGCGGAGACGCGTTGGGCATCTACGGTACGCTAAATCTTCCTGCGAAAGTAAGGAATAACATATCTGACGGCGTCATCAGTCGACACCTTAGCACCACCGATATTTCATGTCTTCCGTTCTTCCCACCTCCCTACGACTCTTAGGACGTCTGCACTCTCTTTGCTCACCGAATGCGAAAATACCTACTCGCTGGCTCTCATCCCTTATACCGTCGACCTCGCCGACAGCATGATCGATCTATTGCAGCTCGAAAGTGTTTCAAATACGCAACCACCCAAACCAACGAAACCTGAGCAGGGCGTTTCTCCAGAACGCCAGCGAAGTCGCGATACAATGGATGATCAACCCACGTCGACCAATACAAAATTTCCGCCTCTCAGACGAGCGGCGTTGCATTTCCTTGCCATTCTCGCCCGTGCAACTACGAAGCTGGTGTATGATGGTGTTCTCGAGCGCCAACCATTTCCTCCAAGATTAATGCAGCGTGCCAAGACGACTTTGGCGTATGTTGCGTCTGTCGATAATGATAATATAGTCAGGGTGATGGCGAGGGAAGCGGGGGAATGTCTGGCGCAATTAGAACAAGCAGAACTATAAAATCCATGTTATAGATCACCGATGAGGAGCCTGGTGAACGTACGGTCGGTTTGCGCATTATCGTTAGGAAGTCGGAGCACCGCCCACCACCCTAGTTATCTCATCCACCTTCTTGTTGAAGCCCTTCCACTGTTGACTGTTAAGGGCCAGGTAGGGCGATGGGTCGCTTGTACCGTCAATCAACTTGAGAAATGGGTTGGATATAGCGGAGTAATAGGCCATGTGGAGGGCCTTGAATATCTGCGGTACAGACGTCAAGCTTTCTGGTATGCATGGGTTGTATATTGGAACGCACGGTCGTGATTTCCAGGTCGCGAACAACGGCGTCGGAGAGGGCAAGAGCCAGTATGATCTTGACTTTCAACGGAGTTATATATCCATAGACGGCAACATCCTCCATTGTATACAGCAGCCCAAGGTAGCACTCAGTCATCTTCCCCCCGGCGGCAACTGAATTGAATTTGACCGTAAGCTACACGTTGGGCACTATTATCTCTGTAAGCTGACCTCTTTCTTCGATCACATCTAAACTGGTGTGCGCGATATAGTGATATTTGATGGGATGCTCTTGCTTAGAGAATGTTCTGATGAGTATTGGGTGATTCTGGGGTGACACGAAGGCCACGGCGTTGATCTTGAGTTGAGGTGCCATGGAAGCAACATGGTAGGAAATGTTCTGAGCCGTTCGCTTGAATGTGGCTGTGTCACGCCGTGAGATAGTAAATGGTAATGGTCAAGTAATGGTGTCGGTCACTGCCAACTACGTTCAAAACGTTTCCACAGCGCCCAATTCAATGGCTGAAATGATAATACTAGGTTGTATACTAGCAGTGAGTTGTCCGTTTCTGAATAGGATGAAGGATATTCAGTGTGCCAACGTCATGTAGAAGGAAGACATCTCAATGTGAAATACTATCATAGCCGATTGGCCTCACGAGGCAGGCCGACCCCAATATCTAGGGGACGCTGAGAACCGACGGTGTGGTTCTTGTCAGGTACCACTGCGGTGGGATGTTGGGATTTGGTCGGTTGGTCATCTCAGACTTTGTTTCTGCCATCTTAAAAGCCTTTAGTGCCTAACGGGTTAAGTGTGCGAGTGAGTACGTGCGCTTTCTTTCGCCAAGTACAAAAATTACAGCAAGTGTCTGGCCAGTGGCCATCACATTTTACATTTACGGCCTTACCGCATGGGATACTCGTGGGTCTTCTAGGACGCTTGTAACGGAGTTAGACCAACGTATTCCTCCAATCTACAAGGAGTGAACTCCCCCTCGCTGGCGCCCATAACCCCCTCCGTGACGCAATCACCGACCAAAAGTCTGGTAGTATCACCACCCAAGTGGTCAGGAACTTGCTGCTCCGTCTCTTCGATCGTTCGACATGTCTACATCTCCGTTGACTGTACCGATGAGAAAAGAAGCCGCCAGTGGTGGGAGTAGACGAGCTGCGCTTGCCCCATTCTTGAATTCGCACATGTGGAGTGCGATACTTCACTTGTAACAGCCTTAGGGATGTAGCCCAGTACGGTACTACCACCCGCTCGACTACGTGTGGCCGTCTGACCTTACTCTCACGCTACGTCGATACTTCGCGCTTGCTGATGTTCCACGATATGCGGCCATCCGCTTCCATGGGTTTGGATTTCTTCTGATCGTACTCACCTTTATTTCCGCGTCGATTTCTGAGTCAGCTCACTGTTCTGTGTGCCACTCCGTCCTAATTATCAACGCAGCCGAAACTCTCCAGGGCACCGGTTATACGTACCCAAACCCACGGGAAGACGAGAAAGCCCGGTTATATGGTTTCTGATTCTAATTTTGCTTCCAGGTTCGTCCTATCGCCTAGATTGACATTGGCCAATTGATCTCTCAGTTACGCTAGAGGACAAGAAGAACGGCTGATCTAGTATGCAGTCGGGCATAAACTGTTCTGGAAAGAATAACAGCTTCGCGTTTAAAAGCAGGCTCTTCGGGGTGAAGCTGAAATCATCCAACTGCCCCGCTTTCTACATTTGTAAGGATGCGAGTGCTCCAAGTCTTGGGCTCTCTGGCCAGTTTACTCGCTGCCACCCAGGCTGTCAACGTGCCATACGACCCCTCTCCATTCCCTGCGACAGGTTACATCACAGCGTACGTCTTCGATGCCCAATTTCTTTCCCTTGCTCACTCGTGTATCTAGTGCCACCGTGAATAATGCCTCCGATATTCTTTCCGGCGGCACGATCACAATAAATGGCGTCACCGTCGTTGTTCCGCGCAATCTTCTTGTCAACACGCCTTCCCTTACTGCTGTCGCTTGGTCTGAACTATTCAAACCCGATGGCACCATCGACCTCCCTTTATGGCCTGAGGTCAATTGGGAAGCAGCTGTAAGGTTTACCTAGTTAATGACCAACGTATCTTTCTGATTAATCAATCACAGATGTACGCTAATTACATCGGCGGACAACATGTAGCTGGCATCATCTATATATTCCAGGAAGTCGGTAATGCCAACGCCGGGTTCATCACCTCCATCGATTATGAGAAGGGTGAATTTCGCGTTAGTGGAAGTATTGGTGATGCCACCTCTGGTAGACGAGTTGTCATCAACGACCCGAGTACGTCAGGGTCCTATTTACCGGGCAGTATACTCAACCATTTCCTACTAGTCGGTCGGTTTGGCAAAGTACATGGGGATTGGCCACTTTGGTCAGCCGATACCGAAAGTCCATCCGTCCAAGCCTCTACAGGGTTTCCTGTTTGCCTTCCACGTGCTGACCCCGCTGTCGAAGACGACCCCCTTTGCCCAAAGAAAAACAGGCCATTAGACAGCAATGGGCAGCCGCTTACAGGCTTGTAAATCTGGCTGATGTCTGTCCTAAAACTGTAACATACTGACACTAAATTTAGCACCTTCGACCCACCACCTGTCGCTGAAGGCAGGCCCGACCCGAACTTATTCGCTCCGCTCATGGTTGGTGCGTTCCTGAAGAGTACATGTATCTGGCTACCTCTGATTGCCCCCCCCTTCAGGCGACTTCATCATCTACAGTGGAACGACGGTTCCTGACGGAGACGATACAATCATTGCTGCTTACTCAATAGAGGCCAACCTAGGGCTATATACAGCTCACGGAACGACGTGAGATGATTGACCTTCTGGCCTTTCCCCTGTCTAATCTTGTCGCGCAGTCCCGCTTATCTTCGCATCGAGACCCTCCAGGCAGGTATCAATGGCAATCCAGCCGGTGAGATCGCCGAGACCCGTGTATGTTTTCTCTCCATGACCGCTCCTGTTCATCGCTAACGCATGCTACCTCTTCCCTTAGGTCGAAGGATACATTACCGACGAAACGGCAACTATTCAAATATTTGCCATTGACGTAGACCCTTGCACCGGCAAGGAATCTGAGCGATCGTGGGGCACAGCAGTTCCTCGTCAACAAGGCCGCAGAGGGCAATGGTTGTTCCGTTCCTCCGATACATCTCTCTCTCCGTATACTCGCGAAGTTGGAGCTCGGATTGCCGGTGGTGCGATTGCCACCCCGAATCAAATCATGGCCGGGCAGTATATATCCCCGTACCCCCCCGCACCAGACGGCATCATTTGGCCCGAACTCAACGTATTCGGCGATCCGCAGATACCTCACGAATTCAACTTGCTTCCGTTTTTGGCACAAGGCAGTGGCCCATGGCTAGGCGGGATTCCTGGTAAATCTCAAACGGCAACTGGACCCATTGTAGGGCCGCTTGATCCTTGGCCAGGTGAGTGGCATTGCTAGTGAATATTGTACATTATCTCATTGTGTGATCACGAAGGCGTTGGTTCTCGCCCTGCTGCGGTCAACTGCCCTGATCCTTTGGCACCAATCGCTTCAGCTGGCATGGACCTGACCGTCTTTACAGGAACTCTAGTTACTTTGACTGGGTCTACGAAAAACGACATACCCCGTAAGTGCCGCCTTCTGGGATTTCCTCGGATCTTATACCTATGGCTTGCAGCCGATGATCTCTCCTTCCTTTGGTCCCAGATATCGGGGCCAGCGGTCAGCCTGAGCAGCACAACCAACGCCACGACGAGCTTCAACGCGCCTAGTGTATCAACCCTCACCACAGTAATGTTCCGCCTCGTCGTATCCAATCCCCGCGGAAATAGCAGCGATACGGTTATGATTACGGTTAATCCATCTCAAATAGACCATGTAAGTAGCCGCGCATCCCCCTCCCCTCGGACCAACTTGATGCTCTACCTAGATCTCGTTTGAAGAAGTGGACTGGCAGAGTGGAAAAGGCTCAGGCATTTTGACGGTCATCGCGTCAACCGATTCGGTGGTCTCCCAATTATTTATGTCGGTTAGTAAAGATTCTGACCTTAGTGTTTCCGGTATTAACGATCCCGCTTGCCCGCTTGTTTGTAGGCCACGAACCCAGATATCGCCTTAACCCCTATGTCGCCTCTCGGAGGTGGCAGGTTCCAGTCTCTTGTCACCATTAAGCCGGCTCCTGAGAGAGTGACAGTGACGTCGAGTTTGGGAGGCTTCGCGAGTACGGTGGTTCCATAGCCTACTGTGCTGAACGCTATTAGAAATCGTGATATAGCGTGGGGGTTTATTTGTTCCAGAGCTTGACACGGAAAGCAAACATCTCAATAGGCTTTATTTAAACTGAACAAGAAACAATCTTCCAACTCTAGCCCGGAATCCTCGAGCCAACCTCGATCATGGATTGGCTGCACCCGCCCGACGTAATTACCGTTTCGGCTCTCGTAAATATGGCCGCCTGGCGAAATGGCATCGCGTCTGACTACGAATCAGGAGATTGCAGGTTCGACCCCTGCGGTGGTCATTGCAGCGTGGCTTGTTTCTACAGAAGCAATTCACTTTTTGGAGGTACCGACTTATCCTCAAAGTTGGAGTTGAAAGACAAAGTTTTGGGATGCAGGCGATGTTACATCATATCCCGTTGTCTTCCTGGCGTCGGGATCGTCCTAGTGCCATTGGTGACCTAGTGACGCAAATACGTATCCAACGCAGCCAAGCATCGATGACTGTGGCGATTGTTATACAACAGCAAGTACAGCTAACTATCTACTCAAATACTAGATTTCACGCTGCTTAGGCACCGGAAACAGACATCTGCGAGACACCCTCCGTTACCTCAGACAGCCTGCCTTCAAGAAGCTTGGTAACCTAGAAGGGAATTTAGTAACCGTAAAAGATCCCTCAATAGCATGGGCCTACCTTTCCAATAGCAATGGTCCGGCCTGTGTAGAAAATAGATGAGAAAAAAGAGGTTTGTCTGTAGAGAGTAGGGGTTGCGTACCTTCGTCTCGTAGGGTGAAACGTCCAAGTTGCGGGTAGTCCGCGAACCGCTCAACACATACCGGGGCGGTTGTTTCTATCAGCGCAACAATCTTTTGACCTACAGAAAGTCAAGGAATTGAGGCGAAGGAAATATACGGATGTCATACCTTTCTTTGCGAATTGAGGCGGTTTCTTGGACTTTCGTCCTGTGGCTTTATCGAAGTAATGGAGCAGAGCCTAGCAGGGCAATCAGGATTTATCAAGAGGAGGGTTGTTTAGTGCATACAGGCAACGTCACTTCCTCTGCGAGCGTGTGCACATGCATCACAGCCGAATATCCAGCGCAAATGATATTCTTGTGTTCCAGGATAGCAAGCTGGGCTTCGAAGCGACTGACGGCGTGAATCGGTTTATTCGGACTCGTAAGCACGAATCCAGGCGTGATATCCTCATCGTCGACACCGCGCAGACGGATGCGGACGTTGTCGCCACACATCGCTGAGTTAACCTCCTCTTCCATTTCGTTGTACATGGCAGCGATTTCGACGGGTTCCCTGTTAGGCATGAGGACGAGGTTGTCGCCTTTGCGGATGTGCCCGGATTCGATTTTGCCAACGACGATGGTGCCCATGTCTTTATATTTCTCGGAGATGGGCATCATGAGCGGGGCGTTGACCTTGCGATCGACCATGGGCATAGCATCCATGTGTTCGAGGAAAGACGTTCCACTGGGAGGTGGCTTGGTTGAGCTAACTGGATGAGAGAGACTGAGAATTAACCTACGTCCACCATGGAGCAACTGCCTTGGGCACACGATCCTTGAGATTGACCCCGGTGTAAGCTGACACGGGTATGAAATGGACGTCTGTCTTGGGATTGTATCCCGAGGCCTTAATGAAAGGTATCAAACGGTCCTTGATCTCGTTGTATCGAGACTCCTCCCAATTCACGGTGGGGTCGTCCATCTTATTGATAGCGACAATCAGTTTTGACACACCTGCTGTCTTCACCAACATAATGTGCTCCCGAGTCTGACCACCTCTCTCGAACCCTGTTTCAAACTCGCCTTTGCGAGCTGAAATGACGAGAATGGCGACGTCTGCCTGGGCGGCGCCGGATATCATGGAGGGGACATACGTTTTGTGACCGGGCGCATCGAGGATGGTGTAACGTCGGGCTGGCGTCTCGAAATAAGCACGACCGACCTCGACGGTCTTGCCCTTCGATCGCTCTTGGGTGGTGGAGTCGAGTGCCCAACTGAGGTACCATGATTCTCTGCCTGCTTCCTTCGCCTCGCGTTCAAGCTTCTCCATCGTTCTTTTGTCGACCATACCCGTCAAGAAGAGAAGGTTACCGCCCATCGTACTCTTTCCAGCATCAACATGCCCGACGAACACAATATTCAAATGCTCTCTCATTCCTTGAGATCGAGCACATAAATTCATCCGAAAATATAAGAATTTGGCCACCACTCACCTTCTCCAAAGAGATCCTCCAGAATGGTCTGATCGGCCACTGCATGAACCTCCTGTACGATTGCATTGGTGTCTGTCTTTGCCTTCTCGGTCGTGAATGTTCTTGATGTCTCCGGTTTGGATGGTTTAGCGACGTTCGTTTCGGGTTTTGGTGCAGCAGGTGCCTTTGTCGGGGGAGGTGTTTGAGACGGTGATGGTGCAAGAGGCTTAGATCCCCCGATATTAAGAGAAATTGTAGGCGCGGGGGCGGGAGCCTCGGTTTGCTCAGGTCGTTCGATGGGGGGACCTGGGGTGGGTGCAGGTGCAGCAGCGGGCACCTTGAAAGCTCTGCCTGGAACGAATTCAAAGGCCCCAGCGTTGAGCTTGCTCATGATGAATCAGTTATCGATGGTGGAGGCCGAGTCTCTCCAGGTAAAATTTATATCAGAGTCTGGCAGCGCGCCCGGAGCCGCAAGTCCGTGAATAATATATGACACTGACTGGGTGGCTTTATAATTGACTCTGCACTGAGTCGGATGGGTGGCAGAGTGCCGTGGACAGCTCGAGGGGCAAATTCAATGATTTGGGTAATTGCTTGCGGGAAAAGCTTCGGTTACCGAATTATACAAATAGTGACACCGCAATCTGTTCCGTATCTTCATGCCCTTCGACGAATATCTCGCTGTCCTCAAGGCCTCGTACGACTACGTCCCCCAAACAGACGAGGATGAAATAGCTATCAAGGAGAATCAGATCCTCTTTCTCGTTGAGAAGGTCGACGACGAGTGCGTTCTTGTTATCAACTTCACGTTGCCCATAACCGCAACTGAATCGACACAGCTGGTGGAAAGTAAAGATCAAAGGCAGCACCCAGGATGAAGACAGCCCTGTAGGCCTTGTACCTGCTGCATACGTTGAGCCAGTATGTCGTTTATCCCTGAGAGGATTCAAAGAGGTGTCTCATAAGCATCATAGGCCGACCACATATCGACCGTCAAGGCGCTCTACGACTACGATGCGGCAGCTAATGGCGAACTATCAATGAAAGAAGATGATATATTAGATGTCTACGCATCCGAGGAAGAGTGGCTACTGGTGCAGAGCAAAAGTAGTGGCGGAAAAGCCGGATACGTCCCAGGGAATTATGTAGAGGTACGTTCACCGAGTCCGTAGGTCCGAAGCCCGTACTCAGCTAGGGCTCAGACCATCAGCGACGACGAGGGCTCCGCTTCCTCTGCGCCGGCGCCGCCCACCGTACGTACTCCCTTGGAAGTCGGTGACCCATTGTTAATATCAAGCAGAACTCCCGGCCTATAAGTACCTACGTTGATCCTGCAGACCGTGTCGCATCTGCAAAGGTCACGGCCGACGACATAAAGACCTGGGCTGTATCTGAGATTGACAAGAAGGGCAAGAAGAAGAAGGGTACATTGGGCATAGGGAACGGGGCAGTGTTCTTCGCTAGCGAAGCCGACAAAGTACGCTCAGCTTATCGTTGAAAGCACTCATCATCTCATTTTCTTCAAGACACCAGTACAGCAATGGAAGACTTCGGATATCAATACTGCTACGATTGAGAAGTCTAAGCACATCCATGTCGACATAGGTGGCCCCAACCCGATCAATCTTCATTTCCACGTCGGTTCCAAGGACAATGCTGATGCCATCCGTGCGAAACTCGATTCTTCCAAACAACTTCATAGCGGTGCTCGACCTACCTCTCCCGAGGCCGAGCCCGAGGCCGCTGAACCAGACGCTCAAGACGATTCAGAGGCTTCGCGTCCTTCGGCACTACGCTCTGAGCCAAAGCCCAAGAAGAATGGAGCTTCCGTGCACTTTTCTCCTGCGTCGCCTGCCATCATCCCGCCTCGGGATTCAACTGACGACGAAGCGGATGAAGAGGAAGAGCCCGTACCATCGTATGCTACAAATGGGAAGCACGACGACCCAGCTCCCACCAGGACCACGAATGGTGATGATTCGGCTACCGTTCTGTATGATTTCGATGCAGATGGAGAGGATGAGCTATCAGTGAAAGAGGGCGAACAGTTGGTCGTCTTGGAGAAAGATGGAAATGATTGGTGGAAATGTCGAAATGCACAAGGCAAGGTCGGCGTGGTGCCTGCTTCATATCTTGAGGTGCGTCGGCGTTCCCGCTTGATGATGAGAGCTTACCACGATGTCACTCATCGTTAGTCCGAGTCTGGGCCCTCTACTGCTGCGGCCGATGACACCGAGGATGATGAAGCAAATCTTAGGGCAGAACAGGAAGCTAACGAGCGCGAAGAGGCACAACGACTGGAGAAGGAGAGACTGCAGAAAGAGAAGGACAGGAAAGAGAGGGTGGAGAAGGAGAAGGCTGAGCGGGAAAGAGCTGAACGCGATCGAAAGAAAGCAGAAGCTCAGCAACAAGCGAAGGCAGCAGCCGACGCGGCGGAGAAAGAACGAAGAAAGCGCAAGGAGGCTGCAGCGGCCCGCGCTGCCTCCCCTCCGTCAGAACCTCGGTCCTCCCGATCAGAGAGTACACGCGATTCGCCGCCCTCGACGCCAAATAGGTCTTCCTCTGAAAGGACAACGTGTAAGGTCTTTCTAATAAACCTGAGAGAACTATCTAATGACCATCGTAGTCCCTCCTGCCGACAAAACTCGTGTGTGGCATGATCGTACTGGCCAGTTCCGCGTCGATGCAGCTTTCCTTGGTTTCAGCAACGGCAAGCTACGGTTGCACAAGATCAACGGTGTTATTGTCGAAGTCCCCGCCGAGAAGATGTCTCCGGATGACCTGCGCTACGTCGAGAAAACGATGAAACGATCTAAATCCACTGGCGCTCGAATATCTGAGGATGATATTCCTCTTGCCATGCAACGCCCCAACGGCTCATCTTCAAGTTCGCGCCCGGTGCCTCCTCAAGGCCCGAAGAAGCCTAGAATAGATTGGTTTGATTTCTTCCTGGCCGCAGGATGTGACGTCGACGACTGCACGCGTTATGCCGCCGCTTTTGACAAGGACAAGATCGACGAAGCCATCTTGCCGGACATTACGGAAGGGACGATGCGCTCGCTGGGTCTGCGCGAGGGCGACATTATCCGCGTGAAGAAAGCCATAGAGAAACGGGTTCCAAGCAAGACAATTGGTACGCCTCTTGATCAAGTGCGCAGCGACGAAGAATTGGCCCGGCGTCTTCAAGCTGAGGAAAGCTCGGGGACGTCCAAGTCTCCCCCTAATCTGTTCTCAGCAGGCCCTGGTGGTGCTCTGAAGGCAACGCGTCGCGGTAGACCACAAGCAAGCAAAACGTTGCCGCAGACCGTTGATCTGAATACTATCGCAACTGTCTCAGATCAGATACAGCGCACGAGTTCTCCCCAGATGTTAAGCCCTGCTTCGCTGACGCCGTCGAGCATCCAGCCACCGCCCAGGTCTAGTTCAGCTCTTGCTACCAAGTCGAGCGGCTTTGACGATGACGCGTGGACCAACCGACCTAGTTCTACCAAGCCTGTTGCGCCAACTTCTCCCATCGCCGCGCCCGCACGAGCGCCATCCGCGCCGCCTCCACAAGCAGCAGCTCCTGCCCCGCCAGCTGCCCCTCCGGCGCCCGTCCCTCCAGCACCAGCGGTGGCACCAGCATCGACGTCCAGCGAAAGTCCAGCGAATTTGGCCAAGACAACCGAGGCCGACATCTTTGATCAACTTGCACGGTTGAGTGAGCTACGAAAACAATCTCAGCCCGTCGCTTCGCCGCCTCCCCCACCGCCTCCAGCACCTCTCGCGCCGCAGCACACCATGGTGCGTCCGGGGCCGTCGCCATCGCCCCTTGCGTTCTCGTCTCAGCTTGGACAGCTCCCCCAGGCCGGACAACCTTCTTTCCTGGGACAGCCTCAGCAGGGACAGTCTTCGCCACTAGGACTCCCTTCACTAAACCCAGTCTTCCAGCAACAGACCGGTTTCTTGCAAGCAACACCTTCTCCAGGACCCAGAGGACCCCTTGCGCCCGTTCCCGCCAACCAAAGCCTGCTACAACCACTCATTCCTACGCAAACTGGGTTCGGGGGCTTTGTTCCTGCTCGCCCCAACAACAATCCATCACCTTTCCAACCCCAGCAACAGCCACAGCAGCCGTCATTCCTGAATTCACAACCCACTTCGTTTGGTAATCCTCAACAACCTTCGTTCCTCAATACTCAACCTACTGGTTTCCAAGTAAACGCACAACCGCCTTCGTTTGTCAACACACAGCCTACCGGCTTCCAAGTCAACACACAGCAACCTTCGTTCTCAAATCCTCAGCCACCTTCTTTCGTCAATACTCAAGCTACTGGTTTCCCGGGAATGGGGTCGATCCGCCCTCAAGCTACTGGGATAGCAGGCTTTGGGCAGCAAATGCAAGGCAGCCCTTTCCAGAACAACAGTTTCGGACAGCTTCAACCGAGTTTGTATTCTCATCTCCTCATTTATTTACCATTCTTACGCATGAATCAGATCCAACTGGATTCAACCCTGGGTTTGGCCAGATACAGCAGTCTCCTCCGCCCTTACCCAACTCAAACGCCAATAACAATACATCACCAGCTAATATCTTTGCTCAAATGAAATCTGGGACTTTCGCTACGGAAAATGACTCCAACGCGCAGAATGCTGGTATGTGGTAATTCTACTTGAACTACGAGGTTCCGTTACTGAGATACCTTCAGATCGATACAATGCTTTGCGCACAAATCGTCAGTCCTCCTCTCCTCTCCTTAACTAAGGTCGATTATCCTAATTTAACTCCTTTACAGCTATCGCTGTACAACCCACCGGGTGGGGTGGATTACAGGGGAATTATACTGGTTTCCGCCAATAACCTGCTTTCTCGTGGAATCCAATGGATCATAATTATATTACAGTGCAAATAAGTCATGAGGTAGCCTCTATAATGCCTTGCGTATACCCCACTCGGACGAAATATGATTTGAGGCTTTCTCGGACGTCTGATGTGACATCGCGTGAAAGCAGCTCCGTTGCCAGAGGATAAGTGGCTGGCAGGTATCTGTGGAACTAATTTGCGAGATCGTTAGTGGTGTGGTTGCAGTCGAAGACAAGATGCTTACTGCTTTATCATCGAAATTGCAAAACCCGCCTAAAATTTCGGCGACAACAGGTGTCCACGCTATGATGTTTTTCCCTTGCGAATCTGGCCGTAGTTTACAATAATCCTGAACCACACCGAGTCCAAGCCTAAGAAAGCTGTGAGCAAATTAAAGCACGACGGGTGATGGTGCTTACGGCATTAATCGGTCAGCGATGCGAGGTCTGGCAGTCTGATGTTCTGGTCGGGGGTCATAGTACATTCGAAGCAGGACATGTACTAGCGTTGATGCACTGCTAGACTCTTGTTTGAGGAGATTCGGGAGGTGCTTCATGAACCCTATGCAATGATTAATGCTATGAAACTTCAATTCAGCGTACCACGACTTACCGACTTTCCAGAGACCCGTCCGAAGTTCCTTGTCTTCATTAAACATCCTCGCAAACTGATAGCTTTGGTCGAGCACCCCCATCAAGCGCAGTAGTTGGTCTGGGGGTATGGCTTGATATACCTCGTCATTTCTGAGCAGGTCGTTTGTGGTCTCGATGAGGTGTAACTGCAAGACACATTTTACAATGATCTGTCTGAAGATACGACGGCGATCGACAGCAGACGGCTTCGCTCCTTTGGATTCTTCAGCCGCTTGTGTCAACGGCGCGGGTAGAATCGTTTGCCCATTTGTCTCTGTCCTCCTAATATCATTCAAGGCCAATTGTTGAATGCGAAGAATCGTACCAGTTTCAGGAATCTCTTCTCCCGCTTCATCAATCTCAACCCTTAGCCGCTCGTCAAACAACTGGTGCGGTGTGGTTGTCTTGAAGAGTTTGACGAACGTCGTGATGATGCGCTCCCACTTCACGACACTGAGCTTGTTGATGTTGCCTTCCAACAGTCGTTGCAGGCAAGAGGTTCCAATACGGGCCAGAGTATCGTTCTCTGAAAGAAGGTAAGCCTTCGTGACTCTACGCCACGACCCCCGCACTCACCTTGACATATACAGACACACAATAGATCGAGAAGGCCGTCCAAAAATCTCTCCAATACATCGAAGTAATATGTATACAAGTCGATGAGATCTCGAAGTGCTTGTATCATGGTCGTTGACAACCAAACACTCATATCTTCTTGGGTGCTGAAGCGTGAGAGGTCTTGACTAGATTTGAGGACGGCGAAAATGGGGAAGAGAAGTTCTTGGCAAACCGTGTCCCAGAAATCGACTGGGTAGGACGATCCGTATGTCTTGAGAGTTGTGAACAGCGAGTCTAGAGCCCTGCAGAACGGTCAATGAGAGAAAGGCTACTCTATAAACTGGGGACGTACAGACGCCGGACTTCCAAGTCTTCACCATTCATGATGATGTCGTAGAAACTGAAGAGCACAGGGAACCAGAATCTAATCATAGGATCGTCCGCTGACGGATCCGGTTTTCCATCAGGCGTGAATGAGCATTCCGAGCACTCTAGCATGACAGGAATAACACCTCGAAGCATGGCGATGGCGAGGAGACTGATCTTTTGGTACTTGCTCACTTTACAGAATTCTGTTATACAAACAGTCATATCTGCAAAGGCGCCGTAACGCACGATGGCCGGGAAGTGGTCCTTATTCAAACGAGTGACGATCTCGAAAGCGGAGTTAGCGATCCGTTCTACAAATGGTGATGAGCAACCTAGTTTCCGTATGTATGTCAAGGCCGAATTTACCTGTTAGTACCTTCGACGCAGCAGAAAAGACACCAAACATTGTCCGCCAGCCAGATCTCATGTTTTGAACTCGTGCCTGAATCATTTGCTGAAGGCATTGTAACACCTGCGTCATCGAGCTTCAGAACGGGATCCAGACAAAAATAAATAATCACAAACCATGTCGCGGACTTCAGGGTTCTGATTATGCACCATAGTGTACTCGAAGGGTTTAAGGAAGTCCTTTTGGAACTTGAAATGGGGGAGCTCTTCCTTCTCCAAGAACCTCATAGCAAGTTGACGGAGGGAGTCGAGAGCAAAGAATCCAACATGTGGATTATTATGACAACACACCTTCCCCGCTTTAGATTGACCAATCACAGCACCAAGTAAACACAACTCACTTGATTGAAGTGCTCTCCCAATATATCCCATAGGTTCGACCACTCGAGACGAATACGGTTCATATTGTAGTAAGAGATCTCGACCAGTTTTTGCAAACTAAATAGTCGTGGTTGTTGTGAAAGGCCTGAGGATTGGATCTCTTCCCAAGAAACATCGCTCAATGCTTGGACGAAGTCGACAATCGCCGTCTAAGCCAGGGGTCAGTATAAGGGTCGGCGTTGTGAAGAAGTTCGTACTCCGGAAAGGTAGTGACTGAGAGAGAACACCATGTCCGCCGCTACGGTAATATGTCTTGATCGACTTTCGTTGGCGAGTTCTTCGTTAAGTTTTTTCGTGCGACTAATGAAGTAAATGAGAACCAAAGAAACGAACAAGTCAGAGGAACAAACCCTTTCTTTGGCTCTGGCAAATCCACGCCGCTACTAATCAACTGCATATGTTCAAGTTGACTAACACAGGTCAGAACCTCGTGCCAAGATCCTTTCAGGTTGTTGCCCTCGGTCACAGCGATGTCAAGCAGCGTCTTGATAGCCTCCATATTTTTTGTTTTCATTTCCCCAAGGTTGTTCAAGAAGGTAAACTTGGCGAGAGTCGTCACAAAAGCATTTCTTTCTAGCTCAAGCCCGAAGAAGCAGACTATCCGAATGGCGCTTTTGAAGCCGTCTAAGCACAGTTCGACGACCTCCAGATCGTCCGTATCTTGCAGTGGTCCTGAAAGACCCGCGAGGAATGGGATCCAAGCGACTTCGAACATGGGGCGAACGTGAATGAAGTGGGACGCGCTGAAGAATTGTTCGCCGTGCTTAGATCCTTTGCGTTGTGACCGTACCATGGTTTTGAAGAGAGCCTATCCGCATGCCGTTGAGCGACCATTCCCGAAAAAAGAAAGTGAAATGTACCTCTGTCTTGTTCGCCATACCATTCGATTGGACGACATACGCTTCCTTCTGGAGATCTCTTCCCACATTCGCCAGCGCGTTGGCGAGTCCAGACCCAGAGACGGCAATACTCGGACTATCAACTTCATCCTTCATCTTGATCTCGTTATTCACAATATCGTCGTAGATAGTATGGAGGAATTCCTCGGGAAGGTCGGAATTGTCGTTAATCCCCCGGTTGTTCTTAACGAAGTCGGCCTTTGTCATGCGCTTCTTGACTTGCGGGTTATGAGCATCCGTATTGAGCAAGATGACCGAATAGGCTAATACGTATGCACCATCTATAGAATATACATCAACAACAGAAGCCTGTTGTTTGTCTTGGAACACATACCGGCATTAGCAAAGTCTGATTGTGGGTTGCCTGCAATAAACCGTTCGGCAAATTTCAACATATATCGATCGATTTTTTGAGCTTCTCCGGGGAGACGGAAGGACTGCAGGAATAATCGCAAGGCATCTACGAAGGGAAGGTTCTTGAAATCCAGACGGTCGACGAAAGCATGCATGATAGCGATGTTTTCTTCTTCTCTGTGCACAGGATGTTGAGATACATGGGCGACAAAAAGTATGAGAAACTTACCCCTCTCCAAGGTATTCACCTATCATTGCCTTACTCAGTCCATCCGTGCTTAACAGAAAGTCGGCGATGTCCAGCGGAGCTTTACTCGGGATGAGGCCATTGTCAATCAAGAATTGAATGCCCTAACTCAAACGTTACGATACTAACCCACGGACAATCAAACCACCTACGCGCTTGGGTTTGAAGTTGAACTTCTTGATACCTTCTAGCAGTATAGTCTTCTTCTGCTTCGCGCTCTCAAACTTGGTAGGATCGTCGGAAAGGTCAGGGGTGGGTAGCCGGAAATTATCAACGCTTGCACCCGCCGTCGAGAGCCTACTGCTTGCTGTATCACCCATCCCGCTGTCGGACTTGATATCCTCCCCTGTCTGTGATCGTAAGGATGCTGCCGTCAGTGCATCGTCAGAAACCTTGCTGGCAGTTCCCCAGGACACGAGGGATCTCAACACCGTTACCAGGCATTCTAGCCCCTGTCTCTTCAACTGCCCCTCTGAAAGCCCAAGTACCGAAGTATCCATGGATCCTGAGACCGTGAGGGAAGGGGTGGCGAGTTGGACATGCGCGCCTGGCCCATGGGACTTTGTCGTAGGAGTAACCGCAGGGCTTGTGGCTGGGTCGTTTGGCTTGAGATTCGCTGATGCTGGGTGAGATGCGATCTTGGAAATGATGTTCATAAGGCTAGGGGGTGGTTAGGGACGAGACTACACACGAATGTCCTTAAAACTTACTGCTCGTAGATGTTGTCGGCGGCATCGCTGTCACAGTCGTAGTTGAGGTATATTTCAACTAAAGCCTGGGGCTCTTGGCACAGCCTAGAAAGCATAGCCAAAATGACCGACTTTTGCTTGAGGGAAGACGTCTTCATCTCGAGGATAGGAACAAAGATCTCGTGGAGAAGTACTTCAATCTCTTTCTACGATAAAATTAGATATGCTTCCATTCGAAAACGTAGCACCAACCTTTAACTTGGTTCGCATTCCAGAAAGAACTCGCCAAAAGATCTCCACGCTGACTTCGAACACTTGAGGCACTGAGCTGACCGCATTTCGACTCAAACAGAGGCAAAGATATTGGTTGACGGCTTGGATAAACGTAGTCGCTTCGTGATGCGAACTCGAGTAGATCATAGCAGAAGGGTCCACGAACAACGCCATATGTGAGTCCAAGACGGTCAGAACAAGGTGGAGAGACAGTAGTTTCGACCTCATGGCATGAGATTTGAGGTCCCGTTCACTGATGTCCAGTCAGATCCCTCTAGCTAACGTAGATTCATACGACACACCTTTCATTATTGAGTGGTTTCATGGTCAGCTTACATAGCGCACGGAACACAAGGAAAGCGTCTTTGATGAAGAGATCGTTGACGGTAAGTTCCCGACCTGCAGGTTCTGGTGGTTCCTCCAAGGACTGACGCGTTGCGGGATCGGGACTACTTCAGGGACGAGTTGGACTTAGACGAGAATAGCATATTCAAGTTGCGAACAACTCACGAAGACTTCGTCTGCTCATCATTTTCTTCTGTCGAAACATTCTGAGAGGACTCGCTCGCTGGCTCCTGCTCGCCGGCAAGTCGTTGGGATGTAATATTCGGAGAAGAACTCGAACTGAAGTTCTCCATCCTTGGGGACGGTGTAAACACAGACCTCGATTGGGGAGACGGAAGGTCGGAAGGAGCCACGTTACCCGCAGCGTTATATTTGCATCGAGTGAATATGTGATGCACCATTTGGGTAAGGCCACCCTGGGCAACCATTTGGTTCACAGGATCGTTGCTAAGCAGAAATACGTTGTACACCGTTCTGACTGCTTTAAGGAGCGAGGAGTGATGCACGAGGGTGGTGGGGGAGAGAACCATGGAAAGCAGAGCCTTCACAATCTGTAGCGACACCGTCTCTGGTGTCGTTTCGGTGTGACAAGAAGTGATCGTATGGGTTACGATGTCTACCAGAGAAGGTGGCGAGAGGCTAGCCTGAGAGTCCGAGGGGCCAGCTGGACGAGAAGGATGGGGGGAACCCGGTGGAGACGAGAGTGAAGGCAATGAATCATCGTGATCGGCGAAGAAGGAATAAGACACCAGTTTCGAAATACAGTCCAAACTTGCGATCATGAGCTTTTCGTTCCGCGTCTCGCATGCTAACCTTAACGGTTCAAGAACTTCTCTCGGATGGTCTGCACCCTGGTTAGAGCGCACCAGTTCCAAGGCATGTTGAGTGCTTTCACGGAGGGATGCCGACTTCTTAGCTTCCTTGGATGCTGCTATGGTTTCTAATGCCGTAGAGACAAGCACAACAGAGACGCTGTGGCCTTTGGATATGGTCATAGACCGCTTGTGTGTCGATGATACGGAAGGTGCAAGTGACGGCGTACCGGGGGTCGACGATCGTGAGACAGGGTGTCCATTGGTCGAGATATCATCGAAAGGTGGAGGGCGACGAGGGGTGGTTGGACCTTGTGGAGGTTCCTCCGCGGGTGGGGCTGGTTCATGCTTCGACGGTGGCGGTGGGGGAGTCGGTGAAGTTGGAGACGCTTCGGGTGTTGCCTGGTCGCCTTCGACTTGCGGTTCGGCGACGCGCGCGTCGCCGTTCGATGAGGGAAGCGTAGGCACGCTACCTGCTACATGTTCCTCCTCTTTCACCGTCTGCGAACTTCTCTCAAGAACGTCTTCGCCGTCAACTTGACTTGGGACGTCCTTGTCAATGTAAATCGCGGGCGCTGGCTCGACGGGCGGAGGTGAAGTTGGGAGCGGGATAGAGAGCGCTGCGTCGTCGTCTACCATTCCGAATGCTGCCCGAGCGTGTGAGGAAATCCGGAGGGCAATACAGACCTTGGATGGGAGTTTGGTGCAGAATTGGTGTACGGTACAGTCCCTAGTAAATGCACACGTGAGCCGCGCGTCAGTATGGAACTCAGGAGATTCAGGAGTAACAGGGGACCTACTGGTGAAAGCAGTACCTTCCCTCGTCCGACGATGGTGGTAGGATTGCTTCGCCATTACTATACCGTTCCCCATGTTGTCGTCTGCCCACACTGCTGAGATGTCTTACCTGCCAAAAGAAGTGTCTCTTGAAGTTGTGAGCAGTAATCAATAGCTTGGTCATCGGTGTACCATGTCGTTTCAGGGCAAAGGTGATGGACAGAGTACGGAATGTTCCGAATACGCTGCCTCGACCATGTTTATTTAATGAAAAAGGCGTGTGCATACAAGAAACGTGCATTAGCATTGGCCTGGAACAATACAATAGGGGACATAATCGAGGCAACTGCGTCGCCCACTAAGGTGGCTAATTAGGCATGGGGGATCAATCGACGCCTGCAAGGTGCAATGAGGAATAATTGAGGCCACAAAGCCATCTCCCCACATCTACCCCATGAGTTAGTGTGACGGCAGACTGATGCCTGTTTCTGTAGGAAATACTGACCATATATGTCCCCTTTGCCCAGCAGGTACGGCTTAAAAGCGTTGCTTGAGTCAGTGCAGCTACTACCTATAATTTCAATTCCACAACTTTCGCAATGATGCCCGTACGTCAACAGCGGTATCTTGCTCAGGCAGCGCTGACATGTAAATATACCAGAGGCCACATCATCGCAACTCACCGAGACCATCAAGGGCAGAACGCTTCTACCTGGCTGAGCTTGCTGGAGAAGCCGAGCGATATGAAGACGTCGTAGCTCAAATCAAAGATATGATGGGAAGCTATAACGCCCGCCTCACCATCGAGGAACGCAACCTCTTATGCGTCGCGTACAAGAACATGACGAACAATCTGCGCAATAGCTGGCGGATAGTCGACACCCTCGAACAGATGCAACGAATCCGCGATGGCGACAAACGACATCTTGAACTCACACGCATCCAACGGGGCCGGATCGAAACCGACCTCACAAACTTATGCAAGGAAATCGTATCCCTCCTGGAGCAAAAGCTAATACCTGCGGCAAAACGAGGCGAAGAGTCTGTGTTCTACTCGAAGATGTCAGTCCCCTTCATATTTCCCTATGGGTAACTCACTTGACGCACACTGTGTAAAACAGGAAGGGCGATTACTATCGCTACCTCGCGGAGTTCTCTCAGACGGAGGATAGGGATAAATACGCTGACTCGTCCTTGAACGCCTACAAACTCGCATATAAACACGCCTTAGCCACGTTGGAGCCAGTCCATCCCACGAGGTTAGGCCTCGCGCTCAATTTCTCCGTGTTCTACCACGGTGAGTACCGCAGCTTACGCACCTTCAGTGGTTGGCTGAAATCGGTCAACCAGATGTCCGAAAGAGCCCAGAACGAGCGTGCCATCTAGCCAAGAGCGCATTCGACGACGCCGTAATGTCACTGGATACATCAGATCCTGACGTAGGACAGAATCTACGCGACTCTCTGATGATACTCCAGCTATTGAAGGATGACCTGGTCTTATGGGCGACAGAGATGCAAGACGGCGATTGATGTCTGAACATCTTTCCGCCTTGTATGAGCCGGTGTGAGTTCCGTTATCTTGGTCCGAAGTCATTTAGTGATAGTAGAGGGTTTAGTGCATTACTAACATTGTCATTATGCATTCTCTGTATCCCGATTCGCTAGTCGCCGCTGGCAAACGTTCCAGCAACCAGTAAGGGGAAAACGAGGGTTGCATCCGCGTAAACCTGATGGCCTCTTATCAAGTACCGAAATAAAGCATGGAGTCCTTGCCTACCTTTACGGCTTGTGCGTCAGCACGTATCTTCCCCCAGGAAACGGCTTCGTCCGGTCGTGCGCCAGAATCAGATCCATCAAATTCTTGTCCTGTGTTCTACGCCTCATGTGTCAGAACGTTGTTCGTTCGTAGAAGGCGAGAGAAGCAAATCACAATGAACACTGAGTAATCGGCCCCATTGCGCTAAAACCAGCCATCAGTCACAGGGTCCTAGAAATATACTGAACAGCGCACGATGAGCATCGCGTTCGCAATCTGATGCTTGCAGACACCGCCTCCCAAAACGATCATACCAGCCTTGCGCGACGTTCTGGACAGTTCATTGAGCTCACGGATGTCGCGGACAATATCGAGAATCAGGCCAGGAGATTTGAAAGAGTGGAAATATATCATGTCTCCGATGGATCCGTCAGTCAGCGCGGGACAGAACACGGGAATATCGTTCTAGATACACTCGTAAACCCCTGCCTGATCGTTCTAGCAAGTCACGCTAACCTTATATGCCCAGTAGTAGACCGATTCCTCGTTGTTGACCTCTTTACCAAGTCTACGAATGAACGACCTGGGGGACCATACTTCACCCGTTTCCTTCTGCTCTTGAAGCATCGTGTCCAGGATCGGCATAAGCCAGTCTTCAAACTTGCAGTAGTTGTCGTTGGGTACAACAAGATTCCCAATGCGATTCATGCCTCGTTTACGCAGATCAGCCCCGTCCAGGTGAAAGTCAGCGAGGTACGTTTGACCCAAGCACTTGATGAAGTCTTCTTCGATGCCCCCTGCCGTAGTCACGATCGCAGAAACATGCTTGTGTTTAACCAAGTACAAGAATATCTCCCGCAGTCCGGACGATATTAAGTTGGATGTGTAACCCAGAAAAACGTTGCATTTTATTTGAGATCTGACTTCGTTCGAGGTGAATTCTTCGAGTTCATCCTCAGCAACGGGGTCGTCGGATAGTCTCCATTTCCTCTACAGATAATGATCAGACCGTTGTTTTGGCTTGGGCACATAGATAACCTGCCATGTTATTGACGATTTCGATGGCTTTACCCAGACTTTGTGCTTGGAATCCTATTCTTGAGTAGGTCCCTAGAAAGTCTTGGAGCGTATGACTCTTCTCAAAGTTTGGACCCTTGACGGATACAGCATCAGAAGGAACGGGTTCGGAAGGCTGGAGGACCGCAGCAGAAGCACCACTGGGAATCATCTCGACGTTATGGTTCAGAATATTTCGACGGAGTATGAAGCCAAACTTCAAGAAGGAACGATCGATCAGGGGCATATAAGCGCCAAAAACGTTCAGGTCATTCTATGTTCGCAGCGTTCAAGCACACACATACCTTGTGGTCGCGGCATGTCTCTACGTGCACGCCCACGGCGCGCAGTCTCGTTATCTCCATCCTTTCCAACCACCCTGAGGGTCTCCGCAGCCCCCAAATCTTCGAAGAAGCTTTGGCTAAAAACATAACCATAGACGCGGATGAGCTTGCTGCCAATGGGCTGGGACAACAACGACTACCTGCGGGTGTACCCGGTGTACCCTATCCAGATCATCCAATCCGGTCCATGAAGTGAGTCATCTAGAACACTGATATCACAACACGCTCACCGGACATACCCAGATACCTGAAGAAAGTCGTACTGGAAGACTTGAAAGCCCAGAAGTTGGCAGTAAAATTTCATGTCCCAAGTGAGACTCCGACGCATATCTATGTGAACAAGAAGGGGAAGCTACGGAAACACCTGCGGCAGGGTGAATGGCGATGGAAGCTTCGCGACAGCACCGAGGGCACAGAAACTCCGTAGAATCCTTGTGTGTATTATTTCTACTATGATTGACTTCTAATACACATATCGCTATATGAGTTTACTGTGGCCATGTACTTTATGAGTGTATCGTTCGCTGTCGTATCACTCCCGTCCAGGACCGTATACCGCCAAGCAACGCTCTTCGAAGGCGCGCACCATGAGCTTAGAAACTTGTCCGAAGAATGCAGCGGAAATGGACGCGTGAAGGGGACTCGCGAACGCGTATGTCAGATCCAGCGAGACCAGACTGGGCGAAGCGTGTTCGTCTGTCGCATCGTTTGAAGGGATGCCACCGTGACGGGGAGAAGTGGGGGGTACGGGCTGGAATTGCCATAGTGTAGTCAGAGTTTTGAAAAGTGGACTCGAAGAGGATGCATCGGCCTGGCCGCGATATAGTAAACTCAATCAAAGAGGCGAGAGGATTTGACGCACCTGAACGAATTCATACGGTTTACATGTCACTTTACTGACGTAGCTTTCTTGATACACGAGGAAGCCAACGCTTAATTCCGCGTCCATCGTAGTGGGTTTCGTCCTATCGCCTCGTGAAGAGTGTAGTATCCGTGATCCCGTGCAGAATGGCACGAAGAGTGGGTAAGATTCCACATTAGCCACGACCTCATACAGCTGGCGTCGATTGTAACTACCAATCAGTCAGCATCGATTCGATGACGGTAGAATCCGGGACCCAACGGTAGAATTTTGCGTTCATGGTACTTCTGGGGTTCAGGGTTGCTGTCAGCATTGACGAAGGGACTCAATGAAGATAAGTCTGGGAGCCCAAAGAGCGTTCGTCTACATGGAAGATGGGATCGGAAGAAGTGGGAATTGGCACAGCGACCAGGGTGCAACTTGAACATGTCGGAGAGAAGATACAAATGGGCGCTTATTTAAACTACTTAGCCGTGGTGTCAACCCTCAAAACATCATCTATGATACGTTACGTTACGTACCTACGCGGGACGCTAATAGTCGCAGAACATATGGCATCGTTCGCGCTAGAGCTCACCTGAGCTCAGGCGCCGATAAGCCGTGGTGGATTCTTATCAGGTGTTCGGCGTATTCATGACAAACGTCCAACCCAACGGAAGGCCTTGAGGACACATGTCCATGGCGGAACATCTCACTTATCTGATGCGTACCCAAAGGAGGGCGACCGTGCCCTCAATGTTGGCGGAGAAACGGTAGACCGGTACTCACTAACAGGAACTAAATCCGCTCCGAGGGCTGAAAAGAGAACGCCGTTTCCACAGAAGCAAGCTATCATATTCGGTCTTTGGAACCCTAAAACACTGGTTAATTTAGCCACTAAAATCTCCGTTTTCAGGACATTCCCGTGCAATCTATGATGCCGCGTGAGCCAGTTGTGAAATGAGACCACGATGCACCTTACATGGCCCTCCTGCTGGCACTTGTAGCAAGTCTTGGTCTTATTGACATTGGACGATACTCCGGCAATAGAATCATTGACCGTAGTCCCAGGCGCAGCAAGGCAGTCCCTGAGGGATAAAATTAGGGTACATGTATACGGAGAACGACAGATACTTACCTAGCCATGTGGTTGGGTCCGCCGCAGCGATAACACTTTACAGGGGGCAAGGTAGACGTATTGAGGGCACGGCCCGGCGGGGGGGCACGAGATGCAAAAGCAGATCCAGCAACTCCGGCTGGACCACCGGTGCAATTGCGAGCAAAATGGCCAAATCGGCCGCAAGTCTTTCTCAAGGTAAATGGTATGAAGTCCAATGAGACAGAGGGAAACTCACATAGCATTTCCCACTACCGGAGGCCTGTTGTACCCGTAAGTTAGGACACTCTGCCTGAATGTGACCGACGCCTCCGCAAGAATAGCACTGTTTTCCGGAAAAAGTGCGAGGGGCCGTGCAGGCGGAGGATTCATGTCCTGGCTGGCGACAGTTGTAGCACAATCTCTGCTCGGAGGTACAATTCTCGGCAATGTGTCCGACTAAGAAGCAATATGATCGATAAGCAGCGAAAAATATAGAAGACTGCGGGATGAGCGTACGATTTCCACATTTGAAGCAACCCTTCCTTGAAATTTGGAACGCCATTCTCAAACCCTAACTTCGTGACTGATAACGCGAGGCTGAGCCAGATATGTATAGAACAGCGTACGTACTGACCTTCACTTCTCCCTCTGCCTGCTAACTACAAACTTCTCTGCCTCCTCCGTATAACGAGGACGTCAGCAAGTGATGGTGGTACGGGCAAAGAAGATTTGTGGCGATGTGAAAACCCATTCAATGGCGATTATGTAAAATATTGAACTCCGATGTTCAGCAATTCCTCCTTCGCGGTTACGAAGCTGCTGGGACGAAGCTCTTCTCGCAATCTAGCTGGCCGTGTGGGTGCTCATTTACGCCTCATTCTGGGGTGATGGCTGGGGTTACCGCTCGCCAGGCCCCCGAGATCTCCTGGATCTGTCTCAGGACTGCGTACGGATATCGCCTATCGATCGTGAAGCCTAGCGGAGTGTGTCTGGTGCACGTACCTGTCGCCACCGATGCTATATAAGCAGAGCGGTAATGCTCTCTTTCTGCACACTGCGAACACCCTTGTAGCAGTCGGTTCCATTGCTACTTTGTCCCGCGAGGAGGCAAGCACCTCATTTCTTCCTCTCGAATCCCCCTCCTTACTGATCTTGTTGTTAGCCCTCGAACCTCCCAGCGTTCAGGCGACCTTCGGTTGATCGCGTCCATCGCGCTTCTTGTTAGGGTGACAAGTGACTTCTCTTGAGGTGCGCCTTCTATAGAGCAGTCAATGCAAACCTGAACTAACCGTATTGTCTATCCCACAGACGTGTATGACGGCTGAGGAGACGCCGTTCATCATCCTAACAACAAGCGTCGTAACGAGCGAGCGAAGCATGGCTTCACGTATGGGAGGGGGGTTTCCCCGGCCTTGCCATCGTGGCGTTATCACGACAATCACTTATGCCGATCGAGGGCACTTGGGACATCGTTTCGCGTGTTTTTAACATTAGTGAAGTACCTACCCCATTCCTTGTGTCGAGTTAAAGTTTGGTACTTCATCATCATATCAACTTTCGTTATTTGCTCAGCATCTGTCAGTAAGCCCCTGTACGCGTTCGGTACAACAGCACCCTGACGCTTGTGTAACTCAAACCCCTCGACCGATCGTATCCAACAAGCCTTGAGCTTGCCACTTAGCTCAAGAATAACCTTAGCCTCCCGGCGTAAGTGAGGGTTGATAGCGCTGCCTGCTTCTTAACCCACGGGGTCTCTGACCAGTCGTAAATGACTAACATAAGGTTTGGGCGCTTAACGTTAAACAGAAATTGCGCAATTCGGGTGCTCATCGACGCAATGGACGCGATGCGAAACGCGTCTCAGGGGTATAGAAGACGATCCAGGACGTAAGTAGGAGAGTCCTTGCAATATAAACTCGTTGGCGAAGGACGAAGCAAGCCTACGAGCTTGCCACGCAGTCGCATGCTGACGCCTCCCACCTTATCAAGGATGGATTATAAATCCGAATCCCGGCAGACCATATGTGACCGCCCTCAGTGTGTCAGACTTTTCCATTCGTCCCACCTCAACTCACCATGGATCTTAACGAACATAAACCAAAGGCCATCGACCTATCGCACCACCTCTCGAATGTCTCCAAAGCCAGGAAGACGTCCCCCTTGAAAGGACTGCAGCGATATCTGGGCAGGGAGGGAATGGTGCAAATGGCTGGCGGTGAGTGCAAGCTTCTCTAGGCGCAACGGTCAGATCGTCAATTCAGCGTCCTGCAACAGGCCTACCCAGTCCTGCGTATTTCCCCTTCTCAGAGCTGAGCGCTGAGGGTCTTGTCCCCGACAGCTTTCCCTTATCGTCCACAACCTCTTCGTCGTCCGCCTTCTCTTGGTTATTCAGATTATTCCAAAGCTCGGAAACAAAAGAGAAGACTACTCATCTGACCATACCCAAGTATCCTGTCAACCCAAATGATTTAAATCTTGCTGTCTCTTTACAGTATGGTAAGCCTGTGCCGTCTTTCGATTCAAGTGCTTGGCCACTTCGCTCAATCAACTCGTGCAGGGTTGGCGAAAGGTCTTCCACAGTTGCAGAAGATCTTGGACGAATTCGTTCTCAAAGTATACAAGCCGGCCTATGTAGACAGTGTGACATTGATACATGCTGGCAACACTGATGGGTACGTGCAATGGTGTCGAAAGATGCTTCCGCGCTGATTGCTGATTGTCGTTCACCTACCGTTGGCAGGTGGTACAAATGTGTACAGACATTTTGCAACCCGGGTGATGGGGTCCTGGTGTCGGAATGGACATACCCATCTGCCATCGCATCAATGGCTCCGTACAACGTCAAGCCTGTCGCTGTGCCGATGGATGGACAAGGTATGAGTAGCGTAGGGCTTCGGAAAGTTTTGTCTGAGTGGGACGAGAGTGCAATTGGCATGCCTAGGTAACTAATGTGATTATATTCCGTTTTCTGGCACTCACTATCCCTAGGCCTGGTTTGATGTACATTGTTCCAGTCGGCCAAAACCCAACAGGTACTGTGAGTCCTGTGTCTTCTCATTTTGTCCCCATTTAATAATCAACACAAAAAGACCATGTGTGTTGAACGCAAACGGGAGATCTACGATATTTGTGTCGAATTCGACGTCCTCATTGCGGAGGATGATCCCTATTACTTCCTTCAGGAGGGCCCCTATGTCCACAAGACCGAACGTTCTGCCAGCGTTCAATTCAACAGCGACGAAGAATATCTTTCACACTTGGCTCCCAGTTTCCTGAGGTAACCTACTAAACTCGCCATAACGGAAATGTTCACTCACACAAATACACAGCATTGACTATCAAGGGAGGGTGATACGCCTCGACTCATTTTCTAAGGTATGAGCGGATGTGACCCTGGCGGATATCCTCTAAACCCGCACTCAGACCGTTTCCCCTGGATGTCGCCTGGGTTGGTTTACTTGTAATCCGATCTTCGCTGAGCGACTCGAACGGCAGGGAGAAACGAGCACGCAAGCGCCTTGCGGATTTGGGCAGGTACGTTGTTGAGTCACTCGAACATTCAACCCATCTGATACCTTGCAGTCCTTGGTGACGGCGCTCCTGTTGAACTGGGGATACGATGGGTACGTTCGATGGCTCAGAGGTAAGCATAACTCAAGTAGTTCACCATCGCCACTAAAGCCTCGTTAGCGCTTGGATCGCAATATCAACTGCGACGTAATTTCATTTTGGATTGCTTGGGAGACGAGTTTCACTTGAAGCTCGATTACGAGACATCCGGGGTCTGGAGTGGTTGTGATATCTTTAGGGCCTATGACAAGGCTCCTGGTGATGCCACCTTCAATGAGAAACATGCTGTGTTTAAGCCAATGTTCTCACTAGTGCCTCCCACTTCTGGCATGTTCATTTGGGTAAATGACTTTTGGTTTCTAGGCGTGTGTACTGTTATTCACTTCATCTGCGTAGTTGCAACTCCATTTAGATAACCACCCTTCGTTCGATGGTGACGAGGAAACCCTTGAAATGCAACTTTGGGTAGACCTCGCTGAAGCGGGAGTTCTGTTCGCGCCTGGCTGGATGTTCTCAGCCAAGGAGTCGAATACCGATGCACCTGGGAACGGCCATTTTAGGATGAGTTTTAGTAACGCGGAGGTGAGCGTACACATGTCCACACGCATACCACTGTTCGATGTTGATGATCGTGTTGATAGTTTGAGGATATGAAGAAGGCGATCGCGACTTTCGGCGAGGTAATTCGCAAGTTCTTCGAGAAACATTAGAGGGCAACACGCTGCCAGCGAGATGTGATATACTTTGGGGTCATCGTTTGACTATGTAAAAGACTGATAATGTAATGGTTTGCTTTGGTTAATTCGCTATGTTCTGCTTATATATACGGTTCCCGCTGGACGGAGCCAAGCATTCTGCGCCGACGCGCCAGGTCAGTGCACGGCGTACTCGGCGGTTGTGACAATGGCGGTCGTTTTAATGGTCAGGTTCGGTACACCAGGCGCTTTCAGTAAATTCAGAGATTTGGCTCAAAATATCGGGAGAACTCATCCTGTATAGCCAAGCATCAAGCCAGTTGGGAACTGAGGGGTATCGCGGTATTTTAGGCTGTGAGTGAGCGATGGTGCCCGCAAAGGACAGGAGAGCGCCGTGCCTCGAGGCGAAGTTTAAAGTCAGGGGTGTTTGGGGGTCAGAAAAAGCAGTGTTACGAGAGACAGCGCCATCTTTCACAAACAAAACCAGCAACTCTCATCTTCACTCTTTTCGTTTTGCACCTCCTCCCTTCACGACCTCCTCACAGCCTTTCCTTCACCTTTGTATTCGCTGCAGCAGCTCAGCATCACATAAATGGCTGACCAGCGTCCGCCTTTGCCTTCCGTCTCTTCCTACAACAGCAGGGGAGAGGGCCTTGGTGACCCTTTTGCAGATCGTCCTCGCCAGACACAATTCAGCGAACCACCACACCCTTACCATGGCGCACCTCAAGGTTACGAAAGCTCGGTGACGCTGCCGCAAGAGTTTGGAGCTCAAGGCAACTACGACGACGACGAGTACCTTGAGAAACAACCCTTGAATGCGAATCCAAGTTTTGCTGGAGGCTTCTATCCACCTGGGTATGTCCTTTAACGAGCTTTCATTGGTCTGTGGAATTCATCTGGCTACCAGACCCGTCGACCCAGGTGCTTACGGTGATCCGTACGCTCACGGTCGCCCTGCATCCATCATGTCCACGTCAACGAACGGCGCGGAAAGTGCATGGAGACGCCGTCAAACTATCAAACGCGGTGTGACACGTAAAGTCAAGCTCACACAAGGTCATTTTATCGCTGAGTATGCCGTGCCTACTCCTGTTTTCTCTGCCATCGAAGCCAAGTGGAGCTCGACAAAGAGTACTGAATTCTCGTGAGTTGATGTTCCTTGTCTGTCTCAGTCTCGTCCTCAACTCGATACAGTCATATGCGGTACACTGCTGCTACTTGCGACCCTGATGAGTTCTCAGAAGAAACGGGATGGTCACTTCGCACCAAGATCTACAATCGACAAACAGAGTTACTTATCGCCGTCACGTCATATAACGAAGACAAGACTCTTTACGCTCGTACATTGCACGGTGTCATGTTGAACATTCGCGACATCTGCAAGACCAAGCAGTCGAAGTATTGGCGCCGTCATGCCGAAGAGGGAACTCCAGCGTGGCAGAAGATCACCGTAGCGCTCATTGTTGATGGTCTAGAAGCCATGGACAAGAGCGTGTTGGATATTCTAGCCACCGTTGGCGTCTATCAAGATGGTGTCATGAAGAAGCAGGTAGATGGCAAGGACACGGTGGCTCACATCTTCGAGGTATATTCATATGTTCAACCAAGCTGAGTTCAGATAGTGACCTATCCATTGCAGTATACGACGCAGCTATCAGTTGATGCTACACCGCAACTGGTCTTGCCTCAGCCTGAGGACCCCAATAACCTTGTCCCTGTACAAATCATCTTCGTTCTCAAGGCAAAGAATCAGAAGAAGATTAATTCGCATCGATGGTTGTTCAACGCAATTGGTAAAATTCTGAACGTGAGTGGATCGTGCAGGCAGCTGTGTTGGCACCAGCTGATCCCCGAGCAGCCGGAGATTTGTGTCCTAATCGACGCTGGTACCAAACCGGGCCACAAGTCCATTTACTACCTATGGGAAGCCTTTTACAATGACGCGAACCTGGGAGGTTGCTGCGGGGAGATTCACGCTATGATCAAGGGTGGTAAGAAGCTGTTGAATCCCCTTGTAGCTGCGCAGAACTTCGAGTACAAGATGTCGAATATTCTTGGTGCGTAGGTTTTGGTGTCTCTAATGTCGAAGGTACTGAGATGTTTCAATTCAGACAAGCCTTTGGAGAGTAGTTTCGGCTACGTGTCTGTGTTGCCTGGCGCTTTCTCCGCCTACCGCTATCGTGCCATCCTTGGCCGTCCGCTGGAACAGTACTTTCATGGTGACCATTCACTTGCCGATCGCTTGGGGCCCAAGGGTATCTACGGCATGAACATCTTTACCAAGAACATGTTCTTGGCCGAAGATCGTATCCTTTGCTTCGAGCTTGTAGCCAAAGCTGGAGACCGATGGACGCTCACCTATGTCAAGCCTAGTAAGGCAGAGACTGATGTTCCTGAGTCCGCCGCAGAATTGATCGGTCAACGTCGTCGATGGCTTAACGGTTCCTTCGCTGCCTCTGTCGTACGTTCTGTTGACTTCTGTTGTGTCCCTCCTGCCTAAGAATATTAACCGTTTGTCTAGTACGCCCTCGTCAACTTCTTCAGGTTATATAAATCGGGTCACGGTATCATTCGCATGTTCTTCTTCCACATCCAGGGCTTGGTACGTCAAATTTCGCGATGATTCCATTACGTTTCTCATTGTATACACAGTATAATGTCTTCTCCCTCATCTTCTCTTGGTTCGCGCTGGCAAACATTTGGCTCACCTTCAGTATCATCATCGACCTCCTCCCTAGTCAAGGCATCATCATCTTCGGTACTGAGGAAGTTGTGCGTATCTAATTACTCCCTATGTCGGCCATCTTGCTCAACCACTTCTTTTTAGACTCACTGGGTCAACCTATCGCTTAAATGGATATATCTCGCGTTCTTGGCACTACAATTTATACTGGCACTGGGTAATCGGCCGAAGGGAGAACGAATGGCGTACGCAATAACTTTATGGTATGATCTTGCTCTCCTCTGTAAATGCGTTTGATACTAATTTCCTGTAGGGTGTATGCAGTGCTCGCCGTGTATCTCCTCGTCTGTTCATTCTGGTTGACGGGCAAGGCGTTCGGGGTCCGTGGCTCATGTTTTATTCTTCCGATCATCTCGCTCATCTCGTTACAGGACATTCCTAGGCAACTGGAAGGGAAATCCACAAGCGAAGTCATCCTCACGTTCTTTACTCCACCTGTTGGAGCTCTCATTGCTGCTATGGTTTCCACTTTCGGTACGTTGACAGTTCTCTTGCTCCATTCTCGGTCTCTTAACTTTCCCGCAATAGGTATCTACTTCTTCGCATCTTTCCTATACGTGAGTTTCAGAGACATATACTGTCTCTATTCATATGCTTACACTGCTCTCAGCGGGATCCCTGGCACATGTTCTCCAGTTTCCTTCAGTATCTATGCCTCGCCCCCAGTTTCACAAACGTTCTCAACGTGTATGCTTTCTGCAATTTGCACGATGTAAGTGTAGCTGGAGGGATGCACTGCCTGGTTTTCTTACGCCTTCATAGGTTTCGTGGGGTACTAAGGGTAGTGACAAAGCTGAGGCACTACCATCCGTTTCATCCAAGAAGGGCAAAGATGCAGACTCCCCCGTCGTTGAAGATACCACCAAGGTTCAAGACGATGTCGATGCTGCATTCAAGGAGACTGTGAGTCGCGCCCTAACGAAGATTGAAACCAAGGAAGAGATCGAGAAGCCGACCATGGACGACGAGAACAAAACCTTCCGAACCCGTCTCGTATCATTCTGGATGCTCAGTAACGCTACGCTTGCTATCGCAATTGAGAATCTCAACGGCTTGCCTAACGATAAGGATCCGGAGGCCGACGAGGAGCACCTACGCGCCAAACAGAACTTCTACTTCGGTGTCATTCTGTATTCAACATTTGGCCTCGCTGCTGTGCGATTCGCAGGGGTATGTTCTTTGCCAGTGTTGTCAATCCATAGCTGACCTGATCTTCATCAGTGTTTATACTACTGGATCAAACGAAACCTCTTCAGGTGGTGCAGGAGGAACTAAACTTCTCTTCCGGCTCGCTATATCTTGCATTCACGCTATGGGACATTTTAAGGACGATACCCTATATTTGGCTTTGTTGTCTGTGCATGCTCGCTTTAGGACGAATGCACGCTCACAAAATACTGACTCGTGCTCTGTTTTCATTGCTCATCTTTACCCCACTCTCACACCACGGTCCAATTTACATAGCGTATTGATGACTGCACGAACCCATACATTATATATTGGACCTTTGTCGTTCGTTAATCCAGCACCATTAGAAATGGTACAAACTGCCGCCGAGCCTGGCGAGTAGATACTAGATGGCTACCCTATGAATACATCCCGGAAAATTCATGTTCACGTTCATTGCGGGTTGGCCTCGCGGGGGTGGGTCTGGTAGCCATTTCCAGGTAGCTGTTAATAATGTTTTGCACCTGCTCAACCGGGGTCTGAGCTTCGGTCTCTGCCTCATCGGTCCCGGGCTTCGCTATTCGGCGGCGGCAGGTAGGGCAAGTCTTCTTCTACTCGGCGTCTCAGTAGGCAGTACGTTTCGTAGGTGCACGCGATCTGAGGAAGACGTACCCCCTCTTGAATCCATTTCGTGATGCTACGTAGTTGGATTGGGTGAGGTGAGTATTCTTTTACGGGTTTATATAGACGAAGTATGGCAGTTGCTTACTCTTTGCGGCAGAAAAGGTGCCCGCACTGCCATTCTTGAGATAGTCTCGTAACACCAAGCTCTTCGACTGCATAGGTCGGCGAGTCCATTGCTTCCGCCATTTCTTGTTCTGCGAGGATGGCAAGGAAGGTGTTGAGACATATCCCACATACCGAGTCTATATCATAATGAATTATGATTGTCAGTATTCTTCCATGGGCTGCACCGATAAGACGAGGGAAGCCACCTTTGTGTCCAAGGGATATAATTTGCGACTCGGTTAGCGTTGGGAGACCTTTCACTGCATCAGCCATGGCTTCGCTCAGGGCACTTCTACCTTGACCCAAACCCAGTGAATAAAAGTCTATGTATTCGAAGGTATTTCTAGTATTCTCTTGGCCCAGAGGACAAGAACGCGTACCCAGAATCTGGTCGTGACTTGGAAGACCGAACCGTGGCCGTTCAGATGACATGGGCGCAGTGTTCTTAGGCTACTGTAGACTGAGGTTGATGGATGAGTGGACAATAGATATCATGAACGCGCAACTTCGCGCACGTGCTTCAGATGTTGCAACGCAGCAATTCGAACTTGAAAACCAAGATATGACGATCCGCAAGGGGACACTCTGCATTGTTACACGATACAACACTCTGGTATACAGACACTGATATTTCAAGTGTCGCGGTGATAACATGTGTGCGTAGGGACGGCCAGCCGACCGTACGCGGAGAAAGGACGTGGAACTCGAAGTGGTATGGTTCGAACTTCAGAAGGGATTCTCTCCATCATCCATGTCTGTTGGTTTCTTGTCCTTGCTGGCTGAATCGTCCGACATTTCCTCGTCATTTGATTCCTCCTTCTGTGCAAAGAGTTGGACTGGTTTAGCTCCTCTAATGAAGCGATCAATGACCAATGACTATGACTGCTAATATGTGGTGACTGCCTACTTTGTAAAGTGCTTCTTCTTGGCTGCGTTGAGTTTCTGCGTGCAAGGAGTCATCATGTTGTCGGTGGGCGATATGAAGTTGGGGTTGCTGCGAACAGTGAGTAATGGCCGAGGCCATTTGGAAATATGGACGCACTGCGACTTCGCCATCTTCTTTGCAAGTAGCGCTTTAGCCCCCATACCAGGAGCCTTGTTTCCTACGTTTCCTAGCGGCGCTTTGGGAACGACAACGGTGGCGGCTTGGTTGGGGTTATGGAGTGGCTGCACGGGCGTGGCATTAGGCGAGTCGTTGGGTGTGCTGATGGTGGCCATGTTGAAGATATTGGATGGGGAGCAAGCAACGGTGGATCACAGCGGCGTGAAGGTGGTACAAGGCAAAAGGTTGTTCGAGTGGAACATTGAACCGTGCAACTTTTATGCGCCGAGTTTAATCGACCGATTCACGTGATCGTGTCAGTCAGGGGGTTCGTTGACTCGTTGACTCACCATGAATCAAATCAAGGGACACTGGTTATATGGATGGGATTTTAGGCCTTTACTGATATACGAGTATAACGTGAAAACATTACCGGAAGTGATCACCACCCAAATGCTATGAATCGCAACTCCTCATGATTCTGCCATCCAGGAGGGAATCTATAGGCGCCCGTAGGACCCTAGCAAGCAGTAGCTTCCACTGTGACGGGCTTTCGATGCTGGCAAAGTTCACTGAGAGAGTTCCTCCTCGTCTCGGAGATTTTGAAACATTGATGTACACTGTCTCTCTTGTGACGATCAAACACTGATGGAATTGCCTCCATTTGCAGGTCATGCGGCCCGGCGCTGGGAATCCGTATCATAGGCTTCAGCCGACAGCATCATATGGCAGATCCAGAATGACAAAGCCTCGACATCCTTTTCTCTTTCGTTCCTCACACACTCCCTTTGACTCCATTCGTTTTCTGGCAGGCAGGTCCCCCACTTCCTTGACCTTGTTGTGAAGCTGGCTTCGCCGACGTCGACTTTCCGTTCATTGTCGTGCCTTTGACTTGCTTCCTCCCAGGATTAACCATAACATGAGTTCATCCAATGGAACAACAACGTCTGGTGCGCACTATTCCTTATTATGATACAGCCTTCTCTCAGCCTATAATCGTTATTAATAGCTGACCGCCCCATTGACGTGCCATTTAACATCGTCAATGGTAATCATAGTGAACTGATTGCATATCTGGTGCTCAACATCTGGCCATCTCACTTCGGTCTCCCCCTTCTTCTTCTTGTCATCATGCTCTCGAAGAAGATACAACGAAGTGCGGCATTCCTGAATATGCTAGTGGTGTGGATAATAGTGGGCATGTGCGTCCTTCACCAATCCAAACTTGAGCTCCTCATGATGGAATCAATCTATGGTACTTCTAGATCGTCGACCTTGCTGTACGTTCGCATCTCCTTTCCCTTGTTCGTCACTGAGCTTCGCTTAGATTATATGCAGGCAAGCAAAGTGGCGAGGAACCACCAAAGATGCTTTGTTTGTTCCAAGCCGCGCTTATCTACGGCATGCCTCCGATGTACGTGTACCAAGCCACATACTCCCTGTTGTCAACAACCGATATTCCTATTAAGGACATCAACGGCGACCTTGGCACTTGTTCTACAGGTAAACCGAATACCGTATCGCATTGGGATCTGATCCTAACTCTCATTTCGTGTTTCATCAGATGTTTCTCAGCGTCCGCAAGGCGTACCTTGGCGAGAAATTGACGCCAGGTGACGGTATCCTCAGGACGTGGCTGGTGAGCACTATCCACGGACGACGGGTTTCTGATCTAAAGGATTGTTTAATAGTTGCTTATCGCGCCTTATGTGGCCCTCCTACTGACCGTCATCGCGACGGCTGTTGTACGTAGAGAATACTTCACTGCGATGAATGGTTTATCCACTTACAGTTACTTATACAGGTGGGAGCCTCAAACCCGTCCAAGATCTCGCGCAATAGGCGATTCTTCTACTGCTCTGTGGAAGCAGACCCGCTGTGCGCCATTCCCGCCCATGATATCACCATGAGAATAATCTGACGCGAAGATATACAGGACCGACACCATGACTGTGGTTGCAGCTTCGATTCTCCTGGCAACCGTGATCCTTGAGAGTCAGTGTGATCTAATTCCCCCGCATATTCTCACTGAGATACAACGTAGTCTGGACCGTGGTCTACCTCTACCGCCTGTCTCGTACCATTAAGCGAACTGGTGGAAAGGTTTCCTCCATCATTGATCTAAGTTTCCCCATCCGCATCATTGCGTTCGGATTCTATGTCATGATTGCACTGAGGTGAGTCCTCACCGTAGAAATATCCTGTAGAAATATCACTCTCATACTCATACTCATGCTCGACAGCTTGAGTCTGCTCTCGATTACAACACCGCGGAGCCCTGTTCCAGATTTGATGATCTCAACTGGTTCGTCGCATATTCTTCTGATATCAACACACATGTACTCATTTACTTGGAACATCTGGCAGCTGCCACTGTTGTCATCGTTATCTTTGGAACCCAGAGGGTAGGTCTATAAGTCTTGGACTAAATCATTGAACAGTGATAATTGATTCCTCATAGGACATTTTACATGCACTCTTCTTTTGGTGCCACCGACCCCAGCCCGTCAAAGTCGTTCATGAGAAGCAGGAGAGTATTGGGACGATGTCGCTTCCTTCTCGTATCTCTATTCGTTAAATTGCCTCACTCTATCTTCTTGTATGTATAAGTAGTGTTCTGTGAAATATGCCTGGCGTATACATGTACATTTTTCGAGTCCTTTAGATGGTACTCCTATTTTCAGGGGACTCTAGGGGCGTGTGGAAATGACTTACGTAATGCACGACTGCTCTTAACGCTTGGTGTTGGGTGCTCTCTGTAAAGGCCTCCAAATATTATCTCTATCTCTATATATTGAGGACATTGCTTGCTATGGCGGCAAGAAAGCTACAATGTGAGTTTCCGCACATCGCAATACGCACACTCTCTGACACGTACGACAGCGGAAATTGACCGAACCCTAAAGAAGGTCTCGGAGGGCGTTGAGCTCTTTGAGAGCATATACGACAAGATGCAGTCGTCAACGAACCAGACTCAGAAGGAGAAGCTTGAAAACGACCTCAAGACGCAGATAAAGAAGCTTCAACGTCTCCGTGATCAAATAAAGACTTGGGTTGCCAGTAATGACATCAAGGACAAGTCGGTATTGTTGGAGAACCGCAGACTTATTGAAACAGTGAGTGATCTATACGACTTGATATGTATTCAGCTCGGCCGGGATCGTCCCATATACTCCTACACGCCCGTTGATTTGGTGTTGGGGACGGTCACCGCGTACTGACCGTAACCCCTCGTACCAGCAAATGGAGAAGTTCAAGGCTTGCGAAAAGGAGATGAAGACAAAGGCATTCTCTAAAGAAGGTCTCATACAAGCCGCGAAACTCGATCCGAAGGAGCAGGAAAAGGAGGAGGCAACAAGTTGGCTACAGTCACAAGTGGAAGAGCTTCAGATGCAGGTGGAGGGGACGGAGGCAGAAGTGGAGGCATTGCAAGGAACTGGGAAGAAGCGGAAGGGTACATCTAACGCGGCTGGACGCCTGGAGGAACTTGAGCGCCTGAACGAGAGACGGAAATGGCATATTAGTCGCTTGGAAATCGTCCTCCGTCTGCTCAATAATGGTTCGCTACCAGCGGAGAAGGTCATGGGTCTGAAAGACGACGTGCAGTATTTCGTGGAAAGCAATACGGTACGCGACTTTATTCATTGTCGCGTCCGCACGTCGCTAACGGGGTTCCTACATTTAGGATGAGGATTTCGACGAGTATGAGGGCATTTATGATGAGCTGAACTTGGACGAAGAGGAGGAGAAGTTCGGCCTGGTACAAGATGAGGACGGCAGTGAGGACTCTGATGAAGCTAGTGAAGGTAAAGACCCTGCCCTGGCCAAGCCTAAACCCAGTCCTGATCCAGGAGAAGATCTACCTCCTCGGACACCGTCAACGAAGAAACACGATGAAGAGAGTATAACGAGTAGTAAACGTGACGAAAGTCCCATATTGAGGAAGGCGACAGCAACACTACAATTGCGCAGTACGTCCTTACTTATTGAAGCCTTGCATTTGCTCATTGAGCTCTTGATGCGCGTTAGAACAATCGATAGCTGAAAGTAAGTACCACGCGTATCCTAGATTATACCCATCATAATTCTTCCGTTAGGTAAACCCTCACCAACACCGGCATTCTCACAACCTGCCGTTAAGGCTGTACCCCCAACCACTCCGGCTCGATCGAATATGACACCTATACGATATGCTGCCGCTGCAGCGGCAGCAGTTGCAACACCACTGACGACGCAAACAACGACGCCAGCATCCCAAGCGCCTGCTACTTCGTCTTCTCATCTACCTGCTTCATCTTCAGGACAGCCTCCGGTATCGTCGTCGCTTACACAAGATTCGTTGTCTGGTGTCTCCTCGTCTCCGAGTTTGACACATCCTTCTGTCACCAGCCCCATGTTGTCATCATCAGCTTCAGTGTCACAGCAGCCTGATGGCTCGTTCTACTCAGGACAAGAGTCCCCGGCATTGTCAGACGCTGTGGTAAGTTCTATTGGTGCCCCCGCTGCCGCTTCTTCCCCCCAGCGTCGGAAAGGTAAGTCAACAAATACATTCTGCTTGTATCTCCTCACTTTCTCTATAGCTTCGATATCATCGCCGCTCGTACCGTCACAGCTTCCCAATAAACCGGTATGGTAGTGTCCTGACATCTCCCTCCATTGACTCATTGTTACGCAGGCGATATCATCACCTCTCCTCACTTCGGCCACACTTTCACAATTGAACGGCACATCGCAACAGAATACTCAAGCCATGCCTTCATCAGCAGCGCCTCCCCTTCCAGAGCAAGCGCAGTATACGCAGACTCTGGCAGCACCACCAAATCCCACTGATGTCCCATCGCCTAGTCCCTCCGCAGCACAAGCCATGCAGTTCCCGCCTGGCGTCAAGATCCCCCAAGGACCAGAGCAAGCCTCTACGTCCCAGATGCCTACCTCTCAGCAGCAATTGCCTGTGGCTAGCGCGAGACCTCCGTCGACAAACCAATCGCAGCCGCCACCTCGATCCTCTACTGCAAGCGCCTTCCCCGGCTCCTTGTCTGACTTGGTGACCTCGTTTGAAGGAGTTAAGCAGAAGGGTGGGTTTGTCGTTGGGTTTGTCCGTAGAGTTCGAATGACAATTTTGCAGCTGCTATGCGGATGTCGAACCTAGACCAGGTGCACAAAATGCTGGAAGGAGGTTACCCGAACATGCCTCAACCTCAAGACACTGCAAAGTGAGTAGCTTACTCCGTGTGGCATCATTGTCTGGCTTATCGTAGTTACACCTTCAGACCGAAGTATTATGTCCCTCGAACGCCGTTCCAAACGCCACCTTATTACCCACAATCACCTCATCCTTTACTAAACACGGCCGGTATCTTCTCCCAACTAGACGTGGAGACGCTCTTCTACGTGTTCTACTTCCTTCCAGGGACATACCAGCAGTGCGTCTCTTCACCCTATGTTCTAAGCCGTAACTCATTCTCTGCGAAGGTATCTCGCAGCAAAGGAATTGAAGCGACAGTCTTGGCGCTTCCATGTGAAGTACCTTACGTGGTTCCAAAGACACTCAGAACCGCAAGCCATCACTGAAGAGTATGAGCAGGGGGTATATGTATACTTCGACTGGGAAGGTTCATGGTGTCAACGGAAGAAAGCAGACTTCCGCTTCGAGTACCGATATCTCTCAGAGGATTAGTTACACTCACTTTCCTTAACACATCTTTGGACTCGTGGCAGTATCGAGCAATCTTATGTACCTGTTACTAATGTTTCTGCGAAACTCAAATCCCATTGAACAGTCAAAGCAAGCGAGATTAATTTCAGCAATATATAAACGCGACGGGATAAGGTACGCTGCGACGTCTAGTCGAGCTTGACGACCGCTCCCAGTTTTTCAAAGGCAGCCTTGAGTTTCTCAGCGTCCTCTTTAGGGAGGTTTTCCTTGAGAACCTTAGGCACCGACTCGACGAACTTCTTAGCCTGCGCAGAAGGGGGGCGCGTCAGCACGCGAGGATATGAGCAAATGGAATGATAGAGCGCACGTCAATGAGAGTGAGATTGGGGACCAGTGCCTTGACTTCTCGGATGATCTTTGGCTTTGCGCCCGCGTCGAATGATTCGAGCATCACATTGAAGACGGTTTTCTCCTTAGGCTTTTCCTATATAGGAGTGGAAGAGTCAGCTGTTGGGTTCTACACGAATTTCCTGGTTGACTCGCCTCTTGGGGGACTTCCTCAGCGGCAGCCGGTGCTGCAGCCATGGGAGCAGCAGAGGGCATCGCAATTTCCTGGATATTCAGGCGGGACTGATTTACACGAAGAAGTCAGTAATAGAAGCTCGCAACGAGAAAGCAACAACCTTCAGCAGAGTAACAAGGTCGGCAGCCTGTAGCAGAGTCAGCCCCGAGATGTCGTCCACTATCCGGGTAATGGTAGGGTCTGTCGAGGACTTGGCGGGAGGGGGCGGGGGAGTTGCGCTTGAGGTGGCCGATTCAGGAGCTGCTGCTGCGTAAGTTCGTATACAAGGTCGCGTTTGGGCTTGCCTGGGAGAGAAAATGAGCATGGGCGCAAACGGTATGTTGGCTTGAACGCACCATGACCGGGACAACCTGGAGAAACTTCTAATAGATGATGCGCAGCGGCTCTAGATGTAGCGTCAATACAGCAGCTGCAGAGGGAGAAAACGGGAGACATACTGCCATGGTTGTAGAACGAGGGTCTGAATTCACGTCGGAGACTTCAGACGCGTCGGAACGAAAACGAGACTGTTTGGCGATGTTGTGTTTTCATAGCGCCGAACGTCCCCTAAACCCCTACTTTAATTACATCAACGTAGGTATACTTCATTCAGTACACAAGGAGCCGTACACACATATATAATGGAGAGAATACAAGTTACATAGAGTACGTACGAATTTAACACTAATCAAGCATCGAATACACGAAATGAAGAAAATAAAGTAAGCACTAAAGTGGTCCAACTCAGCCCGTCCCATCCCGGGCTGTAAACATGGATCCCGAAATACAGGGTAGACCTACACCTACAAGCAAACCGAACGAAGGAATGGATGAAACGTGCGAAGGGTGCGGGGAGGAGGAAGGAAGAGGAAGGGAAGGATGCTGGCACAATCTAGGAAGAAGGCCAAAGGCCGCCTAATCGGCATACAGCATGTATCTATCTGTCCCGTCCATCCAGGCGCGCAGCTCGTCGTCCGAGTCGACGTGGCAGAGCTGGTTGCTGAGGCTGTCCCGGTATTTCAGCATAGACACCTCGCCGCCGAGCCTTGCCTGCACTTTCTCGAGTAGCTCGGCGTGCGTGACTTTCGGATGCACGCGAATGGCGACGAGTTCCTGAGAGAGACCGTCGAAGACCTTGATCTTCACAAAAGCCGTCTGCGGGTTCGCGACGGATATAGTGGGGTTGGTGAGGTTCGAGGTAGCTGTAGAATGTGACCGCGATCGCCCAGTGAAAGACGATGCCTGTGAAGAACGGAGAGACGAAGTCGAGGCTGATTGGGAATAAGGATACGAGGAGTTGGTGTTGTTGGGGAGGGGAGAGTTGGATCGAGATGAAGCATGCCCGTAAGGTGACGGAGACTCGTTCCGCTGGTGATTGTGTGCGTGGGCTTGGTGTCGCAGTGAATGTGTGCTGTCTGCGAAGGACGGTCGACGCTCGTTCCATTGTTCATTACCATAGGCACCGTCTTGATTCGCCCTTTGGGGTGATGCTGCGTAACCCTCATCCTCGTACTCCGAACCATCGCTCTTGTTACCTCCATCCCTATCGCCCACTTTCAAGCGTCCCAGACCGTTCTGGACATCCGCAACCTGTTGTCTATCCAGAGTGGCCTCGTCGTAATTCTGCGCGAACAGTGCCTCCACCTCCTCCGTGCGTGCCGCCGTATCACTCTCAACATCACCTGGTTTGAGCAGTAGGAATTCCCGGATCACGCTGTCTTCCAGAATATACCTTGCCCCCACGGAGCTAAGTTCGCACAGCTTGCAGAGATACTCGTTCAGCTCGACCTGTCTCGTCGCAGTCACCTCCTGGTCTATCTCGTCTGCTGGACCGGGCATGTATGGCAAAATCCGGGGATGCGGTGGTTCTCTGCCTGCTTCACGTGGGAAGGTATTCAGCAGGGACACTTGAAAATCGTAGAAATCATTGTACACTCGGAAAAGGACGAGTTGTTTCGCAGGGGGGAGGGTGCGCGTGCCGGGAGGGCCATATGGTTGGAAAACGGCATCTATTCTGAACCAAAATTCATCCATTTCGTAGTGGAATGAAATCACGTTGGCGGAAAGCAGGATGCCCTCTGGAAAAGTGTCGATTGATGAGAGTCGTTGTGTTTGATCTGAGTTAGGTCCGTGTGTTCTATTCGGCGAAGGTGTTGCCGCTTGGACATTTATTGTGGGATCCATCGATGAATAAGGACCGTTAGGCGAATATGGGACAGAGTCGCGATTGGGAGCGTCGATCACACCGAGAGCGATGCTGTTCTGCTTGTACGTCGTCATCGCCCGCTTCCAGTCCTCCACCTTCGGCACGTCCCCCCGATCCATCAACGCATTCACATCCGTGATAGCGTTCCCGGTTACAGGATCTCGAACTTCCACGAACGACACAGGGATCAGACCAGGCCGTCCAATCTTTCCTATGGGTTTCGCAACGAACCACTCGCGGTTCGACTGAGCTACCACAGAAATCGGATCCCCCGTCTTCGCATCCAACTCGTCCGTGCGCTCCGCTTCGAAATCATGCAGTACAACGGCGTAGAAGACGTTCGTCTTGGGTTTGGGACCTGGTGGCGGTCGATCGGGCTGTATAGGCTGCAGAGGACGGCTTGAAGGGGGTCCTGATTGCGAGACTCGAGAGCTGATGCCGTTAAAAATCGTTGGGCGAGAACGAGGACAATCGACTCACACAGCATTGTTTTTATTGAATTCTTCGAACATGGATCGCGGGACCAGCCCGCGAGCTCCGGAGACGGGGTTGTGCGCCTCGTACCATACGCCTGAGTTGTCTACATTCCCAAGCACGTAGAAGAAATCGCCTTTCTGGAACGGGAGCTCTTGGGGCGCCTGGGGTCTGTAGTCGGAGAGCGCACGGATTACTTTCTGAGGGGGCAAGATAGATGAAGGGGGCTTGGAAACAGAAGGCAAAGGAGTCGATATTTGGGAACGCAGCGATTCTTTCGTCCCGTTGAGGGACTTTCGCAGAGATTTCATGTGTCGTGCGGGGTCGTAGATGGTTGTCGTGAAACCCAGTGCACTTGAAGTTGTTATTGTGGTTGGCTGATCACGTGCCTATTATCTCTCACGCATCGTATTGATCGTCGCAACGCCGTAAAGTACGTTAGATGGCATCTCCTGTCCACCAACTGTCGGCACCCGTGGAGGTGCATCGCATTGGGGTCTTCGTTCAATTTAGATATTGCCTCACTACCTCAACCCTCTCGGTGGCGCGCTGATCGTGAACGATCAAAGCATCGGTCTCGAGGAACAGTGGTAATTGTTTCCCTCATTGTTGGCTACCGGCTATTAATAAAATAGTGGCTCGCATCCTGTCACTCCCACAACTGCTCGGGACCGGATAGATCCACCAGCACGTCTGTTCCGTGTCTGCCAATCTATCATTCAAGTGTGTCGCCGTCCCTGAAATCACCTCCTATTGAGATCCTTCCTTTTATGGACATAGTATAGGGGCTAGGTTCAGGGGCTGCTGTTCATAAAGAAAAATTCTGCACCTTTGATTGACTCCTGGTGCCCTCTGGGTGTGGCAGTCATTTGATAACAAGTCGAGGTTAGGGACTTGCAAGGTTAGCGCTTTGCCAGAGACAAATCTACCCTTTCCCGCCTAGTTTGGAAGTAACAAACAAAGACAAACCGACCCTTTCCCGTTCAGCCCGCCCACGAACCACCCACAATCAACACTTGCTGTAAGCAACCATGGTCTCACTCGTTCGAACACTGCGCAATATGCGCAGAGCTGGACTCAAGGAGTGGTGGAGGCAGATGCAGTATATTGGCGATGCGAAATACGGTCGCTTTGTCGGAAAAGACCAGTACGTTGCAATTCTCGGACTTACTGGTTCCCTAAGAAACTATATCCTCCTTTCTTTCCTGCGTAGGTTCGGCAATAGATACTTTGAGAATTTAAATCCAGAGGAGGAGATTCCAGGTGGGCATCGTCGTTGACGCTTGGATCCCTACACGTTGATCTGAATTCCTCCTCCAGGTCGTCACCGCTGGGTGGATTATGCTCAGGTATCCGGCAAAACGCACATACACGATTGGCCTTCATGCTGATGAATATGGATTTCCAGCACGAATTCCACGCTTCACAAGTCCCGCCTGAATGGCATTCGTGGATCCACCACATCCGCCAGAGCCCGCCCACTGAAGACGCGGTGGTGAAGAGTTTGACTCCTCCTTGGCAAGCTGTACGCCTACGAGCTGTTATTCGTAAACATCTTGCTAACATACTGTTCTAGCCCTGGGTAGAGAACCTCACTGGCACCAGGGGTGCTTTCAAGACGTATAACACTGCTGGACCTAAGATTCAGCCATGGGAGCCGAAGGTCACGGCACGGGGTGCTTAGAGCCCTACACTATCCTATCTCTACAACGCTCGTGCTACAGTTGAGTCCATCTCACAATAGACGCAGGGCACATTACGCCAGATTGTCTGAGTCACCTCTGTGCTGTTCTACTATTCCTGCGACCATTTTACCCAGAGCGAGACTTGAGGTAAGCCCTGGACTTTCGATCCCCAAGAGTGAGATCATAGGGCTATTCCCTTTGATGTTGGAGGGATAGTCAGTTCGTATTACGAAGTCCTGGAATCCGCCTGCTGGGGGGACTAGCTTGGGACGGACGCCCACGTAGTCAGGCTGCATCCCATCGACCGTGACTCCAGGGAGGTATCGCGAGACTGCAGCATGCATTTCTGCGATCCTGGACTCGTTCGGCACGAGGTGCTCTTTCCAAAAGTCTATGGTTTCCTCGCCTTCCACACATTCCTCGTTTTCTTCGTTGCTTGTTTTACTCGCAGGCGACAGCCATTCGATGTCTGGTCCAAAGCGGACTTTGCCCTGCAGATCCAGAGTCAAGTGCGTCCCGAGGGACTGAAACGCATGTGCGTTTGGTCCTGTCTCCGGGCAAGGGTATATCAAGTGGGAGATGTTGGAAACGCCTGCGCCGTGGTATGAAGCGTAAGAGCCTCTGGCGTAGTACATCGGTATTCGTTCTGTCCTCGGGAGAATGGAGTTGAGAAGAAATGGTCCCGAGAGGCCGGATGAGTTTATAACTGTCCTAGCCAATACCGAATCGCCCTCAGCGGAATCACCAGTCACCATTTGGACTACCCAACCGTGGCCTGGGGAGGTAGGTGAAGGCGTATGGGGATCGACTCGCACGACCCGCGTCGAAGCCACCACTTCCCCACCGTCTGAGTCTAGAATCTCGTTCTCCAGTGTTTCCATAAGTCCGTGTGAGTCGACGATGCCGGTCTCCGGGCTCCACAGTGCTGCCGCGAGCTCTTTAGACAGGCCAGGTTGCATTTCGTGGAGCTCAGATGAATCGAGTAGCCTTGTTGGGAGTACAGAGTTGGGAGGTCGTTGTAAAGAAGCGAAAGTTGGCCACTGGAGTTTCTGTGCTTTGGCATGGAGGCCTTCGATATATGGACGCTGCTCTTTTGTGGCGACAACGAGCTTTCCCGTCTTCTTGAATGCGATACCATGGCGGTCGCATAATTCATAGAGTAGCTGCCGACCCACCAAGCACGCCTTGGTCTTTAGCGAGTCCGGTGGGTAATACAAGCCTGGCAGACAATGCCATGAAGTGGGAATTTGGAAGACTCAAACATGTTGAGCGCACCGGCATGTATGACCTCTGAGTTTCGAGAGCTTGGTTGACTGCTATTAGCTCACTTACCCACTTTGAAAGCATGATCACTCACCTTATTTCCTCGCCCACACGCGGATTTCTTTCAACAAGGAAGGTGGTCTTCCCGGGAAACCGCTTCACCAAGGCCTCCGAAATCGCAAGACCAACGACACCTAGAAAAAGGGACCATTTAGATTCTAACTGCAGCCATGTTTCGAAAGGACTTACCTCCCCCAACCACAAGATGGTCTATAGCGAACTCAGGGGCCTGAACTGATCATCGCATTAATAGAGGAACTGTACGCGGTTTATAGTTGAGTCGACCTTAAATTTATATCTTCCGTCGCTGTTCAGTGCGGCGAGCAGACCGCGAATGCGTGTCATGGTGGGAGCCGAGTTGAGAGCGGGACGGAAGTCGGGAGTGCGGGACCGACGTGTGATCGAAGTCATAGATCATGATCACGATCATTGAACTTTATCTAATCTCTTTCTTCCTCACCAACCTCCAACACGCCATGGCTGCAATTAATCCCCAGCCGCCCTCCGAAGAGTTATTGGCGGAGAAATTGGCTGCTTTGGACACAGTTCCATTGTTTATGAAAAGTCTTCCGGATGACGATGCTCAAGATACCACCATCAGCGCACTGCAAAGCCTGGCTCACGACGGGACACCAGATGGTTGGTCTTGTGTTCATGTTCGAGGATTCAGCTCTGAACTTCTGGTAGAAATCGCGCAGAATTTTAAGGAATTGGGGAACGAGTACTTCGTTGGCAAACGATGGCGCGAAGCAGTGGACTTTTATACTCAAGGTGTCGATGCTAAACCTACGGATACCAAGTTACAAGAGGCTCTACTATGCAATCGCGCGGCGTGTAATTTGGAACTAAGTGCGTTATTTTTGGTACTCGCATGTCTAGCCAGTCGTTGATACGATTGTTGAGGCAGAGAACTATGGCTCTGTACTCAAAGATTGCAAGAAGGCCCTTACGATCAATCCCAAATCATCGAAAGCATACTACCGTGCAGCATCGGCACTTCTAGCTCTAGATAGGCCAGAAGAAGCCTTAGAGTGTTGCGAAATGTGCCTCGCGTATGATACGAGCAATGCTGGGATGAAAGTGCTTTACGAGAAAGTCGTTGAAGCAGTGAATATCAAGAAGAAGAAAGAATGGGAGCGTCAAGAGCGCCTGAGGAAAGAAGGAGAAACTAAGAGAATAATGAACAACGCCCTTCGAGTGAGTGACAAATCCTTTCAGTAAAAATCTCTCCTTTATCGATGTTTATAGGCACGAAACTTGATACCAATACCGAACCCCGACGGGTCGAGCAACCCATACGCCCCACACTGGGACCCTGAGGATCCTACGCAGAGCACATTGATTCTGCCTGTATTCTTCCTTTATCCGCAACACGCTACGTCAGATGTCATTCCAGAGTTTGTGGAAGATACACCGTTTGCGCTGCATCTAGAGAACATGTTCCCTCCGAAAGCACCTTCGCCCGAATGGGATCGCATTGGCGAGTATGTAGTGGGTAACTTGGTCGTTTACGCTATCACATCGCGCAAAAGGTTGTTGAAAGTGGGGAAGAAAATGTCGCTTCGAGATGTCTGCACTGCGGCAAAGGCCAAAGATGGGCCGATAGATGGGTTAGAGGTCAAAGACGGTTGCTTGACATTTGTCGTCCTCCCAAAGGGTAGCGTAGAGCAGAAATGGGTTGAAGACTTCAAACAGAGTAGAGACCAATCATGATGTTGTAGTAAACCATCTAAGCGCCTGTGGTACCTTGATCGAGCAGTTGTTTCTCACGATTGATTTGACACTGTTGGCGCACAGGGTATTCAGACAGCATCGTCCCCTGCCAAAAAATCAATACGTCGACGCCGTACGGACTGGTGAGTAACTATGCTTGTCGCGTCGCCCGAATGGATCCTGTGTGGTTGAAGGGTGGAATGGCCAGGCTTGGAGGCATCGGGATGGACTGGATGGGATGGATTGGGCGGCGCAACTTTGGATGAGGACAGAAGGCTGATCTTGAGTCGCAGGGTTTACCACCTTCAAGATGTCCGTGAACAACAAGATCCTCCGCACCGCCAATGCCCCCACCACGGCTCCAGATGAGACCGAAATCAACGTCGCTCAAGCCCTGATAGATTTGGAGAACAATGTCCCCGAGCTCAAGGCTGAGCTTCGCCCTCTCCAAATCTCAGCAGCCCGGGAAGTCGATGTCCGAGGTGGCAAGAAGGCCATCGTCATCTTCGTCCCCGTTCCCCAATTGAAAGCTTTCCGCAAAGTCCAACAGAGGTGCGTTCCATATTTGCTCGTATTCGATCCTTGGAGTTCATCGCCTTGGCAGGCTTACTCGGGAGCTTGAGAAGAAATTCGCCGACCGTCACGTTGTATTTGTTGCACAACGCCGAATGCTCCGTAAACCAACGCGCACCTCCCGCGTCAAGCAAAAGAGGCCCCGCAGCCGCACTCTTACCAGCGTCCACGAACGAATCCTAGAGGATCTAGTTTTCCCCACGGAGATCGTCGGAAAGCGCACCCGAGTGTCTGTAGACGGCTCCAAGCTCCTTAAAGTGTACGCTTGACTGCTGGTACCCACCTCCCGGCGAATAGTCACTGATACTTGCCACAGCTTCCTCGACTCCAAGGACGCCACATCGCTTGAATACAAGCTCGATTCGTTCACATCTGTGTACCGGAGATTGACTGGAAAGGATGTTGTTTTCGAATTCCCGGTGGTCGCGCAAGAGTAGATAGCTGTGCTGGGATGACTGCGCCCGCTACTTTCCCTATGTATACGCATGCATTATGACTGCACACTGAAAACATGGCTATGTCTATGACTTGCAATTCCTGAATTGAGCACGACTATTTTGGTTGTTTCGGGTCCTTTTAGCTGTTTCGCTTCGGTAACCACGTGAGACCGTTACGATATGTCAGGGGGACGCTCGTCCAAGTATAGCGGACATTTCCTTCTTCTGTTCCACCTCCTTCATTACCATTTCCCTTCTTTCCCCCTTCCTTTTCCGTTCACGACTGGCCCGCCCTTCAGACACGGGCCATACACGGCTCAATCCCCCGCAATGGACCCGTACTCCTCTAGGTCTAGGTATGATCAAGGTGTCGACGCGAAAGTGGTGGTGATGGGAAACACTGGTCCGTGGCGATTGTCCGAACAACAGCGTGTTTTGCAGAATGCCAATCGGTCCTAATGATGGCTGCTTTTCTTCTTCCGCAGGTGTTGGCAAAACCAGTCTGCTTCACCGTTACACCCAGAACAGGTTCGATCCAAAGAACACAACCTCCACAACCGGTGCTTTCTTTGTCACGAAAAAGGTCCTTGTGAACGGAACGAGAGTGAGGCTGCAGCTATGGGATACAGCAGGGCAGGAGCGGTTCCGAAGTATGGTGAGTACAGCATGACCGTCCGACGGCTTCATCTCACAGTTGCCTAGGCACCCATGTATTATCGCGGGGCAAATGCTGCTTTGCTGTTGTACGATATCACGAACGCATCTACTTTTGAAGCTGTCCGAGGGTGGCTAGAAGGTGGGTTTACCGCTTCCCGACTCTTCACTCGTAGCTCATGAAAGTGTTATGAATCAGAATTGAAAAAGAACTGTCCGCCCGACTTGATAATCTACATCGTAGGATCTAAAGCGGATCTCCATCGACGCCGCCAGGTTACTTCAGACCTCGCTCGCCTTTCACTACATAGCTGGTTCCCCCCGCCTCGGCCACCAACCCCTCCACCTCCACCGGCGCCATCAACATTGTCGTATATTCGCCCGCGATTCACCTCGTTTCCAGGTCTACGTTCTCCACCTACTAGCCCCCCACCTATATCTAGCCCGATTCCGCATGCATCCCTAGACACTTCAGCTTACCTCGATTTACATTCCAACCGCTCAGGCCTCCAACGCAGCCAGTCATCTGCTGTCTCTCGCAGTCGATTGGCTAACGCCCCACCTTTGACCCGGTCTAATACTACCGCTACTACGTCCAGACCACAGAACTCTCGTTTCAACTTCGGCTTTCACGCGGCTGGATGGAACGAACTAGGCGATGGTAGCAATAGCAACAGCATCGAAGAAGTGGACGAAGATGCGCTTGCTAATGAGGAAGACGACCAGGAATGGGGTTTACACAAAGGCATGGAACTTTTCGAAGTTTCGGCTAAAGATGACTTGGGTATGTCCGCTATCACTGAGCATCCCATAATGATACGAACTGATGTCATTACCTCTCAAGGCATCCAGAATCTCTTCGATCATCTGATAACTGCTATCATTTTACGGAAGGATCGTATTGAAGAGGAGAATGATTTGAAGAAGCGCGACAGCGTAGTCCTTTCAACCATCTCAACACCCACATGGTCAGCGCAAGCTGAAGCAGAAGAGGCCCGCGAAAAGGCAGAACGATCGTCTGGCAGTTGGAGTTGCTGCTAGCCTTCCCGGTACTGACTGCCTGATTCTCTTTCATCTCACACAATCCTTGCTCACTCTTTGCAACGAACACTCACTCCTTTTTGTTTCCGAATCTCTTCAGTCTTTATTCCTTCCTACTTCTATCTATTCAATGTACCATCTTATTCATAATTCTCGGTCTCGACTCCCATCCTCTCTATTATTCCCCCATTGTAGTCTTCTATTGCAATCCAGTTCCTTTATCACGACCATGCACACACCTTGCATTTATCTTAACGACTGTGTTGTCCCCACGTTCTACATTATATCCCTCCAGATTCACCTACGTATATAAGTACATGAACATATGTCTTACCATGTTTAGCAACACTTGCGCTGCTTCATAAGTGGAATTCGCCCAGAATGGAGTGTCGCCCTGATCCCCTCTTGATCCCTGATCCAATCACTAATGACGCGCAGTCGCTGCCGCTTGCTCTGCACTTGACCGCAACCTCGATGTCTCTTCTTCCTCATGATCCTACTTCAGGTCTCCATCATCAGGCAGAGGCACTCGACATTTGCAGGCCAGAACACTGTTTCCACGCCTTCGACGCACTGTACTGCGCCCTGACATTCGCAGAGCCGATTCCTCCTCAGTTCGAAGACGATAAATAGTTGAGTTATTTCATCGTAGATATCTATAACTAGTTGTAGCTGAAATCGTGATAGTCCCTTATTCGTCACATGGAACACACTCCCGTCTCGACCGGGACGATCTCCTCGATTAAGGGGATGTATAGGATGTTTCGAAAGCTTACCCCTTCGTGAAGGACTAGCGGAGTACGCTCTCATCAGCGCCTTCCACGATTCACGATTCAGGAAGATAGATAAGAGCGAGCTGGAGACTTTGGAATGCGGGTGCGCTCAATGTTACCCCACCTTCTCCGCTTCTGGGCGCTGAAACATGAACTGGAATGTTAGGGTGTCTTTCCTGACCGACTTTGAAGATGCGATGTCGTATCTCGACTGGACGGTCGGCGTTCATGGAATCCAGATTACCTTCCCCCATCCATCCACGCTCACTCCAAATTCTGGGACACCTTCGCCCTTGTCTTCTGCTTACTCATTGTTGACTCCCAAGGTGACCAAGAAGCAGAAGTTCTCTGCCACCTACCTCCCGGACGTTATACCGGAGCAAGGCTGGGACAAACTAGACGCGGTTGATAGTGCTATTCACAAAGCTGGCTGGACCGGGAAGATCACTGAGGAGATCCGTAGAAGCATTAAATTGCGGAGATACCAGAGCAGGAAGTGCACGGTCAGTTGGGATGACTACATTGAGTGGCGAGAGATGAACAGTAGCAAAGCATGATGAATGGAGTGTTGCGATAGATCTACTAGATTAGCAAGATACGGGATCTGAAATGGACTGTGTATTATATTTGTGTCGCTACATTCTGGTATGGTGATGGACCTTGGGCTTCCGAGGCTGCGAGCTTGTAGGCGGATGAAGGAATTCGTTGCTGAATATCATTTGTCGAAGCCGTTGAAGTCGATTGTCTCTTCCTCCCCATGGCCCGTCGAACCTGCTTTCCATCTTGATCCAAACGTCCCGTATGACCAAGGGATCATGCATACTTGTCTTCATGAAAGCGACGATAATCCAATATATGACAGAGCGACTCGGTCGGACACACTCTGGGCGCCCCATAAAGACTTCGAATAGAGAAAGCAAGCTCTGGTGGTTCCACCTCGTACTTCGGAAAGTATCAAGAGTCGAATGCCGGATGATAGCTGAAGGCTCGGTCTGGGGGACACCGTGCTTCGCGAAACCAAGGAAGATAGCACGGAAAGCAGGCATCGTCGAAGGTTGTGATGGTGGCACACTCGTGGTGTCTGCTTGTATCTTGGGGTCCGTTGAGGAGTTGTGGGGAGCGGAGAGCATATCAGTCAGGGTGTTCAGAGACCCAAGGAGATCGCCATGATATGCCATCGCCTGCACAACCTCGAAGAATGTGACCTCGTCAGGAACTAGATGCGGTTCGATGTCGATGGCCTCTTCGCTCTTGAGTTGACGCATTATGACATCTACCTCCGCTCTCTTATCCTCTGGCCATATTCTGTCCCGCAGTACCCGATAAATGAGTCGAACCATCTCCAGATCCCCCGCACGGGAATACGCCCATATACACGCGTTCAGCCCGTCTATACCCAGTTCCAACCCTTGTTCTTTCATTTTAAGCACAGTGCTACGAACGCCGGATAGTTGACGCGTCGAGATAAAATAGCGAAGCATGGACAGATGCGTAATGCGGTTTGGGGAGAGACTTGCATCGTGAAGCAGGCCTGTAGCACGGCGAATAGAGGGTGCATGCAAGGTTCGAGCCGCGATATCAAGGATGGAGGTGAATGTGATGATGTCTGGGTGTACAGGCTTGCCCTGCAAAGGGGCGTTGTCATAGATAGAACCAGCCATTGTCGTACCTGCTGGCGCCCCAGTAATCATATCGTTGTACACGTCCATCACAAGCTGAAAGTCCTCCACTCTAGTCTTCCTCCAACCGCGGCCAGCATTATGAATGAGCGCGTTCCATTCGTGCAACTGAACCTTTCCACCGCACTTCTGGAGAAACTGAATTACGTCTAGGAGTCTGATGAATTGAGTTCTTGTCTTCGGTCTGTTCTCAGATAGAACGCGGATGACTCGGTGGAGGTGATGGAGGGCGAGTAGGCCGGCAGAAAGTGACTGGTTTTGGTCGTAATACTCGCGAAGCTCCGTGTACGCTTTCCAGACGTCCGTTGCGGAGGTAGACCTCTCGATAATATGGATGAGGTTCATTTCTCGATCGCCTTCTTGAAGGCCATCCATGCTTGTGAATGATACGAAATCCACACACCCCTCTTGTAGATGGTCGTCGAAGGTGAAAGTATGATCTTTGAGTTGTTGCTCCGCAAGGGCATTCTCCGCTTTGACAGTGGAGGGGCCTACACCAGAGCAATGTTCCGAAAACTCTACATGATCCCAAACACGCTGTTTCCGAGATACTTTGTTTCCTTGTACGGTAGACTTCTTCTTCTTCCTCTTCTTTCCAGACTGCGGACGATGGGGCGCGCAACCAGGGTGTTCTTCTCCGCTTTGCTTTCGGTCTCGTTTCTGTCGTGTTTCGCTTCTCTCTTCGCGTGCAGACAGCGTCTTTTCGACAGTTTTCCGAGGGAAATACACAGGCGGAGGCACAGAGAAGGTCTGCGTGGGTTCCAAGGGTACGTACGGGACCCGGCTGCGACTGGTGCGGATGCATGTCGAAGGGAGAGAGGGGGTTCGACATAGCTGTTGAGTGATGGCGCGACGAGCTGTTGATAGCAACTTCGTGGATATAGGGCCCACGGTGGACGCTATGAGCATCAATGCACCGTCCAGCTGGCGTGTTCATCCTTTCCGAGATATTTGCGCAATAAGCAGGGGTCGGGCGTAACAAGATAATAGGGTGCACTCACGACAAGCGACACGCGACGAGAGCAGCGTCTTGGGTGACAAGACGCGTCTGAGCTACTTGAAGCGACGCAGCGACGGGCAAATTAGTGACAGGCGGAGATGTCGACGAGCAACTATACAATGTGGGAGCGCTCCCCGAAAATACTGATCGTGGGACACTGGGGACAGCCAATCCTATCGCCACCATTGGGCAAACTCCAAGCTCTGAACTCAAGTGAAGCAGATTTGGTGCATGCAATCATATGTATCATATGTTCGAGCAAGGCATGGCATGGTGTAGATAACAGTAGTAAAAGTATGCGGAAAGTACAACGTAGAGAAATCATGCACGGGCTTTGAGCGTTCCCATGAACGCAGCCTTTTCTTCGAAGGTTTGGAACGAACCATGCTAAAGGGACTAGTCAGCATCTGCTGGCCAATGTCAAGTACCCAAAGGAAACCTACACCGAACTTGGAGGACGTGTCGATGAATTTGAGTTGAACCTTCTCGAGATCCCGGCGCGAAGTATGTACCATGAGCGACTTTCTTATCGTGACAACGCGCTTCTTGGTACCGGGGATGGAGCCCTTGAGCATCAAGAAGTCGTTCTTGACAATACCGTAGTGGGGGAAGCCACCCATGGGTGTGATGGTCTTCTTGGTGATGTCGGATTCGGTTGAAGCGTTGGACTCGTCGGTAGCTGAGCCAATGCGGTAGATCTTCTTGTTGAGTTCCGTTCGGTGATGGTAACCGTCTATGAAACACATTAAGCATGCGTTCAATCTGGAACTCCATGTACTCACTTTGACCGGCACGAGCAACAGAGAACATGACCTTCGAAGGATGCCATGCACCAATACAAGCGACCTTGCGGAGACCCTTGTGAGTCTTGCGAGGAAGCTTCTTGGTACCCCAACGGTGGGTGACACCTTCGAATCCGTGACCCTTGGTGACTCCAATGACATCTATACACTCATCTTGCTCGAAAACGGATCCGATCTCAATCGGCTTCTCGAACAGGCCATGGGCGAATTCGACCTTGTCGGGTATCGAGCCACCGTTGACCTGGATCTCCATAAGGTGAGCCTTCTTCTGGCTGAGACCAGTCTTGCGGATTTGTGTGTGGGCAAGAACACGGACGACGGTGCAGTATTTGCGGATACGCTCGAGTTCACGGGCAACAGACTTGCCGCCATCCTCAGCGTGCTTCTTGGCGTATCGGGTGAACGCCTTCTTCTTCGATCGGTACCAGTTCTTGTAGAATCGACGCTTGACTTCGTCGGAGAGATGGGAGGCCCAGACGGTGGTGAGAGTGCGCAGGCCGCGAGGAGTCTCGACGTAACCAACAACACCAACAATAACGAGGGGTGGTGTCTCGACGATCGATACCGCTTCGACGACTTCACGCTTGTGCATCTCTGGAAAAAGGAAATAATCAATGACAATCCATGTAGTCCGGCTAAAGATACGAACTGGAGCCTGGTCGGTCGAGATCACGGACAACATGGGTCATGCCAGCCTTGTAGCCCATGAAGGCAGTCAAGTGAACCGGTTTCTTGGGGTCATCCTACAGATCTTTGATTAACCATGGTCGCTTTTGTCCTCGCGCAAAAGCCGCACCTTGGGGAAGGACTTGACCTTTCCGCGGTGGCGGGCAGAACGCTTCCTTGGGAGGAAGCCGAGTGAGCCATGGCGGGGTGCTTCATACTAGATATAAAGTTATTGTCGACCGCAAAACTTGATTGGAGGCGGTGACTAACGAACCTTACGGTGACTACATGACGGGTATTGATGAGCACATCGTGAAGCAAATAACGCTGCAGCATACTCACCTCATCTTGAGGAATGTTGAGGATGGCGGCGGCGAATATCTTGCTCTCTGCTATCAGCCGATGAGGTGTGTGGCTGAAAAAACTGTACAGTACCAAGCCAAAACACCACGTGAGTATGAGATAATAGGATCACCCCTGGGTCCTCCTGATGGCCCCTGACCTTAGATTGTGCACCCATATTGCGTCAATGCACTTATTATCTGTGTCAGTAATAAGTACAGTATATATTGTGAGCAATGTGGCTTTATCTGTCTACCTCGGGCTCTTTGGTATCTTACTTGGAACTCCTACTTTGTTCACCTGCAGATATATCACTTAGGATTCTTGTGTCATACGTAGACCCGTCAGCGAGTATCATTCACGCACATACTACCCTCGATGCCTAAAGATGCAGTATTTCTTCAACCTTTGGGCTCTTCGTTGGTGGATTGTTGACTTGATGAGTTGTTGGGTCACCAATTACCTAAAACGCGTACCGTCACATGTGTGACACAGGCCACCCACTCTCAACCTTCGTCACGACTGCCAAAAGGGCGGCGTACAAGGATCCCTCTCCCCCCCCCTTTTGTTCATATATGACTCTATCTAAGGAATACTCCATCGTTGCAGATTCGACAATGTCACTGTCGTCTCCGGAACCATCACCTGTGGTGAAGCGTGCCGCGAAAACATACGGGCGACGTAGGGAACCGGAAACCCTCCCAGCCTCTTCATCATACTCAGACGCGACGAGCGTAGGATCGCCGTGCAGTATCTACCAAACCGGACCAGCGGGACTCGACGAAGAGATCCCGCCGACTTCTGACGCGCCCTGCACACACTCTGAACCAGAAGAAGTGGAGGACGAAGCAAACGACAGCGACGCGGACGACACAGGGAATTCAGCCGGTTTCGAGTTCGCCTGGAGGAAACAGCTCCGTGATATAGACGAAGCAGACGACGACGACCCTTTGGTTGCTCACAATGTCGCTGACCCGCAGGCAGCGTTCGACGCGTCTGACTCTTTATCTCCTACAAGGGCTAAGGATGCAACAGCGCCACTCGAATCTAAGTCTGCAAACAACAATCTAGCTCCCCCTTTGTCCGTGGATAGCACACATAGTTCAAGGGGATCTTCTCTGCAACCCTCATCAAACAACTCGACTACTACACGCACGTCGACTGCTAGTCCTCGACGTCGCCCAGCGATACCCAACTCCGACTCCGCGACTAGCCCCTTCACCAAGTCCTCCCCCCATCTAGCGACATCTCCCCCAGTTCCCCATCCCATCAACACGCCCGGATCAGGCCCATCCTCCACTCCCCCAACTTCGGACGACGAAATGCCAACGGATCCATTTGCAAAGGGGAAGCTCCGGAAGCGGTCCACGACCCGACGCAGGCTTTCATTTACCCCACAACCTCTAGGTGACGATGTCCCTCCAAGCCCCACGCGGGCGTCAGGGCAGGAAAAACAGACGGATAGTCCTGCGCGCAAGCGACCCACCAAGAAAGGAAAATCCCGCGCGCCTACGAAGAAAGAACTTGAGGAAACTACGCGGGCTCGTGCAAGACTCGCAGTGGACCAACATGTTTCATTACCGCGGACCGAAGTTCCCCAAAAGTATTCTATAACCCAATTCTTCGGCATGCTCAACCGCCCCTCAGACGCTTTGGTAGCCCCGAACCAGTTATCTGATCCCATTGGTCAATTTTCCTCACCACCCAAGATGCCAACCGTCGGTCGTCCTGCCTCGCCGCCGCCAGACCTTGCAGAGAATCCCCTGCCACCGAATGGGGATGATTCCGACGAGGAGCTTCCAGCTGAAGTGCCGTACGCAAGAGAAAGGCAAGCCCAACGAAATGTCGATCTTCGCGAGGTCAAGAGGAAAGCACTTGCTGCTCAGCAATTGAGGCCACAGGAAGACAGCGACGATGATCTCCTGGTCGTTGACAATGCAACTGCTGCTCGCGACATGCATATGGTCGCCCAAGAGGCTGCGAAGGAACGCCGTAGCCTCAAGAAGCGACATATGGGCCCCTCACAAGGCAAGAGGATTATCGAAAGGTTCGGCTACGCGCCCTCGAGGAAGGGCGAGAAACTCCAGACGCAAGTCAACGCCAAGCTCTTTGAGAGTGTCGAAGCTCAACGGCGGGCCGAGGTAGAGAGGAAACAGGCCGAATGGAAGAAGCGAGGAGGGATAATCAAGTCAGAAACAGACCCCATCGTTGCTGTGAAGGGCGGTGAAGATGTTCTGAAAGTCTACGCAGAGAAGGTTCTCAATGCTGCCCAAGAAGAGGCCGATGAGGAAGACGTCGCCGATGGCAGCGACCAGGAATGGGTCCCAGACGAAGCTCAGATGAGGGGGTCTGCGTCGCCCGAGCCTGCCGAAGTCGAGGACGTCTTGCCAAACGACGGGTCCGGTTCCGGCGAGGACGAAGACACTACGATGGTAGACCCAGAGAATGAGCTACCCGTATCATCGCAGGAAGCCGCGGAGAACGCCAGCGCAGGCCCTTCATCCCGCCGCTCACGGGCCGTCAAAGTCATCGACTCGGACGACGAAGACGAGAATGTCAGCCCCCACTCCCAGTTCCGGCGTGTGCAGGGGTCTGCGCCGGATTCGCCTTGTTCCGTTTCCTCGTCCGCGGGTTCGCCGCAGGTGATCGTGCACAGGGCCTCTCTCTCTTCGTTCGAATTCGACGGGGATGAGAACGACAAGGAGAACAACACGCGGCTCATGTTCGACAGGAGCGACGACAAGGAGAATCACGCTGTCGTGCGGCATGGGCTTGATGCGCGGCCGACGCTAGGGAGTCGGCAGTCGTCGTTGAGGAATGTGGGCGACGAGGCCGTGCGCGGGGTATCTCTTTCGCCCGGCCAGCGCAGCGATAGGCAGGCTGATGAGAGGGACGAGGGCGGATCGAAACCGAGAAAGCCCTTGAAGGAGATTGACGCGGACCCCTTCATGTCGCCCTCGACTTCGACGTCGTTCACGGCACGGCTGCTCAATGCGTCCCCTCAAGAGACCGCCGCCGCGCCCACGCAGCGGCAGCCTAGTCTGAGCCCCTTCCTGGCAAAGCGATTCTCCCCCCTGAACTTCGATCCCTCTCAAGCCCCGGACGAAAATGAGGCGATGGATATGGATGGTTTCAAAGTCCCTGCATTGCAGACGAGTTTCTCCCAACTGTACGCGTCGCAGACGCAGGCGCCTGGTCCTCCGGTACGTTTGGAGGAGATGCAGTGAGAAATGTGCTAATATTCGTTCACAGGCTCGGAGTGGTGGACTGGATAAACTCCGCAAGCCCGAGGCGCTCAATGAGCTGCCTTTGACGCTGGACGTGACTCTCCAGCCCGCTCTTGATGTGAGCGAGCATCTGCGCAAGAGAGCCGATGCGGTATTCGAGAAGGAACAAGAATATCTCATTGACGCCTTGCAGCCTAAACAAAGCACGCAGCCGCAGCTCTTCATCAACGATCATGGGTGAGTATAATCGCGCTTGATATCAATATCATTGGAATGCAGGTCCTAACTACGACATAGGTTCTTGACACAAACGCGGCCTGATGTCGGAAGTCCTGAGGTCTACAGGACGTTTTCGCCCTCCCAGCGTACCCCCCTTCTGCGCAATCGCACACAGCCGAATTTCTCGCAGGATTCCTCCCTTACACAAGCCACTCTAACGAGCCAAAGCCGCCATCCCCTACGCACCTTGAGCATGCTGGGCGACCCCGATCCCGACACACCCGACATCTCACCTTTGCGCCGCCTGCGCCGCCATCGGTCGTCGTCGCCGACCCCCCTGAAAGACACCGGGTATGATTCCAGTCCGGCGCAGAGCCCGGTGAAGAAGGCCCAACTCCTCAATGCTTTCGACGTTCTCAAGCGGAATGCTGCACGGCGGGGCGGGGCCAGGGCTGAGCGCGACGCGGACTTGGGGAGGGAGTTCGTCGAGGCAGAGGCGGAAGAGTCTGATGACGATATGGGGCATTGGGGTCCGAGGAAGAGAGACGACGAGGCGGAGGAGGCGGAAGCGCTGGAGGCGGACACGACGTTGGTGGAGATGATGGACGACAAGGATATGGACGCGGAGGTCGTAGCCGCTGACAGGGTTCTTGAGAAATTCCAGTGCGTGTTTATGGTTATGCTGTTCCTGCTCTCTCGGGTGTCTGAAACGCCCCCCGCTTTGTTTTTGTCTGTCTGGTGTGGTCTGTCTGGTGTGGTCTGGTCTGAAGGGAGCACGTGCTTGAAGATGACGAGAAGCTGCAGAAGTTGCACCAGGATGCAGTCGATGGGAAACTGCGAAATAAGCGGCGCAATCGTATCGACCTCGACGGGAGTGACGACGAATCGGATGAAGATGCCGATGCTATCCGTCGGCGTCTGCACAAACGTCCCAAGACGGATCGCAATGATATCCAAGCTCTAGGTATGTGGTTCATCGTATTCTTCGGTTTATATTCATACACAACACACTGACGCGTTGACGCGTTGTTTGCCGTACGTTTTTGTTTTTTTGTTTTTTTCAGGCAGATCTGAAGAAACGAAAGCGTTTTTTGATACGTATCAAGATGATTTGGTGGATGATGACCAAGCTTTGTGGGTTGGTGTATCCCAGGAGGATCCGCCGCGTTCGGGGGGTGCTCCTGAGGAGAGCGATCGCTCGGAAGACGAGGACGAGGACGAGGACGAGGACGGGGAGAGAGAGGAGAGATCGCGGCAGGGTGTTAGCGTGCACGAGATACGGAGGCAGGTCTTGGAGCGTTTGGACGGAGGGGTATGTCGTTTCTTTCGCGTGAGCGTCGGAAATGGGATGGCCTGCTGACGTTTATGTTCACGTTTATGTTTACTGGTGCGTTAAGGATATCGAGACTATCAATGTGAACGACGTGTCGTGGATCGATGGAAGGGACGAGGACGAGGAGGGGGAGGGGGAGGAGATGAGCAGCAGGGTGCGGGTGAAAGACGTAAACGGACGACCTAAATCGGCCACCGCTGCGTTTAAGAAGAAGGCGTGGATGGATGTAGACTTGGATTTGGATTTGGATGCAGAGGTGAGCTGGAGGCTTGTTCATCTCGCGCATTGTCGTTATCATTTTTCTGACCATATCCGTTATTGCGTGTATCACTTGTATTGCATAGACTATCCAATCCCGCGGATCTGCGTCATCCAGCGCTGCGCGCGGTTCTCGTTCCTTCCAGACCCAAACCTCGGCTTCGGCTTCGGCTTCAGTCTCCTTGAACGGTTGCGACGGTCGCGAAGGAGGAGGCGGAGGAGGAGGGGGTGGTGGTGGAGAAGACGTGCTGGATTCCGAGGCGAAGCGTCTGATGAGGTGGGCTGCTGGGGAGAGACGGTCTGGGAGGCTGGAGAGCACTGGGCGGTCTGTTGGGGGGGCTGCTGTTACTGGGCACAAGGGGGTTGGGGGGATTAGGATGAAAGGGTCAGGGACGGGGACGGGGGCGGGGACGTTTAGGGCGAGGGAGCTGGGGGGGAGGAAGGGGGACGGTGGTGCGGGTGCGGGGAGTCGAGGTGGTGGGGGTGCGACGGGCGGAGGAGGTGGAGGAAGTGGAGGAAACGGGGGGAAGAGAGAGAAGATGGGGGTTGAGAGGACGAGGAGTGTGGGAGTTGAGAGGACGAGGAGTGTGGTACTTGGGAATGTGGATAGGAAAGGGAGGTTTGCGTGATGCGTCCCGCGCACCCACAGACATATTTTCGACCTTTGACCTTCCGTCTGATGTTTTCTTCGAATCGTGGTTTTGGTTATGATCTTCGCTTCCTGTGTCTTGTTTCCTCGTTTCTTCGTTCTTCGTCTCTGTATGCCCTATACTATCGTTTCGTCGCAACACTATGACCACTATGTTCACAGCATGTTCGTTATCAATATGTCTATACTCATTCTTCAGTACTTTAGTTCTATTATCAACCGACCGATGTACACTCTTTGTAGATGTTAAATGTGATGATACGCATTGAAGTTGGTATCCTGTCTACCCACCACTCTTCATTCACCGACGTCATCACCTGGAGTGGAGGATTAGTCAGAGGAGGCGAAGATAGCAAAGCAGTTACGGCAGGGCTAGATGTAAGATATAGGATGATGCATGGGAGATCACGATCGTCCCCGTCGTGATCGCGTGCGCACTCATAGAATTATGTCAGAGCACGGCTAGTCTCGGAGTCAATGAGATCAACAGAAGCTCAAAGGCCAAAGCAGTTTCACGATGCAAACGCTCCGAACGTGTCGCAGTCGATGAACAGCCAGCAAGTTGAAGTTGAAACAGCAAGCCGCGGCACACAAGCACGTAATGGCACCCGCGTAATCAGCCTTGGAAGAAGAAGCTACTCAGGCATCATACACCGACCCTTGATCCTAATTTATTTCTCGCTTCTTCCCCAACACTGTTTATTTACACTTCCGCTTCCGTCTATTATAAATCCCCATTTTTTCGGAGTGACTCTTCTTCTCCTCCCCTCCTCCCCTCCTCCGTTCCTCTCCCCCTTCTCCTCCCCTCTCCAACGAGCGTCGTGGAGCAGCCGTCGTTGTGGTCGGTGGCCTGTGGAGAACCGAACTCGGACTCGGACTCGGGTTTTTGGGGTGGTGCACGACTCTGAGATGATCCAAATATTCCTCATCACGCTCCTCGCTGCCCTCCTCGTCCTCTACACCTTCTTCCCCAACACATGGCGCTCCCTCATGGCACGCGACATCGAGGCCTATCCCTACGCCCGTCGTGCAGACCACAGACTCGCTTTGGTCGCGACCAGTCAGTCTTCTTTCCTTTTCTCTCTCACAAACTCCAACATATCAGCCGCTCTGAACACAGGAAACCCATTCCGCCCCTCGGGCCCGCCCGTATGCATGGCCAAACTCATAATGCAGCGACACAAGATAAACCAGTCCATCTCCCGCAACAATAATAAATCAAAAAGATCCTCCCCTCGTCTAATTCCAATTCCAAAACTACCAGCCATACATGTCCCTCCTCCCCCGACTCCCATTCCTACCGCTATCAAATCCACGCGTCCACCACCACCCCCGCCTGCACCCGTCCTCATCCCACCACCCGTGCACGAGCCTTCCCATTCCCACAGTATACCAGCTCCCTTAACTTTACCCTTATTATCTTCCCATATACCCACCGCTTCATCTTCGCCCCCTTCCTCGTCTTCGTCCCTGCCTCTAGAACCTTCCCCCTTACATCCACCGCATCCACACCCTTCAATCCATCCCGACTCCCTCCGCCATCCCTCCACGCTCACGCTAACGAACACAGACATGAATGTATACCCACCCGCTACTGCCCCCGATATCACACCCACGCCCAACAACGACGCTAAACATACCCCCATCCTCCCAACACCAAATCTCCCTTCGCCTTCGCCTACACCTACGCGTACGTCTATTAATAGCTTACCACCGCTGCTTCTGCCACTCGCGGGTCTGGATTCGAAGACGCAATTCGATCGGGGTTTGGACGCGCCTCGGAGTTTTGCTCACCCGGTCCACGGACGCGGTAGCGGCGGTGTATCGGGGGTGGCGAAGGCGGATGTGGGAGATAGAGAGGACGGAGGGGGGCGGGAGGCTGCACACGTTCGGTCTGGGCCCGCGCTTCATGCACAGACGCGGGATAGCGCGCACGAGTACCCCCGCGCCCGCGGTCAACCGAATGCGCAAGTTCACGACTGCGATTGCGATTGCGATGACAAGTACGAATACGCTAACGAGGAGGATCTGCGTCTGCGTTTACGCGGCAACGGAAGTGGGCGTGGGCTCGGGGAGCGCGATGCGTGGTTCACGCCCTCTCTCGCATCTGTGTCTCTATCCCTGCCCTTCCGCCCCGCCTCCCCGCTCACCCCCAACACCTCCCCCCTCAACAACAACACCAATAACAACACCACCCACCCGCTCAACGTCAACACTAACACTCATACTAACGCTAACACAGCCCCCGCCACTGTCGACGTCGACGTGCGCATCAAATTCACGTTCAAGGGGTGTGACACGCCTTTTGTGTTTCCCCTCCCGCTTGCGCTCTATCCCGCTGGCGGTGGTATCAGCGGTGTCGGTGGAGTTGGTGGTATCAGCGGTATTGGTGGTGTCAGCGGGAGGAGAGGTACAATGATGATGAAAGGGAGTCCGCGGATGAAGGGGGGGATGGCGAGGAGTAGAAGTCGGGGAAGGGGCGCTTTGGGTGGGACGCAGCATCATTAACGTCGAACGCCAAACGTCGAACATCCAATAGCGACTGACTAACGCGCGCCGTTCCCTCTCCCCCACTCTTCACCCTCTCCCTTCCCTCACTCCCACTGTTGACCCGCATCCCCTCCCCCACTCTTCACCCCATTTCCCCCGCTCGAGCTCATTATGATCGTTCGGACCGGTTGGGCCTTGACGGAGGCTCGACGCGTTATTTATAGAGTCGGTGTTGGTTGGGCTTTTTTTGAGTTTGGGGTAGGGAGGGTAGGACGGCAATTGGGGTGGTTCGGAGGTGTCGGATGTCGGCACGAACGAGGGAGGGTTTTTTGGATTTGCGGTCAATTTCGATTTTGATTTTGGTTCCAAACACTCGCGTTCGATGAGGATGATGAGGATGATTTTTTGGTTGACATCGATATTCCATACTCAATATTCAATACTCAACATACAATATTCAATATACCGATATACAGTACCCAATGTTCAATGTTCAAGCGCATCTTCTGCTATTCTCTTGCTTGTCTTGTGCGTACCGTGGTTGGTATCTTTCATAGCTTCCGTCATAGCTGGGTTTGGAGAGTTGGGGTGTTTTGGGGGAGTTGGGGTGTCTTTGGGGAGTTGGAGGTGTTTTTGGATAGGTGTCTTTGGATAGTCAGTGTATATGTGCTACGATTCGTAACCCGTAATGTTCAAACATCCAAATCAAATGTTCATGTTTTGTGGAATCGGAAAATCATGGAACGTAGAATTGCTGTTAGACTCGAGTACCGAGTACTGAGTACTCAAGCAAGGAAACACGCTCGTATTCTCCGTGACTCGATATGTATTGTATTATGGGAAGAGGTTTAACATTTAACGTTTAGCCTCAACATATCATAGGCTCACCCAAGTCTTCGTCAAATTTGCCCGCAACATGTCTACTATCTATCCCGACCACCTCACCCTACACAGCACCCCACCAAGTAGAAACCCCACCAAATAAAACCCCCACCAACAGGACCCCCCCATATTGCGGATTTACATAACATAACCTTAAACCTGGACAATTATTAATTATCTGGCTCCGTCGAGCGCGAGTCCGAGCGCGAGTCCGAGTCCAAGTCCGAGTCCGCCACGACGCGGCCCAACATCGCCCCGTCGACCGTCCTTCCCAGATCCTCTACCGCCTTCTGCACAGCCGCCGTAATCTCACTGCGCACCCTCGCCACGGCCTCCTCATCGACATCCCCAACAACCCAACCCATATCCCCACCCGCACCACCACCCCCACCCTCACCTCCACCTCCACCCCCACCCGCACCCCCACCCCCGCCTCTACCCGCACCCCCGCCCGCACCTCCACCCCTCCCTCCACCAACCGCCCTCCACGCCGCCCGCACAACCTCCGCCCCCTCCACCGCCTCCCCAAACGCCACGCCCACCCGCACACGCGGCGCCGCGAAAAAGCGGGGCGCGTATTTCCAGGGGGCGGCCCGGCCTTCGGGCATGAGGGCGTCGAACCCGGAGAGCCACATCGGGATGATGAGCGGCGGGCGAGGGGGTGGTGGTGGGCGCGGGGGTGGTGGTGGTGGTGGCGGGCGGGGTGGTGGTGGTGCGGTGTTGTTGTTGTTGTTGGGATTGGGATTGGAGTTAGAGGTGGAGGTGGTGTTGGTGTTGGTGTTGTTCGAGGTCGGGGTGGATTCCATTAGTATGCGGCCCCTGAATTGTGCACGCAAAGCGGAGCGATGTCAATATCGATATCAGCGGGTGAGCGGGGGACGAAGCACGCGAGGGGGAAGGGGAAGGGGAGGGGAAGGGGGGGAGGGGAGGGGAAAGGAAAAGACGAAAAGACGAAAAGATGAAAAGACGAAAAGACGTACACCCCCCACTTAAATCTCGGTAAATGTACTTTTCGCGTCACTGGATCTATGGGATACGTCGAGGGATGGTTGACTTTGCCTTCGCCAAATAGGTGGATCTGTCTGGAAGAGTGAGTGCACGGCGATCATCGACCCCCCGGTGTGGCTGGGGGGAAGGGAGAAGGGGAAGAGGAGGGGGAAGGAGAGGAGGAAGGGGAGGGGAAGAGGAGGGAGGAGGGGGGACTCACCCAGCCGCCCGTAGTATTCAACGTGTCTATCGCCGCGTCGACTGCGGGTTGGTATATCCCCTTCCCCCGGAATGTCTCGTGTACCTGTCCCAGACGGAAGAATTTCGAGAACACCCTGTGTGCGTGCGCAATGCGTTTAATGTATCGTATGGAACGGAGAGATTGCGCAAGTTAGTTAGAATATAAGTATATAGGTATATAAGTATATAAGGATAACGCACGGGTTGGTGAACATGATGTCCGAAGCACCCAACGCCCAGCGCATGGTGCGCGGACGCAGGTAATACCGCGTCGGGAGGATCCCCCACGCTACAGGATCATCCACCCTGCGATGCAACGCAACACCGCGTCAGCCGTCAGCGCGTCAGCACGTCCTACACACACACACACGTATGTGTAGTAGAAACAAGATCGCAGTACGCACGCACGCACGTTGAGATGTGGTTCGCTACGGTTATGACGCTGCGGCCGCTGTCGAGGGCTTTTGTGAGGATATCGAGTCCGTTGACGGTGAGAGAGCAGGAGCCGGGGGCGTGCAGGAGTGCTTTGGAGCCCAGTCCGATGGTGGCTATGGTCGCCGTCGAAAGCAAACCCATAAATAGCGGCGGAACGGATATTAGCGCTCAGCCACATAGCTCAAGTGTGTGTACATGGCGCCTCACTGAGCGGGTACGCGCTGGGACAGTGACTATTCCGTATGAAGCTTTCATCGCTCGATATGGGGGCTTCACAAGCGCTATGAAAAGCTTCTTCCCCGTAAGCTAGCCACTCCATGTTGAGTTCGGAAACGTTCGCACTTGTGAGTTAACCTCAAAATCTCAAGGATGTGGAAGGTTAACGCCCTGGCAAGGCTTGAGGCTACTCACGATCGTAGCCTCGGACGGTGGTGGAACGCAATTGTGTGCATCATGCATGCGATGCACGCCCATGGGCTGAAAGGCTCCCGGTTCATCAGCCGTCCTCGCTGTACGTACGTGTACGTACCTGGGCGATCTGGGAACGACCCAAGTCCGTTTTCTTGCTTCTCTGAGTCGCAACTGCGCTCGTGAGATGATCGCTGTCGGAACCTCTTCAACCGTTGAAGCTTGAAGCTGAAGACTGCTGCCGCCTGCATCAGGGCGCCATATGCACAGCTATATTCAACGATTCGTTGCTGAATAAGACTCTAGCACTAGCACTAGCAAATGTAAGGTATTGGCTCTCTCTGATTCCGCCAATGCCGCCCATGCATCGTTGTACTTTCCGTGGGCCACGTTATGCCATATCCCTATTCCTAGCTGATGTGCGCAGGCACATCGAGAGCGATTGACACGCTTATGGAGTGTACCCTATTTTCTGACCATCATGTACGAAACATGTGAGTGGTATACCGACCTTTCCTCGACACGGGCTAACCGATGCCAATGCGTATCCACTTTTGTGTAATAACCCTCGCGTTGACACTTGGTACACGACTGCTGTCTCCCCACCGGTTTCGGGTTTTCCGTCGAGTTCGATAATCTGCCTGCTGGTACCCAAGGACAAGGATATACCGGCGACACTTGTGCGAACTTCTTGCTCGCTGTCTTTGGTCCTGGGACCAAGCGTTGGAGTGGGGGAGCTCCGAGTCGTGCATCGCACATGAATTGGTTCCACTCTACCCAAAGCCGTCGCAGTGTCCTCCCGCCCGCGCGGACGATTCAATCTGCGTCCCGTCTGGGTTCACTTACCATGGTGGGAGTGGGATGGGAGTGGTATCGAGAAGAACATCAAGGTCCCCATTCAACGTTGGCGAGGCAGAAGGCGTGGCGCCTTTGCACGCCAACAAGGATTTCGCCGCATTGGCTACCTACGAAGTTCCCTGATTGAGGTGAGTATACGATGCGGACTTTTCAAGACTGATGTTGGAACTCACGTTCTGGCTAGACGCGACAATATAGAAATTAGTGGTGTTTAGCGAAGTTAAGAAACAAAGAAAGGGGGCTAGTATGAAAGAGTTGTGAATGGAATGAAATGAATGTATTTGTGTTTGATAAATGATGACATGTGCAAAGCCAGGCCTCAGCTCGCGAATGTCCTGCACATAAAAATTAGTATGATAGAGAATCAGCGAGATTCTGTGACTCGCTCCATCCGCGGTGAAAGATGGCGATACTCTACGCAAGTTGGAAGTAAACGTAAACCTGGCAAACAACATCACGTCACGCGTCACGCAATATTCGGCCCCAGCCGCGGCGCAGTTCTCAATTTGGGCAGCGTGTTGATTTCGTTGTCCAATGCTCTGCCTTGCTCTTCGCTTCTCCCCCTTCTCCTTCTCCTTCTACCACAACTACAACCCAGACGCGAACCATGCCCTACCACCCTGACCCAACATCCCACGATTTCACGACTAATGCCTCAAACATCTTCATCCGCGATTTCAAAACCAGAGTCACGCCGAATGAAACGCAGAGGGATACGCTCATTGTTGCTGGCGTTTATATTGTTGCTATTGCTATTTTGTGGTGCGTATAGCGATATCTTTGCTGTTCTGGTTGTTGGTCGTTGAGTGGATCGTTGATTTCGATTGTTGCTGACATATGGATTTATTTGTACGGTGTAGGCATGTCCCGTACCTCAAGGTCGTCAGTAAGTACCTCGTTATATTCACTGCTTGAAATGGTTCATGATTTCGATCAAGTTTACCCATTCAAGTAATATCCTCTGCGTTCACCTTTGGATAGCCCGTCCGCTGATATATATGTAGATTGTTGACCGTGGGTTTCCATGAGGTATGCGTTTGTATATATAGATGGCGAGGCACTCACTCGCTGAATACATAGATGAGCCATGCCTTTGCAGGCGTCTTGACATGCGCCACAATCCACTCCATCGAACTCGATCGTACGTCCTCCTCCCTCCCTTCCATTCCATCGCACCTAACACCCAACATCATCATCCGCAGCCGATGAAGGCGGAGCAACCCGAATGTCCGGCGGCATCCCCTGGATAACCCTCCCAGCAGGCTACCTCGGCTCCTCATTCATCGGCGCATGCCTCATAGCCTGCGGCTTCAACACCAACGCAAGCAAAGTAGCCTCAATAGTCCTTGCTGCGTTTTTCCTGTTGACGTTGTGGTGGGCTCGTCGGAATTGGTTGTACGTGTCTGTTGTTTTGTTTTCTATGTTTTTGGGGAGTGACTGAGTGATTTTGGTGTGGATGGTGGGTAGGACGTGGCTTTTGATCCTTGGGATGTCGGGTATCATCGTCTTATTTTGGTTCGTTGCTGGTGGTATCGCCCTACGTTATCTCGTACGTCTCCCCTCCTCCCCCACTCACCCACCCACTTACTCTCCCCTCCCCCCACTCACCCACGCTTCACGTGCGCCGCGTTCTACAATCCCCCTTCTCCTCCCCTCTCCCCCTCCCCCCCACAGGTCCTCTTCATCGGCGTAATGAGTTGCATGTACGTCCTCTGGGACGTAATAGACGACACAATAGCCCGCAAAGTAAACACTTCCGACGCTTCCGCCTTCGCCGATATATGCGGTTGCTGTCCTTCGCGCGTCTGGGGCGTTATTTGGCTCGTACAGGCGTTCGTGTTCTTTGGGCTGGGGGTTATCGTTGGCTTGGTTGCGTTTAAGGTGCGTGGATACGTCGGTTTTGCGTGTCGTCCGTGTCCCCTGCATCGCCGCCGCCGCGATGCGCTCGCATCCGCATCCGCATATCTAATCTCTGATATCTGATACTCATCCCATGGACAGCAAAATAAAGAACAGCAACAAGCTGACTCGTCGCGTTTCCTCCCCATTCCTGGTGCTTCGTCCGGTGGACTCGCGCTACTCCCCGAATGGGGCACGGCCGCGTTCTTTTCGATAGTCGGGGTTTTGGTGCTCTTTGTATGAGTTGACGATCTGACACCCGATATTGGACAATATATGTATATATTTATATATGTCATTACGTATCCTATTGTGGGTGCTGATTGCACCCTTCATGAAAAATAGGTGCATGCCACTATACCTCGCACTGACAACATTCTCCTACTTCCGCTATCTCTCGTGCTGCGACCAGCGTGGATGTGCCCGTGGATCATCACCCTGGGTTTGACTCCCCGTATCTTCACATCCATGGATGATGATCGCTTACTACGTTCGAATGTCCACGCCAAAGATGAGCGATCTGAACGTGTCCTTCGTCGGGAATAGAGGTAGGCCTTTTCAGGTAAGGACACCTGCTTGGGCATTAGAACACCACACTTGACGAGGTTGGATCAGGGTGTTGCTTCAAAATGTCAAGAGTAAGTATAGCTATCGAACAGTACGTTTACACTATGACATATTACACAAACACCCAATGTGGTTCGGCGATCCTAACACCATATCTCGCAAACGACTCGGGTACCTCCTTGTCTGCGGGCATTGTCCCAAACCTGTCTGGTATCTCGACAACGGTGTCAAGAGGTTCCAAATCTTCGGCCCACTTTGGTATTTTCTCTAGTATTCGTGGTCGGGCCTTGAGTTCTTCCCAATCCTGGACGACGGCAGGTGCGTCGCGCGGAAGGCCCTTGGAGATCAACCTATTGTATGCTTGCTCCATGACACAAGTCAGCCCCGCCATAACTGCCTTTCTTATCTTCGCCTCCTCCGAATACTCGTCTCCCGGCGGACAGGGGTCCGGTAAATCGGCGAGTTGCCCCCAGAAGTATTCCAGCTCGTTGCGGAATTGGATCGTCCAGTCGATGACGAGGAACTGGTAGAGGCGGTAAAAGGAGGCTGCTGGCGTGTCTGGGAGGTATGCGTTGAGGCGGAAAGAAAGGAGGCGTTGGATGAGAGGGGGGCGGTGCTCAGAGTGTCGCCAAGACATTTGACGACGTGTGGGGTGCTGTCGGATCACTTGGATCTTCCCGTCGCGGGGGATGAGTTGTGAGACGAACGGAGGAAGGGGTTCTGCTGCTGGCTCCTGGCCCATTGGTGGTGGTAGATTCAATGAGAGATGTGCATGGTTCAATCCCCGCCATCGACTACACATCCAAGACGACAGCGGGCCGGAGAAGGTCATCCCTCGCTCCACCCACCACAGCACAGTTGACAATATAGCATGCATCCGACCCGTCCTTGCCCCTCTGCGTCAACCACGCATATACCAATCTCCAGATAGTAGCCACCATGCTCAACCAACCTACTCTATTCCCCGCCCTCACAGCATTCTCCCACATCCGCTGTCCTTCATCCCATCTCAAAAGCTCCATACCGCGACCAGCGTGAATATGGCCACATATCATCGCCTTGGGTTTGACTCGCCATATTCCGTCCAGAAGCCCCTCACATCCATACCCAAGATGGTCTACGTGTCCCTTGGGCGGCCCATGTGTGACGAGCACATCCAACCTGCGCCCCGCCTCGGACTCATCAACCAACTTTGCCCATCGAGCATGCGCAGCGTGACGAGGATACTGGAATACGAAGTTTCCATGCTGCGGCGTCCATGGACTGCCGTATACTCGAAGCATCCTTCCTCGCACGCGTATGCTGACTCCCTCGTCGCACAAGTAAATCAAGTCGCTCATATCCAGTGCCGAATGCGTGCCATTCGCTAGTCCTGTGTCGTGGTTCCCACCAATGAACACTTTGTGTCGGTGTGGAAGCGACCGCAGCCAATCCAGTGTCTTCTGCAACTCCTCTGCGGAGCCGGATTGACTTAGATCTCCCGCATGGATGAGCACGTCGCCCAGAGGAACGTCGGGGAGCGGGATTATATTGTTGTGGGTATCAGAGATACAGACGAGGCGGATTTTGGTGGGGTCGAGCGGAGGCGCTGGAAGGAATGGAATGTGCCGGAAGTAATGGTAAATTGTCGAAAGCAAGAAGAAAGGGAATGAGGGTGATTGGATGTACCGTTGGCGCAGAGTAGAATCGTCTACTTGTCGTTCAAGTATTGAGTCAAGTCCATGGGAATGGCGTGTTGTTGAGAACATGTTTAGTTGACAAGTCCGGTGGCCCCTATTACCTTGACGTCTGCATGCTAAGTTAAAGCGCGGAGACGAACACGATGGGGTCGCCAAATGCGCAATACTATGGGTTGGGTTGGGATGTAACTAACTTGGACTTGGGGACGAGGCGTTCGTGATAGATATGCTCGCGACGTAGCGTTGATAATACACTCCGCTGTGAGGGCCTCAGTGGGGTTCCGACTTCCCCATAATAAGTACTTTTATGTTTTGGAATGGATGGTGTATTTGACCTCTCCTTGTAGGCTAGCGACTGCGACTCGTCGGACTGCCATCGCGAGATAGATGGGTCTTTCGTTGGTAATCACTAATCACTAATCTCGTCGGGGTTGATCCCATTCTAGAAAATGTGATGATTACTGCACTCCTAGGATCTCCAACTGAGGCTTGACCGCAGGAACCACAGGACCATCTTGCCAATGCAAAGCATCGAACCCGACCATGATGCTTTTATCGACTGGTTTCCTACTCAGGAAGCTGTTTGGCCGCGACTTCATGCCATTCAATAGTCAAAGAATGCATATTCCATTCAGGAAGTACCTGCCATAACCTATCCAACGCGACTTTTACCCTTTCACCCTCACAAAATTCCTTAGTGTGCAAGTGTCCGTGTTGAATGCAAGCGTTCTTAATCTCAAACTACGTGGACGAGCAAACGGAGAACATCGACGAGTCTATCATCAAATTCGCTATCTTCATCTTCGCCAATTACATATTCTTCATCCTCAAATTCATCGTCGTCGTCTTCAATGTCACCGTCGCCTTCACGCGCTGTTCCCTGCGTGGGTGCGAGAGGCAGAACAGTGGCCGTCGTTGGAGGTAAGTGGGTCTGTACCACCGATAGGGGCTCCAAGGTGGAGGCGAACGACGTGACGGAAGGAGCCCCTCCATCTCGAGTATTCGGACTATTCGAAGTAGTAGTCGATAAAAGCAACCGATTGAACTCTGGTTGACCGGGGTACGACCATGCAGTTATAGCCTATAGTCCAAGCCGCAATAAGTAAGCCATATATATCGCGTGTTAGCACGTTGCGTCGAAAGGAGGGACGTACAATCATGACATAGAAAATGATCATCAAAGCTCCTTGGGCCCTCTTCACCCTCCTCGACTCCTTCCTCACGTCAACCCCCTGACCCCTCCTCTCCGAATCCCAGCTACCTTCGCCGTGCCCATCCCCACGGTCTTCACCCGCGCAATAGCACCAGCTAGCCAACAACCACGCAGCCAACAGAATCCCTACCTCAAAAACATCGAACAGCAGCAACAGCGAAGAAGGCGGCGTTCCCCATCGAGGCGTAGCGAGGGAGATGAGGGAGCAAATAAATAGGAAACAAGGGGTCCAGAAGAGCAGGAATTGGGTCGTCAGTTGCAATGCAAGTCGTGACGAAGGTGAGGAGGGAGGTGTTGGGTGGGAGGACGGGTAGGTGTGAGTAGTAGTCGTGATATTGGTGTTGGTGTCGGTGGTAGTGGTGGAGGTGAATTTGCAGGACAATGCGCTAGCGATACATTGAAAGAAATAGAATAAATATAATAGCAGGTCGCCTGCGATGCAGATGATCGGGAGGACAATGAGGGCCAATAACCTGTTTGAATAATTGCATTAAGAGGGCTCGGCCGTAAAAACAGGTCGAGACGGCGTACTCTGCTTGAACCCGAACACTTCTGAGCGAGGAGGAGGAAGATGTATGCATCGCATGTACGGCGGAGACGAGCTAGACATCAGCATACCGAAACCCCATTCAGTTACTCATAACCAACATGCAACGGGAAAGCAACGCACGAAATAAGTGGTGATACACATAGAAATAAGGGAGACGAGGATGAGTAGGATACATGCCGCGATGTTGATTTGCGGTTCTGGCTGAACATGGACAGTCGGTCGTCGTTGGGGATGCTCGTGTTCTTTCGTTATGGGATACGGCGGTTGAAAAAGCAGGTTATGATTATGTTGGGCGTGCGAGGTGGAGGGAAGAGGGATGCTGATGGGCGGGGGAGAGGATGCAGGAGGATGCAGAGGAGAAGGAGGCTCCTGATGTGTAGGATGAAAGAACAATATCGCACAAATGTATCTACGCAAGGAGAACCTATCGAATCATGACTGATAAGGGGGGCTCAGAGGACTCACGTGGAAAGAAGGATGACAGCTATCCCCTGGCTTATCGAGACCAGCTCTTCGCGTGTGTTCGAGGTCGGCGCGATTTCTCCTGTTATCGTAGTATTGTGTGCATTTTACGACAGAAGGTAAATTGAGATTATTAAACGCACGTTTATCTAAACCTGCAAAGAAGAGGGCAGGCAGGACAAGAGCCAATGAACTATGAAACCGACCCTGAATCAGTTTCCAGACATCGGACAGGATGAATGGACAGGACGCACGCAACAGTCAGGAGGGTTTGGTGGACCTGGTGTTCTTCGTTATCCTCTTCGTCGTGTCTACTACCATCGGAGGGGTGCTGGCCGCGTCCCTGACGTGCCTGTCGATCATGTTCGTACTCATGCGCTCTATCGGTAGGGGAAACGGTAGATCTGCTTGCAGCGACGAGCAAAGAGAGCCCAGGAACGACAAGGAGACGAAGGACAGTGATGCCTTATGAAATAGTGGGTTGGGGTTGGGGTTGGGTGTTTAGAATGGTTGGGTGATACATACCTATGATAGTGGATTGAAGTAATCTCAGTCTACCAAAGGTAGTAGAAGAGACGTTAATTTGGGTTGCGATGAGTAAAGTTGAGCCTGACGCACTCATGATGAACCAAAAGGGAGATGCAAAGTGCCACGACTAGCGCACTGCACAGAAAATAATCCCGATATCAGTGAAACGGTGATCATATGCGACAATGTCACTCACTTGTTCAACGTCACTTGGATCAACTGGCCAAGCCACCTTCGATGACGGCAATAGGTTGAAAGTTGACACGCGCCGTATTCAATCAGTTTGTTCAGTGGAATGACTGATAAGAAACATACTGCGGACGAGGAAGGGATATATCATGAGAGTTATGATGGCGCAAGGGGAACTTCACTCACATGAAAATACTGCGGAGAGCGGTATCCCCGCTCTGTCTCGCCCAAAATGGGTAGCCCATGCGAATGGAAGGACTACGAGGAGTATGCTGAGCCCTGGTTACCGGTGAACAAGGGAACAGGGGGAGCGGTGATCGTACGAACAGGAAGAGCGTACAATGGCCTGTCCACTGTGGAACCAACTGATCTCCATGCTCCGTGCGAGCCTCGCTCTCACTCTTGCCGACGCATCCTTCCAAGCACTCGACCATGCCCTAGTTCTCGATCGTGACTGCGCCAATGTTATCTGCACGTTCGTCCTGACTTTCTTCCTCTCCCCGACCCTTGTCGCCGCGTCCCCGATGGCCAGCTTTCCCCTGTCCCACGAGACAAAGCTCTGGCGAAGGGCTCTCGTCCACCGTCTGGGTGAGAATCTCGACGCGCGGGACGAATACGCCGTCCTGTCATCATCCTCGGAGCAAACGCTAAACCGGCTGGTCACTGACTCGGGATGGTCGTGATTGTCATCGTCCAGGTTCGCCTGGGATCGCGTAATTCGGCGGGGAGACAGAGATGACGCCACTGGAGCGCGCCCGATGTTGTCGCCCGGATATTGGCCGGCTAGGCTGAGGGAATTCAGTGCCTGCTGATGGTGGTAGTCTTGGTGGGGATTCATGAAATTTGCAGAGCGAGACCAGCTCAAGCTCTGTGATGGGGAGGAGATGGAGGAGGAGAATGAGAAACGTGCTGTGATTGCGTCGTGCGCATTGTCGATGGTGTCACAGCTTCGGTCGCAAGTGTGACACGCGTTTCACTATAGGGTCCGTTTCAAGGGCGTGACACGAACACCGACACTCGCATTATCGGTGTCACGGAATCTAATTTTACTCCTTGACAAGGACCTTGGCGCCTTCATCTGATACTTGGTCCCACGAGGTCGGACTGAGTTATATACCTGCTATGAACAAAATGCCACTCGACCGTGCTCATCCTTCCACGTCTCCAAAAGATGCCCTCTTGGATCGCCGCCCTCGCTGCAACCGCTGCCTTGGTGCAACCCCATGTTCAGAATGGATTGAACAACAATACCCTCGCCAGTGTCCGTACTAGATTGCTGCAGACTGCAAACCACAGGTACGTAGACATCGCGTGGCGAATGAATGGCGCCCTTACTCTCTCTTTCTCAGCTGGGAGCTTGGTACGGCTGCACAGGCCTTGACTGAGTTTTCATGGCCGTCGCTGTCCGTATTCAATGCGAGTGCTTTCCCCCCACCAGCTCAGCTCAACGCGACCAACAACGCGTCCGACGTTCTGGCGATAGCTCGCAAGTAAGTATCGTTTCTCCGTCTGATTCTCACCCCAAAACTTAATTCATCAATCTAAAAGGGTCGTCGCTGAAAAGCCGGCAGATTCGCTCCCGCTATTCGCTAACGAAGGTTCAGCTGCTGATCCTGCCAGTACGTTCTCTCTCACTCCCCCATCTCGCGGGAAGCTTGATGATCACCGCCCCTAGGTGTCGGTGTCGCGGTTCTCCTTGCCAACTGGACACGTTCAGACCTGTCAGATAATAGCTATGCCGCCGCGGCTCAAGGCCAGCTCGTTTATCTCCTCGAGCAAGCACCAAAGACTGCGGAAGGAGCCATATCACATAGGAATGAGCAAGTACAACTCTGGTGAGCTTCTCGTGCTTCCGGAATGATACCCATGATGTTGATGCTCTAATAGGGCTGACTTCGTGTACATGGTCCCTCCCTTTATTGCCTATTACGGTGCTCTGCAAGGTGGCAAGGCAGCCGAAGACCTTCTCCAGGAAGCATATGATCAGTGCCGGCTATATCGCGACGGACTTCGGGACGAAGGTGGATTGTGGAGACACATCGCTCTCGGTGACTGGCAAGACGCTACCCATTGGGGTACTGGTACGTTTGTTCACATCGCGTAGTATTTGGCGATGGAGTTCTGACTTCTTGGCTTTCAGGAAACGCATGGGCTGCTGCCGGTATGCTCCGCGTGCTCTCAACGATAGACCACTCCAAGCAAGCAAGGCTCTTCGTTGAGCAACGTCAGAACCTCACGAACTGGATCCAAGAGATTCTCGTGGCCTCATGGTCGCATCAGGTACGTCCACACATTAGTCCCATCCGGGATTCCTGCGGCGGCCTACTAACACCGTTGCTTTTCGACAATGACAGGCACCCAACGGCACTTTGTTCAATGTTATTGATGATCCAAGCACGTTCGCTGACACTTCGTCCACCGCTTTGTTGGCCGCCGTTACGTACCGCATGGCCCAGATCTCGAGAAATGCGACGTTAGTTCCCTTCGCCAACAAGGCCCTCAAGTTGATTGAAGACAGCATCGACGAAGATGGATGGCTCGCAAACACGGTTGATCCTCTCACCTTCAACACTCCTTCGAAACCGGGAGAACACAGTCCAGAGGGTCAAGCATTCGTTCTCCTCCTCCATGCCGCATGGAGGTCGTATAAGAATTTCCTAGAATCACTCACTAACTGATGGCATCCTTACCTCACCTTCGTTCAATCACCGGTCCAGTCCTTCCCTCCCTCCCAGGAGATGATATTCGTGGCTTCGAAGTTATTCTTGACTTATTGCGAGGGAAAATGTGTACTTAACAGGCTAAACTTGCGTTAGATAAAAGAGTACATATTGGTTGTACCAGAAATAAAACTTCTGTAGCGTTATTCGCCTGATGGCATCGTCCTCTATATTTATGTAGACATGTAGAAATACTAGCATACCTATCAATTGGGCTGGGTCCAAACTCGGTCAATTCATTACCCTACTTATATACGTTCATCGTGATGTGAATTCGATGCTTGTCGTTCAAACGTTCAAAGCAAACTTCTAGCACAATATTGTTGAACTGATACCGGTGCAGGGCAAAACCGATCATGGCGCCGCACCACCACCACCCCCATCACCCTCCATCACCTCGTCACTAATGTATTTGACCTGCGCTGTCACTGTGGCTCGTGTTCTTGGCGCACTGTCCTCACCCTTTGTCCTCCAACCAGTACGACCATAGGATGAGTACCAAGGAAGCCAAGCGCAACGGCGTTGCAAACCTCCAGGGGCCGCCACCCGTACCCCACACCCAAGACCACTTAGACGAGGCGGAAAGCCAAGCCCGACGTATACAGACCGATGTTGGTCCGCACGACAGGTCGGAGACTCAGACGCACTCGTCAAGCCCAAAGGGGACAAAGAGGCATAGCACCCACCACAGCGCCTTCACCATAGGAACTGAGGTCGCCGCTGAGGGCTTGCATGATTTCTGGGATAGGTTTACGAGGAAGGGGAGGAAGGACATCGGGGTCATGCATAGTTTGCGGATGATTATGCTTTCCCATTGTACATGATCAGGTTCTGCACAAAGGTTCCGAATGCTAACTGAGGCGGCGCCGCAGGGCTTAATGCATTCTTCGTCTTCATCCCATTGGCATGGGTAGCCCACTTCGTGCATTGGCCGAATAGGGCGCAGTTCGTTCGTACGTGCACAGTTTGGTTCCGGACCTTTTGAGTGGCTCACATTATTTCGATATGCGTCGTATAGTCGCGTTCTTGGCCATCATACCACTAGAACGGCTCCTTGAATATGGGGGCGAGCAGATGTGTTTCTATGTAGGGAAGGATTTCGGGGACCTCATTCTCATTACTCTCAATAAGTGAGGATGCTATTCTGCACCCTCATTCTGTTCCACTTGCTCACATTTCCTCATCTGTAGTACGGTCGAGGCGACCCTTGGTATCATCCTTCTAACAAAATGCGAGTAAGTTAAATTCACACTCATGTATGATTGGTGGATCTGCTACTAACTATGTCCGTTACAAGACTTCGGTTGTTGCAATCCACGATCGTCGGCGTGGTCATCTTGCACCTCTTACTGATACCCGGGACAGCGTTCCTGACCGGTGGCGCGCGTATCACTTCGCAGGATCTGAATCCCCATATTACGGAACTTAATCACGTCCTTCTGACCATCGGGTGAGTCCATGCCACCACCACATGCTGACAAGCTGTGTAGAATTCGAAGCTGAAGGGCATTGTAAATGTCTAGGGTCCTCTCGTTGTTGCTCCCAGCTGCATTTTTCTCTGCTTTGGACAGAGGGGTGGCGGTATCTGTGGAGGCGCCAGCTGCGGGTATGGTGAGCAACGAAACACGGGAAGTATTCTTGCAAATGAGCCGTGGCATTGCTATTATTCTGCTTCTCATGTGTGTATTATCCAACAGGATACTTTCTAAGTCTGATATCCATCTAACGTGTGGGTGATACAGTTACGTCGCCTCTCGCATATACTTGCACAATCCCCCAGGCGACGACAACGCCATGAAAGTTCGTTCGGACGCGCCTGAAGCATTGCGCGAAGAGGAAAAAGAGTACTTGGAAGGCGATCCGGAAGTGAACCAATACGTCTGCCTCCTAATGTTGACCGTCGTTATTGCTATTATGGCAGCTACGGCCGAGTGGGTGGGTCTGCCACCTATCCTCCGGCCTTTTTATTGTTGAACACCTTGCTAGTTGGTCGAAAGCATAGAAGACGTCAGGGAACAAGGGCGAATTAACGAAGAGTAGGGACATCTTAGCATGGGCTGGATTGGCACGCTCACAAACCCTTCACTTCGAAGGTGGTTCGGCCTCGTCCTTCTGCCCATAGTATCGTGGTCGGCAGACGGCGCAGTTTCGATTGTGTTCTTTGCTGGGTATCTATGGCGGCTGTTCTCCCCCAACATCGATCCACCTCCACCAGCGACGCTCGCAAAAGCCCGAGCCATTGATCTCAGCATCCAATTCAGCTTATTCTGGATGCCATTCTTGGTTCTGCTCGCATGGTGGACTGATAGAACGTTTAACCTACTCTTCGGTACGTTTCGCTGCTCCTCTTGAATGAATAAGCCTAATCAGGATCTTGTGCAATGTGATAGATATGTTTGAAGTCGCGATACTTCTGGGAGCATGCTTCTTGGTAAACTACGTTACGGCAGATGCGAAGACGAACTGGGCGGAAGGGTTTGTCATGATCTCGTTCTACGCCATGGTGGTAAGTTCATTCGTTCCTACTTTCTGTAAATAACTTAGTGATTGATTTGCAGGCGTTGTGTGCTTGGTTCTACACGGGTCAACCCGAAGTACACGACATGCTAGGAAATTGTGGTCACGCTTTGGAGGCGGCTGCAGAGAGTGCGGCCGAGGTGGCTGCAGTGCATTGAGGACTCGGCCTTCGACGTCGATGATCTCTGTTTTGCTATCTTCTCTGTATTTATGTTATCTCTCTTGCTCTGCTTTCGCTTTCGCCCCTGCATTAGTACCTAGCTATACACGCTTTATTCAATCAACTTGTGTCCTCGATAAATATATATATATACCTTGCTATTGCAATGTATCCCCTTTCCACGCCGCAGGTCTGGTTGAGTTGACCCGTCAGTGGACTCGGACAAGGGGCGGCTAATGATACATGCACAAACAACCGTGTTTCAGGCGCCAAGAGCAGTATGCGTGCCTTCTCCACTTCAAAACGACCAACGACGGAAGACTGCTCTGCAAGGAAGGACGTTACAGATGGACGTTGTAAACGAGGTTTGGACCTGCCTTGAAACTTGGAATAAGGGAGGAAAGGGCCAATGGTCCGTACTTTCTTCCCCTCTATCCGACGCCGCTTTTGACCTTGTATGTGTAGCCGCAACATTCTCCATGCTCCTCATTGCAACCCATCCGACCCAAATTGCTTGGACGTTCTTTCTACGACGTACCACACTCTTCTTGCTTCTACTCTCAAGACCTGGTCCCCAAAATATCCCCTCGCACCTGCAGCCTTCGTTGAGTTTGTCCAGTCCGTGCTTAAGGAACTCCCTTCGTCGTCTTCGTCCAACTCGAATGCCACGATTTTCGGAGAACATTTGGTGGATATGATATGGTCTTTGGACCTGGAGCTGGAGGAGCTTTATGGAGACTTCAAATCCCTTCCCGGAGGGAACGCCGGAGAGCAGGCGGCGCAGGCGGCGGACGACACCCAGAGCAAGGCAGCAACGTCAAAACGGAATATTGAAAATGACAAAGAGACTATCGCCGTCATTGTCAAACAGCTTTTGGTTTGTTCAATTCATTTCGCGCCTATCCGCCGCCACCAACGTTCGTGTATTCGTGTCCCAGAAACGAGGGATTATAAACCCGATCTTCTGTCGTGAACGCCTCGACCTCGCGTTGCTGTCTAGCGTCGGCCTCATCTCGGACAAGGCTGCGTTTGATAAGAGGGAAATCCGGACAAGGACCAGTCTCTTGTGAGCCTAGCTTCGTATTGTTATCCTAAACCGTGCACTGATTTATGGCTTTGCCCGCAGCTACAAACAGAATAAGTTTAATCTTCTTCGGGAGCAGTCCGAAGGCTACAGCAAGCTCACAGCCGAACTCACAAGTGCTCTTGGTCCTTCGCATTCCCCGTTCACGGGTCGCTCCGAAGAGCCATATTCCGTTGTCGAGGCGCGCGCGCGACCCGTTTGGGAGAAACTCATCAGTCTCATAGGTTACTTCGACCTCGATCCGAACAGGGCGCTTGACATTATCATTGATGTCCTTAGCGTCAACCTTGCGACCCACTATACCTTCTTCATGGCATTGTTGTCATTTTCTCCTTGGGCAGGTTCGTATACCCCGTCAACGAGTGGACACCAAGCTACTGCTTCGGAGCCTGGTCGGTACAAAGGCAAGTCCTTGGACGAAGTGTTGTTACTTGCGGAAGGCGACACTCCTCGGAGTAATGGAGGCTCTCGCGTTCTGGCGCAAGTACTTGGTTTCAAGTTCTCCCATTACCAGGTGAGCCCATATTTGCATCTTTCACTACCTGGCTTTTGAGATCCCTACGTAGTCGTCGGAGACTAGTGACAATGCTCTGAAAAGTCTATGCTTAACGGCAGCCCTCCTTATTCGGGAGGGATTCATTTCCTTAGAGCACCTATATCCACATGTGCGTCGCCTGACATTGTTCGGTATCGTGTACCATTTATATTCCCTAAACATAGCTGTCGCCCGAGGATGACGACATGCCCAGCGCTCGCAAAGAGTACCTTGACAAAGCACAGGACAGAATCTCCGGTGCTAAAGTCAGTCAGCTGGCCATGGCGGCTCCCCTTGAATCGTCGTCGTCGTCGTCGTCATCGTCTGCAAAGCCAAAACCTACAGAAACCCAAAAGCCCGTGCAGATAGTCAACCAGAAGGCTGGAATGGTCAAAGCCCTCCTCGCCGTGGGGGCCCTGAGACCAGCAATAGCTATTCTGACCAAGTTCCCTTGGCTGGTCGATGCCCACACTGATATTGCAGATCTTCTGCTGCGAATCGTCAAAGAGTCTATTTCCACTCTTTACGATACCGCGTGTGTTCTTCGGGAACGTAACCCTAGTTTCACGCAGCCTCGCGTCAGATACGCTGGATCACGTCCCGCCGCTACACCCCAACGTCGGACATTTTTAACACTCTGGGCCCCTACTCCACCCAGCACCATGTACACTGATTTCGTCTTCTTCTTCCCGGATTGGCGACAGTTCGTCCCTATTTGCACTTCGCTGGACGATTTGGTGGATATTGTGGACCCTTTACTTCGATTTGTTGGTCTTCACATCTCTCGTGAACCATTATTCGTGACCAAGTTCCTCAGGCTTGGTCGGGCTCATCTAATAACTACGGTACAAATCATATTCCCTTGCATTTGTCCGACGCTTAATTGGTTGTATAGTTGGAAATCGACCCGGAGACCAAGAAGCCAACATGCGAGCCTGATCCTAGTCATCCTATCCGCCAATTCTGGTTCAAGATTACGCGTCTGTATCTCCTACCGGCCCTTCCTCTCATCCGGGGGAACGCTGTTTGTACTGTCGAAATTTGGAACATTATCAAGCAATACGAAACTATCGCTCGGTGGAGATTGTATGGCGAATGGAAGACTGCCATCTATAAATCACATCCCGAGTTACGTGTGCGCCAAGTTCAGGCTGATAGGGAGGCGAAGGGGATTCTTCGACGCCTCTCACACAATACCATCGACACACTGTCTGGAACGGTCGCGAAGCTTGCACACTCAAACCCGATCATCTTCTTCAACAATGCTGTTGGGCAAGTGATGGCATATGACAATATGGCAGGAGTCGTCATCCAGTCACTAAAATATGTTACCAACCTCGGATTCGATGTCCTCGCATTCACAGTCCTAGACTCACTCGCCAACCCCAATAAGGCCCGCGTTAAAGACGATGGCGTCAACACCTCGGATTGGCTTCAGAGTAAGAGATAGTGCCGCCTCACATCAAACCTCTCTAATTCCCTGTTCGTAGGCCTTGCCTCATTTATTGGAATGTTGTTCAGGCGGTATAATGCCGACTTGACACCTGTGTTGTCATACATCGTCCACCAACTCCACAATGGCCAAACGACGGAAATCATTGTTCTTCGTGAATTGATCTGGAAGATGGCCGGCATCGAGCCTTTGCCTAGCTTGTCAGATGCTCAAATCCAAGCCATGGCTGGGGGTCCAGTTCTGCGTATCGAGGCTGTGGCTTCCGCCACTCGGGGCGCACGTTTGGACGCTGGTGAAGCGGTCCTCCGCGGCCCACAACGGTTAGCGAAGGGACTCCTGGAGTCTGACCTTGCCCTGCCGTTGTTGATTCAAGTCGCCCAACAAAGACAGTCATCGATCTTCAAAGCCTCTGACGCTCATATCAAATCTCTCGCTAGCTTGTACGACGCAGTGAGTTGCCCAATAGTATATCAGTTTACAAACCTTGATCTAATGTCCATTCATAGACTCACGGCGTTCTTTTACAATACCTTGAGTTCTTAAACTCCCCCTCCATCATTTCAGCCGACGACTATGCTAACAAGATTCTCCCTCCTCTCGCTGAATTGGGAGTAACTTACGGAATATGTCCACCCATCTGCATGCAAATCATTCGGCCTGTCTTACACGGATCTCTTCTTGTGAGTGTCGAAGCCCCTGCTGTAGTCTTCCGAGCTGAACAATCCACAGAAAGCTGCTTTGGACGCATACGAGCAAGAGCGCAAGGCGAATGAAGAGCACGAGAAAAAGCTCAAGGCTGAACTCATCACAAAGCGAGATCCTGGTGTCACTGCGTCGCGTGTGGCATCACCGAGTGTACTCGCCGCTAGTGAGGATAGCAAAACATCAAAGCACGAGAACGGTGATAAACTTTCGGCGGACGAAACGTCTATGGATGTAGATGGTCAATCGTCTGACTCTACCCCTGCTGCAACGGCTAACGTAGGTTGTTCCTCATGAAATCGACAAGGATATACTCATAGTTTTGTAGTCACCTTGGCGTCCTGAATTATCTGCGTTGTTCGATGACGTGCGAAAGATTGCGCCAGGGAGTGCTTGTGACGTTCTCGGGTACGTGGTTATCAAATTTGATTCAACGCCATCCTAAGTATTCAGGCCTGGATTTTACCTGACTTTCTGGCAATTGTCAACATACGATTTGTCTCCGCCGAGCACACGATATGATGACGAACTCAAGGCATTACGGTCGCTGAGCCTTCAGGAAGACAGGAAATTGGCTGCGGCTGAGAAGGTCAAAAGGGGGTCTGCTATAGCGTATCGCGCCAGGCGGGACCGCTACAACAACTACGTGACAGCCCTAACCAATGAATACAAGCAGCAAACCATTTCCAGAGAGTTCACTATCAAACGTCTAGCTCGCGAGAAGCTCCATTGGTTCTCTCACTGTGAGTCTTCCGTGCTGCTCCAGCTCCTTGTTACTGAATCTTTACAACAGTCCCGAAGGCGCATCCCCTTGTGCAGGCCTTCATTGAGCATTGCATTCAACCCCGATGTCTCCTTTCTCCGATGGACGCCGATTATTGCGCCCAGATAATTAAGTTTATCCACACGCAAGGCACGCCAGGTTTCCCGACACTTATTTGCTATGATAAGGTAAGTCGCAAATTGTGGGAGTTCTAGCCTCGCTCATTTGTCTCCATAGTTGCTGGCAGACCACATCAAAGTGGTTCTGTTCTCGTGCAGTGAATACGAAGCTCGAAACTATGGTAAGTTGCATCTCAACACATTGATCTCCTCATCTGACTACGTGCACCTTGCAGGTCGTTTCTTACTAGGCATATTGTCCGACCTTCACAAGTGGTCTCAGGACGAGAAGCTATTTTTACAAGACAATCGGTCGAGCAGGGGTTGTCACCCTGGTTTCCAATTATTCTGGAAGGCCAACCCAGGCCTACTCGCCGAGGATAAGTTAATGGATTGGCCCAGTTTCAAGCGGGTACTCGGAAAGTGGTATAGGAAACTAGGAAAGGTAATATTTACCTCGATGCCTACTACGCATCATTTATTCATCCGCGTTGCAGTCTTTCCTGGAGTGTATTCAAACGGGGGAGTTTATGCACGTTTACAACTCTATCATTGTCCTCAAGGAGATCCTCCCCGTTTTCCCCCTGAATTCCGTCTCGGAGAACGGCTCGGTTATCGACAAGGCGATGGATCTTTTCATCGAACGGGAACAGCGAGGCGACTTGAAGATTCTTGCCACGAGGTACGTCGAATCAGTTCTCGATATCACCTTTCATCTCAATCGCTCTCAGTTATTCGGCTGCCCTAAAGAAGCGGGAATCTGTATGGTCGGTGAAGGCAACGGGAGTTCCTACGAAGGTATATTGATTCTATGCTTTGTTTAGGATGGTAGGGTGGTGCTGATATATTATTCTCTAGCCCCCCGCCCCTCCAACTGCACCTAAGGTCAATGCAACCACAAGCTCTTCTAGCGATTCCAGGACCGGACTTCCGCCGCCTACTGGCCCAAGTGTTCGTCCTGATCGAAATACATCGACATTGCCTGCGTCGACGCCGTCAGGGCCACGGGCTCAGTCCTCATCCGTCCCTGTGCAACAAAACGTTGACAATAAATCCTCATCCAATCCCACTAAACTCGCGATGGACAGGTGAGTTTCTTGAGACCTTCAGTATTGGCCATCCCTCACAGTCATCACAGCATACCAAGGCCAGAGGTAGTCAAGCGTATAAGACCAGAAGTCAAGACCAATGGTCAAGCGAAAATGGACGTCGACCCTCCCCCCGGCCAGGCTAATACTCCTGGTGTTAAATCCTCTTCGCCGGAAGTTATCATGCGAGACGAGGGGCAATCATCGAAAGCTAACTCTAGGCGAGCTAGCCCAACCGTCAACGGAGATCACGCGGAAGCAAATGGACAACGACCTGAGCGTCCCCCGTCACAAACTGCAGACCGATATCGCCCTAGTGAAGACAAAGTTTCCAGAAATGACACACAACCTCCACAGAATGCACCTGCTGGCATGCCTCCCCCTTCTCTCCCTAGCCAAACACTGTCCGCACAAGAACTACGAGAAACTGCGAAGCAATCTATTTCTATCAAGGTCGACGACAAGCCTGGAAGAGTCAACGAAGTGCGAAGTCAGAACGGTTCTGCTGCTCCTTCACCATCCCATCGCCGCCGTTCACAGTCACCGCAATCCCGACCAGGAACTCGCAATGCTAGTGCTGACAGTCGGCATAGCGCGGGTCGGAGTCGCTCCGATAGACATCCTGAAGCTGAACAGAGGCAACGGCACGAGTCGAAGGAACATGCTACATCCACGTCACGCCGGGATAGTCTCACACATGTTCGAAGTGAACGTCGAGAACGAACTTCGACACGCGAAGCAGAGAAGGAAGACCGAGATAGAGATCGGGGACGTGATCGGCATGGTGACAGGGAGAAAGAGAGAGACAGAGAACGGGACCGAGAAAGAGACAGGGATAGGGACCGGGGGGATAGGGGAGACAGAGACAGAGATCGCCACAGGAGAGACGAGAAGGATCGGGGTGACAGGGAAAGCAGGAAGGAACGGGATTCGGCCTCTCGAGGCACACCGTCCGCTCCGGCTGCTATGGTCGACGAACGGGGTTTACCAATACGACCAGACCCGTCGAGACATCGCAATGGTGGGAGTGGCGAGGATGGACTTGGGAAGAGGAGACGGGGTGATGATGAGGTAAGCATTCAATTGTCTTTCACTTGCGTCAGTAACAAACTTCTTGCAGCCGGAAAGAGATTCCAAGCGTTCCTCTCGGAAGGACGGTCATCGTGAGGACCGGAGTAGACGGTCGTCTGAGAAAGATAGCCACGATCGCCCTCGTGACTCTGAAAAGCGAAGAAAGGACCGCGAGAACGCCGAAGCAGAGAATCGGCCTTCTACTGACAAGGTATGTCGCATCGACTTCAATTGACTGTCATGACTTGAGCTTTCTCATTTGACAGGCTGTGGAGAAGAGGGTACCTGATGGACCGGCCTCGCAAAAGGCGCTACCGCCCAGCACCCCCTCAGCTCCGCGGGCAATGTCATCATCCGATTCGTCACGGACAAGCAAGGGAGACGTTCCTGTTGCAAGAGACAGACACCGTGGAGATGCTTCGCACACTCCCTCGCAGGTGGCACCTCCTTCAACTCCATCGGGACCGGATGATGGCAGCAACTCTAATCAAGGCCTTGGGAGTTTGCGTTCCCGAATAGGCGATAAAGAGCCGCTCCCTCGTCCATCGCTGCCAAGCGCGCCATCCAATTCATACAGACCAGACCCGTCCAGAAAAGATGATTCCGACAGGGATACAAGGAAGCGGACCTTATCTGGTATGTTGCTGTTACAATGTTCCGAAAGGCGACTGGTTAATCCTAGACCCGCAGAACGTGATAAGGAGATGAATGAGAGTGCTTCGAGTATTACCAGTGACCAGGTGCAACCCCCGAAACGCCCCCGTATTAACCGTAATCGGTACAACGCGTCGCAGTCATCTCATTCGGGCTTAGCGAAGAAACTTTTGCCCATCGATCGCGAACCTTCCGCAGGGGAGAAGTCGCGAGGCCGGAAGGATTGATTTATGACCTCCACGATTGCATGGACATTATTCTTTGTGTTCACATCACCACTCTCCTCATGTCCTCTGATTACATACATGGTCATACATACATTCACGGTCGATTATCTTATATAAATATGCGTACAGTATATCTGGCTGTATAATATTTCTACCGGCCTTTTATTAGAGTGAGGAACTCTTCGCGCGTTTTCTGCTGTGTTCTAAAACAACCCAGCATGCATGAAGTCGTGGTGATGGCGCCAGGCTTTTGCACGCCACGCATTGTCATGCACATATGCCTGTTGAGTATGTGTATGGTTAAAAGTGAGAGAGCAACGACAAATGAATCAAACGCACGATGCCTCCATGACCACGGCAACGCCGCGCGGTTTGATAGCTTCCTGCACTGCCAAAGCGACTTGCTTTGTGAGGCGTTCTTGCACCTGAAGCCGGCGACTGAACGTCTCGGCTATCCGGGCCAACTTAGATAACCCCAGAACAAGTTGATTGGGGATGTAAGCTATAGAGATCTTTTATGACGTGAGTACAGCTTATGTTTCGGCAGCAAAAGTTTGGCAAGGGACAAACCTTTCCTGTGAACGGGACCAAATGATGTTCACAAAGACTTGATATGTCAATATCGCGTACGAGAACCATTTCATCGTGATCCTCCGCAAACACTGCATCGTTAATAACGTCTATCATTTGACTGGATTGAGCACATTCATATCCGATGATTGGAGTGGGACCAGACGAACCAGCCAATCGCTCCTCGTAGCCCTTGGTCATCCAAAGCAGCGCCTTTGCGTATCTCTCAGGGGTGCGTAGCAGGCCTTCTCGAGCAGGATCTTCTCCGATACATTCGAGGATCGTGCGAACTGCCGAGTGCAGCTTCTGGTCACGAATAGCCCGCTCTGCATCGGTGGCATTGAGACGCATGACGGTGGATTTGGCTGGTTTCCAGCAACGAGCAAAAGCCTATAATTAGAGCCGTGTACATGTCGGAAAAAAGGGGAGCGAGCTTCTGCGCCGCACCTGGCCATCCCAAACCGTTCGGGTCTGGTAACGGGGAGCTCCTGGAGTCCTTGATTTCATTTGGGGTGTTCACACCAGATGAACGGAAGCCATATCCATCGCGTATTGGCGGACGAGAGGAGCCGCGTGCGCCGACAGCTGAGGTCGGGGATGTCTGGTCGGGGTGGTGATCGTCGTTGGCGTCGGCCTGCTGGATCTCGAGCTGACGGAGACCGTTGGAGAGCTGGGTGACATGGGAGTTAGGGTCAGACATGGGTGAGTGAGTTGGTGGCCAGCGTGATGAGCTAGATATTGAATTTCAATGGGTAGTTGTTACTGAGTGCCATCACCCTGGTCCTCGTCGGAGAGCGATGGGGTGGACGCAGCCTCCGCCCGCCCGTCCGGCGCACCCGGCGACGGTGAAGACAGCTTTGGCACCCTGGGTCCGGGACCTCGAGACGCAGATTCCTTTCTGGGGTGTATTTCCAATTAAGGAGAATTGAAGGGAAAGTACAGCCTTTTTTGCAGGAATTGGACGGATTTTCATGCTCTGGTCGATAAAGGCGGGCTGTGCTGCGCCATTGGCATCTCGTCCTATTATCGGCCAGGCGGTGGTCGAATCCCTCCGGATGGATCACACCTACCTTTCTCTTGAAAGCCAAAATAAAAAGACCCACGGACGCTGCTCTCTTCACCTTTCCTCCTCATGCGCCTTCCTTTATTTTGCCTCAAGTTATGGCTCAGCCTCCACATGTCCTGCTCTGACCCCGTCTGCCCGATGTCCAGCCCCCCACCCAGTGAGCATGCCCCCAAGCCGGGCATTGCACCACCACCCAAAGCCCACAGCTCTCCGGACAGTGCTGAGGTCGTCTTCCAGGCTTGGCTGGCTTCAAGAGCGGTTCCGAGGGCCAAGACCGCCTCGTATCTCTTCCCCGGCGCGCAGAGACCGTTCAGTGCAGAGAACTTCCGGCTCGCGTACCGCATCATTCAGGAGTGCGCGTATGACTTGTTCTTCACGCTGTGGAGTCTGCATCCCATTAGAGCGACCATCATGATGGCCATGAACATGATACGCAGTCTGTTACCCGCGTTTCGCGGCTACTCGCAGGTGCGTACAATGTCCCCTTTTGTGAGACGTCCGTATTGATATATCCCCGGTGCAAGGCTATGCTCATAGACGAGGTGTGTATTGTGGCGCGTATTGATTCTTGCCGCCTCACGTTCGCGTTCAGTTGCAATCCCTTGTCGTCTCCGGTCACTTTACATGGTATCGAATCGGCCAAATGTTGTTCGTGGAGGTTCTCCGACGCGTCATTGAGGGTTTGCTTGATTCGCTCGCGTAGGTTCACGGTTTCCCTCGTCAGTCATCATGTTCTAACCCTTTTCGTGCCACAATTGTTATTGTCTTATAGCGCCACAAATGAATCCTTAGTGTTAAACTCTGTACGCTTCCATATAGAACATCAGCAACTCTCTCAACGCGTTCGGCTCGATCTCCCCACCCTCTCGGACCCGTTTGTTCGTGAACTTCTCCAGGAATCCGATCTCTTCGCTCGTTCGTTCCACGTCACAGGCAATGGATTTGGTCTACTTTCACCGTTGGAAGCGTTTCGCGTCCTTTCCTTAATTGCCGAAATCGCTTCTCACCTCTGGGTCATCTACTCCTTGACACACTGCACAACCCATGTATGCGTCCTTATTTTCTCATCATTTCCCGCTGCGTTTCCCCTGCTCATGGCCTGGCTTGGGCCTGCCGTATCCTTCGGTTCCCACGGCCACGCAACTGAATCCGACCCATGGTCCTTTTCAAATCAAGAAGAGGCCCAGGCATCCGAGCGACAGGAAAAACTGCGCAACTTGGCATACAACGATTCTTTCCGTCCTGAGGTTGAGCTTTTCGGTCTTGGCCCATGGATTTTGCATTCCTGGTCTGCTGCCAGGAAAGTTCTTCTTGGTGCAGAACAGCGGAACCTAGCGACAGAGTATTCAGTCCTTGCCAACCTACACGTTTCTGAGCTTTTCTCTGCACTCCAGCACGTAAGTTGCCGTCGCAAATGATTGCCTTAGTTTCGCCGTCTGACATGAACGTAGATTCCTCTCATTATCATGCTCCAGACGTCTTCAGCATCTCTCGGGTCCGTAACTCTCTACCGCAGCTCAATCCAGTCGGTCGTTTTTGCCACGAGAAACCTTCTTTCGGTCGTGCGTATGGCTTTTCAGGGCGTTTTTCTCATGGGTGCTTTTTACGCGGCCATGAACATCAAGCCGCGACTCCAGCCCAAGAAAGAGGATATCATCGCGTACAAGCAGATTCCCGGCGGCGCCAAGATTGATGTTAGGTATGTGCGCATGCAACTTTATAGCTGCCGCGCTCCCTCCGTGTGATGCAGATCTGAGTGTGTCCTGTTTTACGTAGGGGGCTGTCTTACACTTATCCAGGAAGTAATGAGCCTGCTTTGCGGGACGTGAATTTCACCCTGCAAGCCGGCGAAACATTAGCCATCGTGGGGCACAACGGGTCTGGTGCGTCGTTCTCTCATGCAACGTTTCGAGGTGGCAATGCTAAAATGTTCTCCCCAACCACACGCGTTCAGGCAAATCAACGCTTGCGAACATCCTGCTCCGCATTGTCGATTTTTCCGACGGTCAATTACTCGTTAATGACGTGGATATTCGTCGGTATGCGCCTGCGGAATACCACGACCATGTTACGGCCGTCTTCCAAGGATTCTCCAAGTTCAGTACGACAGTGCAGGAGAATGTCGGGCTTGGATATGTGCCTCATGTACAATCCCCCGAGGCGGTGAATCATGCGCTGGAACTCGCGGATGCGGACGGCGTCGTGAACGCACTCCCCAAGGGCCTACAGACCAAGCTCGAGTCGTCTGTGTACGACCCAGCACCGTTTGGTGGACCCAATTCGGCGTTTTCCCCGTCTACAGGACATCACGGACTGTCCGGTGGAGAGGTAAGTGCAACGAACTAAAAATACACTGTCTATCCCACTCATTTCCACGATTTCAGTGGCAAAGAGTTGCAGTTGCCCGCGCGTTCATGCGCGCGCGCCAGCCTGGCGTTGATCTGTTGTTGTTTGATGAACCTGTGAGTAACTCAACACTCCGATGTCACAGCGCCAGAACCAGGGCTGATTCGATGCCGTTAGACTTCTTCACTCGATGCACATGCCCAGAATCACGTATTTAATACCATTGCCAACGTTTCGAAAGATCCTGTCTCCGGCGCCAGGACGAAGTCGGTTATATTCATCACGCACCGACTTTCTACCGCGCGCCGCGCAGATAAAGTGGCCATGATGGAGAACGGGGTAAGTGCTCCTGTGTCTCTTGGGTCTCATAGGTCGCTGACTGGCTTCCGCCGACCTTAACCTTACGATCCTACCACTCATAGACCATTTCTGAATTTGGAAGCCACGAAGAATTGCTCCGCAAGCAAGGATCATACGCCGCTCTTTACGACGCATCTGTTTGATGAGCGCTGCATTATTTATTTCATTTCCCACCCATCACCCCATTATCACACACCCCACATTGACATTGCCCATTCACAACATATATTCGAGATGTATTTTAGTCGAATAGTAGATGAGAAGTGAGAATCCGTATTGTACTACATTTGTATAACTATCTACCCCACCCGTAACTAAGACGATGCTGTCTTCTGGGATGTACTTTGTTCGCGTTCACATTAACTTCACGTAATATCCGAAGTTTGCTCCAAAGACCCTTGCCGGCACTCCAGTACCCCAGTTCGTCCTCCGCCGAATATGTTTTCTAAACTACATATGTATGATAGTAGATAGAGATTGCCTATTACATACACAAACTACCGAAAGTCCATGCTGCCAAGACCTGTGAAATCGGGATTCCGCGTTGACAAGTCTGCGTATACGACATTACCATCTCGGAGGTAGGCGTCCACTGGACATCCGTCTATTTCAGGTGAGATATCCGTAGCGCTGTATATCCCTACAAGAAGGCCTGCCTCCTTGATTTCATGTATTAGCGAAGGGACTTGTGTCTGCGCGCCGCCTAGGTCAGTGTGGAATATTATTCCTCAAGGTGAATTTCGTACCAGCAGATTGGCGTCCACCCATATCCCCAGCAGATTATTCGTTCTTGCGAAATCGACTGCGGCGCCCAAGCTTGCCAGCCTGCGATCATTATCGTCATCGGAGTTTAACACAGTCAGGCTGGGAGAATGATCCAATTTGCGCCCGCATGTCGAGGAAAAGAAAACAGAATCTATATAAAGAATAAACCGAGTCGTCAGCTCGATTCCGTTTGCATGTACCATGTACATGTTTTTCATTTCATTGTGGGACACCCACAATTCGGCTGTTTCCAATTCAAAGCAGAGCAGATGTCCGGGGAGAAGGACCCGAAGGTGATGTTTCTGCGTGCGTGTTTCCCATTGAGGGCAGATGCTTGATGTATTGTCCGTAAAACTGCATCCACGAAATTGTTGAGATTTAGGCGGTTGCCGGGGCCAAAACGTTGACTTATTCGTCTGGAGGCATACGCGAGTTCCAGGCTCATGCCTACTTCCGTCGGGATGCTCTATTGTATGGAGTCAGCCAAGAATAAGAAGGGTGGATTGTCCTCACGAGCATGAGTTGAGCCAATGAAACCATGATATTAAGCTTCGGCCAGTCACGAGCTCGCAGTGTTTGACCTGGTTGTAAGGCTCTCCCACATTTGAGTGCAAGCGCTTCAAACTGAGCCAATGTAATGTCGGAAACGCCGAGATCATACGAAGGTTCGGGAAGACGCCAGTCTGTATATGCCACGGGATGCAGATCTTTCGTAACTTGCACGACAACATAAATATAGTCGCCTCGCAGAGATGTTATTGTCAAAGCCTGACTTCTGGTACTCGTGGTTGTGCTTGCGATGGAGAATGCCGATGGAGACGTTTGTGTGGAACCAAGACGCCGTGTTTGACGAATCCCCTGTGCTAACGTGATCGCCGGAGATGGGGAGAAGCTAGGTATAGCTGATGCCGTAGATTTCCAATACGTCTCGACGCCGCCACCTACTTCTAGTGTGACATTCTCGAAGGGAGTGATGACATTGACTTCAAAAGGCACCTGATGAACAGTTAGATACGAATGAAGACGTAGAGTTCACCGCCTACCTCGCCGATCACTTGTAATCTATGATCCAAAATGGGCAGAACAAACTGATGAGTATGCTGAATGTCAACGAAGAGCGATGGAAGAGCGACGGCGCGACCAATAGTCTTTGTGCCGAAGTTCGGATACACAGAGAACTTGAGGGAAAGTTTGTCTAGCGAGGGTATCTGGAACGCAAAGACGTCGCTCTGCTCGCGCTGTGGCAAAGAAATGGTATATGGAGCAGTACCCGTGTCCGAATCTGTGGTCATTACTAGCTTCAGCGGGGATGAAGCCAGGAGGTATTTGTCCTTTAGGGTCGGGCTGATGAGGCGGTGATGAAGTGTAACGCCGGTGAACTTTTCGGAAGGGCTATGGGCATGACCAATCGTTACTTGGATGAGATATGTCTTGTCTAGATAATTGTGTCCGTAGACACGGTGTGGCATGATGGGTGGTGGGAGTGACAGTGATGGGATCATGTCGATTTCAGACATTAGAGTGTCCTCCATGGCGCCAGACGGCGAGTCTCGCGGCAGGTTCTCGAAGACGTTCGTAGGAGGAATAGTAGGTGTTGCGTGCAGGAGCGCGTCTACGCAGGCGTGATGCCCATACCAGGCAGCGTAGTGGACAGCCAGATGCCCCATTTCGTCTCTAATGTCGACTTTGCACCCAGCTTTGACCAGCAATTTTATACAATTGAAATGGCCATGTCGAGCAGCGTGGAATACAGGCGTCCATTCGTGGTATTTATCGGGTGTGTCCCAACCATCTAGGTGGAGCAGCAATCTACAGACCTCAGTGTGACCTTCGCTCGCAGCCAGATGCATAGGGTATTCGCCGTTCGTATTTGGGAGACATTTTGCACCGTGCTGCAGGAGCAACATCACGACGTCGACGTGGCCTGACTGGCTGGCCAAAGTCAGAGGATCGAGGTCGCTTTCTTCAGCAATTGATTGGACGGGGACATGTCCTTCTTCGATAAGGACCCGAACGCACTCGACGCTTCCTCGCAGCGTCGCATAGACTAGCGGGCTGCAATTATCCCTGTCAAGCGCGTTCGGAGGTATTTGCACTTGCAGCAAGCGTCTGCATACCTCAGGAAACCCATACATGGCGCCGTAATGCATCGCAGTCCGTCCATATACATCTGCCTTGTCTGCCTGAACGTTCTGGTCTAGACACAGATTGACCAAGCGTAAGGCACCAGCAATGGCTGCTTCGTGGAGGCAAGTACGGCCGTTGATATCGTCCACATATTGGAAGTCGAATGGTATAGATACAGACGCCAGGATGAGGTCGGCCAACTCGGGAGGCGCTTCGAGAATTACATTCCATAATATACGCGACACATTTGGCTTGCCTCCGTTCTGCTGGGCAAGAGAGTCAGAGAAGCGAGCACAGTCGGCTATGGCAATTCGATCGGAAGCCATGACGGCCTTTCGTAGACTATTTTCGAGGTCGCGATAAGGGCCCATGTGAGGAGCGCGTTCCATCATGAGTTGCTGCGTGAAGATATCGGTAGCTGCAGAGCCCTCGAACTGAAGGCCCGAGGAGAGGTCCGTTAAATCGAGAAGACATGTCGCCACTGTATCAGAAAGTTCTGATATGAGCTGCATTGAAGTTAGCAAGTTCATCGCCAAGACAATGTAAAATAATGGGCAGACCTGGCGGTTGAAAACGGGTTGGATATCCACGCGTCGAGCTAGATACAACTCTTTTGTCGCGGAAGTCGACCGTTTGTCAAACTTTTTCAAGATTTTGCGGAATCCAGTCGCGTTTATCTCGACATATTGCTATTGACTTTATTTAGCGGGAGGGTGCCGAACAACGATAACCACTAACCTGGAGCTTTCCCAAGTCTCTTTCGAGTAACCTGAAGCCTTCCTCAACTGCGCTCCACTCGACATTGAGCTGCGTGGAGTCATCGGTAGGGTCGGGAATGCCCCGCATCGCAGCAGCACGTCGTTTGGACAGCAGTGTCTCCAACCTCAACTGGAGTTCAGCTTCCTTTTGCAGATAAAATGCATTTATCTACACGATTCCAATAAACGTGAGCGAAAGAGGACCAATAACTCGGCCAGACCTTCTCGAGTTCGCGCTCAAGCTTGAAGAAGAAGGCAGCCTTGTGGGCCTGGAAATCCGGCCCTCGATCATCATCCTGACCCGACGATGAGAATATGGGAGGTCGACCGAGGCTATCCGCTGATGGCTGGGACTGATTGAAAATATCAGAGGGTCGCACACCCAGGGCCAGCGACGCCGCCTCTGATGCCGGGCGATTTGAAGCCAATGAAGAGATGATCTTTTTGAGAAACTTGTAGTCGAGATAGTACTGAGACCATCCTGGGACTTGTTGAGCTTGTATGAGTTTCCCAAACTATGAGAAACGGGCTCAATGGTGGACGGGGGCGAGAAGGGAGTAGTGGATTGACCTTCATTGTGGCAGACAACGAGCAAGGTTGCGCTCAAAACGGTCTGCGAGTGTAGCTTGGTCCATGATAGGGGCGAGAGATTGGCTTAAATTTGTAGATTAGGTGAACTGGGCCTACATTACACACGTGTCCTAAAAATGGCACAGCGTATGTTACAGGGGACATCACGCATTTTTGTGGAAAACGACATCGATATCGATTATCCACGAACGTGCGCCTCCCTCAGGCCATGATCTTCCGCAATTGCCACACTCGCGTAGGCAACAGGGTCACTGGACACCTTCCCCGTTTCTCCACATGATCATAGGCACAGCGGTAGCAGAATACATATCCTGACGGCAACGCTGTCGCGTTATTCATGCTCTTGACACAGATCGGACACACGCCATACTGCGTTCTGTCAAAGGGTATGCCTTGAGGATGGGGTGGCAGCATCTTCGGAGGGGGTACAGTGGGCCCCAGAGGCGATTTGGATAGTGACCGCGCAGGTGAACTGGGCGAGTACCACCACTCCAAGAACTTAATAAAGAATATGGCTGTCGGGAGTAGGAGCCGTAGCGAGTCGAGGAGTAGCTGGGGAGATCGTTTAATTAGGCTTTTGAGCCGTACCCATACCCCCTTGCCGAGAACCGACGGTTTGGACATCATTGCGGCGTTAGCTGCTCTCTGCGAAGACAGTTAGACCGTGTATATCAAGGATTGCCGAACATAGACCTACAAAGTCCTCCACGCCAAGTCTTCTAAGATCAACACCAATCCAGGCCAACCATGGTCGGTAAAACGGCGTACGATCGAAGAGATAGGCAATATTCGACGACAGAAGCCATAACTCGAATAAACCGTTTAACCACGGGTATATCGCCTTGAAGGCTCTCCGCAATCGACCTTTTATGCTCTACAGTGATGTCAGTACAGTCACAAAAGGAAGATTCAATGTGGAACATACGCCATCTGTAAGCATGCGTATCTGCCGGACGTCCAGGCCCTCTTCCATGATGTCCGAGCTCACCCCACCACCCAATTCCTCATACAGATCCTGTGTCTTGGCTCGAAGGTATGGGAGGCCAACCTGAGCTTGGTTAGAGCATGCCCGATCCTGTGAACACGCTGCTAGCCACTCACTAGGAACAGCAAAGATCGCCATATCTCCCGGTTCCGGAGCTTTTCTGTGGCAGGAATTCCTCCAACAGCTGCTCTAGCACGTTCCGTTTCGATGTAGGGACGTCTACGACGCTTGAGGCCGTAGAAATTCTCAGAGAAGGAAGCATCTGAAAGAATGAGCATTGTTCCGTCATGGACTTCGGAACGTAACTTACTGTGTTTAATGAGATAGTGCTTCTCAACAAAGAACATGATTGCTGCGTAGAACTCTTCATGCCGGTTCACTATTCGCAGTAGATACCGAGGATATCTTTGAGCGAAGACCTATGAAAACTTCAGCAATTCCTCAGACCCTCGGATTGACATGGAACTCACCGCTAAGACATACTTGAGCGCGGGCTGCAGAAGGTCCCGTAGCTGCTCCTGGGCCACAAGCTCGAATAGAGAAGGTTTCAGAGGGTCTGTGCCAACATCGTTGAAGAACTCCATGAAGCGGGGAAGACAAGGTGTGGTGCGCTCTGCATGCTGGATGAGGAGTCGGTTGAGATGAAGCCCGGAATCAGAACTCACATGATCGTTCTAATTCAAGGAGTTATTTGACACTGCAGCCGCCTCGGGCGTAGGACGGGCAAGTAGGCGGCAGGACTAGTATACTATAGCAATTTCATATCACCTCCTCGTGTACGGCCATGGTCTCGCGAACGACGGCGGTAAGAAGCTTTGTCACCAACGCCCATGTCCGGCCTCATTGCGCCAGCTCGTGGCCTGGCCAACTTTACACGCTGTCTATTATATTGTTTCTTGAATTCTTCCTCCCGCAATAAGCTGCGAAGGCTGCCCGCCGCGCATCAGTTCTTCGTTCTTGTACATAATCCTGCCTCACGACTAACTGCTATAAATCCCTGAGCGGGTTCAGCCCTTACTTCGAAGTCTCTTCCACCCATATGTTCAGCCGCTTGGAAAATATGCCACCAACGGACGCAGAAATCGCTACGCAGGTGCTGGCCGACGAATACAGCTACCGTTTTCCATCTTTCTCCGCGTCCGACGCAGTTACACTTGTGGGTCTTTCATTCGCTCTTACTTAACCCAACGAACCAATGCAACTTCTAGGGTCTCTCAATAAGAAAAAGGTTCCGCGGGTCCTCTCGTCACAACAAGGGCAAGGGGATGGTGATATCCATACAAACCATTGCTGGACATACGCTGTTTTCGTGCACTGTAGGAGATCTGGGCCATGAGTCAGGAATCGGTGATGTCAGCCTCGATAGTTGGGCGTGCGTCGAGGGGATGATCAACTGCGTAAAACGAACGGGCCACTCGAGCTACTATGTGGAGAAGGGGATGGGTGCGATGGGAAAAACACCAAAGCAGCTGGGTATACAGGGCGCGGAATATCGGATTCACGGTGGAGGTGTGTTCATCTACTTGCTTGCGTCCCGAAACGAACCATTGACGAGATGTAGCTTTTCCTATATGGCTGGAGGTGCGTCGTTTAGAATCTCTTGTATGTGAAATCCAAGCGACGCTCTTCCCAGAATGCGCATTGCTGTCCAATTGCTGTTGTAGCTTGCTATTCGGGCTCATCGCAGGACGACCACCATGTGAGTCTTCCCAACCAGGCTCCTCGTGACACACTCTCACCTTTCGCCCCTTCAGCTGGTTGTAAATACCGTCCGAGACTATTTAAACAAAATCATGCGAAACAGCGGTTCTGCGTCGGGACCTTCGATGCCTATCCCTTCGGTTCCCAACCGCGAGAGCCATGTGAGTAGATTCGCCGCCATGTCACCCGCCGCCATCCTCAAATCCCTTCACAAATAGGAATGGGACCCCTCTACGGTTGGAGGCAGTGAGTTCAGACGCGCGGAGTCACCGTACGAACAACACCGCGATGAGCATCGCGACGAAACGGGGACGTTCGCCATGGCATGAGAGGGGATTATCAAGAACGATCTTTAGCCTAGGTACAGGAGTGCTCGCGAGTTACGGAATCTTAATCATAAGTATATGGAGGGATGGGAGAGCCATTAAAATATATATAGATGCGACTACAAGATTGTCTCCTGGGGTTCTGATGGGTCCGACTTGGGCTGGTTAAGCACCCTCAGGTTCTCTGCAATCTCATGAGAAAAGGGGGAAAGCAGGTGAGCAGGGAGAGACGTAGACATACCGTGTCGCAAGAAGATTTGGCGCTGGCCCTGCGGTGTAGAAGGGTCTGCATCTGGCTCGGGTTCACGAAGCTCGAAGTTCGCTTCGACGTAGACCTTTGAGCCTTTCTTCATATTGCGCAGGAACTTGTTGGCATTATCGGAGAATGACATGATCCTGTGCCAGGTGCTCTTCGATGGCATGCGCTCTATAATCGTTGAATTTCCGGTTCAAGCCCAAAGTCACTGGAATGCTCACCTCCATCCGGGCCTGGGGGCGGGGGAGGATAGTTTTGTGTTGCAACGGTGTATCTGCGAAATGATGGCATAAATTCGACGCGCGTGGGTCTGAAGAAGGGGCTAGGCCACGTACACGACAAACTCCTTGTCCGTCTTCGTGAGGCGCACCTCCGGGTCCCTTCCCAAATGCCCAATGAGTATCAATTTCGAGACATCAGAGGCGTGAGGGCGACTGGTCGCGAATGTCTGTGCTTCTTTAACCAACGCACTGTATCATACAAGGGTGCACGTACCCGGACGGCGACACGAGAAACAGCAGCAGTGCGAAGAGCTCCTAGCATTGTCGAAATGTGTATGTAGAGAAAAGAAAATAGGGAAAAGATATGCTGGGCGCCGAACGCGTCTGGATTCTGCAGGAAAAGGTCGTGTTTGGATTTATTGTGGAATCACCTGACCCTGAGTTATCTAATCGCCGAAGTTCTAATTGGGTGACTTCAACTTTCAAGCTGCACGTTCAGATCGCTCCAACTTCCAAGTTCATATCGCTTAGTAGCATGTCTCGGCACAGAGATATAAGGAATATAAACATCGAGAGTGCGTTTACTTCCTGGTTGTGCTGCCTCTACCCCCTCATCGTGTGCGTCGCTAGATGAACTTGACGACGAGGCCATCGACGATGGAGGGGAATACGATATGACCCCAGAACAGGAAGGTTAGCAACGCAATCCCCGTACGCGATGTCTTGACTGAAGGCCATGCAGCGCAAATGAACGATGCCCTAGAGCAAGTTAGAAACATCGTGGGCGATGAATATGATTGCGGCATTTCCGACAAGGACCTAAAGATGGCCCTTTGGGACCGTTTTTTTGATGTCCACCAAGGAGTTAACTGGGTGTTTGGTACGACTTCCTTCTCTACGCTTGCGTTTCTGCTGAATGTTGATTGTTGTTGCAGAGGAGAAAGACCGTAGGGCTCAGGCCCGTGATCGCAAAGGTAAGCGTAGACCTGGATAATTTATACTTCGCGTCCTTTACTTCACTACTTGGTGTGAACGGGGATCAGAATGGCGTCCCTGGCTGTAAAGCGAAGGTGCATTCATCTTTCGACGTTCCCTCCCTCCACAAAGTCATACATCGGCGAACGCTTACGATTGGATCAGGCAAGGATCTGCCTCCCTTACCGCCAGACGATGGGACCATCTCGCCAACATACCTGCATGCCAACTACCAAGGAGGCGAGCGTCCCCGAATCCCTTTGATTGTCCTCGCGCAGCAGCAATATCGGGAGAACGTAGGGGATGATTCGCAATCATCAATTCAACAGGACGTCAGCGCTGGTTATCGATTATCTACCATTTCTGAGCGCACTGAACGTACTGAACCCTCTCCTGCCTGGCCCCTCCGCAAGCAGGCTGCCACACCATCCCCTCTACACGTACCACGCCCCGCGTCGGAGACCCCATCTACCTCCTACGGAGAGATCATTGAAGGTACATAAAATTCTCTGGTATATCTCCTCGTGCTCATTCTCCCTTCATAGGCCGGGATGTGACTACAATTGACCCAAACTTAATCCCCTTGTCTCCCTCCGATTCCGCTGTTTACAGACTTTCGAAGTACGAGCCACCTCCTTCCATGCCTTCGTCTGGTACACGAACAGCAGAACCTTCACCGCCTAATCCTCCGAGCGTTTCATTACCGCCGCTTGAAAACATCCCAGATATACCCGATTTCAGCTCTATACCCAGCCGGCAACCAACCGTGTCAGCACCCCCAAAGCAATCCAAATTGGCTGCGTTGGCCAGTTCTAGAGCCAGTAAGATCAGCGCGGCCAAAAGCGACGCGTCAAGCTCCTCTACCACCATACTCTCAGGATCGATTCGTACTTTCCCCGTCCTCCGCCCGAATTCGCAATCTATTCGTCCGCCAAGTTCTACTGCCCCTTCTCAAGGTGCGGAGGGCGCTCCGCTGTCCCCAGAGTCTTCTATCCATTCGTCAGTCATCAACAGGGCTATTGATGCTGCTATAGCTCTCGAGACTCTGGACAAGTCAGCAACACAAAAGCCCTCTCCGATCGCAAATGACCCTCCTGCAAGAACTCCTACCCAAAGTCCGCGTATGATACCGCCTCCTGTCGAGAACAAATCCTCGACATCTCGACCTCCATCTAAGCTGGCCCTTCTCGCTCAGGCTAAGGCTAAGGCTGGCTCTTCTATGGTACCAAGCGCAGCAGAGTCTCTGGTAAAACTATCTACTAAGAAGGCGTTGGCTTTGTTGCCAAAGGACCATACCGAGATTCTGACTCCCACGGCCAATGGACCGACTGCTACGACTGCCATCACGACGTCGTATCAGTCCCTGTTTAGCTTGACGGATCCGAGTCGACCTCATGTCGTGCCCGCCCTTCGAGTTGTCCCTTTCGAAGCAACTAGGTCTGTTGACTCAGGGGACGCAAAACAGTCTAAGCTCGCGATGAAAATCCGCAGAGCGCAGGAAAAGCACACTCAGCCGTCTCCTGTAGAGCCTGTTGCAGCACCTCCAATTGTGTCCCCTTTGTTCAAGGGGAAATCCTCTCAAGCTCGTGCGTCGCCTTCGGCCTTTGGCTCTCTCCTTGTCCATGAAACTCAAGAAACTGCTAAAGACAAACCACATCGAAGGCATAAAGAGAAGAAGCACTCTGGGGGTATTGACGGAGAGGAAGTGGAAGATGCTCATCGGTCACGCCGGAAGCACTATTTATCACCGGTTCCTGAACTCGCTGTGCCTTTCGGTTTCGCGTTCAATGAGCCCAGCCCCGATGACATCGTCTTCAACGCTCGCAAGGGAACCTCGCTGGGCAAAGGCTCTGAATCGTCCCGCCATTCTGTTAAATCCCGTTCATCTGTCGATGTTGCTTAATTTGCTTCCGCTTGGACACTTATATTTATTATTTGTATGCTCACATGTATCTTTAGCCGCTAGAGAACGCGAAAAGGCTGCGAAGATGTCTTCGAGGATGCCAGGAGTGGGCTCTGCACAAGCTTCGCGTGCTGGGTCACCAGCGAAAGGACCTCGAAAGGGCGTTGGTACGCCCAGGAAAACATCTGGTACATCGACCCCTCTGCGAGGAGCAGGAGTTGATCAGCGGCAGCTTGACCTGTCGGGTTTGAACCTGGGTCCCAAAGATGAAGGACCGTCCGTTGCGGAGGAACCTCCAAAGATGAGTTTCGCACGGGAGAAATTACTTGAGGAAGCCAAGAAGGCCCTGGATGCAGAGAATGTCAAGAAGGGCGTAAGCCTTGTTGTAATCGGTATGAGCTTTCGACGCACAGATTAACGATAGCGCTGATTTTGTAGGCCATGTCGATGCTGGCAAGTCGACTCTCATGGGGAGATTATTGTACGAACTAGGTCGTTTAGATGAAAAGACACGTACCGCGAACGAGCGTGGTAGTAGCAAAGTTGGCAAGAGTAGCTTCAGCTGGGCCTGGGGACTCGATGGCACGACGGAGGAAAGGGAAAGGTAGATTGGGACCTTCTTTCCTGGCCTATAACTGACGACTGCTCAGAGGAATTACTATGGACATTGCGTTGCAATCTCTAACTACACCTCACCGGCAAGTCACCATCCTGGATGCACCCGGGCACAAGGACTTCATCCCGAATATGATTTCGGGGGCGTCTCAGGCAGATTGCGCCTTGCTGGTCGTCGATGCCTCTACGGGCGAGTTCGAAGCCGGCTTTGACAGAGGTGGTCAAACTCGAGAACATCTACTTCTTGTGAGAAGTCTCGGCGTCTCACAAGTGATAGTAGCCATCAACAAACTTGATATGGTCGGTTGAACCGATGAATCCCCCTTCAGCACAAGCCTCATGTCCCTTTAGGTACAATGGGATAAGGATCGATATGACGACATTTGTAGTCTTCTGCGCCCATTCCTAGTTCAATCTGGGTTCCAGCCGTCAAAAACCAAGTACGTTCCGGTCGGCGCTGTTCAGGGAGTCAATTTAGTTTCACTTGGTGGCGATGATGGCAAGCTCCTCAAGCAGTGGTACACCGGGCCTACGTTGGTTGATTTGTTGGGTGAGTTCTTGCGTTGATTGGTCGACATTCCGCTTGACAGCTATATTTAGACGTTCTGGAACCCCCGAGGCGAGATATTGCGGCTCCGTTGCGTATACCTATCGCGAATGTATTCAAAGGCACAGGTTCTACAACAGGTATCTCCGGGAGGATATGTGCTGGTGTCGTACAAGTCGGGGAAAAGCTTCAAATACTGCCAGGAGACGAGACAGGGGTAGTGAAACGTTGGTCCTCAGTGTCGTACGTGTCTCTTGCAACTCTGACACATTTTTGCAGAAATATTTGTTGAGGAGGAACCCAAACCATGGGCTGCGGCTGGGGACAATGTCACGATATACATGACGGCCGTGGACCCCCTCCACCTTAATATCGGCAGCGTACTATGTCCACCGAACGCTCCTGTACCCCTGGCCACCATCTTCACTGCGCGCATCATTGTCTTTGACATACAGGTCCCCATCACGGCTGGCGCATCTGTTTGTGGTTCACACGGCTCGGTTCATCATCATTCTGCTCATTGACCCATACGTTAGGTTGAGCTGTTCCATCACTCCCGAGATCAACCTGCCACTGTCTCCCGATTATTAGCTACGGTAGATCGGGCATCGGGGAATGTGGTCAAGAAAAATCCCAGGTGTGTAGGCGGTTCCATTCCTCGCATTCTGCTCCGACGTTAGACTAGTATTAACCTACCCGACGTGTCCGCAGAGTTTTGACTAAGGGAACACCGGCAGAGGTACAGATTACGCTTCGGACGACGGCGACAGGGCCTTCTGTTACAGCACGTCCTATTCCCCTGGAAACGTTCTCGGCGAACAGAGATATGGGCCGGGTTTTGATTAGACGTGGAGGAGAGACGATTGCCGCGGGTGAGTTAACTGTATCTCCTCCCCACTCCATACTAACTCTCATCTTCAATAGGCATCGTACTTGACATATTTGGATAGCATCAGCTGGAAGACGTCAGGCCAGCGAGGAGGCACGACTGTATGAGTAGATGGGCCTTGAACGACTCAGAAGTGTAGTAGAATACGGACGAAAAGCCTGAAGTAACATACACGAAGATCCTACGTAATAGACAGGGCAGTCAGAGTGGTATCGATTAAGCACTGGCATGGAAGCAAAGACGCAGCGGCAAGAAATGGTAAACTCTATGTGTGGTAAAGATCGTACGAGGGCATAAGCAAAACCGAGGCATAAAAGTCATGACGGGAGAGGTGTCAGCGAGAGAGTCTATAAGAGTGAAGGATGCTAAGAATCCTTAGTGCCCATTCTGCTTGCTAGCTTCCTTGTCCTTGTCCTTGTGGTGGAAGATGGAGGACACTCTCCTGAAGAAGGAATCCTTCTTCTTTCGTGGGGTGGTGCTGTACTTGGAGGACGTAGGCGAGTCACTAACCGATGAACGAGACGATGAACCGGGGAACGAAGGGAAGCGCTGATGGCCCTTTTTCGACGGAGTCGTAGGAGCACTTGGAGGGGGTGTCGTAGGTGCAGGTGGAACGACAGTTTTCTCCACGTCGGTGGCTGGCTCTACCGCGGTACTCGTAGGCGAAACAGGATCTGTGGCCGTCTTCTCCGCAGGGGGTGCTTCAGTTGCTGTCTTTCCATTAGGTTCTTGGGATGGAGCGACATCTGGACTAGGCTCGGGAGTTGCCTTTGAGGGTACACCTTCTGTGGTCAGCGTGGGTGTAGCAGTCCCATTGGAAGCACTTGGAGTGACTTCTGCAGGAGCATCTGCTGCGATAACCACCGGTGTGTGCGTGGAGGCTTCTAGGGAGGGCGTATCTACCTTGGTGGGTACAGCTGGGACAGGCTTCGGGGTAGAAGACGACTTTGCAGGGGATGACACCTGGGGATCCACTGGTGTATGTGTGGAAGGCTCTACGGTGGGTTGGGCGGTAGAGGATGTATCCGCAGGGATGGGAACGGTTGGTGGTGGTACCGAAATAGGAAGCGAAGGTACAACGCCGTTCGCCGCAGGTATCTCGACTGGGACCTTTGGCGCTAGCGACTCGGGCTCCCCAGTAGGTTGCGTGGTCTCTGATTGAGACGCAGCCCCAGCAGGTTCGACCTCAGCAACATCCGGTGTTGCAGGAGTCGATTCTAGCACTAGTGGGGCCTTGCTTATCTGAGAGGGTGCGCCATTGGGCACACCGTTGACCGCCGAGCCATTTTGAGCAGGCGTGGGTGCAGCGACCGGCTTGGAAGGTGAAATGTAGACATTATTGACATTGCCTATGGCATCTCGTTCAGTCGGGTGACCATCCTCCACCCTCCAGACGCCATCAACCACGAACTTGTAGGGAATTCGCTGCCCCCAAGGAACTTTGACAACACCTTCGAAACCAGTCGCTGTTCGTGCAAGATGAACTGTTGACGACCACTGTCGTCGGGCAACATTTGAAATTCATGATCAGAGCTAGTTGCTACGACAGCGGAAGCAAAATGATAGTAGCTTACCTGGTCGAAAGTCCCTGTCACGATCACATCAGAGACATCAGTGGAGGGCCTAATATCGGAATGTGAGGCAAAGCCGGCAAGTCACAACTGAGGTAGAGCGTACCACCGAAAAACAGCTTCATGCAAATCGTTCATGGTGAAACAGCGACTTGCGACCGTACGACCGTTAGGAAGGATGTTGAAGAGGACCGGGACCGCTTGTCGGAAGTTGGAACATGTTTGACGGCAAATTCCACCCCTTGCCTCTGCCTCAGGGGCTTCTTATCGCAAATGTACGGAAAATACAGAATAAGTTACCAAATAATTCTAGTGAACACATCAGAGTCGTGTAAAAGCTACAGTGGATAATCGTAATGGTGTCCATTTTAGTTATGTCCGAAAATCGTTGCAGACATTCGTTATAGGCGTTCAAGCACCTCCTCCATGACTGCATCCCAATCAATCTGTATCGGAGACCATCGGCGTACATCGTCGGGTAAGGGTGGTGGTGACATCGGTGAAGATGGTATGGGCGATGAGCATCTCGTTGGAGACACGGCGGGAAATGCTGATATAGGTAATGGTGGCACGGGTAGTCTCCTTATCTTTGCAGTTGGCGAGGGTGGTATGAAGCGGCCAGGTGCTCGCGATTCAGGTGGCGGCGGTGGCGGCGAGGGTGGTGATGGGAGTGGTCTCAGCCGTCTCTGACGCCGTTTAATATGGTGTCTGCGCTGCAGTGAGCATTCTGAGCCAAAGCTGACAGTAGATTAGCTTAAAGTTTAGCTTCGTATCATAACGGAGCATCCTCACCTCTGCGAATCTTCTGAACTCTCCGAGGAAGAGGTCGATGAAGACCCGACGGATAATGACCTCCACAGCTGTAGGGTACCAGCGTCGGTCTCGCTGTAATCGCTGCTCGTCCTCGTACTGCGACGGGACTCTCTAGGGCCCTGAACGCGGGTCGATGGGCAATGCCTGAGTGACATCCTGCAGGTGTGAGAGTTGGGGGGTATCGCGAGGTGGTAAATTGCTGGGGATGCACATGGGTTATATGTACCGGATCGTGAGCCATACGAGATCTGATGGTGGTGGGCTGTGAGAGCGGGGACCGGCCAATGCACCTGATGGAGAAGTATGGGATCAGTATAGCTGAGTATACAAAGTCTTGAGGAACCGCGTGATCGATTTTTGCTTTCGTGTTTCATACTCCATGGGTGCCCGGGTTGAGACACAAGTTGCAGATAATCCTCTGCATGGGCTTGCTCTCGAGGAGGATTTGGATATTCGGGACCCCTTGCGACACTACATGGGAATCGAATCTTCTGATAGTACTGTGGTACAATCATACTCAATGCTCCCAGAACAGCAATATTCGGTCCAAAACGATCTCATCAAGCTTCCACTGGGCCAAAGAAGTGATACTCCAGAGATCGTTCTCACATTAGCTATTTCGGCGAGGGAAGGATGTGGTGGTGTGGCCTGGCCGGCAGGACAGGTAACCTGTAGGATCACAGTTCTTGATGAAATGGTGCTGATTCGTGATATCCTCCAGGTTCTAGCAGACTATCTGATTGAGAAAGGCAGCGATTTCCTCAAGGGTAAGACTATCCTCGAGTTGGGTAGTGGCACAGGTCTCGTCGGTCTTGCTGCGGCCATCCTGGGGGGGCATGTTTGGATCACGGACCAAGCGTTTGTCCATTTGCTCGTTTCGGATGCTGAGATGACGCTTGAGCCTGATCTCCATATGTTTCCCTGCTAGGCCCTTGCTCGACATCATGCGGCGCAACGTAATCCTCAACGATCTATCGCAAGAGGTCACCGTTGCCGAGCTTGACTGGTCAGGCCTAATCTTCCGCTCTTTACGGGACTATATCCCCTAAGATGTGCACTTTCCTCTCGATCAGGGGATTACCCATACCGGAATCAATACCCAAGCCCGACATCATTCTCGCAGCGGACTGTGTCTACTTCGAGCCTGCCTTCCCTCTGCTTGTCAAGACCCTCACCGATCTATCGGACACTAGCACCGAAATACTGTTCTGTTACAAGAAACGGCGCAAAGTCAGTAGATCGGCCCGGGGCCATATACGTACACAGTATCACTGACCATCGTCTTGCATTCGCAGGCGGATAAGCGGTTTTTTGTCTTGTTGAAAAAGGCATTCACATGGACTGAGGTGAGTGCTGAGGATGATCATGATATCATCTGCTCTTGACTTATCATGGCTCGTGAAGGTGTTGGACGATCCGGCTCGAAGCATCTATTCACGGGACGCAATCTCGCTGCTCCGCTTGGTGAAACGCTGAAACGAAACTAAGCGGGCCCGCAGTCTCGCGCGCGATAATCACATCATCTTTGGGTACTTTCGGGAAATATGATAGAGTGTCTGGGTGTACGGTAAGCAAATGGGAATAAATCGCAACTTAGAGATTCGAGAACGCACGAGATCCGATGTTTGAACGCAAAGCGCTCGCCTGGCGTTTGAGGGTTTAAACATTTGTGGGCAAGCATAGCATGTTTCGTAACATCCGTGCATCGGCAGCAGTAAACTGATGGTGGCGGTGAGACTAATGTCTTCTATGAAATATGTATACTCTACAGAAGGTGGTAGTGCCTCGCACGTAATACCTACCCATGAGTTTAGTGATTTCCATCATGTACATGGCATCGAAGGGTAGTTTACGGAACTTAATACAGGGCATAGAACCCCCAAGGGTGAAAGCCACGTTGGGTACCGATCATAATAGTTACTTCTTGGTTGAAGTTCATGATTACAGTGATTTCGTCGACAGTCGATACTCGCGGTTCTTTCGCCATCCGGAGACCTCGGGTTACCAGTAGACGTACGTACCTCCCATTTCACGACTGCTAGACCCCCCAAACCCATGATCCACTGGAAGACAGCTTTCTGGAATTCGAAGACGGTTGTTATTGTTAAATTAATTGAGGCCATGCGCGGGGATTTGCAAGGGTGGTATGTCCCTGACTCCCTGCGGCCCAGTCTCAGGATGTCCTTCCTGTGACGCATACTCTCGGAGGCTCTCGGATGTTCAGATCATGTTCTGCTTGCGTTTCAGGCTGCCACAATCTTGGGAGACTCCGACTCTTCAACGGGGTGAGAGCGGAGCAATGGTATGATTACTCACTGCAGGTTCTGTAGAACCGCGCTGCTATGGACTTGTAGCAGACATGACCTTGGGCAATACTAATAATAATAATCCTTGATGAGTTGTATGCTAAGTATTGTAGAATGTCAGAGAGAGAGAATTCGGGAGTCGAGTGGGTACGAAAATATAGGAAAATCGAAATTTGTAACGGATAACATAAACTGTGGATTTTCTTCATGGATCTTAATACCGAGTATAAGACTTTCGAGTTCTGTCCTGGAATTCTTGCCCCGGTTCTGTCCAACAAATATACCTACGTTTTTCCAGTTCATGTGCAGAGTACTGTAAGGTATCTCCGTGATAGCACCTGTCGAAGAAGTTGCGCACATGCTCCAGCATGGTGCTGTCTTCAAATCGGCGGGGCCAGAACGTGCGGAGTCGCTCTATGTTATCCACTTGGAGTTGATCGAATATTATGGCCATCCCCGGTTTGGCCTCCAAGTAGGCAGTAATGTCGCATAGGTAGCGGAGGCGGAGCGGTGTTGAACGGGTGCGGGGTGCGTCACCCATATGGGAAGAAGTAGTGAAGGTCAGCTGGTGCAACAGCGGTGCGTTCTCCAAGATTGAGAACATGCCGTCGACGCTCTTAGAGAGCTGGGTTGCATATCGCCCAAGATGCAGGGACGTTAGTTTCGATAACCAACTTGCATGGGTAGGCAACAGCCCGGAGTGATTCAGGGACCTTAAGTTTGCTAGCCAGTCCGCTTCTGCTGGGAGCACCCAGCACCTGACGGAGCGTAATCGAGGTGCCACTCCTCCGAGGAAGTTTGGAGGGAATTCCACGCCTGTGTCGGACGTGATAACAAGGGATTCCAAGATGGGAGCCGGTTTGACCAGTCGGCGGACAAGAGCCGCGCCTCCGTAAGCATCGATCTCCAACTCCTTGATTCGCTCGGGTGACTTGACCAGTTCGTCGATGATGAAGTCGGGGGTGCCATTGAATTCTCCAAGACACACGCGCAGTGGGGCTGCTTTGGACCTTGCAAAGATTTCAGGAGCCCAGTTGGAGTGCACGCGGTTGACGAAATCCGTCCACAGCAAAGGCTCGTTCAACGCGATGTTGCGCCAGGTGCGACAGACCTGCGTGACAGACACCCACTTTAGGTGCGGATACAGACAATGTCTCCCGTAGTTGAAGGAGCCTAGGATTGCAAATATCTCGATCAATACCTCCGGGGGTAACTTTCTGGTTTGGCTACAGTCTGCGTTGCGACGCTCGCACAGCATGCGTACGTCGGCGGGACAGGCGTCGATTTGGTCGTCGTAGAACTCCTGAAGTGTATGAGCCATCCCGGTATAACGGTACTCGCCCTTAAGACGGCGTAGAAGGGAACTTGAACACCCAGCGCTGCGGAACGAATTGTCAGCCTCTATGGAAACATGTCACTGCACGCATTCACTAACCAGATACAGTATAGTGATTATGGACCCAGAGGTTAAATGACCTTTGTGACAAGAATTCGTACTCGGTATTGACTTCGTAGATTCTTTTGGTAGCGCGTAAGTGGACAGAAAGCAGGTTACCTCGAAGGATAGTGGAGAATGGTGCGATTAGGCTGGCTTGCGAGCTCAAGGGGAAACCAAGCTGGTAGTCGAGGTATGTAGGCAGTACTTATATACTTGCTGTAGTATGTAGTTTGTAGTCCGGAGTGAAGGAGGAATAAGAGCATGTTGTTCATGGAGAGGAACAGACGGTATCAAAGCAGGACATGTGAAAACCAAGGACAACAGGAAGGTGGAAGATAGGGTAGCCATTGTCGTGAAGGAGGGCCTTGTATCGCGCCATGTATTTGAAGATCAGGAGGTCAATCTATCAAGACGAGTGTAAATTATAAGATAGCGGCTATCAGTTCACTCTGTCGGTATAGTTTTTATCTGCAGAGGGGAGGTTATGAAAAGAAGCCGAATGATATCGAATTACACACCTGAATTCCATGGATGCCCTCTATCTCCTTCTTCAGCAACTCAGTCACCATCCGGTGCTGCTTAATGGTGGAGAGACCCTTGAAGGCATTGCTGGCTATTGTCACGGCGTAGAACGCTCCGCAACCACCTTCACGGAACAGTGAGCTCGACTTTCTCTGTAAGCATGCACACGACACACCAGAGACATCCTGCACCTGCAGTTGCGTGGGTTTGAATTTATCCGATAGTTTTGAGTGTATGAGCTTCTCCCCCTCAGAGAGCTCTGCCGCTGTCGAAGAGTACAGCCGCAGCTGACGCGCGATGGGAGCGAGCCTTCGTAGAGTGATGGTGAACATAAAGAGCGCTTCCGATTGGTCAGCGCGCCCTTCGATCATCCATGTCCGAATCCGGAAGCGCGACCCGGAAAGCAACTCTCCGTCGTCTTCCATGTTGCAAGGCATCTTGGCCGCCTCGAAGAGGGGGCTGCCCTCCGTGGCCTCAGCACTTCGACCACCTCGTCTAGCTAACCTTTCATATAGACCGGCTTCTGCCTTGAAATGGCGAGCCCTCTCATCCAAAGCGAGGCTCACATTTCCGGCGAATGCTTCAAGGTCATACTCAATTCTCTCGCTACCGACCAAAACCATTGGCAAAAGCCTCGAAAATCGGTTCTTCTCTGCCAATCAGGCCCCTCTCCCCATCCTTACACCACCGCCAGTTGCCAGATGGCTACTCTTCTCTTCGACATTAGTCTTCGCCGTGATAGTTGTCGGCGGTGTAACAAGGCTCACGGAATCTGGCCTGAGTATCACGGAATGGCAGCCCGTTACGGGAATATTACCCCCTCTGACACAAGAACAATGGCAAGTCGAGTTTGACAAGTATAAACTTACTCCTGAATTCAAATTGTGAGTTGACACAACTTATGAATATCCCTTGCATAGTCTACTAACAATTATATCAGGCTAAACCACTCTATCTCTATCAACGACTTTAAGAGCATCTTTTACATGGAATGGGGTCATCGTGTCCTTGGCCGTCTTATTGGAATAACCTTCGTGCTTCCCCTCGCATACTTCGCCATCCGCAAAAAGATTTCCACCAAAACAACCCTCCGAATGTCAGGCCTCGCCGTGCTAATTGGTGCGCAGGGTGCTTTAGGATGGTACATGGTGAAATCAGGTTTGGACGACTCGTTGATGGAAACCCCTGGAGCCGTACCCCGCGTCTCGCAATACCGCCTTGCAGCCCATCTGGGCTTGGCCGTCGCTCTCTATGCTGGCATGTTTGGCACTGGCATGGCCGCTATCAAGGATTGGAAGTTCGCACACGGGGCGCCTTGGAGCGGTCTCAAGAGCCCAGAAGCGATCTCGAAGGTCCTGGCTAACCCCATTGTACGCCGGTTCAAAACGCAATCGTGGGCTTTGGCTGGATTGGTTTTCCTCACCGCGTTGTCAGGTAAGTTGACGCCCTACTGTTAAAAAGACCGTCGCTCATGTTACAACTTGTAGGAGCATTCGTCGCTGGTTTAGATGCTGGTTTGCTGTACAACGAGTTCCCTCTGATGGGTGGACGGTTAGCGCCGCCCGCTGATGAGCTGATGTCTCGGGCTTATGCTAAAAGTGCGGATGGGTCCGACCTCTGGTGGAGGAACATCTTCGAGAATCCAACAACCGTACAATTCGACCATCGCGTTCTTGTAAGGATACTCGCTACTTCTTCACGTGCTCTTGGCCTCTAACCGACCCTCAGGCCATCACTACTTATCTGAGTACAGGGCTTCTCTATGCTCAAACATTCAAGCCAGCCCTTCGCGCTGCTCTCCCGCCTTTGGCGCGCATGGCAACCGGTGTTGTGTTTGCCATGGCTAACGTCCAGGTGTTATTGGGCATTTCTACTTTGCTGTACTTAGTCCCCGTGCCTCTGGCTGCTGCACATCAAGCGGGCAGCGTGGCTCTATTGAGCGCAGCCATCCATCTTTTAGTGACATTGCGTCGCCCTGGACTGGCAGCTCAGTTGCTGCGCCGAACTCGAAGGAAGCCCACGTAGATATTGATCTCTTGGACTTGCCGCCTATTTATTGCCTCGACTTAACAACGCACACCACTCAATGTTATGTTCATACTAGAATTCAGTAATCGAAGGGAATGCTATTAGCTGTACAATTTACTCCGCCATTTGAACATCTTCGTCGCCAGCCGTTGTCGTGGGTGCTGGCGCGTCTTTGGGTACCATGCTGTCTAAGAAGACTTGGATTTTCTCCCCCTCCAGAATTCTGAATGGTCCAGCGGGTGGAACGGCCTCTTCATGTGCACTTGATGGACCGACAATGCCGATCGAGGTGTTGTTGATGGTGAGTTCTTTGTCCTGTTGCAAAGTCTCCCGCAATGCGTGCAGCCCGTGTTTGATCAGCTCCTCCAGAGTGCCTACAGCACAAAAATCGATCACAACCAGATGAAATCAGCGATCTTCATTACACCAATGTACGGCGCAAGATGAGATGTTGCTTACAGTCTGCGAAACTCTTGTAATGCTTCTCGAGATACGTTTTTGCGCTCTGACTTCTCGCGCCGATGGACATGGCGAAGTATTCGTATGAATTACCCGAGGGCGAGAACTCGTATAAATGGGGACCCGTTTGGTCTTGTCCTATGACAAGGAAACCGACACCATAAGGTCGTCGACCGTACTCTTGTGTGTTTACTTGGGCCTCTGAATGCAGTAGTGTTAGCAAGCAACGTCCTAGAGAGATGTAACGGGCGTACTATCAGCAATAGCCGAGACCAATCGGTTTACGGGCACCGGTCGATTGAAGAGCATGCGTGAAGACATGGCATGTTGTCGCATGAAGTTGCTAGAATCACAAATCGTTTCACGCAATGGGATTCGAAAGTAGCAGAGCTTACCTCAGTACACGCGCATCAGAGGTCAGCCCAGCAATAGCAATCCCAACATGATCGTCTATCCTGAACATCTTCTGCTGGTACGAGGCCAGCTCTCCAGTCGAACGCTTCATCACCATACCCAAATCTATTCAGTGATCTCAGCTCAGTGACGCCTCATACAACGCACCTTCAAAGCCAGCAAAATAGAATGCGTCTTCGATCGCAGACCCACAGCAGCAGATCCCTGCTTTACCGCCTCCAAGGCATACTCGACCTGATGAAGGCGGCCTTGCGGCGAGAAGACTGTGTTGTCTGAATCGTAGGTATTGCGAAACTGTACGAGGAGGCTCAGGACGCGTACAAAGATTGTTTCGGATTTGCGCTTACCATGATGGAGAGGGAGTATGTTCGAAGATCGCGAGGCAGGTACTTGTATAGCAGGTGACGCGTTCAGAGTCGTGACCTCCTGAGCGCTTATTTCAACGGTTGGCACTGATCAGCGTTCGTTCATTCGTTCATCGACAACGTTTGTTACAAAATAATCTAGAGGTGAGTGACATCGACTTGACTACTACGTCTTCACCTTACACCGCCTATAGTGACTACCCACCATCCGTCCCATTGCCGTACATGTTTATACTGAGTTATCCATGGTCAAACCAATGAGCTTGCGGCGGTGAAATGCTCGTGTCAGAGAGATCCGCTTCGCATGCTAGTATACGTAAATGCCACCGACGTGAACATGGCATGGATCGTGAATTACAAACATAAAATGTAAGTTCGTCGTTAATCTCTAACGCGCCAAAGTTGGCACAGAGACGTCAATATTCTGTGAATGGAAGGAATCAGAAGTAATTACTGGGACAGAGCTCCTGCCCGCTTTCAAAAAGGGTGCCATCTTCCCGCTCCCGCACCGGGGATTCGTCCAAGGTGAGATGAGTGGTGGATGTCGCATCGCGTCTTGAACTCATAACCTACACGCATAGAAGCTTGAATCAGATGGGGCTGCCCAAAGGCAACCGTGTACCCGCTCGCCGGGCACCTAGCTGGATTCGAGTACTAGATCAACGAAGGGCGGTTGTTCCGTCCTAGCGGGACCCCCTCAGTCGATTGCCCACCTAGCACGCACGCTCACGGACTAACAATAGTCTTACCCTCACCGACGTCGCCGCATTGATCGGGGCCCACTCCCACCGCTAACACCAACGATATCTGTAGGACATATCCCAAAACCTTTTCAAGGCCTTTCATCGTACTACCGTAGCCATAGGTTATAGGGCGGACGAGAGTATGCGTCGCAGAAGGATACTTGGAAAGATCAATCACATAGTTGTTACCTCACTGACAAAGGCCAGGGATCTGGCCCTGCGAGTAGTTAGCGCGGATCGTTCATAAGTCCCTTACCAATGGGCGCTTCGAGTTGACGCGCGTTCTGAATCCATGATGTGGAGTGCTAGTGACTAGTGAACATCAACATGATCCATCGGCTACTTTGTCTCCAGAGAATCTTTGGAGAATTGAAAATCCGTGTGAAACACCCAATATGGGAAGAAAGCGATCAAAGTGCAATCAAAGTGTGTGTCTGTCAGGAGGAGGACAGGGGATGCCGCCTCCATTTCCACATTTAGGTTAGGCGGCGCGCCTAGGCGCACGTGGACAGCGCGGCTATTGCCGCAGTCACGCTTTCCCTCGTCGTCTCTACAGATTAGCGCTCTCAGTTCTGGTCCCGTCGTACTTTCACGAACAAGAAACCCCGTAAATTCCGGTCCCCTCACTCCAAGAATATTGCAAAGAACGCGACTCTAATTTCCCTTTCTTAACATGGCACGTTGGCTGTACAATTGGCTCTGATGCATGTATTCATCACAACTTATTAGGGTGTCCCCGCGCTCTTCCGTTGGCTTAGCAAGAAGTACCCAAAGATTAGTGAGTATCGTAGCTATCGAAATCCACGACGATTGTGACGCGTGGACCAGTATTCCCTGTCGAGGAGGAGGACGACACCGTTATTCCAGTTGAAGACGGAGAACCTGTATCCATACCGGTCAACATATGCACTCCCAACCCTAATGGCATGGAGTTCGACCACCTCTACTTGGATATGAATGGAATTGTGAGTGCTGCCGCTTCCACATGCAATCTGGTACTAACAGCATCTCCAGGTCCATCCGTGTACTCATCCAGAGGGCAAGGTGCGTGCTCTGTCAGGCGTCATTTTCATTTCATTGACGCATCCTAACAGCCCCCACCCGCAACCGAAGAAGAAATGATGGGGGAAATATTCAAGTACACCGAACGGGTCGTTAATATGATTCGCCCGCGTAAACTTCTCTTCATGGCTATTGGTCAGTTCGCTACTCTCGGGTCCTTGGTGCAAACTAACGTCCCGGAGTAGATGGTGTCGCCCCTCGTGCAAAAATGAATCAGCAACGATCACGCCGTTTCCGCGCTGCCCAAGAAGCAGCAGATAAAGAGAAGGCTCGTCAAGAATCTTTACTCTTGTGGGAAGGTACGTGGTCTTGCCCTCTCCAAGGGACTCATACCAATAGTCCCCATAGCAATGGGGAAGAAGGTGGAAGACGCCGACGAAACTGTTCCGCCCTGGGACTCGAACGCGATTACCCCAGGAACGCCCTTCATGGATCTTCTGGCTACTTCGTTGCGCTACTGGGTAGCCCTTAAAATCAACACCGATCCCGGCTGGCACGGGGTGAGTCCACATCTCAAATACCGCGTTCTCCCTACTAAGGTCTCTACAGATGCAAGTCATCATCTCCGATGCTTCAGTCCCCGGAGAAGGCGAACATAAAATCATGGATTTTATTCGACGTCAACGTACGAACCCCGGATACGACCCGAATACGAAACATGTAATTTACGGCTTGGTAAGGACCTTCGCCGTATGGTTTTCTGGTTTGCTTACGATCGTCAGGACGCGGATTTGATTATGCTGGCGCTGGCTACACACGAGCCATACTTCAGAGTCCTGCGAGAGGATGTATTCGCTAATGATGTTGCACCTAATGCCTGCCGCATATGTGGGCAGGAAGGCCATCGTGCTGCGCAGTGCACTGGGACGCCGATGGAGAAAAAGAAAACGCCTACAGAGAAGAAACCATTCATATTCCTGGACGTCGCTATTCTTCGTGAATATCTTGAGGTCGAGCTCAACGTCAGCAATCAGCCATTCCCATTCGATCTGGAGCGCGCTATCGACGATTGGGTTTTACTCATCTTCTTCGTCGGTAACGACTTCTTGCCGCATCTACCGTCACTGGAGATTCGGGAAGGTGCGATCGACACGCTGTTGAAGATATGGAAACAGGAATTGCCTAGAATGGGTGGCTACTTGACGAACCATGGCCACATGGAACTGAAGCGCGCCGAGATAATCCTAGAGGGTCTAGCACAGCGCGAAGACGACATCTTCCGCCGGCGACGCGAAAGTCAGTCTCAGCGCCGCATCTCTGCTGGCCATCACTAACGTTTATGTTCATAGCTGAGGAGCGACAGGACCAAAATGCAAAGCGTCGTAAGATAGAGGAAGCCAATAATAAAAAGACCTTCTCTATGGGGCCTTCAGCGAGTCTTGGTTTGACCAGTGCGCCGACTGCCCCGTCATCATCCGCCCACCCCTCTCTTCCTCAACGACCTGATTTTGCAGCGAATGCAGATTCAATAGGCCTAGGCGCTAAGCCAACAGTGGAGTCTGTGCAATATGTTGCTAGTGCTACTACAGCTTTGGCTGGCTCTAATCGTGATGTTGTGGCTAACCGAGCGGCAATACGAATGGCGAATATGAGCGCGGCTGAAGTACTCAAAGCTGAACTATCTAGTCTGGTACTCGTGAAGCCTAGTGCATCATCATTGCCTAAACAACCATTGTCTACACCTGATCCCACCCCATCATTACCCACTTCTTCCGCTCCCCCAACTACTGCCACTGTGGCATCTGAAGCCGAGTTTGAGGAAATCCCCGGCCTGACACAAACGATAGCTGTTGAGCCGCGTGTAAACGGAGATGATATGAACGTTGATGCTCCTGTTGCTCATAATGCAGAAGTAGTGAACGTTGACCCAGACGCTTTCATCGCCAGCGCAGTGGCGCTCGGAGACACTCAGCCAAGTGGCACATCACACGATGAACTCGCAGGGACCAAACGAAAGTTCGGTGAAGGTCCAGGAGAGACTGAGGAGGATCCTGAGGTCATAGAGGTTGCGGACGACGAGGACAGTCCTGCAGAGAAACCCTTAGCCCTTACAGTGCGTCCGGACGGAACCGTAGAGCAAGAGGATACAGTCAGGTCAGATCACTCTATGCAGTCCCGTCTTTATGGCTCACCCCTTCATAGACTCTGGGAACCGGGATACAAGGCTCGCTATTATCAACAGAAGTTTGGTTTCGAACCCTCTGACCAGGAAGCCAAGAAGAAGTACGTCTCTTGTGTGCTTTGACCGGACTGTTACTCACCATAAAGTAAAGGATCACAAAATGCTACATCGAGGGCCTATGCTGGGTGCTACATTATTATTATCAAGGGGTTCGTCGTTCCATTCCATCGATGCCTATAAGCGTTAATCAGAACGCGTAACAGACCCCAGCGTGGCAATGGTTTTACCCCTACCACTTTGCTCCCTTTGCTGGCGACTTTGAAGAAGTCGACAAGATGGACATCATCTTTGAGCCCGGGCAGCCCTCTAAACCCTTTGAGCAGCTGATGGGTGTATTCCCCGCGGCTAGGTATGTATAACATCCCTGTTTTGTTTCGTTCTTCGCCTTAATTTTGTGCCTTGTAGTCGAAAGCACATTCCGGAAGCATTCCAACATCTGATGACCAACGAGGAATCCCCCATTCTCGATTTCTATCCGACCGAATTTCAGATCGATATGAACGGAAAGAAAATGGCATGGCAAGGGGTGGCATTGCTGCCCTTCATAGACGAGAAAAGGCTATTAGAGACCATGGCGATACATTATCCTAAATTAACGGAAAGCGAGGTCCTGCGCAACCGGTGGGGCAACAATGTACTGTTTGCCTCCAATCACCACCCGATCTATCCTTTCTATGAAAGCCTATATGGGAAACGGAAAACCGAAGAGGTGCCGATTTTTTCTATCACGGTACTTCATTCATTGACATCATACAACAGCCAGTACCTATCGATCCCGCACTAAGCAAAGGGATGAGCGGAACCGTGCTACCAAACGCTGAATGCATTCCTGGATCGACCTACTATTGTCCTTTGACCACCCAAGGTCTACCGGACATTAAAAACGATCAATCATTATCCGTCTACTACTTCTTCCCGAAACAACTCACTCCTCATCGCTCTGTCCTTCTGCCTGGCGTCAGGCTACAGGCGCGGAAGTTGAGTGCACAAGACTTAGAGAACACAAGGAACGGCTATCGACGAGGTCGGGGGCGTGGGGGCGGCTTCGAGCGTGGGGGCGAAGGACGTGCAGCCTGGAGGGAACGCGATGCGCCAGCTCGTGCAAACGACTTCCGGGACGACGTCAGATCCTATGCACCTCGCGGACACCCTGCTGTTGGCGGTTGGGGAGGTCGCGGTGCTTTGCCTTACCCTCCAAGGAATGCAGTCTCCCATACGTCTCAATACGGCGGCTACGGAGGGGATGATGGAGGTCAACGCCCCCAACCGGGGTACGGCGGCTACGGGCAGCCCTCAAGAGGTGGGCCGCCAAACCACGGCAACGCCTATGATAGTCGTGGTGGGTATCGCGGTAACAACAATGGCGATAGTTATGGAAACTACGGGCGTGGTAGAGGCGGGTCGGGTGGAGGGAACTATGCAGGAGGCGGTTATGGCAATGCGCAGGGGGGCGGTTATAATAATTCGCAGGGAGGTAGGGGAGGATATGGAGGATATGGTAATGCGAGTGGCAATGGTGGTAATAACGGTTACGGAGGGTACGGAGGCCAGGCCAATGCTGCAAACGGTACCGGAGGGTATGGCGGATACAACAATGGTGGACGTGGGGGAGCGTATAATAGAGCGAGAGGTCGAGGTTGGTAGGACTCTCGCCTCCTCGCTCCTTGAGCACTCTATCTTACGTGCACAATTTAATCCCTGTTTTCACGTTTCATAAGTAAATAAGTTCCATTCGCTTCGCTTGAGCTTTACGGATTATACACCCCAGAAAGTACAGACATGATTCATGAAGCAAATTTAGTGAATATCATTATATCAACAGTGTCTAGTAATGGCCCATGCCAAGGCCCTGATGAGGGGAAGGAGTGCCAACCATCCCGGGGTAAGAAGAACCTCCTCCAGGTAAAGCACCAACGGGAGGGCCGGCCATAGGGTTATTGCCACCATAACTTGAACCGCCCAGGGGGATGCAGGTGAGATAGAGAGAATACTTCTTGTCTCTCGCCTTCGCCTTGCGCCTTGCCTTCCTTTCCTTTCGACGTCTCTTTTTCTCCAACTTCTTCTCTTTCTGTCGACGCCTAGCTTCCATAACCTCAGGAGGCGGCATTCCCTGCCGACCATACACTCCTTGAGATCCAGCATATGGATCATCGTCCGAGTCATCGGACTCGGAGGAAGAAGAGGAAGTTTCGTCAGAGTCATCATCGTCATCATATCCGGGAAGGACGCGGTCAACTGTTCCAGCGCGTTGACCAGTTCGGCGTTCGCGACCTTTATAGAGGACGAGCTCGACACCCCGGGCTTGGAAGAATGACCCGTTCCATAGATCGAGCAAATCCGCGGCAAGAGTAGAGCGCTTCGCAGGCCTGTTGTTTCCAGGTACTGGAAGCCGACCAGCCCAAGCAAGGGATAAATCCTATGGACGAGTGTATTCAGCACAGGTAGCAGATTACTAGTCGGTAAGCTTACCTGCGTCATGCGCAGCCAATCTTCAAGCAGAACGTCATGCGTTTGCAGGACAAGCGGCATTCTGGGCAGGTGTTCCAAAATATCATCCATCTCCAAAATCTTCATTGCTTCGAAGGGAGTGAAGGACTGGGCGGCATTGATCGGCCTTGAGAACCCTTGCGGTGCTTCTAGCCTAGACTGATCACTCGGGAATGCGATGGCGTTGGGCATGCGGGGCGAAGCACCAATATTGGACTGTGGGTATGGCTGGTAGCCGCCGGGTGCCCCACCAGGAATGGGTGTGGTCGCCCTGGATCTAGGTATAGGCTGTTGCACCGAGCCAACCGGCTGACCCGCGAGTATGTGGCCTTGCGGATATATCCCGCCAGCTCCAGGAGGCCCTCCGAAGGGAGTTGTAGATCGTTGGTAGGCGTCCCCTGGCCTTGGGGAAGGTGGTGGGTAAGATGGTGCGGGGTATCCTGTGGCCATAGTTCCACCTGGAGCGTAAGGAGAAGAAGGCCGCATATTGGGGGAAGCACTTGGGTACGGCGGCCCAGACATAGGATACGTCGCTGGAGGGCCCGCAGCGGGGTAAGGCCGAGGGTTGACATATGGTCCCCCCGTGGCCGGGCTGTACGCCCCAGGGACAGCATACGTCGGGCGATCGCCCATATTACCGCTGACCTTCCTGAGTCTTTCTTGCTCGTTGAAGCTGTACTTGCGAGGCCGCCCAAGGGCCGAGTTACTGAGCTTGCGCTCGCGTTCTGCATACTGCACTTGCTCCATTCGCTCCCGGTCGATGTCGAGGTCACCGAATTGCTGGTTGAGACCACCAACGCCGCTATTGCTGTATTTGCGTTCGCGATTATACCGATCCCTGTCGTAGACTCCGCCAGTACCAGGTGCGGGCGCAGGCGCGTAAACATTGCTGTAGCCACCACTGGGAGAGATGCTCGTGGGGAAAGCCATGGGTGAGACCCCTCCGGCATTGAAGCTCTTTCTGCGTTCGCGCGCCATGGCGTCCATGGCGCGAGCTTTGTGAAGCTCGCCTTGCTCGTCACGGTTCTTCAAGCGCTTTGCAGCTTCCTTCTCTTCTTTGCGGCGTCGCTTCTCCTCTTCCTTCTGCCTTTCAATGTTCAATCAATACATGCAGATCGGTGACCAGACGGAAATACACACCAGTCCTTGAGGCTCCTCTGCTCGTCTTTAGAAAGATACCCTCGCTGCCATGATGCGGCAAATTCCTGAGGCTGTTGATCAACACATACATAGATTGTTGTAAAAAGCCAAACGTACCTCAGTCGCTGGTTGAGCCCCAGCAGGCAAGATCTCCGTCGCTTCAGCAGGGATCCATTGAATACCGCTCACGATTCCGGTAGGGGTTTGATAACTGCATCGATCGCGCCGATCAACATGAGAAATACACAATATTGATCGTAGTCTGCATACCTAGCAGGAACAGCTCTGCCATACATGATTAGTCTTTGTCCGATGTCTACTTCAATGAACTTACTTGAATGGATGGTAGATGAGTTGACCATCAGGTCCAGTGGATGTGGTGTAGGTTATAGAGCCTGGCGAGATCTGATTAGCGGCAGGCGGCGCAGGGCTGTGAGCGCGATAATTGGCAACTTGAGGTGCGGGACTGTGACTGCGATAAATCTGATTTTCTGGCGCAAACGGCGACGGCGCCCTATAAGCCATTGTCGAGAAAGCGTTTGGAGATCAAGGGAAACAAAGGGACGGGCCAGTAGTTATAGTACCCTCAACCCCTCTTCAAGGCGCCTATGATAAGATCAAGATGCAAACAGATATCCCTAGACCGGTTTTCCCATTCAACCTTGCAAGGCACTGCCGCAGACACACGAGGACGTTTGCTGACTGCTGATCTACTATTAACGTTGTTAAAGGGAAATTAAATCGCAGTGAACGCGGATATAGATATCTACATGGTCTACACAAGCACGAATGTCCATAGCACTTACGAGAACCTCCACCACAGTAAGATTATGAGGATGAAAGCTACTGCACCAAGGGGGGCATATTGTCGTAACATGGCTTGGAAGTTAATGTTGCGAGCGGCCTTACGGTACTTTTCTGATTCCGAGCGTAAGGAAGTTGATAAATGGGACATCCCTGAGGTTCAAGAATCGTCAGGGAAGGCTGGGGCAAGTAAGCTGAGGGTTCACGCACGGTCCAGTGAGTCCCCTCTCCATAGCAATTCCTCCATGTTCTTCGTCATGATTCTCGTAACGTCCTGTAATTCGTCGTTCAGCTTGTCCATGCCTGATGCATTTGCAGCGCTAGCTGTCCGTGTATCTTGGTAGAGGCGTGCAGTTTTCGACATAAACGTATCTATAGCAGGGAAGGTCATGATGGGCGTCGCGCTGAGAGGCAAAGTATCTCACCAAACCCCACAAACGCATATGGCTTCCGTACGGTTTCAACCTTGGGTCCGTATGTCGTCGCAAACTCTTTGGATAGTTCGTCAAGGTATGAAAAGGCAAGTTTTCGAGGATACGACTTGTCCGTGATCACAAAGTACACGACATTGTCTGCGATGAGGTAGCTGGATGGAAAGTGAGCATTTAGGATAGCACCAAGCGCCACACACAAGGCAACGCACTGCAGAGTGAAAGGTCCACTTTCAATTGAGCACCGAGGCTCAGCATTTGATGTTATGCGCCGACATATGAGCTTGACCTGTTGCTTGTGTTCTTGCAATAGTTGTTCCGTCTACAGCGTGGTGAGCATTGAGCAGGAAGCCGGGTGGCGCACTTACATCCTCATCGTCGACGCTGGCGGCCAAAGGGAGAGAGTCGGACGCTCTGCAGATGGTGGTCGAGCGTACCATGGTATGTGGAGGGATGCGAAGCTCAGCTGGAGTTTCTTCCGCCACGAATGCGGAGGCGTCACGTGGGGACCTGCAGAGTACGTGTAGATTTGCTCCCAAATTTAGCAGCACCCTGACTGTCGCCGTTTTGATGTTCTAGTAACCGGCAATGGCTTGGACTCAGACCCGAGGCCCCCTTTCTTGATCCTCTACCACCATGTCACTGTTCAACGTCAACAAGCAGGTTAGTGTTCCCCCCCAAAATTCGAATCAGGTTTGTTGATGCTGTTTGGATCTATAGCTTACTTTCTACGGTGCATATCACTCGAATCGCGTAAATGTGGCCATCCATATCATCTTCGTACCAGTTCTTCTATGGTACGCAGCAGGCGCAGCACCTTGAATGGAGGGTACTTACTGCTTGCTTTGCAGGACTTTCCAGGTGATGGCTACCCGCATTCCTTTGCCATCTGCAGTGCCGACCGTCCACCACGTCTTCAACGATTACCTGGTCTTCGATCTCAATGTACCGGCCATCCATGCTGCTCTGTACTTCCTGTATTATCTGGCTTTGGAGCCCGTAGCTGCCGTAGGTGAAACACATCACTGCTGGGATCAGCGCTCATACGTTATTTGTACAGATTCTCTACGCCCCCCAGTTGACCCTTTCTGTGCTTACTGCAACTGCCTTCGCCCGAAACGATTACAATGTAACCCAGGCTGCCCTTCTCCATGTCGGATCGTGGATCGCCCAGTTCGCCGGCCACGGTCTGGCGGAAAAGCGTGCCCCTGCTTTGCTCGATAATCTCATCGGCGGTGAGTTTCCTGCCAACCCACCCTATTTTCTTCCCGCGTGAGGTTCTCATTCCATCTTTCGCAGCCGTTGTTCTCGCCCCCTTCTTCGTCCATCTGGAATTGCTGTTCAAGGCTGGCTATCGGCCTGCATTCCACCGGGAGATCCAGAATTCCATCGGGGTGGAAATCGCACGGATTCGAAAGATACAAGGGGATAAAGCCCGCGCGAAGCAGCTGTAGTCAGGTCTAGTCGCGAACTCAATCAGTCACAAGGTTAATCAGGGCCAACCACGAAGCTGTATCCTCTTCTACTTGGATGTCTGTAGCTTGTATTATTAGTGTTTGAAACGATAATATGGGATTAAATTGATTAATGCAGCCAATCTGCTGGAGAAAGAAAGAGCTTCGTGAGTTACGTGCTTCTAGTAGTGAGAGGAGAGGCCCTTCTGAGCCAAGTCTTCAAACGGCAAGGCTGGTAGGAGGTGGTAACACCGGGTTTCCAATCGGCGTAACGTATGCGGAGGTTATCCCTCCGTCCACAGTAAAATCGGCACCCTAAAACCGATCGCGGATTCAGTTCAGTCTTATCGATAGACCACGGAAAGGCATTGCCGATCTCACCGTGACATAGCTACTATCGTCGCTGGCCACTGCGAGTGAAAATTCAGATTTAGCAAAAACGGATCAAATCGAGACGTCCGGGCGCCATGAGACAAACTAGAGTGTTGACGCACGGAACAACGCAGCCTTCGCGATTTCTATGGCCTCGCCGAAGCGGCCCATTGGGACGTGCACGAGCCGCCGTTCCTTCTTCTCAGGTGTGTCCAGGAAGTCCATGAGAAGGGCTAGAACACAAAGTCACGTCAATGGAAGTCAAGTACGAGGCTCAATCGAAGATCTTACGGGTCTTGAGAGGTCCGCTGCAAGGGAAGGTAGGTTTCTCAATGGAGGGCGTAGGAAGATTAAGGCAACAACATACGGGCACAAAGAGTTAACGCGGATCCCTTCTCTAGCGTGCACGACTGCGAGCTCCCTGCTCATTGCGAGGACGCCGCCCTTTGACGCCGTATCTATCCATTCGTTCATGACCCAATAAAGTGAGTTAGTGAAAGCGCGAACATTTCGTAAATCGAGAGATGATACCCACATGCAAGCTGAGGTGTCGCTGCCCCGAGGATAGCCACAAAGCTTGCCGTGTTGATGATGCTTCCACCGGTATGCAAACCTTTCGATTCGTCTGTCGGGTTGTTGCGCATGGCGAGGATCGCATACTTGCACCCCCACCAGACGCCCTTAAGGTTTATTTGCATGGTAAGATCCCAGATATGCTCCTCGGTCGTGAGCGCGTCGTCATCCTTAGGATGCATTATGCCTATTCTTTCGCTCAATGATATTGATAGATCGAACGTGGGCAAACATACCAGCGTTATTAAACTGAGCACATGAACGCAACGTCAGTTACGGAATGCGAAGAAGACGCGCTATCAATCAACAACTCTTACCATAACATCCAACCGTCCAAACTCTTGCACGGCTTTATCGACAGCGGCTTTCACATCTGCCTCTTTCCCGACGTCCGCTTTCGTAGCGATAGTCCTAACATTCGGGTATTTGCTCGCAATAATCTTCGCAGTCTTTTCGGCCGCATCTAGATTGATGTCCACCAGGACGACATTAGCGCCCTCTTGCGCAAAGAGGATGGACGATTCCAAGCCAATCCCCCTAACGGATCGCGTCACAGCGTCAGAGATCAAGATGCCTTGTGCATGGCAAGTCATACGCACGATCCTGCACCAGTAACAAGCGCTACCTAGAAAAACGTGCATGTCAGCATCGCAGGACTTTCACGAGTGCCAGCCGAACTTTGTTTGCGAGACGGCCGACCATTGCTCGAGTTTGTGAGAGAAGCTGAGAGAAGAGTCCCTGCTCGCTCTGATAACATCGATAGGATAGCCCCTATCTCTGACAGATGGGCCACAGCGAAAATTAGATAGCATCGCGACAACAAAGCATTTACAAGCAAGGGATTAAATCACCATAAAGGTATAGGAAAATCTGCAGGGAGGCTACCCCCACCCTCATCAAATATGTTGAAGAAATCACTTATGACCATCGCCCCAGCCTGAGAAGCATCATCGGACAACTGAGATGCGGGGAGTCCTATGCCTGGCTGCGAATTGAAAACGGGAAGGCTATCCGGGAGCGAGTGATCTTCTTGCGGAGGGCTATCAGGTAGGGGAGTAAATTTGGGTGCATCTGGAGGAGTTGCCTGCGGCGAATACTCCGTTAATCGGATGCGACTCTCTACTGGTGACTCGGAGGGAGAATCCAAGGAAGGTAATGCTGGAATGGGAGAAGCCGGCGGTTCCATCGCAGCGTCGCTCGTACTAGCCGATCTAAGATACAGAAGACAGTCGTTAAAGGAGCACAAGTATGTGGAGCGAAGATGCTCTCACTGTATTAACCTGATATCCGGGAAACAAGCCTGTAACTGGGAATTTCTTGCCAAGGGACTGCCGAACACCGACGGTTCCTTCTCCACAGCTTGAGAGCTAGGGACCATACACATTTCCTTGTGATCAGCGCGCAAAGACATTTGTCTCTCTGCAGGTAAAATCCGATGTCTGGTAGGCGTATCGAACATGCAAAACGCTTGTGTCTGAGATGAGGCAACCATGGGAGAGGCGTGAACGCTGGTCGGTGTATCGAGGAGGTATAGCGGTTGCGTCTGGGACGAACGGACCGCAGGAGAAGTGCGGACGGTAGTAGGTGAGTCGAAGGTGTACAGTTCCTGTGTCTGAGACGAAGGAACTGCGGGAGAAGAGAGGACGTCTGGAAACGCCGCTTTCCACCTCTTCCTTGGCGTGAAAGGCGGGCTTGCCAGAGGTTCAGAGGCCGGGCTCATGTACCACGGGGTAGGAGCGTGCCTCGACGAGCTCGGGGTAGGTTCTGGCGGCAATTCTCGCTCCAGGTCCTGCGATTGAGAGGACGGCACTACGTCGAAGAACGATGGATCTCTGGACGTACTGCGTGGTGTGAGATTAAGCAAGTATGACATCCTCACAAACAACTCACGGCGGTGAAGAAAGTGTGTGGATGGGTATTGTAGTATTGGTAGTCCCAAACGACGGTATATCTAACTCGTTGGGGCGATACGAAGGACAAGTGCTAGTAGATCCTATTTCGCTTGGGGATGGATTCTTTAGGCGCTTCGAGCTCACGGAGGATTGCTTTGGACGGTGACCGGGTCGTTCAGTCGTAGAGGCAATGGCAGCGTCTTCTGTATCGTCTTCATTGCTATTCGTGAGGTCGATGACACTAGTATGCAGTTTCCGCTCGGGCTTTGCACTCTTCGACGGTTTCGGCGCGTCGTCTTTCTTCCTCTGCAACAAGTCTGTGAGGAGCGTCTGACTTCCGGATGGTGAGTAATGAAGCTTCGCAGATCCCGAAGCTCGAGCCTGAGTAGTAGGGGAAGGTTTAGCCTTCTTTCGAGATGTTTCTGCCTTCGATTCTGTGCCATCCTGGGCGGTGCGGGCGCGTTTCGTGTGCCTGGTGCGAGACTTGTAATTATCTGAGGTTCTTCCAGTGGGTTTGAAGAAGCTGGTGATGGACTCCTCCCCGAGTGGCATGAAGGCATACGTGACGGAAGCAAATCAAGAGTCCCTGACTCTTTCATGGATCGGAGTTATATCGACGCGTTTCATTGTTTGGCTAGAACAAATAACGCGTCTATCACTGTTCTGCGTCCCGCTTCTTAATTCACCACATCCATGTCCGACGCGGCACAAATCAAGAAAAGAAAAATGAGTCCAGAGCCAGAAGCTCAAGATAACATCGCCCCAGTTGCTGGTCTCCTCGTCAAGCGTCACTCGGAGAAAGCCAGATTGCCAACCAGAGGATCAGCTTTGGCTGCTGGATATGATCTCTACAGGCATGCTGTACGGTATATCGGTGGAGGGGGACTTGCTAACTTGTATTAATCACAGCGCCGAGAAGAAAACCATTCCTGCACACGAGAAAGCCCTCATCGATACACAGATATCGATAGCTGTGCCTGTTGGAACTTATGGACGCGTCGCACCTCGTAGCGGACTAGGTCGGTTGCCAGTGCCTTCTTGGTTCTCTAATTAATCCTTGACGCGCCAGCATCTAAATTTATGATCGATACCGGCGCTGGTGTCATTGACGCCGATTATCGAGGCATCGTATTCGTACTGCTGTTCAACCTTTCGGACAAAGACTTCGAAGGTAAGTTTGATCGGAGAGAAGATGCAAACACTCACATCCATCGTAAATTAGTTCAAGAAGGCGATCGTGTCGCCCAGTTGATTCTTGAAAGGGTTTACACTCCCGATGTCATGGAAGTCCAGGATCTAGAAGAGACATTGCGAGGCGCAGGTGGCTTTGGCTCTACCGGTGGGCACGGTGCTCTCTGAAGGACTTTGCGAAATACAATGTTGTTGGTATATTGAGATATTGAGTACGGAGCCGAAGCTCGTGACTGGGAAAAGGAATAAAGTTACAGGTTGAGAAGATGCACATCAAGTACCAGACTCGTATGCTAAATTACTAGTTGCCCGACGTCTGTTACCCGCTTTACATGTTGCGATAGGTAGCCAACTGATCCTTCAAGCGAGTGACTTGGCCTAACAAGACAGTAAGCGGCTGTCGAAACAGCGGAGACAAACGAGCTACCTTCAGTGAATTGATCCATGCAGCTGTCGTAGGAGTAGTTCATGTAGTTGGCTGTATAACCGTGAGCCAGAAACACAATAACAAGGTCTAATTGCACGTACTGATGCTGTCCAAGCCGTCCTTTGGGCAAGTGTCGGCTCCCTTGGGGCATCCAGAAGCGGGTTCACCCTCAGGGGGAGTGTCCTCAACCTGGTCACCTTCGCCATTGCATCCGCCCTGGAACGTATGGTACAATCCGGTCCAGTGGCCGGCCTCGTGAGTGAGAGTCTACACGAAAAAGGTCGATGTAAGGGTCGCGTCGTCTGACCCAATCAACGGACACTTACCCTGCCCTTGTTGAAGTTCTCCGTCGCGCCGCCGGGGAGAGTCGAGAACAGAATCACGACGCCATCATCCTTCAACTCGGTCTTAGCATCGGATGGGAAGGTGGCATATCCAAGGAGACCCTTGGCATCGCCTTCTTCGAAGCCGACGGTGTAGACATTGAGGTCCTTCTCGTCGCCTTGCCTCAGTGCCTCCTTCATCTCGGTCTGCTCTGCTGCGTTGGGGCTGGCGCGGCTGAACCACTTCTCGTTGGTCGTGCGAGTGGTGTTGGCGAGGGCGAAGGAGATGCCTGCACTCGAGTAGTCCTTGTTCATGATGTCGATCTGCTCCTTCAACTGCGAGTCACTTTGCGGTAAACAGCGTCAGGTAAATGGTGATCCGTCAGTACAAGGCAGACTTACGGTACGTTTCCGCCTTCGGGAGCATCGCTCTTCTGAATGACATGGAAGTAGACATTGATGGGCGCCATCTTGTACGAGGCCCCCCTCGCAGCTGCCGACACTCGGTTGGCAGTGAAGGATTTCTCCGCAGCCGCAACCTTCTCAGCAGACGGCTCAGAACCGCATCGCCTATATAAAATACAATCAGTTAACGATCACGGATCAATTCCACGCGATTATTTGCCTGGGTGTCGCACTGTTGACTGGGCCTGCGATGACAGACGAGGCGAGAAGGAGTGAAGCTGCGAATGAGAAAAACATGATCGATAGACGGGGACTCGTTGCAGAGTACCAGAGCATCAAGGAACCTTTTTATACCGTTTGTTTGCCAAGAATCGTAGGCATTATCGCACTTGCCATGCTGCACCTCGTCGTCGGCATGGGTCGTCGAAGGTAGCGCACAACGCGATAACGCGATCATACATTTTTGCATTGCCGCGAAGCAGATAACTGGAGTGACATCGTACAACTCGACATGACGAGAGGTCGCATTGGAGTCGATACATACTCTCGTGGAGTAAATACGCGACTCGTGCTTGTGGCCGAAGACGCGCTTCCCTGGCAACGCGTATGCGCCCACCCGCCTTGCACGATCGTCGTTGGGGCCCCTTATGAAAATGGTAGAAGAGTCCCATTTCGGACAAAATCGGCGGCTGACTTGGGGCTTTCCAGACAATTTTCGGAGGTAAAATGCGCGTCTGCTGGAGGAATCTTTTGTACCATTTGTGGGACCTCAAGCTCAGTATTTTGCCTAAGTCAGTATAAAGTCCACGTAAGTCCATTTTTTGATGGAATTCGTCAGTTTCCGTACTTTTGATGTAAAAATTCCGGCACCTTCCTCTTTTGATCTTGTGCGGAAGGTCACGACGAAATTTAAGTCAGTGAAAAGCCAACTTACAGTGACTTAGTTTGACTGGGAATGGGAGCGTAAAGTAATAGGATTCAGACATTGCTTATGTAAGGGGAACTAATCCCAGGGGCGAAGATGCATTAATCGAGAGAACATTAAGACTCTAGCCTAAGAGCAGTTGCTCAGGAAGTGACAAAGGGGGTATCTTGAGGGTGCTGAATGTCGGATAATGCAGGGGTATTTAGATACGAGACGAGAGACTTGGAAGAGCATGAATACTGGTGACAGGCGCTGGTGACCCCTGTCTTCAATTACATAATCTTTTTTGATTTCGATGGCCAGTTCAATTGTTGGACTTCAACGTTTCGACGTTTCAACTCCTCACCAACATCCCCAATGTCCACTTATTTCTTCGACAACCGTTCACAACACTTGGGGCATTCAATGCGGCCCCGAATTGAAGCTCTTGACATCTCTTCTCGCCGTAACGCGCCCTGTATGGATAACAACTGCTCCAACTCTCTGGATCCACGCGCCTCCTGGCAAACAGACTACTGGCAGGATTCCCATTCCCCTACGCGCTTCGCTAACTATTCCGACTCTCATACTCAAGTTCAAGCTTCCAGACCACTCAATACACGCAATCATCATGCCATGGACACGGAGGGGGTTTGTGAGTACCTTATATTTCAACGTCAATGTGATGCCTCCAGCCAACCAGTTGTATGTATGACTCAGCTATATCCTTGTATCCAAACGATCCCACCCCTTCTTACCAACCAACTACCCCTGCCGGCCTCCATGGATGGCTTTCTACCCCACCCCACCTACTACGCCCGCCTCCAGATTACATATATATATTGCATCATGTTTACTATTAGTATGAATTTATTTTATTGCCTGAGAACGGTTTTGTACTTGACTTAACCTGACCATCACTGACCGTGAGTGACTGTTGCGTTGAACATGGTGGCCTGACTTTCCATGACTGACTTAGACACTAACAGACTTGACTTGACCTGTTTTCTTCAATACCCGAAAGGGACCCACAAAATCATTTTCAAGTCATTTTACGGTAAATATTCCGGCCTAGGTCCGGCTAAGTCATTAGTTTATGACTCACACAGACTTAGGCAAAACACTGAGCCTCAAGGCCTCAAGCTCCAAGCTTCAGCTGGATGTCCACCAGTCTCATGTTCGAGGTCATCAATTTGTAGTCCTCGTATCAGAGTTTGTTTGCAAAGAATCTGTAGAGGAAACATGTAAGTTGAGATAAATTGTATGCAAATCAGTTATCTTCGAGTTATTTTTCAAGGCAGTGACATATTTATTAGAAGAATGTAGGAGACATGGCCTCGCCGCGTGTACGGAACACCATTAATCGAGACTAGGAGCAGCATGTCGCAATATGCTTGAGAGGGCTACTCCAGATGTTCCTCGGTCATCTACGAGTCCATAGCGGATATATAAACCAACTCTGGATCTTGCAGAAATACTATTACCACCATATGTGCGTACCTGTCGAGATGTCCACTCACCTATGCGCTACTATGCGGCAGTTTTCCGCGTTGGTTGAGTTGGCCCAGTCGCCCATCTGTATTTCAGGGCCCCCGATATTTTCTCCTCCTTTTCACTGACGAGTTTGCCTATTCCAAGTATTCAAGCACGCACACTAATCAAGAGAATACAATAGGCGAACCTTTCCAGTACAGTCGACCCCATGCCTTCCCGTGCTTTCCCTCGCACTTGAATTGGGACCTCGTTACAAGCCAGAACGAATCAGGTATTTGCTTGTCGTTCCATCGTAATTGGTGGACTTTGCGTCCAACGCCGCCAGCCGGCGTACGCGAAAGGATCTCGTATAGGTTTCCTGGCTTAGCAGAGAGTGAAGGTGGTAGCTCTTTGGGTAGTAGATGCTGGAGAGCCTTGCTGAGGCTGGGAGCAGCGGCGCGTCGGAAAGGCGTCGAGAACATTTCGAAGGGTAAGATGTGATTGAAACTCCGACGCGACGCTCAACTGGCAGGCCAGTCTTGTCGTTTCGAGGAAAACAGTTGAGACTTTCGTAGCAACCTTCTTCCTTCCTGCTGTCATGGCCGTCCCTCGACAATGCCTTCATATTGCCGCGCGTTATGGTCTCATCATCCAAAGACGTGCCATATCCTCACTTTCTAGCACAAAGCCGAAAACCGACTCGCTCGGAATACCGTTGCGACCTACCTGGTCCGTAAACGACCTCTTGTCGTCCTATCCCACCCCGAGTGTCAACCATGCGGAGCTCGAGCAGCTGCACAAGCTCTCTGCTCTCAAAATACCTGAGAAGGACTCTGACGAATATCACAAACTCAAGGGCGACTTGGAGGAACTCGTTCGACTCGTCGAGGCCGTGAAATTGGTGGACACGGAAGGAGTTGAGTTAGCGGAAGCAGTGGTATCGGCCGACATACCCCCGGAGGAAGAAACACAAGAACATACACCTCGTGGAAGGGGACTACTAGAATACGCGCACCGTGTGAAGGAGGAGTTCTATGTCGTTGATACAGATGCTCGCCAATGAGTTCATAGGACACCTGATCACCAACAATCATAAGGGATTCGCGGTTACGGAGGAGGCCCCGACAACGATCGTGCAAGGCGGGTGGGCGCATACGCGTTGCCAGGGAAGCGCGTCTTCGGCCACAAGCACGAGTCGCGTATTTACTCCACGAGAGTATGTATCGACTCCAATGCGACCTCTCGTCATGTCGAGTTGTACGATGTCACTCCAGTTATCTGCTTCGCGGCAATGCAAAAATGTATGATCGCGTTATCGCGTTGTGCGCTACCTTCGACGACCCATGCCGACGACGAGGTGCAGCATGGCAAGTGCGATAATGCCTACGATTCTTGGCAAACAAACGGTATAAAAAGGTTCCTTGATGCTCTGGTACTCTGCAACGAGTCCCCGTCTATCGATCATGTTTTTCTCATTCGCAGCTTCACTCCTTCTCGCCTCGTCTGTCATCGCAGGCCCAGTCAACAGTGCGACACCCAGGCAAATAATCGCGTGGAATTGATCCGTGATCGTTAACTGATTGTATTTTATATAGGCGATGCGGTTCTGAGCCGTCTGCTGAGAAGGTTGCGGCTGCGGAGAAATCCTTCACTGCCAACCGAGTGTCGGCAGCTGCGAGGGGGGCCTCGTACAAGATGGCGCCCATCAATGTCTACTTCCATGTCATTCAGAAGAGCGATGCTCCCGAAGGCGGAAACGTACCGTAAGTCTGCCTTGTACTGACGGATCACCATTTACCTGACGCTGTTTACCGCAAAGTGACTCGCAGTTGAAGGAGCAGATCGACATCATGAACAAGGACTACTCGAGTGCAGGCATCTCCTTCGCCCTCGCCAACACCACTCGCACGACCAACGAGAAGTGGTTCAGCCGCGCCAGCCCCAACGCAGCAGAGCAGACCGAGATGAAGGAGGCACTGAGGCAAGGCGACGAGAAGGACCTCAATGTCTACACCGTCGGCTTCGAAGAAGGCGATGCCAAGGGTCTCCTTGGATATGCCACCTTCCCATCCGATGCTAAGACCGAGTTGAAGGATGATGGCGTCGTGATTCTGTTCTCGACTCTCCCCGGCGGCGCGACGGAGAACTTCAACAAGGGCAGGGTAAGTGTCCGTTGATTGGGTCAGACGACGCGACCCTTACATCGACCTTTTTCGTGTAGACTCTCACTCACGAGGCCGGCCACTGGACCGGATTGTACCATACGTTCCAGGGCGGATGCAATGGCGAAGGTGACCAGGTTGAGGACACTCCCCCTGAGGGTGAACCCGCTTCTGGATGCCCCAAGGGAGCCGACACTTGCCCAAAGGACGGCTTGGACAGCATCAGTACGTGCAATTAGACCTTGTTATTGTGTTTCTGGCTCACGGTTATACAGCCAACTACATGAACTACTCCTACGACAGCTGCATGGATCAATTCACTGAAGGTAGCTCGTTTGTCTCCGCTGTTTCGACAGCCGCTTACTGTCTTGTTAGGCCAAGTCACTCGCTTGAAGGATCAGTTGGCTACCTATCGCAACATGTAAAGCGGGTAACAGACGTCGGGCAACTAGTAATTTAGCATACGAGTCTGGTACTTGATGTGCATCTTCTCAACCTGTAACTTTATTCCTTTTCCCAGTCACGAGCTTCGGCTCCGTACTCAATATACCAACCCCACCCCTCTTGGCTCTGTAGCAGAACTTGACAGAGTCATTATCAGAAGCTTTGTACTCTTTTCATCAGATAGGTACTTGTAAACCGACATTGTCAGCAGAACGAATTTTGCATTGTAAGTTGAGCAACGAATACACAAATTTACTTCTACGTGCACTAGATGCCCCATAACTTATTGTTGTACAACTTTAGGCGTTTAGATGTTGATGCCACGGTAGGTAGCAAGCTGGCTTCTCATGCGGGTGACCTGACCGGGGGTGAACTCAGTCATGCACGAGTCGTAGGAGTAGTCCATGAAGTTGTCTGCGAGAGGTCCATCGATATCATCCATGAGAAGAGGGGGGAGAAATGGCTTACGAATGGGGTCAACTCCGCCACCAGAGCAAGTATCACGGCCAGTAGGGCAGCCAGAAGCGGGGGAAGCCTCAGGAGGGGTGTCGTCGACCATGTCGCCACTGGATGAGCATCCGCCCTGGAAAGTGTGGTAGAGACCGACCCAGTGGCCGGCTTCGTGCGTCAAAGTCTATTCACGGGAGGACTTAGTAAGGTATTCGGGCAACACAAGCAATGGTGGATATACCTGGCCAAGGTTGTAGTTGGTTGTGGACCCGCCTGGGACAGAGGAGAAGAGCATGACAACACCGTCATCTGTAGGATTCCTCGAGTAGTCGGAGGGGAACGTAGAGTAACCCAAGAGCCCAGCGCCGGCTCCAGAGTTGAAACTAGGATATTATGAATGAGCTAACCCTTCCGTCTACCTGCCGAATTACCACGTACCCCACGGTGTAGACGTTGAGCGCGTTCGCGCCACCTTGGCGAAGAGAACTCTTCATGGATGTTTGTGCTGACGCGCCGGGGCCAGCTGTGTTGAACCAGTTGGCGTTGGTCGTGCGGGTGGTTCCAGCAAGAGTCCAGGTGATGCCAGCAGATGCGTAGGCTCTGTTCATGACGGTGATCTGAGAGGCGATCTGGGAGTCACTGAGGCAGCTATCATCAGTGCATAGTAGCTAGTGGTGAGCGCAGAAGGGCTCACGGAATGTTTCCTTGGCTGACAGCAGAACCAGAGCTGATAACATGGAAGTAGATGGGGACAGTAGCTGCCAAAGCGCCGAACGTGCTGTTCGGGGAAACCTTGTTGGCCTGGAAGTGCGCCTCTGCCTCAACGATCTTTTCTTGGCTGATGACGGTACCGCAGGCTCTGTACAAGTCGAGTTAGCACGAAGTCCATACACAGACAAAGGGCGCCTACCTTGGAGCAGTAACGTTGAGAAGAGGGGTGGCGAGGACCGAAGATGCGCTGAGGGCGGCGAAGACAAAAGACAACAACATCTTGGAGTGCAAAGACCGGTACAAGCAACTGCTGAAGACCTGAGTTGATGAAAGCCTGGCGCTGTTCACACTCACTTTTATAGCGAAATGTTGCCCACTTCGACGTCACATCCCGCATGGTAGCATGAAGATAACGGCCATTCGTGAAGCGAACATGCGGTTGCCTGGACTGCAGGAAGGAGGTTACGATTTGCGAGGCATCTGCACTGGTGGAACGAAGTATATTGAGACCACATGCATGATCTCACTCGTGATGGAGATCATATTCTAGTGCATTTTACTCGGAGATATGAAATGTACTGGATACCATAAACAAGATCTTATCAGTTTCAGCGAGGGAGAAGCACAGCAAGAAGGATCGTACGCATGTGAGGAAGAAGACTCCTGGATCGGGTATTAACTAAAAGTTGGAGTTAGCATCCCATCGAAGTCTCAGGCCATTGATATGCAGCGTCGATACGACATGGACTGAGGCGACACCGAAATCGAAGGACGTCGCACCATAGCCTGAGAAAACACATTGCCCAACACGAGTCTAAATCAAAGCAGATCAGAAACAGCCTTGCTGCATACGCTATTTGGATGTCTCCGCCACTACACCGGAGAATTAAACGCATTGTTTGGATATAGTGCCAGCGTTGCAGAGTAGTCCATGTGGAAGTGATGGTATTTACATCATTCGATGTCAGAAGCAGAAGCAGAAAGCATGGTTGTCTGATATGATATCGGCTGGACTTCCGTTTTTCTAGCCCTGTTGAGCCCGAATGAAGACGAGGCACTTGTGCTGCACGCTGTGGTCGTGGTTGCGGTCGGCGGTGAGTGACAGAGCACCGGCGTGACTGGCGATCTGAGAGGTAAATTGGGTCCCGGATGGTGGGAAATTTGGCTTTTCACATGGCAGCATCCCGGCCCAACACTGCAGCCTAAGGACACCGCCAGTCTCGTCCTTTAGCGCCGCCACCGCGTCTCCTCGATTCCCCCACCAATGGACTCACACCAGCTCATAGATGCTCAGTTTGACAGAGCAGTCGCCATAGTACAGGCCTTACCAAAAACCGGGCCGATACAAACCGACTATGAGGAAAAACTGGAAATGTATAGGTGCGTAATGCCACTTCATATCGGCCATTCATGAAGCTCATGCGAGTCTCTTGGGTAGTTTGTACAAGCAAGGTGCTTTGTCCACATATATCACAGTTGGCCAAAAACATATACTGTTGTGTTGCAGCTACCGTAGGCAATGTAAAACAACCCCGGCCGGGGATTTTCGACATGCTCGGACGAGCAAAATGGTATGTGGTCGGCTACTTCATCTTTCCGTTGCTTACATAAATTGAAAGGGATGCATGGGCGAAGCACAAAGATTTGGAGCCGTACGAGGCCAAATGGTTATATGTGGAAGCACTACTCAAGGCGAGTTACTCGTGGAACCCGAAGGGGGCTTTTGCTTATCCATTTATACTCTAGGTTTTACGAAAGTACTCCGATAAAACGGTAGCACAAGACTTTGTTCGCGAGTTAGAATCTTACGGCGGTGATCCATCTAATATTGTCTCCAGTCGTATGGCATCTTTGTTTGTTTCCTTATCTCAGTTGCTGACCTCCTTGCAACCGCACCACCAGGTACATTCTCTCACTCTCATGGCTCCGAATCGTCCGGTTCTACGGTTTCCGATGATGTACCTCCGTCTCGTCCATATGCCCAACCCCAGGTCATCTCACATCACCCGACCTACCCGCCACCAGGGAACCATCCTGAAGACTTCTCTGACGCTGATTCTGAAGGGGAAGTAGATCAACATGCTGTTGCGCCGCCTCGTCTAGATCCAGGTGTCCCACAAGGGCTGCCGCGACGACCACAATCTTCTCTTTCTTCGCATCGGTACCGAACACCCATGGCAGGTTCCCTTGCTATGTCCCCTCCACCAATCCACCCGGCCGTCCCAGAAACACAGCCCCTTCCTACGTACGAGACCCCTTCAGCATTTGCGAGTCCCCCTCATCCTTCCACTTTATCTTCGAGCTACGCCGCTGTCAGTCCATATGCTGGCCAGTTCTCCGAATCATCTCGCGTCGGATTTACGTCGTCTCTCCAAAGTCACCCCTCACAGTCTGCGTATCGTGGTCACACTAGCTCAGTACCACCTAGACCATATGGCCCAGCTCGTCCCGCTTCGCGCTTAGCAATTGAATCCGCACTTGAAAACGTGCAAGCTCATTTAACTGCACTGAATGAACGCTTAGAAACACTCGAGTCGCTATCATTCAACCCTTCTAGGTCCCGCATATCCATAAGCCCACGGAATTCAGGCAATATCTCCCCTTACGGGCGGCGGACCCCAGACGATAACGAAGATCGCTTAGAGTGGGACGTCAACGACATGGGCTTGTGGTCACTCATCCTGAACCCCCTAGCCCACGGAGTACACCAACTCAAGAACTTCGGAAGATTCTTCATTAGAAATGAAGACCGGTCCCCTGCGCTAATTATACTTCGCCGATTATGTTTGGATGTATCTTTCCTTCTATTTGTGCTGGCAATAGTCAGGGCTATCTGGCGGAAGAGTGGCGTTAGGCGACGCGAAGTGCGTGCTGCATTGAGCATGCTGTGGCATGCCATAATCGGTGCCAAGAAAAAGCGCGTTATGGTGGAGAGGGGGGTATAGCCTATATATCACTTATCTACGGGGATCTTGCTATAGTATGTCATGCAAAGTTACAAATCGCAGAAGGCAGTGAGAAATCGAAAGTGTTGCCACCTGCGTCCAAAAGCTGAGACCAAAGTCTACATGCAAGGCTCACAAATCCGTATGTGAATCAGCGTCCCTTCTTCTCGACTCTCCACTCCTTGAAGATGCCGTCCAAGCTCTTATAGATCAAATGTGACGGCAGACACCGTATGATCTCGCCCACCCTGCTTTCCGCCTCCTCTTTTCCTTTGTCCCCAAGAGCCTTCGTTGCATACTCAGCAGACATTCGGAAGATAGCTAGGACAGCCAGAGACACATGTGTCTGTTGCGCTCCGTGTGCCGAGCCCTGGGACGCAGCCAATAGCGGTCCGGATACGCTGGGTGGTGATATTGATTGCCCCGACTGCGAAAACGGGGTGGCCCTCTCTCCTCTGACAAGGCGGAGTAGAATTTCCAACACATTATCAGGATCCGTCATATGGGTCTTGAGGAAGCGTTGACGTTCAGAAGACATGCCAGCCGGAGAATTCACGGCCCAGCCCTCAAGAACCGTCCAAATCGTTGGAGGCTGCCACAAGGAGATTAGAACATCACCGTCATAGGATTGAGAAACATATGCACATACCGGATCGGGATCAACGACAATAATCTTCTTCTCCCATCCTTCAGCTGCATCTCCAGCCACCCAAAACATTCGCCCAAACATGCTTTTTAGCCATTCTTGGATATCACCGGACCTCGCCCATTTGGGTTCTGAAAGAGGACGAGTCATATCCAAATGAACGATGAGGGTCATCTTTGAAGGGATTTGTGCTTTGTTGAATGGTGGTACAGTGACATCTGGGGCATCATCCAACGTTGGGAGCGATGTGTAAGATGACTTCTCCGAAAGACCTTCAACCTGAAAACGGAGGTTCGCGTCAAAAATCAAGGCAGAGTGAGATCACATCGACATACGATTATCCCCTTCAGGCTCTGTTCACTGTCCTTGTCTTTCTCGACATTGAGAATCACTTCTATTCTCCCGTCTTGGCGGAATAGTTGAAGCTTGTCGACTATCTCAGCGTCGATTACCAGCCGTCGGTTGCCACCAGCATACGAGATCGATAGGCGATTAGCAGATGGCGTTCTTGTGCCTTTCGGGTCTGGCTTAGAAGGTGATTGTGAAGACGAATCTCCAAGGGTAGAAGCCGACAAGGTGTTGGATGCAGGTGACGCAGGTGGCTCTGGTAGATGCTCTGGTTGCGCATCCTGCAGTGACTCGCCTCCATTGATCACAGTGGAGCTGTCCTGAGAAGCCTCTCCGTCGTCCGGAATATCCAAAAGTGTAGGCTCCGCAGAAACGGCCTGCAACGATTTGCCAATGGGCAGTTTGTCTGGAATCTGGTCATCATGGGATCCAATGTTGTCAGTAACCTGTTCACTGTTTGACGAAAGCAAAACTGGTGTGAGGAACACGGAGAACGTTTGATAAAGCAGTGGACACAGACGTAGATGCAGCAGCGGATTTAGCATCGTCAGATAAAGAAGCCACAGGAGGAACGTCATGCCCAGCGGGTCCCTGACCCTCAGTAACAACGGGGGCATCGCCCTCAGCTTCGGCAGCTGCGGGGTCGCTGCCAAGATCTTTGGCATCCGCAGAAGGCGCTTCAGGAGCTTCCATCTCAACGGAAGGCTCTTCCCCAGCCTGATTTTCAATAGACACCGCCATGTCAGTGTGCCCATTTCCGACAGCAGAACCATCGTGTTCGTGACCATCCCCCGATGAAGATGAGGGGTGGGCAGCATGATCGTCAACGGCAGCAGTTCCATTCCCATCCGTATCACCAATTTGACCTTTAAGAAAAGCAGAAGTAGTCAGTTGTGTGGACAAATGTGCAGCCGCCAGAAATTCTGGCGACGCCCCCTCGTAAAAATAGATAGATGGGTTGACGTGTCCACACTGAAATGGAAAACATCTCCAAGAATATGGAACCAGACTCACCGTTAGTATCCATCACATCGTCGTACACAGGTGCGTCCGCTTCTACGATCTGGCTGACATGAAGATGTTCGCCGTACTCGTCGTCATCATCCGCGTCGTCGCCGACTTCACGATCAGGCTCGCCTTCTATCTCCGTCGCTGCCTGAGTATGTTCTCCCTCGCCTTCGCCTTCTGCGATCGCAGCCATCAGCCAATCCGCTTCACTAGAAGTTTCCGCAACACTGGGAGCAACACTAGCCGCAACGCTAGAACGGTCATCACCAGCACCACTAGCCATCTGGGGCGGTGGTGGGGGTGCGCGACCTTCTTCAATATCACCATCGTCATCCTCCAACTTCTTGCGCTTCCCTTTGCGACCCGAATCAGAGGCAACAGAATACGAAGATGAGTTATGTGGAATAGGCTTTGAATCGTCCGGCGTAACAGGCGTATGGAAGTATATCCGGATACGCGACGGAGGACACGAAGTAGATGCAGAAGGCGCAGCGGAAGCGGCATCTGCAGCAGGTTGGGTGGGAGGGTCTGTAGACTCTTTGGTCACCGCCGCAACATCAGCAGTAGCACTGGGGTCTGCCAGAGCCTGATCAGGATTGATCATCGTGGTGTCTGAGCCCGCAGAGATCTCACTATTACGACGCTCTTCTTTGTCGGCTTGCTCTGAAGGCACTTGACCCTCTACGGGTTCGTCCTTTACTTCAGCCTTGGCAGGTGTTGAAGAGACTATACCCCATTCCCAACTAAGATCGTGGATTTCCAGACCAACGATCTTGAAATCTGTGAGCGTCCTTCTGTTCTCGTCTTTCTTACTGACGCTGCCGTAACTTGACGACATCGGTGCATCCCTCGCACCATAGTTGCTATTCGTGTTCCCTCCGCCATCGTGTCTCGAACCTCGATTTGGATGATTCTGAGATCCACGACCCCTGAACGACGAGTTTTGGTTCTGATGATTGAAGCCACCGAATTGACCACCAGTCCGACGATTATGAAAGTCCTTGTTGCCACCAAAGTTTCCTCTCGATCCATGACCTCTGAGCTGACCGCTCGACCCGCCTCTGTTCTGACCACCGATTGACCCCATGCTTGCACCCCTTCCTCCACGATTGTTCATTCCACCTCTACCACCAGCCATTGAGCCTGCCCTCCCGCCTCTTGCGCCCCCTCCCCCACCCCCTCCTCTCTGCGCGTTGCCCCCACCTCTTCCGCTCATACCACCAACAGGCGCCCCGCCTCTCGACCCTTGACCATGCCCTGGTCCCGAATAACCTCCACCGACTGAAGGAGGCGGCGGTGGAGCCGAGAATTGTGGTTGTGGCGGGGGAGCTTGCCGCTGTTGATTCGAATTAGGTCCATCAAAACGTTGACGCTTAGCAGGGGGGAGGTGTTGCGGTGGTGTGTGGTGAATGGCTCGGTTTTGGTGCTGTTGCTGTTGTTGTTGCTGGTGCTGTTGTTGCATATGTTGGGCTTGCTGCATATAAAAAGGTGGTTGTGGTTGGGGAGGTGGAAACGCTGGTTGAGCTACTGGTTGAGGACCAGCCTGGGGGATGTATGGCTGCGGATACCCAGCGGTGGGCTGATACGGATTGTAACCAGGCTGGGCTTGCGGCGGCTGAGGGACCATTGGAGGTGGTGGAGGAGGGTAATGTTGCTGTTGTTGCTGTTGTTGTTGCTGTTGACGCTGCCAGTTGCTTTGTTGGTTCCCATAGCCATAGTTCGCGTACAGCGCGCTCTGCTCAGCAGGAGGTCTAGGGGGCTGGGCTGCGTTCCATTGAGGGTTGTAAGCACCTAATGCTGGCTGAATATGGGGCGCTTGGGCTTGTGCTGCTGCCGCTGCTGCCCAGTAGGCCGTGTAATCTGGCTGGGCAGGCTGTGGTGGCGGGGGACCAGGCGGCAAAGGTGGTTGTTGAGGAGTGTAAGAAGGCTGAGGAACAAATGGATTTTTGTTCATTATGGCAATTACTAGTCTTTTAGAATGCAATCAGAACTGAGCGCTAGGTAGGTGCGTGGCCGTCGCGTTCCAAAACGAGAAGTCTCACCTTTTTGTAGGATTCAGTCAATAAATAAACACGCTGGTCGACGTTGCAGGCGTTGCGTGCGGTGAGTAGCGGGTGATGGTGGTCGATGGCCAGAAAGGCGGCCAGTCAATTTCTCTGTGTTCAGACTCCGCCTGTATATACACTACGCTACTGGATTTCTACTCTGAGACGATCATGGATTGCCCTTCGGCGCTCCTGGCAGGCGAGGCGCGAGCTCCTTTGCCTGCGCTGCCTGTCTGCGCTTTCGATGCTCGGCGAGACGCACTGAAATCCACCGTTAATTGGGGCGAGCTCAGCAAATCGAATAACGAACTCACTCGCGAAGAAATCCCGATGCAGTGAATATCTCGGATGCGCTGCAGTCGACGGCGTACTGGACCCAGACGCGGGCGACGGGACAGCGACGCTGCTCTTTTTCTCCTTCACATCGTCGCTGACCTCTTTTTTGTCCTTGTCCTTGTCCCCCTCTTCCTTCTTCTCTTTTTCCTTCTCTTTTTCCTTCTCTTTTTCCTTGGCCTTTTCCTTCTTTAGTCTTTGCCTTTCCTCCCACTCCTCTTTCACTTTGGCGATTTCCTCCGCGCTCAACCCGATCTTTCGAGCTCCAGCTGCTCCGTCCCCGCTTTCTCCCACGGCGCTCGCGAAACCAGGATCACTAAGGGCCCGGTCTGCTCGTCGAAATGTTAGCCCCGACCTGCCAAATTTGAGTCCCACGGTTGGATCAAACCCGGCCCAAACCTACCCCAAGCCGGCGGTTTGCTCTGCTGCATTGGGGTTTGGGGCAGGCCCCATGTCACATCAATTCTCGGCGCTTCTTCGTATCCCCCTGCTTCTTCCCCCTTCGCTTCTTCCCCTTCGCTTCTCTCCCCTCGCTTCTTTCACTCACGCGCCAATGCCTTCTTCGACGCAATCAAATAAGGAGAATCCCCCTGTATTGAAGGGGAAAAAGGCCATATGGACGGATGCCGATGACAAGGCCCTTCTTGACTGCCTTCTTGAGCAACAAGCTGCTGGCAATCAAGGGGACAATGGCTGGAAAACCCTGGTGTGGACTGCAGCTGAGGAAAGCTTGAAGGGTAGTGAAGAGAGGAGCAAGGGTAGTCGCAAGACTGCTACCAGTTGTCGTGATAGGTTCAAATCAGTGCGTACTTGATATCTTAGTCTACAGGCTATGACTTATCATGTTGGTTAGCTCAAGGAGAGCTTTCTTGTTGTCCAAGTCCTTCGCTCTCTTTCAGGATTTGGTTGGGATGACCAACGACATCTTGTCACTGCGACTGATGATGTCTGGGACAAGTATATTGATGTACGTCTCCTTATCTTCTCCTGCCTGCCATTACTGATTATACCAGAAACATCCCTCCGCCAAGAAGTGGCGAAAGAAGGCCTTTCCTTGCTATGACCTCATGTTTGCCTTGGTTGAAGGTCGTAGTGCAACTGGTGATAATGCTGTCAGTATCACCGCTATGGTTGCTGATGATAGTGGGGATATTGGAACTCCTCGTAGCGATAATGAGGACGAAGCCTCTCAGGTATGTGCTATCAGTATTGAGTTTAACTTGAAAACTCAATCATTGTAGGATATGGACATGTTTCCCCTTTTCCCTCCTCTTTCCCCTTCCCCACCACCACCACCTTCATCTCAGTGTCGGAAGCGTGCTGCCTCTGATGCGGATGACACTCCGGCTCCATACAGGATGAAGCGGGGCCGTACCTCTGGTCCTGACGCTCTTCTTGCATTGGCAGGAGCTGTCAGCAAGGTGGCTAATGCGGGAACGGCTGCTGTAGGTTCTTCGGAGATGCTTTCTGGCTCTCGTCTGGTCAAGGTCATTGCTGCGTTGGACATGGATCATGATCTAACCATAGAAGAGAAAGGTAAGGCACTTGTTCTCTTCCGAAAGGACAGTTCAAGTGTCGATACATATATGGGCATTGATAGTGATGTACTTCGCCATGCATATATCCTTGCTGAGCTATCTTCTCTCTAGGTTACTACTAATTCATCCCACTCCTTTATTACATCATTTCACATTCTTTACCCCATTCCACTCTTTACATCTACATACCTCCTGCAATTTTAATACCAACGTAATTACATGTTCTGCTGTAGATACTGTTGGTACTGCTCCCACATCTGTTTAGCAATCCTATCCCGGAAGTCGTTTGCCCGATCTCGTTCTTCATGTGAGATGTGAGTTGAATAATCATCTGTGGTTGGTGTATGTGATTGCTGGCGATAGTTGCTGAGATCCTCCAAGGTTGCTCCATCTAAGTCCTGGGGATCATGGACACGGATGAAGTTGTGAAGTACACATAACGCAAGCACCATCTTTGCTTGCTTCTTCAACGAATACTCTGGAGCAGTGTTGATGAGCCGGAATCGCCGCTTGACAACACCAAAGATGCGCTCAACAACATTCCGAGCTTGAGCATGTCGCAAGTTGAACAATTCTTTGTAATCGCGTGGGCTAATACAGAATGAGTAAGACACCAATACAGTCAGAGACAAACTCACGTGTTTGTAGATCTTGACCACTCCTTGAGATGGTATCGGACACCACGGTAGGGTACCAGCAGTGCATCACATGCAGGGAAACCAGCATCACCAAGATAATACTTGCCAGGGGGGATCGCAAAATCGGTAGCCCTTGCATCTGCAAAAACACGGCTATCTGCAGCACTCCCTTCCCAACCTGCCCGTACATATGCAAACCGCATGTCGAACGTGGTTGCAGCAAGAACATTCTGAGTGAGCCCGCCTTTGCGATTTCGGTTTCGTGCAATCTGACTTTCGTCAGGGATAAAGGCATCGATATGAGTACCGTCAAGAGCTCCAAGACAGTCTTTGAGGAATGGGAAGAGTTTGGGGTTGGTACGTATCTCAGGCGGTGTGATATCACTTGGCGGAAGCTTCATATAGCGTGTATAAAACTGGGGATCAGTTAAACGGTTCAGAAGGTTGTCGAACACCCTAGAGAATCATTAGCAACGGTTAAAAAATTCAAGTTGATATGTATACCGTGTTATTGTCCCAGGACTATGTTGGAAACGCTCACGCACTTCCCGGTGTACCGCACCTGACCGGCACATGTACAGAAACATTGCCAACTGCTCCTCCTGCCCAATATACCTTGAACCCTTGAATCCAGAGTACTTCTGCAGCTCCTGATTGAGCTTTTGAAAGACTCGCTTATTCATCCCCATCATATTGTGAAAGCGCTCCCAATGTCCATCAAGAAGTTCCTTTGTCCATTGCTCACCAGTGAGAGCAGAGGTATACATAGGAGTCTTGATCAGATACTGAGCCATATGAAGGGCAGCCCCCCCTACAACTGCGGCAAGGATAGCAGAGGTCCGTAGACGATGTTGTGCTTGAGCATTGGCAGCTTCTCGAAGTGTTTGGGTGCGGCTGTTGGTAGTACGAACCATTGTTGCAATTGTTATCAGATTGGCGCCGTATATAGAACATGTGTGACAAATGTGACGCGCTCAGCCAAACCCCAGCGCTAGGAAATGTAAATTTCAAACTCAGCCAACCCCAGACCCGAGGGACTAACATTTCGACGAGCAGACCGGGCCCTAAGATGTGTCGGGCAAGTATAGAGGAAATCTGTAGTGTTGATCGTGGCCAGACAGGTGGTCGTGGGTTTATAGCAGACGTAGCATGCCTTGGGCGTAGCTGTGGTCTACATAGTTAATCGCCCTCAATCCACATTGCAGACTTGCATCGCAAACTCTCACTCGTTGATAATAGAGATTGGTGAACGACATGAAAGAAACACTATTCCGTCCGTTTGGACTCCGCCACGATATATATGTCAAGGGGTGGGTACGACCGTAGACTGGCGGTGTAGATCCCAAGCTTGGGCTGTGCTACTACTGGATGTAGACAACAACGTGAGTATTCCGTTACAATCACCCTCGTGTATTATGAATGAGATTTCGTAGAATGTAGGGAGCTGTGCCCAGCGCTTATCGATATCTACTGCATGACCCTCGGGCGACCACGGTCAGACAGCTACCCGGTCCCAAGAGATATGATCGTGATCATCAGTCCTATCATAAGACCTGCGTCACCAGAGACCGTGACGCTCCGAGTGGGTAAACAATTCACCAGAACCACTCGATTCGAGTTATAAGTACTGCTCTCACCTGACAAACCCACTTTTCATTATTCCCTCCCTTCCCGCCTCCCTATCTACACCCATAATGTCCGATACAGTTGGGAAAGTCATCAAGTGCAAGGCCGCTGTGTGCTGGGGTGCCGGCGAGCCTCTCAAAATCGAAGAGGTCGAGGTCGCACCTCCCCAAGCCCATGAAGTCAGGATCCACATCCTCTACACTGGTATTTAAAACTTATCGGGGGCTGATCGTGCGGGATCTCATCTTTGCCCAGGCATTTGTCATACCGACGAGTACACTCGCAGTGGCAAAGATCCAGAGGTATGATATTTACCTCTCGTTACGTCTTTGAATCAGATCGAGAGTCTAATGTGGCCGATATAGGGTCTCTTCCCGGTTATTCTTGGGCACGAGGGAGGGGGTATTGTGAGTACCATGTCAGTTGCGAGATACACGATTCGAGAGTGATCTCGATGCCAGGTTGAATCTGTCGGCGAAGGCGTGACCAGCGTGGCCCCAGTGCGTTCATTACTTCCAGAGCTTCTTGCAGTATTTGATATGTATTCCCACAGGGCGACCATGTCATTCCTCTGTACACTGCCGGTACTACCTCGCCCATCCGCTTCCTTACACCTCGCTCATGCTTGATCAGAATGCCGTGAATGCAAGTTCTGCAAAAGTGGCAAGACCAATCTCTGCGGCAAAGGTCAGCGCCGCCCACCCCTTCCATATGTCATCTCACAATCCACCCGAAAGTCCGTGCAACCCAGGGCAAAGGTCTCATGCCCGACAACACTAGCCGCTTCACCGTCAAGGGACAGCCCGTACACCATTTCGTGAGTAACTCCCATGACTCCACACTGTGAGAGTTGAAGCTGAAGGCGCGCGATGTAGATGGGCACGTCCACTTTCTCGCAATACACCGTCGTTGCGGATGTTTCGGTCGTTGCCGTTAACAAAGCTGCTCCTTTGGAGAAGGTGTGTTTGCTAGGCTGTGGTATTACCACCGCGTGGGGGGCCGTCGCCAAACAGCAAGGCATCAGTACGTCTCTTTTATCCTCTTGCTGGTTCCACAAGGTATTGACGCCCCAGTAGAGGGTTCCTCCGTCGCTGTCTTCGGCTGTGGTGCAATTGGTCTCGGTGTCATCTCGACCTCGTCCCTCGTTGGAGCCTCTCGCATTATTGCAGTAGACACGAACCCAAACAAAGAAGCCTGGGCAAAGAAATTCGGCGCAACTGACTTCGTCAACCCCGCGAAACTGCCCGAAGGCACGAAGATCCAGGACTATCTTGTGGAGATCACGGATGGCGGCTTGGATTTCACCTTCGATTGTACGGGTAATGTAAGTTGTCCCCCGTTCTCTATATATTGTTACCACGAACAGAATTTGACTGCTTGCCAATCGATCTCGTAGGTTCATGTGATGAGGGCCGCACTCGAGGCATGCCACAAGGGATGGGGCGTATCGACTGTCATCGGTGTTGCAGCTGCCGGACAGGAAATCTCCACTCGTCCCTTCCAGCTTGTCACCGGCCGAACCTGGCGTGGTACTGCCTTTGGTGGTGTCAAGGGACGTACTGAACTACCTGGCTTAGTCGAAGGTCGGTGCACCGTGTTAAGTACACATGTCCGGACTGAGACGCTGATACTATTGCACAGACTACCTACAGGGCAAGATGAAAATCGATGAATACGTCACCCATAGCAGGCCATTTGCTGAGATAAACGAAGGGTTCCATGATATGCATGTGAGTTGTTTTGTGGGTCGGTAGTTGCGCCCTTTCTCATTGATTTGTGTAGGCTGGGGACTGCATCCGTTGCGTAGTGGATATGAAATGACTGAGCGGGCGAAATGGAAAGTTGTGAATACACACATGTATTTTGTAGAATGTAATCCAAACCAAATCTGAGGGTGGAAGTCAAAGATACAGGGTCCAAGCAAGTGTAAACAAAGCGCGTCGCAATTCCAGCCTACTCACGACCACTTTTACCATATTCCCAAAGCTGCTCCGGGAACCCCACTTCACATGCCACGCAGAGTCTCGTCCCCAGTGGCTTTGTCGCGAGTAGCGTACCGGCTGAAGAAATGTGAGCTTTCCCTTGGTTGTCGATTATCGCACATTTGCCAACTCGAGACTACCTGTCTTTATGCAGGTTGTATCCGAGTCAGATTTGTGCCCCAGAGATGATGTCCAATTGATATACTTCTATTTTGCGAAGTGATGAAATGACCATGTTCTGACTGTGTATGTACTTCGACAGCCACGGCACACATCACACTTTTCTATCGATCCCGAGCTGAGTCTACAGCAGCAGCCGTCGAGGCGAAACCGACCAATAGTGCTTCCCGATCACCTGTGCCTCCTCAACCGACCCAGAGCAGTGGAGTGGCCTCTGACCTGCCGAAATGGAAATCCCTCTTGGGGAGGGTACAATGGGGGACGCTCAGAGCCATCGTGACTACACCCTACAACTACGACAAGATGACCAAAGTTCAGGCTGAGGTTCTTGGGCAGCTTCCCAAGCTCATCGCTCTCCCTGATCCTGATGACCCCAATCCCCCAACTCGCGACTTACTTGTTCGCTCAAGAACAGGTACGGGGAAAACTCTCGCTTTTTTAGTTCCAGCCGTCGAGGCTCGGTTGGCGGCCATCAATCGTGCTGTGAAACAAGCATTGATCGATGCTGGCCTCAAATGTGACGCGGAATTGGAAGGTCGGGCGCGAAGAGCGTTTGTCCGCCAGCATGCTGGCGCGCTGATCATTAGCCCCACCCGCGAACTAGCCATCCACATCGCTGACGAAGCTGTCAAATTGACTCGCCATCACCCTGGCCTCGAAGTTCGGTTATTCGTAGGAGGCATGAGCAAACGGCACCAAATGCGTGAATGGATGAGAGACCGTAGGGACATTGTTGTAGGCACGCCCGGGCGACTACGCGATGTGCTGCAGAGCGAACCAGAGGTCGCGCGCGGTCTAGCGAATACACCCTTGCTCATTCTCGACGATGCAGACTCCTTGATAAACCCAGAGTTCCGTGAAGACATAGAATCTATCAAGAAGTTCCTTCCTTCTTCACCTGAGCGTCAGACGTTCCTTTTCTCGGCCACAGTTTCCCCTGCAGTTCGGCAAATGTCAAAGTCGTTCCTCTCAGACAACCACGCAATCATCAATTGCGTCTCCGGCTCAGACCCATCCCCCGTTCACGCTCACATACCTCAGTATCACACCGTCCTCCCCACAGCAGCACATCAAATTCCCTCGGTCTTACGACTCCTCGCTCACGATCAACTCACCAATCCAGGATCGTCCAAAGTGATCATCTTCTTTCCTACGACAAAAATGACCGTGATGTTCGCCGATATACTACGCGATATTGCTCGCCAATGCCTTCCAGCCGTGCGCAACGTCCGTGTCTACGAACTACATTCGGGGCGCGCTCAAGATGCTCGGACACTTACCTCTCATGCGTTTAGGGCTGACACATCTGGTGCATCGATTCTCGTCACGTCGGATGTGTCTGCTCGTGGAGTAGAGTATCCTGGTGTAACGCGTGTTATCCAAGTCGGTATGCCGGCGGGCGCTGAGCAATATACTCATCGAGTGGACCGGACGGGTCATGCTGGGCGTAGCGACCTCGTCCTTCTTCCCTGGGAAGTCAGTTTCGTCACTTGGCAACTTTCGAAAGTGCCTCTGAAACCGCTCACCGTCAGCGAACTTAAAGCCGAAGTAACTGAGCTCGCCGCCAAACACGATGCAAACCCTCGTGCCTACGTGCATGGCTTAGACATCTTTCGCAGGTTCTTCCCAACCCGGCTTGTCCCCATTCTGGCCACTATCGATCGCACTATTTCTGATCTTTTGGCGAAAATGGATCCGAGGGATATCAAGCAGACCTTCGCATCGCTCCTTGGATTCTATGCGGAGAATGCGCGAGAGCTGCGGGTAAGGAAGAGCGAAATTCTGGAGGGTTGTAAGGACTGGGCTGTTGATGCCATGGGCCTTTCATACCCTCCTCATATCAATCCGACGATGTTGGATCGCCTTGGCTTCACGAATCGCGATGACTCCGAACCCTCAAGCAGGAGCAATTCCCGAGACTTATCCACGTCCCCTAGCTCGTCTTCCTCTTCATACTCTCGCCCATCCCCCTCGCCGTACTCCCGCCCCGTTCGGGAAGATCGAGGACATGTTCGAAACAGCCAAGGCGGTCATAGCTCGTATCGTAGTCACAAACCATCTCGTACTTCCGATTACAGCGACACGCAGGATCGTAGCAAGCCCCGTAATTTCGACTCGGACTCCTGTGACTATCAAGGACGTCGGAGTCCCCGTAGCTATGACCCGGACGATACTGGAGGCTATCGCAGTCCTCACGTAGGCCAGGGTTCACGGAGTGGTTGGGGAGCTAGAAGTGAGGAGTGAGGATCTGCAAGGACCTTCGGTCCTCATCTTTCGTTACACTGGTCTGCGTGACCGCAACCCATGATTTGCATGCAGCTCTAAAGAGCGCTATGTCAGGAGTTCCTTGCAAAAGGTTGACGCTGCTAAAGCGGCATTTTTTGCGGAGCAATATTTACATTACTATTCGCATAATGGTATAACAATATATTTAGAATGGGATGTATGTAGATACTTAGAGGCGCCCGGCGCCGTAGTTAATACAGGATAAAATAAAACAACCACACTTCTTTCCATGGGTCGGAAGACTACGTCCGTTACCGCACGCATGTTTCTGTAAAGGTAAAAGCGATAGGTAACCCGGATACCACAGCATTATAAGTCGACGAAAGAAGGCTTCAAGAGGCACGCAAGCCCGTCCACTAGTGGGGCGACACTTGGACGGAGGCACGGGGCTTGGAAGGTATATTGTTATGATATAGATGATACAATACAGGATTAGAGTACTCCCGGTGGTACGTGGTAAGGTTACTTCCCAGGTGCAACGAAGTCCTTCGACAGATCGATTTCCCCCTTCAAATGCGTATTCGTAATCTTGACTTGCCTCTGCCGCGGTGCGCTGCCCTTCTTTTTCTTCTTCCCAGCTGGCGCCTTCGGTGCTACAGCTTCGGCAGCCGTCACTTGCAATCCCTCTGTGAACACGAATCATGAGCCAAGAGTAGGGTGAAGCGTCGGGGGGATGCACACCTGAAGCGAGCTGCCTGAGCAGATCAACATCGTTTGGAACCTTAAGTGAATGCCAGAGGTCTATGAATTCTAGTGCACGCGTGTTCAAACCTGCATAAACGGATAGCACTGCGAAACTCAACCGACCTTTCTCGACAGGCATCCCTCCCGAGTCCTCCGTCGGTTTGATCTCATTCCAAAACACCATTCTGAGCTGCCCATCTTTAGCAGTTCGCGTTACAAGAACTTCTCCTTCCTTCTCTAGCTCCTCGATCGCCGCCGGTGCCTCCTTCCATGACTCCTTCAGCGCACGAACCGGTATCCCCCCTCCTTTGCGGGTTTGTCGTTGGATTTCGGTAAGCAGCGAGGCTTTATTACGGAAATTGAACTCGTGCTAGATGAGAGACAGGATTCATCATGCGAACTCGAACGTATCAACATGTCCCACGCACTTTATACGAATAGAGATCTGTTTTCGGATCCCATTGTACTTTATCGTGGGCTTTGAATTTCTCGAGGAGAACACGGTCGACATCTAGCGGAATGTTGGTTACGATAGCAATATCTTGCAGGCGCATGGGATTTGGAGTCGACTATGGCTTGCTGCAGCTATGTGCTCACATCGCTGTTCATTAACAGCTTACCTTGAGATAGTTGACGGCGTATACAAGCTGCGTGTTCACATTCGTCCCCGTCCCGGTGTCTGCGGGCTGAGAGTATACGATATCTTAGCACTACCTGAGTAACTCTGACTTCACAGTGATATGCAGGAGGACTGACTGCTCTTGGCACGCTTCGAACTCTTCTCCGATGACGGCTCCTTAGAAGAACTTGCTGCAGGAGCTGGGGCCGCGGCTGGATGATCAGCGCGTGCTGGTGGGGGTTGTGAGTGCCATGAGGTGTAGTCCTGGCGGTGAAGAACGCTCTTGAAAGCCGCTGCGTCCTTGGCTAGTTTCGACATGAAGTGGTGGTCATATCTAAACAGCTGCGGCCCGTTGTATTTGAAGTGGCTAAGCGCCCGAAATTCATTGTGCGATAGGCGCTCTCGCGAGCACGTGGCCTTCGGACTATGACTCGAAGTATACCACATAGACAAGATTCTGTAAGTTACTACCCTTGCTGAATATCCTCGAACGTGTACTCGACATTGTCGCATGCCTGCGATCACGAATGATGCCGGACCCCCGGCATCGGGGCCATCGTCCAGCACGCCAGGCCCTGCCAACGCACCACCGTCCCAGAAAGCCATGACAAAGGCAGAGCGACGAGAGCTCCAGGAAAGGCAGCGCGCTGCAAAAGCCGCATCGAAAGAACAACAACCATCTGGTGGCAGCGCCCCTCCCAGGTCGCAAGCTCGACCAGGGCCCGCCTCTGCCCCTACGCCCCGAAGAGGACCACCTCCGGCGATTAATGCACCTCCAAGAACACCTATAGCCGCAAATGGCCCTCAAAGGGGGACGCCACAAAGGGCTGGTGGAAGTGCTGGGCGTAGATCTAGCAATGCACACGACTATCAAAGAGCTCGAACTTCGGGGGACGCTGCCTCTGTCGCTGGGGACGATGATCCCGCTAATCGATCGCGAGGCTTGCGCATCTTCCTGCACTTCGGTCTACCTAAACCAAAAGGCCATGCTATCAAAGGGGACATTCACCCAGCCATCATACGACTCGGTTTACAATTCTCCGAATTCAAGATTTGTGGCGCCAATGCTAGATGTATTGCGACGCTCACGGCCTTCAAGACAGTAAGTTATGGTCGGCGCGTCGCCACTTCCCGGAATAACCGTCTATGCATCGTAGGTTATACAGGATTATGTTACTCCCCCGAACAATACTCTATCTCGTCATCTTATGACCCATCTTTCGCCCCAAATCACCCACCTAGTATCCGCTCGGCCTATGTCAGTGACCATGGGCAACGCCATTCGCCAACTCAAACTCGAGATCAGTGACACAGACATCGATCTCCCTGAACAAGATGTACGCCTTCACTTGTTTGGGCAGTATCCATCTGTAATCATGTCAATCTAGGCCAAAGACGCGTTATGTCTCAAGATTGATACCTACATCCGTGATCGCATTATTATCGCAGACGAAGTTATCTCCGAATTGGCCGGGAAAAAGATCAAGGATGGGGATGTCATTCTCACGTATGCCAGGTATGATCGCGTATGACCTTCGGCAGTCCATTCCTTCGTTGATACATCCCGGATTTATCCATCTTAGATCCTCAGTGGTAGAAAAAGTATTGCTCCGAGCTCACGCTGAGGGCAAGCGGTTTTCGGTGATAGTGATTGACTCGCGGCCCATGCTTGAAGGTAAAGCCAATCTGCTACTAGATATTCGTAGAGTTATATTTATTTTTGTCCGCTCAAGGCAAGCACCTGTTGAAACGCTTAACATCAGCCCCCGCATCCTCCTTCCCTCCCACAACAATGTCGTGCACCTACGCCCTCCTCCCAGCACTTCCGTCTTTGATCAGCAAAGTAACGACGGTCATACTTGGCGCACATTCTCTACACTCCAATGGTGCTTTATACTCTCGTGCTGGGACGGCAATGGTTGCGATGTTGGCCAAACAACATAGTGTTCCCGTTCTTATCTGTTGCGAGACATATAAATTTAGCGAAGGCATCATACTAGATGGTTTTGAGAAAAACGAACTCGGTAAGTTAGCTAACTCACGAGCATCTCATCCTCATTAACACGTTGTTTCAACCAGCCCCTCCCCTCCCTCAGTTACGAACATCCTTCCCGTCCACCAAGCTTTCTTCATCGCTTGCTCTGGAACCACAACCCAATCTCGAGATCCTGAATCCTTTGTACGATCTGACACCACCCAGCTGTGTTACCGCGGTTGTGACGGAAGTCGGGTTGATTCCGCCAACGTCGATTAGCTCAATACCGGTGGCTCTGGGACGGACTGTACTCTAGGCTCTCAATTCTCTCAGCAAACCAAAAGCAGAAGATGTATCAGGTATTGGCAGCATTAGTGTATTAAACTGTTACTGTAGCTAATAGAATACATAATGACACCGTTATACAAGAACTAGCCATTAAGCACCAATTTGACCTCGTAATGGTTGAAATTGAACGAGCGCGTGGATGAAGTTATGCGTCGTTCCTTCTGATTTCGGCATCCGTACTACCAGAAGCGAGTTCTCGAAGTCTCGTGAATATCAAGAGCAGGTAGTATGCATTGTGATGCCCTATCAAATACATAAACAAGAACATAATGCTAGCAGATGTCTTCTGCGTGGTCGTTGGCCTCTATGATCTAGGTAAATATGTCCACGGTTGTCATAGCTCATCCTTCCGGTCGGGCTGCTGGGCCTGTTGCTCCGCTACCTTCTGTTTAACCCACTCAAACGCCTTTTCTGTGACTGATTCGACGGGATGATCGAACAGATAAGGAAGGACGGGCACGATTGCGAGGCCGGTGACGGTAGGGCCCCAAGACTTTACCCGGGGATTCTGCACGTTCTTAAATGCTCCCGTAGCCATCCGCACGGCTGTATGGATGGTGAAAGCGGGGAGGGCCCTTCATGAATTTCGATTCCGGGTTGTCAGTAGCGGGATTTGATACGAAGTGCAGAAGGGGCCTACATGGAAGCGATGGACTGGAAGCAGGCGCGTTCTACAGCGACGAATGTTATGCGTGTCGCCTCAGAGAAATGAGCGGCTTCGACCGGCGTAGGCCCGCGGCGATGAGCCTTGTACGATTCATAGGTGACATCCCTGCATAATACCATCAGCCTCACTTGCACTGCACATGGTCAAATTTCGCTATCACCCAGTGAGATAAAGCCAGGAAACCCCATACGCTGCCGTCACCATCCACGGGGGAACTACTGGGCGAAAGGCCTCCCCAATGTCACTCGTCTGCACCGTGCATTTCATCAATGAAACGCTAAATATGATTTCCAGGAGTAACTTACATATGCGATATACCTGGAGCCAGCTCGCAGCGCGGTTCTCAGACGGGCACCGTAGGCCATGTATCTGAGCTCGGAGTCGGTACTGTCGACATTATTGTCCACGAGTTCATTGACCTCTGCTTGCGCTGCTTGAGCGACGGTCTGAGTTTCGGTGTCGGGCATGAGAGAAGGAATTCCTTCGGAACGGCTTCGCGATGTTTCTGCAATCTTGATACGCACGTGATCCGGCCACGTTCGCCTAAGGGCCGTTTATTCCTTTACGCTGGTTTACTTGTTACACTCGCCATCAGTCACGGCTCTCAGACACCTCCAGACGTTCATGGACGCTGGCGCCGTTCTTAAACATGAGGACATCGACGTCGTCGCCCCCGTTGCCCACCAGGACGCTTTCAAAGGCGATTCTGGCCAGTCGCCCGCTGTCCCGGAGAAAATAAGCGCATATTATTCGCTTGTCTTCCCGGACATCACTTTCTACATCCAAACACTGTCTATCGCCATTGGCCGCAGATGCACGCCATCGTCCTCCGTCTCGTCCTCCTCGAGGGACCCCACGCAGGTCGACGTGGACCTGGGGGCTCTCAAGAGCGTGTCCAGGCTCCATGCGAAGATTGAGTATGACCAGGACGAGGACAGGTTTGTGCTCGTCGTAGTTGGGCGGAACGGGGCTTGGGTCGACGGTGTTTGGTCTGGGAGCGGTACCAGAGCTCCCCTCAGCGAGCGGTGCGTAAAACCAATCCCCGGCAGGTGCTCCCCGCTAAACAACTTGAATCGTAGGTCTCAGATACAAATAGCGTCAAGGGTGTTTCATTTTGTACTTCCTCCTCCTCCTCCGCCTGAGGATACCCCATCCCCGAGCTCTAATTCGTCTACGCACCGACAACGATCACCATCGCTCGACATTACGTCGATATCACCTCCCTCGTCGCAACCTACCAATTCGCCTCCTCCTCCTCCTCCGATGCCCCTCCCTACAATTAAGCTCAAGCTTCCCGTTCCTCCTCCCCGCGTCCCTAAGACTGAGCAAGCAGAACCTCAGCTGCCTAATTCCAACCACATTGGGAAGCCCGGGAAAGAGGCGTCTCCATCCAAGTCCCTCGCACCTTCTGCTTCAGCTTCGGCGACACCTACCCCATCTACCAAGAAGAGGAAGAAATCTGACATAGATCCTACACCTTCTGAACCCCCACCGCAACGGCCCAGACCAGAAGACATGCCCCCCAAGCCTCAAGTTACGTATGCCCACCTCATATGTCGTGCCATAAAGGACCTCGATGGCAAAGCCACCCTGCAGCAAATATGTAACTGGATACAGTCGCATTATGAATATTACAAGTGGGCAGACGGAGCATGGATGGTATGTAATTTTACCCTTTGTCTCGTACTTCACTAATATGCGCCGCTTGCAGAGTTCCGTGAGGCACAACCTGTCATCCAGCCGCGACAAGTTCAGGAAGATGGAGCGCTGTGGAGGTGACAAAGGCAAGGGGTTCTATTGGTCGGTCGACGAGAAGTATATACCAATCTACGAGGAACTCGAGCTAAAGACGCAGCAAGCAGCAGCAGCAGCCTCGCTATCTCTCAATCAGGCAAACGCACACGATGCAGATGACAGGGATTCCTCTCACCCTGGCGCGGGGAAAGGCCGGAAAGCTACGAAAGGACCCTTAGAACCGCCACTAAAGCGGGGTACCAAGAACGGCGGCCCCCCACCTCCGCTTCTCACCAAGACACCGCTGCCTATGCCTACGAAGTCCAATTCGGTAATGTCTACGACCGCTTCAGCTGGGGCTGGTGTTCCATTCTCCTACACTCACTTTGCTCAAGCGCAGCCAATGACCTTGACTGCACCTGGCGGTAGGCCAGTTGGGAACGCAGCAGGAACCGTCAAGGCTGGTTATTCAGCGCAGCCAATGAGTGCCCCCAATCCATATGCTCCTTTGGCGGGTCGACAGTGGTCAGCTTATGCTCCACAGACGCCCGGCGCTACAGCGAGGCCAGCTGGAGACGCCAGTAACGCTGGTCATACTAAGGTGCCCAACGTTGACGCGAAGCCTCCAGCCCCTTCGACCGCTGTATCGTCAACGCCTGTGACTACTGATACGACTTCAAAGGCATCAACGCTGCCTATGATTCCCGAATCAGTCCATATACCCATTATCCTTGGTCCAATACCCCCTTCACACCCATCATATGCCGCATCGACTTCAGCCGCTGGAGCTACAGCTAATACCACACAGCAACCCATAGTCCTCCATGAGAACACGATTATTTTAGACCCAACTTTTTTCACGGACCTCACTCCAGAGTATCTCAAGCAATTGGAGGCTTTAGGAGCACAGAAGGCCCTTGGAGAGTTACAAGGACATATTGTTAGGATATTGAAGGAGAGGATGGGCAAGAAAAGGATGAGAGGTCGTGGGAGAGGTCGCGGACGGGGCAGAGGAGCTGGCCCGCCTGGTCGAGGTGGGGCTGTTGCGGGGCCTTCTGGCGGCGATGGTACGGCGCTCGTGAACCCGGGCGACAGCCAAGCAGGTACGAAAGCTCAAGAAGATCCTAACGCAATGCAAGGCGTTGTATCGGCTTCGACGAACGAACCATCCCCTTCGCAAGTGGCGGCTCCTTCAGCACCGACACAGAGCGTCGCTGCAGATGTAAGCATGAAGCCTCCCACACCTGTCCCGATCTTGGACAAGTCCGCCACCGCGTCCAGGGAAGATTCGCCGATTGTCATCATCGATGATGACGATGATTATGATACGCCCTCGGCAAAGCGCCGTAAAGTCGATGCTGACGATATCCCAACGACGCCAGGCCCTCTTCTCGTCACTCCGACATGATGTCGGCTGTCGAAACGGTACACTCCATGCTCAACATTCTTGATTTTGAATACGGAGATACGGAGACACTGCGTATACGGGACACGTATATATTTTCTAGCGCGACCTTTGGCCTTATGATATGATAGCTTCATACTTAATCGCACTTTCGCCGCTTTGGCACGTATTTTCACCGTTGTATATTACCAGTTTATGTCGACTTTTCGGAGCATAGAGGCTTTCTAGCATGACTGTATAGCTATCATACATTACTTCACTATATCGGGCATGATGCATGATATGACGCGTCCTAGCAGCAGATATGTTTTACGAACAACCCCATTTACGGGGCATGATAGCCTATCGTAAAGACATGGTATGCCATAGAACAAAAACTTTGAATTGTCGGCATTCAACGTTTCAACAGATTGATATATGTGGAATGTTCTGGAGGGTGAGCTAATTCGGGCTGTTCTGATCCACGAGAAGTGTCACGACGGAAGACACTTAGAGCAGATGAATCAAGTTATTTAGAGAATATCCTACACAGGCGAGTGGGAGAATCAGTAGTTGGGCCCCTGTCCTACTGGTCGCCGATCAAGTCGATCAGCGATCAAGGTTGCGGGCTTTCTTGTTATCATCCATCATCCACCAATATCCATATGTCTTCGCTTACGGAGATCTCTGTGTCCTCGCCAGCCGATTTCCATGTCCACCTTCGCCAGGGACCTATGTCTTCCCTGGTTACCCCTCACGTTCGCGAGGGAGGGTTCAGTTTGGCCTATGTAATGGTACGCGTCCCGTTTCTTCATCCTCAAACTCGCTCACTTCCCCGCTCAAGCGCTCACTACTGACCTTTCATTGATGCACGATAGGTGAATACTCCCCAATCGTAAACCCCCTCGACCCACTCAACTCACACGCTGATGCCTCGATTTCATATCCGTACCCGACCATCTACCCTAGCCCAACCTTAAACCCCCAATTACAACCACCGAGCAAGCTCTCGCCTACAAGCACGACCTCGAGAAGATCGATCCGCGCGTTCATTATCTCATGACGTTGTATCTGTCCCCCGAGCTCACGCCTGACGAAATCAGGAAGGCAAAGAAAGCCGGTATTGTAGGTGTGAACTTCCGTCCCACTTCCGAATCAGTAGCTTGGGGAAGGGCCGTGATGGGAGTCCTTGCCCAAGGAGGCTGAATAAGGGACACCCCATATTTATATTTATACCCGTGTAGGTGTAAAATCGTACCCAAGGGGTGTGACGACGAACTCGGATGGCGGCATCGAGTCGTACGAAGTGTACTACCCGGTATTCGAAGCAATGCAAGAAGTTGATATGGTGCTAAATTTGCATGGCGAAGTGCCGTCCGACGCATCAGCCGTAAGTCTTTGCTAATATGTTGCTATGATTCTGAAATTGACGCACGCTTGGGGTAGAATGTTCATGTATTAAATGCGGAGCCCACGTTCCTTCCGCATCTCTTTGCCCTTCACGCAGCATTTCCCCGATTGCGTATAGTGCTTGAGCACGCCACAACGCGGGTGGCAATAGAAGCAGTCAAATCCTGTGGTAACACCGTAGGATGCACGATCACGCCCCACCACCTTGCCTTAACGGTAGACGACTGGGCTGGTCAAGCCCTCAACTTCTGCAAGCCGGTTGCAAAATACCCAGATGACCGACAAGCGTTGAGACAGGTTATAAGGGACGGTAAGATACATTTCTCGTCGATCTTGTATGGATCTAAATATACCCTGGAGGCTAAACGTTTATGTGCTAGGTCACCCTCGTTTCTTTTTGGGCTCGGACTCTGCGCCCCATCCATCTCATGCGAAAACAACGTGTGCGACTGACCACGGATGCGCCGCGGGAATTTATACGTCGCCAATCCTTCTCCCACTTGTGACCGACCTTCTCGATTCGTTCGGAGCCCTGGACAAGGTGGAGGGATTTGTGAGCCGCTTTGGAAGAGTGTTCTACAAAGTGGACGAGCTGGCGCCAGCGCTCCGGGACGGTGGTGATGCGGCTGTGGTTCTCCGACAAGTGCCCCCGGAACGTTTGCAAGATAATAGGGTGCCCGAGAGGTACGTGTCTGCAGATGGACAAGATGTTATACCCTTTTGGGCTGGGCGAGGGATTCGATGGGAGATTGTGAAACAGTGAAACAATGACGTTGAGCACACTGCGCAGAGCTTAAGTTACTTCCCAGTTGGTGTACTGAACACATGTTGGAAAATATTTCACATTTCCGTGATTTTATGTCGGGGAGGTGTAATATCGGAGGATTTACCCTTTTTGCGTGCTGGGAGGGATCGATGAGGTCAAACGTGCGTTGTTGAACGTTGGATTGCCGGTAATTGCCGGGACGGTGCCCTTAGTGCACGTGGACTTAGCAATCTCATTGAGACGTCACTGAGACTTGAAAAAAACATTCAAATTCCAACAGTATAAGTCCTTGTCTTACAGTCCTGGGACCAATAGTCTCCTCCTCCCAGAGGGCTGCACATGGACAATCCCTCTCAGCCATCAATCGCTCAACTCCCTTACTCTTTCCCGCTTTCCCCACCGAGCTCAACGTCGCCCTCAGTGCCCTCGTCGCCCCGCCGCCCCTCTCGCCGTTCACAAAGCCCAGCCCACATCCCGACGCACTCTGCGTACACCCGCTCCCGCTCACATGCTTCATCTATCGCTGACGACGATGGCTACCTTACCGAGCGGACCTCGCCCTCCGCCCGTAAACGCAGACGCACCGCTACCCGCGCTTTGACCCTGCCGGCCTCGCCTCCTGCCCCAATCAAGCATCATGCACATCAGTTGCAGCATATACGCGTTGAGCCACCAAAGCCCGTTCGTCCCCTGTCTCGCCGCTCCTCAGAGTCGTCGCTCTCGTCGCTCTCGTCGTCGTCTCCAATTACCGAGAACGATCACCAAGCCCAGGGTATCGGCCGAAAGGTTGCTGCATCCCTTCAGCTATTCAAAGAGTCCTCACGCTCTCGGTCTGTGGATGGGGATGAGCAGGACAAGGTGGATTTGCCTATTGTTGAGTCGCCCACTTCCGTCAAAGAGGAACTAGACATTGCAGAGCCTCAATTCCACTTCGTTAAACGCTCGGAGTGGCCAGATCGAGAGTCTGCTGCATCACGTCGTGGAAAGAGCGCCGCCGGACCATCAAAAGACCCGGAGCGATCAATTCATGAACGCAAGCATTCCTTTGTGCGAGACTCGGCTCTCGACGGTCTCACTCAGTGGCGCAAGGATGTGATAGAGCACGCAGGTTCTTCTACTTTGTCTAGAGGTAGGCGTCGAGAACGGATGCCTGATATTGATGCCATATCGTCAGAACTATCATCTATCCCTATTTCCTCCTCGGTAGCCTCTACGTCTACTGCTAGCAGCGCTGGCTACTCTTCGGCCAGGCCGCGCTCCCGCGTTTATCCCCCTTCCCCATCTCCATCTCGACCACCTGTCAATCGTGTACCGTCATCTTTGTCAATACACAATCTGTCAATCCTCGAGCAAGACGGAGAATATGATCATCCGCCTCCTCCTGTAGAACCAGGTTCCATATCATCTTCCTCCTCATCCGTATCCACCTCTGACTCTCGGACTCGTCACACTGTCCCTGCCTTTGCCCCTCCTCCCTCTGTACCTGACTTTAATCCTCGTGTTCCTCCCCATGCTATATCCCTACGTACCAATTTACCTCCACCCATCTCATATAACCCCGTTTCAGGACCGCTGTCCCCGTTTGATTCGTCGGCTTACTCTCCTTGGTCTACCGACGACGAGGACGAATCCACTTGGGAAACCGGCTCTGTCACAACTTCCACCTCCACCACCTCTGCTAGTTCCTTCCATTTCCCCGATGTCTCGCTCCCGAACGCCGATCCTCTTCACCGTCTCGACCCTGGTCGTGAACACATACCTTACCTCCACAGGCGCGATCACCCCCCTCATCACCGCGTTCGCCGTCATGGCCGTCTCACACCTCCAGCCTCTCGTGGTAGGCCATCACCTGATGCCTCCATGCTTGTCTCCCCTGATGACGACGACGACGACGAGCAGAAACATGAAAGGGGTCTTCAACGGGTGCGACCGGCCGACCCATCCGACCAACTTGCACGTATCGGGCAGTCAGATGATGACGGGGATGTCCTCGCTAGTTCATCCGAGTTACATCTACCCCACATCCCTCTTCGGCCGTTTCGGAACCAGGTCGGAGGACATAGTGCCATTTACAAGTTCACGAAGAGAGCCGTTTGTAAGGTTCGCATCTATTTGTTTTCAATTCGTTTCGAAGGGGTTGCTTATGGGTCAATATCTTGTATTCTTTCATCTGCTCGGCGTATTCGTACAACTGTCCTTCCGGTTGCTTTGTCTCCGGGCTCTGTAGCCTTTAGTTTCGCGGGAAAATCTCTTCTATGAGTCCGTAGAACGTGAAGCTCCTCCTTTGCTCGGTTTCATTCCCCGTTACCTTGGCGTTATGCTGGTCAGCTACCGCCGGGTGCCCAAAGGAGTGGCTGGTAAAAGCTCCGGTCCGCCATCTCCGACGTCGACGAAGCACTCCCGTCCATTGTTGAAGGGGGCTCCCATGTCCACCCCGTTACACAAGCGTGACGTTTCGGTCTTCTCCACAGGTGACACTCCTCCGTACAACAAGACTTTCTCAGCCCTGGAGCGCCCAAGGACACTGGACCATCTTGACGGCGTAGACGAACAAGAACCACTTTCAGCTGACCAGAATGGGCACGGACCTACGGACAACATCCATCTTGATGACTTTCCGTCTCCTGATGACGCTGGTGGCGGTGACACTGAACCTGAGCCAGAAGCAGAATTGCCTGAGGTGGCGCTTGACCGAAACCGGCACATAATTCCGGAATACTTGCTGCGAAGCCGGCATCGTTCGCTTTCGTACTCCAACATCCATCTCAGCGGGCGGTCCGCGTGCGCAGCGCGTCGTTTGAGTAGATTGGGATTGGATGGTGCTACTGCGTCGAGTCCCGACCTGGGAATTCCCGCCAGTCGGCCTACGTTGAATCCTAGTGGTTTGGCGGTGACGAGGCCCAGTCCGTTGTCCTGTCATTCTCCATCCAGTCCTTCAGACGTCGGGGATGGCATCGATGCGCTGCCTGCAGAAGCCCCCACGCCAGTAAACTCGCCGAGCCGCTCCACGTTGCGCCAAAGCCTTCTGACAGAGACTCAGTTTCCTTCATTACTTACTCAACCAAACGAGGGTTCAGATCTACGTCGACCAGGCCTCTTTGGCACAATGTCGGAGAGCGGTATCCACTTCGGAACTTCCCCTGGATTTGATGGCACCGGGTCTACGATGGTAAACACCAAGTTGAAAGACCATGTGTTCAGTACGATCTTGCGGCGGCTACGGAGGCGTACCGGTGGGCGACTCCGTTCGGGTGTGGCGACTGAAGACGAAGGCCAGACCGATGAACATAGTGAAGGTCGCATAAAAAAGATTACCGATAAGGTTCGTAAGGTCCGTCGTCGGCTGAGTATGCGGCTTGGTAGTGGTGGGGTGGATGTCGAAGATGAGGGAAATGTAGAAGATGACGAAGGCGCTGCCGACGACGAGGCTGACGACGACCTTGGGGGCGATCACCAAGTCCCAATACGGAGGACCCAAAGCGATGGGATGATAACAAGTCCCTCGTTGCTGTCACGCGACCAACAAAATAAAGACATTATGGGCATATTCGAGATGGATCTTGATGACTCGCCGCCAGAGAGAGACACGATTCAATGGCAATCTATGGCGCCAGGGCATGGCTTGGAGACAGATGTCAGGCGTCGGAGTCGCTCGCGGTCGGTTGGGTTTCCCATGTCTGGTAAAACCTTGTCACCCATTCGGCCACTCGGTCCACACTCGCCCCTACGCTCGAAACAATTGCGCCTTTCTCGGTCGCCTCGCCTGAATCCCTATCTCCAGCCACACACCAGCAGCGCACACGACTCGGATACGGGAGTGACTCGACAGAACCACTTCATTCTCATGGAAGATCTGACTGGACGCCTTAAGCGCTCCTGCGTCATGGACCTGAAGATGGGCACACGCCAATATGGAATGGATGCGACGCCGTTGAAGAAGAAGAGTCAACGTAAGAAGTGTGATCGCACGACCAGTCGGTCGTTGGGTGTCAGGGTTTGCGGCATGCAGGTGAGTGTCGCGCTGTCTTCTGTGCTGAGGGAGGTTGGTTGCTGGGGTGAAGATGCTGACGAAGGGCGAAGGGCGTTTACTTCCGTGCTGTCTTATAATGGCGGCATGCTTGGATGGATCTGGACATGGGGGAAAATTCTCACATGGAATAGATGGAAGCGCTTGCTTATGATTCTATTTGCAAGCTGATGGGCGAATTTGGTCGTTTATGTGTCCCTTGGATTAGCAGCCGTCGACGCCCATCGGCAGCAGATCATTTCTTTCATTTTGGCGTAGTCCCTCTTTGTCATGCTGTGTTTTTTTCTTCCCTGCTCCCGCTAGTGTTGGAACTGACCTCTCTCGTGTTAGGTTTGGAATCATGTGACGCAGTCATACGCCACGCAGAACAAGTACGCTGGACGCGAGGTTCGCCCGGAGGAGTTCGCTTCCGTCTTATCATCTTTCTTGTTCGATGGGGAACGGCTCTTGGCGTATCAAATCCCAGTCCTGCTCCAGAAGATTTACAATCTTGCTAAGATTATCCGGCGTTTGAATGGGTACCGCTTCTATGGGTGTAGCTTATTGCTCATTTACGATGGCGACCGCGAGTCCCAGGAAGCATTCCAGTCATACGTTCAGGAACACCCGTCTTCGAGGAGCAAGCGTGGAGAGTCACTAGAGAGGCAGTCGTCGTCCCGCCTCAAGTCCCCCGTCGGCGACAAGGCAGATGTACAAGGTCGTCTGCGCCGTTCGCATAGTGAAGACCTGTTGGCAGGGCCTGTGGGAAAGCGGTCAAGCGGTCGGAGAAGGCGGGGCGAAGTGAATGTCCGGATTGTCGATTTCGCCCATACCACGACCGGTCATGATTGGAAACCCTATCCACCATCGATGGCAAATAAGGTCAACGGAACTAGCGAGCGGGGCATGCCTGGTACCGAAGTGACGTCCAGCTCGAAAGGATATTGCGCCGAGGTCGACCCCGAAACCGGGCTTATATACGCGCGTTTTCCTCCACACTATCCCGATCAGCCCGACTGCGGCTTTCTGTTCGGACTGAAGAACCTAGCACTCGCCCTCGAACAAATATGGAACGAGGAGCGCATCCGGAGAATCAAAGCGGCGCGGGATAAGACCGGGTTGGGTAAGGATGAGTGGCAGTTACCGCCGTTGCCCACGGACGGTAAAGAGATCTTCGATGAGATATTTGGCACGGGTGATGAGGAGGATATGGGGATGATATCCACTTAGCCTCAAACGACTCAACAGTCTGGACACAAGTATATGTATATTTGCCAGGAGGTCAGATATAATTTCTCTGCATGCACTATATGCTATCTATTGACAATAACTGCAGCTTCCCTCACGTTCTGTTTATCCTGGTATTGCTATAGTCATGTTTACTTTTACTTGCATTATCTCACATTGTACCCGTCATTTATTTCTCTGGGGTAAGTGTATATAATTCGTATGTCCCTCGCGTCAATTGCCCTAGATTTCTCCAGTTTATGATAATTTATTTTCATGAGTTTGTCCAATGATAGGACGCACGTTCGTGAATGAGTAGGCGCTCAGAGAGTTTCCATATCTGACCAGCGTCGGGTGCACATGGTAAGTTTTAAGCCCCGCGAGCACTGAACGTGAGAAGGCGCGCCCTCCGCCTCCATGACCGCCTGCTTCTTTCATTCCGACAACGATGAAAGCTTCATTGGGCAATCGTCGCTGATCTCAATTGTAACCCGGATGCTCATGGACCTCGATGGACACCGAACTCAAATGTAACCGGCTCACTTGCCGCCGCCCAGTGTCGGATAGGGCCGTTGTGGTGCGTCTATTTATCTCAAGAAGTTCGCAACAGCAGAATAACTCCTTGAATTTAGACCACATGTCTGTACTTATACCCTGGTTAATTGATCCAGGCTGATATTCCCTTGTATATTAGGCTCTCACATCTTTTGCGGTACGCATATATGCGCTTTTTCGTGGCGCCAGCAAGGCTGACCTGGTGCCGTCATCAGTGGACTGCGCTAACGAACTATTTAACTCCTCAAGACTTTGCCCAGGTTGGCATCAACGATCACTTGCGCTGTTATTCCTCACCCGTATTGACAGCTTGCGAGACGCCTCTTACCGAGCCGTGAGTTAACATATTATTTAATAATTTTAGCACAGATGAGAATCTGACCATGTTTCAGGGATGATGTCGTGGTACTATGTGATGCTTTATGCGCAAGAAACTGTTCTGCTCATCATGAAGTTCCCAGGTATCGTCACTCCATCCTACGAACGACTACAAGACGGCAAGTATCTTCCCGGTTTTGTCCTCCAGATGTTCCACTGACCGCTGTCCTCCCACAGTCGGTTCTGTCTGGATTGAGTCCGTCCGTGATCCTGGAAATATGCAATCGGTAAACTCAAAGTCTGAGGCCCACGCTTTGCTAACCAACTTAACATCGGAATAGAGCTATTTCCTTCTGGCAGTACCAGATACACCAAGAAAAGTAGCTCTATCCCTTCTGTCCATTTCGTAGCTCATATTATGTACTTCAGTGCTTTCCAGCAGGCTGTTGTCCGTAATATGAACGACAAGAATGCACAATTGCAAAAGCAGCTCGAGAACGTTGTCAGAGAAGGTATAGTTTCCATATTACAGACATACTTCTTCCTCAGCGTGTATCTACATCAGCCAACAGTGAGGTTAACCTCTTGACGAACAAGGTTGCGGGTAAGCGGTCTCAGCCACCACCTAACGGAGGTACATGCATATATCACTCCTCCATAGAACTTGAACGAGACTTGGAATTGGAACGACGGAAAGTTCGAGAAGTGCACGAAGCATCCCGCGAGCGAGATAAGGAATACCAGAAACTTAAGGCAAATGTTGTCATACCCTCTCCCCTTCGCAACGTATTCACACCACCCTACAGGCCCAGCACGATAAAATCAAACGAAAGGCACTTCTTGCTCCAGATAGCGGGGGAGGTCCGCAAGGCAACATTGGCTTCCCCGGAGCTGATGGGTATTCACGACACTTGCCTCAGAATCCAAACTCAAACCAACCCCTCAACGTTGGGGCAGTGGTCGGTGACATGCAAGCCAACGGAGTACAAAATCTTCACTAACACTCTGCATATGAGTTGACACGTCCAATATTCTAGATCCAACGAACTCCTTTGATAGCTAGAAACGGTGGCGGCCAATACTTGCAACAAACCACAGCACCAGCTAACAGCGGATGGGGTGGCAATTCGCAACAACGCCGACCGTTTCCTCAAGCTGGATATCGCTCCGGGACAGCTTCAGATAGATCTGAAAGCGCAAATGAAATCGAGAATATGCTCATGAGTGGTGGTAACGTGCCAGCGAGAAGGGAAGGTGGCTGGGGGGCTGATACACAGAGGAGAAAGCCACATCCGGGTACTGTACAAAGAGGTATGCCTGACTGACATCTGGGCGACAGCACACTGAAGCGTTGATGTGCAGTCTTCGCCCCCGCGTCCGTCAAACGCGGATTCCGGCCAGCCCCCGTACAACGATGATTGATTATTGAATATTGATACCCAACAAGAGAGACTTTTCAGGTTATTAGCAGAACTAGAGACATTTAGATTACACAATGGAAGTCCTATAACGAACATGTGGCAGTTTGTATACTATATAGATACGATGACTAAGAGACGTAAACTTGTGCGATGCGAGTGAAACATTGTCCATGGGGCAAGAAACCAACGAACTGACAGGGAAACCGATGACTGTGGAGGTAGTACATGGAATTGCTAACTGAAGGGAGGCTTTAGGCCCTCCGAATCGCGCCATTCTTCTCGTCTTCGAGATATTGCCCGATCGCAAGCATGTCCTGGCCCGCTCGACGCAAATAACCAGCCAGAACGGCCTTATCAGCGTGTGGCAGAAGGTCCGAAAGCTTATCAACCTGCTTCATGAAGTCTGTAGAATCATGCCTGATATCCAAGACTTCGTCCCCAGACGATGGTGCGTGATTGTGCTGCGACTTCGGCCCATGAATCATGGTCGATCCACGCTTCATGGGGGCTCCACGTTCAAAAGAAGACGGACGAGTTTCTGAGCTTGGGGAAGGTTGGGCAGTCATGGGTGCTACCATCATAGTAGAAGCTCGAGTCATGCGATTAGGAGGAGCACGAGGACCACCGGGTACAGATGGATTGTTGGATAAGTTAACAGGGCGTGGATGGGGGCTAGCTGGGCCAGGTTTCATGAGCTTATTTGTAGAATGTGTAAGGATCGTGTGAGGTAGTGGTCGTTCTTTCTTGAGGCTTGCTCGTCGTCCAAGGGAAGCGAAAAATCCGGTCCTCGCTGACTGCGGAGAAACCATAGATCGCAAAGACGACGGAGCTGCGCTAATCATCGTCGAGGAACGCGTGGGTGGTTGTAGCATCAGGGAGGGATAAGGAAGGGCAGGCGCGGTAGGAGGTACATCTTGTGAAGGGCGTGGTGACAGATCCGTAGCTAATGTCGCATCTGGTCGGCGAGGGAAAGTGACTTCAGAGAATGTAGAAGACCCAGAAGTTTGACGTGGCTGAGGGGTGAAGCTCTGAGAAGGTGAAGCGGAAAGCATGTTACTTTGCTTCTTCGGGCTCCGAAGTCCTGATGAGGGTTATATAAGAAATACGAAACAGGTGAGCATAATGATTGGGAATTTCGCTCACCTATGCCACTTGTCTGGAGCCAGCCGGCTAATCCACAATCAGTGACGTAAAGTTCATTGATCTTGGCAGCATATCCAGCACAGCGCTCTAATGCAGTCTTCTTACAGGTGACATCGCCGCAATACATTGCAGGGGGATAAGGTGATATGTACTCAATGCGGGGTGGTGGTCGTGGGCGGGCATGGGGAGTATCCAAGAAGTCTTCGTGATGCAAGGGAGTGGACAAGGGTGACGGTGATCGTGATCGTGAAGGGGTGCGTGTCGTTCGATTCCGGTACAAACTACTACCTGCTGACGACCTCTTTGACTGGGGGGAAGGCGTACGAGGAAGCGACGAGAACCGCTTGAGGTTTGCCGTCCAGCTATTCCTTAGACTCTTGGGTGGGGGGCTCGGTGTATCCCCGAAGTCGGACCCACTGTCTTCTGCAGGTGGTGTCGGAAGCATTGCAGAGGAAGCGTCCTTGTACGCCTCATTGTCCAATGCGGGTGTTGCAGGAGCTACATTTATACTGACCGGGCTGTCTAAAGATGGTTTCGTGTTTGATATAGGCTCGGGCGGTGACGCTTGTACTGATACGCCATCACCGTGCAGTGGAGTGGCATTAGTTCTCAAGCTAATCACTGGCGGTCCTTCTTCCGGAACCTGAGGCATTGTTGCGGGTGACTGAGTTCGTAGTGGTGGTGATTTACTTCTGCTGCCAGCTTGGTCATTACTACCTTTCGCGCGCGCATCATCCATAGAGCCATTGGTGGACGCCAGTGAGCTGGAGGCTGATGGAGGGAAGGCGCCCTCGCGTACGTGGTTGGGCTTCTCCGAAATGTGAGATCCCTGAATAGCCGTAGTCGACCTTTGCGCGCGAAATTGATATAGATCACATAAGATGTGCATAGCAACAGAGATCACTTACAGTACACTAGCTGACTCTCGGTGATCTGATGTGGTGTCATTGGCGTTTCGGGTTGGTTGGGTAGACGGATTAAGCTTTGTTGCGGAAGACGACGGTGATGAACTGCGATTGGTGGATGAAGGAAGTTTAGAGGCAAGGACGGCAGATACGGAAGGGGGAAGTTGCAGAGCTTGACGAACGGCGTCTATGTCGCCGCGACGACGTGTTATGGGAGGCGAGTGGAGGCGAGGTGGACGGGGTGGCGGAGGAGAGCTCGACTCCAGACCGATGGCTTTCGGGGGTGGAGGCAACGGACCAGCGGTGGCGTGCAGCCCGGGTTGGTAACGAAGATAGGACATTGTAGGGGACACAGGGAGCCGCGGAGAAGGTATTGACTTCGGGTCATCAGGTGCGCTGAACGGGCTATCGAGGCGTGTATTCGTGGAGTAGGCGTTGTTTATATTCACTATAACAGGCGATGCGACAGGTGCACCGATCTGTTTCGCTTGGCCGATCTCAGGCGTGAGGATGGGGTAGGTTGTATGGTGCGCTAGCATGGGGGGTGCTTGTTGGGGAGTCGATAAGTTTCTTCTAAAGGACGAGTCCGACGCGTCCGAGGTGCCCCCAGGCGAGGGCGATCGTGTTTGTGGGCGCTGAAAGATTGGAGGCTTCAAAGAACCGGGATTAACGCCCTGTTGGTTACCATGCAATTTGGGTGCATTAGTTGATGGGGGAATGGACTTCGAAGTCCCAACGATACCGACATCCCGCGACGTCTTATGGCGCAGACCGACCACTGCTTCAGATGCAGAGCGTTGGTGAAGCGCATTCGAGTCGTTGGAACGCGACACCCGATCAACCGAAGGGCCGACAATGGGGGCTGTGGGGGGAGGAGTGAGCTGTGTATACGTCCGAGGCGCAGCATCCGGAGGCGCCACTAGCGCCAGGCCTTCTAAACGCGTGTTGACACCGCGTCGAGACCGTATATCGCTGGGCGAGGGTCGCTTATCAGTTCTTGTTTTACCAGAATGTACATCCATTTCAACGACTGCTAGTCTCCTTCTATCTTCCCCACCCTCTGAAGGAATGCTGGATCTACGCCTGACTCTTGAGGTAGAAGACGAAGTGGACGGTGTCGTATTCGTAGGGCTGGCCAAGGGAGAATCGGCTGAGTAGTCGCTGGATGATGAACAAGAAGAGCCTGTCGAGTTTTCTCTTTTATGGTGAATCAATCGCACGGTGTTTTTAACTGAGGTCGGCGTAACACCGTGCTCGCTGTACGGCTCGCCATAGGTCTCCTTCCCAGCCAGCGCAGACTGGTAATACGATAGAAGCCGATCTGTGCTCGCCGTATCCCTCGCAAGTCGCGGTCGAGCATTCACTGGCAAAGGGGCTGAGCCTGGAGATCTGAGTGACCTGAATCTACATGCTCACCTCCTGAATCCTGCCTGGAGTCGTCTGCGGGCATGTTGGCGAATTAATGGCAATCAGAGATGCATTGAAGCTTGCACATAAAGTAGCTCGGTCGTTTCTAGCCGCCTGGTTTGGCTACCGGTGGTTTTTGTTGTTGTGAGAAGAACTGTGCGTCGGATAATCCACGTCGCGACGCGACCCTGTTAGGATAAAGTTCTCACGATAGTGCTATAGATAGAGCGGTGTCGTTAAACTTTGACATGACATGGACATGGGATCATTATGGGCTTTACAGTAAATGATGGTCGAATAGAATAGATTGTAACAATTCAATAGTTGACTCGAATAAAATCTCAACTTTGACTTAGGTCAATATTATGAATCTTGAGGACCCCGTCCTCGCCGCAGCTAGCCAGATGATGCTCAGTCCCATCCGCAGCTGTCGCAGGTCTCCAAGCAAGTCGGTAGACATGGTCTACATGTGCCATACTACAGAGCGCGTCAGTGTCATCTTCTCTCGTAAGATTGGAATGCATTACCTTTTATCCAAACTTAGATGCTGTTGCCAGTCAGAAGGCGAGCCTCGTGGGTTTGTGAAGATGATTATCTCCCCAGATTCCAGCCCAATGGCTAGTACCCGCCTATCGGAGGTATCGTCAGTTTGCGAGTCTCCTATGGTGGTGCGAGGAAGCTCACTTCTCCTGGCTAGGAAGACCACATAAATCGACCGAGGTCGCCGACTCCTTGGTCTTAATGGTTGCTGCTGGGGCCCACTTGCTCTTGCCTTCGTTATCTTTCATAGACCATATCCTCACCTAACGGTGTCAGTTGGGGCAAAGGTGTTTATACTGCCGTTGCATACCGTTTTGTCGCGAGAAGCCGTCGCAAATATTTCTCCGTCGTCAGACCATGCACAATCCCAGATAATCCGTCCGTGCGATTTATCGGCAACCCGCGGCGCGTATCCTTCATTTCCATTCGTGAACATGAAACACGGCACACTGCGTTGGAGATGGAATTCACATACCACCGTTAGGCTGAAGCTCAGAAAGCATCCATGATCTATCTCGAGAGACGGACAAGATATACCGATCATCTGGGCTGAATGCGATGCGTGTGACGGTCAGTGAATGGCCCTGCAACGGCTCGCCGACGAGTTTGTATTTTTCGGTGTCGTAGATGCGAACAACTGCGTGTTCGGCGGAGGTGGCACGGCAGGCGGTGGCAATCAGGTGCTTCGAAGTACTTGATGCGAGAGCGATGGACTACGGTTGAAGGCATCAGGAAATGGAATCAAAAAATATGTGATAAGAGTCATGTTGACTGACCTCGTACCCATGACCGAACACCTTTTCGGTTTCTGGCCACAACGTTATTGAGGCTAACTCACCTTCGAATGGGCGTCTCACAGAGGCAGGAGTATCAGCCAACTCTGTTAATCTAGTAGAAACTGCAGAGTATATTATTAGACCACGAATAATGACATAAGTTTCGACCGACCATCAGAAATAGCCTTATTCGAAAGTCCTAGGGCAGGTACGCTTGCAGCCTGTGGGCGTTGTTTCTACAATTCATGTCAGAGTACTGACCCTCATTACTGTTCTAAATAAATCTCGCTCACCTCCGTATCAGAGAAGCTCACTACTCCTAACCCGTCCAATGTGTCGACAAAGGATTTAGGAGCCTCGAAAATACGGATGACCTTCTCGTCCGCGATGCTCACGAACGAGAGTGCCGATAGGAATGTAACATCCACCATGTCATACCCATGGACCTGTGGCCGAGCGAGTTCGTGCCAAGTTTCCAGTCCACTTGCATCTTTGATTGACCCGTGTATCCGGGTAGTTTGATCGACGCCCGCTGATATGATATACTCCCCCTTCGGACTCCAAGCGATACCTTTCACAGGCCCATTGTGCCCAGTCACAGCGCCAACTTCGTGCCATTTCTCCCCATGCAATGAAACCTGGTCTTCTGACTCGAAATTCGAACAACGCCAACGCCGCCATCCGCCTCCCCAGCCCCACGCAAGCACTTCAGCACCGCCGTGCCCCCATAGTCCCCCGACGAAACCGCCAAGACGTTGCCCGCCAATGTCGCCAAAGCGCTGGCGGTTTATCCATATAGACGCAGAGTTAGAGGACGCGGAGGAGCCGATGTCTGATGGAGACCATAGAATGACGGATGAATCTGTTGAGGTGGAGAGTAGAGTTGGTTGATCGAGTTTTAGTGATGAAGGTCTCCATGAGAGGGACGTAATGCCAGCTTCATGGCCAACCAACAAGGCGTCAAAAAGAAGTGAGTATTGTTGTGCACTATGGACATGTCAGATACTAGATCAACAATGTTAACATGGATTGATACATACACGTTCCCCTCAGATTTGACTGAGAAAACATGTCGCTTGAGGGAGATTTGTCTTCCGCCTTCTTCAGCTTCGCCGACTTCCCCCAAGGAGGCCTCAAAAGCGTCCAAAAGTTCATCACTTAACGGATCTGTGGAGCTGAGTACTGGTGCGTCAGGGGGATCCTCTCGTGCTGGTGCTTTGAGTATGGGTGCAATATTCCAGAGGCGAATGGTAGCGTCTTGGGAACCCGACGCCAGTATCAGCGTATCTTCTTTGTCTGTGTAGAATTCTAGCGAGCGTATCCAGTCTTCATGTCCCGAAAGTATAAGACTAGGAAGAAACTATTTGTGCTCTTAGATCATGGACATTGGAGTGGATGGAATCAGCCATACAACATCGGCGGACCTAGTCCATATCTCGATACTTCTAGCGGTGCCACCAACGGCAAGCACCAATACTGTTAGAAGGCATTGGGTAAAGTTGTTGAGAAGAAAACTCGTGCATACTACCTTCTGATTTAGGTAACTGGGATATGGCCAGAGCCATAGGATATTTGCCTTTCATTGGCAATTTTTGGACTTCCAGCAAGGGCTCTACATGTATAGCTCAGAATTCGTTAGCAAGATCATTGGTGCCCTGCTCACCCGTCGAAATCGAGAAGTCAGTCCTCCAGATCTTGACCGAGGAATCCGATGAGCCCGTGATGATCAAGAATGCGGAGCCTTGAACGGCCAGAACACACAGAGAAGAGATCGCGCTACTATGGGCCGTCACATTGCAAATTGGCATCCACTGGAGGGATCGTTGAATTGGGGGACGATGCTCAGAGGAAACGTTCATGCCTGGGCTGTGGTTTCATCTGTCGGCTTCCGCCAGACTCTGAGGACACCTTTGTTGTCGCCAGTCACCACCGAAGAGTCGTTCAGGAATCGAACAACGGTGACTACTCCGTCGTGGCCTGGTAGAGTCCGTCCTACGCTAAGATCCTCACCGGTCTACATTGATCAAGTATCAGCACCACGGAACAGGTTTAGGAACCACCAACGCACCGAAGTATCCCAGAATGAAACACCTTTAGTAGAGCCGAATGCTACATGAGACGTGGATGAGATATCCGCTGCATGGCTGTACCGATTTACCGCGTTCGATATGTATAGAGTCGAGGCCATGGTGGTTAGAATTTTCGTAGTCTCTTGATCTTATCTATGAAGTAAGATTAGCGAGATCTAATCTATTTTATCCCCGGAAAACGTTGATGACCGTCAGCACTCATCGTCAACATAGACAGCGAGTAATCGCGGCCGGAGGCGTGTTCGATGATTTAATTCTAGTACAATGCCAAAACTTGCTTGATCTCCTGGAATTTGGAAAGAGGTCGTTCCTCAACAGGGGCTCGCTTCACACGAGGCGCGAACATGTGACCGGTTTCCTTTCACGCGTTGCATTGGTTCATCATGTTTTGAATCTGAACTACAACACACCAGCGGCGAGACACACCACAAACGACGCCCGCCATGGTTTCTGCTGGATCAATTACAGTTGCTGGTATGTCCCACCTCTGCCTGCGCGTGCTTTCTTACCATGATCTGCTTCTAGTCCGAGTTCGGCCTCCAACATCTTGGGAGGCAGCCCGTTTGCCCGAGCCCAACTACGAAATCTCAATACGCGGCGATGGGACCCTTTCGACACCACTTCTCCCAGCAGCAAGCACCGCGCCTTTAAGGGACATTGTCCAGATCGTCGACGACCGGATACTTACATTCGACCCCAATGAGAAGGATCAAGCCAAAGCATTCGTGGAAAGAGGCTTCGTCCCGCCTGGAACGAAGCGATACAAAGATAGGAGGTTCATGTTCGATAAAGTCTTCGGCCACAGCACATCACAAAGCGATGTCTACGGGGCCACGGCTCAACCGTTGCTGAAGGGCTTGCTTGACGGATATAATGCCACAGTGTTTGCATATGGCGTGCGTCCCATGCCCAATGAACACTACCTGCTATCTGACACTCTTACGCCCAACGTACATAGGCAACTGGCTGCGGCAAAACCCATACCATCAGTGGTACCGACGCTGACCCAGGGATAATCTACCTCACAATGGCCGATCTCTTTCAACGAATCGACGACAGAAGCGAAGATTGGAACGTCGAAGTCATGGTCACATTCTTGGAAATATACAACGAAGAGATCCGCGACCTGCTCGCAGAGCCCGGATCCGTCGCGCCGAAGGGAGGTCTAAACATCCGGGAAGACAAGACGGTAAAAGTTGTCGGTTTGACCGAGCTTCGGCCGCGCACAGCAGACGAAGTCAAGTCGATTGTGCTACAGGGCAATCTACGCCGCACTCAGAGTCCGACGCACGCCAATGAGACGAGCTCGCGAAGTCACGCTGTTCTCCAGGTTCATGTAATGCAGTCGCCTCGAACGCCTGGCCTGTCGGAGCAGCGAACGGTAGCCACTTTGTCCATAATCGATCTTGCCGGTAGCGAGCGTGCAGCGGCAACGATGAACATGGGTCAGCGCATGGTGGAAGGTGCCAACATCAACAAGTCGCTACTAGCCCTGGGCAACTGTATAAACGCGCTTTGCGAGAGCGGAGGGGCAATACGCCATGTCCCTTATCGAAACAGCAAGTTGACGCGACTCCTGAAGTTCTCTTTGGGGGGTAATTGCAAGACCGTGATGATCGTGTGCGTCGCGCCGACGTCCAACCACTTCGACGATACACACAACACCCTCATTTACGCTGAGCGCGCGACGAAGATCAAGACGAAGGTTGTTACCCGCAATGTCGTCAACGTCGACAGACACGTGGGCCGCTATGTCGAGGCTATTAATCGTCTCAACAATGAGATTGCCGAGCTCAAGGCGAAGTTGGCCGGAAAGCGTGACAAGGAGAAAGAGATCCAAGAACGGCGGAAGGCAGAGGCTCAGGCTGAAGTGGAGAGGGCGAAGAGCGACTTGCAGACCAAGATTGAACAGAGCAAGGCTACCATTGCGGACGGTGCTGCCTGTTCAGGGAAGATATCTGTTGCGAAGGTCAAGCTCTCTGCTATCAACTCCAGGATATCTCAAATCGAGGCCCTTCCGTCTGTTGGAGCCGATCTGGAGGCCGAACGCGCGCTGCTGAAGGCATTGGCGACTCCGGAAGAGGAAGTTGTTACGCCACAGTCTATCTTTAACACCAGACTCCAGCGTTCTTCCAATTCGAGCGCGATGTTGGAAGCTACCCTTCGGGCAGCCTCCGAGCGCAGGTCCGACAAGCTTGATGCGGTCAGCGTTGATAACGTCAAACTAGATTCACAACTCAAGAAGACAGAGATCGAGCGAATCAGAGCAGAGAGCGAGAGGGACGCCATGAACGATGCCGTCAGTGATATGGCGCAAGTCATGGTCACGTTGATCGGGATCCTGGGGAGATGCACAGTCATGGTTGGTGAAGCCGCTAGGCTTCTTCAACAATCCCCAGATGGCGACGCCGAAGGGTTGTCGACTACAGCTCAGACTGTTAGGGGGCTGCTGAACACATTAAAGGAGAAGAATGACGATTCTTTTAAGAGCCTCGTTGGGCACTCCACTGAAGGTTACACTCTATCGAACACTCAGCTCGATGCCTTCTCCGGGTATGACACCACCTTCACACGCAGGATTAGTTCCGGACCAGCAGTCATGCAGAATGGAGGCTCGAAATCAAGTAGTTCACGCCGAACGTCAACATATGGCGCAAACCCCCCGTCTCCAAGGCGCTCGCACAGAACACCTAGGAAGTCGCTTCGCATGAGCATAAACTCGCAACCGTACAGAAGGGTGTCGAACGAGAAGAAGCCCACCAAACCCACGAAGAACGTTCAATGGAAAGACGAAGCTGGTCAAGGGGAATTGGACGATCGGTCGAAGTCCAATATCATTGTCATTACGCCGGGAACGCCAGATGTCTCGTCGGCTGACGCCGCTGCGCCTTCATCGACCGGCAGCACCCGCCCACCTTCCAGAGCTACGTCTGTCGCGGGATCTGAAAGCGACTGGGAAGATGAGGCGGAGAAGACGGATGATAGCTTCAACCTCAGCTTTGTGTCCTCTTCTCTTCCGCCGTCAACAGGAAACCCAGGGCGTCCACACCACAGGCCTCGGCCTGGCTTCTCACGAAACAAGCCAACCAGAGGCTCTACGCTGGGAAGCTTGACAGAGGACTACGAGGGCGAGGCTATCAATGGATCACCGCAAAGGAGGCCCCACCCTCTCGCCGACCGAAGCATGAACCAATTCTCTGAGAACTCCCTCATGATACCCAAGGGACGGGACCGGCTGCTGAACAGTCCCTCCCGGCGAGGGCCTTCTACGAATAGTTCGGGCTCGGGGCTAAACAGGAGTGTCAACGGGAGGCGGCGGTCCAACGTTGGGCCAATGCGCAACGAGAAGGGGAGGCGACGTTCAAGCTTAATACCGCAGCTCTCGCCGAGAGTCAGCCTCGACAAGAATGACGCGCCTGGGGAAGTCAATTCTGGTCCCCGGCGAGTGGCTGCCGCTTCGCCAGGGAAACGCATGAAGAGGCTGTCACTGTCGGGGTCGAAGTCGATGTCATTCAGGACCAAGAACGGTGGCGCGGTGCTCGGGTTGTCTATACCTATGGGTGATCTCAGCTCAGCAGACCTCAGCTTCAAGGGCCCTAAGCCTACATGGCGATGAACAACACTAGCGGACCACCAGCAGTAACGCCCTTCATGACCATCTCCCATCGTATTTATATGAATGATCAGTGGCAGAGCCATACCTTGTCTTGTCTGTCTGTAGCACCCTGTAAAATTTGTTTCCATAGATTATGTTGTCACCGTACTCGGCATTGTTATCGACTGTTAATGTGTTATCCCACTTCGTCCAAACGTTTACATAGTACGCCAGTATCCATATTCGCGATGAATATATACCCACATGCATGGCTGTGATAGATCTAGCTACTCATATTACACGCTTTACCTCGAAGAAAGACTACGTACGCAAGAGTTAGTGTTTGGGACGGAAGGAGGTCAGTCGTTGGGCTCACCTGGAGGTAATAAACCTGCCACGCGACTACAGCAAATAGCACGAACGCCTGTATGATGGACCACCACTTCACGCGGGAATTAGTGGATTCTGCGGTATTGCGATGTGTCCGTTCGCGAACGACGATGTATTCCTGCTCGTCTTTGACTGCTGCAAGACCGCTAGCCAGGGAGCGAATCTCGCGCTCTATTGGTGCAACCACGTCCTCTGTGTCGAAGTGTTAGCCCAATTCGCTGGATGGATTCGCTCGTTTACCATCGTCGGAGACATATATTGTTCCATGCACATTGAAACTGGTGACAGTCAGAAGGTTGACAACGGATTTGTACAATGACTTACCTGACAAGCTTGTCTGCAATAGCGCTCATTTGATTGGAGAAGCAATACTCGTGGCGACCGTCCCGCTCAGCGGTAATGCTGATTGACCCTGTCGACTGACGAATCTGTTTGGCAAGAAGCTTCGTCGACGGGTCCGCCAGCTGATAGTAATTCATCAGCACTCGTCCTTCAATTGAATTCCAAGGGTAAACGCACCCAAAAGTCAATGTCCAAGTGCCCTCCCCCTCCGACTTGGTATGTCACTGTCATCTGGGAAAACATATGGGTATCTTGCCACTTGTTCGTACCAATGTACCTACTTTGTCATGTTGGTGGAGGTCTTCGAAGAAGCATTCCTTTTTGCCGGCATTGACGTCTATCATATGAGCGGACACGGAGGCCACCAGGAGGAAAACAGCGGTCCATAGGAGGAGAGTGCAGCGTCGTGTCGGTGAGATTCGGGACATTATATGGCGACCAGAAGCACCAAGTGTGCGATTATGGTGAAGGTAGTACTGGGTATCTTGAAGTTGGTGAGTGAAGCCCGTTCCAGTGTGACAGTGACACGACACCCCGTAAAGCACGTGAGAATGAGTCAGGAGCAGATAGGAGACATAGGAGCTCCCCATATTGACTAGGACGAGGGCAATTCAAATTAAAATATACAGCTTCTGTTATCTGTTTATTTCCTATATGATATCGACAGGAATACAGCGTGGACACATTGCTGTATTCTTGCTGTACCACTGATTTCGAGGGTCGTGTTTCCATAAGTCACATGATACATACACCGATGGATTAGATTGATGTGACTTTTGCTTCTGCTACCTGCATCTTACCTCTTCCCAGTGCTCAAGGCGAATAATATCCTTATATCAATGGCCGATAATACAGACGCGCTTGCTCCCAGAGTACGTCCTCCCCATCGTTCTGCCTTCGATCGGCGCATCTCCAAGATGCGTCGCTTCGATGGTAGATATCCACAGGTCGGACGACTGATCACTGCTTCACCCTTGGTGATTTAGGAGGAGGAGCATGACCCCCATTTCGAGCCCGTAATCAAGCTCACAGAGCAAGTCGAAACAAAAACTATGGAAGAAGATGAGGAAGTGCTCTTCAAAATGTACGTGAAATCCCCAAGCGGATCGCCATCGATGACAGTCCTGACCCTATCTCTGAATTCGACATCAATCCCTATATATGCGATTCAAATAGGCGTGCCAAATTGTTCCGTTTCGATAGCGGGGCGTCAGAGTGGAAGGAAAGAGGGACGGGTGATGTTCGCCTCTTGGCTCATAAAGAGACCAAGAAGGTCAGACTCGTAATGAGACGTGATAAAACACTCAAAGTCTGCGCCAACCATATCAGTAAGCCCAGCTTCAAGCCTCTGCGATGTTTGCGTGAACTGATGCGATTATCGACAGTCTCCGCCGACATGCGTCTGCAGCCCAATATCGGTTCTGATAGGTCCTGGGTGTGGAAGGTCGCTGCCGATTATGCTGAGTCCCCAGCTACCCCCGAAACCCTTGCCATACGATTTGCCAACGCCGAAAGTAAGTGAATAAGCATACGGGAGGCAATGTGGAGCTCACAGAATACAGACGCTGGTGAATTCAAGAAGGCTTTCGAAGAGGCCCAGGTATCGAATGCTGCAATCGCATCTGGTGGTGCCAAGGAGGAGTCAGAGACAAAAGCTGAGGAGAAGACCGAAGAGGAGGAGAAGAAGCCTGAGGCTGAGGCTGAGACTGAGGAGAGCAAGGACACCAAGGAGGAGGCTAAGGAAGAGAAGACCGAATGATTGTCTCGCGCATCCACGACATCCTCATCATTAGTTTAGAACACATCGGATATAAATGCTTGCTTGACTGTACGACAACACATTAGTAGGCCACCACACCCTTGTCGTTATACATACATGTCCGTCTAAAGTACAAGCCGAATCCAGATATGGAAGAAATACACACGAAGCAAGACTTCAGCGTACTTTCTCCTTCATGATTGCTTCTTCGTCTGCCCAGGCTGCCCAGAATGCAGCCCCCTCGCCCCTCGACCAGTACATCGGCGGTTCTTCCCCGCGAACAGTGGTGTCTTTGATCAATACATGCCGTACACTCTATGCGAAGGTTGAGGCATAGAATAAAGTGTCTGCTGCAGGCCAACTTACCGAACCACTGCAATTGAACGTGATGTTAGCATAAACACGACATATATATATGCAGGAGGAACTCACGGTACTTCATACATTGGCTCCAATAGTAGAGATTCCTGTGATGAACGTAGGCAGTGGCATCGACAGTCGTACGCGAGTCACTCACCATGATGCCGCGTAGTCCTCTAGCACCGCCGCCTCGCTCAGCAGCCTTTAGACATATCTCATCAAGAGCGGCGCTGGTAAACCTGATTTCTACGCCAGAATAGCCAAAGAGAGCGGTGTACTGTGAGATTAGCGACCCTTTGACTTCGGTGAGAATGCGCCGGAGGTCAGACACGGTCAAAGGCGATAAGGTGGTTATGGAGGGAAGGCGGGAAATGAACTCTGGGATGAAGCTACGCGGGGAGAATGAGATAAGAGCGGCAATGATAGTCAGGAGACTCGCCCGTATTTGACGAGATCTAAAAGAAGACAGTTCGGGTTAGTAAGACGAACGTGATATATGGAGGAAGAATTACCAGAAGTGTCCACAAGATCAAAAGCATTGGTAGGGGTTGACCTGTTGGGTGTAAAGAATGGGAGGAATCCATTGCTGTTAGAGTCCGGATTCTCTGATGTCAGCTTGGCCGTGAAACCGATGGAGCCTTTGGCAACTCTCCGCTTGATGATTGTGTCCAAGCCTACGAAAGCACCGCTCAGGATGAACAGCACGTTGGAGGTGTCGATGTGGTAAATATCAGACTTCGCTAGAAGGATGAGAAGTTTGATATGCATACGGACTCGATTCCTAGAGAGAAAAGCGGGTGCTCACCAGCTCCAGGAGTGCGCTGGCCTGGTCTGGATCTGCCTGGGGTGCCAAACGGCGGAATCTCTGCTTGCGCTGAACCCTTCGCTTGGACAGACACCACAGAGCCTTCCATCATCCGTAGAAGCGCTTGTTGGACACCTTCACCGCCTACATCGCGAGACCCTTCCATTCCTGCGCCCCCAGCTTTCCGAGCGATCTTGTCCACTTCGTCGATGTAGACAATGCCCATACTGAGGTAAATAAGTCGAGTACCAGAAAAAGAGGAATAACAAGCCGCACCTAGCACGCAGCGGGTCATAATTGGCTGCTTGTAGCTAGAAGACGCGGTCAACACAGGATATAGGGAAGGTCTCGAACATACCAAGCGCTGGATAGCCATGTCGACGTCCTCTCCTACATCTAGACATATAATCAGCGAACAGTGGAAGGAATCATATTGGTGCCCAACCCACATCCTGCCTGTCGGTTGACTCGCTACTTAGTCTAGTCCCCATGAATAAGGCTTCGTGGCTTACTTGGGTGAACGAGGTCGCGTCGCTGACAGAGAAGGGAACGTCGAGGACCTTAGCTAGTGTCCGAACAAGCAAGGTCTTGCCTGTATATAGCCGTCAGCACCGTTACTATGCTGGCATACACAGGCAGTACCTGACCCCGTTGGACCGCTGTTCACTCGGCTTCAGACAGTGGACGAGAAGGGGCGTGGTGAGAACGTACATGACCAAGACATTGCTCTTCTCGAATAATGGTGGTATAGGCTGAGTGTGTAATGGAAGGAAGCTCTGCCTGAGTGGCCGTACTTGGGCGCTGGATATCCCTTGAGCGGAGATGAGCCGGAGGTTGGTACTGGTCAACAAGAACCGTACCAGAAGCTGAGTCCTGCTCCTGCTCCTCCATTTCCTCCCATGAGTCCTCCGCTGCGGGTTCATGTACATCCATGTATGACATGTTTGCCCGGATGCGTGTATAGTGATTGAAAACACTTCCTGTGCTTCAGATCCTCCGCTCCACAACTGAGATCCTGTAGATGGCTCACGCAACAGAGAGCACCTTCTTAGCATTCTCCTGGCCAACAACAAATTCATCTAAATATTGAGTCAACTACAACACGGGCGTTGGCTTATATTCTGCGGCGATCCGAGCGGGGGAAATACCTGTCTGGGGGTAGCCAGTGTCGCTGGTCGGGAATACGACTGATCGCCATCGCGCTGCTGGGTGTGGTCATAGCGGGGCTGAGTGCGAAGGGTCCTCCTTAAGACATGGCTCCGAACGCGCAATGCTGCAGCAGATTGCCAGGCCATGCAAGGAACGACAGGCGGGATATGAGTCCAACTCGGAAGTGGAAGTAGTGACAGTTGTCACGTCCGTTAAGCAGTCCAACATATTGGGCGCTTAGCTACCTGCTTCATCGGACTTACAGTTACAACCTTATAACTTACGACATGGCAAGACATTCGCGTTCGAGGTCGAGGTCACCCCGACGCAGCCACGGGGATAAAAGCAAGAGGGACGACGAACCACGCTCTTCACGAGCAGACGACCGCGATGCACACAAAAGCAAAAGGCACCGGAGTCGAAGCAGGGATGACGACAGGGAGAGAAATACTAGTCGCAGGAAGGAGAGAAGTAGGAGTAGAGACCGTACTGATAAAAAGTACGTCTACCGTTCAGTGTTGTATATATATTACGCAACTAATCTAATCAGGCGAAAACGCAACAAGTCTGAGGAACGGAAGGCTCGTAAGGAGGAGAAGAAGAGGACAAGGGAAGAGGAAGAAGCACGACAGGTTGCTGAACTCAGTGTCTACAGTGCGACCGACAACCCCTTCCACGATGTAAATCTTGGGCAGCAATTCCGTTGGCACAAGAAAGCCGAGAAGGAGCGCAAGTCGGGATTGAGTTTGGCCGAAGCTCAGCGTAGAGATGCCATTCGGCGTCAGGATGCGAAGGAGGAGTTGGAGCGGTTGAACAAGCGACGTGCTGAGCGTGAGGTGGAACAGAGGCTTCGAGAAGAGGAGGAATTGAGGATGCAGCGTCTACAGGAGTCGGCTCAAATGTCCGAGTGGTTAGAGAAGGAAGAGGACTTCCAGCTGGAACAGGAGCGTGCTAGAGCAACAATACGGATTAAGGAGAAGAGAGCGAAGGCAATCGACTTCCTGGCTCTCAACCTAAAGTATGTCAATCCGCCAGACGACGAGGAGAAGCCCGAGGATAACGATGATGCCGCCTTGGAAATCGACCTCGACGAACCGTACAAAATCTTCGATGTGAGTCGCCCGCACCTCTCCTATGGCGTTTTGTTGAGGTCCAATCATTAGAATCTAACGCCGGAGCAAATACAAGAACTGCATGGAGATATTGATAGGTATCTTGTACTTGAACAGTCAGAGGCCAATCTTGACTTCTGGACGGTGCGTCCGGCCATCCGCCGTGCTTGCTGTCGACGCGTACTAAAGGTATCTCTTCGTTAGAACATGATGGTTGTCTGTAAAGACAGGCTTGAACGCATCAAGAACGCTGAACGTATGAACGTCGAGGTTTCTCTAGCTGTAGAAGCGGACATCCATGCCCTCTTAAATGGCAAATCTTACGAAGAACTTTCTTCTCTGCAACGGCAGGTTCAAGACAAACTAACGAGCGGGGAACCAGTAGACACAGATTATTGGGAAGGACTTCTCAAGACACTTCTGGTCTGGAAGGCAAAGGTGTGACATATTTATCACCTCCTCTAACCGCGCTAAACCTAAACTTGTACCAGGCTAAACTCAAGGCCCTCCACGAAGTCGTCGTTCGCAACCGACTGGAACAACTTCGGAAGCGACAGAGAGACGAGGCTTTACAAGCACAGGAAGAGTTGCTCGCGGGCGTAGCTAAATCAGCATCGTCACGAACGGATGGTGCTTCTCACGAGATTCTCGCGAAAGAGGTTGGGCCAGCAGAAGAAGTCGAACCCTACGACCGTTCTATGAGTCCAGTGTTACTGGACATCACACGACTTGCCCCAGAAGAACGACAAATGGATATCATCCTTGAAAGCGACGACCGCCGGGCTCTGGTATGTACATCTCCCTCCCCAGACAGTTCACCGTGATTAACTGGGTGGAAGTTTGACCACAGGCGTTCTGTCGCAGGCTCAAGGTTTGTGCCAAAAGCGGCGCAACCGGTTGTCGAAATACAACCCGAAGAGACAACTAGTGGTGTCGATCTGGCTGAAGCCTTGTACAGAGCGGAGGCAGAGCGAGAGTTGGACGAAGAAGAAGAGTTGTTCAATCTTGAAGAAAACATTGTCAACCCAACTTCATATAACTGGGAAGACAAGTACCGGCCTCGCAAACCAAGATATTTCAATCGCGTGCATACCGGTTACGAATGGAATAAGTATAATCAAACTCACTATGAGTAAGTCGACCTATGCTCGCGTCCTTTGCGAGGAAATTAAGCTATTCCTAGTACCGACAACCCTCCACCCAAGGTTGTTCAAGGATACAAGGTAGGCCATTTCCGAGTCGATGTGACAGCCACTCACTAGGCCATCCTTTAGTTCAACATATTCTACCCGGATCTCATCGATAAGTCCAAAGCGCCGACCTACAGGATCGTCAAAGAACCTGGGAATGACGACACTGTCTTGCTCCATTTCAGTGCAGGCCCACCCTACGAGGACATTGCATTCCGCATTGTCAATCGCGAATGGGAGTTTTCACATAAACGGTATGGTACTTGGCCTCCTCGCCACCTCCATCAACTAACACCGGTCATTAGGGGTTTCCGAAGTAGTTTCGACCGGGGCTGTTTGTCTTTATGGTTTAATTTCCGTCGTAATGTAGGTCCCCTGATTGCCATGCTTCTTCGTCGACTCACTTTTCTTTCTTCAAGTTCTATCGTAAATGAGATCTATCCTTGTATGTATTGTTGTCCGAAATCATGCAGTGCTTTCGTCTTTCAACCTCGTCACCCTGTCACCTCGCCACACCTTGTTGCAGAAAGTATCCGAAAAAGGAAGGTACGTGGGCCTTTAAGTGAAGCCTGAGCCACCCGCGTGCATTGAACCTGTGGTGGCCTCAAATGAGGCGCTCGTCCTTTGTTCGGGTGGCATGAACTCAAATATATGACGATGCTTTGACCGACCTCGAACTGTTTAAGTATCGGGGTTGCCTGTTATCTTTCTCTCCCACTCACCACCACCATCTAACGTTTACAATGCCTGTTCCCATTTCGCACCAGATCAGCATCCCATATCGTCCTCCTTCGAGGACTACCGCAGTAGGTTTACGGACCTCTGAGTACTATCGGTACCCTATCTCTTTTACCCCTACTGGTCCTTCGGTTCTGGCAAATCTCATGGCTCTCGCGCACCAAACCAACTCCATTGCTCCCGGTCCTTCGCCCCAGTCAATCGGTAATCGTGCCAAACAGGTACAGCAATCTAGTTCACGTCGCGTTTCTAGCTGTTAACTAATGAATTTAAAGGGCACGGCAGCTGGACAAAATCTCGCACCGCGCAAACGACCCGCCACGACCCCGCTCCAGGACGCCTACAACCCCATGTCCGATCCCGCCGTCGTGGTCGTTGCTGCGCGCTCACAGGTTCCCCGCAAAAGGATTTGCACTACGCAAACGGTCACCGAGCCAATGCACAGGGCTACAGCTGCGAAGAGACGCACCCTACCGGACACAACCGCGGTCTCGGACATCTCATTGTGGATGTCCGACTTCATCTTCCAACGCCTGGTCGGTATTTCGTGCAGGGACGCGTCTTACGAATGGTCAGTCGCGCCTAACATCGTTATTGATATGTCTTTACTAATCATGCTTGCTAGGAATCGTGACTTCTTCGAGGTTACTAACGGCGCCGCAAAGACCATTGCCTCCTCCTCATGGCGTCGCGACCTCTCGTCGGCCACCCTGTTCCTGGCGATGTGGTACATCGAACGGCTTTTCCCCGAGCCCATCCTCAGCTTACTTGGCGTCGACGTCTACGGGATGCGCCTCATCATCGAACGGGTGTACATTCTAGGTGCGATGTTGGCGAATAAATGGCTTGACGAGCCGTGTTGGAAGACACTGCACTGGTAAGCTTCTATACTTCATCTGTTTCAAAGGCTAACTGTTCTCACATAGGTTGTACGATTCCGACATGAACAGTGAGACACTCAAGCGCGTCGACATCCTGGGGTTCCGCGCTCTCGGCCATAACCTGTCGATCTCCAACGAGCAATGGCGCGACTGGCTCACGGCTCTCGTCACCCATCCCTCCGTCGACTCGGCGCGCTCCTTGGCCGCGAGCCTGACGATTCGCGCCCAGATCCGCAACGTTCTCTCGGATCTGGTCGCACATCACCCCGCAGGATTCTCGCTAGCCAAACCGACCTCACCCTTGCCTCTGGGACCATTGGAAGACCTTCATGGAGTGCTTCGTTCCGGCCTTCGCCTCGCCTCTCCCCCTCGACCACACTTTGCACCCGAATGGTCTCCAGGCGACGACCCTATTGTTCTTCCAGTGACCAAGACCCGCCGGAACGATTATGGGGCGATCGGCAGGCCTGTCCTTGCGAGTACGCGAAACGACTCCGCCTCTCCAGCTAGTGACGAGGGCGGCTATTGGTTTCCTCCTCCAGGGTTAGCTTCTCTTACATCTCTCTTTTGCTGGTGTACTGAGGTCGAGACGTCTCCAAGGCTACCACATCCTGCGAGAAACCATTACGATGCTCACTACCCCTATATCTCGCGGGGCACCGGCTAAATCAAGATAAAGTTAAATTTAAATGTAAATTTGTACGCGCGACGCTATATTTTGGCGGCGTAGTTGACTTAGGGTCCAGTGATCCACTTAGTACCCTGTACATATAATAGTTCACGCGACTGCGAGCAGCGATGGGCACGCCGAGTTGTGGCGGAGTTACCCTGTATATACTGTGGCTGTAGACTTCTGTAGAAGGTTGTAGATTAGATTACGCGCTCGTTGATAATCAACGTGACTTGGTTGGGGCTTTACGCGACTCGCTTGATAATCTCATTGATACTAATTAGCAACTACCACCGTCTCCTAGCTCATTCGACTTCAACCTAAACTACCATCGTATCGTCCTCGTACTCACTTATCATGGCCGCAAGTTCAAGTCTTGCTAACCAAATGGATGTCGATGAGACCGCCATCGACGAGGGCCTTTATTCGCGTCAACTGTAAGCACATACTCAGATCGTACGGCCGTGTTGCTAGAGAGTAACGTCACCTGTCTTCTAGCTATGTGCTAGGGCATGAAGGTGCACTCGAGATGCACATCAGTCGTCTTTCAGTTCTGACTTTCTTCGACAGCTATGAAACGGATGGCTGTCTCCAATGTCCTGATCGTCGGGGTGAAGGGACTGGGTGTCGAGATCGGTGAGTCACCCCGAGAGGCCGACGAGCTTACACGGTACTGATTCACATCCGCAGCAAAGAATATCGTGTTGGCCGGTGTGAAATCGGTAACGATATTCGATCCCGAGCCAGTTACCATCCAGGATTTGAGCACGCAAGTTAGTGATCCCTTGAGTCTGCCATTATATTCCCTTAACTCTACCAGTTCTTTCTGCGAGAAGGGGACATCGGGAAACCGCGTGGGGAGGCCACTGCACCTCGGTTGGCCGAACTCAACACCTATGTCCCCGTTCGAAATCTACCTGGTCAACCCGGTCAAGAAATCACCGTTGATCTAATACAAGGCTTCCAAGTTAGTTCGCCATTAATCTTTACGTGTGAGGTATTGATGTTTCATAGGCCGTCGTTCTATGTGGAGTGCCATATAGCAAACAACTAGAGATCAACGATTGGACTCACCAACATGGAGTACATTTCATTGCTGCGGAAACTCGTGGTCTCTTTGGGTAGGGAATACATATCCTAGAAGAATTCGACACTCAAATATCATACATTTCGCAGCTCCGTGTTCAACGACTTTGGTCCCAAGTTTACTTGCGTGGACCCTACAGGGGAATCACCGTTGAGTGGGATGATCGTCTCCGTCGAACAGGTTCGAATCCGCTATGGGGGCGCAACGCGGTAGCTCATGCCGTATTCACAGGATAAAGAGGGCCTCGTTACATGTTTGGATGAAACGCGGCATGGACTTGAAGACGGCGACTTCGTTACTTTCACTGAAGTTCAAGGCATGACGGAACTGAACGGCTGCGAGCCGCGCAAAATCTCGGTAAAGGGACCCTACACTTTCTCCATCGGCGACACGACTGGGCTTAGCCCTTACAAGACGGGAGGTATCTTCACCCAGGTGAAGATGCCGAAGATCATAGACTTCGTAACTGTCCCCCTCATGCTCTATTTCAGTTTGTCTGACACTTTCCCTAGAAACCCCTTCGCGAATCTCGAGAGAACCCCGAGTACTTTGTCACTGACTTTGCCAAATTCGACAGACCCGCTACCCTCCATGCTGGCTTCCAAGCGTTGTCACAGTTTGCGGAGAAAAATAAACGCTTCCCCCGTCCACGAAACACAGAAGACGCTGCCGTCCTCGTCGACCTTGCGAAGAAAATCAATGCTGATGCCGACGAAAAAGTTATTATCGAACTTGCGTACCAAGCAACCGGCGATGTATCACCAATCATCGCAGTTATTGGTGGCTTCGTCGCCCAGGAAGTGCTGAAGGCTTGCTCAGCCAAGTTCCACCCGATGTTCCAGCACATGTACTTCGACTCTCTCGAGTCTCTTCCAGACCAGTTACCGACTGAGCAAGACTGCCAACCGCTCGGCACTCGCTATGATGGGCAAATTGCAGTCTTCGGTAAAACATTCCAGGACAAGATAGGGAACCACCGTCAATTCTTGGTGGGCTCAGGCGCCATCGGCTGCGAGATGTTGAAGAACTGGAGCATGATGGGTCTCGCGTCAGGTCCAAATGGAATCATCCACGTCACGGACTTGGATACCATCGAGAAGAGTAACCTGAACCGTCAATTCTTGTTCCGCGCTAAAGACCTTGGGAAGTTCAAGGCAGAGGTTGCCGCCGCCGCCGTGGCAGACATGAACCCCGATCTTGATGGGAAGATTCTAGCTAGGCAAGACCCAGTAGGCCACGAGACCGAAGGTACTTGCTATCATTTGTTTCCCGCTTCAGCGTCTCATCGAATTTGCCGCTAGATGTATACTCGACAGAATTCTTTTCTAGCATCGATGGGGTCACAAATGCCCTCGACAACATCAAAGCTCGTATGTACATTCAGCTTGTATCTTAGCTTCTCATTGACTAGTGAACAGGACTATATATGGATCAACGCTGTGTATTTTACGAGAAGCCATTGCTCGAATCGGGTACCCTCGGCACGAAAGGAAACACCCAAGTGATCATTCCTCACCTCACCGAGTCCTACTCCTCGTCGCAAGACCCGCCCGAGAAGGAGACACCGTCGTGTACCATTAAGAATTTCCCCAACGCCATCCAACACACAATTGAAGTACGTGCCCCCCTCAGATTCGTATCATATGAATTAGACTGACGTCCCTCTGAAGTGGAGTCGCAGCCAGTTTGATAATCTTTTTGTCAAGCCAGCACAGTCTGTCAACTCCTACCTTTCCGAGCCCAATTATCTCGAAACAACACTCAAGTATTCGGGTCAAATCACAGAGCAAATTGGCCAAATTTTCTCCTATCTAGTCACAAATAAGCCCCTGACCTTCGAGGAGTGCATTGTATGGGCGAGACTCCAATTTGAGGAGAAATTCAACAACGACATTCAGCAACTTCTCTTCAGTCTGCCGAAAGATGGTGTCACCAGCACAGGACAACCATTCTGGAGTGGCCCAAAACGTGCACCTGACCCATTGACTTTCAACGCTGATGATGTGAGTGGTAACCACCAATCCCTGCAACCGCAATCACTGACACATTTCTAGCCTCTTCACATTCAGTTCATCATTGCTGCTGCTAATCTCCACGCGTTCAACTATGGACTTCGTGGCGAGGCGGACCCTGCACTTTACCGCAAAGTTGCCAGCTCAGTAGACGTTCCTGAATTCACGCCGAAGAGTGGAGTCAAAGTCCAGATCACTGAGAATGACCCGGTCGCTCAGCCTGGTGGCAGTACGTCTGCATCATCTACATTGCTATCAACTCATCTCAGCGTGGAATAGATGACGATGGATCAGATTTGATCGCCCAGCTTCCAGCACCTTCGGACATGCCAGGCTATCGTCTGACTCCCGCCGAATTCGAGAAGGATGATGACACAAATCATCACATCGATTTTATCACTGCGGCGTCTAACCTGAGGGCGACCAATTACAACATCCCTGTTGCGGACAGGCACTCGACAAAGCAAATCGCCGGCAGGATCATCCCCGCTATCGCAACGACGACATCTCTCGTCGTCGGATTGGTTTGCTTAGAGCTGTACAAGGTTGGATCTAATCAGACTTCTGATGCTTCTTATCTTACTAGACTGATGGTAGATTATCGATGGCAAGAGGGACCTTGAGCGCTACAAGAACGGATTCGTTAACCTGGCTCTTCCTTTCTTCGGCTTCTCAGAGCCCATCGCTGCCGCCAAGAACAAGTACCGCGAGACGGAATGGACTCTTTGGGATCGCTTCCAATTCAAGAACGACCCTACGTTGAAGGAGATAGTTGACTGGTTCAGCGAGACTCACAGCCTGGAAGTGTCGATGGTCAGCCAAGGCGTCAGCATGCTCTGGAGTTCGTTTATCGGAAAGAAAAAGGTAAGTAATGTCAACCTTCTATGGTTTATTTGCCCTTCATAACTTCGTCTTTCACAGAGTGAAGAGCGACTGCCCATGAAGTTCAGCAAACTGGTGGAAACCGTCAGCAAGAAACCAATTGCTCCTCACGTCAAGCATCTGATAGTTGAAGTCATGGTCTCGGACGAAGAGGGTGAAGACGTTGAAGTGCCATTTATTGTAGTATACCTTTGAGCAGTAGACAGCGAAAAGTTCGTAACATGTAGCAAGTAGACTCGATGTGAATCAGAAGACCATATTCGTAGAACAAGGTCTACATGTTGCAAAAGGAATGCCTACAGCGATACAGGGTACCGGCGAAAGGGATAGAATCAATTGATGGCCTCAATGGGGCGGCGGCGAAGATATCTGGGGGTGGGGTTAAGGAAATGCTACTGTAGATGTTGGGAGCATCATACGTAGAGGAAATTGGCTATGGTACGGGGGGTGCAAAGAGCAGACCGTGCGTGATAGCTACATGAATACAGTCATTACGACAGGAGAAGAGGAATGAAACGTGAGACACATTCAAATGGGAGCACGGGGTTCCATGTGTGCCCACGAGCCGAGTAGCAAGCAAACAGTCCAATGGAGAATCAAGAGTCCCGCTAACAACAGACATCCGTCAAGTCCACATTGGGGACGAAGGAGTGAGTAGTGCAAGGCAGAAGTTATGGCGAGGTGCATGAGTGACGAATGATGAGTCGAATGATATAGATAGGGGGCCGAATATCCCTATATAGACAGGATGGATATGTCGTCGATGTGGAAGGCCGAGGAAAGTGAATGAGAATAACATGGGGCGAAAACTGGTGAACGCTATTGACAGGGCTGACGGAAATAATACACGCGATGAGACGCCAAATGGAGGAGAATAGACCGCCTGATGCAATAGTGCCGGTCGGTGTTGGTATTATAGGGCGATGCCGACTAAAAAGTGGTGCGTTCTAAATAGACGATACTGACGATGCTGCGGAAGGGATTAGGATCTAAGCCATGCCGATTGAGACGGAGGGTGGGGAGCAAGTGCTTGCGGTGGGTAATATGGACCATGGGTCGCAGCCCAAGGCAAATCGCGAGGAGGCAATGCGGAGTCATTTGCAGTCATCCTTACTTGGCTCCATCTATGGTCGACGTGTGTCTGAGAATAGGAGCGCAAGTGACCGCGTAGTGGGTCTTGACCATGAGAAACGGAGAGGGACCTTGAGTGAGCAGGAGCGGAGACATATGGAAATGCGTGCAAAGTATTTTGCGGAAGAACAGTGGTAGGGAAGCCCTCAAAGAGATACCCTGTAGACTTGATCCCAGGATGGGCGTTCCATTGGCCAGCGTACGGGTAATGGTGTGCTTGGTAAAGAGGCTGCACGGGGACGAACGAAGGCTGCACCGCAACATAATGTCCGTTCACCGCATTCCGCTCTCGGAAGATAGGTTCGCCGCTTGATGGACTCCATTTGGCAGGCGAAGGAACGAGGTTGGACGAGTCTACACACATACGCTGCTCGTAGCGAGGAGGCTCGTATTGCGCTACGTCGGAACGAGTCGAGCGACGTTTAGGAAGATATTCCTCCCGAAGAGGACCATCTTCGTCGAGGTCGATTTCGCGTACAAGTTCCCTTTCCTGCTTTTCCTTCCGACGGGCATCTAACCCTAAGAAGGTCGGCTGAGGCATGTCGCTAGGCGAAGCCGGAGAACTGACAAGAATCTCCTCCATGGCCTTTCGGACAATGGAATGAGGGTTGGTCGAGGGCCTGGAGATGGGCTGAGGATGACTTGGCGAGGACAAGGAGCAGTGGTAGGAAAGGACGTGCGAGAGCCAGCGGTTCCATTCCTCAGGAGGCACCGACAAATCGTACGAAAAGATAGCAAGAGCCATGGATTCGAGTTTGTTGAGGGTGCCTATAGGGACGTCGGAGATGGTGTGCCTAGGATGATAGTCAATAAACAATTTTATAACAGTTCAAAATCGAGCTTACCAAGTCTTGTTCGAAAACGTATGATCATCAAGCCACTTGTTGGCAAGCATACATCCAAGAACGATTAGTCGGAAGGGCACAGCAGCTTGCTGAGACTCTACGCTGACGTCTGAGTGCTCCAACAACAATACCTGCCTAAACACAGACTCTCTGCTACCATCCGTATCGAGACCAACGGCATCAAAGTAGACAGGAAGGTGGACGATGTACCATATGGCCAAAAACACGGCTGATGGCTGGAGGAGCGTCGACAAGAGGAGCGAGTGAACGGCTCCTGTGAGATGCACAGGTGGTGTCAGAGGGTATTGGGTTGATGAGGCACCGCTAGAATAATGTCAATATCCACATTAATGCATCGTCGGAACCGGACGGAGTGAAGGACATACCTTGAAACTGCAAACTTGGGCGGCAGACTGAACCCCGTGGTACAAACTCGCCAAACATAGTTGACTACCCAATCTGCAAGGGGTTCGGCGAGTTTCCGATATCCCGGCGAAGCAGAGGGAGTGACAACTTCGGGAGCGGCCACAGGGGCGGGCACTTGCTCCTTAACGTACTCGACGGGCGGGCGGAATGGAGGTGGTAATGCGCCGCCGGGCATGTAATCGACAGCAGCATAGTAGGGGTCTTGAATAACACGACCCATAGATCGGTCATCCTGCCGATAGGTGACAGCGGGGGTGGAGACGGCGCGGTCAATGAAGTCAGAGAAAGGAGTGACGGGCCCCAAGGGACTGGAACCATCGTTGTCGGTACCCGTCGGTGACTCATCACGAAGCATAGGACTACCTCCGTAGCTGCCCGAACGCGTGCTGCCGGCGCAGTCGCTGGTGCCCCGCACTGTGCCCGAGGAATTCACTGCGTCGACACTCATAGAATACTGGTCATGGTCATTCATGGTGCCAAAAGTGAGTGCCGGCATCTTGGCTTTTGGCTGGGAGGGCACTCCGAGACTTTGCAATAAGGTACCAAGGGGCGGAATACACGCCTGCGCGCGCTTTCCTTTAATAACAACTGCGTCTTCCGCAGCGGTCAACCCCTGGTGAAAATACTGACGATGTCCAGGCACGGCGTGCGTGTCTTCTTCCCAAATGCGCCGCGGCTTGCTTCGCCTCCACGAAGGCAGAGAATTGATCCACTGTTCACGCGTCCCAAATGAGGGCGGAGGACCCGCAGGCGAGACAGGTAGAGATCGAGCTAGATGTTGAAGATCTGACGTGTAGGGATGTGAAGCAGAGCGAGGGTTGAAATTCTTGGCCACGGGGTGTGCGACCGGTTTGTTGTTAAGGGGAACGGGAACTGGCATCTGCGAGGCGGTAAGACCGAGAGACGAAGGCAACGACACAGCACTGTGCAGTTGTCCGGCTTCCCTAGTCTCGGTAGTGCTCCTTGTTGAAAGAGCGAAGTTGTTGGACGCAACAAGTGGGGTCGTTAGGTGAGTCGTGAAAAAGTATATGAGATGTGTCGAGAAAGTGAGGCGAAATCGAAAGGAAGACTAAATGAGATGGCGAACGCGCAACGAAGGCGTGCCTTTTGGATTCTCCAGAGATAAACGGACTAGTGAGTGGCCAGCTGTCAGTTGAAAGCCACAAGCCTGGGACCGATTTCGACCGTCGATGTCTTGTTCTCCTGGGAGACCTGGGATGAGGAAACAGGAATTCGAGCCCTCCGCAGCCGTCGCCTGGATGTCTGTCGCAGAGGAAAGGAGCAAAGCAACCAGAATCGACTGTTGGGGGGGGTCGGTTCAGCCGGGTGTGCGTAACGAAATTCTGACTCCCAGCTCTATATAAAGGGCTCCCACCCTGATTATCAAATTTCTTCCCACGGTCCAGTTTTTGCCGATTTTTTTTTCGAATTTGACAAGTCCACGCAAGTCGCCTTGCTTTCCCGGGTCAATGTAACCGTGTGATGCCTCGCAGTCAGCAGCTTGTTTCGCATTTGCGTCGTCTTGGTTCATAATCTCCGTAATCACATTTGGCTTGTGCATGGTCACAAGAATCCTCTGTTCTGGGAACTCGTTCCATGCTGATTCCCACCCAGATTGTACTCTCTCATCGATGGGATACCAATCCCATCCCGTACAATGGCTCGACTTATCAATCGATAACTACTTAGGTCCTTGCGGATGCCTGATAGTCTACGACGTTCGTGACCATTCCGCTTCCGCGGGAACACTAGATTATCGAGATGGCTGGCTAGATGACAGGTACGTAGACAAGGACAGGGCGAACGCTCGCTGCTCTGATGGATTGCACACACAATGCCTAGCAAGGCAGGTGACAGCCTATGCGCACGGAGATGGGCGGCCACACGACATCAGCAATAGTAATCGAGGACTTCTCAAAACATGCAGGAGAAGGGCTCATCACACATCCATACGTATGATACATTGATGCACGGCCTGAAAGTGTCCCTCTCGGAGCACGTTCCATACTATTGTGTAAAGCTGTCGCATGCGGGTGCATTGCGCGCTGCTGTTGCGTACCCTGGCCAGCAGCTACACCGGACTTGCTGTACCGCAAAATTGCCTAATACGCAGCTGCTTTACTCGGAACATGAGTGGATTCACAGAATTCATCGAAAATCAAGTAGCTTAGGGGGAGTAGCTTGTAAGCGCCCAATTAGCGCTACTCAGACTTGGCCCACCCAAATGCGTTGTATTACAGTCATATACCTCAATGGCCCAGTTATCAGCATTCGTGGGCAGTCAATCCCAGGACACTGGCTCTAATGTTCACAATTCCGGATTGGACTCCATAACCTTGGGTCAGCTCAAGGCTATGGTCGGGTCTGTACCAAAGCCCAAGGTTCGCATATCCGAAGTAGTCGCGGTCCGACGAAGCTCACGAATCGCGTAGAAAACACGATATGATTTCCGCTACGATGATGAAGACATGGTCATGAGCGAGATAGACGAGTTCTACTCGTATGTGGAGATGCCTCAGGCTGGGGAGAATCTCCGAGCATGGGAAGGCTCTTTCGACGGAGGTGCGTAGGGTCCACATTGCAAGTGACGTCGCGCGTTTAAAGGACTTCAAGAATGGACGAAGAGCAGCTTGAAGCAGCGCACATCATATGTCGAGGTTTTACTCGAAAGCTTGGAGCACCGTGATCCTGTGGTTCGCTTCACGAACGCCCGTCGGCTATTCTATGTCTTGCAAGGTAGGTCGTAGCAAGACCTTCCATAATCTTGTTTACATGGGACCCAGGTACATTTGCTGAAATAACATCTGTGGAACATCAACTACACTGGATCATTGAAAACGCGAAGTTGGTACGCTCCGTGAACGGAGTCAGCGCGATTGTGGAAGCAATGAAGATCGCCAGCTCGAAATACGACCTTCTTTGGTGAGGAATACGATTGCAATTTACTTCCCCCTTGACCAATTATCCCCCACAGCGGCATCCCTGATACCGATGTCGACCGCTACCATCTATCTGTAGACGAACGATCGGACGTTATGGAAGAGCTAACGACGGAGATCCACGTTTACCTCGGACTGCTTTACCACATCGTAGAAGTCCTGAAGGGAAATGACGACTTCGCTGATGAACTTAGTACGTGGTCTTCATTAAATGAAATATCTCGTAAAGGACTTACCTACGGCATAGTGAGTTTGGACCCGCCTCTGCCGGTCTACTTGTTTAATGTAGTAGCTGGCATGCGTGACAAGAGTGCTAAGAATTATCCCATCAAGAAAGTACGCCCTTTTCATGTTCTCCGAAGGCTTGACATAATCAGGGATCCATCTAGCTCCTACTCTTACTGTGGAAATCCATGCTCGCATGTTGTGGGGGAATACGCGAACTTGCACGGGTTAAAGCCCTTACACGGGAACTAGACGGCCTCCCCTCAGGCCCTATGGAAGGTAAGCGTAATTGCGCACTAGCAACGTTATTCTGTATTTACTCTAATTTCTGTCAGAAATGCCTATCAAATCGTCGCCAATGGATATTGAATCCTTTAGACATGAAACATCTGTTAAGTACCCGACATTCACGCCCCCTCAAGCTCCAGCGTCCTCGGCCAAGCATGCCAGCAATCCATCAAGTTCAAAGCTCGCGCAGGCATATTCGCCCATACCGATCCGCCATCATTATCACACCGATGACGCCGAATCTCACAACACTAATCAACCGTCAAACTCGCAGAACCCTTTCCACTATCAACAGCCGCCGCACAATCAATACCGCTCGAACCCGCAACCAGCCACGCCGGCGCCCTCACCGCCTCCGTCTCCAAAGCCAAAGAAGCAACAGTTTCATACTGACCCTAACCGACCATTCTTGTTCCCCTTTTCACGGAGCCAAGTCGGACGTGATGCGCGCCTCGTTCCGTTCGCCATCGAGGAGGCGGACAGGCTATACAACAAACACTTGTATATCAGCTTGTCGACACTGCAGATGTGGCGGACGCGCGAGGACTGCATGACGGCCGAAAGTGGACTGGACCACCTGCCGGGACACGAGGTCAAGCCATCAACGACTTATTCCGCCGATGTGAGTAACATAACCATCTGCCATGAGGGTCTGACTTTCGTTCAGGATTCAGATAATGCCGAGCCCTTGCCCGATATAGCACATATTGATGCTAAGATCCTGGAGGCTACCAAGACAATAAATGAGGCTACGTCACATTCTGAGAGGCAGAAGGCACGAGAGCAGAGAGAGGATTTGGTGCGGCTGAAGCGGGTCGAACAGATATATGTAAGTAATTTGGGGTAAGTTGTGGTGACGTATACTAACTGACGATTGTCCCACATAGAGTGCAACCCTTACTACTACATCAAGTTGGGTACAAGTCATCATGAAGCTGCTGCTAGCGACAGTATCGGCAAGTCTTGGCACCCAACCTCCTCCGTCCACGACTTCTGCCATGTTCCCTCCAGGCGTTGCGTCACGTAAGTTGATGGTGTTAACGACTTGTCCGAGCTAACGCGTCTATGTAGCTGCCCAAGAGCAACCACCTCCACCTCCTCAGACGCTAGAAGAGATTGACATTACTCGGCACAGAGAAATAACCTCGAAAGCGGTCTCAGCAATTCTATTGTTAACTCTGAAATGGTACAAGGTTTCCCGTGAGTCTTTTCAATCGTGTATCTTGACATGCCAAGTTCATCTTGTCATGCAGACGTCATGAAGCACCATTTCCTGGGCCAACATCTGCTTGAGTTCAACTGCTTGCTGATCTTGCTGAAGATGTTCAGCATACAGGAAGTCACTAACACGGTCGTACACAAGGCCGATTCGCCGGAGAACAAGTAAATTGTTCCTTGGCTTCCTGAAGCGAATATGGTAATGATGCGTTATGAACAGCTTTTTCCAGCATTGCTTGTATAATTTCTCCAGAAACCCACCGTCTCTCGGGGCGGAACCGGTGCAACAGACGAGACCATCCATTCCTCGCAATCTGGGCGACGATGTCGAACTTCTGACTGATTACTCATGGAGAAATCTCTTCACTGCGATAAACTTTGCCAAAATTATGCAGAAGTTGTCTAAGCATCGTTCTCACCGTATTTGGATGCTGTCGCAGCACAAGAGTTCCGTGCGTTACATTGATCCCGCGTTATCTGTTGCTGTATTTGATGACAATATTAGGCAGTATTGAAGCGAATAACGAGAGTCGCGCACCCGATGCTGCAGCTTCAAGCATTGAAGCTCATCAAGAGTCAAGTTCCATATTGTGGTAGAAAATGGCGAACATGTAGGTTCCGTTCTACTTTTTCTGATCGTCGCGTCTAATTCTAGCGCAGCAAATATGAAGGTCATCACCCAGATCTACCTGAACTGCCGTCCAGAGCTTCGCGACGAATGGCTGACGGGAATGGAGCCAGAGGATCAAAACGAAGCTCAGGTGTGTAAATTACTAACATTCCATTATCTTGTTATTGATCGAGCTTGAAGGCACAAGAACAAGCCCTTCGTCATCTTCTGAAATTCTGTCGGTACCCTCGTTATATTTAGCTTATCGCGTCTAAACTATCTATACAGACAACACCAGGCGCTATGGCTCATCAGGCGCTTCTAACCATAGCGCGATACATAGAAGAACAGGTAGCGTATCCCATGGCGGCGAAGGGCTTCACTCCGGTTCGGACATGTCTAGTTTCATTAGACCGGCAGGCACTCCGAACGTAGTGGATTCCGACGTATTCCCCCCTCCACGATCCCATGCACCGAACACGTCAATCTTCCTACCATACATCACAGAAGATATTGCCTTCGAGGAAGAATACGAGGAGTATCTCTCGGATCTCGGTTGGACCAGCGAAGACGATTCGGACCGCGCTCTCTTCGGGGGAACTTCCGCATGGCACCGATTACCTGCCTTTGCCTCCGAGATAGCTGACGGCATAAGTGACTCAGAGAGTATAGCTTCAATTGGTGACCTGGGGGACGATGCCCGGCTCGATCTGAGCAGAGAAGACCGGGATAGCGTGGATGAGAATGTGAACAACTGGGAGGTGAGCTTGTTTAGGGTACTCGTGCTCGGAGCGTAGCTAACTCGTTCGTCCCTTCTTTCGTAGCACATGAGTCCGAAGACCATGGCCGCGTTACCAAAGTCCCCCGCGGGAGGACGCCGCTCGAGCTCTGGGGGCGGACTTCGGCCTGTGCTCCCGTTCGGCCTTGATGACGAGAATGCGGTGGATGACGATGATGAACCCGAGTTAGGGCCTGCTCCCCGAGAATCCGACGGGCCATTTGCGTCTGGAGCTGGCGTCGATGAGGTGGAATATGCATATGGGTGAGTATTTTCGCCAGTCAAATATCCAAATCGCGCTCTAACGTAGATATCTTTTAGTGTATAAGGACAACGGGCAGAAACGACGAAGTCTTGCATATCGCTTAGAAGCTTTCGTGGAGCACTGGAATTTCCCGAGATTATCTTGATGCTACATAGAATAAATCTCGTCCAAATGATTCCATCGCTCTATCATCATCCCGGTGAGCTAGATGATTTACTTGATACCAATACCAGTGGTCAAATAATTCATGCAATTTGTTGTCTTCGATTGTTTATTTGGGCACTGTATTCGAGTGCTTTATTTTGTCTTTGTATGTTGCACCTGGTGCTTGGATACACAACCACACCCACCATAAACAACCACGTCAGCCCACCTCATCGTCACAAACAACGACGAAGCCCATTGCTCGTCGTGATACATAACGTAGAGCGCTCTAAATTGCTGTAAAATGGAGTGACGGGTGGTCCGTGCGTCGTGGGGATTTCCCGAAAACGCGTGATCACATAAGCAAGTTGGTTGCTGTAGCTTTCATCCTCGTTCCCCCCACACCCGACACAACGACCAAGCATAGAGTTTTGCGACAGGAACTGTCTCCCCGACGTTGAGCACAATGGCGCAGCAGCTTCAAGCACAAGACATGCCTGAGCCAGGCCAGGATCCAAATATGATCAGTGACTACTACCAGCAGGAGGCCAACGACCTCACGGGTGGCCTGCCCATCAATCTCGACTCGCTGCGAGATGGGCCACCCGGCACAAAGCCTTTTTATCCGTATTCTACGTTGATTCGGTGAGTTTCTTTCGGAGTGTGAGGAAGAGTTGTTGGTTGTTTGGATTGTTTGTACCAGAGTTGCTGACTGTTGTGCTTGGGTGTCGGTAGTTATGCAATCAAAGGCTCTCCAAACCAAAGGCTCCTGCTCGAAGATATCTACTATGCTATAGAATCAAGAGTATGTGTTCTCTCCACACCCCCTTCAAAAGTGCAAATAACCAACGATTCTCTCTAGTTTCCCTATTTCAGAACAGCTCCCAGTGGTTGGAAGGTGAGTCACTGTTTGGCCGTAGCTCGATGTCAAACTCACGCAAAGTCGCACAGAACTCTGTCCGACACAATCTCTCACTCAACCCATGCTTCGAGAAGGTTCCTCGACCACTCACCGACAGAGGGAAGGGCTCGTACTGGGTCGTGAACGATAATGTAGACCCTCGTACTGGTGTACATCGGATACGGAAGAAGAAAACGAAGTCGTCCAAACGTTCATCGGAGGAAGCTGACTACCAACCCGCGGACGGTGGATTCGACAACCCGAACGCGCAGTTTGTTCCACCTCCTTCGATGGACTCGGATGATGCTGCAGGTCCCAGCAGACAACCGCAACCTGTGGTGTATCCTCCAACCTACCCCCCGCCTGCGTATGTCCTTTCCTTTTCATAACCATAACATGCCCTGGAACTTATGTCTGCCACAGGTTCGACCCAGCCTTCATGATGGGCGTTCGATTTAGCATCCCCGGCTTGCCATTGGACGAAGGAATAGAGCTAGACGAGCAAGGCAATGTCAACTGGCGCGCGGCTTGGCTGAAGGAGATAGGGCATCTACAAGCGCTCACGGCAGATCAAGAGAAGGCTGGGGTAGATCAGGAATGGTACAGGATGATGTTCGTTCGAGTCAGGACTGCGTTCATGCCGCCGATGAATCCTGAAGCCATGATGCAGCTTGCAAACGCGCACGGGATGGTCCCCAACGCGGTCGATCCCCAACATCAACAACTACAGCAGCAAGTGCAGGGCCAGCAACCCCAACCACAGTAGCGCACCCCATAGCACTGTCTTTGTAAAGTATCGCGTTGTTTACAATTTTGTAGTTATCCATAGTTGCCGAGATAATTTACTGGACGCTTTATACCCGAACATGACCGATTCCCTTGACGAGCTGTCCGAAGTGGCTGATTCAGGATGTCGTGAGTAAGCTGTGATCGACTTCAAATTTGAGTCTGAACCACGACCTGAGTTCGGTCTCCACCACATTCGTTTTGCCTTCCTGCAGTGCAAATACCCCCCACATCGTCAAAAAGTCCATGTCGCCTGCGGCCGTATACACCACTGGGGTCACTACCCAATATCAGCCCCTAGCCACCAAAGCAACTGGATCTACTCTCGTAATCGGCTCCCCGTCGACCGCTAGAGATGGACAGTACCAGGCTCTAATAACAGAGCTGGAGAACGATGCTGGGACTGTCGAGAAGCAGATGCTAGATCGTCTGGTAGATGCAGGTGCGCAGACTGACTTGGTGGCCTTCATTACCAAGTACCGATGAATTTCGCTCCAGCGACCACAATGCAACCCAGCTCCTATGCAGCGGTTCACATAACGCTTGACTCATCGGAGTACGAAGGATTGCTGCCCAATCTCCCAGCACTCTTGTTGCAGATCCAGGAAGGCTTGAACCCCCTTGGCACGCTCCATCTCCGCAATCTCACTTCGACTCTCAGCACAATTCCTTCGGAGCTGACTCTCGCTGGATTCACAATACTGTCGGGGCTTAACGCCGACGGCAGCATAATAGCACAAAAGCCAGGCCACTCTACTGGCGCCGTATTTTCGCTGAAGAAGCAAGCGCAACGCTTGAATGGCAGTGCGCCCATCGCGGCCCTGCCCCGACGCAAGACGGACAATGCGACGAAGAAGGCTCTTTGGTCTCTTAACGCACCATCCGCTGCGAAGATTGATGCTGAGGCCCTGCTCACACCAGCCGATCGGGAGCGTCCTGTCCCGCTGTGCGAGCCCGTCAACCCATCGGCGCCCCGCAGGAAGCGGGCGTGCAAGAACTGCACATGCGGTCTTGCCGAGCTGGAGCAAGAGGAACTTCGGCAGAGCAATGTAGTCATCATTGACGGTTCGCAGGACGGTGGAGCGCGAGAGGTTTCGCAGGCGGAGAAGGAACGTTTGCAGAAAGCGGCTCAGGCCGCATCAAAGGCCACCAGCAGCTGTGGGAACTGCTATCTTGGAGATGCCTTCCGGTGTGCGAGTTGTCCTTATCTTGGTGAGTCTGTACTCGACATCCACTGTCTCGTTTCTAATAAAGTTATCCCAGGGCTTCCTGCTTTCAAGCCGGGCGAAAAGGTCGTCATCGATTTGGGTATGGATGATATTTGAGTATCGTCCCTTCGTTCTAATACATACTACATATCACCTAAATAATATGTATGCCGCTATTGGCTAGTGTACGACGCACTGTACTGTTTTGCTTAACATTTGCCCCTGTTGTCACGTGATATATCATTGAAGGAACAAGTTTTGAAGTCGATTACTTTTGAAGTCCCTCATAATGAACTCCCTGCCATCTGAGCCGGATACTACGACAACTGCGAACGCTCGGCCGCTATGCAGCATCTGTAATCATAAATTCTCGATATATACTTGCCCTAGATGTTCTACGCGTACATGTTCATTGCCCTGCTCGACAAAACACAAGACGAACGCAGGCTGCACCGGCGAGCGCAACAAAGCAGCATACGTACCGATGAACAAGTACGGATGGGGCACCATGATGAATGACTTCGTGTTCTTGGAGGATCTGGGGCGCAAGGTCAGCGATTGGGGGAAGGAAATCGTCAAGGGCGGACTTGATCATGGTGCGAATCCTGGTGGAAGAGGTAGAGGCAGGGGGATACTGACTCAAGGAAGGGGGCGTGGTGGCATGGCCCGTGGAGGACCAAGCAGAACGAAGAGAGATATTCTGAAGATCCAACTTGACATACGAGATATTGACATGGAACTCCTTCCAAACGGTATGGAAAAGCGAAAGCTAAATCAATCAATATGGGACTTCAAGTGTGTAATCTACCCATGTCCCCGAATATTACAATGTTTTATTTTCGATGTGCAGAAAACAAACAGCCTTCTTGACGATTGAATTTAAAGTCCATCCTCCTCGAGATCCAGCAGCGCCTTCAGCACAACCGTTAGATCCCCCAATAAAGCTCCTCACACATCGCAACAGTATAGATACGCCTATCCTTCCCCTCCTGCAAGCCTATGCCACGCAACGGTCGAAATCAAAGCATCCTTGCCCAGCATGGGTGTCCACTTTGTTATTCCCAGATCCCGATGACCCAGACTCCTTTCATCCCCCCGAATTCGTCATGCGTGCGCAGATGGACCCAGAATATCTGGCAAGAAACCGCGGAAATGTCGAGGCAGGCTATTACAAGTTGGAGCACTCTGAGCCGCTGCTCAATGCTTTGCGGGGGACCCATTTCGTCGAGTTTCCGATTGTGGAGGTTTGGGAGAAATTCCACGGTACGATCGTCACTCCGGAGGGCGACGTGACGAAGGGAGAGGGAGAGAGCAGACCAAAGCGCAGACGGGTCAACGCGAGAGCTGGTAAAAAGGCGATGGACAGTTTACTCGGCGGGTACGGGAGTGAAAGCGATAACGACGTTGACGGGCCAGCGCAGAATCTCCTGAACGCGCTCGGGGGGTACGATGGGAGCGAAGACGAGGGCGCTCAGCTGGAGGTCGACGGGGAGATAGACGAGGGAATGGATATAGACGCGGCTGCGGTACTTGAGCTGATCAAGCAGGCTCGAAGGGAAAACTCTACGAGAACAGACAGTGATGATGATAACGTCGATTGGGGTGATTCTGACGATGAGGCTGAAATATAATGATCGCGTTATGGTACTCCTTCAGGAAGATCGCATAGTATATGTCTGAGCATTAGACATCTTGCCTGCGTAAGTCAAGGAGACCTTTCATGAGAAGCTGCACCTCTAGTACTGCGTCTACTGAATGGCTTAGAGGTGTTTCTTGCGTGTTTCTGACGGGTGAAGCCGTCTTGACTTCGACCTCCCACAATGTGTCTGCGTGCGCTGGAATAGGTTGCTGTGTCTTGGGATCTACCTAGAAATTGTAGATCGTTGAGAGCAGTATCCAGAAGCCATTGCACACTACGTACATGCTCCTGCTGGAACATTTGAATCACCAATTGTCCCTTCCGGAAGGAGAACCCGCGTTTGTAGATCTGAGAACGACGGCTACAACACATAGTCGGCCTTCACGAACAAGCAGAGGAGAATCGGCGCGTACATGTACCCCAGTGCACATGCAAAACTGAGGGCATCCCCCATAACATTGACAGTTGCCCAAGGACGGATCGTCGCTTCATGGTGTACCCTTACCGACTCAGGCTTCAAATACGAATACAATATCCTACGGAGTGAACCAAATAGATTTCAGAATAGGTTCCAGTAGAGCATAGAGTACACTCACCATTCCGCCTCTGGGTCAGTCATATCTTTCTTCGCCCTCAACAGGACGGGTTCGTTGCCAGAATCCCTCTGAGATATAGCGTCTATTGGTTCGAAGACGACTTCACGGGTATGCATTGGCTGCGACGACTCGCTGTGAAGAGTTATACGATTGAGGACGGGTTTGAGATCCTTGGCGAAGAACTCTCCGAATAATGCGACCTCATAGTGATGTGCAGACATCGTCGACTGGGTTCAAAGTGTATCCACGCGTTAAACGCCCAAGACAAACTGATTACAAGGGCCATACTATTATTTGCAGCTAGTAGTTACTTCTATGCATCTAATTAGTATATGAAAAAATAGAGGCCGAGGATGCGTTGGGGTTTACAGCTTCCTGACTTGCGCCGAAGTGCAACCAAGTTCAGCTAGAATCCCTCCAACTGGCCCTTGGGAGAAGTTTCGACCGTAAGGTCCAGCAATTGCGGAGATCATGCTAACAGGCTCTATCAACAATCTCGTGGCAGGGAGGAGGCTGCTGATGTGACTTACGGTTCAGGTCCACACACGAGGAAGAGGATTCGACGCTGAGGAGAAATCGCTGGCTTTGGCGAACTGAATGGGCCGAATGCACGTTTCCACCAATTTTGAGGTGACTCAGGTTCCGTATACTTGCGAACTGATTCCAAGTTGATGCGACCTTCGCTAAATGTGTTTCGACTGGTTATAGCGGCACTTCCATCATCCGAGTCGACGAACAGACCGAGTCGGAAACGGTCGCTGTGTTGTTCCGCGTAATCCGTCAACTGGCGCATCATCACCGGAGGGGGGAAGTCCGATGGCGTCTTGGATGAATGCAACAGCGTGAAACGCGTCTTCGACGTTGGTCCAGCTGGACGAATGACGGAGTGGAAGAGCTGATAGAAGGGTGTGATCCCTGTCCCTCCAGAAATCTAGACGATACGGTTGTATTGTCATTAATGAGAGGATTACAGTACAGTCATTTACGCGACGTACCATCACGACTTCATCCCATTCATTCTCATTCCATAGCCAAGTTTGCAAAGGCCCCCGTATTTCAATTTGCTCCTTGGGCTTTTTGGAGTGAAGCCACCGTCCAACTTCACCTTTTGGATATGCCTTCACCCACAGTAGCATGTTTCCCTCCGCGTCAATACCTTCAAGGGGCGTGTAGGGCCGTTCCACCTGAATGTCGTCGTCCTTGACAAATATCGACCAGATTGGACGGCATCCATGAAGCGAGCCATCCACTGGAATTAAGTGCTTGGGTATGTTCAGTTTCATGAGCTTCGTATCATGATTGCACGTCTCGCTGGACAGCAGTGTGGCCGGCGTGAAATGGGTGGGGGAGAGCGGGGCATCTTGAGACGTCGGCGCCGAACGCGACTCGTCTGGATATAGAAAATACGCAGCGAGACACGCCCCAGCGAGTAGACCTGCAACGCCAGGTGCAGCACGGGTTGCGGAGAAGGCGCGTCGGGATCCGCCCTTGTTAGGAAAAGGCGGCATGGTGCGCACTAGCGCCCGGTCAGGAATAAAAGGCGCTTAAGGATAGTTCCTTCCTAGTTCACGACCACGACCACAACTATCCGTCCATTTCTAACCTTTGGATTTTCCGCGAAACAATGGCTACTGGATCACAACTGCTATGCAATATGGGATGGGTGCTGGCGCCGTCTACATCAAGCCCTTCACTGCCTTACTCTGCAATGGATTGGGCCCAATCTCCAGCATTATCATCATGGGCGGACATCACTCTATCTGATTTCCAGTCAAACGCTTACCATCCGGATACTGGCGTAACTCGAGCTGGACTCGGCATATCCTCTGTGGACAAAGCGGTACACTCACGACCAACGACTACCACTCACATGGCGTCTTCGACTTTCAACCACGCCCTACCAGATTCTCCCCTGCCGGATATCTGCAATACATGGATTGCCGCTGAATACGCATTTAAGACAACAGGATTCTATAATGCTCCCAAAACTCTACCTGCCTGGGATTATCGCTCTCACTCTGGGTGCCACAGCTTCGACACGAGCACGACTTCATACGTGAACTCCGACCTGGATTCTGACTATCATTTCAACTACCTCAAAGGAATTAAAATCAATGAGCCTGGAATAGAGGTGCCTATGTGTGTTGATCCTGTTGATCTGACGGGTCCTTCAAAGAATGTAGCCATTAAATCCGAAGAAGTTTCTTTCGAAATCTACATCGATAGCACTTTCTCTCCAACCAACGACGCTCCTCAAAGATTCTCTCAAGAAATCTCGTATCCTGAAGCAGTCAACCCTCCGCCTAATGGATCGCCTTCTTTCACACCGATCGACAATCTCCCGGTGGACTTCCCTTCTCCTCGAAACAGTTGCCTTGTTGCCAGACCCGATGCACCGGAGGAACACTTGCCTGATCCTGTTCCCGTTAGGCCTCCCATGTGCAATGATAATTCGCGGTGCTCACTACCTGTTACAAACCCTGCCACTGTTGCGACACATGCCGCTCCCTTGCTTGAATTCCAAGAAGCTCCTTCGCCAACAGACCTCCCACAAGTGAAGAAAGAAGAGGGCGAATTTCTATGGTCGAACGTCAACGTTAGCTACCTACTACAAGACATGCAATGTCCACCGGATAACAAACGTTTCGAACTACCCAAACCAACGACAAACATCAAGAGAGAGTCACGCCCTTCCTCCGTGGAACCGGCTTGGTCTGCACATGGCGGCATCGAGCTGGAAGTCCTACTGTCATTTTTTGCCTCGTATATGGCTCAGAACGCGAACCCTGGCACTGATGTTGACAAACGGTGGATGCTATCCTTTGTTGGAAAGTTGTCGCCAAGCGGAGAGAAACTTACTGAGTATCGATGCTATGTTAATGGGTGTACCCAAGTCAATAAGAGAAGGGATCACATTCTTACCCACCTGCATTCGCATCTGGACTACCGTCCGTTTCGTTGCCAAACCTGGTACGTCCTCAGCCTCGTTCCTGACTGCGACTGATGATCTTCGTTATTAATCTCCATACTCTCTCAGCCCGGCGAACTTCCTGCGCAAGAACGAGCTCAAGCGACACGAACTAAGTCACACGGGTGTTCGACCACATGTCTGTCCCTTATGTTCCGTGGCGTTCAACCGACGCGATCTATGGAAGAGACACCTCAAGAGGAGGCACGATGTTGATCCCGGGAGAGGATCATACAACTAAAACTCAACTTTCATCATGTCATATAAACCGTGAAGCTCTGTCATCTACATCCCCGGCTGCCAATATAATCTACGTGTTATAACCTATGCGATATGGTACAATGTCAACAAGGGTGAAAGCATGAAATCAACAGATGCAGTAAACCCAGATCATTAGATAAATACAGACTGTAACCAGTATCGTGAACGATTACTGCTAGATGGAAGACGCATTATATACAAACCAGGCGCGCCAATAAGGGATATCGTTCGTTAGTCCGAATAGTAGAAAAGGCGGAATTAAGGTCTCCAGACGGCGTGACGGGCGGGCGTCGGGGGCATAGATCGTTTTGCGCGGCTCGATGATAGTGATGATAATTTTGATGGGGTCATTGGCCTCAACAGTGGTGCATCGGGTTCGGCCCGACGAATGAATTGTAGTGGAGTCAATGGTGAACCTTTAGCTGAAGGCGATGACTTGACCGACTGCGGGCTCTTGCTGGTTGGAGTTGAAAGAGCGAATGTTGGGACGAAAGGGAACCTGGGTTCTGGGGTACGAGGAGGCAACGGGGGGGAGGTGACCTCTGCGGCTTCGAGTAACGATGCTGAGTTTATCCATTTCTCTTCTCCTGCACCTGGCCGGGGAGGAGACTCGGGCATGAGCCGGAAGCTTTCCGCACAGTGATCTCTAATGAACCTGTGCAAGTGTCAGATACAAAGTAGCGTTGCATGTTCAAGATTACTCACTTCGACAATTCCGCCCATCCTCCCCCTACACGAACCATCACCGTGTGCGAACGAAGAATCCTGCAGAAACAGAGCTTGGGATCTTGGTCTCCAATCCAATACTTCCCGCTCTGATCCTTCCAGGTCTCTGCAACACCCTCGATGCTGATGTTCACGGGGAGGTTGTTAACAACATCGCCGATTGCAACATCGAGCTTGCTCTTTGGATCCGGAATGTAAGCTTTCTTTGGTCCGGGTATAGGTTTCTTAGGTTGAGGAGTGGGCGTCTTGGATAACGAAAGTCTTGGAGCCCGCGACCATGTCCCTATTCCACTTCGAGAGGTTCGCACAGATTGTGATAATTCAGAGATAACGGGCGAAGCGGTGCGACTAGTTTGACCAGTTTGCGCTCGAACCCGTTGAGTGATCCCTGTGGATCGGTTGGTAGGCGTCGTGGTGGATGTTGAAAGGCTATTAGTCCGTTGGCGAGAGGCAAACGTAGGCGCATATAACGAGCTGTGGGTCCCTGATACTGAACGATTGGTTGACACAGATGACAGACGACTCGACGAACGACTGATAGAGTCAGAAGAGCCGCCTGAAACGGCACGTCTGGTTGACGGCAAAGCGGGGCTGAGGAATCTTCCTTTTGAAGGACCAGCCCCAGCTGATAAACCGGCATAGCTACCAGGTTTCCGTGAAGGTTTTGATTGTGCGAGGGTACTAGCAGAGGATCGGCTATCGCGGCCAGAGCTTCCTTGCGTCACACTGGTGACACTTGGAGGTCGAGATTTGCGCCCTTGCAGGCGGTCCTTAGCCATTTCCTCGAGTTCGTTCCACGTTTGCATCACCCGCTGCTGCTCAGCCGAAGCACGAGGATCGCGTCCGACGCTTTGTATGGCGTCATCAAGGCTACCAACGACGGTGCGAGTGAAAGAAAGACGAGCGTTGAGCTGAGCTTCGGGTGGTATATCCATTGGCGGTCGGTAATCTGAGGCCAGAATGCCCAGCGGCGGGGCGGGATAACTGTCGATATGTTCCAGCAGATCACTCAAGGTCGTATCGCACTTCTGGATGATGGACACCAAAGAGTTGAGGTGCTGCACCTTCTGCATGAGTTCGGTAGTCGCGACGATATCTGCCTTCAGAGAAATAAGGTCCAGGTTGACAGAAGGGTTATCGACGGAGTCGGGTAATTGCTCGGCCTCCTGGCAAATCGAGGAGAAGTCTTTGTTTAACTTCTTGATTAGGTCCGAAGAGGGAAGTGCGGCAGTATCAGAACTAGGGAACGCGATCTTGCCTATACTAAGAGAGCGTAATCGTTTCCTCAAATTGCTGATCTTGAGCTGAAGAATGCTATCTTCAGCACTCGGCCTTTGACTGATGGCGCTTGGGCCAAACACATCTACAGTAGCAACGTTAGTGTCTGAGAATGCCAAAAGGCTCCGGGCTTACCATCTGAGTGGTCGTCTTGAGGTGAGGATCTCTGAGGCGCTTTCCCTTTTTCTTGTTGGAGTTGGGCCATTTCTTCCGCAATCCTAGCTTTTTCAGAGCGTAGGCGGCCTTCTTCAGCCTGCAGCTCTGCCTCGATCTTTCTGATCTGGTCCGAGACCTTCCGTTCATGCTCCAGCCGATGTTGTTCAACCTGTTCAACCGCAAGTCGTCCTTCTGCCACTTGTCGAGCATGTTCATCTCGGAGACGAGCTTCCTCTATTTGAAGTCGTTCAATTGTGGCGAGATGTTGCTGCTCCAAGAGGTGGTTCTTTACAGAATCAGCAGCGAACCGTTCGCGTTCTCGTTGCAAGACACGCCGCGCCTCCGCCAGCTGCAATCGTTCCTCTTCTTCCTGCTTTTCCCGACGCTGTCTCTCCTTCTCTGCAGCTTCGTTTGAAGCCTTCTCCCTCTCCGCTTGCAAGCGGCTGTCTTCGGCGAGTCTTAACTGCTCAAGACGCTCCTTTTCCTTCCTCTCCTCCTCAAGACGTTCCAAGTCAAGCCTCTTGGCCTCGACTGCTTGAGTGCGCAAAAGGGTCTGACGGAAGGTTTCAGCACCTTCTCTCCACGACGTGAAGCGCAACTCCGCGTCATCAACCGCTCTGCGTCGAGATAAGTAGATCTTCTGGTAAACAATGGGATCTCGAATCGCGGGTGTAGAGTCGATCTGACGGAGAAGTTCTTGTATGGGAGAGAAGGACCGGAATATTGAAGAAGGTCTGTCTTGAGATATGGCGTCTATCTGATGGATGAGATCTTGTAGAGACGCCATGGTGTTGCCATCGGGAGGATTAGGGGGAAGCGAGCCTTTCAAGCGTGAAAGCTCCTGGGTGAGGGTATTGATGTCGTCGGAAATCGCAGCAAGCGCAGCGTCTACATTCCTCGCCATACGCGCAAGGTCGACCTGTATACTCTTCTGTCGGAGGGACTCCATGCTGCCGCTCAATCGCATAGTGTACGAGTTGCAATCGGCTCTGACGACAGCGTCGAGAGCACTCGAATCGAATGCTGACGCGTCTGCACAACTCTGTTGAGACACAAAAGGAACTCTAGCGACCAAGCTCTCTTTGAAGGACCTAAGACGGCCTTCCAAGAGACTAATGATTTTCTCCAGTTCGTCGTCGGAAGTAGTTTCTTGCGAAGGAGTCTCCTCTAGAATATGAAGGATGCGGGCGGTTTGTTGAGCAGAAAGTTCTTCAATCTGAAGTAATATAGAGTCTGCCTCGTCACATATAGAGCGCATCGCTGTTGCTTGAAACTCCACGTTCTCTGATAGAGCAATAAGCTGTGAAGAGTTGTTGAGGAGTCTCTGTATGCGCTGTACTTCGCTGTTGACATGCTCGGATAAGGACCCAGCCAGATACGAGGACAGGGACCTCAATGGGACTTCGACCTCATCGGCATGTCGCTCACGAGCGTTTTGCACCTGGTCAGCGAAATTTGAGGGTGACGTTGGAGTCAGCGAAGCATTCGTTGGTGTTGGTGGTGTGATGGGCGCTTCGTGAACATTTAATCTACGCCATTTGTGCTCCTCGATGTCTTGGATGACCTGATGTTGTAAGGCTTCCAAGTTGTTCGACAGCGAGGCCATAGTCGAGCAAACCTGCCGCACTTGCCGTAGTTGTCGCGTTGTTTCATCCGCTTTCGTACCTGCTGTTCGGCCTCGTTCTCGAAGGTCGGAGAGCTCCTGCAGGCGATCGGCTACGGTGGTCTTGAACCCACTATGGATACCGTGTTGATCCAGTTGTATAGACAATATCGACCAATCATCTAGTATACGACTTGTTCGTCCCAACCCTTGGTCTAATTGTTCTAGGAGAGAAGGTAGAAGCGCCAGGAACGCCGAATGACTAGCTGGTTGTAGAGAAGCCTTGGAGGAGAGAGAAGGGAAGGTGCCATCGTCGCCGCTTGCTGGTATGCCGTGTTGTAGTTGATTAATGATCGTAGCTAAAGACGTGCGACAGTCCTCGGACGCTTTCACCAGAGCTTCCGCTTGGCCAACAACTTGAGCCTTTGTGCTGTATTCCTGTACGAGCGAGTTCGCGGATCGAACCAGTTCTGAGACAGAGTGAACGTCCTGAGAAATCGTCTGAACAAGAAATTCGTTGTAGGCCTTTTGCCCGGAGAATAATGGATTGACTGGACACGGGAAGGTGCTCTTCGAAGAATCAGGGGCGTCGCGTAAAGCAATGCGCCTCTTAAGTTTGTCAATCCGAGTCTCGAAGGACAGGCTCTGCGCGGCGTTTGGAAGGTGAAGTTTTGCTGTCTCCACTTCTTCGATCAGCGTCTGAGCTGACGCCTTGTCCTTCATGGTTTCAACATACAACTCATCAGCCCTACAACAAGTCAGACATTGGTTGATGGAACAACATCTAAGGATTCTCACTTTCTCCACTGCGCTACAACATTCAAAGCGAACTTTCCCACTTGTTCCAAATCGTTGAGGGCCTTCTCCTCTAATCGATCTTGTTCGTCCAGGAGCTCATCTGGGACCGGGCGCCGGCTCGAGTCGATAAGCTTGTCGAGAGCCTTGCCTGCAGCCGCAATCTTCCCATGCCTGAGGGCCGATATTCTGGCATTGAAATGTGACGCCTCTCTCGCGAGTTGCTCCGATAGCTTGAACCTCGCCCCTCGCGAAAACCCGACGGAGTTGACGGAGCTCTCGGAGGACACGGAAGCAGCTGAAGAGATGGACGCAACAGAGCCTCGCCGTATGATCGGGTGGAAAGACTGGTCCTCAGAAGCGTTCAGTGTCTCGTAGACCGACGGCGACCACTTTGCACGGGTATCGAGGAACGTCTGTACACTTTGTAGGATGCTTTGCTTCTCGGACCAAGCTGCGGCGCGGCATTCTTCCCAGGTTATCCTAATTTCGAGTAGGTCTAGGTGCTCTGACCGATCACGTAGGAGGTGCAGTAGTCGGTCAAGGTCAAATATAGTCGTGAGGGTGATTTCGATGAGGTCCGTGTCTTCGGGAGATAGGTTTCGTTGCGCCGCAGCTATGGCAGCGACGTGAATAGGCTAAACCCAGCATATATACGATGGACGCACCCTTCGTGAATTTCTTGAGCTTCTTCATCTCACCAGAGTCAAAGACTTCCGTCTCTTTCTCAATGGCGTCGTGGTCGATTAACCACTGCTTCAGTTCCTCTCGAGAAGGTAGGCCAGGTACTTCAATAGCTGAGGACCGAACAGCATCTAAACCCGCAAACACTTCAATAGGAGGCATTTTCTCCATAATCTCAAGAAAGAGTCAGCGTCCTGAAAGGGTGCATTAGCGAGCCGGGCGCACCTTTATCTTCTCCTCTATCCACTCCTTCCTATCAATAAACGCCTGTAGTTCTATAACTTCATGAGACTCTAAAGCCTGTTCCTCTCCTTCCCTGGTCGGCGAGGGTCGTGGCTGCGCATTGAGTAGTCGTTCCGCAGCCTGTACATCGAGAGTCTTGTCCCCGTTCAACGGAAGACTGCCAGCTAACTCGAGACTGGGCCGCGTGGATGCCATGTATGATCACCAGTTGACAAATGTGTGGATGTGAAGTGTCTGCCGAATTATAGAGTGTTTATGCAGCAAAGTAAGGCCCCTTCAGCATGGATAATAGATTTGGTCGCTAGAGCATAGAAAGATCGTGATATTGAGGTGAGGCAGCAATGAGGCCTGCCGTAGTGTTGCCCAGAGTAGAGGGGTGGGAGGGAGTCAGTCGACACAAACAATCCGGCGCTTAGGTGGCATCACAACCGTTGAACATCCTGAATGAAGTACATCATCCGTGGCAAAATACAGCACGATAGAAATCAGGGATTGATGTACAGATTATCTTTACAAGGAAGCGAGGTAAGGGCTCCCGGCTGAGCGCCGAATGCCATATACTGTCGAACAAACTCTCAGCGCGGGGACTTGTGATGCGCATCAATGCATTTTGAGTTCAACGAGGGGCCATGATTATGTAGTGGTAGACTTACCGCACGCGTGTCCGCGAGCTCCGGTAGCGTCTGCAGTCGCAGTGCCACCATACGAAGTGCGTCTACCTCTTCAGAAGTTCCGCTCTTGGTTTGATAGCCATGCTCTAGCTGCAGTTTCTGGACGAAAGAAGCAATATCGGCCAGCGATACACCTAGCGAGCGCAATATTGTGGCGGTATCCCTGTCAAACAGTCAGTCTACGTCCAATCATGAAGGGTATACACCGTGCGCGTACCGATTGTGAGTCTGAATCTGAGTCAGCACCGCAAGTTGCTTAACGAGTGCATCGTCTACAACAAATTTCGACTTAGCCAACGAGCGAGCCTGAGCGGAAGACAGTCCATTGATGTCCTTCAACGCTTGGTCTATAGACGTCTGCTGGTTATCGCGAGCAGCCATTAACTGCGATGTCGTAAGACTCGTTTCTCTACGTAACTGTCGTATTGTGAGCTCAAGTTCAGAAACAGTCTGGGCCATTGAGGACAATCTTCTCCTCATGAGAAGATATGGCACGCAAACGAAGGGAGTCATGAAGACCGCCAAGGTGGCGATATGGGTGCCAAGAGTTGGTCGTTTGGATCGCGATAAAGCATTATCGAGGCGTTCTGAAGGGCGTTCTGTAGACGACGAACGCGTTTCAATACTGGGAGTAGGCTGCGGCTGCATTGGGCTGACAGTGAGAGCGAGAGATTAGATGTGCGCGTGATCGTCTATGGCTGGCCCCTTACCGCCCCTGAATTTCATCTAGGAGGTGTATTAAATCGCAGGAACAGAAATCCAGTGTCAACTATTCAAGCTTCAAGCGCTGATTTTTTCGTTGAGCCCAAAATATGATAAGCAGCAAGAAAAAGAACATATGTCGTACTTATAACATGAGTATTATATGTGACGAAAGGCGACCACATTATCTACGAGAATTATAGAAGCGACGGGAAGTTACAGAGCATGGACTAAGAAAGCATAACGATAGCAGCAAGAGTAAATATGTACAAGGCAAGTTTGATCAAAATCACCATTCGAAGGGATTCCACCACCGGACTTTCTTTTTGGGTTTATCGGGAGGTGCTGGTGCGGACTCCGCTTTCTTTACTTCCTTCGGATTGGGTGGGACTCTACGGGTTCAAGTATAAGGGATATATCAACATGGTGGCGATAGGGAGACACGTACTCGTCAACATGAATGTGGTAGTCCTTCTCTTTGCGCAAACCAGCCATGGCCATGTTGATTTCCGGCTGTAAGGACAACCTGGTGTTGTTTGGAACGCGTATCTTGCGCCGCCACATAGCTACGCTATTGCCACTTTTGGACGGTAAAAAGACAAATACTATCACCTGGATGGAGGGATCATAGAATGCGGCCGAAGTCTGGATGGTTTTGTCCATTGTTGCCTGAAGTTCGTCGAATGTCAGCCAGTCGAAGGAAGGTTCATTAGGCGACGTTGGGGATCTATAAGCTGCATTGACAATGAGGGCGCCACGCTCTCGGCTTTGTAAGAACCTGTGCAACTAGAAAAAATTCAGAAGTGTTCGAGTAGAGAAATAAGGAGATACCTACCCCGTATGTTCCAAGGTTGTAGGACATCTTCTGTATCCATGCTAGAACCTGCACCACCCGCTCGTCCTTATCAGGTGGGAACATCCAGTGTATCCTGTCTTTGGCATAGCGCTTCTTGCCGAAAAGAGCCGCCTGTACAGGAGCGAGAGCTTCGCCTTTCGAATCTGAGAAAGCGAAGTTAGGATAGTCGTACAAGTCGCTAGGAGGAGCGCCAGTAGTTAGGGTAGTTGAGGTGCCGTTGTAAGCATGCATCATTGTTTTTGAAGGCATGGAATACCCAGAACCCACGCGGGTGGCACCCCACGAAGTTGCAGAGGTAGATGGAGGCGAGAAATGAACACGGCGGTCACCTTCCATGTCCTCATCCTCGTCTTCGCCTGCGCGCGAGGTCCCACCCCAGTTATCGTCCCATCCGCCCTGTCCACCTCCTTCCTGTCCCCAAGCGCCACCTGGATCAGGCTGACCCCAGGCGCTGGCGGGAGCCCACGCACCGTCGTGTTTCGGTTTCTCCTGTCCCCCTCCTTTGCCATGCTTACGCTTCTCCTTCTTGTTGAGTTTCCCTCCACCCCCATCTCCCCATGCGGCATCCCCGTTCAGACTACCCGCTCCTGCAGGAGCACCCCATCCAGCATCCCCGCCGCCCTGACCCCATCCGCTGCCACCACCACCACCACCTCCTCCTCCTCCTCCTCCTCCTCCTCCTCCCTGTTCGTTCCATCCACCACCGCCTGCATTTCCACCCCAACCACCATCACCATTCCCCCAGTCGCCTCCTTGTGCGTTTCCCCAATCACCCCCTCCATCATCCTTCCGTCCGGAGTGCTGAGAATGTCGCTTATCCTTTCGCCGCTTGTCCTTGGTCTCGTTTGCCGCCTTGGCAGGATGGTGTCCTTGGTCACCTCCAGCTCCCCAGGCAGCATTTTGAGCAATATAGTTATTCTGCGTTGATTGATTGAGTAGGGAATTCAATATTTGCGAGCGCTGGTGAGGAGACAGGGTATTCCTGCTCCCAGCACTCTCCGTACCGGCGAAAGTTACCTTGGGGTTCTGATTATGTCCCTGCCCGCCCCTGCCCGCCGCTTGGCCAGGATGTGGTTGAGCTCCCCAACCAGGGGCTTGATGGCCACGACCGTGAGCGCCGTGTTGCCCCCACTGCTCTTCTTCCTCATACTCCTCGTCTTCATACTCGTCTTCATCATCATATTCTTCTTCATCCCATCGACCACCGGCTGCTTGTGGCCAAGCAGCTTGATTCGCCGGAGGTTGTCCCCAAGCGCTGTCTCGAGCACGGGCGTCAGCTCTTGCTGCGGCGGGGGCTGCAGCATGCGTTGCAGCGTGATGGGCCCTTCGAGGGTCTGGTGCTTGTTGCCAAGCGCTCTGTGGTTGATGCCCCCAAGCACTGTCTCGAGCTCGAGGGTTCGATCTTGTCGCGGGAGGGGGAGCAGCAGGAGGGGGAGCAGGAGCAGGAGCACCCTGAGGGCGTCCCCAAGCTCTCCATGCACCAGGGACACCAGCCGTTGGATCTGGCTGCGCAGCAGCAGCCTGTGTCCATCCACCTCCCCCACCCCCATCTCCCCACCCGCCGGCGCTTGATGCAGGTTGACCCCATCCACCAGAAGCACGCGCACCTTGAGCCTCAGGTTTTGCTCCTCGCGCCATTCTAGCTGCAGTTTCTTCCCAAGTGGCAGTTCCTATCGTAGGCCTCCAGTTAGATACTGGTTCGTGTGCACCCCACTGAGCGGGAGCGTTAACAGCTTGCGCGCTTGTCGTGTGTATACTTGCTGCATCTTCCCATCCAGCAACACTTGACCTTGATGAATCGCGCGCGTGACTCCTGGCCGCCTGCGATGCCTTAACCGTACGCGCTCCTGCTAATCTAGCTGCAGCTGCCGCTACTTCGTCCGTAGGGCCAAACCGATCGAAATGACTCTGGGTTTGTTGAGGGGGTTCATGAGGGGGAGGAGGCCCCATGTTTGGCGATTGCGTCTCCCAACGTTGATTGTCGCGCGCGTCGTTGCCAGTGGCGTCGTGATCGTCGTATTCAGGTTGTGGACTCTCGTCGTTAAGCGCCCAGTTGTCTTGATACGGACTCTGAGCCTCACTCGGAGGTTCGTAAAGCAGGTTGGCACTAGGGGGATGGTCACCTCGCTCAGAGTTGGTATCTGAAGATCATTATGGAAGAGTCAGTTAGTCCTAGCAACCCCCAGGGTAACCAAGGGGTCAACGAAGCAGATAGGACACGCACTAGACCTAATAAACACGCCATCGTGATCGTAGTCCCCTTCTTCCTCTTCTGCAATCGTACCAATGCCTGGACTCGCTAGGAACGACGAAGGTTTATCGTGGCCTCCAGGCACTGGGAGTGAATAGGACGTCGGCCCCGGGTTTGGTATCGGTGCTCCATATCCATGAGGCGATGGCGGTATTGATGTTACTGGAGGTTTGGGGGATGGTACGGGAGATGGCGCTGGTGGGGGAGCTGGAGATGATGGTATAGATGGTGCAGGAGGAGGAGGTGCGGGTTTGGGTGCGGCCGCTTGAGGAGGAGGAGGCGGGGCAGGTTGAGTCTCCTGCTTTTTGGGCTTGGGCTTCTTTGCCATTCCCCGGTTGAAGACAACAACTAGACGGGCGCCTCTGTTGTAGATTGGACAACCTCGCTACTGATGGTACGGTGTGGCCGAACAAAGCTAGTTATGACAGATTATCGGCATTCGCTGTACATTCGCTGCACCTTCCCAATTGGAAGTGACCGTGCGTGAAATTTCCATGAGGCGGCTGGTGAGTTGTACAAATTACACGTCGGACAGCCGGGTGTGAATGCAAACGGCGACCCTGGCCCACGAATGCCACGAACATGTGTACGGCATAGATTTTGTCTACATGTTTGCTGAGAGCTTCAGCTTATATTTTCTTCAAGACAGCCTCTACAACCTCCTCCGTCTTACTCTTCCCCCCTAGATCAGGCGTCAGGACCTGGCCTTCTCGGATAACCTGGTCCACCGCAATATCCAGACGATCTGCTCCTTTGGTGTAGCCCAAGTGCCGCAACATTAGTGCAGCGGACCGAATAGAAGCAAGGGGGTTAGCGATACTTTGCCCCGCGATGTCTGGAGCAGAACCGTGGACACTGCGAGAAGTTAAGTGAGTTGGAGAGCGGAGTAGGGGCATGACGCACGGTTCGCCCATCACAAAGTCATCCCCTGCGTTGATCGAAGGCACGAGTCCCAATGATCCAACCAGTGCCGCAGCCGCATCACTACGCAAGTCAGTAAACGATAGTCTACTTTCAGAATAAGGATGTACATACGATATTATATCGCCGTATAAGTTGGGGGCGACCATGACATCGAAAATCCTAGTGAAAGGGTAAGCGTAATCGTAATCGTCGTGGTGATGCATAGCGAACGTACTGTGGCTCGCGGAACAAGCTACAAACTGGTTACACACTGTTCTCTTCGATACAGTAAGGACATACCGATATACAGCACTATCCACCAACTGCTCCATTACTGTTACATCGTTGTATCTTCCGTTGACCTCAGGCAAGAGGGGAACTGCGCGGACAGTTTCTCGGAACAGACCATCAGTAACACTTAAGACGTTTGACTTGTGGATGACAGTAAGGTGCTGATAAAGCTGTGAGTACACTTGGAGCAAGCTCGTTCGACTGGGTCTTACCTTTCGAGGTCGCTTGCTGGCTAGTTCGAATGCAATTTGGCCAATTCTTCTTGAGGCACGTTCGGTGATTAGCCGAGTTGCGCGAGCTTCTTTGCCATTGGGCCCTACGGTAAGCTCTTCCTGTTTGATATACTGCCCCAAGGATGAGGGATAGTCAACACGGAACAGTTCTAGACGCACCAAGCACTCGGTATTCTCGCGTACAACAACGAGATCCACGGAGGGCTTCTCGTCTGGGGTAGGTGCAACCTGTAGGGTGTGTTACGGCGCGGCATGGAGGCTACATGACTGCCACGTACAGAGATAACTGGGCGAATGTTAGCGTATAGGTCCAACTCCTTGCGGAGGGCAACTATAGGTGATGAGTAACCAACAACCTTCTTCGAGGGAGAGCTATGTCAAAGTGTCAGAACATGACATTGATCAAGCACAATAAGAGCACACCTAACAGCTCCGAACAAGGCGCAGTCACAGTCGTACTTCAATATTCTGAGAGACAGTGAGCACAATTCATAAGTCTGTTACATACATGTATACTTACTCGACGGTCTCATCAGGGAGAGCAGTGCCCGTCCGCTTGAAGTACTCAAATCCAGCAAGCAGTTCTACGAACTCCGTCTTCGGCAGGTCCGATCCTAGCGCGAGGATAGCTTGCTTCGCGGCCTACATCAGAATCCGGTGAAAGTTAGCGGATGTTGCGGTATTCAGACGATCGCCATACGGGTATAACCTCTCGCCCAATGCCATCAGCAGGAATAAGCCCTATAGTTAAGGACTTCCTTGCAGTGGCGGACATCGAGCGCACGGCTGTTCGAAACATAGTGGTAGAGATGAAGGGCAAAACTTCAGCAACTCAAGGGAGTCCGAACGGCCGACGGACGCGCATGATGTTACCCGATCACGTGGTATGTGGCGCGCTGATTTGCGTCCGTCCCGGTGCAGGGTCAATCGCGTATCCTTCATCTTGTCCACAAATGCTGCCCAGCCCATCGTCTTCGCCCGCCGCGCCTCATCGCGGGCAGAGAGAAACCCTCCACAATCAAACAAATACCTACGCATGCTCAACGCCCACCTCAAAAAGGCAGATCAAAGCCGACTTCTCTCTTCCTACACCACCGAAATTTGAAGACGCGTCGAAACGCGTTCGAAGCTCAGATGGACCTTCTAGTAGAAAGCGCATCAGGCTTTCTTTACATACAGATGCTCTATCAGGAGAGTCAGAGGACGAGAGCGAGGACGGGGACGTAAAAATGGAAGGCATCGAGATGCTTCGCTTTCGCGCGAGGACGAGCGTGTCATATTGTCGCAACTGGCAAACTAGAATCTCAGGCCACACATTTGGACGAGGTCTCCCCCAACGTTCGTAGTCGCGCTCCATATTGGCACTACTTTCTAACGTCCTTGTTCAGCTAATACGCGTCAAATTCTCAGGTCCTTTGTGTCATCTAGCAAGGCGGACCTCTTCAAATGCGAGGCTAGGGAAACGGGCTACGCGTTAACCATTCCGTACGGCTGCGCCTATTCACATGGTAGGCACACTACTGCGTTGCTAGACTCTGTGATAGCTCACAGCTGAATGAAAGGTGCTAAGCACGGCGGCGAACCTCTTCTGGCTGTGTCAACTGAGGCCGGCTCTGTACACATTCTCAATACCAGAAATCGAAGTGATTGGGAATCAGGTGCGCGATCTTATCACTGCGCTTGCTCCATCGTACTCACCCAATGGGCCTGTAGAGTCTTCTCGGACGACCATTCACGCGCACCAAAATGGTATCTTTGACGTCAAGTGGAATAAACTTGACACACTACTTGCAACGGCCTCCGGCGATCAATCGACGCGTATCCTCTGCCCGCGCACTTCGTCGTGCTTGCATACCCTTCTTGGGCACTCTAGCACCGTCAAGTGCGTCGCATGGGACCCCATTCATCAAGACCTTCTTAGTACTGGCGGAAGGGATGGGTCAATTTGTCTCTGGGATCTCCGTGTTGCAGAATCCCGGAATGGGGATATTCTCGCTCCCATTTTCAAGATCGACAATGCTCAGAGGGATGCGAACGAGCGAAAGGCAAGGGGTCGCAAGCCTAAAATGCAACCAATACTTCCTAGCATTACAAGCATTTTGTATCCAGAGTCGGAACCTTACCAGCTGATCAGTAGTGGATCTGCGGAAGGGTCAGTGGATTCCTACATCTATGTTTACAGCCATTGAATGGTGTCAACAGGAAACTGAAATCTTGGGATCTTCGACAATGCCATGCATCCGATTCAAAGCACCCTCCGATGCAATACCTTTGCTCCTCTCCGTCTGACCCTACGACATCACACGGCTCAAGTCGATCAAGAGGCATCACCAGCATTGCTGAAGGACATGGCCCTTCCGCCGGGATTATCTTCGCTGTGGGGACCGACTCACGCATCCACACTTATACACTGCCATCCTTGACACCGCAACTCACCAACTACACGAAAGAGACGATGTCAACAACCTCTTTCTACATCCGAACGGCGATATCGCCCTGTGGTCGGTGGCTTGCCTGCGGTGGCACTGGTCCAAAGGGTAAAGCTTTTCTTTACGATGTTGGCAATGCCGCACGACCTTCGCAATCACAATCGCCCGTCGAGGGCGTGGAGTTGACGGGACAACTCGGCGAAGTGGGTGCAGTTGATTGGGCGGAAGATATGTTAGCTACGTGCGCAGACGACGGTACAGTTAGAGTATGGCGTGCCAACGTAGAGGTTGAGCGTCAGTGCAGAGAGCAGCCAGAAGACAAGCGCTGGGATTGGTGTTGGGCGGAATGACAACTGGAAGAGCTCTTGCGAAATTACCTGTACTACATTTGTCATCTATTAGTTGCTGTCTGCTTTGACTGAGATTGGGCGTTGGATATCGTGTGATTGAGCAAGATCCGTTGGAACGACAGCAAGATATTATGAATTACATATGGGCTAAAGGGCAGTAACTGCTCGTCCGCCATGGGAGTATAATATGTGACATGCGAAGTTGGGCAAGAAGTAAAAGACGAACATCATTTGTTCTGTATCGCGTTTACCAGCCTGATAATACGTGTTCAGCCACAGCAGTCCGCTTCTGCAGCTCGAGAAGCACTTACCAGTCCAATCCGTCCTCCAAGCCTTCGCCCTTGGTCGCACAACTGCCCCGCACACTCCATGGCCGCGACTTTTCGCCACCCGCAAGACCCAGCTGCTCACTTATCTCCTCCGGCTTCAGCGCCCCCTCCATATCCTGCTTATTGCAGAACACGAGCAGCGGCACCCCCTTGAGTTCCTCCTCCGACAGCATTGTCAGCAGCTCGGTTCGCGCCGTCGAGAGTCGATCGTGATCAGACGAATCAATCACGTAAATGATTGCAGAGGTGTTGGGGAAATAGCAGCGCCAATACGGTCTCGATGGAATTCAGTGTCAGTGGCGCTGAGCGGTAGTGCAGTGGTGGACGCTCACCTTATGCTAGATTGACCACCGAGATCCCACACTTGAAATTTGATATTCTTGTACTATAAATACAAGGATGAGGACGGCCTGGAGAACCATATACCGAGATACGCACTTGGACCGTCTCGACGTTGAACCCAATTGCTGGCAGATGACGAGCTGAGTAATTGCCTTTTATACTGGCTTCAGCGACGAGTACTTACTTGGAATGGTCGACACAACTTCACCGAGCTTCAAAGTCCAGGTGAGCACACTCCCTGCCAAAAAGAGCAAATTTCCTCACTTGCAGTCGGTATAAAATCGTCGTCTTGAATCGAATCCCTCGTCAGTGCATGGTAAGCATCTTCGAGCAGAGTACGACGCACCTTCCCAGCGGAATCCAGACCCAAAATGAGAATGCGCACGTCCTGGTCTTTCCTCCATCCTACCAGCGAGAAAAGAGACGATATGGAGAGGCCCATGGTGCCCGGAACACCAAGTGGAGGAAATGAAAGTCTTAAGGAACCCGGAAATGACGCCGAGCGCTTTCAAGAGCACGGGCGTCTAAGAATCTCATGGGCGACGGCGACGATACTCAACGCTCTTCGAGCAAGAAGAGAAAGAGCAAGAAGACGGCCGAAACGGCGACAGAGGAAATAAATGAACCCCAAGATGAGCAGCCTTCTCGAAGGAAGAAATCACGCAAGAAAGATGCTGATCATACCGCTGCTGTCGATGCACCGATACCTCCGCAATCCATAGAGGGTGTCACTGATGGCGAGGAGAAGCCATCCAAAAAAGAGAAGAAGAAAAGAAAGAATAACAAGGACACCATTGCTGAGGAAGAGGTCGTGCAGCCTGTGGACGATACCGCCGTACCGGAGACCCCATTAGATGAAGATACCACCTCCAAGCACAAAAGGAAAAAGGGCAAGAAACGCAACCCTTCCCCCAGCCATGAAGTCGATCCAACTGAGGAGCCAGTGAAGAAGAAACGCAAAAGGTCGAAGCCAGATCCTTCAGAAGACGAGGCACTATCGGAGCAAGCACGAAAAGGTGTGTCCTCCGAATTGATTCCACCCGCTTATTCGTAATGCTGGTCTTACTTTGTATTATAGCACTGATTTATGCGCACTCGTATGTTCGCTACCCGGACTCATGGAAGTTCAACAAGGCCCGGCAGAATTGGCTCATTCGCAATATCTGGTCCGATGAACTGGTGAACCACATATTTCAATACTGGATGATCTCCGTGTTCTGATTCGCGCTGCTTTCGCAGATCCCAGAGACCTATTTCCCCATGTCGATAAAGTATCTTTCCAGCGTGAAAGGTGGCATCCGAGAAGTACGTATAGCCAAAGATCCGTTCGCGAGAGCTGATCAGATTGTATTAGGCCCTGATTCAAGCGTGCAAGACCTTGTTAACCGGTGAGACTAGCGCAGACACGCCCAAAGACGACACAGCTACGGACGCCGAACAATCTAGTGACGTGAAACGGACTAGAGCACAACTCTTACTCGACACACTGCAGGTTGAATCATGATGCATAAATCCTTGGATGGTCATTACAGCGTTTGTACATCTATCTAAAAGTACGCCTCAAAAGTATACAGTAATCCCAATCTACAAATTATAAACCAGATGTCCTTAAATTAATGGGGTATGTCGCGACGTGATGGCTACGTGCGGTCGAGTTCTTTGACCAATAGATCGTTCACAGCCTTTGGGTTATCGAGGTATACTGGAATACTTGGGTGTTAGAGAAGGCATACCGTCCGGAGGTTGGGAAAGGACGTACCATGATGGCCGGCGTGGCTGATGACATACATCTTGCCTTGGCCGTTGCCTGCTTGTCTAAGATTTTCAACGGATTGAACGCCTCCTTGGGGATCCATCCAGTCATGATCGCCGTCTGGAATTGGGATCGTTGGTTAGAATGAACTTTGAGATAGGTAACCGAATCGGTACTCACAAACGAAGGTAATAGGTATCTTCAGCTTGTCTATACGATCCACAATGGGCGATCGAGCATGGGCACCAGGAGCCAACAAATGTGCTACACATGTTGTCAGAATTGGTGGCGCAGAGGAGCGAGCTGCAGCTCACATATACAGTATTCTCCCGATCCCTTAGCGAGCGTGATATTGAGGATATAGTCGTGCATATCCCTGGTCTCCTCCTCCGAGAGCCCCGTAAACCGACGAGACGAGTATTTCCCAACTAGCATCGGCCCCAAAAATAGCGTCGAGCGAACAACCTGAAACGGACTCCATCCTTCTTCCCATAAATAGGTGAACAGGCGTCTCGACCGCGACTCCTGCCGCTGCGCAGCGCGTTGCTCGGCCTTGATCTTGTCTACGTTTTGTTTGGTAGCGGGTTCCGCGGATCCTGAATGGATGGTATCTTGGGATTCGGAGAGTTCTCTAGAGGGGACGGTGGAATTCGGGTCGCGGGGTACACCAGCAGGAGAGAGCAGGATAAGCTTGTTAACCCTCGTAGGGTATTTTAATGCGTAGACGACGCTCAAGTATGCTCCCAGCGAGTGGCTGATCAGAGTCATCTTCTCCAGGCCCATCTTGACACGCCATTGCTCCAAGGAATCGACGAAGAAGGATTCGGCTTCTTGCACACGACCTGCGATGTCGTCACGTTTGGCTTTGACGGTGAATGGTACGCGTGCCGATCGACCCATGCCTAGCCAGTCTAAAGCGTACACTGTGCCCTTTCTTCGATTCGCCCAGTTGGCTAATGGTAGGAAGTTCTGAAAGTAAAATCCTATCCCAGCTCCGTAACCATGGAGCAGAACAGCGGGCGGAGGACCTGAGGGTGCAGGTGTCGTTGAGGTCATGGTGAACATATTGAGATAATGTTTCGGGGTGTCTAAGTCCACTTTGGAACTGAATGCGACTAGAGGGCCGTCACTCTCGCTAAATTCAGCGGCAGCATTTGGCTTGGACGCATATCCGGAGCGAAAGAAGGGCAGCCGTCTGAAAGGTTATCATCAGTTGTTGGACAGTTGTGATTAGCTTTGTGATAATATACCTCAATAAACGCTCTTCGCTCGCTGCACTTTGCTTCTCGCCGCCAGTGGACCACCTAACAATTGGACCCCGTCAGTAACATCATTACTTCTTCTAATCACCCAAAGACATACCAGCTGCGGAAGCTCGCGGTAAAGCTCGCAGGTATTTCACTCGCAGGAGGTAGATTTGTAGCGGTGGCAGCCATTTCAAAGACTCGGCGCCAGGACGATGGATGGAAGACTCGGGCGGACGTGGTGGCGATGTGGTGGGGGAGTGAAGGGAAGGGCGAAGCCACCCAGGCCGTATAAGAGTGGATGGCCTTCACCCATGCCGAAACCGAGCGTCACCTTCCACATTGCCGCCGGTATGCGTGCTGAGTCAGCTGAGTCAGCGAATGTGGGACTGCACTGCGGACTCGCCCTCGCCATACATAGCTACCGGGTGGGTGGGTATGTAGACGGTTCGCTTCCAGCTCTCTGTGCTCAGAGGTTTGAATTCACGTCCATGAAACGGAGCGCAAATTCACCGATAAATACGCCCCTGTTGAGCTATCCACGTGATGTACAGGGGCCGACGCGAAGGCAGGCTCGATAGAGGCCGGAATCGGTGTTACGTCCTCTTACGTTCACTCCAACTTACATCCAAGAATCCCACACCCGACGCCTCGTATAGTGCCCATGTATCTTCAATCGCCTCTTGACATCGAACCACCACCATGTCTCCCCATCGCTTCCTCCTCGTCTCGCCCGCTACAAGAGGTATTTCGCTCGCCGTAACACGCCAGCTACTCCGTACTACAGACCTGCCGCTCTTCGCTACACATAGGTCAGATAATGCCGACGAAGTCAGGGAGAATATCCTGTCGCCGCTCAAAGGCGAGGGCGAGGACAGACTTCATCTACTCAAGCTCGACCTCACCTCAGAGGAAAGCATCATGTCGGCCGCGGAATCGCTGGCCACCAAGTTACCGAAGGACACTGAATCGTATATCCACACCGCCTTCTTTGGCGGCGGCGTGCTCCACCCCGAGAAGCAGCCTTCCGATCTCAACGAGAAGAACATCGCGTCGACATTCCAGATCAACGTCATTTCGCACCTCCTTCTCATCAAGCACTTCTCCCGCTTCCTGCCTCCCGCAAAGCCAAAGGAGGAACTAGACGTCCCTGCGAAGTGGGTGCATGTATCCGCTAGAGTAGGGTCGATCGAGGACAATAAACGTGGCGGATGGTACTCGTATCGGTCCTCGAAAGCGGCGCTGAACCAAGTCATCAAGACCTTCGATCTGCAGCTGCAGATGAACAAGAACCAAGCTATATGCGTAGGCGTGCACCCGGGAACGGTGAAGACGGACTTGAGCCGGGGGTTCTGGGAGAGCACAGACGTGAAGGACAAAGCATTCGAGCCCGAAGACGCCGCTAGCAAACTGGTCGGTGTGATTGACCAACTCAAAGTAGAGCAGCGGGGAAAAATATGGGATTGGGCGGGCAAACAGGTTCCTTGGTGACGGATCGCCGTGCGGGACGTATTCAATGCGCATGTGAAGATAGCAAGCAGAGCACGTAGAAAGCACCTCGAAAGCAGGACAGCAAGCAACAAAGCAAAAAGTATTGGGAGTGCAGATGACAACCAAATGTTTCCCAATCGAGTATGGTGACGATATGGTCGTTCTTAACCTAGTAGAATATGCCGAGGCTAAATAAATCACCGTGCGTCACCGAATATACACGCTGCTCGTGTGCTGTTGTGTCTGCCACGGTTCGTTCTTCTCGAGTAAGACGCGAGAAACGTCCATATCTGGCAAAGGCTCGGGCGATGTGTCAGAGCGAGAGGAAAGGTCGATCTGCCCAGGTTCCGCAGGGATCTGCTATAGAGGGCGATCCTGTGAAAGCTCGCAGCGTGTAGTTGATCCGAAGACAAAGGCCGCAGAGGTACTATCGAGAGTCTCGGCCTCCGATGACGATGTAGGTCCATTGTTTGCTGCAGAAAGGAACATGTAGGGCCTCCAAGCTCGAAGATGGTGTTCCTCAGGGAAGATATCACTATCGATGGGAGTCGCTGAGCTCTCTGAACAGCTTGCACGATGCGATCTCTGCCAGAAGGCAAGGCCTTATCACAATTGCGTTAGCGCCGGACGATGATGGCAGGCGATTAATTCGTACCTTGTGGGCTTCAACTGAGTCGATTATCGCTATGAAGCACACTCAACTGCGACAAACAAAGGGAGATGACACAGAACAAAGGAGGATCGACTGCCGTATTTGGACATCTAAGTTGGCTATGGCTATGGCCACTCGGTAATAGCCTCCCGTGCACTCGCCGTCCATTGTTCGATGGTCACAATTGACAATGCGCCTCCGGGGGGAAATGCATAAATAGCACGTCAAACCACCCACTCCGAATACCAAACGCCTTACCACCACCGCCATCGTCGACATCATCACAATCACTACTATCATGGTAGAATATCTTCCCAACTTTGGCAGACCGGAAGGCGTGCTTGGCCCAGTCGGTCTTTGGAGCTACGTCGACCGCGACGGGAGGATCCTCGACCTCAACCTCAACGTCGTGCGCTGCCGTGCGCTGCGCACATACCACCCGTCCCCGCGCGACCAGCACTGGTCGCTCTCGTGGCACCTCGGCACGACCGAAGACGGTGACCCCGTCCACCGCCGCATCCACATCACACGTGAGCCCGGCGCCGACCACCTCACAAACTGGGGCCCTATCACCGTCACCGTCGATAGCGTCACCGTGGCAGAGACGCATGTCATCCCCCTCGGGCGTACAGACTTTAAGCAGCGGACGATGATCGAGGCGATTGCGAGCCGGACTCCCGTGTGCAAACCGGATGGAGAGTGGAATTGTCAGAATTGGCTGGAGACGGTGCTGGATGAGATGGTGGAGAAGGGCGTTCTGCCCGGCGATGTCGTCCAAGCGGCCCTACTGCAAGCTCGTCTGGTCCAACCCATTCCATTCCAACCTTAAGAAGTAAGCCTTATTTCGCCCTCCGACTTTCTAAACGCTCACAATCTACTCGCAGCCATTCCTATACATGAATGAAGCAAAGCGTAGGACTTTACCATACGAATCCAAGGACATCTCTGTATTATCGCTATGTTTCATAGCTGTACTTGTATCGCCCCCCTAAGGGACCTTTTTGTTGCCTTGTCTGCTATCCATGTTTCCTGTCACCTATTGTTCAGCTCTGAGCTGACCTCTTGTCCACGAGGACGTGGCCATGTTCCAAAAGCCTGGGAAAGATGGGTGAGACTCTCTGTGTTTTAATGAGACAAAAATCTGAGCGCACCAATCAGGTTCTATCTCTGTTAGTATCCGTATCCTAGACTAAGTGTCAGTCAACGCTTCAGGTCCAGTCATACGAACACTCACTGAGTCTTTTTCGTCTCTTCCATCTCATGGAACACCACCCATCCCGAGCGAGGTTTTCGGGTGAACATCACAGAGGTCGGATGCACATGCAGTGTCTACGCACACCATTCAGCATCACTCATCCATTCGTTCGAACCAACAGAATGAACACGCACCTGATTGCCTCTCACAGACCGATACGTGCCATCCGCGACCCACCGCGCGCCATTGCGCCAGTACCCGCTAACCAGACACTGCCGTAACCGCTTCCCATCGCCTTCGCAGCTCTGGATGGGGAGGTTGAACCGCTGCATGTACTTCTTCAGCTGCGAGCGGATGGACACGGCCCGCGACATCGCGCGGAAGGACAGGGCATGGGACTTGCACCAACTTAATGATTTGCCGTAACGCACGAAAGCGTTGTACGCTAAGGGGGCGGTGAGCAAGGAATGGATGGTACAAGGGAGGATCGCTTACCGTTCAGTAGTGTCAGATGGTCCTACAGAGCAAGGCGGTTCAGTTGAGTGTGAGGATAACGAGAGTGCGATACGACGTACCCCTTCCTCGGCAGTGAATTTGCGGCGTTCCAGTTCATCGAGTGCCCCTGGAGCACCATCCCGAATAATGAAGACGTCCTGTTGAACGGTCGCTTAGGTGTGTCGAAACGAGTACATAGATAAGAGGTACCTGAACAGAGGTCATCGCGGCAATGGTCAGAATTTCCTCGCCACACTGGAAGTCTTTGGATTTGAACATCTTCCACGGAAATAAGCAATAAGAGTCACGACGAATGAACCCCGAAAAAGAAGATATCTACCATCCGCGCTATGCCCAACTCCACTGGACATTCCGCCACTTGTGCCCCGATAACCGTCAGACGACCATCTTCGCCCAACATACCAGCAGCAACCAATCCCTCCAAGGCGCGCAGTACACTCTCCGAAGGCGGCGAAGATACCCAATCGAACTTCATGAGATCGTCTATGCCTAGGGCCTTGAGTTGCAGGATCGGCGTCGTCATATCGGTGCGAGTTATCTCTGCGGGAGTCGAATCCGCCATTGTCTCATACGCGCTAATGGGGTATAGTCTGTAGCATACGCCAGGGGCGGTACGTCCTGCTCGGCCCGCACGTTGAGTAGCGGATGCCCGGGATGTTGGGACAGTGGCGAGAGATGCCAACGCTGTCCTCGGGTTGTATACCCGAATCTGCGCATAAAATTCAGTATGGTATTAGCAAAGGGCCTATTAGAGCTGACCTTGACGAAGCCGCTATCTATGACATACTTTATCCCGTCGATGGTAACACTCGCCTGAAGAAAGAGGTTGTCTGTGAAGGTGTATTGAGTTGGTAAAATAGCTGCTTACTTCTGCGATGTTCGTCGCAATGATGACCTTCCTAGTGTCGCGATCGGCGGTGTCGAATACACTCAGTTGCTCGTCAGAAGTGAGTCCCGCATGGAGCGGCAATGGAATGAGCCGTTGCGGATGTTTCGGCCGCCTGTTGTTAGACTGTAAAGAAGTATTCGACGCAAGTAGAAAACGGCCCTACGTTGGTATCAGTTCAGAAAGTTCTTCGAGGCAACGGTCAATCTCTTCTCTTCCAGTAAGGAAGATCAAAATATCTCCTGGATAGGGCTGGTGAATTGAGGCATAGTAAAGGACGTGCAAGTTGAATATGAACTACCTGAAGATGTATATTCCAAGCGGTCATCGCGGCCGACTTAACATAGTCTGCGGTGGGTTCTCGCAAGTATGCTACTTCCACTGGGAACACTCGCCCCTCCAAGCTGACGATTATCGCGTCGTCTTTAGAGGATGAAGATGTGAAGTAGTTCAAGAAAGACGTAGCATCGAGGGTGGCTGAAGAAATCACTAGACGGAGTGAAGGTCTCTTTTTCTGGATCCTGGTGACATAAGTAGATGTCCTGGTTTCAGAAACGAAATTTGAACACACTTTTTCAGTAGACCGAGCAACAGGTCGGTGTATATACCGCGTTCGTGCGCTTCGTCAACCTTTGAGATGATAAGACAAAGGATATGCGGCGTAACAAAAGGAGGATCACCATAATAACGCTATATCTCGAGAGCAAAGGATCCACTAATGTTTCACGAAATAACATTCCGTCGGTCATGTACAAGATTCGTGTTCGCTCTTTGTCGCTGACATCCTCAAAGCGAATAGTGTATCCCACCTGTGCAGCTATTAATGTGGCTTCGTGGATATCAAAGACGTGACCCATACCTCATCACCCAAGATTGAACCGACTTCGGATGCAACACGGCCAGCAACAGACGTAGCAGCCACACGACGCGGCTGAGTACAGGCAATGATGTTCCCCTCTGCAGCCCATCCGGCTTCGTACAGATACTGCGGTATCTCTGAGTGACGTGAGTGATTGTCGGCGAGTAAACGGGGTGCACGCACGAGTGGTCTTCCCACATCCCGTTTGTCCGACAACGATTGCGACAGGGTATTTTTCAATACAGTATAGGATTTTATCACCTAAAGGCGAGAAGTCAGCGGTTTGCTTCCAAAGTGCACTGCTACACTTGCACTAACGATGCTTGTAAATAGGGAGTCGTTCGCGTTGCGACTGCACCGAAAGAGGTGCGTAACTCGGCGCCGACGATATGAAGCTCCCCTCGGCTTGCGTGTCCCTATCAAGGGTACTACCAGGAGCTGATGTGCCCGGTTTCCAGAACTGCAGCGACGACATGGTGGTGAAATATAAAAGAGTTTACATGAGCGCGTCCAACTCAGAATGCGATCACGAGACGTCCAATCTCCACCACAATGTTCAGTATTGCTCAGTATCGTATTGCTCAGTATCAAGTGAGTGCTACAATCAGTATGCTCCAATCAATATCTATTCATCAGTCGTCTTCGAATGTTCCTTGCTCTTCATTCCATCCTAGCGTCTCTGGCGCAATGCCCAACTGCCTCAGCATCGTTCCCAGCGTATCTCGATGCTCTTCCTCCTCAGGGATACCTTTTGTTAACTTAAACTCCACGTCCATATCTCCAAGTTCACTACGCTCCGGGTTGCCCCCATCGTCTTCAAGCCTTAGCGCCTTTGCCTCCCCTTGATCAGTCCATCCCCAACTCTCATTGAAAGACCGCTTCTTTCCTTTGTCTTCTTCTTCAAATTTGCCCCATGGACTCTCCTTTGGCTCCGCTACTCTGTCCTTTACTACTTCCCAGACCTCCCACGCGACCTCTCTAGCTGCCTCTCTCCACTTTTTAGCCACAATCTCCAGATTACCCTCTTCATCCTCCTCTTGGATCTTGACAGCCCGCCGCAATATCTGGACTCTCCTCTCCAGCATCTGGATAGTGGGCGTCATCCTTATGGAGGGGATCACTTGCGACGAAGTCTTCGACGACAGTGGCGACTTGAATTGCACCGCCGCCCGAACTGTGCGATGCTTAACCATTGTCTTAGGAGCAACTTCAACTTTATCTTTCACCCGCTCCATGGGGCGCGGTTCTGGCTTTCGCATTTCCACCTTCTTGGGTACGGGACTCGGCGCAACTTGAATTGGCTTGCCGACGAATGGTGATCGGAACGGCTTTATCAACTTCTTGTGTTGTCTTTTCTGAGATGCCAATGTTTGTCGCTTTGGGTTTGGCGGAGGGATCGGCTTTACTTCCTCCTCCCCATTATCGTTATTGTTGTTGGCCTCAGCCCATGCATCGTCGCTCTGCTCCAAGTGGCAAAGATGGTCATGCCGGAGATCTCGGGCTCCTATGTTTACAGCTGGCGGTTGTTCATACCCCAGCAAGGAGGCAACTCGCCGAGTGGATCCTTCCAAATGGTCCTGCAAATCCGGGGACAGGAATTCACCTTGTTGGCGAGTTTCATCGGCAAGGCCATCGTCAATCTAGCATAATATTAACACAGGAACACAGATGGGGCTGCATGATTACCTTCCCTGCCGCCTCTTCTGTGAATATCGGGCTAGAAGCAGGTGAAGAGACGCGAGACGCTGTCGCTACCTCCTGTTCACCCAGGTCCGGATCTATTCCTTCCGGGATGTCGATGTTGGGCGAAGGACTGGCTGCTTCGCTACTAGAGTCCTGCTTCATGTTCCGAGGTTCTTCTTCGCTGTAAGCGATTGCATGCTCTGGTTGTCCGCCGATGTCAGCAAGTAGTGGCGTTGACTCAGTCTCAAGTCGATGCTCTCCTTCCTCCGCTTTCGTATGCGCTGGGTCGATATCCTAGATATCAATCAATAAAGATTCGGTTTGAAGACTCCGAAGAAGATCTACCTCGATTTCAGGTGACTCGGTTCTCTCGTGATCAGTCTGTGCTTCTGGTTGAGGATCTGGTTCGTCCAGTAGGGTCATTTCTTCGCCTTCAACATTCGACATCGTCCCAGACTGTCTCTTGGTATCTGTCATGTCCTCGATCATGTCCTGATGCCATGAATAAGCCATCTCGACTCGCCGGACAATCTCCAATTTACCTCTTCGTCTTCTAGTTCATCTTCCTGCTCAAATGTTTGGGTATGGTGCATGATCGTCCCAACGGCCCCCACGCACCTCCATTTCGTCGACCTTATGCTCAACAAGTGATGCGTCAGGATCCTCTGTATCTGTGACTAGCTTCGCATCCTGCCGCAGATCGAACGCTATCTGCGCCCCACCCCGAATGCCCGTAGCCTCTGGCCCCACATTTTCCATCGACTCTCCATATGATTCGAAGTTCGCCCCTTCGTCTTCCAGTTCATCCTGCTGTTCAAATCTGTCTGAGTACCATGCATGAGTCTGCCAACGGAATCCACAAACCTCCATATCGTTGTCCTCATACGTCTCATTGTACGCCTCGTCAGGGATTTCATTCGGCCGTAAATTGTACATTTCTACCTCCTGGGTTTCCATCGTCATGTCCTCTCGCGTTGCCTTACCCAAGGTCGGCTACAATGTGGTCAATAGGATATAATGTTGACATAGATCAATGTAGCACCTCTGGCTCTTCGTCCAACTCGTCAACGCTATCATCGGACCCCATAGGAGAAGAAGTAAACAGCTTCGGAGGGCTTGAGCTCGGGGGTGAAGAGCATGGATCTTCCTGTAGCAAAACTATAAATGGATGTCAATTATATGCGTGCTCAACGTACCATATGACCGGGCTGAATGCCTCTCTCGTATCCATCGTTATCCTCCATGGACGAGGCTACTTCTCTATCGCACGGCTGGAAGTAAGAGCTATATTGTACGTGTCCTTCCAGGTCTTCGCTGGTGCGGTCTTTAGTGGGCAATGCCATCTGCGGCTTTTCTTTAGTCTCGCAAATTGAAACGTGTCAGAGCACACTCACATCGTCGTCTACGACTTCAACGGTGGTGGTTTGCTATATATATGCACTTGAATTCCAGCCCTTGGAACCATGCGATAAAACAAGACGACAAACCGCTGTCTGCCAATCAATCCACGGCCCGTCCTCTTGTGGGGAGCTTATGGGGTTGCTAGAAGGCATACCATCATCATTGATTGGAGGAGGACTCTACGATGAGACTTGAGGATTATGTCGCCCTGACTTCGAGCCAGAGTTACGAACCGTAATGGTTTCCCGAGTACCAACGTTCGGATCGAGCAGACGCAACTCACGGACCGCGTCGAAATTGAGAAGGCTACCATGAGCTGTCTCCTCGCTACCTTTGTTTGCTAGGGACTTGTCGCGGGGTTCGGAGGAATCTGTATTGGAAGATATATGCTCCTATGATATTCCTTAACAACGATGTTGGACAATTTCACGCTGTAGAGCTTACTTGGGAGAGCTTCGAAGCTACGGACGCGTCTCCAGAGTTCAAAGACGCGATTTGACCTATTTCTTCTTGCCAACAGTGACTGCCTGTGTCTAGTTCTCCTGGAGGTGAAGCCATGTCGCGATCGCCTGGAAGTCTGACGATCAATATTCTAACTTCAGGCTCGCCTTTTGTGCACCGTAGCATACCTATAGGATCGAAGTACTCTCTGGTGACTGGTGGTCAATGAAACGATGGCTGCTACTTAAACTGCTTGAGCAAGAAGTAACTTGACGTGTGCCCTGAATCAGTCATGTGATCGTGTCAAGGACCCTGACTACCCCAGTTCAAGGACATGTAGCTCTGCTTCCGAAGTTCCTTTCTTGACCACCGCCACTCAACATCGACGAAAAGACTGGAGCTCTTTGTCTTGATGGAGGATTTAGATCTGCAGTGGGCCGGCTCCATGATATTTTTACCTCCCGAGAAATACCAGGCAGGAGCTTGGCCGGCTAGACTTGACTGCTTTCGACCGGAAATGGCCACACAGGCCTGTCTTACTTGCCCTCCCCGTTGGATCGTGAGGGTACCCGGTTCCTCGGGTATTTTAATCAGCACCGTATGGATGGTCATACAGCATCCCTGCTGAGGACGTGGAGTGGGAACTTGTCGTTCACTAGGCCAGAACAGCGGGGAGGACGATGGTAACGTTCTCCCATTTGCATATGCTACGAAGAACTTCGTGCTTAATTTAGTTAACCCAATTTCAAGAATGTCTTTCTTATCGTGCTCTGGAATTTGCCGTCTCACGCTAAGAGTATCGCCCATCATGCTCTCGAATTTACAGCGCTGATTTACGAGCTTGATCCCGTTGCCAATCAGTCCGTCCAGCCTCTCATTTTGGCCATCGTTGACATGAAATTCCCTCCCCACAGCAACGCGACGGCCTGCTCTCACTCGAGACAGAGTCTGACTCTTGTATCTTCTAATCCGGCGTTACAACTGCTCCATCAAAGCAGATGGATTTACGGCGCATCTCTCTAGAAATTCACGCAACTTATGGGGACCTTCGATACCTTACGTTCGTAGAGCTTAGGTTGTGATAATCAGCTTCGCATATCCAACACAGGCCGCTTTCACTAATGTCTCACTCGCACATTAGTCTGTACGTTCATTTTCCGTCGCAGAAGCGGAGCTGCGGATAAGCATGTGGTCGTACAATCCTTCAATTGCAAAGTCCTTCTGGCCTCACAGCAACATAAGATCGAATACGACCTCTGAACCAGAGGCTCTAAATTTATCGACAGGGCATGTGGTTGTTTACTTTAAACGAGGCGAACTACTAATAATAACGTTACTGGTTTTAGCAGATCAGGAGTATTATTGTACACGCTTCGAAGCGACGCCGAACATATTTCCAACTACGACAAACGCTTCGTCTTCGAACCGCGATGGGGAATTCTACTTTGTTCTAATCCAGATGTATGTAGTAGACGACACTGGCTTTCTCGGGCTTATCGACCTATCACAGTTACACTATTCTTGACCTTGTCACATCGGCCTGTGATGCACCATCGAATGTACACGCGGAGAGGAGATGAGTTGTGCATGGATGCATCCCAGCTCGAGCTATAAATTAGCTGGACAATGCATTTCGTTGTAGTCATTGCCAGTCCCCGCGACCTCGCACCAACGGCACAACATGCAGCTCACTTCGCTCGTCTCCTTCGTGGCACTAGCCACCGTCGTCTCCGCTGTGCCCGCTAAGGAGCGCGTCGGTACGATCATCCCCTTGACCAAGCGTTCGACTTTGGTCGATCAGGACGGCGTGGTCAATATCAAGTCTTTGCGAAATCAGATCTTAAGGGCCAGCAGGTATGTTTTACATACTCTATAGGATAGTTGTCTTACGAGAGATTGTCATGTTGGTAGTAAATTGAACCGTGGGTTCGCGGCTTTCGAGAAGAACACGGGGAGCTTCCACCCCAACGATGTTAGGAATATCACCAAGCGGGCCACGGGTGCCGACCCATTGACGGATGACCAAGAGGCTCTTTGGCAAGGTGCCATCTCCGTGGGCACTCCAGCGAAGACGTTCACAGGCAAGTGCTTTGCTATCGCTGCTTCGTTGTATTGATTTTGTTTCCCGCGATCCAGTGGACTTCGACACAGGTAGTTTGGTCTCGTATTGAAGGCATAGGACTTGCATAAACGTTTTCTTCTAGGTAGTAGCGATCTCTTCCTTCCGGCCTCCAATTGCGCCGTCAACTGCGCAGGCCACACCTTGTGGACCACCGGTGCAAGCTCCACCTCTAGAAATGCCGGACGGAGTTTCAGCCTTGCATTCGGCGATGGCTCAACTGTATCGGGGACTGTTTTCTCTGACACCGTGACGGTCGCTGGATTGACGGTGAGTGCTCCTCTAGAGCACACATTGCCGAGGGAAACTGAATGGGTCGCTAGGCAACTTCGCAAGCCGTAGGCGCGGCCACACGCTACTCCACCGGCTTTGCTAAGGCTGAATTCCCTCCCGATGGCCTCATGGGCATGGCATTCCCGCAGATATCAGAATTTGGAGCAAACCCAGTCTTCCAGACATTGGTTGCACAAGGGAAGACTACTGTGTCTGAATTTGCATTTAAACTGGCTACTTCTGGCTCTGAGTTATTCCTGGGCGGTGTCAATAACAACCTGTTCACGGGAGCGTTCACGCAGAACCGTGTGACAGCAGTGGTACGTGCTTTCAGAATCTCCACCAAGTGTGACTGACATTCACGGGTGTGCAGGGCTTCTGGCAAATTGCTCTCGGGTCTGCCAATGTCAACGGCACTCCTCGAGTGACTGGAGGACAAGCGATTGTCGACACCGGCACCACCCTGCTGCTTGGACCACAGAACGCTGTCACCCAGTTCTACGCAGCCATCCCTGGCGCGCGCGATGCAACAAACACCGTAGGGTCCGGGTTCTTTACATGTGGGAGCATTCCCCTAGAGCCTCCAAGATTCTCCAGATATTAACCCATCCACTAGTCCCTTGCAACAGTCTTCCCCCCCTCAGTTTGACCTTGGGTGGTCGGGCTTTCCCCATTTCGGCGGCCAGTTTCAACCTAGGTCAACTTTCAGCCGGATCGACCACATGCGTGGGCGGCGTGGCTGCCGTTGACTTCGACAGTATGTGTGTAGATTTACGCCATGATATACGTTCTGATTGTGTTAACAGACATGTGGATCCTCGGCGATGTATTCTTGGAGAATGTTTATACCGGTAAGTCCTCTGATGCAAGTTGATATGACTTTGGCTAACGTGTACATTCACTAGTATTCAACACAGCAACGCAACAAGTTGGGTTTGCCACTCTCAGATGATTTCGTACCCTTCGCGTTTTCGTTTTTCGATTTCATCGGACTACGTTGGATTACCCCAGGGTGTAACAATATTATACAAAGAAATCACTTTCTAACAGACCGAGCCTGGACCCGTGGGTCACCCCGTTCTTGTCGCTTGCGTAGTTTATCTTGACGCTTGCTAACGGACTCTGTGGGCGTGTCCTCCGCGGACGCCGGTGCTGCTCCTCGACCGAGAAGCATTGGGGAGATGAGTGACGACCATAGCTTGTACACCGCATACAGGGGGATCTGCGCGAAGTCAACGCGAGTAGGATAGCACGAGCCAATATGGTACCCACCACGAGGTAAAACCACCATACCCATTCACCAAAAGCACCACTACCAATCTGGCAAGCCCCTGGAGGCACACGTCGTCTCATTACACGCGGTAAGATAGACCGAGAGCACTCACAAGTGATGTATATGATATCAAAGCACCATTCTGTGATGCCTTGCTGGCTCAGGTCCTCGCCGTAAGTCATTAACGTCCCCGTCGTGGGGTCGCGCCTCGGAGAACCGATTCGGACGAGGTAGTTTGAAAGAAAGAACGAGGGCATGAACGTCGCAATATATAAAGCAAGAGAGCTTTTGGATGGCGGCAGCGAGCTCCTGCGGAAGATGAGGCGGAGGAGCAGAGAGAGTATGGTTGGGAGAATCATTCCCAGCCTTAGCGTCTTGATTGTCGCATCATTTTGTCCGGCTGCAGCAGTAAGGATTCAGTTTCTTTCACCTCTACAGAAGTGAGAATTGCCCACCTATGCGCTTTGCAGATGCGTTCGCCATTTTTTGTGCGGAGGTGATGGTTTTCAGAAAGGAATGACCGACCGATCACGGTTGCCTCTTTCGGAATTTAGCGTTTCTTCGTGACCACCAGGGACTGAATTGTCTCGTGCACTGTGCGCTATGGAAATGGACCATGCTGAGGGTAGCAGTACCATGGCCCTCCTGCAGAAGAGCATCCAATCCAATAAGCAGCATCAGCAGATGCTGGCATCGTATACAGAGCGATTGGAAACAGAACTATCTCAAATCGAGAGCCTCCTTGTGCGTACCTTGTTATGTGCCCGAACTGAATGGATGTGTATAACTTGGCCGTGCAGGAACTTGCAGAACACGAAGAAGATGGCGAAGCAGACGCCGCAATAATCGATATTCCAGGCTCGAAACGAGCAGCGAGTCTGATTCCGTCGAATCTCTTCTTGCAACCAGTACGTGGTTTGGAGGGTGAAGACGGTCTGATTGTGATGCTATCGTAATTCTATCGATGCAGGAATCCCCTTTCTATGAGGACGCGTCCCGGCGGTCGCGTTATCTACGCGCGACAGTAATACATACCAGTACGAATCAGAACCCCACTACGGTACAGTTACTGAAGAGCTAATCAGTGAAACAGAAGGAGCTTGACGCGCTCACAGAAGGAGTCAAAGAAGCGAATCACAGGCGACTAGCATTCGAGGCAAAACGCAAGTAAGTCATCCATTCCTCATTCCCTACGGTTGTTCATCTTAAATGCCTGCAGCGGGAAGCTCTTTTGGGACATTGAATCCGATGACCTTTTGACCAACATTGAGGGCTTGGACTGGGAGCGGATCGCTGAGAAGGTTGGTGTATTTTTCCTTTCCCAGCCCACTGCTCCTAACCGTTGTAAAGGTTTCGGATGTTTCAGTAACTCCTCGCACGGCAAAGGAATGCGAGACAAAGTGGCTCGGTGACCGCCATCCCAAGATAAATCGTGGAACTTGGTCTAGCGAAGAAACTGCACAACTAACGGAACTCGCCCGCTCATACGGCGAGAACCGCGTCAACTGGAAAGAGGTCGCCCAGAAGCTGGATGTAAGAATCTGGTCTTAAGCGTCTGGTGACAGATTTGATTGACCAATCTGAACATAGACTAATAGAACGCCTATGGATTGCATGCGCCATTTCGTCCCTAAACCCCATCATTACTGGGATATTGATAGCGACGACAATTTACGCAAAGCGGTCAAGGTCTACGGCAAAGACAACTGGAACGTAGGTAGGTGTACCCCTCTTCCGTCTCTTCCTAGCATTCATGTTCATCATTTCGTAGTTGCTAGACACGTGTCACCGAATGCAACCGCGCAGCAATGCCAGAATCGATACCTGAAGTCTCTAGACCCAAATCTCCGTAAAGGAGCATGGTCTGATGAAGAGGACAACCGACTTCGCAGTGCAGTCGAGATCTATGGTTTATCATGGGTGGATATCGCCGTCGCCATCCCTGGTCGTACAAACGAGCAATGTCGTGATAGGTGGTTAAGCAAGCTTGATCCTTCCCTGAACAAAGATGCTTGGACCCAGGAAGAGGACGAAGAACTAAACGCCGCATTTCTAGAAGTCGGGAAGAAATGGCCTGAACTAACCAAGCGACTGACACACGGCAGAACGGACCTCCAGGTTTGCTTATTTCGTTTACTCCTGCAAGCTGATGTTGACAAAGTGGAACAGGTCAGAAAGCGTGTGGACTACCTACTCAAGCAGAGGGCCGCTGAAGAAAAGCAGATGGCAGCGGAGAAGCGGCAAGAGAAGCAGAGGGCGAGAGAGGAGAGCCAACGGATGCCCGTGCAGCAAGATAATCTGGGGGTCGGCGGGATAACTAGCCAACCCCTGACGAACAGCGAAGGGGTCCTCATTCTAACACCGTCTTTTGTAGTCGCAGAGGCCATTGCCTTGGTCACCCGGCAGCATATTGGGCATACATCAACCCCGGCCGTTCAAGTCGAACAGGCTACAACTCCGCATACTGAGCAGACGAGCGCCACACACAATGAATCAATTGCAACTGCACAGACGGAGCAAGCTGGAACCATACGTCCTCGACCGAAGCCAAGGCGAATTCGCACTACTCGCGCCGGTCCCGCCGACCCTCCAGACGAAACACCTCATGCATGATCCTCAAGACAGCGCAGAGAGAGACGGGGCATTTCCTGCTCTTCTGGGCTCAGATCTCATCTTAGCTAGCGCGACATGGTACATACAATGCTGAATTTACAATATGTTGTTTCGCCTATAGCCCCTGAATGAAAGTTCAGTGAACTGACTGTTCTCATGTCGTCTTTACTTGTACAAGAACATAATTCATGTCGAGCGATGCCCTGAGACTCCTCGCTTCTACGGCTCTGCTAGCCATTTTCCATTCCGCAGGGTTTTCTACTCCAATCACATCGGCCGAGCTCTTGCTGAAAGTCATCGCGTATAAACCTCCAGCGGGTCTATTTCCCTCAGCTGCCCCAGTGCCGCGGTTTCGTTTACTGGACCAAGCGAAACTCGATGCTATCCTCGAAGAATTCGCTAAAGACTGGCAACATGGATTCATATCGTTATTAAAGGAACACAACGAGACGGTGGTAATGGATGTGAGGCTGAGCAAGGATCGACTGCCGCTTGAGCGCAAACGGAAGCGCGTGGTTGACGAGGACGCCGATTCTGCCGCTGGAGATGATCCAGAGGACCAAGGGGACGACGGTGTGCAACAGACGTCCACGCTCGACACGCTGAACAAGGAGCTGAAGGAGGTGTACTACATTCTACAGAAGAGCACAACCAAAGGCCGATTACTGGCTGAACAGGTCCGTCGCGTTCACCGTTCTCGACGTCGAACTGACCCAGTGGACAGTTTCGATCTCCAGACGAGAGCTTCGAGCCCATTTGTCCGCATATCACCAAGGAGGACTGCGCTAAATCCCGCCATACTGGCGGTTCATTCCCCTCCAGCACAAATAGTATCTGTGACTTGATTCACTTTCGACCTCTCATCCGAGCTCACACTGATCCATCTCTCGGGCATTGCTCGTATCTCAACACATGTTATTCTGAGCCAACTTACGCACAGTCTCCATCTATCCCACCGTTTCCTGGATCAGCGCACAGTCACGGACAAGCCCCGCCAAACTCTCGCGTCCCAACTTCGCTTCCTTCCGGTCTGGGTGCTGGAGGAAGGGGAAAAGAGAAAGCGCCTTGTAGGTATTTGCATTACGAAGTAGATTGGGACGAAGGGGATGGTGATAGTACACGAAGTCCAAGTTCGAAGAGCAAGGCTGTTGTCAAGCGGCCCCACCGGCTTGAAGTTGGCTTGGGCCCAGATGGGATGTCGAAACGAGTGGTAAGTTCGTCCAACTGTCCACTTCCAGCCGTCCTTGAACAGCGCATTGCAGTTTCCACCTCAGTGGATAAATTGCGACATTCGCAAGTTTGACTATTCGGTCCTGGGCAAGTTCCATGTCATCATGGCAGATCCGCCCTGGGATATCCACATGAGTGTAAGGATACATCCTTCTTTCTTACTATATTACGCTCATGGACTGCGCCGACGGTCTAGCTGCCCTATGGCACTATGACCGACGACGAGATGCGAGCAATGCCCATACCGGCACTGCAGGACGAGGGTGTTTTGTTCCTTTGGGTTACTGGCCGTGCCATGGAAGTGGGCAGGGAGTGCTTGCGAGTATGGGGGTACACTCGCGTGGACGAAGTCGTCTGGGTGAAAACAAATCAAGTGATTACCCACTCATTCCCTACCTACCTACGCCTTCATCTAAACACTCACATTACTAGCTTCAACGTGTTATACGAACGGGTCGGACGGGTCACTGGCTCAATCATACCAAAGAGCACATGCTTGTTGGCGTGAAGACGCACACAGATGCTTCCGGTGCACTGAAGTTCCCTTCTTGGGTCAACCGCGGGCTTGATACAGACGTCATTGTATCCGAGGTACGGGAGACGAGTCGAAAGCCCGATGAGGCCTACGGCTTAATTGAGAGAATGTGCCCTGGCGGTCGGAAAATTGAGATATTCGGTAGAAAACACAACGCTAGGCCTGGGTGAGTTATTCAGTTATACTCCTAAGCTTTGACTCATGTATTCCCTAATGTCGTAGATGGCTAACGCTAGGAAATCAATTGGGAGGTGACCAGATTTATGAGGAGGATTTAGCTGCTAGAATCAAAGCGAGGTGAGTATTCATACTGTTGTCCTCCATTACCGACTGACACGGTCATAGGTATCCCGAACGGAACATCAATGTCATGTCGCAGCCTGGCTCATAGCACAGGATATCACCTTCGCCTTAAGGTCCGTTTTCGTTGGACTATCTACAGTAGACAATTTACTGTATTCTTGCATGGATGCTTTCCTCGGACACGCTCTCACTAGCTTTTTGTTTCGCCTGAGAAAGGCTTCTTATTGTGCAACAATGTATGTGTGATTTACGACAACTACTAAACGATAGCAGGGGGTACGAAGACGAACGGAATGTAACGAACGAGAGGGGGAGGGAACCTAGGCTGCGGCCGCGACAGTAACGGGCGTAGGGATTGGTACACTATCGATTGCATTGTAGTGTGCAGCCCCGGTCTTGAGGTTGAGCCCGCCGTTGACCAATGCAGCTTCGAGAATACGGGTAGCCTCGAGCAACTTCTCGGTCTCGTTCTGTTCCCTCTTGCTGCTGATGGGACCAGTCTTCGGGCCAAGTAGGTGGTTGAAGCGCGACCTCGAGACCTCGACAGCCTGCATGTCCACAACGGGGCGAGCACCATTTCTCAGCGTCTTGGGAGTAGTGCCATCGGCGAAGCCAAGCTGCTCGTCTGTCCAGATCGGTTCGACAGGTACTTGGCCGGGCAAGCCGACACTAGCACGTCCACCAACCGCCTTCCAATCCTCCAACCGGTTAATGCCAAGCTCTGTGAACGTCTGATCAACAGCGCGAATGAGTTTGTCCATTTGCTCGAGAGTGTGACGAGGGGTGACGGTGATACGAAGGCGTTCTTCGCCGACGGCGACCGTTGGGTAGTTGATGGATTGTACGTAGATGTTGTGTTCCGAGAGAAGTTTGTCAGACGCAGCTTTTGCCAGTGCGGCATCACCAACAAGAACTGGTACGATGTGCGATGGGCCGGGTCTGTAAGACAAACATCGTCAGTCAGCTTATGAAAAAGTGTGATAACGTGTCCACACTTACACGACTGGGATATCGATCTCCGCGAAGCGACGCTTGACCTCTCTCACGTTGACCTGTTTGAGTTGGCGATCTCCCACATATTCAGTTTGGTACGCAACACTCGCACTTGCGCCAGCGACGACGACCGGAGGTAGGGAAGTAGTGAAGATAAAACCGGGTGCGTAAGACCGAATCATGTCGACGAAATCGTCTGAACCAGCAATGTAACCACCAACAGCGCCGTAAGCCTTGCCAAGGGTACCTTAAGGATGATGATGATCAGCTTCGATGCTTGTCAAATAGAAAAATTCCACGTACCAGTGATAATGTCCACACGATCCATAACAGATCCCTTAATGGGTTCGACGCTACGGCCTGCGGCTCTGTGGGCCTCATAATCTAGGTGCTCTGCGACACCAGCACCTCGGGGTCCGTATAAACCAACGGCGTGGACTTCGTCGAGGAAGGTCAAAGCGCCGTACTGCTCGGCAAGATCGCAGATCTCCTTAATGGGGCCAATACTGCCACACATAGAATAGACACTCTCGAAAGCGATGATCTTTGGGGTTTCTTTTGGATACTGCTTGAGCTTGTTCTCGAGGTCCACAAGGTCATTGTGTTCGAATATGACACGTTTGGCGGTCGAGTGCCGCATGCCTTGGATCATGGATGCATGGTTCATCCTGTCCGAAAAGATGACACACCCTGGTAATTTTGTGCCGAGGGTGGAGAGCGTTGCATCATTTGCGACGTAGCAGGATGAGAACACTAGGGCAGCAGGCTTGCGATGGAGCGCTGCTAATTCGCGCTCAAGTCCTAGATGCATAGCACCGTTTCCAGCGATATTACGGGTACCGCCCGCGCCATGGCCGTATTTGTCTAAAGTGCGACTAGATATATCGTCAATACTCGATCATTGATATCATTCCAAAGTGAAACTCACTGCATCGTCTCTAACACAACGGGGTTGTTCCCCATCCCCAAGTAGTCATTGGCGCACCAAACTTCGACCTCTTCCTTGACGCTGTGAGTATGAGCGACGGGGAACTTCTCGGCAAGTCTGTTGATATTGTTGAAGTAGCGGTAGGACTTGTCCTTGTGCTTCTTGTCGAGCTCGGTAACAAAGAACTGCTCATAGTTGAACCCGGTGTGGTCCGGCATGGTCTGGGCCGAGGTGCTGGCGGTCGAAGCGGCGGCCTTATGGAACGGGCAACCTGCAGCGGCAGCTTCTTTGGAAGAAGTAGCACGGCCTGCGTGTTGAGCGGCCTTCTTCTTAGCGGCGGCAGCAGCCAATTCTTCGGCCGTGCGCGCTGCAGCCCGGGCAGCTGATGCGTGCGGGCACATTTCGACTGTCGCGCCGGGGGGAGGGAATACACCCTTTTGCTTGTGGATTTGTTCGACGTCGGCGTTGCCTGCGACGCTAGCATACCCCGCAACAATCTGCTTCGAGCGCGTGGTCAAGGCTGGACCCATAACGGGGCAGTTTGTAGCCTTCTCGGTGAGGACCGAGAGCGAGGGGAATCGCGGGGAAGCTGAAGTGCATAAGGTGCGGAGAGTCGAGGACTTTGTCCTGTGGAGGTACGGGCAGGCAGCCTTGAACCTGGTGAGGGAGGAGAGCTTGTCCATGATGGTCAGAGAAAGAAAGAGAGCAGAGACCAAAAAGTGAAATCACAGTGCTCAAATTCGATGGCCTCTTAAGGTAACCGTAACCAGCATTATGTAATTGGCCGGTGAAATGTAAGGCCGTTGATTGGCCGTCAGGCATCTCCTTGTCTCGGGTAGGGCAGTATAGCATGAGACCTAGGGACAGAAATATCTACAGCAAATAGACGCGAATACATTACAGTGATCCCAGGCAGCCTTCAATTACATCCACCGCGAAATCCACCTCTTCTTTGCTCACGTTCAGACTCGGAACAAGTCGAACCGCATCGCTCCCGGCCGTCAGAACAAATACTCCCCGTTCCCGGGCCATACTCACGACTTTCCCTGGGATAGTCGCATCCTTGAACCCGAGGCCTAGGATTAGGCCACGTCCCCTGACGTTACTCTGCAGGATATTCGGGAACCATTTCGGCAGCAGGTTCAAACGCCCCATCAAATATGCGCTTGTCTCGCTGACCTGGGCGACCATGGGCCGATCGGCTAGCCGTGACAAGACATGATGTCCAATTGCACAAGCAAGAGGCGAACCACCGAACGTAGTTCCATGAGTTCCTGTACATTGAGACGAATAGAAGATGTTAAGCTATCGGGAGGCCAAGAAATCCGTCGAACGTCGGAGAAATGAACTCACCTGCGGTCATGCTATCGCTGACGCTATCCCTGAGCAAAACTGATCCAATGGGGTACCCGTTTGCCAGCGGTTTTGCCATCGTGACTATATCCGGATGACATTCGACGGGCAGAGATGAATGTGCCCACAAAGTCCCAGACCGATATAGTCCGCACTAAACCCATGGACAATGATGATATCAATCGCATTTGTTCCTTTGCATTCGCGGATTCATGATTTGACTCACCTGGATCTCGTCATATATAAGAATTGCTCCTACTTCGTCGCACTTCTGGCGAACTGCCTTCAGCCATTCGGTCTGCGCCACCCCAATGCCACCTTCTCCTTGAATCGGTTCTAAAATGACTGCACAAGTTTGATCCGTGATGAGTGCCTCTATACTCGCAAAATCGTTGAAGGTGCCTACGTCTACCCCAGGAATGAGGGGTAGGAATGGCTTTTGGTATTTTGGGTTGCTCGTCACACTCAGCGCTCCCATGCTCCGTCCATGGAATGAGTGCTCGAAACACAGTATTCGCGTCTTATCGCAGGCCGCATCGTCCCAATTGCGGCCTGGCTTCGCCGCTGCCCATCTCTCTTTACCGACTTTTCGGGCAACCTTCAAGGCACCCTCGTTCGCCTCCGTTCCTGAGTTGGAGAAGAATACCTTCGCGCTGGAAGGGGACGGGTGTGTCTGTCCTGCGGCGAACCCCAGGCCGCCTTCTTTGGCCGTGAGTATCACCAGGAGCTCAGCGAGTTTGCCTGCCCATTCATGATGGTACACGTTGCTCGTGTGAAGCAGTTTACCGGCTTGCTCAGCGAGGACCTAGTGGATGGTACACGACAATCAATACGTAGTTCGATAGCAACAATGATTTCAGCCCCGAGACCAAGACAGAGGGACCAAAGGCATCCAAATTGTTGTTTCATGGGAAGAACCACATATAGGAGACATATCAGACGAGACATACACACCTGTACAACACCGTCATCCGCATGGCCCAACGCATTGACAGCAATCCCAGCACTGAAATCGAGGTATTTATTGCCATCAACGTCCCACACCCAGGACCCCTTCCCATGGCTGAGCGCGAACTGGGGGCGCGCATACACCGGTAGGATGTATTTAGCCGACCGGTCTAGGATCTCTGAGGTGTATGCGCTGGGAGTTGAAACGATATGTGTGGGTGCTTGGTATTTCGTGCACGGAGATGAGGGTAGGGGTTTGGCCTACAGTTTAAAGAGGCAAATGTTTATGTTTGAAGTCACTATGTTGCATCAAGGATTCAAGTCGGACGGTACATACCTCCTCTGCCAGAGTACTGTTAGACATAAGTCGCATAGGCAAACATGTTTTGGCCCTTGCATTGCTGAGACGCTTAAGAGGAGAGGTACGAAGAGCCGTTCGCGACATGGAAGCAATGGAGAGGACGAAAGGAGAGGGAGCACGTCGCCAAGTATACCTTCGAGAGCGAGGAGGACACGCTCGGTTATGCTCTGAGTCTATGAATGTGATCGTCGTCTAGCAAATCCCGCTCACCGGAGTCACGCAGTGTATTTTAGTTTCGTCCGAAAAATTGCCGAAAATGCAATTCATATATGGACAAGTCATCATCAAATAAGAACAGACGCATAAGTACAACTGAGTATATAGCCTCATTTTAGTCACGGCTTGCACTGCGACTGGAGCGACTGGAGCGAGTGCTCACAGACATGGAAGAGTCAGACGAAGCAGAACGTGCACGCCTCCTTGGCGGCGATCGTTCGCGTCTCTCGTTGCGCACAGGGCTGCGGCTACGGCGAGGGGGAGGAGAACGCGAGCGGGGAGAGCGGGGTCGGCGAGGGGGAGACATAGACACATCACGAGGTCGGCGCCGAGGGCTGGGCGAACGTGTTCGTCGAGAGCGCACTGGAGGCGAGGCAGACGGGATAGGGGAACCGCGTCGGCGATCAATTGGGGACCGCGATCGTGAGACAGACCTTGAGCGAGCTGGAGAAGGCGAGCGGGGCCGTCTGCGAGGCGGTGGAGAGGGCGAGCGTGAATCAGAACGGGACCTCGAACGACCGCGAGATTGCCTGGGAGGCTCCGGTCGGCTTGGGGGAGGCCCGCGTCGGGGACTTCGGCTCCTTCGCCGATCACCACCACGGAAATCGTCGCGACGGTCATCCCTGTCGCGCGAAGGCGGGAGGGGAGGTGGGGGCATCCTGCTGTCCTTCCGCCGCAGGTCTCCGGATTCCCTCTCCCTTCGAATGCGATCCTCTTCTCTTCGTCTCAGCCTCTCTCTCTCCCTTTTCTCCGCCTCCCACTTGGCCTTTTGCTCCTCCATCTTCGCACGCTCCTCCTTGCTCCTCTTCTCTCGTTCCTCACGTTCAGCCATGCGTTTCTGCCTATTCTCCTCCTGCTTCTCTCGGTCGAAAGCGTCTCCTTCGACATAATCGGTGCGTGTCCCCAACGCCCGCGCCATTTTGCTGAGTTCGCTCTTTTTTGCGGCGGCGAGACCATGCGTGTCAGAGGCCTTGAGGGATTTGGCGGAAGCTTCCAAAGAAGAGAGGTTCGCAAGGAGTTTTGTCCGAAGAGCACTGACTTGCTCTTCAATCTGTTCTTCCTCCATCCTGTCATGGTAGTGTTTAATACTCATCCGAAACCAACACTATGACAAGTTACCCTTTATCCTCCAATTCCAGCTGGAGTTCCAAGCATTTTACTTCGACTTTTCGCTTGCGCTCGTGTTCAAGAATGCCTTCGTCGGGTTCACGGTGCTTTGGTGGTGCAACATCCCAAGCACTTGCGCGATCTTGGGAACTTTGATGGCTCCGGAGAGTGGACAAGTTTCGGACCACATAGCCATTGGTCCCGCTGCATTTTGGAGGTTCGTTGAGTTAGGATAATAGCTATGAGTGGTAGATACTGACCTTCCACGGGGGGTCGTCAATCCAATGCCATTGTACATGACTGCGGTAGATGAGTACGGTCGGGATCAGTGCAAGGTTCGTGTCTGGGTCTAAGTCTACATCAAACACGAACAAACACTTCGATTCCTCTATTCCGCAGAACTCGAAGACCATGTTCTCCGTTTCCACTTCCTCAATACGAATCGCGGCCAGGCCAGCTCTTAGCTTTGCTGGGCGATACACAACCACCCGGAATGTCAGGATAAGACCTCGCGCAACCCCCGGCGCTTTCGCCAGTGATCCCTTGGCGAGGGACGAACGGTTATTGAAGGTACATTCACTGTCGGACACGATATGGAACTGGTTACTCATTAAATATCAACAGAAACTCGAAGACCAACTCGCGCGCGTAAAAGATAAAGTACGGCGCGAAGAGGAGGAAGAGGAAAAGAAGGCCAGAGCCGCCGCTGAAGCGTTCGCTCACTCCTCGTCGACCGACTCCGATGCTGCTGTATTAGCAAGTACGTCCAACGCGTCTGAATCACCTTGTGTCCTCACCCATATGCCGTGAATGAACAGACCACAATGATTACTTCTGGAATCAAGTTTTGACCAAGCATGATCGTCGTCAACTTGCCAGGGTTGGCATTACATCTCGTACGCCGCCCAATGTTATATTTGACAAAATGAGTGTTGACTTTGACCTGCTGACAGTGGAAGACCTGTATAGTGTCTACAGCGAAGCTCAGAAAACTATAGATCGACCACCTTATCCCTCGCTGGACACGCTTGATTCTAGGCTGCAACTTGCCCACACTATCTACAACAGTATCCCGACCAAAATCGGGGAAGTAACGAGGGCCAGTCAGAAGAATGGTGTCTGGTGGTAGCAACATAGCATGCAATTCAGCACAACGAAATCGACAGAGAAGCAGATGCACGGTGTCAATGTGTGCCAACCTTCCACCTCTTGCGCGGATGAAGACCCGCTTCCCAGTTTACTATATGCCCCAATAATTCTGCGTCTTCCTGCCCAGAGCTGTCTTCCGTAGCCAACATCAGATTACGAAGCGATTCTTGTACGAGGCCGGCCGTCTGTAGTTTCTTTTCTAGTGAAGGCAATGCAGCTTTCTTCGGTGGTGAAGCCTGTTACATCGTTAGCACCTTGTTTACGTGTGAAAGATGCGAAAGTAACGCACGGGTGTTCGCAGATAGGTATGTTTTGGGGGCAGGCTTGGGAAGTACGCTGGTAATGAACGAAGGGTTACTGGGACAGGGGGCTGTTCATCGTCTGAAGGAAGCAGCTCTGGGGATGGGGAGCGGGACGGTGGAGATATGAGTGTCGGTGGATTGAACCCGTCTCGCTTGGTGATAAATTGCGAGCCTTGAGAGCAACATCAACATTGCGCGAGCTATCGGCTTCATGAAAGATACTTACCTGCTGCCTTCTTCCTATGTTTTGTGCGTATTCGTCTCAAGTCTTTGGACTCCAGACCATGTTCTTGACACGATCGCAAGAGATCTGTTGCAATTGGTCCGCCACGATTGGCGAGGTTGGCGTACTCGTGGGCACGCTGGTACAGTTCCTGAACGACTAGAAACCATGAGCGACGCTGTTTCACGTTAGGTATACGATGAAATGCGCACAAGCAACGACTTCGTGCTCCAGCTTCTGCAGGGCTTCGTTTTCAGCCTTGTTGAATCCCGACTCCTTCAGTTGGTATGATATGAGTTTTGCCATAGCTTGCGATGCTACTTCTGGTGTCACAGAAGGTATGATTGGCGGAGGCGACGGTAGCTCGGGCTTCGGGGCAAATTGCTGTTGCTGCTGCATGAAATACGTTGAGGCGACCCCGGGGATGTTCGGCGACGTGTTTGGGGAATATTGTACGGCATATGCGCCAGGCTGATACGCGCCGTATGCTTGTGCTGTTCCACCGGGCGCTGGCTGATAGGTGGACATGATGGGAAGAGGCAAGAGTGGCAATTCGATGAATGCGGACTTTACAAATGACTTTCATCATCCCAGCTTGTGCCAGCCGGCTACACTTCGCCCGTATCTTCTCCTTCTCCGTCCCCAGTTGACATTGACTCAGTACCACTATTGCGACCACTACTATGGCTGCTGCTAAGATAGAGACCGCTGCTGAAATTGCTGCCCACGGCGCCCCTCCCCCCGCACCAGTGCAGACCCAGAGCTACCGCGAAAGCCGGCCGCAGATAGTCGGTCCCGAGTCACCTCAACCACCGTTCCCCATCCACCTCTCTGGGCTGGTTCAGCGTGGCTTTGGCAGAGGGGGGAAAGACCTGGGATGTCCTACAGGTACTTGCTTCCTTTCTAAGCTCTTGGTCGACGATATTTAATCTCCCACATAGCCAATCTGCCTGATGAATCTATTTCGCCACTGAGCTCTGTCGCTCGTACCGGTGTGTACTATGGGTATGCGCAGGTGATCCCCCCTGCAGGGGAAGATAGACCCCTGCTTGAAGACGAGGTGAAGGTGCTTCCCATGGTCATGAGCTTAGGGTGGAACCCGTTCTATCATAACGAACGGTTGACTGCTGTACGCAAAGTCTTCCTCGTAAAATATTCGTTTCCTGACGCCGACGATGTCTAGGAGATTCATATCATGCATGCCTTCAAGTCGGATTTCTATGGATTCGAATTGCGGGCGGTGGTGCTTGGTTACATACGACCAGAGCTAGATTATGTCTCCCGAGGTCAGTGATCCATCAGGTATTTTTGCGTCTGTCTCTGATGATACTATTCCATTTCAGAGGCCCTCATAGCAGATATCGAAACGGACAAGAGTGTTGCGCTCAACAGCTTGAAACGACCGGACTATCAGAAATTCGCGGTAGACTCTCATTTCCAACTTTCGTGAAAGCGATTAGACCACGTAGTGAACACTGTTAACGACAGCGTGTAGAGATGATTTTGATAGAAATAATGTATGATCGTCGAAAATGCTATTTAGAAGCACTCAATCAATCATAAACGAAGTGACAATGGGACGGAGAGGACTTACCACTCTATAGTCGTCTAGCCTTGGGCGAACGGGTACCACCAATCTTAATAGGTGTCTTGTCGACGATGGCCTTCACCAAAGGCCGTACGAATTCCCCCTCCGTGGTCATGATAGCCTTATGCAGTGCATCGCGCCCTTGACCAAAGCCTTTGAAAACGAGCTGGAGCTCCAGCTTCCCATTACTCTCGACCTCCTTTTCGATGCGCTCGAACATTCGGACAGCACACTGATACCCAGCCTCGTAGCTGGCACGGTTCCCCTTCTTGAATCCGCATGACCCTCCCGAAAACCAGGCTATCGGCGTTCCGTTTGGTCTTGTGAACGTTGTAATAGTGTTGCTTCGCGACGAGTGACAGTGCAAGTGGTACATGTTGGGCAATCGGATTATCTCATTGATTCTCGAGTCTGCGGAGTCTCTGAAGGGATTGTTGCCTTTGGCACTTGGCGGAGGCTTTGGAGGAGGGTATGCGTTGGCTGGAGGTTTCGGGGGGTCGGGTGAGGCCTCGGCGACGAGGAGGTCGACGAGATCATCAACCTTCGACGGTGGCTGCTGCGAGTACAGCCGCGAAGAGAGTGCCCTCGTCGCTGGGAGCGGCAGTGAGCGCGAGGCGCGTAGAGCAGCGAACATGTCTGTGATCTGAAAGAAGCGTGACTTGCAAAATCCCGAGTCTGATCCCTTTTCGGAAGTCGCCGGCCTCGCACAACTCCAAACCATCACCTCGCCCTCACCCTAGTAGCACCTTGTCTGCACTCAAAACAATGGCCGTGAGTACCCCGGATTACTCGAGAGGCCTAGTAGCTCATTAAGGAGTTTCAGTTCGCCAACACCGTCTACAACGCTTTCTTTCGACGAAACAGTAGGCCGCAAATCCGCCCAATGCCCGGCGTATCGTTGACCTCCGTTGCTTAGGTGTCTACGTCTCCACCATTTTCGCCGGTGCATTTGCGTTCGGAATTGGCTTCGACGTCGCCGTTACTACCTTCTATGACCGCTGGAACGCTGGGGTGTGTCGACTTCATCCAATGTTGTCTGGCTCGAGCTGACGACCGTGCAATAGAAACAATGGCAGGACATCCGCCATAAGTACGTGGAACAGGAGTAAAGGCCCCGCTAGACCTCAAGTGTGACCTTCGTAGAGAGCTATACGAATGATGTTTTCGCCCTAATAGACCAGAACATGGAGCCTCTGAGAAGCAGCAGAAGTTTCCATTTGCCTCAACGCTGAGCGGTCGTCGACCTTCGTATCATGAACTCCGAACAATATATTTATGAAGATGCTATGGATACAGCTTTCGTATTCAATTCATGGTATTAGAATTCGCCTTTAGTTCTTGATATTGCCCAGGGACTCCCTGCCGTGTAGAAGTCCATAGGGTAGGTACCTATGGCCGATCTTCTTCCAGTCTCTTCAGAGGACGTCTCGTCGACCCAACTCTGTCTATGACCAACAGCCACAGCGGTTTCGTAAGGACTGAGCAGGGGTTTATCGAAGGCGTAGCCCCAATCTATGGATAGACGTGGACAAGATGTTTGCACGAATGTCGAGATGTATGGGTTGAACAAGGCCAGCTTCGCTGGTGAAAGCTCGGAGAGAAGGATGGGTACGTAGGGGATCGGCGTCTGTGAAGCTTCAAGTTGACGAGTAATGGCCTATAAGCCAACGTAAGCCAACAGTCTATGAATAAAGAGGAAACTTCAACATACTTGAAGCTGCTTGAAATTACCCTGGCGCCCAAGAGTTCCTAACATGACGCCCCACATACTAGAAAATGTTTGGTCGTCGTGACCGTCAGGTGAATGTGTTAGGCGTTGTATACTTGATTTGGCAGTGACCACAGCGTCGTTCCTCGTGTCCTGCATGTATTTATGGTCGTATCGCTCCCTAGTCAATTTCTTGGAATATGGATCGTATCTGAAAGCAGGAACAGTGGGATTGGCGATCATTATGGACTCAAGATGAAAGCGACCGTCCCCGAGATATCTAATCCGAAACGTCAGTATCAGAGAAGGGGGGGAGGACACATAATGATACATACAATATCGCATCCACATCGCCTAGCTGAGGTGCAGTACACCCCAAGATCTCGCCGGGAGACAAGGGCTTCGCACGGGGAATGGTGACATCGTATCTTCCAGTGTTGAGTATGGTCTTTGATTCAGATGTGATGGGGGACGTGACGTCGAGATCGGCTACCAGCTGCTCTTTCAGGTGTTGTAGCGCAGCGACGAATTGAATAGTGGACACCAAGGCCAGACGAGTTGCCTCCTTCGATATTGTGGCCGGAGTTACAGTAGCTAGCTCCTCTGGTAGCGAAGGTGTCTCCCCTATTCGCAGACGAGTGCTTGGTCCAATGAGGGATCCTACAGCAATTTTGCTCCTTGCCTCTTCATCGTCCAGCAATGCCTCGTGAAACTCATTTCGAGTATCCGGAAAATTGGCTCGGATTGTCTGCACAAGATGTGTTGAGTCGATCCCTATCTCCACAAACACGTAGAGTGTCTTGATAGTTGTTTGATCCATCGGAACTGAGAAGACATAAGATCATGGAGTCAAAATCATGAACTTCAGTACGCACCAAGGCAGCTATGTCCATAATGAACAAGCATATCGCAGCCTAGTGCAACAGCCGTATAGTCGTCGACACAACATGCACCGTAGGTAACGTCGCCCATGATCACAGTCAGCGCATCAGTGAATCTATTAGTGAACTATAATGAATCCCCTGGGGCTGAATTGCTGCCATATGACACCACCTGCGCACCGCTCTATGATGTCCGAGATCGTGCAAGCAAACATCTGCAAGCCCTCGGGCATCTGCAGTCCAACAATCTTCGCGTTATTCTTCCTGACATGGTGGATGGTTTTATGGATCTCGAAAGAGTAATTCGAGGGAAGTGATTGGATCGCGGCGTTCAATTTGGCATTCTCGAGGATATCCTGCGGGATTTGGTTCGATATAACGGACGCAACACCGGGTTTTGACGGCTTCGAAGACTTTGTGCCCACAAACCGTTTGCGAGGTTTTGCGGCAGTGGTCGAGGAGGACATAATTGGAGTCCACGTGCCTGAGGCCGCGACGCGATCATAGAAGTACTTGAGCGCCTGTTTCGTTCATGACCTCTAACCCGCTCCAACCACCCAAGTCGTCCAAGATGAACAAGGAGGACATTGGGAGATGTGCGATGAGGGACTCATGTGGAAGGCGGGGCATGTTCGGGAAGGAACTGCCCTGCCCATACGATGGTCCTCCAATAGAAGTAAGTCATCGTTGTGCTATGTTCGACGCTCTACTCATCGTTGCTGTAGCCAGACGAGGCGGGCAGGGCACTGTTGGTGGACGTCTGCGGCTCAGAGTTTGCAGAGAACCCCACGTGCTGCACCTCGGCTCAGGTCGAAACACTGAGGGACAACCTCAAGCAAGCTGAACCTCTCATAGCTGCCTGTCCTGCATGCAGGAACAATTTTCGCTCCTTCTTCTGCAAGTTCACTTGCTCGCCATCCCAGGGAGACTTCCTTAATATTACCTCAACGCAAACAACATCCTCAGGGCAAACTGCAGTCAAGTCGGTCGACTTCTTCGTTGGGGATAAATTCGCGGAGGGGTTCTTCGACAGCTGCAAGAGCGTCCAGGTCGGAGCAGCTAATGCTTATGCAATGGACTTCATAGGAGGGGGTGCCAAGGACTATGTTGCATTCCTGAAGTTCTTGGGGGACGAGAAGGACTTGGGAAGTCCTTTCCAAATAAACTATCCTCGGGCCACGCCCCAGGATTTCGTACAATTGGACCCAATACCCCGGAATTGCGCAGACAACGACCTTCTGAGTCGATGCACTTGTATCGACTGCCCAGATATATGCACCCCACTAGCCTCCATCGATCCCCCAGGCGCCGGCTCAACCTGCCATGTCGGGCTATTGTCGTGCCTTTCGTTCATACTGATACTCGCGTACTCCCTCGCAGTGGCTGGTTTCTTTGTCGGATATATTGTTCAACTTACTATCCGTCGAAGGAGAGAGCGAACGTACGAAAGAGTAGCGTTAGCTGGGGAGACCGCGTCACCTCGATCACATAGTCGTGGGTTGGTTGGTGCTGGTTCGCTCGCGACCTATACGGATGGCGAAGAATCTTCCGAAATGACTACCGATACTAGGCATCTTGGACGCGGCGCGTCTTTACTCGACCCCATCCAAACCGTTCAACCACGCCATTATCCCCTCAATACGATTCTACGACGCGGCTTTTATAAACTAGGTCTCTTCGCTGCATCATATCCTTGGTTTATGTTTTCGGTTGTCTTCCTGTTTGTCGGTCTTCTGAATATCGGATGGAAGAAATTCGAAGTGGAGACTGAACCCGTACGTCTGTGGGTTGCACCCGATTCGGAGAGCAAGCAAAACAAGGATTTTTTCGACCAAAACTTTGGACCTTTCTATCGAACGGAACAAATCTTCGTAACCGCTATTCCGGGGGCTGTAGAAACCTCAGAAGACGAGAGGGGACCCGTGCTTTCGTGGGAGACCCTCAACTACTGGGCAGGCGTAGAGAACGACATACGCTCTCTAATCTCATCTCCTAATGGTTACGAACTCTCTGACGTATGCTTTAAGCCAGCTGGACCAGACGGTGCTTGCGTTGTCCAGTCGGTCATGGCGTGGTTCGGTAACGACCTCGACGATTATGACGAAACAACATGGGTTGATCGCCTCAAAGACTGTGCGGCTTCTCCTGGGGAATGCCTGCCCGATTACCAGCAACCGCTGGAACCGTCTTTCGTCGTGGGTGGCGTCCCCCAAGACAACAACGGACGCAAGGACTATGTGAATGCCAAAGCCCTTGTTATCACATACGTCGTGTCAAACTCGCTGGACCCAATCGAAGAAGCAAAGGCGATGGAGTGGGAGACCGCCCTCCGTCAGTACTTGTCTATTCTGAGTGGACGTGCACCATCCGAGGCAGGGTTGGAAATCGCTTTCTCTACGGGTGTCTCGCTCGAAGAAGAAATAAACAAGAGCACCAACATGGACGTCAAGATCGTGGTCCTGTCGTATTTGGCAATGTTCTTCTATGTCGTCTTGACATTAGGAAGCAATGCAGATAGTCGCGAGGAAGAAGGCGTCGTTGGATCGCTTGCTCGCTGGGGTCGCAATTTCCCGAAGCAATTCTCGCGCTCCATGCCCTCTTCGTTGTCCATCGACTCAAGAGAAACGCCCACTCTTCTGCCCAGACTCCCTCGTCGACTCTTCGTCGGTGCCAAATTTTCGCTAGGCTTATTCGGAATTCTACTTGTCATCCTTTCCGTGGCCTCATCTGTTGGGTTCTTCTCCTTGCTCGATGTCAAGGTTACCCTAATCATTGCGGAAGTGATACCCTTCCTAGTACTTGCTGTAGGAGTTGACAATGTGTATCTGCTGGTGCATGAACTCGATAGGCAGAACCTCATGCACGGTCCGAATGCTTCGGCTTCACTTGCAGTACATGGAGAGGGAGACTATGCTGCCACTACCATGTCGCCAACAAGCTCCCACCGTTCCCCCTTCCCTTCCACCCATGACGGCGATTCGGCATCTATGCCTATCATCCTCTCAGCAGAGGAGCGTGTCGCAAGAACCCTAGCCAAGATGGGACCCTCTATCTTGCTCAGCTCGGTCACCGAAACAGTTGCATTCCTACTCGGAGCCTTGGTACCTATGCCGGCTGTTCGCAATTTCGCTCTATACGCTGCAGGAAGTGTTTTCCTTAACGCGGTTTTGCAAGTCACTGTATTCGTCAGTGCCCTCTACCTGGATCTTAAGCGTGTCGAAGTAAGTGCGAACCCCTTAACCTGACAGATATCGTCTCACATAGGCTCTAGGCGAGTCGTGTTGATTGTTTCCCTTGCATCCGGATGCCTTCTCGCATCGCTCTCTCGGACGGTCCTCAGAGTAGCAGTGATATGGGTCCGCTTGCCCGCTTGATTCGCCACTACTATGCGCCATTCTTGCTACGGCCCATCGTCAAAGGCGTAGTTTTGGCACTCTTCGGCGGCGCCTTCGTTGCGTCTGTTATCTCAATACAGCATATAGAACTTGGCCTCGGTAAGATAAATTTCTCGCTCGAGTATTTAATGACTTAACGATAAGTGTTGTAGATCAACGTTTGGCTCTGCCTTCTGACTCGTACCTTGTGTCCTACTTCAATCACCTCGACGAATATCTCGACATTGGCCCTCCTGTCTACTTCGTCTCGCGCAACGTCGATGTGTCCCAGAGACCTGGTCAGCAAGCACTATGTGGCAGATTCACAACATGTCAAGATCTCTCAGTTGGAAATTATTTGGAAGCTGAACGCAAACGGCCAGATGTCTCATTCATGTCTCAACCCGCGGCATCCTGGATTGACGATTTCTTCCGTTGGTTGGACCCGGCCCAGGATACGTGTTGCCGTGTACGCAGAGCGACTCCGGACGTTTTCTGTGGTCCAAATGAGGCTCCCCGCCGTTGCCGTCCCTGCTACGAGGGGCACGAGCCCGCCTGGAATATCACTATGGATGGATTCCCAGAAGACGAGCAGTTTATGAGGTACCTGCAGCAGTGGCTGATCTCGCCGACGACGGAAGAATGCCCGCTTGCTGGCAAAGCTTCATTCGGTACGGCACTATCACTGAGCGAGGAGGGTACCAGCGTTATTGCCTCGCACTTCCGCACATCACACAAGCCACTCAAGACCCAAAGCGACTTCATCAACGCATTTGCGGCTGCGCACCGTGTAGCCGAGGACATCTCCCAAGAAACCGGAGTGGACGTCTTCCCTTATTCCATCTTCTACGTCTTCTTCGACCAGTACGCCCACATAGTCGCAATCACCCAAGAGATCCTCGGCTTGGGCCTGGCCTCTGTACTCATCGTAACTGCGCTGCTCCTGGGTTCCTGGAGGACGGGCACAATCGTCACCGCTGTCGTTGCGCTGACAGTGATCAACGTGATGGGTATGATGGTCGTATGGGGCGTCAGCTTGAACGCGATCAGCTTGGTCAACCTCGTCATTTCTTTGGGCATTGCGGTTGAATTTTGTGCTCACGTCGCGCGGGCGTTCATGAACACTGGGTCTGGTCTTCCTGTTGACCACCCCGCAGGACAAAGGGAGCGCGACGAAAGGATGTGGACTGCTTTGGTCGATGTAGGGCCATCTGTGAGTAAACGGTCGTGTACTTACCTATTTCTACGACTCACATCCAACTAGGTGATATCAGGCATAACCACTACGAAGTTAATCGGGATGTGTGTGCTCGCATTAACGCGCTCGAAGCTCCTAGAGGTCTGTCTACATCGTTTCCTATGCCTTCTGCATATGCTGACAGACGACAAGATTTACTACTTCCGCATGTGGCTAACATTAATCATCGCTGGGGCATTGAACGGCCTCGTCCTCCTCCCCGTCGTCTTGAGTCTGGCTGGTGGGCCAGGTTTCCCGCTTCAAGAAGCTGATGAGGAGTGGATGTCTAATGCAATTCGGAACGATTATGGTTATGCGTAAGAGATCGAGATTTGTGACCTGTGTGTCGAGCTAACTTGGTTCTCTCTCTAGCCCATTCCTTGCAGACAACGATTCGGTGTCAAGCGACTAGCTATAGATGCAAGGTTGCTGTCTAGCTAATTTTAATAGAATATATAGACGCACAGTCACATAATACACTTCAGGGACTAATGCGCATGTTGCATCAGTAAAACTACGGACAATATTACAGACAAGTGTTTGTCAGAAATGGTTGCTAGTAAAATGTGAAAGTATTAGTCCTTCGCAGGTGGAGGGGACCTTGATCTGCTGTCTCGGATGTCGTCCCTGCTGTAACTCCTCCTGGCTCTGCTGCCGCCAGATCTAGAGCGACTTCTGCTGCGGCTGTATCTCGAATAAGAAGAATAGGACATTGACCGTGACCGGGAGCGGGAGCGCGAACGCGAACGGGAGACAGATCTTGTACGGGAGCGACTGGAGCGCACGGAGTAGCTGCGGGACCTCGAGCGTCTCCTGCCGTATCCACCTCTCGTGTAGCTGGGTGACCTTCTGCGTGGTCCCAGACGGGAGTTCCTGCGACGGATAGGGGATCTTGAGCGTGTTCTTGAGCGACTGGGAGAGCGAGGGGGGCGATAGTCCCTTGGTGGCGGTCGCCGTCCCATCCCCCGGCCACGGTAGCCTCCGTCGTCCCCTCTGCGCCTGTATCTAGGTGGGGGAGACCGCGTGCGCGAGCGGGTTCGAGAGCGCGAAAACGACCTCAGTCTGTCACGGCCGTTGCGTGGCCCTCCTCGAGGTAGCGAACGCGAGCGGGAACGGACAGGGAGATCGGAGAGTTCGACTTTGAGGACCGCGCCGTCAAGTTGGCCTCCATCCATATGCGACGCCGCCTTTCTTGCCGCCTGGGACTCAGCATACTCCACAGCGGCCTTCCCTCTATTCTGCCCGGCTAGATAAACGATAAACATGTAAACCACATGCCTACACCCTACTCAACCAAGCCACTAGATTAAATACACGTACATTTGCCGTATACCGGGAGGTCGATTTTTGCGACGTCTCCGTAGACGCCAAAGATGACCTGGAGGTGCGCCTTGACGACGTTGCGCGTGAGGTTGGTGACGATGACCACTTTTGCGTTGGGTTTTTCCGAGTCGACGGCCATCTCTGCGTCGCGCAGCGGGCGTGGCGAGCTCGATCTGCCTCTTTCTGACATTTTGGTTTTGCGGGTGGCTCTGAAGATGGCCTAGGACGTTTTGGGCGAAGGCCGTGGCAAGTGTTGGAGTTCGTGTGTTTGTTTGCGCTTAAGTGCTTACGTAAGACAATTAGTTCGCCCGCTCTCGACCACAAGTTTCTCTCTCTTCTTTATACCACGACCTTCATTCGGCGACATCTCCTCCTCAAGCGCACCCCAACCGCGTTCGAAAACTCCAAAAGTCTCCAGCGAAATTCTCAATATCCCGACAACTAGCTCGTATCAAGAAGAAAGACGACTTCATCCATTTCACGGCGTGCAGTGGCTCAGAAGCACATTAATAATGATTCGTGCACCCGGCGTTAACCCGTGCGTGTCATATCATCAACCTTCATCCGTGATCGATGTTGATGATTCCGTTGTGATCATGCAGAAAGACGATTGGGCACGTCAAAGGCGTGCACGTCGGAAAGACGTTTGAGAGTAGGCAAGAGTGTAGTGCATATGGGGTGCACGCTCCATGGCAAGCTGGCATCCACGGGACGGCCGAAGATGGGGCCTATTCCGTGGTCTTGTGCGTTCCAGCCCCATGTTTACTCCTTCATGTCTAACTTTCATTCAGATCTGGAGGGTACCCCGACGACGTCGATCACGGGGACTTCATGTGAGTCACAACGTTCCCCTCCATTGCACACATTCAGCTAAACTCGCGGCAGAACATATACAGGATCAGGTAACTTCCAACCCTCTGTGACTCGATCGTTATTCATATCTATTCAGGGGGTAGAACATATGGCTCAGGAGACAAGAAGGTTCGTTTTGATCAATCCATTGTTCGATCTGCCACCAAATAACCATTGTTCAGGGATGGGAAGGCGAACAAACGAGTGACCAACAATGGACTATGGGCAACATGGCGTTGAAGGTATGTTGTTGGGCATTTTAGGCTTGGGTAGAACTGACGGGGGAACCTGCAGCGTTCGTTTGAATTGAAGCGACCAGTCCGAGTCATTCGAGGAGCCGGTTTGGGTTCGCGCTACGCTCCCGCCGAGGGGTAAGCTACCCCAAATGATATGATGATTCTTATGCTTATGAACTTCTCCGTATGCAGCTACCGCTACGATGGCCTGTACATGGTCGTAAAGGTGTGTTGATCTATTCCATCATATGTGGGGCGCGCGTTGATCGTATGTTCAGGCTGAGAGATCGGTGGGAAAGCAGGGCTTCATGATGTGCAAGTTTGAGTTCTCGGTGAGTTTCGCAACGATGATCATCTGGATCAAACCTTACCACGATCCTTCAGCGACTACCTCATCAACCACCTCTGCCCACACCCGGTCTTACCTTGGTCGACACCAAGAAGCGAAAGCGAACTCGTAGAGAGGGTGACGACGACTCTTCAAGTTCAGAGGAAGAGTGGTTCGCAGAGCCCGTAGCCTCTTCATCTAGCGTGCAGGTCGAGGACATACGACCACCGAGACAGAAGTCACGAGCGGGGCCGCAGTCTGCGCTGATGAAGAAAGTCCAGAGCAAGGCCGTCACCCACATGCGGCGGTTCAAACTGGAGAATCCGGTGGCGAAGCGACCAGTTACGAAAGCGTTCAAGGTCAAAGCAGAGTCAGATGCACGGTGTCCTCTTGTGCCGTTGGTCGATCCTAATTTGAAGGAGGAGGACAACGATGATTGATCAACAGGCATGTAATACGCCAATGCTTCTTATTTGTATAATATTGTATGCTGCGTTTATAAAAGAAACGGGGTGCTCCCCATTCCATGTGAGATTGTTTGTCATTCGGACGCTATGAGAAGAAGATAAGAGCATGAGAAAATTAAGCCACAATCTAGGGTTAAGGTTTATGTAACACGGCCGAACGCGCTCTGAACGACACCACGCACGCTCATGGGATGACACAGCCAACGATGACGGTTGACGCGTCGGAGGCCGAAGGCACAACGCCAGAAAAGCGAGTTATCCACATCACAGTGCCCCCGAGGTGGTACCTTATTCCGGGGACGGCCTTCATCGCTGGAGCAGCCATTGGTCTGGTGCGGGGAGGACAGACCGAGTCGCTGCGCTTCCTGGCCGAGAATGCGCATCGGCCACCGACGACGGTGGAGGGGTGGTACTTTTACAACAAAACGAAGAACTATAGGATCATGTTCGCGGGGCTCAAGTCTGGGGGGTGGGAGGCGGCGAAGCTGGCTGGACTGGGGATCGGATGGGTCGGCATTGAGGAGGGCGTCGAGCGGGTTGGGTTGGGCGACGTTCGGGAGGTGATTGCTGGTGTGGGGACTGCGGCGATGTTTTCTGCGGCATGTAAGTGAGGCTGGTTATCGGAGCGGCGCGGCGCAGGCTAAAAGAGGGGATGTTGTATAGACCGACTGCCGATGCGGGCTGGGCAGCGGGCGGTCGCTGCCGGGCTGATGATTGGGGGGACGCTGGCGGGGCTTCGAGTTGCGCGGCGAGTGCTGGAGGAACAGAAAAGGGCTCGGGAATAAATAATGCGATACAACTTGTCGAATATTGATGTGCTCCAGTTTCTGCTCCACCCCAATCTCTTCTTTATCTCTTACCACCATCATCTCCCATTTCCACCCAATGCTCAAGCTCTGGCCGTCCTCCCCAATGGACCAGACGACTCCCAGAGCGGGTCCCGATGGCCAGGAGTGCAAGAATCCCTTTGAGAGCCCTGCATCTTCTTCAAATACTTCAAATGGTGCACAGACCCCGACCGTGACCACAAGTCGCTATCATCACCACCTCCTCGCCACGCCGCGCTCACCCTACAATATCTCGGCCAGTTCGCCTACCTCGCCATCATTTTCGGCGAACCCAATTCCTAACGGTCCATCCGGGGACAACGCCGATCTCACGCCCCTAGGAACATCCATCTTCGGGGCTTTTGCAGCTGCCTTACCAACAACCCAACTCTCTCTACATGCACCAGAATTCAGCATGCAGCAGCCACCATCCCGCAAAGACAAATCCCCTGCAGACAAGTCCTCAAAGACATCGGCATCGTCCTCCTCGTCAAATGGCTCGTCCTCTTCTAGCGCTCCTCAGTCAGGCTCTTCTAGAGGCCAGATTCACGTCAAACTGATACAAGCTCGTGGCCTCAACGTCCAATCGCTGAATGCCCGCCCCTACGTCGTCGTCCAGTTTGAGAACAACGAGTTTGTCAGCAGGGATCCAACAGAAGAATCCGAGAAGGAAGCCAAGGGCACCGCTACCGCTCTATCGCGCAACGGCTCCTCGAGTGCACTGTCTGCATTGGGGGCCATCGGATCTCGCGCTGCCATCGATGTTATCAAACGGCGAAAGTCGAGCACCAACTCATCGCCAGTCTCCTCAGTATCGTCTGGGAAATCGAATGGAACATCTTCGAACACTACTAACACCGCTGCCGTTCCCAACCATGCGAATGGTCTCTTCGCCAGGCTATCCGCCCATAATCCAGTTTGGAAACATGAGGTCTCCTTGTACGTGCCCATCGGACATCACCCTAGCCCCACATCTAACTCAAGCTTGCTGCGCTGTCACATAACACAGTGATGTTACCATGGATGACTCCCTTCTCACATTCAACGTCTACGATCGTGCCGTGACAGACGGCGGTTTCCTGGGGGCCGTGCAGGTGAAGCCCATCCTTAAACACGATCACACTGTCGATGAGTGGTACAAGTACGTTTTCATCAATTTCCACCGTGATTTTACCTCATTATCGGTCTTATCGCCCAGGCTCCGGCCACTCGAGAACGAGGAGGTCAATGGCGATATGCGTTTACAAATCACCTATGAACAGTACAAGGTACGTGTCACTCTGCCCCACATATTTTTACGTACATTTACCCCAACGTTTCCCCAATATTCTGTTTATTGATTGATGGCTGATGATCGTGGTCCGCCAATTAGACGAAACGAGCCTTAACTCCACGAGATTTCGAATTCCTTAAACTCATCGGGAGAGGGACGTTTGGCAAGGTCTTCCAAGTGCGCAAACGGGACACGAAGCGTATATACGCCATGAAGGTCCTCTCGAAGAAGGAGATCGTAGCCAAGAAGGAAGTCGCACATACCATAGGAGAGCGCAAGATCCTCCAGCGGTCGCTGGAATCACCTTTCCTCGTTGGGCTAAAGTTTAGCTTTCAGACGGAAACAGACCTATATTTGGTGACGGACTTTAAGAGCGGCGGCGAACTCTTCTGGCACCTTCAGCGTGAGACGAGGTTTACCGAAGAGAGAGCAAGGTTCTACATCGCGGAGCTCATATTGGCCTTGGAACACCTACATAAATACGACATTGTTTATCGGTAAGTCTTCCCCAACAATTCGACTCGATCTCTACCGCATGACTTGGTGTTCATGACGTATGTAGCGACCTCAAGCCAGAGAACATCCTTCTCGATGCAACGGGTCACGTTGCCCTATGCGATTTTGGCCTTTCGAAGGCCGATCTACGAGCGGACGAACTTACGACAACATTCTGCGGCACGACGGAATATCTAGCGCCAGAAATACTGCTCGATGAGCAAGGTTATTCAAAGATCGTCGACTTTTGGTCATTAGGCGTTCTCCTGTTCGAGATGTGCTGTGGCTGGAGTCCCTTTTACGCCGAAGACACCCAGCAGATGTACAAGAACATCTGTTTCGGTAAAATCCGTTTCCCGAAGGGCGTTATCAACGAGGATGGCAAGCAATTCGTCAAAGGGGTGAGTAATAAACCATTTTCGTTGTCGTTGTTGCCTCTTTATTTGCACATCACTATGATATCACTCCCTGGTTTTGTGTCAAATACTTATTTCGGCTTTGTCGTAGCTTCTGAACCGAAACCCGAAACATCGCCTGGGTGCCTCGCGGGACGCGTCTGAGCTCAAAGAGCACCCGTTCTTCAAGATGATCGACTGGGACGCGCTGGCAAAGAAACAAGTCACACCGCCGTTCAAACCTGACGTCGAGTCGGACGAATCGACAGCGTGCTTCGACCCAGAGTTTACATCTGCTGATATTCGGGAAATCGGGATTGAGGATATCGTTGATTTGGACGAGGATGACCCTTCAGAGGCGTGGGTGTCCCGGTCTGTCAGCGGAAGCTATATCCACACGCCGAACGGTCCCCTGGGCAGCGATCAGCCCAAAAATCACGGTATTGCTGGCCTGTCTGGCCTGTCAATATCTACCTCAGGACACATACCGAACGGTCCGTCGGGGTCTTCTGCGAAGAGCGCCGCGCCGCAGGGTATCCAGATAGCGCCAAAGAAGAAGAAAGATCCCGTCGGGACGCCCTTGACGAATAGCGTGCAAGAGAACTTCCGTGGGTTCACGTATTCGGGAGAGAGCGTGGTGCAGCCCCCGGCGGGCAGATTGAAGAACGGGGCGGAGGCTAGCGAGGCTGTCGATGACGAAGAGGTCCCTGATGAAAACACGGAGGACGAGGCCGAAGATACAGCGAGACCCGCTGGAAGATATGCGCATGCCAGGAGAAAGGGCCTAGCTTTCACCGGCTTGGATGATGTGTAGCCCCCGCAACTATTGCGAGCGACTCTCCCTACCCCCGTATCTTAATCAGAGGATAGTGACGACGCGACGTGTTATTTGGGCAGGTTATCTCTCTTACTCTTACTCAACGGTATGTTTAGTGGACGAAAACGGACCACACCTTTCCCCCTCACCTAGTAGACGGTTCCCTCATCACATACATTACTCCTCGACGCCAATACCATACATCCGGCTTTCCTTTCACGTAGGCATTTATGTTCAATCTTCTCAACGGTGCTTTATTGTAGACGACAAGTGTAACAATATCCTCTGTAGCTCGCACTTGTGCCAGCGTGATATATATGCAACAATACATTATTTATTATAAGCTCGTCCCAACACTAGGGAATACTGGCGATAGGATAGAGTAGAGTCTAGTGTGTAGCAACATATCCAACATGTACAGGTGAATCCATCGACCGGAAAAATATAGAAATGAACATCCCCAACCCCCCAACCCCATGGAACGGAACCGACCCGAAGCGTGGACTACCAGTCGTTCAGTGTACTGCAACCGGGTCGGGAAAGGTTAATCCCGCCTCGTAGGAGCGGCGGTAAGACCAAGCCACCAATGATGGTGTTAACCACTATTGATTCGATCTCATGCGGTGTTATCCGGCCATACCACACGCTGGCGCCTTGCGGTGTGTATATCTGCGGCACTGACATTAGCATGGTGCGGAAGAGTGGGGAAAACTCCCAAGTCCCTATGCGGTGGGAACAAGGCGGGGCCGGGAGGAACTTACTATGCAGTTGCCCGCGTATTTGTGGCCACCTATGTGGGAATTACGCAGGATGAGGGCTTTCTTCTCTGAGGGCAGGTCCTTTAGGTGCTTGAGAAGATACGCTTCACGGTCTTCTTCTGTGCCGTTGACCTCTTCTAAGGGATAATCCATTGTGAGGGAGGGATCCTCGAGTTTGGTATCTGCCATCCAGCCATGATGTTCTAAAGAGTGGATAAACGCTGTACATATGAGAATGTTAGCTGTGAGCGCTTGAGCAATTGAATAGAGAGTAAGCGGCTGACATTGTTCAAGCTTGGGTGCTGACAGTCCGCACCGGTTATCACGACGTTTGTGAGAGCCTGTCGAGATAGATGGTGATAAGTACCAATATAGACAGAGAGTGACGAGTTACGTACAGAGAAGTATCAGACAAGAATAAGGTAGCACCCAGGTTTTGAGTGTTCCCTTCTCAAGGGGTATTCCGGTGCGACCAAGTGAGGGGTCGAGGGCCGTTTGATACAATGCCTCCGCGCCGTGCAACGTAGAAGGGACACCCGTCACGACTTTGTAGTCCGGAAGGATGAGGACGGTTTCATGCGTGTGGTCTTCCGATACCGTCGTATGGTTTCCGTTAAGTATTGATATTTTTGTAGAGTCAGACGGGCGATAAATCCCGTGAGGCAGAGACGCCGGAACAACTTCTTCCTCTGCTTTGTGGTGGAACACCGAGGAGTGAGCTGCCTTGTGCGCAACAGTATGTATATGCGCCGCCAGGCTGCCCTTGGTGTCCGTAACGTCCCGATCCCAGTCTGACTTGCCCGTCGATATGATGACCTGGAAAGAAATTGAGTTAGGCGCGAAACGGCGTAGCGCCGTGGAGCAGCCATACCTGCCTCCGATACGGCTTTATTGATCCCAACAGCTGAGTCTCCATGTCTACATCAAACCGCCGTCCGTACGACAAATGTCCTGAAATTGAGTTAGGCGAGAACCAAAACGCCTAGCGGGAGCACGTACCTTCGTCGCATGGATCCTGACACGTTCTGCAGTCGGCGGTGGAGACCGGGATTGAGGACGCCTCCAGCTCAGCGTAGAGCTTCTCTGGGCTGACATTGTGGCCGAGCAACATTGCCTGGAGTCGTCTGATACCATGAGTGAGCATTTTGGCGAAGTTCGAAAGAAGAATGGGGACGGCATTCGATGGAACATGATTTTTGAGAGAGAACTGACCTTTTTTACGAAATGAGGCAGGCCCTGACGCGGGCGGGGAAAAAGTTATCTGATAACGCGAGGCTGAGTGATCAGGTGGTTTTATTATAGCCTTGGTTACCGTGGGAGTTTTCATTCCGCCCCTGATTCGTCCCTGAGAGTGTCTCGCCCCTCTTAAGTTCCGCCTCTCACTCACCACCGGGACATCTCCATCTTCTTCTCAAGCTGAATTATCATCTTAGAAATCGCTGATGAAGCCTCCGAAGGCGCTAGCAAAGTTGCTTATCGAGGACATCAATAGCGCTTTATTCGGAACCGCCGTTGTAGAGGAAATTTGATTGTGGTCTCGATCCGTTCGTTCGCGTCTGGCCACCTGCTGGCGTGAGAAGGAGGCCTATTTGCCTATTTCTTTATTTCGGATCTGAATTATAAAATAACCGTACGTTTCCAGAGGGGTTGTCCTCCAATCGTCTCCAATGCTGCTGGCTAAATTCTTGCTACCAGCCATCCGCGGGTCGATCATATCAGGGCCACCGATTAGATGGGCTGACTGAAGCGTCTTGGAGAAATGGTGACATCTTCCATCGTCAGATGCTCTACAAATGACTCAATCATCGAATCGGAACCTACGTCTATTTGGGGTACACGGCGAACAACGGGCGACTGCTAGCTCACAGACTCATCGGAGGAAGTCGACGTCCTATCTGCAAGACGCCGAGAGTTGTCGGACGAAGCCGTTCTGGGTGCTGATGTCTATCGAGTGTTTGTTCCGATGCCGCAAGTACGGCTCTGTCGCAGGCAGGAGTCTCTAGTGTGGTGACGATAAGAAAGTCAATTCATTGGTCCATAAGAAGCATGGTGAGTACCGTGACCATGCTCAGACGCCAAATCCGAGTACCGGACATGCCCTTCATGTACCATCTCGTTAGTTTACTGCTCGACGTAGACAATGTAGTCAACCGAGCATCTACCGAGCTTCGCATCGCCGCTTTCAAACTACCGATACATACCTTCGTGTTGGGTTCATCAGAGGAAGTGGAAGGCAATTCATGCTCTAGACGGTGCATACTAGCGTCATAGGACACCAGGTGGTACGGGTTCCATATATAGAGCTGATAGCAGTAGTTGACTGGGCTGAATAGAATGCCCATCGAGTAGTTATACGTTCATAGAAGCCATCGACGCCACATGGGACGCAAGAACGCACAGGAACTAGCCTACGACGACCTAGAATTTCGTACATGAGTCTTATGGGATCGAACACGAGTGTAGGAGACAAACTTGTAAGTCTCCTGCTCATCTGTAGACTCTTCGGACGATTGCCGTTCTTTCGCCTGTTCCTCCTCAAGAACCTCTAATCCGGGCAGCGAAATATTACCAGCATCTATCGTCCCATACAGCGCCTCCACGACCTTCGACTCCCTCACATTCTTAAAGTTACTCCACATCGAACCAGGTACCCCGTGGGCGCCATCCCGCCTCCTCCACTGGCTAATCTTCGGCGCCGACCGTCGCAAGTCCAGCTCATTCTGCAGGTCTTTGTACGAGATTGTCCCGACAGCGGTGTGCGCCAGCTTATCGTTCCCGCAAAACTCCTCGTCGATGCGCTGGAGGAGGTTTTCGGGTGTTATGAAGTGTTCAGATTGGTGGTAGAGCGAGATGAGAGCGCGCATTTTGTCGGGGGAAATGGGAGGCGAGGGCTGCCGTCTTTTCTTGGCCGATGAGGAGGCATGTCGGGCGAAGGTGCGCGTTGACGTACGGAGTGCCGACGAGGACATGGTTTTGGCTGTATTGAGAAGACCAAGTCGCGTCGGGAGATCGTGCACAAATATTTCAAAGTCCGAGGGAGCCGAACACGGCCCAGTCAAGTTCAACGGTTACTATTCCGTGAGTACTAGATTCCGTGAGTACTAGTAACACTGAACAGACTACAGACGATGACCGGTGGCGGCTTCAAGGATACGGTGGCCGAGATCATTTTACGGAGTGCCAGAAACAATGCGTGCTCCTTTTGCAGCACCAGCGTAGCAAGTAACTCCTGACTGCAGGCCAACTGCAGGCGACTTTCCAGTGCAACGACAAACCAAGTTGGTGATGCTAGGCATGGGGCCATGGTAACAAACGATTTCAGGCCGAAGAAAGGCATTTATCCACAATACTACAACATATTTAACAAAGTTTGTTCGTTGGAAACGGAGGTGGAGATCGTGTTTGCTCCACCTCAGTCGACCAGACAAAATAATGGTCACTCTGGACCAGCGCCCTACAGGAGCGGGTTCACGGAGCGACAGTTGAGTTTCAGCAAGAGTCCAACGACGGGCTGCCTGAGGTTTAGATCGACGTGTTATTTATTAGTGGACTGAAGGTACACACTAGGTCAGGATCACAGCAGAGATCCTTGTTGCCACAGGACATTTGGAACGGCCACGATAGCGGAGTGCACTGGACGCCCGCGGTATTGATCCCTGTAGGATCCAAGATACCGAGCGTGACGAGGAGCCCAGCTATAAGTGAATTCGAGACCTAAACATATCTAGGTTTCAATAGATCGACGTCCGATAGATAGACGTACAAGGTCAAGGGAGACGCAGCACCATAACTGTCCCTTTGGACAAGAGCTGGCTGGGTTGAGACTGATCTGACGAGGAGCTACGTCTACCTCAACAACCTCAGCTTCACCCACTGGAGTGACGGGTGTCGCGAGCACCGTCAACAAAGGGAGCACAAGAGCTGCCAGCAAGGGTGTCAAACGCATGTTGGGTCTGAGGATAAGACGATAGGATACGGCTTGAACGACGCGTCTTATATAGCTTAATTGCTTCGCGTAGCCAAGTCTCGAACGCGTTGAGCCTGTCTTCTCATTTAACCGGCGTGACGGAACGTACGGCAAGAACGAGCGAAAACATAGCAGTCTGACATGTGTATGGGAGCCCGTCTCACGAAGTGACGAGAGGGGTGGCAGAGCGTGGCGACGGAAGTCGTAATGACCTCGGGCCAAGTGGGAGGACTTCGTGTTCCTCCGTCTGCTTCATCTCCCAATCAGTACTTCTACCATCATGCGCTGTGCTGAAAGACCCACCCATCCGTAATGATTGTGAAATCTGTGACACAACTCAACGATGACATGTCTTGGCTTTCGAACGGCGAACGGCGAACGGAACATCCGAACGAATAAAACTGATATACGTGTCCATCGATGGGTTGTTAAGATATTGTTATCATATTATACAACTGCACATCCGTGCGTAACGAACTTTTGAGGCTCGACGGCGTTGAGTTAAAGGTGTGCTTGGGACTTGGGTTTCAAGCCAGCCTTCTCCAAGATCGCCTTCTCCTTCCTCTTGATAGCCGTCGCCCGCTCAACAACCTCGGCCGCACGCCTGAGCTCACGCTGGCCAACTTGTTGGAGATGGACCTGATAGGATCATTGATTAGCCCGGGTGCTCTGGTTCAAGTAAAGAGTAACTTACAGCGTCGGGGCCGTCAGCAATCCGTAGCGTACGGAGCCCAGCCCATGATTTGGCTAGGGGCTGGTCTTGACAGACACCCTCAGCACCGAAGGCTTGGATCGCACGGTCGATGACACCAAGGGCCATTGTGGGGACGACGAACTATTAGAAGTCAGATATGAAACTTCGAAGGCCAAAAATAGGCATTTACCTTAGCAATACCGATTTCCTTCAAAGCGCCCTTAGCAGTGAAATTATCAATCTGCAGAGCGGCGCTGAGGACGAGAAGACGAGCGCTCTCAATCTCGGCCCGCGAACGAGCGATATCAGCAATGACGGAGCCTGGGTTTAAAATTAGACGTGTTGAAGGAAGTAGAACTATGAAGCTTACCGTGTTCGTGGAGGTACTTGCCGAAAGTCTTCTTCGCGGGGTCCGTAACTCGCTGCAACATCAAGTCTAAAGCAGCAGAAGCAGCCCCGATGGAACGCATGCAGTGATGAATACGACCAGGGCCAAGACGACCTTGGATGATCTATAGCCACGTAAGATACCGTCTTGTTTCGCAGAATATGGGAAGCAACATACCTCGAAGCCCTTGCCCCATCCGAGTACCAAGTTACTTACCGGAACGCGAACGTTGTCGTAGATGATTTCACAATGGCCCTCGGGGGCATCGTCGTATCCGAACACCTTCATTGGGCGGATGACCTTGACACCAGGCGCGTCAGCAGGAACGAGGACGACACTCTGTTGTTCATGGGTGTTGGGGTTGGAAGCGTCGCTCTTTCCCATGAGGACGTGGACCTTGCAGCGGGGATCACCAGCTCCACTAATCCACCTAGAGAAGACGAAGTTACTACAAGCAAGCAACGTCTCGGATACCACCGACTAACCACTTGTGCCCGTTAATGACAATTTCGTCACCTTCACGTCTGAGCGAAGTGCGGATGTTGGTGGCGTCGGAAGAGGCGACTGGAATACATTAAGAAGGGTGTGCGAAATAGATTATGCAGAACACTCACTGAATCTCTCTGTCATGGCAAAGGCCGAACGGATTTCACCTCGGAGAAGAGGTTCGAGCCATTTCTTCTGTTGTTCGGGGTTTCCGTATTTCGCCAACACCTCTGTGATGAGTGATCAATGGTTGAAATGCTGCAGTTGGTAAATGACGACGTACCCATGTTGCCGGTATCCGGAGCAGCACAGTTAGTGACCTCAGAGGCCATGTGCCCTCCACGGCCGAGAAGTTCAGCCATAACAGCGTACTGAAGACCTGTAGTGAGTACCCAGAAACAGAAGATGAACAGGAACATACCTCGAGATTCGTGTAGTCGGTTCCGTGGTTGGGGTAGTGGCGCTTGCTGAGGAACATGTTCCACAAGCCGAGCTTCTTGGCCTTCTCCTTGAGCTCCTCAACCACCGGGATGATTGTCTGCCATCGAGTGCTGTCCTCAGGCAACTGGAGGTGAGCGAGTTCGCTGGCCGGCCAGACTTCCTCCTACATGACTAATATGAGTTCCCGAGCAACAAAAAATGAGAAAAAGACAAACCTCGAGGAACGTGACAAGCTTTGCGAGAGTTTCCTTCGCGTGTGGGGAGAACTTGTTCTCAATCTAGAAATAGGAGGACGGATGAGTGCTATTTGCCTAGTTGTCGCGAGCGCGGCAACGTACCAGAGCCCAGGACGACTCAGAGGTGTATTTGGTGATTGGGTGAGAAGACATGTTGTGTATGTTCGAGGTTGAGCAGGATTCTGCAGATTTGTCGCGGTCGGGTAGCTTATATGGGCGGAGGCCGGTGATGAGTGTACCCGGGACTACCAAATCTAGAATGCGGGGTACTCATTCAGGGCAATAGCCAGCTGGTCACGAGCCCACTCAGTCTACAGTAAAGAAATAACATGCGAGCAGATCACATCAAATAGCAAAAAGCTGGGTCTAGCTGGAGTCTAGCTGTAAATTCACGCTTCCTACGAGTAAATACGATGCGGTCTGGTTCTTCATCTAGGAGAGCTTGTTGTAGATAATAGATAATAATATTCGAGTTATCTATAGTTACAGAGCGCGCGCACTTGGCGTTCACTGGTGTGGTTGATAGTCTAAGGCAATGGAATTTCCAGTTTCTCAGCTACGAAATATGTCAAGACACACTCATGTTGCCTTATACGACTGTGTTGGGATTGCAGTATTACCAAAATCGATTGGGCCTCTAACGCAACAGAAGAGTTAAATGGCATCCAGGTCGATCGTTGAATTACTCAGGAGGATGTTGGTAGCACATTATACAACTAGTACCGCACGTATCTGCGTTACGGATTTTCGAACTGACGTTGACTAGAGGTAGGAGTGAGACTTGGATCTCAAGCCAGCCTTCTCCAAGATCTCCTTCTCCTTCCTGGCCATCGCCCGCTCAACGACCTGCCTAAATATCATTTTTAGCGTGGATCCTCATATTCGAGACTCGGTTTCTACTCACAGCGTCGGGGCCATCAGCAATCCACATCGTACGAAGTTCGGCCCATGATTTAGCCAAATGCTGGTCTTGGCAGACGCCCTCAGCACCATATGTTTGAATGGTACGGTCGATGACACCAAGGGCCACTGGAGGGACGAAGAACTGATGCGATTAAGAACTATGAAGCTTCAGAGGCCGGAGATAAGTATTTACCTTAGCGATACCAATTTCCTTCAGAGCACCTTTGGCGGTGAAGTTATCAATCTGCAGAGCCGCACTGAGAGCAATGACTGAGCCTGACGGTGGATTGCATTAGACGTGTCGACGGATGGAGACTTGTGGTATCATCATGGAGGTACTTGCCGAAGGTCTTCTTCGCAGGGTCTGTCACTCGTTGTAACATCCCAGGCAGCTGAAGCGGCACCAATGGCGCGCATGCAATAATGAATGCGACCAGGCCCGAGACGGCCTTGATTATTCTGTAGCTGCATAAGTCATCGTGTTTCTCCTGGTATAGAAGCAATATACTTCGAAGCCCTCACCCCACCCAAGGAACAAGTTAGTCACTGGAACGCGCACATTATCGTAGATAATTTCGCAATGACCTTCGGGGCATCATCGTATCCGAAAACCTTCATAGGGCGAATGACTCTGATACCAGGGCTGTGCACTCTGGTACGGATATCACCAGCTCCGCTAATCCACGTGAACACAAAGAAATCAGTACGAGCAAGCCTCCCAAATATCAGTGACCGACCATTTGTCCCCGTTGATGACAATCTCACCGCCTTCACGTCTGAGTGAAGTGCGGATGTTGGTGGCGTTGGAATAGGCGACTACAGTATATTTAGAGGCGTGCATGAAGTGAACAGCCTGGAAGCAACTGACTCTCTCTGTTATCACACCGTGCACTGATTTGTAGTTTTACGCTGGAACTGAAGAAAGTACGGTAAATGTATCCAGATTACTTTCTCGGTACTCTTGGGTGCAATATCAGAGAAGTATTGATCAGAAATTTCCTTATATGGCAATTTCTGCCCAATTCTTTCCTAATATTCAGCCCAAAAGTACCAAGGAAATAAACCGCTTACTTTCACCTTACTTTTAACAATCCCAGCTTAAAGGTACGTATCGGTGCACGGTGTGTATGGCAAAAGCAGAGGCTCAAGCCATTTCTTCTGCTATTCGGCGGTACCATACTTCGCCAATACCTCTGGAATACATCATCAGCGGGTTGGAACAGTGCTTCTAAAAAACAGACAACGTACCCACGTTACTAGTATCAGGTGCAGAACAATTCATGACCTCAGAGGCTAACAAGAGTCTCTTTCCCGTGGGGGAAGAACTTGCTTTCAATCTGGAAAGAATGAGGTTGATCCCCTGATTTTCCTGAGAAAGAATCGGAAACATACCATAGCCCAGGGGGACTCAGACGTGTATTTGGTGATTGAATGAGACGACATGGTGTATGCGTCCGGGACCGAACAGAATACTGTATAATTGTCCCGTTCGCCATGAATTATATATGGTTAGAAGTTGGCCAGAAGCCGGTGATGCATGTACCCGCAAATGCCAAGCCAACAATGCGAGGTGGGATCGCACCTATCGGGCGCGACTTTCAAAGTTCAATCTGATAAATAAAGCGACGTACTTTATAGGTAGAATACAGTGAGTACAGAGAGATCATACATGGACAGTAGCAAATAGCGCAAATAAAATCATTAAGGCTGTCCGCGGGTGAATATACAGATATACTGAATAGAGTTTCGCATAAATACTGGGGCACTTTGGGGTAAGTTACCGATGGCCCTCCTGATTTGAAGTGTCATTGTTCAAATCTCCGAACGGCGTGAAAGGAAGATCAGGGTCCAGGCCAAATGCGCCCGGGTCATAGCTATGCCAGAGCGAATCCTGCTCACCGCTCAATGAATAACCGTTTGAACGGTAATTTCGAATGTATTCCAACCCCGAGAATGGCAAGCCTGGGGCAGCGAATGACGCGCTCGGTGGCGTTGTTGAAAGCGCGCCAAGGTTCCCCATGTCTGTTGAAGGTTCGTAGTTCAGGAACGACGAATCGTACGGGGAGGGGTACGTGTTGAAACCGTTGTAGGACATGTTGGCATCATGGGTACTGGGAGGGAATAAATCCGGCCCACGATTGTCACTAGTGGACGGCCATGGTTGCGACTGCATTTGAGTTAAAGGCGCCGGGTGCATACTGAAATCGTAATTGAAAGACGTAGAAGGCGAAGTGACTTGGACAGGCGAGACGGCAGTATATGTCTGCGCATTTGCGAGTCTTGGGCTTGCCTCTTGTGAGCGTTCGACGGTCATAGATGGAGATGGAAGATTGACAGAGGACGGAGAACTATGAGGGCTAATATTCGTATTAGTTCGCGCTGGGTTTAGGGTCGGGCTCGAAAACGTTTGGTAATATGCGAGGCTGGCGCGCTCGACTGGTTCGGCCTCATCAATGCCACGTTTGCGCGAAGTAGACCTTGCTCTTTGTGCGGCTATACAAACGAGGTTAAAACAACCGCATCATCGTGAAAGAAAAAGAAGCCCACAATCAACACGGTAAGGCGACACAGCAGCTCGACGAGCAGAGCTAGCGTCGCGAGACTGAGTGCGCCGGTTCGGCCGTCCCTTGACGGGCCGACTACCAGAAGCCTGTATTGCTGAAGTGGAGATAGTGACAGAGCGGCGGCGTTCGACAAGTGTCGGGGATGTAGTTTGTGGGGGGGCTTCATTGATATCGCGAGGACCGTTCGCGATGGCTTCACTGGCGGTGTTGGCCAATTCGATCAACAACTCCTTGCACTTCCTCGCACCTGGCCACTGTCCTTCCCACTGTTCCATCGCAGTCAGTGTAGTCCTGGCTTCTTCCATAGCTGCCGTTGCTGCCCGAGGATCAGTGGCATGCATCGCGTACAGTAGAAGGATCACTGCCGAACTGAACAAATGCTGGATGAAGAAAGCTAGATGATGGGAGGGAGGCACGACGTCGCGCATCGAAGGTGCAAGACGGATACATGATCGAGCAGACGAGACGGCCTTTACGGTCGATTTGGGCGTGACTGGCTGATCCCTCTTAACCGGCAAGAAATTCCGATGCAGAGTTGTCAAGACAGAGTAGTAATGGCTGCATAGAACCGCGCCCATAGACACTTGCTCGTCGGTCTCTGATTGTGATTTGAACACCGCAGGCAGTTCGTCGCACCACTTCGTAAGTTCATTATCAAGGGACTCGACTAGTTTTTGCAAGTTGGCTTTCTGCTCGGGCTCCAGGTGTTCTTTGCAATTCTCAAGGGCATAGACCTCGCGTAGAACACGGCCAGCTATCTCGTAGAGTGAGATCAAGTAGGTGAAGCCGGCCATTAAAGATGGCTGTCGCTGGGTCATGGGGGCGCCAGTAAAGTACTCCGATAGATGGTCGTCGTCGACCTCAACGGGCATCTCGACATCGCAGTCGGAGTCATTCACGCCTAGCGGTCTTCCCAGCGCCAGAGCGAGCATGCGGTCGAGCGTGTATACTCCCCACCAGATCCGCCGGCGTGTCTCCTTCTCGATCGGTGTGATAACAAGCCGACGAGGGGAACGCTGTGCTAGATGAGTAATCTCCCCAACGGAAAGATAACGGACGGCTTACATGGAGACCAAGATCTTGCCCGATCCGAACGGCCTGCCCCACAAGAATCCAAGCCTGCGGCAGACAATTTACCGAGCACAGGAAGGAAGACATGAGAAGGAAACATTGTACATGTGCCACTTGCGTGTGTGCGTGACTGATGTACTGCAGAATCAAGGCCCTAAAGGATACATTAATCTGACGATTGGCGGCAGAACGCGAGCGCATGGAAACATACCGTTCGTAGTAAACCATGCCCATGCCTCCTTCGTCCATACTTCTTCCAAGCGTGAGGCGTTTGTCATCCACGAGATGGGCAGCGCAGGCATAAACGGCAAACACAAGAGCAACAAATGCGGCTTCAGAACGGACATGAGTAGCGTCGTGTTTGTTCTCCATAAGAGTCCTATACTGCCTTAGGAACGATGGCTTGTCGATTACCGGCATTAAAAAGTGGAAGCGGGCAAAATATGCCTCGATCTGTTGATATAGATCAACATGAGTGAATCGCAAGGCAAATTTGATGACCTCAACATACCAGCTTATCAGCCAAATCAGGTTCGGGGTATTCGACCTCTTCGGGGCCAGGAAGAGCTCGAACCTTGCCAAAGAAGACTTGGGCAGGAAAATACAACTTATTTACGCTGGGACCGGGTGCACGGGGATCTTCCTCCATTGGTGAAACCCGATGAAGGGGGGACGAAGTAAGCGCACGGAAGGATTGTATGAGCGACATCGTCGATGATCCCCCAATCCAACGAAAGTGGCCATGCTCATCAAGCGCAAGCTGTCCGAACGATTCGCTAACTTCGTCTTCGGCCTTCACAGGGGTTCCTGGCTCAGAGGAACCAGATCGCTTGTGTTCCTTGTTATTTATGAGATTACGTAGATTGACGGCGAGAGCCTTGGGATTTGCGTTGTCTTTCGAAGCCGTCCCAGGACCTGTGGAACTGCCGGCCGCCGCATCCGTGCTATTCGAGCCATTGGCCATTGGTCCAATCTGCTCAAGCACAGGCGCAATTTGGGTGAAGAGCGACTCCATGTGAAGTAGGCGAGCTTCGAGCTCTTGTACATAGCTAAATCACTGAAAATCAGACGAAAAATGACCTAGTTGACGAGCTCTATAACTCACTGGCGGCTTAGTGCTGCTCTGTCTTTCGTCTGCAACCAAGTGCACTGCGAGCCCGTGGAGGCACATTGGGAGCACGTAGGCTCGCAGCCATCACATTTAATTTTCTTGCGTCTGCGCGGTGAAAGGCTCTCATCAAGAGGCGCACAATTAACTGACAAAAAGGCATACGCACCTGCAACTCTCGCAAGCCCGCCACACTCGCCTCCGCTGAAGCTGTATTGGCTTCTGGCCGATGTCTGGGGACTGTGGCTGGCCGTCTTCTGTTCGTTTCTTCTTTGAATGGTGTGTCATTGAGTTGAAATCCTCTCCCTTGGCCATATTGTGAGATGAGCAGACTTATATGGAGATGAGGAGTAAATTAGGGACTAGACAGGCAGCGTGCGAAGGTTGCACAAGGACTCGGTTCGGCCCGTGATTCCTGTCTGCCTTTGCTGGGTCCTCGCTAGCGTGAACTTGCTGTGGTGGTGCAGTACTCTGGATGAAGCGAAGCGCTGGGGCCAATCTGGGGGTGAGACAGGGTTTTGGAGAAGAAGATGGGGGATGGTGGGCCAAACTCCGGTACGTGGTTGTGTCCCCTGCTCACAAGACAATGCTGTGAAGGCTCATCGGCACCCCCTGACATCCCTTCGCCCATATGCAGGCATCTCCGGTCCCTTGGGCGCCGCACTCATATGTGGCTAGGTAATTGTTGTTCTGTCATTCTGATGCTGACAGTCATCAGCCCGTGCTCATCGATAGTATCGATGGACGGCACTCGTAGTAAAATATAGCTTAATCCCGTTTCTTGATTTTTTTCTCTTTGCATTTCGTGCAAGGCTACAAACCTGCATGGCGACCCATGGTTTTCGTGACATTCTAGAAAGTACGCCCAGGTAGAGCACGCGGACAGTCAGACGCCTGAAAGGAGGTAAGAGGTTTCAAGCCAGTTCTTAGCTGCTGATTCCATGAACCTTGGGTCATTTGATGCGACGCCAGACGATGCCAGACGCCAAACAAGGATGCGGGTCCAACTACGGCCTTCTTGTAAAGCCGCAAAAAGAATCCAAATTGATGAATATATTTCGAGGCGAACAGCGCCGTACTGACATCATGCAAAAGAGACGCTGCGGTCCCTGAGTGCTACGCCGAGTCACGTGTATATGGTTCCCACGAACACTCCAGTTCGAGTCCGGAATTTTCAAATTCGAAGGCGCTGTATAACAGGTCACCATGGCCGATGTCGAAACAGCCCAGTTGTCCTCCACGAACCCAGCAGATCTGGCTATCGACGATGGGGAGGAAGCAGATTCCAAGGTATCTCTTGTTTACCGTGTCTCACCCCTTGGCGTCATGGTTTCTTTGTGAATAGGAAATTATGCTTATGAAACAACGGGTGGAGGAGATGGAGATGGAGGCCAAGAAACTTAGAGAGCTCCAAGCTGCAGCAGAGCAGGCGAACAGCATGGAAGGGGAAGACGGGTCGGCAATGGAGACAGAGGAGGAAAAAGCGGCGGCTGATGGGAGAAGTATCTATGTTGGAAATGTGTGTCGCCAGAATTCAACAATGTCCCCTCATTTCGCTAATTTGTTAAAGGTCGACTACAGCGCGACGCCAGAAGAAATTCAAGGGCACTTCCAAGCGTGCGGCACCATCAATCGAGTGACTATCCTATGCGATAAGTTCACCGGCCACCCAAAAGGGTATGTCCAAACTGCGGCCACATCGTGCAATATTAACCACCACCCGCTTCCTTCGCAGATATGCGTACGTAGAATTCGCAGAACCCGAACACATTGACGCAGCACTGGCTATGGATAACTCCTTATTCCGAGGGAGATTAATCAAGGTCAATACCGGTGTCTGAATTCTATTCGCCGCTTCCGTTGACCGCTCTAAATATACACAGGTCACACCGAAGCGAACTAATATACCGGGCTTCAATCGAGGCCGTGGCCGTGGCGGATATCGCGGTGGGTACCGCGGAGGCTATCGAGGGCACGGAGGCTTCAGTCCATACGCGAGGGGTCGTGGCAGGTATGCAAATCAATTCTTGGCCCTACCATCTGGCAAACTGACAAACAAACCCTGCTATTAGGGGACGAGGACGGGGATTCTGACGAGTGCCTACCCAAAAGCCCGCAGTATTCGGGGCGTACCACTTCTTCGCTCGACCGCTGGGACCCTTATACCACTGTCGATTTCCATTGACATGGGAATGATTGAGACCATTGTGTTCATTACTACGTATATTTACCGCACAGCTGCACAAGCCATGTAATATGTTATCGCAATCTTTCTTGTATTTCACTGGCTGAAATGTGACAAGCGCGTGACTTTTCTTCTCCCCCGACGGGCGCTTGCAGGTTCCCGAACTCTTCAATGCTCTCCAATATCTTCAGGCATGGAATACGGCAAATGTCGACAGCGACACCGTCGGGCGTCGTGTCTGGAGGCTACGCCTTCTCCAAGACGGCCATAATACACCCGGAACCATTCACCGCACCCCCGAAAGCCTTGCAGGAGGGCAAAGGTCTGATGGCTTACCTCCAAAAAAGCCTCCCGACGCAGGACAAACAACGTCTCCTCCGAACGTACTTCTCGAGGACCTCGCCCTCGCGTCTGCAGCCCGGATCTATCATCACCGTCACAATGGAACACGCGCCCACCAATTTTACGGGTGTCCTGCTGGGAATTCGAAGGAGGGGAGTGGATACGTCGTTCCTGCTGAGAAATATCATACAGAGGACGGGCGTGGAGATGCAGGTGTTTGTGAACTCGCCGCATTTGAAGGATATACGGGTAGTGCAGACGCCGCCGAAGGGCAGGATGCGGAGAGCCAAGTTGTTCTACCTCAGGGACTCACCTGAGAAGATGAGCACGCTGGCTAGCAATAAACGGTGACGGGTACGTTGCACTGCTCTTCGTCTATTGGACGCGGCTGATAATTTGCTCACCGTCAGGTCGTTTGGATACTGCATGAGGCTGCGAGAGGCGTATTTTAGCTTTTATATGAATTCAACAAGCTACTTGAAGCTAGATGCTGTTCTCAACGACACAGAGATGCTGCCACGGACAACGAGACAATGTAAGCTTGTGCTGGGGACATCAAACATGTGTGGGCTGGTGGGACGAGATTTCATGTGCACAAACGCTCGGGAGTGATGGCTGCTGCAAAACCTTCTGCGCCTATCAAATACGGTAGAGCATCTGGCTGGGAGATTCTGATTCAATGTTACACCCCGGCGGGGTTCTGCCAAAGTCTGGGCAAAGTCTGCAACTACTTGAGTTCGTAGATGTTGGGAAAATAATAAATCACGTTGACCTTAATGCTTTGAAATGAGCGTGTTGTCTGTGCGCTTTGCAGATCCATATTCGTTCAGAAGCACTGGCCTGAGTGCGATTCATGAACTTGAACGTACTCTTTAGCAATGGCGTGAGATAAATTTCCCAAAGCGGCCATCGCGGCAATGATGTCTGAACTGAATTTCTCGCCTATCTCGACGACGACGACCACGACGACGACTGCATCGCACAGGCGAAACATTATTGATGGCACCCGGGAGACCCCGCCTACCGTCCCTACGCTCCCTCACTGGTCGGCGTCGCAGCACCACCACTTCGCCAGGCCCGCCTTCGCCGACATTCTCTGATACCACACATGTCTCGGCCATGAACTTTGGGAATGACGGCCCAGAGAAGATTATCACACGAGCGAACTTGAAAGCGAGTTTGCAGGCATACCAGGATGTACGTATCTAAGCAATAGTGCAATCACTTACATTGCGGTGGAGTCAGCGCGATAACTGACTCGGTACCTCCGTAGCTTGTGGATACATGCGCGAATTACCGGGCTGCGTTGGTGGCCATGTCTCGCGCTACCGCAGCGTTTGCAGACGCGATGTCCGTATGTTCTGGGTAAGGCGGTCGGTATGACGTCGGGGAATCTGTGCTCACTCATATATTTCTAGTCTCAAGGGCCCCTCATACGAAGCTGGCACCCGAATGCAGGCGGCGTCAGGTCTTCATCATTTAATAGGAAATCAATGGCATGTACTTGTAAGTTTATGTCAATCACGCTCAATGCTGCAGTGCTCATCCGGCCTTACTGTAGGCCGAAAATCTGGACAAAAAGTTTGAGAAACCTATGCAGCAACACCTAGATAACTATCGAACAATAGTCAATGTGAGTAGCTGATCCATTCTCGTCGGGCTTCTAGTGTTAATGGTCTTCTTTAGGAGCGCTCTGCTTCGTACGAGAGCGCGCTTCGAGAGAAGAGTCGAGTCATCCGGGAGACGGAAATGAAGAATATGAACCGTAAAGAACGAAGTGAGTCCATGTGCCGTACGGGTCACGCTATCATGAACCTTTGTGTAGATCTTCAAAGCTTCCGTGAGGCACTTGCTATACTGCAACGGCAGGTCGACGATCTCGATGACCTGAAGAAGGCCCACTACCAAGATATCATGGACCACGAGGAGGAAGTGTGGGACGTCGTGCAAAGCAAGGTATTATTATCGCTCTGCTGTGCACCCCTATACGCCCAATTTACAATCAATGACAGGTCTGCTTGGTCGTGCGGTCGACTATGGACGTCTTCGATAGATTCACAGCTAAAGCGTACTTATCATTCCCATCCACGTGCGATTGTGCGAGCGCTGATCGTTTACATTCAGTTCTGACCCCATTATTGAGCCGATGCTCAATGTAGTGCCCGACCCATTTGATTCGTATGGCCCGCCGCAAGCGGAGGATCAAATCTTCAGCATCTTACCTCCACTTTCCATTCTATCAAACCAACCCTCGGCATCCCCCAGCCCGATGTCCCAAACACCAGAACCAGAGGCCTTTAGGGGACTGCCAGTCTCGACCACCCCTCCTGCATGGAGCAACACCAACGCCGTCTCGTTCCCATCCATCGAATCCCCAAGCCCCTCGTCCTCAGAATGGTCTGATGTCTCCCCACCTAAATCGATCTCACCCAGAAACACCCCTCCCCGATCGGCCTCTCCACCGTATTCCCAGCGCAGACAATCCGTGCCACCTGTCTTTGGGCATTTCTCGCGCAAGAGCGACTCCAAGTTGCGATCAATGCTATCGGTTATAGATGAAAGTCAGCCACGCCCCCATGAATCCAGAGATATTGAAGAACACACGCATTCTCGATCATCTTCCACCCCAACCATTAATGGCACTGTGGGTCAGGAACCTGAGACCAGCTGGACCAATTTCACGTATGGGCAATCCCCATATGCTACTGTCAATAGCGATAATGATGGGGAATTGACACCACGGCACTCTGCTATGTTTAGTACTGAATCTCCTCCGCCGTTATCAGAGGAACAGCTCTTACCCTCCAAGCCACCTGACCATGTGGCCCATACCCCTTTGCCCTCTTAGCCTGGGACACGTTAACATTGGTCTTATATGGGACTTCGAGATTATTATGATCGTAATGTAATATCTGATACGTTACTTTTCCCATCTCCACGTACATTATGTCTATACTATATTTCACCTTGTAGTTGATCGTGGCTGTAGCCCGTACTGGTATAGCACCTCTTCGTTGACTGAAGCGGGACTTTTGAACAGCAAGTCGGTTCCGACACTCGTCTTAGGAAACGCGATCACTTCACGAATAGACTGGGCCTGGCAGAGAATAGCCATGAGGCGATCGAAGCCTGAGAGTCGTGGAGAAGAAAAGAATGCGGCAGAAATAGTTGAAAGATCGCTCAATGGAATATTCGAGGGTGACAGACAGGACAAACTCACCCAGAGCAATGCCCCCATGAGGTGGTGCGCCACATTTGAGGGCGTGCAACAGGTGATTAAATGGTGCTTTCTCCGGCTCAGTCAACTAATAGATAGATCGATCAATTGTATGTTTCACGTCAAGGAAAGACGAATTGTTGCTAACCTGAAGCACTTCAGAGAAAATATATTCTTGCATGGCAGCATCGTGTATCCTAACCGAGCCGCCGCCGATCTCTACACCGTCTAGAACCAGATCATAGTGCTGTCCGCGAACCTAAGAAATCAGACAACCCGGCATCAATTTCGCCATTGAGCGATGTCGGAGGCGAGATAAAGGCGTCTTACCGCTGCCAAGTCACCGTTGTACATCGCCTCGATGTCCTGCCACATTGGTGCGGTAAACGGGTGATGCGTACTGCTCCATCGACCATGAGCTAGAAACTCCTTGTCCTGATCCCCGCGCGTGAACAAGGGGAACTCAGTGATCCACAAGAAATGGGGTTTCGTGGTGGGTTTGTATGCTCCTAATGGACAAAACGGTGAATCAATGGAAGCCCTCATGATCGCTGCGATTGACGGACCAGAAGCTTGAGCCACTTGGAATAATTGTGTGCGTAACCTTCCTAAGGCTGTGGACCCACCCTGCGTTTGGCCGTTCGTCTCAGTAAAATGGAAGACAGATGGCGCTAGGTGTCCGTTACCTGAGGTCGACGCGAGCGGCGAGAAAGCCATACGTCATCGCCTGGCTTTGCATTCAAGACCCCATTAATATCGGTATAGGAAGATTGCATAATTTCCGGGGGCGTTGGGGGTATAAGGCTATTATTGAATGCCCAAGATGTAATATTTTCATCGGTGATTGTAACGCGCTCCTGACAATGGTGGGCGAATGAGTAACAAGACGTCAAACGGCGGGAAAAGGGTTTACAAACAGTTTGAGGCGATGCTTCACATTGGTTAGATGCCTGAATGAATTTCGATCCCTTGGGAACTAGAATGCACTCCAGGACTTCGTCTTCCTTCGCGAGAGGATCGCTTAGGGGAGGTGGCAAAGAGGGCGTAAGGTTGGCGATCTACGTCTGATTCATGCATGCGCTTAGATTCACGGAAAATTCGAGAATTATTCACCTCCAGGCCGTAGCGAGTGTCTGGCTTGTCGGATCCATACTGTAAGGCACCGTTGAGTAATAGTCGGAGAAATGACGAGGGCGATTTCTAGGGAAACGGAGAACACGCACACGTGTCATAGCATCATGGTATGTCATGACTTTAAACCGCTCTGGCAGGGATACGCCTTCCACGGTAGACCATACACGTCGGATCAGGGATTCGACGACATCGCGGATTTGTTGACCACCTATCCTCCAAGCAGATGTAGACAAGGACTCTACGTTGTGTTCAGTGCCCCAGGACACGAAGGCCATTTCCATATCGACCTGCGTGAATTCTGGCTGCCTGTCCTTGCGACCATCTTCATCTCGAAAACACCTCGCTAATTGATAGTATCTGTCAACACCCCCCGAACACATAAGCAACTGCTTCGGTTGCTGAGGGGATTGTTGAAGAGCGTAAAAAAGGGGTACATCGCTGAGATTGCCGATATTGCTCCCCGACAGCGATCGAGTAGGAACGAGGAATTCTCGAGCACCCTCGGGCGATGATCTGAGCAAAACGGGAGTTTCGACTTCGAGAAAGTCTACAATAGGGTAAAATGTTAAGTTGGGAGGTGGACTGACGGAAAGGTACCTTGCTCGTGAAGAAGGTTGCGGATAATATGTGCTACTTGACTTCGCTTCCTCAAATTTTGGGATACGGGGTCACGCCGGAGATCTAAATATCGATAGCGGGACCTTAACTCATCGTTTGGCTGTGACAGATGCACCGATCAGAAAGCTTGAGAAAGAGCATACCGCTAAGCATACCAAGTTGTGCACATTTGAAGATAGGAAGGGGATAGCAGGATCTGCTGGATTTAAAAGCGTATAGTTGTCCACCTGGACATCAATATCACCTGTACCGCCCTTTTAAAGTGATATCAATATAGCTAGCCAAGCAGCTATTTACCTCCGCAAATAAGGCACCACTTACATGCCGGCGGGCGGATTGGGGTCTCAGGACGACAGTACCCTCGATGAGCACCACGGACTCTGTAGGGACATTAGAAAGACCATGTAGGAGGCTAGCCTGATTTGAACGGTCGACAATTAGCTGAGTTGTGCCATGAGAATCCTTCAGCGGAAAGAAAGACACGAGTTTTCCCTTTCTTGAAAGAGCCAAAGTTGAGTAATTCCGCGTGGGACTGTGAGACGGAAGAGGATTACCGCTCAGGAAGCAGCCAGCCCCCGAGAATGACTCGTGAACCATTGTCTGCGGCCGAGAGCTGCCCGCAAGTATGGGTTCTTGCCTGAAACGGGGCTGGAGATTGATTTAGCGACACGGTGGATTCGCGACGCGTCCAGTCACTGACCCGAATGCGGCTTGATTTGGGAGCGAGGGTCTTGTGACTGCTGAGAATACGACCTTTTGCTCGCATGGCCGCCAAGCTTGTGGCATTTGGGAAGCCCCCCACGGAATCGATGAAATGAAGAGAAAACGGTGAGGAAGCGAGGTGCGACATGGATCATGGAGGACCAGAGCAAGAGGTGTTCGCTTACATAAGGACCCTGTACAATCGATGATAGCCCCTGTGGCTGTCCTCTCCCTTAAAAACTCCAGCTGCAATTCTCAACATGAATCACATCTTTCACCCAGCCAACGCCCACAATGCTCTTCGCTGCAATCCCCGCCGAGCTCAGAGACCGCGTCTGCGCCTTCCTCCCCAAGAACGACCAGCTCGCCCTCGCCGCCACATCGGCCGTCTTTCTCCCCGTCGCGCAACGCCGCCTCTACCGCCACTTGGCCGTATCCCCCGCCGCCCACAACCTCCCCGTCATCGCCGTCCTTGCGCGCAATCCACAGCTCGCGCGCCTCGTCAGGACCCTCTCCGTCAACGTCCCCCACGGCGCAGGCCTCCTCAATGCCTTCTATCGCGACCTCGCAACAGCTTTGTCTCTGATGACAGAGCTCATCGACCTCGAAATGTGCATAGATCCAGCCGCGAGCTGGGTTCTCTCACATACACCCAATACCAAGTTCTCCCGCCTGACCCGCTTCTCATCAACATTTCCCTTTGACTCCCATGTCACCAACTTCCTTGAACGCATCCCTGCTCTCACAGAACTAGAGTTGGACCCCGACCCTGTATCGTCACACACTGAAACGATAGCCCCCCTTTCCCCCTCCATCCTAACTGCCCTCAGTGAGTTCACCGGGCCTTCCCATGTCGCAAGGGCCGTCGTGCCTGGTCGCCCAGTGCAGAGCATTCACATTACCTCGGGAGACCTCACCACGGAGACGGTGCAGAGTCTCAAGGCCGCAACTGCGGATATCGTCATGCTTTGTGCCTCTACCAGCGCGCAGCCAGTCCCCTTCCTCCAATCCCTGACCCTCCACCTTCCGCGGATCGTGTATCTCCGTCTAATGACAACATATACGTTCACCGAGGCGCCTGATGCTGTAAATTTTTTTCTTTCCAATCGCTGTTCTAGTCCTATTCTGATCGCCTCTATCCAGGCCTTCTATGAAAGCGTCGCGAATGCACTCAATACACTACCGGCTCTCGTCACCTTCGAACTGTCAGGAATGCATTGGGGATCATACACTACCCCCCAGGAAGGGGATAAACGGGTTTGGCAATCACAGCCCTTGACAGCTGACTCACCGAGCGAAGCAGACGTGGTCATAGACGATGACCTCTACTTTGATGAGTTCTTTGCCTACTAAAATTATCCTAAATCATTTCGCATTCGCATAATTGTTCCCTACGCAGTCGCGTCCCTAGACTTCCATCATCCCACATAGATCACCCTTATGGCATATGCTGCGTGGTACCTACCCTAGTTATATCACTTATATATCTATCCATCGCTTTCATCTTAGTTATTAATTAGCTGTCCAGTAATAGCCCTAGTATGCAATAATCGTGCTCCATACCCACAGCGCAGGATATAGACTTTTGTTTGTGTTGAATGTCTCCTCCGATTTAGGACCGGGTGAAGCAGGGCAATCTATGTTTGGTGAAGGTGAAGCAGTGGAACTTAAGGTTACCCCGCCCGTGTGTGTGTCTACACCATACTCGGCAGGTTTTTATATCCATCGTGATAAACGTGTTCCAGGCCCTGCTATGCTCATTCTTCGGTCATAGCTTGTCACCATCGAGAGCAGGGCAAGATGAAATGCGTCCGACGCCACGTCAAACTGTACCAACAATAATACAGGCTTACCCCACACTCCTGCATGGGGAACGCTATCCTGTCTTGAGACCGTGGCGGTATTGGTCAGATATAGCAACCACTGAGTATTGACTGCTGCGGTGTCAACCGTCATTTACCTTGCGCTGCTTCGGGGATTCGCACCGTGAACACACGCAGGAGTATGAGGCGCATAGACACCGGAAGTATATCATCATGAACACGGGTCTCCCGCTGATTGAAGGGCTGAGTACACACAGTTGGCACGCCGTCTGGGTTCTCTAGGCACACATACGCAGGAGAATCGAGTGTTGAACAGCTCATCCCGGTATGTTCTATATCCATATCGCCTGATGCGGGGTCAGATGATCAGTGATTCAGTATCACTTGGTCACACCGCCCGTGTCGGTGACTGTAGGAAGCAGGCAGGAAGCAGAGCTTGCTATCCCAGGAGAGAAGCGCTGCTACAATGTCCGGATGTCTATGATTGGCTTGATTTTAATGGATGCCCAATGGATGCCAATCAAGAAGTATGGAAGTCGAAGAGGTCGGAGTCAGTCTATGAAGGGCTGAGTGGAGTAGTCGTTCCTAGCTGCTTTCCGGCCAACATTGAACCGCACCAAGCGAATGGTACGCAGCTTTCGTGGCCCCAGTCAGCTGAGCCAAGTGCAGTCGGTGTCTGCGGCGATTGCAGAACGCAGCAGTAGTGATGGTACGATGGAGAGGCAGCCCTTGCTTCTATAGCCCGACTCGCACGCGTGAGCATCAACTCCACGGTTCACATCAAGAATTTCAAACCTTCGAGGGATCAAACACGGTGACCGTGTGGTCGTGTGGTCGTGTGGCAGAGCACAACCTTGACGCGACGCGACGAAATGGGCGCTAATCTCACTGGATAACAAGAACAAATACCAGGACATCACGAGTCACGAGGAACACCTTCCTAGCTTTCATACACGATGAGTAGACGAGGTCCCAGTGAAGCGGAGGGGACGATCCACCAGGCGGCCCTGGCTGCGCCAAAGCAGGTGCGCAGTCCTTATCGCTGTTTTGACCAAGCTCCGCTAATATATCAACGGTTACCAGGAATTAACGATCAAGCAAGTAGAAGCACTTGTGCCCGATGCCAAAGCCAGGCAGAAGGCTCTAAACGCCCTACTGGCTCGAGGCTTCATCAAGGCACTGCAAAGTTCCAGCGGACTTAGCTTCAGAGCCCTGTCAAAGAATGAATTGAATGCGTGAGTGACTAGACAGTCACCCCCGCCGGATGCTTATTACTGTATTTCCTTACCCGTATCGCAGGACGAAGGATCTGACTGCGGAGGAAGTCCTTGTATACAGTCATATCCAAGGTTCCAAGAACGAAGGTCCGGCATGCACGTTTTCATAGTTTCCGCATGTCGTTCACGCCGGCTACTATGGCCAGGGATATGGACGAAGCAGCTGAAGGCGAAGACAAACCTGCATCAAACGGTCATTGACCGATGCTTGAAGACGCTGACACAGAAGGCCATGATCAAACGGGTCCCTTCCGTTCAGGTGCGCATGTCCACTCTCCACGGAGATCAATGAGGTAACTAATATTCAATCAATCGATAGCATCCGACACGCAAAATCTACATGCTGGAAGGGTTGGAGCCGTCCATCGCTCTCACAGGAGGTCCTTGGTATACAGATAACGAGTTTGACACGGAGTTCATCAAACTTCTCATGAGCGCCAGCCTGCGGTTCATACAGGAAAAGGTGTTTATATCCGATATCCACCTACCCCCATCAGCTCCACGCTGATGCCTCTTCACCAGAGTTTCCCTAAACGTCGAAGTTCTTCGCAGTCTCAGCAGCCAGTATTGTACTCCATCAGCAAAGCACCGGAGTATCCCACGGCCCAAAACGTACGAACCTTCCTGAAGCAGAGCCGAATCACGGAGACGGATTTGTCCGTAGAGCACATTGAAATGCTGCTGAACGTCCTTGTATTGGATGGAGAGATTGAAAAGGTGTGACATTTCATTTCTTTGGTGGAGTTGATCGCGGCCTCAACCGTTTAAGCTTCCTGCATTTGGCGCCACTTTGTGGGACTCGAATGTGATAAACGACGATGCATCTTCAGATGAACGGCCGTCTAAAAAGAAACGCAAAAATGCCCACGCGTCGGACTCAGATAGCGATTCTCGTTCTAACAAATCAAAGCGGAAGAAAAGGGGCTCCAAGGACGACGATAGATCGAAATCCAAACGGTCGAAATCCAAGAAACGGCATCGTGAAGACGACAGCGGCGACGAGTCCGAACCCTCTCACTCTAAGAAAAAGAAGAAAACTAAAGTAAAGACGGAATCCGCTTCCGAGAGCGAGAGCAGTGATGACGCTAAGCAACGGAGGAAGAAGTCCAAAAAGAAGTCCAAAAAGCACGAGTCGTCCGGCAGCGAGACCGACTCTTCAGAGACATCCGACTCTGATAGTGAATCTGAATCTGAATTTGATTCCGCAAAATCTAAAAAGCGCAAGGCATCCAAGTCTCGCGATCGTTCCTCATCTCCAGCAGATTTCAACGCATTCGACGATTTCGTAGGCGGGGCCAATATCTATCGGGCGATTAAACAGGAAAAAATGGCCCTTGGATGGTCACAAGCACCCTGTGGCAACTGCCTCTCCTTCGATTTCTGCAAGGAAGGTGGTCCAGTTAATCCGCGGGAGTGTGTGTACTACAGCGAATTTCTTCTTCAGCCGGTTGGAGGAATGAATATTGAAGAAGCGGAGGGGTTGATCACAGAGTGGTAGCCGGCCCGAACAGACATGTTGTATCCTTAGACGCATGTACAAATCTCGATTATCAGAATACACCTGCATCTACACTACGCATCTCCTAGTTTCTCGATCGCCATCTTAGCGAATGTAGCCCCTTGATGTTGTACCAGCGATGTTGGATCAAGTTGCGTTATCGTGTATAGTTCGTCGCTTCCAGTGTATTGGGCCACCACGCCTTGATAAATGTCCTCTTTATCGAGAACATTGAACTTGAAGAATTGCCAACCTCTGGGCTCTTCACCATCGACGGTCAGTTTCTCCTCCGGGACGGTGTATTCAACGCGTTTGAAATCGAAGCCCAGCCCTGATCCTAGTGCCTTTGTATAGGCTTCTTTCATGGTCCATATCCAAAAGAATCGTCGCAGGCCTTCATCTTGTGGGATCCCACCGATTAGCGAACCGTACTCCTTGGCTGTCAGCTGGGGCCCGTCAGTAGGACGACAGCACCAAGTCTTGAAGACCTACTGCGTCGCTTACACCTTCAACGAACGATTTAAATGAGTTCCGCCGGGGTATACTGAGCTTCATGACATCGACGCCAATGCCGTAAGCGGGTGGTAACTGGAGACCCGGCCCAAATGCCATGGCTATTAATCCATTGTCGTGTGTGATGTTGAATGCGATCGGTGGGTCAGCCTTAGGTTCTAACTTTAAAGCTATAAGCTTCGCATGCATTTCGTTAAACGACGTAACGGACAATATACGGTTTCTTGGCCGATGTAAATCCGAGAGTGACCACGTTGTGTGGAATGCCTTTGTCAACCAGCAACATGCGCACAAGCAGTCTACCAATGAGGGTTCCTGTACCCAGGGTCATTATTCCTGTCACTTGGGGAGTACGAACGGAGCTCACGACATGCGTCTTCACGTTTCCAAAATCGATTAATGCGCTCGATGCTGTCCGGGTCAACGAGACGGAGGGCCGATTGGTACAACTGATGGGGTGCCCATTACGATATATGGCTAGTGGGAACAAACGGCGCGCACTTCTTCATGAAACTCGGGCGGGTCGTAGATAATCGCCCAGACTTGCATGATGATTGTGGAAGTAAACGGGAGCGCGCCATCGGCATCTGCCGGAGGTCGAATTATCAAGTACGAACGCCCAAAGAGGAAGGTCAGATAACAGACTCGGTGCGGTGACAGACCTCACCGCTACCTGCATGTCCAAGTCCAAGCCCCCCCATTTCGTAACCCTTGGGCTGTTCATCATCGACGAGTTCTCATTCGCGGATGAAAACGGAACACCCACGGGAAGAGTTGTCGCGCCGGAGGTTAGTGCCATTCCCGACGAGTTCTGCCTGGTGTTTCTCTATCAGTAACTCCTAGTGGGTAGATCGGAGGAGGGGGGACCTATGCGGCTGTGGGGGCCAGGATTTGGTGTGTATTTCGAAGCACTTGCGCCACACGCAGAGGATGAGAATGCGTGAATATTGCTAGGTTGCCTTCCAATCAGATTGGTATGGTGGTCGACCGAGGAACGGATTTCCCTTCTTCAATCCAAGAAAAGTTAGACGGATACGGGCCAGAGATGTGGATATTCCGTGATCAAGACCATGGAACGACCAGGGCCCTCAATTCCTATCGCGGAGAACACCGCAGGTACGATCTCTTTCCCCGAGTTCAGCTTAAGTTGGTATGAAACGTGCATGACTAGTTTCGAATACTTGACCCCACGAATTCGGATCACTCCCAACGATATTCAGAGTACATTGGCAGCCTGCCCACGCACTCTACATTTCATATGCTCGCCAACGCGAGCGGCCGCCATAATTTCTGAGGTCCATCAGGTCGAAGACTGGAAACCTCTGATGATATACGAGCCGATACCCGTCCGCCTCCCACTATTACTTTCCCCAACCAGACTAACTCGCTTTCAAGGATAGATGCATTCCGGCGGAACTGCCCGCTTTACGCGAGGTATTGCCGTTCGTGTATGTTTTGAGGTAAGAGGACGCACCCCGCTTCCACGCTCTGCCAGCCGCTAAAAGCAGCCGCAGTCCCAACGCCGAAGAAGCACTGTCGTTATTAGGTTACGCTTTGCCACCTACTAAAGTATCCATAGAACGTGCGGCAGCGGAGTTTCTGTCCTTCGGAGTGGGCAAGTCTGGCCAGGGCGTTGTGATAATACGAAGCGGGCCATTAGGGTGTTTCGCTTTAACTCGGGCCCATGGAGGGAGATGGATCGAGGCCTATTGGAGCACTGAAGACAGTGAGAAGATCGTAGATGTGACTGGTGCGCCATACTCTAGCACCCTTTGTAAACATGACTGACGAGTAAATTCCCAGGTGCTGGTAACAGCTTTCTGGGTGGCCTGGCCGCAGGACTTTACTTCACATCTGACATATACGAAGGTGAGTGCGCTTGAGCTTTGCGGAGTAAAAATACTCACCAGCTCGGCACGAATAGCCTCCTTGTACGCCACTGTGTCAGCCTCTTTCACGATCGAACAGGGCGGGCTTCCCGCAATCACTTCTAAGAAGGGGGATGTACAAGAATACCTCTGGAACGGCGAGTTACCTCAACTTCGGTTGGAGAATTTGAGAGCTCGTATGTCGCACTATCAAGATCGCGTGAGTAACTAGCTGGCGTGTAACCTTATTTACCACATCAATTGGGGTTTTGTTTGTGAGACTAGTTCTCGAATGTAACGAGGTTATGAGGCTGAGTTTGCGAGCGCCTAAATGGAACTGTTCAATCGCGATCGGTTCAATATCAGTGTCCATATTGCTCCATGTCGTGATTCGAGACGAGAGCTTCAATTTTGTAGCAGTACATAGATGGGCACATGAAGCTGATCAAATGTACTGGGCAAGTAACGACGCGGCGATCCACAGCGATCAGACATCTAGCTCGCCTCTGGTGGCGCCTCCCTGTAAAGAATGAGATATATCAGCCCGCAGGTTAGTGAAAGTATAGAAGGTGACTTATAATATAGAGAACATTGTTACACCTGTAGATGACGTGAGCGAGCTCAACCTCCAAAAACGGCGTGACACGAATAACATACCGAATGAACACTTCGCCCAACGCACCGTTTGATTTACCATCCTGGAACTCCTCCGTGTTGGCAAGCTAGCGGTCAGATCAGAGACGTGCAAGGACTACGCAGACATAGGTCGCGTACTTGTAGATTCATATAGCCATCTGTGCTAACCAAAAAGCCCTTGTACTCCAGCCCCCATTTTAGTCGGACGTAGACTGGTTTTCCAGTAAGTTCTTGGAGGAATGGCTTGGGGTTGACGGGGTTGACCTGTGGAAATGCAACACTGAGAACGATTTGTCTTGGAATTAGCTCAATGGGAACAACGCACTCCAGACATGGTGGTACGAAGGAGTGATATATTTTGGAAGTCCGCACGTGCTCGGATTCTTTCTCTCACTGCTTCAACTCATACAACCATGTCGGACAGAGAAGGCCACTCTGGCGCTCCTCCTGGCGACGACGACCTCTCACTGCCGAAAGCGACGGTGACGAAGATGATAGCAGGTGAGGCAATTCATCCTTGGGACGCCACTGGATCCGAGCTTGACGACGACACCACGCTAGAGCTATTGCCCGACGATGTGACATGCGCGAAAGAAACGCGCGATCTGGTCATTGAATGTTGTGTAGGTGAACGCTGCTATCTCACTACGCGTTCAGAGACGAATCTAATCGGCGCTTTCCTTGGTACTTCGTAGAGTTCATACATTTGATATCCTCGGAGGCGAACGAAATATGCGAACAGGAATCAAAGAAGACAATAGCACCAGAACACATTATATCTGCTCTCAAGGTACCTAGTGGACAAATACCCGTCGCTCTAGCCTTCTGACTCGTGTCTTGATAGCGGTTAGGGTTCGACAAATTCACGGCAGAAGTAGAAGATGTTCTGAAAGATCACAAGCAACAGCAGAAGGTACAGATCGCTGTGAACTCTCGCACACACTCCGAGGTTACTGACATCCCTATCCCAGGACCGCGAGAAGAAGGTTTCGAAATTCGAACAATCAGGCAAGACGGAAGAGGAGCTCCTCGCTATGCAAGAAGAATTATTTGCTGCAAGCCGTGCCAAATTTCAATCGGGCCAATAATAACATACTAAGAATTGTATCTGCATGTTCAACGTTCAACCAGTACGATATCATCACTAATATTTTATATTACTACTTACAACCGACATTTCTCCTGAAAGTTCTCAAAGACTTTCTTTTGAGCATCTACGCTAGAAATACTTCTCAGACTACCCCACATAAGTTGGGCCGGGGTAGGACGTTCGTCACAGATTCTGAGTCACTCGCACGGCCAGACAACAAGGAGTAAGAGGATTGCTCGAACTAAAAGAGTGTTTCTGTGCCCATCGGCCAAGTCATTTACTTGCGCCACAGCAATGCTGATAGATTGAAACTCCGAATCCTGCGAAAATTGCCTGCAGTCTGTGCTGCTGGACCTGTATCACCTCAGCGCTCAGCTTCATCCAGTACCACCAACAACAACTCACCACTCACCAGCAAACGAACCCCAATCCATTCAGAATGGCCAAATCGACGAGATCAAAAGTCAAACGCTCTTACCGACACAAGAAGAGAGAAGAAGGTGTCTACGCTGCCACAGAAGCCGCACGACTCAATCGCATGAATGCCAAACTCCTTGCTGTCGCTGCAGCGCCGAAACCATTGGTAGAAGAAGAAAAAGACGCCGATGATGAAGACGAGATGCGAGGTTGGTATATGTTTGCAGCCTTCGGAATCATGGATGCAGATACTATCACCCCCGAGCGTCAGGAGATGTTCCGAGTCGATGGACTGCGGACATGTGCTTGATTCGATGAGCCACCAAAGCAGACCCGCTCTTCATAGGGGCCTTTGATCTCTTGTCGGGCTATGTTCCACCGCAATCTTCCCCTCGGTGGGCAAGCATTATTAACTTGTCCCTTCCTTACCAGCCGAAGAAGATAAGGCTCAGGGTACTGTCGAGGAGAATACAGGTATGGGCGGCTCGTGGGGGCAGGTTCCTGTGCTTAATGCGTCTGCACACCAGCCCCAATGGATATCGTAGGCGATGCGCCGACACGCATCTCTACACACGGTCCTCGTGGTTCACGCAGAGAAGAATGGAGGAAATCGAAAGGCATGGAACCCAGACCCAAGCGCCACGGGACGAACCGACAAGGTGTCCCAGTCGCAACTAGAAAGGCTGGTCGATCCCAGCGACGGAGATAGGTAATGAGTCAGACCGTACCATGCTTGCTCGTTACCCTTTCTGACTCTAGTTGTACATTTAGGCTGTACATATCCAACCCCTCAAAACCACCCTGCTTCATGCGAGGCCCAAAAGTACATACAATTTATACCCCTTCGTATATTCATCGGTGTATCAAGCGAGTGTATTAAATTCTTCTGCTGGTATATCAAATTACCTGAGATATTCTTGCCTCTATATAGGGAGTGTCTATCATCTATACATAGTCCGAGATATCTTTTTCCTCATTCCTGACAGGCTTAGCAAATTGGACGTATGGCATACCCACCGACTCGAGATCGTCGGAGGAAGAGCTCGTGCGGCGCTCAGTCTTGCTGTATGGAGAAGCAACTTCTGTTGGTCTACTTGAACGAATTCCATCAGTATCATTAACAGGTCCGGTATCAGTGGAAATAGAAGACGCACGATGAAAATTCTTCCATAGTGATGTGCTCGGTCGTCACACGGATTTCTGGGCGAGCCACGCCGTGCTTAGCCTTTGCGGCGGCCATGCTGCGACGGGCGGCGATGACAACATTATTACCACCAGACATTTGGGATGTCGAGTGAACGTAAACTTCTGCAGAAGCGAATTCCTGCAAACGAATTACTGCTCGGCAGGCAGCAATTGAACTATTTGAAGTTAGATATTTCAAACGCCACTTGATTGAGGGTGGCGCAACGTACGATACAGCAGCTGCAGGGACCTAAAAACAATTAAACAATGAGCGTCAAGATCATCGTCGACAACCAAAAATACGCACCGTGGCTATCCTAGAACGAATGGAGAAGTAGCATAAGGACTCGGTTCAAAGGAAGAAATACAAGGCTTAGCCCCAACTCACACGTTCATCATTGCTACAAAGAGAAACTGTCAGGACCAACGGAAAAATGTTAGGAGCAGCGCTGACTTACTGTTGAGGTTCAACACATTCAAGATCTAATCAAAGAAGCGAGTAGTCAATTCTCCGTAGAGTACGAATACCAAATAGCGCGGGCGAGGACTCACGGCGGGTAGGGAATTTGTCGTAAAGGTGACTACAAAATACACGAGGCCATCCGTAAAAAGGAGTTTCCATAAATCCGTTCGGGCAGAGTGCTTGCCCATTAGGGCAAACATAGTGAAGAGTAGAATAATCAAGTCAAAGCCCATTGCTGTGAGGGGAATAGCATTAACGGGGTGGGAAGGAGCAAGTGATGAGATTGGAACTGACTGTAAAAGAATGTGATGGTTAACAGCGAGGGGTTAGTCGCGTCCACGATGCAGGCATTGGCGGTGGGGTCCCAAGACGCTGAAACGAGGAACATGCCACGATATAAGAACGCCCAGTGTCCTAAGCACAGGATGGCTAGAGGCACGATGACCTTCTTGCTACGTTCCCAGAGAGCAATGCTATACACGGCGTGATGAGATGAATTTCTTACAGCAATACAACGACTTACGTCCTGAGCATGAGAGAAGTCGACGCGCATAGGATAGACATGTTCCCGGTCCACTAAAGGGAGGGTCAGACGAAAGTAATCAAGCCGCTTAAGGAGTGAATTGATTTACTGAGTTGAAAGTATACAGAGCCTGATGGTGGGAATAAGCTTGAACGTCCTTGAAGAATGATAATAATATTACTCACCGCACAATTAATCTGCGCACAATAGTGAAGGTGTTGAGCGTCCATTCTGCTATCGAGTGAATTATTGATCCGTTTACCTTGGTTGTCACAGTGAACGATATTATTCTAGGGCTTCGTCAGCTACTACCCAATGAGTATGAGAAGGGTAACCTACAATCCGATGAACGCCAGGATGATACAATATCGACTTAGGAAAAAGAAAACTGTACAGCCATGTCAGCGTCGATCTGAGGGGCAAATTTATGTCCGGACTGACTCTGGGGTAACGAATCAGTATAGTAGATGGTGGGCGCTGAATCGATCGAATACTGACCAGCGGCCATCTGAACTTGCGTTGGCCAGTTATCAAAGACCACTCGAAGTCGCAAGTCATGAACAGCTCCCAGACGCAGACACCAAACAGGGCGTATATGACGTCCTGAAAGACGGCCGCGTCCTTGGCTATTTCCGCTGGATCCGACCAATTGACCATCTACAGCACATGAATTAGATACTGCAGCTAGAAAGCAGGACGATGACTCACAGTTACGGGCGCGCGTGGTTGAGGGGGAGGGCAAAGGGAGTTGAAGGATACCCGGAAGGTAACAGCATAGCGCAGGACACGGAGAGGTTTTAAAGAAACTCTGAGCGCGCCAGGGCACGTGTAGGTAATTGATCGTACATAGAGCTTCGATGCCACTTCGCTTCTTTTTTCCTGTGGGCGCCTTGGGCGTTCTGTAGTAACGATTGCCTTTTGGGGGTCATTTTCTGCCTTCCTCCGTCGACCCTATTCCAGCGAGGCGATGTTGTCCGCCACCATAATGAAAACAAAAAATTCATTAATCGTTGCGATGCTCGTTCAGCTCTATACTGCCAGTGTACTGTGTCCCTAAACCATGTCCTAGATTGACAGTGATAAAAATGTAAGTCTCCGGTTGATGCGAATTGATGACAGATAGCTTTACACACGGTCTTCAAAGTTCCTGAACATCTTGCCTCTTTCACTGGTTGGCAACAAGCTTGAGTCTGCCTATTACTACCGCGGAGAAGTTAACTATGATTTTGATTTAAGCCTCGTCGCAAACCTCCTGCAGGAACGTTGAACAGTATAACCTTGTCATCTTCGCTATAGAAAGACGGATGAGCTACTCGCGTACAATCAACATCAATGGAGATATGTACGGGTGCCACGGCACCTTGAGTATACGCGGAGATGACCCGAGACATCTGCACAATTTTCGCCGACTTCTTGGTCTCGTGCGGTGGTGAATAGCTTCAGGACAGAACTTCATTATACACTAATGGAACTCACAGAAGACACGCCGATGATGGATATGATAGACCTAGGTCAAAGGAAGATAAATTTATGATGGTATCACTCATTACGAACATGCCAACAACAAGAGCGCAGATTTCGCGAATGTACCTACTACATTTAGCTGCACCATACGTTTACAGCACCATCCGCACCACTACTGATTAACCAAGGTTGGCGATTACACCACCTGACTTGCAGTACACCCAGACCGTCTTTGACAGTATGGCCTCGAAGTATCTTCAGTGGTACAATCAAGGGATCTGTCATCAAATCATTGTAAACTCGGGCATGGAAGATTTGGATAGCCCCATCATCGGAGGATGACGCAAAGAGAGGATACGTCGGATGGAAATGGAGAGAGCGTATAGCTTTGACATGATACCTGACATGACATGTATAAGTACCTAAGTTGATACCATCAAGTAAATCAACCTACCGCATGACTTTGTATGGTTTATCGCTGAGCTCGAGATCAAACCAACAGAGCTTGCGATCATATCCACCAACGATTAGATGGTCCCCAGATGGATGCACATCCATTGATGATATCCATCGTATACCGGGCATCAATGTTTTCAAGAGCTTTTGTTCGGAGAGATTGTATATCCGAACATATTGCTGTGTCTAATTTATATATAGATGTGAGAATCATTGCAGTGTGACGTGGGGAGAACTCACAGCAACAAAGAAATGAGGTTTCGTGGGGTGGAATAACACAAGCTGCACAGACCCTCGGACCTTCTTGAAAGGGGCTTGGGAATGCCGACGTGAAATCTGATGTATCCAAACACCACCACCACTCGCTATTCCACATTAAAATGGAGTACATAAAGGAAAAGGCTAACTTACAAACGGTGGACATATAGTCGCCCCGGCGATGCCAGGTTATCTGCGTCGGCGTACCGGAGGAAGGGGGAAGCTCGACCTTTAGTATACTGAGGTCCGAGGATGAGTTTGACACCCATTTCACGGGAGAAGGGATGGCGGATGGCGGCGGAAGGGTAGCTGGTGCTAAACTCGATTGAGTGGCAGAGAAGATGGCAGATGGCAAATTAGGCGGGATGATGAAGTGAAGTGTATCATCGCTAGATGATTCCGTTAGATAAAGTCGTTACTGAACCCGTGAGAACGAGTCACTCACACACCAACTACGAAGTAAGTGACGTCTGATCGAGGGCACCAGTCAAGGGATCCTATCTTACTCTCGAATTTCCATCGCTTGATTTCCTTGCCGACGTTGACTTCCCATAGACTGACGACTCCATCTTCGTCGCCACTGAGCGCCCAAGCACCATCAGGACTGATGCTTAAAGCCCGTACGCGTCCACGGGCGTGAGTAAATGTCAAAGATTTGTATGTTGGGAACGGCTTCAAGCTACTTGGACTTGGGAGTTTGGGGATCAATGTATTCGGGTCGATATTAATTTTGGTGCGTTGTATTCGAGGGGCGAGATACAGGTCGAGCTGTCGATTGAACCGTTCTTTGATGAATTGGTCGTATCCAGGAACCAGACGGAGGGAAGAATACTTCTGCGGGAGGTAATTCCTTTCCCTGTCTTCTGGATCAGTGGCTTGCCACTCAGCTCGCTCAGCATCGGTTGGGAGATATTCTTCGGGAGGGTTGTAGGACTCAGAGTTGGTGGGTAATGAGGGTTTCGGAGCGGGTAGAGGTGGAGGATGAGATGAAGGGGGTTCCGACCATATTGAATAGAATTGGAATTTTGATTCCTTCGTTTTTGGTTTGTTGGGGATTATGCGTCCTTGGCGGATGGCTCGGACGATTTTCATAATCTAAGGCTGAGGTCAGGAAGGATAGGTGGACAACGAAACAATATGCTCACCTTCTTTTTCTCCCACTTGCTACCGATCCAACGGCGTTTGGGTTCTGGAGCAGCAGAGAGTGGCATGACTTCTTCCTTTCCCTTGCCAGTGAACCACTCTATCGTTGGCTCGTATGGATCGTACTGTGCGTCAGGGTTTTCGCCTTCATACAACCGGCGGATAATATCAAGCTCCTGCGGGGAGAGTGCTTTATCACCTTGCATGTTTTTATCGAATGCAGACGTCCTTCAACGAATTAGACGTTAATTGAGGTAGTGTAGACAATGTATATACTCACCAGGCATCAGGATCATCAACGGTTTTCAAGAACTTGTCTAGTTCATCACCGCGAGCAGGCCGAAGGACTTGTTTTCCATTTATGTCGTAGCCAATATGAGGTAGATCGTCGTACCAGTGCATAGGCACATCCCCCACGCGATTTGGTGTCTGTCTGCTGTTATAAAGAAGTGATCTACGCAAGAAAACCAAAGCTCACATCTTCTGTTGACGAATCCGAATCATAATCCGGCTCGATCTCTGGATATACGCGCTTCGGACGACCAGTAATGTCAGAAACGATGGTTTTTGGTTTGGGAAATATGTGTAGATCAGAGTCGTCAGAGTCGCCTTCCCCGCTTTCGTCCGCCTCTTCTTCGTCCTCCTCGCTTTCTTCGTCTTCCTCGCTGTCGCTCGCAACGTCTATTTCAGGGAAGTCCTCGACCTCTCCGTCGTCCGAACCAATTTCTTCCCCATCCTCGTCGTCGCTGTGCATTTCAAGATTTGAGGCGCCGTTGAGTCCATTTCGTTCGTTCGTGACCTCTTCTTGAGGTGCCTGCTTGCGCTTCCGAGTGTCCTTCGACGTAGTAACCGCGACCATACTCAGGACAGGAGCTCTGAATTTCTTGAGCAAAAGTTTCGACCATGATCGAGAGAAGCACGTGGGGTGAAGCCAATAGCCCTAGCTCCAAGCAAGCCACAACTACCACCCTCGCAGGCGCTCAAGTCGCGTTCAAGAACTTGGGAATACCCTTACTGTCGAAATGGTCAACTATGGTGGCGGTGAGTTGCTTCACCTTCTCCGATGTGACTTACATTGATCTTGAATGTCCAGATGAGGTTTCTGCCCTGGTGGTCGATATTGGCTCGTCGTCTGTACGCGCCGGTTATGCTGGGGATGACACCCCCAAAGCAGTAATCCCATCGTCATACGGCTACTTCAACAACCCTCCAGGAGGCGATGTTTCCATGGAGAATGGGAACTCTGGGGAGCCCAAATCTGCCTACTCCCAGATTTTCATCGGTCAAAATGGGCCTTCTACTTGGAGAGCAGGCATGGAAATTGGGAATCCGTTGCAAGATGGATTAAGTGAGTCCCCTTGATAACGAGCTCATTGGCGAAACTAAATACTCTTCCAGTACACGACTTTGATTCTGCGCGTTCACTAGTAGAACACGCTCTTGGAGATGTGATGCGCGTTAACGCTTCGGAGCACCCAATACTGGTCACCGAACCACCTTGGAATACCCCGGCAAACAGAGAGCGGATGGCCGAGATCATGTTCGAAGAAATGAAAGCACCTGCGTTCTATATTGCCAACACGGGAGTTCTCAACGCGTGCGTACGCTCGACTTGCAAATTGCTTCCTCCTGTATGACTTCGATTAGATTCGCGGCTGGAAAGGGCTCAGCCCTCGTCATTGATATCGGGCAAAGTATGGCTAGCGTCACCCCTGTTGTTGATGGTTTCGTTCTACGTAAAGGTAATGCTCGTCCCGTTAACATGTACCCAGCATCTGTAACGTATTTCCCTACTCCGTAGGTCTTGCCACCTCCTCCATACCAAGACTAGTACACTCGCATGCCCACCATTTCCTCTCCAACCCAACTCAGACCCGACATGCCATCGACCTATACCCTCATCAACTCATTGCAAATAGACTGGTAAGTGGTACCAGCGACTCTACGGTGTTGTCTAAACCACGACAACTCTAGCCTGTTGACCCAGGCGCCCCACCACGGTTCACTCTCAGAGAGGATCGCTTGGCTGGTGTGACCCAAAGCTGGAAAGCCTGGTATGAAGCAAGAGAGGTCGATGAGTGGATACAGAGTGTGGGTGGCGTCCTTGAACAAGGATGGAACGACCAGTAGGTCCCTTACCATATTATTGTCACTTTCGGCTTACTGAGCCCTTTCAAGAGTCGCGGCTTCTCGTCCACCTCGACAATACGAGTTCCCCACAGGATACAATAATTACTTTGGCCATGACCGCTTTGCTGTGTGCGAACAATACTTCTTCCAAAAACCACATTTCGTCGTACGTCTATCCATACCTCGCTTTCCTTTCAATTTATTCATTGAACATCCATATCAAGCAATCAAATGCAACAGCCCCGAAAACCATCCCCAGCCTGATTCTAGAAGCATTCCGTACCTGTGACCCAGAACTCCGTCAAGTCCTCATGGGCAACGTTGTCCTGACGGGCGGAGGCAGCTTACTCAATGGCTTCAGTGAACGCCTCGCTTCCGAGCTATCTCGTTCTTTCTCACACGTATGTTTCTCTGTTGCCTGTTGATAAGGCACCTGTTCACCTGTCCAACGACGCAATCGCGGCTAACAACAATCGCGCAGGTCAAAATACACGCTCCTGGTAATCCGACTGAACGCCGATATGGCGGTTGGCTAGGCGGTAGTATCCTGGCGAGTCTGGGTACCTTCCACCAACTGTGGATCAGTCGAGAGGAATGGCAGGTAAATATCACGACAGATAGTTGTTGGTCGCGACACCTGCTGATTGATGTTGATGCAGGAACACGGCACAGCGATTGTAGGGCAGAGATGTAAATAGCCTCCATGTACTTAAGTCCTCGCACCTGGTGTTTGTACAATCTTGTGAAACTTCGTCTCAATTCTGCAGCGAAAACATGAAAACAACAACTAATACAATAAATGAGTGACACCAAAGGTCGAGGTTGTTACTACCTCGATTCGATTTAATCTGGTCGTATCAATCAAACTACACATGAACATAGGCTACTGGAGACCAGTTATTCGACAATTGCTCGCCAGAGTGAAGCACGGCTGCAGCTACGAGCGGCAGAAACACCAACTACAAGGATATCAGGATAATGAGTGGGTTACAAGAACCATGGTAATGAAGGGGTGAAGGATCAGCAACTGGCGATGAGCACCTCGTATAAATCACCTGTACAAGTCCATTCGACGATGCCACCAAACAGCAAGCATTCCAAGAGAAAAAGAGTGTTGCCAATTTGAAACGGAAAGAAGTTTCTCGGGGAGAACACAAATGAAGGGGAGCCGAATAAATAAGATATTCATACAATATGAATCACCTCGTAAGCCACGGATCTTATTTCTTCGAGCCCTGAGCGCGACATTGACGCTGCTGCTCGGGCTCAAAAGGCTTCGACTATTTCTCTTCGTTCGCGAGCGCCCATGAGCATGCCCAAGCCACCGATGGCCTGTCTCCTCAACCTCGTTGCAAAGTTCTTTGGCCCAAGTTCATCCAGGCCAGAAGGCGGCCCACGGGGCTGTCTGACTGGCTGGCTTGCCATCCTGTGGCTCACCATAACTTGGGGAACGGGGATGGGAGAAGGAGCAGGTCGGCCTATGCCGAGACCTTCATAGAGTTTCTTGGTTGCTTCTTCACGTGGCGACAAAGGAGAGTCACTGGAGGAAGACGAATGTGAAGTGGTAGGAGATGAATCAGAGACGCCCGATTTGGCTGATGAACCGGTGGATGACGCATCGTCAATGTCTTGCTCGCCATCATTAACGTCCGAGCCCGCGTCACCGACCGCGACCGCGATGGGTTCGGTTCGGAGCATGCTGAACCGCAAAGGTTGAGGCCGGGATTTGATGGGAGAGCTTCCTCCGATAGATGCGCTCGGGGAGATACCAGGGGGAGGGGAGATGCGAAGAGATTCGCCAGGGGGAGGGGTTACCTGGACTGTGGGGGAGGTAACCGAACGATTGGCACCGCTAAGTACAGAGTTGTTTCCAGCACGACGCCACGAAACAGCAGAATCCGATTTCGATGGAACATTATCGGAGGCCAGCGAGATAGTCGATTTGCCTAGTGAAGTGCCACCGCTGATAACGGTAGTGGAGTTGGGAGTCGACGGTGGGACGCCTTCGTCGTCTGACTCGTTCACCAATGAGTTGAAGCGAGACGGAACACCATTTCCACCAAGGCTGGCGGTTCGGCTACCGAATCTGCCTCCGAGGGCCGCAGTCATTGGCACTTGTTCGTCGCCACTTTGCAATTCCTGGCCAAGTTGCGATTTGACTTGCTCCGCTTGATTACCGCGGCGCAGTTGAGCGCTCAATGTGGCGGAGCGTAAATCAAATCCGTTGCTGAGCGGGCCAGCAGAGGCAGGAGGGTTGAAGCCCATGCTGATCCGCCTGTTCTGGACTTGTTGCGCTCGCTGGGCTTGTGCAATGAGCTCGGCCTGCGCTTGATACTGTTGTGCCTGCACCGCCTACATAAGAAACCCGTTGAGCATCGGTACACTGAGCAATACCATGAGAACGCACTTGAATCCTCATCATTTCCAACTGCATCATCTGCATTTGCAAGGTTTGTTGGTGCATATAGGCAGGCTGAGACATCGCATTGGGGTTGACAGAAGGAGCCATCGGCATTTGGTTGAAACTCATGGAACCATTCTGCTGGGTGGCAAATCGGTTCCCTGGGCCATCGACTGCAGCTGTGATAGGCACATTGCGCACGAGTCCGCTTCCGTGATAGTTCGCATATATATTCTGTTGATAATCATGTGGGTCTGCGTACTCTTCTTCCTCTGGAAAAACGGCCTGGTGGCGCTGAGACACGTATCGTGGGTTGACATTGAACGAGGTGGCAGTAGGTCCGGCAGTCTGGGGAAGCGATGCCGAGGTGGAACGAACGCCACCAGTACGAAGACCCGCAAGGAGGGAAGCGCGGGAGTTTGGAGCTTGGGCTGTCGACATTGGAGTGAAGTTGGATCAAGACGACGATGGGTGGTAGGCGACTGTTTAAATGTTTAAAAGGACAATAGAGAGGGATAAGGGGATGTGGTGGCTATTGAACAAGAAAATGAAGAAAAATCCACAGGGACTATGCTAATGTCGTGGCCATGTCAGCCACTGAGATCTGGGGAGCAGTCGAATGTTATCTTACCGGCACTGTAGGGACTTTGGCGGCGACTCTCGCTTGAGTTCTTTTCTCTCCGACTCTGTTCTTTGTTGGTGAGCGGTATGCGAGGAATCGTCTCTGGAGTCTTTGGGCGGTGTTGGCAGCTGGAATTGAAGAAATTAAGGCGAAGATTTGGATTTTCGATATATAGATAAGGATTCGGGAGAGGAGAGAAAAAAGCTAGCCAACAGACAAGAAGAGAGAGGAGGGGACGAGGAGGAGAAGAGAAAAGATGAGAGTCAAGAGCAAGGGAGGTCAGACGAGAGCAGGTGGGATTATCAAGGACAATTGTGACTGACCCCGGTCACTCCCACAGTGGCACGTGCTGTCACAGACAATAGCACTACAACAACTACAGATACTTCTTTGCACTCGCCCGCACCCTCGAATCAAACACTGGGCTCCGAATACTCGTATGGGCGGTGTGAAACGGATTCAGCATCGTCTGACATGGGGGTCAGCACAGCCTATTGCCACACCCATCACGAACCTTCGTATATAGCTCCCAAACATCAATGAAAAATGATTTGATTCCGTCGTCGTTCTTGCCTTCGTGCAGGAGCAGAAACTTCATGTCTGCGATCATCAGCAAGCTGGCACAATTCGGCGAGCTGGACAGACTCACTGCCAGGAGTCACAAATGCCGATACAGTCCATTCGTTGAACTTGTCCACAGACTTGAGATACCTGAAACTCAATCAGCGGAGGAAGGGCGCCCAGAATATGGCATTCTCACATCACGTTCTCTTTCCTCATCACATCTTCAATCACGTCCAGGCTCGCGTTCGCGATCATCTGAATAACGTGGCGGTCCTGTCCCCCACCCATACGAACACCCCCTCCAGACGTGTGGTGAGTTACACTCGAGGCCCCAGACAAAGCAGTCAGTGTCCCTGCAAAGGCGCTAGTCGACCAACTCGGTAGGTTCGCGGACAACGGCGAAGCCACGGAGTTCGTTGGCTTTGTCGAGTAGTGCGCTAGGGAATACAATGGCGAATCTGACGGTGATACAATGAACAAATGGTGGGACATGACAGAGACAGAACAAGCAGGACTTCAACGCTACGCCCAAGAGGATGGCCGAGATAAACATAGCCAAATAGTGATTTGTGTGAATGTCTAAAAATAGTAATCCCACCACTGACATGCACCCGTTCGCCTCATATGTCCTCAGGAGCTACTACAAGGCGACGGGCTGGAATGAGGACAACCTCTACGCAAATATCACAAGGTCATCCAGCGGTGGGTCTTCTCAACTGGCACTGCCTCGCATTTCTGAACGATTCCAATTACAGCTATTCTGGACTTCACTGTGCCGAAGGGCCTACACCTGAATGTCTCGAAATCACCAAATGCGCTGTTCAAGACGACTTACTCTATGACGGCTATGCCGTCGCTGAGCGGCTCAGTTGGCTACATATTTACCTCTTGTGACCTTGATGTCAAGTCCTCCAGAGATGTGCGGTTCAAGAACATGATCGACCGCTTCATGGTCTACGACCAGCCGCGAGTACCAGAAGCAAAGGAAGAGGAATGGTTAGCGGGAGAACGGGTCGACACACGTGGTAAGCATCTTGTACAATATACACATATCACCATCCTGACATGCTTTGCTAGATTATCTGCTTTACGGTAGATTTTACCTTCCAGCCGGTCGGCTAGATGCTCTATATTCGACACGTCTAACGCCTACGCTACAAGCCCTCGTAGCGGCAATATCAGAGCACCCGACGTCACCGTCTTCCGCAAACCGCAAGAATGCAGACCCAAGCAACATCATGTTCAACCTCCAGCATGATGTAGGCAAATGGTGCACTGAATACTCTTGGAGTGCCGAGGACGGGATGTGGGGGGTTCGTGTGCTTCATAACTTCGGGCGCATTGCTTCGGATTCTCCTGAAGAACCCAGTGGAAATGGTGCCGGTCCGTCCAAGACAAGTGTCAAGCGGATTGACGAAGAGGATGCTATAGAAGGCGGGCTTAAGGGGCGCCTTTCTATGGGCGCAGAATTCTACTTCAGTGCCAAAGAACGTAGTGGAGGAGGTCGGTCTACCCTTAGATGCACCTTGATGCTCGACATATGTTCACCTGATATTTAGTTTCTACGGGCATCAGATTCTCCACTCTCCCGGATGCCACACCTCCGTCCTTCCAAGTATCCCCTCCTTCCTCGTCCCCTCTCGCAAAAGTCGCTACCGCCCCACCGCGGTGGAACGCGTACCAACCCCCAACGACAATAACAGCGCTCTTCAACCCCATGTTCGGACACATGTCCGGAGCGTACGCTGCGCGCGTATCCCGCGATTTATCGCTGGCATCACGATTTGATTTCAACATGTATAGTTATGAGAGCGAGTGGACTATGGGTGCAGAGTGGTGGCTGCGGCGCGCGCCATCAACTGAGGTGGACGAAGGAACGGAACCAATTCCTTCGTTGGTATCCGACCCGACGAATACCACCAACGACGTTATTGGTGTTGTGAAGGCTAGAGCATCTACCAGCCAGGTATGCCTCCCTGCGTTTGACCACTCTTCCTGGACGTTGAAGACCTTTATTCAGAACGTATCACTCATGTGGGAAGGCCGGCTGCGGAACATGCTTGTCAGCCTTGGAGTTGTGTCCGACTTTTCCAGTCGCACCAAACCTATAAAAGCTATCGGACTCGAGTTATCTTACTTTAGCTCAGGTTGAATTCACTGGAAGGCACATCGTTATTCTGATTTAATATACAAACTAACATATTTGGTTGGCAAAGTGGGAGAGTATACGGGGGACTGGGAGTGAGATCTGAGAGGCAAATGCTGTAAGAAACACGACAGAAGGGGTATAATTACTTGAGAGGAAGATATCCACAAATGAAGCAACCACAGAACGGAGTGAAATTTATTTGTCAATAAATCAGGATGTATATGCGACCGGAATATGATGTACAGATCTGAACCAAAACAAATGGTGGTTATGAAGATGTGATGGAAATCTATTATTCTTTTGTGGCAACGGCCACTGGCTGGGACCTCGCAGCTGGTGTAACTGTGGTGCCGATCGTCCTAACAAGTCGCGACAGAGCATCCCCAGTGATCACTGGCCTGTTGACGTGGGTGCGATGAGGAGCACCTACAGGCGGCGAGGAGTGATTCCGAGCATGGTGCGGGACAAACGCACTACCCCGCGGCGATGTAGCAGTCGAGCGAGAGAATCGCTGGGGTCCGTTGTAGAAGGGTGGGCGTCCCACTGTGTGCGCACGGGTATGTGCCGGTTTGAAGGAGTCGAAGGTCGCGGAGCCTGGAGCAGAGCGCGATTCCCCAGGGGAGGGAGCATAGACCGAAGCTGAGAGGGTGTCACCTGGCTTGGGCGCATGTATAGAAGCCGCAAGACCCGAAGCCGCGTCGTCCGACTGCAGCGATTCAGCTCCCCCATCGGTCGGAGGAGGAGGAGGAGTATTGGCGGGCTGCGAGGCGTGTTCATCTACAAAAGTTGATTGATCTTGTCCCTGTTCTGGAAGCTTGACTATGGCTGGTACATCGAACCCGGACATTGGTGTTGTCGGTTCCACCGTGACACTGCTTACTAGCTTCGCGGCCTTATCAGGTGGGGAAGCTTTCACAAACTTTCCTCGCATCGGCGTTGCAGAAGGAGGAAACCTCGACGAAGAAAGAGGAGTATCGGATACGGCAATAGGTTTTGGAGGAAGAGGGTGTCGCGCTTTTCTATTCATACGGCCATTCTCCTGCACCGGTGTCTTTCCGCGGGGGATCGTGACAGAAGGAGTGGCAGAGGCTGCTAGGGAGCCCTGGTCGACACTTTCTTTGGATAGTATTGGGGAGCGTGGCGCAGGGACTGGCTTAGCGTCTGTCACTCGGCCTTGTGGTAGCTTGGGCGTGACGCGAGCATCGGGATGTAGCGTGTCTGCGACAACGACGGGGGTAGCTGGCTCTGGCAGTGGCTTTAGGCCATCCACGAATATAGGAGATATTTCGTTGGGGTTGTCTACAGTTGCGTGAGTTATCGTCGTCGTCGTGACGCCCCAATCATCGAGGTCAGGTAGTGTATCGTCGTCATCTCCAGCCCAGTCAATATGACTCGCTGTGCCCGGCGTCGCAGGCCGATTGTCTGCCATTGCAACGGCCCTAACTCTCTCAACTAGTGCATCGATATCACTCCGCGCGTCTGTCCCTTGTCGCAAATGAGGTGGAGCATCCTTAGCAGCAGCTGGTGGCGGAATGGGACGAGCTTTCGAAACCGGGCGCAGATGCGTATCATCTACGGCAGATTTCGGGCCTGCTGAAGCTGGAGACTTGCCGTTAGTCGATGCACGCTTGCGTCGGTTGGGGGATCGACCAGAGGTGGGGCTTTCTGCGGTAGACGAGGCAATGACAAGAGAAGGGACGGCACGCGATCCCCTTCGAGAACCTGGCTTAGGCTTGTTCGTGGACGGATTTGTATCCTTCGGGGAATCTGCAGGCGCTGCCTTCGGAGGCACGGACGATGTGCTCTTCTCCGTGGTCGGCGAACTTGCTTTAGGAGAGGGCGCGCCCGACTCTGCGCTTATTGTAGTCGATTTGCCTCCTCGCCCGCCTCCTCTTCCACCCGAACGTCCACCTCTGGGACCACCTCTGGGACCACCTCTTCCTCTGCCACGGCCAAGGCCACCGAATGCCGACTCAGGATCTGAGGATCGTGCAGTCCAGCGAGGAGTTCCTGGGCCAGACGCAATAGGGTTGGCATGGACGGCAGCTGAAGAAGCCATTGCTAGAAGCCCGTAACAATAAGGGGCTAGCTGGGGTTATTGGAGGCGCTACGGAGCAGCATAAGCCTGGACATTGCACATCGAAAAACGGGTCTCACGTAGAGTCCTGGGTGAGGATTTGGAAATATCGCGAAAACCAAGCCAATTGTCGAGGAGGTGGTGGTGATGTTGCCTTGGAGGTAGCCGACAGCTTCACTGCTGGTGGTGGTACTAAATATACTGCGATTCATATTTGGCCTTGAGAGCGCTACGAGGTCAAATACGTCCAAGCAAACCACTTCCTTTTCGAGTCAACTGGATTTTGTGCTCAGATTACCATCATGTCCAAGGCTTCCCAACCAGAACTCAAAAAGGTGCGCCAACAGGCCATAGACGCGCTGCTGTGGATGCTTATATTGATGCTGTCTTCTAGTTTATCGACAAAAAACTCTTCATTCACCTTCAGGGTGGGCGGAAAGTCAGCGGTACGCTGCGAGGATACGACCTCTTCCTCAACCTAGTCATCGACGACGCGTTGGAAGAGACAACACCAGCCCAAAAGCACCCCATTGGCACCGTCGTGCGTACTCGTTCTTTGCAGTCGTGTATATCTCGTCTGACCATAACTTCCATCTAGGTCATTCGTGGAAACAGTGTTACATCGATGGAAACGCTAGAGTCCATCCGATCCTAGCAAATGTTCATTTGACCTTGTAGGTCCAACCTGGCCGCTACAAAGAAGGTTGGTATAATTGTACTTTGTCTGACCCCTGCAGATTGTAAGCACGGGGACATCACCCGCGATGGCGAGTTGAAATCATGTTTCTTCGTCAACGAATTTGTGAATGTACATCCCGTCTGGACTCTGTTCTCGCAATCAACCCGGTCGATGTGCTCCCCTTCTACTTGAGTCGACCGTAGCCTAGAGGCTAGCGCCCGTGACAGAAAGACGAAACGTCGCCCTCGAAAGAAGGGGCTCTTAACCTCTGCGTGATGTTATTCTCTGCGCTTCCATGCAAAGCTTCCAAAGCTCTAGAACTCCATATCTTACTTTGAATAGTCAATCAGGGAGCGTATTCAGATATCGAGTTCATGATCAGCCTCACCTTCCGCCCGAGTTTGATGACTTAACAAGGAAGCTTAATGGAAATTGATAATTTGTTAACCCATTTATACATTGACTATGAGAAATATAAGTAGAGTGGGATATAAACTATACAGTTATGAGTGCCCTAGGGTTAGGGTTAGGATCACGAAAGAACCAAAAAAAAAAACGAAAATGGCCCACCCAGCCAGAGTGGCCGATGTGGGACAGGAAAATATTTAGACGGTGCATGAACCGAAGCGCATACAAGCCGTAGACATCCCCTGTATGGACAGGGTCGCCGTGCTATGGAGGATCTCCACGGCCCGCAAACCCAGGTAGGTGAAGGGATTTGCGCCATCAAGGTAAGTATGAGTTGTTCAGGTGCCTGTTAGAGTCCTTTTATACTGGGCTTACTGCGCACGGGCCACAAAACTGTTTGGACAGCATCCTTCGCTATTGTTTGGAAGGTTTGATGGTGAATTCATCTTATCGGTGATCACGCTTCTGGACTTGGAGGGAACCATCATGTGCTCCTTGCACCCGCGCGGCTGTAGGGGTACTGGTAGAGAATGAATAGTTCCACACCTTCCATTCCCCCCTCACATGTCGCAAGCCAACGATACTGCACAGGCCCCGGCTAAGCCCAGGGAGGTCATGGTCAAATTGCAGAGCCTCGTTAACAATGACCCCCATAGTTGGGAGGATGCTTGGTGCGTGCTAGTTCCCTAACATCAACTGCGTGCAATGCTGACTGTACCGTAGGAAGGCTAAGATCACCCCTTGGGATCTAGGGGAAGGCCAACCCCCGTTGAGAGATATCTTGACTTCGGGCGAAATTGAGTTCCCTCGTTCAGGACGTGCACTCGTGCCCGGTTGCGGACGAGTAGGCCTCTACCTTAATGCAGGTCTCATATTTCGTACTAACTCCTTTATGCATGACTAGGGATACGACGCCGCTTGCATAGCTTCGTCTCTTGGTCATGATACGTTAGCTATTGATATAGCCGCTACTGCCGTTCAGGAAGGAAAGGAGTAAGTGCGATTGTGGTACTACAACCCGGGTAGCCATCTAACATTCGTCGCGAATTACAGTTATCTGGCCTCTTTGCCGCCACTCCCCGCTGGCAAAGTCTCATATCTCCAGGGTGACTTCTTCAACTTCCAAGTGTCTGATGAGGAACGTTTTGACCTCATCTATGATTTCACGTAGGCAGCCCCAACTTCTCTTTTACGTGCGGATCTTAGTCAACCTCATCGCTGCATAATTTCCAGGTTCTTCGTAGCTATCCCCCCTACACGTCGAAATGAGTGGGGACGACAAATGCGAACGCTCATTAAACCCGGAGGCTATCTTATCACCCTTATTTATCCCATAGATCCGCACACTCCGACTGGACCACCCTACTTTGTTAGACCAGACCATTATCTTAAACCTCTCGGCGAAGGATGGGCGAAAGTAGTAGACAGGATTCCTGAGAATAGCCTTCAATCCCACGTCGGCAGAGAACATCTTGTCGTTTGGAGGAGACTGTAACATGTCATACCCAAATATACTGTATATTAGATTATATGTCTCGCTATGCATGCGAATTTCTGTAAACCTTTGGGGCCCGGTCTGCTCGTCGAGATGTTAGTCCCTACCTGCCAAATTTGGCTCCCACGGTTGGACCAAACCTGGCCCAAACCTACTCCAAACCGACAGTTTGGTCTGCTGTACCAGGGGGTTTGCGGGTGGGTTAGGACCTTCCTGTCACATTATTATGTCAGCGTTAATATACCTGGTGGCACCTTGTATCAACTGCATTATCTATTCCCTCCAATAAACAGTACTACAGCTTGTGGTGTTTATTTATTAATGAATGTTAGTGGTGAGATAGCAGGACGAAGAAGTGAAAAAAGGACAATCCGTGGCTCGAACCCGCAACCTTTCCGTGCTAAAAAGTAGTACTCAAGCGCGCAAACCGCTAAACCAACGTACCACATGTTAAACTCTTTTGGACTAGTATATCACCTACTGAGCCGGGATACTTCAGGTCGCCGACAAGAAATACAAGAAATACCGAAAGCAGAAGTTTGCATGTATTTACTTTGTATCTATTGCCGCTTTCCCACCATGATGTCTGTGACTTATTTGTGACGATTCCCAAGCGCCCTGAGCAGACTCCAGCGCTAGGTTTTGTCAAGTTCAATCTCCGCCAACCCCAGGCCCGAGGGACTGACATCTCGACGAGCAGACCGGGCCCTTGGTGCTTCTGTACAACTTAACACGCTGCGAAGTTACATCTCCCTCTGTCGTCCATTCACGGTCGGTCACGTGCCACAATTTTTCTACAACGCAACTCCATCATATCCAAACTTCGGGTGAGTGCCTGCTGAGCGTGGGCGGGGCATGGTGTGGGGACGAGCACTGAAATCATGTATAGGATGTTAAGATGCCTCCCGAAAGCTAACCACCACACCCGTCGGGCAGCACGACTCGTGCAGCGCCGACCGCTCCATGTCTCCGCGCCTTCTGCACTCTCTGCACCCGCCTCGCTGCAGCAACTACTCGACGAGTCTTCAAGCAGCATCGGCGATTCTCGTACTAGGATGGTAACGGAGCTCCTCAACTCTCTCAATCGCGTCAGCAGTGCGTCGCGGGTATGGGCCCACTACGTTGGCTTGCTAAACGTCCTCCGAGACGAGAAATTGCCGGTAGAGGTGCACCAGGAAGTTCTACGAAAATGTACCCCGAAGACGGCGGAAGTCCGCTTGGCTGCAGCCCGTCGGTCGGCCTTGGACGCCAGATTGAGGGTTCCCCACCTACAGGAAGGGCGTTTTCGGACGGTTATACGGAATATACGTGCAATGGGGGAAACGCCTGCGCTGGAGGATTACCACTTTATACTGGAGCAATTTGCTGCTGTGGGGCATTATAAGGGAGCCATGGAGATATACAAGGAGTTGCAGATGGTCGGGTTAACACCAAGAAGCAAAACGTTCGGTCTGTGCCTCCAAACTCTAGCCCACCGGTTGACCCTCCCTATGTCCAACGACGACCGCGAATCCCTCGTCGCCCAGATACGCGACATGCACGGATTGCTTCTGGCTGATATGACGAAGCTTAAAGCGGGGTTGTACTCCGTTAACTTCGACATCTCTGTTCGCCTGCTAAAGGAAACTTTGGACTTGGAAGCTTGCGAACGACTACTGAAGCTAGGTTATGGCATAGATCTGAACAACCCGGATCGTCCTGTGTTGGAGTATCTCCACGACCCTAGTACCGTCGCTGACCCACTCTTTACGCAACTCCCGGGTCCACAACGTTTCACCACCGCCGGGTTGAACACTGTCATAGACCTTCTAGGACGCTTGGGTGAAGTCTCGAAGATGGTACAAACCTTCGAGGTATTGACAGAACCACTACCCTCCCGAGCTACCCAACATTTCTCTTCAACATTTGACGACGACGAAGACGACTACAGCTCATCTATATCCCCACCTACGCCCCAGCATGTTCCACTTCCTTCCGCCTCACCCAACACCACTACCTACAATACGCTTATCCGACACCTATCTAGAGCTGGCCACCCCCTCCTTGCGCGACATTACATTCTGCAAGCAATGGAATTAGACCGGGTAGCGGATCGCAAAATCCGTGGACAACTTGCATACGGATTACCTTCAGAGCAGGTCCCGTCCCTCCACTTTGCGATCAATAGAGGTACCCTTATCCCGGTTCTGGGTGAGGCCAATCGGGACAAGAACGTTGCTTTGATTCGCTGGCTACAGTCAAAGCTTCCGAAGATTCTTCGTCGGAAAAGAAATGACTTGGCGTTCTATAGCGCGTACAAGGATCAACTTATCGAGGAACCTGCTGTGGAACCATCTTCTGAACAGGATGTTCCGTCAACAGAAAGCGGGGAGCCTCTTCCAACGATGCGCGAAGCAGTGGACTCCGCTGGGAGTTGGAGCGGGGGTTCTACGTCGGCAGATTCTGCAGAAAGTCGGGATAGGCTCACGAGTGAAGTAGACGCGACTCTGGATCTCTCAAGGCAAGGGAGATCATCAGCAGACTCTATGGAAAGACCCCCTCCCCCGTCAGCTTTCTTCGTTCCATCGTCCTCTAAATCATCTCCTACCTCCGTTCTTGACCTGGACCTCGATGCTCCCCCAGTTGTTGCCCCTCCGATAGTGAAGTATTTCAATATCGACCTGCACCTACAACTCTTGGCACGCGATATCAGAGAGATCGAGGAATTCTCCGTGGTCGTTGAGAACACCCTGGGGCGAATTACCCAAAGACTGAAGGAACGCCTTGGTCGCCGCGTCTGGTCATCGAAAGACATCTGGCTGCGATCTGTGAATCGTCGAATGCAAGTGAACAAACCGAGCTTCGTGGCGGAGGTTAATTACCGACCTAAAGTCGAAAAGAAAACGGTACCCTCCAAACGGATTCCTCTGAGGCCCATATCATCCCGTTTCGCGAGACCGGGACTGCAGTCCCCTCCGGGTATTGCTTCGATACACACAGCTGCTTCGGATAGAGTAGTTTACGATCGGACGTCATCTTTGTCGGACTGGGTTTTGTCAATATGGAGATGAACTTTATTGTATGGGTTTTGATTATTGCCTACATATAATGTCTGAAACCGACACTATCCTTGTCGCGACCCCGCGCTGCAATGAGTAGCTTCATGTCTTGACTAGAGTGCTTCGAAGCATGTGTCGCGAGAAAGGTCCCACATCGGATCTCCTTCCTACTACAACAGATCTTCTCAGTTTTTCTTTCCAGGGATTGATTGGGCCAACGTTAATGCATGGAGATAGCTTCCATGTGCATATTTCATTCGACCATAAAGCTTGACTACTTACTTATATATACTTTACACAAATTTACACAAATCTGCTTCAGTAAATTCAGTTGGGTATTAATGGGTAAATAACGATAGGATCAAATGAGCGGAATTAGGCGGCGTTATCCAGCAGCTGCCTTGGTATCAATGTTAACGGGTGCTATTTACATTCCAAGGAGTTCACGTCGTGCGTTCATTCATTGGCAATCTACGAGGACGCGTGAGCACAATCAACGCTTGAGACGATCTAGATAGATTCAACCGACCTTCAAAGGACCTCGGCCCAAGTACCTCGCGTCATCATCATGGACACTGCCGCGATTCGGCCTGCTATCCTCTTCATCAGACCGTCCAAACGTTGCAGGCAACATGGGCGAGAGCGGCAGCGTGGGCATTGCAGGGTCTAGTTCCCTCGAATGTGACCGCCCGTGTTTCGTGGGGGAAGTGTTCCCCCCTGATTCCGAGCTATCTGTCTCATGCGACAGAGACGACTTCGACCGCGTTACATCAGACGTTTGAGACGCTGAGTAGGGTGCGGATGATGCGACAGTAGCCGAACGAGCCACGGAAGCAGCGGTAGGAGTCGCTGGGCCGCGTGCGAGCATAGACGAAGCACGTCGGGCACTAGCGAGAATGGGGCTATTGAGGATCCCCGCGTGTCCAGAGGACGCCGGGGGTGAGGCACCTATGAAGTTGAGCTGCGGAAGCGAGGGCGGGTTCTTGTAACTGTATGGAGGCTGGTTGGCGATACCAGGCGGAGCGGGTGGATGAACTGTTGCAGCACTTGCGGCAGACATTGGGGGCTCCGGCTGTCCGTAGTTGGCGTAGGCTGGGTACTGCGCTTGATCTTGCCAGCCACCATGCTGCGCGTGCGCTGCAGCACCGTACCATTGCTCCTGAGATTGATCGTGACCGTAATAACCGTGGTGTTCAGCCGTTTGGTGCTCTGCGTAAGTTGCCTGATGGTATTGCGGTTGACGAGCAGTTGAGCCATACGTCAAGGCAGGTACACCATAGGTCGTGTGTGCGTGCCCCGTAGATGCCACACCACCGTACGCACCGTCATTAGAAGCGCCGTGACCATGTCCAGAGCTGCTGACACTCATCCGCTTCTCTGTAGAATGGGTCCTTTCCAAGCCCATAGTCCCCTCCTCCTTTCCTGGACTATATGGATCGAGCATGTTGGCTGGGTCGAAGGAAATCGCCTCGTTCATCAACTTCTTCCTCTGTCTCCTCCGCATAGCGCAAGTCGCGATCATGATGATCAGAATAAGTCCAGCTAAGCCACACAGAGCAAAAACAACTCCAGACAAGGGTTTGTTGTCGAGGAAGCCCTTGGGCTGGGGCTTGGCCCCACCGGGGCTCGCAGAGGTTTCAGCTGCGGCGGGAACCTGGACGAAAGACGTGATTGTCATGATCTGACCATTGGAGGATGATTCAAAGATAGAGATTGTGGTTGATTCAGTGGCTAAGCTCGTAGTCAGAGTGTCAGAAGCGGAGGTAGTGCTGGTAGTGGATGCTGAGGTCGTCGTTGACGCCACGGACGAAGACGTTGAGGATGAGGAGAGTGAAGTAGTACGTGTTGGACTGTCGTCCAGAGCGTTAAGAATGGTTCACGGCGACAAAATGACGATCTTACCCTAATCCCAGCAATGGATCCAAAAGCCCTCCGCGGGCGGTCGTGGTAGGGCTACAGAACGATAAGGAAACGAGGTAGAGCGGGGGTAGAACACATACAGGGTAGGAACAAGACCTCCTCCCCTGGTGGTGCTGCTGCTGCCAGGTAGGTCGCCCGAGAATGGATCGTCATCTGGACCATCACTAACGATGTACTGTTAAGAAGGAGCTCCTTCGTACTCGAGAATGCAAATACTTACAAGAAACCGAATCCTAGAGACATCTTGAGTTCGAAGCGGGAGCAGGAGAGAAGGTTTGGGATGAAGCAACTCACGGGTACGAGTAGTAGTTGCCACGGGAGTAGTAGTTGCCGCAATCGAGGTGCTTGTCGCGGCACTACTGGAACTACTGAGGGCCTGCCTCTTCGCGACACGGGGCATGCTCGTCATCAAAACAGGCATCTTAGCTTGCTAAACGAGCGACTGAGAAGAATTCTAGGTGTCAGACAAGTGGTAGGATGAGAAGAAGTCGTTAGCCTCACCTGAGTTGGACACTTGGAATGCAAAAGGGAGCAAAACCAGCTTGCTCCTCCCGTTGACGGTAACAATCAAATATTGGAGCAGAGATGATTAGTTCTGCCAGGGAGGTAGGTCCAGCCTACTAGCGGAGAGGTAATAGAAGACACGGAGGAAGGGGCCCCAACTCGGCGCTCCATTGTTCGGTATGATTATTAGTGGATTTTGGAGCCTTTAGAACTGTTGGCACGGCAACTGCAGGAGCTCCATGAGGAGCATCTGTGTCCGGTCTCGGGGCTTCATTGCTGAGACAGTTACATCTGCAACACCACAGCTTCAAGTCGCTGCGGCCACAATAAAGCGGCGGGTCGACTAGCACGTTTATTTGGGCACCGGGCGGGACCCTGCTGGGGCCAGCAAACTGCAATTGTTCAAGCAGTGGAGCTGGCGCATTTTCTGGCGGCGAAGAACGTGAATGTTGAGTCAGTGAGTAGCTCACGAAGAGGATGAAGTGAAACACATGGCTTAGGCCCAAATAGGTTGCAACTGGTTGACCGCCCAATTGCACCGCTGATCATTCAAATCAGTACGGAATATACTACCAAGTTCGTGTACTGTCGCACAGAAGGATAATGGACGCCCATTGCGTTGATGAAAGAGGCTTCGGCGCCATGCCACGCGCCGATTGCGGCAGCGGAACGTGTTGACGGGCGCTTACTGTTGTTGACCATGGCCTCACCGTACTTGAGACGCGCTGTAGCACACTGCTCGCCATTGTGGACCCCGATATCACTGCAGAATCCAACCCAAAGGTTCTTTACAACAAATATAGGGCTTCAGGGTGTTCGGTCTGTGCCCCCCCTCGCTCGATCGCAACCGTTGTCGCGTCCTTCCCCCCGAATATCGGATTCAGCGCGTTCTATACGTCTCTATTCTTGGCGACGATATACGGCTCCCCCACGCAAACACACATTCCTAGACAGGATCCCCCACGACTACATCATCTATGGCATCCTCGCCGCGAATGGCATTGTGTTCGGCATGTGGTACTTGGCCGACGTAGACTACGTGCGTGCATATTCCTTTTCTGTTGCTATTCCAATGGGACGTATACTTACGGAGTACATTTGACCTGAAGAAAACAGGCGATCCATCCAGCTTGTTATGGATGAGAGACAATTTCACCATGAGCATGCGAAACGTAACCAATTCTCGACCGTGAGTGCTCCGAAATGTCTTCGAAATCCGTGCAATACCTCGAATAATAGGATGCAAACATAATAGATGGGTCTTGGTGACCTCAATATTCTCCCACTCTGGGATGGCGCACATCCTCTTCAACTGCTTCGCGTTCTACTGCGTGGCACCCCCGGTACTCGGCATGCTGGGCGGCCGCTCCTTCCTCACACTCTACTTCGCAGGTGGAATATTCGCAAATTTGGTCAGCAGCACGTACAACAAGGTATTCAAAGGCCGTGATATGCAATCTGTTGGGGCATCAGGTATCACTAAAGTCTTTTCAACACTAAACGTCTGTTCCTCATCCAGTGTGATTTATAGCGGCCATCTATTCTGCGGTGACCTACCTGGCTTGTGCAGCACCTCGAACTACATTCTACCTCTACGCCGTCATACCTATACCAGCATGGCTACTCGTACCCGCCATTCTCGGGTTCGATATGTGGTCTTGGGTATCAAACAGGGTATCCTTTACTCTTCTATTCAACTTAACCTCTCGTTGACCCATCCCGTTCCGTTTTAGGAAACAACAACCGACTCCCTTGGTCATGTCGGCGGTATCCTGGCTGGCGCAGCATACTTCCTGGGTCGTAGATTCGGTATCTTCAGATTTTAAGCAGCCATATGCTATAGCGCATCTGTTCCTCCTAAGGCCTAATATTTAGATCTAACCCCCTCATCCGCAACCCCCAAGCCTAACCCCATCTCTACGTTTTCGAGGTGATGAATATACCGAGTACTGGCATTCATTGTTAAAGGAGAATAGTCATAGTTTAGGCGTGAATCATATCACCACCACTGAATTATTACTTATACATAAATCATAAAATCCATGTTCGTGCGATGAGCGAAGTACTGAAAAGCGAAGACACAAGAAGAACGAAGGGAAGAACGACATAAACGACTGCTGCCTGCGCTACTTACATACTCTATTCTCATACTCTCGGAGGAGTGTTCATGCGCGTATCTAATCTGCGCATTTCTTTCTCCAGTTTGTCGACGCCACTGGGGCCTTGAGAGACTTCATTAGCTTGGGCCGGCAGGCCTCGTACGCCGTGCTTGTCAAAAAGATACGTTAGGAGGTTCTTCTTCTCATCGGCCAGTCCGTCCAGCAGCATGAATAAATGAGCTTCGTCGCGTAAGACGAGCTGTGCGGCGATGATCGTGGCGGCGGCAGATTCGCGCACTACTAGTGAGGATTTATTGTTTAAAGCCTACATAAATCAATCATGTTAGAAAACGTGAATCGCAGAACGAGAAAGGAAAACACACAGTTATCAATGTATCCTTTAATCGTGGCAGTTCCTCTTCAGCAATTTCCGAAGGGAGTCTTAGTATGAATTTCCCCAAAGCGATCAACCCGAAAGCGTAGGTGGCCGCCCTGACCTCCGCAGTCGAGAATTCGGGATATGGATCCGCGAGGAAAGTGCGAAGATTGGCGTGCATTGTCGTAAGACCATACACGGGTTCGATGCGAGCGGCCAGCGCATCTCTAATAGTATTCGTCGCCGATAGGACCTACAGGTAAATCATCAAGGGTTATGTTGCGTTTCACGCAAAACGAGGGAGAAAGCGTACGTTAGGCTTCTGACAATACCGCACTCTCAACAAGACAGAGAACATATCAGCCTCGCGCCCTTCTAAGTAGGACGCTTGATGCTCCATCATCTCCCAGAGAACGATAAGGCCATATTCTATCTCCTCGTCGTTCTACAAAGTCCATTAGCTAAGCTATAAAGACAGAACGGAAAGTTCAAGTGACCTTCTCTGGGCTTATAAATGCCATTAAAGCATTGAACAAGCGCTCAAAATTCTTATCCTTATCCCATATCTCGATTTGGAGGGATGGCACAGAGTTGGCGGGTGTCAAGAATGGCGACGGGCTAGTGGGCGAGGCAAATTCGAAGGGAGAAATTGGCGGCTCCGCTACTGGATTTCTCCGACAAACCATAGCGATGCGTTTCAGCTGTGCTATGTCGCAGTTGCCTGATTCGAATGCAGATATGCAGCTGTTAATCTCGTCGAGCTTGCTAGGAACACCCAGCTCTTCTATGGTTGAAGAGTCGTGCCGAATCACTACAGAATACAAGTCAGAACATCATGTCACTTCGAAAAAGGTGGATTCTTACAGGCCATCCGCTTCACCCACCACCCGGTCTCATGTTTCCGATCATGTATGACGCCCATCAACGATGTTCCCTTCCCATTTGGCGCCGGACTATCCTGGAACAGCGCCGCTTGTCTCATGATAGCTGAACTTCGGTTCGTCATTGGGGTCAAAGGGGGAGTCGCTCGGGATATGGGTATAGGTCCTGGCTTCATCCCTTTGATCTTGGGCGTCGAGTGCCCATTACTACCAATCAACAGCGACTCAGGTATACCAGCATTCGGCATATCCTCATCCTCTGGTTCGACAAGTTCAAGTAGCCTCTCAGCGGCACTTTCTGCTTGTTCTGCCCTCGCACGTATAGCCTCTTCGACCACTACGACACCACCCTGAGGGCCATCAACTGAGCCGGAAGATAACGTATTGGATATTCCAAACAGTTGTTGAGAGTCATTGGATTTCGGGGAGAAAGAAGGTCCCTCTTGTGCTTGGGACTTCGGCGTGGGCATACTAGCAGGAGGATAGACCTCAAAGGGTGTCGAAAAAGAGATGAGGTTGATGGAGTCATTGCCATCGTCGCTATCATCTTCTGGGATTGGTATATTGGTGGCAAGGAGAAGCGAATCATTAGCATCTTGAGTATCGAACAGTGTCGTGGACGGTCGTGGAAGAGGTTTCAGGATGATTGGACGGGCCTGCGGGTTCCGAGAGGATGGAGATGAACGCGACGGCGGAGACGCAGGGAGTGGCACTTGCACGGCTCTGCGGACCGTAGAATTGCGATTGGGGGAGGGCGAGTTGCCCGAAGCCAGGGGAGACGACGTCCGTCTACGGAATGCCGAGCTTGGGTCACTTACAGGGGAAGGCGGTGACATGCGCCCCGATGTGGAAGAGGATTGGCGAGAATGTGTCGTGGTGATGGCAGCCGTTGTGATGGATCGCGTCATGCCGTTCGACGTGCCTTTTGAACGGGGAGGGGACGCAGAGGTAGAAACCCGCAGAGGGGATGCCGGTCGAGGGGCCATACTACTCCTAGGCGATGTACTTGGGGAACTGGGTCTCCGAGCTGGAGTGCTTTGTGCCGCAGATGTAGCCTGATGGCGAAGTGTCGGAGGTGCCGTGGCGATAGCCCTTGCCTTTGCTCGACTCGCCGCGATAGCTGCGGCCACACTGCTCTTCTTCACAGTAGTGACTGGAGTTATGAGCTGAACAGCATCGGGTACGGGGCACACTTTTTCAAGTTGTTTCCTGGCTGTCATGTCGAGTTTATCCAGAATGACGACACCTCGATCTTTCCAGACCTCATAAAACTGCCAAAAGCAGAGCCGAGCCTTGTCTCTAACCGCAGGATTCTGATCGACAAGGCCCTTCTTCATAGCTTTCTCCAATATTTCAGCGCCGCCGGAAGCTTCGATGGCGACCTTGGCACGCTGAGCATGTACTTCCAAGTATGTCTTGAAGTGTTCGATAGCATAACCTCGCGCCTGCACGTTCTTTTCTTGCAGAGTGTTCCAAAGCAGAGGAAGGACCAAGCGAGGCTGGGCAGATGTCTTCGTCAATATTATTGTTACGGAGGCTTGAGATTGCTGGGCGGTTAACTTCTTAGTGACGCTGGACATTTTGAGTAGATTTGTCAATAATAACTCGCAAAATGGATCGAGAACGTGTTCAAGAGCGGCGGCGAGCTCGGAATAAAGCAAGCATGTGTTCATGGATACCGTCGTACGTAGACTTGAAACCTAGATAAGTCTGAGTACACACACATACTACACTGAAAGAGACTACTGACCGTTTTCAAAGACCATTGCATGAACCCCTCCTTCAAGCAACCGATGAATGCGTCCATGTAACGAGTGTGCACTCCCCCTTTGAGCATACCTCGAACTCGCAGTATAGACCGTTCGCGCTGAGCCCAGTTGTGTTCCGTTTCTTTACCCTAGATCGCATATATTGTCAATGTATATTCCCCTTAGAAGGACGTTCGCCTACCTCGAAAGCTGATTGCATGGACGCAAATTCTGTTTCAAGATCACGCGTGGATGCAATCTGTGCTTCCTTTTTTCAGTACACGGGGAAGCTCTTAACGGAGATGACTTACGTAGACTGCTTGCACATCTGGTCCTTCACTGGCGGGTGTAGCAGGGGTTGTCGGTGTGGGGGATGCATTCGTAGCCGCGCGACTAGCAGGTCTTGACATCTCCTTCGCGCTTCCATGACTTGCAGTTCGATGGAGAGTGCTCGAGTTCAATCCGTTGCCAACGGTGGGGCGCCGATTCATCAACATCAAGCTGGGCGGAACGTACTCTTTGGTTTTGTTGCCACCTTCACCACCATCTGACTCTTCACTCTGTGGATAGTTACCAATGTTACCTCCCACAACCTTCGCCAATACACTGTCAACGATGGTCTTCCGGACGCTCTTCTTTATCATTTCCTTCTTGAGATCGGCACGAGCAGCATCGGTGACACCTGGGCCAGTGAAAAGTTCAACGACAGATTGACGAGCGCAATCACGGACGTGAGCATCGGTGTCTTCAAGCGCGTCTACAAGATGCGCCAAATACGGTCGGATAGGGAACAGGTGGTGGACGCGTCGGATTTGAACAAGGGTGAGGATGGCCTGGGTTGGCTCTCAGACCAGGCAGACTAGTGGACAGTCGATTCGTGCTTACTTGTTCCCTGATCTTCCATACCTTACTCTTCAACCCTCCCTCCTTCAGATGTCTTTCAAATATCATCAACGGTGTCTCCACCCCTTTCCCACTCGTAGATCGTGACGAAAGAGAGCTGGAGCCTCCAGAACGGAATGCAAACCCACCCAGAACAACTAAAGCCTCGCGGGCCTTGGCTTGCACGCGCTCCTTGTCCCCCAGACGATCCAAAATGCCGCCTGACGGAAGAAGTTGGTTCAGAACATGGCGTAGCAAAGGCACGTCTATTACAGAAGACGGGGGCGTAGACGAGGTCGAAGACGATGCTGAGGGGGCCACTCCATGATGGTGGTTCACCGAGTGCGAAAGAATGAGTGGAAGGAAGGCCGGGAGAACGGAGACAGCCGCTGCGGTTAGATGATTATTAGACGTTTTCAGACTTGCTTTAACTACGGTGAGTATCGCGTCGGGATCATTAACCTGTAAGGCGCTTTGATTGATTTCTGACTTGAAAATGGGGAAAGCAGCGAACCTCGATACCCGTCTCAAATAGTGCCTGGAGTTTCGTGAGGGCGTCGACCTTGATATCGACATCTAGCAGTTGACGAAGATGAATGCAGTTGACCCCAAAATGCGTGGCAATTCAAATACCATTGCTTTTGGACTGGGTTATCAGCTTTTCAAGCTTTGAGGCGTCGTCCATGGCGAGCGCTGAAGGCAGCGACCCGCAAGAGAGAAGGATGAGACAGAGCCACGCGCTTAGGTGAGGTCGGTCACTCAAGTGATGCTCGTAACCCGGTAACCTTGTAACACAAAAATACACGACTAGGATACATATTTATTTACACAGATTTCTTGTCAGAGTGCCCTAGAGAAACGCCAGGCTGTACATGGTCGCGTATTCGCTGCTTCTACGAACCGGCGAAGTGAGGAAGCAGAAATTTGAAGGAAAATTCGACGTACTAGCACTTTCAGCTCCGGAAATCCTCCTTCCACCTTTCTGTCCCAGATTAACTCTATCGCATCTGGCGTCAACGACAACCAGACTCGAAAGCGGCCCGCAGTGTCATCCGCATTCAATGGGATGATGGTAATGGCTTTCACAACCGGTGGAGGAAAAGTCAACAACAGCTCCGTTTGAACCCAAGTCGCTCGGTGCAACCTAAGTGGTGTAGGGCAAATATCGGGTGATTGGATGATTTCACCTACCAACGGCACTATTACGATTCAGTTCCCTCGCATCATGCCTGTCAATACAGTTCAAGACTCACTCTGTCACAAAATTCAATCGTTATCGTTGGGCATGGAAGAGGCGCTGGCGGGGTGAATGTCGCTACATCCATGGGATCGTAGGCGCGTTCCAAATTTACTTCCGTCTCTGCGGGGCAGGAGGCCATTGTGGTTATCTTCAAAGCACCGTAATCTAATCGTCACTTCGCCGATCATGCTTCTGCGCCCTGCAATCACGTGCAACAGAGTTTACGTGTTGTTTGGCCAAATGAATGTGCTTTAGCCTGCCGTGCACCTTATCTTCGTACCACCACAATGACCGTCGTACACGGCAGCGATATCAAATCAGAAGAGATGGCGCTTGCATCAGAACCAAATATCAAATGGACCGTACATGGTGAGCCTTTTAACATAGTAGATTCAGCGTCCGTAACTAAAGCATATATAATATATGCAGTTGAAGTACGCATGCGTCAACGAGCTACAGCACGGTTCGAGACGGTACAGGCTCGCGTGAACGAATTTCTACTATCTTCTTTCGAACGGTTCACCCTGCCATCAGTATTGACTGGTTGGGAAGAGGTTCCAGAACTGGCGTCCAGTGTAGAGCGCATCATAGTGGCCGAATCAGCGTGTCCGCTGTCTTCTTTGCGATTGGAGGATACATCCCTTCAAGTCCATGTATATCAAACCTCCGATAGCGACCCATTTGAAGAATATTCCAGCTTCAATAACGGTAACAGCGGAGAGGACGATACAATGGCTGCTTCTGTTTGCGAGCTTCCAAATCAAAACCTGGACGGCCTCTGGGACTCCTTGATATATGCTGATGACATCAAGCTCAAGCTGCTGGACTACATCCATGCTACCCTTGTCTTTAGCGATGCTAACGTAGATTGTGGGTTGCGAACGATTCTGATTTAACATGAGGCTAATGATGCACGCAGTCAACCTCATAAGCTGGAACCGCGTTGTTCTCCTTCACGGACCTCCTGGAACAGGGAAGACATCGCTTTGTCGTGCGCTCGCTCAAAAATTGTCGATCCGTTTATCTCATCGGTAATTACAAGTGATTCATCAAGCGAAACACCTCTCACCGACTCTACTCAACAGTTATCCGAACTCTCGCCTGCTTGAAATAAACTCCCACTCCTTGTTTTCACGTTGGTTTTCCGAATCTGGCAAGCTTGTGCAAAGGCTATTCAGCAGTATAACCGAGCTTGTGGAAGAAGAGGATACATTTGTTGTCGTTTTAATAGGTATGGCGCGTCTCTTACCTTACTTGCATTCGTCAACTTCAACTCCGATATAGATGAAGTCGAGTCATTGACGGCGGCTAGGGCCGGAGCCATGGCTGGTACGGAACCATCTGATGGCTTAAGAGTACGTTTAGTCATTGACTGGTCTGATTCTTTGGCTTATTCGTGGATAGGTTGTGAACGCACTCCTGACCCAGCTTGACAAGCTCAAACACCGTAAAAATGTTCTCATTATGTCTACAAGTAATTTGGTTAAAGCCATAGGTAAGAGGTTTTGTGATTGGGCTAGTGTTGGGTTGATCGTGATCTGTTGTATAGACTCCGCGTTTGTCGATCGCGCGGATATAGTACAATACGTCGACCTTCCTCCACGTGAGGCTATATACGACATTTTACGGACATGCCTTTGCGAGATTATCTCCAAAGGGATCATCGCTCCTACTGTTCGTATTCTTGTAAATCAATCCGTATCGATCAAACTCATTGTTTGACAATCCAACAGACCATCCCCACCTTTAAACAGGCTCAGCTTCACGAACTGTCCTCGGACACGAAGAGTTTACCCCTCCTATCGAGTGCAAACTCTACTACGCACGACATATCAAAAAGCCTCGCGTTGAGGCTCCTAGCTTTATCAACAGAGTGTCGGGTGGGCTCGACTATTCATCGGATCAGGAAGGACTCGCGCTGACCAGACCCATTTCCAGAAACAAGGCCTGTCAGGTCGAGCTCTTCGTCGGCTTCCTGTGCTTGCACTCGCGCGGCACATTGGTATATCCGCTGCATCTGGTGTGCACGTCGCAACGTGGCTAGACGGCTTGGAGAAAGTCGTCGCCGAGAAGGCCGCTGCCTCCGAAAAGTTGATATAGCAATGACCATACGTTCTTCCATCGGACTATTCGCTCTGCTCGTCCCATTGCTTTCTCGTTGTCAGCGTTGCTGTGCCGTTCGTCATGAACTCTTACATACATCATATTAGTCTGACTGTAGCCAAAGCCCTTTTGTAGCCTTTCATCCAAACCCGCATATCATCATCGCTTTCTTACACATTGGAACACAAAATATGGATCGGAAGCTCATCAACCCATCTCCCTCGCATTACTACAGACTTCTTACCAACTTGCTATCGGGCAGTGGCCGGTTGGTCATTGATACCGGCTCGAGGTCGAATGCGCTGCCACCTGGCGGGCGTCATTCATTCTGTCACTCGTTCGCCAGCTATCCGTCCTTAGTCGAAATGCATATAATGCCAGCCATGGCATCGTCCTCTTGCTTCTGCTTTCACCGTATATGTCTTTGGGTGGCTTGGATGGTCTACTGTGAGTCCTCCACGCCTTTCGCCGAGAACTCAAGGGTCTCTAAAGTCCCTATTCCACTTCACTAGAGGATTGGGACCACTACTAGGTCCCCAGCCTTCTCCGACACTAATTACCAATCTCATACCATCGACCAGTGCAAATGTACCCATTCCGTCAAGCGACTCTACGATAATTCACGAATCCACGACCTCTTCACTCCTTACGACGCCCACACCAGCTTCTTCTAGCGTTATACCAAGCTCGGTCTCGTCTACCATCGTCGACACACTTTCCGATGCCTCAACAACGACCACCACGGCAATTGCTACTGAATCCGACGCGCCTGCGCTGGGCACTGCCCAAGCAAGCCATCACGCCAAACCCCAGGGCTTTCTGCAGAACAAAACTCTCTCTGGATTCGTCTTTGTTCTATGCGGCCTCGCTGGCCTCGTCTTGATAACTATGATTGGAACGTGGGCGGTGCGCAGGAGGGAGAAGAGGCGGCTAATGGACGAGGCCATGATATTTGATTCCGCGAGCATGATCGCCGAACCGCATAATAACAACGACGGCTCCAAGCTCGAAAGTGGAATTCCGAGTCGCAGGGGTAGAGGTGTTTCACGGTCGATTTCGAAGCGGTCGTACAAACGCATGAGCGACGAAAGCTTTGGGCATGTCAGTCAAGGGCCCTCGGGCTACGGCGGGGTGTTGCCTGGAGGGGATTATGCAGGCTATGGGATACCCACCTTGGCCTATGCTTCGCCGTCCGCCATTGTTCAGCCGCAGTACCCTCAGGCGATGCATGTAGACCGCCAACGAACATACGAAGACGACAACCAGCCCCCATACTACCACTACGGCACGGCGGCATAAGCGCTGACAGCCCCGATTCACGACCATATCATGACTGCAACGTGACTGCAGCCTCCATGCACCACCACGTAACCACATTCATTTCGCCTGCATACCAGCATAGACTGGAACACCATTACCCACATGTATAAGCAGCATGCACCCTTCGATATTGGGATAATTGTAAACGTAGTGATAATTGTTGTACACTGTAATGGACACTCGGACATTGAATAGGGACTCTTCAATCTTCCGAATCCTTAATACTCCCAGCATCACTCTCACCGTAGTCATTAATCAATGACACCATTTCGTGGTTAAAGCCTCCCTGCGCATAACTGCGCCGCAGGTAAACAATGGACGTCGAACACAGTACCAACGGCACTCCCGCACGCGAAGCTCGCCTGTCTGCCTCGGCACTTAGATCGCATTTGACGGCGAAAATCAAGTCCCTTTTGTAATGCAAGCACGGCGCCTCCGATGGAACAGTTATCGATAGCCCGGCTAGTCTACATCGTGCCCTCAACTTTGGACTCCTGACCACCCCTGTGCCCCTCGTTTGTACACCTATCCCCGACATATAATTCCCCCGAACCCTCATTCACAGTACTCACCTCACCCGTGCTGTCATCTCATCTAGATATCAACAACCTCTTGGCGTGCACCCTCTTTCCCATCCTTCTCATCGTGCAAACTTCGATTCCCATGGGTGTGAGCAAGACCCTCGCGCCGCCTCGTCCCCGTCCCACGTTCCCGCCGCTCAAGAGCCCACACGAGCGCCGTCGCTGCGAGGGTCGCAATCGCCACCCCGATCATCGCATACATGCCCTTCGTGAACCGCGGTGCGTCCGTCGCCGGGTAGAACACAAGAGGCCACCAGGCGTTGATGACATTGTTCCACATGCTAAAGAATTAGAATTTCGATGAGGACTTGGAACTTAAAACTCAAAGAGAGGAGAAGACGATCAAGATAGTTGCTATGAACTGACTTCATGGACGCGAGGACGACGCCTCGCTCTTGATCATCATCTGCGCAGATTTGGTTTGCCCATGCAAATGTCGTGGCCTGGCCAGCATATGATGCGCCTGCTAGATCTAAGGAAAATTTTAATATAGCCTCTAGCTGCGATCACGAACAATCAAAGGAATCAATATAAACTCACAATACGCGAAAAACTTCAGCCCGGTCGGCGAATTCCAGACCAAGATGCACACCGAGGAGATGAGGACGCAGACGCTCATATACACCAACACGGGCCACCTGATTCTCGTGTGGTCGGTCCAGGTCGCGCATATCAGGGTGGAGAGGATGGCAAACGCCGTTGCGCCGGAGGGGTAGAAATCGATTTGTTCGACGGTGTAGGTATGTGTCGGATGGGCTTTGAGGTATTGGCCCATTAGGTTGTTGGTGCCGAAGGACTCGGTCTCGCCAGAGATTGCGAACTACGGATGATCGATGAGAGTTAAAACGTTAAGTAATGACGTCGATAAGCCGGCTAGAACACCGACGTACGAGGAGACTGCAGCCATACCACCGCCACCGACTTAGTACTCTCTTCGCCAAGTTCAGGGAGAACGGGTTGGAACGAGAGACCTCGAAGTCGTCGGTTTCTAGTCGTTTGACCGCAAGACGGCGCTCCTGTACACAGAAATGAGTAATCGGTTTGCCAAGGTCCGCCCAATATAACACCATAACACTAGCCTCATCAGTGAGATAAAATGCATTGGTAATTGCGGGCACATCCGGGAATACGAGATACCCGTATAGGGCAATTGGAAGGGTGATAATCCCGTCCACTATGAATCTAGCGATTGCTATCATTGAGGGTACCATATACGATTATTGTCTGGGGCTTTACTTACAGCCATCTCCAGCCGCTTCGACCAGCGTGCCCGTTCAAGTGCCTAGAAGAATCGCAACAGTTGAGGGTAGATTGCAGGAAGTAAGGGGCACCAGGGGATTCATGTCAACCTACTTATATACGGCCGCTTGAAGGACGCCCGAAAACCTAAAAGGTATTTGTGGTGATTCTACGAGAGATAAGGTATTGTACCTTACAGTGTTCCCACTAGACCTGAGCTAGTGAATATGCCAGATCGTTTACCTAGCTCTCCAGGCTTGTACCATCTATGTAGATGAATAAACGTTCAGCCGTGGGTTGCGTCACGGTACTGGATCGATACGAACGATCCCAAAATATAGTGCGTCCCGACGAACGTGGAGGACTCGACCATGCCCTGGACGAAGCGTATGCCGTATATCTGTGGGACCTAGGTAGCATCTTCGATGAAAGACATGGCAGGTCCCGACGTACCTGCTCAACGTTTCCAACCGCACTCGTGCTACTTCCATATAAGGTCAGCTCTTCCTTGGGGAAGAATCAAAGCGTCCGCACCAGAAGGTGAGAACGCCCCAGACAATCTGCATCGTTGGCAGCCATATTCTGGGCGAGACCACTTGCAGAATCAGATTGTCTGATGCATCCGGGTGACATCATGATTTGAGTGATCGAAAGCGCGTAAACGATATTACGGAGCGTGAGGATGGCCGGTTGCAAATGATCAGGGAGAAGTTCGGAGAACATGTGGCAGATGCGACTAGTAGTCGACGTACTGGGAATCATACCAACGATATATCCGCAGGTGAATATAGTGTTGATTTTCTGTTCCCGAGTCGTCCCATGGCAGGCATCATGATCGGCAGTTATGACGAATATCAGTCAGCGAGGGTAAATGAAAGGCCGAGTTCGCTCGCTACTTGCATTGAATTCAGTTCCTTGCATGGACAGTTCTTCCTTCATCCCCGAGACGTAGGCGTTGTTGATGTTCGAACGGTCAAGATCTGACCGTAGTTCGTTGCCTGGTAAGCGGGACAACGGTACCAAAAATCCAGTGCACTCTCACAGTTTGTAAAGTACTTTGCGACGATAGATTTAACTGTCGGCTAGCTTCGGATCCGAGATAATAACGTACCATCAAGCAGCAGTACGAAAGGATGAACCAGTCGATCTTGAGGAGTAGCCTGCGCTCTGCCTTGGAAGAGGGAATGTCCCCCCATACAAAGCGCCTTACCTTTGCTGTGGTGGTGGAGAACATAGAGTGGCCATTGTCCCCAACAGTCGTACGCCCGATGGTGTCGAGCTTATTTCCCCATGCAAGTATTTGGCAGGGAGCATCGGGGCCAACATAGACTCGGGCTTACGTGATGTCATCTGAGTCGATCGGACCGAAAGACGTGCTCCGGCGCAGTGGCTGCTGAACGGAGGCTGGCCAGGAGGAAGACGCATGTCCAGTGGGAAGAAAAGAATTGAGCCAAAGTTCCGGGGATTCTATCAGGGAGATTGATGTCAGGTAAGATGCATTTCAGCAGAAAAGGAAATGCGCGTCCATATCCTCCATGGACAATACTTTTCATTTGTTTTCCACTATTTTTCTCCTGTTCGAGAACTTCGGCTGACTCAGGAGTGACTCAGTAATGCCGACCGCTTCGCAATACATCGTTCGGAGCCCTGAGCTTAGATATCCGCGCTTTTATAATCAATGTACCAGATACCAGACAGCCCTCCTCCCCCTCCTCCTCTTCATCTCCGACCACTAGGACCATGGCCATCTCCCCCCTCCTCGTCGTACTCTCAATAGCTGCAGCCGCCTCCGCTGCAGCTTCCCAGATCGTTGCACGCGATGGTCATGGTCACCATCACTCCAATGCAGCACCCCTTCTCGTGCTCAACGAGACAGAGGTTACAATGTACCACTCACCAACGCCACCCTCCTACTTCACAATCGACTGGGATGACCCAGATCCACAAGGAGCGCGACATCCGGGCTTGATGATAGCACACGGGCTCTTCATGATGCTGGCCTTCTTTGTGGCCTTACCGGCGGGTGCGTTCCATGTTGCTAGTGTGTTCAGAGTGCCCCTAGGTCTCAATCACCCTCCGTGTTCACAGGGATCGCGCTGCGGTCAGTAAAGCACGCTTGGCATGGAGTCGCAGTACTTGCCTTCTATGCTTGCTGCGCTCTTGGCTGCGCATCCAGCATGCTCTACAGAAAAATGACGCCGAATATGTGAGTGTAGTCCATCGCCTCACCCCTAACTATTGCACTCGATCACTCACTGTACGCCGTTTACCACCAGGTACGAAGGTGCTGTGCATGGTAGACAGGGCTACTTCATCCTCCTCTTTGCGGTCAGCCTTTCCGCCATCGACATACTCAATCTCGTCCGACGCCTAGTCACTTTCTTCCGGAGTTCTGAAAAATTCGAGCTTTATTCCTTCTGGCACAACACTATTTTGGGACGTGACTTACTTCCGCAATCCACGGGTCCTGAGTATACCGGACTCACCGCCGCTGAACCTGAATCTATCGATGACGAGTTTGCAGAATCCAAATTACCTCCCTCGCCAACCAATGTCCAGAGCCACCACCCACTGCGCCGGCAATCTGATTCTGAGGACCAAGGGGGCAGCCAACACGAGCAAACCGCACGTTGGGCCAACCGAGTTCATACTCACCGTCGGGATTACTCAGTGTACTCTGCTGCCTCTGATCGCACGCTGTTTGCCACCCGCTCGCCACCTTCCGAAGAAACCCTACAGGATGATGAGCCACACCACGCTATACCCAAAATAAAGGAACGCCTTTACAAGCGAGTGGCTAGTGTAGCATTCGCTACCGCGGAGCGAGCTCTCGTCTTCGCAGGGCTAGCGCAAGTCCTGACCGGAATCGTCATCTATACTGGCGGCTGCAGAGAGAATTACGTGAACGGGTGTTTAGCCCATTTGATAAGTAAGTTTTCGTTCAGTCGACCGCTCTAAGGCCTCATGGTTGACAACGCTTCTTTCATATTTTCGGAATATCAGAGGGTGCGATCTTCTGGTCCTATGGGTTAGTAACCTTCGCTCGGTTCTTGGGCTCGTTCTCTGAGCTCGGATGGGCCTGGAATCGCGCGCCTTCTGGCCACCCTGTCTCCGCCGAATTCGTAGAGTCGCTCGTCATCTTCATATATGGGATCACGAACACCTGGATGGAGAGGTTCGGCGCGAACCCCGGCGATCCGTATACCACGAAGCAGATTCAACACATTGGTATCGCTGTGATGTTCTGGTTTGCAGGGCTGGTCGGAATGGGAATCGAGTCTAGGATGGTCCGCCGATGGTTGGCTTCATCTACGATGGCAGGCGTGAAGGTGACCACGCGGCTCAGGGAGGAAGGCGCGATAGCCGAGCCGCCCAGCTACCGAGCGAGCTTCAACCCATTCCCCGCGCTCGTCATTGGGGTAACGGGTGCCGCCATGGCCGCCCATTTCCAAACATACCTGTTCCAAGTCCAAATCCATCAACTATGGGGCAACCTCCTGCTCGGTTTCTCCGTGCTGCGCTGCCTCACCTACTTCTTCCTCTGGCTCTCCCCACCTACGTCGGTTCTACCTTCGAGGCCGCCCACGGAAGCACTAGGATCGTTCTTCTTGGCCTGTGGTGGCTTGGAGTTCATGTTCTCGACGGAAGAGTTGACCATCGCTGCGATGCGTAGAGGTCGAGATGATGTTATGATGTTCTTGAACGTGGGCGTCGCGATCACATGTCTGGCTTTCTGTTGGACGCTATGTGTAGTCGCCTTCAAGGGGTGGCTCAAGATGAGGTCGGTGAAGCCCTCCGTTGAGTATGCTTGACTATTGCCGCCCTCTTCGCTTGCCCTTTGACTTAACGACATAATTACCTGCTTCACGATTATTTAATTCCCCAGATCCTTGTCTTCACATACCATGCCCATTGTTGTTGTTCACGTAGAATTGTATCATAAACATCATTGACCCTTACCTCATTCCTCCATTGTTGCTTTTGCTACGTGCCATCATTGTTCAGTGTTCTTCTGCATGTTTTTGCGTTATCAGGGGGCCAAAATCCACTGATAAATTCAGTAACGATACGAAAATTGATGTAGTCCTCATAGTACCCCGTAATTTGACGCCTGTTTCACTGATTGTGATGATGGTTATCAGAACTGACAAATACAGCGAAACTGTGTATTATGAAGCAGCAGACAACACTCAGCATTCGGTCATTCATTGATACATGCCGCTCATCAGCGCTGTATAATCTGCGAGTGCGCCCATCCACACCCAGAAGCCGGACCAGCCGCAGCCGACGAATCCGCTCCAGCAGCTGGGGCGGCTATCAAAATCAGTCCTATACAGCACCCGGGCGAGCTGGATGGCCGCGGCTGAAACGCCCATATAAAAAGGCAACCCGTGTGCGTTCAGATATCCAGCGTAGCAGATCAAGGAAAGGGACGAGACGGACAAGCCGGTGAGAATGGGGCGTGTGTTCGTGCCGAAGAGGATGGCTGTTGAGCGTATGCCCACTGTAAGGTCATCAACCTTGTCCTGTAGAAATTGAGTTTGATTATTTGATTGTCGAGGGAGAGACTCGGTCAGAATGGAGAGAGATGTAGGCGGAGATAGGGACATTACCTGGTGGGCGTAGATGCTGTCATAGACAAGCGTCCAAGCGATGCCGCCGGCGTAGAGCGGTAGGCAAACAGACCAGTTTGTCGAGCCAGCAACTGCGGACCAGCCGAGTAGGGCGCCCCAGTTAAACGCCAAGCCTGTATGGATTTGGTACCGCAAAAGAAACCTCGATATGATCGAACGCACCGAGGACGGCTTGCGGCCAATGCGTTATCCGTTTCATGAAAGGATAAATGGTTACAACGGAGAGAGATGAAGCACCAAGGAGGATGCTTCCGTGCACAAAAGGTTAGTCGAGCCTCACAGGCGCGTTAAAGTGCACACAATTACCTATACCAGTTTAATTGAAGCAGCACCCCGAGGCCAGCTGTAAGCTGTAAACCTAGAAACGCAAACGCCTGGCGTCGGGTAATGTCCCCCCGTGCAATAGGGCGTTCTTTCGTCCTATCTTGAATAGCGCATCTAACTCGGGACGCGTCGTGTCGAACGGAATGGCTTACCAACCGCCTTGTCCAAGTTTCTGTCCCACATGTCGTTTATGGTACATCCTGCGCCTCTCATTATCAGAGCCCCTAGCCCAAAGAGACTGATACATGTGAGGGGGACGGTGTATGGTGCCTCTATCGCGTAGGAGGCCATCGTAATCGACCATGCTGCATGACGCCTCCCTTTTTAGCGAAGGAAACGACGTGCAAATGTAGTACATACCGCAGGGATAGAAGAGAAGTAGAGTTCCTATGGGTTTATCTACGCGGGTCAGGTAGAGATATGGGCGTATCGGAGCAGGGAGACGGTCAACCCATGTTTTTTGTGCTGTAACCGCTGTCGTCGAGGAAAGTCGCGTATGAGCGCGATGCCGGTCGAGCGTAGCGCAAATTCGAGAAGTCCATCCCGCCCGGACATAGTTAGGAGGCCTCAAAGAGAGTCGCAATCCACTCAGCGAATGGCTAAAGTGTGGTCGTCGCCCACAAAGTTGTCGGACCAACATGGCAGCACGGGCGTCAAACTCAGTTGCTCTCGTTCTGCCGCCCGAATTTCAAAAAACCCAGTGTCAAGGGTAAAAATACATTCCTTTCAAACATAGGCGCATCAGCCCAGAGGGTGAAACATAAGATGTCGTGTGCAAATTACATGGTAAAAAGATGATGTGCAGGGAACAGAGCAAAGCAAGTAAATACTATCCGTATAGGTGATGGAATCTACCATTCCTTTGCGAGCTTGAAAGACCATTCCCAGTCTGTAAGGTAAAGATGAATGAGCGGGTTGACGATATTCTGAGGGGAAGTATGCGTACCAGCAAAGACCTCGCCATCGTCGTCTACGACCCGGCTGCGTACATGGTATGTACCAGATCGAGCCAACATGCCAGACGGGGACTCTTCAGGGTCAAAGTTCTTGGTGTACGGTTCTCCCTGTGGGTGAGGACCATACGATCCCAACATTTGCTCCATTTTGTCCACTGATGGTTGATGGATGGATTAGTTCGCGAAGTCCACAACGACGTGTCCTCACCTTTGATGCCAGAGCGCTTTACTACTTGGAGATATCGGACACCCTAGAGAGTGTCAAGAGCTCAGCCCCCTTTCACGTATATCTAAGATAAAGACATACCGAGATGATGGAATGATTAACCTTGAACTTCATTCGGACGCTGAATAGGCATATCAGAAGCTGTTCGACGTTGGTTCGACGCAAGGCTAATCGCGTACTTATATTCAATGCCTTCTTTGATGGTGACTGTATTCTTCTTCAAGCTGTCCAAGGTCTCTTTGTTCGTCAAGTCAAAAATCAATGTCTTGCCGGCGGGAAGAGTGTCAGAGTAGAGTTCGAGTGACAGAACCGTGACCTAGTGTACGACCGATGTAGAGTCAGCTTCGATTACCTCCCCGCCGAGTTCAATAGGCTTACCCTTGGCCCATCAGCAGCTCCAGTGGCAGCGCCGGGAACTATGCCCAGAGACGCCTTCCAGCGAGCCAAACTTTCGTCCTCGGCATCGAGCTTAGCATACTCATCAGCTGATTTGGCTGCGCCTGGCTTGTATCCTGTGATAGCCAAATTAGCACTGTGTACTTATCGAGGGCATGTTGGGACAACCTGGCGTCGAGGAAGGCAAGAGATCGCTCTCGTCGGCAGGTTCCTGAGATCGCAGCTTTAGTACGACGCCATAAATGCTTCAAATAGAAGTCCTCACTGTTGACATCGTTGAGGAAGTGCTTGTGGTGAAGTACGGTACAAAGAAAGATGTTGCCGCCCAGTTCAAGCCTGGCTGCTGCACTCTTCATCTCCCTGATCGATTTCGCACGAGTGCTACCGCCAATTGCCGAACCACCATAACATCTACTTTTAGCAACAATATTTGCTTCCGCTGGTTCGTAGTTCAGAGCTGTAGATGGGTTCCAAAATTAATGTACGACAGGCTAGATCCAATACGCTAATATGGGTTCTATATGCGACCGCATGCGACGTAAGCAATTCTTATACCAAGAAATAAACAATTTAATAGATGCGACAACTTCTCAACAACTTCTGCAAGGCGCAAATACCCCAGAGAGTGATGGTTACTTTTTCTTCGGTCGAGCAGTGGGTTTAAGCCGGCGGCTGATTAGCTGTGGTTGGAAGCACCATCTGTGATACGGAGAGTGGGCGCGTGCAGTGCAGCTACGGTAAACATAGGCTTTGGTGAGAGACGCGCAATCAGGATCGCCCCGTAGAACGTGATCTCTCACCTCCTTTGAACCAGCATTTACCCTTACTGAGATGGAAGCATTTCGGACCGTTTGGACACACATGCCCCCAACAACACCGTTCTTTATATGGGCATTGTAGACCTACATAGCCACCACGGTCAGCTGTAACAGAACCAACGAGCATTGAGCTACCATTCTTCAGCCAATTGCACGGTGCCTTCTTCGCGTTACTCGCTAGGCAAGCGAGCTGCTCCGGAGTCAGCAAGTAATCGTGACTGTACTTGCAGAGCGCGGGCTAGCGGAACAGGATGAGTTTGTGTCAAACGACAAAGTCTTTGGGACACGTACTCCTTTTGAGCAAGTCATCAGATAATGTTCGTTGCATGGGGGCGGGTTCTCTATAGATTGGATGCTATTATCAGCCACCCATCCGCCTTCCGGGCAGAACGTGACATCTGGCGTACGTTTATGAAGCGGCTTGCGATTCCAACAGTCAGGACAGGTTTATCAATCAGAGGATAGACATACCAAGGTGGGATCTATCAAGCGAGTTCCGCGGGACGGCGACTTCGGACTGATCAGGCCCCCGTTAGTGGCTACCGTCACATTTGATGTTGGCACCGTTAATGGTGATGGCTTCTGGGGTGGCAGGTGGGAGGACGGAGGCTGAAATACACCTTCGACCTCTAGCGTTGGCGCCGAAATTGTCGCATGACCTCGATGCCCTGGCGCATCGGTATGTCCGCCGAGGAATACGATCTTTCCTAGAAGTCGTTCCATATTCAAGGTGCGGAACGTCTCGGTGTAATTGCTGCCGCTAGCATCTATTCGTTTACGGCAGGCGGGGAGGTGAATGAGGAGATTAATTAACGGTTGATTTGTTGGATACCCACCACCGATGAAGAGCCGCAGCGTCTGCGGGAACCGTGTATACGTCTCGAGATACTCTTCGGGTTCAATCAACAAAGTTACTCGGAAATGTAAATGGATATCAAACTGACCTCGAATTTTAGCCTCAGCGACGTCCTTGAAAGGGCCTACATCAACCATCGCAAAGCGTGTCGATGCTTGGCTAAATCCCTGGAGACAAACGTCATGTATTAGAGTGTGCAAGAAACCCCATGTCGATGGGAGCTCACCGCGTTGAAGTTTCTGAAGGTCTCCCTGCTGCAAATTTGTTCTGATACATAACGATCTAAAAGCGCAGTTTTGTTGAAGAATACGGTAGTCCAGAAAGATATGTTAGTCGACGTGATTTTGGCTCCTTCGTTGGTTAAATATTCAGCGATAGTTCGTGTCAATTCTTGAGCCGCGATTTGGCCCCCCTCAAACCCTCTCGCGACGAGATCGTCATGAAACGGGTTAACGTTTCCGTTAATCACGCAGAAAACGAGGGATCGGCTCTGCGGCTCCTATATACTACGCATCAACATACCGTACATAAGGGCGGGAGACGTCGGTACTCACAGGAGGGTGGGTGACAGCGTACAGCTGCCTCCGAAGGGGTGCAGCATCGTTCATGGTGACCGCCCACTCGGCGGTCTCGCGCAGGGTTGCATGAGCCTGCTTCCAGGTAGCGACCTCCCTCCGCAGCTCGTTGACCTCCCCCTCTAGCTCTGCTGCTCGTTTAACAGCGCCAGCGCTCAGATCTAAGAGGACACCAGCAAATGTGAGCCTTATGATGGCTGCTAAAACTTCAAAACTTACCAATCACGTTAGTCAGTGCTTGATCCCTTGCAGGACAGTCAGTACGCGTCGCCGTATAGTTTTGCGTGCTCACCAAATGTTGTCACCAGTGATGAAGGTCATAGTGTGAGCCGAGACTTGTTGAAGACTGAAGGAATGGAAATATTCAGATAAATAGAAGATGTACATAAATGTACTGGGGACCTCACATGAGCTAAAGTGATTCATCACTAGTTCATCTTGCGACTGCGATGCCATCACCTGTACGTGAACATTCCGAACTAAGGTCCCACTCACCTCATCGAATGGAAGTTCCCTCGCTTGTTATGATGCGACTCAAATGGAGGTGTGAACTCCGCGAGACAATTTCACATTTCTACTTCCAGTAATCCGACTGCAGCCAGTTCAAGATGTTCATTCATGAAAAATTACAGGAGAAGAGATTTGGCATCAGGCTTCTAGGCTTCAACGACCATAGGAACGACCGCTGGGACGGGTTGAAGCCCTGTTACCGCTCCTAAAACTTCCTTACCCTCCCAGAATCTTGGAAGTTGATCGCCTGGCACAAATAACCTCTCGACGCCATCTTCTGTGATGACACACATGCGGATAACCCCACCAGAGGAGCCATCTCGCGACATTGCCAGTGCCAGAGCTATTGTATGAATTAGCGGTAAACCAACGACAATTGATGCGACATATCGGCGTACTGTTTCTGACAAAGTTGATGGTTTCGTCTTTGCCCCAGCCCTCCTGGTATGTAGCATCACAGTAACCGTATACATAGGTAGATCCGGACCCTATCAGAGTTCTCTTGAGAAGATAAGCTAGCAAAGAATGTGAAGACAGACCTCCGATCGCCCATGGCTGACGGAACAAACCACCGCCCAATGGGATGTTGTACACACTCGGCCCAGCCTCCTCGTCCCAACCGGCCACAATAATCCCCGCGCTCAGAGCATCTTTGTTGTCGTAACATAGCTTTTGGAAAAGGCACGCAGCGTCGTGAACAGAGGGAGTTCCATGCTCTTGACTACGCGTGGTCGGTGATACGAACTGAGATAAAGGTACATAGATCTTACGTATGGACCTGGAGATGATAATGCACGATGTCGGCAACAGCTTGAGTATCTGCGGCCGAACCAGAGCGACAGCAGTATATCCGATCGTGCACATGTGTGAGTTTGTCGGTAACTCGATTGGCCTGGTAGTGTCCTTAGTATCCGATCCGGGCGAGCAAAGCATGGTAGTTCCTCACAATGTAGCTGCCTGTCGTGGTCCTACTGTCGGCACCGATTACAACGCCTCCGTTAAACTGGACGGCCATAATTGAAGTCTGGACATTGAATGATCAGCCTAGTCGACGAGAATCAGACTAGCTGAACGCACCCCGAGGTTAACCTCCCCGCGTTTGAGTTGTTGAATGTCGACGCTGATGGCCTCCATGGTGATTGAGCTGAAGTAGGTGGTGGTTGATGGTGAAGGTGGTGGTCTCGTCCAATTTTGGATATACAGCTGACGCGTCGGACAGGAGGACGCGTCTGGGCGCTAAAGAGCATCTCACTTCCCCTCAACCATGGCACCTCAGCAAATCGTGGCTCTGTACAATGATCTCCAAAGGGCCTTCAATACCCAACCTGCGAATCTGCAACTATGCGGGACTCTACTTTCAAAACTGAAGGTATAGCATTTGTGCATCTCGTCGTCAATGCGCTCTCAAGCTTGTGCTGGCAGATAGGTTTGATTGAGACCGGTCTATTGCTTCCACACGGAGATGCACGACTAGAGGACCTTGTGATGGCTCGTACGGTCGTTGCCTCTCTTCCATCGAGCTCTATTGATAGTTGCTCGCAGGAGATATTCTAGAAATCGGTGCATTCTGGAGCATCCGTACGAAGGACGTACCTTCGTTCGATCGATACTTTTCTCAGTTACAATCTTTCTATGTTGACTACAGGTGGGCAAGTCTGAATATCACATAAATGTCGCTAATTGCCCCCACAGTTCCGTACTACCTCCCTCAAAGCGGGAGTATCCAATCCGGGGATTAAACCTCATCCGCCTCCTCACTCAGAATAGGATAGCTGACTTCCACACTACCTTGGAGAGTCTTCCATTACCGGCAGACGCCATCGGAGACAACCCCTACCTGCGCCACCCCGTTAATCTCGAGCGCTGGCTTATGGAGGGGAGTTACAGCAAGGTCTGGAATGCTAGGGAAGAGGCACCGACGGAAGAATACAAATTCTTCGTCGATAGTCTGATGGGCACCATTCGGTAGGACGACTGCATTTGTCGCAAGGCGTATGCTAACTAGTTCACAGCAACGAGATCGCGAGTTGCGAGGAGGCCGCATATGACAGTCTACCGCTGAAAGACGCCGCGACTCTGCTCTTCTTCACAACACAATCAGAGTTATTAAGATTCGCGGAAGCGGTACGTTGCGCTTCATTCCTGCTATTGCAGTGCTCATCTCTCTTTAGCGAGGCTGGAAAATCAATCTCGCTGAGAGTAGCATATCATTCTCTCGAACGAGCGAAGAGAAGATTGAGATACCGAAAGAGAAGTTGATAGCCGCGTCTCTAGCTTATGCCCGTGAACTAGAGCAGATTGTATAGTCTTCGTCGTATCCGTTTGTTTCATGCCCAGGAACAATCTCATCGAATATGCGATACATTAAAGATAGTAACATGGAACTACTCGAAGTCTTCCAGCGCAGCCTTTGCTTGGGTTTCCGCTTCCTTGAGAAGATCTTCGGGTACTGGTACATGCTTGTTCCCGGTTTCTTCACCAATCCATGACATCTCCAGCTCGAACTCTTTCTCTTTTGCATCTTCGTGTACAAGGTAGATGCTGCAGACAAGATTAGCTACATTTGTCGTCAAGGAGAAATCTTCCTACATTCTTGCGGCTTGCATGACGGCCTCACGCATCGTCAGATCAGCCAATTGCAGTTTCTCCAGCTCGGTCTTTGCCAGTTGTCTGCCCTTACCAACGGCGGCTCCATGGTAGCCCTAGTACTGGATCATGAGGAGAAATTCTATCAGAAACATGAAGCTCACGTACATGGTACGTCCCACTGGGTTCCAACACAAATAGCTGGGGTCCGTTCTTGTCTACACCACCAAGTATGGTGCTCACGCCAAAGGGCCGTACAGATGAATAAAGAGTATATGCCTGTAGGTACAGGCCGACACGTTCTGCCACACTCTATCATGCATGCATGCATCAGTCATGTATCAGCAAGGATGTGGCGCTGATCATACCTTCAGTTGCGGCGGACTGTGCATCGTTTCCCGGTAATTGACGGCTTCGTCTCTGGATCTGTTGGCCAAATGCCGACTATCCGCTAGCAAGCCCGCAGATGCCTAAGAGCAGTGAGGATCAGGGTGTCCTAGTACATCCGCAGAGATGCCTACCAGCCCGATGTGCTTGTCGACTGTGTGTATTCTCCTGTTTACACCAGGAACGAGGAGTTTCGAATGGACCAGTTTCTCGACGGCGAGGACGACTCCATCTTTGACCTTGAGGCCAATTGCAGTCCTATGCAATATCATCAGCATCTCGCAGGTTCCCGTGGTCACCGATTATCCCTTACCCAGAGTTCTCGACTGCCTTGTTCGCATATTCCACCTAACGAACGTACCGATCGCCTGATGAGATTCTGCGCAACTATGGTTTCGACGTGAAGCTGCAAACAAACCTGGAATATACGTCCATCGGGAGAGTATGTGCTTGCAGAGAGATCGTATCCGGTGCCGATGGAAGTCATTGTGAAATGTCAGGGCAAAAGTGAGCACGGTATATGGAACGCGCAAGCTGCACGCGTCAGGAGGTACCAGTCGTGGGAAAACTCAAGTCGCGTCTCAATCATGAACGACGACGACGAATGGTCAAGCCTGCTTCAAGATCACCCAATATTCTCGCTGCCCAAGAAGCTGGGAAGCTCGCTGCTCGAGCGCGAAGACTCGCTTGAGCTGTCTACGAGCACACTCCCAAAATTCACCAACCAGGATCCGACTGACGATGGGCCGACCCCTTCTGGGCGACGGCAGACGATGGTGCTGAAGGATTCCGAGTTGATTCTGGCTGCAGGAAATGAGCTGCGAATTGCCTCATTATCAGAATCACGACTCAATAAGAGCTTGAGGAAGAGCTATAAGGTGAGTTTACCCCTGATATCCACCGACTCACTATCGTATATCGCATACATAGACCCTCGGGACACCAAGTATCCAATTCGAAATACACGAACTTGCTCTGAATCCGAGCGGAAAGCTACTGGCTGTTGCTGGTGCATTTCAGGTCGCTGTTGTTGTTTTACCGCGTTCTGGCGTCACCAGACTTGTTCCCGAGATCGTTGACTGCAAGTATGCGTTTCGTTTGTATAAACCAAGTATAGCACTAATGTCAGCCTTTAGGTCGGTTCAAATTGGACAGTTCTATCACGCGGCCACGTCCTCTATCCCAATTGCCAAGATTGAATGGCATCCATGGGGAGAAGCTGGTTCTACATTAATGGTCATGACAATTGACGGAAAATTGCGGTGAGTAAACTATCAAGCCTTCCTCAGACTTCATTGACGTCAATTCTGCAGCGAGTACGATATATCTGTTGATACCGAAGAACCTCAGCAAGTCTTGACGTTCATGCCCGAGCGCAAAAGCAAATCATTCATTGCCCAAGATGACTCAGAGCGGCAGATAGCTTCGTTCACCTTCGGCCGTGGTATGGCCGATTGGGGGCCCCTCACAGTCTATGCTGTCACGATGTCAGGAGACGTCTATGCAATATGCCCGTATATGCCCCAAAATGCGTGAGTGTCGTTACCTCTGGAGTGCGTTTTCGACAACTTAAATCGCTACGACCAGGTCTATACCTTCCGCATATGTTCATGCTTTAGAGTGCTTTGTGGCCGCTAAACAAGAATATCTTGCACAGGCCGGCACCGATTCAAGCAAATCCTTGTCGACTATGTATGATTACCAGCAGAAGTACATTGCTGCTCTTACGAAGCAACTTCCTCTCGGAACCGTATTCCCCGCTGCGTCGCGCTCCATCTTGATGCACCCGCCATCCACCATCAAACCTCGGGCTCTGCGACAAGGACCGTTTCTCTTGCAGCCGTCTCCTCGAACTCTCGAGGGTAGCGAGGGAGGAGATGCTACGGATATCATCTACGTATCATGTGGGTCTGACGAAGACGAATCGGCAACCAACGAACAGTTAGGTATCATATTGATTGCTTTCCAGGACGGGAAGGTCGACCTTTGCTTGGATCTGGAGAAGATTGAGGCAAAGTGGGAAACTAAACATGTCAGTCCGTTATTCATACTTGTCACAAATACTAAAAAAAACTTGAATTTTCACGTCAGTCCTCCACTCAAGACCTACCAATGCTGGCCGTCTACGAGACTATCGACCTGGGTTTGATTTCTACCTTGCAAAGTACGACACCGGCACCGCAAGAACCACCGATCCTAGAGTTGCTTCAAGGAAACCATCCTGTCTTCCTCCCCGATCCCATACATTATGACATCGTCTTCGTGTCTCATGCGTTCGGCGTTCATTCCATCCACCTGGGCCCATGCCTCCGAAAATTGCTCACTGCCCTCAGAGCGAATGATAGTGACGAAGACCTGGTTTCATCGTCCTTGTCTGATTCCACACAGTGTGATGTACGGCCTATTCTATGCACTTTTTCTGTCGAACGGAGGTAAGGTATTCGCTCGGAACTACCCTCAATACCTGCTCAATAACTCGCGTGTCCAGATGTTCGAACCCCGTAGTGGCTATAGCGATTCCTAACGACGTCTATGTAACCTACAGCATCTTTATCCTCACCTCGGCCATGCGCCTCAGTTCTTTCCCCTTGAACTTGCGGCCGGACTCTCCTGCGCCACTACCCGCAGCGTTACCAGAACCAGAAACCGTTGATTCTGAGGAGCACCTCACCGCCCTGGAGGGCCCTCCAGCGTATATCTCCCTCTTAGGACCGGAGCCATACCAAGTCCCTCCTATCCTATCCCGTTCACAGAGTGGGCTCCCGATCAATCCTCGCCTTTCTACGCCATCAAACAGCAAAGAATTTATGCTTACACCGGACTCACTGCGGTATCTGGGGACGACTGTCGCTAAATTTAGTAGCCAGATCCATGAGATACAGCTGGCGTTTTGGTCGGCGCAACAACGGGCGACATTGCAAAAGCACGAGTTTCTTAGGCAGAGGGAGAAAGGCGCGGAACTGGTTGCGGCTATTCAACGGTTATCTGAAGTTCGTTGCAAGACAACAAAAGACCGCATTACAAGGATACAAGAAACTCAGAAGGAATCACTTAGGCGGCTAGACCGGACTCTACAGCATCTCATGCTGAAGGCATCTCCTGTCTTGAGCGAACACGAAACCAAATGGTTTGAAGAACTCAAACGGATGAAGCAGGACGTGGCCGGTAGTGGTCGCTTTGATGAGACATCTCTAGTGGCTAGGACCAAAATGGTCCGTACCTTCCTTTCCCATTGTGTCGATATTATTCATATTTTCGTTTCACAGTTGGAAAGAGACCTAAAGCGTTTGATGCCGAGACTCAAGGCTCTAGCAGAGAAAGAGAAGCAACTGAACGATAAACAGCCAAGTAGTCAGCAGGGCGTAGGCTTCAGTCAAGCATTCGAGCTAGGAGAACGTTCGAGCCAGGAGTATGTCTCCAATGTATCGTTGATAATCGTCTGACACTCGCTGCTCGTTAGGCGTGCTAAAATATTGGAGGCAGAGAAGGAGATTTTGCTTCTTGCCTCGAAGTTAGATCTCTCACTAGGGCAGCCGCCACCGCTGCAATAAGCTGTGCAGCGTACGATTATGGGCTTTCGTGAACGGGCGACGCAGTTTCATCCCAGCAGTTGGCTGTTGAGGTTGTGATCGCCTGTGATGTACTTGCATTTTTTGAATTTACAGAAAACTAGCTTCATATTGTTCAGGACATTTTCTCCCCAGGCGTACAATTTAATTCGCTACTACATCAATGTTCTCAAATGTTCCGACAGCGCTATCAACGCCAAACTCTGTCCGTATGGCATGCTGGTTAATTTGATTCTTTTGTAGCTCTCGATGTCGTCAAACACAGGCGTTCCAAAAGATACCTGCTTCAGCTCGCCTTCCTCAGATACGTTATCCAAGACTCCTTGCATCGCCTTCTTGACCGTTGCCACATATCGATCCTCCTTCGGTATGAGTCGGAGCCTTATAGCCTTGGCTATACCATACGCAAATCCCGCCGTCGCCGATGCCTCTAGGTAAGAACTGTCGTCATCTAGAATTGTGTGCCATAACCCTGTATTCTGATCTTGGCAATTAACGAGGGCATTGATTTGCGCGGTCAAGGAGGATACGAGGAACATCCTCAAGCCGTCGGTCTTCGGCAATTGAAGCAGCTCGATGAACTCTGGGATTGCAATTGTTGCCCAACAGTTACCTCTTCCCCATCTAGCCTTGCCGAAATGATGTCGACCGCTGAAGGTCCAACCTGGCGCACGATTATCAGCGTTTCAGCGATTCAGCGACTCATTCCGCGTGATGTCACTACGCCTACCATGAAACCAGAGCCCCGATTGTTGATCTTGGAGATATTTTATACTATCAAAACGAAAGATCTAGGCACCTTTGGCACGAAATATCAAATGAACTCACTGCAGGAGGAACTGTCTCTTAGCTTCTTCGACGTAATCAGGCCGCTTTAAAACCAACCCTATCTTCGCGAGGGGGAGCACAGTCATCATGAGGGTGTCGTCCCACAACTGCTGGAAGTTGTCCACAAGGTACGTAATATGTTGAAGCCCGTCTTCTTCTGTCCGCGGCATGTCATACATAACCCATTCGGCCCAGCTATCTAGATGGACATAGTAATCCGCCAATTGGGCTTCGTGCAAGTAGGCCGCAGTCAGCAGAGGCGACATGGTGTTCACGTTCTATGGCATCGTTACCTCAGCGTCCTTCCATGGCCAATGGTTAAAAGGTTACCTTTGTCGTGCCTATCTCGAATCGCTCCTTGAACCAACGCAACATGATATCCAATTCTTCCTTATCCTGGACGATTTCGAAGTATTTCAATAGCCCGTATAGACCTAGAGACCTCTATTAAGGACGAACTCTGTCTAGGCCCCCAAAATCATCTCACCGATTCCATGTGTCCACTAGGGTCGGTTGTAAGTGAACGCTTCAACCGGGGAAATAACGACTAACCTCCCAGTCATCCCAACCTTTGGTGTCGATCACGCGGCCATCAGGGAGCGTCATCAGGAATTCACCAGTCTCATCCTTTATATTTACCAAGCAATCAATGATCCGCTTGATGGTAAGCTTCACCGACGCTTTCTGGTTGACTTTTAGAGGGGACATGGAAGACCGCTAAAACTTATGCCTCAGGATAACGACGGCTTTTTTATGAAGTACGAGTTCACGGCCCGCGGCCCGCCCGCACCTTCAACCATAGTCGTCCTCCATTTGGGTCGGTCATAGGACCCACGCAAAGAAATGTCGTTATAAAGTTGAGCAACAACAGAACAGGTTCTACAAGCTTGGTTCCTTATTCCCATGGCCGAAGTGTCTAAAAGCATCACCGCTCCAGATGTTCAGATTGAGACGGCAGAGAAAGACTTGTATTCACTTCAAAGTGGATCTGTGTCACAGATCGGTAGGTAATAGATTGAACAAAACCCCATTCAGTCCTTACACAACCACAGGCGAGTCTCCTCCCGGAATAGACGCAGAAGTTGCCCAATTCTTCGCGGAAGCACAGTCAAGCACAAGACACATTGTCATTGACGATGAGACTAATAGACGTTTGCGGTGGATGGTCCACAAACGCGTCCTTGTGAGTCGACTTGTTCTGCTAATAACCCACACTAACCCTAGGAAAGACGGTCATGGTCATCACCTACTGTAGGTACCCAAACGTCCTCGCGTATACACAATATTTTTAACCCTTCAATAGTCGCTCAGACTTTGGACAAAGGGTAATCTCGTTTTATGGGCCTTACCTATTAGCCCTTACTCAACCTTGCCCTTGAAAGGACCATCAACTTCGCGTCCATTATGGGCATTATTCCTGACAACCACCTTCATGGACAGCAATACGCCTGGTTAACTACCTGCGGTATGTTACAGGTTTCAGCCTTCACGTCGAACCACTATCCTCATACTCTGTTTAGTTTACATCGCTATGTAAGTCTAAGTTGGGTGGAAGTCCACATGCTAAATTGCATGGCATCTTCTGATTGCAGCTTAATCTGGTAAGTTAGCTACTTCCGTAATCGTCCCCACTCGCTCATCTGTGTTCTAGGGAGTTCCCCACCAATCGACTATTGCAGCGACTTCCTATCGCCAAATACCTTGCATTCAAGTGAGTCGTCTGCTATTCTCCCCTTGTCTGCAACTGACTGCGCCAGTATTGCGGCTTGGGGCGTCGTCCTGGCATGTACAGCTGCTTGCTCGAATTTCACAGGTCTAGTGATTGTGAGGACCCTCCTCGGGGTCTTTGAGTGTGTCTGCCAGCCTGCTTTCGTTTTCTTGTGAGTCACTAGCGAAGAGTAGGAGCATCGTTGTAACTCGAACCGACAGATCGACCATGTGGTATACCCGCGAGGAGCAAGCCCTCGTCATCGGTTCCTTCTACTCTATGAATGGTTTCCAGCAATGTGTTGGCGGTCTGATTGCTTACGGGATTGCACATATCAACACCGCCAAACTGAAGAACTGGCAGATACTATTCACCGTGCGTCGTATGCTATGTTGCATTGCGAAACCGATCCAACCCCAGTTTATTTTAGATTCTTGGCTGTCTGACATTCGTATGGGGGATTTTTGTTGCTTGGTACCTTCCTGACAGCCCAATGCGAGCACGCTGCTTTTCGCCAGAAGACCGACTTCTCCTTGCTGAGCGTGTCCGAAAAAACGACACAGGAATCCAAAACAAGGACTTCAAAGTTCGTCTACCAGCCTTTAGTATGATTTAGGATGCTGATTATTTCCTGACCGGCCTATAGAATCATCAAGCGGGCGAGTGATTTCCACACTAATCCATGCCTGGCTTATCATAATAGCACGTTTAGTCGAAGCTCTCAAAGATCTCACAGTCTGGGCTATTGTTTTGATTTCATTTACCAATGCGCTGCCCACGGGGGGATTAGGCGCATTTTCGAATATCATTCTCACCGAGTTTGTGAGTGAGCGTCCCGTCTGGTGTTCCCACTAATCGGTATCATAGGGATTCTCTCAACTACAAACGTACCTGCTAGCAATTGCTCAAGGTTTGATCATGCCTTCTATCTTCGCTGAACTGTTCGTAACGGTTCCCAGGCGCTATCGTGAGCATACCATGCCTGGTGTATTATTGCTTTCGCTACTAATGTTTGCTTTTGTGAAGATTATGCTCTTCCTTTTCAGTGCGGCTTATCTCTCTAAGAAGTTCAACCAGAGGCTACTTCTCGCTTTCGTGAGTTACTTTTCACATCTAACAAGGTTGGTTAATTGAGGCTTTGGTAGATATATACGCTTCCCAATATCGCTGGGACTATCGTCTTTATATGTATAGATCCGTCTAACCGCATGTTAGGCTGTATTAATGTCTTATTCAGGTGTCCCTGCGAACCCAACAACGAAAGTCGGCCTGCTGATTGCATTCTAGTAGGCTTATCATACTATCATCGTTCTCGCGTGCTTAGACTCCCCTCAGCTGCACCCAGGGCTTTGGAGCTGTCGCTGTTCTCAATTTAGCAGTAATGTCAGGTAATATTGCGGGGAGGACCAAGCAAGTTATCGCTTCTAGTCTTTGTTTCGTGTAGGTGTGTTCCACGCATGCCATCCGTCATATACTGATGGAATGTCACATAGAGCTTGGGCGGTGGGCAATGCCATCGGTCCACAAGGTTGGATGCCAATCTAATATCCGTAGCCGTGATGGCTAATCGTGAATGCCCAGTTTTCCAAGACTCCGACAAACCTCGTTACATCCGGGCTTTCATTGTTCATCTGGTGGTCTATGGGGTCCAACTTGCAACAATCGCGTTCCTGCGGTTGCGTTTACTACGGAATAATGTTCTGAAGGCTAGGGCACAGGCATCGGAGGCGAACGGCGATCTCAGTGATAGCTCGGTAGGTAGTTTACTGGTATATGGTTCTCATATCTCACATGTCATCCACATCCATCAGGCTCACAAACATGCTTTTGATGACCTCACCGACCAAGAGAACCCAGATTGTGAGTTCCTCTGATGCTCAACGAAGCTTTAGTTAATGCCCTCATCACATAGTTCGCTATGTGTATTAAGTAGAGGACGTTGGATATCAAGGTAGTATCTTCGCAAGTGCAATTCCCGCGATATGTGTATCACAGCTGCCTCAGTCTTCTATAATAACCTGGTCATGTGCGACATTTTAACGCCACTCTGGTTGGTCACCGTTCGTTGCATCCTCAGTAGGTGATTAATATCGTGGTTGGTCCCTTACCCATGGTTGTGAATGATTCGACTTTGGCGCCGACCTGCACTGCCTAAACGCATTCATTCTACGTCTGCCTGCCCCCTGCCACCATCATTCCTCCGGCACACAAGGCGTTGGCGTTTCAAGCATCCAGAACCCCAGTTTGACTTCTCAACGCTGACTTCGTCCACTGCGCAGCCGGGGGGTGGGCAGGTCATCGCATGTCTTACCACACTTCGGGAACGTTTTTAGGGCACGAGGTGTCCTCCAGGCGTCTGGGTAGATCTGTCTGCTTTAAGTACAAATACATTGGAGACTTCTGAATAGCTCAACACACTTCTACCGTACATTATCGACGTCCTCTTCACATATCGTCAGCCTATTCCTCCGACAATGTCCAACGACATCCCCAGCGGTGCACCGCTCGCATCAGATGAGCGAGACCGAATGTCAGTCTCTTACTTCCCTTGGCTTGCTTTCAACCTACTGAGAACTGTCTAGTGATTCGCTCCTCAAGACCCTACAAGGTATCAAGGAGTTTATAACCACGGATTAGACGACTCACCAATGAGTTATGGCTGTTAGGCAATATCGGGAATATTCTCGATAGAGAGAGTCACGTCCAAGCGACGATACGCAACCTTCAGAGTGAACTGAACGTATACAAGCGTGCTTACGCCGACGTTGATAATGAACGACAACAGCTTGCGGCTCAGAAGCAGGAAGCCGAAAGGCAACGAGGCGAGCTGGAGCTTCAACTGAAGGTCAGCTGACCCTTCATTTACATACTTCCCATCTTGACGCATGGCAGGGAAACCGAGTTGTGGCCCTCCTTGATGGGGATGGCACCATATTCTCAAGCAACCTCATTTCCCAAGGCCAACCAGGCGGTCATATCGCGGCTCAGAAGCTGGCTGATTCCATTCTCCAACATATGAACGCTAATTATGGACTGAACCAATACCAACTCTGGGTCTACGTCTTCTTCAATAAACGTGGCTTGACTGAGGCCTTCGGGCGCTACGGCCTAGCTAATTCGAAAGTCAAATTCGACGATTTCATGCTGGGCTTCAATCAAGCGGCCGAACGATTCATGATGATCGACGTTGGAACGACGAAGGAGGCAGCCGACGCCAAGATCAAGGGTTCGTCTTGCTTGTATCAAAGCATGAAACTATTGTTCACTCACCAAACCAGCATATTTGGAAGACGAGGTTCGTCTCCCACAAACTTGCAAAGTGCTCTTCGGCGGTACGACTTTGCTTCCTTTCCTTGGTACGTAAGGCACGCGCTTATAACTCGTCACCTGTGCGACTAGGCTGCCACGATAATGGCTATGTCACGAACCTTCGTTCTCAAATTACCGCAGGATTCAAGCACAAGCTGATCCTTTTGCAAAGCTATGCGGATATGGCGGCCGGCATAACTGAGCTCTGTTTACCCTCCATGAGCTGCCCCGATCTATTCATGCTCCAGAAGCTCGGCGCACAGTCATTCGCGTCTGTTCCTTCTGCTGCACCTGCGGCCCAAGTCTCGTCGCCAGCTGTGTCTACCCTGGCCGCCTTACCACCGCATGCTTCCCCCCCATTGCAGGCGCGGTCGTTAGTCATCTACCCGCCGGTCGACGGTGCCGCAGAAGGGCGAAGAGAGCCTTCAGCCTTGGGTCCGTTCCGAAAAGTTGAACGTCGAGATTCCGTTGCATCGATTTCAAGTAGCTTCTCTGAGCGTCGCGATTCCATCTCATTGTCGGGTGCTGCACCGCCGTTCAAACCCGAACGCCGCGACTCCATTGTGTCCAATTCGAGCGCAGTTAATTTTGAAAGTCTGGAAGCTAAGACTTATGTTGCCGCCGAAGCCAGCCCCCCTACACCACCCATTGTTACCACCCTTCTTGGCGCGTCCCCGCCATCCGTAGATGCTTGGGAACTCCTGCCATCCCATGTTGCATCTGTCGAGACTGCATGCGAAGCTGAGACGAAGCGGCCAGCCCCAAGTTACTCCTCAGCCGTGATGCGTCGTCCCCCCACTCCAGAGCTGGACTCCTCAAGCAGCAGTGATGTAAGTGACTCAAGTGACGAGAATCCAAGCCCAAGAATTACGCCTGCCCGTCATGTGAACCCGAATATAGTGCGTGTACAAGATAATAATTCACATTCGTCTCATCTTGTTTTTACAGCCGCTGTCGAAACGTGAATGAATTTACACCCTTACTTTCCCTCATCTGAGTGATTCTAACGGTGTGGAATTGTTCAGATAAACCGCCGCCATGTACTCTTTTTTACCTCGCGAACTGCAAGTATGGTAGCGAGTGCAAGTATGCCCACAATTACCTCCTCCAAGACGATCATTACACAGAGATTCGGACCAACGCGAAGAAGGCCCCTTGTCCCTCTATCAATAAAGGTGAAATGGCGATGTAAGCCACCCGACTTCAACTTACCACTGTTGTTTAGGTGAAACCTGCATCTGGGCAGAAGCATGCTGCTACGGGCATGTTTGCCCATCCGGACCCAGGTGCATGTACTATAAGCAGGGTCGCTGCAAGTTCACTGGCGGTAACTTCCTGCTCCGCGAGTCGCCAAACTTTCTACTGACTGTACCTTGCTAGTCGATATGCACAAGGAAGTCAAGGCCACCAAGTAAATCGCGATTCATCCACGATTCGCTCCATCAACAAATAAACACTTGAAAATCAATCAGCACAGAATATTTTAATTCACACGATATGATATTGAGACCTGGCTGTCTGTATATATTTATGTATGACTCTATGACCTATGCGCTATGGTACTTCCCGATTTTATGCTGTCCTCCGCTTCTTGCTTTCCTTTGTGACCCAATGATCCATATTTTCAGCTTCCCATCCTGCGCCGTAGAACATCCTAAATCGCCATAATGCCATGGCCGTCGCCGCTACGTCCGCACGTTTGCAAGTTTCCGCATTTGAGACTAGTAAGAAAGCGTGACTGGGCTTGTCATCGGCCGCGATCCCGTCCAACTCGCCAGATCGAGAGGGTCGGCGTGTTTCAGAGTTAAGAATCGCCGTAAGGTATTGGTGCAGAGCAGCGCGTTGTCCAGGGTTTGGAAACAACGGAACACCATTGTATAACGGTACTTCGAGTTGGGATATATCTAGCGGTGTTGCGACGTCACGCTGTACAGGATATAAGATCGAGATGGGATGTTTTGAAGAGCTTGCGCAATCGGCGAGGACGTCTGCAGGGGGAGGGTACATCGACGGCTCCGGCCTCTTTTTTGTCAGCGGGTCGCGGTTCACCGGGGGTATCACAATAATAGCGACTGCGTCTGGCCACGCGACAGTCCCAGAAGTCTTCATAGATTCCCACTCCTTACGAGTCAATCGTCGCAGAACCATAGGGGAGTAAGCAGTTCTCGGATTCGACTGTAATCGCTCCGAAAGCAAAGCAAACTCCTGGAGAATACGCACTCGTAGGAGGTGCTCAATTTGGGGTATTAGAAGCGAATGGACCGGTACTTTGGGTAGTATTTGCCTGTAGCTTTCTAGAAAGTATCTTCATCAGCAAACCAAAAGCTCAAATAACTTGTCAAGTACACTAACTTCTTTCAAGCATTTGGGCAACTGCGTCTTTCCAGCAAATGACATAACCAGATTTGCCGGATTTTCGAGTTTTGAATCTGGGATGCTCCAGACCGTCCGGAACCAACATTCGAGTGGTTTTATTTAGTTTGCTGTTCGAATCCTGTAAGGCTTTTGATATCTTCATCGGAGCAAGTCGAATCAGAAAGTCTGATAGAATATTCAGCTAACGTGACTCCCAATTCAATCGCAAATACTCACCAGATGGAAGATACCGATCCGTCAGAGTGCATTTTCTCAACGGCGAACCTATCATACGGACTGTCTTTCCAAATGTGACTTTGAATTACGATGTTCCATATTTTTCGAAGAACTTACGATACGGGTCAGCCCACCACTTTCGTTCTTCTTTCGTCATTTCGCGAGGAAGATCATTCGTCGGTGAAGATGGTACGACGCGTCTTTTCAGCCGTAACCGAGGGGGGATTGTTTTGTGCCGAACGTAGTCCCGGGAGTTGGTGACAGGATTCCTCGGGGTCAACAATATGGATTCCTTGTAATCGGCTACTTTGAAAGTCGGTCTTGGGGGCACAGGTTTGTAGAGTGACTTCTTGCTGTTCTTACGACGAGGCCAAGAGATTTCCATGCGAGAATTACTCCCCTCGAGAATGACCTTTCGCAGCCTGGGCAGAATCCGCGGCATGGTGATGGTACAAAGAGGACTTGTGGTTTGCGACTGAGCACTAAGCTGAATCGAGCACAACTCTCCACGTGACGACGATCACAACGCGTCCACAAGCGCCCACTTCCTGATTTACTTCCGTCTTGCTTCCGTCCTCGACTACAACTCACTTGCGGCAAAGCAGTCACTGGGACCGCGCTGCCACATGTATTTGGGGCAAGACCCATAAGGCCTGCCTTTTTCTGATCACTTGATCTCCACGGTTTGGGAACTACGCGTCTACTATATAACCTCAACATTCCCACCAAGTATGTCGCTTCTTACTAGTACCAGGAACTTCTGGAGACGTTCGATGCGCACCAAAGAGATAGCTGGGAACGCAGCCTCTGCGCTGAACAGTGAGAATGTCACCGCTGTCGGGGATCCTGTGACCTTGGTCGTTATCGGCTGCGGCCAGCGAGGACAGGTGCGTTCAAGGCATTTCTGCTGTTTAGCGACGATCTCAAATACAAATGAATTCATGATAGTCGTATAGTAAATACGCCCTGACTTCCCCAGACAAGTGTCGCGTAGTGGCTATCGCGGAGCCTCGGCCCAAGACACAACGGAACTTTGCGAAGACCCACAATATCGACCCGACGCTCGTCTTTGAGACATGGCAGGAGCTTCACGCAGCGTCGGCAGAAACAATTCAAACTGTCGGCAAACGACTGGCAGATGCTGTGATAGTCGCTGTTCAGGACTACATGCATTTGGAAGTCACCTTGGCTTTCGCCGAACAAGGATATCACATCCTGTGTGAGAAACCGATGGCTACGAGTATCGATGATTGCCTCAGAATGGAGGCTGCAGTCAAGAAAGCGGGAATCATCTTTGGGATGGGCCATGGTAATATTTCGGCTACAACCGAAATTGAAATACTAAGCCCGGTGCTTAGTTCTTCGGTATTCGCCCTACAACAAGGCCCTCAGCGAGATCATCCACTCAGGCTTGCTCGGCCGACTTATCAATGTCGTGCACATGGAGCCCGTCGGACATTACCACTTTGCCCACTCGTTCGTCCGGGGTAACTGGGGAAATGAAGAGAAGAGTTCATTTTCGCTGATGACCAAATCGTGCCAGTGAGTACTTTCACTGGAACTCCCGAATCATAAATAGTAACACCCCTCATTCTCAATCCGTGCGCGTCCTCATTCAGCGATATCGATATTCTCTGCCACTGGTTCTCACCTGCGTCTCCCGCGCGTGTTACATCTTTCGGATCTTTGCAGCACTTCAAGAAGTCAGAGAAACCCCCTGGCGCCGGGAACACGCTGCGATGTCTAGAATGCCCGGTTGAGAATGATTGTCCCTACAGCGCTAAGAAAAGTAAGGCCGGCGGAACGGTGGATATCAATATCAAGCAGCTGACATGTACTTTTGCCCAGTCTATCTCGATCCTGTGGCTCATGGAAATACTGGCTGGCCCGCTGAGACTATTGTGGATGGCGTTCCAGATATTGAATCCATCACGAACGCCCTCCAGAACGGCCCGTACGGCAAATGCGTATACGAGAGCGATAACGATGTGTGCGACCACCAGGTACTTAACCGCCCTCTAGACCTCGCTTGCGCGCGCTGATAGGAGTTAACTCAACCCCTTGTGCTCTCCTTTTCTAGGTCGTGAACATCGAGTTCTCGGACGGCAGTACTGTTTCGTTTACTATGGTTGCGTTCACCTCTCTTATTTGTGAACGACAAACCCGATTCCATTTCTCACACGGCGAGATCGTCGGAAATATGAGGAATTTCACGGTTACCGATTTTAGGAAAGATACGAGTAAGGTGTACAATCCTACCAATGAAGGCGGTGGTCATGGCGGAGGGGACTTGGGTCTCATATCATCTTTCATTCGTGCGGTGCGAGAAGGACGGCAGGAGATATTGGGAACGGACGTTGGGGAGATACTACGCAGTCATCTGACAGTGTTTGCCGCAGAGGAAAGTCGCAGAAAGGGTGTTATCATTGACTGCGCAGACTTTGAACAAGAGGCCAAGAAACGAATAGAGTCGGTGCAAACAGTATAAAATTGATGTAATGAACTCAATATATCTAAGGGAGGAAACAAATCAGGAACGCTGCATCCCTGATGGACTGACACGACTTTATTGAGGTAGGCACATCTGCCATAGTCGCTCGACGCGTCGCGCTCACTGATCGCGCTGCATGTCTGCTGCGGCTGCGCCCCCTATCCATGAGCGAAATACTTATATGATCCTTTAGCGAAGAAAGTTCCCTCAAAGTCTCTATCATGAACGCGCCAGCGCCAGAGAAACTTCTATCGCTATCGAACGACCGGGTTCTGGCCTACTCTGAATGTGGGGACCTGTCAAGCAAGACTGTCATCATTTTCTTCCATGGCATGTTCGGGATTGGGACGGCCACACCATCGCCCGTCCTGGTCAAGCACGGGGTGCACTATGTAGCCCCGACGCTTCCAGGCTGGGGGAACTCGTCCTCCTTACCCCCATCGACGCCATTTCACCTCGGGCTCGCACATGATATCAGCGCGCTTCTCCAACACTTGCATCTTGATGCAGATGATAAGGACGTGAAGTTGTACATCAGTGGGGGTTCCTTCGGCACTGTCCCAGCGCAGATGCTGTACGGAGCTTCGTATGATAACTTTCCATATGGCCGTCGAATCGCTGGAGTGATGCTGGGTGCACCTCTGTCGCCCTTCCGCAATCACAAGGAATACAGCAAGTCGATGCCGATTTCAACGTACGTGCTGCTGGGAATGTCGCCGTATGTTCCGTTCAAGCTTCTGCCGCGAATGATGAAGCTTGCCATGCAAGGGAAAATGCAGAAGTTAGAGACGACACAAGCGTTCATGGGTGAAACTCTCTTCAACAAGATGGACGAGGCTGAATTGGCAGCGTTCAAGAAGTGGAGAGAAGACACGGGGAAGGCGGAAGGGGAGTTTGAGAAATCCATGGCAGAGAACGCGATGCGAAGCGTGGCCAAGACCTGGGATGGATTTTTGGAGGCTCCTGGCATCCTCCATTCTGATTGGGGGTTCCATCCTGCGACTCTGGACGAAGAACACGCGAAACCGATTCTCATCGTGTCTTCGCAGGGCGACGACATGGCTCCGGTGAACATTGCCGAGTGGCTTGCTGCCAACTACAAGAATTCACGACTCAAGGTAGTTGAGGGCGGACATTTGGCGATCTTGTATCATTTAGAGGAGGTTTGGGAGGAATTGCTCGCATTCGTGTAATATATTTTTATGTTTTTGACATACCCCGTGGGGTCACCGGCAGTTGGCGGGACCAAGCCTGAGGAGCACTGCCGCAAGCGTGGAATCAAATCCACCCTGGGCGAACCTGAACGGAGGCAATTTTGCAGACTTGCAGGCCTCAAAGCGTTTGCAGAATGGCTGGACATGTTCTAGGGTCAGTGAATGTGCAGTGATCCATTCTCTTTTACTGATGGTGGCTTCAATTTCAGGCATTGTACGGATCCATCATCCCTGGGCGAACTGCCAGGAATCCCACAACAAAGGCGAGTATATCTTTATCCCCTTTCGAGGCCTCCCAATTGAATCAAAACAGATCCCAGATGCCCTTTCAGTCGCCTTTGCTATTTAAGCTACATGGCCTTTCACTCCGGTATTTCCTTTTGATGCTCGTGCGCAGCTTTCTCTAGCCCCCCATTTACATGCTATTTCAACTCCAGGGGCTTATGCATTCCACCTCTGCTCAGCGTTGAACGTTGTCGAGCCCGCTACTCATGCTTCACGTCGAAGACAAAAAACTCGTCCTCCCCGATGGCCGAACCCTGGCGTACGCCGACAATGGGAACACCTCCAGCTCCACAGTCGTCCTCTACCTGCACGGTGAATTCAACATTGGCGACGCCTCTCTGCCCTCTCCGATAATCATCCACAAGCACCTTCATTTCATTGCGCCGTCGCTGCCCGGTTGGGGGAACACGTCGCCCCCACTACCATGTCATTCCTACCCTTCGACTCTCATCGCAGACATCACTGCCTTGATTGTTCACCTTCACCCCAAGTTCGCGAAACTAAAGATATACGTCTACGCGCATGCCTTTGGAACAGTCCCGGCGCAGATCCTTTACGGCGCATCATTCGACCAGTTTCCGCTTGGGAAGCAAGTCGCTGGTTTCGTCCTTCTTTCCCCTCTCTCTCCACCCCACTGTCACAAAGATTACGCCAAATCTATGACGTGGCTACCGTATATACTCAGTGGCCCGCCAGCCCGATACGTGCCGTACAGCATCATTCCTCGTGTGGCATCCTACGCTATCGCGCACAAGCTCAAGTCGGAGGAGACAGCCGAGCGCTTCGTCCGCTCTACCCTCATAGACAACATGAGCGACGGTGACCGCGAACTCCTCGACCAATGGCTTGACGCCCGTTCTATCGACGAGCCCAAACTCGTTCGCAACCTCGCTCACACCATGACCCGAAGCATCTCCCAGTCCTGGCAAGGCTTCCTCAGCATAGCGCGCGTCTACCATTCTGGCTGGGACGGCTATTCACCGGATAATGTAGATGATGCGCATGCGTCACGTCCCATCATCATCATTTCTGCTCGGGGAGATAGGATAGCCCCGGTGGAAATGGCGGAATGGCTCGCCATCAACTGTAAGAACGCGACCTTGATAACGGTCGACGGCGGTCACCTGGCACCGTTCTTTCATCTCGATGAGGCATGGAAGGAGTTCTTGGGTTGAACAGATTGATCGTTCCCATTCCATGATCGTTCTTGCCTCTTCGGCCACCTTCCTAGTACCTTCCTCGGTAGGACCCGAGAAAGATGTAGACGGTTATTACTTCTCAGATGCCCTCGTTCACATACCCTACCCTCGCGCCTATGGCCGTATTTACTGATTACAAGGATTTTTATAATTCGGGACTCTTTCGTCGTACATGCAAGCTTTGATCGTTGATGTCGCAGTGCTCTTACTATTACATTCCTTTCACATCATATATTCGCCTAGCGCTATACATATCTGCAGTCAAAAGTATAATGTATATTCATACACTGGATCCACTTTCACGAAGCTATCTCATACCTATATATGTCGGACCGTCCCCCTCGAGCCCACTACTCGGGTGGGTCGCTTCATTCCCGAAATAACTTGAGTGTTCGTCGGCGGTCGGATTCGACACCCATCATGGCACGGATCGTATCACTCTGCAGTGATGCTCACTTCGAATTCCGTATTCGGCTGATCCTACGGGGTGTCGAAACCGATATGTGCCATTATGCCAGGTATATCATGGCCTCAGGAGCGACAAGGCCGAATGCAGAATGAACCTTGACAGAGGACATACTTAGTATCAATGCAGTTGAATGCTAATTGGGGCACTATTATCGTGGATAGCCATGAAGGCCGCTCTTCATGATCGTCGCTATTCATACAGCATATCCATTCTAGACTCTTGAGCGAGCCTGAGGTCCCACTGAGGAGAGGGCGCGCGCAAGCCGTTAGCCTTTCGGTTCCAAGCATCCCGTTTGATCCCAGTGTCCAAACTGACAGTCATCAGGTAAGTATGGCGATAAGGCGACGACCAAGTTTCCGATGGACCCCAGGTTTGCCCCAGGTCCCCAATGGACGTAGATACATTATTATCATGTCATGTCGGCAGAAGTGAGAACCAACCGAGAAGAAGGAAGTTGCGAAAGGAAAAATATGGGAGAGATGGGATTCTGGGAAGAGACCGTTTGTGCGCCGGCGCGGTGTATCTGTTTGTGCGGTATCCCAGATGGTGAAGGCAGAGATCTAGAGGCCCGGAGGGTTATCTAGATCCGGAATTTCGAATTCAATTGGTCTCCAGTGTTACTGGGGTACGTTTGCTGATCCCTTCTCAGCATTATTTCTTCGAAATAGTCCATCTGAGCGACAGAGCTACGTCGCGACACCCCAGAGTCAGACTGCGCCAAAGCCAAAGTGACAGCTGCTCTAAGCCATGATTTAGCGCAGTCTAAGCTGTAACAGGGTGCAGTGTGAAGCAGCCTTTCACTTACATACGTGCCCGTCACCTCAGGTCTCTGCACTGTCAAGACGGAGAATGCGGGCATCTGACCACAAATTTGAGGGGACTTACTTACAGCCGTAATGAAAATGCGGACACCCTCACGGTTCACGTTAGTGTCCAACGAGGCACCTCTCGAGGGAGCCGAGGGAAGCAAGGACATTGTCATGAATCTGACTGGAAGCACCTGGAAGCACCATTAGCTGAGTGGGGGGGGGGGGTTGACCGTTGACGACATACTTGTAAATGGAACCGTGATTAGTTGAGGGATCAAGACAGCTTCAACGCGCGGGGGAGAATCTCTGTCCCCTACATTCTCTATAGTTCCGAAATTAAAAGGAACACACCGCATCGGTCCTTTTGTCGAGATGCTGCTGGAAAACACACTGACACGGTCCCCATCAATATTCGTTCCGCGAAGCGTCGTAAGGAGAGCAGGTGCAGGACCACAGGACCGAAGGACCACTTTTCGTCATTTCGAGGAGCCCATAAAGTTCAGAACCCCAAACACGACGTATGGGCATGGTCATGGTTAAACGCTAAAGACAGATGGTAACAGCGTTGCATGATATATATCCAATAATCGATGGGTAGGATCCGATGGCGATGAAATGTGAACAGCTGCGTGCATGAAAAGTGGATATCATTGCTTGTTCAGCGCGGTCATATCATGACCCCCGGTTCAGTGCCCCTGGTGAAAGTTAAGTTATCAGCATCGATGGCTTAATTTCGCACTAACCGCCGTACCGTCAATACGAACGTGTTAGGTCCTCGAATACATGAAACATTGTTTAGATTTCCAAAAGCGATCTGCAGCGGCGGAAGCAAAAATCGCGGAAGCAAATCGCCCTGCACAAGCCCACGGGAAAGATGCGAGTTCCGTCCATGATTAATCATTAAATACATAGTCTGTGGGTAGATTAGGTATATCACGAGGGGGGCATATCTGTCAGGCGGGTTCAGCGTGACAAAGGTTGCTGTGGACACACGAACGTACCTGCAGACGTATCCAATGGGTATAGTTGTGTTACTGTCCTGTTCGCTGTCTGCTGAGGACACTACTATCTCTAGTCGACCTACCCCCGCCGCCACGGCCATCCTCCCCGAACCAACTTATGGCTCGCCGTCGCGTGATGGAGCCAGTAGGCGTCCGTAGTGGGTCGCTCTCGGCATCCCAAACGCGCGGACGATCAGGTGAACCGTGAGTCGGCGAATGGACCAATAATAATTGCTAAGGACATGAAAGTCAATTTAAGCGCAGGTGAGTCGACTGAGGGTATCGAGACAAACCTGGGCAGAAGAGAGGCCGATAGCGATCGAACTCCGTTTAGTTTTCAACACGGGGGGCAGGGCGAACTCCTCAGGTTGAACAACGGCGGCCCGGCGCCGCCTACTGACAGAGCCTTGCAGTCTTGACGTGTCGCCCCTTGGGCTAGCCAACGGGGTGGTATCAGCGACATCGGGTTCCTCCTCCTCATCTTCGGGCGAATTGTTCTCTGGAGCCCAAGCGATGATGAAAACGCCCAAAAATGTAGCCGCGCATCCGTATATGAAAGTGACTATTTGGTGGAATCTAGCCGTCTTGAAGTCTCCATACAATATTGCCGAACCGATGATGGCCGAAAGCGTGAAGAAGACGAATTGTATGGGTATAACGGTCTGCTCATAGATGGTTGAGTGCTTGTGGAAACTGAAAGCAATGATGTCTTACCTTGCTGTCGAATTGCATGAGTGCTCGATTCAAATATCTCACTTGGCCAATCCCAGTACCAATCAGGACCTACACGAGAAGAGCTAAGCATTGGCAGCAATACGAGTAGCTGACACGGTCTACTCACTACAATGACCGGGTATGTAATCCATTGTTTGAAGATGTCGAGCCACTCCAAGGTAAGCAGCGTTGATATTGCCTTAGTGGACAACACGGTGAATCCACCTATATTTCGCTGCTGTCAGGTCAGGGGAATAACTGAGCGATAGACACATACCAAATACTGCACACAGTCCAACATCAATAAACACCCATTGCTTTCCTAACGGCCCATGAGATAAACTTGCGAGCGAGATTCCAGCAATGATATATATGATTGTGTAGACCACGAAAGGGGTCTGGAATATCGCGTGCATGAGGGCGTCGGGGTCCAATCGTACATTTGATGAATTGGACGAAAGTACAACGGTCACCGCGCCAATGATAGCAATGAACATTCCTAAAAGGTCACGCTAGCATCGTTCCATTAATATCCTTGCCGGATATAAATGTAAAGATGCTGAGTTACCTTTCTAAAACGTTCCCCAAGCATCACCGGCGCAAATATGCAGTTGGCGATGAGCGCAAACTAGTATTTTCATCAGTCACGCTCGCGCATTGATTGAAGGACGATGAAAACTTACCGTGCCTAGAGGCGCGACTACTGAGGCTGGAGCAAAGGCGTAAGATATGAAATTCCCAATTTCACCGACATTCATGAGACAGAACCCAAGCCACCTTTATCATGGTGTTATGAAGACACATCAATACTAGACAAGAGACTCGCCATAATTTCGACTTCAAGTAGTCGCTCTCGTTCCCCTCCGACGGCGTACGGGGTCCATGCGAACCGTGTCCATTCTCGGCATCACGGTCGGTTTCTTCAGTCATTACGTCTACTCGAAGGGGCCGAGTCAAAGTCGCTGCCTCTTCTTCTGCAATATCGCGTTTGCCGCGAGGCTTCAAGGGTATCAGCCATCCCCAGGACGTGCGTTTGTGTTCCGGTAGGGGGTCGATACTCGCAGTCGATTCCCTCGCGCCGTAGCTTCGGGGTACGTTATTCGTCAAGGGTTGTCTGTCGCCTGGCTTCGATCCGTCTACGGCAGACTCGCTATTGTTGTCGGTATGGCGTCTAACTGATAACTCTTCTGACCTTCCAGCCTTATCATCCTCCAGCCGTCGGTGTGCTAGTTTTTGTAGATTGAGCGCAAGTGAGATGAGAACATTTCCGGCGATAGCGACAGTGATTCCAATGAACGTAGCGGTAGAAACCTTCGGTAGATCATCCATATCGTAAAGATATTTCGCGAACTGCATGGTCCTGCGCAAACCCTGGGCTAGTAGTTGGGTAGCATTGTGCCGGGCGTAGGTGTGTGAGAGCGCGGTCATCCCTTCATTCGCGCGCTGGTAGGGGTAGTGTACAGGGAGCAGAAAAGAGCGTGTATTGACTGTGGTCAGCCTGGCCGCTGTCAGCATGATACTGTCATGTCCCGATTTAGCACAGCGATCGGTTCTCACGGCGACACGTGGGCGTGAGACCACCGGAGGCGCGTTCATTGAATCCATCTCTTTCCAGTGACGATCAGACTCGAGTGCTGCTTGCAGCTGTGCCAGCAACCAGCCATGCGTGTGCGCCATACACCCCACTCACTCCCGACGTTCCCCGTGTACAGCTCCGCCTTCTTGTCCCCTAATGACCTGGTGCTCGGCGGCGGCGGCGGCTCGACGAAGAGCGGTATTAAGAATAGGATGGTGAGTTCCCCATATTGCTTTCCCACTGTTTGAGTGTCTAATGCGGGCGTAGCGACTCTATCACGTCGGCGCAGACAGGTCCCTCGAGCTCAAGGATGAAATCGAGGTCCCCGACGCGCCAATGAGCATGGCAGCAGAGACGGAGGTGAGTAATATGCCTTCGTATATGGACCACTTTCTATAGCAACAATAGTCCCAAACTATTGCTTGCGGCATTAACAGCCCCCAAGAGCTGCTGGAGAAGGGAGAGAACGATAATTGCCGCGTATTCTCGGTCAAGGACCAGAAGTGGGTCTCAGACACGTCGCCGAAGGAAGTCCAGAACTCACAGGGCTTACTAGGTTCGCTGCACTTGCTACGGCTGGTACCCTACCTGCCGGTAGTATTGAGGACTATCAAGTGAGTAATGGTGACCTCTTCCTCGTGCTACTGCTCACGCCTGATCAGAAAGTTACTGTGGTATCTCCCGATGGCAAACTGGTTTTGGTTGCTGGAAACAATGATGTACGTGTAAATCAATATTCAAATTCTGTGCTTTCTGATAGACCATTCATATAGTTTACGATATTAGCCTACCCATCTCTCCAGGCCGTCGTGCAGTCTATCTCTACCGGCAAGGACGATATATACGATGCGACATTCTCCTCAAAAACTGTCAGTACCTTTCGAAGTCTTATCAATCACAACTAACTTGTTCCCAGGTCGTTGTTGCTACAACGGCCAATCTCATCGTTTACGCCATCCCCAAACTCCCTGAACCCGCGTCCTCCCATTCTCCCTCAAAGAAGCGTAAAGGCAAACAAAAGGCTCAGTCCATCCCCGACCTCGAGATCCTCCGCACCGTCGAATTACCCGCCTCCCTAGGGGGTGTCTCTGGCAGCACCTTCCGCTCGGCCAGGTATGTTTCCATAGCTGCGCGTCGCTATGTCTACTTACATTTCGATATTTCGCTTAAATCAAATAGATATCACCCACAAGATGAAACTACGCTATATACGGTAACGAACACGGTCCCCGTGCGGTCGAGGAAGAAGACGCCGTCGCGCCAGGCGTTCGTGTGTAAATGGAGCACGGAGTCTTGGACTGTGTCGAAGGTTCGGAAAGTCAGCGACAAAGGGTTAACGTGCTTTGATATCAGGTAACCCCCTATTTATTGAGACCCTTTACCAACTGGCTGACGACGTCTTTCCCAAGTTCCAATGGTAAATTGTTAGGATATGGTTCTTCGGATTATAGTATTGGATTGCTCGACTCTTCCACCTTAACCGTGAGACCAACATGAATCTTGATGCTTCTGACCTCTGACGGTCGTTTGTAGCCTGTGGTGACCATTCTCAAAGCCCACGAGTTCCCTCCTACAACATTGAAGTTCAACCCCACGTCTACGCTTGTTGTTTCAGGTAGCGCAGACAATACAGTACGCGTCATAAGCGTGCCCGAAGCTTTTGGCGGTTCTTGTGAGTTCCTCCAACATGTCCTTCGATGGCCTGCTGATCACCGTCTGTCTCTAGCTTGGAATGCTATTGTGCTTGTCATGATTACGATATTGGTTATACTGTTGGCTATTGCTGCTCAGAAGTACGGGTCGGCCTTGCTTTGAATGCACCGCACTACCTAGAGTATATACATGGACACCTGTTTGATACCAGCTCGTTTTTATATTATACAGTTATAGATATTGGACATGCTTGCGGGACGTGTGGCATCGTATACGTAGCAATCGAGTCCGCAGAGTGGGGAGGCCTAGTCGTAATCGTCTTCTTCGACGAGCTTTCGTTTAACACCATTGGTTGCAAGACCAGTTTGTACTTCCTCCATGGCAGCATCACTCTCCTCATCTTCGTCCCCTCCCGCAAACAAGCCGTCTTCGTCTTCAATATCGCTACCCCCGTCTCCGACAGTCGTCTGCGTAGCCCCCATAGCACCAGGCGTCCCTATCATGTCCCTATCGGACGGCGTTGCAATCGCGCTGATAGGGAACGGTGCTTCTTCGCGTACGTGGTCTATCGGCATGGGTGTGGCAGAGGATTGCGGCAGACTCCGCTGCGGTATCGGGGCGGGCTCGATGTATTCTTCCTCCTCAGACTCGGACTCTTCGATCTCCTCGACTTCCTCATCGTAGAGTTTGACGCCTGGCGGTGGTTTGTTTGGAACTAAGTCGAAGTCTACTGCGGTGAGGCAATCTGAGGGGGGTGGGAGCCGTACGCCAAAGACTTCCGGAACGGCTGGTAAGGGTAAAGCGTTTGTGTGGGTAGCCAAAGAAAGTGTGTGCTAGTAAAACAATAGTTAACGACGCGTCTTGAACGCGCAGCGGCGACAATACCTCTTTCGGTATCCTCCCACCAAATTCCCAGCCAACTCTGGCTTGGACAGCCAGCATCACATCGTCCATGTCGAGCTTTCCCGACCGCCCCGCATGCTCCGCGTAAACCATGCCATCTGTGATGATTTGTGAGGTATATCTGTGCGCAAACTCGAGTAATTGGTGCAGAACTCCAGGCTGGGCATCCTGGACACCCGGGGTCGATGCTATTAGTAGCGCGATTGAACGCGCTGTCGGTGGAAGGGTGTCCACTGCGGCTGAACGGGACATTTTGTTTCGCCCGACGGAGAAGTTGTTTGTTCGTCCGAAAGATGTGTTTGGCAAGCGCGTCTCATGCAAACGAGCTCAGGCGGTGGTGCTGGTGCAGTGCAATTTCCTCTATACCAATGCCGACGCACCACAGAACTCCATCGCCGACTCCAATAATCGTCGCGCATGCCGCTGACCGAGCGTCGGCATACGCAGCCGACGCGGCAGGACTTGGTATGTGCGTCGACCCAACGTAATCAGGAGTACGCACTTCAAACTCCGCTTTCCGGCTAGTGGTAGTACCCTCCGTCATTTCTCCCACTCTCAAACACCGACCTTCAACTCTGCCCACAATGTTCGCTGCAGCAATTTCCTCAAATGTCCTGAGAGCGGCCAGACCCAGCGTTTCCAAAGCCATCAGGCCCCTTGGTGCTCGGGCATATCACGAAAAAGTCATTTCGCACTATGAGCGGCCTAGAAATGTATGTTTCAGAGGCTGGATCCATTCTGGACCATTCGGTTTTCTTATCTGATAACTTTGCAGGTCGGCTCTCTCCCCAAAACTGATGCAGACGTAGGCACTGGCCTCGTAGGCGCACCAGCGTACGTACATCTTCACCCATTCCAAGTTGTGGGGCATCTTGGCTCACCGTCGGGTAGATGCGGCGACGTTATGAAACTGCAAATTCGTGTCGATGACAACGGCGTCATCTCCGATGTCAAGTTCAAGACCTTTGGTTGTGGAAGTGCCATTGCTTCAAGCTCGTATATGACGGAGAGAGTCAAGGGCCTATCGTTGGAGGAAGCGGGAAAAATCAAAAACACTGAAATTGCCAAGGAACTCTGCTTGCCACCCGTCAAACTCCACTGCTCGAGTGCGTCTATCAGTTTGAACCCTTGAACCTTCACCGTGCTCATTCTCCCCCTCCACAGTGTTGGCTGAGGATGCTATACGATCGGCGATACGGGATTACAAGTCAAAGCAAACAGCATTGGGCAAGAAGTCCAAGAGTGGCTTCATTGATGTCACCCAGAGCGCTGCAACGGGCGAAACGGTAGCGACCGCTCACCCTGGCCAGTCATAAATCCCTCGACTCCCTTGACCCCCTCACCGCGTTAACCCCTTTGTGACTTGCTCGACTATATTTTGCACAACGTTATACATTGTATTAGTAGTATTATGCATGATCATTCGATCCTACTCATAGACGATTGGAATGGATACAAAACTGCCGTAATTAATTCATACCACCTCATGCGTTATGAACCCTTCTGTCCTATGAATGAGAAACTGCCTGCCGCAAACCACCGCTCGTTCGCCTCTTTCACACGTTGCGCGGCGGCGGAGCGGTTCGTCAACTCGAACCCTACGCGAGATATAACGTTAATGGGCGCTGCGATCATGCCAGCATGCTCAATCTCACCTTGGACTGGGGTCACCGTCAGTGATGTAGCCGTCCCAGATGTCTGGGTGCCATTTTGGGCGGCCCGTGTCAGAGCAGCTGTACGGAGCTTGTTCGTCTTCGACATTTTGGCTGAGCGACGATCATTAGTCTAGTGTCGACATGCCCCAGGGAGATCAACAAAAACTTACCGCGGCTCTTTGCTTCTCCCAGATTCGCTCTGACCTTGCCAGTGCCAGCGCCGATCATGCCCAGACCCTTCGTCTGGTCGAACGCGCCGACTTCCTCCTCGACCTCGCCGAACGCCAACCGGTTCTGGAGTTTGCGGAGCTCGGTTTGCGCGTAGGCCTCTTTGGCTTTACGCGCACTAACAATGTGAAACAGGGTTTAGCAGCTAATCAACTCAAACATTAGTCTGAAGACTGACCGTTTGCCACCACGTCGTTTCTTGGGGCCGTCGCCAGGAAGAGGCAAGGCTTTGATGACCTTCGCCGGAGGCGGAGCAGCTAGTCGATCGATGTGTTTCTCAATCTTGTCGCGCAGTCCCTCTCCGTACGTTCCTACCCACCCAATTGAACGTCGTAAGTACAACAGAAACACAGAAACACGCGTATAGCAGAATGAAATGAACGCACCATCTCGTCTCTTGCGTTCGAGATCCATTCGCGCGGCAAGGACACACTTCGCGCCGATTGTGCGTTGGATCTTGAGTTGATATTCAGGGGGTGTTGAAGTGACGAGGTCGGACTGGAAGATGAAACCCGTGTGGCGTTTCTGTGTCGCAGTGGAGAATCCAGCGGTTATTTTCTTCTGCGCGCCGAGAAGCTGAAGGTATACCAGACGCTAAGCATGAGTGTCGCACGAAGAAAGCTCAGAAGGTGAGAACGTACATGGACATTGCAAGCCGGCATTTTAGCTACCCCTTGTAGACCTCCCGCCACACCGAGCAACTTCGCAGCAGTAGTGGTACCCACGATGGCCGATAGGTTAGGCGCGAGTATATTCATTCTTGAGCTGACATACATGAATATCTAGACATTGTCAATCAGCCAGCCTGCTCCACAAAAGCAGAACATGAGATGAATACTCACCTTCTTCCTAGCCTCCTCCAGTCTATCTGCGAGGTCACAAGCTCTCTCCACCGCTGCCCAAGCTCGGTCCGAAAGCGGCTGTCCACTCGTAGTCGTTGCTGTTACGAGTACACTCATGATGACTGCAGGTGGGAGAACACCAGAGAGGTTGACCTTCGTAGGATCCTAGAATCATAATGGAATTTCATTCAATGTGTGTTCGCATTCTGCATGACACGAATTGAAGCTCAAACGACAAAAGGGTGCATGCAATGATGGCGTACATACCTCGTGGTTGGCGAGCACTCGGACGGAGCGGATGAACATCGTTGGGTCGGCTACTAACTGCTCTAGTTCGGGAAATTTGGGAGCGTAGTGGTCTCGGATGAACTAAGGGGACGAGATATTGTGAGGCAAGCTTTAGCTAGGCAGACAATGTGCGGACCTTATGCACGACCATGATTTCATTATCGACATCGACCGAGAGGTTATTCGCTTGAACAATGAGATTGTATTCCGGATTCATATGGGCAGGCAATGCCATATCTTGCGCACTGCTCGGTTTGGCTTGATATTTTTCGATGTCCTGGACATCAAGAAAGGATGAGGGGTGCACGCGTGGAACAAGGACTCAATTTGACCAACTTTGATAATGTCGTTCATCCGTTTGCTTCCCTCCAGCTTCGCGATTGCCGAGACATCCTCTATGTCTCCCAATTCCATCTGCTGCACGTCCTCCGCGTCGAGTTCATCTGCAGGCTTCACACCACCATCGAGAACCAGCGCTCCGACCTCTGTTTGAGCCTGTTCACCTTCACCCTCGTCCCCTCCGTCGTCAGACATCTCTGCATCGGAACCTGCTTTGCGTTTGACGGAAGTGGAAGACGATGCGACGGGTTGCTGCGGCTGTTGAGCTTCTTCCTGGTTATACTCCTCGTCATCGGAGAGACCGTCGAGGTCGGCCAGAAGTTCGTCTGCAAGGCCACTCATTGCTGCAAGTATGTGTCTTGGTCAAAGTCACAATGAGCGGAGCGCCTGTTGAGCGTCATCTGACCCTGAGAAATGTACGGCGCTTGTCAAGTTGCTCACTTCCTGCTTCCAAGTTCGAATTCTACCGGCCAGACTGCGAATTCGAACATTGGCTTCTTCCACCGAATGCAACTTTCGCTCGCTGATTTCTCCAGATGTTGCGATGCTGCTCAGATTCCCGCGGTTTGTCTTGGCTCCCTGCATGACAACTAGCGATGGTCTTGTCACCATAACCGCAGCTTTCTCATTCCCGGATTCATACACCTCGGATTCTGCAAGATGTCCATCCGAGGTGTAGCGCTAGCACCGCCAAAGGGACTTGTATTGTTGAAGAAAACTACTGGATCCGACGGCGATACGATTAACACGAACTTTGAGTCCCCATGACTTGAATTATGAATCCACGCATTCCCATAGATCCTAAAAATATGTGAGCCCCGGCTAACATTTACGATTTTCCTGTCGTGCACATGCTTTCTGTGCATACGCCCACTCGCGACCCCGCTAGCCAGCCAGCCAACCGCCGCCAGAACTACGGGCCTTGAGAAATGCTTCGACGTGTCAACAAGTCCGCTGGTGATGGAGCTTTTCTGCCGTCTGCTTCTCAAGCTCTGGGTGTATCTTCTGGTGGACTCTCCCACTCTGTCCAAGGCTCCCAGTCAATCTACATCGTACCAATCTCCGAAGAGAAGAAGAAGATCTCGTTCCCAGCATCATCACATAGCCCCGTCGCTCTTCGCTTCCCCCTGAGTCGCTGTACCTCGCTATACTTCCTGTCCAACCAGGTGGCCCATTCCGGATGCCCCCACGCTTCAATTGTGGATAATTTCGGTACATCATCAGTTTTCTACCTTGAATTTCTCGAATCCCCATCATTTCTCACATTATACCTTCTCAGACCAGACTGGATCAGACTTGCCCTTTACAGTTATCTCGTGGATTGGACAATGATACCTTATAACTGGGATTCTTGAGATCTCAACGCCGGAAGCTGGGTGGAGTGCAAAGATAGATAATCCATTGTCTCGCGGCCAAAGCTTTGAAGTTTACGCAACTGATTACTCTCACCGGAACTATGCGCAAACCTTCTGCGGCGTAGCGGTTCTGGCCCTTCGAAGTCCTTCTTCCCCCCAGCCCAATTTTTCGTCATGGTTTGTCCGTGCCGATCTCAGAAGACTCCTGTTCAGGTTATCATCGCCCTAGGATATCTCGCTGGACGCATTATCAACTGCGGTACCTTGCACCCTGCCTTTTAATGTGATCAAGCTATCCCAACCATGTCACCTTTTCTAGCCGGCTTCGTGGGCCAGGGCTGACTTTCATGAACGCCTCAGGACACTGCCAACGCAACTGCATTCCAAGGTTCCCCGTCCTGCTGCGAAATCCATCACACCCAGGCTATCCCGCGGGCGGCCTGCGCGGCCGTCCTGTCCTCGCCATCCCCCTCTAATCGCCCTCCATAATTTTCCCTCCACAAATAACGCTATCCCAGCACTCATCAAGGCCCCGGTTGGCACGCCGTGCCCTAATTTGAATTTTTCCACCGTTGGGTTTGGTGGTGTGTCTCCTGGAAGGGCATCGCCGTCAAATGCCCCCGTCATCAAGGAACTCGCATGCTCAGAAAACGAAGCCCACGCGCATCTATCTCCGTCCCACCTCCCGACCTTCCTATTGACTAAATCAATGCATCTCAATTGATCTCTGATGGTCCCCGCGGCCGTCTTGGAAAAGATCATCGCAACATGGATCAGCCACCTCCGCCTTGTTCTGATGCTCGGTTCATCGTCCCGCGCCCTCCCTCGCACAATGGAACCTAGGGTGATCATATCAGCAGCCTTGGGACCGCCTAGCCACCCCCACACGCCCCGTGCATATGCCCAGACGGTGGCACTGGCGATATGTGTTCACGCAGCATACGCCTCGAACGTGGTGGAAACGGCTAGCGCATCCGAACCTTTCACAAATCCCATCCATCTATCGCTTTATCTCCAAATTAAGTTCTTTGCACAACACCCCAGGATCAAATCATCCTACCTGCGGCCCGCTAGCCAACATCAAGCCCCCCGGCATCTCGTCAGAGGCCATCATCATTCAAAGCGGTTGGGCACCATCTCATGCCATGTGTGGCTTCCCCATTGCCTGTCCAGGAAGATATTGCGAAGATACCAACAGCTTCCTGGTGCCGATGCCAACAGATCTAGGTTTCATCTATGTCGTGGTCGAGCATCTCAGGTTCTGCGGGTTTCCATGCTTCCTGCCTCAGTGCTTTGGTAAGCACGAACGGCACATCGCCCAGTCCCTTCCCACTATTCTCGAAATCTGCTTCCTTAGGTGACGAACCTGATTCCTCTTCGGCAGTGGCGATACATCAAGATGATGATGATTGAGATCGGCAGAACCTGTTATTGAGCCCGTCATCGCAGCACTGCTGGCTGAAGAATCTACAACTTTCTCCAATCGCCATCATTTACATACAAGGCACTAGTCCCTATGTCACGATTTGCTGTGGAGCCAGATATCTATAATCTAGCAGTCAGAATGCAGATATTTGAGTTTGCTACACGTATACGACACCAAAGCAACACAGTATATACAACCCAAAGTAGACGTGCGATAACATATTGAAATTAAGGCGTGCGCCACGTTGAAAATAACACTAGGTGATTCCCAGGTGCAAGTCCGCCAAGCAGTACAACCAAAAGGTGAAAAGGAGAGACAGAAGAATCCAATGAGAGCAAGACTAATTGTCAGATTAGATGAGAAATATGGGGCGCAAACATGGGGCTATCCGATGAATATCTACGCATGGACGGTGGATGGAGAAGCAACGCCAGATGCGGGGGTTCGGGGGTATCAAGGGGTAGAGGATCGTCCCAGGATGCGAACCAGGGCAGGTGCCGGTCGACTATCCGATGTGCATTGGGCTGCCTTGCCTGCCGCTATTTGGAGAGTCGTGTCCCGTATTGAGATTCATGGGTTTGCCTGAAAGTGGGCTAGCCACGTTCATAGCACCACCGCGTTGGTGCCTTCTACCGAGCAAAGTGGCAGCCTGCATGTCGAGTTCGAAACCTTTCGTTCCTCCGCCGACAGGTTTGCGCGTTCGTCTTTGCCCACCATACCCGTGATGGCCCTGATCACGAATACCTGCTAACCCAGCATCGAAGTCTCTTCGCTGATCATCGCCCGTACGATATTGGTTTGCTTGACGTTGGCCTGGTATAACTGCACTCCTCGACTGCTGCTTCGCTTGCTCTATTTCATCTTCTGTATCGTCGTCGTCGTCCTCTTCGTCGGATTCCTCGTTGAGCCCCGCCAGCCTCTGTCTACCACCGTATAATTTCCGCCGGGCACCCTCTTCCTCCATACGGTGCACCGCATAAGTGATGTCAAAGGCCTCCTTCAAATTTGCCAAACCAGGGCTTCTCCCTTCGACCAGTCCGCCGCGAGCGGCAGTCAATAGAGGCGAATCCAACGGACGCCCGCCTAGGAACGAAGCTTTGCCGTACACATTTGGTGTAGGTGGTGGCGGTGGAGCTGGTGAAGCCGTGCACCACGGGTGGCTCAAAAACTCGTCAATGGTGTATCGTTGCGCCGGATCAACGCAGAGCAGATGCGATATCAGGTCCTTTGCTGTAAAATCCTTGTAAGACGGACGCAATTTGCATAGTATATGGATGGAAATTTACCTGAGCCACTGATATCATCCCACCATGGGCTGAGGAAAGTATAGTATCCTCGTGCGACTTTCTCCGTGAGTACGTTGATGCTCTCGTCGTAAAATGGAGGGAAACCGCAAAGAAGGGTATAGAGGACACAGCCTAAAGCCCACATATCGACGCTTTTGCTGTAGCGCTCGTCCTTGACAATCTCGGGGGCCGTGTAGCCTACTGTTCCACAAGGAGTCATTGTTTCTTCGTTCCAGACGACCTTACTCAAACCGAAATCTGCTATCTTCACACGACCGATGCCGCCGCCGCCTACTCCTGGAATGAATTCGCCCTCGTCTTCTTTCTCTTCATCGTAGGGCCGTTTGACTGGGTGCTTCGACGGTACGATGGGTATACGGTCGAATAAGAGATTCTCTGGTTTGATGTCACGATGTACGACCCCTCGTTCTTCGTGGAGGTAACGTATACCTTGTGCAACCTGCAAGATAACGTGCCTTGATAGGTTCTCAGAGAAATATGTAAGCTTGACAATTTGGTGGAAGAGCTCTCCTCCTTCCATGACTACCGGTGCGGAGTTAGCACATGTACAGGAACAGACAAAGTTCACGCACGTTCGAGCACTATGAAGTAATGCTCCGGAGATTCTGAGAAAGACAGCAATCTGACGATGGCGGGATGGTTGGTTCCTCGCATGATTTGGACCTCTAGGAACATAACCAAATCAGTGAATGTCGGCGAAAGAATCGCGATGACAGGCAAACCTTTGAGGATGTTTGAGCGCTGTAGCCGCAACAAGCCGATTAGCATCTGTATCACTATTGAAAGCAAGGGACAAGTATGAAAGCACCTCTGTAACGCGCGGTCTCTTTTTGAACTGGGGATTCAGGTGTTTCTCCCCCGCCTACCACACCAAAGCATCGCCGCGCGCAATGAGGGCAATCATGGAAGGGAAGAGGGTAGGGGTTCGTGTAAACGACTAGGGTTTGGAGTAGAACGAGACACTAACCTGGGCAGCATTGAGCTCGAATTTGCGGACGACCTTGACTGAAATGAATGACGTCAAAGGGAAGTCTGCGTTCGGAAGATGATTCAGGAACGCACCAGCTACTTTTTTACCGGTGGAGAGATCTAAAGCCTTGTAAACATTGGAAAAGGCACCGCTGGGGGCGGATTGTTCACATCAGCCAGATGGAAGTGGATGATGGCGATGGTGCGTACTCTCCCATCTTATCGAGCAGCTTGAACTGCTCGAGACCCTTGTACACGGGCATCTTTGCCTTTGCTTCTTTCTCTTCAAGGACAATCTGTTCTACAGCTTCTCTTGGTTGTGGTATCGGTTGTTGTCCAGCGTGGGTGTTCTGGGCGTTTACTAGCAGCGCTTGTTGTTGTTGCGGTTGCTGCTGCTGCGCCTGCTGGTGATGCTGTGCACGTGTCGAACTAGATGAAAATCGAGATTCTCGCTCTGCAGCGGGCGGGTTGTCCTGCTTTGCATGATTGTGGTGTTTTCCATGGCGGATGAGATCTAAGAATTCATGGAGAATTGGGAAGCGAGTGCGGTCGTCAGAAGGAGTGGACATTTTCGAGGAGGAGATGGTGGTGGTACGGGAACAAGAGAGAAAAACAGGAAAGCTCACTTTTGAATGCGTCGACGACGCCATGGCCAGTTCCAGTGGGCATGACTTGTGGGATGGGTCACAGTTGGAGACTTGCCGCAGCCCAGCCGCCGACATCCAAAGTCATAGGGCGCCCTCCACATGACGTCAGGCGATGGCGTCACGTAATCCACAGGCAAACATCATAGGCGCTCGTTCTAAGCGCTCGTTGTGTCTTAGCAGGAGAATAGTATGTATTTGAGCCAGAAGGACAAGTCCTTCCTTGAGAATCACCCCGCAAAGTCGTTGCTGTGAATAATGCCATCCTTATCACCGCTACCATCCGATAGGTAGAATAGAGCTAAAGCTTCGCCTCATCTCAAAGCAAAAACTTCACCCGCGTCGTGGAATTAGTTCACAACGTCCGGAAGCAAGGCGGCAAAGCATTCTTGCTGTGTGCCTCGGCCAGCAAGCGATTATAGCAACAGTATCACCGCGAGCAACAGTCGTGACTCGCACACGGCTAGCCTACCCTCCACCAGCGTCCCGATCCATCCGGTCGCATTTATTCGTGCCACGGATGGTTATCTCCCGCTGCCACACGCACAAAGGCAGACCTGCATCGCGGCACTACGTCGACAACGCCAAGGAACACAAAGTGCCCAACTTTAGGTCGCCTGCTCGTCCGAATTCCGCATAAATCCTACCATGCCGTGCCTAAACACCGCAACGACATCGGATTACCAAGGGCGGAGATGCCCAACCCCTTGCCAGTAACATCGGCTGGGCCAGGAATCCCAAGAAACCCCGAAGCCCCTAGCATATGCCTTCAGGTTAGACTTTCAGGCGGCAAGGATTTGTGCAACACTGACTCACACCGGCTTGCACCCGCGTCAGGCATGCACGTTAAATGAACGACAACAGCGAGGACCGTAGGCATGCACGGATGTCTGAACCGCGAGGGACAGCGTGTAAACATCTAGGGCCAATGCCGCCGGCGAGAACCCGGCCCTGACAGGCATCGACTTCGTCTATGAATTCTTGCCCAGGTTTGACCGTGGTTCTGAACGCGTCGACTCAGTGCGGGGCGGAACAACAAAGAGCACGAAAGCCGCGGTGGTACAATTCCGCGTAAAAACACAATAACATATGCTACTCACTGCCCCAGGATGCAGGTCCTAGACGAGACGACCGTGTACTTTGTAGCGGAGGCGGGAAGAGATCCTCCGATAAATTCCTAACATAACATTTCAGTAGCGTGCACATGACATAACGACTCACCTACTCGAATCAAACCTTCAGTGTTCACGGCACTGCGTATATTAGATCCCAAACACACGCAAAATCTCGCGTAAACACACGGCTATGTCATGCCTGCAAGCGAGATTGATCAATTATAATCCACAAACTAGGACTGGGTAGACATACATATTCAGACATGTTGCCACGCGCGCCTGGCACAACTAGGTGATGTCGTGATCGTGGCCGATGACCGATGCCAAAACCTTTGGACGCGCTTTAAGACCCACCAACTGGGGTAGCGATTTCAATAGAGGCATATGCACCCCGAAACTACGCGTTCATCAGAAAATAGCCCACGCGGTCCGTGATAACCACAGGGAATTGTTTCACAGCCTGCACATAGGAGGGGACAGCTTGTATCAGACAAAGGCATCATAATGGAATGTTGGCGGTTCGTTCCAGCCATCCCACGAACAACCAATCAATCAATCACTCACCAATTTCTAGGGCTCACGTAACGCCGTTATCGCCAGCGTGAGGACTCGTGTGGAGTGATTGGCCAGCCACACTCCAATGCACCAGCGTTCACGAACATAAGTCCAAATGGGGCCTTTAGGACCAGTAGGTTAACGTTGATGCCGTTACCACTTGAAATGGGTAAAAGTATTCTCAGGTATTGCTCCGATGGGAGTTTTGACGCTTGCCGTCTTATGGGGCATTGACTTACCGTAAATATCTCGGGGAATGGGGTGCTTCATCTAGACCGTGGCTCCGTGACTGCCTACTGTATTGGCATTGAGTTTAATTTGATAAGCAGCAGGGGTGTTGATTTGAGACCGAAAATTCCCGAATGCACAAGCGCACAGCGAGCGAACGGAATTCCAAAGGAAGGTAAAGCTGTTTCCTCAGGATACCTCGCAAGATCAGCTTCCACGGCGTCACCCTGATCGACATGGAATGGTCCCAGTGCATTATGCGCGACGGAACACCTGATCATAAGCGGTGAGAGTCTTTCGATCTAATTCCTCGGTGAGCTTGAGAAGAAACAGTTAGACGGACAACTTACGTCGTCCGTAGAATGTTCTCTTCGCGTACACACGAATTACTTCACTAACGAGAATATTAGTGGCCTATGCCAACCCTGACTCTGAGAGGGCCGTCCCCTCGTCCCTCTACTCACGGATGTACGCGCCTTGAAAGCTTGACCGGCGCCGTCTAGTAATCCACGGCGGACGAGGAATCCTAGTACGCCTGGAAAGCAAAATCTTATCGCCCACCTGCGGTGGCTCATCGGCGCTCGACGAGGGTCACCACTGCAAACCGGGCACAATTCATCCAATGCGGCGTTCAGAGGAACAAGCTGGCACGTCGTTCGGACCGCACCGTGAGCTATTCGAGTATATGTTATTCCCAGAAAGAAAACCTCGCGTCATGAGACTCCAGTATATCCTGAACTACCCGTGGCGCGCTGGTAGGCGCCATACGATATCTTCGTGGAGCACATGCTAAGATGACATGGCGAGCGAGTAAGTGGCTGCACTAGTGCAGTCCGCTGGAAGGGCTAAAACTTTATCCATGATATCAATCCCTGCACCCTGTAGAGAACTCACGCTAGTGTTACGAACGGAGGTAGAGTGCTGTAGAATCGTCCGTCAGCTCCGAGCACATATGTGGGGTATGTCTGATGGACTAATGGACTTTCGGGCATGAAAAGTATCTCCATTCCGCCGCCGCCGTGTTTGACATCAAACTGCATGCAGTTCATTCGAGTTTCATTCGCAGCGTCGTTTCGAGAGTGTGCTAGGACTTCGCTCCGAGTTTTGCTTCTACCTATTGTGTGTTATTCATCGCACTTTGACTAAATCCTCCTTGACCGCTTCAGATCGTCTTTCGCGGCCTCGATCGTAGCTTTGAGGCGTTCTTCCATACCTTCAAGCAAGGCCGCAAATGAAGCGTTGTTTGGGGCTACACCACACAAGACAAAGGAAGATAGATACCTGGGACCATCGAAGGCGACCGACTGGACGGCTTAAGCCTTGTCCTTCATCGCTGCTTCCCTTTGAACAAACAGGGTATCTTCAGGTGGTGCTCGGGGCAGTGATGGTTCAGGAAGAAGACAGGGGTGCGCCACTCAGCATGCTCGTCGAGCACGAGACTGCTCAGACATCGTGGTGGTCCGTGCGCATGATCAAAAGTATATAACGACTTTTTGAGCATATGAGCAACTCATACTTACCTTGATGGCGCAAATCCCTTCACCTACCTGGGTTTGCGGGCCGTGGAGATCCTCCATAGCACGGCGACCCTGTCCATACAGGGGATGTCTACGGCTTGTATGCGCTTCGGTTCATGCACCGTCTCAATATTTTCCTGTCCCACATCGGCCACTCTGGCTGGGTGGGCCATTTTTTTTGGCTCCTTCGCGCTTCTAACCCTAACCCTAGTGCACGCTTACTTGTACGCTAAGTCACTAATCAAAATATGATAACTCATTATTACACCAATTTGATCAATGATAAGTCCTCCGTCAACAACGCCAAGTTTTGTTCTTTTACGTACGTATGTCGAAGCTGGATGCTTTTGGCATTGTCGCCTCGAGTCGTACCCTTAATCGCTTGTCAAGGCAAAGAATTAGGGCTTCTCAGCTTCGCCGCCGGGTTCTGTCAACGGCTTTCGTCACGGACCACCCTCTCTCCTTCCACTCGGAACGGTCGTCCCTCGTTTCGTTGTCAAACACTTGCGATAAACATAATCACAAATGAAATGCAAACCACGTCGCTGGATTGATATTCGCACGTTCATGGACCTATATCAATGTTGCCCAAGTCTTGACCTGTGTCAATGCATTCTATACAATCTGTTGCCACACAAATGATATTGGTAAAACACGACATTCTCACTGGATGACAGATAGGACGACACAGACGCGTCGATCGGACATATCAATCACATCACAGCTTGTCTGATACAGCGGAGATTGCGAAAATGCGGAGAGAGCTGGGGGATATTGTCGTTTGTTTCGCATTCAATTTCAGGTGGATCCTCGCTCGCTATCATGGTAGATGACACAATCCCATGCCACGCGTACGTGTATCATATGCTATACAAGCTGGGGAGCATAAACGACGACCAGCGAATCAGCCGCTCGGAACACTGATATCACTGTTGGCCTGCACTGCACATAACCAAATGCAATGAAGAAACTACAGCCGAAAGGAAAGATCCTCGTGAGTTAGCGGATGTAAATGGATTAACCGGGCGTCCTCGGAGTAGGACTTTTAATTCATTTCGCTGCTCTTTGCAATCTTCATTAAAATTTGAGCATCCTGGGTTTTCGACGTTCCGCAATGCAAGTGTGAGCAATGGGGCCGGTGATTTATTCCGTTAAAGAATACCGGAAGCAAAGAACTTGAAATGTGCGCCACAAAGCCTTAGTGGCTGTGCGAGAAGTAAAATACGTAGTGCGTCGGAGGGTCGTAGGGGTCCTTGGAAGTAAGTGGCACCATGGAATCCTATTCCCGGAGGGGTTAGATCAATACAACTCCGGATTCCTGCCAGAATCAGACTTAGCCGCCGGTCACGCACATAAACGGACGTACGGGCACATGCTGGAAATACGAAGATCAGCTTGCGTTGGATATGGTGAGCCATGTACTCGACAGTCGCTTTCCATGGCGGAGAGGGCCCTGCGGCCAGGGACCCGAGGCATTTGGTATAGTCCTCGCGGAAATTATGTACCACGAAGGTCAGGCAAGGTAGGATGGGATGGGATGGAGCACGCCGCTGGTTTCAATTCCGCGCTGGGTAAACGACACTGCTCCGCAACCCGCAACTGTCTACTTTCCTTCTTGTTGGGGAAACCCGCCTGGGAGCGGGGCCACGGTTCGAGTTTGAATCAGATTCCGCGATGTTCTGATGCCCCGACCAGAGCTTTTACGTCTAGCTAGGCCCTGCCTATACAGGGGAAAGGGGGTCGAGGATCAGGAAGTTTGCTGTGAGAGCGAGCTAAAAGGTGGGTCAACAGCCATCGGACGTATAGGAAATGGGCTGTGGATATCTTTGTCCTTGTGCGGCCGTCTAAGATGAGCGAAATGTGGAATGTTCCATCTCCGTAGCCCGTGGTGGAAATGAAGAGCGGTGCCATGAGGTGTTTTGATAGTGATAGTGCCCTTCGACGGCATCAGAACGAGAGTCGATGTAAGCCAAATTGTAAATTGACCGCTAAACGGAGATACATCTGCTGACTGATAGCAAGCAATCGCGGTGGAGGTCTATATATCTGCCGAAACCGTTACGAAAGATTAGGACGCGGGCTCGGGCCCAACAGATAATGTGTGATCATCAAGATTATCGTTTGTCGCGGCGGCAGAAGGGAAGCAGTTGCGGTAGAACCTCCCAGGGTGGCTGCATATGACATAGATGGTTCCGGCAGATTGCATAGAAAACGGAATACGATACAGAACATCTCTCCGTTGACTATACGGGGGTATGCTGGGTGCGCGTGCTGGCTTGATGAGTGGTATAACAGTGTATCCTCGGTATAGAACTGGGGGTAAATCAAATTGTGCGTATGGCGAAAGCAATGCATATGCAGATCAGCGATTCCTGGTAAAAATAGGTCGTCCATCAGGTGTCCGTCGAGTCCCGACTAAAGGGTTGAAGCAGAGACTCACATTCGCGTACATTTCCTGCGCGACGGTGTCCGAATCTTCCCAATGGCAGACCATGTCCGCACTGCACGACCCCACATGGTCAGCCCCAATAGCCGATCGTGGACTGCAACCCGTTACTCACCGGCCACCTTGCCCAAGGTTCTCGTTTATTTGAGTCAGTACGATGTACTTGCTATAGTGACAGAAGAATACGAAATGAGATTTCCACAGTATCAGCCCCGATTGATTGGTGCTCACTCACAATCCCTGTCCCTGGAGAGAAACCATCCGTTCTTTGACCCGTTCCCCAATCTCCTTGATCCATTCCTTCACTTTATCGCGTTCTTTAGCTTCTGGCCATGTCGCGGTCTGTAAGATCGAAGGCAGTAGTTTCTTGATGTATGCCTTCAGTGAATCAGAGTCGAACTTCGGGCGCGGCGACGATGTATTCAATCTGGGGGACGCAGGCGAGCGTAGTCCTGACGGTGTCGCCATCGTCGTGCTCGTTGACAAGCTGGCAAGGATCTGGTCGCAGCGTCTGCATCTGGATGTTGTGTTTTGTCGTATTTGACAAATGCCTCAGGTTGTGTCTCCCACGTGTTTGTCGACCGAAGCTGTAGGCCTGCATCCCGAACGCGCGCTTGTTGACCAGAAACTCTGCGCCCACCGCGAATGTCGTCGATAGCATTCCCAATGGAACCGTCGGGCTCGGCGTCGGGCTCGTCGCGCGATGACCAGCTGTTTGCCTCACATTTTGGTACCTCTTCGTCGTTTCAGATGAATCCATTGTCGTCCCACCCACCGCGTTCGCCGCACGTTTCACTAATATCCTCTGCATCATCGCGTCCCCAGCACACGAACTTTACGGGTGACATATACTCGGATGGACTGGACCCGGTCGCAGTAGAGGCTGCTAGCTCGAGTGTCGAAGACATGGACCCAGAAGAAGAGCGCGTGAAGGGCGCCGAGGATAATGTCAAAGTCGCAGAGATTTGGCGAGAGATGATTCTGACAAGTAATGGAAGAGATAAATCATTTGTGCGTCTTTTTGTGCTACCGTGCTTTGCCCGTAGCTCATTCAAGTTGTAAAGAAACTGATACAATACTCGATTCGGCTTTACTTGTTCTTCCATACCGGGATCACGACCAGCAGATTTCTGTCGTCGCGTGTCCGCCCTCCATGGGAAGCACCACTCGTGACGCGTCTCGACAAAGCTGCTTCTCACTTCTCATTCACTCGGTACGTGATTGACAGCCTTGTCATACCGTCGTTTACCCCATGTTTACCCCATGTTTACCATTCCCTAGAAAATTACTTCTTTTATTCAATTGGCTGAGTCCCCTCACGGCCATAATGTCCCAACAAACGGCGTCCCTCTCCGATGTGAACGACAGCAAAAAGGTTGCACCGAAGCCATTCTTGCAAGCAGCGCTTGAAGCGCCGCCGCCCGTGATTCTTGAGCTAGTTAATGCAGTTTCGGATGATGTTGCTACCCTCTCGCGGCTTGGCCTGCTTGGACGGAAGCTAGGTGAACGCGCCGGAAGGTTCTCTGACTGGTGTTGGTTCCTCTCTACGCTGGTAGGCCTAGTGGAGAATAGTCTCGAGCGTCAAGTAGTCGTGAATCTCCAACGAGAAGGTACGTTCGTTACATACATTCCATGTATCTTTTGGGCGCCAGTCTGAAGAATGTTTAGTCGAATCTCGGCTCTACGACGAGTCCATGTCAGGTGCAACCGCGAAATCTCGACCAACCGTTTCCAAAATAGACGATAAACAACTATCCCGACTTCGCAACAAAGATTATTGGCTCCAGATATCTCGGGCCAAGTTAGTGATGGATCTTATATTTGTTTGTGCGTACCATTAGTTTCTCGCTTCATTTCCGGTGTGCCACCACTTCCGTTCTTGGTGGAATGCCACAATATTGAATATGTACTAATGCCGTACGCCGCTGGGTGACAATCACCTTTAGCCTACGAACTCTTCAAGATCAGGCGTGGAAGGGAGCCGATCAAGGTCTTTACTGGTTTCGCTGCTGCAATCCTGAGGTTCGTGCAGGGATTTGTGAAACGCATTCCCTCTTTCGTGCTGTAATTGTTTTACGCGCGCTCACTCTTGTCCTGATTTATTCTAGCTCTGCGAAATTGTATAATCGACATAAGACAACGTTGGTTAAGAACATGCTAGCGGGTTAAAGTGTGAAGGGCTCGACTGGTGCCGAAGCACTTGCCTGACCATATGCTGTTTTCGGTATTAAATTGTCGTTTCGAGGCGCCTGGGGTTGATGGGTTGGATGGACATCCGACACCGGTGGAGTATGGAGTGTGATGGGTAAATGACGGGGAATGTTCGACGTTCGGTTGTCTGTCAGAGTTACTGGAATACCTACGTCAGTAATTGGGTATGCTATCTATGATAATTTTCGTTTAGACATTTAGGAATATATCCTTTCAGTACATATATTCTTTTCAGCGGTTCAAACTGATGTCGATGAGATGGGTGCATAAGAAGTTTCGCGTCGTTCAAGGATGTAAGTGAAACCATGGAAGGTGTGCCAGGCCAGGCCCAGGGGGATGCTAGGCAACTAGCAGTGTTTTAGGTCGAAACGATGTAGGCTATAGTTATGAGAATGGCCACCACCGGTGTGAGACCTGGCCGACATTTGGGCTGTCGCGAGTTTCGGAGGTTGATGCCCTTGCCAAGTTCTGGCGCCTTTCTTCACGCAAAGCATTAACTTCCGTTTCCAACTCTGACAGCCGGGCTTTGGCCTCGTCTAGATGCTTTTCGTGTGCCAGATTGACTTGCACCAATTGCAGGGCCTGTAATGAATGTTATTCTTCGTTCCCCCGATATTTAGTGCACGTACAAGGTATACAGCAGACCCCAGCAAAGCTACTGGGATCATTGCTGGCACAACATCTGCGTACCACTGGGCATGTGCAGACTTTGTCTTCGTCGCGTACCTGCGCCGGTGCGTGTGCTGCTGCGCGTGCTGCGAAGCTAGCCTTGTGGAATGAAAGGCAGATTGGAGCCTTGTATAGTTCATTCTCCCAAAGAGAACTAGATGCGGGCTGATAACGGAGCTTGGTCGGTGCCAACGTGCACTTGGCTGGCAGAGAACTTGTGGTCGCCAGAGGTCACGCTGATTCTGAGCGTGGGAATGTCAGCTTGGAGCGTACCGTCGCCTTGTGTGGCGCTGGCTGAATCCGTTTGACACTGAAGACGCTCTTTCTCTCTCTCCCTCACCATCTCCTTTGGACTGGTCTCCAATGCCTCCTCATCGCGCTCAACAGCGACCACCCTCCCTCGGCCTCATCTCCTCCGCGTCCCCAGCCCGCCCCGTCTCGACGTCCCCCCTGCCCTCACATCGTCACTCACAGTCTCCCTTCAGATACGTCCATCTTCAGCCAGCGCTGGATGAGAAATCCCGACACAGAGATGCTGATGCTCAGCTATCAACCTTGCCCGCTTTCCGCCACCCGCTCTCGATCTCGCAATCGCCGACGCTTCCTCATTCGGCAGGCCCGACGGCCGCCCATGGCCCGCAGGCAGCCCCAGCATCCCCCGCAACCTTATATCCTGCTTCTCCGAGTTACCAGCAGCGTGTTCCTTCGTCAATGTTGCACCAGAGTGCTCCGCTACGTATGCCATATCACCAGCGCTATCCAAATCCAGTGCTATCGCAACCATCACCACCATCATTTTATACTCGCCCTCGCTCTCTGAGAGTGGCTAATTTAATCAGACCTTGGCTTCCTCTGATCCTGTATGGTATGACGAGTCTCGTATTCGTAGTCGCAATTGCTTTCTATAGGACCGAGCTCTTCACACGTGAGTACATCTTTCTCATGACATCGGCATAGAAGCATGGGCTTAACTCCCCTCCTCCTCCCATTTCGCCGGTCTAGTCCTCGACGATCTGGCTGTCTGGCTACGCGCGGACAAGCAGTTTGGCCATGCCGTTCTTTTCAGTTTAATCTTTCTCACCACGATCCGTAAGTGATGTCCGCACTGCGTGCATTCCATCGGAAGTTCTGACCTTCCGTGAATTTGCAGCTCCAATTCCATTGTACTCTACGCTCATTATCTTATCTGGCTATACGTTCGGTCCCTGGACCGGCGCTATAATCTCCTACACTGCTGCTCTCGCGGGAGCAATTACTGTATTCATAATATCTCGCACCCTTCTTCGAGACACGATCTCCCGCTGGCTCGCATCGACAACGACGATCAAACGTGTCGTCCGCGCCATAGAGAAGAGGCCTAAATTACTATTCCTCATCCGGCTCGCACCGTATCCGTACAATGTCATGAATTGTCTCCTAGCAGCCTCACCCTCGCTTACATTACGCACCTACACGATCTGCACCGCACTTTCCTTGTTTAAAGTCATCATCCACACCGGCGTTGGTGCGTCGATCCACTCGTTCAGAGACTACCATGTGGTGGATCCTGATGCCTCGGGGAACGGGCAGACGCCTATTAATGGAGAGCAGGAGGAGAGCAGCGCGGATACGGTTGCTCGAACATGGACCATCATCGGCGTTGGCCTCTGCGTTGCCATCCTCGTCTATCTCTCCATTGTTGCACGCAAGGCAGTAGACGACGAGCTTGAAGAAGAGCAGTACGGCGACAGCGAAGAGAGACTTGCATTTCTCTCTTCGAGCAGCATCTCGCACGACTCTGACCTGGAAGTGGGGGCGTCTGAACGGGCAATGACGGAGACCAGTATCAGTAACGGAGGACAGGTATTCCTACTAACTCAACCGCGTCAACAGACTTTGTGATCGAAATGCACAAAATTTTGTATATTATTTCTATTTCCGAGATACATATTCCACGTGGGCACTGAGTTATAAAATTATTTGATATTATATTTCTGGGGTCCTTGGATTTAAAGTAATCGATCGAGAATTTACCTCCACAAACTCTACCCTTACATTGGCACTAGACCTTCTATATCAGGATATAAACCCTTATGAGAGCGACGGGGAATGACCGATCAGACGTTCGAATGAGAAATTCCGTAATCAGTGCCACCCTCATTTTTGGTCGAACGGGATGATCGGGCCCCGGGTCGAACTGGGACTCTTCACTGATCTGCATTTCTGCATCTGTATGTATGTTACGTAAGAAAATCTCACCAGTTTACAGCGCACAACGATGAATCCGTTGACAAAACAACCGACCATTCCATGTCTCGCTCGCGCTCCAAATCATTCACTGCGTCCATTGGCTCCAATGTAGTTTATATTCTCTATGTAGTCAGTCAAACGGATCTCTCTAGCAGGTCGCGTTGCAACGGCGGAGAGGCGCTGCGAACGTGGCAAGTAAGTAGTAAACATGGACACATCAGCATTGGTGGGCGGGGAATAAGCGCAGAAATGAGGTATATAGATATCGAGAGTGTAGTACGTACAAGAATGATGACGGATGGCGAAATCGACGATGAGGGCAGGGAATGCAGTGGCTACAAGAAAGGGACAGCAAGGGTTGGGCATTCTCCTCCGTGTATGAAATCATGGCATAACTTTGACAAAATGGAGCACACCAACGAAGAGATAATAATAAGGATCGAGAAAATCGTCCGATGAGGAAGGTGCGATTGACAGCGACGAAAGCAAATCCAAGACAACGAAGTAGGGGCGGACAAGCGAGGAGTTTTATTAAAGGAGCGAGGGGAGATCGTGAAGAGTCGTCAAATGTAGGTGGTGCGGGCAAGTCGAGGGGTTATGGTTATGCACCGTCTAGTCACATCTCGCCTGCGGCTTTATTGTACGACTGAGGAATGTGTTCGGTCATCGGGACGTAGCCAAAGTCGGGCGAGACTGGTTGAAGACTGGAGTCAGTACATCGAGTTGTCGTGAGCCATCGCTACTATAGGTTCGCGAAAAGCAAGCATGAGAGGAGCGAACAACCCCAGCATAAAATTTTAACAACAGGAAGCAGGAGAGAAATTAAAATGATGAGTGGGACGAAAGGTAGGCGGGCGAAGTTAATTTTAAAAGGACAGATACTCACATCGATTAATGTCCGTGTCGTTGTGATAGCCATCTGACACTGGCGGGGTGTTGGCTTGCGAGGATGAAGCATGCGACGCAGCGGATATTGACGACGTCGACGTCGACGGTCGAGCAGTGCGGTGGTCCCAACCGTTGGCACCCATTGACTCAAGCGACGATCCATTACCAGGGATTGCCGAGTAGGCAAAGTCAGCCTGTGAAGGGTTGAAACTGTACTGATCCACGGAGGGCAGCTGAATCATACTCCTCACCCGCGGGATGCCAGAAGAGGAGTGTTCATCTGTAGGCTGCGGCGAAGTCGACGGTCGCTGCTGCTCAGATGGGTGATCATACGGACTGGGGTATGGGCTCATGGCTTGGCTATGACGGCGTGCTCGGCGGACGCTCAAAGACGGGCCACAGTAGCTTGATTTGGAAGATTGGGGACGACCTGGGGAAATCGGACGGTGGCTCGAATTTGGCCGAGAGTAGTCGTGCATTCCGTCCTCATATGACATGGAAACGGAAGAAAGGGAATAACCAGTGGTGGGACGACTATCCGGGGACATCGAAGAAGCACTGTGTTCCGACTGCATAGGCATGGCAGAGAAAGGAGAAGCGTATGACGTATTAATCGTAGGCGTGGGTCGGGCAGAATATCCGCTGCTGCTGGGGTTCAAGAGGGAAGACAGACTACCGTTGTGGCTGGAAGAACTCCCGTTGCTTGTCGGCGAAAAGGACCAATTTTGGTGGGGCTCTCCGTAGGAATACTGAGAATGGTTGACGTGGCTCGAATAGGAAGACATTGAATTGAATCCGGCAGAGGATGGTGATTCATCGGGAGGCGTAATCGGATGAAGGGTATGAGGGGAGTGGTATAAGCCGTTGTGCGAGACATGCGGTGGATCCGAAGGTACAGTAAGTGGAGGAAGAGCGGACCGAGTGTAGGCATTCGTTGTTCCCCAACCGGCGGTAGCACCCTGCGCGAGAGGAGTATACGACCCGGGTGCTGAGAAGCCGCGGTTGCGGCCGACGGCAGCAGAATGCTTGTTCGAAGGGCTAACCGGTACTGTGAGCGGAACAGGGCCCATGCCAATAGCAGAACGAGGTGGGGGTATCGAAGGGGGTTCATGGGTATCACGTTTGCGAGGTTTGGGGAGACGAGGAGGCACGCGTCGTTTGAAGTTTGCAACTACATCGGCTGGGGAGTGTCGGTTCAGAGTCGGATGTGCTACACGAGCAAGTCAGATAGGTGTGCAGCGCTTGAAGAATAAAGAGGGAGTGGCGACATACACCAAGTGCTTGCATCTGGATCATCGATAGCAGGATCAACGTTGCGTAAGTTAACCTTTCGCATGAAGCCATAGATCTAATAGCAAAGAACAGATGTTGTAGATATATGGGACAGAAACGAAGACAAGAAGACGCACGTTTAGTTGCCGGGAGAAGCTGGCGAATCTTGATTGACGGTAGATACTTGGTAGGACGTGCAGCGCGAGCTGTTCTGGTCGCTCGACAATGATGTGCTCGCCTGCAGGGTCCCATCTAATCATGTGATGATTCTCCGGTCGTTCCAAAAGACTGCGGGAGTTACGCGTGAATATAGCGGGGGTCGCAAGCGGAAGTTGATTGTGGCAGACTCACGCGTACAACTTTGTCAAGAAAGTGGCCTGAGGCTTGCTCTCCGTCTTCTGGTTCTGCTGCGGGCCTTGGGGGTCCTGCTGCTGCTGTTTTGAGGGAGTCTGTGGCTGGTCGTGAAGGGATTCGTCGGAACTGTTGGATGAGCCGGAGTGGTGGGCGGACATGGGCTGTGAGTAGACGGGGAGCGACGACGTGGAGATCTGGGGGTATGCGTGGTGGCGCTGCTGGTACGAGGAGGGAGGGTATAGGTCGGCCATGGGGAGATGGTGGTGGTTGAAGGAAGAGGAGCGAGAGTCAGGATGGGAGAGCGAGTTGGACATATAACTTATAAAAAAGGAGTGAGTGGGTGGACGGTGGAAGAAAGCACTTGGTCCGTTGGTACGTAAATTCTGCACCAAGTCTACAATCTTATCCATAATACCTGCTATGCCCATATATGGGCCCCAGTCCATCTGAGATCCAATCCCATATCCAGCTGCAACCTCGGCGCCGAGGCCGTGCAATCCCAGCTGCAATCCCAGAATCCTGCTGTCTGGGCTAATCCTTTCTCGGCATCCCTTTCTTTATCGCGGAGACCCAATTGCCTCTCTCGGCTCCTTGACGCCCATCGACACTGCAGTAATATACGCACTACTGGACCCCTCTGTCCATTAATCTCTCCAGCAGCAAGTCTTCTACCGCTCCTACGAGGCCCCAGGCTCCTTCCACGCAGAATCACTGATGGACTGAGGATATCTTATTTTTGATCTCCTGCTCCTGTGCCCCGCATGAGTAATTGATTTATTTCCGTTGTATCGTAGGAGAAAGCCGTGTAAAAACGAGTGTAGTAAAGTGTTCCTATAAGCAAATAAGGAGAGCGAATGATGGAGTGTAATGTGCTTCAATGCAAAAAGCGTGTGCAAACCTCGAGAGCAATGTCAGTCAGTCTAGTCATAACAATAATAAAAAAGTGAGAAACGAGAAATAGCTGTCCCCCCAGATTGGTCTCTCCAGATCCAAATGCCCGACCAGTGAGAGTCTCCTCCCCTCACACCCGCTCCGGTCCCCCGTCGCCCTCATCTCCCGACTTTTCCTCGTCGACCACACCCCTCTTCTTCCTTCTTCCCATCCCTTCATCAACTCTCCCCATCATGGTGTAACGTAACACTCGAGAACGCTCCGAAGAGATCACCCGTCTGCGTGGGCGAACCACCCTCTTCCCCAGGTGTCCCAGGGGTGCTCGATGCCACGGAGAGGATCTGATCTTCAAAGTGCAACGAGCGAGACTCCTTCAGCTGGCGGAAATTGACGGCGTCGACACCGTTGGATGACGACGGGATGATCTGCAAATAACCAATCGCCGTTAGATCCATAGAAAACATACCACAAGGTTCAGTCTTGGGAGATCAACGTTCGGAATGTCAAATCAGATCAAAGTGATTCGGCAAACCCATCGAGCCATAAGGCATATCCCAGCCCCAACGCACAGCGTACCCACCCCCTTTTCCAGCTCATGACACAAGACCAGATTACAAAGAAGCAAAGATCAGGACGCACCGGTGGCTGCGTATTTCGCAAGAGTCCCCAGTTAATTTTAGTAAACCACTTGTGCTGCTTCACTTCGCTGGCACCTGATTTACTCCCTAACCGCGTTTTCTCGTTCTTGTCCAACAATCGAGTGACGCAGTCTTTGCAAGCACTAGAATTCCATCGCAAAGCCACACAGAAGCAAATGATGCGAGTATTAGCCGCGAATGTGCAAGGTTGCAAAGTCCGCGCAGCATGCTTTCCGCAAACTGCGCAGGACAGTTACTTACCTTGATACCTTCGGAGAGTCACGGAAGTGCACAGGCAGTAAGCGGATATTAGCAAAGGTGTCATTGCGCTCCTGGCCTTTGAACGGCGTCGTGGCGTACTGCGAGATAAACACGATGCAGCCAACGCACACATTCAATCAGACAAGAACCCATAGGAAACCAGTAATCAGTACGTACAATCATCTCATAGATGAGGATCCCCAGTGTCCACCAGTCCACCGCGGCAGTGTGGCCTTGCGCATTGATCACTTCCGGTGCAATGTACTCTACATTAGTAGACAAATGACTTCATTTGGCTTCTGACTAAACACTCGAGGAATGTACGATGCCTACCTTCCGTCCCAACAAAGGAATTCGTGCGGAAGTTGGCCGTACATGACATGGTGTCGATCAATGGAACCTTTAGCATGTGTCGGTGATCAGATAACCATCCGACAAGCCAATACTTCATACCCACCCCATTAGCGTCTGAGTGTATCAGGGCTGGCATTCCGCCAGGCTCATTAGACTGTTTTGCCAAGTCAAAGTCCGAAAGCATGATGTGTCCAGATTGGTGTAAAAGGATGTCTAGGTACAAGTCAGTCCACATGCTTCGTCTTTCTCCTAGGAGGAAACGCAATACGTACTTTCCGGTTTAAGATCACGATATATGAAGCCCATGAGATGAAGATATTCCAGAGCGGCAACAACCTCAGCGGCGTAGAAACGCGACCCATCTTCGGGAAGGCATTTCCCAGGCCGTGACTGGAGCGCTCTAAAGAACTCACCACCCATGCAGTACTCCATGCAGAAGTAAAGGTACCCATCTGACTGAAAGGAGTGATACAAGGTCACAATGAATGGATGGTTCGCAGTCGCCAGGATCTCCTGCTCAGTCAGGGCACGCTTGATCTTCTTCCGCTCGATCATTTCCTTTTTAGAAAGCACTAAAGTATTTTCCACCGTTTAGTATCGCGACCAGGCACCTGAAGATAATGCTGACCTTTCATAGCGAATAATTTAGACGTCTTCTTCTCCTTCACAAGGTATACACGGCCAACATCGCCTTTCCCCAGCAGCTTGAGTTTACTGAAGCTTGAAGGCCCCACCTCGACCTTCATTCGAAATGTCAATTACAGATGTCATAGATGTTGAGTAGTAAGAGTCGCTCGTACCTGTCCTACTTTGATAGAATTACTCGAGTATGTCCGCCGAAAAGCTACTTTACCTGGGCCATCACCCAACCCATTCGGAATCCCTGCCTTCAGCGAGGATGGCGCAAGGGTGTTCCGCGGCAGTCTACTCGACCGACCTCTTGAAGAGCCAGATGACATTGTCTCCATAGAATCGGCGTGATCCATGCAATCGCTTACGGCCATCGGAGGAAGAGGTGGCACCGGGTCCGTAGGGGCCAGGTACCCGTTCTTCGTATTCGATGCTGAACGCGAACCTGACGTGAAGAAGCCTTTCGCATTCGGAGCAGACGCTACCCTCCGCAAGAACTTGGTTGCAGATGCCCCCATCGCTTTAGGTGATAGAGGGTTAGGACGAGAGTGTGGTGTTGAATTGCCGAAGGACGACTGTGAGGTATTCGCAGTCTGTGGCTTACTACTAGCCCGTGGCGCGCTTGGATTACGAGACATAGCCATCCGCTGCTTCTCTGATTTTGTTCGTACTCGTGGCTTAAGGGGTCCTGCATCAGCCAGGACGTCTGTGGAGGCATCTTGATGCTGGTACGCTGTATGTGACCGCTTAGGTGAACGAACGTAATTCTGGGATGCTGCAGCCGGGTTTGAATCGCTCGAGTGCGTGTTTGAGGACGTGTATGATGATCGTTGGTCGGAAAAAAGCGACGCGGGGGTGAGGGAAGTATTCGTTAAAGATGCGTTCGGAGTCTTTGGGGTATGCGGACCATTTGGGCTAGTTGGTGAGGGTAACGTATGCGTATCGACCATCAAAGAGGCATGTTCGTGGAGGTTCACGTTCGATTTCCTCGAGAGGGACGACCCGAAGCGCAGAACTGACCTCCAGCTCTGTGCACCAGAAACTTGTGGAGAAGAAGGCTGCGACCTGAAGCCTCCATTGAGTCTAGACTGTGATGCCGAGAAAGAATTCTGGTGGTAGGGATTCGGCGAGGAGGACGACATGGACTGGCAGCAAATCTGCTCGACGGTGACAGCGACGAGGAAAGAAACAAGTTATGGTGAGAGCACGAAAAGCTTGCAGGGCTTGGTCCAGGGCTGACCTAGGACCATCGTCTAAGGAAAGTGCTCTCTGCTTGAATTATGTAACGGTAAAGACCCCTGGCTACTATTTCTCACCAGCACGACTAATATACCGTTGCGACACGAAGGCTACTGTACACTACGATCTGCGCTTCCAGGTCAAAGGAGGAAGGCAGCTAAATACATCGACGGCGAGTGATATCCCGGCATGATGAACAAAAGGTAGAAACTTTGAGGCCAAGGGACCGGGGCTGAGAAAAGAACACGACGCCCACAAAGCTTCGTATTTCGATATGGCCTCGACAGCTGGCGGTCATATTCAGATGGGGAATATTCGTCCAGCTATTTTCTCCCGTGCTGAGCCAGCGCCTCGTTCCGTCAGAAAAGGAGGCTCTATCATGGCTGATTTGATGACATGCCCGAGGGGTGATGTGTACTCTGGGACTGAAAGAACATGCGATCAGAACCTGGACGACACGTTCGCGGAAAAGCAAGAGCTCCCAAGACGTCGGAGCTGTGCTTAATTAGAGTGGGGTTACCGAAGCAGCCGTACTGTTATACATGAGTCAGTATAGTATGAGAAAGCCAATTTAATTGAGAACCTCAAACCGTTTCGTATCGTCCGTAGAGTCAGGCGCAAAGCGGCTATGCTGTACCCAAAATTTCAGCCAAGTCGAGCCGGAGTCGGATCGAAAAAGCTAGTAGGCGGCCGTGACCCGTTGCTCTGCAGGTGAATTTACCAGCCCGACCTTCGCGCTACGGGATAGGCAAGTCAAAGGCTATGACTGGAGCGCTAGTCAGCTCGGACGCTCTACTGCCCGAGGGTGGCGACATATCTCACTGCAGGCAAGGAGTGTCACCGGTGCATCAGCTGGATCTGAAATTGAAAGTGCGTACCTCCAAAAGGTCCAAACCGACGAGACCAATTCATAGGAGGCGATTTTCTTGATTTACCCCGTTGTTAGCTGGTATGTCCGGAAGGGCGCTCTCGGCGGTTTTCAGCGTGGCCAGCGTCCAAAATTCGTATTGTCGCCTGCATGATCGACAAGACAGCAGAAACGGCAAGCGCCCGTTATTACAAGCGGTTTGGCGCCTAATAAAGCAGTGTGGAATCTGTTACCGGTTGTATCACCGATGGCCACGGAAAATTACCACCAACTCGACTTCATCGAGAGGGAAAATCAGACATGTGCGAGATCGATGTGCGAGGTTCACGAATCCCTAGCCTAATGTTCCTGGAGCACTCCGTGCGCCCAAGCCACATCACATTATTTAAATAAAAGGCTTATTCTGTCCGCGCACACATCTCCCTCTACCTTGTCTCGGGTGGATTAATTGAGCTACTGGAGGTCGCTTCAAAAAATAATATAAAGCGACGCTCTCCCTCGTAGTCCTCTCTTATCCCCCATGACTCGCTCCCCCCGCTCCCCGTCCACAGAATCAACCAGATTATTGGAAGACTCTCCCCCTTCCTATCATTCAATTGATGACTCGGATGATGAACCAATTACACCCCCTTCCAAATATTCCAGGAGCGATATCGTTTGGATTCTCGCCGGACTATGGAGCGCTGTCTTCCTGGGTGCTTTTGACGGTTGGCTGCACGACCCCCTCGAGTTTAAATCATCCTGATGGCTGGTTCTTTACAGGAACCGTCGTAGCGACACTTCTAACGGATATCGGAAGCGACTTCAACAAGCTGAACCAATCCTCCTACATTGGCACTTCGTATCTGCTGTCGGTCTGTTGCTTCACGCCACTATACGGTAATATCTATTCATCTTGCGGAACGGACCCGCTAGCTAACGCTCACTATGATTATCTTTCAAGGGCGCCTGTCTGACATCATGGGGCGCAAAGGTGCCATGCTGTTGGGTCTATCACTTTTCGGTATGCTTCGTCGTTCTCTTCCCAGGTGTTCTTGCCCACACAGACGTAGGCTCGGGCACTATATTTTGTGGCCTCGCGCCTTCCATGGAGTCGCTGATCGCTGCGCGTGCCGTTGCAGGAATGGGAGGTGGAGGGTATGTCTGCTCGTAGCATCAACGCGTTTCTTCATAGCTCACGCGTTTCCACCAAGCGTCATGACCGGTTGGTATACACTCATATGAAGCAAAGCTCTACTGACACCGGAATTAGTTGCTAGTGTCGCTGTCACAGATTTGATACCTTTGTAAGTGAACATTTCATGGTTGTGACTTACGTTGACAAACAAACGCAGGAAACAACGCGGTCTATATCAAGGCATGGCAAATATGTATGTTTAACCCACTATTATCCATCGGCGCTGGATCTAATGGCTGCAGTCTTTACGGACTGGGTGCAGGAATTGGAGGCCCCGTTGGGGGGTGGATAAATGATGTCTTTGGCTGGTGCGCTCAGTACCGTGGTCTCCTTGAGGTGTACACGGTCTCATGGATGAGTCGCGCAGGCGATCTGCTTTTCTCTTCCAGGTTTGCATGCTCCAAACGCGAGGTCCTCCGTTTGCTAACATAACGACTCAAAGACCCCGATTCTGGTCTTCTCCTTCGTTTTGGTTGCTCTCAAAGTGAACATCGATCTTCCGCAGGAAATACAGAACGAACCGGTTCGGGAGAAGCTTCGACGCATCGATTTCTTGGGCTCTTTGACGCTGGTCGGGACGGTTGGATGCCTACTCTTGGGTCTGAGTCTCAAATCTACGGAAGAACTGCCCTGGTCGAGCCCCTTGATATGGGGACTCCTCGCGGCCAGTCTAGTATGGGGTGTCGCGTTCATCTATGTTGAGAAATGCTGGGCTCCATACCCGGTGATGCCTCTACGTTTGGTAACACAACGAACGCCATTGGCCGTGTCCGTTGCAAATCTGCTAACCAGTATATCCGCGTTCTCTATGGTAAGCTCCTCGTCCCCTGATGCATCACGATGCTGACCCTAATCTCAGCTCTACAATCTGCCCTTGGTGAGCTAAACGGTCCGTCAAGCAAACCGATGCGGGCTAATCCACATGCTGTAGTATTTTTCTACTGTCAGGCTCGAGTCGGCAACGAACTCAGGTGCACCCACAGTTACCTCCCGCTTGTCTCGGTGCTGATTATTCCTCCGTACTTTAAGGCCTCCACCTGCTACCCCATTCAGTCCGTGGCTCGGGCATGCCTTTCAAGCAATGTTACTGACTTATTTGTTATCAGGTCGCCCTGTCAAGCGGCAGCGTTTTCGCTGGATGGTAATCATCATACATTCTGTCGTTTCAGCTCCTTACTCAATTTTGAATAGGATAATGCGGAGGACCGGCAAACTATACACACTGACTCTCATATCGGCGGTATTTACTATCTATTCGAGCCTCTCGATAGCGAGCTGGACGCCTGACACGGCCGACTTCCATTTGTGGGTGGACATCATTCCACAAGGCTTTGGTATGGCAAGCCTTATCACCACCACCCTTATTGTGAGCTCCTTGTTTAGGACGGGCGTGATAGCTCTGATACTGACCGCTTCTAAGGCCATGATCGCCGGCGTATATAAAGAAGATATGGCAGTGGCGACTGGCAGTATGTCAGACGACCCGCGGACAGCGTACATAACACTGACCGAATTCCACAGTTACATATCTGTTCAGGACGACTGGTCAAGTTCTTGGGGTAAGCCTGAGCGGTACTGTTCTTCAAGCCGTCTTGCTCGGAAAATTAAAGGAGCGCATCCAAGGTCCTGGATCAGCCCAGGTGAGCGGCTAAGATGTGGGTTTATTCTAGGAAGTATTGCTAACTCGTGTGCATGGAGATCATCGAACAAATAAGGTTCGCCTTGCCATGCCATGCTGCAAAGCGCGTTCCGTGACTCCCCCCTAATGCACTTTATCTACAGACATTCTACAGCCATCATACCGCAGCTCGAGCCTTCGATTAGACGCGCCGCGATTGACTCTTATGCCGATGCGCTTCGTGTTGTCTTCATATGTCAGGCTGCCATCAATTTCTTTGGGTTTATTGCCTGCCTCCCCATTCAAGAAAATGCATTACCGTATGTGTCTCGTGCTCGGGCTGCGCGGTTGTTTGACAAATGGTTCTTCGGCCACAGTGGATCCCATGAGGAACAGGAGGAGTATTACAGATCTCGGAGTAACCATGAATGGTCGGACGAGGGCAGCATGGTGGAGTAACTTATTCGTCCGTATAGAATACCACTTGTATTTTTATGTATGTAGTGATACGTCCAGGATATCCCCGCCATCCCCGCCATCCCATTTGTATATAGCGCGATTTATGACTAACGTCGACGGTGGGATGATTAAGGATGGACTTCTTCTAACCAGCGTCTAGGCTTTTTCGAGACGGTGACATTATTTCTGCCGACAATGGCGACGGGTGACTCTTCGTCGCTGTCGGCGAAGCGAGCTCGGTCAGGTCGGGCTGGGCATGGGAGGAAGTTTGATGCGGATACGGTGAATATTGATGAGACGAAGGTGATTCCGAATAGTGAGGAGACTATTGAACGGCGGCTGATTCGCAAAACTTTGGGTATGGCCATCCTGGAGTCGGAACGCAATGAGCCAGCTGCAAAAGGGCAAATAGAAATCACATACATCCACCCATATGTCCCCCGCGCGATATGATGATTACAAGTGCGGTGGTGGTGGTTGAGTTGAAGAGCGGAGGTAGGGACTTCGGCGCTGTCCGGTTCGGAGATGTGTTTGTCGTTGCTTGTTACGCTTCAAGTTCACTCCTCTCATACAGACCCTCCATCGACAATGCCCAACATTAGAGTTTTGCGCGATATCAAGGCCCGGGAGCTTGTGCGCGCAAATGAGGTGGCCCGCAGAGCCTACCTCTATGTCGCCAGAAACCAGGCGCTTCCCCCTCAAGTTCGCCACCAAGCCCAGCTGCAGCTGAACACTTTCGGGCGATACACGCGACCGACAACGGTGAAAAATCGCTGTCACGAAACTGGGAGGGGCCGGGGCATCATGTCGGAATTTGGCTTGTGCAGAGTACGCGCATTACCTCTTCTAATGTCGCAATTCGTTGTTAATCACTACCGTTAGTTCCAATTTCGCTTGAAGGCTCTCAAGGGCGAGCTGCCGGGCGTACAGAAGGCTTCGTGGTAGTTGGTGAGTAGTGGCTGATTGATACGAATAATGTTGGTACTAATAGTGCAAATTCTTCAATATTCAAGTCTGTTCAGAACCCCCCGTGAACCAGTGGTAGATACAATATTAACTGTTCTCAGTCGCGCTACAACCCTTATCCGTTATCTACGAAGCCGACGCTGATTCCGGAGGCGCGATATCGGCGAGGTGGATATCTGGTTCGCCACGCTCGCGTCGCCATTTATTTATTCCGTTTAAGAGAGTTTGCTCAACGAGAAATCTAGAAGAATGTGAAAGAGAGATGGTAAGGAAACGCTGGAGGTTGCGCATGACAACGACTACGAACCCGTATTGTCGTAACCACTTCTCGCTCAGTTCCCAATTAACGTGTGCGAGGACATCGTCGCCGTGCAAGGTTACCTCGTCTTTAAACGAGTGGAGGCAATCAACTAGGTCGAACTTGCCTGTAGGGAGAGCATGCTTAGCAAAGTCCACTGCTTATCACGCTGGAAACTTACTTCTCAGTAATATCATCCTATCCCTCAGATCCGGGTGGATGATCGTGTCAATGACGCTTTCTACGAATCAAGATGAGTAAGATCAACAGCATGGCAAGAATGGCAAATTGACCATGAGGAACCGTTCTGTGAGTCGCTGTGAGTAAGCAATGGCAAGATAGACTGACTGGGATAGAAGTACCTTTGGACCAGGGTAGGCCTCAGTGACGCAGGAAGACAATATGCCGAATTCCGTTTATAGTTATCCAAGTGATATCTGACCCAGCATGGGTAAGTAAGCCCCGGACGAACGCCCAAATAGATAAACCTCGGCGCACCGTATGAGCTTATATGCCTCAACTTTTTGGGGATCATCGTCTTCCTCTTGGTCTAACGAAGTGAGAGTTGATGGTGGAAGCCTCTGCTGAGAATCTGTCGAAGTAGTGCTTTGTGATGGGAATGGCATCGTGTTGACAGGAGAGGGCATGGTCATCGCGATATTTGTAGGGAGGAATGAATTCTGATAATTGTTGACATGCGAGGCTATAGGTCCGTTATAGTGACTTGCGACATTTGACGGAGGAGAGGGTTGTGCGAACATAGGGGAACCAATGCGCATGAGATCCGAGAACATTGCATTGTTGCCTTGAGCAGGAGTACGGGAAGCGGGGTAGATGGAATCGGGAGCAAGCATTGAATAGCCATCCTGCTTCTGCTCGGCCTCCCCATGCCCGTTCATCCCCTTTGCTTTCTTTCCCCGACTCGACTCTGCTTCGTCCTCCGCAGCCCTCTTTTGTCCTTGACCATTCAGCGGGGCGGAGGCGCTAGGTGTACTTGTCTGAGAGTTCGCTTGCTTCTTCCGCCGTTGAAAGCTTTCGAACGCAGTATCGGTTTCAGAGCGATTTATGAAGTTGTTGAAGTCGGCTAATTCCCATCCCAGCTTGGGTAGGAGACCCCCCGCTCCCTCACCTATGAAGCCAGCAAGACTTCGTACAAGGCCGCGCAGAGTATGGTTCTCAGTCATTAAATCTGAAATAGGGTGAACATTAGTGCCGATGTAGCGAGAAGTGTACTATCTTTTGACGCACCCTTGAGCATATTCCGCATCTCGGCCAGAGCTTCATCGTGCCCACCCGAAAGTATCTCAACGCGAGCCTCGAGATCACGTATCTATACGATTCCGCAGCCAACATTCAGCTCACACAATCGATTTCCATGAGTGTCTCGAGGTGTACCCTTTGCTGCTTCCTCTGGCGGAACTCCCGTTGCGCTATCCTATTCTGGTCGCGACGCGCCGCCTGTGAGCTACCAGGACGCGTATGATGTAAGTGCGATTGGTCAAAGGCAGCATGGACAATCACGCACTTTGGATTTTTCTTTCGGCCTGGTTTGCCAAGATTACCTCCCCCGTCGCCTTCATGGGATTCAAAGTCTGAGTCCTGCAGGCATGGGTTAGTTTGGGCGTAATTTCTGACAATTCGGTGTTACCTCGATATCGCCTGACACGCTACGGTCTCTCGGATTCTTCCTTTCGGACATTTGAAGGATATTGCTTGGATGAGAGGTGTTGTATTACGATCAAGTCAACGCAGTCTCCGGCTTTCACGAATGCCGTGAACCTCCGAATCAAACAACCGTCAATCATGCTTTCAAATCCTCCAAATGGATTTCGAGAATAAGGCAAAAGCTTTGCATAGAGGGCGCTGACATATTTTACATCAATACCGATAGATTGGCAAAGTCATCATCATTAGTTCAAGATCAAGGAACTTGTCATTGTGGGCTATGCTCTCGCCAGGTGCCTGTAATTTTGCTATGCTTCCGCGACCCAACGACAAGCAAATCTCTTGACAGAGATATGGTCGACTAGAGGATTGACTGGCCGTTACTGGTCTGTTACGCCCGAGGAACAAGGACAATGGAAAAAGGTGGCCAGACGGACCTATATTTATGGCCAATGACATCCTGAAGTACAACACTTGGTTACTGCACCTCCGTAAGTAGTGTGCCTACTCGCGAACGCTCGCAACCGCATAATTCAATACCCTGTACATTCATCTGGCCTCAAACTGCACCACTGCGAGACCAATAGGATCAGACCGGCGAAATTTTAAACGCGACAAAAAGTTTTAGACGTACTGCGGGTTGTGCGCTTCTTGTACATTATGCGGTGACCACATTCTCTGCAACGGATGGGCTCCCGTGCTCTGATCTCGTTTTTTGCGCCACAGTCTATGTGGATACCAATTGAGTAGCCATTCAAGTTCGATGATTGAGAAACACAGGTATACCTGCGCAAATGTAGCCCATGGCTTCCTGACGCGAAGGTGGATTGTACGCTGTTGTGCCGGTATTCCCTTGGGTGTTGCTAGCCTGATTCATGTTGCTGTCGCTGTCGTGTGATACGCCTCGCGAGCGTAGATGAAGAACCTGGAAACCTGCAGTAGATTTGATATTTGCGCGTGTTGCAAAGCATGGGCGCTTGTTAAAGGAATTAGACGCCCAATTCGGTCCTGATAATCGGGACCGGTAGCCTCGAACACTCATCCACTGAGGAAATGATGAGCATGATAGCAACGCTGTAGAATTTCCTCGCGGTGAGCTTTGGGCTCAGCTACAAGCGAAGGCGATGCGTGTAGACTCTCATGTCGTGCCATTCTGCCATCGCAAGCAGAGCCGGTGGTCCTCCGCCCACCTGACACCGACGTCCGATATCTCTCAATAGTGACAGTATGTTGCTTGAGTCTTTTGATCCAGTATCGTAGTGATGAATCTGATGCAGCTCCATTTATTCATAGGTTGGCTGTGCGTGGCCGTCGTTTCGCTTGGAACCCGTTAGCGGGACTACCCATTCTGAAGCAAAACACAATGGCCGTTTCCTTGCGATTACTTTTCGAAAGTGATTCAAGTGGAGGCGAGGTCGTTGGCAAGTAAAACAATCCCATGGCCTAAATGCATTTGTTTTGGAGGTGGTGTCATCTCAAGTAACCAAGAGCGCCCCTGTTGTAGATCAGGTTGATGCGTGCAAACTTGAACTCATCACCTTGCCGACCGCCTTTGATCCCCTCTGTTCTGGATACTGCGACCACGGAGCGGACTGTTTGGAATCTGCATCGATATGAGGATCCATTTCTTGACAACATGACCGTGGGCTGTTTCTAGGGCACCCACAGCCTTTATATCTCTCGCATTTCTGTCGAAGCTCTCTTTCCAAGGTTGCAAGCCAGTTGTCGACTCCCTTATCCAGCCAACTACACCATTCTCTGAAATGGCCACCACTCTCCCTTCCTTTGTTGAACTTATGGCTTCTCTGGGTCTTGACCAACCGACTTCAGCCAGAGACACTAGATTGTCCCCCTCTACATCCCCCCGAGCTTCGCCGCCACTTTCTATTAGCCGTGATGCATCTCCCCCTATACCCAGATCTAGCTCATCTGCGAGCCTCAAAGACATAGCTTCTTCGCGCAGCCGGTCCGCTAGATATACTCCATATTCCCCGAAGCTGGTACGTTTACGACGACTTGTCTTCCCCAGGTTCCATATCTCATTAGCCCCGCCAGCTGTCCGCTCGCCGTGGGAGTGTCAGCTCCGTCTCTTCTTCCTCCTCTGCTTCCGATACGTCATCTACAGTATGTTATTTAGTCACAAACGCCGTCTGCATTATCTAACAACCCCTCAGTCCACTTCTTCGTCGCCCCGCATGAACACCTCCCAATTCAGGAAACGCAGCCACCAATTAACCATCAACGTCTGCGAGTCGACGAACGACCTCTCCGCCAACACCCCCATTTCTAGCTATGTACGTCGCAAGACTCCGGGCACTTCCCCGACTTCAACTTCCTTCCCCCGAGAAGACCTGCCCCCTTGCTTGACACCACTCTCGTTGCCAACCCTTCCGCCGCTCCCTCCTCTTTCGGGAAGCTCAGACGAGTTTCCCATTACCCCCGAGTCGAACTCGTTCGCGGAGCTGGACCCTCCAGCCTTCATATCGGGTAAAAGCAAAGGCTCGTATGGACGCATGGGCCGCCCCACGGGTACAAGGCTTTCCACTTCACCACTGCCAGTCAGGCTCAGTCACCGCATTCGCCGGCGACAAATTGATCACGTTGAGTGACTCAAGGACACTGAAATTTATATTTAATCCTTAATATATTAAGACATATATCTTGTATCCCATAGGGTTTCTGTGCGCATTTTGGACTTTAGTAGTTGACTACGGACAACTGTACTCATCGCATTTGTTGTTTCGTTTCTAGCATATCAATTGACAACGCCGCTCTTTTGCTTGCTATCCCTGTCGCCGTCGCATACTCGTGCTCGATACCATGCTGTCAGCTACACAAGCTTTGCGACCAGTATCAGTGCAATCTCTCCTGTTAGCGACGCCATCCAGTTACTATTAAGACCATCAAATCATCACCACCGAGGAGACACGACGGTAGCGCATACTACTGCACTTTCACATGGAAGCAATATATTCTCTGATGATGAGTTGTAGCCGCTGTATTGTCTAGATAATAATACACATCAAATACACGCACTGAGTTGACCGGACAATGGTATGGCATCCACCATATGTTAGTCGTGGAGCTCCTCATCAACTCCAGGACACAATTCTTCCATCTCCTCCTCGTCCGGATACTGCGTCCCGCACCAAAAGCAGTAACAGTATTGTTCCCGCAAATAGCTCAATACCAATTGAAGCCGGTCGTGAGCCTGAAATAGTCGCTGAGCCTGCGCGTCGGCGCACAACCGTAAAGTTTATAGTCGTACCTGGAGACGCAGATATTGGGCTGCCTCTTCTAGAATGTCTCTAGAGTACTTCCTCTCCGGGGCTACGTCCTTTCTGCGCGCGTCTGCGTTATCTTCAGTGACGGCACTTAAAGAATCCGCGCGCATCTGCTGTCGCAATATGCTTTCAATGGAAGTGTCGTTCCCGCGCGATATAACCCTGGGATCGTAGGTGGTATGCAGAGTTAGGGCCTCCAATAGGCCTTCTGGAAAGGACGAGGGGTCGTTTGGATTTAGCCAGAGTACGTTGAACTAGGAACGGAGCGTTAGAACACCTCCGAAAGAAACATATACGATACAGTCTCACCGAAACCCCCTTCTTTTCATCGAGCGTGATGCAAGTACGTTGGGCAGGGCCTAATCTGCCTTCGGCGCGTTTCTCATTGTACTGCTGCTTTGCCCGCTCGCGGAAATCCTTGTGTCGGTTACTTTCCTCGGCCATCTTGGCCATCTTGCTGACACGGTCCTGAGACGATGTGGGCGAACGCGGCCGCTTCAACGTTACAAGCCCAATGCCCTTCTTGCCTGGATGGAATTTGGCGGCGAAATCAGTATATAGCGTAGACGAATAGGTCAGACGGCACCTTGCCATTCATTTATCGGCAATGGTTCAACCTTGTGTTTTGGAACACTGGGAGCGACGTCGTCCGCCGTGGTTTCCTCGCCCTCGCCTGGAGTATGGGGACTCTTGCCCGTATCATGATCATCAGTTTGACCGAGAGCCTGCCCGGGTTTGAATCCCATCTTCATCATAATCGAGAGGGCCTTGTTGCCCGAGCTGACACCAGCTTCCTGTTCATCCTTCGCCCGTTCGAACAGACTCTGGCTGAGACCCTGCTCTCTGGATTCGAGCTCGCGCTGGCGTCGGCTTTTCGTTCGACCTTGTTCATTCTTCAGCTGTGAGCGAAGCTGCGACTGCTTTCGAAGACTCGAGTATGTCTTCGGAGCAGACGAAGTTGGTGCAGCTGCAGCTAAGAACTTGTCTGAGAGATAGTCATCTTCCTCATCGCTCATGCTGAGTATTGGAAGATCAGAGATTCCATACCGCCGTCTCCGACACGATCTAACTCACACAGGGGTAATGAGGATAAAAGTAAATAGCATCGCATTCGGGACGAGCGACACAATATACAAGGTGACACTATCAACGGCACCAGACCTAACTATGGAACGCATCGAGTAGCATGAAACGGGTCGAAGTTAACGATAACAGGATGAACACGACATAAAGCATGATAGGACGTAAACAAAGTGAAGGAGTCGTGATTTATGGCATGTCATACTGGGGCGTTATGAAACAAACGTTTAAGCGGCGACGACAGCAGCGGCGGGGGCAAGGGTCTCAGCAGCAGGAGCGACGGCTGGTTCAGGGGCAACGGGGGCTTCAGCTGGGACGGCAGCGGCGACGGGAGCGTCGGGATTAGCCTCGTCCTTGCCCTCACCTTCACTCTCCGAATGTGGTGTGTTGACGGCGACCTTGACAGCGATAGCCCGACCGGTGACTTCTTTACCATCAAGGGCCTGGATTGCCTTCTGCTGCTCTTCCTCGCTGCCGACATCAACGAAGCCGTAGCCCTTGCTTTTTCTGGGCTTTCCGTAGCGGCGGCGGACGATGCGAGCGGTGACAACGTGGATGCCGGCTTCGCTGAACAAAGCGGTGAGGCCAGCATCATCGACACTGAAGCCGAGGTTGGCTACGAAAAGCATGGTCTTGGAGGGTTCACCAGCTGGGTCTTCACCTTCAGGACGCGACACGCGAGGCTTGCGGACACGTCCCGCCTTCTTCGGTGCTGCTTGGGCGGCCCCCTCAGCGTCCGGCGCAGGGGCTTCCGAGACATCGCCCTCAGCCTTAGGGAACTTAGGCTTGCGCTATATGCGTGTCGATAAGTGCATTATACATCAAAGAAATCAATGGAAGTGCATACAGCGGACTTCTTCTTCTTCTTGGGCTTCGCGACACTCTCCGTCTCACCCTCTGTTGTGGGTGCGTCGGTCTTGGTAGCTTCGCCGTTCGCTTCTGCCTCAGTGACCTCACCGGGAACGGCTTTCGCGCCACGCCTGCCGGGACGTCTCTTGGCCTTCTTCTCCTTCCTCTCTTTGTCCTTTTCGTCGGAAGGTTTTGCAACCTCGACAACTACTTCGCGACCGTCGAGCTCTGTCTTGTTGAGAAGCTCGGCGGCCTTTTGCACTGCCTCCGCACTGGACAGAGCTACGAAACCGTATCCTGCTGAACGGTGACCCCGAAGGATAACGTGAGCAGACAGGCTAGTTTTATTATGTCCATCAGTAATTCTACGCGAAAAGGCTATGCACTCGCTCACATTTCACTCTGAACAGGCGCAAAGAAAGCCTTCAGCCCTTCATCCGTAGTAACATACGCAAGATTTCCTACAAAGACCTGGCACGATGAAATTAGAATCCGTCGGCATCGCATATAGATAAAGCAAACCTTGAAGCCTGGTGCTTCTTCGATCTTCTCTTGCGCAACGGGAGGCGCGCCGTTTACTGGAACATTGGCGGCTGGGGCATCAGACATGGTGGACGATGGGCGGGCTGGTGGTTTTGTAGTGGATGAACGCGAACTGGGCTTGATGAACCGGTTTCTTTTTGTCAAACTTGAAGGTTGAAGAAGAAGAGGTTTTGCGAAGACACTGCATATTTGTACCATTCGCTTCTGATCTAAACACACGCAAACACCATCTTTTGATGAGTCGCTATGGTACCCGGCGCTGTCTCAGTTCTCGTAACTTCAGCTGTTGTTCTGCCAGGAAATTTGCTTGTGGCCTGCGGTGACACGTATTTTACACCCAAGGCGCCGCACAAAAATGAGAAGCGCTGCTTCATTTTTCTCATTTGATCGTTTTTGATGTGTGCCAAGTTTAGCGTGTGCCTGGCCTGTGCGCCGGATTACCTAAGGCACGCCGCGTGATAAAACCCCAAGGTTGGAGCGAAGAAACTTCAACAGTCTTTTCCTCCTGCCCTCATCACCCTCCCCAACGAGCCTTTTCGGCAATTCCATTCTTTTGCCTCCCTTCGTTTTCTGAACCACCCCCCCTCGTTTACGATTTGCAGCAGGCAGGATTCCACACAATGGCCTCCAAGATTTTGAACCTTCTCGCGATATCAACTTTAGCGATTTTAGCCTCTTCTTTCGGCCCCGCTTCAGTCACCGCTCTTTCGGTCGATTCACATCACCTTGTTCGACAAGTCCCCCATGCTCATGGTGCGGTCGCGAAGCGCAAGCGTTCCGTTAACAGGCGTTGTAAGCCCCGTCCTACGACGAAGACTCCATCTGTCCCCACACCAGCGCCTGCAACTGGCGACAATGGCAGTTCTGGCAACAATGGAGGTAGCGGAGGCAGCGGCACGACCAAGCCTGCCGATCCCAAGCCTCAAAGTGACAAGGGCGCGGCTTCAAGCACCCCCGCCGCACCCAAGCCCTCAGTGACGCCCAAGCCTGCTGATAACAATAATAACAACGGAGGCTCCAATAACTCCGGCAGTGGCAGTGGAAAGGTTGGCCTCGCCTGGCCCAACGGCGAGGACATCGATCTCGCCAACTGGCACACTGGAAGCACTAAGTTGTGAGTTATCGGTTTTACATGCCGTGCTCGTGTTTTTCTCATTCCGCTGTAGCATCTACACTTGGAGTCCTTGGATCCCTGCCAAAGCCAAATCCCTTGGCTTTGCTCCCGCTCCCATGCTCTGGGGCGAGAAGCAGCTCTCCGACTTCAAGAAGCTCGTCAAGCCCGGTTATGCTAACATCGCGATGGGCTTCAACGAGTGAGTCTCACATTTTGTCACCGTGTCTGTATGGTAACCAATAACTTCTTAAAGACCTGATCAGGGTGGTCAGGCTAACATGTCTCCCTCGCGTGGCTGCTCCTTGTGGTGGGAGAACCTCAACCCGTTGAAGGACCAAGGCTATCAACTCATCTCCCCCGCCTGCACGAACGCCCCCAGTGGTACTCAATGGATGAAGGACTTTATGGGTTGCTGCCGTGACTGCCGAGTGAGTTATCTGCTATTGGTAGGCTACGCGCTCCAGGGCTAACCCTTGCTACTAGATTGATGCCATCGCTACCCATTTCTACGGTACTTCCGCCCAGGCTCTTATCCAGCACGTCACCGACATCCACAACCTCTTCGGCAAGGACGTCTGGGTTACTGAATTTGCATGCCAAGTGATTATGATGATTATGTCCTCTTACTTGCATATCTAACTCTCATCCCTCAGAACTTTGGTGGTAGTGGCGGCCAGTGCTCGAAAGCTCAAGTTAATGAATTCATGGACACTGTGACCGGTTTCTTCGATAATACTCCATGGGTAAAGGCATACTTCGCCTTCGGTGCCATGCATGACATGTTCAACGTGAACCCCGACAACCAACTGATGGGCGCTGACGGGAAGCCCAACGCATTGGGCAGGAAGTACATCAAGGCCTAATTGTAGAGGCTTTCCGCAATCTCATCTTCATTCTATATCACGCACTCTCATGGGTTATACCCCTCTATCATACCAATCTTCCCATTTGCTTTAGAAAGTTCACATTTGTGCAGGCACCCGTCAGTCTTGTTGGAATGTTTAATGTTTTCGGGTGTCGTTGCTGGTTTACATTTACCACCCAGGCGTGCTAGTAGCGTATCGTACTATAGCAATTGTTTCTGACATACAAATCACCATTTGGATACGATTATGTCACCACGATCTACGTTCCTCGCGAAATTAAGCCCCAGTTTGTCTCTTGACTCCCATGTCTGTCGTGAAGCACCTCCCATCGACGCTCAAGCAATTATTGGCGTTGCGGAATCCTGGAACTCCGCCGAGCCAGTCGCTGCCTCGCCTCCATGAACTATTCAAAAGGACAATGCGCGACGCTGCATCGCGAAATGCAGAGACGGGTTGGCTTGTCCTGACGGCGAGTTATCTGGGCATGAGAATTCGCTCAGCACAGCTGACCTCTCTTCCATAGACATGCTCACTACTTACTGCTAATCAACCCTCGGCAGTAGGGCACCTCTATCGCTTCATTACTAGAAGTGACCCCAACAACCCAAGCACTCGAGGGGATATCAGAGAAGCTGTTAACAAGGCCGCTTTAATGCGAGAGTCAGCGTTGAAAAGCGTTATTTTTGTTGGAGTACCGCGAGTAAGAACTCGCTTATGGCAGTACTTCGCATGTATGGTGTTGATATTTCCGAACATCAGGTCATCCTTACCCTCTCCGCCCTGTCTGAGGCCCTGGACGACGACGTAAGGAATTCGCTGCGGACACAGTCAATAAGGTGAGCCCTGTGCGGTTGAGAAGGAATAATGTAGCTAATGATTTTGTGAAACAGGACGGCTACGCCCGAGAATGTTGACGCGACAGTTAGACGGGGTAAGGCCCTGTGGGACAACATCTATGCACCTCACGCCGATAAACTCCATGCGAAACTAGGATCCTATCATCCGGACTTCATTTGTGAGTGTTGTCTCCACCACCTACCAGCCACAATGGTACCCATCAACACATGGGATCGATCTCAAGATCTTGAGTTTCGTTTGCGTCTAACTTGTTTTACAAATAACACGAACACGATGACTGATGGTATCTTCGCTTTTTGCTGCGTGTAGCGTTCATCATCCAGAGCTATGGCTCGATCTTGGCTCCCTTCCCCGGCAAGACCAAGGCGTACAAAGATACGAGTGACGTCGACGACCCCGACCAAGGAAATCTCAGCCGAGCACAAGGTTCTGTTGTCGGCGTTGCATGTCTTCGCGCCGAGGGTGGAGTGGGTCCTCAACTGACCAGCCATGTCTTCGGCCTCCTGAAGGCTCGCAACGTGGACGGCCTGAACAGGGAAGACTTATGGTTGGCTAGTGATGAAGGAACTGAATGGGTCGTCCGTACCGTGGATGAAATTCTCGATGTTGTGTCATCAGATGTGATGGCGGCTGCGTCGAAGGTGAAATTGTAACTGCAATGAGGACGTGTCGGGTGACCAATGACTTTCCCGACTGTACCTGTATGATTGCATCGTGGGCCAAGTTTGCAACTCAGAACGGCTGTTTTCAGCTCCACGTGAACTCAGGAAAAATGTGTTGTCTAAACGCCTCCCCTTGCGAGCGATGTTACTTCCCGGCTATCCTGTACATGGTGGCGATTATCGGTCAAACATCTTTTCGGATCTTACGACATGTCATGCCAGTCCCAGTCGGACGAGAAGACACTCAGCGACGAAATCTGACCGTGAATAATCGATGAATCTTGGTGGCACGACTTTTATCGATTGCGTTGAGTACATATGTTATACAAGGGCTGAAAATTAATGACTATGGCACTTTTAGAAAACGTGGAATTGAAGATGAATAATTACAGATTCCAGGCGGCACAGAAGCGATAGAGCATGGCAGTCACCGTGACCGTGTCCATGATGGGAGGGTGCATCTACACGCGATTCAACAGCAATTCCGTACACTGTGAAGAAGCGCTACTCACTACCGTACCAGCACCAGCGGTTCGAACGAAATGAAGCTCGCCATAGACATCCCCGATTTGATATCGGGTCTGTCGTATCGGTCGGAAGAAAGCAATAACGTTGTTATTCTGATCCTGAAGCTGCAATTGGCAATATCTATCAGGGACGCTTCATTGATTTTAAAATTAAAGAATCGACGTACCACTACGTCGTTGCCGTTACTGCTTGGCCGCCATCGGTATTGCAAACCGTCGGGACCGTTGAAGACTCTTGCACCCTGTATGTTGCATGAGGCTCATGGAACGCGGACGACACGATGTCGGACCTACATAAACGTTACGATCTGGGCGCACGAGGTCGGCCATGGATAGTTGTGTCTAAAACGCGGCGTAAATTCTTGCATGAAGAAGACGGTGATTGTACGTACTTTGCCAATGATTACTCGGCCTAGAGCACCATTGGTGGCCCACTCAAACTTAGCCACACGGTCCTCTTTGTTGGGGCGGATAGCACGATACAAGGTTGTGACGCTCTGGCCGTTGGCACCGACGCTTGTCTGTGAACACCGAGGTGAGTCCTAGGTTCGTATGTGCCCGAGGGATACTGACGGAGAAGCGATATAGGACACCCCAGGAATTGAAGAGGACACTTTCACGAGGGTCCTGGTTGGTCCATGAGAGGATGTCGTTAGACGCGTTTGACATAGTGGCGGAAGGGTTGGAGAGTCGGGGAGGATGTCGAGGTGAGTATGATAGTAATTTGACAAATCGCCAACCGCGACTTTATACCCCCAACCAGTGCCGCAATCGCGTCTGAATATTCTTGCATGCCAGATGGTAAATATGAATCGATCGGGAACGTGGACGATAAACATGTTGGAACGTGTTGGCCTGGAAGTAAGGGTTTACAAGCCGGCCTGAGCGTCTGCCCATCAGTGGAGCGGCGCATCTCCAGTCCAGTCAATCGAGGCCAACAAGATCAAAGAAAAAAATGGCCATGAGTTGCTGGTCAAGAATCACTTTTCATTGGTTTGCAATCCAATCGGTGACCTCCGAGTGCCGATTAATGACGCTTTGTGAGGAAAAGTCGAACTATCGGATACAAATATGTTCATGAGAAGCCCGAAGGGCTGTCAGCCACCTTTTAATGGAGACAAACGACCTACCACTGTCCAGAAGCTTCCACTATAGGCAGCTTCGAAACAGTCCACTGGCCCATATCTCATCAGTGCAAGCCGTGAACGTGTATCCCCACACCGGGATTCGGAACTCCATGCCTACATCGTGTCGGGCTTACTGTATCCGGTGCAAGGGTGCAGACGATAAGGTAGATTCAGGAATCTGTCGTTCGAAGTTGCAATGATTCAGTTTCGGCTGCCCATGGACATGCATGGTCGTTGGTTAGGAAAACATATTCCTAAAATAGGCATGTCGATTCTGGGGAATGGTCGGACCCGCTCAGAGGCGGCAAGACCAGCGATGAGAACGAACTAGCCGAAGCACCTTTTGACTGAACCCAAACTTTCTGAGTAAAACTCTAACGCTTCTTTCGAGGAGGGAATAAGGTGATGGTTCATGGAACCCGATTGTTCCAACGACATGTATTCAGATGGTATATAGGAACTACACAAAGGCGACTTTGGTAATCTAGGCGGAAATTAATCAGACAATTATAGGACTAGAGGTGTTTGCACATTGGACACACCTGCAGGCCAAATCAAGGGACTACTTGCACCCCCAAACTCCTTGCACTACCGACAATTGTCCTTGCAATAGCCTCAAGACTCAGATGCTTCACATGCTCGTCTGTAGACTTGATCTTCGCAATTTCATACACGTGCTTCAAGCTTATTGTACCAGTGATCTCGTGTCCTGGTCGACCGGGGCCCTTGTCGATACCAGCAGCCTTTTTAATGAAATATGAGGCGGGGGGAGTTTTGGTGACAAACGTAAACGTCCTGTCGGGTTGTACTGTGATGAGCGTCGGCGTTGGTACCCCAGGTTCGATATGGGCCGTCCGAGCATTGAACTCTTTGCAGAAATCCATGGATTTTACACCACGAGCACCAAGAGCGGGTCCAACTGGTGGGGTGGGCGCAGCTTTTCCTGCACCGATGAGAATACGCTGAGGGAATCTTATTCAAGAACTGGTCGCCGGTTCATGGCTCAGAAACGTTACTTACAACGACCTGCGCCCTTGCGGCGGCGGCTTTGGACATTGTGGCGGTTAACTGGAAAGGTGTGTGCTAAGCGCCGCACGTGGTTGCGCCAACAAGTGAAGCCAAATTAGGGTCGTGCCCGCCTGGACGCGTACTCTTGAACCTCAACCATCACCATCATGGTCAAACTCTTGCTGCATTCCGTCTGTCTCGCGCTGGCCGTGTCCGCTGTTCCTGCAGGCCCACACGACTCGCAAATGCCACTTGGCTCGTCGGTGACTGGCTTTGACCTTGATTTGTCGGAACAACGTCTGGTACAGCTTGAGGGTCAAGCGCCACAATGGATCTCGGAATTGGACAAGGTGTGCCCCGGAGGCCTCTCCTACCTTACTCTCTTCTTACGCTCCTCACAGATCCAGCTCAAGGCCAAGAATGTCAATTTCTTTGACATGTGACTACTTAACCTGCTTGGTGCTGGTTTGCGTTGAATCCTAATGTATATGCAGCACGGACGCGCAAGAACTGGGACATTCCATTGTTGCGAGGCCATTACTCAAGTGTACGTCCTACATATGGCTTCTCTCACGAGCCGAATTACATGTGCATTTCATAGCTTCTTTTCCCTCCCCCAACGCCACCAAGAAGGTCGAATCGGTCTTGAAGACCCTCTCTACCGAAGGCCCCAAGAGTAATCTTGAGAAGTTCACCAGCTTTCGAACCAGATGTATGTCTTCTCTTCACGACCTAATTCGTCCCTTTCTCATTTCAACTCAGACTATCGCAGTGACGTACGTAAATGCCTTGGTCCACGGCAACGTGTTGGTCAACTGATTCTTTCATATAGACGGGCAGGCAGAGCCAGCAATGGCTTTTGGCCCAGATATCGAAGGTAACACCCACGCGCCGTGTTCCAATTTCGTTATCTCTGCAATAATGTCCGCCTGTTTGTAGATAACAGCAGACTGGTCATCCAAGTCATTGCGCAAATTGATCAACGTTTCCGAATTTCCACACTCCTGGGGACAGAATTCCATTGTGCGTAATTCCTGGATTTGTATGGATTGAACTGGAACCACAAACTCTAGATCGTCAGGATCAATGGTTCTTCGACAGTTGACGATAGCGTCGTTGTTATCGGAGCACATCAAGACAGGTGCGATCAGGCCGTTTTGGCCCTACTGAAACGAGGTTGATTTGGAAGTTCCAGTACGAACATGTGGCCCTTTTTGCCAGCTCCTGGTAAGCCCAGTTTGTCGCGTCGTAATTTTATCGCCGCTGACTAGCCTCTAGGAGCGGATGGTGCTTGATTCGCATTTCATTAATATCCGATCTCTGACCCTGTGTGTATCCTAGATGACGGCTCGGGGAGTGTGACTATCCTTGAAGCGTACCGTGCTTTGATTGCCGCCGACTTCCATCCAACTCGCAGCGTTGAGTTCCACTGGTACTCTGCCGAAGTATGTCTTCGCCCTGTGCCTCATTTTGGGATGTTTCTTGACAAGCTTCTAGGAAGGTGGTTTGCTTGGTTCGCAAGCAGTGGCGAAAGATTACGCTGCTCGGTCGGTTAATGTGCTCGCAATGAGTCAGGTATGTATAGTTGACATTTGTGTCACCATCTCATGTTAAAGTGATCGTTTAGTTTGATATGACAGCATGGGTGAAGGTAGAGCTTTCGTTATCTATATCTTCCATTTCAGAACCTAAAATTATCTCTAGAGAGGCACCCGTGAGGAAGTGGGAGTAATTAGTGACTTCGTTGACCCAAGGTGAAAGATTTATTTTGCCAGTAAGATTGAATTGATCACTGAACCCTTCCATTCTTCAAGTCTCACCGCGTTCAACAAGCAACTTGTGGAGAAGTACCTGGATATCCCTTTCGTGGAAACGAAATGTGGTTATGCATGCAGCGATCAGTAAGGGCCACTGGTTGTTCCTGCCGGCCTCATGTTGATCGTCCTCCTCTCTAGCGCCTCATGGTCGAAGGCCGGGTACCCCAGCATTTTCACCATAGGTAAGCCAACTTGCGACTCATACTTTTGGATCAATTAACCGTGGTCTTCGGAATCAGAGAGCTCCTTCGAGAACTCCAACAAACACATTCACTCTGCCAACGAGTTCGTACACTCCTATTTACTCGATTCTCGGTAATCCACTGAACATTTTTGCTCTAGTCGCATCGACATCTCCGACGAGTTTAGCTTCTCGCACATGTTGGAGTTCTCAAAGCTTGCTGTTGCGTTCGCAATCGAATTGGGTGGTTGGAACTAACTCATTCTCCATCTACATAGCTGTGCATTATTCATGTTCGTACTCTAATACTCCAATGTGCAAGAAACCGGACAATTTTGCAATCCATGACATTGCTGATCGTTCGTTCCGTGAAATGCCAAACCCTCTAATCTAAGAATGAAACCGAATGTCCCCCGAAAGCCAGCATGTTTGACCGAAGAAAACAGGCGTGTACCACGCTTTGCTTCTCGGAATTTAAAAATTTGCGTGACGGGTGCTTCAAAGATGTACCCTCAGTTATGCTCGATCTAGGAACGCCGACAAGAAAACACCACTCTTACCTTTGGGTTCCTAGTATCCCATACTTGGACAATACCATCGGTATAACCACGGATGAAATGGTAGGTGTCACCAAGATCTCCGCGAGTATACCTCGAATCGACCTTTGCGTTGGGGGCCACCCTGCGGCCGAAATGCACATCTGGCATCCGGCTAAATCCACCACTCCGGTGGTCGAATATATTAACTTGCTCGTCGAGATGGTTCACCTATTGGCACACAGTGAGAAAATCTACGGCATGTCTCCATTCCACTTGCCTCGAAGATAGTTAAATTAGGGTCCGACGGATGTTGATGAATTTGGTGGATAACATTAGAAAGCTTAGCCATCTGTGGCTTTGCTGTGGGTCTTTCTAGATTCACAGCCGCTACCCATTGGCCGAAGCCAGCGAGAAGCACGCCATCGCACTCCCTGTACCCCAAAGAATTTGGGGTGGCTGAGAGCGTGGATAAGTGCTGAACGGATGCAGTCAGTTCACCGTGACTTGTGCGCTTGGTTGTCCATAGATTAATGGCATGGTCATAGCCACCTGAGAGGAACCGAGCATTTGGCATACCACAGAGACAGCTGACACCCACATGAGAGCCCTTCTGGCGGTGTGGTTTTGCATTGATGCCCTTAAGCGCAGGTTGCCGCTCCTGCTCCAGTAAATGAATGAGATGCTGTAGCGGAGGTATTTATAATAAGAAGTAGAAATACCGGCTCAAAGTGGTCAATCAAGGAAATTTGGGAAGGGCTGTCTCGATAGCCGATGACGACGGTGTCGCCTATGATGCACGCATCTTCGACATGTCGGTAAGAGCCTTCGAAAGGGAGCGAGTATGCAGATATTCGGCACCTAAGCTTGTTAATAATAGGAACTCAAATTAATGGTTGCTCCTCACCGTTTTGTATGGTTGATAAACTGAGCGTCTGCACGCATCGATATTGTAGTCAAAGGCACATATACACTCTTCGAAACGAGTAGCCTTCTTGCTCGGCTATGGGCTGCCGTAGGGATATCTACGACAGTTGATGGATGCTGTATGTCTTCTGCCAGTGGCATGGGACCATGCCGCCTGATGAAAGGAACCTTCCCCCCTGTCGTTGAAGTGATCTTGGGCCGGGATGACCTCAAGTTCAGATCGAATCTTAGAGGCGAATTCATTTCACTATTAACGACCGATGGATCGTCGAGCGCTGCGAGGATTTCGATGGACGACTGATATTCTTGTACCGCCAGCGGCCGCTCAGGGGAGGACGAGCGCGATTCCTCGTCTTCGCTGCTGCTATCTTCGTATACAGCTGTATTTAGTGAGCCGTATAACGTATGTTTCACGAGGTCAACAGCATCTATCTCAGGCTTTGGGGGTTCACCTGCGAAGTCGCCGTTTCGTAATTCTGCCTGTAAGATAAAAGAGCCGATAGGCATGCCGTTAAAAGTTTTAACAGCAGATTCGGCCATGCGTCGTTGGCTGAACTCAATGAGCGCCATTCTTTTCGCTGGGCAAAGGCGGATAACCTTGCTATAATATCATGCTCAGCAGGTGTTCGGTGTAGGCGATCAAACTTACACAGAGGACCGAAATCCACTCAAAATCAGCAGTTTAGAGACGGCGTCATAGTCTGCGCATGGTAGATATTTCAAGACCACAATTGAATCACTGCTGTAGGATGAAAGTAGAAGATCCTTTTCAACCGTATACGGATACAATACATCTTCAAGTTCTGACTTGCGTAGATGCCTATCAAGTGTTGGGGATCTTGGTTGAGTAATATATGAAGAAGCCTCGTCCCCAAAGTCGCCTCCGACTCACCGCTCGTGGCGGCTGCCAGCCGTAATTGAACTAGTAGTAGAACTAGTAAGGTGAGAAAGCGTGCCAGGTCCTGCGACATTGTCACCGTGCGCGTACCCTGAGGAAGTGGACATCGAACGTGGGTTGTACGATGTCGAACATATGCGACGATGAACATCTTTGGGCATGTTCGACTTGAGAGAACAGAACGACGCGACGTGGGACGCGTCCGTTCTCCGACTCGATCATGGATGTTACGCGACACTGAGTTGCACAACAAATGCAAACAAAAGCGATATGGACTAGGTTCAACAAATTGTACCAAATTTCAGAATATCTCTTCTTGACCGCAAACCACCACCATGTCAGTTGCCGGCGATGGAAGGCATTCAGCCCAACGAAATCCGACACGTGCATAAGGGTGGCCCAGCTGTGGCACCCGTGGTACAGGCTGCGTCCAGTCGTGTGTTCCGTCGGGCAGATGATGATCATGAGTCGCGGAACGAACAACGCCTACGTGCAAGCTCGGATTGGCCGACCCCAGTCGATAACAGAGGTGCTTCTCTGTACCCTATGTCGTCTGACACAGGTCCCAATCTCCGAAGCGCAAGTATTATCCAAGATCAGGACCACATTGCGAAACGCCGGAAACTCAATCATTCCACCCACCAGTACAGGGACAGACCAACTCGGTTCGACGTGCTGTTAGATCTGCCCATTGACTGCGTGCCAGGTGTCCCTGGGTGTCGTGATAGGAGACGCAAATGGGTAGATGCCCAGATTGCAATAATTCGGCGAGAGCGAGATGCGATAGTCTACATGCATACAGTGAGAGGTTTACAGGCCACTTTCTCATGCCGCAGTCTCGCATCTACTCCGGGTGGTGAACCCGGTACGTCCCACCTTTCACCAGAAACTAAAGCTCAATGGATGTCATATGTGCAGACGCTCAGAGATTAGACAAGAGCACATTGCCGGACAATCCCATGTCCTCGCTCAGTTTAGCAAATGTAGGTGTACTTGCGTATACGAGTGGGTAGCGACGTTGATGTAGTCTATAATAGCTTCCACCACTTGGCTTCCAAGCAGGGTTAGTTTCATCGCAGCGTTCGCATGTCAACTTCGAAACGCTCGCAAATGATTCACTCCCAAGTGCATTCCGGAGCGGCTCCCCGCCTATCGTGTCATCGACATCATTGCTTCCCAACTATTCCTCCAAGTTTCGGTCCGGCATTTTAAGGATTAAGCCTCTTATTCCCACTTCACCTGGCACTTCGTTGCCGCCCGTCTCCACCACCTCATCGTTTCCAGCTTTCGATCATGACGCACACTCTGTAATTTCCCTCTCCGAATTCCAATCACCAGCACCATCGGAATCGGTGGAGATAAAGCACGAAAACGAAGAGGAAACGGTCGAGATTGCTTCTATAATTGATGTAGAAGAAGAATCGCCCGTGCTTCAGCCTGCTGTGTATGGGTTAGACGTCGAAATATACGCTCAAATCATGGCACAACCTCACGAGAAAGCCCGTAGAATACTCCTAGACAAAGCTGGAGGGAGTGGATACAACATATCAACACATGGGTCCATCGATCTCCTTGATATAATTCCCTCATTCAGGTAAAGCCTTACCTCATTTGTTCTACTTTCCGTTGAATTGATCAACACCCCTGTGCAGGCAAACACAACTCGCCGTCAGCCCGGAGCCATTATCGGGAACTATAGATGATGCATGCCTCTTGGCCACTTATGATGCAGATTGTATCGTGTTGGCCCATTCTGGTCAATCTCCGCAATTAAGTCTAGTAGCGTTGTTTGACAATGATAAGGTAAGTCCTTTGCTCCGCTCGCCCCTTCAGAACTACACTCGCGCCGTAGCCTTTCTCCGTGCCTCTTAATCGTCCTTGGGAACAAGGGCGTAAATCTGGTGTCGGAACGGTCGCCGCCTTGCCCCAAGAGTATGCATTCGTCAGTGGAGGCCACGATCGAATAATCCATCTCTGGAACGTCGACAGCGACCTCAAATCCGCTCAGCCTCACACCCTCGCTGTCAAACATAGATCACTAATCACATCACTACTCCCTGTCGACGATACTGGCCCCAAACTGATATCTGCCAGCGCGGACTGTTCTGTTCAATGCTATGATTTTTCTTCAGAGAAAACTATCAGGACGATGAAAGTCTCGAACCCCATATACCATGTTCATACAACAGACTCGCCGTTCTGTACCTTGCTTGAGGTAAGGTAACAGCACGGTCCGAACTTCTATTGCGGAATAACTGATTCGCAGTAGATTGGGCATCGTGAGCTGCAGTTCGAGGTTCGTGATCATCGCATGGTGCCGGAGCATCCGGTGCAGCGATTTGGCTACCCCGCGGTTGAAAAGCATGGTCGATTCATCAAAGGTCCGGTAGTCCTCATTTCATTTGACTACTGCGCCTCAAGAAACTGTATTACTCAGGTGACACGTCTGGGCAACTCTTTGCATGCGGCAGTTTCGACGGCCGAGTGCGTTTATGGGATTTGAGAGCCCTCAAGAACCTACCAGCCGAAGTGCGCCTTATCTCTGGCAATTAGTATGTAGTTTAACTCAAACTCTACCTTTCAAAGGTACTCTGTCTGGAAGGTCAGAAGGTGATACAAACTTCCTTCGCATTTTCCCGCATTGTCGCGCTATCAAAGGACCAAAACATCAGCGTCCTCAGATACTCCATGGAACTGTAGCATTAGATTTGAATTTTATACTTAAAGTTATTGATGCATGCACATACCGCTACACGAGGGATCGGGCGCCACAGCAGACGGAAAACAACGTGAGAAGGCCTCGGCTGAGTCGCCGCTGTTAGTCCCAGGCGTGAATGCATATTGGAAGCTCACGTTGACCACCATGTCCAACACGCGTTCTCGACAACGAGAAGATGTCGACAGGGCCTATGACATCCAGACACGAGCTGGCATTGAAGTGAGCATCTATACATTGCCTGACCGGCACGTTGAAGGGTAGCGTCTAATGTTCGCCATGCTTCTAGGGTGCAGTGCGAGGCACTGGAGTAGGGACGGGTTTGGCCATGATTGCTCACTTTTCATGGCCGTGGTTCAGGTAGTTCATTAGCGCTTCGGCGTACCCCCTATCGTTCCGACGAAGCATTCTAAGCCGCATTCTCTCCGTAGGCGGCAAACTCTACCCTTCAAATCGTTTCTAGTGTCGATATGTGAGTCCGATTTGTTGCCTGGTTGACTGAAAGTCTAACTACAGCAAATATAGCAACTATCTTTGGTCTCGGTGAGCACTTCACGAACTCCAAGGTATTACGTTGTGAAGACCTTGATATTCACGTAGTTCTTGGTGCCGAAAGGGCATTGCTAACCCACGAGGCTGACCGCCGAAGAGAGGAGAATGCTCTTCGTCGGCAAGCAAGATACGATCTTGCACGAAGAGGTTTGATAGGCACAGAAACAGAGATTGCGAAATGGAGAGCAGAGCGGGATGCAGCTCTTCAAGCTGAGCAAGCCAAAACAGAATAGACAAAGACGTGTGCAATTGCAGTCATTATAAGTAAGCGTAGTTAGTCCATGATTGATAATCGACAGCAAGGTGCTAAAACTAGAGTCACATATATAATGGAATCTCTCTTCGACTTCAAGTCCACTGTGACTGAGCGTAGACCTGCTGAGGCTGCTGCCATTGTGACTCGGGGAACGAAGGAGGGGGAGGGGGAGGACCCGGGTAGGGTGGCTGAGCGTTGTTGGGAGGTGTGTGGGATGAGGGGGATGGAGGCAAAGGTGGCATCGATGGCGGATTAGGAAGGGGTGGAGGCGGAGGAATGCCCTGTAACGCTTGTTGGAGGTTAACAGGAGGTTGAGGCAAGCTTGTACGTCTCCTTGACAAGTTGTTTGACTGCTGGGAAGGAGGGAGCGGCGGCGGTGGGCCCGGATTAGGAGGTTGGTAGGTCTGTTGAGGTAATGGTGGTGGCGGTGGTACGGGGAGAGAAGGGAGAGGCGGTGGTGGTGGAACGGATGCATATACGTTGTGGAATGCAGTGCCATTTTGGCTACCATACGATCCGACCTGCTGGGGCACGCCTCCTGGAGGAGGAAGGGGCGAGTAGTGCGATTGAGAGGGCGTTGGCTGCGGAAGTGGTCTAGATCCAGGACCATAGCTAGACGAGAGAGAGCCAGGTTGAGGGGGAGAATCATTATGCGACGGTGAAGGGGTGTGATATTGATAGGGTTGTTGGTGTATCTGTGGTTGAGGAGTAACAGGGAGGGGCGGAGCATAGTTCTGCGGTGGTGCTGGCGTCGCTGAGCCGTATTGGGGATATTGGTAGGGCTGTGGTGGTGGAGGTAACTGATGGAACGAAGAAGTAGGTGGTAAGGAAGGTGGAGGGTAAGCGGAAGGAAGAGGCGTCTGTGAAGGTGGTGGTGCAAAGGTCGATTGAGGGTACAATGGCTGATTGAAAACGCTGGGCGCTGGCGTGTGGGATTGCTACGCAACAGTGGATCAGTAAACGAAAGTAAGAAAAGTCACAGGGATAATTACTAAAGGCACAAACCCTGACGATGTCGGTGGAATGCTGTAACGTGGGCCGCGCGCCGTCTGTGGCGGATAACCCTCTGGGACATACTGGGATGGCGTTTCGTAAGGTGTCTGGTACAGAGGTTGGGATTCGTATTCGGTTGGTGACTGATAAGTTGCCCTGGGATCGTACTGGGAGTAAGCTGAGATGGTGGAGAACCCTGTAGAGGTAGAGGGTCTGCGACCATGAGGTGGCTGCGGACGTTGTTCCGTTGAGGACGCTGAACGGAGAGGTGCGAAGAGGTCTCTTACCGGATAACTTTCCCTGCGCCTAGCATCGTCCATGATACCAAGTTGACCAAAGTCACTGGCGAGACCTTCTGGCGAAGGGCGTCGATGCTCGTATGGAGGCACATATAGATCGAGCTGCGCAAGAGAATTGGATGCCCTCAACGAAGCAGGCATCGCGTCTAGTTCCTGCCTTGGTCTGTCCTGAAGAACGCTGGTGGAAACAATCCTGGAGCCCGGGACACCCTGCGCGCCTGTCGGCCCATCCGCTGGTATGAAGGAACCTGGGCCACCGTATTGCTTACTGACGCTGCTCGCCTTGGACTTGGGCTTTTTCTCGGGTGGGGGTTCCTAGGTACCATATTGGATTGAGCTGGGAAAGGTTATAATTGAGGTACTCACATTCGACCAGAACGTTAGTTCGAGATAGACTTCACCGGCGAACTTGTCTTTGTGGTTCAATGTGAACCACTCTGCCACCGCAATAGTGAGCATCTAGATGCGCGCCATCTCCAACATCACTGACCGTCTGTCTCGCCCTTGGTCAGAACTTCCGTAAGATCCACCGAGGACTCTCCAATGAGATCAGGTTCGCGAGGATCGTCTGCGTAGCAAGCCACGGACATCGCCTTTGCACCCTTGATTCTTGGAGTCTTGTCGCTCTTTGGTGGAGGCGTCGGCGGGCTCCCATCGTCGTTGGTTGTTCTCGCTAGCACATCTTCGGTGTCCTCATGAAGCGTGAATCGAAACTCTTCGTCCCATTCTGGATGCTGGCCGCCGCGCTTGATGGCCTTGGTCTTGAACTTGACGCCATTGAGCTCGACGACGCAATACGGATCCTGCTTTCCGATGTGTCTTTTGTTGGGTAAGTGACGCTGTTGACGATCTGGTCAGATTTCTCGCTGACACGGCGCTTGGTCTGGGCTTACAGCTTTCAAGACGACGACAATGAGAGTCCCGATCTCGCGGGGAGTAGAAGACATTACGGTGGAGAGAAGGAAAGAAGGAGAGTCAGAGCAGGAAGGGCATAAAGACTGTTCTATGGCCACTGGCGTTGGTTGCTGTTTGCGGCGACTTTCAGTTGATCCTTGTATACCCCTTTTGGCAGTTGAATGCACCCACGCACAACTTCAGTCGCAACAAATCCCTTGCCTGCGCCGCAGTAAGTATAGCAATTCCGTCGCGAAAACTATTGATATTGATGCGTCGGACATGATACACCGCTTATGATGGAACATAACTCTTAATACCCTCTTTAAATATCAATCCAGGCTTGCGAGCAGCGAGATCAAGCAACATTTCAGCAAAGTAGCTGTTGGCCCACGCGAACCAACTACGAGTGTAATCCTTGGTGTCATAAATCGACTGTGATTCGTGAATGAGGCCCAACCCATTAGTGTTCTAAAGGGAGGGAATTTGATAAACCACTAAAAACGCATGATGAGGGCTCCTTACGTTCGCGATGATAAACAGCGAATTCAATATCTCTGCGTCGTCGTCAGTTCCAAATATTGCTGAGATTTGGGACATAGGCCTATAAAGTATAAAGTTAAAAGGCACGAAAGGATGGCCGGATAATGAACTCACCAAGGATGCCAAGGGTCCACGTGTGGCCCTCTGTTCAACGAATACATTAAATACCGGCCGCGCGTGAAGTTAGAGCGAACACTCACCCAGCGCCTCGGAAACTTGAGATTTTACTTGCTGCAAAATACGGATTCTTGCTTGAGAACAAGACTTTGCGAGTTGCCACGTAAGCTGGATGGTGCTTATCCAGGAACCCAAGGTAAGGCAACGAGAGCAAGGACTTCGTACGGTGCAGCATCAGAACTCCGTGAATCGTAAATTGTGAAGAGACTGATCCAACTTACTGGGACATTGGCGTCATCCATGACATATCTACTCCCAAGGCCATTGGTTTCGTATGCGAAGATATTATCGACAATCTGGTAAACGGTAATTTATCACTCTATTGTATTGGGAAGAGTAGTCTAGAAGGCCTACCGTGGTATCCCATATCGCATCATGGATGGTCTTACTCCATTGCCTAGCCAAACGGCTAATATTCCTGGCTTGCTTGGCCTGGTCCAACACATCCGCCAAATGACCAAGTTCTACGCTCAGCATGGCGTTTGCCGGAGTGAGAAAAGCTACATGTGTGGCACGCGTGAGGATACATAAATAAAGAGGATGTTAGCGTTGTGGGGATTTACCAAAGGTACTGAGATCATCAGAGGGCCTATGGTGTGTCCCAACCATGCCCGTGAAGCCTTTCGGCTCGCCGATGCCTCTGTTATTGACCTGCGGCGACAAAGCACCTCCTCCACCAGTCCAATTATAGAATGATATCAGGTTGAAATCTTTGTCGAACGTGGGCTGCGATTGCTCGTTGATGACGCGGAATATCTGATCAATTGCGGCGCGCCCTATATGAATAGATGGGATCAGCAAGGCGATCCTAATTGAAGGGGTGCCACACGTACAATTGTCGTTGATGAACGACGCGTCTTTCGTGGATTGATAATACGATCTCGACAGTTTGAGGAAGCCACACAATGAGTCAATTTCATACTATCACACGAGCCTTGAGCAGAGGAAGCCCGATAGTGACAAACTACCTACCTTGCACTCAAACACCGTAGTGTTGTCAACGGGGCTTCATCCCCCGACGTCAGTATCCAGTCCACAATATTCTTTGCGGTATAGACACGTACGGGTTGACCGTGACTCCGTCCGCCCAATCATTATGGGTAGGTGGTAGCCCACTTTCAGGTGGCGGCTGGAACGCTCCGCAATACGGGAACTGCGCGACATATCTGGCTTCGTTGTTGATCACTGCCTTGACCAACGTCGCTAGCTTTCGATCGCCTGCTAGCAAGGTGTGATAGTGGGCGAACTACAAAGACGATGATGAAGGGTGTCAGTGTTGTGTGTTCTCTTATACGTCGTGAAGGTTGTTTGAGTTACCTGGTTAGCGGTATCTCGTAGCCATTGAGCTCTGTAAGTCGCGTCAAGTTACGAGCGGTAAGATTGACAGTGGAATATAACGAACGAGATATCCTTTAATCTCGTTTAGCAGAGGATCACGTAGCGAGCATCAAACGCCACTTACTCCGGTTATGATAAATGCCAAATTTTCTGTCTAAAGCATATTATATCAGAGTCCAAGTTCCACAGAGTCCAAGCCTGAATCTTGGGTACCTCGTTGAAATATTTGACCGTAGTATCTACAATCAATCAACATAGTGGTTCCAGGCCATACTAATAGAGGAGACTGACCAAGGGTATTTGGGAACGTATTCTCAAAGAGCCTGGCGAGGTCAGGGTTCTTGAGGCGAGATTTCATGTCTGATATCACTTTCTACAGTACATTCAGCAGGGTTCCCAACGGAATAACAATGCCCGGCATACCTCAACGCTAGTACTATTGAATGTCCTACATGCTGGATCAGGCCTCATAAACGGCAAAGCCAGCGGTCCAGTTGAGAGCGGTGCATGAGGGTTCTACGATCAAGAACACTTCAGAGTCACCCCTTCCATTCATCAGTCTCCCGTTCGAATGACAAACCTGCGAGTACGTGGTATAATCAGGACACTGCGGCTGAGAAGTAGCAGCGAGGACCGCCGCAGTTGCAGCCACACTCCGAAGGCCGAGTTTCATGTTCGCGACGCGCCAGCCAAATCCCAGGAAAGAGGAGAGCTCCAGCGCACATAGCTCGAGAACGGCTTCTTTTATGATGCTCGCGGCGTAATTCCAGAAAGAAGTGATGATGATTGAGAGCATATGCGAGCCCTCCAGTCGTGGGTAGCGGTTTGATCACGCGCCTGCACTTCGTCTTCTGCCGCACATGGAGCTCTGGAGAACGAAGCTCAAGGATGGCCGACGCCGTTCGTGTCGTAACGCGGTGGGCCAGCTGGTGCCCAACATCGTGAATGGTGCTAGTGCTTGTGTGAAGAACTTATAGTGGGCGAACAGGCTTAGCTCAAAGGGGACATTTAGAGATGCTATGAGCTGGTATATATCAGTTTGTTGAGATGAAAGTAGTTAGCTTAGTACTACCGTAAAACCGAGACACACAGAACTAGAAGCGATGTGGGGAAGGAAAGTGGTGAAATGAAAGTACTTAGACGATACATACAGTACGAATGTGTATAATAGTGCATGAAGGTCCCTCGGGAAATGCGAAAGAAGAAATAACGGAACGCCTAATGCTCCTTGGACGGAAATGGTTGGGAAGTCTCAGTGTTCTTCGTCTGGGGCGCAGCAGCTTCGACCGCGGGTATTTCAACGGCAGCAGGGGGATCTTCATTTGAGTTATGCGAAGTCTTGGAAGGAGGTCGCGACCCAGCGAGTGAAGCAAGCTCCGTGGAGATGGCGGGGGTGGTAGAGGCTGGCGTTGTCGAGTCCGAAGTATATACAGATGCTTCAAGGCCAGACGACGGTGGAGCCTCAGTCTCTGTCGTACCTCCCTCCAGCTGGCCATCCAAGTTCTCTTCGTCCTGCTCGACGCGGTCCATGCTCAAAGCACCTGTACGAACACTGTTCGTCGTCCATACGCTTCGTTCTCTGACTAATGATGGTGTTCCTGGTCCTGGTTGAATCCTTGCACTCCATCTACTGACCTCGCTTTCCCAGCTGCCCCTTCTCGAACTACGTGGCCTGAGTGCCCTGACACTTGCATCAACGTCACGTTCATCCAAACGTTCATCATCTCCTAGATTGAAGTGACTGGTGCTCTCCGCGTCAGCAAATGCCATGCTAGCACCTCCGCCGAAATGTGACACTGAATCCCCTCCGCCTATCATAGCAGATGGAGGGGCCGACGTCCCGATCCCAGGTCTCAGTCCTGGAATGGCGTATGCAGATGACGCTAGAGTCAGAACTGAGGCGTTGTCTAACGGAGGTGAAGAGGGTCTTGGGTTGTTACGAGGATGGTGAGAGGTGTGTAGCGGCACATGGACGATAGGTCCGTTACTGGACTGCTGTGCGATGCTCTGCGGGGTTTGCAGCGATGCTGGGCGAGATTGGGAACTAGGGGAAGGAGGAAGTGCTGAGAACGTGATGGAAGTGCCAGTATTGAGCAGAGCAGGGCCACCACCCGTGGATGATGTTCGGATATGAGGCAATCTCTGTGCTTGCGGAGGAGCGGCATTGGTTGGCGCCTGCGCGATATGTGCCATGCCTCCTCCGTTCAAGTCAATACTGAGTAGCGTCGTCGGCTTCGTACTAGCAGCCATACTCCGGAATGTGCGGGGATCGGAGAGGTAGGAGGACGATGAACGAGAAGGCGATGGGGAAGGAGGCGCACTGGGAGGAATGGGTCGCACCGAAGCATCTTCATCAGCTTCGTGCTGGCTGTTCGGTGACCAGGTAGAGGAGCCATCGAAAGAGCGTGCTTCATCGTCTTCGTCCTCATCGGAATGAATGTATCCTCGGCCGTCGTCCTCATCGTTAAGTGAGATGGTCTTGCGCTTGACCGACGCCTCCAGTTTGCCTTGCCCCCTACCTGCGACCGCTGCGGAAGAGGGGAAAGGCGAGGACGCAACGCGCTGGCCATTCCGTGAAGGCACTTTCGTGCGATTGTCAATAAAGGGGGCCGCATTCTCCGTCCTCTTCGTCTTCACCTTCCCCGCGAGCTTGCGCTGGAACCAATTGATAATGGGCTTGCTAGATCTCCGCCCATTCGGTGCTTTCTTTGGCTTGGGCTCGAGCTGCGGAAGCGCTTTCATTCGCGAGGTAGATTGCTGGGGCGGCTGCTCCTGGGGCTTCTCTTTCTGGGGATTCGGGTTCTTCGAGGTCTCCCCCTCCGTGGTTCGTTGGGCCGCGCTTTTGAGCTGCTGGCCCGAGCTTTTGACACGAGGTGGGGAATTTGCTATCGGTTTCACAGCGTTGGCACTCATGTTGGAAGCTTCTTGATGGTACCCAAGAATAGGCTATGGCGATGCGCGTGGAACGATGGCCGGAGCTGAACTTTCGAGGGAATTGGCTGATGTGGATGGTGGGAGAAAGTGAGAGTTGAGTTCAAGGGGTCATTCACCAACTCAACATGAGGCTCCTGCGCTAAATGAGATTGCCACAATTCGAAATTATAATGCTATGGAGATACAAAATACATTGCTGCTGCTCTACCAGTCCGTTTTCTTCACTTTTCTCGTAGGAGTGACCGGAATCTTGCTGCCCTTGTATCCAAATCCATCCAACCACGGCCATACCTCACTTCGTCTTTGCTCGAATTCATCAATTGAAGTCCCCCTTTGGAGGGTCAGCGCGATGTCATCCAAGCCGTTCAATAGACAATGTCTTCTGAAAGGATCGGTTTGGAACGGTATTGGCGCCTTCCCATTCGGCCGTCTGACCTCTTCCTTCTCGAGATCAACCTCAAGCTCTAGACCAGCTTCCGCGTCCTCCGCCAGTGCCCTGCAGTCTTCCTGGGATAAGGCCACAGGCAGCATGCCGTTTTGCATAGAGTTATTTCTGAAGATATCAGCGAAACTCGGAGCGATGATGCAACGGATTCCAAAGTCGTTCCTGCCACGCTTGTTAGTCATCCTTGCAGAACGATTGCGGGGAACTAAGCTTACAGACTCCAAGGTGCGTGTTCACGAGAACTACCGCACCCAAAGTTCTTCCCGGTACACACAAGGATTTTAGCTTTGTCATACGGTTTGCGGTTAAGCACGAAATCCGTTTCCCTCCCGGTGTGGGGATCTTTTCGAAGGGTGTAGAACAAGGCATTAGCCAGCCCCGTCCGCTTCAGCGTCTTCAAGAACTGCTTCGGTATTATCATATCCGTGTCAACGTTCTCGATGTGCAACGGTGCAGCGATACCCTTGACTATGTTGAACTTTTCGACGCTCGAGGGGGCTTCCTTTGGTGGAAGAGGTACGGATGAAGCTGTCTCGACGCGCTCTTCTGGAGCGGGGGGAGCGAGGACGGGGTCGTTCAGCAGTTCGCGGACATTCAGTAACTTCATCGTAGGACCGACGTTCGCCTGCCCCCCGCCCCCAAGGAATTTTCGCACATCAGTGAGTTTCCCAGTCATCGCGGCAGCAGCGGCCATCGCAGGACTCAGCAAATGCGTCCGACCCCCAGATCCCTGCCGACCCTCGAAATTACGGTTGCTCGTGCTCGCACATCGTTCGCCAGGAGCTAGCTGATCCGGGTTCATCCCCAAGCACATCGAGCACCCAGCTTCTCTCCAGTCGAACCCGGCGCGCTTGAAGATAACGTCCAACCCTTCGGCTTCAGCGTGTTGCTTGATTATTCCTGAACCGGGTACTACCATAGCTTGAACGTTGGGAGCAACCTGGGCGTCCACGCCTGCCGCTAGCACGACCTTCGCCGCCGATCTCAAGTCTTCGATGCGACTGTTGGTGCAAGAACCGATGAAGACTTTGTCAACCGGGATCTCCTGCATAGGAGTATTGGGTTTGAGGCCCATGTACGCTAATGAACGTTCGGCGGATTGGCGTTTAACTGTATCAGCCATTGTTGCGGGGTCGGGTACAGAGCCAGTGATAGGGACGACATCCTGAGGCGAAGTCCCCCAAGTAACGGTTGGTACGATGTCTGAAGCGGGAATATTAACCTCGATATCGAATTTAGCTCCTTCGTCGGTTCTCAATGACTTCCAGTAAGCCACCGCTCGATCCCAAGATTCACCCTTCGGAGCTAACGGTCTGTTCTTCAGGTACTCGAAAGTGATTTCGTCGGGAGCGACCATGCCGGCACGAGCACCAGCTTCGATGCTCATGTTGCAAACGCTCATTCGCGCCTCCATACTGAAGCCACGGAAGACCGAGCCAGCGTATTCGATGACACAGCCGGTGCCTCCGGCGGTGCCGATGACCCCAATGATGTGCAGAATTACGTCCTTCGACGTGACGCCTTCGTGTAGCTCGCCGTCAACCGTGATGCGCATGTTCTTGCCTTTCTTCTGTAGGAGTGTTTGGGTGGCGAGAACATGTTCGACCTCGGATGTACCGATTCCAAAGGCCAGCGAACCGAACGCGCCATGGGCTAACGAAACGGTGATCAGGACAAGTAGACGCGCTTTTGAAATTCAAACGCTAACTTGATGTATGGGAATCACCGCAGACGCAAGTTATACCGGGGAGCTAAGCCAAGACTTGAGTGTGAAGGGCTGTCAGGAGAAATCAGAAACCTTACCGTAAAGCCTTGCTCGGGGCCAATGATATGGACGATGCCTACGGAGATAATGAGCGTAAACCCTAACGAGTGCTGTGCATGCCAACCTTGCCGCCTATCCTTCATCCCAAAATATGTCAGGCCGAATTCCTTGACATTCTCCTCCAGCGCAGCGCACTGAGCTCTTGAATCGGGCTCAGCGATGAAAGTGTCTACGCTTGTAAAGTTTTTCCGCGAGACAGTTCTATGGATGACGTCAGCCGAAGTGTGCAGCTCATGGGCAGGCAGCGTACGGAATATTGTGGTCCACCGTCGCCAGAGTGCAGTCTGGCCGGCGCACGGGTCTGCCGGCATTGCGCCTGAGGAGAAGGTGAGCGCGAGATCGTGCAAGTGGCGTTTGTGAACTCACAAGCCTTCGAACGCCTGGGGACTCGTTACTTCGTGAACAAGATGCCTGTCAGACCAAATCAGCAAGCAGCCGTCGAGAAACCGGGGAAGCGCTTGAACCTATCAATGTAGATCAGCGCAAGGCCGTCCTCCTGAACATCACTACAGCCAATCAGGTGAGCAACGAGGGCGCAGAGAATTGCGGGCGACGCACACGACGTGGTCGTCCCAGATCTTATCGTAGAGCGTCCTCGGGGCAGATACAGCGGTGGGCATCGTCCAAGGTGGTAAATGTGCAGAATAATTCTCCGTCGTCGGGCGTCCGCTCGTATTTATACTTGCTCCAGAATGCGGGGAGTGATCATGTGAGTCGGCCGATGAATTCAATCGGCCGTTCGGCGGGATCTAGCCAATCGCAGCAAGGCCGATAGTCATTTTAGGGTATAATACACTGGGAAGGTCCATTAATTTATAGCTACTATATACACTGGATCAATAATATCCCTTCTGCTCGTACGTTCTTTGTCGGTCGATATGGGTAGGGTGGGGGAATTGCGGGTGGAAAGCAGCGGACGGCGCCGTATATGCCAGCGTAGGCACCCCGTGGGCAGTATAATCACCCCCAGCATACGTCCCATATCCAGCGTATCCGTAACTCTCCTCACTCAAATGCTTCTTCGACCGCCCAGAACGCGACGAGCTAGAGCGAGACAGGCTCTCGCCAAAAATATCTTCCCGAGGACTATTGGTATGGTTGCGATTGTATGGATCGACAATCATGCTCGCAGCGTCGAACGCCATCGCTTCATCCATCCGCTTCCTGCGCTGTCTCCTCCGCATCACACACGTGATGACCACGGATATCAACGCGAGCAGCGTAACACCCAGGATGAAGAACACAAATCCAGACAGAGATTTGTTCTGCAGGAATCCCGTGGGTTGGCCATTATTGCCACTGGTCCGCGTGTTTACCACAGCGGGTATCCCTGCAGTCTCGGTGGAAGCGGGCATGAATGTCGTGATTGTCTTTATCTGGCCGTCGGAATACGACTCGAAGAGGACTGTAGATAGAGACTGGGAAGGTGTCGCTATCGTGGTGGATGATGATGGCCGTTGCGTCGGGGTGAACGTATGCGAAGCACGTATTAGAGTCGGTGAAGAAGCGGGGACTCTCGTAGGAGCCGCAGTGCGAATCGGGCCCGGGCTGAAAAGAGGTGTCGCTGCGAGCGGTGTTGTATGAGGAACAGTGGTAGGCTGAGGCCCTACCAGTGGGCCCAATCCTCTATCAGGTCCATCAGCTCTAGATATTCCCTAGCGTTCAGTGAACCTGGAATACTCACAAGATACCACCTAAACCGCCTAGAGACATGGGCGGTGAGAACGAAATTGGGGGGTAAGGAGAATGCAGCGCTGTTCGTGCATTGCTGGCATATTTGAGTTACTGGCACCAGCGACTGCCACGGTACAGCAGGATACAGCTTGACGATGCGCGGCGGGAGGTATGAAGGGAAGAAGGGCTTGTTCTAATTGCATCCAAGATCCAAGATCTAATCTAATCTATTCTGACAGCTTTTGTACGCGTCGGGTCGTTTAGGCTCCTCGTCTTCTTTCCACCATGTCCCCTCGCTCTAAGCTTCCTAGACGAGCGCACAGCGTGCTCATATCTTCGAAATAGGTGCCCCCAGTGCTCTACGCTGGCATCTGAATGTGTAACATCAACTACCCTTCTGGAGAAACTGGGTCAATGCCCACCCCCTGCGATTCAAGGTTGGGGAGAGTACTGTGCTAGCCAAAAGTTGTCACCTTCACGACCCAAGCTAAACGCGCGCGGCGTTGCTCCTTGTCCATAAGACTGGGCAGCCAAATTTGTCGCGTCAGATCATCGTACGGGATTTACGGGGCGGAGCGGTCCGTGGGGATGACCTGAATGTCATTCAGATGCGAATATTCAGTGCATCGCATGGAGCTGCTACTAGTTTGAGCCACAGCCTATCTGAGACCGGAATTAACCACAGTACATCGACGACGACGACGACTATGGTTTCGAAGCCTATCAACACCTGCGTCCTTGGGGTCGGTTTAGCTGGCCTTACTTTCCATGTACCCTTTATCCTTAGCCTCCCGGACTTATTCATCCTCCATTCAGTCCTGGAGCGCAACCCAACAACTCCCGGCGGAAAAGTCCATGAGCGATTCGGCGTGACCACGAAAATCCACCGATCGCTGGAAGACGTACTGGCCGATCCGGAGATCGAGTTGGTTATCGTCGGGACGCCGAACCACACCCATTACGAATTCGCGAAACGAGTGCTAGAAAGCGGGAAGCATGGTTAGCACAGGCTTACTCTGTGTCTCCTCTACTGGAAATAACGCGAAGTATGGTAGTTCTTGTGGACAAACCTGTGTCCGCGACAGCACAGCAAGCTCGTGAGCTCGGACAGCTCGCCAAGTCACGAAATCTCGTTATCTATCCGTACCAGAATAGACGCTGGGATGCGGACTTCCTTGCTCTCAAGAAGCTGATTGCCCTCCCAGCCTCTGATTCTAAATCACTAGGGACCATAGTCGAATTCGAGTCCCAGTGCGTGCTGTAGTTGGTTTCCTATTGAAGATGATTAAATTAAGTCCACACAGTTACGACCGCTATCGGAAAGGATTGAAGGGGACATGGAAGGATCAGCCTCTACCAGCGAACGGTCAACTATATGATCTAGGGACTCACATCATTGATCAGACTCTCGCACTTTTCGGACGTCCGACGAAGCTGACGGCGTTCGTCCAAAACACCAGAGGCGTAGGACACCCCGAGGTGGACGACACAGTACGCTATAAGAATACGAATCGTGATTGCACCACTCATTCAAAGCTCCGTTTATAGTTCTCCGTCTACATGCATTATCCCGCAGGATCTGCATTGCCTCACCCGATGACTGCCATCCTTCGAGCTCATATCCTCTCTGTCCGTTCGTCGCAACTGCGGTACCTCGTCCGTGGGACACATGGATCATATACCAAGTATGGCGTGGACGTACAGGAAGACCAACTGAAGACCTTCAACGACCCAGCAATTCAGATACACGCAGAAGGGTTTGGGAAGGAGCCCGAAACACTTTGGGGCACATTGGAAACTATCGGACACGATGACCAGATCACTACAGCAATGTGAGTGCGCTTCGATCCTTCATTATCCACACGTTGATCCGACTTCACGTATAGTTGGCCATCTACCGATGCAGGATCGTACATCAATTTATTCAAAAACCTTGCAGCCGTTATAAGGGATGGTGCTGAGGCCGAGATTAGATGGGAAGAAGCAACAGCTGTCATAGAGATGGTGGAGCTTGCCCACCAAAGTTCGAGAGAAGGCCGCACTCTCGAAGTTCCCAGTGCAGCCAACTAATCATTCCATTTCACTCAATGCTGTGAATCAGAATCTTCGGAATCAAACACGGAAGTAGATGTGACAGTCCTAATATTCCCACGAGTGCTATAATTCGATCGATATTGCAACGGGCACATTGAACTGCTGATCATCATCTACAGCCTACACAGGCGTGTGGCCACCGCAGCGCTTATAAGCCTCAGGTAATCGACGATGGCGGTAATAACCTGCACTGCAATCACACACCCTCCCCCTCTTTCAACACAGTCAAGATGGGTCCTCGCGGGGCGTTAGCGGTTTCTTTAGGCAAAACGGCGGCCCAGATCGCTGCAGACTTTGCGCCCATCCCCGGGCTCATGGGTGCTGTCGAGCTCCTGTGTGGCATTGTCCAGCTCTGCGAGAACGTCACTTCGAACAGGTTCACTGTGATTCACCTCTATTGTTATGCACTTCGTTCACCTATTTGGTACGAACAGGCACGCGGCTTTCCAGCTTCGCGATCGATGCCATACGATGTTGCTCGCGTTCAAGGACAGCCAGCAGGGCGCAACCTCTGGGAAGATTAATGAGGCCCTCAATGCTGTTGAAGAGTGAGTAAATAATGCCACCATTTTATTACCGTCTTGTACTCGATGTGGCTGATGTGGATTCGGGGATGATCGTCACAGCTGCCTCCTTGATATCAAGACGAAGATGGATGGCTGGACCAAGATTGGTACCATCAAGGGGTTTACGCGGCAAAGAGAGATTCAACAGGACATCGAGCGCTGCCACGAAGCTATATCGGATTGTGTCGCTAAGTTCCAGGTACGACGCTGAATCTTATAATGCGTTAAATCACCGCTGGATGTTACCCCCCTCCCCTTAGTTGGTTTCGCATATGGAGCTTCACCAGTGGCAGCACCAATTCGAAGTCACTGCGAAGCAAGACCATGACGAAACGTGCGCGTACCTCGCTGAGATACAGAATGGCCAACAATTGACCCAGCAAGACATCATGCAAAACACGGAGCTTACTCGACAACTTATGGGCATGGTGCAGCAGGTATGGTTAAGACTATATCGACATCGCGCTGCAGGCTGCTAAACACAATCTTGCATAGCTAATGCAGAAGAGCAACGAAGACCATGATCGAACCTTCAGCGGTTTATCGAGCAACTTGCACCAACTCCAAGTTCACTCCGGTCAGCTTCTCCCGGATCTGAATCTCAAGTCCGGAGAGGTTCAACGCGTAGGGACACACCCGGTCAGCGGGTCGGCGGCCATGGATATATACGAAGGGTTGTACCTCCAAAGAGAGAAGGTGGCCATCAAGATTATCCGTGCTGTCAATGCCTGCGAGCAAAGTTTGCGGGTGGGTAACGCGATCTCTCTGGCTTGAGTCACTAGGCGCACCTCAGGCTGACGCGTCGGAATTAGAGGTTCAACAGGGAAGTCAAGATATGGAATGAAATATACCAAATGGACCATGGAAAGCACATCCTCCCTTTCTACGGGTTCTGCCAGAATGACGGCCCATATCCGTATGTCTTCATGACTTCACATGCCCGGTAGAATCTGCCTCTTAGAACTTGGTGATAGATACATGGTCAGCCCTTGGATGAAGAACGGATCGGTCATCAACTATGTCAAAAGTAACGACAACCAAGTAGACTATAGGAAACTGGTGGGTCTACGCTGGTTATAGTTGCGGTCGTATATTCATTGAGCCCTTGCTTTCCAGGTCAAGGGAATTATGGAAGGGGTACAGGTCCTGCATACGATGCAACCACCTGTAGTACATGGGGATCTGAAGGGCGTAAGTGGTTTATCTTGGATGACGGTTCCTTCAACAGTTTGATCGTTACTGCTGCAGAATAACATTGTTGTTGATAACTACGCAAATCCTCTCATCGCAGATTTCGGGCTGTCGCAGGTGCGTTGATAACCGCGAATTCATTGGAAGGTACTAATGTTTTCCCTATCATTGATAGATAGTAGAAGACATAACCGGGATACCATTCACCCAAAGCCGCGGTGTATCAGATTCCTACCGGTGGTTTGCCCCGGAAGTTTGCGTCGGGCAGGGAACACTATCTGTTGCTTCGGATATCTATGCCTTGGCGATGACAATACTCGAGGTAAGAACGAACCGTGCATCTGCTCAGAGTTCTGTTACTAACGACCTTTTGAAGGTCTTGACACATAAGCAGCCCTTCAATCACATCAAGCATACGACGGAAGTAGTCATTCGCTCTGCCCGCGGTGACCGACCAATACGACCGACCGACCAACGTGTACTTGAGCGTGGACTGGATGATAATCTTTGGATGCTCTTGAATCAATGCTGGGCTTTGGAGGCGACTGACCGACCAGATATACAAGAGTTGATTCAGCGTCTGCAATAGATACCTATCGCTTCTGTCAAGTTATGTACGTTTCAGCATTCTATATCACAACAATACTACTGTTCCATCAATAATAAACAACCCAAGTGGTATCGTCAACAACTCTTGATGTACGTATGAGAACGCGCCCGTAAGGATACAGTGGATAACAACGGAGAATAAAGAAGATACGTTGCAAGAAAAGCAAGATAGATATGTCATTGAAAGGAGTTTACCGAGGATTGGGACGGTAGCCGCTGTAGCTTTCGCTAGCTTTCCGTTCCATGATTTCACGAAGAGGACCGAGTAAACGAGTGAATGCTGCAGCATCAAGCGCAGCAGTCTTCAGCTTCGGGGCCGAAGGGTCGGGCCTATAAGCGGCACTGACGGTGGCTGCTCGGGGGGCAAGGCGGAGAAGGGATAGTTCTGATACGTAAAGTCAGTGACATTAGACATCGGGTTCGTAATACCAGTGTGGACGTACCACCAAAATAATCCCCCTTCTTGAGATGTCCGACTTCAATCTCTTCACCACCTTCATGGCGCTTCGTCACAACTGCTTCACCATCTTCCACGAAGAAGAAGGTGTCCCCCATCTCTCCCTGCCTAACGACAGGCTGCCCGTCTTCGTACGATCGGCTCTGCAGCGCGTCTGCGATTTTGCTTCGTTCGGGGGGATCCAGAGACGATAGAAGGGATAGCGAGGAAAGGAATTGTTCGTACATGGTGCGTCTGCGATGTGCCGCTTTCAGGATGATGGTCCGGAATGTTATTCGGTCCACTGCCCACAAGACAGATGGTTGTTTTGCGAGAACCGTTGCAGCACGAGGGTGCCCATACATCAGCGCGAGCTCACCGAAGGAGTTCCCTGGCGTGCATTTTGCGACTTCGCGGCCGAACTCTGGGTGGTAGCCTGGCTGGACAAACGCAGTCCCCGTGTCCATTACTATGGTGCCGGGGCAGTTCTTGTTTTCTGTGACCCATGATGGGGGGAGAGGCTCGGCATGGATGTAGCAATGCAGCAGGCCAGATTCGACGACATAAAAGTATTCGCCCACGTCACCTTGCCTAATCACCACTTCGTTGGTGCTAACCCTCTGTTCCTGCATAGCATTCAGTACGCCCGTCTCCTGCTCCTCGTCTAGATCTCTGAAAATGAAGTTCTTGCCTATTGAGGCTCTGATTCTGCTGAGTTGTTCTGGAGTTTTTTGGTAGACGGGTGTAGGTTCGTCGTTCCCACTGTCAACGAGGATTGACTCGGCAGAAACAGACGTTCGGCGCGCAAAAATGGCAGACATGGGAGGGTGTAGATAGTCTCCTGGGTTCGCATTCACTGCAGACAGGTTATTGTTGCCGTCGAATCCAGCGAATGGGTTAGGAACCCCTGTGGTGAGTGGCGATGTCGGTGCCATGTCGCGGCCATCGATCTGAAAAGTGGGTGGTCCGTCCTGATCTTCGGACAGCAGAGCATTTCCGGGAACGTTGAGGGTGCCGAACGGACTTGGTTGATGAGATATGCTACCTCTCAGGCTGACACTGTCTCTTACACTGACGCTGTCCCTCAGTCTCTCGATGGCCGGGAGTGAGGCCTTATGTGACAATCGAGGAGGCGTCGCGACTGTGAATGGGGAGAAGGACGACTGCATTGCTGTGCCATTTGCGACGGTGTCGAGCGGGGTATCGACATATATCTCTTTTGGCAGGGAACCTGTAACCGAATACGAGCGCTGGGCCAAGATGTCTCGTGTGCGAGCTCGCTGTTCTTCCAGGCGGGACTGGAACCAATTTGCGCAGAATTGAAGGGCGTCTTTTGGCTGCGCACGATGCACATCGCGCGTGAGGTCGTCGACGAGGGTGTCGAAGGTCGACATTTGGGGGAAAGGGCGAACTGGAGATGGGTAGCGAAGCTAAACCTTTATATTGCCTCAGCCATTTGCCTTTTCCGTCAAAACAAGGCCAAGAACCACGTGAGTCTCACGCGGATTTACTTCCTACATCAACTCCATTGTCAATGACTGCGAGCTGCTGCGCGACAAGGTCGCCCTTTCACATCGGGACAATGCACCGTTGAGCTTTCATCGAATCAACCAAGTGAACTTCAAAGCATGATCATAGGTACATAGTGCAGAGATACCATCTAATCAGCGTCCCTCCCAATGAACCCTTTATCCTCTTTGGTGCCCATACTCGTTATTGTCGCTTTGTACATAACAAACGTTCTATTTGGAATGCTGTGTCGGTAGTATTTCCTAGACGACAGCCCGGCCCACAATATAACTTTATGGTGGTGAAAATTGTATACATGGCAGGTCAACGTATGTTCGACCTTCAGGGCTGGCAATGACACGAATTTGAGACATAAGGAGCCCCCATACGAGGAAGACGGAACAGAGATTTGATCTCCTCAGTAGTCAAGAGACTGATTGTCAGGCCGAAACAGACGCGTTGGAATCGGCGCAACTTCTGAAAGTAGCACGGTTTACTGGTGGTGTTCTCCGATTCAGCCCACATTGTCGCAGAGAGACGACGCAGTAAAAGGACTCACGATGAAGCCATTGAGAAGTCGGTTGGTACGATATTCCCAATCTTGTTGCATGTATTCCAGGCGTTTCTTGAGCTTCGTAGCGTGGAACTACATTATAGGTGTGGCAGCAGCCTCATGAATGCAACCCGCTACTGGGGGAAGTTTCTTTACCAGAGTATGGCACAGAGCGAGGACAGTTGGTGCGTAAAGTCCGAAGCATCGACTAGCCTGAATCAGGCTAAAGGGCTTGCACGGAAGTGTTGTAAGAAGAGATACTCGTTAACGTCTTCTGGAATCAATCAGATACGATTCCAATCCCATGTCTGTCTTGGGTTCACACAATAGAGGTATTCACCGTAAACAAAGTATTGCGTAAAAATACTCTGCGCAATGCATGTATTCGTACCTAGAAGGATCCTACAAAGGATGACAGTTATGGCCCCTAGCCCCAAGTGTCATCCCTGTCAGTACCCCAAATCGGCCAGTTCATTGAGGTCTTTGACGATGTCTGTGGTTTTGTAGTATTCCCATTGTTCACTGGCGATTTGATCGGTCTTGTCTGCACCCTCGCCCTCCCCATCGTTCCCTTCTGCCTCCCCCGGAAGCCGAACGCCTTGCGCCCACTTGAAGAAATTATCTTTATCCCATATCTGCTTGACACGGCGCAGCTCTTCAAAGTTGCCCCCAAAGTATGCCCTTTCGTAGGACTTGATCGGGGAATCTGAGTCGGGGAAGTTGATAAATGCAGCCTCTCCATTCAGAGAGAGAGGCCTCAACGCGTCCTTGACTGTCGTTAGGAATCTCCTCATGTCCCGTTCCATCCACTTGTCAACCCACTCCACCGTGATATACGTATGGAACACGGCTTCACGCCAGAAGAAGGCAGAATCGGTGGGCTTCTTTTCGATAGCTTTCCCCCCAGAATGAATCCAAGTGACCAAGAAGTTAACCTGCTCGCCTTTGAAGTCGGCCCGGAACGAAGCCATGAGATCTCGGACGATAGCGATGGCCTTCTGGATGACGCCCTTATTGTCTTTCGTAAACATGAAGGAGCTGTAAAGCTCGTAAGTCTTGTTCGCGGGGTACGCTCTTTCGGTCTCTTCTAGCCACTGATTGACCAGCGTTTCGTAGAGAAAACGTGTCGACGATTCAGCGAGGACTCTTCGTTTGAGCTGGACCTTGAGTTCTTCGTTCTTGATGTACTTGTCGATGATCCCATCGTAGTCGGCCTTGCTGCCGTCGAAGGTGATAGCGAATCTAATCCCCCCGAGCTGGGCACTCTGCCGGAGATCGCATATCCAGGTCGTGTCAATGGTGATTTCGTTGGGCCAGTCAGTGGTGTAGAAATCGATCATGGTGGAGATGATGTCCTCGGTGAATCCTGCTTTGGGGAACCATTGATACCTCCCCGCCACGACCGTGCCATCCTGGTTCCGCAACTTCTGAACACGCAACTTCAGCCTGACCACAACACCAAAATTACCACCACCCGCCCCACAGAGGGCCCAGAAGAGTTTGCCCTTGTCAGATTTGGGGTTATCGGTTTCCTTGACGGTGATTAGCTTTCCATCCGCTGTCACGACATCAGCCTCCATCAGCGTGTCGCTCCCCATCCCAAAGCTTCGAGTGAATGGACTGAGTCCACCTCCGAGTAGGAAACCACTGACTCCGACAGTAGGACAACGGCCGCCATTGATGACGAAGCCCTTGTGTTGACCGTTGATGAGGGTCCCATAGACGTGACCCCACTGACAACCGGCATCGAACGTGACGGTGTTTTCCTTCATGTCGAGCTTGACCTCTTTCATCTTTCGGAGGTCGAGGGAGATACCCTCGGAGGCGGTTGAGTGGCCCGCATAGGAGTGGCCTCGGCACTTGATGGTAATCTTGAGATTCCTCGACTTGGCTTCCTTGATGATGGTTTGAACATGGGCAGCAGACTCCGGCTGAGCAACACATCCAGGTCTCGAGAAACGGTACAAGAAGTTCGCGGTCGCGATGGCGCGATCGTACTTGGGCCGGCCAGGCTCGAGGACGGGTATACCTTGGGATTTGAAGACCTTGATAGCGTTTTCCATGTCTTGGACCTTGTAAGACGATACGTCGGGGTGCGCTCAGTGTTGTTTTCGTCTCCAACTTGCTATGCTGCGAGAGATTTAATGAAGGTAGTGTCCGAGTGACATGCAGGGAGACTACTTACAAATGTATAGCGACGACAGTCAGAGAGTGAGAGAGGCAGAGGAGCTTGGTTTTAATATGGGTCCGCGTGGAACCAAGTTTTCGGCGTGCCGGAGATGGCATCGCATCGAACGATTCGACGTCGAAAGAGAAAAGCCAAAACGCATGTCGTTAAGATGTTGAATCAGGTTACGACCAGCCAAGTACATCTGGATCTGCGACGTCAACACGACATGTATTCAAATATACATTTGGGTCGCTGCCAACTTTAGTTGAGTCATAGAAGGACTCGGAGTATGGTGCACTGAACCCTGCTTCCTTGCTAGCTCCAACGCAGTATAATTTCCAAGCTGTTGTCTGGTGGAGAAGATTCAGATTTGAGCAATTGACGCACCTGGCGAGCTTAGCTTGAGGCTTGAGGACGAGGACAGGGAGGAAGTTGGATGTATGGTTAGCCAAATACATTATGTAAACAAGCCGCTAACCGAGATTGGAAACTCCTCCCAATGAGGAGATTGCGGCGATTTCCTCTTCGGGCAACAACAACTACTGACGATCATGTAGGACGAGTGCTCGGTGCTCATCGCGGCGACTCTGCTCTAGTCTCATTGGCTCGCAGTTCCATTGCTACGACCCCAAGTCACAAATCTCTCGTTGCTACTGTATTGATTTCATATTCAATGGTTCGCGTTGATGTCCTTCTGTTGTGACATGATTCAACTGTTAATGACCTCTCCTTGAACGTTTGAACCCTTCCATTTGATCTTTCCTGCCGGCGATGTACACTCCGGATCCCAGGTCTAGGCATCAACTATCGAATGGTGATATCCTGGCGAGCTCCTTTGTCTACAGGTTTAAAAAGAGCTTACCGTTGCCCCTTCCTCTGAGTACCCACTACCTATCATGTCAATCTTTGACGATGCCCGCAAAGGGACCCTCAATAAGACCCGCCTCAATAGCTACCTCTCCAACAATCCCAACGTCCTCGACCAACAAGAGCCCCGCTCAGGCCTGACCCCGTTGGCCATCGCAATCGTTCAGGGTTTCCCAGAAGAGGTTGAACTTCTCCTCAAGAGCGGCGCAAATCCGGGCGGTCTCTCCGGAAATGGAGCAACCCCCCTCCTCCTCGCTGCCTGGAGAACCACGAAGGAGCGTCCTCTCATAATTAAATTGCTCCTCGCCAAGATCCCCTCCGGCGATGTATCCATCGATGCCACTATTCCTGCTGCTCAGAACAACACCCCGCTAATGTACGCCGTCAAGAACAAGGATCTCGATTCGATCCGAATGCTGAGAACCGCTCGAGCCTCTTTAACTATCAAGAATGATGAAGGTTTCAACGCGAAGGAGGTGGCAGAGTCCTTGGCTGACATGGCTGTCGTTCGCGCGCTCGACCCAGAAAAGGAGACCTCTGACCTCACCAAGCTAGCGGCGTTGGCCCTGGGCTTCCTGCTCTACATTGTTGCCTGGGTGAACACCGCCCTGGGCGGCGTTATTCGCCGGGTATTTGGGCTGAACCCCGAAGTAGACAAAAACACCGACCAGGTATGTAGACCCCAATAAAGCATAATGAATTATGTCTCCTCACTCAGCATAACAGAAAGTGAATGGTCCAGCCTTGACACCGAAGGAAGAGTTTGTGAAAAATGTGGATAAGTTCGTCAAGGGCACCCCATTGGAGCGTTTTTTCAAGGATAAGAAGGACTTTATATAAGGCCTGGCACAGAAGGCTATAGACCTCCAGGAGGATACCGAAGGCGGCGACGAAGATGATTTACAAAAAATGATCAAGGTGACTTTGCATCAGCAAGTGATATACTGCGGTAATTTCGTCCCAATATTGACAAGCCCGCCGTTCGCTTAATTTGAATATATCTGTAGATGATAGTTCCTCGATGAAGCGTGAAGACCGGTGGGAAAACCAGAAGAAACTCATTAAACAGATCACCCAGATCACCACTCGCATCCTTCCTGAGGGTGAAGGCGTTGCGCTGCGCTTCATCAACCGGGACGTCGGCAACGCGTCTAACCTGACCCTCGCGGAGATAGGGAAGATCTTGGACCCCATGCCGTGGCAACCTGGAGGTAACACCGAGATTGGCACCTATCTAAGGTCTAAAATTCTTCAGCCCCTCGTCTACTCCAAGATCAAAGATAAAACGCTTGAGAGACCGCTCCTCATTTCCATCATCACCGACGGCATGCCAGAACCGGAAGACAAGTCCGAGCTGGCCAATGCCATTGTGGAATGCGGCGATGCGCTACAGAGCGCCGATTATCCTCGCGAAAGTATGAACATTGTCGCCATTGCCATATACCTGAAGTGTCCCCTCTTAACTAAATGCATCTCCACAGGCGTGAAATTCATGATTGGCCAGATCGGGTCGGCGACCTCCTCCACGAAATTTCTGGATTCCCTCAGAAACAACTCGGCCATCGCTCCAGTCATTTTTGTCACTTCAGGTCAGTGTCCTAATCAGTTGCGCGCGCGGAATGACGTGCTCACTTCTTTCTCGTCATAGATCGGCTTGATTCCAAGTTTGCGGATTTGCGTCAAAACTCTCGGGAACTAGATCGATGGGTGAGCGTCGCGTTCGCCTGGCTTGGGTCTTTGGCTGAATTATCCCTCTTCTAGTTAATTGAGACCTTGTTCTCACCCCTCAAGGAACCGGACACCAAGAAGACCCAGTAGAGTGCCACCAGTAGACATACTGTCCTTTCGCCTTCAATTCGTGATTATTAGCAGGCTTTCGATTTTACATGACTTGACACAGTGACCGCGTCTTTACTTGATCAATACTTACTTTCGATTTTGACAAGCTCTTCGCCTGGGGCTAAGCCCCTAACCTCGCAGTGTCAGGTTCTTGCTGTATTGTGACCATGATCGTGGGGCGTGGGTGAGTTCGTGTTCAAGGAAGTAAACCCGCGTGAGATCCAAGTTGTGCGTGTTTTGGCAACGCGGTGAATGAATTACAGCACGCGTCCGTTGACCGCGGGCTACATACAACGAGTTCGTAGACGAGGGCGGAACACACATGCCAGTGGAAAGCATTCATTATATAAGTCCATTTGATCCGCGAACTTGAAAGCATGTTTATAACTAGTACAAAAAGATAGCCTAACACCATCTACTAATCAGCGTCGTCGACCCATTCGCCCGCCAGCACCCTCTCAATATATTCCTTTATCCACTTTGGCTTCCGTGCGTGCGCGTCAATCAGTGCTTGTCTTCGCTCGTTGAAGGCTTTATATTCGACCGACCGCCTCTGACGCTCCCCATTGTCGTCCCCTTCATCACCCCCTTCGACCTCGCGCTCCTCAGAATTTCGGATGACAGCCTCCGTGCGTATCCGGCCTTCGCGTTGTCGAAGCGCCACACGTCGCCTATTCCACGCCGCAGGATGAAGTGTCGTAAAGAACAGAATAATGAACGTAGTGAGTTTGGTGAGGAAAGATATCCGTTGGATAGGCATGCGGTCGGCTGGAATATTCAGGAAATAATCCTCAGTCTGAATGTTCATCGTCGACAGAGTGTTGAAAGCAGCGGTAACTTGTTGTTCGAGAGTAGCTTGACCACGGGGAGCAGCGGCGCCAGGGCGGCCGTGAGGAGCAGGTTGTGGAGCGTTTCCTTGATTGCCCTGAACTGGAACTGCGTTGTTACCTTCTTGAGCAGCAGCAGCGCCAGCGCCCGGTTGTTGACCAGCCGGCCTCCCCAGTTGTCCAAACCAGTTCCGTATTGCCTGCCAACCCTCGTATGTCACCCACATGATTACCAACGCTGCGAAGACCGGTTTCCTGATCGGCGCGACAAAATACAATAGCAAAACCGTTCGTAGGAGGAGCATCGAGAGCGGAACGATCAAGCGTCTGAACGGGAGGTCAGCAATGGCCCCGCCCTCATTTTGCGCATTCACGTTGACGTTGACGTGATTGACTGCAACTCGTTGATTGGCGCCAGCGGGCAATTGGACGCGAGGGAAGCCGAGCTGTTGGAGGAGGTCGTTGATGTTGGGTGGAAGGTGGATCTGATCACGTTGTAAGGGGATGCGAACGACCGTACCGTTAGCAGAGCGTTCGACGGTGTGAGTAGGGGTCGGGTCGGGTCGACGCTGGGCGCAATGTACCATAACCGGGAAAGTGTACGTTAGGATCTTCAAGGCATGAATCTGTGTGGGTGTAGGCCTCGCGTGAGGCTGCAGGAGTTTAAGATACTGGCGCCCGCTAGAACAAAGAACGTGTCAGAAGGTAGCATCTTGACACTCTGGTGACGGCTTACTCGGTTTCAGTGACTTCGTAAATTGCCTGCCCCGCATCCTTCTCTCCAGCAGGGGGATACTCCTCATCCAATTGTGTTGGCCATTCGTATCCCCACCGAGTCAGCGTGTCTATCGACTTCTTTCTACTTTGTGCGATCCACTCGTCAGAGATCGGGGACTGTCTACGGCTACCCGCAAGTGTCAGCAGAGCGTTCCTGTGCAGGTAGGCGACGTATGGTATCATTTCGTCCTCTCGCTTGCGGTTATTCGGCATAGGGGGCGTCGGTGACGGAGTCGTATGGGTGGGTGTAGGGGACGGTGTGGAATAGGGCGGTCGGGCGGATAACGGGTGTATAGACGCAGGCACGTCGGGCGCCGGCGCACCCATTGAACTTGTTCCAGGAGCTGAGGGAATGTCGGGCGGTGTAGTCGTCCAGCCAGACGGATGGACGGCCAGGAGGACAGACCGTGAAGAGTCGGGTGACTGATAAGCGGATAATTGAGCTCATTGCGGTCTTATATGATAGAGAAACGAGAAGTGAATAGAGAAGCCTGTGATGTGATGGTGCACCGGTTCAATGCACATAATTGATGACCATTGGGATGCTTGGTGCAAGAAGCAGCGCGGAGGGTGGCAAGCACGAGGCGAAGTGTCGTTATTAATGTGAAAGCTCACCTTCCAGAGATCCTCGACTTTCTCTGCGTTTGCAAGAGCCCTTCCTCTCCAGATGATGCGCTGCCCCTCTACACTCGGATTCCCTGCGCATCTCTGATGGACCAAGGCCTTTACATCCGCAACGGATCCGTTCAACGGTGCGTCGACCGTAAACGAGTAGAGATACGAAGGAAGCTCGACGCTAAGCTGCACGGTGTCCGGCGATGGCGCATCCATGGCTTTCCTTCTTTCAAAGAAAGGGCTTGGACTTGGAGGTATGTTGAGAAGGAGTGAATGGTGACACTGACAGATACGTGGAACGAAATGGCACGTGATCCAGCATCTTATACGGGCGCAGTGTTTTAGCCGTATACCATGGCCTCCCAAACACAAATCGGGGACTCAGCCTCTGGTTCATTTTTTGCGGATATCCTCAAGCCGGGCTCATCGCTGCACCCCACATTCCTTCTCATCCTCGACCTTGCATTCACCGCGCTTCTTTTCGTTTTCGCTGGCCTCGCCTTCATCACAAATGGCAACTTCCACGTTTTCGCTCTCATTGCTATAGAGCTAGGCCTATGGGCTAGTGTCAAATGGTTCGTACTATGCCATCTGAACTGTCATGACCATTCTAATATTGCCTTAGGTTCGTTCATGAGCTCAAAAGACTGGGGCCCCTTCCAGACACGACGGAAGCCTCACAGACGGGAGAGAGCAAGAAGGATCTATGATTCGTACACATCGTTTATCTTCGACCTTTGTTGCTTTCTTCGTACCACCGTTTAGATCGCTTCGTGCTCTCCTGCGCCAGCCCAAACACTAGTCATACATCAGCATTCGGTCAAGGCATGCGGAATCATTGTCACATACGTTCCCTTTCAGTTCCATCAAGTCCCTCGCGGAACAGTTGCGCAGAGTCGCCTGAAGAACTGCCACCGCCAACGGGGCCCAGCGCAGCGAAGTGCTGAGCTTGGTCGACGATTTCTGTCAAACGTCCACGGAAAGCCTATAGTACACACAATGATGAGGGTGGCATTGTTATCGTCCGACAAATTTAGCGTACTTTTGTCATTGCGTCGGACATTTCTTCTGCTTGGTCGTCGTCGAGTCTATTGATATTTTGTTGGCATGTCTCATATATAAATGTGCGGAACAGGATTCGACTCACATGTCCATGACGGCTTTACCGAAGCCATACCACAACCCTCCTGAGCCAACGAGACTCGATAACCGTACGCTCCTCGGCTCAGCCTTCAGCGCGTTCCGCACTTTCGCGTTAAACGGTGTTGGGATGCTGAAGTCGGCCCAGTCCCTAACAGATCATTAGCCGGCGACACACATGACGCGACGTGCTGACGATACGGACGAGTAGATGATGGTGTACGCAAGCCAAAGCGGTATTTGGCGTTTACTGAGCATTTTGATCTAGGCATTTGTGTATCAGTCTTCTTCGTGAGGGAGTGCGGAGAATACATACGTCCCGCTCGTTCCCTCCGCCTAGATGACCCATGTCCGGAATATCATATTTGAAGGTACACTGAAGTTTCTGGTTTTCGGCGAGGATGGACTCGATCGAGAAGTAATCATATTCCATCAGAGCCTCTGGTGAGTGAAAGACGTTCAGTTCGAAGACAGGTGAAAGTGCCGTATAATGAATCGCGATCATGTGATCGACAGATAAGATAACCTGTTTTGCATTGAACTTCAACTTGCGCGCTGCCCTGTGCCAGTGACTCTGACCATGGATCCTCTAGATTCACCTGCAGATGCTGGTCCTTCTCAAGCCCCCGCTCGGCCACTGCCAACGACATCGATATACGCCGTCGAATACCCCGGCTATGTCAAGCTCAGTTCCGTCCCACAGGCGATCGAAAACCTTGGCGGCCAAGCCTGCCTCGAGAACGCGTTCAAACGGACCAACGCCGACGGCCTCGTCGAGCTGAAACTGCGACCACATAACCCGTTCTCACATCCGATTCCAGGCGAAACCGTGGCTACGAATAACATAGTCCTGAAGATCGTGAAGCGCAAGCGCAAGCAAGCAAGGGCGCCGTATGCGGATGGGTTCGAGGGAGAGTACACCGCTACGGCGGTAGGAGTCGCTACGAAGACCGTGAGGTTCCGGAGTGAGTGAGCTGCTTGGTTGTTGGAATCGCAGTGTCTAGACGCCTTGCAGGCATGGCGGACTACCAGTACCAGCCGAATCCCGATGATAGTCTGGTAAAACTGAGACATGCTATGGAGACTATGGATAGTGAGTCATGTCTCTTCATCTCAGTAACGTCGTCTCATGGTCTCAGTCCAGGGTATCAGGAGCTATGCCTTTCCCGAAGAGAAAGAGGATTATGGTATCGAAGTTGGGGCGTCTTTGTCTTTAGCAGGCCCCGTTCCGAGGCACGCGACGGACCCGAATTTAGATCCCCAGCTCCTCATAATGACAGAAGAACAGGACTCGACATCTAGCCCAATACCGTCAACCGAAGGTCCACAGGCAGAACCTATCACCACTGCTAGCAACCTCAGAATGTTCCCTCCTCCTGTCTTCAGCCGGCAACTCATACCGATGAACTATGGGTAAGATCTGTAGAACCAAACATCCGCCGCATAGCTGAATTTCGTCTGTAGGTATAAAGCCAACCCAGCTTCCGTAGTATCCACTGTGGTGGACGAGAAAACGGGCGAAGAGAAGAAACGACTGATTAATAGGATGCGTTGGAAAGGCCTTGGGCCTGCTTCCATCATGTTTCAAGACGAGAAGGTTGGCTATGTTGTGCCTCTGACACTACGGAATGTGACAGATTACTGCTCTGTATTAGGTCCCGGACAAGCCACCACAATCGGTTGAGGCCATGCGCTCGCAAATGGACGGCACATTACTACAGAAGATGCAGGAGGTATGTGTCCATAATCTTACTGTAATCATTGAGGCGATAGTCTGACGTTTATATCTCGTAGTATTTCGCTGTACGTCCAATATGGACGAGGCATGCTCTAATGAATCAGTTCTCCGTAGCTCAAGCTCGAGAAATTGTTAAGTACGTTTACTTTCATATTGCGGATTGTTAGAGACGAGACGGTGATAATTGACGGGTCACTCGAAGCTCGAAAGTCCTCCTGCCGCTGGTGTGTTACGTATTTCAAGATGGGCCGTACAGAGACACGCTGGTCCGCTTTGGCTACGACCCTCGGAAGGATCCCTCAGCCCGATTGTCAGTTGGCTTTCCTTTCTCTGGGTTATGTGACGAATGATGAATGCCGAACAGCTACCAGCGGATATATTTTCGCAATTCCAATCACCCTATAGAGCGGCCGTCCGTTGTGAATAAACGACAGGAACGCTCTTCTAGAACCGAAGACCATGGAGGCTCCTCCGAAGCTGAGAGAAAGTTAGTGCGTTCTCGCTCCTTCTGAACAACATGCACTGATACGCCTTCCAGAGGCTCGCACATATTCGACGGCGTCACCTTAACCAAGGAGACCGCCGCTTTTCAGTTATGCGATATTACGGACCCCATGCTCAAGCAGATGATCGACGAGTGCGACGATCTTCGTGATGTCTGCAATGTGAGTACGCTTTGCGTGAAGTATGACCTGTTAACCCATCTTTATATATCAAGGAACGAGATGGCTGGTACACCACCCATTCGTTGGAACGAATCAAGACGATTCTGCGGCACAAGTTCTTCTCGCTGCTAGATGGATACCCGGCTACGGACGAAGAGTGTGCTGTGCTGCTCGAGACGCAAAGCGGGCGGGAAAGACTGGCATCACGGCATGTTCCTAGACCGGGCAAACATAATATGGCGAAAGGTGCACTTCGTCCGGAAGATGCTGCAGTAAGTCATTTGCTTCATGTCCTCAGCTCATCGCGATGCGTATGCTAAACATTTTCAGGCCCTGCGATTACGGGCTACGTTGGATCGTAGCATCAAAAATGTACCCAGTCAAAAACAATGAATCCAAGATACTTCACTATACTGAGCGCAGGACGTTGTCATTGAACCCGTTGTACATCTCAATTGCGTTTCCACCCAGGTCAACGTTGGTGTTTTTGCTTTTGTGGTATGCGAAGGCTGAGGGATGAGCGTACATAGACATATTGGCGTGCATATTATACGAGGCTTGATCTGGACAGGATGGACGTGGAGCCTCTTCCCACTCTACGGCGATCCGTATGCGTATGCGGGACTACCGATTTGTTTTTTTATGATGATTTGGCTGCTAGCCGTGCCTTTCGCTATATGGATAGAATACTTGTAAGTGAGTAATAGCACGGATGTGAAAACGATGAAGCGGGACGCACCGAGCCAACAAGTGCGTGTCTTGCATTGCGACGGAACTATTCGATAGGATTAATCCCTTTGGCATGAAGTAGAGGATATCACTGATCACGAACCTTGGGGTCAACCTATTCACAACAAACATGTCAGTTCCTTGCACATTCGCTGGAAAGCACTGCACGTACACCCTTCAACGACCGTGTCCGGGTAGCCTTCGGGTTCTTGATACCATTTCGGTGGGCCTTCTTGTTCTGGTTGTGATTGGTATGACTATCGGGAGGCACGATGAACACAGTCAGCACTTCAGTCCTGGAGGATGAGCGGTTCCGTGACTCACTTCTTTGATTTGGCCATAGTTTCGACGTCTGAGGGGATTTGGAGACTGTTTACCTTGCTGCCTCTGTATCGAAATTGGTAGCTTCACGGTTCTGGCGCTGTATGGCGAAAGCCGAGAGTGGCTTGATCAACTGTGCAGTCGATACCCGATTGGGAGATATAGCTTAGGGGGAGTTAGGGGTAACGACACTTGGCGTTCAATGTATATCGCGTAGTTCTACAGGTTGAGTATTTGACTCAGGAATAATCCAAGATATACAGCACTATCGTGCCCAAATTGCTTGGAGCTTGGTATTTAAGGGTATCAGGGGACAGCACATCGAGTCTTTCATTATATTGCACACTGATTCCCCCTGATTAGTCGTGAAGATGGGCTGATGGTCGACTGCCTACCTGCAGCGAGTTCCTTACTACTTGCTGTGCTTGCGCTTGGAAAATTTCATGCACCGGCGTTGTAGAGCTTGATTATGCGCGAATAAGTTTTTGTTAACCGCCTGCATGGTTATCCACTCGAGCTTCATGTCCATGGCAGGAAGTGTCCGCCCGTCGCCAACCTCTTCTTCGTCTTTGATCTTTTGAGTGGACGCTAAAAGTCCATCATACTTGGTTTGTAACTCATCCTTCTCCCGTTCCAGTTTAGAAACCTGTCTTTCCAACGAAGCATTCTTAGCGTGCAGCTCCGTAACGTAATACTGGTGGGACGCTAGTAAACTTTCGGTTTGTAGTTCCACACGAGAGGACATGGTCTTCTGGTACTTCTCGAACTCCTCGCGAGCGTCTCTTAATTTTGTGTTCTCCTCGCCCAGCTGCTGGCATGTTGTTTGTAAGCTGATGAGGAGTTCAGTCTGACTTCGATACAATCGTTCTTGTTCTTCCTGAACGACCCTCTGCCGCTCCTGGAGCTCAGAGAGATCGTCGGATATCCTTTGGTTACTGGAAACGTAGAACGTGCTGTGCGTGTGCTGCGTTGGGTAGAGTCGGGGAGGTAGGTGATATGATTCTTCTCGAGGCATGTCGAGCTCTGGCTGTATTGATGTCGGGTACGGCCCAGATACGGAGATTGGAAAGAGTGGCTTCGAAGTATAGAGCGGCTTAATCGAGGTACTTCCCCTCACGGGCTCCCATTCATCGTGGCCACTGATATTCTGAGAACCCATCTCAGTGGAGGTTACGGTAAGGGAGGCCAACAGGGGCTGCGCTGTTATGGCCTGTTTTGGCAGACCGCCCAATGCTCGTTAACTCGTTATTTTAGTGGGCAAACTAGAAAGTAAACTAGCAGCTGGTAATTCGCAGCCTAATCGTCGAGTTGACCTCGATCCCCTTCTTCCTTCTCCCCCTCACCTTCCATGCTACTGTCGCGCTCAATACTGGTGGCCGTTCTCGCTTTCACGACAGCTCTCGTTCAGGCGCAACTCACCGGGCCAGATCCACCATATCTACCGCCGCCTATCTTGGATGGGACCGTTCAGACGACGGTGACGAACAAGACAAATCCCCAGTGGTCGAGGCTGCTGGGGAATTTGCTGTGGTTTTATGAGGCCCAGCGAAGCGGGGAAATAAGCACAGGGTACCCGGGTTCGCGTGTCGACTGGCGGAATGACAGCGCTTTGGACGACGGTATCGACGCTCGGCTAGACCTGAGTGGAGGGTACTATGACGCTGGCGGTGAGATCTACTCTACCTCGTCACAGTGATGGAATCATGTACTGAGCGCTTGATAAAGACTACATCAAAGCCACATTTCCTCTGGTATGTTCGCAGGCAATATTATACAAGGCATGGTTAGCTGATAGGGCACTCCAAGTCCTTTACGTTGATGTCTGTTTGTTGGGGAGGTTTGGATTATGGCAAAGGTAACGTTACTTTCTTCAGTGAGACTCAAGCTCATGTTTGGTCAATAGGTTATGACATGGCCAATCAAACGGCTTACCTTGACGGCATGTTACGATGGGGCCTTGACTGGCTTATAAAGGTGATTTTGAGGTCTACTTTCTTTCTTGTGGGCATGTTCTTACTCACCTTCAGGCTCACCCAAACGACAATACCTTATTCGTACAAATCGCAGATTGTAAGCATTTGATTATTATCATTATTATCTGCACTTTGGCTCACCTCCTACAGCTAAAAAAGACAATAATTATTGGGGGAACGACCAAGATATACCAAGACCCCGGCCGTCATTCCAGATCAACGCAACACAGTATATACTTCCTGTCACCCACAACATCACCCACATCTGACGCGCTTGTAGTCCAGGTACCGACGCTGCAGCGGGTGCTTCAGCAGCATTTTCCGCCTGCGCTGCCCTTTACGCCAACCATTCGTTCCAGGCGCCCTATTCCTCCCCAGCTTCCCTTGCCAACACCACCTACGCATCTATCCTGCTCTCACATGCACATTCACTGTATTCCTTCGCGCAAAACGCGACTGGCGGAAAGATGACGTATCAATCCTCCGTCCCTGTGGTGGCAGATGCCTATAAGTCTTCGTCGTACAAGGACGAGCTGGTCCTTGCGGCACTTTGGTTATCCTGGGCCGCCAGTGCGAACTATACGGGGAGCAGCATCACTAGTGAGTCCTATGCATCATTCTCTCTATTCAAGGTAGGTCTATAACATTCGTCATCTCAGCTCCGAGTACGTATAATGCCAGCGCGCTCTTCACCGAGGCTTCGACTATGTACCGCACATTTGCATTGACGGAAAACCTCGGCGGTAAAGAAGGAGACAAGGTCTTCAACTGGGATGAGAAGACTCCTGGTCTCCCTGTCTTATTTACCCAGATCGGCCTCACGGATCGTATTCCTGGTAGTAATGATGTCGGCCCTTGGAGGAGTGAAGCGGAGAAGTATTTCGACAGATTAGTTACTGGTCAAGGGACTTCGGATTTCACACCAGGTAAGGATTGGTTGACGAGAGAGATGTTGGCGTACTTTCGCTGATCGCTCGTCTTGTTAGGCGGCTTGATGTGGTGGGATGGTGACTCCGATTCGGCGAGTCTGAATCCGGCTATGAATGCTGCAATGCTTCTCGCCCGTTATGCGCCTATTGCTTCTACGACTGAAAAGACGCACAGCTATCTGGTACACTTTACGTTCCTATCATCTCCTCGCATCTGTTCTCACCCTTTCCATCTAGACAACCGCACAAACTCAAATCGACTACGTGCTGGGGAAGAACCCCATGTCAGTGCCCTACATCGTCGGCTCGAACCCCAACTCGCCTCTCAACCCCCACTCGGCTCCTGCGTCTGGCGGCACGTCCGTTGAAAAGATCGACACCGACCCTCCACTCGGTCAGTCAGAGAACATCCTCTTCGGGGCCGTCGTTGGCGGGCCTACGCATCAGGACCTCTTCCACGATATCCGCTCCGATTGGCCGCAGACTGAGGTGGCGTTGGATTATAATGCGCCGTTGTTGACGTTGAGCGCTATGAGCGTGAGCAACGCGCTGGCGAGTGTGGCGGGCGGGGAGAACGTCGATCCGTACTTCACGAGGCTGAAGGGTGGGGAGTATGAGAGGGTCAAACCCCAAGGCAAGCCCTGCGACGCGGTCTTCCCTTGTGACTCCGAGAAGACTGGTCTCGGGCGAAGCGGAACGATCGCAATAGCAGTGGTTCTAAGTTCAGTGGGCTTCATCATATTGGGTTTGCTAGCCTGGTATGTCAGGACTGTTCGGAATAGGACGACTGCAACGGCATAGGACAATTGTATATTCCATATAATCAAGTAGCATATATATATCACGCATGTACACACATTTATTTAGTACACCTGCAATCACGATTAGTACATTGTATTTCTGAGAAATGCGTGCTCACCTCTAGGACGTATCGTTCCTCTTCTTTGAGGCTCTCCAGGTATTCGCCAGCTTCTTCTGCGCTCATACCGTTGTACTTGACCAAGGCACCAACAAGTGCCTCATACACATCGGGCACTGGCCACGTCGGTCCACACAGGTAGAACGCCCCTTTCTCCTCCCTAAGCATCCTCGCCAACTGTTCCGCATCCTCCAACATCTTATGTTGAATATAAACCTTCTTCGGACCGTCGCGGGAGAATGCTAACCCAGCCCGTGTTATCGTTCCATCCAGAATGTAGGCTTCGATTTCTTCGCCGTAGAGATACTCCTGCGACTGATGACGGGAACCGAAATAATAGTACGTTGGTCCGACCTCTTCTCCCTTTTGAGCGAGCCATGCGCGATATTGAAGGAAAGCGCGGAACGGCGCAGCACCAGTTCCAAGCCCAGCCATGATGACAGGTTGTTTATTGCTAGGTGGGAGCTACACATACGTCGAGCAGTGAGTGAGAAATTCAGTATGAAGAATCGCATACAAACCTTCATTACGCTTGGTTTGATGGACACGGTGACCTTCTGTCCTACTTTCAGGCCGGCCAAATAGCGTGTACACTGCCCGTATCGCGGAGCACCTTTGTAGTTCGTTAGAATCGACGATCGAGAAACGGCAAAAGGAAGAACCAACCACTAGGTGTCACCCAGTCAACGGTCACAACAAGCAGGTCGACACGGTTTCCAACTACGGCTTGAGAGCTAGCGATACTGTAGTGCCTCGCCTTGATATCACCGATCAGAGTGCACAATATCTCTATGCCTGGGCGAGCGCTGGGGTACTTCTTCAACACATCTACGAAATGGACTGTATCCTTCTCTGATAGCTTCTTGTACGTAGCTGAACCTTCCGGGGAACCAATAAACTGCAGAGAATGCTTGTCTACGGTATTCGTGGCGTACGCTGCTAAGTCGGAGTAGAAGGATTTAGGTGGATGTCCGAATAGATCTATTTGTTGTTGAAGCGCCTGGAAGATGCTCCGAGTGTGCATATCGCCGCTCTCACTGCTGGGCAGCGGAATAGTGATGAGGCGGTCCGGATCGACACCGTACCACGCGCAGAAATCAAGGACCTCTTGCGCGTCATTCCACCCATGCACGCCCAAAGCCTCACCAATTGCATAGGTGAGCCCGGTACCAGACGTATCGAACTCGAGGTGGAAGACGTTGCGATCGTATTCCACGGGAGTGAGGCGGACGTTTGCCGTGCAGGTGACGAGATAGGTGCGATCGGGAAGTTCAGGACGAAGAGCGGGGTTCTGCGGATATTGTTCGTCCGTTTGTGACGGGCTCGGGGTGTACACCTCGGGGAACACAAGGTGCTTCGCAGCGCTATGCCAGGTGTCCAAACTCGGCCTGGTGATCGAGGACTCTACGTCGTCGGATTCAGTCAAAATAGCATTGAAATTGACACTTTTAAGCGGCGTCCGTCCTTCAGCGTCCGATGGAGTAGGGAGCGACCCAAGAATGACCTCTTCCATGCCAGACCAAGCAATAGAGTTCACTACAGATAGCTGCGCTCCGGGTATGGACTCGTCGAACACTACCCTTGCGAGCTTGTTCACTAAAGCTTCGTTCGCTGCTTTGCCCAAGTAAAGCCGTAGGAAGGCCAGATAGACCAAGACATTCTGAATAGTCTCGTTCGAAGGACCAGAAACGTTGGTCGATCGAGCCGCCAGGGACTTGGCATTGAACAAAAACACTCGCAGTTTTCGGACACTGATGATTTCAAGCGTCTCTGCTGGGAGATTAGAGGGTACTTCGGAGGCAGTCCACGGCGCAACGATGAGGACGGTGGAATGAGCTTTGGCGTATTTGAGAAGGGAGTGAGTTTTCAAAGCGCTATGATCGAAAATTGCCAAAAAGTCTGCATCCCCTCCTGCAGCACTCCCAAGAGGAAGAGAGATAGGTACTGGGAGTAAGCTATCTACTTCCGCACCCGGTGCTAGCACGACACGATCGATGGTCAATCCGCCCTGCAGTGAGAGCACATCATGATCGGTGAGCATGCGAGCAGCGATGTTCTTGGTCTTCAGGAATAGATCTTCAATGAGCTGGGAAAGCGATCCAAATGAGGACTTCGGGGAGCTAAAGATCAGGAGTTTCTTCGTGGTAGGAGGTTCTATACTGAAGGGTGGATTAGACTTCGTTGGCGCGACGAAGGCTATGAGACTCGAGAACGCGTCCTTGTGAGATAGGTATGTTTGTAATTGGCTAGGAACAACGGGGTGAGAATGAACGGATGGTGAGTCCGGGATGGCTACGAGGCTACTGAAGACGTCTGAGAACAAGACACCTCGCATGCCTAGAGAGGGAACTTCGTCGAGTACATGGACCTTCTGGGTGGTGGATGGGAGCAAGCTACGGAACGCCGAATCGTCCCAAGGGCGAAGAGCCTTAACCACCACCAAACCCAGTCCACTGGCGGTCTTCACGTATGCTTTGGCAAGCAGAGCCAGTGGGCCGTTAATTGCAACAATGACGGCGCGTGCACTGGCATCTCCGTGGTATTCGAATAAATCATACCCTGCACCAATCAATACGTCCCGCAACTTTCCTTTAGCATGAAAGGTCTTCGGTCCCACAACAGAATGGCCTATTTCGCGGCAGGTACTATAGTGATCGAAGATATGGATGACGTGCTTGTCCTTGAGTTCATAGGCTAATGTCGTGAAGTCAACGGCTTCTTGGGGAGTAGCGGAAGCAAGAACGACGATGTCCTTGGGCAGCGATGGAAGAGTGTTGGATAGAGACGCGAGGGAGGGCAAGAGCGTGTAAGAATCCCCAACAGGGGTGACATTCGCTACCTGGATAACGAGTCTACTGGTAGGACGAGCGGCTGGCAGCTTCGAAAGTGCCATAGCCATCGCAGCCAACCCAGTCGGCGTGGTGTACGCAGTGAGCACGGATCCCTTTGCCGCCGCTTGGCTCGTCCCTTCGGATAACCTTCCAACCAAGTTAAGACCAGCCCCAGGCCGCGTCTGCATCTCCAGAACTGTTGCGGAACTGCTGTAGGTGTCGGCAAGCTGTTTCGTCAACGGCCCAAAACCAAGCTGTTCGGAAACATCATAGATGTAGACCGCAGAGCTGGCGGAGGACCGGGATGCTATCCATTCGATGATATTCGAAGCCGGAAGATGTGGGTTCTGGAATACGCTATCCTGGAAATGCTTGTGCAAGCCGTTCTGGGGGGTGGAGGGGAGGACCACCATGGTGCAGACTGAGAGCGAATTCACGGTTCGGCGATATTTCGAGCAGCATTTTAAGCTGGTGGTGGTGAGAGATTGAGTGAGAGCGTTTGGTGCAATCCATGCTCAGAATCACGTCTTCGCGGTCATGTGATGGGAAATACCCCTGTGTAAGCAAGTGGATCGGCCGCGGTACACGGCTTCTCAGAAGTAAGTACAGTACAGCAAAGTAAGTATGCCAGGCAAAAAGCAAGTCCACCATCGAGACTTGTTTAAGGGCGTAAAGTGTTGAACAGACGGTCTCCCTGAATTGGAGACAAGTAAATACATGTATAACGTTCTGAGTGGTTGATTTAAAAGACTTACCGCATCCCCAAGACCTGGTTTGATCAGGCCATCAGGAGTAAGTGTCTTGTCCACGCCTGCAACCCATATCTAGTCCGATGTATACATATGTCAGAACCACGGTCAGGTGCATTAATAGAATAACGTTACCTCCAGCTCAGGAAACTGTGTCTGAACCTGCTTCAAGCCTTCTTCCGAGGCAAGTACACACAGGAGCTTGACTTTGTTCACTGAATAACGAGTTAGTTCTGGAGAGTACTTCACGTTTTATACCGGAGGATGAATAATGTCGCTAACCCGGGATTCCCCAATCAACAATCATAGTCATTGCGGCACAGGCCGTACCACCAGTAGCGATGAGTGGGTCAAGGATAAAGACGCGCTCGACAGTAGGGTGGCTCGGCAGTTTAGAGTAATCTGCATTGAAAAATGGAGATCAGCCTCGGATCTTAGGGCATCAGCCTTCCGATACTGACATTCGACGGGCTGCAGTGACACCTTCTCTCGGAATAACCCAAGGTGATAGACCCGTGCATCACTGAAATCAGGACAAGGTTCAGTGACTGTAAATCGCGTAAAAACTGAAGATTTGTACGAACGGAAGGATGTCCAACTATAGGATAAGGGGTTGGTTATCCAAAGACTCATATAGCAATTAGATTGCGTACCATGGCATCAGTCATGCCCAGACCCGCACGTAGGATTGGTGCCAATCCAACCTTCGGAGCAACAACTGTGCCAGTGAACGGACTTATGGGTGATTCCTACAGAGTTGTCGACTTGCTCAGAAAGCTACAATCGGCGGGAATAGTATACGCCGCTCACCCCATCGATCGGGGCGACTTCAATGTCGCGCGTAGCCTCATAAGCTATAGCCTGGCTGATCTTGCTTACAGTCTGTGCATTGCAGAGGTCAGCATGATCCACGATGCGAGTTTAAGAGTGCAATCGCACCTCGCGGAATACTTTCGGGGTCGTATTCTTATCTCTAAGCTTCGTGAGCTCAACACCAACGATAGGGTGCGACACGATGTTGATTGTGTTGGCCATGGGATACGGGGCGCAGTGGAATGGTGGAGATAAAGCAAGTCAGTGAATGAACGTCGCCCACCGCGAGGTTTCCGCAAGGTGGTGTAGGGGCGCGATAGGGGTCGGATCATCGGAAGGTTTCCAAGTCTACGTGGACAGTATCATAGAACTCTATTCCATCGGCCTTATGGTCTAGTAGTATGATTCCTCGTTTGGGTTTCCTGATTCGAGGAGGTCCTGGGTTCAACTCCCAGTGAGGCCCTTTTTGCACCACTTATCACACTGTCCTTGCTTTCGTTTCGGGTGTTAGTGAGCGGAATAATTATTGAATACGAGGATGAAACGGCGAGCCAATCAAAGCTTGAGTACATACATGGTACGGATGGAAAATAGGGAAACAGATTATGCATACGACCCCGCAAGTCTATACGACAAGCAAAGACGCTCCCCCATCTGCAGTCACCCGCGCACGAGTCTTCATGATCATGTAACGTCGTCCCAGACGACTAACCGGCATGCTCGGACCCGACGGCCCGTCCTCTTCGAAGCACCCCAACGCAGAAGGGGCTATGATGAGCGCTTCACCCGTCTGAATAGATTAGCAAAAAATCAATGTCGACGGCATGGGAACTGCTTACCTGCAGCATCACTACTTTGTCGAATGCCTCGCCGCCTGAGATTTCCGCTGATACGTGTTTGACGAGGTGTTCCCACCAGGTGGGCGAAGAGAACCGATGCATAATGGAGATCATACATAGATCCAAGAGCACGGGAGGGATGGCGGTGGGCTCTGCAAACGATCGATCCATTAGTGATTATCCACGATGAGAGGCTTGAGAAGGAACTCACCTTGTGTACTTATAATAACTCGCATGGCAAGATGACGTTGCTGGCGGACGAGACCCAGAAGTGACTGAGTCAGACCAGAGGAAGCACTCGGTGTCAAGTACTGTGTACAGTACGAGACAATGAACGTCAGCTAACATCCGAAATTCACTTGCGAATACGCACTTTGTGGGCTTCGTCCACGACCAACACCTTGCCCGTGTCAACGTCCGCGCGCGTAAATAGCCGTACGAGAATTTCGAAGAGTCCGCAAGCCGACGCGGAATCCATGAAGGGGTCGGATAGGTCGATGATGGTGATTTGGCCTGGTACGAATCGAGATGTTTGTTTCGGGTGTTTCTTCTTGTCGAACATGAATGCTTTCAGCAAGGACATCCGTTGTTCCACCCCGGCTACCTGCGCCGGATTGAAAGTGCGCTTGCGAGTGTTGAGCTCGGTTTGGAAGGCGGAATACGTGAACTTCTCTCCTAAATCGCGAAGGATGGACTAAGGAGACGGTGAGCTAGAGGCGGCTGAAATCTAGACATGTCACCCACAAGTATGATTTGAATGTAAAGCGGGGCCCCGCCCGAACTGCCCACCGCCATCATTGACAGGAAAGCGTCTGCATCGAGCTCCGCTTCCGTGAAACATAAAGGCACTACTTGCACTTGACCGCCGAATGGTGCGTATACTTTGCGCATAGTGTTGAGAGATGATGGGGATACGTATACCTTGACTGGCGGCGGCTTGACGGTCCTGAACTTCGTCACCCCAAGCCAGGCCACCTCGCACGGTCGCCCGCCGGTGCCGCCTTCTCCGTAATGAAGGACCAGGCCAGACAGAGGTTTATGTAGTTTTCCAATGACACCGACGCCCGAAATGAACATATTCTCTAGCATGACTGACACGGTATGCGACTTTCCGGAGCCCTGGACACCGCACACGACAGCGGAGAAGGGAGCATTCTGAAATATAAGCCTGACTCAGTAGGTCGAAGAACCAGCCCTAAGCGACGCACAGTGTTGACGTATAGCCGGCTGTCTTGGAACGATTCGTAGCCATTCGGACTACTAAGGCAGCGATATGAGCACTCGTACCGTATACATAGGTGGAAACTGACCCAACAGTGAGCGTTTTGCCCAGGACGCCGTATTGCGTGGTATTATTGTTACCAACGCCAAGCATGTACGCGTCTCTCATCATGAGTGGTGCTGTGTTCATGTCGTGACTTTCACTGCTCGGCATGGACTTCGGGCATCCATCCAGCAGCTGCATTTCGTCCTACCAATAAACATTAGCAACGAGTAGCTGATACAGGAAGCGAACAACGTACCCCGAGGTCGAAGGATTCGTCAACTACATATTTCTTTCCTGGGTAAGTCAAATTCGCGGCCATGATTAGAAGTTTGAAGAGCGAGTAGACAGAAATTCAATGTAAGAGATAGCTGGGATGTTTTGAGCATCGCAACGACCAGGACATCCAAGTATATATACGCCAGAAGCTGATATGATGCTTCCGTACTCTGGGACTCCATGAATGCGCAGCTAGCATCAACTTTGCAAGCTAACTTTGATCGCTCCGTACTATATCTGGTCAAATAAGGTGTTCCCAGCTAGATTTGAAAGACTCATAGGGTACCCAGTATGTCGTGTTCTTCATGTAACTTGGAGAAGTATAAGATAGAATATGCTTCGAGCTGCGGTGCGCTGGCGCAGCACAGCAAACGGAGGGAAAACGATAAGAGCTTGCAGTGTTGTAGCCTGCAGTGAGGCTAGTAGCAGCCTTCTAGCAACGTTTCTACCACGATGCAGTGGTGAGTCGCGTTCAGGAGGCTGCTGGACCTTGTCCTCACCTGATGTGACAGGACGTGCGTGTGACTCCGATCCCTCGGCGACTAACTCCGACTGGACACTTAGGATCTACCGCGATGGACGGTTCCTGCTTCTCGAGTCTTGACGGTCGCCATTTGTACAGAATTGGCCAAACCCATGTAGAGGCAGGTACAAAATCAATTGCTTGAAGGCTCTTCCCCCATAGATACTATGCGGCTGACATTTTTGTACCTGTCTAGGATGAAAGCGAGCCTCTGAGAATAGAGTGCCTGGGGCCGTATAATACAAGGGCTGGCGACCGGTTCCTCGCATGCGACTCAGATAAGGCCTCTTGCAATACAGCAAGCTAGAACAAGTTCGCCCTCTTCACCCAGTCGTATCGTCTCGAATACTCCAATACATGGATCAAGCCATCGAGGCCTTCAAATCCCAAGGTATACCTGTCCTCGAGCCAGGCCAATCAGCTTACGATCACGCCATCGCAACCTCAAACCTCTTGTATCGCTTCTCAAGACCTGAATGTGTCGTTCAGCCAGAGTCCGCTGAACACGTTCAGACTATCGTCAAGGAAGCAAAGTCGAGGAAACTCAAAATTACCATCAAGTGTAACGGCCACTCCTATGCCGGCCACTCTACTGCCTTTAAGGGCATCTCCCTTGACCTCAGGAGGATGAGAAAGGTGGAGCTCGACATGAAGTCCGCGACAAAGACCGTCACATTCGATGCCGGCTGTCAGTGGGGTCATGTATACGGGACACTCATTAATGGTGGGCATGATGGCTTCATCATCAACGGTGGCCGTTGTCCTACCGTCGGTGTCAGCGGTTTCACCCTCGGAGGAGGTCTTGGCCCCTTCACACGGAGCTTCGGCATGGGGAGCGACACTCTGATGGAGGCCGACATTGTAACTGCAGACGGAAATTTGGTCACCGTGAAAGAAACAGACGACCCCACATCCGACAAGGGCAAACTCTTTTGGGCCCTCCGTGGCGCAGGCGGCGGTAACTTTGGTGTTGTGGTCAAGTTGAAGTCAAAGGTCCAGCAGCTGCAGAACAGGTATGGCATGGTCGTCGCCGGGCGGTATCAGTGGTTCCCCAAAGGAGGGTTCACCGACGACGTCATCGCCACCATGAACGATTTCTACACCACCGACTGGCCCAACAAGATTACCATCGACACGACCTGGATATGCGACCTCCGGCAGAGCGGGTCACTCGGCGGCGTCCGCTTCACCGTCGCCTTCGATGGCAGCAAGTACGAATACGATCGCGTGATCGACGAGCACTTCAAGCGGGAAGAACTCAAAGTCCAGCTCAAACGCCGCGTCCTCCCCGAAAAGTCGACGCGCTTCTTTTACGAGACGCTCGTCAACCAGTGGCTCGAAGAGACCGAGCGCGCGTACCCCGCGAACAAGACGTACGAGCTGTACAGTTCCTTCATGTTCACCAAGGACAACAAGGACACCATCCAAAAGGTCACCGCCATCATCCGCGATCTCATGGCATCGTTCCGCGCCGACTTCGCCGGCGAGCAGGTGAACTTCCTCGTCACCTGGATCCACTCCGGGGGCAAGGCGACGGAGAGGAAGCCAACCGACTCGGCGTTCTTCTGGCGCGCCGCCGTGTTCCACACGTACGTGACGGTGGAGTGGGTCGACAAGTGGATGGAGCGCGACATGCGCCGCTTCCTCGCGAAGGTGAAGAAGGCGCTACGGCCGCTGTCGCTGAACGGGGAGGCGGCGTTCATCAACTTCCCCGACCGCGACTTCCCGGTCAGGGCGCATGAGAGGGCGTACTTTGGAGACAACCGCGAGGAGCTGCGGCGCGTGAAGCAGATTTGGGATGAGGATAATTTCTTCCAGTGGGTCCAGGGGATACGGCTTCCAGGAGGTATGGAAAACGAGGAGGGGGGAGAGTGGGGCGAGAACGAAGAGGACGGAGAGGATGGAGATAAGACTGATCAACTCGCGAGTGAACAATGGGAATACTACAAGACTGGGGACATTGTGAAAGATCGCGACGGGTTGGTTGATTTGGGGTTTTAACTTCTGACTAGGATGAAAGGGAGCGGCAGAACCATTGCCAGGCGTAGTACAACCAATCGGTGGGGACAACTTCCACGGGAAATCTTTAGAACAGCTGAAACGGAGACCTAATATAAGATCTATGAGATACATTTAGAAGAAATCAGAATAAAATGAGTATGTACGACTATATGACCAGCAAGGAGGCCCCTCCATCTGCAGTTACCCGTGCCCGCGTCTTCATGATCATATACCGGCGTCCCAGACGACTCACCGTGCTCTCGTCGGACCAGCCTCTCTCTTTGAAGCACCCAAGAGCAGACGGAGCTATAATGAGAGCCTCGCCAGTCTAATAGAACCATCAGCGAGGAAACGATGATATAAGAACGAATACTCACCCCAAGGGTGACGACTTTATCGAAAGCCTCGCGGCCAGAGAAATCAGCCGAGACGTGCTTGACGAGATGATCCCACCATGCAGGGGAAGAGAATCGGTGCATGATGGAGATCATACACAAGTCGAGGAGAACGGGAGGGATAGCCGTTGGCTCTGCAAGCGATTGATCATGAGTGACTAAGGCTCGGTGATGCAGGAAGGAGGAGCTCGCCTTGAGTGCTGATAATAACCCTCATGGCAAGATGTCGTTGCTCACGGACAAGCCGCAACAGTGACTGAGTTAGGCCCGACGTAGCGCCCGGCGTGAGGTACTGTACGGAGTACGAGATTAACTTCCATCTAGTCAAGAACTAACTTACGTGCACTTACTTTGTGAGCCTCGTCGACCACCAGAACCTTACCCGTGCCGACCTCTGCTCGTGTGAATAGCCGTACTATGATTTCGAAAAGACCACAAGCCGATGCAGAATCCGTGAAAGGGTCCGAGAGGTCGATGATGGTTATTTGTCCTGGCGCAAATCGAGATGTCTGTTTGGGATGTTTTTTCTTCTTATCAAACATGAACGCCTTGAGCAAGGACATCCTCTGTTCTAATCCAGCAACCTGCGCTGGGTTGAACGTGCGTTTTCGTGAGTCGAGCTCAGTCTGAAATGCGGAATAGGTGAAGTTCTCTCCCAGATCGCGGAGGATCGACTAGAAAGATGGTGAGAGAGACGTGGCTTGGAGTTAGATATTATACCCACGAGTAGAATTTGGATGTAGAGGGGGGCGGATTCCGAGCTGCCCACCGCCATCATGGACAAAAAAGCCGCGGCGTCGAGTTCCGTTTCCGTGAAACATAGAGGCTCTACCTGAATATGACTCCCGAGCGGTGCGTATATTTTTCGCATGGTATTCAGCGACGATGAAGAGACATAGACTTTGACAGGCGGAGGGTGGACGGCCTTGAATCGGGATACTGCGAGCCAAGCCACTTCGCACGGCCGCCCACTTGAGCCGCCTTCTCCGTAATGAAGAATGAGGCCGGATAGTGGCTTCTGCAACGTCCCAATGGCGCCCACGCCAGAAATGAACATATTTTCCAGAAGTACGGACACCGTATGTGACTTTCCGGATCCCTGTACGCCACATACGATGGCAGAAAAGGGAGCATTCTGAAGGCTTCGGTTAGCACCGTAGCAAAGGCGGCCTGAGGGCATACCGTATTGACATATAATCTGTCGTCTTCAAATGAATCTTCAGCGCGAGGTCCGCTAATGGTGAAAATCAGTACCCCTCCTACTATACATATGACCAGGTACGAACCGAACGGTGAGGGTCTTGCCTAATACGCCGTATTGTGTAGCACCATTATTTTTGAGACCAGCAATATACGCGTCCCTCATAATAAGGGGAGCCGTGGTCGTATCATGTGCTTTACTGCTCTGTATTTCTTTGGGGCAATCTTCCAGAAGCTCCAATTCATCCTGCCGATAAGAATTAGCAACGAGGAGACAATAGCGATGTGAGCAACGTACTTGGAGGCTTGCACTTGAAGATGGTTCACCATTCGTGCGTTCACTCAATAGGGTGAATTTTCCCATGATTGAAGAGGTATGAACTGAGGGTGTTTGTGCAGTACATGTCCCTTGATATCGACGTATATATGTGCAAAGACTGGTGAGCCATAAGCTTCGTTCATCACTGCGGATTCTTTCGAAGTGGCAGTAGATGATCACGGATAATCCTGCATCTCGCAAACTATTGGTCCTTGGGTGCTTCGAGGTTGGATTCACATAGAGAAGAACAAGCCCAAGAGAAGACTCCAACTTCTTGCCAGTACTCAGGCTATGGGTCGTGACGGACCTCGAGGAAGAAGTCACTGATTAAGCCTTTAGCTGCGGTGCGCAGCAATGTAAATGAAGGTGGAACGATAAGGATTTGTTGCCACCATGATGATGGTAGTCCAGGACGTAAATGCAAATAAGCGCCCGACGATCGACGCTCCTTCCACAATGGGGACAACTGTCACCGTCCTTCGACCTCAATGGCTTTCTTCGAAGTACCCGGCTGGACTGTACCGTCCGCACCGATTTCAAATGCGCCGACCAGCTTGTCGAGGAAGCGAAAACGACCCAACCCCGATGCTGGTGTAGCACAGCCGGTCAATTTGGACAAACTCATGCGAAAGATGCCCAAAACAACTGAAGCGGAGGCTGTCTCGGAAGTCCCGCGGGACCCAAAGCCCTCTAAAAAGGCTAGGTCAAAACGGAACCGCAAGCCGCAAAAAGAGGGGAAGCCAGACACGACTCCAGCAACGAGTACGGCTGCGGCACCAAAGAACGCGAAAAAGAGTGCACCTCGTGAAGTCACAACCGAAGCGCAAGCGGGTCTTTCTGCACCTAAGAAGAAGCAGAAACAACAACAGGATGCAGCCGAGGAACCGAAGCCGTCCAAGAAGAAGTCGAAGGAGGGAGGCCAATTGACGACCTTGCAGGATCGCATGAGGCAGAGCCTTGATGGAGCGCGTTTTAGGTGATATCTTCTTCAGTGCCGATATGACCTTTATCTGACTGTAGATACTTGATATAGGATGATAAACGAGACATTGTACAAGAGCCATAGCTCAGATGCCAGTCGTATGATGCACGAGGATCCCCAGATGTTTGAAGAGGTATGTTATTTGGGACAGTCTGATAGGATCTTCGGTTCACAGTTCATGTCACTTTAGTATCATTCTGGCTTCCGTAGACAAGTCCAATCTTGGCCGTCAAATCCCGTCGAGGTTTACATAGAAGAACTATCATCTCGCCCCGGACTTGTCATAGCAGATCTAGGATGCGGTGATGCCGTCCTTGCCCAATCACTCATTCCCAAAGGCCTGACCGTCCTATCTTTCGACTTGGTCTCGCGAAATCCCTACGTGATCGAGGCCGACATATGTGCGAAACTACCCCTGCCAGGCTCTGAACCCTCCATCGACGATAGTGAGCCCGGTGCCGGCGATGCTCATGTCGTCGACATGGTTGTTTGTGCATTGAGTTTGATGGGGACGAATTGGCCGAACTGTATACGCGAAGCTTGGAGGGTACTCAAACCTGAGTACGTTCACTCATTACAAATATATGAGCACGGTGTACTAATTCATTGTCAGTGGCGAACTTAAAATCGCTGAAGTCGCGAGTCGGTTCAAGGATGTAAAGGAGTTCGTTGCTTTGATCAATTCATATGGGTTTCGAGTGAAGAAAGAATTAAAGGTCAGTTCGTTCCTTGTTTCCTGGGTTATCTATTGGCTAACGTTCTACTTGAAGAACAAATCCAATTCGCATTTCACCTTCTTCACCTTCGTAAAAATCCTTCGGGCACCCATAGTAGACGAAGAATGGCAAGAAATCTACGCGAAATCGAATCTCTTGAAGCCTTGCGAATACAAAAGGCGTTGATACCACTATCTATGCAAGACGATATACGTCCACAACAATCTAAATAGCCACGAGCAAGCAAAAGTACATGTGTAATACATAGTCCATCATCGTCTCCTACCGTTTATGGGTATGTCCGTCGGTATCTACCGTCAAGTTTTCTATGCGACTACGCCATCGCGCCCGCGTTCTTACTGGCCTTGAATTCTGGCTTCGACCACCACACCTTCAGCCTCCGCCACAAGCCATCCGGTGACTGTCTCCGCGTACTCCACAACGTAGTGAGGGTATGTAGAGCAAGGAACACGCAGACCAACACGACAATAAACGAGCAGACGACTATCCACGATGATTTCAGATCGTATACGTCTAGATCAGTGATCCCTTGCAGTGTGTACGCCACCATAGCCAGTGTGAATGTAGTGATTGCCCAAATGAGGAGAACGGCAGGCAGACTGAGGAGCATGGCGTGTCCGTGATGGCCGAGGAACTTTTGGCGAGCATTGTACATGTATGTGAACTACGGAATACAGATAAGATGGAAATACTTTCAGTTAAGATGAGGCGGTGACTCACGGAACCTCCAGTGGTGGTGTTGATTTGGTGTTTCCAGATTGAGAAGACGCCGACAATGATGCTACCAAGAGAGGCGAACGCAGAGATCGTAGCACCAACACGGGCCACTTGGTTGATGTTCTCGATCGCCAAGAAACTGACCGTCGCGCTGAGGTGGGCGCCTTAAATGGGGCCAAATACAATGAAGTTGACCGGAACTCACGAGAGTAGCACGGTTGACTGGTAATCTCGATGTTAGCAAGCAGCGACTCAGCTAGGCGAGTAGCAGCGAAAGAGCTCACAATCAGCAAGAAATGAGAATATTCCCGAACGAGCCGATTGATATAACACTCCCAATTATTTTGCATATATTCCAGGCGTCCCTTGAACTTCGTGGTGTCTTCAATATGAGCCAGGTACGCCCACGGTATACCGAAGAACAGTATGTTCATGATTATGCCGAGAACGGGAAGGATAATTTGCCCCGGCTTTCGGACCACAGGGCGGGAATCATGCCTGGCTAGGCGCAAATCGCTCCCTTCTTTACGAGTAAGTTGCCCATATTGCTCCGCGTCGCGGAAACTGCAGACTTCGCGAAGGAGCCAGGCTAGAAACACAATTTTGGCAACAGATCCGTCGCTTTGAGAGACTAGTATTTAATTAGTCGAGGGCCCCTGGGCAAGGGATGGAAGGAAAGGTGGATTTACGGCTGAATCCCTTCAAAACCTCGCTCAATTCTTCGCATTCTTTCTTGGAGAAAGGTACAACGCTCCGCCTGCCAGAAATGAGGTTGTCCGTCTGCACGAAGGAAGATCTCAGCAGTGGGAACGGACTAGGAGAAGGCAGCCGACGTACATAGAACCATGTGATCGCATCTGTTGCATCCTTTATAGCACGCTCCGGAAGAGGTGTATGAGCAGGGTGGTTCCATAGATAGCTCCAGTACATCCGCCGCAGTCTGTTCACTGAAGTTCAAGGTTAGGTTAGCGGGAATAACAATGACATTGAGCTCCCGGTCCTCCGTTGAGGTACAGCGGATTCCGCAACCTCGAGGCTACCATTTCAAGCGGAAATGGGCCGAAAATAAGAGGATACATACACTGATTTGGATCCAGCGGAAGCAAATTCAGGTCAACGTTCTTAGCGGAAGGTAGACCAGATACGTAGGAGGCTACGCAATGTGTGTGGTTGACCAGGAGACACAAGGGAGCGGGTTCCATTTCAACCCGATTGTCGTTCCCGGAGAAGTGGTCCAAAAACTGGACATGCATCTCCGTGCCTTCTGCAAGGTCAGGAAGCCCCGTCGAGCAGAGGTCGGTGGCCTTTCGACAGATATCGGTGTCCCGTAGATCAGCATCTATCACGACCTTGCATTTCGCATTGTAGAAATAAATAAATCCCTGTGATATATTAGCGAAATCATTCCAGACTGCAAGGAGACGTACTTGGGGGTGGACGCATAGAGTCCAGTCATCTGGAAGGCGTGGTACGGCCTCGTCACATACGGTAGCCCTATCATATAGAAGTACAAGTTAGAACTTGAAGCTGCTCAAGTGACTGCTTGCTCAATATTATTCACATCGAGTCTGTACGAGTTTGGGCGATGTGGGCCATGATATTGAGGGGGACAATTGTGGGGATGTGCTGGGCTAAGAAATGTAGCACACGCACTTCAATCCGAAGTCTGAAGCCATCAAAAGTTGATGATTCAAAACATCAGTTGACCATAGCCGTGAGCGGAACGGCTCGACGTGCAATAATAAGCGCCCAACGTCAACCGTCAGCGCTTAGCTCACGCGACGCGGCGGCAACGAGCAACTTGATTCCGTTGTTCTAGCATACCGCAAGTCGACTGAAATGAGCTTTTTCAACACGAACAGCTCTTCTGGAGCACCAAACCAAGGAGCAAACATATTCGGGGGGTCGAACCAACCATCAGGCGCCCCGAGTACTGGAAATCTCTTTGGCGCAGGTGTGTATACCTGAAAGACCCATTGTCGCGGACGCGGGCGCTGATGGTGACTGTGCAGCGAAACCAGCAACGGGAACTGGGCTATTTGGAAATTCTGGGACATCAAATCTCTTCGGGAACGCGAACACTTCGACAGCTCCCAATGCTGGTGGAGGTTTATTTGGAAACTCTGCATCAAATACAGGTGCTGCTTCAAACGCGTCGAATACGCAGTCTTTGTTCTCTGGATTCGGAAACAACACAAACCAGCCGTCTGCACCAACGTTTGGTACACCTGCCGCATCGTCGAATACCGCGACGAATCCTGCACCGACGCTTGGACAAGGTCTCTTCAACCTACCGAAGGCGCCTGAATCAAACACTCCAACAGCTCCCAAAGCTGGTATACCTAATTGTGAGCATCTATGTTGCTGCTCGAAGTCCGATCTGTGAACTCTTCTGGTAGTCTTCGCACAACCAGCCAATACTAGCAATTCAACTGGTATGTCTTTGTTTTCGATCACCCGCACGACCCTGCTACTGACACAAGCGCAGCAGCCGCTACAGCTCCGAGTGCCCCTGCCGCACCATCGGGAGGTCTATTTGGGTTCAATAAACCGGCCAACCCACCATCCAATCCGCAATCCACGACTAGCAATACACAACCCCCAGCCGGCGGCCTGTTTGGAAACGGGCTTTTTGGTAAACCAGCGGCTCCAGCAGCAGCCACGACTACTCCAAAAGATGCCCCTCAGACTACAAGTACCCCAGCCGCCGGTAGGTTATCCGGTATGCTATCAAGATCAATGTGAATAATTCCGTATAGCTCCTTCAGGTGGTTTGTTCGGTAGTTTAGGGTCCAACTCAACTGCAGAAAAAAAAGATGCCGCTCCAGGTAATCACCAAATGTTGTCTTCACGTTTTCTGTGATTTTGATCTTTCGCAGCTCCTAGTCAGCCAGCGTTCAACTTGTTCGGCAAACCAGCAGAGAAAAAGGACGCTCCAAGTAAGCGACCTATTGCTCTCCTTGGCTTCATCTGACGATAGAATCCAGCAACGCCCGTAGCTAACACATCCACGCCCCCTGGAACAGACAAACCAAAGGATGCCGCTGGTATTAACTTTCAATTGTCCAAGTAGATCTAGGACTGACTCCTTACATAGCTCCGTCGACTTCTGCCCCTGGTGCTAGCGCAGCAGCATCGAGCAGCACAAACACTGCAATTGCTGTCCCACCTCCATCCATGCTCAGAGGCAAGACGATCGAAGAAATCGTCAATCGCTGGTCCAACGAGCTCGAGACGCACGTCCGTGATTTCAACCGATTTGCAGGCGAGATCGCCGTCTGGGATCGTGCCCTGATTGAAAATGGGAAAAGCGTGAATCTCAATCTTTCCTTCAGATGACTCCTCGGTGCTAATTTATTTCGAAGTTGGCTGCTTTGTTCAGCCATGTTACGGCTGTGGAGAGGGAGCAGAATGAGATCGATCAATCGCTGGATCATATAGAACAGCAGCAAAAGGATCTTTCTTCAACGCTCGATTCCTATGAAAAGGCAATGCAGGATATCCTCGGCGGGCAAGGCAGTTTGAGAGCCTTGGATACAGGCCCTGCTGACACCGAGCGAGACAAAAAGTAAGTTTGCATATTTCCAAGTAGCGCACTTCATTAATGTCGCTTTCAGCTATATGCTAGCAGCCGATTTGCATACGCAACTAGACGACCTCTCGGGCTCGCTCACGCAGATGATCGAATCTGTCAACGGGCTGTCGTTATCCAATGGTTCCAAGGATGGAACCAGCGCCGAGGATCCTATGACACAAATCGCCCAGATACTAAGCAGCCATCTAGAAAGTTTGCAGTGGATCGATGGTTCTGTGAAGGAGGTTGAGGGTAAAGTGACGGAGGTAGAAAACAGAGTCAAGAGCTCCGGACTCAACCTCACCGGTAACAACTCAGGTGGCACCAGATCAAGAGGGTTCGGGTTACGATGATGATTCCTTCCATTGTTGTTCGTTATGCATTACGAGACGGTCATAATCCTAATAACACAAGTACTTGTACAAATATCCACCAGGGTATCTTCTATACGGTGCGGTGTTGATGGGTTCCATGTGATGAAAGAAAAGGATTAGTTGGCTTTGCTCAGTTTGCTGCGTAGACGTATCCGTTCTCCATTGTACCAGATCCAGATTGGAAATGGTATACCAAGAATGATGGATAGCCCAGCCAGCAGCGAATTACCGCCACCTAACCCCAGAGCATTGTACATTTGTTGCCCAAACAATGGGAAGATGAATCCTAACAGAGATCGAAGAACCTGTAGATGGGTGTGAGAACACCGATGGTAATTTCCGAGCGATAGACTTACCGAAGCGGCGGCTAAGGCACTCGCAGCATAACTGAAAGCATCGACCAAGTAAAGTTGGATTGGAAGGCTGTTGGCAGGGCAAGGTTTGACAGCTATATAGTCAGAAGCTGAGCGTGACTTACAACGTGGTCATCAAGCCTGGTTGGAAGTTAAGCGAACATTCGAGGGGCAAAACGTTTCGATAGTCTTACCGAAACCAAAGATTCCTGAGCCAATAATCGGCATGATCCAATATAACCTGGCCTGGGCACTCCATCCGTACCAACTAGGAAGAGCATCGTCAGTACGGAGTTGCCCGACAAGGCGAAAAGTGGCGCATACAAGAGTCCGATGGGGACGAAGAACGAGCCAAATATAAGTGCTGGTACGCGCATCTCGGGTTTACCAACACCTCCATTTTTTGCAGACAGCTACGGGTCATTGCGTGGGTTGTGTGGTAAGGATAATGCAGTGCACAGGTCACTTACGCTAGCGTATATCTGGTCGCCTATCCTGGCACCGAACATAGTTGCGATGAAGAACCCTATACCTAGGCCTAGGTAACACAAACCACCGATACCTGGACTGAAATTGTAGGCCTCCTTGAAGAAGTCTACCCTGGTATCAGTGCCGACAACACTTGAAATGAGGAAGCCCAACACACTTGCAAATGTCGCAAACATGAGATAGTAGATGCCTTCAAATCATCTAAATTTGGTCTGCTGAAGAGATGGGTGAATAGACGTACCGTACATGCTTGTGAAACGGTCAGTTTAACACAAAAGAAACTAGGTATCAAGACAACTCACAACGCCATGTATAAGCTGAGAATAAAGCAGATAAAGCTCCTTGTGAGCAGTATACCCGGTCGACTGATGTTGAGCCACAGGTAGTGCATTTTCTCGCGAGCGGTAGGTGCCTTCACGTCGATCAATTTTTCTAGGTCATTGGGTCGTGCAAGTCGTTGTCGTAGAACAGGTGCATATGTTTCATGGAGGAAAGGGATTCCAACTGCAGCTATGAAAGCACACAAGCCAGCTAGACGCGTAAATGTCTAAGCATTAGCCTGGACGCGTGTATGCGTCGCGTCAATATATGACTTGCCTATGATGATAAACACGTATTTAGGGCCTATGGATTGTGCGACAAAGCCTCCTGCTATCGGCCCGATTACAGGTCCTGTCCAGAAAGCATCAGAATATCAGACGTCAGGTGGGAAATATGGGCAGAACCTAACAGGGGTCCCAGTGTAAACACCGCCATGGCCCCAGCGCGGTCTCGTTCTGCAAATAGGTCGCTGATACTTCCTCCACCACAGGCTATAGGTGTGCTACCAGCAAGCCCAGCTTTCCGAATAATGAGCGTCTGTGTATGTGGATTTACGATCAACACTTACCGAGGAAGCGAAATGCAATCAAAGAGCCAGCGTTCGGTGAGAACGCGCATCCAATATTGAAGCCTAAAAATAGGATGTTTGCGATGTGCAGGACCTCCATGGCCCGGTGTGTCAGGGGGAATTGGTCAAGTTGAGGTCAGCCGCACTCACCCATGTTCTTCCATACATTTCCTTTCACAGAGAGTGAATGATTAGGCGCTTCGGTATTACAGACGAGTTGAGCGACCTACAGAAAGTGGTGCTAGAACCAAAGGACCAAGCGCATACGCCAACAAGAAGATACTAAGTGTCATTGCAAGTGTTGTTGGATTTGTGACATGGTATTGCTCCGCGACTTGTAGTAGTCCCGGTGCCATCATAGAGCTAGCTAATGGAGAAACAAAGGTGTACAGAGACACCTGAAGAGAATATGTCAAACAGACAGAATCTTATGAGATAGCTCCTAACTCACAATCCCCGCCGCTGTCCACTTCTTTCTGAATGACCAGTTTCGAGGGTTCGCAGAGTCAAGATTCCAGATGTCATCATCGGTCAGTTGTGGGTCGTGCGTGTTCCCCTGAGGGGTTTTCGAGTTTTGGATGTCTACCACGACATTCTTTTCGTTTTCTTGTATGGACCTCGTTTCGGATAGGGAATGTGAAACGCGAGTGGAAGACTCCGAAGCCATTGTTAGCGTTGAAGAGGGATGACAATGGACGTAAAGGTGCGGGACGTGTCCTTCGCTTGACCAGTATATATACCCACACCAGCATGAACAAAATGCTTGCGCATCGGGTCGTCGAGCCCCACTTGGGATTTACATTCCCAGCAGTTATCTAGAACAATCTTAATCCCGTGGAAATGTCGTATCTGGGTTATGTTGTATGATTGGTTGATGATTAGTGGGGTAATCGAAGGTAAACTTCTTCCGAGGTTTCCTAGAACGCACCGAACGCGTTGAAGAGATGTTCACATCAATCGAGGAATCGAGGCACGCAGAGTAAGGTAACAACTTCATCAATCGAGGATGTATGCAATAGCTTAAAACGCGGTGAATGCTACTACTGCTAATTAGAAATCAGAAATCGTATACGTACCTCGGGGACTGTGGTCAAGGATTGATAACGAGGTACCCCTTGTGGTCTTCGACTTGCATAGCTAGCCCAGCGGGCGTACGTCAGATTCACTAATTAATTACAATATAGTCCGAAATATGATGAAAACCACACCCTATAGAACGCTGTATCGGCCTATTGTTCCGCTCGGATTGCGCATTTCTGCTTGAAGGGCGGCAGCTGAGGCCTCGATGAGAAGTCGTTTAATCTCCCGCACGGCTTGTTCAACCTAGAAGGACGGTGATAAAAACATGCCTATAGAGTGAGTGAAAAGGAAAACTCACTCTCCACTCCTCATGGGATTCCACAAGCAGATGAAGCTTCGGTGGTCCTTCTGGAGGAGGCTCCTTGCCATTCTCATAGTAGATACCTTTGTTAGTGACAGAGGCACCGGTGATGTCAATAAGCTACGAAACACGCATCAGAGGCAGGATAGAGGCAGGATACGAGTTAAAGACGACACTCACTTGGACCATAGTTTCTTTATTGGTGACCCGCCACCTAGCTTTCTGAGGATAATCGTTGATCGGAATAATGGCGTGGAAGTCTGTGGACGAGGTTTCGGTTGTGGTTATCTTTCTGCCTGGGGCCTCCTCGGCCTGGAGTTGCGACTGCAAAACGAGTTTGGATGCCCGTAATTGAGCGTTCAGTTTGGCAACCACGCTCAAAGCTTGCTTATGCGCTGGTGTATCCTTTCCAGCACGGGCAGCAGCCTCCTCGGCGGCACGCACTTGAGCTTGGATCCTTTCTTCCTCTTTGGCGTGCGCGAGTCGTCTGACTGCAGCCACAGCGCCACCGACTCCCAGAAGGCCCTTCGATGAATCCGGTGCAGGGCCACGCTTGATCTCAACCTTGAATGTACCAAAGGTCATATCGTCTGCCGATGTAGTTGCCTTCGTGGTTTCTTCAACTGCAGCAGGTGCCTTCTCCTCCTCGGTAACACCGGGTTCGCCATACGCCTTGCGCTCTGCTTTCTCCTTTGCGTCTCTCTCCTTGTCAAGTCGATCCAGGCCCTTCCCTCCGAATCCAGATCCAGCAGCTTGCGCCTTGCCTGCCTTGACCTTATCGAGGAAACCTGGAAATTCATCAACCTCAATTCCCATCATGTCAAAGGGACATAAAGCGCGTACCATTTGCCAAGTCTTCGAGTTCTTTGGGCATTGCAGCATTGCTCGCCTTTAGGGCGCGGTATATGTCGACAGAGTACCGATCTTGCTCGGGAGTGATGAAGGTGACACATGTTCCCTTGTTGCCTGCACGCCCAGTACGGCCAGCCCGATGCACGTAGTCCTCCATATGATTGGGCGCGTCGTAATTAATTACCAACTTCAATTGTTTCACATCCAGACCCCTGGCGGCGACTGAAGTAGCAATGACGATAGGAACAACGCCAGCCTTGAAGTCGGCAATTGTCGAATCGCGGTCAATCTGATCCTTTCCACCATGCAAGGACATGCACAGGTATCCCTTCCGCATAAGTTCGCGTAGTAGATTATCGGCGGCCTCCTGTCGATCGACAAAAACGAGGGTCCTGCACTCCGGGTCCTCGTTGTACATTTGTCCAAGAATTTCGAGAAGACGATTGAACTTCGTATCTTCGTCGCGTACCTCCACCACCTGCTCAATTTCGGCCGCAACCACCGATCTACCGCCTACGGTGATTTCCAAGGGCTTCCTCAAGATCTTCCGCGCTAATGAATCCATTTGTTTCGGGAATGTTGCAGAAAAGAGGACCGTCTGACGTTCAGGTCGTATATTGTTAACGATCTTCATAACCTGAGGCTCGAAACCCATGTCGAACATACGATCGGCTTCGTCCAAAACGACGTAGGTGACGCGCTTGAGATTGGTGACACGCCCTGAATTAGCAGTCAGCAGATCGATCATTCGACCAGGAGTGCAAACAATGATCTCCGCGCCCTTCTTCAGCTCGGCAATTTGGTCCTTGATCGGAGAACCACCGTATGCGCAGACGGCCTGTAGAGTTTCCCTTTGAGCATGTGAAATAATAGAACAAGATCGTATACGCACTCGGAGATTCAGAACTTTGAGGAAGGGCTTGCATTCTCGATGGATTTGAACAGCAAGTTCACGGGTAGGAGTCATGACGATAGCCACGGGGCCCTCCATTTGCTCTAGAGGCCTTTGATCCTTGATATGTCGGAACATTGGTAGTAAGAATGCGATAGTCTTTCCTGAACCGGTCTTGGCGACGCCAATGACGTCTCGGCCGGACATTATAGCAGGAATCGCTTGAGCCTGAATTGAGGTCGGAGAAGTGTAGTTCAGTCGCTTTATCACATCTAGACTAGGGTGGAGTGAGCCGAGAGCAACATTATGAAGCATGGTGCTTACCAGTTAGCAGGCATACCAAAGTGACTCCACTTGGTCACCGGTCGAGGGCATTCCACGCCACGAATCTTTATGCCATCGAGTTCCAGTCGCAATAGGTCAGCTTCCTCGTCTGTCATCTCAGCAATCTCTGGTGGTGGTATGTAAAATTCCTTGCGGAAAGGCTCGTACTTCACACGCGAGTGGTCAGTCGCTGCCAGCTCTTTCTTCTTGGCCTTCTTCGCGGCTAATGCGAGAATGTCTTCAGGGTTCAATTCCGTCGCATCGAGCTCGTCGGGAACAACTGTGTCGACCATGTCCTCGGCACCCTCCTCAGCCATCCTCTCGTCAAGGCGTATACGAGAGTTGCCATTGGTCGAGCCAATAATTTTCTGCATATCCTCCAAGTTCACCTTCTTGACTTCTTCTTTGACACCACTCATGAAAGCATCCAGTGGGTCGACATCATCGTCCTCGTCAACCTCCATAGTATTCTTCGACTTCGATTTGAGGGCTTGGTCGATTCTGTTTGCCTCTTCGTCGTCGTCATCGACTTCCAAGTCACCGACGCTGGGCTCCCCCTCGGTCATGGTCATGTCTACTGCTGGCATGGCTCCGAGTGTTTCCAGTTTCCTCTTTGTCTCCACGGCATCATCCATAACGGCAGCAGCCCCACCCTTTGTCGAAGCCTTGTTGAACTCCGGCTTGAGCGGTAACCCTTTGAGTCCGAGGCCACCGAGTGCTGCACGGTTCAGCGCGGTGGGCTTTACTCCGGTCGCAGGGACTATGGGGCATTGGATCAAGTGGTATGAAATCCCGACATGCGTGTGTGAAGGCAAATGGACTCACCTGGTGCAGACTTCCCAGCAAGCGCCATAGCTTTCGCTTTCGCCTCATCCAGTGCTTTCTTAGCCTCGCGCTCTTTTTTCCAAGCTAGCAACTTCGCACGTTTCGCTTTGAATTTCTCATCTTCAACGGGAGGTGTTACCGACTTTTCTTCGGTTGCAGATGGCTTGGGAGGAGAGCTCGGTCGACGGTCTCGGGACCGGGAACGACGACGGTCATCGCGTCGGTCATCGCGTCTATCGTCGCGGTAGTCTCTTCTTCTGTCATCCCGGTGCCTATCATCTCTGTAGCGGTCTCTATCTCTATCTCGTCCCCCATCTCTGTCTCTGTCTCTGTCTCTTTCCCTGTCCCGGTCTCTATCTCTGTCGTCGTCGTACCGTGATCTGTTGCTGGCTTTTTGGCCATTGCGCCTAGTCGGCGACGGAGACCGAGTGGAACGATGAGATTGCCTTACCCGTTTATTTGAAGCATCTGGTGAATATGACCTGTCTCTGCGCACCATACTTGCGGAGAACGTCGAAAGAGAGAGGAAGAGGGTTGAGGGATTATGTAAGCGTCCAAGGCTCACTTACTTCCCCGATCACGTAAGCGAGCTTTATTAGGGACCCTGAGTGACTCTACTGCTCTTTCAAGTCGACCATGACTCCTTCCATCTTCGATCCTGCAGCTCTCATCTCTTCGCTCCCTCGTTTGCTTCCTGTGTCTTCAAAGACACTCAAATCACAGCATGACGGGATCACGGCGCTCTTACACACAGCTATGGTCGCCGTAGGCTTTCGACTCGTTGCCGTTGACGATTCGGCACCGGCGAACGACGCTCTCGTCAACATACTGCCTTCTGAGTGGAACAGCCATAGTCCTGGTCATTTTGCACTTAGATATCGCCACGATCAGAGTAGCATGGAGTTCATTATCAAGGTCGTGAAATTGGGAAGCCGCACATTGATCAACGGTATTGCAACAGAGGTAGATGTTGAGAACTACGTGGAAAACATCTGTACTGATGCAGTCGTCCAGAGTGACAAGGCGGCATCGCTGGATATATCTACCAATGACTTCACTTCCCCGTCGTTCTACCCTTGTGATCTCACATCTTCCACTGCCCCACCCCTTGTTCACGGATTCATATCATCCAATAGAGTTACCGACCTATTATCACAGATTAAAACCCAAATCATCCAGAAACTCGTCCCTAATTTGAACAAAGAGGGCTACCAAGAGGAGCGCGTCGAAACGTCCGCAGCTGGTAGGTCTAACGCTCAACGGCCGCGTACTCCACCGGATGCGAGGCCACAGCCTCCCCCTCTCCTTCCTGACCTGCGCCGACAACAAATTCCTCCACGTAACCCGCTTGAGATAGGCAGACGGGATCTTGACCCCATCCCTCGAAATCCATTTAGTCCCCCTTCTCTGTTCCCTGGGAACGATTCGGATGGGATGTTTGTCGGTCCTGATCATCCCATTTTTGGAGCTCGGGGAGGTAGTAGCACTCGGGGCCCTTGGGGCGGTGACGGTTACCTCCCGCCGATGGGGGCGCCCCCGGGAGCCCGATTCGACCCAGTTGGACCTGGCTTGGGACCCGGAATAGGTCCATTCCCTGGTAGAGGTAACCCTCTCAGTGGACGAGGAAGGCGCCCTCCCGGAGGACATGGCGCTCCCGATAATGACGAATTTATGCCTCCAGGAGCAGTAAGTACCTCCGCCAATGTAGGTATTAAATTTGAGCATTGACCCGCAAACCAGGGTGACATGTACATGTAAAAGGAAGTATCCGAGTCAAAATGAGTGAGGCGTAGGAGGCTGTATCGTAGGACAATAACAATATACAATGATGTCTCTGAGTGAACCACGTCGAAGCTGTGGATGAGGCACGGAGCCAATACAAGTCACGAAACATCCCAAAAAGGTAGTCAGCCATGATTTAGCTATAAATGAGCCAATAAATAGGGAATCAAGCACACCAACTCACCAACTCTTGTCCCATCCTCCGCCCGCAGTGACCGTCCCCGACGCCTAGCTTATACTCAAGATCATGTATTCACCAACAAGAAGTGGAATGTCGTCTCCCATCTCTCCAAGCTCACCAATCTCACCGACAAGCAGGAGGAAGCAATCACTACCCGGCTTCCGTTCACCACCCAAGGCCCAGCCGTCTATCCATGAAATGACCGTTCGCGAACTTCAGGATACATACCATCGCAATGCCAAGATTCTTTCATCACCGTGAGTCAATGACTTGCCACGTACAACGATCAGTAGTTAAACTTACTATTATGTCGCAGGGAAGCCTCAAGTTCATCATACGCACAGCGCATAGCTATAGAACAAGCGGCCATTCAAGAACGCTTGGTTGAAATGGAAGGCGTTGAGACGATCAACACTGGCTTGAAGAAAACCAGGATCAAGGACGAGCAAGATATGGCAGTTGACATGGACACCCAGCCCGAACCACCAACGAGCCGCACGATCGAGGCCAAACGAAAAGCACTTTCCCGATTCGTAAGTGCACTCCTTATTTCCGTGTATCCTCCATTCATGTTCACTTCTTAGGCTGCTGGGACAAGTGGAACGGCGTCCGTCATGGGTTCCATGAGTATGGAGGAAGCCATCAACCTAGAACGCCAGGCCCATCTCCAGGAGTTGGAACGGCAGAGGCGAATCCAAGAGAAGAAGCAGAAACATGGCATGCCCATGCCAGGTGAGGTGCTGACTCGCGCAGAACGCGAGGCACGGATATGGGCCTTCATGTAAGCTTCGTTCTTCTAACGTCAGCTGGAGCATGTTATTAATTCGAAGTAAAGGAACTACAAACCGACCGACTCTGATCTCGAGGACGACGATGACGATGAGGACGACGATGACGATCCTGCCACTTGGTTTGAAGACGATCAAGATGACGGCCGGAAAGGTCAGGACATCGTTGAGCCAGACATAGAGGACCTTAGCGGCATAATACGCGTCGACGAAGCCAGCGCACTACGATATGGTACCTTCTACGAGCCCCGGGACGACTAGTATCATCCATATAATGATCCATCCTAATCCATAACAATGTATCGATAACCAAAGCATGTAGTGTAGTCTAGCAGGTTATGCACTATCTATGTAGCATGGGGTCAGCGTGCATGCACGGGGCAGTTTCGTCCCCTTTGAAGCCACGACGACAAGCACGCTATGCGGAGCGTTAGCGGCGAGGACGAGAAACAATCAAAGGACGAACCGTTATGAAAGCTGCACAGGCAACTTAAACGTGCGATCTCAGACCCTTTGAGGAATTCCTCCAAGCATATTACACCTGCACAATGCATCAGTGCGTGTAGCCACGCGGAAAATCGCGAAACACACATTCGACACCAATAAGCACGCTTTCCGCAGGGAGTCTGTACACTAGATACCTGGCGGGGTGGGCTGCGGCCCCAGAACCACCCTCCAGACAGAATTTGACATGGGCTTCTTGATCAGAAGGATTCCCAAGATCGGCGAGGTTCTGACCACAAACGGGGCAACTGCGACAGATGGTATATGCCAATAGGAATATGGAATTCGACGAGGACGTACTCAGCAAGGTCGCTTATCTGGGAGCTGGAATCATTTCTTGACATATGACTCGGGATGGCGAGCATGGTCTGCTCGACTACAATCCTTTCTATCGTGGAAGTTCTTGAAGCATGCAGGCCACCTGGTACGCTGGCGCTGACCACATCATTGCAGTTTTGGCAGACCCTTTGCGAGCTCGACGAGGAGACTAGATCAGGCAGCATCGGGTCATGGACTATGTCGGATGGATCCAGTAAGGCTCTGAAGCTGGAACAGCGGTCGCAGAATATCCTGCCACAGCGGCGACAATGCTAAAAATATCATGAACAGAAGGCTCCAGAAAATGTTGGTTTACTTACATGCTATAATGCAAGACCGTCCATAAACATAAGTCTCGGGCTAATGGGGAGATGTAAGACGCACCCGACGGTTGAGGAAATTGAAGCGGCGTTGGCAGGCTCGACATTCGTTGACATCCGCATCGCGCTCCCATTGTGCGTGGACCTGATGGGGCGTGGGAGCAGTCCATCTCGGGACGAGTACCTTCTGAGGAGTTTCGTGAGTGGGCACGCGGAAGTCTGGTGCTTGGGACAGCTGGGGAGTAAGATCGGTGGACATGCGAGAAACGCCGGGCTGATTGAAGTAGTCGGTCGAGTTGGAAGACCTCGACGGAGATCTCAGAGTGTCCAAAGGGGATACCCCAGGATAGTGGAACTCCTCTTCATCCGAGCTACCGTCATCATCACGACCGTCGTGGTCGTCATCTACGGGATTTTCAGCAGAAACACGTATCCTGAACGTTCAGCCATACCCTCGTGAGATATCAGAAGACCGTTGGCGCCCGCAGCCAGTCGTCTTCTCTCCAGATCTCTGTTCAAAGCATGCAATAGCACCTCTGCCTGTGTCTTGCGCTCGTCATCGGTGTCGTCTCAAAGATTGGTTACGATTCAGACGCAAACACAGATCGGATAGCAGAGGCCACTCACTCAACACGCCTTGCCTTAATTCGGTCGTAGCTCGTTCTAATGTGGCTATTGCTCGCCGTATCTCCACAGCAGACGCCAGGGATGGGTCGGGATCCGGTAGCTGAGAACCAACTAAATATCTTGCACGAGCGACGTAATCTCTTGAGTGAGATAAAAATGAAGCAGGCAAGGCAGATAATTCTTGCCCATCACCATCATCACCGAAATCGTTGCTACTGTGCGACACGTGCGGAACCAGCGTCCCTTCTGCACTCAGGTCATACATCAAGCCGTCAGGTTCCAGGAATGGCAATGGCGGTATATCGAGGCGACGACGCATCACCCGCACCCATCGTCTTCGCCGCACCCAAGTTTGAGGTGTCCGACTCCCACTTCCGGCACGATTTGGTGCTGGAGTTGATGGTCCACTCGCGCTACCCGTCAAAAGTCTCTCCAAAGGCGCAGGCTTTTCGGCAGTCCATTGTTCGTCTGGATCGTTGAAATGATGCGCGTACTGCCAGCCTTCCTCGGCATCCACGCCAGGGTGGGTGATGTCTAATGTCCAGTCAGAACTAAAGAAGGGTGTTGCGTTAGCACAGGAGCAAGTTGATACTAGGTGGTAAAGCATACAGCCAGAAATGACTTCTTTCGGAGCCGTCATTTGCAGATCGATCTTGGTGACCACCTTTTGGCAAGGTCCACGGATCCTCTCGAGAAGGCAGTTTGACATCGCTTCGCCACGACGGGACGGTCGTTGCACCTGTCTCGTCCGCTTTTAATAGTCTAAGTTCGAAGGGGGCATGTCGGCCTTGTTTCCCTAGGCCAGAAGCGGAAAACTTGGGTCGCCCACCAGAGACCGCTAGTGTCTTCAATCGAGCGTCCAACCTTTGGTTCTCGTATATAACGATGGGGACAGTAACATGGACCAATAATGGGTTATACGGAACCGTAGTATTGCGCCACCTGTCAAGTTCGGCCCTTTGAAGGACCTATAGAATATGTAAAGCATCCGTGATGGGCTGCATCGTTGATTAGTGATTGGAGCTCACCTCGCATATCCAAATCTCGAAAACGGCCCCAGCGATGTCATATGCTGATTCACCCCAATTGTTTCTTATCAAGGGATTGGCTGACTGTTTGTTCAGCAAATACAGAACCACTGGTAGATGGCCCTTCGACGCCGCATTCACTACACATAATCAATCAGAAACGCGGAGATACAACCAGAATGGTGTTCACTGACTCAGTGGCGTCCAGCCACCTTTACTTCGTACGTCGATTCCCCTCGCACCATCGACTTCTGATGACGCACCACCGTCCTCGCAAAGCCACCGTACGATGTCAAGGTAGCCCTGGACATTGAGTCAATGATGACATAAAACTAGTGGCGTTTAGAACACACCTTAGAACACGCGTTGTGCAGAGCAGTCCAGCCGTCTGCGTCGCGTGCGTGAACGTCGGCCTTCGACGGAAGTAAATAAGACACTATGGAAAGGTGACCATTTAATGCTGCTTTGTGTAATGCCGTCTAGCACCAATAAATGAAAAGAACGAAAGGTTAATTGCAACGAGTAGACTCACCTCTCCCTCCTTGTCCTCCAAGTCTGGCATAGCTCCGCAATGTTCAACGACTTAAAGAGCAAAGGGATGAGTTAGGTCTACTCGATGAAGGGTGTAGACGCGTACGCCATTGAACAATATCAAGATAACCGCGACTTGCAGCAGCATGGAGTGCGGTGGAACCCGTCCTAGTTGATGCGTGATTCGCTAGATTGAATGGCTGGACGTCTCCCGTTTCTAGTGCGCTCTGAAACAGCCGTTGGAGGAGAGGGAGATCTCCCGAGGAAGCTGAAGCATACAAAGCCTCCAGCTGAGCTGGCGAAGGCTCGGACTGGGTATTTGACACTGTCCGCGCCACTGGTATGGATTCGGTCGTGTGATCTGTGGACGACCCAGGGTACACAAATTCGTCGTCGTCGCTTTCGCCCTCTCCATCTCGAGCAGAGTTCTGCTGTCCGTCAAAGTCGTATTGGAAAGGAGGAGATTCCGGAGAAGACGTAGGTGTATCTGACTGCCCCGACCTGGAACCGTTGAGCTTCTAGGGAAACCATAGAAACCAGCCACATAGGACGCACTCTTGAATCGACCCAAGTTGACCCCCTGCGTGCCCAAAGGACATTTTGTTCCGATTCGCGTAAGAACTTGACTGAAATGGACTTGTCAGGAAAAGTTGTCAAGCGCCCACGCGACTCCATGTTGGCGCTTATGCAAGCAAGGACAAACTCGAGCTCAATGACCCTGGCGGTAAATGCGACGATCTCTTTTCTGTTCAGGACTGCCAGCTCATTGACTGCTGCACACGCGGGCACAAGTACTGCTTGCGGCGAACAATCCGCCACCGCAATAAGTACGTTGTCAGTGATTCTCTTCGAAGCTATTCTAAGATAAATTCGTCTTATCATTAATCATGATTAGATAGCAACTGGCATGCATCTGCCCTGCACGGTGTTCCGCAGACTCGACCATCTCAGAACTGTACACGCTGGCCACTTGCTTCTATCATTGGTCGCATGAGGGTCTTATCTGATAATCTACGCAGAAAGCTTCCAGCACGGTCCATGGCTCTTCTCAGACTCAAAGCACGCGTCCAGGAGGGACTCATCGAAGCTACACGATCAGTAATATTGAAATAGTTGATTCACGCAGTTACGTCCCGGGTGGATAGTTCTCGCTGGTACCAGCTGCTTAAAGCAGCAACAACTACTTGTTTCGGACGACGCTGCTTCCTGCCAGTCTGGCATCATTACATAGGATGATCTATTCTGCGATTGGTCGACCGAGCCTCACCCGCGCACCAACCGATACTTTTCCGTCGCCCTTAGGATACCCCAGTCGAGCAAAAAGAAGATTCAAGCCCCATTGGACAACACCTATAATGGCAATGATAAGCTATATCCAGCACCATTTGCCCCGAGTTTCATTGGGTCAATTCTCCGGACACTGGCTTGCGTTGCGCAATCTCGATACTGAAACCCATATGATGTTCCACCTGCTCTGTTACTCAAGTTCGCATAAACGCAGCATAACGCCCGCACCGTAACGGATCTCAGCGGGGACTTCGAAGTTAGGCATCGTCAAAAAAGGTGTTGTTTCACCCATGGTCAAGTCTTAAAAGAGTTGCGCTGCGGAGGGCGGTAGGACAGTACAAACTCTGGCGTATTCTCTATGCTCAGCCCAAAGAACGCACTTGCGACAATGGCTTCATCCTCTGCTGCCGACCGGGCGGTCAGAGACGCGCTCGAAGCCAAATCTGTGCAAGAACTATGGTACATCTTAGCCAGTGTCATAGGCCTACTTGCTTTTCTTCGAGTTGCGAGGGATCTCGCATCAAACGCCCCGACGGTCGGACGAGCGGAAACCGGAGAGCTCACAGAGAAAGGTGATGCCGAGCAGCAAAGTAACTCGCCAACCGGGAAAAGCTCCCTTCGTCGTCTTCCAAACGCCATCGTAGCGGCGTTCAAGATAGTCGCCTTCCGATGGTCGATTCCTATAGGCCCTCAAGCAACAATGTCAGTTGCAGAGTTGACTTTCATTTTGGGATATATTACAGTGATCTTTGTGCGCGAGTTCGTACAGAGTAAGCCTTCTTTGACCCTTCTGCCTCCTGGTCACTCATTAGTTTATCTAATAGCTCGCGATCTGAGCCCGACATTCTGGCAAGATCGAGCAGCACACTTGGCGTCATGTCAGGTCCCTCTCATCATAGCCCTTGCCGGCAAAAATAACATCATATCATGTGTGCTTTATTTTTGTCTCTTCATCCATATGCTGATTCTCAACAGTCCTCACCGGGGTGAGCCACGAAAGGGTACGGTGAAAGTTTCTTAGACTACTGTCTACGGCAGACGCTAAAAATACTTCCAGCTCAATGTGCTCCACCGTGCCGCTGCACGTACATGCTTCGTGCTCGCATGGATACATGTCATATCTCGAACCTCGCGGGGGTAGGAATACTGTTTAGGTACCAGTCGGACGGCGTGCTCACTTGCTTTTAGTCTAGGAGCGCGTTCCGACTTCTCTCACAATTGGATGATTGCCGGCGCCATTGCGCTCGTTGCATTTACGCTAGCGACATTCATATCCTTCCGACCAATCAGAAACGCCGCCTTCGAGTTCTTCCTCATCTCCCACATTATTCTGATTGCGTATGTATGGATTATTCATTCCGTGGACATCGTCTCACATTTGCGCAGGATCTTCGTAATTTGTGGCTATTTTCATGCAAGAGAAGAAGGGTTGGTGTATTTCCACCGGAGGACTTCCTCTGCTGATGTCATATATCGCAGCTTTGGCGCGTACTTTTGGTCGGGACTTGTGGTTTGGGCAGCCGATCGTGTCCTTCGCTTCTGCCGTATCTTGTGGAATAACCGAGGTGGAAACGCCACGAAGGCAACCGTCGAACTTCTTGCAGAAGATACCACGCGCGTGACAATACGTCGTCGAATGAACTGGACGCCTGGTCAACACGCTTACCTCATATTCCCAACAGTCAGCAAATTGCCGAGTGAGGCACATCCGTTTACTATTGCGAGCATCCCGACGACCATCGAAGGGACCAATGAAAGAGAATTGGTCTTCTTGATTCGAGGACAGGGCGGATTTACTCGACGACTTCAGCAGCATGTGACCAGCTCTTCCTCCGAACCGGTGCCAGTATACATTGATGGACCATATGGAAACCCACCCAATCTTCATGTATTTTCCACTTGCATCCTTATCGCTGGTAATTGCTTGGTACAACCTATCTCCACTCCTTGTGCTGACACAGTCTAGGTGGTTCAGGGGTTTCATACACGCTCGGACTCTTCCATGATCTTGTTCGGTAAGTGCTGTAATATTTCCTTGTTCCACATGTCTAACGTCCTCGGCTCTGCAGTAATCACTCTGGCAGGAAATCTTCTGTGCGCAGGGTGGTCTTCGTTTGGGCTGTTCGCGACGGTGGTACGGTTGCAGTTCTATTCATAAACGCACGACGCATGTTAATCATCTATTTATAGCCCACCTAACTTGGATAACGGAGATAATAACGAAAGCGTTGAACGTTGCTCCACCGTCCCTTTCTATCGAGCCCCGTATATATGTCACAGGACCTAATTATCCGATCCCAAAGGTCCCAGCTCTTCAGTCAGATGGTTCAACAAGGAGCTCTACTTCTTCGTTACCCTCCGACCTTACGTCCCAGGATCTTCCGCAGTACTCGGCGCTCAAGTTGTCGCATGGCCGGCCAAGTATGAAGAAGCTCCTCCAAGACGAGATAAATTCGGCTTTGGGATCAGTATCGGTGGATGGTATGATATTGTATTGATGACTCGATGCCAGTCGTTGCTGATTAACTAACTAATGTTAGTCGCTGGCCCCTCGGCACTATCCCACTCTGTGCGCAGAGTTCTCGCGGACGTTCCAGCATCACCGACTGCTGCCCTCAAAGGCACGCCAGACGTCACACTCCATGTAGAGACCTTTGGGATGGTGAAGACATGAGAGTAAGAAGAATTCTCTCTGGATACTTCGTATAACAGCCAATGTGCACCATCTATTGCACTGAATAAAAATTGCCTGGCATTATTCATTAACACATTAGTACTGAATGAAAATTTGTCGTGCACATGGCTGGCTCTCCTTGTTTGTTGAGCTTATGGGATTTTGAACTTGAAATCGCTGCTGAAGCGAAGAGGGATCTATAGCCTACTTCGTCGCCTGTGCGTGAGGCGGCGGCGTGAGCGTGAGCATGATTCCCGAGGTAAATTGATTACAATTGGCTGGATTCAAGTCCGTCATGATCGTAGCTCGCGGGTATATATCATTATGTCGCCATCTCGTCGAACCACCCACTCTTGGACTCTCCCTCTACCTTGGTCAACGGTGAATGCGACTGAGGTTGCCTCTTGCGGCCGTATTTATCCCGAAAAGCCGAATCGTACCCGGAAAATCACAACTTCTCCTCAGGCATCAGCTCAAGACGACGATGGCGACAGCGATAGTGGAAAAGAAGGATAGATCCAAGCTCATCCCGTTCTCGTCGAGATTGAAAGAAGGCCGTGCATTGGCACAAGATGTGTGGTCCATCTTCAAGTACGTCGCTGGCCAACCGGCTGAATGACACTGACTCCGATGTGAATGGCAGCGCTCTGAATCTGCCAGCAGATTGCATCAATTTGGGCCAGGGATATATGAACTTCCCCCCACCAGCATGGGTGACCGAAGCAGCTGAAGAGGCGCTGCGAACAGTGGCTCCTAACCACTACTCTCACCCGAAAGGGCGGATACGCCTTCGTGAGGCTATCAAGAAGTTCTATGGGCCCCAACTCGGGCGAGAACTTGACGTGGAAAGCGAGATCCTTGTTACAAGCGGTGCCAATGAAGGTAAGTGCAAATCTGGACATCATGGTAGCCCCTCTGATGGTAGTGGATTTGCTTCTAGGACAATATTCTGTCTTCACCGCGTTCTTGGAACAAGGGGACGAAGTCATCATGTTCGAACCATTCTTCGACCAGTATTTACCATCCGTGACGTTCAATGGTGGCAAGCCAGTATACGTGCCCCTGCACCCGCCGGCACACGACATCTCAAAACCCACTAGCAATGACTGGACGATCGATATTGCCGAGTTACGGTATGTACTATTAACCATCTTTCCATTCGATGTCTTGATTGTCGTCGCTTATCAAGACGCGCTGTCACTCCGCGTACGAAGATGATCATCGTGAATACCCCGCATAACCCCGTAGGAAAAGTCTTCACCAAGAAGGAACTCGAGGAAATCGCAGCTGTAGCCGAGGAGTTCAACTTGTTGGTCATGTCCGATGAAGTAGTATGTATCTGTCTTCTTGACTCAACACCCAATCGGTCACTCATCCAGAGACCTTTAGTATGACTGCCTTGTTTTCGATGGCAAGGAACATATTCGTATCGCAAATTTACCTGGAATGTGGGACCGCACCGTTACTGTTGGTTCCGCGGGAAGTGAGCATATCACCTACCACTTCTTCAACTCAGACTCATTTTATCACCGCAGAGGCCTTTGCGGCAACTGGGTGGCGTGTCGGTTGGCTCATCGGCCCAGCATCCATTATCCAACCCACCCTAGCTGCAACCACGCGTATCGTCTTCTGCACCAACTCTCCCCTCCAGGAAGCAGCTGCCAGCGGCCTAGAGCAAGCAAAAGAACGGCAATACTTTGAGATTCAACGTGCTGAATACGCAGAGAGACGTAAGATCCTCGTAGACGTGTTCGACCAGTTGGGCTTGAAATATACCCTTCCCGAAGGAAGCTACTTCATCCTTTTGGTATGTTTCGATTTCCATGGGCGCCCTTCTCGTATCTCACGAGGCGAAATCAGGATATCTCCAATGTGAAGTTCCCCGATGATTATCCTTTCCCCAAAAGCGTGCTGGGGCGCGGCCGAGACTTCAGGTAATTGATACACGGATGCACTGCCATATGTGCTCTTGTGGCTGATTGCTCTCAATAGGGCTTGTTGGTTCATAGCTATGGAGATAGGTGTTTCGTCTATTCCCGTCAGCGAGGTATGTTCTAATCTCCTCCGTCGTGGACCCCCTGTGAACCCATTCCCAGTTCTACTGCGAAGAACATGCCAACATAGGGGAGGCTTACGCGCGCTTCGCCTTCTGCAAAGATGTAGATACTCTCGGGAAAGCTGCCGAACGCTTGAAGAACTTGAAAAATTATATGTAATGGGTTTCGAACCTTGAACGGTCAATGTGTAACTAAGCGAACGATAGACTACTGATCTATAGATCCAGAATTTGCAATGTACTCTGCTTCAAGTCTGTCTACCAGCTTCGACAAGTCGACGTTGCGGCTTCTGGCTTTGCAGTCGTAATATACTGGATTGCTAGATATACGCAAGAAAAGATAGGTGAAAGACAGAGCGTCGACTGCTGCTTGTTTGTCACCAATGGAACCGGATTTTCGGCAGCCATCATACCATGATTGCAGTAGTGGCGAATTCAGCAGCTGCGACTCCAGAGGCAACCCTTTGTTCAAGAAGCGCAGGAAGGAGTCTTTGCTTTCCGCCTGACAGAACAAGTGGAATTGCCCCCTTCCAGAGTGCTGCACCGCCCGGCCTTGCATATGGACCAGCTCCGTAAGACTGTAGTCTCGAAGTTGGCGAGACTCTGTGTCGCCGACAGAGGTGATATGCAAGTATTGGGTGCCCATAACCACGACAACGGACGAACGGACTGGCAAAGACCAGCACGATTCTCGGGGCACAATAAGAACCCGAATGATGCCTTCCGCATACATTTGCAGCGTGAGTATGCGGTCTGATCTTTTTAATCCCGAATGGAAGAATCCAACACCTTTGGAAGCGAATTCGACGTGGAATCGATCCTGGAATCGGGCAAGATAGTCTTCCAGTATTATTTCGGACATAGTGGGCGGAAGGAATGCACTAGTCTTTGTTGTTTGCAATGTGCACTGAGTGATGAGATCCCTGGCGATCGACAGACATTGCCCGCGAGAAGGTACAAACACTATCGCAGGTTCGCTCCCTTCGGCTGTCTGGATTGCGGTGTATGCAGGTTTTGCCATTGCCTTGAATAACGCAGCGGATTGTGGTATCGTGAACGTTTTGACGCAAACAGCCAGGGAGTGATCTCGATCACTTGGTCGGAAGCTATGAAGACCTGTTACTGTAGCCCCTAACCAAGCTCCTAGGTCGACAGGATCACTCAGGGAACTTGAGAAACCGATGAACCTAGTGGGACTCGACTGGACGGCATGTCGAAGCAGGGAAACGCCGAGCTCGTATTGCGCATCCAGATTCTCCAGTTGGTCGCATATCACAAGATCGATATAGTTTATCGATGTTCTGGGGTTGATTGCTGTCATTCGAACACGCAAGTTCGCTGCTGTCACTACCCGAATCACTTTGCCTCGGTACCGTTTAAGTACGTGCGGGCCATCCGAGATATCCACAGTTACACCAGTCGGACCACCAAACATTTGCAGATCGGATATCAACTCGGATGCGGCATCCTTACGTGCCACAACGATGAGTACGAATGCCTCTGACAACTGTAAGACAGTAGACCTTTGAAAGGAATGAATAATGGAATACGGGGGGGCTTCCATAATCTCACCATATGATAAGTTGCGCCATCATGCTTTTTCCATTTCCGACGGGAGCACACAGTAAGCTGTGAAGTCGAGTGTGTACCAAACTCCAAAACGTTTGTGATTGAATAGCGTTCAGCGTTCGGATGCGACTGGCAAACAAAGCTTCAGCTTGTGTGTTTCGCAGCACCGACGGGGACAGGAAAGGTAGATCGAGAAGGGGTGTATGGGAGTCAAAGGGGGCAGGCATGAGAAGAGACGTTAAGGGCACTTCGAGTTCATCTTCCGCAGAGAGCCATCGGTCGGACAGGAAGCGGATAGTTACGGAAGGGGGCGCGTTTCCATTGGGGATAGGTATCAGAAATTCAACGTCCATGTCTTCCGAAGAAGCCTTGAAAGACAAGTGGGACAACTGGAGTATGAATTTACCATCATTGGTCTCGATCCAAAGCCAGAAGGGTTCGGAGGTTCCATGAGTTTTGGCATTCCAACTGAACGAGCGATAGAGGTGAATCGTAACTTGCAAGACGTCGTGGGCTAACGGCCTGAGATCATAGGTGATTTTCGCTGTGGGGAACTGCTTCGCTGCGTTGAGTACTGCAAAACCGTTTTGTTCGTTCAAGTGTATGAGGTCGCCCAAATCCTTTGCCGAGAGCGTCGCTAGCTGATCGACGGGCCAGTCATCCGCCCATGTTTCGATGTTGTGGAGGGCTTCTCGTTTGAGGTTGAATTGTTTGAGGGGATGTTCAAACGGCCATAAACGTTTCTCGATTGCTTTACTCATTCTCATGAGAGCGCCAGAGACGCCCGCCCACTTCCGACTGAGCGCTATCTCGAGGAGAGCTCTGATAATACGACCACCGTTCTGAGCACAGTATGCCGAGTCTGAGATGAGGGCAAAGTCCTCCAGATAGTGGTTCGAGATGTGCGCTTGCAGTAGGATATTGACTTTGGCTTCGCTTGAAGTGATGACTTTCCCCTTCCCTTTCCCATCTTTGTCGCCCCCTCTGCCTTTACCGCCTTTGTCCGCCTCATCTTTGTCTCCGGCCTTCTTGTCTTGAATACCCTGCCCAACAGTCTTCAGTGAGAGGAAAACAGAGATCGGTATGGACTCTCGCCTTGATGTCGCAATGGATAACATCCAGCTCTAGTATCCCCTCCAACTCCTCCATCTCAGATTCGCGGAGTTGAACTTGCTCAAACTAGAGATTGAGATTGTTCAGAATGAAGCCTCTTGCCTCGAGTAGTCGTACCTCTGTACTCAGACTCAGCATATGAAGCACGTCCGCTTCCGACATTATGGGTTTGAACACCGGTTCAAACTTTTCAATGGAAGCATGCCTAATATAATATTTGGCCGCAATCCGTCCTAGATCAGTGATTGTATATGCCTTGGTGTGGGGGTCAATAGTGATCATGCCCGTGTTTGCTAGCTTTTGCGCCGAGAAATCGACGAGCGCGGAGCGTTTAGAGACTAGATGCGGGTCGTCACTGACTGTATCCCATACCATGCCTTCATGTCTTTCAGAATAATCGGTAGTCAGATACTATTAAGAACGTACCGTAGTACATGGGGTTCTTCTTCATACGAACGAACAGGTACGTCCAACGCAACCATTGACTCGCGTCATTGGCGTTCGCCACCGTGCCGAGGGCAATCTCAGCATTCAAGGAATCGATCAACCCTCCTTGGAACCTAGACTACGTTAGCGAGATAGTGTGAGATCGTGTTATCCAAACTTACTGTGATTCAATGGGAATCTAGTGTGGCTAGGTCAGCCTCATACATTGCTCGCCGTTGATCACTCACCTGCGACGTTACACGTTCCAGATAATGGTTTAGTTTATCTTCAGTGGTACATATATATCCTTCTCCACTTGTCTCCATTCCCGGGCGCCCAGCTCTTCCGAATACTTGAAGGACATCCAGCACCGAGAGATCACCAAACTTGCCCTTCCCGCTGTCGTATACCTGGGTACCCTTGATGACCACTGCATGATATCGATGATTTAGATGATGTCCTGCCCTTGAATCAAGAAGCCTAACCAGCATGAGCGGGTAAGTTCACCCCCCAAGCAAGAGTAGCTGTGCAGCATAAGACCTAAAAGCAACATAGTCAAGGGAAGAGTAAATTCGTATGAATGGAAGCTACCTTGATGGCTCGAGCTTCAAACATACGTTCCATCATGTTGCGGTCTGTACGTAGCATCCCAGCGTGGTGAATACCAAAGCCACTGTCAAATAGCTGCTTCATTTCCTTGTTGCGAGATTCTCCTATGTCCCTTCGAAATAATGACCATTGTGGATGAGTTTCGCAACTGAAGCCATCAAGAGTGCCTTCAAGCATAGCATTTTCCCTCAGATTGAGAGCAGCCTTTACAGTCTCTTTCCGGGCGTGAACAAACACCATGACTTGGTGCCCTTGTGCAACCAGCTCAGAAACCTTTTCATACGTGACATGATCCAAATTCTTCTTCGACAAGGCGGAGCCTGGCTTCCCGCGGATACCCAAGAAATGTTGCTCTAGTGGAACGGGCCTAAAGGATGAGTCGAAGTAGAACAGGCCTTTCTTGGGCGATACGCTAAGGAGGGATGGATAAGCACGACCAAAGAGCAAAAGTAGTCGTATTACGTACCTTAAAAATTCAGCAACATCAACATAGTTTGGTAGGGTAGCACTGAGTCCAAGGATTCGAATGACTGATTGGCTGGACTCGACCTTCCAGCGGAATTGAAGTGTGATCGGGACGGGAGATTAATGTCATACCTGTCTCAATGTTCGAGCAACGATCGTCTCGATCACGGCGCCGCGCTCTTCGTTCAGCAGGTGGACTTCGTCGATGATTAGCAATTTCAAAGCCTGCGTATCATACATCAGCGAGAGGATTTCTCGATTTCCTGTGAACATACGGATGCGATCTCCCCCTCGCCGGTAGGTTTCCTTGTCACGACATCCCATTTCTCCGGTGTTGTGACTATGATCTGCGTTTCCGCGATCTCTGCCTTGGTCATTTGCATATCACCTAGTCCAAAGGGGTCGCAACGTATAAGGCATGCTAGGAGGGCCGACATACCAGTTAGTTCGCGAACGGAAACAGATAACCATCGTAACCGTTTGCTGAACTTCCTGACAATTTCCGAGGCCAGGGCTTTCATTGGTGCGCTAAATCTATTTGAAACGACGATTGGGTAGAAATGGTAACAACTTACACATAGATTATCTTGAACTCGTTTCTGTTGATTGTGGACGCAATGGGGGCCTGAGGGTTGGACTTCGACCGATGTTGATCCAGCACGCGCAGGATGGTCAACATAGCGACGTCGGTTTTACCCTACAATCTGGTTACTTCGCCTGAAGAAACACTCTGTCAAAGGGGACACTAACAGCACCGGTAGGAGCTGAGGAATATATACAGACAACATGTTATACTGAGGGCGAAGAGCTTACCACAAATAAGCATGTTCTCGTTCGTCCCATAGGCGGTGGGGTAAACGATAGACTGTATTCTGTTCAGATTACTGTAACCCTATACGAGAGGTTAAGACGAGGGCTATACGATTGACACGGTTTACTCACAGGAAAACATCCTCGTGCAAGAGGATCTAATTCAGGGACAGGAATGAGCCGCTCCGCAGTTTTGGGAGGTACAGGCTTAGCTGGTGGTATTATCACCTCTTCGTATGTCTTGCTTTCAAGTCAGAGAACGATCGTAAATTCCAAGAGGACGTGATGCTTACCTCATTCTGGTCCCTTGTGGTCCCCAATGGCAAAAGGAATTTGTTGCCGGACTGGGATAGAATATTCCCTTGAGATCCAGAAGAGGTATATACATGAGGCAGAATTTCGGGGGTAGGAGGCTAAGATGCGTCTTAGTAACAAAGCATTCTTCTAGCAGACTTAAGCCTACCCTCACGCCAGTAGTCAACGGTCTAGAGGCATTCTCTTTGAGTTGTCTTTCCAAACGCTTGCGCGCGGCTTGGGAAGAGAGATCTGAGTCAGGCTTCGAGCTAGGGGTATCTGGCTTGGAAGTAGAAGCCGCTGGCTTATCACCAGACTCGCCTAGCTGCACAAGCTTGGCGGACATCGTCAGTTTTCCGACTCGTTCTTTGAACGAAGATGCTTCACCTCTTTGACGACGACTCGTCGTTGGTTGAGTACACTACTGGCTAGGTCGATCTGGTCGAATCCTAGAAGGTCAACTAGTTCCCCATATATTTGGTCATTCGTGTGGCTCGACGATAACACTGAGAGCAGCGGATGAACAAGATCATGGGCGTTGGGTAGTCTAGGCGAAACATGTCAATTCAAGAAGCAGCCCGAGCGCGATGATGATACTGACGACATTACTTCGGCAACCAAGCCTGGAGGGTTGGCTTCAGGTTGCCCTGCGAAAACGTCGAGCACAGAGGGCCATGGCTCATCCTCGTCGAGATCATCTACATAGAAGGCATGGTAGCCTTGCATCATACACATTTTGGTTGACATCCGTACCAGATACTGACCAGTCAATAACCGGTTGGCTACAGAGAAGTTCAATTAGAATTCGCCTTGCGTTGACAGATTCGAACTACCTGAGCCAGTTAGAGATCGAATTATCGTCTTCAGTCGTCGCGTCGGGTGCAGTTGACGCGAGTCCCAGTAAATTGTCTAGATGTCCAGAGAGTCCAATAGCCATTGCAGTAAGGAGAGTGTTCAAAATAAATCTAGTAAGTGGTAGCAGTTCCTGGTTTACTGATTCACTAAGTACTTGAGTCCGGGATGCGGTGACTGTAGCTGAGGCTCGGTGCCGACGTTAACGGGACCAATATTTCTGTGATCATGTGAGCAACGCAGCTTCTTTTAATTTTCACGAATCCACCACGCATCGTGCACTACCGCTGGGAGCGACGGTGACCGGCGCCGACAGAATAGATCCAATGCAGAGCTATATTCTGCGGAACCACTTCCATATGCTTCGTCCATACGGATGGCGCGCCTACTACGACTCCTCCACCAGCACCAATCCTTACTCAGATGATAATTTTAGCTCTGCCATAGGCTGTCTGGCAGATGATCTCTTCCCATGACTTGTCGAGCTTCTTCAGCATGCTTGTCGGTCTCAGGAGGCGCATTGTTTACGCTTCGACGATTTGGAGACCTGAACTCACCCAAGATGTCTTCAGACAGTCCCAAACGTCAAGTAGACGCTATTTCTCTGGTTGAGGCCCAAAGCGACGAGTCACCTCAGCCCTCACATACGAGGGTGGCATCTCTTCGAGGGCGAAAGCTCACGGCGGCACTTGCTTTTGTCACTGGAACTGGTTTCACATTGTTTGGGTGAGCCATAACTTCTGTGTGGAGTGCTAGAATATCAGGACGACTCTTGCCCTACCATTAGCTATGACCAGGGGGTCATGTCTGCACTATTGACTGCAAAGCAGGTCAGGCTGACCCGTTGTCTTCAAGTGTAGTGCACTGACTTCGGATATCACAGTTCGAACGAGTTTTCCCTCAAGTTGTGGTCGACACCGATCATCCAAACCACGCCACCCTTCAGAGCTTTCTAGTTGCTGTTTATGTAGGTATTCTCAACCTTCTGTCAACGCTCTGCTCACACCTATGCGATCTCATAGGAAATCGGCTGCCTACTCGGTGCTTTATCTAATTTATGGGTGGGAGATCGTCTAGGTCGCCGACAAACGATCGCGTTTGGGGGTATCATTATGATCATTGGCGCTATTTTACAAGCAGCCGCATTCTCTTACGCCCAGATCATCGTCGCTCGAATTGTAACCGGTTTAGGGAATGGTTTGAACGTACATGGTTGCTTCTCGTTCATTTTCTGGATGTACTTACGATTTGGACTAGACATCGACGGTTCCCTCATACCACGCAGAAACTTCGCCCGCAGCTAGAAGGGGGAGTTTAATTATGATTGAAGGCAGTCTTATTACATTCGGTATCATGCTGTCGTAAGTTGCTACCAAGTATCGTATCCAAGCCTAGTGATCTCACCCGAGCAGATATGTGTGTCCTGCCTCAATTAGAGGTTTCCAGCGACATGTGCTAACCTCGTAACCCCTACACAAGTGGCTAGATTTTGCATTGTGCGCCATGGTGTTACCACGTCTGCGTTGAGCGTGACTAATGCACGGGATAGCTTCTGGGCGTCTGCTTCATCGGTTCAATGGCGAGCTCCAATCGCTCTGCAGATTGTTTTAGCACTTGTCCTTGTAGTGTGCATTTGGTTTGTAAGTACCAAAGACTTCTCCTTGCTCCATGTTGACCCTCTCGTTCCAGCTTCCTGAATCCCCACGATGGTCGGTGGCTTACTTTGAGCAAACTAGCCCAATTACTCACCAAGTGACAGGCTCATAAAGGCCAATAGGCCGCAAGAGGCCCTGGAGGTTATCTCTGCGCTTGATGATAAACCAACTTCCGATGCGGAGGTTCAGCGTACCTACCACGCAATCATGGAATCAGTTGCCATTGAGGAACGAAAGAACAGCGACAAGCCTGGTTCTTCGTCGCTCGCGGATTTGTTTACTGGAGGTCGAAGCCAAAATTTCAGAAGGGCCTCGCTCGGGGTTGTCATCCAGTGCTTTCAACAGGTGAAGGCCTTCGTGTTCCATGTAGTCGTCGAACTGAACGAGATCTGCTATAGATCACGGGCATCAACATTATCACCTATTACGCAGTACGCCAACATCCAACTTCGTAGTATTCTGGACTCTACTGATGGTCTTGCAGACGATCCTTTTCGAGCGCCTCGGTATTTCCGACGTCAAGTCCCGCATCCTCGCCGCATGCAACGGAACTGAATACTTCCTCGCCTCTTTCATAGCGATCGTTCTCATCGACCGAGTCGGCCGTCGCAAGCTCATGATATTTGGTGCAATAACACAAACCTTGACAATGGTTTTGCTGGCTGTCCTGGGAGCCGTCGACACGCCCGCGGCGAACATAGTAAGCTGTGTGCTACTCTTCGCCTTCAATACCTTCTTTGCGGTTGGGTGGCTCGGGATGACTTGGCTATATGTGAGTTATACGAGCGATCGTGTCCATTGTGCTGGTGCTAACGGATGGAATATCAGCCCGCTGAGATTGTGGGCATTCGCATTCGTGCTGCCGCCAACGCCCTGAGTACGGCAAGCAACTGGACGTTAGTTAAGCCGCCTCGCTGTGAATGTCAGTTTGCTCAACCGCAGGAATAGATTCAACTTCCTTGTAGTGATGGTCACAGGACCAGCGTTCGCGAACATCTCATGGCGAACTTACATAGGTCTGCAAGACCACAATAGGGATCGAGTTGATCGCTGACCATCTTGCAGTATTCGCGTGCCTGAACGCGATTCTTGCCCCGCTGGTGTATTTCTTCTTTCCAGGTATTTTGAAATCTTGTTCACCCGTAACGTTTGCTGAGATAGCATACAGAAACAGCAGGGAGGTCGCTAGAAGGTAGGATTCCACACCTGACGGCAGCACAGTGCCTCACGGCATCTCGTAGATATGGACGTCATCTTTGCCTATGCGTACAACCACGGCCTTTCTCCTGTCGCCGTGTCGCTGCGGAAGGATATCCCACAAGCAGGTACCCCGGAGGCTGACAGAATCTTGTTCCCAGACGATGACCAAGACGACGAAACTCACATGCGTGCCCAAGGCCATGTAAAGGAACAATGAAGCAATGATTATATTTACGTTGCCCAGTAGTGTACGCCTCAATACACATGTGGACCGCGTGGTACGCTGTGGCTTGACTTCATAACGCGAGATTTCCGCCATTTGTCGCGCTCGATCGCGTCTTGGATATTTCGACGCGTCCAATCATGGACGGAATTCAAAGTTTCCGCCGTAGGCACCGTTACTCTGCCAATACGGTTGAAAGGCCAGAGTATACATACCAGTTTGGACTCAATAAGAGCTGCAGGAATCTAATAACTTGTTAAAATGGGGGAAAGCCGCAGTTCTAAACCGGATCGTACCGGGCCAAGACGATTACTGTCGTCCGTGTGGAAGGAGTCGTCTCCTAATGAGTCGCTACACGTTTAGTTTGTTCGTCCCAAGATTGTATATTTGCGACGCGTACCTTCAACCCATACATGGCCAACTGGAACACGAACTTCTGGATCAGGATGGGGTGGTAGGGTTCTCACAGTGTCCCCTTCGATGGCTAATATTCGCTTCACAATCATCCTCCGGGGGTCCTCAGGTGAACTACGACCGTTTCAGGCCCAAAACGAAACGAGAACCATTTCGGACTCACACAATGGCAACGATATCTCCTCGTTGGTACGCATGCCGGGAACGTATCGAGAACTTATCGAAGAGGCCAAAATCCCTCCATAGAGATGAGTCCGGGTTAAGAGTTGGCTAGCTGACCGAGTCGTGGATTACTTCGTAGAAGCTTGAGCATATGTGAATGGCACGTACCTGCATGCTGCGCCCGCTGATAAGTTTCACCGTCCAGAAGTAATTGCCGAAGGCCAGGGCAAGCGGCGACCAGAAAATAAGCGCAGGTATTCGTCTGCTTCGTGGCGCACCGTTCGAGGTATTTCTACCGATTCTTAGCCTGCTCAGGAAAGCCATGAACTAAGAAAACAAGGCAAGGCGCCTAATCCTGTCCATCACCTACAGGTGGTTGATAGGGGCGTTCACTATCGTTTCGACAAAGTCCAAAACGCGTCCCGATAGCAAGACAGAGTACGGAAGATTTACCATCGGACACGTTGTAAGTTAAGTAGATTGCGATAAAGCTGCCTTCTACTACTAATGAACACAAAATGTAGACATTCTCGCGTCGCTCTTTTGTGGAGAGTATCACCCAGCCCCCTCCTCCGCTCGTAACTAATAGACGCCCATCGATCACTTGATCGCCGTTTCTGGAACCGCTTGCCTGGATCTACTACTTTTGGCTTTGCATTGTCCCAGCAGAATTCCAATTGTGACTCGAACTCTGTGGAAAGATGCGGACAATAGAGCTTAAGTATCTGGGAGCCACTGCCTTTCTCGCAAGCCTTCTTTCCCCCAGTCACCACCATGGGTCAGCGCCATCATATCTGGCTCATAGCCAAGGTCGTACCTCGCGATTCTACCGACAACAAAGCCTATTACCGTTCTCTTGGTGGCTTTCATAACCAATGGTGCTACGGCCGTTTACCGTCGCGCGCTGTACGCCGCTTCGTCGATCTCGCCAAACAAAAGGACAACGCTGAGATCATCCAAATCGAACTCGATGAGATGCAGAACAAATACAGCAGAAATGCCAATATAAAACAAATGCCAAGCTGCCCTTGTCCTTATACACAATTCTTGCTCGGACTTGCTTGCTGCGTCGACCTTGATGATTTCATTCCGACCTATGTCTCAGGGCATTCTTACGACGGGTGTCTCTTGCCAGCTACCACACGCGGTAGCTTTGATCATGGTGAGTACTTTGAGGCAAATTCTCTTTGAAACCCCACAAAGCCTTGCTCTAGGCCCAGATGACGGTATATCTGTTATTGATGTCACCGATCCAATGAATCCAGCATACTGCCATGTCCTATCGAATAGGCCTCTCCCAGCTGAGGGATACATCAGGAGCTATTACGCCTATCCAGCAGACGATTCGGAGAACGGGGACTCCGAACTAGAAAAAGACATTGCAACCTTAATCGCTTCCCTCGATGATGCCAAGGTGGTTACGACGGAAATGCTTGCAGAAGCCTGGCCCAGGGAATATGGTCGCGCCGGTGGTGGCTCAGAAACAGACGAAGTGGCAGATCCCTCAGATCAACCCGCACTTGCCGAAGACAACATCGTTCCACAATTGGCCGACCTTGTTGTGGGACCTGCAGTCAAGCAATCCATCGCTCAGGGCAATTTCGATGAGTTGGAGAAACTCGTCTGGATACCGGAGAAGGCCAAGTTAATCAAAGCAGCGCTGCGAGAAATCGATCCCTTTCCTGACGCTGCTATCCCATTACTCCGCCGTGTCTGTGAAGTCGAGTCCCAAACCAACAAGAATGAGCTCGACCTAACTGGTCTCCCTCTATCCTCCGACCAAATCCTTGATTTCGTGTCCCAGCACAGCGACATACAATACCTCAGACTTTCAAGTATGCCACATGTCACCATAGACACTGTGCGCAAGCTGTTGACCTTGGTGCCATCGATTTCGCACCTTACCCTCCTTGGCACCTCCATTGCGAACGAATCCATCCTTGAACTGTTGGCCGGGGAGCCCAAACTCTTCTATAACATGGAGGCTCTGATCCACCCTGTCCTTCTGACATACGCCAAAAAGGCTCCTTACAAGGCTGCATTCACCTTCCCCGGCATTTCAGGCGCTTCCATTGGTGGCTGTCCCGCACTACCATTCTTCACACCCCAGAGAATCGTACAAGTGTTCTCCGATTTTCTGAGGGGGATATTAAGGAATGAGATGAGCATGGCAAGGAAGGCCCTTCTTTTTGGGGCGATGGGCTCGAGCATGCTCGCCTTAGCATGCCTCGCGTCTGATCGAACACAAGGCCAGAAATGGAGCGAGAGACGCGTACCCATATTGCCTCTATTCTGCGACGGGTTTTTCAATGGGGAGGGGTGGGCGCTGATTGTGTCAGACTCGGTGTATTCGTTCTGCCGTCTGTTGGATAGAGAAGCAGAGGGGAGCGACAAGGACTTTCTGGATCTCGACGGTTTCCTCAGCGCAATGAGAGCTGAGGGACGCCCTGCTCCTTTACCAGCCTCTGTCTCGGAATTGAAGGGGTTCATTGCAGAAGCTAAGCTCCAGGCAATGAATGTGGAGTCTGTGGAAGAGGCCTTGCAAGAACTTCAGATGTATGTCAACTCTACCCCGTGACATAACAACGACGAATATGATAGTACACGGTACTAGTCCTAGTCCGCATGACGCTGTACTTTTACGAGAAACATAAAGCTATGTACATTAGAACTTCTTTTCGTCATAGGGAGATCCCCGATGTTATTATGCGAGGCATGGAGGTGGCAAAGCCTAGAATTGAAGGGTGAAGATGACCTCCTTGGATAACCCTGTTCCCAAACCATGTATACAATGTAGAATTGCGGATCGAGCATCCTCTGAGCTCCAACATCGTGCCTCCTGTTGGATATTTCGCGTCGCATCAGTATGTTACATGAAAGGGGCGTCAATTGGAAGGATTTACGTTGACAGGTTCTACAATGATTTGGCCTCTTCTAGCAGCTCTTACAATGTTAATTTGTGCAAGATCTTCCGTTGGGATTGGGGCTGGTTCTGAACCCTCTGCAAGCAACGATTAGTTGCGATTGTATGAATGGTGGACTCGGATCACCAATGTATTCTGGGGGAGGATCCGAAATCGAGTGCTCTGGTGACGAAAAGCAGGCATATCTGTTCTTCGACAAGAGCTTTACACACGTCTCTAGCGGGTACCATTCGTAAGTCTCCTACTCAAGAAGTCAGAGACTGAACTAACAAATACACAGAGGCTTACTGGGTCAGCCAGAAACGATGGCGAGTACTCGCCTTTGTATCGCATTTTCGGACACGAATGAATGTAGAAACCTATTCAACACAAGACAGATTATCTTCAAGCCCAGAGATCGAGTTAATGACTGAAGTACCCATGTACAAGTACGACATCTGTGACACGCCAGCTCGATGTATCTCATAGGCAAGCGAGGTTTCCCGGAACGCGCTTAGCTTACGAGGCAGGACTTCATTTATGTTATAGATTTGATAAGATACGACTCACCTTCCCCAAGGAGAACCTTTCCCACTTCTTGTCATACATGAAGTAAACGCTCGAAACGCAGGAGGGAAGTATATCCAAGACGGCCATGGCTATTAGCTCCCCGTCGAGCTTATATAATTGGTGATACGACCCATATTCAACCGGCAGGTGGGCGGGCGGTGATCCTGTATAACCTATGGGGCTTGTCTAGAGGAGAGGCGAAACATCAGAGAGACGGTAGCGATATAGATACAAAGGAGCATAGTGATATTACCCCGAGAGGTGTTTCGCACAGAAACCTCCTGAAGCCGGCCTGAGAAGATTTGAAGTCATGGTGGATGTCCGCCTGATACCTAGCTCATTCACGGTTAATGTCAAAAACAGCGCGTGCAAAGACGCATTTGAAGGGTCCGACTTTTTAAACAATTCGAATTTCTCATCCGTGTAGGAAGATGGCTCGAGTACAGTCTAAGTCCGCTGAGTACGAGGCAAGGCAACAGCGAGTGAATTGTACTGACCTCAAAACGATGTCGCGTTGTCTCCGGGTCGACCCAGGGTACCTCGGCGGCGTGGAGCAACGAGCTCATTGAGCCTGACTCGTCCTCCGACTTATTTGGTTTGGGAGGTCTGGAACAACATTGACAAGTTTTTAAGACTCGGAAAAGTGAGTGACCCCGACCTTTTTGCTTTGGCTTCAGTGTTTACCGCGTCGTTGTTGTCACCCCTTTCTATAAAATTATTCCACCTGTCCAAACCCATGTAACCCTCAAACTCTTTGTAGGGGTGAAGCCACAGCTCACCGTCGCATCAGTTTGCGTTGACTCTTCGAGGGTTTGAACTGGAGGGCATCTAGTCTTCACATATAATGTGAGGAGGATTTAGTGAGTACAGTCTGATCGACGTACTTGATCGTGTACTGGGGGCAGCATGAGTTCTTCATATCCCGCTGGTAGCAATAGGTGCCTGTCCGCTTAGTGCATCTAGTTGAGTTGTAAATTATAAGACTGTTGTACCCTCACCAGAGCGCCTCCATCCACGGTCGACCATGCGTTGATAGACCTATTCGCATCACATCAACGGGATCGCGACCACAGGTGACCGGCGTCGCCAAAACGAGACGTACGTCGCATGTGAGGGCTAGAGCTTGGAGGCTCGCAGAGGTCCTGTTGAATTCAGTTTCGCTGCGACTTCCAGGAGGCGAACAATATCCGCATGTTGACTCATTGGGGCCGTAAGGGTAGATTATGGACCGTCGACTCATGAGTGTTCGTGAGCAAGATCATCATCATAGCAGTTCGGCGGTAATACAGCATCTCGATCGTAGGGTTAGGGTTAACCTCCGTCAAACTAGGAGTGCTCTCAGAGACTCGAACGAGGAGCTGGATCAGCGCACTTTGAACGTAGCTTTGGTTCAAGAACGCCGGGTGAGACGATAAACAGGGACGCACAAGCATTCTCTTTCGTGACCTCCATGTTATACTGCACATTCTTCCGATACTTCGTCGATAAATCGGCGGCTGTCTGCACGGCCGAGTTCGCTCGAAGGACCTCCTGCATGTTACTCTGTTCAGCAGCCAGGCTATCATCAAGCAAAGACTAGCAATAGTAACCTCCAAGCAGTGATTCAGTTCCAAGATCATTTCGGTGCATTTGGACTAGAAGCGCAGCTCAGTAATCGTGCACGGTAATTGCCTTGAAAAATCAAGAGAGCCTTACAGAGTTCTTCAGGATGCGTTCAAGCAAGACGGCTTGCCTTTCAGCGTGAGGATTCTCCATGGTGGTGGTAATCTCAAGTGTTGTCACAGACGCGTGACGTCACAAAAGTCGCGTCAAAGGGCACGAGCACAGAATCAATCCACGCAAAATCCACGAGCCAGAGATCGGAGCAGTGGTGATGGCGGAATTCATAATGGCACTAAAGCTGAATATCGACATGTACATTACAATGATACAACAGTAGCTATAATCATGCATAGATAAATACGAGTGGTAAATGCAAAAAATTCCAAGATCAAGTCAATCATGAGATCGTCAAATCTAAGTCCATCCGTCCCATCGGCCAAACCGCCTGAACTCTTCTAAGATGCATGTGATCCCTTCCTTGCCTTCCTTGCGCTCCTTCTCTTTCCCTTTGCTAGCCCTAGAAGTTGATGACGACACGCTAGCGGGACGCGGTCGAGATCCCGATTTAGGAACATTATGCGATGTAGGTCCGGGGGAAGACGAAGGTGAAGGTGAAGCGGCACGACTGGCGAGGGCGCCGGGAAGAGCGAGTCGGTACCAGCCGCCGCCGTACGTCAATGCGATAAGCTGATACTCGGGCGGCCGCTGAGGATCATCATTCGGGACTGACACCCAGCCGACTACGCAGCGATCTTCGTCAGGTAGATCCGCAGGACGCGCACGACTGGAGGTGGAGGATAGGTATATGTGGGAGGACTGTGTGGGTATACGATACTGAGCATACGACCATTCTGAGTCAAAATACTTGGGATGTGGTATATATGTAGTGAGGACCGAGAGAGACGATTGGCGATTCCTTGATCACCGTGTAAGAGAAAATGTTTACTTCGTTCATCGGCGGATCCACTTACGAAGATTCTGAGCCAGTGACGGCAAAGACGTGCACCGTCCCGTTGTTACTCCACGCGCAGATCTCAGTTTCGTCAGGCCGAAAGGCAATTCCATATATATCGGCCTTGTTGGTTCCGCGACGGAGTTCGCGTATTAGTTTGCCTGTATGTGTATCCCATATCCGAATAAGAGTCCCTCTGGACGAGGTAGTGGCTAGTAGCCTGCCTGAGGGTGGAACGGTCAACGTCGTAAGGTCGCTGGTGTGAGCAGCTATCATGGATATCGAAGACTTCGCTGAGCGAGGGTTCTGTTTGCGAGGGGTAGGAGGGGGTGGCGGACCCTTGGGTACCGGGGGTGAACAAGGTGGTAAATGGATCAACTGCACATGGCCCATCTGTCGCCCTGCAATGGCAAGCAACGTTGAGTACGCGCCAGTGGCTATTGCCAGTATCCCTGCATGTCGTTAATTCGGCTATGGTTCCCGTTTGCAATACATCGGATCCATGACTCACCTCGGGGGTTGTCGCAGGTATCCCATTCCTTATATCTTGTCACCTGCTCAGCCACTGTGAACACGACCACCCGCCGACGTAATGATACAGCAAGCCATCCGCGTCGGCACGCTATGCCACGAACCCTCTCCCGGAACTCTAATTCAGCGACCTCGCTTCCGATGGCATCGTCCCACAAGATGACCTTGTTGGGTGGATACAAGGGACTGGGACCACCACCGACCAAGAAGAGAAGAGACGACGTATGGCACGGTACGACGAACTGCAATGTTCCGCCGGAGAGCTCTAACATTATTGAGTCACCTGGCTATATCGAAGCAAAATGACTGCATACCACGCTTCCGCACGAGATCAAGAGGCCATGCACGATAAACGGCGAATCCTTCGGGGGTCGAGATTGTGAAGATCTGGAAGTCGGCGTCGAAGCGTGCGTCTATGAGATTCACGGGGTTGGTCGCGCTGATGGAATGGCGAGCTAAGTTCATGGAAGGAGGAGACCGTGGTGGTCAGCCAGTAGGATGGTCATGCCTTCCATATTCGTACAGCTTCTCTCTTACCTACTACCCGGCGCTTATGCCCCTGTTACCACAACACGAAATATTCCAACCACCTTTTCAAGGCTGGATTAAGAATCGACCAGGGGACTGCCGTGTTGCCAAGTCTAGCATCCTTACTGGGGCGTGGCGATATATAGTTCCTTCGGCCGCGTATTGGACAGCATCCTTCCGACTCCTTTTCAACCCAGTTCCTCGTGAAGACCCGTACTCTAGGCGTACGGAGAGCCGTGTTTTGAACGGTGTTACTGAGCGCGTCTACACCCCGGCCACAGATCTCCTACCGGTTGTCAACCCACATCCAATTCAATATTGTGGTAATGGGCGGAACAGTACTAATACAATACGTTCATGTTTATTCTCGATATCACATCGAGTGGTATAAGGTAACGTCTCGCTTGAGCATTTGCAAGGAATACCCTGCCTCCTTCTTGTCCATTATCTCGAGCCCTATTTCAGCAACGAGCCCCTTCAATTCTGAGACAGAGGCTGGCAGAGGGGCAGGTCGTCCCTCGGCTTCCATCGCGGCAAGAAATCCGTCGAGATCCAGAAGTTCCATGTCTGCTGCCCCGGCCTCTCCTTTCAACAGGCGGCAGAATGAATACGCCGTTTCTGACACGAGCAATGCCCATCCCTCTCCATCCAAATACCCTTTGCAGAATAGAGGGAAGATGGGCACGGATCTCTCGCCGAATTTCTGACCTTGCGCTCGATCAGATGCAAGGCAAGCCGTGGCGAGCATGGTCGAACCCCGTGGCCCAACATAGAACCCAACGCCCGGTATAGCCCTCCCCTTCCTGTACATCCCAGTAGCGAAATCGAAGAACATCTGGACGACTTTCTGTGGGGTGAAGAACGGCACCGCGGGGCAGCCACCCACAAGGGGGCATAAAACGCCGGGGAAGGTGAATGCAGCCTTGTATGAAGCAGTTGCGTCGTATCTAAGCAGAGCGGGATGGACGAGAGCCTCCACATGGTAGAAGAGCTTGGGCTCCTTGGATAACAGTTCGAAGATGGCTTCATCCGCGATCGGCGTACCAAGGAGGTTAAGATGCGAAATCGGTGGCACCAAGGTCAACAGCTTGCGCACAGTGTCTATGGTGACATAGGGCATATTCGAGAGTCTAAGCCGTTGTATGTCACCGCGCTGAGAGACGAATTCAAGGATTTGGTCGGAGGAGAGAGGAAGGCCGGTTAGATCGAGTTCTTTCTCGTTGGTTTGGGACTCGACTTCACAGACACGGCGGAGTAATGGGATAGCAGCGTCAGGAAAGGGATCGATTTCTCGCAGCGCTGCTTTGATTAACTTGGCCTTCTCCGGTATCCAGACGAGTTTCTCCAATTCATCGAAATTACCCTGAGCGATGGACTGCTTGACTGCAGGTCCCACAATAAGGTCGGCCAATTGTGGAACGATGTTATCCTCGGCGACGGCGATTTCGTCTGAGGGATCTGCCACTTCGTCCAATTGTTTCGAGCCCTTGCGGGGGTTGTACTCCCCGGGCCAGGCTTCTGCGAGCATTTCCGTCGTAACCACCCCCACACCATCAAGAGAGGCGATTACGGTTTCGATATGCTTTTTCAGCTTCATGTACATTTCCTGCTCTTCAGAGGTTGCCCCGGCCCTGAGGGAGCCGTAATATCTTCCGATGTATTGCCCGGCGTTGAGTGGGCTATGCGATAGGATATGGCAGTACGATGGATTCATGGGATCGGTGACATCAATGACAGATATACCATCGTCGGGGCCTGACGAATGATTTCTGCAAGCGTTCAAGGAAAGCTTGCCTCAGAGTACTTGCCATAATCAAAGCTACCACGCAAGGTGGCTGGTACACGATACCCGTCGTAAGTAGGTCCTGAGACATACGTCTCCGGGGTTGAATCCAAGTCGACGCAACAGCTGAGTCCGAGCAAGAATTGTGTGTAAGGACAAGGAGATACTGGCATCTCCCCTTCGCCGGCATCTCTACTATATTTCTTCTGCACTCCATCGAGTTCGATTTGTATGATCTCAGCGTTGTCCTTTTGCTTGGCGAGATCGATGAAGCGGCGTACAGCACGCGGTGGTAAACGACCGTAGCAACATTGGTTGTGAAAGCCACCAAGAGAACGGTAGTAGGCTTTGTTGTCGGTAGAATCGCGAGGTACGACCTTGGCTATGAGCCAGATTTGATGGCGTTGACCCATGGTAATGACTAGGGAAAAGGGGGCACTGTGGGAGGGGTAGTGGCTCCGGGATGGTTAAGCTTAATCACTCGCATCTTTCCGTAGAGTTGGCCTCACAGAGCTCCTCACAGTTGAGATTCTGCTGGGACTATGCAAAGCCAAAGGTAAAGCCAAAAGTAGCTCCAGGCCGTCACGGTGCAGGATGTGGTTCAGCAGTGATCAAGTTTGATCGACGGGCGTCTAAGTACGATCGTTCAGAGCGTGCCTTGTTGAAGTCGCCGTGGCAAAATCCATATTTCTACTGCTACTGACTCCTTGGATGTGCTACTTCGAGTCTTGGAATAAAGGGAAGTTGTGGACTCATGGTATAGTACTTACGCAACCCACACCCCTGTAATGTGTGTGGAATCCTCTGCTAAAAATGTCTGGCAAGCATTCATTCTATGTTTTCGTAGTAAGAGTCTATATCTCATATTTCTCCATACATAGGCTTACTTTAGTCGCACCAGGTTGCTACGCGTTGCATGCCATGATCAAGACAGAATAGAGATTGACCAGCGAACTGCTGCAGTGGCTCTTACTGCAGGAAATAGATCCTGCACTCTTGTTCCCCCCTATTGTCTGGTATCGCTCCTCTTCAACGCAATTCCTCGTGGAGATATCTTCTCCTGAAAGGGGAGACGAGGTCTGCGAAGATTCAGAACCTGAACAGCATGAACTGAAACCGCAGTCCCATTGCTTCTTTATAGGCTCGTCCTTGAAGTACGTACATGCCACTTGCTTCTCATGCTTCTCACCGAGGTGATGCTTTTGCCTAGGGGTTGCAAGCGTGCTACACCTCTTCTTTCGCATGCGACGGCTGTCCTTCCACAATGACCTCACACTTCTTGGGCCGGTTACTGGATTGGACGCACCGTATCACCCAAGAACCCAGAGCGTTGCCCGCCACGAATATTGTTCGAATCTCAGATCAATCAGCGCGGAATGGAATCGGTATACAGCAACTTAATTGGTGACATTATATGACAGTTTCCAACGGAGATTCTGTCATTTTCGCCATTCATCCATTCCTCGGTATGTACTCATTGGGAACGAAGCGCGCAGCGCCGTCATCGTGGTTTTGGTCTGCTCGTTCCTATGACCTCCGGCACGACTGGTCCCGATACAGTGGGTGTACCCCTATGGAAGGGCAACGTTCAGTTACCTGCCCTTCAACTTCGCATCGATTAGCAGAGGAAGTAGAACACCCACGTTGTTGCTTAGTCTGGGTACTGATCGTTGTTTAGCCTAGGGGTAGCAGCTGGGCAGTAGTATCCCACGTACCTTCTTACACGACGGCGAGCAGCGTCTTCCAAGTAGGTCCTTTGGGCAGAAGAATTCACGGTCGTGGCTCACAGGAATCGATACATGATTAATCGATCAAGCAAAAGCACTGTGCGAAAGCAGTAAGAATTGAGGAAGCGTGCCCGTCGGATTTAATCCTCAAGAGCCTAGCCTATGCCCCGATCATGTTGTGCAAGGGTTTGAGGCCCTGTGGGTATACAGGTGATCTCCCTTCACCACAATGAGCTAAATATAACTAAGAGTTCGTCCCAAGCAAGGCTACTGTGAAAACGGGAAACTTGGTTGCCAAACTCGATAGCTATCAATGGGCGCTCGCGAATCGGGTACTAGTGACCTCACCGTCGGGAAGGTCCAGAGAACGACACTGTTCGAAGCAGGCGTGAATGACATACTGAAGACACGCATAGCTATTTATCACCACGACAATGCCCCACAGCAAGAGTGGTACAACATTCACTCTACTAGTGCTAGTGAACGGTGTGAAGGGTTGTACAAACTACACGAGGACTGGTCGTGCTGTTAACTTCCGCACTGTACTTAAGGAGAGGTTCCCAATTTCATCACCGTAAGCTCTTCCACCCAGAACGCCAACTACTCGCGCTCACCGTCGTTACGAGCAGCCAAGGTACGACATTCATGCCGTGTGGTCCCTGTTCCCATCTAACCAATTTCCAATGCCCAGGTCCAAAATACAAGTTACGAAACAATGTGTGTTCTCCTTTCCCCCGTTTAGCTTCTGTCGTGACACCATGTTATGCTTGTCATCAGGTCTAACAAACCTAAGTCCGGCACTGCGACGATCTTGCTGTCAGGACCGGTTGTACCAAAGGTTAAAGGGAATGCGAGACCGAGACCTAAACCATCCCCCAGACCGTTTCCAACTACGATGCTCTGCTAGTGTAGATATCTTGCCGACTTATGTGCCCAGTGAATGATTATTAGGCGACCTAAAGCCGCGCATTGCTAATTGGTACAAATGGATCGAAGCAAGCAAACGATATCCTCGGCAAGGCGCAGCAAAGCCGCCATTTCGGCATACAATCAACGATAACCGATATAACAGTTCATCCGTGTGCCAGTTGGCAGCTGTCCGACTTATAAGTAGATGGTTCTGTTGCATCACCGAATGCCTATGATTGCGAGAAGTTACCGTGCGTTCGTCCATGAACCCTGCCCAGGTATTATAAGAATGTCGAATTCTGGAAGAGAGAAGAATCCTGCATCATATCGTCCAGTCTTCGCCCTCGTCCATACCTCGACACTACATATAGAAAATGTCAGCGAAGGTACAATCACGTCGGCGAATCCCACTGCAGCCGACGGGCGAGTCTTCTGCGTTGAATTGGGAATTATTCACCGTGTAAATGAAACTGAATGAGGGATATTTGATAGTGCTCTTAGCGCTCAGGGGACATAGTACGTACCCGCACTGGGGTGTACGGCAGCATCTAGGTCGTCGGGGACACTCTCGCGGGAGTTAGATAGAACGAATTTTCTATGGAGCGAATGTCTAACGGTGCCCCTTCCAACACGGAGCGGTGCCGGGGGTAATGGCCAATGAGAAACTCCTCCCTCCTAAGTTTAATTCAGGGGTTCTTCTAAATTGAATCACTTCCAAGTGATACAAGATGCAAGATAGAGAGGTCCGGGGAAGCCATAGCTTACTACTCGAGCGGTCTTGAGGCACGACGAAGCCTCTCTTCCACGAGACACAATGTGTGTTAGTGGCTGGATAAAGCCGATAAGGCCCAGGGGCAAGCAGCGGGAGCCAATAGACGGAGGAGATGGTTAGCAATCCATTCGGTCGCGCATTGTCTTCTTCCTTATAATGCCCAAGAACGGATCAACCTCCGCAACATGATCAAGTAGACGAGCGAGCACGAGGATTGTCAGTGTCCAGACTTGAACGGCATACGAAGCCTTGATAGATGGCCGGGGACATTCAAGATAATTAATGAACAAGTGACAGCGCCCAGCCACGAAAAGATCCCCAACATATCACCGCATCGAGATGGAAGAGAGCAAACCAGACCGCCAGTTTGAGTTTGGCGAATAGAGAGGATTGACGATTACATAACACTGACCCAAGAACATGAATAGTGATCGTCCCTGCCAGCACGATCACACTCGGCGTCCCTGTTTGACGGAGATACGGACGGACCCTCATGGGACTGGAGCTGAACCAAGACCACCATCTCCGAGTAAGTTCAGCTTCAAGCGGCCCATGAGGCTACCAAACGGCCAAGCTACTGTCTGAAGCGAACTCGGACTCGAGTATCATACACCGTGAGCGAGTCCGCCCTCCCTGCATCGGATATTCAGCCGCTGAATTACGGTAAAGGAGATTAGGAGGGGGGAAAGCCCTCTGATGTTGCATCATTTGCTTCTCGACTACCAACTGTCGACCAGCCTTCTTTGACAATCTACGGCATGGAATTTGTTCCAAACATCTGGCAAAATGATGTTTCTGCCACTTCTGCTTCTTTCGCGACATAAGGCCCAGATTTGATCTCCCCCGGAATCCAGCGACTCTCATCGGCAAACTCTGGGATTCACCATGCTATCTGTGTTTCTATATAATGTCACTTTCATTCCGAGAGTCAGCGGCCCACCACGCTCTTCGTCCGTTGCCCCGACAATTGGTCATCGCTATCGATAGCGTCACATCATGAAGCCTGTCGCATTCTTCCGTGGTGGCTGGCGTAAGAAAGCGAGCAAGTCCCCGCCCCCTTCTTCCTCCTCTTCTCCTTCTAGCACAACTTCGGTATACTCCTCTTCAGCAGCAACATACAGTACAGCGTCAATGGTGCACATGCAAACACAGTCCGAGACAGGAAGCCTATGGTTCCCTCGCGCGCCAGTACACGATGACGCCCGTAGTGAACTATACTACCTACAGGATAAAAACAAGTTCGCCACCATGCCTTATCGTCAACGTACGAAATCAGCAAGTGTTATAGGTTCTGTGAGTAACATGTCACTTTCGAATCTGTGTTTCCAGCTGACTCGATTCAATCCTCAGGGTTTCAATACAGAGCATTCCGGGGCGCCGCCAGTGCCCTCCAAGCCACGCCGACCTCGCCGACCACCTCCGCTTGATCTATCTTCGGAGACGAGCCGGAATCTAGTTGAAGACAGCGAGGATTCCGACGTTACACCGAGAGCGCCTTTCACTGCGCCGTTGGTCTTGAAGAAGAAAGCGAGCGCCCATAGACATGCCCCGCGACCAGTTCGTACCGACGCAGAGCTCGATGGCGTATGGCACGGATTCCTGGCCGAGCTTGAAGAAGACTTTGATTTCCTAGATACAGCCGAGCCCCGAAAGGGTGGGACGTCGCACCGTAGATGCTTCTCGAGGCGATACAACGACTCCCACCCCCATCTGATGGATGGCGAAGACTCGCGACCCCATACATCTCCTAAATTCGACGAATTATCCCAACTATACTCGCCTCCTTCTTATCAGCCTACTTTCTCTCGGTCTATGTCGAATCTGTCGAACTCTGGCAAGGACCCGACTAGATGGAACCATCATCGCCAGCCGAAGAGAGTAATAGCAGAAGATCCACTATCCCTCTTCCCCGCTCCTCCGCCGCTCAATATTCGCAGAGGCCGGACCGCCCCAACGCCATTGGTATTGAACCCGACACCAAGTATCGCACAACTTCCGTCATCTCCAGCAATGAGTACCCCCGATACGACACCTGTTGCGACTCCAACGACACCGAAATTCTGCCAGTCCCCCGCTACTCGCGACGGCTCCACATTCCCTGTATCCATTCTCAAGAAGCGCTCCCTTACTTCCAACCAGAAGACTGAACCTCTTTCGCCCAGCCCAAGCAACAATTCATTCGTCTATGCATCTTCTTCGGCTTCAATTTCAGGTTTCCCATCGTCTACTCATATACAATTACCACCTGCTCGACCTCTACGCCCGACCCAATCAGCCTCACACATTCGTGTGAAGAACCCCGCAGCGCATAAGGCAACTTTCAGTGATTCGCAAGCCATGGACATGTACGCCGGTCGAACCCATCCAGCAATGCGAAACGCTATACCACCAAGTACCCACGCAGGTTCTCAGCTATCATACTTGGTTAGTATTTTCAATTGAATCATTCCGTCGGAGACTAATGATTCTTGTTTGACAGCAATCCATGGGACGAGCCCGACCAGTACGAACTCCTATACGTTCTCTTCCCGAAGGACAAGCCGTTTAGAGTGCTTGAGTATCTGAATACCCCCATGCTTTTGGTAGGCCTTTGGTAGGCCTCAAGGACTCTTGTAAATCGCGCCCATGCTTTCTTCACATCACCTTTCCGACGGATGTATGGACTTTGTGGAGCAAACGGACATACATACATACAACCTGTCATTTTCTGATTGCATCCCTCGTTCATTTTCGCTTCTTCTCTATATGAAGAGTGTTCCTAATGTGTACTCGCTATATTAAACATGCTCGTGAACGAAGCAATTTTGTAAAGCACTGTTATAGACGCACGTAGCAATGTATTTAAAGGTATATATATATCGATGTATCATCACTTGGGCCCCATCATTACGATACCCGTTGAAAAATAAGATGCAATTCATACATCCATGTCGCCGACGTCTGTGCGCTGTCATTTCCTCATGACCCAGGAACAGAAAGAGTCTGGCCTCTCGTGGAACCTCAACAGAGAGACAGCTAACGTTCTTTTCTGCTTTCTGCGATCACAGCTGTCGGGCGGGTTCCCGTGCCTGTTGAAGTCGTGGCTGATGTCTGATCCTCCAAAACTGAAGCGATGATATAGGAAATGAGGACCACATTGGCGGCCACAACAGCGGTTATGGCTGCGTATGTTGCATTACCTGTGCAAGAGTGAGAAAGGTGTTTCTGTGGTGGAATCGTCGTTCATACCTTCCCAGACATAGTGCAATGAACCAAAGTAGGAAGTAATTGGCACCACTCCGAGTGCAATGCTGAAAATGCCGAGTTTGAAAAGGGTGCCGCTACTGGAAATTTGCACGGTTAGAATGGCAGACAAAATAAGTCAGCGTCAACGTTACCCTGCGGTAAGTTGGCGATTCACCGTGGCGACCGCCTTTTGTTCGCTCATGTTCGTCGAAAGGAAAGCTCGTGACGGGCGTCTAAGACCATTGCAGTTGCCCGAGCGCTCAACGGAGGTTGCTTCCATAACGCACCGAACGACAGCCACACCGTCTTCATCGTGATCCACCACCATGGCGGAACGAAATACCTCGACGACAAGCCTCAAGCCTGCCTCATCTCCGACAGTCGAACGCGACTTGAAGGCGGTCACCGCGGTGCCAGATCATACCTCCTGGTGGAACTTGACCACCTCGGAATGGCACATCTTGTTTGCATCTACGTGTCTCAAGATGCTGCTGTACCCAGCATAGTGAGCTCTGCAGAATAGTTCTGGCTTCACGAGCTCAGAATGTTTCAGCCGCTCGACAGACTTCGAGGTCCACAGAAATTGGTTAGCCATCACCCATTCATTACCGATATCAGAATGGTACTACGACGTGAGTTGCCAGGAATATTGCTCCTACATTCTATGTTCTAGCTCAATAATGATGATAGGCAACTTCTGAATGGAGTGAGTGAGTGATGTCCATTCAAATGCAACTTTGGCTCATCCCCCTTGCGACCCCATCAGCGCTCGACTATCCTCCATTCTTTGCGTACTTCGAAAAGGTTCTTTCAATACCGGCGTATTTCATTGACCCAAGAATTGTCGACCTCAAGAATCTCAACTATGACGCGTGGTCGGTCGTAGCGTATCAACGAACCACAGTTATAATTACGGAATTAGTTCTGGGCGCCGTACTCGTGAGGTAAGTTGTGGCGCGTCCGTCCCAATAAGTTACGCTTCCAATCTATTCAGATTTATCCGCAATTCTGTCGATACTCCTTCGCAACGCATCATATCGGCCTCACTGTTTCTTCACCCCGGTTTCCTTATCGTGGATCACATACATTTCCAGTACAACGGCTTCATGTTCGGCATACTTCTTTGGTCGATTCTGATGGCGAGAGAGGTAAGTATACAGTATAGCCTCGGATGTCTTTCCTCATGTTCGCGATGTATAGGGCAGGAAACTAGCTAGTGGGATCATATTTGCCGTGCTACTCAACTTCAAGCACATCTACATGTATCTTGCCGTAAAGCCTATTCTCTTCTTGCAGCATCATCCTTCTAACCGCGATAACAGCCCGCTTACTTTGTTTTTCTTCTGCGTTCCTTCTGTATCTCGCCTTCGGGTCAAGTTCAGATCAAGAACTTTCTCTCCCTAGCGAATGCCGTGATCGCTGTGTTTCTCCTGTCATTAGGACCATTTGTCCTGCTAGGCCAGGTTCCGCAGCTTCTCTCTAGACTCTTCCCGTTTACCCGCGGGTTGAATCATGCGTATTGGGCTCCGAACTTCTGGGCGCTGGTCACTGCTGCCGACCGTGTACTTCTCCGATGTACGTCCAGGCCGGCAGCAACTTAACTAGCTGACATCGCCGCTGTGTAGATGTCACACGAACTGGTGCTAATGTCGCCGTCAATGTTGCCGGTGTGTCTTCAACGTCCAGGGGCCTGGTAGGCGATACAGTCTTCGCTGTTGTCCCTACCGTCCTGCCGATACATACATTCGCCATTACGATTGGCTTTCAAACGGCAAGTTCTTCCTTTGTCGGCAAATGCTGGTCGCTAACGCCACTGCTAGATTATCCTGGTTAAGTTATGGATGAACCCGACATACAAGTCGTTCCTGACAGCTCTGACGCTGTGTGGGTATGCATCATTCTTGTTCGGATGGCACGTCCACGAAAAGGCGGTCCTGCTTGTTCTTGTGCCGCTAAGGTCTGATAATCAGATTCCCGTTCCGGAACCGCGCTGAACCTTGATGAATCTCTAGCTTGCTCGCAGCTGAAAGGCAAGCCTACTTCCGGACTTATATCCTCGCAAGTGTTGCGGGCATATTCTCCTTATTCCCCCTGATTTTTACACCCGCCGGTGCGTTTTAACCTGCTTGTCGCTTAGTCCGAAAACGTTAAACTGAGCCGGATTAGAATCGGTTGTGAAAGTCATTTATTCTGCGATCTGGCTTGCTTTCGTTTACAAGTCGCTGAGCCACCAAGTCTACGAGTGAGAGTTTGCCGTGCTACCCCCAGGAACAAAGATTGACCCCGCACCGTTAACAGATTCCCAAAGTCCTTATCGTATGTCTTTATAGACACCTTTGAAAAGCTGTACCTCCTTGGCTTCCCTATTCTTCTTGTCTTCGTGTCGCTTTTTCCCTTGGTAGTTCAACATCGCTCGACCTCCTCGGCCTGCACAACGTCCCAGAACTCCGCTGAATGCCAGGAGCCGAATTCAAGCGCAAACGCTTCTAGGTTAGAGCAGATGGAATTCTTACCGCTAATGCTCACGAGCGTATACTGCGCCTTGGGTTTGGTGTGGGGTTTTTGTCGGCTAACCTTCATTTATATGAAGAACGAATCCACATACCAAGGGCAGTTGAATAGGATTTAGCGGACATCCTATGATTGGGATATTTATTTTCATCACAATGGTACATACAGCATTCGGTTGATATATACATCACGCATCATACTGTCGGGGATCACCAATCATTTCTTTGCGATATGTACCACTGAGAAATGATTAGCAGGGGTGACGCTCGTAAAGGTAGTTCTTACCATCTTCGTCCTCGAGCACATGTTCCAGCCCGACCTTCTGCCCGCGAGAATGTTTCGCACTGGCACCCCAAACAATAGCACTGGGTAAGAAGTTGATCAGTCAGCCGCTTGGCATCGATCCGGCGGACGGATATACACTCACTACTTCAGCTGTTTCGCTATTTCCTTGTGAATGGCGTTACAGAAGTCCTCTACGGTGCACTTGCCCCTTCTGAGAACGACGGGCTGCGTATAATCGGGCGCGAGACCGCGGGGCTTCGTGTATACGCGGACCAGATCGAGAGTCTCCCACATTTTCTCCATGAGCTCGTCAACGTTTAGCCATTCCCGCGATGAGATGGGGACGCTCATGGGGATTTTGTATCTATGATGGAGGCTGAGTGCTATCAACGCGGTGCTGTAAGGGAGCTACTAACAGAAGGTCGAGTTCTTCTATTGATATGGCGTCGATCTGGTTGCTGAGAGTTAACCTCGAATCAGACGAAATTGGATGGATTGGTGTTACCTTGTTTAGGATCTGGGCGGGGATCAGTGAAAGCCATAGAAGGTAGAATTGGGATGACTTACATAGAGAGCTGGAATGTATACTCTATAGAGGATGAACGTTATTTCTTTGGTGTTCATCGATCATCACTCACCTGTTCCCCTCGATGACATCGACTAGATCATCAGCGGTCGCATTCGGTTCTCGAATGGCAACATCGGCGTTATTAATACGATATTCACTGAGGATCGCCCGTATTTCATCTTGATCGATATTTGTTAGAGGGACTGTATTTGTGATAGCGATTCCACCCTTCTCTTTCCTACGGACGTTGATCGCAGGCGGCCGTTTGTTCAGGCGGATACCGAAACCTTCGAGTTCACTTTCGATTATCTTCTTGTCGCCCAAAGGTTTCAGAACATCGAGGACGATAAATATCAGGTTACAGGTTCGTGCAACTATATCCTATGGTGAAAGGTTGTGGAGGAATCAGGGATCGTCGAAGCTTACCAGCGATAACTATAGGGCTGGTGGGTAAATCATATTTCTTTGCAGCGATGAGATCAAGGCGCACCTTGCTTTCCACGACCACGGCCCTCAGCAGCACCTTCGATAATACCAGCTGAAACCTAATCTAGCTTGATGAAATGTGGAAGGCAGAAGGCGAATATACGCACGCAAGTCCAATATTTGAATAGGTGCGCCATGGACCTTCAGTGTACCGGGTACAGTAGTGAGTGTTGTGAAATCGATCTCCGAGACCTCCGAGTGCGTCCCAGTTAACTTGGACATCAGAGTCGACTGGTAGTAGAATGATCAGCACATATCGATGCCTGCGACAATGCTGCGCACCTTTCCAACAGATGGAAACCCTACGAATCCGACGGATGCTATACCTGTCCGAGCGACATCGAAACCAAGGCCGCCCCCGCCCCCACCCCCTCCGCTGGACGGCGAGATGAGCTCGCGCCGTAGTTTGGCAAGCTTCGCTTTCAACTGGCCAAGATGAAAACTCGTGGCCTTGTTCTTTTGGGCTAGACGTTATCAATGAGTGCACCGTTTAACGGGTTCGCGGTGTTCATTACTTTTGGCCTAAGCGAAAATCAGGGATCGTGTTTAGAAGACTAGTTTGATCACTTACCATCTCATCTTCGATTTCCTGAACGCAAACACCTCCTCAACAATGCATTTCTCGAGACAATTGGAGGCCCACCTTTATTTTCTGCACGGTGGTCATTGTTGCAGGTTTGAGGTTGCTCGGGAGTTGCCGCGTGTGATTGTTTCAAGCGCTCATTTGGTTCTTGGCTGTTTGTGCCCCGCCATCGCTCGTTCTTGGTCCCCCTTCCGCTCACTCGCTCGCTGCTGCTGCCTTCATTTCAGGTCCTCACCCCAGTCACTCTCTTCACAAACCGCATGCTGCCTGGCTGGACCCAGTTCCCCCGCCAAATTTGACCACGTCGCCATCACGTTGCTGCCAGCGACAACAAAGCCCATAACAACTTCCATTCACCACCTTTCCTTTTCAACTTGAACCGCTACCATGTCCTGCTGCGGTGGTGCCAAGTGGAAGCGCGAGGAGGTCGCTGACCACAAGGCGAGTACCCATCGTTCTCGCTCGCTCGCGAATTAACACCTTTGGCGGGCAGTTTGACTTTGTCGACACGCGAGAGTTCACCGACAATGGTTTCATGATGCGCATGAAGTAAGTCGACAAGACTGTATTTGAAATGGCGTGGCGTATCTGATCTTCGGCACTCGCAGATACCTTTGGCTCTACATCATCGTCCTCAAGTCCTTCCTCGTCTATATCTCTGATATATCGACAGCAATTACTATGTTAACCACAACACCTTGGACGAAGGAAATCTTTGATAAATGTGAGGAGATCGAAGAGTGTATATCAATAAAGTTCGATGTCACGAAGTACCTGTTCTTGGGGTGCATCATATTCTCGTTTTTATTGGTGAGACTCATTCCCTTCTCACGGAAAACGACTGACATCCTCGCAGCTGGCGTACGAGTCGCGTAAAGCGAAGAAAATCATTGCGAGTCGAGATATCTCCTTTGCCTTCACCAACGTCCTTGCCAACAACTACTACTCTCTCCGTAAGTCCTAGGATCACTGCCTTATTGTGCAGACCATGAAACTTCTTCCCCTAGGCTCTTATGATCATTTCTGCTTCTTCGATCACATCAGCAACTCTACGAAGACAAGCGATGACTTTGCTTTCTTTGTCTTCTTTACCTTCAAGAGTATGTCCCACCGCGTCTCCGTTTGGCTTATTAGCTGACATCACGTCCGCCAGGTTGGAAGCGCTTACTTCTCGCCGATGGACCTCGTCAATCCATTAATGCTCTGACTCTCTACGCTATATTCCTTTCAAGAAGAGGTGATGGCAGGGATTGGTGGGATGTGCCGCGATACTTCGCAGACAACAGTTTGTCTACCTCGGCGCTGACGATCTCCACATTTTTCACTGTTACCGTTTTCGCTGGTTCATTGCTTCTCCTCATCGTGGCTGGCATCTGCTACGTTCCCCTCCTTATGCACATCCGAGGAAACTTGAAGGAATACTGTTGCCACAAGGTCGATAAGGTATGTTGTGACATTGCTGTTCTTATGTCCGTCTTTCTCACCTGTTTTCCAGCGCATCGACGATGTCATCAAACGCAGGAACCAGCAGCGTCTCAAGGAGGCTTCCAAGCAAGCCCAGCGAGAGGCCATGGGCGACTATTCTCACCTCAAGAACAAGAAAGGAGAAGTGGTGAAGCCACTCCCCCAACCCACTCTCCCAAACCTTTCCGTCGACGACGACTTCGACGACGCATCATCCATGCATACCAGGGTTGCTCCCCCCAGTACCTATACCCGACAGAACAACGACTACTACTATGCGGACAAGGCGAACGCCGAATATCCACCTATGCCTGCCTACAATCAGTACTCTCAGCAGCAATACGGTGGGGCTTACGGACAATATAACCCGTCGCAAGCTACGCTCGCGCAGGATAGCTCACCGTATATCGTCGACGATGCTGATAGCACTGCGCACCTTTCAACGTCTGCGGCACCGATGGCGTACTCGCAGAACCATGCAGGCTATGATTCTAGCGACGCATATTACAGGCGCGCCGCCTCCACGCCCGCCAACGACCCATCTGCATATCAGAGATCTGAAGGACTGGCGTACGAGTACCCCAGTCCCAACCCAAGTGCTCAATATGACCAGAGACAAGACTATGGTGCATACAATGCAGCAGCACCACACGCCCAATCACGGCATCATTACGGGCAAAGTGGCGGCCAAGGATACGATGGTTATGCTCGTGGTATATAGTCGCTTCTTATTTTCTTTCCCCTTCGTTGTACGATGCATTTATTATTGCCTGATGATAGACATTTTCTTTTTCTTGAACTACACTTTACCTGCCGATTTCTGGTTCTTCTGTGGGGCAAAGCTTGTATGTATCATAGCAGAATAGATCCAGTTAATCTCCATAAGATACTCTATATTATATCCCATAATATGGATTGTCCTCAACCGATCCATTTATCCAAATGAAACTAAATAAGATAAAGTACCCAGGCACACTCATGAGAACTTCTCCCAAACGATGACGCCAATAAGGAGAACAAGAACAGTAATGATAGCGGCGGTGACGAGACGTTGTTGGTACATTCTGGATCATCATATGAAACTATGAGACATGGGTTCGTATCACGCGATGAAATGCAAAGAGTACTTACCGCCTGATCATCTTCTTCAACGTACCGGACGCACGGTCTATTGCACTATCCGCCGTGTATAGCTAAGGATGTAACCTGAATGAATGGTCGGTCGGAGAGGTAGAATAGCAATGCATACCGTATTTCTTGAATTCTCTATCTGTTCCCGCTGCGTCCTCAGGTTCATCAGGATCTCCGCTCCCTGGTCCTCCGTCTCCAACGCAATACGATGTGACTCTTGCAGCCGCTTAGAACCATCCTCCAGCAAGGATGTACCGGCAAGCAGTCGTGAACGGTCGCTGTTATCTGAGTACGGGTCATCTGAGGAAGAGAACCCCCCAGCTTTGGAGGAGAAGAGGTCCGATCGGGCCACTTGGGCTTGCGAGTCTTTGAAGAGCTTCTTGTACCGCGCAAGGTCTGCTTTCGCTGTGCGCAAGCGGGATTGATACTGCGCTCGGATAGACTGAGGGATTCCTTGGATCTCTATTTCCATTTGAGATACCTGTGAACGGTCCAACGAATGAGCATGAGTCCCAATCAATTTGGCTGCGACTTGCCATTTCGTCAGCCTCGTCGAGCTCCATCTCCACTCTTCGCAGGGACGCCTTTCGTTGGTCTGTGTGCCCGCTTTGTCAGTTACCTCCCTGCCATAAACAGCTGAGCACGCACCTGCTGGCTCTTCGGCATTACCCTCGAGTTTCGGTCGAATCGTCTCAATGAATTGCTGGAAGTCCTGCTCGTAAGAGTCAAACAGCGTCGTCGGCGAGTTGTTCATCTTAAATCCTTTGAAAGGGTGTCGGTTTCGCTTGGAGATATGTCGGGGACTCGGAGGGTCGTGGTGGTTCGGCGTCAAGGATGGTGTTATGATTCCGCTGCGGGGACGGCAGGCACGACGCTGATTATTGCCATTTTTGGAATCAGGTCTCCTTACCGACAACCATGTCCGCCTCAGAGTGCGTTTCCCAAATTCGCATCTTGGTGTTCTACATAATGCTGATTTAAAGAATGAAGGGTATCACTGTACTTGGACCCGCAGATAAGAGACTGGGTGCTCTTCCCAATCACTCTGGTTATGGTACGCCACGCGTCCTCGACACTGATATTCACTGGATTGGATGGCCGTATAGATTCTAGTGGGAATTCTGCGACACTATGTTGTGATACTTCTCCAGTCGACACCACAAAAGCTCAGTAGAGCTGCTCTGCGAGAACAGTGACGTTCCACTTGCTCTGGTTTCAAAGACTATGCACTGACGCGAACATTGCAGGCGAGCACTAACGAGGTCGCAAATCCTAAGAGCGACGTCAACGAAATCACTTCTTCCTCCGTCCTACTACACTTCGATATCCCGGCACCTCTCCCAAGCATTCGAGTCGGGCAAATACCTTAAGGATGGACCACCGAAACCCGGGGACGCGCCCGCTTCACCTCTCAACCCCATGACGGACCCCGCTGCAATGGACGGGATGATGGCTGGTATGAAAACGCAAATGGTGATGATGGTACCGCAGATGGTTATTATGGGATGGATAAACTTTTTCTTCCAAGGTTTCGTGCTAAGTGAGTGTACTCCAAAAAGCTCTTCATGAAACGAACTCACTCAGCATATTAACTCCAACTTGAACTCAGTCAAACTCCCCTTCCCTCTGACGCTGGGCTTCAAGTCCATGCTCCAACGTGGTATCGAGACGCCTGAGATGGACGTGCGCTGGGTGTCTTCGCTGTCTTGGTATTTTCTTAACTTCTTTGGGCTTAACGGACTTTATCGCCTGATTCTGGGCGGCGAAAATGGTGAGCGCTGAGCGTCATTCATCCGCCATGCTTCCGCTGGAGCTCATGGCGTTCATTGATCGTAGCGGCCGACTCTTCGCGTGATATGATGGCCACGCCGTTCAACACGACGGCAGCTGCGGGTCCCGGGCAGGATTTCGCGAAATTATTCAAGGCTGAGCGCGATAACCTCGAGCTCGCGGAGGGGCTGTATTCTTGGGCCGGGGCGGGAGTAGAGGAACGCGTGCTCCGTAAATACGGCAAACTACCTCCACAATAATCATCTAGATGCCCCGTTGGAATAATTATCGTTATTTCTACTACTTGATACAGCAGAGAACTGATGGAGCGAATTTATGTATACATGAGTTATTTAGTGACTGCAGCAAGAACTCGCCCGTATCGTATGCATGCTACCTACTTACCAGATTATTTACCGCGTTTAAGGAAATCACAGATCCAAGCGCCCATGAGGAAGAGTGGTATAAGTACAGGAAAGGAAACTCTACAGCATTCACTATACGAGGCCGTCATACAGTGACAAGGCCTAGGGACACCATCAGCGCTAAAGTGACGAAGTATGGAGGAGTCATACCTGTACTATCGTAGGATCTTGCTTGCTGCCTTCCACGAATTCGTCGTATGTTAGTTTGGCGTCTTTATCGCGATCCATATTTCTAAAGATCTTGTCCACTCGCTGGGGAACATCAGCATTGATGTGGGGACCGCGCGACTGCGACTTACCTTCTCGGGCGTGTCCTCGTCGGCGGGAAGTTTCACCATCTCTCCCGTCATCTTGTAGATCGCCTGTACTATTTGCAGCATTTCATCATAAGTGATTGTGCCGTCCTTGTCAATGTCATATAGCTGGAAGGCCCCTGAATGGAATATTATGAGCTTTGCAGATCTCTCCACTCCGTCGGCATGGAACATACATTTGAGCTTCTCATCTAACCGACCGCGGCTGGTCACGCTCAGGGCACAGATGAACTCCTTGAAGTCTATTGTGCCATTCTTGTTCTCGTCGAAGACATTGAACACATAGTCGGCAAACTCGGCGGGGTCACCGAAGGGGAAGAACTGCTTGTATATTCTGCCAAACTCCGTCTTGTCAAGCTGGCCTGATGGACAGTCCTTGCGGAAGCCCTTGTACCTGTGGTAAACTGGGATGAGAAGGGGGCGATGTGAAGGGATGGAATTTAATCACCATTGCTGTAGCTCCTTCTTGTCAACTAGTAGGGGGATCGTGAGGGGGGACTCTTGGAGAATTCACGAATCACATACAATAAGTGTTCTTCTGGAGATCGGCTAGTTGCTCTGGCGAGAGTTTGCTCTGTGACTTGCCCATTGCGACGGACTTGGATGGTGGTGTGGGATGACTGAAGCTGGATCGAGTTTGCCTGTAAATATACGCGGCCCGATCAGCAGTGTACAGCATTGAGATAAAATTATTATTATTTCTGCTATGTCAGAGATTCGAGTTGTGAGTTATCTGCCATGCGTCGCGTCGTGCCCATCGTTGCCCATGATTCCAAGCGTCGACCTGCAATCGCATCTTGATTGTCGACCACCATCATCTCCATGTCCCAGAGCTCCCCCAAATCGCATGCCACGCCTAAACCTCCCGATCAGAGGTAGGGAACCACATGCCGGTTTCAGGCCTTCTGTGTGCAAGTTCTCTCCAGTACAAATACGCATCCACCCCCTTTTGGTGCTCTCCGCTCACCGCCATCCAAGCCAGGCGACCAATTCTCAGTGGAGCTAGCTCAAATGTGCTACGCTAATGGCTCAATCGATCAGGCAGTCAATGTCTGTCCAATGTGCAAAGTCTTTCCAAACACTAGGTACGTGCATCACTTCGCCACTGTCCTGAAATATACACCTCATTCCGGCCACCAATTCATAGATGTCCACACGTCCGAGAAGTGTGCAGTAACAGGACAAATCACCCTCGAGCTGATGTGGTCTGTCTAAAGAATGCTGAAGGTAAGCATCTTATCAGTGGCCTAAAGCCTTTTGCCGCCAACTCACACAAATCTAAGTCGACTCATTCAATGGATGTGGGTTCTGCAAGGTGAGGCTCTTCACATTCTTGACAGCACGTCCTGCATCTGACGGTGATCCATCAGTGGGCACGCACTAACCCCCCTGCGAAATTGGCCGGTTATAATAATCCTGGTTGGCCTGGTTGCTGCCGTCCCCCAGGACCCAACGAGTTTAAGATGATTCAAGCAGCCGACTGGATGGCAGTTAGCAAGGTCCACCACATTCCAATCCCATCTGAGGTCAAGGCAGCCTTTGACGGCTTTGCATCTCGGGGTAGCCCGACGCCTCCATCAAAGACGCCCACAATTGGACGCGGTGCTAGCGGCCGCTCCGCTATGCCTTTATTAGACAGACGCAATAGTGGGAACACCAGTCCATCCAACAAGACACCCTCAAAGTCGTCCACTATGGCTATACCGTCAAAGGGTCGTTCGGGTGGCAGCCCGCAGCAAGCCGTCTCAGCGCTCTTAAGAACTTCGAGTGGCAACCCAATCTCCACCTCTGTCCCTTCTCCGTCCAACCTTGACTTCCAACGTCGCCTGAACCTGAATGATGCCGGGGAACGTCGCATCGAGACTTCGCAGTCCGCTCACTCGTCACCGAATCGCAAACACCTTGATCTGGACGGTACCCCAAACGTCCACCGGCGAAGTGCTTCGAGCCGTCCCCACATCAATGCGGCATCATATTCTCCGACCCCGTCTCACGGTACCGCACCGGGCCTCCTACCTCAGCCTTCAGATGCTTCGCTCAGACGCCGAGCATCCGTTTCAAACTCCAACCCTATATCAAGCGCAGTCCCTGGCTCACGCACGGACAGGTCACCCCCAACATCAGCTCCTCGGAATAGCGCTGCTAAGCGAGAGAACATCATTTCAAGCGCTTCGAGTAACAGCGGGAGCGAAGGGAGCGGCTCCATGTCGGATAATACAGTGACATCGGATGGGGGATTCACTGATTATCTATCAGATGAGTCAGAAGCTGAGTTGCAGCGTCAGGCCGAAGCTAGGGCAGCGGTGCTCGCCCAAAATGCTGCAGAGGAGTTGGAATTCAAGGCTGCGCGACAACAGCTTGCTCATGTCGACCTTCGGCCACCTAAATCTTGGAATGCTACGAAGGAGGCCAACAGTGGCTCCATAAGACTGCACCCAACATCTCATTATGCTGCCCCTCCCTATGCTGGAATATTCTCTGTTCCAAATACTGCTTCACCTCGGGGTTAGGTCTGCTTCATATATGTATGGTATACAATGTCTGTATGTATGATATCCAAAGTCACTTGTAGGAATGCGCCACGTATATATTGTTCAACTCTTCACTACATACAGGAATCCTAGCTTATCTATATCTCAATTTCGGGTTTCGTTCAACTGGCATTTCTGAGCATAGGACACTCATTGGAAACTTGGTACGATTTCGGTACGCACGGAATAAAGATATTATGGTATACAGTGTACAAGGGAGCTAGCTAGTCTAACAGATGTTTGATGGTTGATGAAGCTTTGTAGTATGGAAACAGGGGGAAGCATAATGCGTGACATGAACGATGCATGAAATATAAATCCAGTAAAGATGACAAAAAGAGACAAATGTACGGTTAGAAGTCCTCGTCCAAGACGCTGAGGAGAAATTCTCAGTAAGCAGGACTCGGAGCACACTGTGAGGACTTACAAAACTTTAGCCGATGACGTGGCTGACTCATTGGCACCCGAGTGGTTGACGTTAGCCTTTGAGTAGTCAGAGACGCGCTTTTCGAAGAAGTTCGTCTTGCCCTGCAGCGAGATCATGTCCATGAAATCGAAGGGGTTGGTTGAATTGTACACCTTGTCGTTGCCAAGGGATACAAGGAGACGATCAGCCACGAATTCAATGTACTGGCACATGAGCTTCGCGTTCATGCCGATGAGCGAGACAGGGAGAGCGTCTATAGGGGGACAATTGAGAACATATTCCACGTTCAGACCCGGGGTAAGTACCTGTTAGGAACTCTTGCTCGATGGAGACGGCTTCGGTGATGAGGCGCTTCACAACGTCGGGATGGGGTCTGCGGCGGAGATGGCTGAAAAGTAGGCAAGCAAAGTCGGTGTGCATGCCCTCGTCACGACTGATGAGCTCGTTGGAGAAAGTAAGACCAGGCATAAGACCGCGCTTCTTTAACCAGAAGATAGAGGCGAATGAACCGGAGAAGAAGATACCCTCGACAGCGGCGAAGGCAACGAGACGCTCAGCAAATGTCGATTGCTGGTCTGAAATCCATCGAAGAGCCCACTCGGCCTTGCGCTTGATACAGGGGATAGTTTCGATAGCGTCAAAGAGGTAGTCGCGCTCGGCAATATCCTTGATGTAGGTGTCGATCAACAATGAATAGGTCTCAGAGTGGATGTTCTCCATCATTATCTGGAAACCGTAGAAGCAGCGAGCCTCAGCGACTTGCACTTCGTTCGAGAAACGTTCGACGAGGTTTTCGTTGACAATGCCATCCGAAGCGGCGAAGAAGGCGAGGACGTGAGAGATGAAGTGACGCTCGCCATCGTTCAGCTTGTTTGTCCAGTCATGGATATCCTTAGAGAGATCCATCTCCTCAGCAGTCCAGAAGGAAGCCTCAGCTTTCTTGTACATTTGCCATATCTGCAGAGTGTTATTATCGTTGAATCGTCGCGACGCGCTGCAACCTTCGTACCTCGTTGTATTGGATAGGGAAGAGCACAAAACGACGCCTTGACTCCTTAAGGAGGGGCTCCTCGCCTAAGGCAAGATTAGACGTGTCGAAGAAAATTTCAACTATACAAAACTCACTCTCGGGAAGCTCTATATCACCGACAAACTTCTTCCTTAGCTCCTCTAGGCTCTCGCCAAGGAATGTCTCATCAAGTTCATCCTCCTCGTCACCAACTGTGTCAGGTGAAGTTGAACGCTTTTTGTCATCGACGAGGAGGGTGGCCTTCTTAGCGGAAGGCTTAGTTGGTGACTCTAGCGAGAAAGCCGCAAGAGCAGAAGCTGCCTGTAGATACCCAAACGGTTAAGCGAGAGTCACGACGCGTTCAATATCGTTCGCGACGAACCTTTTTGCTAGGTGTCGCCTCGGGAGTAGATGCGCGGAAGGTTAAGGCAGACATCGTTGATAGCAACGCGTAAATTAATAGGGCTAAGCGGGTCTGAGGGTGGCGGGGATGGTGGTGGTTGGAGAATGGAAATCTCTGCCGGAGAACCTCAGGATTTTATAAGTTTCGGGTGTGGACGTGTTTGGTTCCATATTCAACAAACGAGAATCGCGTGACCGCGACGCGCTCATTAACAGCTGTGACTCACCGCGATGTCACATGCGTCGCGTAGCCCCTAATCGAGTAACTGTAGTCAGCTTGGAGCATGAAGGCCACTGAGACGCTTTTTCGGTCTTTTCTCTCATCTTCACGGCTGGCTACCGACTCCTAATTCTTGTAAAATGTCTTTTTCAACGCAGGGAAGTGTGAGTACAATGTGGATGCCTCGAATCAGAGCCCGATAGCTGATTGTCCACCTTTTAGAGGGCCAATGTTTGTGCAGAGTCCACAAACGGGGTGGTATCTTTTAATGGCACCAAAGATAGTGATCTGGCGGCGAAGAAGCTCTTGGCCCGCAAGGAGTGCCACGACCACCGTCTACTTACAGGAGATGTGGATCCTGGCACAGAAGGTACAAGCACCAGGTTTGCTAATCGGAAGCAAACGTCCCTGACTCATGTCTAGATGACGAACCCTTGCTGAAAGAATCTACACGACGCTTTGTACTATTCCCTATACAGTATACAGAGGTATGTCTCGCCACTTGACTACTGCCTAAAACATACTGAAACCTCCAAGATATGGCAGATGTACAAGCAGGCGCAAGCTTCTTTTTGGACCGTCGAAGAGATTGATCTCTCTAAAGACTGGATGGACTGGAATCTTCGATTAACCGACGATGAACGATTCTTCATCTCCCGCATCCTCGCCTTCTTCGCGGCGTCGGATGGCATCGTCAATGAGAACCTTGTTGAACGCTTCTCAAGCGAAGTCCAAGTCGCAGAAGCGCGCTGTTTCTACGGATTCCAAATAATGATGGAAAATATACATTCGGAGACCTATTCTATGCTCATTGATACCTATATCAAAGAGCCGAATGAACGCCAGCACCTATTCGATGCCATCGAAACTATACCATGTATCAAGCAAAAGGCAGAATGGGCTCTCCGATGGATAGAAGACAAACGATCTTCATTCGCTGTACGCCTCGTTGCATTCGCTGCCGTAGAGGGCATATTCTTTTCTGGATCGTTCGCTTCAATATTTTGGCTCAAGAAGCGTGGATTACTACCTGGCCTTACCTTCTCCAATGAGCTCATCTGTAGAGATGAGGGCATGCACACCGAATTCGCTTGCCTCTTGTTTACTCACCTGAAACGTCGACCACATCCAGACACCATCGAACGCATCATCACTGAGGCCGTCGACATTGAAAAGGTGTTCTTAACAGGTGTGTTACGTCCTTACCTCCTATGTCCCTAATCTAAGCGACCTACGCTCTCTAGATGCCTTGCCGGTCGCCCTTATCGGTATGAACGCGAGCCTCATGTGTCAGTACATTGAATTTGTCGCCGATCGCCTACTCGTTTCTCTCGGAAATCAAAAGTACTATCAAGCCTCCAACCCCTTCGACTTCATGGAGATGATATCAATGCAGGGCAAGACCAATTTCTTTGAAAAGCGCGTTTCGGACTACTCGCGCCCTAATTTCCACAATTGTGACCCGTCAAATTCGTCTTCGCAGTGGACTTTGTAAGTGACGAACACACCCTTGATATGATATACTAATGAAATATTCTTATCAGTACGACTGAAGAAGAATTTTGACTAGACATTACATTAGACAATTTCGGGCCTCGCCTAGTCGACCCCAATCTACATATCATTGCTGTCCTAATTTATTAAATATCCCTCCTCAGCGTATAATTCATATATCCAACCCCCACTTATGTAGATCCCATAGACTCTCTCGAGCGCTGTAGATATCCGCCACGAATACATTTGGATACCCTTCAGTGTAAATGATATGTAATGATAGAATTTGCTTGTACACAAGCATAGGCTTCCTGAGACAATGGCGGATTGGTAGAGATACTATGATTATAAATATAAATCCGTGGCATACATGAACCGCCTGCAGCGACATAAGATTCGCTTGCATGAAGGTAGCTAGTATCTTGATTTCCGAGCCCCTGATAGGAGACTGCATAGGAGCCCAGAATCACATGATCTCTTGAGCAGAACCTCAGGGTCGCTGAAATTATCATCCAGTGAAATACAGTGATGGTGAGTATACCTTCAATCGCCAGAGCTGGTCTATACTCATATGACCCTTTGGGTAGCTTCGCCGTCAAATACGAGAAAGACGGCAATATGTCTACTCCAAGTCGCTCGAGGCGCAAGAACGACAAACCTACGAGCGCAAGCAACAATTAAAAGATGCACTAGCATCGGGGAAGGCTTTGCCCACCGAACTGAGAAAGGATGCAGACAGTCTTGGAAAGGACCTGGCTTTTGACGAAGCCCAAGCGGGTGTGTGTGCTTCCTCCTCGATGTAGACGTCAAGCTGAAATACTCTGCGATAGAGCCGTCCACACATATAGACAATGAATACTCTCGAGCTGGAATCCAAGACCCAAAAATTGTCATCACGACCTCCCGAGATCCTAGTTCGAAGTTGCTTCAATTTACCAAAGCATGTCGCGCTATATTATCAGCGATGTACCGGTGCTAACTTCCCACAGGAAATGCGTCTCGTCTTCCCCAATTCACATCGAATAAATCGAGGAAATTATGTCGTCAAAGAGCTGGCAGAGGCTTGTCGAGCGAACGATGTGACAGATTTGATTGTTCTCCACGAACACCGAGGGAAGCCTGGTACGTTTATACTCAGTCCAAACCTCTCCCGTAGCTCAAAATGCTCTCAGATGCAATGATCGTCTCTCATTTCCCCCATGGACCCACTGTATACTTCACGCTCAACAATGTCGCGTTACGACATGACATTGGCAGCTATAAGGGGTCGACTGTGTCAGAGCAATACCCTCATCTGATATTCGAAAACTTCTCGTCGAAACTAGGCGAACGGATACGAGACGTGCTAAAGTACCTTTTCCCTGTGCCAAAGGAAGACAGCAAGCGCGTGATGACATTCTCCACCGAAGATGACTTCATATCCTTCAGGTGCCTTGCCTTCTCGTCTAATCTACGTTGCACACACTGATCCCCTTTGAAGACATCATGTCTTTGTCAGTGTTCCTCCGAAACAAATACAACTGGCCGAAGTTGGACCTCGCTTTGAGATGAAACGTCAGTGGCTTCATTTATAATAATAGCACGGCAAAAACCTAATATCATCCATCCAGCGTACGAGATTCGGCAGGGCACCCTCGAGCAAAATGAGGCAGAACGGGAATGGGTTCTGGCCCATTATGCACGGACAGCTAAAAAGCGCACTTTGCTATCTGGACCCGCTTCGCATAGTAAAGACTCACAACATCCCAACAAAAAAGTAAAACGGTAACTCACCTAACTAGTGTATATATCTTCACGCATTAGTATCTAATCGGCATCACGACTGTAACAATGGCATTCCGCTGCAGGTTGTATATGGGATTATCATCACTCTACAGTGAGCTTTTGGTCGAGCTCCGCGAAGCCTTCAAAGAACGCTTCGAACAGATCAATGGCATGCTGCACATCGTGTGCGCCAGCAGTTTCACGGATAGAATGCATGGACAGCATTGGGTTTCCGACATCAACGGTTCTAAGACCAAGTGCCGAGAGCATGGGGCCAACCGTTGAACCACAAGCCATGTCATTTCGAACTTCGTATTCCTGCACCTTGCCACCCTTGCGTTCCACGAGCTTCCTGACAAGGAACGAGCCAATGGCGTCGCTAGCATATCGCTGCTTGGCGTTCGTCTTGATTACAATGCCGGCGTTCATTTGTGGCTTGTGGTTGTCCTCGTGCTTGGAGGTGTAGTTGGGGTGGAGCGCGTGGCCCATATCAGATGAAATGAGGAAAGAGCGGGATATGGACTGCGAGTGTGTTTCAGCGGTGGGGGACAAGCGAGAGAGCAGCGAGGGGATAAGGTTAGACTCTGCGCCTGAGGTGGAAACGCTGCCAATCTCCTCGTGGTTGAATAGGGCGATGCAGTTGACGTTGCCTTCCAGCGTAGGGAAACTTTGAGTGGATGCGTGGTCAGCCAAGGCTTCCACTGCGCAGAACCTGAGTAGCCGCATAATCAACAACAAACTAACGAATCCTAGAACAAGATGAGCACATACGAAGAGACGAGATTGTCCATCCGGGGGCTGAAGATAAATTCATTGTTGATTCCACCAAGGACAGAAGGCTGGGTATCGTATAATTGTCTATAGAATGGTTGATCAAGCAACAGTCGGCGCTTGGATAGATAAATATGCCATACAGTTCGAAATCGTGGATTTCTTCGGGAGCCACGGACAGTTCGCCAGCCAGCAACGAAAGTAGGGCAGGATGATGATAATCCTGAATGCTCGATGCTGGTTTAGTCTCGGGCTTCTTTTCCGGTTCGGTTGTTGGTGCATTCAATTGAGAGGAGATCAGGCCGAGAATGGGCGTGAACTCCGTTTCGGTATTAAATTTGAAATCAGCCGCAGAGTTCCTGTCCACTGCAGAGCCAAGTTTGTGAGTTACAGGTCTTTGGTGTCTACGGAGTGCCGTCTACTCACAATGAATGGCAAGGGTGGGGATCCGCAGAATTGGCCGCTCGATCTTGATGAGTTTCGAAGAGTATGTACCGGACTTGTCGGCGACGACTACACGCCCGGCGATGGACAGGTCACGGTCGAACCAGGAGTGCCAGATGCCACCACCGTAAGTCTCAACGCCGACCTGCAGGTAATCAGATTTCGTCCTCTTGGAAATGGGGCGTATCTGTGTTAATCGTAAGTACTAACGAGCACGGTTTAAATTCCAGGGAGCTAATTACTCTGAGATTCGGGCTATCGACGTGAGTAGCGACTATACTCAATCCAGCACCGTGTTTCCATTGCTGTGGGAGAGTAAACGCAACCAGCGCACTCTGATTTCTGATTATCGGGACTCGTTCGAGAAATTCCTTGTAGTATCGGTGACCGACAACTCACCTGGTGAAGTAGTACTTGCCACCAGCCTTCACAACGCCATCCCAATTATCCTTTTCTAAGATCTGTTCGATACTCAGCCCATCTGTTTTATATTTCGTAGCATCGGTCTCGTACCTTCGAAAAGCCTGCCTTCTCCAATCGGAGCGCGGCATTCTGGACAGCATGAAAGGGTGTCGGAGAAGCGTTGACGAACTTGAGGAAACGGCTTGCAGCCTCGGGAGCGTTTGGGTATAGCATCATTGCCTGTGAGAAGAGACGCTGCGATGGATTCAGGTGGTATTTCAGAATCGAAGGTCCACTGGACCTCATCCACATGATCCTCTTCAGGAAGCAACACGATCGGCCAACCCAAAAAGGAAGTCACTTTTTCGCCTTCCCGCGTTCAAGATGGTGCAGAGCTATTTGAGACATGGGCCAACGCAGGTAAGTTTGGAATACAGAAAATACAGGAATATATCTTACATGCGTTGTATAGGCTTTTGGTCTCGTCTGCAGTTCGTCATCCAACTCTGTGTTCGATGGAAGGCGAGCGTATGTGCCAGCCTTGGAAGATGTGTTAGTATGGGATGTAAAGAAAGGAGAGATGGTGAGCCGAACGTTGCACTTGAAGAGTAATCGCTGATCTAGATGCTAGCTAGCTATGTGGCACGACACTGGCCACAGAGCCGAGGTCACTTGTATCCGTCGCTCACCTAAAAACGATACATTTGCTGTGGGATATGCCGACGGGTCAATTCGACTGTGGAACGCACCTAGTGGCGACGTTATCTGTGTCCTCAACGGTCATAAGAAGGCCATCACAGCTCTGGCATTCGATGACGAGGGCACACGCCTGGCCTCAGGATCGCAGGATACCGAATTGATCATTTGGGATGTGGTTGCCGAGTCGGGCTTAGTGAAGTGCGTTATAGGTTCCTTTTTTGTTTAGCAAAACTTACATAGTTTGTAGGCTGCGAGGACATCGCGATCAGATAACCGCTATCCACTTCGTTTCTCCCTCCGACGACCAGCCTTCAACTTCAACAGGTGCTCGATCAACATTTTTGCTTACAGCTTCGAAGGATACATTCATCAAGCTATGGGACCTCAACCTCAACCACTGTATACAGACGGTCGTCGCTCATCGCGCCGAAATATGGGCCATGGCCCTCGATCCTGAGCAGAGTCTGCTGTTCACCGGAAGTAGCGAAGGCGAAATGAAGGCCTGGCGATTAGATCATGAAAGTATGAGAGGGGGGTTGAGGGAAACGGACTCTGGAGAGGTGCGTCTTCTATTTAGTGTCACCACCTGGACGTGCTTTACGTTGGAGATAGGTTGTTCAAATCATACACCCCATCACCAAAATCCCACTCTCCTCCAGCCATCGTGTCTCTCAGATAACATTCCACCCAACTCAACCCTACCTCGCCGTACAGTCTCACGACCGATCCGTGGAGGTGTTCCGCGTGAGGACGCAGGATGAAATACGAAAGAAGCAAATACGCCGTAAGAAACGTGCAGAGGAAAAGGGGAAAGCAAAATCAAAAGGTGGGGAGGAGAAAGAAGGTGGTGTGGACACTGGATCAGAGGAAGTCAAACTGGTTGACCTGTTTGAGCCGTATCTCGTCATCCGGGCTACTGGGAAAGTCAGGTCCTTCGATTTTGGCCCAGAGAGTGGAACAAAAGGCGGAGCCCAGGTAAGGCACCTTGAGTGAGCTTCATCCTATACGCTTATGAAGGAACTTGGTTCTAGATATTGACAGCCTTGGCGAACAACGCATTGGAGATCTATACCATACCTCAGCCCACAAAAGCGAAAGGCTCGCTGCCTGAAGCAACTAGAACCTCCACAGTCGACCTCCCCGGTCATCGCACGGACGTCCGAACTCTATCCTTGAGCTCCGATGATCGCATACTGGCTTCAGCATCGAACGGTGCGTACCTCTCAAACCATACATCAGCTTCCATTCTGACAGTCCCCCGAAGGTTCGCTTAAAATATGGAACATGAAAACGACTGCCTGCATAAGGACCCTTGAATGTGGTTATGCCATTTGCAGTACATTCCTTCCTGGGGATCGCCATGTGGGTTAGATTGTTGTTTCAATCTGATCTACCACTAAAGTCTACGATAGATCGCAATCGGCACCAAATCTGGGGAAATCTTGATATATGACTTGGCCTCATCCAGTCTGATCGAGACTGTTAAAGCCCATTCTGGTACTGTATGGTCACTCCATGTCCACCCCGACGAAAAGGCACTTGTTAGCGGGAGTGCTGATAAAGAAGTCAAGTTTTGGGAGTTTGAACACAAAGACGCGTCGGAAGATAGTGTGAGTCAATTTCTGGTGGTGATGAGTCGGTCTGACCCTTTTGTAGGCTCAGAGTGGCAAAGTATTGTCTCTCGTTCATGTCCGGACCCTAAAGATGACAGATGAGGTTTTGGCTGTGAAATACAGCCCAAACGGCAAGCTGTTAGCAGTATCTCTGCTAGATTCCACAGTAAAAGTCTTCTACCAAGACACTCTGAAATTCTTCCTATCTCTGTACGGCCACAAGGTATTTCTGAGCCTTGAACTTATTTGCACTTGTCCTCATTCGTTTCCCCGCGATAGCTCCCAGTGCTGGGGATGGATATATCAGGCGATTCAAAACTGATTGTGACTTGTTCCGCCGACAAAAATGTCAAGATATGGGGCTTGGATTTCGGCGATTGTCATAAATCGATATTCGCGCATGACGAGAGCGTCATGCAGGTGGCCTTTGAGAAGGATAGCCACTACTTCTGGACGGTAGGAAAGGACAGTATGCTGAAATATTGGGACGGCGACAAGGTACGCTCGGTTCCGGTAGCCTGCAGCCATTCTCTTACTCTTTGCTCCTCGTAGTTCGAGAGCATCCAGAAGCTGGAGGGACATCATGGGGAGATTTGGGCCCTCGTAGTGAGCAACGGTGGTAACTTCGTTGTCACAGGCTCGCATGACAAGTCAATACGAGTGTGGGAGAAGCTCGATGAACCCGTAAGCACGTTCCACATTGCAGTTTTCATCGCGCTACAGGTACTGCTCGCTTAGCTATTCCTCGAAGAGGAACGGGAACGAGAGCTAGAACAACTCTACGAAATCGGTGCTGCCGATGCCCTCGGCGACTCACATACCATCAGGCCACCCGGCGAGAGCCAAGAACAAGCAGAAGTAGGCGCCGTTACGAAGCCAACGTCTGAAACGTTGATGGCGGGCGAACGGATTGTCGAGGCTATTGATTTGGCTGACAACGAGCTTGCCATCTTCCGAGAGTACGAGCAAGCCATGGCGGGACTGTCGTCCGACGACGCGATGAGAATGCAGGCACCCCCTCGTAACCCCGTTCTCGCCGCCTACGATGTAACCCCAGAAGCATACGTCCTGCAAGTCATCGAGAAGATTCCCAACGCAGCTTTACTAGATGCCCTGTTGACTCTTCCTTTCCAGAAGGTGATGTCTTTGATGGGGTATCTCAGCGAGTGGGCCAAGAACGTGAGTTAATCGCCGCCACTGGGACTGGCCAATGGCTAACTTATATTTATTGTAGGAATGGAATATCATTCTCTCCTCGCGGATTATATTCTTCTTGCTCAGGACCCATCACCACCAAGTCGTCACGAACCACATCATGCGCACGTCCCTCATCCCTCTACGCAAGAATTTACGCTCTGCGCTCACCAAGCAGAAGGATGTCACTGGTTACAACCTTGCCGCCCTGCGCTTCATGCAGCGCAGAAATATATCAGATCACGCCACCCAGTTTGTCGACGCCGAACCTGACGAAGATCAAGTTCGCTCCAAGATCATGGAGGTCAAAAAGAGGAAGAGAGTAAAAGTATAGTCGACGTTATTGTTTGTTGTAATACATGTAGTTGTTTTATCAGCATACTAATACACATGCATGCCAGATGCACCGGAGCCTGGAGAAGAAAATACAAGGTAGGTGGGATCATTTTTGCGGTCCCCACAAATCCGCAAACCTAAACCACGCCGTCTGGTGAGCCTTCAATCAAAAGGTAGATGAAACACCTTGCCATGTGCCAGTGGCTGGATTAGTTGCGTGTCGCATTTTCACGCTGAGCTTTCCATCGTCCAAGGAAGCCAGTTGCTGAAATGCTCCTTTCGTCAGATCAACATGTTGCGATCCTTTAGTACACCCTGCGCATGTGTCGACGATCCTAACAAATACGCATTTCGAGGGCGAGTTACAAACTAGTAAGGTCACCAGGTATATGGTTAAACGTTGGCCTCTCCTAAACGAAGTGAACCACCTACGTTCGACAAATTTGAGGCATGATGGTCGGTCCGCCCACCCCTCTAACGTAACAGCTCCTACAAAGGCTTGGTCCTAATATAATGGTTATCAGCACCCGGCAACTACCGCCATTGCAATACCAATGATGTACCGAAGGCGTCCAATCGCCGTTCGCCCAGCAACTTGGATTCTCCAAGTCATGTCCGGTGTACCTGTTTCGTTGTTATTTAATAGAAAAAGGCTGAGCTCAGCCACAGCTTACCATGTAATTACCACCTCGCTGACTTTGCCTATAGCTGTCAGCGCTTTGTTGATAGCAGCTGACACCGACGGGAAACGACCTCCACTTGCGGCCTTGGGCTTTGCCTTCGGCTTGGATACCGACTTTGGTTTTGAGTGTGACTTCTTGGACGATGCATACTTTGTTTCACGCGTTTCAACGATTGGCGTGTCTTCGACTTGACGACGATAGTTGTGTTTAGCGTTTGTGACATTCACGGTGTGCCAGCCATCGCGAGGATCGAACTGGTAGTTAGTTCCCAGGGAATGCGCCTTTGTGTAAAGCTCTCTTGCGTTGTAGCGATTGTGGAGGACGGCGGCCGCCAGACAATGGCGGGCCATGAAACAGAGAACAAAGGCGTAAGCGGGTTTCGATAAATAGTGCATCATCGTGATATAAGCGTTCCCGAACGGATATATTGGACTTGCAAAAATGAGTGTCGGAGTCGAGTCGAAGATGGAAGTAAGTAAGTTGCTGAGCGCCAAGCGGTTCCGGTTATGGTCTATTTATACGCACTGGAGCCGACATGCCGATTCCCACTCCACGCGCCTCAATGCCGAAATTCCGAACCGCGCTGAACAAGTGAGATAGCGATACTCAAGAACTGATATTTTGAGAGCACACTTGGGAGTAGACTTCGAGTCGCCTTTGTTTCCTTTCTTGCTGTAATTATTCGGACCTGCAGGGTTCCGAGGGCGGCTTGGCGCATGTGTGCATGTGTCGGAGTTGATCGAAGCAGATCGCAGCGCAAATCCGAATCGATCATTGATCGCGCTTAAAGTCACGTGGTTTGCCGGCCGCCAAGAGCCGGATTACGAAGGTTTGCGAGTCACATTCAATACCCTCCGAATACCCTCACGATGCCCACAGATTCAGCAGCATCACGTCGCGTATCGCGCAAGGCAACTAATGAAGAGGACATAGACGCAAGAAGAGCCAGAGGAGAAGTATGTACGCCAATCATGTTCATACTACTCACTGACTAATGGCTGTTAGATATCTTGTGCAGAGTGCAGGAGGTATTACACCTCTTCCCATCGGACCCGGATGCTCATATTCCACCCAGGTTGAAACTTAAATGTGACAAAAAGCTGCCGTGTAGCTCCTGTGGTGAGCGCGTATATTCTGAATGTGGACTAGGGGTCTAATCGCCGATGCTCAGTCAGGCGCGGTTGCCCTTCTATATGTCCAAACGGTGAGGGCGCATCTAAGGTCTGGGTCTCGCAGTTATTTCAACGTCTTTAGGCAGCCTTTCTACCGGGCAAGGCACGCGGTGGGCATTGTCTTGCATCCTTTGTAACAGTGATATAAACAAATGGATAGATTTGTTCTGGCGGACACCGCCCAGCTGCATTCTAAGATTGCGGAGATGGGACGTCGAATACGCCAGCTGGAAGATGGACTCGCCATACTACAATCCAGTATATCGGACGAACAACACCCATTACTGAACGAAGACCTTCTAATGATCAAATTCTATCCCGACAAGTCATCTGAAGAGGCGAAGAATGAGCACTCCTTGGATTGCATTGATGCATTGGGAACCTTGACGATCGGCGACAGTGGAGATGCGAAATACTTCGGTCGATCCGCCGGTTCAGAGGTAGAGACGTTCGACTTATTGGCCGTTTATTCTCTGACAATATGTTGTAGACTCTTCTTCTGGTGCGCAAGATTGACTGCATATACGTGCCTTTTGGCACTAATGTCTGTTAAGGCGGGCGTGGAAATGGATATGTCAGCAACCGAGGAAACAGATCTTCCACCAACATCGCCGGATATCGCGAGGCTGTCGCAACTCTTCCCTTTCGGCACTGACGGACTATGGAACACTGAAAAATCCCTCGATATACTGCTCGACTATCTCCCCAGTCGCCCCCGCGCCTCTGCTCTATGTGAAACTTACATGGAGCAGGCGACATGGAGCTGCAGGCCAATTCAAAGGGAAGAATTAATCGACAGTATCCTCACGCCGATATATCGGTATGTTAAGGAACGTGAAGTAGGATCGCCACCTCCGACAGCAATATCCGCTCACCTCGTCGCTGTTCTCTTCATGGTTTTCTCGCTGGGTTCCCTCATGGACCTTACTCTCCCTTCACATAGTCCCGAGGTGCGCGCCAGAAATGTATCTCTTTGATTCCTCGATTTTTAACAATACCCAGTCAGAAAACTATCATCAAGTAGCACGGGCAGCATTGGCGCTGCGCTCGGTGTTCGATTCGCCAGAGATCAGTACCGTACAAGCGATTATCTTGATGGCAAGCTTTCACAGTCTAGGTAGCCGACGGTATACTATAGACAGTTCGTGGTCTCTTCTGGCCCTCGCTTGCAAACTAGCCCAGAGCGTCAGTAGTGTGATTTATCCTCCTTGAACCCTTTTAACGTCCGCCTTGCCTGTAGATTGGTCTTCGTAAGTGGAGAACATCTGTATTGTCCATACCATACAACAACTAAGGTACTATAGATCGTGATAGTGCTCGATGGAAGCTGGACGCGAAGACTATCCAACGTCGTCGAGTGCTCTGGTGGGAAGTCTTCGCCATGGATCTGTTTCACGTAAGCCATGACACCATGTCGCAAGGGAGTCTGTACTCAAGACACGCAGAGCCTCGCAATGGGGCGTCCGCCGTCCATTCGAACATCTTATATGGACTGCGAGTTTCCTGACGACGAAACGGAGACGATCGGCGAAGATGGTCAAGTTGCTATAGGATGTACGTTTGCAGAACGGATTCGTGATCCCACAACTCTAATTCTTCCTTCACCCAGTTTATCATTGGAAATATATCTTCGCTCGGGATATCCTCGCCAACGTGATGGAGCTTACTCTCACTGCTGCGACACCCAGCTACCAGACTATTCTTGATCTTGATCGAAAGGTTCGGGAGCTCCGTCCCCCGCCTCACCTCAACGTATCCATTACTCCGGACGATCCGAATTGGGCCCCCAGGGTATACGTACAAGGCTGTCTGTTGCAACATGTTCGTGGAGTCAGTTGAGTTGTTTTTTGCATTAAAAATCAAGGAACACACTTTGAACTACTCCCAGCCATGCTCTACATACACCGTAGTTTCTTCGCTCAGGCCCTGCTCGACCATCCGATCAATCCGTTACGTAGTCCCTATGCTCCGTCTTTCCTTGCCGCCTACCGCTGTGCGTCAGGTATAATCAAACTCAGTGTACAACATTATAACCGCATGCCGGACCTGTACGGTCGCTGGTGGCCTTTCTGGACCCACCTGTTTACTGCTGCGGTACGCTACATGTACCGCTATACTAAACCACTCTTACTCTTGATATTTAGGTTATTGTCGGAGCCATTGTTACGAGAGCACCGTCATCGCCCATGGCATCAACTGCCTTCGTAGAGCTCGGAATTGCTTGTGACTTACTCGTAAAAGGTAGTCGGCTTTCGCGCCGAGTTCGAGGCGGACTGGTATGCATGGGCCTTTCCCTTTTACAGACTATTCATATAACATCTTGTAGGTTATCGTGAGCAAGCTACGAGAGAGAGCTACGCGGGTCTATTCTCAGTTCCAAGCTGGCAACACTCTGCCACACATTGATTATACCTCTGCCACTGATAACGGGGAAGACGAACTGGCCATTTTCGGCGGCCAGACTCGGGTGATCGCAAGCAGGCTTCTATCAAGGCGAAACCGCACTCGTAATCGTGACTCTCCGACACCGAGCGTCGCCTCTGGGTCGTCAAGTACATCTAGCCCAGAGCCGCATCATGTGTCATCCCCTACTGACTCGCTACCGGATGTACATCCGTCTTTGGTCGAATATCTCTCAATGCTTCCTAGCCAACCGACTTCTTCCCCGCCAACGTATAATGATTTCCCTCAGAGTCAATTCGTCGTCAAAACCGAAGCAAGCAGCGACCAGGTTCCAATACATACCATTCCCCAGCAATCCTTCATACCACGTAATGACTGCATGGACCCGTTTAATCCCCAATTTGCCGCTTCCGGGTCAGGCCAAATCGCACAGGGGAGCACGATGGTGTCGAACGAAGCTTTGAGTCAAATGGCACCTGGAGGCTATATTTTTCCAGCGGAACGCACGCATCAATGCGTGTTTGGCTATGGCCCTTCCTATGCGTCAGACGCGCCAATGAATGGCGTCGTAGATTCTATGGATGACCTGCCTGACCGTGCTTTGACCGAGCTTAGCATGATGATGTCCGGGGATTCTGCCATAGATGAACAGTGGATGTACTTCATGCGGGACTCTGGTATTTTGGATACAAATCTAACGTAGATCGGCCTCTTTGCTTTGCACTTTTTGTAGATGCTTTGTATAATGTCATGCATAATAGTACTAATACAACATATGCTCACAAAAGTGAACAACTATCGCTGAAATGTCGTTGCGTAGCTGTGAGCGTTTCGCGCAAGTATTTGCGAGGACAATCTCGCTCCCTCCATATCCATGACCTTGATCTCTACTTCGGCAATGAGCTCCTTCAATTTTGCGACGGAGGCTGAGAGCGCAGCAGGATGTCCCTCGGCTTCCATTGCGCTGAGGAAACTGTCGATGTCCAGAACCTCCATGGACTTCCCATCTGCCTCTCCATCTGCCTCTCCATCTGCCTCTCTATACATATGCCGGCAAAATGCGTAAGAGTCTTCCGATAAGGCCAGTGTCCACCCCTCTCGATTCAAATACCCCTTGCTGAACAGAGGGTAGATGGGCACTTGCCTTTCGCCCCATTTCTGGCCTTCCGCCCGATCAGATGCGAGGCATGCTAATGCAAGCATACTTGAACCCGCCATTCCGACATAAAGACCAGGGCGCGGCATGCCCATCCCCTTCCACGACATCCCCATGATAAAATCGAAGAACATTTGGACGATTCTCTGTGGGGTGAAGAACGGCACCGAGGGGCAGCTACCACCGACCAGGAATGACAACAAAAGACCAGGGAAACTGAACGCAGGCTTGTATGGTGCAGCGCTTGCGAATCTCAGAAGGGCAGGGTGGACCAGAGCCTCCATGTTATAGAAGAGCTTGGGTTCCTCATCCAACAGTTTCCAGATGGATTCGTCCTCCATCCGCGTGCCAAGGAGGGTGACATGTGAGATCGATGGCGTCGAGGTTAACAACTTGCGCACGGTGTCTATGGTGACATGGGGCATGTTCGAAAGTTTGAGACGTTTTACGTCATTGTACTGAGATACGAAGTTGATGATCTGGTCGGATGGGAGGGGGAGGCCAGTTAGATCGAGTTCGTTCTTATTGCTTTGGGCTTCGTAGACACGGCGAAGTAATGAAATAGCAACATCAGGAAAGGGATCGATGCCTCGTAGAGCTGCTTTGATTACTTTAGCCTTCTCCGGTACCCAGACGAAAGGCTCTAATCCATCGAAGTTACCCTGTGCGATGGATTGCTCAACCGCAGGTCCCATAACAAGGTCGGCCAACTGGGGGATGATATTGTCAACCTGGACTGGGAGTTCATCTGGGACTGCGGGTTCGTCTGGGGGACCTGCTTCGTCACACGCTTCATCGGATGCTTCTCAGTCACTGTCGTCGGGAGGGTACTCCGCAGGCCAAACTTCTGCGAGCATCTCCGTCGTAACCAGTCTGACATCATCAAGAGTGGCGACTACGGCTGCAATGTCCTTTTCCAGCTCTATGTCTTCATCTTTCAGATTGGCCCCGGGCTCGGGGGCTGGGAAATATACCCTGATGTATTCCTCCGCTACGATTGGTTTGCCTGTGAGGATATGACAGTACGCTGGCTTCATCGGATCGTTGATATCAATGACGGATATACCGTCATCGGGCCCTAAGGTAGGTAGAGCTCCGTGAGCAGCCCACTCGAGGAAATGATGGCTTTCCGCATGCTGTAGCACTCACCCTGGTCAAAACTGCCACCACGCGCCGGTAAGAGACACCCATTGATAGAATGACCTGGGGCATAGGTTGGAATTGAATCCAGATCGACGCAGCAGGCAGTCCCAAGCAGGTATTGTGTATATGGACAAGGGTACGCTGGCACGTCCCTTCCATTTCTACTGTATTTGGTTTGCACCCCATCGAGTTCGAGTTTTATGATCTCAGCGTTGTCCTTTTGCTTAGCGAGATCGATGGATCAGCGTATAGCGCGCGGTGGTAAGCGACGTTAGCACCATTGGTTGTGAAACCTGCTGAGTGAGCGATAGTATGCTTTCTTATCGGTAGAATCGCGAGGCACGACCTTGCCTATAAGCCAGATTTGATGGCGCGAACCCATGGAAACCACTGGTGACAGGGCACTGGGGGAAAGCGGTGTCTCCTCTCGTAGACTTAAGCTCTATCGCTCGCATCTTTCCGTAGAGTCCGAGTCACGATTGAGGTTCTGCTGGGACAATGAAAGAATTTGAGGGTGCGCTGAGTGAAGTTGGAACGATCATCAATGATCGAACGGGCGTCTAGTTTCCGATCATGGAAATCGAATTCAGGGATGGCAGCATGGCGCAATAAGGACCGAGAAGATGACAATTGCGTGCGAGTCAACGTTCTTCGGAAAGGTTGAAGTCTGCACTCGAGAAACAGCTTACTCTTTCTCTCATGCCTTCAGATATCAAGCCAGCACTCAAGGGGACGCGGTTGATCCATGGTGACTCTGGGTTCGCAGGGCCAGAGGTTGCGCCCTCGATTTCCGTTTCAACAAGTAGGCAACACTGCTTGCGAGGAATTCCGATAGTCGGAATGCTGACAATTGTGGTCGATAGCGTTCAGAGCTCCCCACCCAGATGACGGCGCAATTTCTTCATATGAGATAGACCTGAGGAATCCCTCTAGACATGTCTATTCGAGATATACGCAGCAAGTCAGCACTCGGGCTGAGCATATCCTCAGCGAGATCAACGTGAGTAGCTTCTTGCTTTGTCATTGAAGAAAAAGACTAACGATTTACGCTTTAAGCATGGCTATGCGTTGACATACGCGTCTGGGCTATCCGCTTCCTATGCTGTAAGGGGGACAGACCATTTCGTAGGGCGAACATTCGTTGACTTCTCTCGAAATCTGCAGGCCCTCGTATTCTTTCAACCGAAACGCATCGCAATCACGGGCGGTTATCATGGATGCCACAATACCATCGGGGTCTACAGGAAATCCCGAAATGCTGACATTCCTATTATCGACTTAGACGACGAATATCAGCCTGGTGATTTATGTTGGTTAGAAACACCCCTCAACCCAACCGGGGAATCTAGGTTGCTATTTGTCGTTCCTGCTGAGAGAGAAGGCTGATGCTCGTATAGGGATATCAAGTACTATGCTGATAAAGTGAGTTCCTTGTATCTGGTAAGCGTATATACCTGACCTCGGGCTGTAGATCCACAAGGTTGGGGGTAAATTACTTGTTGACTCGACCTTTGGTCCACCACCATTACAATATCCCTTCAATTTTGGTGCAGATTGGTCAGTTCAACGTTGCTCTCCTCTGTAGGTGCGGTGCTAACGTATGAACACATCTCTGCAGTGTTCTCCACTCTGGTATGTCGGCAAACTATCAAGGACGTACAAGTCATGAACGACTTTTATAGCAACTAAATACTTCGGCGGCCACTCGGACATGCTTGGAGGCGTTCTAATTGTCAAGACCTCTCAAGAATGGAGCACTGTACGATTGCATTGTGTTCTCCTTTTATTTCTGCCATTCATCCACATTTCCCTATAGCTTCACAACGACAGGACATACATAGGAAACACAATGGGCTCATTGGAGGCGTGGCTCCTTCTCCGCTCTCTGCGAACCCTCCACCTTCGCGTCCCTAGACAATCTAAAACTGCTACCGCCTTGGCGCAGTGGCTCAAGGGAGCAGCTGGTACTCGATCCTTCGATGGTATTCCTGGGGGTATCATTGAGAAAGTCTGGCACTCCTCGTTCCAAGGAAAGGACTCGCGCGGCTTCGACCCTGCGACCCAGATGCAAGGCGGTTGGAACGCAACATTCGCTCTGCTGGTATGCATCATCGCCTCCAGATCAATGCCGATAAACTGACTTACATTGCAACAATACAGCTCACCAAACCAGAATACGCATCATTCCTCCCTCATGAGCTGAAATATTTCGTGGTACGACCTACTTTCCTTCCATGACAAGCGGTACAATATTGATCCAGAATGTAAATCATAGCCGGCAACTAGCCTGGGAGGCGTAGAATCCCTTATAGAGCACCGTATCCATTCAGACCCTGGCGCAGATCCCCGACTTATCAGGATCAGCGTTGGTATTGAAGATCTTGAGGTATTCTCGCATTTCGACGATCAAGTTGGTTGCATATTAACCAGGATGTATCTCCATAGGATCTCAAGGACGATCTCCGCGGTGCCTTCCAGAAGCTCCATGCGGTGAGGGTTTACAGACTGGAACACCGAATGGGTTGCTGACTCTTTCCTCCAGACTAAGGCGAAATTGTGAGCGCTGCTAAATTCAATTGCTGGATAGATCATAGATAGACCACGAACACAATGCTACTTTTGAGAATGTAATACCATCAATATTTCCGTGCTCGGTAAAATTCAAAGAAGCTGGCCTTGTCCTCCCAGCCAAGCCCAGTCCTTTTCATCTTCCCCAACTGAGCTATCAAGGCAGCGCATGACGATACGAACACATCTTCGTTGGCTGCGTCGGGAACCACCTCACTGACCATAAATAGCTGAGAGCTAATCGAATCGGCGGGCTCCAGTAGTCGGATGGAAATAGAGAGAGGGGTTAGGGAGGTGGTAAGTGCAAAGAGATGACCCAGTGGATTGAACGAGGAGGGAATGGGGCACGACAGGGTTGGTGTGAAGTCCGTCGGTGGGTCATATCTACTGGGTTTAGTATCATATTGATAACCACAAACCAACGTACTCACCTGACACACATGATGAATACTCCGAATTTCTTAGTTGGGACCTGCTCTTTGGGAAAGACATTTGAAAACCTCAACAGCCCGCGGCCATTACTCGTCGTGGATTCGGGAAACACGACAATCGGTCTATCCGCTTGTTTCTGGATATCATCGAATTTCATGCACGGTGTAGTTGCGGCAGAATCATACGGAGGAACTCGACCGGTAAGGAGGATCATTTCTAGAAGAGAGCTGACGCGGAATCCACGAAACGTGCCCTGAGGGGACGCTTGCCGTGTAGAGGCTATGTTCGCTGAGCCTGTTCCTGTTCGCCGGCCTGGCGTGTGGGTCACGATCCCATCGCGGCCTGGAGTGGGAGTGGTTACAGTCAATGGGTCGAAAACGGGGAGAACGAAGATAGGATTGTAGCTGGAGATGGGGGACTCTTTAGACACGTGTTTATTTTTGGGGGATGCATACGTACCGACAGGCTAGCCACAACAACTCAATCCACGATACCCAATTCGATACAATGACATCTCCAGCCTTGGGGTACCATGCGTTAGCCACAGGCTTTCCGCGTCTATGACCAAAACTTGAAACCAGGACATGGGATGTGAGGAGCACATTGACTCACCCCCGTTTACGCGAGACACGCTCTACAGGTATCCATGTAAGCCCTATTATGAACAAGGCACTTCTGGTCAGCAAAGACGTGAGCAGCCCTGTTACGACTCGATGTATCGGCGCTATAGGATGCTAATGGAAATTATGGTCAGCGGGTACTATGAGAATTTATCAACTCACTAAAATTGCACAAATGCCTAGTACGTCCACGGTATAGACAGCAAGCAGTACTAGTACTAGCAGCGTCCGTACAGCTGCGATAGCATATTTAAACGGCAACAACAAAGTGGCTAATACGTTGGACCCCGATGGTGGAACCGGCGTCAGGAATGGCTGTTACGAAAATTGTGGACATTCAGATATATGGCTCGAGACGTCCCGGATTACCTGGATGCCAGTTCCGGGATCCTGTAAATCATTTCAGTATAAATGTAAAGCAAATAGAAAACTGAACTGACTCAACTCGATATGCGCTGAATTTCTCCATCGTCGTTCGTGATCAGGCCGACGCGACTCGACCCACGGAATCAAAATGGCACGTGCTCCTTGAGGGGCGCAGCGCTGAGCAACCTGCGTTAGTCAGTCCCGCACACCCATCCTTCTTACTGCCACTCATCTCCAGCTCAAATGTCGGCAGATCCTTCGCTTGCTCGACGGTTCTTCAAATTCATACGTGTATATGGCGGCTATACACTTGGTCGATATCAGAAGCTCCATGTCCGGAACAAGGTCAGTGATAACTTACACGGACCATACTCTACATAGGGCCTCGCTAACTGGACTTGCAGGCGCTGATTTGGTTATTGATCCTTTTCTACATATGCATTGGCATTGCTGTGCTTGTAATAACACCGGGGAGGATTGCTCAATTCCTCTACGACAAGGCTACATGGCTAGCGTCGACTAGGTTTGGTTGGATGGCACTGTTCGGTGCTATAGGTAGGCAGCATACTTCACTGTATACTACTCGCCCTCATATATTTCTCATTAGTCTTTGTCTCGTTCCCTCCTATGATCGGCCACACTACTCTGGTCACACTGTGTGGATTCGCATATGGTATGAAGGGTTTCTACATAGCTTCTACAGCTTCAGTCTTCGGGTCTGCGCTCTCCTTCACTGTCCTTCGACTTCTATTCAGCAGAAGATTGCGCGAATGGTCCGGAAAGAGTGATAAATGGCAGGCACTGGAGTCAGTTGTGGTACGTTCACGCTTTGATCCGTTCACTACGTCACGGGCTCACTATTTGACAGAGGGCGAAGGGCCTTCCGTTAATTATCCTCGTTCGAGTGTCCCCTCTTCCACCTTGGGTCTATTCAAATTCCCTCTTTGCCGTAAGCGCTCTCATCAATATATCACCCACGAATTTATCGTTTACATACCCTCTATAGTCGATTGAGGCCGTGTCTCTATGGCAATTCGTCGTAGCGACTTTGTTCGTCTTCCCGAAGCTGGTTCTGCACGTTTTCATCGGTTCAAGAATTGCTCCCCTCGCCGACGGTGATCAGCGTGGTCACATGGATACTCGTACGTGTCTTTGCGACTGTTGGGCGCATCGAATGTTGCTGATCACATCTATCCAGAAACGAAGTTAATCAACAGCCTAGTGATTGTCCTAGGTATTTCCTTGGCCATCGGTGCAAGTTGGTGAGTACCTGGAGGGCGGTGCGATAATTGAATGTTCTTCTGACATTGCTCTATACATAGGGCTGTTTTCACGTTGGTACAAAAGCATATTCGCCACCTAGATGGTCTCTCTCCCGAGACCGATGAACTTGCTGCCGAAGCCCTCGAGGACTACGATGAAGAGGCGCCGCTTCTGAGCTCTCCCCGCTCCGAGCAAACGTGATTATCTATTTAGGTGTTGATAGTAACCTAGACTCAGTCGCAACCCGGGACAGTACAATGTATCAGGATATTAAGTCGTACTCTAATAATAATGCAAAAACAGAAGTGACAGGCTGGCGCCAACCAAGAACATAAGTATGAATAGGCGACTATCTTTGGCTCTCCGCCTTGCTTCCCGCAGTTGTTCATTACCCTTGTCTACCATTACTGTCGTCGCAATTGCGTCTTCGTAGAGTTGATCCGTTAATTCCGTTTGTCGCGTCAGATGGGTAACCAGCTCCATCTGCAGCGCACTGATATCAACAAGGCGCGATTCTGCCTGTTGCACTGATTCGAGGGTATCTTGGACGTTCCGTAGAATGTTGGCGTTTTCGGTTTCGAACTGCATGATCTGTGATGCGGAGAGTTCTATTTCGTCATCCTCGTCATCTTCTTCTGGGGGTAGCTGGGTGCTGAGACGAACAGTTGGGTTGGAACGCGGATCCCCCGTGGGCGACGGGGCCCCAATGGTAGCTGCGATCAAGCTGGAAGAGGCATTCCCCAGCCAGCTTCCGCCCTCTTTGAATGAACTAGACACATCTGACCGAGGGCCGCCGACAAACGCGAGTTCTCCCATGCTAAGCGACGATGCCTCTTTCGCAGCTCCAGAACCTAACGTCCGAGTCCGCTCTGACTGGCGTTTGATTCGCTCCTCCTGCAGCTCCTTCTGTATCTGGCCAGCCATAGTCAACATCCTATTGAGGTACCATGTTATGCTGGCGTGATGCGCGGCTATGAAGTCCGAAGACACCGTCTCTGCGGTCTGCCGCAACCGCGATGGAAGTAGCTTCGTGAGAGGATTGACACGGCTGGCAACGAGTTCAACGCGCCCTATAATAGACCAAAGTCATACAACATGTAGACATACGATGAGCAAATACGCAGACGCACGTACGTCTTTCGAGGGCTTCCATTTCCTTTACTCGGTCTGCACACCGGGTGAGGATAACTCGGGCCTGGAGGTCAATTTGGTCCCGCTCCTCGTTCGTTAAGTACCGCACTCCAGACAGTAGCTGGTCTGGTTCTGACCCGCTCAGGTCAAGTATACGGGGGCTGGACCTGCCGAGAGACATGGCGCGGGTGTCCATGTTAAGGTAAGGCTTCCGTACGTTCGCGAGCATTCGCAGAAGGGTGTTGATGTGTCCGAGCTGGGGTGTACTTCAGCTCCAGTTGTTACGGCTAGTGCAGAAGTATAGCCTCACAATAACATATCCCTCTTTCACGTATTCCTTGCTCACTGCGTTGTCTGGAGAGCCCTGTGGAGCATGCTTTGACTTGCGTAGCTTTGGGTCAGGAGAAATGGGCCCCTTCTCCTTCAGAATATCTTTCAGTTCCTGCGTGCGGTCTACGGAAGGCATTGGAACGGTCAAACGTTACGGTGAAGCTTGGTACAGCGAAGGCTGGATGAGTGTCACCACTGCGTGGTCTGGTGGTCACGTGGCGGCCATCCATTTGTGGGACGGAAGCAAAGTTTTTTCTCTTCTTCATGAACCACATCCTTGATCATCCTTTGATACCGTTGAAGCTACATCACCAGGCTCGACTGTTGGTGGTCGACTGTGGCAGAGTAAAGAAGTCCTTGTTTGAGGCGGACGGCGTTTTTTCACCATCGTTTGCCATAGTTTGTGACCGACATCATGCAATCATCATGTCCCCGGGGAAATTAATACAGTCTATCTGATACATCTATGTATACTATCACGAACACTATAGAATCAAATTCTTGGTTAGCTTTCGAACTCGTCCGCCCACTCCAAACATTTGCCGGAGTTGCAGGCGTTGGCGATACCTTTCATTCTGACAGCAGGTCGACCCACCTTCATCATCGATGATTAATTCAATACAGTCTACGGTGGCAGCAGTGATGAAGACAAAACTTACGGCAGTAATCATCGGGTTTTCCTACCAATCGGCATATTGTTAACGCTGCTAGATCCAAGACATCGGCCTCTTGGACGAATGAGCAATGGATTAGAGTCACTTCATCGATTGAATGTAGATTGTGGGACCCGCGAAGGCGGTTTTGGACCATGGAAACCATTGCCTTTCCAGTGACTTGTCCACACCAACGGAAGTCTAGTTTGGATAGTTTAGGGCAGCACGCATCCGGCCCGCTGAACAGGCGAATGGCCTCGTCGGAGATGTCGCTATCGTGCAGTTGCAGCTCCCTTAAGTTGGGTAGATGAGTGAAATACGATGACATATGTACCGCGGAAAGATAGAAGCCGTGCAATTCGAGATACTCCAATGCGTGCCCTTGTGTAGCGATGAAACCGCGCAGGCAGTCAGCCAGGCTGTCTTGCACTTGCTCCTCTCCGGAAACATGAACCACCGCGCGCAGATGAAGGTGACTTAATGTCTCCGTCTGGATGAATGGGAGTAGATTGAGCATCTCCATTTCCCCTGTGATGTCAAGCTTGCGTAGCTGGGATAGATGGACCGGTTCGACGGTTGTTCCGATGTCTCCGTCAACAATGCTGATCTTTGACTTCAAGATCAATGTTTGTAGGAGAGGTAAACTTGCAAACAGGCGAAGGAGCTCAACATCGTGGTGACGGGGCGTCGTGGTGAGAATAAGCGATGTGATCTTCAATGATGACAAGCTCTCGTACAAGAGGCCCCTCTGGGGTATGGTGGCATGGAATGACAACCTGTTTAGCCGGGGTGCGTCACCAAAGGCGAGGGGAAGTTCCTGGAGATCGACGCCCAATGGCACCTCCCCACCGGTGAAAGGCAGTCTAAGCCCGATGTTTGATAGCAGGGGGAAAGAGGCACGTCCAAATATCCCCAGAAAGTGGTCCACTTCTTCCAAGGACTCCGCCGTCAGGTACAACGACGCCCATCGGTGCGTGTGCTGCATTAGCATTGCCAACACATTCATAAATACCGCCGAGCGGCTGAGCGATAGCGATATCGACAGAGGAGCCAGGCCTGACCGGTCCAGTCGGAATTTAATCTTCCTCTGAAGGCTCCTTTCCTCGCTGTCTGGATCCACGACTATGTTTGACCACAGCGTCGGTGCCAAAGCGGCCTTCCTCCACTCGGAACATACCCCGGAGACGTTGAGCGGCGTACGGGGATAGCCTAGGTCGACGCAAATTTGAAAGATGTATGTCAAGACCTCGGGCGGCAGGCGGCGAGCCAGGGTAATTAACCCTTTGTAGTACCTGATAGCAGACAGATGATAGGCACGTCTGGATTGTAGTAAGGTAACCTGTCGGACGAGGCGCTCTTTCTGCGCTTCAATGGCAGTGACAGCAGCCTCGTGGAAGGAAATCGCGGTGTGGGCCTTGTCATCGTCTGCCATTTTAGCGGTGTACCAACGATGTACTGCTGTAAATGATAGTAGATAAGTACTACGGTGGGTCGGTCACTCGGCGTCAGTTTCTGGACAGCTGCCATTCCGTTGCTTACGTGATCCAGTAGTGGTTGGTTTTTGCAGAGCATCGTCCAGTCCGCAACGGTGGAGGCTCTCCATCAACCAGCAGTCGAACAAAGGTAATTCAATTTCCACGGGGACCCTTCATGATGATTCAGAGTGGAATCTTGATTGACCCGCCAAACAACGGCACTGGGTCAAGCTGAAGACCGCTATGGTTCTAGATACTGCTGAAACCTGCTCACGCTACCCAATATCAGTGTAATTGCTTGTGCTGACTGGTATGCTTTGATCCAGAACATAATGGATCCGAGGAAAGCACGCGACCCACGGTTGGCTCGTGCAGATCCACGATTACAGCGTGCTCAACCACCAACAGCGCCCGCTGCAGTTCCGACGCCCCCTCAGTCATGGAATGAGAATGGTGCTTCTGGCGCGCCTTCTTCGTCCTATCAAGAACCCGCCGCAGCCACGAGTCAGGTCAAACCTCAATCTATCATCCACAAAGCGAGACCCCTCTTTTGTGTAGTTTGTGCAAGCAATCAAGTAAGCAAATCATTTGAGAAGACATCGAACAGCCATCTAATAAACGTATAGAATCGATCCATGGAGGGACACCACGTGTTGGCGTAAGTAGTATTTCTGCTTCGCTCAGCAATTACGAATTTTCGTCAAGTAAAGCTGGTTATCGCGTTATTTCTTCCGGAACAGGTTCAGCCGTTCGATTGCCTGGTCCCTCGATTGACAAGCCAAATATCTATCAGTTTGGAACGCCTTACAATGCCATCTATGAAGAGCTTAATGGCAAGGATCCCCGTTTGTTCGTTGAGTGTGTAATCCCATGCGTTTATTGTCCTCAAGGCTGCCATAGATACACCGCCAACGGTTTGCTCCAGATGCTGGACCGGAACCGCCGCATCAAACTAGCCCCAGAAAGGTGGCAGGACAGCAGAACCGTTGCTGATATAGTAATAACCTGTGAAGAGCGGTGCTTTGACGCTGTCTGTGATGGTAAGTCTCCATCATGATAGTGAATGTATTATACCTCATTTATAAACAGATTTACTCGCCCGAGGCGGAGAATTCAATCGACCAGTTCATATAATCAATTTGGAGATCAAGGATAACCACGAAGAGGCGTTGATTGCGGGAAAGGCCATATTAGATCTTGCAGCAGCAGTGAGACGGAACCCAGTCCCGAATTCCATCTACTAAAACAACCGACCTGTTTAGCTCGAGGCATCAGATGATATTGATGAAGATATAGATTCGATACTTCAAGCACAACAAGAAAAGCATCCGCACAGTATCCTCCATGCCGTTGCATTTTACTAGTCCGGTAGCTACGCGTCTTGTACTCTCACTTCAATTTTAGTGATGCTATTATTGGGCGGTTGCAAGATCCCCTTGCCTCAGCGTTTTTCCACAATTTTACTGATGTACTTTTGGGAGGTTACGGACATTTTTCCTTAGCTCCGTGTTTTGAGGCCACACCTCCGCGATTTTATTGATGCCCTACCATTTGTGTAGATCTTTCATTCTGTATATAGTCTGCCGTGCCCGACTCAGCGCCGGGTTGTTGATCTAGCTCCATTGTGACACTCCAAACGGTGCATTTGAAGGTAGATGAACCAGCAGCCGACATATGGAAAGACCGAGCCAGCCAATCGTTTGCAAGGGCGCACCTCCCACGACAGTTAAAGGTTGCGGTGTCCGACGCGGCATCTAATATCCGATGTCCACATCATTCTCATGTGCAAAAGTCATGCAGAATGATTGTTTCGGATTGAGCCTTAGTACGTCACGCGTCAACCTGGGAATTCCGGGTGGCGGTGCCAGTACTTGTCCCTATTTGTCCCTATGAACCTCATATTTGTCTCTGTTTCGATCAATCGGCGTACGTAAGCAAGCAGACGCTTTGGATCACAGTCGCGACGCGCGTCGGACGTTACATTCAATTAATCATGGCCAACGCAGGAGGCGGAGCGTACAGGTCAGCTGCTGCATCACTCGCTGCTCAGAATACGGCCATCTGACATCCTTCAAATTCAACTTAGTTTCTCTCTCACAACATTCTCACCAAGCGGGAAGCTCGTTCAGATCGAACATGCTTTAGCAGCGGTATCGCAGGGGACAACGAGTCTCGGGATCAAAGGTAGAACTCTTCGGTATCGATTCTTGAGGACTTTGATATATGATTCTATATAGCCTCGAACGGGATCGTTATTGCTACTGAGAAGAAGTCATCGTCCATCTTGATTGACGATTCCATGGTCGACAAGGTCGCCGTCGTTTGCCCAAATATTGGCATCGTATACTCAGGAATGGGCCCCGACTTTCGTGTTCTGATTGCCAGGGCTCGTAAGAGTGCTCAGGCGTACTGGAAGATCTACGGGGAATACCCCCCAACTCGCGTCTTGACGCAGGAACTCGCCACGATCATGCAGAAGGCCACGCAGTCCGGGTATGTGATATCATTACGGCCAACTACGGGGGCTCATGATCGGAGTAAGGGGTGTACGCCCGTATGGCGTATCATTGCTAGTCGCGGGGTGGGACATAACCCGCGGCCCCAGTCTGTATCAGGTTGATCCCTCCGGTTCATTTTGGGCATGGAAGGCAAGCGCGATCGGTAAGAATATGGTCAACGCCAAAACATTCCTGGAAAAACGGTGTGTATCGGCTCTTGGTGTCAGCGAAATGATTGCCTGATGAAATCTATCCAATGTTTGCCGAAACAGGTACAACGATGATATCAGTCTGGAGGATGCCATTCACACCGCTCTCTTAACGTTGAAGGAGGGTTTCGAGGGCCAGATGACGGAGAAGACCATTGAAATTGGCGTGGTCACTGTGCCTACAATTGAAGAGCTGGAACAGGGCAAGATTGGAGGGGAAACAGGCCGTCCAACACCAACGTTTAGAAAATTGACTGAAGAAGAAGTTAGGGATTACCTTGCATTGTAACCACTGTACGACCGGCATTTGGTGCGCTGTCATCATCATCATTTACTTTCTTTCACTATCATTGTCGAATATAATTGGGATAGCCCGCCAATCTTACTGATAGGTCACGTCAGATGAGCACGGCTGCATCGCCTCCAACAGAGATCACAGACGTAGTGAGACGTTGTATAAGCTTTAGCCCCACTGTCAAGGGTCTGGTGATTTCGTCAGTACAGCTACGAGACTTAATTTCTAGTCCTTTGAGGCCACGTTGGCGAGATACAGAAAGCGAGTCAATGGTAGGCTTTTACCATAGCGAAATATCCAAGATCATTAAATCAATCATAAAAAGGGCACAGGGTCGGGTAATAACCTCAAACACACGGTTTGGCATGCATGACCTTGCACACCTGTGATCTTAGATTCCGACAGATTCAACGGTCGGCTCAACCAAAGAAGACACTTTGCGAGATCAAGATTCGATGGTGTACGAATAAGTAACACCCTCCCTAGTTACCTCCTTCCGTTACTTCATCATCGAAGGAAGGAAGGAGCCAGATTACTCAAGCGATCGCTCGCTTTGCCGCTCATACTGATACGCCCTCACACTGCCATGATCATAGTACATATATGACCAGACCGCGCCGGTCCTCAACCTCATCCCCCCAGATTTACCGGACTTCCACATCCATCCTCTGTCCTGCCATCCACCCAAACTCGCCATGACTTCTGTTCCCCCACAACGTGCCCCAAAGCGCGTAGCCATGGCTTGCACGTACTGCAGGCGTCGTAAGATCAAGGTGGGTCCCCTGCCCATGGTTAAGCTCTGTCTCTGACATCACGCAATGAAGTGCGAACCACAGACTTCGCCAAATTATTCGTGCAAGAACTGTTCGGACAGGCGACAACAGTGCACCTACTTGCCCGTTGAATTCGATGATCCGAACGCGCCGCAGCTGCAGCAGTCGATGAGCCCTTCTCCGGAAGCTCCATACTTCCCGACAACTAGCGGCCACCCGTCTATGCAGTACTCTGGCCACCCTCAGGATAGCATGTGGTCGCAGCAGTCACCGCAGATGCAACAAGCATACGCCCAGCAGAGGGGGATGCCTGGATACACCATGCCTAGCGATGGCGGCAGGTACGCAGACCCCGACAATCTAGTCATGTCTATCATTGACGCGTTGGTAGGACTCACTCCAGCGCATTGCCCGACACCGCGACGCATGCATACAACCAGGGTTGGAATGCTCAATATAGCCAAGGTTTCGCTCTACCGGATGGCGGAAGCAATACGGCATTCTCGTACACCCCACAGGCAGCGGATGGGGTCCATAACGCTAGCTCCTCTGGGTATAACCCTTACTCCTCGTCAAACACCGGGAGCGTCTCTGCAGCGCCACCAATGTAAGTCCTTTGGTGACCCTGCGCTTTGCCATACTCAGCGATGCTCAGGTACTGCCAATGCACTCCGGGGTACGCATGCGTGTGCTACCCAGGTTACGTCTGCGCTTGCCCTCCTCGCCGTGCTTGATGGTCTATTCTATCAAAGTTCCATTTATTTATGCTGTTGTTACTGTATTTTATGTTGACTAATGTCCGGTGTGGCTTGCTTAGGTTTTTGCTATTTTTTTCCGGCCAAGTTGTTAGTATAGCGTATAATTTACATATTTATCACCGCAGACCACGCGCACAGTTTCTTTTTGGATTTACCGCTTGAGGAATCAATACAAAAGCGACTCAGTACGATCGCGCGTTCTGAGAAGGAGGTGGATTCGAAACGCGTGGCTTTAAGATGAAAGAAACGTGCTTTCATAGCATATGGGTTCGTGGCAACGAGTTAATATACAACATTTAATTCAGGATATACAGCCTTCTAGACTTGGAGAAGACGAAGTTCACAAAGGCCACGCCAGCTTCTCGCCGAAATTCCAGTGGATCGCCTTTACCGACGTATATTCCTCCAATGCATAACTCCCCAGCTCCCGACCTAGGAGAAGGTCAGTACAGGCTAATCCCTACGAGGGAAATATTACCAATTCCGGATTGTTTCTTTCCTCCAAAGGGAACGTTGTTATTGAGAATATTATATTGGTTGATCCAGACCTTAAATATAAATATAATTGTAATCATCAACACTGCATTGGCACGGAAACCAAAAGACCAATAGCTCACCGTTCCAGCCTCGAGCGCGGACGACACCCTGATGCACTGACTCGCATCATCTGGACGAAATGATGAGCTTTGTGCTATGAGAAATAATGGAAATACACACTGGAGTGGAGCCCTGCACCCAAGCCATATGTTGTGTCATTGGCGAGAGAGATTGCTTCTTCTTCTGTCTTGAATCGACCAACCGTAAGTACGGGACCAAATATCTAAATAGTTTGTCAGTCCCGAACATCACCACGACGCAAAACATGTGGAAGATCGGCATCAAGGGTGAACGACGCATGTTCTGAAGGTGAACGGTAATTACCTCCTCTTGTACCTAGAAAATAATTATCAATATCAATTCTAAGGCATTGCCTCTCAGAGCCTCACAATTTTCATGTCGGAGGTGATATCGGTGAAGACTGGAAACGGAAGCTAGGTCAGACATGGAAAAAAATCCGAGTAGGCCAATTAACTCACTTGTGGGATCAACGAAGTATCCTTTTCCCTGCCGCTTCTCACCCCCAACGGCAACCTTCGCCCCAGCTTGTTTCCCAGCTTCAATGTAACTCCAAACGCGATCGTATTGGGTCTTTGAAACCTAGGCGCGGGGTTTAGGCGGGTTGCTGACCTCGTAGCATAGTTGAGCGAAATGGGCCTACCACGGGACCGGCGCCACTTGCGTCGTCGAACCCGTTTCCAACTACCAGTTCCTTCATCTTCCCAACCAGCAACGCGACAAACTTGTCATAGATAGTTTCTTGGACATAAAGCCGAGATCCCGCAGTGCAATCTTGACCGGTGTTATAACCAATGCCCAACGCCACCCAGTTTGCAGCTGTAGATGATTCATCAGAATTCAGCCGCGCCCTAACGATGCGGAAGCAGCGAAGTAGTAGGTGAGATTAGCACCCTCGGACACGAGAAGGCATGTGCTTGCCACGAGGCATTAGTCTATTCTCTTCAGGGACCGCATCGAGGACGTCATTCCCTGTCATTCCCCGCTTGGGACAGAGAAGCAACGGTGGACAACGCTCTCGGCAAAATCCTTGCATGGATAAAGCGGGTAACACATGTGTGTGCTGGATCCAGTATAGTACCAGTGCGGAGGCGCCGTATAAGAGCGAACAAGAAAAGGTACCGATAGATGGTGGAGTAGTGATGGGGATTTTCAATTGATAACACGCACCTTGGTCCAAATCCGCCGATTCGAAAATAATATGAGGTGATTTTCCGCCGAGTTCCAGAGAGACCTGCGGAGACGATGAATTAATAACCGCATTGCCAATGGGGTTGAATCAAAGGGGAAGCGTATGCAAGCGCTAGATTGAGCGCGAAGCCGAGGACAACAGCGGTGAGTAAGAATTAAACAACCAACCCACTCTCGAGAAGGAGGGTGCAGTCAAAAAAGTATGTATAACAACATCAACCCTGTTGCCGCTGTCTCAATTGGGAACAAAGTCGCGCATAAATTACCTTCTTGATGTTGCCTTTAGCCGCTTCCATTATTTTCCTACCAGTGACCGTGGAACCTGTGAAGGCCACTTTATCGACGTCGGGATGCGCGGCGAGGGCAGCACCGCCGATGGACCCGAGAGAGGGAACGGTGTTGATGACTCCCGGAGGAAAGCTATTATCAACTGAGGCGAGAAAGCAGCACGGAGAGGGTAATGTTGCTTACCCTGCTTCCTTCACAAGTTCACAAAGTTTCTATTTTTGATAAAACCGGTGGCTGAGCAAAACCAAATACAGGTGGTAACAGGAAGGGGGCGACGAACAAGGGCAGTCAGCGGTGTCACCTCTGACGGCTTCATTACTATTGTACAACCACAGGCAAGGGCGGGTGCAACTTTCCATGACCTAGATCATTATTCATTATGATGCGTGGGTGAGAATGATACCGACAACATACCACATGTTGATCGGATAATTCCACGGAATGCTAGAGAAATTTAAATATCTCAAACAAGGATTGCCACCGACAAGACTTAAGAAATACATTTGCCCACAAACTCCAATAGGCTCGTGTCGAGTGAACGCAATTTTTGTCTTGTTATCGACCTCGATCGTCTACATATAAAAGGTAAGCAGTGAGAATGACAATAAGATACTTAGACGGATGAAGGACTAGACGCATTGGCGAAGCTATGGATTGTCATTCAGAACTGGACTGACCTGACCAACTATTTTATCAGCCCATCCAGCATAATAGCGAAGGCACTGGATAGTGTCGCCAATGTCAAAGTCCCTTATAATGAATCCATCAACGAAAGCTTTACGGTGTGATACCAACAACTTACCTGGCAATTTTGACAGGTTTGCCATTATTGAGTGTTTCAAGCTCGGCTAGTTCTTGTGCATCTCTCTCGATCAAATCAGCCAGCTTGTTGATCAGTCTCGAGCGCTCAAAGCCTGTCACATTCTTTCCCCAGGTTGTCCTGAACGCTTCGCGAGCAGCAGCTACCGCCACATCAATATCCTTGACGGAGCCTGCCAGATGGTATCAGTTCTCGCCGTGGGTTGTCACTGGGACTCGACGTGCACCTGCAACGACCGAGCAAATAGCTTCTTCCGTAGCAGGATTGACTGGTCTTATCAAATATTGCGTTTAGCATCGAGATCACAGATCGCGTCAACATTAACTCACTTGATGAATTCATTTGAATCGACTGAAGGTACAAATTCGTTGTTGATGAAGAGACCTGTCGGGACCGTGATCTCCTTGCCCGACAGCGGGATCTTCACCACTGTGCTCTGCGCCATCGTGCTCGTAGATAAGAGTCTGATAGAGAGGAGCTGATGATGTGTGGGAGCTGATTGGACCCGTGCCGTCAACTTCCCCAACTGTAAAACTCGGAGTCGCGGCGCTCGCATTTTGAAGGGCATCGGCAGCTCGGCTACTACACACGACTAGATTCAGGGTCCGACTAAGTACCACCTGGTTTGCGCCCAATTGAGGATTTTTGCCCAAGGCCTTGAAAAGTCGAAATTGCGGTAAATTTTCCGAGAGCCACGGTAGTCGCTGCTAGCCATGTCTGCGGATATGACAATATTTGAAGGACATCCGTGGACCTCGGACTTCTACTTAAGTTCACGAGATGGTCCGTGGGAAGCTTTCGTGGGAAGACATTCCCATGACCCCTCGGCCAAAGTCGCAACTGAAGTTACTCAACGGAGCCTCGTCTTTCACTCAACATCCAGAACCAAATCTCGTCTTGTCCAGGCATTCCAGAAAAATGGTCCTTTCAGTCGTAGCTCGCCGCGCCGCTGCCGCAGGCGTCAGATCAATTCACACCACCGCGCCCGTCCGCTCTGCTGGCCATGATTACCATGTACGTTCTGTTAGCTTTTCGTCATATCGGCGCGCGCTGAGGCGGCACATTAGCATCTCCCCTTCGCCTGGCCGGGCAACAAGAAGACCGCGTTTGGCCTCAAGTTGACCTCTTTCTTGTTATTTGGCTTCAGCATTCCCGTCGTGGCCTCGGTCTACCAACTGTGAGTTCTTGTTCTCAATCCATATGGTCACTCTTCCTGAATCCCATGACAGGAAGAAATCTTCGTAAACTAGAGAAGAATGTATGGCACTTCTAAGCGCTGTAGACCATTTGCGGCTTAGAGCAACATATATTCCATTGTGCATGAACTAGCTTTGAGTCGAGCGGCCCGTATGATGCCCACATAGAGCTAGAACAACCATCTGCGTCCTTAGGGATTTATACGGCGGTCAAACTAATGCCCATATTACGGATCGATCGTCATCGCCGGATTCCCTCTGGCACGCTCTTCCTCTCCCAACCCCGCAAGCATGTCCTCCATAGCCACTTTCTTCTTCTTCGCTTCCACGGAATTTGTGCGGCAATCGCAGGCTCTGTTCAAAAAGTTGGGGTCACCTTCTAATGCATCCAGTGCCGTGATGGATGCGCGCCTAGCCGCCAACGATGCATTGGCATCCTGTGCGTCGGCTAAAATAACGTTGTGAACCACAACTTTGGGGAATCAGTTACTCCACATAACACACTGCGCTGTCAAACCACCTACCAGAAACATGGGGATGGGTCGCATCCTTCTCTTTGGAGATTTCGAATTGGTGACAACCATGTGCCTGGAATACCTCAAGCAGTGTTTTGGTCGGATGGTGAGAAAGCGTTCGTAATGTGATGTGCCCATCAAAAAAAGGTCGGAGGACTTTGTCGAAGAATCGCTCGGTTCCTTCCGGAGAAAGGTCATCCGAGAGATATATAGCGCCAATTATTGACTCCACAACATCTGATAGCGCCTGGGGACTATTAACGGGCATATCGCAATTCGGATACTTGACTTACTTTCGGTGGTTCAAGTTCTAGCCAATATTGACCCAGTGGCCTGCCGTCTGACTTGGCTGCCTCGCGCTCGGTAGCTTCCAGCGCACTAAGCCCATTGACGTAGGTATCGATTGTCGCTGATAAATTGTGTGACTCCAATAATATATGTTTGTGCAAACCAGACCAAACGCAGACCGCCGCTAACGCCGAGTTTGAAACCATTGCGCCCTGGGGAGAAATTAAATATTAGTGGGTTGCATGATCACCACGAGTAGGTCCAGACCTTGAGAAGAGTCAAACCGCCAGGGGAAAGCTGTTGATAGCGGTCGTAAATATGCCGAATCACCACTGTTCAGACATTGTCAATTAGTGCCCCCGGTTAAAGCAGTGCGTGGGTGTACACACTGAAATCAAGGATGGCATCTCCGATGAATTCGAGGCGCTCATAGGAGGTCGTGTCCTTGCCATGAATTGATATGTGTGTCTATATCGTAGCCTTGAGTGTTTGAAAAGGGACGGGAATAGTCCATCACCTACGAGCGCTTCAGCTAGTAATTGCGGCCGAATAAACTTGTGACCGATGATTGTCTCTACAGCATCAATGCTGTCTGATGATAGTCTCGCTGAAGGCAAAGGCGCCTGAACTTTGTGGCGGAAGTCGGACCACTGGTCGATATTAAGAATAGGGACATGGAGAGTCTTTGCAGCACGAAGGGCCGTTTCACGACCTCCCGTAATGTATGCTGCCCCAATGATAGCTTCGGCGACATCGGCAACTGCCTTGAAAGGGGGGGGGCAATGATTATCTTCACCGCAATTGACGGCAACGGTTGTTCGCACCTTATCCCCTAGCACTTGAGTGTCTTGCCCTATTTGTTGCCGTTTCTTTTTCCCTCGCCTTTTCTGGCTCTTTGTACCATCTTTTGTCTCGAAAGGCGTAGTATGAGAAACTTCAAGGGTCGAAAGATCTCCAGGTTCGATTTCTGGCAAAGGCTGTCCATCCGTCGACTGTCCCTGACTGCTACTGCCCTCCGCAAAATTGTTGCCCGGAGACAACGTCGCTTGCCCAAGTTGATAGTTGACGGGTTTCCAAAATTTGGTAACAAACGGCTTTGAAAGGATGTAACCAGGTAAGCCCGCACGTGTAGCATTTTGCAGCAACGATTTATTGCTAATTAATCGCTGCCGTATGAAGTGTAAGGCACCCTCGTTGGCCGTAGGGTTTGAGACGAATACGTATACGGATGATAGATACTTCAGGAAGGCATCACCTGGCGTCATAATGTAAATGGTACGGCACCCTCATGATGAAATCAGAGTATTCACCAAGAAGTTCTAGCCTTTCGTAATCGTATTCTATTGCAGAAGAAGGAGTGGATACCGCCATGTGAAGCAAGTCTTCGCGGACGCTGTAATCAAACAACCTGGCGTTTAATTCCTTGATGAGAAGAAGCTCATCAACTCTTCTCAAGATTGATGGTAGGGCCAAGGCTGTCCGGAAAGTACTGTGCGGTGTGGATATAGTTAGTTGTAGGTCTGGAAAACAAAATACGAAATATCAACCTAGCTGGAATAGTGAACTTAGCACATAGCTCCGGAATGAGATCTAGATAAATTAGGAGCTGTTTCATTTATGGGCTATGATGCTTACATTTGGCGCCAGCTTTGACCGTCTCGGTTGCCTCGCTGCTGGGCGTCGTTGGGCTAAGGCGGTTTAGGAAAGGAGGAACTCTCGAAACCTCGATCAAAGGTTGATCATCTTTCTTGAGACCCTCGAAACCGTGCCTTCGAGCCTTACAATACTCCAGCAGGTTCGGGTATTCCGCTTCTCGCTGTAGTAACCGATCGGCAATGTTCCAGGGCTGCAAAGTCATCGTCACTTACGAGGCTGTCATCTGGCTTGCTCAGGGGTGTTAAGTCCCTTCTGAGTTTAACCACTTCATAGCGCCTAGTAAATTCCACCCATCTATCCTGGATCACGGCATCTTTCATGTCGTCACCGAGAGTATTTTCATTGTCATCCTTCAATGGCAATGCCCACGCAGCAGCAGCAGAAGCCACAGATGCCCATGGAATAAGATCTTCTACGGACGGTGGATTCCATTGATCACCGCTCATGGGAGGCGTGCCTTGTGCGGAGTCCAGAGGTGCAAGGAAGAAAAGGGCGTCTTCGATTGCGCACATATACGGTTTGTTGCCTATCGCCCGGCTGAGTCGCACCGTATAGGAATGGAGGGATTCGAGTTTGGTTTGGTTCACTGCAAGTGGGGCGGCACGTTGGAATTGGACCGTGGCTGGTGATCCGGAGAAAAAGATCTTGAAGGGGGGTAGTGTAGGAAGTGGACGTCTGACAAGTAAGAGCATCGGCGCGTAATATTCTGAACTTCCGAGTTGGTCGACGGAGACAATAGTGGGAAATAACGTGTCTATGGGGTGACCGGCCGCACAGTGTCCCCAGAAGTCCGGCCTTTTCTGAGCGTACGTTCTCGTACCAGACCCACTTTGCTCGTCCGGGATAATATTAGCGACATTGGCGCTGCGTGATGGGCCATTGAGTGCGGGAAAGGAAGCCGCGGGTTTCGTGCCAGTATCTAAGGCATAGCTGAAGGAAAATGGGAATAAACGATAATCTAGGGATCCTGCCTGAGCTAAAAGTGTGCATGCTTGAAAACAAGCTGAGCGCCTAGCCTGAGCCAGGGATGGCGAAGGAAGCCCCGCTATATCTTTCATCAACGGCGGCGGAAGAGTTACCGTGCAAATATAACTACCGGCACCATCGGGAGTAGATGATTCTGTGAATTGGAAAAGCGGGCGGCTATGGAAGTGATCCCCATGAGATGTTTGAGGGACGAGGGTAGCGGCCATGCGGTAGACTACCGCTGTTGCATCCTGTAGGTAAATGCGCCCGCTAGTTGTCGGATCGATCACCGATGGTTCGGAGCAAAGGTCTTCGTCTTCACTTTCTGAAAGATATGGATCTACCGACTCGTAGATGTTGGCCGGTGGCGCGGTACTTCTAGGATCCTGAGAGACAGTATCGTACCACCGCAGAATATCAGGATGCGGCTGGGTGATTTCTGACAAGACTCGACGTTGCGCAGCATTATCTTGTTCCACCATGTAGATGAGGTGACTTTCTCGTCCTCGAGCACACGAACGAACATAGGCCTCCGAAACGTGGCTATGGAATAGGTCAAAGCGGATGACTACAGAGGCTTTTGGGACGCCAAGGTCTTCGAAGGACTTCGTCGCTACAAGGAAATTGTAGGTACCGGCCGAAAATTGCCTAAGAAGTGTTTGTGGCTGCACTGATTAAGGGGATAGCAGAAGACTGCGGCTGAACAAATACCTACTTGACTATCTGCTGCCCTGTTTCTCACGGCGACACAAGGACGCAAGAAGGGGAATTCTTCCCCTAGTGAGCGTAGCATGTCCACTATGACATAGGCAATCACTCGCTTATGGACTAAGAAGTATCAATATACGGCGTCGGGCGACACAGCTGTTAACTGACCAAAGACAATCCCTCTGAACTCTTCTCCATATGGTTGGCAGGCCTTCAGTAGTTCGACGAGCTTAAGTAGTTTGGGGGTCACATTAAATCCCTGCGAACTGGCGTCTAAGTTCGGCATCGTGTAGTTCCAGTTCTTGATTGTTTGAAGGCATTTTGACTGCTGATCCACGGCGTGCGTTCCAGAGATGGGGGGCTTGTTGTGATCGATCTGACCTGGGTGGCTCGGGGTTCTATTGGAAGTTCTTTCGATCGCCTGCTGAGCGCGGCGCCACACTAAGTCAGCAGCGCATAAACCAACTTGGCTCAATGCCCGTCGTGACGCTTTGAAGTGTCGACGCAGGATTTTCTCGCCTGGATCCAGCAGCTTCAATTCTGCCATCAACTTGGTGTCGCTAATAGCTGGAGGGGAACCGTAGGTGATAACAACAACTTCGCTTGGACCTGCTGAAAGGGACGAGGGACGTTCTGTGTGTTGCTCGGAGGTTTCAACAAGCGTTGACCGGAATATTGCTTCAACTTCGAATATGTTCTTTTCGAAAGAGGCGTACGAAGAATGGACAAGGACAAGTAATCGTGGAGAGAGAGATTTGGGCAATGAGGAGTAGTGTTCCATGACCTTGCTAGCTGTCATTAAGGAGGTATGTGTACCCTGTTCTTGTTCCTTGAAGGAATCAATGATAACTGTCTGAAAGTCGGACAGCGACAGTACATGGCGGTGTAAGGAGTCGAGAAGAGCCTATGTTGGCTCCGCTGTGAACTGCTGTTGAGACCAAAAAATCTAGTGACTGACCGCAACTTCAACTATATGCACGGCGCCGGAAGTCAGGGTCCGCGCGTTCGGCGGTGATAGGTGTTCCTCGACAGCGATACCGCGCGACCGCAACGCTAGAGCACTGTTTTGGACGCAGGGAGTACTCCTGCGTGCAAGTAATCTCAGGTTAATGAAAGCTGAAATGCCATGTCACTTACGCAACGACGAGAAGGACAGGCCGATCCGTGCTTTGGATGGTCCACTCGGCAAATTGAGTTATGAGTTCGTATGAAGCTAGGATTTGAGATCAAACAATGCTTCACGGTGCGAATGGCAACACCGACCTCGTTGTGTAGACAGGGCGCCAATGGCTGTTTAGACAGAAGTAGACGACGACGGAAGGAGAATAGAGGTAAGACTCTTACTGTTCTCTCGTCTGGCTTGTTCGAGTATGTGGTTTATGTGGTCGGATACCGGAAGATGATGCAGATGGACAGACTGCTCCGCCACATTGCCATGGATCTCTGGGAGACGCTGGCTGATCGAACCTGCAGGAGATTCCGTCTCCTCGGTCGACGAAAGCTTCCGACGCTTTGCAGGTCTGGAGCCTTCAGCATTATCGGACCCCCCCAGAGGAGGCGCGGCAGATGCTGGGGTATGCAAAGCATCTGCAGGAGGATTTGCCGCCGCCCCGCCTGGCATGGTAAGCCTGGCCGAGCTACTCGCAAGTCCACTCTGCGCATTGGAGCCCAGAATGCTGTCGTCCTCATTGAGAGGGCCGGGAGGCTGGGTCCGGCCTTTCCAGCTGTCTTTCCAGTGTCTCAGCATGATCGTGGTTGAAGGAAGAAGTAAGTTCCCTCATTTCAAGCGCCCGTTGTCCTGTTGGTCTCGTGACAAGCGCGTTTCTTTCCGACCTGCCACCACCGCGTCTCGCGACGAGCAGCTGGGGTTTCATGCCGTCGGTATTCTCAAAGGACTCGACAACGAACATCGACCTCCCGAAATTCGACTCGCTGCTCGTCAAAGGCTCTTATCCACCGTCTGCGCCCATTCACCTCTGCCTTTCGCACATAGCAGAGTCAGGGACGAGCCACGGTGCGGTTATCCTCACTCCCTCGAAAGAACAGTTGGAGGGAGCCCTCTTGGCGGAAAATGATCCCTGGCTTCAGAGGAACTCTGGCACGGGAACCGTAGCTGCCATATCTCGGCGAATCAACGTACTGTCGGTGCTGCTTCCTCCTCATTCAGTAGGGACGGGCCTCTGATTGACTTTGCCTCGGACTCTGCCTCGAAATCACCCTCTTTCTACCTCCTCGCTTCCCAGATACCCACCAACGCCCCATCACATGGTCTTCTTACTCTCCATGTTCCACGCAGCCGATCCGTCAAATGACCCATCCTGGAGTACGAAGACCACGTTCCCAACACCCCCCTCTCTAATCGTTCTCCACGAGCTTTCATTTTATTTCACGTCGGGAACAGAAGCAGCGGCGAGGTACCACGCCCCATCTTCCTGGCTGCTTCTTAAATCATGGGAAACGTATTTTAGCTCCCAACCCACACTATCCTCGTACCTGGACCTGGTCGTGAATGCCCTTGCTGCGGCATCGTCCCTATCGAAGCACCCTTCAAAGTACGATCTTGCGCGATGGGTTCTGTTGTTCCTCCATTGAATTTTAGCTTTCGACAGCGGCACATCGACGGGGGTTTCGTTAGCCCTCTTTGATTCTGGAATGGACACCCTGCGTTTACCCATTCTCAAGGTGCCACGCTTGTCTCACCCTCATATCGAAGCTCCAGGAGAAGCACCAGACGAGCCTCGTGTAGAAGCTGTCTACCAATTTGCACGCAAGTATTTTGAGTTCATCCTCGAATTTACGCTCGGTATGTTCTAATCTCGTTTGTACATAATGGTTGGAAACAAACCGTTTCTTCTAACGATTACTATAGAGCACTACGATGAGGCCCCTCAATCTTCGACTGCACCGGCTAGAAAAACCGTACGCTTACTCCAGAAGGACCGATTCATTAAATGATCATGTAAAGTAGTTCATCTCCGCATTCAATTTTATCGTTTTTCTCAGGTCGCATCCACCAACGCCACTAAAACCGTATAATCACATCATGCTGTATCTACGTTTTGATAAAGTTGATATCACTGCTTCGTTCTCAAAAGAACAGTTTAGTAACAGGTCTATCCATCGATGAATTGCTAACAGGATTTCGTCTGTATTTTTATACTCGATACAATCTAGTGTAGATACATTAGAAAGTTAGAACAAGCTCTGGATATCGTACAACACCGTAAAATAACCGACAAATGTGAAAGCGTATAACATGCGTCCCAAAGCGCAAAAGCTGTATAGATATCTCCGGACGAAGGGGTGCGGGGGTGGAGAGAAGCTTTGAAATCTAGGTCAACCGCGAGAGAAAATAGGTCCAAGCGATGAAGATTTCAAGAGAAAAGGCATCGCAAAAAGCTTCGCGAGCACGGGCGCATGAAGTCTTTGAGAAAGGTGTCGTGAAAGGCCGTATTCGTTTTTCGAATTTGCTTCGTGTTCATCGTCGTTCGCAACGGGGTCCGTTACGGGCTTGCTCAACCTCGGTCCTCAGCATCTTTGCTTCCCAGCGTCGCCTGTTACATACGGTAAATCGGTCTCCCCCTCTTATCAACCTCTGCGCCAGTCCTAGCGTCGACGTATCGGGGGCGTTTGGATCTTCCCAAGAAACCCCAAGAGCTGTATTTGCCTTGGTGCTTGTATTTCACCCCCCCTACTGATCTCGGAGACAACCCAAAGAATCGACGTAGACGATCAGTGAAAGAGAGCCGAGGGCCGTATTGACCTGAATACGCCTGAGGGTAGGCGGTATTGGCCTGACATCAAAGAGCACATTGTCGGTAAACTGATATGAAAGAAGGGAAATTTTCGACATACATAAGCAACCGTGCTACCGCCTGTAGATATGACCTGGGGTGTGCTGGAGTGATGGCGATGGTGTCTGCGACTGTGGGAGCGTCCGTGACCGTGCCTGCTCCTGCTAGGACTCCTGCTACGGTGACTACGGTGGCTGCGATGGCTGCGACGCGATGAAGAGGGGGCTATCACGACGGGGGTGGCTGCGCTGGTGGCATAAGTTGGCTGGCCGGCGTAGTAGCCACTGGCATACTGGGCTTGAGACGCGGGATACGTTTCATAGCCGTGGCCATGGTGGGAAGACGAGTACGCAACGGGTTGCGGAACATAGGATCCTTGGGGTGGATAGTAGCTCATGGTGGGTGATTTGTAGAGAAGGCGAATCAAGTGTCAGACGAGGAGCTTTATCTGAATCCGAACATGCAGTGACGCTATTCTTGTGGGAACGCCGGTGGATTTAGAGGCAAACACAGCCCCATCGGAAGGGTGGTGATCTCATTGGATATCTTTTGTGCAGTGTAGACTACCTGAAACATGTATACACGAGGCAAGCAAAATAAATGAAGCTGTTACAAGGTTCGCTCCAAGTCCTGAAAAACACCTGCGTGGTACGCGGAGAAATTAGGTTTCGACAGAGGATTTGACCCCTTCGCCATACTGGATTGTGTAGTCGATATGACTGATGGACGAAGAGGGATCTACATCAACGGATGGTCTTCAATGATGCACAATAGCTTCGTTGATTGCATGGAATGGAGGATTCAGGACACTTGCTTCTCGTCCTCAAGTTGTCGCGAGAAGGTGACAACATGCCCGAGCCATTGTCCGTAGACAATGGTCACTTTGCTATGTCCTTTTTATGACATATCCCGCCTCTGCCTCCGGAAGACGGATCATCAGTAGTAGCTGTCACGAGATCCGTTTTAGACAATGATGGGACAGCGCTAAAATCCAAGAAGTACGGAATTGACAGGAAGAACGGATCGAGTCGGGCACCTGAAGAGCTTGTACTGGTCCTCCATGACTCGGAATTGGGTTTTTTGGGTTTTATCAGATAAGGAATAGATGTGTATGGTTCAATCCATATCTAGCGCGACGGCCAGGGGGAGAATGCAAACGAAGTAGCCAAAGACGGAGAGGCATCGACCCCACAGCAGCAGGCAATCAATCTGACCGAACGCGAACACACGTCTCATCAGCAAATGTGCACAGATAAAGAATAGGAAGGACACGAACACATCGAGTCCTAGGGAATACAAGAGAAGGAAGTTAGCACGTACGGAGGATGAGGAAGAAATACATCAGAAACAAATGGGGGCGACCCTGTAGAATGAAATTCATTGAAATAGGGTGCGAGGGAGCGGTCAGTCTAAGCGCAAGCGAATGGCATATTCGAGCCTTGGTTTCTTGAGAGGGAGAGGTAGCGCGGGCCGGGAAGACACATCAATCCTAGAAGACGTCCAGGGTTCTGAGATGAAAACGGTGGGCGTAGATGAGACAAGGAGGTGGCAAGGAAGGTGATATATCTAGCTGTGGGCCAAGGCAAGTTTCCGTCCACTTGGGACAACGGCCTGGAGTGAAATAACTAGAAGATACCCACACCATGGATGAGAAGATTGCTCGGAGGATCTGGATCCACCGTCTCCAGCCCCGAGACCGTGACCGCGCCCACGCAGAGGAAAGGCGAATCGATGTTGGATATTGGGTATCGGCCATTGCTTGCATAGATCGCCGCGCAGTTAGGCAAACCAGTGACCCAATCCATTCGTCGTCCAGCGCATCCCCTCCTCTCACTCGACCGCGCTCCACCTGCAACCCCCTCAAGCGTCCTGCCTAAACTACTCCCTTCAAACCTTCCAATCGCACCACATACTCTCGCGTCTTCAATCCACCCTATACCCTACTCAATCTCAATCCACCACTCGACTTCCCTCCCTTGTTTTCCTACTTCTCTCACTTCTCTTGTCTCTCTTGCCCTCCCTCCCCAGTCACTGATCTCAGCTCCCCCTTCGACTGCCCTCGCCGTGTGTGCACGGCGTTCGCAATCCCCTACGTCTACCCGACGTTGATTTTGCTGAGAACGCAAGGGCGTTCATAGCGATGCGATGCGTGCGTGTATATGAGAGACGAGATGGCAGTACGCGATGGCCAAAGTGGACCATATAATGCGGGGTAACCGGGGCATGGGTAGGCGATGCATTTGTGGGGTGCGATAGACCGTCGTCGTCAACGGCTGACGTTCTGATTAACGAACAGTACTGTGAAGTGAGCAATCGTATTCAACAATTATTGCGGTTCATGTACCTATTCGTGCGCCGTAGTGCGGAGATAGCACGTTGACTCATTTCCTGAATCAACATCAACGTCCCTTCCTTTGTGTGAATCAAAAGTTCGAAGGGTTAAGAATCTCAGCGCGTCGGCGTGGTGGTCGGATCCATTCCTCGGCATGTCGGGTTCAATCGGCGGTGGTTGAGGTCGGCTCGTATTTAGGGCAGTAGCAAGATGAGTAGGCAGAGGTAGAATCTACAGGGACCTTCGCCAACACAGTCAGCATGAAGACACAAGATGAAGATCAAAGCAAAAAAATACAGTCGAGAAGATTTCAAGAGTAGGAGGGAGCTGAACTCTCCAACTCACCAAATACCATCTTAATCCCAGTCTCCATGGCTGAAATTGAGAACAATCAAGAAGAGAATACAGCGTTACTGAATAATTAGTGAGAGAGAAAGGGGACGACAGATGTTGACTTGTGATTGAAGCCAGTGCAGGGTTGACTTCTGCCACTTCCCGAAAACGAAAACGCGAGACGTTGTAGATCACAAAACTGAACTCACACCATCGTTATTTCTTTCGAGGACTCTGCGCTTTTAACAACTTATATACCGCGACAAATCATGGGTGTACATACATCGATATCCATTGAAGCAAAGAGAGGTTGAAGATCTCAGCACCGAGAACATAAATAACAAAATGCACAAATGCAAGCCGCTTCCGCTTATTGGGTGTAAGGGTAATCTTGGCTCCTCTTCTGGCGAGGCAGAGGATCCTGAAGGCTCTCAACAACCCTGGTGACGTTTATGCCTGGTTGTTCCAAATCCTCCTTCACGGCTCCTGGTAGGCTGGGAGTGCCGAGTTCATACACGCCGGTCATGATCTATTCATTACGAGTGAGAGCATCAGCAACAGAAACCCCAAATGACGAAGTACGGGTATTTACCTTCTGTGGGTTTGAGCTCGTCCTAGAAGACTTGCTCCTACCACCGCCGCTAGTATCACCTCCACCGACTCGGAACGCAGGTGAGCTTAGTGTCGCGCCAGACCGTAATACAGTCCGAGAGTTGTCTGTGCCGAATAGGACATTGTCTTGATCATCGACGACGAGATTGTTCCACCCGGCGCGAGCATTCAGAGTTGATAAAAGCGAGTTAGTGTACAGCTTCGAGAGCGGGAAATCCCAAAGGAAGTTCCTGGATCAATGGTTATCAGAGATTATACGATGCGTATGGGTCGGACCACGCTTACATTGATGTATTCTGATTGGGAAGTGAGTGAGATGCAGTGCGGAGTGATTGCCTATAAACTTACCTTGATGGCTAAGAATGAAATCACATCCAACGCTGCAAAGAGAGCCGTGATCATCCCAGTTTGGATGGTTACTGTTGTGGAGGGGTTCGCTCGTATATCCATAATCCACAGCAAAAGGAATACGTACATCGCATGATCCTGTTGATGATATCATCCGTAGCGCGAATACCAGTCTTGCGTTTATACTGAGCAAACATGGTTCAGTAACGGCTAGCCGTGTGCAGATGAGGCAACCTACCAAGTGGTACACCAGGCTAGAGGTGATAATGACATCAGCGGTGGCAGAAGAAACGAGCCACGTAATGATGGCTGGGGACATTCTTTGGAGGCTGGGATAGGTGAGGCTCTTGGTAACCGATGTGGTGATTGCAGCGGAGTATGCTCCCACTGCAGAACGGTTAGGAACTGTCAACGTGCAAGAAAGGGCGCTCGGCATTACCAAGTGAAGAGAAAGAGAAGAACACGATCACAGTGGTGATTGCCTTGGACTGACTGATTATGTTGATTCGCCATGCAATGAAGCACTGAATCGGCGTCGAAATCATAACCTAGACAGATGTGAGCTCGATACTATGGATAGTCTAGTATCTGAGCATACCATGACAATAGGATCTGGTGGGATGGAGTCAGCGGTTAATGGTCGATTGAGGGGAATCCTTGAAAGCGTACCAGACATAAGCACTATAAATCCGGGCGCAAAAATGAATAAGCCATGCTAGAACTGGGCGAGCGGAATGTACGTACTGACTGGAATATTGCTTATTGCGTCCATGGTACCTACGGCGAGGGATCAGGGGATGACGTCTGCATAACTATCATAGCAGTACGGACCAAATCTCAAGATGAGGGGTTCGTAGATGATGCCGATATCAAACCCTGTATTGAGTGTTTCGACAAAAAAGAGGTATAGAACCTGATTTAATCAATCAGTGAGGGTTGTCGCGAACAGTTAAACGAGGCTCACCAGGTAGCGGATCCAAGCTTTGTCGCTACCGTGAGGTCAGTGCCATGTGTCAGTAACCGACGAAACAAGGTCGCAGCTCACTTCGTGTACGTCTGGTAGTAGATGAAGCACTGAAGATGCAAGGGTGAGTTTAACCTCCGGTACATCGAACCAGCCTATGTCTACATACTTGAACAGTAAGGACCTTGTGAACGTATCAGTATTCACCGCTAGGAATGAGATGATGGGGCCTACTCCATACAAGATAGCATTAAGCAAGACTCCGATGAGCATCGGTCCAAACCTGTGTCATAGGATTAGCTGGATGGCAGCGTTCATGCCTAGAACAGATGTACAAGAGTTGGAGGTTTGGCATAGGCATTGACCCCGTCGATGGCGGCGCGTCCATTATCGAAGGGTTTGGGAGGCGACGGGGAATATGGAAAAGTAGGAGGCCAAGAAGTGCGGGGTTTGTGACAGCCTGCTCCTACTCCTAGCCTCCGAAGAAGAAAGTTCTTATCCACCGATGAATCCGAGCATTAACGCCGGATATAGATCTTTCTTCACACTAATGTTTCACCACGGTGACCGGAGCCCATCATGATTGAACCAACAGCTTGGGGGGGGGGATCTTCTGGCAAAGGGAATATGTGGTCCTTCTCATTCTCATCACCCAGGCCGCGAATCTGCATCATCGCTGAGGATGAGAAGGCCAACTAGGACTAGCTGAGATGGTGCCGCACTAAGGGAGCGATAGCCTGTAGCATGCATCTGATCGGCGTCTGTCCAGACAACAAAGTTGATTCTCGACGTCTCAGGCTATTTTGATTCATCAGACTCAAACCATCAGCACTCTGAGAGTAAATCAGCGGTGGAACTCTCTGACCGTGTGTCGTATTTGATTCCTGCATCATAAACTTTGATGATAGAACCCGCAGAGCCGCGTGCCCAGACTGATTTCTTTTACTTTCACGTTATGCTGCAAAATTCCGCAAGTAGATCAGTGGGAATGGTCCTCTCTATTTGTACAGCTGGGTCGTTCCACCGAAGATTGGAGATTGTCTGGAATACTACCAGTTACTGTAATAGTATGCCGTGGGTGTCGTGGTCTGTCGTGGTTACTACCCCTACACGTGCGGACGGCGCCTAATATCAGTTGAAAAGGAGCGTAGCTTTCTATCTCTTCCTCGGATGCTCCGGAACAATGCAATGATAAGTTTTGGGCCGCCTTGCGGCAATACCATCTCATACTGCTGTGGCGCTGAATTAACATAGGGCGGGATATAAAGAGGTCTCGGGACTCAGTACTCGGTATCTAAGCTCCAAATGTCCTTACCCAGAATCGTATGGCAATGCATTGCTTTTGTTCACAGTACACTTACAATGCTGCCTTAGCCACAACGTACCACTGTCCTCGTCATTGGCGGAGGACCGGCGGGAAGTTATGCCTCGACCCTTCTGGCTCGAGAGGGACTAGACGTAGTCCTACTTGAAGCACTCAAGCATCCCAGGTATTCATGATTGTACTGCAAGCGCATACGTTGGCTAACACCCCCGTATTGCGCAGAGAACATGTCGGAGAGAGCATGCTCCCTTCAATGCGACAATACCTTCGATTTATTGACTTGGAAAATGAGTACGATATCAGAGGTTTTATTCACAAGGTAGCCTACGGCGCTTCGATCAAAAGGTACTATCAGCTGAAGTTGTCTAGCCAGGCGCCTTTTTCAAATTTATCCATGGTGCACCAGAATGCTGTAAGTGCCCGGTGGCCAGCATTTGACCGCTCATTGACAAGGTTCAATCTTTAGATTCCGACTTCGATCTTCTCGGACAGGACAAGAGGACCTGGCATGTTGTGAGTACGGCACCCAGTTTACTCTGATAGAAACTCATGTGAAATTGTATAGTTCAGAGCAGAAGCCGACGAGCTCATGCTTCGTCACGCCGCTCAACAAGGCGTTAGAGTCTTCGAGGAAGTCCGTGTCGATTCAATTGAATTCGCAGGCAGTGACTCCATGAGTTCGCGCCCCATCACAGCCAACTGGAAGTCCAAACTTGGGGAAACCGGGGCTATCTCATTCGACTGGCTGATAGATGCCTCCGGTCGCCAAGGCCTTATGGCCACGAAATACCTCAAGAATCGTATCTACCGTGAAGGCCTAAGAAACGTCGCAGCGTACGGGTACTGGGAAAATGCCCCAGTCGAAGAGGATGGATCTCACCAGAATGCAACTTGGATTGAGTGCCTGACCGGTTTGCTGTTATTTTGCCAATCACCGCTCATATGTACTCATATCTATTTCATTGTAGATAAGCGAGGCTGGGCATGGTTCATACCTCTCCACAATGGCAAGACCTCGGTTGGCATTGTCATGCATCAAGAGACGTCTAATCAGAAGAAGGCTGATGGACCCAAGGGACTCGAGGCTCACTACCTGGACCAGGTCAAACTAGCACCAGGTGTCCTCAAACGTCTGGGGAACGACGCGACCTACATCACCGGGAGCGTAAGAAGCACCGCCGATTTTAGCTACCATGCGAAATCATATTCTGGCGACCACTACCGCATCATTGGTGATGCAGCAGGTATGGCTCTAGACCCTCTTATTAGCTCACATGTCTGATATCAGGACAGCATTTGTTGACCCACTTTTTTCATCGGGAGTACACATCGGGATGACCGGTGCTTTGTCTGCAGCGTGCACTATCCTTGGCTCTATGAAAGAACAAGTTACGGAAGTGGAAGCATGTGCCTGGCATGATGCAAAGATAGGTGTATCCCAGACTAGGTATACCTTCCCTCGATTTTACCTCACATCAGATGGGCTGACTATGTGAAATGAAGGTTCTTGCTGGTCGTTCTCAGCGCGTACAGGCAAATGCAACACCAAGGTAACTATACAGCATTGGGGGATTTCAATCCCCAAGATTTCGGGCGTGCCTTCGAGCTTTTCCGACCAGGTGTGCCACATTGCTCTTGGTGGATTTTCCCTCGCGCTCACACCTTCTATCAGTTTATCAAGGGCAACATGATGTGGAGAATCAGTTGACTAATGAAGAGCTCGAGCGAATGATCGACTTCACCCGCAACTTCTTCCTACCAGTTTCCCAAGACCAGTATGCGGATGTTGGCGAACGATTCGGACAATTTACGGAGATCAACGGCCCAGTTATGGGACCTGATGACCTTGCGAAGGTTCTTGATGACGACGACAGCGACGCGAAGGCCGTCCTTCAGAGAATTAATGCACTTAAAGTGCTCAGTAATGAGATGGGTTCATCGGGATTAAATTCGGAGGCTGTCAATGGGTACACGCTGGTTGTGGAGAAAGGTCGACTGGGGATGAGGAAGGTGATTAATGCATAGGAGTCGCATAGGGGACGACGAAATATGATTGCATCGGGATGATCTGATATATACAGCATTTCGACCTAGTTCTCTACTCACAGAATTTATTGTGCCTGACAAGTGCCTACTACTCATTTCCGGTGGCATTGGGGACACTTCGTGTGCAGCAAGGACTCGGTCTTGGGACGGCACTGCCCAATTTACGAGCAACCAGGTGCAACGCCACGCGAGGCACTTGCTTGTTTCGAACACTAGAGATGGATATGACGAAGTGCGACCAGCGTTCAGGCCCAGATTTGTTCTAGCCTGCGACACAATACAAGACTCAAGCAAGAATTTTCAACCCAATATACATACGAGGACTCGTGATTCACTGAATACATAGTGTACAAGACGATATGTGTACTTGCACCCACGGCGACTCGTCTGGGTGTGCTGATTTCACTGCTTCAACAATTTTGGGATCCCCTTGAGTACTTTGACTGCATCAGAATGCAATTCCAAAAGAACATCCTGCGAAGGAAATTAGCAATTGGTAAGACCTCAAGCATAGCCGCTTACCTTGGTAGGTTTGATCTCCTTTGTCATCCCCACGCCGATACCAGCCCACATGATAGATCTGTTGGTTTCCTTCTTCTCGGTGGCCTCCGCAAATAGCCTCTGCCTCTCCTCGAGGCTCACGCCCTTCAGGCTATCGTGTACGATATCGTTGATAAGAGCGCGTCCGTCATGGTGGGGAGGCCATCCCATCGTGTCCATAACTTCGTCGAACATCATTCCTCGAGTAGTTGATCCGAAGTCTGCTTTGACCAACTCAGCCTTCATTTCGTTGGTGTAAACGGATTCGGGCGTGAAGAGGAACCGGGTACCAACTACGGCACCCGCTGCTCCCAAGGCAAGCAAGGCCGCAACTTGCGCACCCGTAGAGACGCCCCCAGAACCAAGTACTGGTGGGTGGCCTGCTGGAAGTGCACTGAGGATCGCTGGAACAAGGGAGAAAAGTGGCGGGGCAAATGAGCCTCCATGCCCTCCAGCTTCGATACCTGGAAATCATATGAGCGTCATAATGAGCAAGGGTATACATAATGGATACCTTGAGCAACGATAACATCGACCTTCCATTCGTTCGCGGCCGTAAGCGCGGCTTCAACGGAGTTGACCGTAACGAAAATCAGTGTCTGAAGGCGGTCTGACCGCTTGGCATCGTGTTTCCGCACAGTAGCAATGTGTTTCCCTAGGTCGGCGCCGAAAGCAAACAAGATAGCTTTTGGTTTCTCGGCCAACGCCGCAGGAATGAGAGGAGTGTCAGAAGCCTCAGTAATGTCGAGTACCCAGCCGACGAAACCGACCCCGACAGGAATTGGGGCCCCATCAGGGACAGCAAGGGCTTTGCGCGCATCCCGCAGGTTCTGTCGGATTTGATCCACGGTGTCCAAACCTATTGCACAGTTATCGCAAAGGATAGCGCCTAAAGGCGACTACTATCTCACCTACGGGGACGAAGCCAAATCCACCGGCACCGCTGACTATGGCAGCCATGCTTGGATGGGCACCAAAAGCCATAGGCGTCAGTACAATCGGACTGGGGATGTCTGGACATGTACGTTTCTCTTGTCAGTCGTGGTACGTGAGGCAAGAACAATCACCCAACTGAGTTTCTCTGTGAACGGAGTGCTTATTGGTTCCATGATGAATGTAGCACGTTGGTGAGCACAGGCGTTTCTCTCTTGTGGACTTTATGTAGCCATGAACTGAGTCATCAGATGTACACATCAGACGAGAATGGAACGGTGCGAAAGTCGAGGCGCATCACTGTATTGGCCTGCATCAATCTCCTTAGTTCCAGCCACGATGGCATAAGGAAATATCACACCTTGTATGGAGAAGAGAACCCGTGAGCTGAATCAATCTGGATAAAGTTTATTTATTTGTCCCGATGAGAGTCGAGAGTGAGAGTCGTCGGACTGCGTGTGTGAGCGTGAGAGTTGGCCAATACCAATTCCGCCGAAACTTGAAATTTCTGAAAGTGGACCACTACCACTCGCCGTTAACCACGGCCTTCCTCAAGGCTCACCGTCTTCTCTGGAGCTGTCCGCGAAGTCTCCCTGCTCGTAAATCAACTCAGTTGAGTTGAGCCAAAGGTGCAGTACCACGGAACCCAAGGAATCCCGCGTCGTGTCGCCAGTGCCTCTTCGAAAGTGGTCCTTGGGTACGGGAAATGGGGTCCTTCACGTCCTGTGCATTGTCAAACCTTGAGAGTCGACTTGAGGAGAACTTCTGATGTTCTATCAAGTATCAATCATCGTGATTTGGGGCCTTTATGCTGTGAAGATTTGGCGGCACAATCCCTTGGGACATGCAGCGGCACGTCCTTGGAGCCTCTGAAAGGACGATCCATTCATCATCCATCATATCAATCTCAGATGTAGGCTGCGCTGCGCTCTGGACGGCGTACTACCATGGCGGGTTAAGGCCCGGTCGGCGGTGGGTGGGTTGAATGAATTCCCAGTTAGTAGACTCCCGTAGAATGTGCATTTTCTGATTTAGACGGCGCTGGCTGCCACACTACCAAGGAGGCTAATATTCGGAGTACAGGAACGGTCTGCCTGTAGGCTATAAGAATAGCATGGGTCAGGCATTCGGTTTTCGCAATAGTCACTCATAGCATGGCGGGCTCTCATACGTTCCTCATCGCGAGTTTACACAGATATCAACCAAGCGTAAATGTTGATGCTATCTTTGTCTTCGATGCCCTTGCTGATACTAAGCACAGGTCGCGTCATGGTCCTCCCCGATGTTATGGGCTGTGATTCTCGCGTCCTGTCTCTGGCTTTTGGTACGCCGCCCGAATCTCACCGACAAGGATGGGCACCCCATCCCGCCCGGACCCCCCGTACGCTACGCGTTTCTTCGGAGGTACCCCGAGAAGCCATTGTACAAGTGGGCGCAGAAATACGGCCCCATATACTCGGTTTGGATGGGGACTCAGCTTTTCGTCGTCATCAACGATCCCCAAGTGGCCCGTGACTTACTTGTAACCCACGGCGCCAACTTCTCGAGTCGTTGGCCGTACTTTATGAAGAATCAAACCATTCTACGTGGGGGCGGGATTACTGCGGCTTCGTATAACGATACATGGTTTGGGTTGTCTCAACCAATTCATTCCTATGTCCTGACACTTTGACTTCGACAGGCGGAAACATCGAAGAATTGCCATGTGGCTTCTCAACTCTAAGGCAATACGAACGTATGCGGAGACGATCGACTATGAAGCCCACATATTCTTACGGTCGCTATATGATCTTTCCCAACAAGGGAAGATCCCAATCGATCCGGCTACTTACGCTGGTCGGTATGCATTGAAGTTAGTCCTATTTTCTATTTTCGTCCACCGGGCTCTTTCTGACTATTCTATTAGTAACATGCTTACCCTGACCTTTGGGAGTCGTACCGTGAAGGCCACCGACCCCCTTGTCCAAGAGGCACTTCGCTTAGGCATGGAATTTATGCGACTGACTGGTAACTGGCGCTGTCTCGCCCCTATGAATTTCGCGCAACTGATCATTGCCGCACAACAGGTCCCTGGTCGAACATGATCGACTTCTTTAAAATTCTTCAGTGGATTCCTACAACCATGCGCGCCCAAGGTCGAAAATTGCACAACGACTTCATCGCCGTTTATGGGGCTATGATGCTGCGCACGAAGGCCCGAATGGACGCGGGAGAAGAGGTGCCTGATTGCCTTGTTAAGACACTCATCCAGTGTCAAGAGGAGGAGCAGCTCACATGGGAGGATATGTGTTTCATTGTCAGCGCCTTCACGACTGGAGGCGTTCATTCGGCGAGCATTTGCCCACTTCAGCCGTCTCGGCTTAATTTCTGACATGCAGCGCGTGTAGACGTCGGGCATCATCGAGTGGTTCCTCGCTCTCATGCCCTCGAACCTTCATGTTCAAGCGAAAGCCGCCGAGGAACTGGATCGCGTCGTGGGCAGAGATACCTGGCCCACGGCTGAAGATGAAATGAAGTTGCCCTATTGCAGAGCGATTATCAAAGAGGTGGCTATCCCCGTTGCCTGACGTCGTATCCCTTCATTCGACGATTACAGGTTTTACGCATTCATGCCTCCTTCTGGATGGGGACACCCCACTGCTCCGATGAAGATTTTGTGTACAGAGGCCTTTTCATCCCCGCGAACTCGGTCATGGTCCTAAATGTATACGCTCTGCACCACAACGAATCACGTTACCCCGATTCGTACGTGCCTCCCTTTCCTCCCAAATCCCCGCCCATCTCAGGATATATTCAGATTCTCGTTCAATCCTGAACGCTATCTCGGCGACGAGCTAGGCGCTATGGATTCGGCTAAACAGCCGGATGCTCTTATAAGGGACCACTGGGCCTTCGGAGCTGGGTGAGCACGCATGCATAGCGCGCCTGAAGTGCTTGGTTGACCCGTGTTAACTTCTAGTCGACGTATCTGCCCCGGGATGGAAATGGCTGAGCGTGAACTCTTTCTAGCAATCTCGCGTCTCCTGTGGGCCTTCAGCTTTACCGAAGTGCCGGGGGAGCCGATTTGTCTGGAAGAATACGAAGGGTTTTCGGGGCGCACACCGCTCCCTTACAAATTGACACCAAAGCCGAGACACGCCATGGTTCACGATGTGCTGGTGGAGAAGACTGAGATCAACTTGAATGATGTATGAATATGAGACAGTCGTAGGAGGCCTTTTTACGAAATACCCTGCCCCAGAGAGTGGCGATGGCATGTAACACGGCAGAAATATACTGCAGCGATTTGTTGTGTTCTTTTATGGGAATTTTGCTAGGTTAGCGCTCATCTGGCCGAAAGTCGGCATCCAAGAATGGTAATTTTATATGTGGCCGGAAACACCGCTGCGACTCAGAGCTATGGTTTGCTTACCGACCGAACTTGCAGCCGATCCAGACGCGCTCAAGACTATGTTATCTACGGCACGGGGTGACCCCATTGAGTATGTTTGCGCTGCGAGAAGCATGAGGCAAGTAAAATAAAGTAATGGTTCACTCCAGGTCCTGGAAATCACCTTCGTCAAGATCGTGTGGCTACGGGGGATCAGCTTTGGACAGAGGGACAAGGGGGGAGGAGTCACTAACCTCCTTCGGCTCCTCATCTTCGCCATACTGCATCGTGTAGTCGATATGGCTGATGACGGTCTCGAGCGAATCCGGCGACGAGAGATCGAGAGGCAGAAACGACACCAACGGGTGGTCTTCGATGAGGTGCACGATAGCTTGGTTGAGCGCGTGGAATCGCGGGTTCGGGACACTCGCTTCTTGTCCGCGCGTAGTCGCGAGGAGCAGCGGATCGGGGTCCAGGTACCTGAAAGGGTTGGCACGGTGACAAAAAGCAACACGGACAAAGGTCACCTTGCGATGTCTTTTTTACGACGGATGCCGTTTCTGGCGCCGGACGACGGGTCGTCAGTGTTGGCCGTCACGAGGTCCATTTTGGACATGATGTTGATCCAGGGTATCTCGAGATTCACCATCGCGGACATGGCGGACAGCACGCCGCTGAGAATCAAGATGGGATCAGGTAAGTGCGGAACTGACGAGGAGTGATGGATGGGCACCTGAAGAACTTGTAGCGGTCCTCCATGAATTGGGATTCTATCAAATAGGTCGCGCAGACGCGGAAGCCGAGACGTTGAAGGTTGCGGACGAGGTCAGGCAGAAATGGGTGGTGTGTGTATAGTTCAATCTGGCCTTGAATACGGTCAGCCCCTCCTCTTCACGGTCCGTACCATATACGTACCAGGGCAGTCGATGATGAGGTAGTCGTCTTCGAAGCCACCTAATTCTTCCTCCAGCCAATCCATGTTCTGCATCAAATATCTAACGCGACGATCAGCTCCCCTAGCCACGCGCAATAGCCAAGATGGTTCCACTCACTCACTCAAAGCAATAGACAAGGCCCCCGTTCGGGCCATACCCTAGCTCGCCCATGACATCGTCCAGGCTGATGAGATCCTTGATGTCAATGACCGGCTCGTATTCGAAGCTCGTCGGCGATGCTGCTGGGTCAAAGTTGACAAGGTTTGCCGAGCGCTTGGACAGTCGTAGATGTGTGAGAAATGATGAGGAGAACGTCGATTTGCCTGCGCCGGCAGGGCCAGTCACCAAAACTGCATATCGCATTGTGAGCGTCGAGTGTAGAGTTGTGTTTCAAACTCCGCAATCATATCACCCTCTTGACCGCCGTTCTTTCCGTGTAACATTTACCGCATCCACGACATGGCGCGCCCACCGGTGAACCCAGAGAAGTCTGTAGCTGGAATCGCTGTCGACCCATACACGCTTGATCGTGTCATCCCCGAATCCCGACGACCCGACGGCACGTAGGTAGCTCGCTCGACGCCTTCACCGATCCACGATTGATATCCAAACAGAGTCCGCAAACAGCTCAAAATCAGGCCAGGGTTTACGCCTCAGGAGGATGTTCGCCGCTTTCGTGGCACACGACAGGCTGAAATGGACGCAAGGGCTCTCCCCAAAGGGCACATCGTCGGATGGGTGCCTCCCAGTAATTCAGGTGCATCGTCGAAGGGAGGAGGCAACTCTGCAAACGCGTTCCCTGCACTCAGCAAGGCGGTGAATGGGGCTATCGCTGATAGAGAGAAGCCCCTTAGTAAGTCCGCCAAGAAGAATGCAAAGAGGAAGGAGAAGAGGGAGGACAAAAAGGCTGACGGCGCAGCCGCTGTAAAGGATTCCTGGGAGGACGACGACGACCAGGTGCCAGAGACCAAGGAGACGAAGCCAGCTCCCGATGTGAAGGAAACATCGGCGTTAGATGAGAAGCCAGAGACAGATAAGAAGCCAGAGATATCTTCGTTGGAGGACCAACTCGCCAATCTCGAAGTCAAGTGAATGTAGTACTTGGTGCCATCGTATCTATCGTTACTCTTTATTCTCCCCATTTCGCTTATATCCATTTTCAAGTAGGGATCCCCTTGATCATCCGAACTATGTTGTACGTTTATGTTATTTCTTATTACACAGGCAATACTGGCGAGCTTGCTTGCAAAGCTCCGCCGCGTGCCCCGTAATTCTACAATTTCCTCCACTGGGGCGCTTTAGAATGTTTAAATCTGCTTTACTTCCAGGGTTGAAATCTCTTCATGTAGAAGCTCGCAATGCACATTTAGCGCATCTTTTATTTTACAGTCCGTGCTAAAACCTTTGCGGCTGCCAATGTCCCCTCAGCCCCCGCACCACGTCCTTTTCAGCCACTGATACAGGTCGACTACCAGCCTCACGACGAAGAACAACGGGGGATATCACCCCGGGGTCGGATAAACCGAGCAGAAGCGCCCGACCTTGATAGAACCTCTGTGGTGCGATAGAAGATTCGGTTGGAGCTAAGGAAAGATCAGAAACGTCCTCGTCGAGCATCTCGCAGTCCATGTCCAGATTATCATTTGAGATGGAGAGCTCGCCAAAGGGAAGGTCGTCGTAATCATAGTCGCCACCACCTGGGGCTATGTCCAGCTCGTATTCTGGGTCATCGTCCAGAGTCGCGTCGAACTCAAAGTCGGCGAGCAACTCCTGGCCATAGACGGTGTATTCAGTGGTTGATTCTTCTTCCCAGTGGGCATCTTCATAGTCTTGACACGATTGCTCTATGAACAACATGCTTTCCGAGTCCAAGAATGTTAATTCATCGTCTGAGTCCAAGGGCAGACTATAAATTACAGGGCTAGCTTCCTCGTCGAAATCGGAGCACCAAAGTGGCACCTTCGTATATGGGCGGTGGGGGTCCATGTGGTAGAATGTAGCGGCCGCGTCGATTTCGATCGAAGGAGATTCTAACGTGTCGACGCAGAGAAGCGAGTCCTCCTCGCCAAGTTGCTCGTAAAAATCCAAATGGACCGAGGGGTGTACTGATGGGCGCAAGTGTACGTTACCAAAGGCGTTTTCTTGAGTCGCAGACAGACCAGAGTGCACCGCTTTGACGTCGAAGGGTTCAATATCGTATACCTCTGGGAAGGCTATATCGACGGGGAGATTGTCGTAAGAAGTCTGTCCCTTGGAGTTGGAGAGTGAAATATCGTTATCGTCAGTTATTTCCATGGGAGCAGGCCCCGGTACCGCTCCCAGTCTTTGAGAGTCCGCAGGATTCCCAGAAAGGGGAGAACCAGTCCTAGCGATATTTCGAGAGGTATGATTATCAAGAGGTAGAGGCTGAATGGCGAAAAATCTTGACACTGGAGTATTGATTTGGTAAGGCGCCTGGGGCTTAACTTGAGAGGCCGAGTCTGAAGGGTGGAGGGAGACGCTCGCAGTATCAATATCTGGTTCCGCAGTCCGTTCTTCGGGGTCTACATCTATGGAAGAAGTTTGCTTAGATTTACAGTATTCATAGGCGTTCATATTTTGCAATCGACGAGCGTTGACGATTATTGTCCCAGAGACAATCGATGCCTTGTCTCTAGTAGGTGAATGGGTGGGCAGCGTTGATGCGTCTTCTCTTTCGATGTCCCAAACTATGGATTCGGCGCGTTTAGTACACTTTTTACCTTTAGCAAGCGGTTGCCCTGAAAGGTCCGAGCTGGAAGACGTGGAAGATGGGCTCCGCGAGCGGAGCTTCACAGGCTTCTTAGTTACACCAGGCTTGAGTCCTTTCTTCCCTAGCTGCTGCTTCGCGGTATGGGTGGAGTGATCATTTGGTAGTGATTCCTCGTCATCGTCGGAAGAAGAATGCTCGTTTTCATTGTCCTGTTGATGGATCTGCTTTGATTTGTTCAAAAAGGCGATCTCTGAGAAGAGATTGGCACTTTGCCCTAGAAAACGTTCGCATCAGTTTCAGAACATGATATTGAGGTGTGAAAAGAAAAGTGCTACCTTTTTTGGCAGTTGTCGCAGCTGTAGTTTTCGCTGAAGCTTTGCCTTTACTAAAAACTCCCATATTAATGAGTGGCTTCATCTGCGCTCCATGAAACCAAGACTCAGTTAGTGAGACTTTCGAGACGAAGTTAGGACAAAGCACGAACTGTCAGGCGATTGCTCCCAACGTTGGTAGCGTTGAGACCATACATGAGCGCAAACCCAGGGATGGCCTTCTCTTTCTTCGACTTTGACTTCGCTTTGGGCCTTTTTGATTTGTTTTTTGGCTCCTCCTCCTCGTGGGCTTCGTCCGGTGGATGGTCTGGCGATCTGACGATTGCTCGCTTGGCACGTTTGCGCTCCCTTCGCTCGGTTAGACCTGTTGGGCAATAGAGCAGGAGTTTTCGAGATCAATGCTCACGCATATTCGCGACTTACGAGCTTCGTGTTCGTCGTCAGACGTACTGATGGCAGGACGTTTTGTAGTTGTCGAGTTCTTCGGAAGCGACTTTCGATCTGTCTTGGACTTCGAGGCGCGTTCTCTTTCCAAAGGTGATTCAGGTATGTTGGGTCTTTCTGGTTTCTGCTGCTTCTCTCGTTTCCCGCCTTGTGATGTGGGTTCCTTCTTCCTAAGCTTGGTTCGTGGCTTCAGTACGGGCGTGTCGAAACCAACGGCAGAAACCTCAGGATGGGGACTTGGAGATCTTGGAATATTACGTTTATTCGCGGTGTCTTCCATCGCTAAAGGGCTCCACGCGGAGACGACAGCCTTCCCTTCAGCGGCGTAGTGTTTGGAGTTGGCTCGTTGAGCGCGTAAATAAGTCGCAAGCTGGCGGTTTTTGTCGAGCCGTTGGATTCCTTCGAGTTCATGCGCAGACACTCCGACTCGGGACATGGAATCAATGGAACAGATGAAAGATAGGTCTCTCTTGGGTCTCACGATTGTTGTGGTACAAATTCAAGGTTGCGCGCAGTCCAATAATCGCAGTCAATCGTGTTTATCCTACTCGACTTTGCCTAACAAACCTAACCCCTGAATATTTCCCTCCTGGTTCAAACTCTGGCCCATGGCAGCTAAGCGGTGTATACGAAGAACGGATTCCTGTCGCAGGGTATGCTCAGTTATATCACCTTTTTTACGTAGATAACGTACTGTTTATCTGTCAAATCCAGGAAAGCATGGCGCTCTCGTGCCTTCTCGACGTCAGCATCTGTCCAGCCATAACAACTCACAATTACTGATACCTCCATTCGGTACGCTTGCTAGTAGCTGGATCAGATGGGAGGAATGATGTACGACATGGTTACTCACTTAACATGACGGTGAGGACGATCAGCCACGTCCTTATGTCTAGGAGCGTTTCTACTACCTGATCTCTTTTGATCTTCTTGTTCTCCGTCCCTCCCTGGTCGTCACAAACTCTCTCAAGCGCGGCGATCCTTTCCTCCGCCGTCAACATTCTTGCATAGACGGGAGAGTCAGGAAGCCAGATGAGGATGGAGATCCCAACTGTTGAAATAAGCTGGTGAGGTCGCGCGAATTCCGAGTGAGCAAGTAGATATATTGCGTTTGGCTGGGACTCCAGCAAACGCATGAAGAAAATAATACATGCGCGCGACATGATACTACAGTAGTCACGTGCATCCCCTATACCCCTGTACCGCCAAGATTGCTGAAATCCAACACCAACCATTATAGCTAATCCACTGAGAACAATGTAAATAATTTGATACGGAGAGAGGATGCTGCCGGGATAGAACGAGATGCCCTGTAAATTTGCTATCAGAAACGGCTCTCAATGTGTCAGACCATATGAATGTCTCACGTAGGATACGAATCCCCCGAATATCTGGGTCAATCCATTCTGCGAAGGGCGTCAAGATGAAGCATGACACATGATGATTCCTGTTGAAACATCACACCATCATGTAAAACCAAGAGATTCTTGTGGCCTGAAGATACAAGTTCAGTACATGCCATGATACAGTGGCTAAAAAGTGCCATCACTGTAAGGGCAACCTCAAGATGGCCACACAGCGCAAGCCTAGCAGAGCGCAAGCCTAGCAGAGGGAGAATCCAAAGATATGAATAGGACTAGCTACAATACATGAGAGAGCTGCTCACCTAGCAGAGGGAGAATCCAAAGAGAACAGGATAAGGATTCTCCATGCTAGGGAGCGAAGTATATACTGTAGTAGCGTGAGAGGAATGCAGGATAACTGTACAGTACACCAGCCACAGGTCTGAACGAATATCACAAGGTACAAGGAAACATGTGATAATGAAGTGGAAGGGTGTAAGGGGACACTCCTATTTCCTCTCCTTTCCTTCATCCCATGGACTCTTACCTACATTTCCTTTGTTCCCCTTTGTTCCTTTTCGCTTCCTTTCCTTTCCACTTCCTTCCCGCCCACTCCTTTCGCATCCGAGCCACGTCCGGTGACTCCGGAGTCTTCCCGCCCTTCGGACTCGCTTGGACGCTTCGGACTCGCTCGGACGCTTCGGACTCGCTTGGACGCTTCGGACTCGCTCGGACGCTTCGGACTCGCTTGGACGCTTCGGACTCGCTCGGACGCTTCGGACTCGCTCGGACGCTTCGGACTCGCTCGGACTCGTAGATACACTTCGGGGCTCGTCCGGGCTACCGCTATCCTCCTTTCCCACTTCATTACTCCTTGTCCCCACTTCCCCAGGTCGCCGGCACGACTCCTGTACATTCCCCTTCCACTTCATTATCACATGTTTCCTCGTACCTTGTGATATTCGTTCGTACCTGTGGCTGGTGTACTGTACAGTTACCCTTCATTCCTCCCACGCTACTACAGTATATACTTCGCTTCCTAGCATGGAGAATCCCTATCCTGTTCTCTTTGGATTCTCCCTCTGCTAGGTGAGTGTAAGGGGACACTCCTATTTTCTCCTACTCCCCCTGTCCCGCCCCCTTCCTCCTCGTTCCTTTCCCCTTTCCTTCATTCCCTTTCCTTTCCTTTGTCCCCTTACCTTTCCGCTTCCCTTCCGTTCACTCCCTTCGCATCCGAGCCCCGTCCGGTGACTCCGAAGTCTTCCCGCGCTTCGGACTCGCCTCGGACTCGCTCGGACGCTTCGGACTCGCTCGGACTCGTAGATACACTCCGGGGCTCGTCCGGGCTACCTCTATCCTCCTTTCCCACTTCATTACACCTTGTCCCCACTTCCCCAGGTCGCTGGCACGACTCCTGTACATTCCCCTTCCACTTCATTATCACATGCCCCCTTGTACCTTGTGATACTCGTTCGTACCTGTGGCTGGTGTACTGTACAGTTACCCTTCATTCCTCCCACGCTACTACAGTATATACTTCGCTTCCTAGCATGGAGAATCCCCATCCTGTTCTCTTTGGATTCTCCCTCTGCTAGGTGAGCAGCTCTCTCATGTATTGTAGTTAGTCTTATTCATTTCTTTGGATTCTCCCTCTGCTAGGCCTGCGCTGTCGGCCATCTTGAGGTTGCCCTTACAGTGAGCAGCTCTCTCATGTATTGTAGTTAGTCTTATTCATTACTTTGGATTCTCCCTCTGCTAGGCCTGCGCTGTCGGCCATCTTGAGGTTGCCCTTACAATGGCGTCGATGGACGCACAGATCGCCACTCTGAAGCAGGCTACGGAGGAGGCAGAGAGCACCCGGGCGGCGGCGATGAGAAGTCTCGCGGCTTTGATCCTGCGGCGAGAGTTGGAGGAGGCGCAACGAGCACAGGAAGCGGACGAGGAGGAACGCGAAGAGGACAGGCGAAGGGAAGAGGACGCGGAGTATGACGGGGCCTGAGAGGACGGAAAAAGGGCACTTGGCCCCTTGTTAACAAATTCTCGACACCTATATGTACAATTTTGATACAGTTTCTTGGCTATGAACAAGGCAAGGTGTGAATGAGCAGAAGCGAAATAAAAAGACGCAGCGTGAAACCAGCGAGCCCGGAGTTTTCGGAAGCAGCAAGGGTCACCGGAGTCGTCGGATGACGCGTACGACAGCTGATTTAAGAGAATATAGACAAGGGATAGAAGAGAAATGAATGGAATAGATGAGGGACAAGAGACGGAACAGGACTGAAGTCCGGTATACAACACAGGGCGAACCCTGGTCTGGGTGGAAAAAATTTTAGAGTACTAGACGGTTAGGCTGCCGCGAAGGCGTCAAAACTCGGTCGTTCGTCGTATTTTGTAGTCCGGCGAAGTTCGCAGCGGGCTGAGGTTCCGGAAGATCTTTGGAGTCATCGGATTCGTCGTGTTCGGGAGATTGGGGAACGGGAAGGAGATGGCGGTGTTGGGCGTAGTACGGAATGACGCGGAATGCTGCATAACGTAGATTTGAGATGGAACCATCGAGTTCGGACAGGACGTAGGATCCGCCATGAGTCCGTCGGATGACAACCATAGGTCCCATGTAGCGAGGCAGATGTTTGAGTGAGTGATCTCCTTCTATCTTCTTATCACGGACGAGAACGAGCTGGCCGGGAAGAAAGTTGAAGTCCTTGATGGTCCGGGCGAATCGTCGTTCGAATTCCTCGAGGGAAGCAATCTGGCTCCGAATAACTTTCTCGCGCATCTGTTCGATATCGTCCGGACACTTCTGGAGTTGTCGGGCGCGCATGAAGATGAGCTGTTCAGTGGTGAGAGTGGTATTGGGAGGAGGGGCGAGATAGGTAGCTTCGTGGAGGTTGAACGGAAACAGAGGCTTGATGCCATGTACCATGTAGTAAGGAGACATTCCGGAGGTCTTGGAGTTGGTGACGCGCTTGGCCCAGAAGACGGATGGTGCTACTTCAACCCATTTCTTCTCGTTGCCATCCGCAGTCTTCAGGAGCGAGCCCCGAACGTCCCGGTGTCTCCGCTCGACGAGTCCGTTGGCTTGGGAGTTGTACGGAGAGATTCGGATGTGTCGGATGCCGTATTTTTCTGCGAGATATTCGACTGCCTTCACAAACGGGGTACCGTTATCCGTCACAAGTTCTTCAATGGCGCCCCAGCGGCATAGAATCTCCTGGAAAATAAATATGCCCAGTGTCTCCGCGGTTTCCCGGCGAAGCGCGCGCCACTCCGGATAAGAGGTAAGAGCACACCAAGTGTGGACTATCTTGTTGAATTTGTTGGTGGAAGGCATCACCATGCAGTCAATGTGGACGCGGCGGAAAAGGGAAAGGGGGATTGTCGGAGACGGCGGAATGTGTAGTTTGAAGTTGGAGTGGATCTGGCACTGATGACAAGTCTTGACAAACCAGCGGACGTCCTGGTCAAGGAAGGGCCACCAGAATCGCTCAAGGAGGCGCGTGCGGATAACGAAGATACCCTTGTGGCCGAGAGAGTCGTGAGCAGCCCGGATCAGGTAGAGACGGCGATCCGGATGGATGTAGACCTTATGCTTCCCTTGGCTATCTTTGCGCCAGAGCTTGCCGTCGCGGTAGAAGAAGTTGAGCGCTTGTTGGACGAAGTTGCGCATGGCGGGTTCAGTGAGTCTGACGGGGGCCTTGCTGGTCCAGAGGAAGGTCTCTATTTCTAGGATCTGGGTGTCCTTACCCGCGGCCTTCGGAGTCCGGGGAATGTCCTCGGATTTGTCGGAGTCGTTGAATCCGGCAGAATCTTCGTCATAAATGAAGGTACGGACGAGGGACCCGAGATGACCCCGGAAACGGTTCTGCGCAACCCGAGAGACAGAGGCGTCGCCGTCCGAGTGAACCTGTAAGGTAAAACCACATGCTTCGTCTATCCAACCCTCAACATCTTCTACATGGACCGGGTCTTCTTCGACTCTTCTTCGTCGTGAGAGGCCATCGGCCGGTGTGTGATCCCGGGCGGGAACGTGCTTGAGTTTGAAGGAAAAGGTAAGAATGGCGGCGATCCAGCGGTTCATCGCAGCGTTCGGAAC